GAACGGCGCCACACTATCACACCCGCAAAGCGGTGCTGGCTTTGAACACGGGTGATGGTATCGGTATTATATGTCCGATTTTTCTCTTGAGATGCAAGCAAGCATGTACGGAATCATGCATCTCCGTGAGCTGAACAACAATTACTTACAAGCGAGGAAGCTGTATGTTTTGGTTCCTATACCTCGACCGCGAGGAGTTCCCGCGCGTCTCGCGAGGAATACTTCGCCCACGAATTCCAACGCCACTGGCTACAGCAATCTTGATCTTGCAGGGGCTGCCCTATTTGAAGTCCAGCAAAGCATGGGAAGTGCCAGTGGCTTGTCTAAGCCACCACCAAGGACCTTGGACTCCAGAGCCGAAGATACCCATCGTTGGTGATATACCCTGATCCCTACAACTCCTTGCCAAGTCCAACTAGTGCTCATGGTAGATGGTTTATCAGACAGTGGTCAAAAAAGATGCACTCGGTCATTCGACAAGCTTCAAGGTTAACATGGTTTCTCAAGTCAACAGATACTTCCGCTCTCCTGAGCACCCGGGCCCGTTGCCACAAGACTGTGCCTATTAGAAATCTTACCCAGCAGCCAGCGCCGTCACTTACCAGAACTTGTTTGGATAGAAAGAGCGCAAGTCACAAAGCACCTTGGTCCAAAGGGGGACAAAACGCCTCCTTCCTGGGGGATCTCGGCCATCTCGTAAGCCATGGGACTTAGCTATCTCCCGAATTCATTCTGGAAGCAGTCTCGTCACACAGTATCCAGTCAATTGAGTAGCTCTGCTCCCGGCTTTGTGCAGATTACTCGACTGCGATGCTCTTTAGCCTCAAACTACACAGAAATCGGTGTCTCGCTTCCCATATAACGCGAGCGATGTGCCACGCAGGTATGGTCGCATTGCAGATTTCATCAACCACATCGGGAAGGTAAAGAACCGTTCTCGCCGGCCAATGGCATAACTCGGTTTTCTTGAAGTCGGAAAGAAGCTGGCAGGGGAGTATGGCGTGCAACGTGGGATATCCTGCTTCTCCAGATCGAGTTTCGGTGGTTGTTGCAACTGCAACTGTATCTTATCGAGGTCATCGCGAAACCAGAAACAGTTGACACATACTTACTCTCTCGGAACTGACAATGTCTCAATTACTGCATTGGTACTTGCCAGTTTTGTACCGTATCTATGGCATTGATTACATGGAGGTGAAGCATCCCCTCCACCACGCTCATTTGGATGCTTTCTCCATGCATAGCAAGAGACACATGATTCCCTATCCACCCCCGATGTGCATGCAATATTCGCCAAAGCGGACTCTAGAAACAGCTCCGGCGAGTTTGACGTTGTTTTTGTATGTGGCTTGATAGTTCATGCCTGACATACGGCATCCATCGATCAGGAGCTCAAGTAACAAGGCATGTTCCATCTTCACAGCACGCACTCTAACAACCCGAGCTTCGTTCAGCAGCCAACGCACTTTTGCATGAGAAAGAGTTCATTCTCTTTGCTCTGCCTAATTGCGTCAACTGAAGTGTATGGCAATCATCACTGATGCGAGAAAAGCGGCTCGAGGACTTCCCTCACTGCTGGCTATCGTATCACTTCGACGAGGCTTGTCCACGGGCGATGACGATCCTGAAAAATTACCGTGGCTTGTTTTATTTTTATCTCTTGTCATTTCGGCCCCGTTTAGGCAGTTCTCAACTCGCGTCCCAACTTCGACCCCCAGCCCTCGACGACAAAGAATCTTGGGCCTCTTACCGCAAGCCAAGCAAGCATGGGACGCCCGCGTGGCTGCACGGGGGATCACTGCACCCCAGATTCTCCTCTTCGCCATGGCTTTCCAGCTCTTTCTCTTCGCCGGTCCTCGTTTGGACTTTGCATGAGATAAGGGCCGTGTTGGAACCAGACAGAAAAACGTGGCATGTGGTATAGCATTGCGGTGATATTGCATACTACGCCGACACGCGCCGGCAGACCTGCAGTCGTACTTTTGTCCCCAGCCGCCTGCTTTACTTTTTTTGCCCTTTCCAAGCTTCCTGTTCCGTATCTCGACGCAACCTCAACAACATCCTCCCCCTGGTTCACACGCCCCTGCCAGAGTTCTTGTTCTGTCCTGATGCTTTCCAACTTGCAGCTCAACCAATCCCGTGGTATCAGGGTCTCGTCTGGTCGACGTCTCTCTGCTCGACGATCGCTGCTCTTCTTCCGCAACTGAGCCCTGGTCTAGTTAGACGCTCTTCTCCAAAAGTGCAACGCGCATGTGTGTCTCGACAATGTTTCTCCAAATAACCTATGCAGATCTCGGCGCCCAAAGATCTGGGCCTTGTCGTGTTCAACTTTGTCCCTCCTTGCCCACCCCCCCTCTCGAACCGTTCTTTCTACTCCCCCCTGTTCTAGTTCCACGATGCCATTTGAGAAATGACAAGGGAAAATTTCCGCGGTGCCAGTATCCCCGTATTCCGCCCTTTTTGGGACCCTTGCCGTGCCCGTTTAAATGCGGATGGCAGCGGATAAAGCAACCAAACCAAGGCCTTTTGCCACTTCTTCCCCCCCTCCCTCTCAACCCCGGGAAACTGTCCCGTGAATGGCTTGGCTTGGCATACGTGCCAACGCCGTTCCAGCCTCTTTTCTTTTCTTGCTATCAGAGGAGGGGGTGAAAGGGGGGGTGGGCTGTAGAACGGCGATAGAAAGTTGTTATTACTGTTTGGTAATAACTCTCCAAAAGAGCCCTGCTGGAAATTAATAACTCATGTTAAGAACAAGGCTTGGTATAACAAATGCCGATGACGAAGTACGTGCATAAAGTGTTGCTTTTTGGCTGCTTTTACCCCAGATTATGGCATAGTGCTTTGCTTGGCTTCTTGCTGAAGATGGCAACAACCTAGGCTGGCTGGCTGGATGCGTGTCTCGCCGCCACGTGCCTGTGATGCCAAGGTCGAGAGGAGGAGGTTGTCGAACTGGATGGACTTTTGTGGGTGAATTTCCTCCTCCTCCTCCTCCTCTCGCAGCGCATACCTTGTATTTCCTTGATAAGTCTATCAACACCGATTTCAATAGCACATCCCCTTATTAATGACGCGAGCCTTGCCTTTGAGCAATTCTAGCGAGCCACCCTTTTCTCTTCCGGCCCCGTTTCGTGTTGATGGGGACCATGCGACGTACCTAATTTTGGACCTCTTTTTAAAGTGAAAAAGTGATTAATCGTATTGCTTCGCCACTTTTCTCATTATTATCGTTATTTCCGCGCCTTCCATGGCTTTCCGTCCTTGGTCCTCGGCGTTGAAGATGCGGGACGTTGCGCTTGCCCGGAGGGAAGCGCCCGCTCGCTGCGATGCTGTCTGAACGGTACAGGGTAGGAAATTAGGTAACTCATAACATCGGACGAATTTGAAGATGGAAGAACGAATCGGCAATTTCATGAGTCATTCGCTGTAGAAACTTTGTTTTCCATTTTCTGGTGTCTGGCATTTTTTGACTTTCCTGGTGATGCTCGGTGTTGGTCTTCTTACAATGTTAATCCTGCGTAGTATACCAATGCTCACATCACTCCATTTGCTCGTTTTGCTCAGCACATCCTGCTCCTTATTTTTGAATTGTTAGAAACAAGCTGGAAACCATACAACATCTTCCTGTCGTTATCTCAGCATGGCCACTTAGTAAAAATCACCTTTACCAGGCTGTTGTGCGTTAGTTGGGGCAAGAGGCGGAAGAAGGGCAGTACGCGAGACAAGTAGGGCCTTTGCTAGACTGATCTACGGTGTATTATCTGATGATATGCTTGAATGTAATGAAGAATGTGACAAATGTAGGAAGACAAAGTGCCTGGATCTGACATAAACTTCGAGTCATCCCTCGTATTTTCCCTACACACCCACGCTTTGGCATATGCCTTTACGAGACAGTGTTCATGAGATACGAACCATGTGGGACTACATTTTGAAGCCATAATTTTGAGAGGAGAGACCTTTCCTCTCGTGCGAAGCTGTCTCTGGGATTTGAAACACGTATCCAAAGTGACACTATCATTTCCATGATGACCTGGCCGTTCGTGACGCCTGATGCGCCTCTGCATGGAACGGCGCTTCAATAGCACAGCAGCACCCTGAAGCTATCCTACCGCACGGTAACAGCTAGGACCTCTATCAAAGAGATGGTGGCCATACTTATTGAGCATCTCAAGCCCCCATTCTCAGGCGCCAACAATCGTCTTACCCGAGGGCCTGCGGCTAGTTATCGGCCTGACTACGTCGACACTCTCTGAACGCAAAGATTCAGGTCGTAATCCCGGTACCGAAGCCCTGAGAAACAACCCAAATGATCCCCTAGCCGGCAAGGGAACCATTGCACCATGGGTTGAAGGTTGAGGGAGAGGGGGAGAGAGTTAGCCTGCCCAAGCAAGCTGGTGCTAATGCCCAAGTTATTGACTAGAAAAACATCATCACACTCTCTAAAACACTGTGTAATCTCTCCTAGCTTTATCATGAAAGTAAAATCCGCGAGAGAGCACAAGCATCGCCATGCGAAGAGGGCCGAAGCAGGCAGTTCAGAGCGCGTAGCGAGTCGACGATACAATCAGCCATGACACCGAGCACAGCACAAGCGTGGCATGTTTGACAAGAGGTTTAGCATTGCTTTCATGCTTTGCACCGTCACTTAGCTCTATCCAATGGATTTCAGGTAACAATCGCATCTGTTGTTGGGGCGGATAGAATGAGCGCGTCACTATGTTAGAAAAACTGCCTCGAGGGACTCGTTTGTATGAGCAAGCCGTGACAAGAAGGTGCCAATTATGAGTAAAAATTTTCTTTTGCTTTGTTTCATGGAACAAAAAAGTTGCTTTCTACCCCAATGAGATTATATAAAGGCCTATAGACATATATTCCCATTATGTAAAAAGGATTACCAGCCTTACAGTATTAGAAAATTAAGTCTCTTGTCGCATTCCCATAAATTTCAACACAAAATCTCCCTGATTCCCCCATAGTCTAAGAATGAACACAACCCTGCTTTACATGGCAGCGACAAGCGCGGCAGCGAGCGCAGCGAGGCTGGGGATAAAGAGACCAGCAGCACCGGCGGTGATCGGGGGCTGGCTAGGAACGGGGGACCCGGTGCCGGAGGGTTTGGCGGAGACCATGGTCGAGGGTTGGACGGGCTTGGGAGCCGGCGTGGTGGGAGGCTGAGCGGGACCAACGGGGGTGCTCTGGGTAGGGACGTGCTGCTTGGTCTCGACCGGGTTCGGGTTCACCGGAACGGGAACGACACCGGGAGGGGCGGAGGGCGTCTCGACAGGCTTGGAGGTCTGCTTGGGGTGGCAGTCGACGCAGCCGGGAATGGGCGTGGGCGTGGCCAGCGGGGTGATGGGAACGATGGTGGCAGGGTGCGAAGTGACAATCTCTTCGCCCTCCGTGCAGCCGGACTGACCCTTGGTGCAGTAGTAAGTCTTGGGGATGACAAAGGTAAGAGTGACTTCGGGGCAAGGGGGCTTGGTGTACGCGCTGGTGGTGCTGGCGGCGCTGGTGCCGATGCTGGTGCTGGTAGCCTTGGGCTTGTTCTCCTCGGGGCACCAGGTGGTGTACGACGTGACGACCTCGGTGGTGACCTTGCCGACGGGGCAGTTCGTGACGGTCGGGGCGCACGAGGTGATAGTGTGCGTGCGCGTGGACTTGACGATGGACGTGTATGTTGTGGCGTTCTTGCTGTGGTGGCCGGTGGTGAAAGAACCGCTGGGGTGAGGGCCAGTAGTGATAGAACTAGTGACACGAGCGGTGGAAGAAACGCCGCTGCTGAAGCGGATAGGGCCCTGGCTGCTCACGGTAGCCACGTTGGAGGTGGACGACGACGTAGGAACACTGGAAGTCGACGAGACAGCGCTGGAAGTCGAGTTGGTAAGCGTGGGAATACTGGGAGTCGAGGAGGCAGCGCTAGAAGTCGAGTTGGTAAGCGTGGTGGTAACGCTCGAGGTGGACGACACAGTAGCAACGCTCGAGGTGGACGAGGCGCTTGAAACGGTCGAGTTGGAGAACGAAGTAGGAATGCTCGAGGTGGACGACAGGATGGTAGAAGAACTGGTAGTGGTGGTCGAAGTCGAGGTGGGAACGCTCGAGGTGGAAGAAGAGGTGGGCGTAGCGCCGCATTCACCCTTGGTGACGCCAACAGCACCGGGACCAGAGCCAATAGCAACCAGGTTGGAGCCGCAGTCGTCGGCAGCAGCGAAGTGAAGGGCACGGTTGTCCCAGTCGTAGACGACATAGGCAGCGCGGAGGAAAGTATCACCAAGAACGGGCATCACATTGTCCTCGACGGCACCGAGGACGCACTGTTTGTAGTCGGGCTGCTGCCAGATGAATTCGCTGTACGGGACACTGATGGTGGCCTCGCCGAACTTGAAGTCGAGGGTTCCCTTGAGGTTGACGACGCTGCAGTCGACTACGTACTGGCCGGTGGACTCCTTGACGGCGGAGGGGAAGGCCTTCAGGAGCTCGTTGAAGGGACCGCTGGGAAGAGAGCTGATCGTGTAGCCTGAGTCAAAGAGGAAAGCCTGGGGTGAAGAGGTGACAGTGATCTTGGAGCCATCCTCACGGTTGATGACGATGCTGTCGCAGTTGGCCCAATACCGGGTCTTGCCGTCGGGAGAAGAGCCGGCGGGGATGATGTCCTTTTTGACGAGGGGACCCTTGAACTTCTTGGTGTCGATACCACCAAACACAGCAGCACCACGCTCGCTGGTCACCTGGCGGAGATCCAGTGAGAAAGCGCGGCTGTTGATGAACTTCTGAGTGAACAGGTTGTCGAGGATGTAGGGGTAAGGGCTAGTCCAGCCGCGCAGATTGGGGCCAACACCCATGATACCAGTAGTGGCAAACTCGGAATCATGGGCAACACCAAAAAGTTGCTGGTTGATCTTGGAGGCTATAGTCTCGTGTTAATTCATGCCGGTAAACTGCCGTGGTCGATATGCGGAGGCAGTCCTTCGCAACTAATACTTACTGCCGACAGTGACGTAGTCGTAGCCGTACTCGACATCGGCGTGGCCGCGGCCGTACTTGAGGGTGGCATTCTGGTTGGTGCTGACAAAGGAGCTGGATTTGCCGAAAGCACCGAAAGTTTTGCAGTAAGCCTCGTCGGAAGATCTGGCACAGTTTGGGTTCACCCAGAGCTCGGAGGAGCCAGTGTCGAAGTTGACGGCGACGGTCTGAGGGGGGGTACCGATCTGGAGGTCAATGGTGTAGAAGAAGCCAGTCTGGCGGTTTCTGAGGCCAGCCTCGAACTGACGGCGCATGTGCTTGTCGAGGGCGTCAGGGTTGCCGGTGAGAGGGAATCGCACGATGCCAGGTCCCTCGAAGAAGTTATTGATGTCGAGAGCGTGAGCAGCCAGCGGCAGGGCTGCCGCCGATAGAAGAGTAGAACGCATACTGATTGCTGTTCCAAATCAACTTTTTCCGGCGTAAAGAGTGACCGGTGCAAAAAAAAAGGACGAAGAAGACAAGCCGAAGGATAGTAGATTCACAAGAAAAAGCAAAAATTAAATGAAAGACCGGTCGTAGTTGGATAAAACGAAAGACAGAGAAGGGGTTAACAAGAGAAAGAGAGAAAGAGAGGCTCTCAAAATCGGCAACGGGTGCGGGAACAGGGCAAAGAGTGTATATAACGGACAACCAAGACACACGACTCACAGGAAACACATGGCGGCATGCTCGGGCGGCCTGAAAGTGCGAATCAATCTTGCTCTCTGTCAATCCCAAGTGGGCCGAACGAGGCCCAAGTTTAGCGGCTCTCGAAGTAGTATATCGCGGTTCACTGACCGGTGAGCAGGGGTCAGGGGTTGGTAGCGCCCAGTGGAAATTAAGAGCAGCATTCAGGCTACCCACGGGTGCTTTGGCTGTGGGGGAGAATAATGCTGCGATGCTGGGAAGGTTGATGCGGTGCAGGTTGAATCGCAGGGCAGGCGATGGAATGTCTTGGTGGTTAATTCGTAGTGCTGGCCGCATAGGATACTGCGAGCGTCGACTACTTGTTAATCAGCTGTCTTTGTCTCATTGGGTATTTTGCATGAGACCAGCGATGCCACCAATGTGATGACAGAACAGTGCTTTTCCATGTTCTTGAGAGTGCGCATCGGCCAAGAACAAAACATGATCCAGACTAGTTAGATGCCTGACACTGGCATGCTGATAGCCGTCTGGACGTGTAGATGTGTCTCACCCTGACGGGAGCTATACCAGCCTATCCAGCACGAGGCGCCCCAAAGAGGCGTCAAAGAGGAGGGAACACCAAGAGAAAGGCGGCGGGCCCTAAAGTTGTAGATTGTGGGGTGGCGCGTAACAGGACTGCAGCTAGGTGGATAGACTTGTGGAGGCGATGCCAGGAACCAAACAGACCGTGCCTGTACTGGTAAGTTGCGTTGCGACTTGGGAGACTTCTTCTCCCTGATCTTGCCCTTGCGACTGGCTGTCCTCGGGTGGCTGCCCTGAGTTATCCACCGCCAAGCCCGCCTCTTCGTAAAGGCACTTCAGCTGTCACAACTGTCATGGGCGCGCTGCAGCCTCGTCCCGAGGCAACTCCAAAGTATGGCCGGCTGCAGTGCGAAATGAGACTAGGCACGGCGAGCGAATAGGATGCGAGGGCCGTGCCTGCGCGTGTGTTGCACATTGGTACTGCTCGCCTGCATTTGGCTGCACGCCTCTTGCGTTGCCGGCCCGCGGAGGATGACGGTTGACCATAAATCTAAGACCCTGCTCTGTCCGTTGATGGTTGGCCTCTTGGTAGCCCGCAACAATAGTCGGTCAACCCATCCAATATCGACGCATCCAAATGCTGGGATGACCGCCCTGAAGACGTCACCCCGGACCCGTGCCGCTTCCAAGAATGGTCCCCTGCCAGCACAGGGGGAACGTGCTTGCGTGCCTGGACGGATCGCCTTGACCCTGTCGGTAAGAGTGGTCTGCCGACGACGCCGATTGGTGCAGGCCACATGCTGGAGAGAACAGCCAGTTTTTAAAAGTAGACCTGGGCTGACCCTGCCAACAACTTTGTTTCCTCATAGTGCCTTGCAGCTCCGCCCCCCCCTGGATCGTCAGTCGGTGGACCTCTCGTAAGCTTGTTTCGCTGCTTTTTTCCCTCTCCTCGCCGGGATCAGCCGCCCATCTCTTTTTCATTTCGGACAATTAACGAAGTGGGAAATAAGATCAGCGTAAATAACTCGTTGACAGCGCTCTTTGTTTTTCTGCACAGTAGGATAATTGAAATGTCCATGCATGGCTGTGTGGGCTGCGAACGCGCGCGCGCAGAACCCCGTGGCTGAACTCTAAAAGTTCCAATATTGAAGGGAGCATTCCAGTCCAGGCGGGCCTTGGGCCATTTTCTTCTGAACTTTTGCATCCGCGGTATTATATGTCGAAGAAGGGGCCGCCAAGGCGCGTTTGTCGAGAGGGGAATGTATTGGCAGTTTGAAGATTCTGATCGAAGGCAAAGGTCTCCTGGACATCCTGCAAACGGAAGGGCAGATGGCCCATGCTTTCTATGTACGTGCATTGTCTTGGTTGCCTGGATAAACCCGCGCATATTCTGGGGAGACGGCATAGTAATTACTGCCTACCTACCTATTAATCTTCCTCACAGCCTAGATTATGTATTCTGAGCTCGGTAAACCAGAAGCGCTGTCTTTGAACATGACGAGGATGTAACCTTGCTGGCTAGCAAGGACCACCTCCCTGACCAAGCTGACCCTTTATTAGGGGTTTGACAAGGGGTTCTGCCAAGCTTTATCAGTAGGTCGCTGTTGAGGATCCCTTGGCTGAGATTGTTTTTGTCATTCCATCTCTCCCCAAATTCCATAACGGCCTGGTGTGTTTCCAGCGGTTCGGACGAACGCCACGCAGATTCATGGGTTTCAGATGGCAGCCTTGCGAGGGCGTCGCAGTCCGCCAGAAGTTAGACGACTGGGCTCTTAGCTATAGATGACATGGTGCATACTACGAAATTGCAAAGGCATCCATGCCGGCTACCCTCAAGCCTGCTTTGTGCGAGATTGTTCCTACCAGTACGGAGTAGAATTGCATTTAATCTATGAATATGCGGCGCACCAGAAAAGGGAATGATCGGATCAAGGGTATCGATAAGCTCAGGGCTGCAGGTTGTTTAAATTACAGTCTTGAAATACGCCTGTGACGTGCAGAACCTGACTTTGGTATAATAGCATATAAATACGTCACAAGAACAGCCGCCTCCGTAGGCCAACCCAACCTGCCTCTTCTCCCACGCAGCCTCACCCGCTCCGCTTCATCACATCCTGGCCTTGGCCTCTCCCGCCGGCGCCCCGGCGAGTCACTCGGCCTTCTTGTTGATCTCGGCGACGATGTCCTTCTCGAGCGACTCCGGGGCGGTGGTGCTCGCCCAGCGGCCGACGACCTTGCCGTCGCGGCCAACGAGGAACTTTTCAAAGTTCCACTTGATGCGCTTCAGCCCGAGCAGGCCGGGTTTCTCGCCCTTGAGCCACTCGTAGAGCGGCGCGGCCTTGTCGCCGTTGACGTCGATCTTCTGCATGATGGGGAAGGTGACGCCGTAGTTGACCTGGCAGAAGCTCTGGATCTCGTCGTTCGTGCCGGGCTCCTGCGCGCCGAACTGGTTGCAGGGGAAGCCGAGGACGACGAAGTCGTCGGGGTGCTTGGCGGTGACGCTCTTGTAGATCTTCTCGAGACCGGCGTACTGGCCGGTGAAGCCGCACTTGGAGGCGGTGTTGACGACGAGGACGACCTTGCCGCGGTAGTCGGAGAGGGCCACCTCTTGGCCGCGTTCTGTCGGGCGAAAAAAAAAATAAAAAAGTTAGCAAAGGGACGGCCAACGATGTGCTATGTGAAGTGATATCCTGTGGCCATCGGTCGGCACGCTTGGGATGACGGGCTCCTGCACGCGATCGGCAGCTCTCCAGCGTCGCTCATCGGAGCTGCAAGAACCTGGCAGGGTAGCTTGAGGGTGAAGGGGAGCTTACTGTCGAGCGGCTTGAAGTCGTAAAAGGTAGTAGCAGAAGACATGGTCGCAGAGCTGTATTTTCTGGTATTCACACACGATGAGTAGTTTTGACGCGACTGGACGGTAGAATGAACAGAAGCAAGTGGCGAGCTGCGACAGCGGACCTTAGGAAAACGCGGCATGACGGCTGTCGCCACCCCACTCCGCCATGACGAAGCTGGTGGCCGGAGGCTCCCTATCCGAAGAGCTGCGACAGGACGCATGTCTGAATTGGATTGCCGTGAACACAATATTAATTGAATTTTTTTCTTTTTCTACCCTGAGTTTTGGAGTTGGGTTTTTGAATGGTCCGCAGGCTCTTTATTGTGTTTACGCCCGGGACGGGAGCTCCAAGAGCAAAAGCTGTCCGTACAAGTTGTTGGTATTTGGAATCGAAGCTTCAGCAACAAAGCCTCGGCCTCGGTGGATCACGGCAGCCTGTCCGCAGATGGCTTGAACTGATTGCTGGTGCGGAGCGAATGAGGATGCCAGGAGGAAGCTTGGGATGGTTTTTTTCTGGGCCGCTGGCTGTTTCGTCATGCCATAATCGGCCATGGGTTGTCCCGTGCCGTTCCCAAGGCAAGTTTCTAACGATTCTATTTTTGTAAGAAAATTATATCAAGATTTTGTTAACATTCTTTGCCCCCGCCTGATGGTTGCCCATATTTACCACGGGCATATTATACGATTATTGCTCTCGTCCAGCATCCAAAGCCCGGATAGCTGAGCCTGTTACTGCATCCTCGCCTTGACATGTCGCTAGCTTTCACTAACATGTGATTGCATAAAAACTAACTCGATACTTTTTACTATGCCCATCTTATTTTCCTACAGCTTCAGTCGCTGGATGCATCTGTCAAGTAAACCAGCATCTGTCTTAGGCGGGGCTCTGGAACCCCCCACCTGCGTCATTCGCCCACAAGATCGATCTCACTTCCGTTTGTTCACGGCGACCTCTTGACTAAATGGTTTCTCCATGTAAACAGTTGCTCTACTGCAATCCTCCAGGCCGGGAATAAACAGGCGACTTAGTCATGGACGGGAAACGCAACATTGTCATTATAGGTCTGCTAATCTCGCCTTTTCCTCTCTCTCCCTCAACTCCTCACTGACTCCGTTTCGCCAGGCGGAGGCATCATCGGCAACACCACTGCCTACTTCCTCACACGCCATCCCAAGTTCAACCCCGCACTACACAGCATCACCATCCTCGAGGCGGGTTCCGCCATAGCCACCGGCGCATCCGGCAAGGCCGGCGGCCTGCTCGCGCTCTGGGCCTACCCGTCCTGCCTCGTGCCGCTGTCGTACAAGCTCCACGCCGAGCTGGCCGCCGAGCACAACGGCCCGGAGCGGTGGGGCTACCGCAAGGTCCAGTGCGGCTCCATCGCGGCCTCGGTTTCCGAAAGCAGAATTGCTGAGTTGCAGACGACGACGAGGGCTGCCGGCGCGGGCGCCACCACCGAGGAGGACGGCAAGGCCTGGGAGAAGCTGCCGAAGCAGGACATCGCCGCGCAGGAGCTGCTTGAGGGTGGCGCGCCGCTGCCGGACGAGCTGGACTGGGTCGACCGCGACGTCGTCCTCGACTGGTCGGAGATGTCGCGCGGTGGCGCGGCCGACACCGCGCAGGTGCACCCGTACCAATTCACACTGGGCATGGCGGAGCTCGCCGCCGCCGCGGGCGTCACGACGAGAAACAAGATGCAAGTCACCGCGATAAAGACGGCGGCGGATGGCAAGGTCAGCGGGGTCGAGTATAAAGACCGCGCGACAGGTACGACGGCGACGCTGGACGACATCACGGACCTCATCGTGGCCGCCGGCCCGTGGACAGGCCGGCTGCTGCCGCGCAGCAAGGTCGAGGGCCTGCGCGCGCACAGCGTCGTCTACGAGGCCGATCTCAGCGCCTTTGCCGTCTTCAGCGACGTCGCGCTGCCGCGCAGCTTCGTGCCCGCGCACCGTCAGAAGCGGACGCACAAGGGCCGCGTCGACCCCGAGATTTACGCGCGCCCATTCAAAGAAGCATACGCCTGCGGTACGTTTTTTCCACCACCAACTTTCGCTCGGACGCGCGCTTTCATTCACTGACCTGGTGGCTGGTCGCAAGGTGAACCTGACACGTTGATCCCGCTGCCCGAGGTGGTCGATGAGGTCCGCCACGACGACGCCCTCTGTGACGACCTCGCGGCGTACGTCGCAACTTTCAGCCGCGTCCTGGCCGCGGCGCCCATCAAGGCCCGGCAGGCCTGCTACCTCCCGCGGCACATGCGCTTCGGCCAGGAATCCGGCCCTCTGATTGGCGCGACGACGGTGCCAGGGCTCTACGTCGCCTCCGGCCACACCTGCTGGGGCATCCAGAATGCGCCAGCCACCGGAAAGCTCATGGCTGAGATTGTGCTGGACGGAAAGGCGTCGAGTGCGGATATTGATAACCTGGACCCGAGAAAGTTCAAGGTATAAGATGAGAACTGAAAAGCTGATGCATAATCTTGGGGCTTGGTGTGCAGGCGTGCGTCCGCCTTGATCTCGGGATATTGGGATAAATTGGGAATGGAAAGTCGGAATAAACTCCAGAGGAAGTGTTGTCTCAGCGTTGCCGTTTTAATAACTAGGTACGCGGACTGCAGCTCAGGCTGGAAGCTGAGACGTGGTGGAGGGAGTCGCGCTCCGGCCTGGCAACAAAGGCGGGCTGTACCTGCGCATGAATGGCAATGCCGCAGATCAAGCAAAAGATCTCAAGTTACATCGAGGTGATGAATCAAAGGTATTCGAAAACTGTTTTCGCCTGCAGCTAATGCAGTCAAGTTCTTGCTCCAAGGCCAAGTTTACGAACAACAGCACCATGGCGACAAAACACATACTTACCAACAACCAGAAGAACACATAACTTAGCTGTAGTTGAGTAATGCTTTAGTTCTGGCCAACGCATTATCTTTGCTATCGCTTGCTCGAAAAGGATACAGGCAGCAGCTCCTTCCGCTAATCATCGTACCTGAACTTCTGGTGCACGAGTTTCCGTGGAAGGGTCAAGTCTTTGCATCGCAGGCGTAAATAACATCACTACCCAACCGGCCATCGCTTGATCTCGTCACTTCCCACACCTCTGCCCTTGCCTGCGGGGAATCCATCCGCAAAAGCCCCTGCCACTATAACGTCGGGCGGCCGGCGACCCGGGCGGCATCGAGAACCCTTTTGGGAATGGCCCCAGTCGCCGGGACTGGTGGATCGCCAAAGAGCCATAACTAGCTCCAGGTTCAGCAAATCGCGATTAACCCGAATATGGCGGCCCCAGAATTTCATCATTTCCTTTTTTTTCAGCCGCTCATAAATAATGCATCGGGTATCCAGGATATCTGTCTCCTTGGTTGCATCTCGGTTTCTCTTCTTGCGACGATATTTCTTTCGTAGGGTTCTTTTTCATCTTGATCTTGTTCAGCATCTCACCATCTCGGCTCCGAGGAATCAAGCAGCCACTGTGGGGAGCTGCGCGGCCGTTCACTGATCGTTGTGCCCGGCGGGCTTTTATTAGCGTCCACAAGTGTCAAGCACCAATAGTCCCCGTTTGCGACATACTGCTCGCGTTCGCTCTTCATTCTCCTTCCTTGGTATATACCCCATCGACCGTCCTCTTCGTTCTCAGAATCTGTGCTGCCGAAATCAAGACGCGGTGTTATGGCGACACCATCCTCCTTCGTGGAGGACCGGGAAGCTGTTGCTGGCGACAGCACCGAGAGAACGCCGCTGCTATCCTCAGCCTCGCCCGATCACCAACAGGATACCACGCAACATCAACCACCCGCCAACGGCGTCGCCCGCCACAATGACAACCACGACTATAACGGGCATGATGAGGAGCAGACAATCATCGCCGAGGAAATCTCGACGCCACGACTTCTCCTCGTCATGGGCTCTACCTGGGTTGGCGTCTTCCTGGGCGCTATCGACTCCACCATCATCGCGACACTCTCGGGCCCCATCGCGAGTGACTTTCGTTCGCTGAGCCTGCTTTCGTGGCTCGCCTCGGCCTACTTCATCGCCAATGCCGCCTCACAGCCCATCTCTGGGCGGCTCACCGACATTTTTGGCCGCGGCCCGGGGCTCATCCTCAGCAATGTCCTCTTCGCCGCCGGCAATCTCGTCTGCGGCCTCGCTCGCGACCCGGCCTCCATGATTACCGGGCGCGTCATCGCTGGTGTTGGCGGTGGTGGCCTCATGAGCATCTCGACCTTCCTCGCCTCCGACCTCGTGCCTCTGCGCAAGCGCGGCATCGTCCAAGGGCTCGGCAACGTCGCGTACGGTTCCGGCGCGATGCTCGGCGGTGTCTTTGGCGGGCTCGTGAACGACCACAGCAGCATGGGCTGGCGCCTCGCATTCCTCGTCCAGGTGCCTCCCATCGTCGTCTCGGGCTTCATCGTCTGGCTCATAGTTGACGTGCCGCCTAAGCAGAGCGATAGCGCGTTGCTGTCGCGCATCGACTTTGGCGGCGTGCTGCTCACCGTCTCCTTCCTCGTACTCATGCTTCTCGGGCTAAACTCTGGCGGCAACTTGGTACCGTGGACACACCCGCTGCCGCTTGTCACCATCCCGCTCTCGCTCGTCCTCTTTGGCGTCTTTCTTTGGTGGGAGAGTACTGCCCGCCAGCCCGTGATCCCCGTGCGCCTGCTCGCTGACCGCACCGTGTTCGCCGCGTGCATGACCAACTTCCTCGTCACCATGCTCGTCATGACGGGGTTGTTCTATGGGCCGCTATTCCTGCAGATCCTCGGCAGCACAGCCACCACGGCCGGCTTGCAGCTCCTGCCCTCGTCCGTCGGCGCGTCCTTTGGCTCCGTCACGTCTGGACTTGTTATGAAGCGCACCGGCCGGTATTGGGTCATCGGTATCGCTTGCACGCTGACTATAACGGCCGGTGTCACGCTCTTTGCCTTGCTCGACGCCTCGACACCCGTCTGGGTCGTCAGCGTGAGCTTCTTCCTCTCGGGCAGCGGCTACGGCGCCATGCTGACCGTCACACTCCTCGCTGCCATCGCTGCCGTCGATCACGCCCACCAGGCTGTCGTCACCAGTGGCACTTACATGGCGCGCAGCATCGGCTCGACCCTCGGCGTCACCATTGGGTCCGCTGTGTATCAAAACGTCCTGAGGACGAAGCTGTGGGAGCGCTTTGGTCACTTGCCGGGGGCGGCGCGCGAGATTAGTCGCATCAGAGACAGCCTTGATGAGCTGAAGCACTTGCCGCCGGGCTGGCACGATGGCGTTATCCAGTCTTTTGTTGATGCATTTCATGCCGTGGCCCTGACGATGCTGGGCCTGGCACTGGCAGCGGTCTTGTCCATTGCGCTAATGCGCGAGCACAAGCTGCACAATAATTTGTCGAGAAACTAGGTAGCGAGATGGGCGGTGATAGATTCACATATTAGCAGAGCGTGTTTTACCATGTCTTCAGGGCGGCTGGCTTTTTTCTTCTTTCTTCTTTTGTGTCAGAAACAGACATCCTGCCTAGTTCCTTGTATATATATATCCTCGTTCCTACGCGACTCAGTCGTTTGGAATGTAAATCGTTCAACGCATGCAGCAACGGCGCATTCTCATAGCCACACCACAGTACCTTTTGACGAGTCACCCTCGCCAGTCTTACTAGATGTCATAATAGGAGAGGTCATAATAGGAGAGGTCATAATAGGAGAGGTCATAATAGGAGATCGTCAGGCCTTTTACCTTCTGCTTAGTCGATGTGGACGCGCAGTGTGCCTAGCGCGAAGTGGAGGTCCATTGGTTTTCCGTATTTAGAACTGGGCGTCGGGCTCGGGCGATGCCTCGTGAGGCATAGCGCTCACCAACTTCGTCATCGGCGCGGATCAATTTCAGCCTCGTTATTTTGCGAAGTTTTACTTTAATTAAAGCCCGTCGCCGGCTTTTGCAGCAATTGACTTCCGCACATTCAGCCGACACCGAAAACCTCGCGACTTCTTCTCCTCTCTCACCTTCACCCCAACACGCATGCGCGCGCGCAATTCAGAATGAAGCTCGCAACAGCGACAATGGCGCTTTTGGCGCAGACGGCACTTTGCAGCACAGTCCTGCAGGCGCGAGAAGCCAAGGTCACAGCCGCTGCGGTGCTGCTGGACCGCCGGGCGCAAAAGGACCAGTGCAGCGAGGGCAAGACGGCATGCGGCGACGGCAACGGGTGCTGTCCCCGGGGCTCGCGATGTACGCAGAGCAAGGGTGTGGGCATGTGCGCCGATGCCTGCGAGGGGGCAACGCTCTTCTGCGACTTTGGGAAGGGTGTCAAACTGTGCTGCCAGCCCGGCGCGTCCTGCGACTACTCGCAGAGCCTGTGCACGCAGCACAACACAGATTCCGGCGGCGTGTGGACGTCGTCGTTAACGTCTACCCCTTCGGGCGGGACGCCGCTGCCGACGGCACCCGTGTTCAGCAGCACGTCGGATGGGGGCGCTTCATCATCTACCGAGTCAGCGACGACGGAGAGTTCGTCCGCGGCGGGGACACAAACGAGTCAATCAGGCCCGGGTGCAACTAGCTCGTCGGCATCGGCCAGGGACGGGTCAGGAACAAGCGGCGCCGGCGCGACGGCGACGAAGACGCCCAAGGGCAGCGGCAGCGCGATCGTCGTGAGCTGGAGCGCCGGCGTGCTGGCGGTCGTGTTTGGTATCATGGCGGCACTGTAAATGTGGCGCAAGGAGCGTGGTTTAGTCTGGGCAACAGTTGGTGCATAACTGGACGATTGGGGCGAGTGGCGACGGATCTGGGGCGTGCCGGTATATGAAGCATTGCCAAGATTTATGATACCCGTATATGCAGATGGTCGGATAGCGAAGGGAGGAGGTGCAGATTCTAGGCGATAGCCTGCGAACAATACTTAGATCATGAATTGAAGAATAATGCAACATTTATTGGGTCACAAATAGGGGTAAGAATGGATTCTTGACGCATGTTGTATGTTTAGACTCATGTAAGACAATAGATGCAAGACATGCAGACCGTTTGCCGCTGAGCAGCCAATCGCGAAGCTGCCACTGGCTGCTCAAGACAGCCGTGAGGCGTCGAGTAAGGCGCAGCAGGCGTGGCTGAGTGCAGTAGTGGGGAGCGCTGGAACAAGATGTCGTCACGCACTGCACTGGCGTTATACGTAACTCCTTACGTGGAAGAGGCTACCCACGGCCATGATATTTCGAAAGAAAAGCCAAACCGAAGCATGTTCTCATCTCATCCCAGTTTATCAACAACTGTTCAAACCGCGGCCTTTGTGATATTCTCCGTTGATCAAACAACAACATCTTACAAGATAGCCAACCCGCGAATCAAAGCGAGTTGCAGCCCCTGTGGAACCATCGTGGCCGCGGCAACGTCTTTTTTTGGTTCTTTTTATAGCGGCAAGGCAAAGGGGGATCCGCCTTGTCGCACTGCCAACTGAACTGCACCTGGGCTTGGGCTTGGCTTCGCCTAGGCTGACAACGCAAGGCCTTCCTTTCCTCCAAATATTTCTCCGTTTCCTCCGCATCCTTGTCTCTTTTTCATCATTATTCCTCGTCACAACAAAAGACTTCTGCTTCCCCCGTTCTCTTATTCTTCTCGCTCTCGCTCAATCTCCCGTTGAAGCATCACGGCTATATTTTTAATCACCCCCATTCTCCTCCGCCGTTCCCTCGATTCAAGCTCTGCTAGCGGCTCGACGACGACGGCGACGCGGCGACGCCACAGCACCAGCGACAACTCCTACAACGGCTTCACCTCGATTAGCGCCGATCCAGAACGAACCTCTATATTACACGGCGAGAAACGGCCAAGAAAACTCCAACGACCCGTACCTTACTGCTTATCGCAGTCGACAGTGTTTTGTTTGCCTCTTGACGTTGGACGGACGCTGCATCGGAACTGGGCCACCACCAACTCGTCGTTGACACTTTCAGCTGCACGCCATAGCTCCTCCCAACACCACCACAATCATGATTGAGTTCGACCCCGATCGAGTGCCGATCATCAAGCTCGGCCTCCACATTGCCCAGATTGCCCTAGCTTTCATACTCTGGGTACTCGAGATTGTGGTCTTCACAGGAAAGGACTCCAAAGTTGTTGGAAACAATGGCTGGACGTTTGGCGCCGTAAGCAATGCAGCACTCGTAGTTCAAGCCAACGCCTACTAACATACCGTCCACAGTTCTTCATCTCCATCCCGATATGGGTATTCCTCATCATGACGCCGCGCTTCGAGCGCACCCAGCGATTCGCCAACGTGCACGCCATGTTCGCCGTCGACCTGTTCGGCGTCATCCTCTGGCTCTCGGCCTTTGCCACCCAGGCTGCCTACAACACCTCCGGCTTGTGCGGTAACCGATGTGGCATCAGCAAGGGCGTTGTCGCTCTTGGCGTCATTATCACGTACGTCCTCCTCCCCGGCCTTCCCACCGTACCATGCGCTGACCAAACCTGTAGCCTCCTCTTTGCTGGTAGCACTTTTATCAGCGGCTATACCATGACCTACTACAAGTTCCACGGTAACCTGCCCGGCTATAGTAACCGTAAGATTCGCGGCGGTAGCAATGACATCGACCCAGACAAGGAAGCCTTCTCCATGGCGCCCCACGGCGACGAGGCGTATGAGCGCGTCCACATGGACGACCACGAGGACGGCCCCGGTGCGGTGTCCGGCAGCTACAGTAACCGCTACGGCAACGACCCCAACCCCTACAGTGGCGGGCATTACGACGAGGAGGATCCCAACCGATACGGAGCGGTGCCGCCGCGCAACACCAGCGGCGCGTTCTTCGACAGCGAGACTCAGTATCACTCCGGCGGCGGTGCCGGCTCCCCGCCTCCGGTGGCACCCCTCTCCATGCCCTATCGCCCCCCTGCTGTCGATGATGCTCCAGCTCAGTTTCCCAAAGCCAACTATCAACTATGAACAAGGTGATCGGTAATTAGCTGCTGACGGGGCTGAGCAACTTGAATTGCGCTGATTGGCAGCATTGGCCTTTTCAACGTAGGCCTCGAAACATTTGGTACGACGGGACGGAACAGCATCATTGCACTTTTGAGCGGCGTTTAAAGGGGACTATACAGGCTTTCGTCGATTGCGGCGCCCTGGTCAGATGAGATGGTCTTTGCATTGTCAATACATGTGGAGAGATACTAAACTCCGGTCCGCGTACGACGGACGGTACATAAGACTCTTTGGATTAGGACTAGACATTTGCATTCTTTTGAACCAGGAGACGTAAATGGCACATTCATATAAATTTTTCTACTGACATCCTCGATTTCAACCATATACATGCTTACAAAATGGTCTCTTCTCCCGAAGTTTTAATGCATAAGTGATGAGCAAACTCCTTGAAACGCCTGCTTTTGATGAAAGGACCCGAAAAATGCGGTGCATACCCAAATTATCACCTTCCCCGTAATTAGCACTGGCTCTTTACGCATTCAGCTTCTTGAGCCTGCGCGCAATATCCGCCGCTGTCTGCTGCATCGGGTTGAGCTTTGGGTCCCTGGCCATGGCGCGCGTGTCGTCGCCGTGCCGGGCGACCAGCCGCGAGAGCCACTCGGCCTCGCGCTCGCTGAGGTGCCTGGCCTTCTTGGGCGCCGGGTTGCGCGCCTGCTCCACGAGCTCCCGCACCACGTCCGTCGTGCCCTCGTCGACGTCGACGATGCCGCCCCACTCCTCGTGCTCCTCCCGGCTCTTCCTGTTCTTGACGTAGCCGCCGCCGTCGAGCTCCGTGACGACCTGGTCGCCGTCCTCATCGTCCTCGTCGAGGTGGCGCAGGGGGTCCTTGAGGGGGTTGTCGTCGCGGACCACGCGGATGATCTTGCCGGAGGCGTCGCGCTCGACGCGCGCCTCGGTGATGACGGCCTTTTCGGTGGTGTCAATCGCGAACGGGTTGCGGGAAACGGCGTCGGCGGCGGAGTGGGCGGCCTGCAGCGCGGCGACGGAGGTCTGGTCGAGGCGGCCCTCGACGCCGCCGGTGGGCGCGCGAAGGCGGGACACGAGGCCCAGACGGCGGTAGTTTTGCGACATGGTGGCTTTCTTGTCCCTGTTTGTTTTTCCCAGTCAGTTGACTGCGGAAAGTGTGGCATTGCAACGAAAGTGGTCGGTGAGTGGTGGAAACGTACCAGTTATCGGCAATGATGTTGTTGCCCCGCGGGTTGAGAATCTTTTTCGTCTTGTTTGACTGGCGCACCGGCATGCGGCCGGAGCGACGCTTCTTCTTTTGTAGTTCACGACCCATTCTGACTGATTGATGTGGTTGGTCTCTCTTTTTTGCTAATCTCTCTGGGATTCGGTAGATAGGAAAACGGCGACTCTCGTTGTTTCTGTCGGAAAAGTTGGTTCGCTGCAGGATGGCCTCTCGATTTTTTTTCTGGACCTGATCTTATCGATAAGCTCCACCGACAGCGAACCAGCTCAACAGTGACTACCCTGTAGTAGCTACGACGTTTATTTACCCTCTCATCAGTAGTTGATTTTTGCATGCAGTCGATGGCTATTGCGAGATGTATGAGTTCGTAGAACGGAGTTCGTAAAAGAGATAATATAATAGCAGAAGGGGGGAAGCTTCTCGAATTGAAATGCGTGGCAGGTCTTGCTAAAGCTTGTGTTCTACCAAGACGGCAAGATTTCTTGCCAATTCAACTGTTGGCTATCTAAGGGCTCTGTTGAAAATTGAGCAAAAGTCTGAATATCAGTAGTTATCGGTACCATTTCACAGAAGTTTGCACTCGATCTTTGCAAACCATATACTCTTTTTTATATAGGAATCTCACTGTATTGGTATCTCTGCGAGATTGATGAATGCGCCTTACGTAAAGCTTGTCAAGTGGGCTATGTTGTTATGTATATGTCTGCAAGTATCATTGTGTCAAGATGCATACTGAACTATATTAAATGAAAATCTCGCGAGATGCAGATTTCACAGACTCTTTTCTAGCTCCATTACTTCACGTGTACCGTCCTCAATAGCCTCGATCTGTGCCTGGTTAAGACGCTTGAGTGGCCGCCGCGGATACCCACCGTAGCCGAAATGAATTTGGATCGCTTGCTTGGTGCCGGCAATTGCGGCCTTGGTAAGCGGCCAGTCGCCGCTGCTCAGGATCCTCTGCAGCGCTTCAGCCTCCTCCCGACGGCCCTGGGCGTACAGGTTCCAGACGCGCGCGCAGACCTTGGGCATGACGTTGGCGCCGCCAGCGATGATGCCGCTGCCGCCGCTCTGCAGCGTCTGCGTGGTGAAGTCGCACATGCCACCAAACGCCATGAAGCCAGAGCCCTCGGCGGCGGGCGTCCGGGCGTCCGCGGCCCGCGCCACGCGCGTCAGCTTGCCCGTGTTGCCGCACGTGAACTTGGCGCCCACGATGTTGGGGTGCTGCGCTAGGCGGACGATGAGGTCGCTGTCCATGTCGATGCCGGAGACCGCACCGGGGTAGTTGTACAGGACGATGGGCAGCGGCGAGGCGTCGGCGACGGCGGAAAAGTAGTCAAAGACGACGCTCTCGTCCGTCTGCGCGCGGTAGTACGATGGCGGGAGGATAAGCGCGTAGTCTGCGCCCTGCGCCGCTGCGAGTGTGCAAAGCTCGATAGTGCCGCGTACGGAGCCTTCGGTGGCGCCGAGGATGATGGGGGCGGAGGGAAAGCCAGCCTCGTCGAGGGCCTCGCGCGTGGCCTGCGTGACGGCAAGCTTCTCCTCGCGCGTGCAGTGAACGGCCTCACCGTTGGAGCCCATGACGACGAGTCCGACAAGACCGTCGCGCAACAGGCGTTGTGCATGCTTTTTGATGGTGGGAATATCGAGGTCTTCGGTCTTGGGGTCGAAGAAGGTCATTGTTGGGGCGTAGATGCCGCATGGTAGGGGGCGGCGTTGGGCGGCCATGGTATGGGGAGGTGAGCTAGCTGTATGAAGGAGATTTAAGACCTTAAATTTTTGAGAAGGAAAAAAGAGTATGTGGTTCTTGTGACGGGGTGCGTCTGCATATATCGGGAACCTGGGCTGCGGGCCACGGCGGGGGTGGGGCCGGTCCCGGTCCCGGTGATTCCAGGCCGGTACCGTGGCCAGATTTGCTGAGATGGAGATGAGTTGACAACGCTGCACAGATTAGATCGGACATCCGCGGAAGAGAAACTAAACTATAGAGGAATTCAAAATCGAAGACTTTGTAATTAATGGCTTTCAATGATTGTTTGTTGTCAATATGCCCATGTATAGACTGTTATTGCTCTTCTGGTGATTCTGGGGGGGGGGGGGGGGGGGGGAGGCCGCTATGAACCGTCGGGACAATGGGGCAGCCAGTTTTTTGAAAAGCGATTGGTAGCTTGAGAACACCGTCATCGGCTGTCAAGTCGAGAATTTGGCAGGAAAGACTCAAAAGTTTGGACGCGCCATTTCTAATGTGCCACAGCTCAATACTCATTCGGCGGCAGTGATGGGCGCTGGGATGCTTCTAAATGGGTAGCAGGTCTAAGATACTGATGATACACACATCTTCTTCAGAACGGCAAGTCAGTAATCTCCAGGGCTACCATTCTTTGATTGAATTTACTCGGAAACCGCGATTGAGCAATAAAACTGGGCGCAACTGCACTGCACTCACTCCCTTTGCTGGCAAGATCCACGATCGTTGCTGGGCATCAACTTTATTAGTGCGGGGTTGTTGGCGGGGGAGGGGTAGACAGCCCATGAAGTCTCTCCTCTTCATTTCGGAACAGCATTTCGCTGCGCATATTTACTGAGTATAACAATCATATCGGAGATCGGCAATTTTCGCCGATATTTACTGCATTAAGCGGCGCTCCGATCATCGCAGCGCCAAACACCTATCCATCACGGTGGACCGGAGCCTATTATCCCTCCAATAACCGGCCGCCATCGCCGGAGCTTCAACCTAATTGCCGTTTGAAGCTCACCGTCCCGCGTTTGCGCCCCAAAACACCAGGATTCAACTGCTGAGTGAGTTAATCCCTCTTATGTCTCTTCTTTCTCATCACAATCCCCAATTTATATTTCGCATCAATCACCAATCCGTGTGCAAGACAATCCCCAGCTACATAGATACTGACTCCAACTGCAGCTTCCTCCCCGCACAACATCGTTCACTATGGCGGCACCTCTCAACGTCCTAATGATTGGTACCGGCGAGTACACCACTGGCTTCGTCGGTACCGGTGGCTCAGCCTCGGACAAGAAGGTCGGTGTTGTCGGCCTCACCCTCTTTGACCTGCGCCGCCGCGGCAAGGTTAACAAGCTCGGCATGGTTGGAGTCAACGGCACAAAGTTCCCCGCCATCCGTAGGTATCCCTTCCCGAACTCTTGCGCATGCGTACCTCCCTTCTTACACATTCCCAGGCCAGCACCTTGATAAGAACATCACCCAGGTCTACAATGGCCTTGACATCTCGTTTGACTCCTTCCCCGCCAATGACCAAAAGGATCCCGACGCCTACAAGGCCGCCATCGACGGCCTCAAGCCCGGTGACGCCATCACCATCTTCACCCCGGACCCGACGCACTTCCCCATCGCTTTGTACGCCATCGAGCGTGGCGTGCACGTCCTCATCACCAAGCCGGCCGTCAAGCTGCTCGACGACCACCAGGAGCTGATCCGGCGCGCCGAGGCCAAGGGCGTTTACGTCTTTATCGAGCACCACAAGCGCTTTGACCCGGCCTACTCTGACGCGCGCTTCAAGGCCAAGACGCTCGGCGACTTCAACTACTGGTACTCGTACATGTCGCAGCCCAAGTACCAGCTCGATACCTTCAAGGCCTGGGCCGGCCGCGAGTCGGACATCTCCTACTACCTCAACAGCCACCACGTCGACATCTGCGACTCCATGGTGCAGGACCGCTACGTGCCCGTCAAGGTGTCGGCGTCGTCGTCCAAGGGCGTCGCCGTCGCCCGCGGCTGCGCCGACGAGACCGAGGACACCATCTCGGTGCTCGTTACCTGGGCTAAGAAGGACGACCCGAGCAAGCGCGCCGTCGGCGTGTACACCGCGTCCTGGACGGCTCCGGAGCGCGCAGGCGTCCATACCAACCAGTACTTCCACTACCTGGCCGCCGACGGCGAGATCCGCGTGGACCAGGCGCACCGCGGCTACGACGTCGCCGACGACAGCGCCGGACAGCTGCAGTGGTTCAACCCCTTCTACATGCGCTACGCGCCCGACGAGGACGGCAACTTCAACGGCCAGACGGGCTATGGCTACATCTCGATTGAGAAGTTTGTTGACGGCTGCCGTGCCGTTAACGAGGGACGCCTGACGCCCGCGGACCTCGATGCCAAGGGCCTGCCGACGCTGCGCAACACGATTGCAACGACGGCGATCCTGCATGCCGGCCGCAAAAGTATCGATGAGGGCCGCGAGGTTGAGATTGTGGTGGAGAATGGTGTCTGGAAGCTGGTCTAAGTCAAGTTTGAGGCTGGTAAGGGTGTCATGTGAAGTTTGGAAATTGCATCTTGTGAGCTCTAAAAGATTGAAAGATATCCTAGTTACATATAACAGAATAATCTAAATTGTACGAGAATTAACGTTGACAAGTTGAATGCTTGGGCGTACTTTATCTTCCAAGTGGGGCAACCTTGGAGTGAGAAGCTTCATCACTGTTCCCAAGCCCAAGTTTGTCAACATCATCTCTCACTGTCCTACAAGTCAAGAGTCCGCGTGCTTAAAACACTTGCTAGACTTGGTCTTGTTTTCGAATTAAGATTTCTCGAATTTCGCTCGCATAGAAGCAATACTGAGATCATCACGCATTCCTCGCCCACTTGATTTCAACTCCTCAACCCCTCGCTATGGACTCGGGACCGGACGCGACGTCCACCGGGCGGACGGCTGGCATTCACCACTCTGATATTTTGTTTTCGAGCAATCAGCAAATGTCCATGTCGGCGCTCATGTCTGGGCTGAAGCGCACCACACTCACCGTACACAACCGCCTACGGTCGATTCAGGCGGATGCCGAGTTTGTTGCGCGAGCGGCTAGCGCGTTTGGCGGGGCTGGGCGCGTGGAGGGGGGCGGCTCTGCAACCGAGACCAAAGGTTTCAGACGACCTCTGATTGCGAACGAGCGCTGCGGCAGCTGGTATGTGCCGCCAGAGACCAAAGGCGGCAGCGCCTACTTCAAGAGCACCGACGGTCATGAGCGGGCATGGAAGTTTAGCACGCGGAGACTGAACCTCCACATTGTTGAACTTGCTGAGAAGCATGATGGGTACGTTACATATTGTAAAAAAAGATTGAGAGAAATTACTAGGCTCACGCGAAGCTAACACGGAATCAAGAGTAATTATTGTTGATTCTACCCGGCGGGGGAAGCGGATGCCCGACGCGCTGTCTACCACTATCCCCGTGTGGTGCGCCGTGCTGAACCGCGCGCTGCTCCCAGACCACCCGCTATCACAGGAGCTTTTCCTGCCACCATCGCTGCCGCCGACCACCCACGCGCAAATCACCGCCTTGCTGCCCGGCTTCGTCGCCTCGCTGGTCGCCCTCGCCCTGCCGCTGCCGCGCGGCCTCAGGAAGCCGCTTCGCCCGCTCTGGATCACGCAAGACTCCGCGCTGCCCGGGCCGGACGAGAGCGGTGGTGCGATATTCGAAGACTACCGGCCCGTGATCTGCTGCACGGCGAGCCGCCGCGTCGCGGGCAGCGAGGTGGGGGAAGGCGGCTACATCCAAGGCGCCGGCGACGACACGGAGAACTGGGCGCACGGGCTCACGCCGCCGGTGTTTTGGAGGAACGCCGACCTGCTGCTGGAGACGGCCGAGGGCGAGCTTCCGGCGCTGATACAGCGGCTGGTGGAGGAAGAGCAGGCCGCGCGCGTTCCGACGGGCAGCGAGGCGTACACGCAGCTCGCGCCCGGCATCTACGTGTGTCCGACCTCGGCTTTGACGGCCCCGGCTCCAGACGGCGAGTGCCACGTGCAGCTGCCTCCGTCAACGTCGCCAAAGGAGTCGTGGGTGCAAGGCCCGCGGTGCATCCGGGTCGGGCTCGGCAATAGCAAGGCCGGGAGCCGCAACCTGCGCCTCGCCCTGCCGGACATTTGCGCGTTCGTGCGCAGATACGTGAGAGATGATGCGCCGGCGGGCAGCGAGAAGAAAATAGTCGTGTCGTGCGACTCGGGAAAGGACTTTTCTGTCGGCACCGCGCTGGCGCTGTCGTGTGTGCTCCTCGACGACGCCGGGGCGCCGCGGGAGGAGGGCGGCGGCGCGCAGGTCAACTTCACGAAGACGCTGGTCAAGAGCAGGCTGGGCGGCTTCATGACGACCTTTCCGGCGGCGAATCCAAGCCGGGCTACGTTGCAGAGCGTGAACAGCTTTCTGATGGATTGGAGGAATTAGATGCCCGGTAACTTGTGGGTTGGCAATTTGGCGGACAGGGGCGGGCACGGACATGGAACGTTTTACAGGCCGCAAGGTTCAAACAAAATATTGTTGCTGTCGTAATGTCTTGTCATGTCCCTCTATGAGGTTGCCTCTATACTTGCCCGTGGTCGTCTAGTTAGACGGCGCCGCTGGAAATCTTCTCCAGGGCCGCCGGGAACTCGGACCAGTCGCGCATGATGACGACCGCGCCAGCCTCCGTCAGGATCTTCTCCATCTCCGGCTTGTGCGCGTCCTCGTACGGGCCGACGTAGCCGACAACCTTGATGCCCGCGCGCGTGCCGCTGAGCGTGCCGCTCTTGCTGTCCTCGATGGCGACGCTCTGCTCCGCGGTGCGGCCCAGCTTCTTCAGCGCGTGCAGGTAGATGGCCGGGTCCGGCTTGCTGGTGGGCTTGTCGAGCGAGGTGGCGGCGGAGAAGACGACGTCGCCGGGGAAGTACTTGTCCTGGCCGACCTTTTCGATGGAGGCGCGGACGCGGCGCAGCGCCGACGACGAGACGACGGCCATGAGGTACTTGTTGGAGGCGGCGACGGCCTCGAGCTGGGCGTCGACGCCGGGGCAGGGCCGGAGGGCGGCGCGCAGCTTGGCGATGACGGCGTCCTCCTCCATGGTGACGTACCGCTCCATGTCGGCGTCGGAGATTTGGATCCCGTGGCGCGCCTGCAGGGAGGTGAGCATGCCGCGGAAGTTTTGGCCGACGAATTCCTTGATGAGGGTCTCGCCTGTGAAGCGCAGGTCGACGCCGCGCTCGACGTTGATCTGGTTGATGAGGTCGGCGCAGGCCTCGAAGGCTAGCTCCTCGGAGAGGACGAGGGTGTTGTCGCAGTCGAAGAGGAGGGTGTTGATCTGGTAGTAAGGTGTGGTTAGCGAGGCTCGTCAGATTTGCGATACGGGAGCTGGTACTTCAGGCATCTTGACGGATAAATTGGTTGCGTAAGCAGGATAACCGTTGTGATGTTTTGACGGATGATGATGGAGGAGCTTTGGCGGGGTAATCTAGCGAGGCTCAGCTGGCTCGCGATGGCGGCGATCTAGTTAGTATAAACGCCGCGTTAGCTGGAATGAAAGATGATCACAAGGCTAAAGATACGGAAAAGAAAGTATTGCGGCGCACCCTGGGGAGTTTATTCGGGATATAAAATGAAGAAAAGTTATGCTGAGGGATAAAGGTTTAATTGCCCCAGGAACCAAGCAATCTCGATGACGAAAGAGGCGCTGCAGAAGGCCCCGTTGAGCCGATAACTGCCTCTAGCAGTCCCACGTTTAGCTGCCACCCCACTGTAACATTTCTGGCACGTATCATTCGGTAACTAAATGCCTGAAAGGTCTGGTTTCCATGCCAAAAATCGGGCCGAAGTGCTTCATGTGAATACTGGCTTGAATTGAGAGATGCAGAATAGACAACCACGAATTTAGTATGTGCTGTTGCCGGGCTTGCGCACATAGTGTCGCGTTACCAGTTCAAAAGATGGAACCCACCCACCTTGTTACTGGTAGCTTATTTGGCCTTATGTTCGGCACATAGTTACTACCTGTTTTTATTATTTACTCTTTATTAATACTTTCTTTAAATTATCCTATAATTTCTAAGAAAACTATTATTAAGCTTTAAAATTTATTTATTTTATTAACAAAATATTATTTATATAAATTAAACTTATTAAAATATCTAAAGTTTTTATATTAATTTTTTAATATTTTTAATAAAAGAAAGAGGAGGGGAGGGGATAAAGAAGTCTAATATAGTAGAATAATAAGTCTTAATTCTATTATATAATCTTATTATATAATTTATAAAGTTATTATCTAGTTATATAAATAGTAGCAGCTTAGCTAATGTGCGACCGTAGGCTGCCCTTTAGCCAGCCCCTGCGATCCTGGCAAATCCGAACAATGTGCCCCAGAACGGGAATGCATGTCGATTGCGACAAAGGCAACGACCCGAGGGCTGATGCGTCGCCCTTTTGTGAGGTTACGGAAGCGAGTTTCCACAGGGGTGCCCCTGGCCCCGGCCCCAATGATAATATCTACGCAGCAGGGTATGTGCGGGGTTTAGCGACTTCTGTGGTTCCGAGGAATAGCTGCTTGTTTCAACCAGCAAGGGATCATAAACTTGAGCTGTGAGCTTCCTGGACACTCGTCCCGGATCTCACCAGTCGGCCTCCTTTCAAGGGACCTCGTCACGGCCAATCTTAGATGTTCATTTACCAGTGGGGCAGACAAAATGAAATGAAGACATAACCTTAAAAACTTTTTTGTTCATTTTTTATTTGTGCTCGAACAACATGAATTCAACGGCAAGCCCTCGCATCTGCGTAACAGGCAGAGGAAACCCGTTAGGAAAAAACTCGGCCCAGAGCGGACAAATCCCAGCATGCAATCATACATGGCACCTGAAAGAGCTAAGCACGTCGTTAAAAGATGCAGGAACATTCTGCGGCCCGGGTCTGTTCGATCTGAAGGAGCGCCCTGCGCAGTTATAGTCCCTGCTCTTTGTTAGGTGATTGCCGTTCTATGTGAATTGGCCGAACTTACTGATAGTAGTTGCAATTTCCGCAACCCGCCGCCTGGTCAAATGAGGAAACCATGTCATTCCAAGACGCCGGAAAATTATCTGTGCACATTAGCAAATCAGCAGCCTTGCTGGCGTAGGGGGACGACGGTCTGTCCTCGCCGTGTTCGCGGCTGGGAGAGATTTGACGTACGGCATCCAGCAGGACAGTTCATTCTAAAACATGGTCCTTCCAGGCCATAGTCTCTGCAGAAAAAGACGCCAGGGGCCAGCGACTGAGCCTCCTGCGCACTGATGGCCGTCACAAACAGGGAGAGTAGAACCGCAGCAGACTTCATTTTTTTCAGTTCAGACTTGTGGATGTGCTGTTGTGAATCTGGGAGGCAAGGGCTTGCAAGACGGGCACTGGGCTGCAATTTATATTCAAGACAGTACGAATGCTTTACTGTGCCGCGCGAATTCGACTGCCGCAAGAGTATACCGGAGAACCTGATCGAATGATGATCCCCTCTCGCTCCAATACCTGCATGTTCTAGACATGGCTTGAACGGAGGATTGTTTTCTTTGCGTTTGACAAAGGCTATCCGAGACAAACATTCCGTGCCCGACAATGGGTCCAAATGCAAGGCAGGAAGGCTATTAAACAGCTCACCTGCAGGGTCTTTGTTCCACCGTCTCCAGAAAGACCATGCGACATTAGCATTTCAGCTACCGGGAGCTTCAACCGCATTTCAGCTACCGAGAGCTTCAACCGTTCATATACAACAGGCAGGGTAGCAAGGTCTGGCTTCAGCCAGCCACAGGAGAAGTACCGCCTGCACGCCAGAAACCTGTAGTAGCCTGCAGTGTCACTCGTCCCCCCTTGGGCCCCGGCCGGCCACAGAACTTCGGCAGCAGTGCCACGTCTGGATTTTGTAGGCTGTACCGCAGCCGGAACTAGGGATGCCGCCTATATGGGACGGCGATCTGCAGGCAGAGACGGGCGAGGGCCCGAGACACACAGAAGAAGACGCGGGGCGTATGCTGCGACATCCTAGTGACTTGTTTATTAGAGTCGGGTATCCATAGAGAGCCTGCATGACTGTGTTGTAGCGTGCACAGCTACGACTCAGGCATCGTGGAGTACACTTGGCGTGTCGCTCCCCAGGACCGTCAGGTGCTACATCGCTGCGGGTAGCTGCTGTAAACTCGTGTTCAATTCATCAATTACCGCAGTTGCAGTATAAACCTCCGGAGTAGTCGGTCAGGTGAGACGTCTGCCAAATGTTGGGCTCATGTCTTCCTTGCGTGGGGGATAGGCGACATGACGCTCGAGTGCATGTTTGCGTTGCGAGCCACAAACACCCTGTTCCTGGACTTTAAAGTTTTTCAGCTAATCTGCAGAGGGGTAGGATTACATGCGTGATGAGGCTGCAGCCAGCGGCCCGCTATGATGCAGTTGCGTGTCTTAGACAACTTGACGGCCCAAATGGGGGCGAGTTTGTAGAACGCCATGCTTCCTCCGGCCCACGGCAGCGGCCGGTCGCACGACCCCAGTGTACGGCGAGACCCCAGCTGGACGGGATGCATCGACGTTCGCAGGCGGCTGATTGGCCGACAGTCGTAGTCAGTGAAAAGGTGGCGCTGTCTCACAAATACAGAGAACCATAGGCAGGCGTCGCAGACGTGTAGCTGATTCGTATAGCACACAAGTAGCGCCGGGAGCGTAGATGACACGGCGTTGAGCGCGTCGCCTACCTTGCGACTTCATCAGTCCGCTTAATAGACCTTTCCACGATTACGCCAGCTTAAAGCCTCCTACGCCGTAGTTAAACATCTAAGATAGGAGACTTTAAGAAGAAAGATATATTAGTATATTAAAACTTAGAGAGAATATACTTTCTTCTTTCTAGAACTATTAAATAGATTAGACTAGAAACTAAATTTAAAAATAGTACTATATTATAGTTTCTTTATTATACTAGAAAAATTATATAAAAAAACTTTAAATATTTTAATTTATTTAATTTATTTAAATAATATTTATTTTTATAATTAATTTCTTATAAAAGTTTATAAAATTATAAAACTATAAAATAAAATATTAATATTAAAAGTAGTATTTTTTAAAAATCTTTATATTTTATTAAAAGTCTCTATTAATTATAATAAATTAAATAAATAAATAAATAATACCCTCTTAATAAAGAAATAAGTACACTAGAATTCTATATTCATTATTAATACTATCGTGACTGCTTGATTCTAACGTAGTAGTTGTGTTCAACTGAGACCAGGCGAACTGTATCTAGTGCCATATTTCAGGTATGTGTCTAGAAGAGCCTTGATCTGCAAATGAGGAATGTTTGTGGGTGGCTGAACTAAATACAGCATTAAAGTAGGGGTTCAGTTATGTAGGTTGATCTGCTGGAAAACTATTACAAATTGCATATTTTGTTTCAGAATTTCAGCGTATATAGAAATACTTTCTTCAAGCCGTCAGATCGCAGTTGTAAAAGCTGATACTGCCCAAAAAGCATTCGAGCCATTCAAAGAAGGTCACACATTATAGCGCTATCTCTGTCTTTAAAGACGAGGGATGCTAGTATCTCTAGCTCGACGACGGTCTGCTAATATTGCGCCTTCGAGCTCTAACATATTCACTATTTGCGCCTATCCGTAAATAGAGCGTTGTTTTTATGCGGCACATCGTCTAGATTCCAGCATTGAACCGCACTTGAATTCGTCAGAATATGATCCCATTCAACGCTAACCGCGGGCAGCATTTGGCGGGTCGGCGCATTACTCAAAGTGACTGAAGTCTGCTATTTGGATGATTAGAGTATTCTAACGCTATTTGGGGCTATATAACTTCACTGTGACTGACCGAGAGTGAACATGCAAGTCTTAGACAAAGCGTCACATTACATTGGGCGTTTGTGTAATTAGAGTCATGTTTTGACGGTGGTGGCATAATGATGCCACGGAGAAATCCTTCTGCAAAAGGCCCTTCAGCCGAGGCCGGCGATGTCCCGAAGTGCCTTTCTCTAACGGTTTCCTGTGTGATAGTAGGAAATTTGATGAAGGAGTACTTGGTGTCTTAGACGGTTGACACCGGCACATCTACTTGTCTGGCCACAGATCCGCGGAGAAGCTGCTAACGGCCATAGTCGCACAGAGAGCGGTCCCGTCGTTGGTTGAACTGGTTACAGTCTCAATGAACCATGGACGATCTCCATGTTCTCGTTGCCCAAATCCACACCTTGTTTTGCAACCCAACGGCGTGAAGCTAAAGGCTCTCCATTTCGGTTTTAAGGCAGCACTACGATGTGCGACTGAGGCACCGCTGGCAAGTACTTAAATAAATGGGACATTTTATCCAAAGACTCTCAACCCAGAAAACGCTTTTCAGTAAGCTAGCATTCCACTTGACTCCCATCTTAGTACATCCCTTACATGCCATCCGTACAAATGAAGCTCACATACCTCCCACTTTACACCATCGCTTGTGCTTTGCCCACCAACGATGCCATTGTCAACTTTTACTCGGACGGTCACTGCGCCCATATTGTCGGATGCCGTAATATCTGAGACAACACTTGCGCACCCGACAACCCCGCGTTCAACTCCACTACGACTGGCGGCGGGGGCTAGAGACTTTGGACATATGATTATCACTGGGGTTGTCCGCAGGGGTCGGTAACTGGTTGCCTTACCACGGAGACAGCGGGTAAATGTTTTCGAACGAAGGGGACTAGTTATTCCGTCGGGTCTTGGTGGCTGCCAACTTCATGTTAAACTTAAGCTATCCGGTTAAGCCAAGTTCAAATCGCCCATTTCAAACAAGCGCAGCATACTGGTGTCTAAGAGGTAACAGCAACCATCATACTACTGCCTGTGAAGTATTACGCTTAGCACTATACTAGGGTGTTTTTTGCCCTATCCGACCAGGTAGGCTCAGTAGAATCAGCTATACTCCCACTAATAAAATTTCACCCATAGGAAGAAAATCTGCCCTACTATCCTGCCTATCCCTTCACCACCTGCAGCTAAGATATAATATATATATATATATATATATATATATATAATAACATTACTATAATAATAATTTTATTTAATATAGTTAATAATTATATTAGATAGATAAATAAGCTAGCTACTCTACTTTTATACTTAAAAGTAATTTTTAAAAGGTTAATAAATCTATCATCTCGTCAAACTGGAGATAGTCGTTCTTGGCTTCGAAAAAATTTCTAGCTCTATGGCTTTGCGCATATCAGGCGTCAGGTGGGGGTTCCGCTCGGGCGTCGCGGCAAAGTGCGGCGCGGTGACCGCGGTGCTGAAGTCGCTGATCCGGCAGCCCAACAATTGCCGGGCCGCGACGTCGATCCTTATGATGCCGAGCTGCTGCAGCTTCTTCACGTCAACAAGCAACTTCTCCGCGTCGGTCTGCCGGAACTCGTGCTCCTCACCGGGAGGCGCGTACTCCTTGACGATGCCCGGATCGGCGGTGGCCGTCCGTCCCGCCCCAGGAAGCGCTCCCGGTATGGGGCTTCCTCGCAGACAGCCCCAGGAAAATTTACGTTACTGTTTAACTCCATACATTCATCAAGTTGGGCGTGCAGCTTCCGCTCGTGTTCCTCGTCTAGCAGGACATAGCCGAAGCAGCCGATTGCAAGATCCTCGTGCCCAGCCTCTTTGAGCCTGGCAAAGGCGCGGCACTCGCAGTTGGACTCGTCGTACTCGTAAAAGGCTCTCATCATTTCCCAGTCTTTTCGGCCCATATAATAGTGGGGGTTCATCCAGTCCTCGTCTAAGCAAAAGCGGAACTACACGATACAGCCGGGTCAGCGATGCTGCCTGCCAGGAGGGAGAGAGGGTGCACATACCAGTTTCAGTGCGTATATCTTACTGCAAATCCGCACCTTCACGACGTGTTCATGGAGCCCTTCGCCAATGTACTCGAGAAACTCAATCTTTTACAGACCGTGGAAGTCGAACGGCTCCAGCTTGGGGCCATCGCAATTGCGCAGCGGCACAAGATCATCGCTCGAGCGCGGCCAGTCGGGAAACACGCTTCCCAACATCACGAACAGCGGTAACAGAGTGCGAGGGCAGAAAAGGGAAAAGTTTCGGTGAAGTGTGGTGGCTCGGGAAGCAACCTTGGACTATTAGGTGAACTCGAGATAGGCGAGTAGATGGATTGCATTGGAAGGGACCCTCGGCGAGCCACGGCTTTTATAACTAGAAAACCGTGGCGGGCGCAAGTATTAGCGCTCGCATTCACGGGTACAATAAGGCGTGCCATCTTGATGCCGTTTGTCGTCTTGGTACTATATTGTGAAGGTCTGTTCGACCCTCGTGGGACGACGACGCGCATTTCGTGCAACTTTCTTAGTCATCAAGCCACGGGCATGCCACCAGTGCTATAAACCACCAGTTGTCCCAATCAACAACGGCCCCTAACAAAGTGCAAGACTCAAAAAAGGCTAGCCCAAAAAATCAATAATGATAATGGCTAAACGTATAACATCTGTTACATTCAAGTGCAGAGAGTAGGGAATACTGTTGACATGATACTTGCGAAGCCACCCAGCAAACTAAATCACAGTTGCACCAGCGGTAGTCTATTCTTATTGGGTATCTGTTAAGCGCCACAAGCCACAAAGCCACAAAGCCACAGCGGTAGTGGCGTCGGCCAGGAGTTGTAACTTGTTCACTTCTTTTTCCTCGTGCTTTGCCCAATTATTATGAAAGAAATAACACGTTAAAAACCATTAGCCTACGTAGCGGTAAAACATCCAAGTTCTTGTTTCAGACGCAAGTATTCGGCTTGTGAGCCTCGTAAGTAACCATGGATCGTGCCACCAATCATAGCCGCGCTTTCTGACAACCAGCTTGGAGATATTAACCATGTAAGTATTTAAAAATCAATCAACTACAAATTTGCGTCTTCAAAAATATGTATTTAGGATCTAAGTCTTCAAAAACCATTCAACTAGAAACATAACCAAAATACATGGATATCTTGTGAAAATACTAAAGCCAGTCCGTAGTTCTTTTATTCCCATGGCGTGTCACTCATCTCCTGCACGCCCACCAGACCAATCCCTGGCCTACATACACTCCACGAGGACCATCCAGTTGCCTGCATGAAGCGGCCATGCCCAAGTCGCGACTCTAGAAAATCGGGACCGTGACGTCGACGGAATAGTCCACATTCTCCTCGTACGTCTCGATGCGGTCCGTCTTGGTGTTGAAGAGGGTGTCCCAGAAGCGCGTTTGCTTGCCGTAGTTGTGGCTCTTCTTCCAGCCGGTGCGGTGGTGCAGGTCGTGGTCCTCGATGGCGAGGTCCATGTTGAAATAACGCAGGAACGGCCCCGCGGTGAGCGCCGGCGAGCCGCGGATGCGCAGGCCGCTGTGGCCGAAGAGCTCGATGAAGATGACGTACTCGTAGCAGATCCAGGTCTCGTAGAAGCCCATCGGCAGGCCCATCAGGCGGCAGCTGGCGAAGGCGAGCACGGGGATGACGACGATGTCGAAAAGCTCCTGCCAGCCGTCGGCGTAGAGCGCGAGCAGCGTGTTGGGGTGCTTGGTGAGGTGGTGCGTGCGGTGGAACTGCCAGAGCCAGGGGATGTCATGCATCGCCCGGTGGTACCAGTAGAACCAGAAGTCGACCATGAGCGGGTACATGGTGAGCTCGACGAGGAGCCAGGCCAGCGGCCAGCCGAGCAGCGAGTCGGGCGTCAGGTTGCCGTCCCAGGCGAGGCCCATGGCCATGGCCGGCCGCAGCGTCGAGGTGAGGAGCAGCGAGGTGACGACCTCGCGCACGCGCACGTCGGGGATGCCGTCGCGTGCGTGCTTGTCGCCGTCGAGGTAGCCGTAGACCTGCCCGAGCCGCCGGATCACCTGGATCTCGCGGATTGCCGTCAGATTGAGCCAGGCGCCGTACAGCGCGAGCGCCCAGCCCAAGGTCAGGTTCTGCCCCGTGTACCGGTAGTAGGCGTAGTGAAGCAGCATGGGCACCGCCGCGTAGGACAGCACCCACCGGTGGATGTGCCGGGCGTTGGAGTTGGGCACCTTGTCCGTCTTGGCGAAGACGGGGATGGGCTTACCGAGCTCCTCGGGGTGGACGGACAGGATCTCAAAGAACCAGTGCCATACCGACCAGGTCTTCTTGTCGGCGCTTTGCCATGTCGCCTTGATGGAGTCTTTGGGGTTGCGTTCCACGGCGGTGGCCGTCGTCACGGTCTTTGTCGACATTGTGGCGACTCTAGGTAGAGAGGTGTGATCCAAGTAGAGGAATAGATGACAGTGTATGGTTGCCGGTATGTTGTGAAGGCGTTAATGGGGTGAGATGGAGAGGGTCGTCAACCTTTCTAGATGCTCACAATATGATGTATTGTTCAAGTTGAGGAGATGAAGTCTATTTACACAATGCGGCGTGATAGTTAAATCAGTGGGGTCATTGTTCCCATTCACATGCAAAACCCCAGAAAGTGCCTGAAACTGGTTGGGGCGGAAGAGCATGGGGGGGTCGTGTAATCAGGTCCTTTCCCCGCTTCAAATCCTGTTGCTGGTGACAAGGCCACATATGATTTGATGCGCGTTGGCTTACATGGAGGTTTACGTCAGGAACCCGAGCCCCTCCCAGGGATTACGTGGCTGTTGATTCACTATAAAGAATGCAAGTGTGACCAGAGTATGGGGTTTCTCTCGCATGAGCCCCTCTCCCAACATATCATCTCTTGCAATACTCGACATGTGAGAATGCATGTGCTTTTACCCAACCCCTCAGTGATGCTGATGATGGGAAGCGGAGACGGGTCAACTCTGAGCTCCTTTCCAGAAGACCAGGCTTTTCACGCACTGCCAGTCTCTGAGGCATGCTCGCAAGATTTCTTAAAATTCAACAGAGTCGACGGTTTTTTCTTGGAAACAAGTTCTTAATCCAATAAGTTTGCCACACATGCTGTTCAATGGCGCAGCGCTGTCCTTGGTACCCCCAACCCTGCATCGAATGGAGGTGCATCGACTCTATGCCTCTTTGGTAGTGGAATTGCCTCATTGGGCGACAATGAGGGGTAAGACAAGTGTGAGCCTCGGCAAAAAGTCAAACTAACATGGAGGAGGCATTGCCGGGTGGGTGGGCCACCAGCACGCCACGTCACGATGTCAGCCCTGTGAGGTGTTGCTCAGGTGTTTTGCACTCGAGGATTTCATGACTTGGTTGGTGCTGTTGGAAGTTGACACTATCACAGGGCTGAACATGCAACGCTCACCAAGGTTCTTGGACCAAGTGGCGCGTTCCTGTAATGCGTATGCGTGTATGTGCATGTAAGCGCGCATGTGCTTGCGTGTTGTTCAGTGTCTTTGTTTCAACTTCTCTTCCCAATATTCCTTTATCAATCACTGATCAGACTCTGTGGCGTAACCTTTTCTGTCACGTTACTTGTACTATGGCCATCCTTTAGTGAACGGGGTGATGGCCATCCAAAAACTAACTCAAAAGTTAAAAATCCGGGCTCATGGCAACAATTTGCGTACACTCGAGGCGCGGTTATAAATTCATTTGACGGAATATTTTTCACCAAAAAAGGGAAAAAAAAGTCGAAAAAAAAGGAACCTCTGCCTGTTGACGAAATGTCCAAAACTCAATAGCCAACTATAGGGTACCACTGAATCGCCGAGTTGTCTCAAGTCTCAACAGTACCGCCTGTCTACACGATCTACATGATGCTCCTCCCTCCGGGCATCTGCCGTTCTTGAGGACTGTAGCGCTTGCTTGCTCTTCTCCCATAGAATGGTGCCTAGTAATTAATTGGTCAGCTATCTCAGGTTGGCTATCGCAGCCCAGGTTAACTATTCCGTCCATTCCGGTGAAGAGGTACTGAAAATGTGGAGAAACCATCTATTTGCATCCAGCCACAGTGACGTCTTGCCGTTGGTTTTCGGCACGATTATCTAAGTCAACTTATTAATGCACAGCCACTTGGCTGAATCTCGACGCCCTTGCCATCAGCCCTGTAATGCCGTCAAACCACAACGATATGCAGGGGCCTTGATGAAATGCAAGGCACAAGCTTCACTCGAACAAAAGGAACAGGGATGAGAGAGAGACGTGCCCTTGCAGGACGTTTGACGTTTCCGGCCAAGCGGCACACCGAGCCCGGGACCACAGAATGAAATGCTGTGCTTGACCGTAGCCAAAACGGTCGAAAATGGCGCCGATCGCCTCGATTCGCAAGGAGCATCCGATGCCCGATCGCTGCTGCTCCTTCACTTCGGATGGTAGGCCAGCGAAAAATGAATGACAACGTCCGAAACTTAAAAACGTCGCAAACGACCGCGACGAAGAACCAGCGACTGCTGGTATGACGGCGGCCCCGTCTCCCTGCAACTACATCATCTCGATCTCTTGCTGCGTCATAAGTGCCGGTATCGAAACTCTGTTTCCATCCAAAGACTACGACTTCAGCTGGGTTCTCATCCTCGCTTGGGCCGTGATGGACGCTGGTGATTGGAGGGCTACGAAAAGCTTTGTCTCCACGAGCGTGGAATCCGTCGTTCGATCGGGTTACAAGCCGGGCTTAGTCGCGAGGATATGGGCGGCGAGTCGTGCTGAGAACACCGGCTGAACCCAGGCTTATGGTGATGATCAACTCGTAGCTAGCCTTGTGTGGGGAAGTGGCCAAGAGAATGGATGGATGGATGGATGGATGCCAGGGTTGAGCTCTGGGTGGTAGCTGATGCTTTCAGCTTGGTGCAATGTGTGACGTTATCCAAAGATTCAGAAACGATGATGCAAAGGTTCTGCTCGTCAGGGAGCATTTTCAGTATAAAGGTTCATCTTGTTCTCACCGGGCATAGACTTTGACTTTATCCATTCATCATCACAACATACCCAATCTCAAGAATTAAACATCAACAAGACAAAATCTATCACCATGGATAAAGCTAAGAAGGCCGTTGCCAACTTCCTGTCCAAGGACGGCAAGCACGACACCACCATTGACCAAGATGTTCGTAACCCTGTTGTCAAGGAGCAGGTCCGCCCTCAGCGACACGAAGAGGTCGTGACGGCGATCGATCAAGAGATCCATCAAGACCATCACCAGACTGTCGTGCAGCCTCTGAGCGTCAAGGAGACCCTGTAAGTCCACTCCTCACCACGTCCTCCTCATACGAGCCCGACTGACCCGAGACCAACAGCCCCGAGAAGCACACGTACAACTTGGTCGGCGTCAATGAAAAGAGCGTCAACCACGCCGACGCGGCCGGCACCAAGGCCGCCCTTCAGCAGGACGCCGCACAATACACCAGCGAGCGCACCGTCGGCGCCACGGAGCACAGCACCGCTACCGGCGCCGCCGTCACCGGCCAGCGCACCCACCACCACGTCCACCACCACGTGCAGCCCGTCATCCAGAAGGAGACGATCCAGCCCGAGGTCGTCCACACCACCGTGCCCGTCCACGAGGTGCACCAGGCCGCGCCCATCCACCACGAGACCACCATCCTGCCCATCAAGACCATGGACGAGTTCTTGGCCAGTAGTGGCGGGCAGAAGTTGGGGGCGTCGGCGGAGCCGCGAAAGATTGCCGAGTTTGACGGATGTCCGAGCCTCAAGGACAAGGCGCTCCAGAAGGAGCAGGAAGCGATCCACGGCGGCGGCGGCGGCGGCGGGCTCAAGGACAACAAGGTGGCGTTTGGAACTGGTGGTGTTGAGAGCGGCAAGACAAAGGCCGTCTCCAACAGTGTTGAACATACCACTCAGGCAAAGACTCTTGTCAACGGTCACTAGCTTGGACGCTTGACTGCATGTACGATGGTTATGCTGCGATAGCTGATGCTTTAATTGTATCATTACGACTGATAGCTCAACTGCGTCTAATTCAGAGTGCAAAATGAGTCAACATGATCATGGAGCAGATGCTTGGCTCTTCGAAATGGCGAGAAGCACACGGGGAATCAATTCTTGCCAAGCGCCTTTCCCTACAATCGATTAAGACTCGCGGCAGAGGTGCTGCTCAATCGTATGATGTCACTGCCCGATAAACTTTCCACCTTTCAACCAAGAATGCCAACTCAGAAATCGTTCCTACTCACATAGACACCGTTTAACCAACGGCCGTTGACGGCGCCCCCTCAGGACTATTATGTTACCCATCATCAAGAACGGAGATAGAGCCCCGAGGCAATCAACTGATGTATTAATAAATATATTCGCACCCATGTTTTCAGATGAGCGCTGCAAGGGCGCGTATGTGCACAGTTTCACAGCATGAGACTCTCCAGCATAGGAATGCTCACCCGCATCACCCACACACAACCTCAGCCCGTCTCCCAATTCCATCACCTATCATCAACATAAAACCACCGCATCACCGTATCTCCGTCCTCCGTCCTACAGAAAGTGCACAATGACCGCCTCGCTCGCCTTGACCGGCACGTCCACCGTCCCCCCCGCCACCGTCAGCACATCCCCGTCGTTCCGCACGCCCTTGACCTCCTTGCCGGCGCTCTCCGCCGTCCACTGGCTCCCCGCGTACGTCACCGTCTTGGACCGCGCCGTCGCCCCCTGCGGGCTCGTCAGGTGCACCACGCGCACCCTGTCCACGCCCGCCGGCGCCTGCACGCGCACCCACCGCGCCACCCTCGTGGCCTCCGAGCGGCACTTGCTCCAGTACTGCAGGTTGACGACGGCCGCGCGCCGCGGCACGCCGGCCTCGTACGCCACGTAGGCCGAGATGTTGGGCTCCAGCGGCACGTTCTTGACCTGGACGGTGCGCGCGGTGCCGACCACGTCGGCGACGAACGGCTGCGCGTAGAACCGCGCCAGCACCTCGCCGGTCGCGTCGCCGCCGGAGACGCCGGGAAGCCACAGGCCGCCGCCGGCGCGCAGGTCCTGCTGGATGTGGAAGCGCGAGATGCCCAGCGACAGCCCGTACAGCTGCACGTCGACCTGCCACAGCGCCGCGCCCAGCGTCGCGTCGTCCTTCCACGCGGCCGCGCCGTCACCACCGAGGGCGGTGCCGACCTCCGACAAGACGTACGGGAGGCGCGTGCCGCTACGGCCGGCCAGGAACTCCAAGTCGTCCCTAAACACCTCCAAGCGCGCCGCCACCGCGCCGTGATTCATGAGCCCCGTCTCCAGCCTTGTCTGGCCCTTGTCGCCTGCAGCCGTCTGGTAGTAGTGCCGCGCCACGTCCAGCACCGCATGGTGGTTGTCCAGCCCCTGCTGCAGCACCGACCTCAGGCTCAGCGCGAACACGTCCTGCTGCGCATCGCCGCCCGGGTGCGACGCCGTGTCGAGCGCCTGGAACCTGCGCGTCCCGCGCGGCAGCGCCAGCTCCGCCGCCACCCTGTCGCAGTAGTTGAGGAAGTTGGCCACGTACGTGCCGTTGTTCTGCGCGCCCTGCCACGTCGGCGGGCCCAGGCCGGCCGCAGCCGGGTACCGATCGGGCTCGTGGCCCGGCTCGAAGCTGTGCACGCGGTCTAGGCCGAGGCGCGTCGCCGCGGCCATCGCCCAGCCCGCCGCGTGCGACATGTCCGCGTCCGCCAGCGGCAGCTGCACCACGTACCGCGCGCCGGGGAAGCTGCGGGCCGCCACGTCCCAGTACGCCGGGCCGACGGTCGTGCCGCCCAAGCGCCGGGGGGTGTCGCTAGGCGGCGGCAGAATGAGAGCGCTCTGGTTGGCGACGTACCGCGCGTAGTCGGCGTCGGCGCCGCCGAGGCGGATCAGCGGCGCGCCGCCGGTGCGCGAGGAGACGGCGTCGACCAGGTTCTGCGAGAGCGCGTTGGGGTTTTTGCTGCCGTCGGGGCTGGAGGCGTAGCTGAGGAAGGAGGCCTGGTCAAAGGAAAAGGCGGCGAAGCTGGGGTCGATGTACCGCGACGGGTCGACCTGGATGCGCGGGATCTGCAGAGGGGACGTCTCGTCGCGGGATGCCACTGCGGCGGCTTGGACGCCGATGACGCCGCTCAGCGAGAGCGCGGAGGCCAGCGCAATGGTATATCGAGGCGCCATTGTGCGTTTGCTCATGAAGGAGGAGTTGGGCAGGTGAGCACGCGACAGTAGCAAGTCAAGTGCGGGGGGAGCGAGGGAGGGAAGAATGGGCAATCTTATGAGCCTGTCTGGGGGAATCAACCCTGTCTCGGAAAAAGGTACGGGATGCGGAGAGGGATTGAGGAAGAATCCTACGTGATATTATTAGAAACGAAAGCTAACCACTGCAGGCAGCCTGCTCGTATTTGGGCTGAATCAAGCTGCAGCTCTGGTTGGTGTCGCGTTGCATTCAAAAGTGCAGTTTAATCTAGCTTGTGACTTGGGGTCACGCCGATTGGCTGCCATGAGATTCCGACTTGGCAAAGGCATGTATGTATGTACGTACCCTGACGTGCTTTTGCCAGGTATCGTCGGCTGGCTGTCAGCTTGCATTCATTCCAGTGATTATTAACGCGGTTGGCTAGGAGAATGGAACAGTAGGTTTCTCCAAACTAACTACATACATAGTTAACTAGTACTTCGTAGTTGGCTGTGGACATGTCACGATGTAGCCTCCCGTGCGATAAATCGCCAACTAGGTCAGCTGGCAGCCGAGCTGGCGTGATTTATTTCTGAGACATTACATTTATACTCAATCACATCAATCACATTCAGGGACGATGCTATGGCTCAGTTGCAAGGGGAGCGTTTTTAAATGAGGCCACCATGCGAGGTGGCAGAATCTCCTATGCTAAAAAACAAGAACAAAACCCAAGTCGTTCAAATACCAAACAAAGCCGAGGTACAACATTCGTAGGTATAAACAAGAGAAAATAATGCAACAATGCAGCAATCATCAACCGAAACGCCGTCCGCTTTAGAGATGTCTTTGCATCATCTTTGCTCCACTGTAAATGCCAATCTCCGCTGAATCGCGGCACCCTTAAAGAATCTCCCTGAGCTTGTTCTTCTGCGCTGCTGATAGAGTCGATGGGAAAGTGATCCTGTACCTGATGACAAAGTCGCCCCTCTCACCAGGCTTTTTGCTCAACGGCATCCCCAAATTCGGATACCGGTCCTCGCTGTCAGGCCGCGTGGGTCCGCCTTTCTCGATGCAAAGTTGTTTACCGTCGATTGTCGACACGGTTCGCTTCCACCCCGTCAGCGCCTCCTTGAGACTGAGGGTGATTGTTTGGATGAGGTCGTTGCCGTCCCTCTCGTAGATGAGGTGTGATTTCTGCGTAGGCTGTCAGTAATTGTACAGTACAAAGGGGGACGAGCATCTGGCGACTGATTTCTTACCTCCTCGACGATAAAAACCAAGTCTTGGCGGCCACCTTCAACTTGGTCTCCCACGCCAGCAAATGTAATCTTTGAACCCTTTTTCAGTCCAGCCCTGATGGGCACGTTGAGGATCTTATCCGATTGCACGCGTTTGCCAGTCTCGTCAAAGGTTTTGCGCTTAATCTTCATCTTCTTTTCGACGCCGTTGAAAAGCTCCTCCAGCGTCAATGGCAGCGGCCGTTGTACAGTGGAGATGTCGGGCGTGCGCTCTCGATTTTGGCCGCCTGTGCTGCCCCTATTCTTCTGGCGGCTGGATCTTCCTTGGCTGCCAAACGATTCATACATTGAGGGGAAGCCGTCGGGGCTCATCCCTGGCATGCCGCCCATGCCGCCCATGCCGTCCATGCCGTTGTGGCGCATGAACTCCTGGAAGATGTTTTCAGCGCCCGAGAAGTGATATCCGCGAGGACCGCCGCCGCCGGTTGAGAAGTGAAAGGTGTGGGGTCCTCCTCCGCCACCCATGCCGCCAAAATCAAACCCTGGCGGCACTCCGGTGGCTCCGGGGAAACCTTGGCCACCGGCACCTTCAGGAGGAGGTGCACCGCCTCTCAGCAGGAATTCGAGGCCATAGTCATCGTATATTTTGCGCTTTTCGGGGTCGGAGAGGATCTCGTAGGCTTGGGAGCATTCCTTGAACTTCTCGGCGGCGCCGGGGTCATCCTTGTTCTTGTCGGGATGCCACTTGAGGGCTGCCTTTCTAGAGGGTAAGTTAGCATGCTGCACGGTTTGAGGCGAGGGCGTTGGGCAAGGCAGAAGAGCTAATCGAGCAAATGCGCTGCTGGCAGGGCTCAACGTTGAGCATTTTTTGCTGCCCAAGGTGGAATCTGCTGGATGCAGCATCATCGCCCCGCATTAGCTTTCGCCTGACCAGTTAAACATACCTGTAGCCCTTCTTGATCTCTTCCTGAGTCGCCTCAGGCTTGATACTGAGGCAGTCGTAGAGCTTGGTTTCCTTGACCATGGTGCTTGATGGCGGGAATTTGCACTCCTTGGTTGATGTATTTTTTGTTGAATGAGCCCGAATGTTCTCTGCGATCGTAATGTGGTGCGATAAACTTGGTGAGGGGAGGGACAGAGCTGTCGCTGTCTTTTATGTCATGCAAAGACACGCAGTCCGTGATTGGATTGTGTGAATCCGATTTGATCAGGTGTACCGGATGTCTTTGTTGGTGATGAATGGAGAGGTTGAATGAGGAAGAAGAAGGAGGGAAGCAAGGTGGCAGTGAGGCGCAAAGAAGTCGTCAGTTGTAATAAGTGGGTGAAAGCAGGTGCCGGGCACCACAGGATTGAGTGGACGGATGTGCTTTTTTTAGCGGGCTCGATAGGAGATAGAGGCAGTTGGGCAGGCAATTAAAGGCACACCAAATGCAGGCCAAGGGCACCAAAAAGTTGCACAAAATCATCCCCGGTTGTCAGTTGATGGTGTGGTGTGGTGTACCAAGCAAGTACTGTACTTTGACAGAGAATGCGGCCTTGACCGTTGCGAGTGATTGGCTCATAGCTGCCCTACCCGCTGCGGTAAAAGCGGGGTTGGAAGTCTGTGGAGCCTTCTCGGCCACTCATCGTCACCACTAGAAGATTCGCTGGGCTCCCGCTGACCTGACCGCCAACTAGTGTGGCGATGACGCACTATTATATCGGGATCGACAACCACGAACAAAACATGCAATAAAACAAATGCAGCAAAAAATGTAAGAAATTAAATTGAAAAACCAAGAGAAGTAAACTCGCCATCGGAACTCACAAACCACTTTTAGCGCTCCGATTCTTGTCCAGCTTCCTTCGGCTTCTTCCCCGCCCTGCAACAGCAACCAATCGCTCCCATGTGATGTCATCTGGCGTGTCAGAGGTTCATTCCACGAGCAAATTTTCTGGCAGCTGGACAAATATAAATCGAATGATTGGCTGGATGATGTAGACACATAGATTATCGTGAGGCTCCTATGCCTTGTCAGACCGCGAATATTATTTATACCTTGTGTTGACATAGTCTTTCTTCACACTGGCAAAGTAGATTTATGCACAGATACTAGCGAAAATGCTTCAAAGACCCAAAACCATACTATGTGAATAGAGAACGCTCTAAAATAATAGGTGTGCTCCTCTAAAGCTTTATCAATAACAGTCGTACGACTCAAATCCGCTGCAAAATCACGTCAGCTTTCAAACAACTCTTGACGGAGCAACTTGATCAAACAGAGTCAGGGACCTCCTTCACTAGAGTAGCAAGCCTAGCCTCTAGCGACTGGATTCCATATTCACTGATCTCGAAGCCTAGTTGGGGAAAGGCCACTCTTCTATGTCCTCCGTAGCTGGACCACGCAGAATGGAAGATTTCGGCGCATGAATCAACGTTTATAATTAATACTATGCCGACGCATCCCACTTAAAGCCCCTATCTCACCAGGGGCGCTCACTGCTATACAAATATCTAGCATCATCCACGTCTAACTCTCTTTCTCCAGGCTCGGCATTTCAACATCCCTAACGCTATCCGTCTTCGGGCTCTCTTCCGAATGCCCCTTTACCGAGGCAGCAATGAACGGCTGCAGCGGCGGGAGCTGCTCCATCTCTTGTGGCGGTCCAGGCGCCACCTCACGGTATATTGGTTTCGTTTGCACAAGCTCGAGTTGCGTCCCGTCTCCCGGCCCCATGTCTGCAAATTCTGGTAGGTCATCGGTGGTCACAACGTGTGGCTCATAATTGCCACCTTGGACGCTAAAGCTAGCCGCTTGGTCTTCGAAGGGATTGTCGAATGCGTTGTCGCCGTCGCTACCCAGAGATGCATGATTAGTGTCGAGTGAATCTGGGCTTGACGATCGGTGTTTTCTCTTAGATGGTGAAATAGGGTCCAAGAATTGATATTCTCGCGGTGAGTTTTCTTGTTTGTTGGCCCGCTCCATGTTCAGCTCGTTGCGGAACGTCTTATTGTCCGCTTTGACGAAACGTTCTAGTGGTAAAGTAAGCGGATCATTTGGGATCCTGAGGGCGTCTTCTGTAGCATAAATAATGAGTGGCGTTTTTGTCTCCTGCCAAACCTCTCTCATCACCCGCTCCATTTCGATTTTCTACCAAGGATTAGCACATGGGCAGCTTACAAGACTCGGAGCCTTACCTCAGCCTTGACTGGATGTTCTTCACCCAGAGCATAAGCCAGACGCCACCATTGGTCCCGTTTACTCGCCGAATCTCCTAGATCAACCAAATCTGTCTGCTGCCGTCGACACACGAATATGACATCGCGCTCGGTTGCAACACCACGGAGCAGATATTTCTTGCATGTCATAGGCTGCGGTCGATCTGGCTTGTCCGGGTCCGTCAAAAGTCGGCCAAGACTTCTTTGTTTGGCCTTGAGTCGTGCGAGCTCTGCGTCTAGACCTGTAAGATGTTAGCTGCTGACGTGTTCATCTTCATCGTAATCACGACTCGTACATACCTTCCAAAGCTTTGTCAACGTCTGCCAGTACCCTTTCCACTAGCTTGAGAACATCGCCCACTTTGTCCGCCGCTTGTTGCTGGATTTCTGACGGGCATCCAGGTGCGTCATGGTAATCAGGAAATCTATTTGTATCGAAGCCGGATTGCTGCATACCGGCGAACTGGCCAGCACTTTGCAGATATTTCTCGAACACTTTCCAGTGTTCGACAGCCTTTTCCATCTTGGCTTTCTTATTAAACGAGATCTGATTGAAATCGTCTCGCCATTCGCGTACCTCTTTCTCCTCTCGCGCAATTCTCATCATGGCGAGTTTCGTCTCACACCAGGCCGTTTGAATGCGACCTGCTTCACGTTTCCGGGTTGTGAGATATCTTTCTGGGTAGAACTCGGTTGGTATATCCAGAGAGTCTTCGGGACCCTCGCCACCGAATTTCAAGGCCAGTACCTCTCCCATGTCCTTGAACACAGCCATCTTCGACTCGTCGCTGATCTCATTCCACGAGAGCACATCGCTCCACATGAGATGGTCCAAGGCTTCGTAGAGCGTCTTGATATGATTATAGTCACCTTTCAGATGCTCAATCTCGAGCAAGCCAAATCTAGCATCTCCGTCGCTGGGTTCGTCGCTGGAGCCGTCGTCATGCAAAAGAGTGAGTGAAGCGACTTGGGTAAGAGGATGGAGATGCTCTCCATGTCTTTGCCCTAGATGCTCGTAGAACTGCTTCTCCACTCCCGTCGCGGGGTCCGGGATCATGTTCGTCAAGATGCTGGAAGAGCCGTAGCTTCGCTCGGTAGAGTCGAGAAAAGCCATCAGCCTGTGGATCTCGGCTTCAAATCCTGGGGTCGCATCCTCTTCCTGTGGCGATTCCAAATCACTACCAGGTGTCTGCACATGGACTGACTGCACAGGTGTGATGCTTTTGCCTTGCCACCACTCACTGTCAAATCCATAGGCTTCGCAAGGTTCTCCGCATCGAAGAAGAGCATTTCGTGCTAGGGGAATCTCGTGCAGAATTGTCAAAACACCGCCCAGCTTATGAGAGCCCACAGTGTTTGGGTGTTGTACCAGAAACGCCGGGGCATCCGTCTTTCGCTGTCGATCCGAGGCAGGTAATGCATTCGAAGCCCTGCTGGCAGTAGCGGCAAGTCGCACCATAGCCCAGTCATCGTTTTCATATTGCGTTCTCGTCGCGGGCCCAAAATGTGGTGTAGATGCATAGTTTTCTAGGACTCCCGACTCTTGCCCAGGGGCAGCTATTCCGGCTTCTTGGGCAGATTCGCGTAGGGCTCGCTCCATATCTTGGCTAAGCTGATCTTGGTCGGTTTGGTCAACAAACCCTGATACATAATTAGCATGGATCAGAATTTAGGAACATAATACATACTGGGAGCATCGGAGGCCGTGATATCTATCATTCGTCCTAAGGGGGATTTGGCATTGGATCTGGAAGGAGGTCGGGAGGGTGCTCCTAGGCTGTACCTATCAGGCGGCGGCGTGACTCCCGCAATGACGTCGCCTTCATGCATCGAGTTATCCATGGATTCGATAAAAAACGAAGGGTTCGGATTCGGTTCCTCGATGTGGAAAGCTAAAGCGCACGTCAGCACCGCAGGGTAAGGAGCTTATCGTGTTGACTTACAGGAGCCGGCGGTGTTGTCATTTTCGCCGTTCCGGTCTGCGCCAAACATGCTATCATTCCATTGCATGGTAAAGCGTTGTCGAAACTTATGATAGCGGCCTACGTTAGCTCGAAGAGGAAGCCGGGTCACAGGGGCAAACACACGCTATCGGGATTATCAAAGTAGCTCATGATCACCGCTTCGCTGTTGCCGCCGTTATTCTAGCTCGCAGGTCAGTTAATGAATAGCATTATGTAGTTTATAGTCGTCGAGTTTAGTACCTTGAGCGCCTGGATCACCATGTCCCGGTCGGCCAAGCGGTCGAGACCTGCAAAGTCAATGACTTGCGAGATCTGGTCCTCGGTAGGCTCCATCGCGGCCCTTTTGTGAATTTAATATTTCGAAAAGTCAAACATGGGGCTAATGCGATAAGGGAGTTGGAGAAGACGTGCGGATGTAATGAAGCCGTTGTTGTCGGTGATCGTTGCTGTGCAGCTGAATTGCGTTCGATGTTGAGGTCGGCGGCTGCGACAGTCTCGAGGGGCAGCAAGGTGCTACTCAGTTGCCGAGGAATAAAGATGGGAGGCGAGCAAAGCAAGTTATCGACTAGATGCGCAGCAGATTGCCGACACTATCACGACGCCAGTCACGCCGCAAGTGTTGGATTCGCAGCGCAACGTCGATGGAGGAGCTGGAAGTGGTTGACGTCGGCTGCAACACAAGCATGCGCTACTACGAGTCGTCAGGTCAGGCTGCCCGGCGGTAAGGTACATAAGCCGGTGGCTGACTACGCGACTGGAGCGGGTAATAAGCCTAGGAAGAAAGGCGCTAGTGTGAGTACCTAGTAGTGCTAGTAAGCCAATACTAACCGATACATGTACATGCATAGCTATGGTAATGGAGGCTATACTTACCTATACAGGTAGTAATTAGCATTTGCACGAGGGCTGGCATACTAACTTAAAAAAAATCTGTTGAACACGTTGCGCGACAGGGAAAATTCTATCGCAGTTGCACTGGGCCTTATTGATGATGGCTGATGCACACCGAGGTCTAACATCGTTCAAATCGCATCAATTGAGCAGCTGCCCGGTGTATCTAAAATGCTATAAAAATCCAGTAATGCTTCCCAGAGAATATATATCGAATTCCAGTGCTAAATACCCACCAAACGCCAATGATCGTGCATATCTATCTCATGGCTCCGCTGCCAACAGACAACGTACACAGGTAGTTTTGCGGCATCCGAGAACGAGGCAAATTCACTCCTTATCATCCTCTTCGTCGTCTTCTTCTTCCTCAAAGTCATCCATGTTGCTATCGCTGCCACCAAAGTCTTCCTCTTCCTCAGATGGGTTCCAAAAGTCCTCGTCGTCTTCGACAACTTTTTGAGGCACAGGAGCGAGCTCGGATGTGTTTGGCATTCTGACACCCTCGGGAGCATCTCTCAGTGATTGAGCGACAAGTTCCTTGGCGAGGGCGTCGTATTTTGGCCGCTCGTCACGGTAGAGAACGCTTGCATCGACGTTGGCGGGCGAATTAATTTCGGGGTCATCCATCAGAAGCAGAACAGAGCGTAGGACAGATTCTACCCCGTGCAGAACATTCCACCGTTCGTTGGCCATTTCGCCTGACTGTTCATCATCGCCCGGTTTATGGAGAATGGAGATGCAAAGGTTGCCATCAGGGTACACGTTGGGGTGTGTGATGCCCTTGGTTAGGAAACGGAAGGTCGGTGGCTGGTAGGGGTAGTCGTGGGGAAATCGCATTTCGCTCTGCAGAAGATAATGTCAGTAGGTAGCGAAAAACACATGCCTTTGAAGACGCAGCTACTTACTTTGAGGTATGCACCGTAGAAGACGCTGTCGGGGTTGACGACCCAGAGACCGATCCGCCACTTGAACATGTTATGTTCGTCCATCTGCACTGGAATTAGTATACCGAAGAGCCAAGCATCGAGGCTGGGCCTTTGAAGGTGTCCTCACGTTGATAACGAGCCATTTCTCCCTCTGGAGCGGGTTCAGCTCCTGCATGAGACGTTTTTGAGCCATCGTGTGGGATCGGGATTGCGGGGTGCGCCAGGCGTCGTGTTTGGTCGAAACAAGTCGGGTTCTCGTTGCGACGGGCTGAGGTTCGAGACTGGCCAGCTATTGTCAGGGAAGCGAAGCAAGAGTGGGCTGGTATTGGGATCCTGAGTGTTGGCGGAGAGCAGGAGAGTTGGGTTGGGTGATGGTGGTGGTGGTTTTTCGAAGTTGGGTTGCAAAGGCGGTGGTAGGCTGCAAGCGTGCTTGCTAAGGCGGGCAGAAGTGAAGCAAGCGAGGACAGGCGGGTAGGTAGGTGCGCTTGGGCGCGTTGTAAATGATGCAAGTGTGATGGTAAAGATGAATGAAAGCCAAAGTAAAATTCAAGTTGCCGGAGTCGGTGGAGGGAGATGCTTGATGTTTGTCAGGCAGAAAAACGGGACATGGGCAGGACATGACTCCGATGTAGGCCGGCGGGCCGACGCGATTCGAGGGCTGACTGACGAGAGGGCGAGCGGCAGTGACGGCATCAGATCAGAATCCGGCTAATGAATCTTGTGTAGGGTAGGTAGGTGCCTACCTCTGGTACTTATTCGTCCGTCCCAGGGCGTTTCTCGCAAACAATTAGCGGTCTACAGCGCTAAAACCCCCTAAGACTTGGTCGAAGTCAGTGCTGCTTGGGGTCATCACTTTCGTCAATTGTCTTCTCTCTACCACCTCACTTTACTGCACCACATCACTCTTTGTTCACCACTTCAATGTTTGTCCTTCTCCCTTTCAGCCATTAGCCTCGCACAAATCCTGCAGGCAAGGGCCTACACTCAAGGTAACCATCATTCACTAGCCCACCCGAATGAATGCTGATAATACCATTAGCACCCTGGGTACTGTACGCCGGCACAAGAACATCCATTCACCAAACACCAAACGCTGTTCACAACGTATGCCTATACAATCAGGTGTGACAGCGCAGTCCTGCCACCATCGCCGAACCCTCACAATAAATGCATCACTCCCGTCAATAAGTTGGCACCCCTTCCCCGAATCTTGGCCCTGAAACAACCCGTGGCGTTTCGCGGAGCTCCATCCAAGGCTTGGTATATCTATCTGACTTGGCCCTATCACGGATACGCTCTCTAACTAGTTGAGTACTGGTAACCAAGGATACTTTCTCCTCTGGCGCTGCCCCTCATCTGGCTTGGAATGCCCAGTTTTCTAGAACCTCACTTCCCATGTCCGCTCATAATACTAATTAAATTGGCAACTACGTTAGTCAACTGTCCAAGATGGCCGTATCGGAGGGGTTGCCCCAGACCTAATAATCACGCTAGAGTAGCTAACTCTCGCTGCGCTCCAGACGATTCAACACCGCGACTCGTGTGAGAACCGTTTCAGGGCATGCCCAACGTAACCTCGTCTAGGATGGCGTATGCTTGGCGTCGTGAGCATCAATAGTTCCAAATGCAGCAAGCCAGGTCACCCCCCTTCGCTCCTCTCTTCCTCTTTATTAGCCGAGAATTCATCCACTCCACAGGCAATGCAGGCATTCAAGGTCGAACGTCGATGATGCTAGATCCGAACGTACCTTGTACCCCAGCTTTGCATAATGGGCTGCCGCTTCAGTTCTTATCACACGATCGACAACTCGCACATTCAGACACCTCGGGCTTCTGGCCCCGTCTCAACCAGGCAGTCTCCGTTCCGCGCCGCAGGAGAACTTACCCCAATGCACTAAAGAAGCGGCATGGCGCCTTTCGCCAACATTCGTTGGCTCGCCATGCGGTGGTGGCGCTGGCCCTGGACCAGGCGCTCCGCTGTGGCCATGCAAGCCTTTCTACCATTACCGTCTTGGTAGGTGACAGGACGCCGCCGGTCTGCCCAGCTCATTTATCAACAAGATAGTCCCCTTATCTTCCCGGACCAAGGCTCGGAGAATATTCCACTCATGTGAAAATCATCTCCTTCTCTGTCAAAATTGGAAATGTTCTTTTTCTTTCATCTCCATCTACCAACGTAGTCTGCCTCCTCTCGTCGCTTTGTCCTACCACCATCCAGCATCATGCCTGGCAGCGACCCAAGCAGGTCGCCAGCCAAGGCTGGAATTACTTTTACCAGAGATTTCGAAATTGTCGAAATGAGTAGCCTTTCCAATGCTGACAAGGACCCGGCCCACGTCAACACTACAACGTCCTTCGCCGTTTCTACTGCTCCGCGACCGGTTCGGTACGCCAGTCAGAAAGCTGCCGGTCAACGCTGGGTGGACAGCTTCAAGCAAGTCGAGGGGTCGCCCCAAGTTATCAAGGATGGGTACTACGTTACCGAGGGCATGGAAGAGATGCCTCGAGATCCTGAACGCTACTACGACCTACACGCAGCCAACGCAAGAACAGCAAACTCGGCGCTGGTGCGCGACCTAAAGAGTCGCCACCTGCAAATGATTGCAATCGGTGGTTCTATCGGTGCGTCTTCCACCGCCATCATCTGTCCATGTTGCCTGCTTGTATTCTAGGCTAACACTACTTACTCCAGGTACTGGTCTTTTCGTCGCTTCCGGAGTTGATCTTGCGCAAAGCGGCCCGGCTTCGGTGCTGATCGCATACGCGCTCGTCGGCGCGATGCAATTCTGTACTATGCAGAGCTTGGCTGAACTGGCAGTCGTGTTTCCAATCTCAGGATCTTTTTCCGCATTTTCTACCCGATTCCTTGACCCATCTTGGGGGTTTGCTATGGGCTGGAAGTATGTACAACAACGTGGCATGGCGCTGCTTCACCTGCTAATAATTTGCGATATAGCTATGCGCTGCAATGGTTGGTCGCCTTACCATTGGAAGTCATCGCCGGCGCTTTGACTGTGGAATACTGGAACGCCAGTCTCAGCAAAGCCATCTTTGTTACGATATTCCTTCTCATTATTGCTGTTATTAACCTTTTCGGCATCAAAGGCTATGGTGAAGCTGAATTCATATTCTCTACCCTCAAGGTGACCGCTATTGTTGGCTTCATGTGCGTTTCCCCCCAGTGACAGTCCAGAACACAGTTAACAACCCCTCTAGTCTTCTTGGAATTGTTGTCAACATTGGCGGAACTCCTAACGAAGGCTACATCGGTGGCAAATACTGGGCGAATCCGGGCGCGACAAACAACGGATTCAAAGGCTTTTGCAACGTCCTCGTCTCTGCCGCTTTTGCCTTTTCTGGGACTGAACTGGTCGGCCTCGCAGCGGCCGAAACTTCGAACCCCCGCAAGTCGATCCCGACAGCCATTCGACAAGTGTTCTGGCGTATAGCCATCTTCTACATCGTAGCTCTACTGCTTGTGACACTTTTGGTCCCCCATAATGACCCACGCTTGCTTGGTGCCAAGTCTTCCGTCGACGCTTCCGCCAGTCCGTTTGTCATCGCCATCGAAAGCATGGGCCAGACGATCTTGCCGAGCATCATGAACGCCGTCATTCTCCTTGCGGTCATCTCCGTCGGCAACTCGGCCGTGTTCGGCTCCTCACGCACCCTCGCGGCGCTCGCCGAGCAATCCCACGCCCCCAGGTTGCTGGCATATATCGATCGCAAGGGGCGCCCCCTCGTCTCTGTGCTCGTCACGCTAGCTGTCGGCCTCCTCGCATTCCTCGTCGACCTCAAGGAGCAGGGCGAGATCTTTGACTGGCTCATCGCCATCTGCGGCCTGTCTAGCCTCTTTACCTGGGGCAGCATCTGCCTCTGCCACATCCGCTTCCGTCGCGCCTGGAAGCTCGCCGGATACTCGCCCAGTCACCTGCCCTTCCAGTCGCAGGCCGGGCTCGTCGGCTCCTACGCCGGCCTCATCGCCAACCTGCTCGTCGTCGCGTCGCAGTTCTGGACTGCCGTGTCGCCGCTAAGTCGCACCGACGGGTCCCCCGCCGGCATCGCCAAGAACTTTTTTCTCAAGGTGCTTGCCGTACCCATCGTCCTGCTCTTTTACTTTGGTCACAAACTTTGGTTCAGGACGCGTGTTTTGCGCGCCAGGGCCATGGACATTGATACGGGGCGGAGCTTCACCCGCGCGCAGTCCATCCACATGACCGACCCCAACCCGCACGGGAAATGGCCGCTTTGGAAGCGCATTTATCGATCTCTATGCTGAGACTTGTCTGTGTTTTAGCTTTTTCTCCCATGAGGGCATATGTCTAGAGCCTTATTGTGTATTTGTAATTTAAACTTTAAATGTGAAATGTAATCCAAAATACCTAGCAGCTTCAAGTCATTAGCTATACTCTGATCCTACTAAAGTATCATTCTATTCCATGCTATCAAACAGCAACAGGTATGCACACACACGTGCACACACACCACGCAGCTCTTAACCTCTGTAGCAGTGCCATGTATTTAACAACTAGTCTCGCCTCAGCGTGTTGGTTGAGGGGAAGTAATCGGATGACGTTGGTACACAGATCTACTGTCTGTGAACAAGTGTGGTTGAAAATGTGTGTATATTGCATACGAGCTGAAAATGTCCAAGAAAAAATTGACGTTATTCACAGGAAACACCGCTGCCCTCTATTTATCATCATGGCCTGGCCCCCCCAATCACCCCGATATGTCATCCAGCACGCGCGAAAACGCCTGTCCCCTTACGCCGCCAAGTCATAATAGAGACACGTTCCCGTTCGAAAGTTGTACAGAAACGAGTGCCTCGTGCCGTCGTTGCGATCAAACGCAAACCTCCATGCGTCGAGCTGATCGTGTACGTCACGCACGTACTTCTTCTCCGTCGTCGTGACGCTGTGATCGACCCTTCGCCAGCTCTCCGGATCTGACAGCCGCGTGCCGCTAATCAACGCCATAACCTGCTCCGTCGTCTCGACTGCGAGGATGGGGCCATCGAGGAAGGACGTCACCAAGTTCGCGGCTGTCACTTGCGCCTGCTCGACGACGGTGCGGCGGTTGAACTTTTTGCTGCGCGTCTGCGCGACGAGTACCTTGACGTCCTGCTCGCGCTCCCTCTCGACAGCGGCGCCGGATGTACCCTCGCTCTGCGCGGCGGCGATGCTCTTGCGGCTGCTGCTTCCACCGCTCCCCTTGGTGTCACGTTTGTGGAGTTCAGTGCGCAGCCATGCCGGTAGCTGTGTAGAGGGAATGTCGATATCGGCAACGTCCTTCCGCAACAGCGACTTGATTTTGAGCATGGATTCGGGCTTGAGGATTATGATCCATGAGTAATTATCGTCTCTGTGCTTCTGAAGCAAGTCTTCCGGCGAGCGCGAGTCTTTGGCGAGTTCGGCACTAATGTCCAGAGCCCACAGTGTCTGAAGCAGCTCGACGCCAGACGATCGCAACATGGCCGGGTCGAAGCTTGCGACGAGAATGTCGCAACGTTTGGGGCTGGCTAGGCTGTTTGAGTCATCTTCCCCTTTCTTGAGAAACGCTTTGCCGCCCGCTTTGGGGATTCGAGCGAGACGCTCCCAGGCAATGCTAAATCCCACGGCGTGGCGCTCGTCAAAATTGCCGCCCATTTTCGGCCGCTGCTCTTTAATCAGCGCATCGTAACGACCCCCGGCAGCGAACACGTCCCTGACTTTCTTGGTGTAGAGACACGAGAACATCAGTCCGCCATTGTAGAAGTTTTCTTTCAAACTATTAAGTGGACTAATGTAAATCTTCGTTCTCACACCAAAGCGCTTTGCATACTCAGCTACTTCCTTCAGGTGGGCAATGGTCGGCGAGGCTCTTTGATAGATATCTGTGCCCTCGAAAAGCTTTTTCAGCTTCGCAAATGTTTTGTTCGGTGTATCTCTGAAGTCGAATTGCTGGAGTTCGTCAACACTGGTGGCAGAAAGACCCACGGCAGGGGACCGAAGCTCCATTCGAATCTTTTGCCACGTAAAGTTGTGAATGTTGAGCCGACTAAGAACATCCGAAGTCGCACGGCGATTAGCCGGTTCGATGCCACAATGCTCATAAATCAACTGCAGAAGATCGGAGTGGCCAAGATAAAAGCTCATGGGAGTTGCCGACAGAGATGGGAAGGCGACGAGAATCTCGTCGATGATTTTCAATACCTCTGCTTCCTTCAAGGCCAAATCCAGAGCATCAGTGCTCACTATGTCGAAATCGACCTCACCAAACATCTGCGGCTGTCCTGTATCTTGCTTATCGCGGAAGACACTACCAAACGCGAATGTTTTCGGCACTATTGGTCCACTAGAATTCTTGGCTAGCATTCTTGCATGCCCCATCATTAGATCGTATGGGAGCTGCAACACTGTGCCGTTTTGGTCAAGAAGCTGCACGACGTTGTCTCCATATTGAGAGGACCTTGGATAGATGGCACCACGAGTTGCCTCGACTGCACCGTGGCGGCGAAAGATGGAGGTCAATTGTGCCTTGACAGTGTGTCTTATTATGAGCTCGGATGCTGTCGGTGCGTTCGCGAACATGTCCCAAGCGTAATCTTTGGTGGCTTCGACAGGATGAGTAAACAGCGTCGACAGCATTTTGCGATAGTATGGGGAATTTGGGTCTGCCAGGCCCGCCAAAGTACGCCGAATTGTTTCGCTCTCCATTTGCACTGGAAGCTTGCCGCTCTTCAGTAGCTCGGCGCTGTAAGGTCGCTCTTTTGGATTGTGGTTGACCAGGGACAGAATTATTTCCGTCATTGACTTTTCAGCAGCTTTGAAGTCCTTTGGCAAGATTGGCTTTTGTCGTCGCAATTGCCCAATGACATCAGCCTTTTGCATGCCCATCATGGGTTGGTAGCACATTTCGAAGAAAATGATTCCCAGCGAGTACATGTCGACTTTAGTACTATACATACCATGCGCCGCAGATCGAACTTCTGGGGCGGAATAGTACGCAGTACCAATGCTTCTCGTCATGTCATCTGTTTCCAAATGTCCGGCAGCAGCGGCTTTGTCAATTGAGAACTGGCCACTGGTGGCAAGGCCAAAGTCACCGATCTTGACATTGTCGATACCATCGGCGCTGCTACTGATGAAAATATTTTCCGGCTTGAGATCGCGATGGACAATGCTTAGTCCGTGAATATGGGCTAGTCCTTCCAGAACCTGGCGAAACAGCCGCCAAATCTCAGTAGTATTTTGATACAAGTTGCGCGAAATCAAATCACGCAGTGTTCGTTTCTCGCAGTACTCCATCGAAATGTAAAGAATCGTTCGATATGGCTTCTGAAACCTTGCTCGACGCATCTGGGCGGCTTGCCTTGCCTTAACAGGTGAGCCAGGATTGTGCGCGTCCTCATCGTCAGATGCAGAGCTGTCGTCGTCGCCCTCAGTCTCATCTTCGTCTCCATCTTCGTCACTGCTCTCAGAGTACTCGAATTCGATGTGTGCATTGGATGACATGAAATCTAGTCCTCCAGTGCTTGTGGCAAATTGTATCTCCAGACCATTGGATTCAGTCTCACGGGTTTCTGCGGTATAGTCATCTGCCGATGTCTCTCCCTCAGTGTCGGTGAAGTCGGCAACCTCTTCGACCCAAGTATTGTAGTATCTCACCACGGCAGGGTGACTGAGTTGGGAGAGCAGTCGAACTTCTTTGAGAATCTCTGTCAATGAGGTGTGTGAGCGCTGAGTGATCTTCTTGATGGCATAAATCTGCCCATCGAGTTTCTTCCTAGCCTTCACGACCTCACCAAAGCCGCCTTTTCCGAGACGACCTTCTTCTACAAAATCTTCCGTGTATCTCGATATCGCAGCTCCTCTGTTATGCGAGTCACGTCGCAAGCGCATCGGTGGGGCTTGCAGAGAAGTAAGGGATGGCACACTTGAGATGACAGCTGAGGAGTCGTCAAAGAGAACCGGGGCGTCAGTTGCGAGAAACTCGCTAGAACCAAGCTCAAAGGCACGCGGACGCTTTTGTTTGTCCTCTTTGAAGAATCGCCCGACAAGCTCCTGCAGAGGCTGTGAGAGAAAGAGAGATTCCATCAAGTTCTTCGGCGACGAGTATTTGCGCAGTATGTCAAGTCCAAAGATCATCTGCACAAAGACGATACCAAAGTCCCAAATATCCGTTTTGAACGTATAGACAGGCTTGGATGCGGCAGCAATTTCTGGTGGAAGCCAGTACGCAGACTTGGCAGAGTTGACGCCCGGCGGACCTTGTTTCTGCTCACACAATGTGTGAATCTCGCGCTGGTACCATCCATCAGCGATTTTCGGAACTATCTCGCCAGTGGATTCTCTGAATAATAGAATATTTCCAGCATGAATACACTGGTGTGCAATGTTCTTATTGTGCAGGTAATTGAGGGCATCGAGTAAATCTCGCGTCCAAGACTTGACCTTGCTCACTTCAAGGTTTCCGGCCAGCTCCAGCAGTTCCTCCAGAGGGCCCTTTTCAGCGAGTGGCATCAGAATTCTAACTGTCCACGCGTTGCTCGCAGAAGGGTCGGAAGGCATCCCACCCTGGACCTTGAAATCTAGAATCTCGACAATCTGCCTATGGACAATCCTTTTGGTGGTTTTCAAGTCTTGGAGACGCGATTCCAGAGATTGCAGTTGCTTTCTGAAATCCTGAGATTCCTTACCAGAAGATTTCAGGGTAGCTTCTTTCAACGCAAGCGTCTGATTACAAACTCCACTAGGTACAACCGGCCGGACAGTATAGACAGCCGACACTTTGCCGTGGCGCTCGTCGCATTTTGCTGTCACGGATCGGAATATAATCTGATTTCCAGATTTGTCGACAGAATTGCAGAATTGGTCAAAGTCGATACGATCGTCGAGAGCTTCGGTAGTCGGTGCACTTGGCAGCTGACTGGCACCGTTAGGGCGGCGACTCTGGCGAGACTCCTTTGCTTTTTGACGTTGGCGATCCAGCTGCTGCTGAAGCATTTCAGCAATAACCCTCTCTTCTTCTTTTGTCACTTCCTTTTGCTTGCGATCCTCTTCTTCCTTTTGCCGCTGAGCAGCTTTAGCGGCGTCGGCCTCGTGGCGTTCGCGCTCTTCTTCGAGGGAAGGAAGGTTTTTACCCGCAACCTTTGCTTGGGCAGCCTCCTCGAGGATTTCGCGGATACCTTCGACAATTTGGTCAACCATCTCTTGCTCATCTTTGGCAAAGACTTTGGGTTGTGTCTCGATAAACTTTTGGATCTTGAACTGTGTCGACTCGCGGAGGAATCCTTGCTCCTTTATGGTAATGATAGGGGGGGTCTTAGGATATGTAGCATTTAGAACGAATCCTATGGTGATTGCAAAGTCTTCGTCCGTCGGAGCTTTGATGCGTATGTCGAAGCATGGTTCTGCTTTCTACTAGCGGTTAGCATTGTCTGTACAAGACACTTGATCAGAGAACTCGTACTTGCCAGGCACTGTGAGTGCTGCTATGTTGAACAAAGTCTTCTCCATAAATAGCTTCTAGGGCCAGCAGTTCGTTCTGCTGGAGCTCCTCATATTCAATTTTGTTGGTAGCCTCTGGGCTGGTGGGCTTGAGCCCAGGGAAGCTTGAGTCATCCTTGGGTTGATTAACGGGTGGCGATTTCCATGCGCGAGTAGCTTGCCACGCCATCGTTGCGTGAAGGGGGGGCAAGTATCACAGCCAAAGCCGTGATGGCTTACGCTGAAGTCGCCATATTGAATTCGGTAATCGTAAGTTTATTGATGGAGTTGGTATGAGGAATGTCGAGCGGAAGAGCGACAAGCCCTGCGGTTGACGTCTTGAAGAATAGCGGGGTTCCAAGATGGTGGGGCAGAGCTGAGTTGGAGGCTTGGAGCTGGGCGAGGACTTCGCTGCTGAGCTTGTGACGGGCGGCCCCAGTAACAATAGAAAGACTAAATAGAAAATATAGCTGATCTGTGCCATGATTAATTTCAATCGAGTTTGTAATAAGGTTTGTCAACTTTTTTAGTCAAAGAGCATTCCGCCACGAACAACCACTCAAGTCCTACATATAGTAGGTACTAAAGTACATACACCACGGTGAGCTACAGGGACCGCGCCACTGTTTCGGCAAGGCGCAGGGAGCAAGTGGCGCTGTGGCACGCGCTAAGACCTTCAACTGCAAGCAACAAAACATGCCAGTACCAATACTGCCGATCAAAGTAAACACTTGCAAAGCAACCAAACGTCGACACCTTCAAACAGCCGCAGATGTTGCTTCCTTGATTGAATTACACCTTCTCATGCACATATATACTTATGCTATCAAACTTCCCAAGCGGTCCTCGCCATCCCTAAATTGAGCCGTCGTGCCCCCAACATACCAAAATGCTTGGATGGATGCTCAAGCGCGGCGAAAACGCGTCCAACGCGGTCAATGACGCCGGTGCGTTCAACACCGAATGGCTCCATGTTTCCTTCAAATAATACCGTACAGAAATTTTGACAAAACTGCGCACAGCTGACACTACGCAATTAGAGCAACCCGACACGCCAGCCCCCGTGTTCGCTGCGAGAGCATTTAAAAGCGCCTTGTTTGGCACCCCTCGACGGCACGATATTCGAGCTGCACGACCTGGAAGACGAGGCACAACGACTTCTAATACTGATAAAGACTCAAATACCCCATCAAAACCTGCCGGCATTCTCCTAACACCTGGTACCGGTGCGGCGAGGCGGAAACGCGTGTCATTCGGATACGATGTCTCTAGCGATAAAGAACCAGTCGCAGAGGCAGCGAACGCGATTAACAAACAAGAGTCGAGCGCAACATCCAGTAAGAATAATGCCCCTACCGCAGTCAACTCCCGCCTTCCAGACGACGAGGATGATTGGGAAGAGGATGACGATGGCGAGCAGCCAGCTACCGACATGACCCTCGACCTAAATGAACCTCACTCTCAGTCTGGCAAATACTGGAAAGAAGAATTCGAAAAATACCACGAAGATGCCAAGGTTGAGCTGGAGAAATTGCTCAAGTATAAGCAACTTGCAAAATCTTACGCGAAGCAACGGGATGCCGAGACGATGCAGCTGGCGGAGCGTCTGCGCGACGAGCAGCTCAAGGTGCTCAAAATGGAAAAGATGATTGCGGAAAATGAGAGAAACATTGCTTCCGCACGGCAAGCCGAGGATGGCGACGCGACAGTCGAGCTGCTGGACAAGCTGACCTCACAGACGACCTTGGCTACTCAGTACCGGGAGCAAGTGCAGAAGCTTGAGGCGGAACTCGAGGAGGCGCTGCGCGACAGGGAACAGAGGGCGGATGTCCAACGGCGGCGCCGACAGGGAAGTGCGTCGCCCGCGACTCACAAGGCCCTCGCCGAGACGCAGCGCGAGCTGCGGCAGGCGAAAAGCCAACTGCGCGAAATGGGGACATTGCGTGATCAGGTTTCTTCACTAAAAGCCAAATTGCAGGCCGCTCAAGGAAAGCCGGGCAGCGCGAACGACGCGCCGGGCGAAAGTTCACGAACTCAGGAACTACGCGCCCAGCTCCGAGTGCTCAAGGAGGAGTCATTGATGAAGGATCAGGAGTTGCTGATTCTGAGGTCCGAATTTGATGCTTTTCGAGAAGAATCGGCAAGACAGGATGCCGACATGCGCGACGTCGTGACACGTGCACACTCCAAGATTGCTGATCTAAAGATGGAAATCAAGGCTCTCAAATCTACGCAAGCAGAGAAGCCCCGGCCTCAGAGTTGGGATATGGTTGGAAATACCGATGCGGCAGGTCTAGAGGATTTGGACGATCCAGTTGTCTCAGCCGAACCTGCTCGATGCAGTTTGGATACCGATCGGCGTCGCAAACCACACGCTCCTACCAGAGAGCGGAAATCGCGATCGCTCCGTGAAAAGTTCCGCGAGGATGCTCCTCCAAGCCCCGAGCGCCTGCCGTGCGTTTCGCGTCGGCAGGCGGATGACCGACGGCAGTGGCAAGAGTTTGTCCCGAGGTCCCCCCGAAATCTGGACTATCTCGGCGAGGATGTGGCCCGGCGGATAGAAAACGGCGGCGTCACACCTGCGGCGCAGAAGAAGAAAGCAATTCTGTCCGCGCACGAGCAAATGGAGAGACGGAGACGGCCCAGTCAGTCGGACGGCGAGGATGCAATCGACTTGCTCCGGAGCCGCTTCGCCAAGCTGGGCGGCCCGGAAGAGGGCGGACAGGGCCATGGGGGCATCTCGATCCCGAGCGGGATTAATCTGCCGCCCGAGCGCCGGGCGGCGGCGCTGGCGCGGATCGAGAAACGTATGGCGGAGAAGAAGAGGGCGAGGGCGCGGACCATGGACAAGGAGAACATGCAGCCCGTGCAGTAGCATGCGGGACGGGCGGTTCGGGGCACGGCATAGAATTTTGTTTTTGGGTAGCCAAATGTATATTATCAGCGAGGAGTTTTTGGGCGTTGCCATGATTGGATACTCAGTCACCGAGAACAATGAACATGGATATTTGCATCGTTATCGCCGCACCTCGGTTGGCTACTCGAATGCTGTGGCATGGCGGGCACACGTGACAATTTCAAGTTTCTATCGCACTCGATCGCGATAATGATAATGGACGCGAGATTTACTTCTGGTAAATGACAGGTTCTCCGGCACAAATTGACTCTCTGGTTTCCGCAGCGGTATGCGAAGAAAGGTCCCGGAGGTGTCCGCCCGCTGTTGGCCAGGGCAGACCAACCTTGGCCGATAAGCGATTTCGGCGAAGCGACGAGCGCTCTTCCCAAACTTGTTCTCTCCCACCAACATTTCCGTTCCTATCTTCCGTGGACGGCTCATGTCGCCGCACCAGCCAAACACCAGCCTAGACGCCATCGAAGATGAGATTGCGCAACTAGAGGCCGAGCTGCATGCGGCGCGCATTCGCCTGCGCGACGCTACCACCACCAACCCCAAGCAGCAGCGACAATCACCAAACGGCGACGACGCAGCGACCCAGCTCGCCGCCCTCACTATCCCGCCCCAAGTCTACTGTACGTTGCGGAAGAATTTTTATATCTTCATTGTTGTTGTTTCCCCTGCAGCTTTGCTAACCCACGTGCCAGCCCCGACCACGTCCTCCACGCACTTCCTGCTACTCCTCTCCGACTCGGCGCTGCCCGTCGGCGCCTTCGCCTTCTCCTCCGGCCTCGAGTCCTTCCTCGCGCACGCGCCGCGCGGCCCCTCCGCCACCTTCTCCGCCTTCCTCCCGCTCTCCCTCGCCTCCTTCGCCGCCACCACGCTTCCCTTCGCGCTCGCCGCCCACCGCGACCCCTCGCGCCTCGCCTCCCTCGACGACCAGCAGGACGCCGCCGTCGTCTGCACCGTCGGCCGGCGCGCCAGCACCGCCCAGGGCCGCGCCCTCCTCTCCGTCTGGGAGCGCTCCCTCCGCAGCGCCAGCTTCTTCGGCGACGCCGTCGATGCCCTGCGGGACTTTTCCGCGCTGCTCCGCGAGTGCGGCGGCGGCAGCACCGCCGTGGTCGACGGGTTGCCACCGCTCGCTTCGGGCCACTACGCGCCGCTGTTTGGTGCCGTGTGCGCGGCGGTAGGGCTGAGCGTGCGGCAGGCGGCGTACGTGTTCATGCTGGGCCACGTCAAGGCGCTGGTGTCGGCGGCGGTGCGGGCGAGCATGTTCGGCCCGTACCAGGCGCAAAAGGTGCTGGCGGGCGCGGCGGTGCAGGACATGATGAACGCGGTCATTGAGAGGGAGTGGGACACGCCGGTGGAGGAGGCCGGGCAGAGCGTGCCGGTCATGGACCTATGGATCGGGCGGCACGAGGTCTTGTACTCGCGCATCTTTAACAGTTGATGGGGAGAAACGCATGATCAAGCATTCATCAGAGCCATGGTGTTGGGAGCTTGGGAGGAACGAATCTGTATTGTGGTATCACGGTGGTTTCATTTTGTATTTAAAGCATGAATATCCCTTTTCCTGTATAAGTAGTAATAAAACTTGTCAAAACGCCATTATTCATCGTCATCGCTGTCACTTCCATATGATACAAGAGGACCGGCCGCGGCGGCCGTTCTCGGTTTCGACGGTACAGAGAGCTTTGCTCGGTTGAGCGCCGCCAATGTGCTCCCCGAAAAAATGCCCCCGCTCTGCTCGTCTTCGTACTGTTGCTGCTCCTGTCCCGGCGCATCACCCTCCGCCGCCGCCGCCGCCGCCGCTGCCTCTCCGCTCTCAATCATAAGCCGTCGCTGGTCCTCCAGCTCAAAGCCTTCCCGGCCGCGCGGGTTTACAGCATGGGCGCCGCGCGCAAAGTGCACCTCGTCCGGTGCCTCGTAGCCTTCGAGGCCGTAGCCGCTCTCAATCTTGCGGCGCTTGCGCGCCTCCGGGTCCTTGCCCTCAATCTCGGCGACGAACTCGTCGCCAAGGGCGCGGCGGATGGCCTCGGCAGCCTGATCCTCGATGCGGCGGGCCTCGCGTGCCTGCGCCATGGGATTGGGATCGGCCGTGGCCCAGCGGACGTTGAGGATCTCGTCGTGGTCGAGCGACTGGTGGGCCATTGCCTCTTTGGCGAATTGGGCATTGGCCTCGTTGGTGTATGTGACAAAGGCAACACCGCGTTGATTTAATACCCGGACTGTGAAGTTGCGGTTAGCTTTCAGCTTTATTATCGTGGCAAGTGGCTGTACGTACTGCGCTCGACCTGGCCCCATTCCGCAAAATGACGAGCCACAATCTCCTCGATATCATCCGTGACATGTATGCGACCAATGTAGACGGTTCTGTTAACACGCATGAAGCTTCCAACACCACCCATGTCGTCGCGATAGTCGGAGAACTTGTCGCGGCCGAAGCAATCGACATTGGGACCAAAGAGGTCGTAGACGCCAGGTAGGCGATGGAGGTAGTCGCAATCGACGCCCTTGGCGCAGACACCGCGGGCGAAGCTGACGCAGAAGAAGCTGCCGGTGAGGCTGTCGGCCTTTGTGTAGCCGGCGTCGGAGGCGATGTTGCAGCGGCCCTTGGCCTTGGTCTGCGCGTTGGCGTCGTGATCGCCGCCAGACCATTTGTTGTACCAGATGTTGAAGATGGTGCCAGTCTGGGGCGGCGGCTCCGATGTGATGAGAGAAGGGTCGATTTGCACGCGCGCGGGCTTCCGCTTCTTGCGGATAATCTTCTTGACCATCTTCTTCCCCGTGGGCGCGGCGACGGCGGTTTCTTGGGAGGTCGGGTTCGCGCCGGCGGCATCCGTGGCGGTGGCCAGGGCCAGTTGTGCCTCTTGGTCAGCCATATCAACGGTCTGCCTTGGAGGCTTCTATCGGACTTTGATGCCGGTGACGGTGCTGGTGTTGGGGTAGACAAAGTGCGATGCTGAGAAAATGTTGCGACACACGCGACGATGGCTGGTCGAAAAAAGTTCTGGGGCATCCCAAATGCAGCCAACAACCGCCACTACTCAAAGCCCCACCACAGACAGTCAAGTTGCGTTGTCGTCTGTAATCAATGCCCTGCCGTTACCCCCTCCGATTTCTGTAAAAGCTTGTTTCATTTTAGAGATTCATAAAGTTTAGAATAGATATCATGAGCATGTTTAAAATTAATAGAGCACCATTCACTACCTACCGTCGGCGCTCCACATTCATGTTGTCACTGCTCGCCTCAGTATCGGCCTAAAATGCTAGGTCACCACAATGTAAAGGAGTACCAGCCCAAGCTTCAGAGAGAGAGAGAGAGAGAGATCAGATGCGTCACTTCTTTGCAGATGACCATTCTAAGAGTGGTTGTTTATCACGCTCCCAGGCTGTAACAAGGATACCTACAGGGTAGGTAGACAAAGAGAAGTAATAAATGGCTGCAATGGCCAACTCTAATCCTGAACGAAAAACGGTGGCCGTCTGAGTTCCTTGTCAGTTTCCGTCAGCTTCTTCCAAGTCCTCTCCGTCTCACGCCCGACGCCCTCCTGACAGTCCGCACCGTACGCCACCCGCTCCAGCTCGACGTACTCGAGCCCTGGGCACGCGGCCATCAGCTCCTCCGCGGCCCTGGCCAGTTCCTTCTTGCCGTGGCAGTTGGACCACCCGCCGCCATCGCGGTCGGGCGCAACCTCGAGCGCCACGAGGTTCGGCAGGTGCAGCGCTGCCTTGCATAGGTCCGGCAACCAGCAGCGCCACGCGCCGTTGCTCATCAGTCCGCACAGGCCCTCGGCCGCGATGCTCAGCTTCAGGTGCGTGAGCCAGTCGCAAGCGTCCAGGCCGGCGAGCAAATGCGGCACGCCCTCTGGACTGCAGCCGAGCGGTATCTGCAGCATGGGCACCCGGGCTAGCTGAGCCATCTGCTTGACGGGGTGCTGCGGGCCGCGGTGATCCCAGTCAAACCTTTTGGCTTTGAAACCAGTCTTTCCTTGGAGAAGTGGCGGAAGGTACCTCCAGTTGGCAGCGTACATTCGTAAGATCTCGAGACGCGACATGTTGGGTGTGTTTGTTGCGTTAAATTGTGTCCATGACGGACCGTGCTGGATGTAGCACTTGCAGTCGGCTGCGATTTGTACTTCTTCAAGCGTCGAGAGGTTGATGCAACCACCAAGTACATCCTTCGGTGGTATATGAATGGATTTTCCAAAAGAAATACTCTTCAGCGGGATTAGAGAACCACCGGTGCATCTTGAATACTGTCCGCATATTCGCTCAAATATGTTTCTGCATTCCCCGCCACCCATCGAGAGCCTCAGATGCTCTAGCTTTGGGGCATTGGCCATGATGGAGGAAATGAACGCCTCCGAGCAATCTTGCTGCTGAATATCAATCTCCTCGAATGTCAATCGCCGTAGTGCATCGAAATGGTTTCCCGGCGGAAGCTCCGTGAGTTGTGGCCGCATCAGCCGAGGGCACCTCCCTCGAGAGTTTCGAACCAGGGAACAATAAAAATCTATGTATAGCTCAGTCGGATTGAGGTGGGCGATTGCGTCGTTGATACACTTATGTGCCACGGTGACGCCCTGCAGTCTAAGGGCTCGTCAGCCAAGACAACGCATCAAGCCAGACAGGAGTGACTTGCCTAACAACTTGCACCTTTTTCATGTTCGGTAGAAGCCGGGAGACGAAATCATGAAACGGGGGGTCTTCGCGATAGTAATCAAATTGTCTTTTCGAGAAGCGGATGTCGATTTCTCTGGTATTGGCGACGTTTTCAAGCTGGCTGAGAGGCGACGACTCGCCATCACTACCCGGACGCCACTTGCTCTCCGTCAGCAGCACGGCGCGATATAGAAACGGTGTAAATATATCATTGAAGCTGCGACTGACAAGGCACAGCTTCCATAGCAAAGATCGGTCGTGGGCCTAGGTTTCGCGGTCAATCAGAGCCAGAACGAGTGCAGTTGTGTGTCCAACAAACCACCAGCTCTCCGAGAGTGACTAGCAGCTCCGCGATGCCTGCAAAGTGTTGCGCCGCAGAATGTTCTGCCGAAACCTCTGTGGACTGCATTTTGCTTGAATTTTGCAGTTCACGTATCCCATGTACTTTGCGTCGCTTCATCTTGTGTGCACGAGACTAAGGATGTAGACGAGAGACGAGAAACATGAGGATGGCTGCCTATTAATTAACTTGTAGCCGGCGTTTGTTTACTGGACCAGAGCTTTTACTACCTACCCTGGCAACGTTCAATTCACGCTTTTTCTGTGTTACTACCCGTAGGACCGTGAACTTTAACTTCTGTAGAAATTTGATTCTTTTTTTTTTTTTAAACAGAAACAGCAGCGTGGCATTATGGCGACGCATTGCTGCTTTCTTTATCCAGTAACACTGCTCAGCCCTTCCGAAGAATCATCCAAAAAATTTAGAGCCGTGTCTTTTCTCAGTCTTTACACAAGTACAACAAATTAAATCAATTGATTTTGTCTCCGTTTTTGTACTCTATACTACGCAAGATTGATTGTAGGGCCACCGTGAATCTTGCGTACTCTTCCACATGCAATCATGGCCTCGCCTCGGAAGGCTGCCCAGGAGAACACTTCATTAAAGCACGGATCGGTATCTGGCAAGGGCAAAAATCAATGACCAGGTAGACTCATGGCCGAGAGTGGATAGTGTCAATCAGTCTTATACTTCATGCTTGTCGGGTAGCCAGATGCGGGTCGGGGCTCGAAAACTACATAACATCATCAGATGCACCCGGCCAATTTTCTCTGCTCTTCTTGCCTTTAATCGCTGCGCAGCTCCCATAAAAAGCTTGTTCATCTATCATGACTTCATTTAAGCCCTCTCTCGCTTCAGCGGGTGCGAGCGCTAGATGTACTCGGTTGCTCAGATCGAAAGCCGTCTTACACTGATGCGCACTTCCGCGTTTCAAAACGCCAAGAAGCCGTGCGTCCTTGTCGTCGCAGGAAACTCAATAAGTGCGGGGTTGAAGCGGGAGGTGATAACTTGATTCAGGAGCTTGCGCTTCACGTGGTGGTCAACCCTTTGACTTGTGGCACGCAGATTGGCATCTTCATATGGTGTGTGCATGCCTTCAATCGAGGCCCAATCAAGATTCCGGCATCACCTGCTTCCATTTCGTGGACACCGTCACCATGAAGCCAAAGGACTTGGCAGGCTGACTGTACAATGAGTACCGAGACATCTACATCACTACTTGCATCGTAGCTGCGAGTCGCCAAGCCAGAGATCCGAATCCATTCCGCGAGCCACGATGGAGGGCTGAGCTTGTCACTGACAGGAGATCAGGTGCGTGGCTCCATTCTTTGAGCTTCTATTCTTTTTAATTTCGAATTAGAAAGATGTATAACTCAGAGTTCTCACCCCTCATGGTCCTCGAATGGCACATAGTATTCCCATATTGAACTGCACTCATATTCGCCTTGCTATGCCACTGCAGTTTCTTTAGGGGAGGCTCAACGAGCACTAACAAGTACATTTGCCAACGCCTTTCAAGACTTAGTTCCGCGTTGACACACGGCGTAAGGATGTGCAACCACATTGTCTATGATTTCGAGGAGTGTGGTCATGTCGGTGGTGAAGTCGTCGACTATTGCCCGGCCGCCATAGCAGCCAAACGTCGTTGTGAACGACGGGATGCTTACCTTATTTTTGGAGGTAATATGCTCGGGAAGTGCCATCGGTGCCTTCTGCCCTCGCCTCCCCTCTCAGAGTACTGAAGGAGGCGTAGCACGGCCATCAGACCAAGAATTGTACGATTAGTCCGAAAGAGCGATGGATGGAATTGAGCTCGAGGCTAGTTTTCTGTACATGTATTTTTCCCCTACCAGGTATCTAACCTATCCCTTCGATAGTCAAGATAGTTAGCTAAGATACCTAAAATATATAAAATAGCTAAGATATATAAAGCACCTAAGAGATATATGATACCTAAGATACATGTTGCCACCCACTGTATTATAGAAATATCGCAAGATCGATACAGGACTATTCCAATATCTTCACAGTCGGGCGGGTATTAGATCCCGGGATCTTGGATTGTGGATGCCCTAAGAGTAGAAATACAAGGCGTCTTCGTCTAATCTATCCTGCACCCACTGCGGCCAGGCATTAAACTTGCGATAATCGTAGGTGATCCAGCGATTCATGCACACAAGCCAGTAGTACCAAGGCTCGGTACACTTGCCATCCTCCTTTGCCCGGGCACTCGCGCCTTTGCTTCCCCGCACCGACGCATCCACCTTCTTCTTGGAGTCATCGTTGATCTTGACACTCGCCTTGCGCAAGAACGCCATCGCCATCATCAGGGCGACCCAGTGCGTGGCGAGCAAGACATTCACCTGGTTGGTCATGTCGATGATGCGCTGAAACTGGTCAAACGGCAGGCCCTGCCACCAGATGAAGTGGCCCATGACGCTCGTGTACACCTTGAACGCGTCCGTCCGGGCGTGCGCCACGATGCTCTCCAGGTTGGCGAGATACGCCAGCTGCAGGCCGTCCGCACAGGTGAACCGGATCATCTCCAGAGACGTCTCCCCCGCGTCGAGCCACGGCTTGTCGAGGGGCGGCACCGCCTGGAGGTACCTGCGCATCGTCTCGATGGAGTCCTTGGGCTCGAGGTTCTGGAACAGCGGCGGGAAGCCGAGCCGGATCATCTCCCCGCGCAGCGACGCGGAGCCGCGCGTAAGCGTCATGAAGTCTTGGATGCCGTCGCCGAGGTACTGCGACTGGCCCATGAGCAGGTAGCAGGACGCGACCAGCGCGCTGCCCTGGTCAAAGGACATGATGGACTGCCCGTAGTGCCGGGAATCGGTCTGCGGCTTCCGGTCTCCGGCAATCTTGGCGGACTTTCTAGGTTTTGGATTTTTGCTTTCCTTCGGCGCTGCGATATTGGCTGACGGTTCAGGCTCTTGAAAGGATGCGATGACTTTTCGGAATAGCTGAATGGCCTTGCAGCGATACGCCATGGCGGGCACAGAGAGGCTTGAATTGGTGCCGCCATTGGCTTCCAAATCGGCAGCAGCGAAGCCAAGAATGGCATATAGGAGGAAATTATGCTGTTGACACATTGTAAGGTCAAGTTCACAAACTCGGGCATTGACGGTATGCTCACGTGGTGGGAGAGGCAGAGGACATCTTGTTTCCAGACTTGCTCGTTGCCTAGGGGATAGACCGGACGGCACTGCAGAAGGAAGTGCTGAAAGAAGTGCATGTCCAGCATTGTAAATCTTGGCACTTGGTCGGGCTGGATTGTCAGTCGTACATTACAACTTTGGAAGGGAAAGTTGGCCTACCGCTGTGTATAGACAGGCTTGGGGCGGATACTCGCACGTGTAGCCAGACTTGAGACAATTGCGACATGCTGGCCGTTCTTCTTTACACTGAAATGTTGTGAATGTTTCTCCTTTAAGAATATTATGTAGAAATCTCACCTTGATACGTCTTCGCTTGCAATTAAAACAGCCAGTGCGCGTCTTGCGGTGACGAGGCCTGTCATGGGTCTTCGTCGTCACTGGCTGAGTGTCATTGCTAGAACTGGTTGTTCGCGGTGATACGACTGCCGAGTCATTTCTTGAAATATTCCCTTGGAAGATTGGAAAGGTCATGTCCATAGAGCAACCGCAGCACGACGGCGGTAGTAGCACAATCGATATCTCAGATTGGCCGTTCCTTGGCGGCGGGTTCCAGCAAGTCGACGCCTCAGTGGGAAGTGTATGGCAGACAGCGGTAGCTGAGCCCAAAAGCCGTTGTTAAGTTGATGATTTCTCAATCTGCTGAACATTGCATGGCCTTCCAGAGAAGAAAATGTTTTTGTCAAATTGTGACTCAGGCGTGAGCCCTGTCCAGAAGAGATGAATGGAGGTTCTAGGTGCAAGGCTGATTTAGACCCCTGTCGGGGGCCCTGAAGACAAGCTGTTTAGCGGATGTGGCGCCTGTGACGCAGGAGGTTTAGCGGCGGTTACCTTTCGGAATGGGCACGAAGCTGGGAGTGAAGAAGCACAATTTGCCGTCTTCAATTAAGTTCATTGAAATGTAGTCAGAATACTTTATGTTTTATAACCAAGAGAGCTGCAATTTGTGGTATTTACTTTTTCTAATTCTACATACAACAATAATGACATTGTTTAAGTCCACGACCTGCAAGAAAGGAAGGCGGTGAAGCCATTCTGTACACCAAAATCCCCCGCCAAATATTCTGCCAACATCCCCCACCTTGAGCCGCGCGACGACAACTTTTTGATAATCGCACGATACGAGTCGACTAGGGAGATTGAAGACGGCAAGTCCGTCTATAAAAAAGGGGATTCAAGATGGTCAATATTACGGATAAGATCAAGGAGTATGGCGCGCCCCGGGCCCCGGTTGGCGAATTCACGGCTGACATCGGTTGCAGGATTGAGGATGAGATGAAGAGGACACAAAGTAAGTGATCATAATCGACGACATATAACACACGCCTCAAATCCTGGATGTTTCACTAATACTATTCATTAGAAAACAAGGCCACAGGTCTGTGATCTCCCGAGGACCGCTACCATCGCGACACTAACGCATCGCACAGAATATCATCTTGGTCTATTAAAAGGGTACACACCCCTCCCTAACCCCTCTCACGACCCGTGACATGCTCCTAACACACATTCAGTAAACTCGCTCGGCTCCGCGCGCAACTTCTCGAGCCCGGACCCGGCAGCGGCGGCGGTCCCGGCGCCGGCTTCGACGTCAGCAAGTCGGGCGACGCGCGCATCGCGCTCGTCGGCTTCCCGTCGGTCGGCAAGTCGACCTTCCTGTCCAAGGTGACCAAGACCAAGTCCGAGGCCGCGTCGTACGCTTTCACGACGCTGACCGCCATCCCCGGCGTCCTCGAGTACGGAGGCGCCGAGATCCAGCTGCTCGACCTGCCCGGCATCATCGAGGGCGCCGCGGAGGGCAAGGGGCGCGGTCGCCAGGTCATCTCCGCCGCCAAGACGAGCGACCTCATCCTCATGGTCCTCGACGCCACCAAGCGCGCCGAGCAGCGCGCCCTCCTCGAGGCGGAACTCGAGGCCGTCGGCATCCGGCTGAACCGAAGTCCTCCGTACGCAACAAGCCTCTCCCCCTTCCCCGTCTCCGGCACACAAAACAGAACAACCCCCTCTCTTTCTGCGCTCCGTCACTAACACGCGCGTTTAGCAACATCTACCTCAAGGTCAAAAAGGCCGGCGGCATGAAGATCACGTTCCAGTCACCCCCCAAGAAGCTCGACGAGAAGATGCTGTACAACATCCTGCGCGACTACAAGATCCTCAACTGCGAGGTGCTCGTGCGCGACGACGAGGCCACCGTCGACGACTTCATCGACGTCATCATGAAGGACCACCGCAAGTACATCAACTGCCTGTACGTGTACAACAAGATCGACAGCGTGTCGCTCGACTTCCTCGACTCGCTCGCGCGCGAGCCCAACACGGTCGTCATGAGCTGCGAGCTCGACCTCGGCGTCCAGGACGTCATCGACCGCTGCTGGCAGGAGCTGCGCCTCATCCGCATCTACACCAAGCGCAAGGGCATCGAGCCCAACTTTGGCGAGGCGCTCATCGTGCGCAGCAACAGCTCCATCGAGGACGTCTGCGACCGCATCCACAGGAACATGAAGGACACGTTCAAGTACGCTCTCGTATGGGGCGCCAGCGCGCGGCACATCCCGCAGCGCGTAGGCCTCGGCCACATGGTGAGCGATGAGGACGTGGTGTATATTGTCAGCGGGTGGAAAGCATAGATAATATAAGTCAATAAAAGGATACTTTGTATAGGTTGTCTTGGGGCAGGAGAAAGTCGTAATGCAATAGATGTAAGAATGTAGCATTGTTCTCAATCTGACGTTATGAACAAAAGAAATAAATAATCCGCATCTTCCGTGATAGCCAAATTCCAACCCCGTAATAACCGTGTACACCATTCATTACTTTCCAAAGCGTCCGCACATGGCGTCAACGAAATAAAAAGAATCCTAAACGCCCAAGTCTAAAGTCGCATCCACGCCGCCGCCACTGGCTGAAGAAGAACATGGTCTTGGACTCTACAGCCAGCCAGCATGCATTTTTCGGGCGGCGACTGGACGTTGAAACGTCAAAGCAATGTAATTCCGCGTCGCATCAAACCCAAGGACGTAACAGGCAAGAAGGAACCAAACGAAACCCGACAATGCCAAAAGAAAGAATCATTTTATATGTACACAGGATAGCAGTACGTGCATCCTGGATATGGTTCGCTTTGTTCTTGCAATTTATTCCTTGGGGATGGACTTGCTGCCAAAGAGGTTGTCGGCGCTGAGCTTCTTAGCGCTGGCCTGGGCAAAGAGCGACTTCGGCTTGGCTCTGTGCAAAAGCGCGTTAGCAATGGCAAATTGAGGTACGGCACCGAGACTGCAGCTTACTTGTTGACTTGCTTGTTCCGGAGAGCGCTGATCTTGGCCGAGCAGGGGCTCATGATGTTGTCCGAGGGCGAGACGTATTGCTTGGTACTAAAAACCATCAGGGCCTTGTTAGTGGGCAATCGCGGCAGGACGGTGATGGACGGCGCAGGAGAGGGAGCAGAACAAGAAGCAGAAGAAGCAGAATCAGAAACCAACGACGGGCAAGGAGAAGAAGAAGAAGAAGAAGTAGAACAAGACGAGGCATCTGAAGAATTGGCAGTGTTTTTGGCGACGGCCGCGGGACGAGAAGACGTCACGGGCGGCGTGCTGGGCACCTTGCGAAAGGACGCAGAGGATGCTTTGCGAGAGACGACGTACGGTTCCTGGGCCATTTTGCTCTGGAAGATTTGGCGGTGGTAGTCCATGCTCTTGACATCCTTGCACTGGGCGGTCTGCTGCTGCTGCTGCTGCTGCTGCTGCTCCATGGAGGCGTTGACGTCCTTGTCGCCGAGAACGTGGGAAGACATGGCGATCGAGTCGGGTGGTGATGCAAGGCGAATATTGTTGTATTTCCTGAAGGCTGATGCGGACTGGCAGCGGTGTTGTGTAGCAGCAGTGGATGGATGGATGAGAGTTGAAGGAGACAGAAAAAAACCGAAGAGCAGAGGCAGGCACGGCAAGACCCAAAGGTGGTAGGTATGCGGGCAGCCCTTTTTTTGTGTGGAGAGTGGTGGTCCGGTCCCGTCTTCTAGGAGGTTGCCTTTTCCAGTGAAACACTCTTTTTGATTACAATACCAATTCAACAGGATGCTTCCTCTTCTTGTTCTTTTTTTGGAGAAGTGAGAGAAATGAATCTGCCTGTGTGGTAAAGTAAGCTTCAATCGTGCAGGATGGGAACAACGGTCGTTGTCTTTATATCTGGGTGTGTGTGTGCGTGGCAACAACAACAAAAAAACAACATCAAATAGGACGTATAACAAGAAAAAGGGTTGGCGTAGGAGGACAGCTTCTTTGATCTGTGGTAGTCTGTACTTGCAGCTGCCGTTCACGGTGCGCCAGCAGAGCAAGTAAGAAAAAAATGGTTGGCCAAAGTAAACTTGGGTCACGGTCGACCGGGCAACGGGGGTAACGGGTACCTGGACGGGAATGCTGGCAGTGGAGTCCCTGTGGCGGCTTGTGGGGGTGGTTAGTGGCTGATGGTTGTCATCAATGGATTCAGTTCCAGATGTTCCAGATACCCTGGACAAGCAACGGGATGACAGGGTCACAAGGTTTTGTTTCCGTCTAAACATGCATCGCATAAAAACAGATGAAAGGCTTTCAACAGCTCTTTCTCTGACCTTGCTTAGCGTATCTGCTAGGTAAGTGCCGAAGTCTGCTTGTCGCTGACGAATCAACATACTACTACCAAGTCTATCCTGTGGCTATTATAAGCCGCAACTTAATATTACCATGTACAAGGTACATGTCACTCACGGGATGCAAACAAATAGCGACCGACATATCGACGAAACCCTGCTCATAGTTTGTGACTCACGATGCGAGTTCACCCCAGAAACCGTGTTCCCCAACGCCATCTTGCGTCTAGCTGGGATGCACCGCATGAATCTGATATGTTGCACAGGCCAGCCAGCAATCACGGACGACCCGACAACAGACGATGCACAGCAGGCGGGCTTGCTGCCGGCCGCGTACACGGCCGGCTTTTAGCCTCATAGATCAGGTTGCAGTGCTATGCGGTGCTTCATCAATATGCATGAATCCTATCATTATTCATGTTTTGCTTGATTCATCTCTTTGCCGATCCCGTGTCCGAGATGGGTTGCCCGCACGCGCCACGAATTGACTGCCGTCCACCACGACAAAACGACCATGGCCGTTCATCACAACAGTTACCTGCTAGGACTATCACTGCGATACACAAGCAATGTAGCGTTCAACGGACACAGTTCCTCCGACAGCTCATTCTATAGGCCGCCACAAATAAGGAAGCCCCCGTATCCAGTCGCGTTACCGATATGACCATCGGTACTAAGGGGGCTGATGAGTGTTTGCTCGTCAAGTTGCACAGCAAGCTATTTAATTTCACATCACGGTGTAGTTACTCATAGGACAGATCGTTGTTACAATTTCATTCAATAGATTCCTTTTACATGCGCAGTCACAGCGACGCACACGCACGCCCCTCACAGCTTGGCGTGCTTAATCTGCGAGCCAATCTCCTTCTTCTGCACGCCGTAGCGCTGGAGCAGCTCCTTGGACTTGGCCTGCTGCCACTTGATCTTGTCCGTCGCCTGCTTGCCGCGCTTGTTCTCGTTGCGGCCCATCTGCTGCAGATGCACCTCGTCCGGCCCGTCCGCGAAGCGCAGCGTGCGGATGCCCGCCCACATGTTGGCCAGCGGCGTGTCCTGCGAGATGCCCGCGCCACCAAACGACTGCACCGCGCGGTCGATGACGGTCAGCGCCGTCTGCGGGATCAGCACCTTGGCCTGTGCGATCTCGGTCAGCGCCCGCTTCGGGCCCTGCTCGTCCATCTTGACGGCCGCGTTGAGCACGATGAGGCGCGCCGCGTCAATCTCGATGCGCGACTTGGCGATCCACTCCAGGATGACGCCGTGCTCGCGCAGGAACTTGCCAAAGGGCTTCTTGCGCTCGTCGTTGACGCGCATCAGCATCCAGTCGAGGGCGACTTCAGACTGTAGCGGGAGTTAGCATCTGCGGCATCGGGGTTCGTGCATCCGTGCAGCGGAGAAGGGGGGTGGTTGGGTGAACTTACAGCGCCAATGGAACGCATGGCGTGATGGATGCGGCCGGGACCCAGACGGCCCTGGATAATCTCGAAGCCGCGGCCCTCGCCCAGAACCATGTTGCTGACGGGCACGCGGACGTTGGTAAAGGTAATCTGGCCGTGGCCGTGGGGCGCATCATCGTAGCCGTAGACCTTGAGCATGCGCTCAATCTTGACGCCCGGGGTGCCGGCGGGCACGAGAACAACCGACTGCTGGCGGTAGACATCCTTGTTCTTGGCGTCCGTCTTGCCCATAACAATGTAAAGCTTGCAGCGGGGGTCGCCGGCGCCGCTGGACCACCACTTGGCACCGTTGAGCACGTACTCGTTGCCCTCGCGGCGAATGTCCATCTGGATGTTGGTGGCGTCGGAGGAGGCGATGTCGGGCTCCGTCATGAGGAAGGCAGAGCGGATCTGGCCGGCCATGAGCGGCACCAGCCACTCCTTCTTCTGCGCGTCGTTGCCGTACTTGGCCAGGACCTCCATGTTGCCCGTGTCCGGGGCGGCGCAGTTGCACGCCTCGGAGGCGCTGCGCGAGCGGCCGAGCCACTCGGCCATGAGGCCGTACTCGAGGTTGGTCCAGCCCGGCGACTCCTTGTAGTGGCCCTTGGGCAGGAACATGTTCCACAGGCCGAGCTTCTGCGCCTTCTCCTTGAGATCATCGATGATGGCGGGGTGGTTCTCCCAGCGGGCGTCGCCCTCGCCGATCTGGGCTTCGAGGACGGCATCGGCGCTGAGAAGGGGATCAGTAGGCGAATAGGCACCACGCAGAGAGGACGGCAGGACGAAGGGCTTACGGGATACACTCCTCCTCGACAAACTTGGCGACAACGTCAATCGTCTTCTTGGCCTGGTCGCTCACCAGGTGGGAGACCTGGAATATGTGTCAGTCCGCTTTTTCATGATTGACGCTGGGGCACCGGGATAGGCGGACATACAATGGCGGGAATCTTGTGCGACATGATGAGACTGGTGATGGGCGATGACAGGAAGGACTCTTTTTCCAGCATTCGAATATAGTAATATAGTTACGAGGACCTGGTGCTTTTCTCTCGTCTACTATCTCAGGAGAAGAGGGAAAAACAAAAGGGCCAGGATGAAGATGCCAAAGAGTATGAGGGAGGAGATAAATAAAAATGGCGGAAACGGGGATTACGGGCGCGGGGGGGACGGCAAGTTGAAGTACGAAACTAGCAACGACGAGGGCTTAGCTTCTGTGGAGGATGTAAGATTATAACTAATTGATGATCGATTGGAAAAGGAACCGGCGATGGATACCAGGGTAGTGTGTCCAAGAAGAGATGAAAGGGAAGACGGGGGAAGGGCAAGTTGAAGGTGACATGAGTTGAGGTGCAGGACCGGAGTTTTGGCACAAACGACCGATCGCAGAACGGAGCCGAGGCTCTGGGGAAGCTTTGGCGGGCGCTGATTAGCTGGTCTGGGCGGAAGCGGCCCCAGCCTCGGACGGGCGGTTGGTGGAACGAAACTGGTTACCGGGAAAAAAGCCCGTTTTCTTTCTTTGCTGGAATTAACGGGTGAAGCTAGTTAGTTATGAGGGGCTTCTCGAGTTGTTCATTTGTCGCTGATGCGCATGAATCCCACGAATGACAGGTCGTGGGGAAGCTTGACTCCGTGGACTTGGTGACGGCCCCTCGGCTACGGGGGTGCGACCTCGGTATGTCTGTATATTGTAGTTAGAGCTTGGGAGCTTACCTCACAATTTAGTAAATTGGCTTGATGCTGGTAGGACATTTATGAACTAGTCAGTGGCCTGATGTATCCAGCTACTTCCGCTTCCTGTCAAACATCAGCTCATAACTTGCACCATACACTACCCATCCATGGTCGACGCACAGTACATCCATCAGCAAGTATAATTTCAAAGTCAATATCAATACTCCCAGTTCGAGATATTCTACATAAAAAAAGGACGGCGCGAACAATCAAACCCAGTGACGGGGTATAACACGTCTCTTCCTCCATCGTCTCCCCTCCACCAGCGGTCTATTTCGGGATCCACCACATTAGAAGTAGGTGGCCCTTTGAAGCGGAAAAGCATTAGTCGGAGCGTCTCTTAACAAGCACAGCCGTCGCGGTCGTTCTCGATGTGGATGTTGATCGGATCGTCAAAGTCGCCGCTGAATTCTTCCGACTCTTCCTGCGCGAGGGCGTTCCGGGCAATGACTGTTCCATTCTATTAGCAACTTCATCTCCTCCCATTCGTATATAATTGGCCACTAACCCTCAAAAGCCTGGTCGACATTGATGGCCTCCTTGGCACTCGTCTCAAAGTAGGGAATGTCGCCCTTGGATTGGCAAAAGGTCATGGCGCGCTTGTTGGAAATCTGTACAAGTTAGCAACACGCGCATATACAGGATCTGCAGATACCCTCACCACTCGTTTGCTCTCGTCGACGTCAATCTTGTTGCCAATGACAACCTGCGCACACTAATTAGCCTACTCGTCACTCAAGAGTGGCGCAAGCGCTCGGAGACCACATACGAAGGGAAAGTTGGGGGGATCGCGGGGCGAGGCCTGGATCAGGAACTCATCGCGCCAGCTGTCGAGAGCTTCAAAGCTCTTTGCGTTGTTGACATCGTAGACGAGGACGCAGCAGTCGGCACCGCGGTAAAAGGCCACGCCGAGCGACTGGAAGCGTTCTTGACCGGCGGTATCCCAAAGCTGCCACATGTTAGCCCGTGTGTTGGTATAGTATGCCCAAAAGAGAGAATTTCCGCAGCCGTACCTGCATGGTGACTTGTCTATCGTCAACCAGGACTTCCTTTGTCGAAAAATCGGCTCCAATGGTGGCTTTGTAACTGGCGCTGAACTCTTTGTCGACCTGTGGCACATGGGTGTGTTAGCCTCGTCTTCTATAGACGGATCAATCACCCATAGGATCCTCAAGGATTTTCGTACGTATTGCTTCATCAAGCTGGTCTTGCCGACACCGCTGTCTCCAAGGATGATAACCTAAACGAGTCCCCGTCAGCACGCCGTTGGGCTCCCTCCCGGGCTATAGACCGGGCTGCCATGGTCGGAAACACTGAAGCGTGTCGCACCTTGAGAAGCACCTTCTTGCGTGAAGACATGTTGGGCGCGGTCGGGCGTTTGAGTCGCGTGGTGTGTTGTCAATGACGTGATGCCTTCAGAGGGCGCCGAGCCGGGACGGACTTGGGTGGTCGGTGAGCAGTCGCGTATGCGGTTCTCTATGCCCCTCGAGAACCTGTCACTAGGATAAGGGAGTCGTGGTCGAGGAGTGAGGTATAGACCGTTGCACCTGCGAGGAGAATGTCGTCGCAAGCCGCACGTTGAGATGGAAAGGCAATGGTAGGTAAAGAGGACCAAGATGGTTTAGATTAATCAGGATGACGGTGGTGCGGGTGGGTGCGGGCAGGCTGCAGCGGCGCTAATAATACAGGAGCTGGGACAGGCCGGATGCATAACCGTCCAGCGTTCAGGTTGCAGGAGGCGAGCACAGTATGGTGACGATTAAGTGGAGAAAAAAAAGAGGAGGTCTAAAAACAGTAGAAGTATTTCTCTAAATTATAAATATATGTATTATATCTATAAAGAATAGTATTTATGAATTTTATTGCTTATTTCTTTAAGCCTGATATTATTTAGGAATTCCGTTTCAAGGAGCCTGTGGATACCTATTCGACAGCGTGACTAAGAAGCCAGGTCGATAGGGCGCTTGCCGTTGCCATCTTTGACCTCCACATCGGCTCCATGAACCATCTGTCGTGTACAGCAAAACGGTGGAACCACCTTCTTGCTGGTAGTTTATTAGGCTTGTGTCAACACCATCAAGGCAGCGGCGGCGCCAACAGCGCCATAAACCGCTGCCTAGTGCAAAGGCGCGGCTTCCTTGACCACTCCTGCAGCGTAGCTCTCCTCCTGCGATGTAGCCGAAAGGTAGCTGGCCAGTCGTGACCCCCAGTAGTCGACATCAAGCGTGTCCACCCCTGAGACTGTGGCGGTCATAGAGCGCTGACACTGGCAGCATGGCGACGTCGCTGGTGACGAGATCCGCAGCCAGCTTGGCGAGCACGATGTCTTCCTCCGTATCTACATAGATGCGTGGCTATGCAGTGCAGCAGCGTCCAGTCTTCGGTAGAGCAGACCAGAGGACCCGCGGCGTGTCTTAATAGCAAGTTCGCAGTCTCGGCCACGGCGTACGGTTGATAGATAGCTCTTGACGGCGCGACAGCGCACAGGAGCGGAGTCTAGCCGTTGTTGTTAACGCAGTTGACATCGGCGCCAGCCGAGAGCAGATATTGAACGATGTCGTACTTCTTACCTGCGGCCGCGCAATGAAGAAGCGTTTCTCCGCTGCTATTTTCCAAGTTGATGACGGAAACGTCTGTGTCTGGAGGCAGCTTACTAGCCAGAAGGCTGAAGATTCGCATGTTTGAGCCAGAGGCAGCGTAGTGCAGCGAGGTGTTATTTTCCGTGTCTCTCTCGAGCACGCTGGCACCGTGATCCAGCAAAACTCGAATGCCCTTCTCGTGGAGGTGGCACTCTGGGCCGTTGTTGACGTAGACGGGGCCACCGAGATGATGCAGCGCTGTGGCTTTCTTGTTGAGTCCGCGCCCGTTGGGGTCGGCGCCAGCGTCGATAAGCAAGTGTATAATTTGCTGTTGGTGGGTGTAGTCAAGGCCGCGGGGCCCTTCATAAGGAGTATCCAGGTTGTCGGGAGGAAAGGTAGCAGTGGTGCTCAGAGCCCTATTCAAGGAATAGGCCGAAAAGGTAAACCGCTCTAAAACGAGGTAAACAATGTCGCACGCCAATAGGAGGCTGCGTCGCACAAGATCAAATATCTGAAATCAGTGGGCAGTGTCTAGGCTATCATCGGGGCAGCATGACATAATATCCTCGATGATATTTGCTTTGCCTGCCGCTGCAACTTTTAGAAGCAGAGAGCGATGTATCCAAGGATTTTCATCGTCTTCGAGCCGGGCGTATTGACGCAATCTATGAAACAGGAAGCTGTTGTCTGCTTAAATGGCCGCATCCATGGGTGAGATCTCGGGATGGGAGAAGCCGTTCGTTTCCCACGAGCTAGCACCAGCTTCCAAAAGGATATCTAACGTCATATCGTCGCAGTTTACGGCCAGCTGGAGCGCAGAGCCGAATTGGGCATCACAATAGTTGATGTACGGTTCCCCAGCGGCGACGTGCTCTCTCAGCTTAGGCACGTCATCGTCGTAGACAGCGAGCAATTGCTGCATCTTAGCATGATAAAGCTCAGCCTCAGCCTTTTAAAAGCTCAGACCCAAGCATATATATATGGATCGAAGCATCGTCTCCTGTTTCGCCACTTTCAGCTAAAGAGATCTGAATGCGGACCACACACATTCTAGAATCCATCCACTAAGCAAAGCTAAACTATCACACAGTATAAACAGAGCTGTGTCTTCCCGCCTAGACCAGCTGACTACTATACTGACTACTGTACTAACTACTATACTAACTACTATACTAACTATTAGGTTATAATGGACTACACGGATTTGCTTTCGTCGCACCGCATACCGCTTTTCGGTTAGTTCGACGATTCTAGCATTAGCCTGAACCTTGGAATGTAATATTGTGTCGTAAACCATTGTTTCATGTAATTGATAAGGGTTATCACTGCGAGAGATAGGTATGTGGAGGACTACCATCGAGTGTCAGCTCAGAGAGACTTCCTCTAGCATAACTCAACAACAGCCATATTCATTCTCTAGCAGAGAGTCAATTCAATAACGCCTGTATATTCTGTCTACAGAAGGATCAAGTTTAGAGCCAGCTAACGTGCATCATCAGATACCAATACAATACATTCCACATTCCCTCACCCAGGCTAGCAACAACACCAAGATGCGGGCCACGATCATTATAGCGACTACTAGCGCCCTACTTGGTGCAGACGCCTGTTTTATTACTTGCACGGACGGTAGCGTTCACAACGTCGGCGCCCCAATTGACATAAAATGCCCTGGATACCAGCAGTATATCAAAGCTGCCCCTGGATATGCGGACATTGTCTACTTCGACGGACGCCCAAGTTCGTGTGTGGACAGCGAAGGTTTTAGTTTGCAGCACATCTCTCAAAATGTTATTGGGTGTGGTAACGGCGCGCAAGGTCGCTGTTGTGGCGGAAACCGCTGCAGCTAGAGGCAGGCTACGTTCGGAGGGCAAGTGTACCTCAATCGAAATACTGTTATATAGATAGCACTTTGATTTATATGCGGCCCTCTGGCGGAGCTGGCAGGCAAACGTGGGCGAGGACCGTTTTGTTTTATTTTTTTGTGGTTGCTACAGCTAAGCTCTGCTTGCTGTCAATAGTTCGGATCTTCTCGTACGGCTTCAACAGCCTTTAAATACTAGGCTTTGCTTACCGCATATTTTCTTGCGCCCAACAAGTAAAAGTGCTGTGTCAGGCGCTACAGCTAACCAAGACGGCACAATGTGCTACTAATAATGAGTACTTTTCCTCACCGGTTAATTAACCTTATTTAATCGCGGAAGAGAAATTTGTTTGCATATTCCTAATAGCTTAAACTCTTCTAAAGTTAATTACATTTTTCTTATAAGAGAACTTTTTATTATATATATATATCTACCTTTCATAGAGTTCTAAAAGTAGTGTATAGTTACTTACTCTATATTAGACCTAACTACTATATAGGAAACTATAATAAATATAAAACTTAGTAGGTATTCTAATAATTAAGAGCATATATCTCCATCTTATAGCTAAATATAGTAGTAGTTTATCTTTAATCTATTGTTAGCCTATTTCTTAGTTACTACTTTACCCTAGTGTGTGCCTTTAGTTATTTTTATAGATTTAAACCATAGAACCTTGGGCACGGTTAGTTGCGCTACATATACTGTAGCTGCCTAGCGCCACACATGCCTCGGCAGGTTACAGCGAGAGGCGTCACCAGCCACAGAAGGTTGCGCCACTACCTTGCAGCAGCTCCAAGCTTCATGCATCCCCCCATGATCTGACCATCTCTATGGACTCGCCCCCAGCGTCTCCCACGCTGCGCTGGCCATGGCAGACAATGGCCTCATCGACAAAGTCCATGACCTGAGCGACCTCGAGCTTGCCGTGCTACTATGTCTTATTAGCCGTGAGCACTGTCTGATCAGCACACCGGCCAGTACAATTGACGAGTTGGTCCTGGAGCTACAGCTGGTATGCTACCGTCAGAACCGAATGCCGTCCATCGGCGTCTTGGCGAAAAAGAGGATGGGGAAAGTCCAGAATTGACATTCCCGATTTAGATTGCTACAAAGACCTTTGGTCTCGAATGGGCCGTAATCAATTGCTCCCCATCCACCACTCTCGAGGACTTCGCCTCGGCGATCCTCTCAACCGCACCGCCGCCGCCCGACGGCAACGCGCCCACCAAATCCTACTTCCCCTCCCCGAGGCACATCCCCTCTCTCCGGACCGGCTTGACCAGCTCAACAACCCCCGGCGGCGGCAGCACCGCCAGCCCGCAAATCGCCAACGTGGTGCTCGCCCGGGACCTCGACCGCGCGCCGCACGCCGTCCAGATCCAGGCGCTCGAGCTTCTGCGCACGCGCCGCCTCTTCACCCGCACCACCGTGCAGGTCGCCCCCAAGCAGTTCGTCTTCGTCCCCGTGCTCGCCGCGGCCCGCGGCGGCCGTGCCCGCGTCACCCCGCACCTCAACGACTTCCTCGCCATCGCCCACTGGCACGATCCCGGCCACGGCCTGGTCAACCTCGAGGAGCAGCAGGCCGCCGAGAGCCCGTACCCGGACGACGACGCGGCGTCGACGGGCAGCATCGTCAAGAGAGCGGCTGCGCGTGCTAAGCGACACCCACACCCGACGGCGCCGGCTCTGATATCCAAAGACGTAAGAAAATCCCCTTTGCCCCTTGATTCGGGGACGGGCGGAAGAACAATTGCTGACGCGATGACACCTGCAGGACATTATCTGCCTTCGCGAAAAGGGCGAAAAGGTGCACGTCGACGTCGATGTCATCCGCTACCAGATGAACGTCGTCTCGTTCCTGCGCATGCACCGCGCGATCGACCAGGGCATCACGCCCGCGGCCACCGCGCACTTTGGCCAGCTCATGCGCAACCTCGCGCCCCTGCACCGTCTCGACTGCGTCACCCCGGCGCTTGTCGGCCTCGCCGCCCGCAAGGTCTACCTGCACCGCATCCGGATCGCCGACCCGCACAAGGAGAGGAGTATGCAGTGGGGGAGCAAGTTGGAGGCTGTCGAGGCCCTGTTGCAGGACGTCGGCCCGGAGGAGGTGCTCGACGAGGTCCTCACCATGGTGACTGCGCCTGTATAAATATCCACACATAATTGACCACATGCATTGAGTTGAAAACGATGCAATATCTGACGCTTCAATTGTTATGTCTACAATTGTGTAGTAGCAAACGTAAATGCTCTTCTAGCCATCCTCAACGATGCTTGTGATTGCTGTGAACCCCATCGAGTTTCGTACCGGCGTAACCCTGTATATTTTGATTACTTCCGCCCTCAATCGTGAAAAGAACGCCGAGAAATACACATAGCCCCTCAAAAATAAATACGAAAACAACCCTCCCATGCAGTTATTGTTTTATGCAATCTTATTCACCTGGCACTTCCACCCCGAGTTGGCCTCGAGCAGGGGCAAGCTGGCGCCCAAGCACCAGCCAAGCTCGTTGCCATCGATCTTCTTGGCAATCTTGACCTCGCGGTCGATGGGCATGTCGTAGCCGGTATGCAGCAGAGCCAGCATGAAGCTGAGGTCCAGGCAGTACTCGGGGCGATCGTTGAGCTCGGCCATGGCCTTGGGGTTGCTCTCAAACGAGCTCCAGCCCTTCTTGCCCTGGCAGACGGCGTGCGTCAGATCGTGCATCTCGCGGAGAGTAAACGATTCGGGCATGCCCAGCGGCTCCATGCGGTCGTAGAAGAAGGAGAAGACGAGAATCTCCTGCTTGGCAAAGGTCTTGGCCAGCGCCGGTTGGTGAACGCCGTTGAACGAACAGGGGCCCATCTTGCAGGCGGCGTCCTTATTGAGCAGCTTCTCGGCCAAGCTGCGGCACTGCGCCGACGAGGGCTCGCTAGGGCCGACGAAGGTGACGTCGTGCTTCTTGTCCTCACCGAGCGTCACGTTGACCTGGCGCTCGAAGCCGGGTAGGATGCAGGGGTGAACAATGGCCTCGGAGAGCCACGTCTTGTCGGAGCCTTTGCTCTTGGCGAGCTCATCGATCAGAGCCTGGTGGATACGCTCGCGCGCGGCCATGAGACCGAACTTGAGGTGCGAGTGCTGGTACAACTCGAACTTGTGGCCGCCATAGTTGAGCTCGTACTTGTGCTCACCGTCGGCAAGCTTCTCGGGGGTCGCGCCCTCAACGCTCTTGTAGAGGGGTTCGAAGACAATCTGGGTAGAACCGCCGCCGAGATCGAAAATGGCGGCAGTCTCGCCCTTCTCCCCGCCCCCAATCTTGCCGAGTAGGTAGTTGGTGGTGATCCAGGCGTAGACGCCCTCGTCGGAGCCGTCCATGAGAGCGACGCCATCCTTGTCGGCGGAGACAACGGGGAAGGGGTAGTCGTTCTCGAGGTGTGTGCGGACCTGCTTGAGGATGGCGTCGGCCTTTTCGGCGCCAATCAAACGCAGGCCGGCGGTAGCCTTGACAGCGACGGGGGTGCAGCCCTTGAGCTTCTCAGGGACATGCTCCATGGCCACCTTCATGAGGGGATCCAGGCTCTTGGCGGCAGCGACAGGATCGTCCTTGTACGCGCTGAGGCCGCCGACGCTCTTCTCAGTCATCTTGAACTCTTCACTCTCGAGCTCAGGCATAGCGCCGCAGTTGTTGAACTTGTAAACGTGGATGCGGGAGCCCGTGCTGCCGGCATCAATCATGAGGACATATTGCACGATCGGCTTCTCCTTGCTGTACGACTTGGAGCACTTTTTGGTAGAGTAGGCGGCGTCGTCGGCATCATGGGTTTCGACGCTGTCACCGCCAGTAGCGGGAGGCTTGGTGGTATCTTTGCCCGGGGAAGAGTCGGATCCGGAGGCGGGCTTGGAGGGCTCCTTGGTCGAGTCCGCGGGCGGAGTGTTGACGGCGGGCTTATCGACTGGCCTCTCGGGAACGGGTGTGTTGACGCCAGTGGTCAGGCCAACGGGCTCGGGGTTCGTCTTTTGAGAAACTGTACGTAGTCAGCAGGGAGTGCAAGAGTCAATTCGCAGGAAGGACAACGGACCGGAGGGCTGGACAGAGACGCCAGAGGGCGACAGCCAGTAGAACAGACAGATGATGGTAAAGACAATGGCGGTCGTTTTGAAGTACCGCGTCTTTGACGACTGAGACGCCCACGATTCCTTCATCTTGGCAAAGAATCTTGGTTTTCTGGACTTGGGCTGGTAGCGACCGGGTTTCTCGTGGGGGTCGTGGGAGCGGTTGGTGGCGAGCTCTGGCGGTGTCAAGATGCCCGGCATCAGGCTTTTGGCACCTCGACTCGCGCGACGAGAAATTATCTTGTTCAACGAGATGCGCACTCACACAAGCGAGGCGCAAACAAGGCAAACAAGATGGCTGTACGAAAAACAAAGATGGTGAGTAAATGAGCGAATGAAGTACAAAAAAGGGTCGAGTCTAGGAAGAAGAGAGAGGGACAGGGTCAACGATGCACAAGCCACGATGTGGGAGGCAAGGAAGATGATGTTTGGCCTGTGCTGATTGGGCGATTGTAGAAGTACCGTGCCAGAGACTGTACGGGTGGAATTTTACACACGATTCACTGGAGATTTCACAGTGTGGGAGGAAGTTTTTACGCACTGGGAACTAAAGGCCGGAGAGAAAAATTCAGGGGAAGATCCGCCCTTGATAAGTTAGGGGCAGCCTCAGTATTGCAGTGGGTCGGAGTTGCGACTCAAAGCTGTCACTGGTATCCTGTGTCTTTTTCCCATTGAAAAGCGCAAGATTATTTCTATGAACTTCAAGTGAACACAAGTGAACATCAAGTGAACATCAACGCATTGGTTCAAGAATGAATGATTAGCTGACCTAGATCAGCCTTTCATGGTCCTCCCGTTCTCGCCAGCTGCCCCATGTCATTGTAATGGTACTGTGGCGTACCTACCCACTGAAGATACTGCGTAAGAGCCGCTTTGCTTGAATTTTATTTGATGAAAGTTTTGGGCATGAAGCTATTTCAGAATCATCAGGTCAGTTGAACTATCCGTGCATCCTCTCCATACTCCGCATCTTTCACCTCGTGACACAGGTACGGCACGCGTATTAGTGTTGCCTGTTGCGCCACATGCGGCGCGGGCACCCGCCACTCCGCCAACCGCCACGGGTTGTCCGCATCCAACCACAATGTGACGATGCGCTTCTGCTGCCTTGGCTGAACCGACCCTACATTATTAGCGTAAACTGCCTTTCTTCTTCCTATAACTTGTCACGGCTACACTCATACTCCATTACCGCCCTCTCAAAATTGACAATTCATTTCAATACACCCGCCCGGTTCCCCGCATTGCCTGCCACTCACAGGCATGGATGGCCCGGTTGGCATGGAAGTCCACCTGCTGGTGTATGACTTGTCCCGCGGCCTGGCCAAGGACATTTCCCTGAGCGTCTTGGGGTTCCAGCTCGACGCCATCTACCACACGTCTATAGAGCTGCGCGGCCGTGAGTTTGTCTACGACGGCGGCATCCTGGAGATTGTCCCAGGCTCATCGCACCTGGGCCGGCCGCAACAGCGGCTACGGCTAGGCACAACATTGCTCCCGATGGATGTCATTCGGGAGTTCCTGACTTCTATAAAATCCATCTACACTGCCGAGGTAAATTTTGCCGCCCAAGAACGCAGGCATAACCCATGTTAATGTAATCAGGCATACGATCTATTCAACCACAACTGCAATAACTTCACAGACTCGTTTTCCAATTTCCTCCTCGGAAAAGGCATCCCAGAACACATCACAAGCATGCCGCAGGCTGTACTGGACTCACCTATGGGCAGGATGATGTTGCCTCGACTTACCCAAGGCATGAACGCACGGCGGAACGGCCTGCTCGGACTCGGTGAGACGGCCGCGAGTGCGGCCGAACCCAAGCGTCTCAACCAAGTCCACAACGCCATCCGCATCGAGGACTACCACCAACTTCTCGCCCAATCCTCCAAAGCAGCCTCGGTCGTCTTCTTCACGTCGCCCACATGCCCACCATGCAAGGCGTTCTACCCCTTCTACGACCAAGTCGCTGAGCACTACGGGCGCTGCATCGCCTTCATCAAGGTCGACATCTCACTCGCGCACGAAATCGCCGCCAAGCACGAGGTCACCGCCACGCCCACCTTCCTCGCCTTCTTTCGCGGCGAGCAGCTCAAGCGCTGGACTGGCGCCGACCGGCACGCCCTCGAGAGCACCGCACGGCTGCTCGTGCAGATGGGCACGCGGCTGCACGCCCACGACGGATTGCAGCTGCCGAACTTGTCACCGCACGCGCAGCCTGTGCTGTACCCTAAGACGCCGCCACTTAGCAAGCTTCACGTCAAAATGGGCGCCTTCAGCCTCAAACCCGACATCCAGGCCGTCACGAGCTTCCTCGAGCTCCGCGAGAAGAAGCAGCCGGCCGTGCTCGGCACGTCGGGCCTTCTCACCCTGGGCCAGTGCGTCCGCGGCGCCCTGGACCAGCTCGCGCCGGACATCGTCTTCACCGCTGTCGACCTGTTCCGCACTGCGCTTGCGGACCCGGACGTGAGTGTCTACTACGCCGAGGAGCGCGACGTACAGACCATCGACGCCATAGCTGCCTACGTCAACAAGTACGGCACCAAATGCCCGTATTCGATGCGGCTCGTGACGCTCCACGCCGTGTGCAACATGTTTTCCACGCCAGTCTTTGCCGGCATCGTGCTCGGCAACGCAGCCTTTCGTCAGCGGGCGGTGTCGCTCATCTCATCCAGTCTCCTCGACGGTGGCCATGCCAACGCGCGCGTCGCGGCCTCTTCGCTGCTCTTCAACCTCACGCTCGCGAACCGCCAACGGCGCAGGGAAGGTGACGCGCCCTCGGAGCGCCTCTCGGTCGAAGAGGAGGTGGAGCTGGCAGCCTCGCTGGTCGAGGCCGTTACGCAGGAGAACGAGTCGGCAGAGGCGCTACACGGAATGCTCCTCTCGCTAGGTCATCTCGTCTTTGGCATCGACCAAGAAGGTGAGCTCGCGGACCTGCTCAGGGCGCTGGACGCTAAGGACATGGTCCTAAGCAAGAAGAAGATCTTTCCACACGAGAAGTTGGTCAAGGAGGTTGGGGAGGAGTTGTTGGGTAAAGGGCTACATAGACCTTAGACATGCGGTCATACGAATTCATTTAGATAAATTAATCGATTAGACGAGCCTCCGTATTCTCCCTATCCGTATGTAACTTCAGCATCTCGCCCACTGCAGGTAGATGATGGCATCTAAATTGTTGTCGGCTATCGGATTTTGCCTGTGATAGAGAAACCGCTGTGATGTAATTTCCCCGCTCGCCTTCTTCTGTGCGCTGATTGCATGTCAACGCTCGTTGAACTGCCCACTTTTGAGGCATACAGCTGTCCCTTGGCGATCTATGGAGTACTTGCCCTCGTATCGGCCCCCAGCGGAGGCAATACACGATGCGTGATCGACGGCTGGCGCGTATACACTGTCTCAGATACGGCTTTGAAGAAGTGTTAAGACTATACCCCTCCTTTTTCTAAACATATCACAAGATCGGCGACCCGTTATGCAAATGCGGAGGCACGTTTGTCTCTGCTACTCACCGCCAGTGTCTCGGCGAGCAAAACTCAACGGAGCCTCGTTGCCCGCGGTTCGCCATGCAGTGCCTTGAAGGCAATGGTGCCCGGATTAGCTAAAATGCATGCGATGCTGTAAGAATGTCTGAGACATGAAATGTACGGCCACAGCCCAGTCCAGCCACCCGACGCAAGAAGATGGATCACGAGAGCGCAGGCTAGACGCAAGAAGCCCGAGGAGCCTGGTTGGGATGAGTGACACCAACGGCGGTGCCAAGAACGATGATCCAAGGTCTGGTGTAGACCGTCGAGTCTCAGAATCAAATAAAGCACTCTACTGATGAGATCAAAGGTGTATGGTCAGATAGGTAAGCGGCGAAGACGTTGGGCAGCGGTGCTTCAAATGCACGACCGCGCAGCCCGAGAGCGCATCAGCCTAACTCGTACCTACAGGGGGACATACTCGTCGTCTCAAACGGCATGGCGGAAGTTTTGCATACGAAGCATCCGTTTTCTGGCCGGCCACGACGCCAAGTCGGATGAGAACGCTAAGATCGCTGCGGGGAGAGAATGCACAAGTACAGTAATAATCATTGACAGCTAACAAAAGATTTTCCATGTCAGTTTAACGTTCCGCCCAGCTTCGTTCTTGATGGCAGCAGCATAATACTTCGCCTGTGATGGAAGTCACGGTAGTATTGAGTTCCAGGCGTGTAAGTCTCAATCAGGCGTGCTGCTTCCTGGTTTCCTGCTGCTCTGGCTATACTTAGCGCTTTATGGCGGTTCTGAGTCGTCGCGTCAGTATCAGCCTGAGAATGTAGTAGCCAGTCCAACGCTTCATGATTTCTAGCACGGACAGCGTATGTCAGCGCCGTCTCGCCGTCTGCCGTAGAAGTGTTGACCTTGGCGTCACACCTAAGCAGAAGCTGAAGATCCCATTGGTTTCCGTACAAGACGGCGTGCATGAGCACCGTCTTACCGTCTGCGTCAGACGCGTTGACATCAGCCTTTTTGTCAATCAGAAGCTTTGCAAAACCTTCCTGCATAGCATGAGTAGGCTCTCTGATATCGCCAATCAAATTCCTAGGCCACAACCTTTCATTTGGCTGCAGAAAGGAAGCATACATCAGTAGCGTCGCGCCTTTTTGGTCTCTCCAGTTGATATCAGCGCCTTTGTCAATCAAGAGCCTTGCCAATTCTTCATCTCCTACAAAGACGGCGACAAGCAGCGGTGTGATGCCGGCGTAGTTGGGTCCACTGACATCGGCGCGTTCGTTGATCAGGACTACCCTCCGAATTTCATGCATGAGGGAATCATCGTGAGAAAACGTCGAGTTGCTGTCCATCTCCTGGGGAGCACTGGAGGGCAACACTTGTCTCGGCTTGTGTAACCATTGGCAGATAGCGCACCACAACGCCGTTATGGAGGAATTGTCATTTTGATAGGGCTCACCAGCCGCGGTTTGGTGCCTAAGTGAGGCTCTTGCACACAACAGTATTTCAACAGCGGCTTGGTGCCCCAATCGAGCCGCCCACATCAGTGGTGTCCAATAACACCGATCTCTCGCCCTACTATTGGCCCTGAACTGTAGGAGGAGGCCGACCATACGCGGCTCGCCTTGCTTGGCGGCACACAGCAACGGTGTCAACCAGTCTTCCTCGGAATATTCAATATCCGCGTGGCTGCGAAGAAGCCTCACAACACCATTGTGCCAGAGCTTCTTAACAGCCCACAAGAGTGTTCGACCGCTAAACTTGAGCGCAAACTTATTGTGCGGCTTTTTACTGTCGGCGCCGAGTTCGAGGAGTAGGTTGAACATGTCCTCATTGCCAGCTTTCGCGGCGGACTCCAAGGCCTCCCACCCATCATCTTCCAGGGAAAGATCCGAAGCGACAGCAAAATTGTAAAGCGACTCATCGCCAGCCAAAAACACATTGCAGAGCACGCTTTTTCTTCTTAAAGTAGAAATAGTCAAGCGAGGGCGACGCTTCTTCTCACCTGCGAGGAATTTATCGCATATAGCGTGAAGCTTATGCCTCCGCGCATCCATGATTGCATTCGCATAGGCCCTCATGAGGGCACCGCGTGCCTGGTGGCTTTCGGCGAATACCGCTGCCAACAGAGGCATGCAATATCGCTCGTCTCCTTGTTCAAAGCCATTCGACTTGCATGGGTGGCGATTTATGAGATTCGCTGCATTGTGCTCTGATAGAATGTACAGCAGTCTCGCACTTGAGACGTGCCGGCGGCTGTCGTATATGGACAGAAGCCTCTGGAGCTTGATCCATTCACAACGAGGGAAGCCTTCGCCGACACATAGATCCTGGCTGACAGCAGTGCCGTCTGCCTCATGGACAGATGCTTCCTGGCTGACAGCAGTGCCGTCTGCCTCGTGGACAGATGCTTCCTGGCTGGCACCACTGCCCTCTGCCTCACAGACAAATGCTTCCTGGTCGACGCCACTACCCTCTGCCTCACAGACAAATGCTTCCTGGTCGACGCCACTGCCCTCTGCCGTATCTGCGTGATGTAGTATATTGCCAACAACATACTCAAGTAGTGGAAATTTATACATGGCGTCATTGCGGAACATTTCGTCTTTTTTTGGGTCGTATACAGTGCAGCTGTCGACACGGGGAGCGCTCAAGCGTATGTATCGGGTACAGCACTGCTTCAGCGTGTTGTGACTTTTCCCTTTAAAGTTTTGCAGGAAGCCTGGCCAATAATCCTTGAGACACCCCGCCCAATAAGCACTCTCGAGAAGAAAGTTCCTCACAGACTCATGAATGAACTGTACAATCTTCTCCCCGCCCGACTCGATCGTCTCTGCCAGCCCTTTGGAGCTATCAATGATGAATTTGTCAATGATTGCTTCTCTGAATTCCTTCTTCTTGTTGTGTATGGAATAGAACCAGGCAGATTCCGGTGTTTTCGTCCTCGAGCCACTGAGAATGGCGTCTCGTAATTGGGCGGGACTCAAGGGTTGTCTGGCGAAGAGTATCCACTGAAGACACAACAGCAATTCAGCCGAAGGTTTGGGTTCGCGTTCTATCATCTGCTTGAAAACCTCATAGAGCTTTCCAGGTGTTTTTTGAATCAAAAGTTCAACATCTTCTAGCCTTCCATGGTCGAAAGCTCGCACGACCCTCGGCACCACCAGCTGCAGCCACAGAAACACTCCTTGAGCCTTTTCCATGAGGCTGTCGCTGATCGTCTGGAGAGTCTCAGGTTCCTGAATGGTACCCTCCAGTTCGTTGTTGATATAAGTCTTCATGTCTTGACCATGCCCCACATGCGACGTGAGGTCAAGGTCGATGCCCCTTTGTTCGTTGATCGATATGTTGGGGTAGAACCGACTCGCAAAGCAGATTCGTAGCACAATACCCTTGTTTTGGGCCTTCTGACCAACACATAGGAGAAATTTCACCATGTCTCGGATCTGGCTTTCTTCACACTCGTCCAGGGCGTCAATCAAAATTATCAATGAAGAGTCGCCAAGTTGGGCAATGGCTTTTTTAAAAAGTGATTTCAAATCAGCCAAGTTCCAATCCGGCGTTTCCTTGCTTTGTTGGCTCATATCGAAGCTGTCGAGGATGCCTTGGAGTCGTGGAAGCGCGTGCAGAAGCTGTTTCAATAAAGATCGGTACATTCCGACCGTGGATTTTGCCAATTCAACTCCTCGAGCATGGAAGAAGAAGGAGATGACAGCATTTCCTTTCTTTCTCCGAGCTTTAAGAGTTTTGGACAAAAATTTCATTAGTGTTGACTTTCCTGTACCGGGATGCCCTTTGATCCATAGGAAGTCACGATTGTCTTTGGATATTTCGGCATTGAGCCACTCGTCGTACTCAGATGCTTTCAACAGCCACTGGCATGTGGATGCAGATTGCTTTGTAATTGTTTTACCATTCATTGCCGGGTTTTCCAGTGATTCCAGGAGGCGCATTCGTCTTCCCTCGATTGTGTCAGGAACGAGAGGCCCTGTGTCTTTGCATGTTAGATCAATTGCCTGGCTTCGTTACATGGGAGGGGGGATGGTTGGGGGCATGGGCGGATCCTTCCTACCTCTTTGAGATCTGTTCGGCGACGGTGACTGGAACTCAGCATCTGGTTCTTCAGTACGACCTCGCTTTGTCCTCATAGCCGAGTCGCTATCAGGGCCTTCTTCGTAAGGACGTTTGGCTACGCCAGGGGCATCTGGGCGGGGGGAGGGGGTCAGTTGACATAGAATTTTTTGAGTGAAGTGGGAAAATAGCATTTACTGACTAGTCTGCATAGTTTGGGGCGTGGGTGTCAGTTTGTCCGGCGTCAAGAAGGCCATGACCAACTTGGCATAGGCTGCAGCCATTATAGCAGCGTATGGCCGAAAAGTGGCTTTCTTGTGCTTGTCTGCGTAGTCGGAAACCCCTCGAATGACTCCCACCCGGAAATCATTCAATATGCCAGCTGCCTCCATCTCAAGACCGATCAGGTTGTGTCGGTCTCGGAGCTGGTTACTCTTTCTCCTGTCTTTCATTACACGATTGCCTGAACCGAGAGACCCGTACCAGACTTGACTCCTCATGGCATCTGGTCTTGAATCTCGAGTCACTTCATGCTCGATTCCGTCCTCATCGACATCAAAGTATATGTCTTCATGGCAACCAGGGTATTCCCAAGAGCAACCCGGAGACACTGCCTTATCCTTGATACTGTTGTAATAATACATCAGCGACGCAGATCCATTTGTCTTTGCGTCCGAGCGCCAAATGTTGCCAAACATGCTTCGAAGCACTGACTCAGAAAGATGCAGCGCTTGACCATGACGCAAGAGTTCAAGCTCAGCATTGCCCGTCTCCTTGCCTAGGTCGTAGGCAACGACTGGCGGCTTCTCATCGAAGGACAATGCCACAAGAACGTCACCCAGACGGATATCTATAGGTGGATTGCACGAGAAATTCGGTAGTCCGGCCGCAATACCGACAAGAAGGCCGATGCGGATGGAGGGGAAGGACATCCTCACTTCAGTGGCAATGGAAGTAGCAGTCGTGGTGCCGTATAAGGTGCCAGGAGGAATGGTCATAATGATGACATTATGGCCACACATATCACCGGCAGTCGGGGCGTAGTGCTTGCCATTGGAGTCGGACTGTGCCCACCTCCCGCGATGCTGATTGTCTAGAGCAGCATAGGCAGCGTCTGCCTCTACTTTCAGCGGGCAAATCCATAAGACAGTGTAGATCTTGGGGTCAAGATCTTGCATGTTGTCCATATTTGTGGGAGGCAAGACTAGCGTGGCGTTCTTGTCGTTTTGTTGAATGAACGATTCGAATGATAAAGTGTTTTTGATCGAGTAGTAGAAAATATAAATCAAAAAAGCCAGACAATGTCAGAGAATATTTCTGGGTTTATATGCCTCGCTGTCAAGGACATGAGAGATGGCAAAGCGTGAGCCGGGCTGGGGATATGTGGTGAGACGAAACGATAGCACATGCAGGGTGAGCGACACATCAAGGAGCCAAGACCCTCGGCTCGTAGGAAGGGGTTGGCAGCCTTTGCTTCAGCATGTTGACCATTGGGTGTCATTGTCCCGTATGGGCTGCCTGAAGGCGCCTACATGCTGAGCCTAGAGGCACGGAGGTAATCCGCAGCCTGCATACAGGAGGAGGCGCTGAGGCATGGGACAACGGGAAAGAGGGTGTGAAGGCCATGCTGGAGGCGTCTCGGACTAAAAAAAGAATTATAGGATAAGGAGGACAATCCCCGTGTTGCGCGGGATGAAGAAGAGAGGAACGTTGTGGCAGCATTGCTGTGATGGCCCAGCGGGTATTTCCCCTCAGACAAGGCTGTACCTATGCAGTTGCTCGATTGCGGTCCACCGCAGATGTGTAAAAGCCCCCGAGAATGGAAAAGACGTAATCCTCGATATAGTGTCGGCGTTTTCTAGGGCTATTCTGAGGTATCACAGCATGTTTGACGCGATCTGGGGGAGCATTTGCGATTTGGTGTAGCACAACATACGTAGATCCAAAGAGCTAGATCAATCTCCGAGTAGTTCAAAACGCAGAATCAACTCAATTATCCCAAAACAGACTAGCGTATAATACTGCCACTTCCTACCGCAAACCTTTTCATGGTGCATATAAAATCTCAATTCTGCGCCTCCAATTTTCAGGCTTCTCTTTCTTCTCTTCTCTTCTCCATCAAAAAGCCAACTGAGCAGCCACGACCTTCACCAAGAACCTCCCACGGTGTCGCGTTGCCAGTTCCCTTCGTGGAACTAGCTCAGAAGAGAAGAAACCCTTGGATATAGGAAATTTCTCGCAAGATCGGTCTCGATTTCCATCGTTCCGAATCCGTAGGCGAGATAATGCCAAGAAGGGGGGACATTTTACTGCCGTGATGACTTGTTGCCTTTGTAGATCTTTTGATGAGAGTAATTGGCAATGCTTCTAGAAGCGTCAGGCCTGTCTGGGTTCTTTCATTGTATTCCAATCAGTCGTGCCAGCATCCTGGTTACGGCGAACCCGTCCACAGTCTCGCCAGTGATGATCACTGGATGTAAAGTGGTTATGAAAATACGCTCTATCTTTGGCGTGCTCTTTTCTACCTACATGGTTACCAGCAATCTCCAGCAAGCTTCCATTGATGCGCAGCTATCCATTCGCAGCGCTGCTATCCCCACCGCAGTTACTGTCTGTGCCCTTCCAAAATCTTGCTGCCGTCCTGTCGATGCTGCTCCCTCACAAAATTCTCAATGTGCTCATCGTGCACCGGTCTCTCTGGTAGCTGCGATGGGTCTGGCGCAGGCGCCTCCTCTGCCTCTGCCGTCTTTGTCGGCGGCGGGTGGCCCGTCAGATGCTGCAACGGACCAGCCGCGGCGGGAATGTATTCAGAGACTTTTTCTTCGTCAGTGTCTGCCATATCATCTCAATCGAAACCCCGCATATCTTACTCTTTTCAGCGGCCTTTTGAATGGTGCTAGGCTCGCGGTAGTCTTGTATCTGATGGCTCGCTACCTCGTCAAGGTGCGTCTTGTACGGCCTGTCCGATGGTGGCTGCATTTTGTTCGTTGACTGCGACATGGTGGTGATGGAGACGGTTCCAGGAATTCGTAACAATTCAACAGGCAAATAAAATTGACAAGTAGAACAGAAGAATACAAGAATCGCCAGAAACAAGACTGACTTGATTGTTTTTAAATTATTCCTCGGCCAGCATTGATGCTTGCGTGATAGCATGACGTCAAGAGCCAGCCGATCATGCCCCTCCATTCAGCCAGCCATCACCAATTTGTGTTTTTCTTGGAGGGGCAAAGCGCCTGCGGGAGCCGTTTTCTTCGCCCCTACCACCTATCCTATCTCAAACTCTATCGCCACCACCACGAAGCAACCACTGGGTGGTTCATTCGAGGCGTCCGTTCATTTCGCATTCGAGATAGCTTCCGTTTCCCGAATCGTATATTGTTGCCCTCCCTCTCCCGCCGTCGCCGCCGCCGCCCTCCTCTGCACGACAGCCGCTGTCCGAAAATGGCGCCCATCCCCATCACCATCATCACCGGCTTTCTCGGCTCCGGCAAGACCACGCTCATCCTCAACCTCATCCCGCAGCTGCGCCGGCGCAACCCGTCCTACAAGCTCGCCCTGCTCAAGAACGAGTTCGGCGACCTGGCCGTCGACTCGCAGCTCGCCTCCAGCGCCGCCATCTCGGGCGTCCAGGAGCTGCTCAACGGCTGCATCTGCTGCAACCTCGTCGGGCAACTGGGGCCGGCCCTCGCCGAGCTCGAGGCCGGCGTCGCGCCTGATCGCATCGTCGTCGAGACGAGCGGCTCCGCGTTCCCCGCGACGCTCGCCCTCGAGGTCAACCGCCTCGCGCGCGAGACCGGCCGGTACACCCTGGACGGCGTGGTCAGCGTGATCGACGTGGAGAACTGGCAAGGGTACGAAGATACGAGCTACACGGCGCGCATCCAGGCCCGGTACACGGACCTCATCGTGTTCAACAAGTGGGAGAATGCCGGCGAGGACCGCTACGAGGAGTGCCTCGACAGGGTCGGAGACCTGGAGGTCGACATCGCCAAGGTGAAGAGCGACAGGGGCTCCGTGGACGCGGATCTCGTCTTCGGCATCGACGGAGGGCTCGCGCAGCAGCTCACCGATGGCGAGGTCAACAAGGCAAACGGCCACCAGGCCAACGGCAGCCATCAGACGAACGGCGACAGCCATACCAACGGAGACATCCACGCCCACGACCACCAAAGCGAGGTCGAGGTCCTCTCCGTCGAGCTCAAGGGCACCGGCGCCACGGCCACAACCATATCCACCGAGAAGCTGCAGACGTTGCTCGCTGCCGCTCCCAAAGACGAGGTCTACCGCATCAAGGCTGTAGCCACACTGTCCGTGCCCCCGCGCAACTCGGACGTCGACGTGCCGCCGCCCGCTGCCAGCCCGACCGGCCGTTACATCCTCAACTGGGCCTTTGGCCGGTGGACATTTACGCCCCTCGCAGAGCCGTCGTCGGCCGCGGAGCACGCCAGCAGCAGCGCGGCCGCACTGCGCATGACGGTGATTCTAGCGCGCTGCGAGGGGGCTCGGTGGGAGAAGAAGCTCACGGCCGGCGGGCATGTTGCCGTGGAAGCCGGCGATGGCGAACTCGTCGTCAAGAGGATATTATAAAGCGGTATCAGAAAACGCGTGTACAGTATAGAATATATTATGAGGGAGAGGGCGGCGGCACGACACATATGTAGAAGCAGGCGGCTGACATTTTTATGATTGTGGATTTAACAGAAACGATCCGACATATAGACTAGAACATGTCAGATGGCACAAACAATAACAGAATATTTCCAAAAGAGAAGCGCACAGTTTATTTCAAGATACCATCGCTCGCTATGCAATTTATGTAGATGTATGCGCTCTGATAATGGGGATGGTGCCCTTTACAGCAAAGGTGGAAATGCACAGCTCTCATTTCACACATGAGGTAAGAACACGACGCCGGCTATTTGATAGAGCAATAGCAAGAAAGCCAAACGCATCACAGGCTCACAGTAACCGTCATGTTGTTGCTCAGAACCATCAGCGTAGGCGGCAGCTCCGCGCACAGGACCTCCACGTCCGAGAGGTACCGCACCGTCGCCTCCTCGTCGGCGCTCGTGCCCTCGGCCGGGATCGGCAGCGTGCTCAGCAGGACGGCCGTGTCTCCGGAGTGCTGGCGCATCAGCTCGTTGAGGATGAGGTGCTGCGCGCGGCTGGGCAGGTCGTTGAATGACAGCGCCACGCTCTGCGTCGAGTACGGGGACCCGCCCGTCGCCTCGGCCGCCGCCTTGTGCGCTGCCGCGTCCTTGACCTCAGGAATGTCGTACACGACATCGCCAAAGTACGAAAACTGCGAGCCGTGGCGCGAGTGGTGGCGAGTCGAGGGGCCCGAGGACTGATAGACCGGCTCCTCGGCAAAACTGATAGTTTTTGCTCCGGCCGCGCTACTATCCGCAGGCACGTTCAGCTTCTTTTCCAGCACGGATCGATTGGAAAACCTCCCCATGGAAGATTGGCGTGAGTGTGAAGGCGGCTCGTGGCGGGACGCGTCCGGTCCTGCGATGCCGGTAGTTGGCTGTGCAAAGGTGAGGCGTGAGTCCTCGCCAGTAACGGTCGTTTCTGGAACAGGGCGACTCGAGAATTTGACAGCCGAGGACTGGCGCGACATCCCAGGTCTAACAGGGGTATTCGTGCCACTCCTCGGGGTCTTTGCGCCCTGTCTATTTGGACTCACGGGCCTTGAGCCTGCTTTCCTGGTAGGAAGATTGCCAGGGACAAGCAGTGGATCAAGAGCCGGGAATTTGGCGAGCTTGTCAGCTGGTTCCGTTCCTTTGGATGCAGTTGAGGGAGTTGAGGGATCGCTCGCTCCAGTGTGTAGGACTTCAGGAGCCTTTGCCGTTGGAGGCACGCCAGAACTTGATTCGGGTTGAAGTAGCGTTGATGCTGTGGCGATTGTTCCATACGATAGGCCGCCAAAGGACGCGGTTTGAATCAAGGGCTGCGCGGCGGCCTCGCTCTTCAAGGACGATTCTCTGGAAGTCTCCTTCGCATGAGATCGGCCACGGCGTTTAAGAGTACTCTCCAGCAGAGTCTCTTGCTCCGGCTGCTTTCGGCCCTCGGAAAACGGAAAAGGAGTCGGGGGGTGAGGATAGCCGTATGGTGCCTGTATTTCGACTTCTCTCCTCGCATCTTCGTCATCGCTGTCTGTAGAATACTCCGAGTCTGATCCTTCAAAAACTTCATCTTTCAGATGATGAGTATGGATGCCCATGCTTACACCCATCTTCGACAGAATCGCAAGGTCGGGCTTCTTGGGAATCTCAGCCATCCCAGCCACAACGCTAGCGCGGCGCTGGTCAAACCCGTTACCCTCGTGGGGATTGAACAAACCACGACGACCAGAGGTAGAGTCAAGAATATGACTGATTTGCGTCATTTCCTGGCTTTCTGACAGGTCTGATCGTCCACGGTAGGTCTGTAGCTCATCCCACCACTCCTCATCCTTCAATGCCTCGTTGACAATGATTTGTGTGTCGAAATCTGTAGTACTGCCGTTGATGATGTGCTCATACGTTTTGAGATTGCCAGAGGCTAGCCAAAACACTGACACGATAGCATCAATACGCAGTTTCTCTAGCAAGGCTTTCACACGAGCCAACTCCTCTTCAACTTCGCTTTCGTATTCGACGAAAACCATCACTCGAACGGTATACACATTCCTCCAGGTCTGCACAGAATGCAGAATGTGTCCTAGCTGTAGAATGAGAGTGTATGTGTCAAAGTTTGTGGTGACAAGGCTCTTGCCATCCGCAGTGACCTCTGCCGACATTTGAATCGGCCAAAGATCAATGTACCTTTTTGTGTTGGAGCCGTCGGAGCGTGGCGTCTCTAGCTTGTCAAACCCTTTTGCAACGGCGACATTTAGCCTATACTTGAGAGTCAAGTCCTCAAGCATCGTCATGTATTCTGTAACGGTCATCATTTGCTCAGTCCGAATGACGTCCGTAGGCAAGGCACCCTCCAAGAGCCTAGCTGAAGTATCGCCACGTCGCCTTTTGAGCGGAACTTTATCTTCGGAGGATCTCGTTGGTTTCAGCATCTTCTTGGCTGGTGATTGAGGCAATTCTGGTATAGAAATATCCGGATTCGTCTGTCTCAAATCATCCAAGTTGTAGAAGCCGATGACGGCGATATTAGGCCGCATGCCACCCAAGCCAGCAGACAGGATTAGGTTCCGAACCCCCCAGTTTATGGTTGGCGACATGGTAAGCTGCACAAATGCCTTGATCCTGGAGAACTCGGAAATGTAATTTGTCCAAGCTTGCTGCTGCAGCCGCGCCTCATGTACTCCGGCGTTAAAGTCGTCCGTAACGATAACATGGCCGAGAATGTAGAGTGACCCCTTTTTCAGCGAGTTACAAAATTGAATAAGCCGGGCTTGGCGCCTTGGGTTGTTGATGAGAAGAATGATATGTGGGCGCCAGAACTTGATGTGTTCAGGCTTCAAACGAAGCAAGTATTTTCGCACTTGGTGGTATATGAGGTTCTGAGACACATCGCCCCATCGCTTGGGAGGGCACAAGTAGTGAATGACGAGGAATGTTGCAATCAAGACGCAGATAGCCATGGCGGCGTAGGTCTCATCGATAAAAAACATGGCCGCAGCAGACAGGAGGCTACCAACGAGAGCAGTCTGCCAGCTAAAGAACTTGAAACCTGGTCGAAAGTTGGGAGCGGAGCCAATCTTGAGTAGAAAGCACGCGAGGTTCATGACGAAGAAAGTCATCTACTTTGTTAGATTTTGAGAAATTTTAAGGGAGTCTACAAGCATACCTGGTAGCCCATGGAGATCAATGTCGCAATCTGGTTCAAATCGGCGAGCAAGGCCACTTGTGCAATGGCGTATGTTAGAAGCACAGCTAGGATAGGCTCGTCCGACTTTCTTGTGCCTTTTCCGAAAATTGACAATCCTGGTAGTAGCTTATCCTTGGCGAGGGCTTGGAAGAGTTTGGCGGCGCCGATGACTCCCATTGTGGCAGAGAAGAACGTCACGGCGCATTCGCCAGCAAAAATGACTGGGCTGGACAAACTGGTAGCGGACAGAATATTTGCATTAGCCAGAAAGGAGGCGTGAGTGGTGGAGGCCGCCATGGACACAAGGACAACAAAGTACACGACAAAGGTCGCAAACATGGCCCAGAGTGTGCCTTTAGGAATGGCAGTGCTAGGATTTTTCAAGTCGCCAGACATGGACGCACCAGCAAAGATTCCGGACGTGGCTCTGTCATGGGTTAGCAAACAGCAATTTTCTTCAGGAACATTGGCTTACGGGAAGAGAATTCCAAACAAGTCGCGAAATGTCTTTACACCTTGGTAGACAGCGCTCCCAGTTGGTGGAAGCATGTTGCTTCTGAGCGTGTGTAAACTGAAACCCGTGAACTCCACTCCACTCTCGACGTCTCGAAATGGCGATCTGAAGATGGCGGATATCGGGATGCTGATGATCGACACTGTCATGATGACCAACAGGGCATTTGAAGCTTTGGAGAATACGGCAGAGCCCAAGAGGCACAGGCCCGTACAAAGTGCGAGAGCCACAGTCTGTAGTGCATAGCTCGTCCAGTAGCCTTGCGGGAAGCTGTGGCCGACGTAGAGGCGTATGCAGTCAATCAGACCAACACAGTTCATTGCAGAATTGAGGGCTTGGGCGAGAAAGAATAGTATGCCAATGGAGCCTCCAAACTCAGGTCCGAGGGACCTTGATATCAAGTAGTAGGCACCGCCACCTTTTACTTCTCCATTCGAGGCGATGGCAGAAAGAGAAAGCGTGGTGAGTAAATCAACGCAGTATGCAGTGAGCATCAAGCCTGAGAGAACGGTCAGCGTGTCCCACCCAAGTTCTACATATCGTCGATCATGCATGAAACTGCTACGCTGCGGGGAGGGTCGCACCCATGAAGCCGAGGAAGCCCACCTGGCCCAAAATCAGGCCAAACCGAAGGAACATGAGAATGCTGAGAATATTGAGAAAAACGGGAATAAAGACGCCCGATGTCAAGCCCAGCTTGGCCGGCTTCTTGGCCTCGTCCGGGGGCGGGCCATGGCCGAGGGGATCTGAAGACTGTGGCATAGTCGCAACGAAACGGTGCGGTAAGGTAGCAACCTATGGCGGCGGTGGCGTAGGCATCGCAGAACTGCACGTCGTTTGGGGGACCAGCTAGATCGAGGGGCAAGCAGCCTGTAGAGGCAGGCGTGGCAGATGATGGAACAATTATATAACGACGATGATGAATAAAACGGCGAAGTACACTTAATCCCGGGAAGCAAGACTTCCGTTTGTCGCGACGAGGTCCCAGGGTTGAGGAGAAGGGAAAGCTAAGCTGCACAATGACCTCAGCGGCCAAGGAGCCGGTGTTTTGTTTGCTGGAGCGCCAAGCCTGGAATGGGAGATTTACGGTGCGTGGCGGCGCTGTGGCGCCGTTCTACTGGCGATGTGTGGCGGTGCGGGGGTTGAAACTGCCGTGCTGCCCCTGTGCCACCAACGTATTCATCGTAATGTGAATGAGAAGATGGGAGTAGCAGGTAATTCAAGTTCCAACTTAGGTATAGAAAATGAAAAGGAATAAGAAAAATGAAAGTTAAAAAAGGTGCCATTTCAAAACCAGCCTTGCCGTCTTTAAAAACCTAAACGCAGCGTGGAGCGCGGCCTAAAGAAGGAGAAAGACAAGAACGAATTATATCGCATTTACAACCCAAATATTTTCATAAGAGACTACACAAAGAACATTCAGTACTGAAAAACTTCTGTTTTTATTTTTTTGCGGCTGTTCAAGAGCTCGCTCATCTAAAAATCTGGTTATAATAAGATCCGCACTCTTAGAGCAGATATACTTCACGCCTCTTCACTTACAACTTATTCCAACAATGACTGCCCCCTTTTATTGCTGTATGGGTTAACTATCACATCGAAAAAAAGCCAGAGTAAATTGAAAAGTCCACGGGTCACCGAGCGTGAAAGCCTTCACCACATCATCGTCTTGTACCATCTAAAACAAATGCAATGCCTCGAAGCCGTTACACTAAACCAGCTTACAGATGGTTTTAGATCTTTCTCTCTGGACTTTGCGACATGTCTGTGAAATCTTTCAACACCTAAAGGTGCAGTAGGGAAAACCACGCAGAGAACGGCAAAACCGATCATGGATGGGGGATTTGGCAGACGACTTCGTGAGTGCATCTGCGTATAGGGTATTGGTTGCCTGCGGGTGGAGTAGGACGGGCAGCGCGTGGAGTCTAGTAAGGGAGCGTAGGATAATACAGAGGAGATGGGAAAATAACGAAGAATTTCTGAGAAAAGGTGTGCAAATTGCAAAGCAGCGAATTGAATTTACAATTTGCCTGTCTCGTGAGCAAAACGGCTGTGCGGAGGTTGCAGTGGACAATGTACAAACATAAACCTCTTTTATTAATAAGGGTAATTTAGTGTCTCTAAGTTTGCTCAACCCCGCGTTTTAGAGGGCTGCTGCAGTTGGAGGCTGCCGTAACAATCAACGCGGCAAGCGTCGCCCTGGAAAGCCCGTTGAAAGTCTAAAATTGCAGAATTACCTGAAAACGCTCAAGCAAATCTTCATCCTGGCCGCTGCAATCCTCGCCATCCTGCTACATAATGTTTCAGCTTCTTTCACCAACATGCATCCCATATCTTGGTTGCCAAGCTCTCTCGTAATCAGCACACAAAAAGCGTCGAATGGAATCGCAGGGTCTCCCTGCCTTATCAACAGCGCTAAAACTATACATGTACGGAGTAGTATGTACAAAGCTAGTGCGCCGCCGTCGACGCTCAGTGACGTTGGCCCAGCCCATCACCGTGTGCCACCACCACGGCGCGTCCGGGGATAGACGACACCATCTCTCTGTCCGCGTGCGATGTCCCGGATGACACACACGGCGCCAGCCCTGTAACGGACAAAGTCATGAGAGTCGGGCGGCCAACGTCGCGACCATCTCGCTCCCGCGCGGGTCTGAACGGCAAATCTCATACCGTCTGGGGAAGGGATGTGCCATGTGGCGTCGCAGCAGCCAGACAGCTGATGTTGACCTGGACACTGACAAGCGTCGATTGTCAGTAGTTACATCTCCTGTCTAATAAAATGACGATGGTCAAGCAGGTGCCCGACTCGAAGCCACATCACGACGTCGTACTGCAACATCGGCCGCGGCTCCGCTGTGGCGTGCATCAAGTAATTCTCGTGGACAGCGATAACTTTTGTCGGTACTGCGTCCATACATTGAAACCTGCGTCAATGCACCTAAGATACTTGATGAAAGGCATTCGAAATTTGCAGTATAATACGGACTGCAGAGCGGGAGACTGCTCGTGGGTTTTGCCAAATCGCACCGCCTCTTACATCAACGTGGGCACGTTCGTGTCGGTTCTGGTACCCGCCGATGTTGATGAAAGCACGCATCAACGTCAATATGCTCCCACAGGCACAAAACTGTGCGTAATATCAATCAACGCAAAAATGATATATCTGCCATGTGCAGCTTGCTGCTTTTGAGTGTAACATGGCGCTGGAATGTGATGACGCTGTGGTACAGTAGTATCAAGGCACTCTACTACGCACCTCCGCCGCATTGCATATACATAGCTGAGACAGCTGCAGGCGATAAGCCCGTACGACTGAGCAAGTATCGGCGCCAGCAGATACAGATATTAAGCCTTATCTCACTGCCAATGTCTTGTTTCAATACCATTGATCATAGGCCAGGCTATCGGCGGCACAAGATATGTAACGCCCGCCGAATGTCGTCTCATCAATCAATATCTGTTACAAACAGCCCCATCTACAGGCCCTCTGCCTTCTAGCGCTTGCACAATAATCCTTACTAGACCTACAGTGCCTCGCCGACATATTAGTGCTTCTGCTTCAGGAAGGTCGGCTGCTGGCTTCAAGGTCTTGCTCGAATTTTTCCGCCATCATTTGTTTTTTGTAATATTTGTTCACTCCCAAGGTATTTTTGTTCTTTGGCAGCAAGTGGTGGCTGAGGCGTTCGCCATACAAACCCTCTCTCCTAGCGTCGCTGGTCATCCAGTCACCAGACGTGCAATCAACACCACAACCCCAACAACCAGGCTTCGTTCCACCTCCACCTTGTCTGCTCCCTCTCAGACCCGCTGCTTCACCCTCTTGCCCTCTTCACAACTCCAATTGGCAGCTCACGACAACAGGTCCAGCGAGCTTCTTTTTTTTTGTTTCCATCAAGCTCTGCTTCAAGCGGCCATTAGCCATTGCTTTCGTGCCGGCGCTCGCTAAAAGCACCCGTTCGTTTTTTGTGCTTACGCTACTAACTCAGCCTACCTCCTCCCAGTAGCTCGGACCGTCTGCCCATTCCAACTCTGTTTGGATTCGTCCAACGCTCTTCAGCTGTCGTCGCCCGAACAAAACATGCAATAAAGCAGTGTCCGGCCTCCAACCACCACCGCAACCATGGCGTCGCCATCGAGAACTAGAAACGACTCGAACCCGCTACTGTTGTCATCCTCGCCAATGTCACAGCCGCAAATCTACTCGTCCTCACTGCCACGCGACGAAGTCACCGCCCGCTTGGCCGCCCCCATCCCCGCCGAGACGCCGCCCATCACCCGCAGCGGCTCGCCTAAACCCGGCGCTTTCGACAGCGAGGGTGGCATCCCCGCTGGCTCCTATGGCCAAGGGCCCGGTACCTCAGCTCTCGCGGCCGCCCTCGCAGACTCCCTAGGCCAGACGCCGCCGCGACACGGCACGCCGCCCGTCCGTGTCGCCTCCCCGCCGCCGCCAGCCCGTCCGCTCTCTCCCTCCAACTTCCCGCTGCAGGCTGCCACACCGACAAACTACGGCTCCTTCGACTCGAGACGGATGTACATGGGCGGTGGCGCCGGCGGCCCAGGCAGCACAGGCCCCTACGAAGACCCCGAGATCGTCAAGCGTCACCTCGTGCAGCCTAGCGAGGCCGAGGCGGGCGGCGCCTCCGAGGAGTCATCCCTCCAAGGCACCGTCAAGGGCAAGCAGCCCGAGCAGGTCGGCGGCGCTGGCCTCAACGACGATGACTTCTCCAGCCTGCGCCTCCAGGGTGGCGACGTGACTCGCGGCATCTACAAGTGGACTGAGCAGGCCGAAGCTAAGAGCCGACTGCATCGCAGCCAGAGCTTCGACCACTCCCGCCCCGAGCCTGAGAACGAGGTCGAGGATATCAACACCATCAAGGTCCCTGGCGGCTTCCGCAGAGACCACCTGCGTCGCAACGCCAAGAGCCCCTCTGGCAACGCCTCCGAGGTCGAGCACGGCGTCCCCTCGCCTGGCGGGGCTGGAAACGAGCGCCTCTTTACGTCGAGCTTTCTCGAGTTCTTGAGCATCTATGGCCACTTTGCGGGTGAGGAGCTGGAGGAAGATGACGAAGCGCTCGGCCCCAACGAGTACTTTGGCGATGACCACGAAGACAACGCTGACGACCACGAACCCATGGAGGATAGCGCCCTCTTACCCCCTCACAAGCGCAAACGCAAGAGAAAGGTGCGCGGCGGCAGCGGCCAGAACAGCCCTATGAACGCGGCGCTGCTACTGCTCAAGTCTTTCGTCGGCACGGGCGTCTTGTTCCTGCCCAGGGCCTACCTCAGCGGAGGAATGCTGTTTAGTAACCTCGTCCTCCTTGGTGTAGCGCTCCTGAGCTACTACTGCTTCGTGCTCCTCGTCTCGACGCGCCTAAAGATTGAGGGCTCCTTTGGCGACATGGGCGGTATGCTCTACGGCAAGTGGATGCGCAGTATTATCCTCTTCTCCATCGTCCTCAGCCAGGTTGGCTTCGTCGCCGCCTACATCGTATTCACCTCGGAGAACCTGCAGGCATTCATCAAGGCCGTCTCCGATTGCAAGACGTCCATCAGTATCCCGTACCTCATCCTCATGCAAATGGTCATCTTCCTGCCGTTCTCCCTGCTGCGAGACATTGGCAAGCTCGGCTTCACCGCGCTCATCGCCGACGCTTTCATCCTGATCGGCCTCGGCTACCTCTTCTACTACGACGTGCTGACGCTCGCCACCGACGGCCTCGCCGATATCATCATGTTCAACAAGCGCGACTGGACGCTCTTCATTGGCACCGCCATCTTCACGTTTGAGGGCATTGGCCTCATCATTCCCATCCAGGAGTCCATGAAGCACCCCGAGAAGTTTCCGCGCGTTCTCTTCCTCGTCATGATCATCATCACCGTGCTCTTCACCACCATGGGCGCCTTCTCGTACGCCGCCTACGGCTCCAAGACAGAGACGGTCGTCTTGCTCAACCTGCCCCAGGACAACAAGCTCGTCAACACAGTGCAGCTGCTCTACTCGGTCGCCATCCTGCTCTCTACGCCCCTGCAAATCTTCCCGGCCATTCGTATCGTCGAGACGGAGCTCTTCACCCGCAGCGGCAAGTACAACCCCTACATCAAGTGGCAGAAGAACGTCTTCCGCTTCTTCGTCGTCATGCTCTGCGCTGGCATCGCCTGGGGTGGCGCCGACAACCTCGACAAGTTTGTCGCGCTGGTGGGCAACTTTGCCTGCATCCCGCTCGTTTTCATTTACCCGGTAAGTCTCAATACTCACTCCGGTCAAGAACTCCGAAGGACCTCTACTAATCAGACATGGTGGGATAGCCGCTCCTTCACTACAAGGCCGTTGCGAGAAGTCGCACGTGGAAGTACTCAGACATTGTCCTTTGCATCTTTGGCTTCTTCGCCATGACCTACACCACCTCGTTGACCGTCATGAGCTGGGCCAACTCGAAGCCCAAGGCGCCCGGTTACTGCGAGCGACGAGGCCTCGGACTCGACACCTGGTAAACCGGGTTCTCATCGATTGGTTCACCTCCAAACATAGTTATCGTTGCATATCGCTATTTGTCTCGTTGCGCTGTCATTCATCCAGCATTGCCAGGGGTTTAGGTTGATTTTCCTAGTTCTTCTTTTCCTTGCGTGCTCTCATTTTTTTTCTCGTCTAATGGCGCCCTACATCTGGGGTGCTTGCTGCTGCTGCTCAACATTAGAGGAAGTTGGTTTTTGATGCTCCTCGTGTAACGCTGCATAGGGCATGTCCGAGAATGTAAAGCGCAGAGGCTCGGCCTCAATAAGAAAGATTGTTTGTTTAATTATGTATTCTCTCGTCTTCAGGTCATCTAGATAGTATGCTTTCGTCTTTTTAGTATATCAAAGTATCATACAATGTCGATCCTTCGTCCCTCGCCCGTTGCTGCTAACGATCCAGTGGTGTGCGCCTTGGTATTCCAAAGAGTAACAGAAACATAAACGCGTCCAAATATAATGACAATGTACTTTCTTTTTTGCATCGCCCCAAGTCGACTTCAGTGCACCCAGGCGCTGCCAGACGAGCGACGCCCCTTCTCGTACAACCACTTGCTGTTCAAACCCACGCTCGTCCGCTTGCCGGCGGGGCTTGGCGAGGCAGGGTCGCCCAGCAGGTTCACCGACGTGCTGGCCGAGAAGGGACTACCCGACGAGGATCTGCGGTTGCCGCCTCCGCTGCCAAAGAGTTTGACGCCGCCGCCTCCGCTCCGGGGCATCAGTGGGCTATCAACAGGCGGCGAAAAGGGCGAGCCGCCGCCGGTTGTCGAGTTCTGGAACGGGCTGCCGCGGCCGGACAGCGGCGAGTTCGAGTAGCTGCCGCGGCTGCCGACGGAGCCTGCGATCGACGGGGTGCGCGAGTACCGCGGGGGGGTGCTGAAGACGAGGTCGGCGGCGGCGGCGGCAGATGGAGAGGCGGGCGGGGGAGCCGGCGCGAGGCCGAGAAGCTTGCGCTGGGCGGCTGTCAGCGGGATGTCGGTCATCTCGTCGCGGGCGCGGAGCAGCGGCGTGCAGGCGAGCGCGACCTGCGCGAGCGGGACGACCTGCACGGCGGTCCAGACCCAGTTGATGTAGAGTCGCGCGGAAGGGGAGAAGCTGTGCGTTCCAAACACCAGTTAGTAAACAAACTCTTGGGGAAGGGAGGGGGGATACGGGGTTACGCACTGCTGTGGGCTGATGTATAGTTTGACGAGGGCACGCAGCGCCCAAAAGGTCAACAGGGCGAGTATGTTGTAGGCTATGCGGCGGATGTTCTTTTCGGAAAAGGTCGTGGCCTCCCGTCGGCGGGTGATTTCATTGAGGCGAGGGTGGCGCCAGGTACCGGGGCTGTCCGTCACCGACGCCGGGGCGGCCTTGACCGGCGTCGATCTCGCCGGCGTCGACATTTGGTGATAAGTTTTGTGTAATAGAGTGTCGGGAGGTATGTTTTGGCTGCCGCAATCGGGTCCCAGTTGGCTCGGCGGCTTCAGGTGTCCCTGTGGTAGGTATTGGCGGAAGGGATGCCTCTAAAGTGGTTGAGTTTGTGTATAGAGGGCTGCTATTTGTTAGTATCGTCTCTTCAAGGCCAAAGCCTGCGTGGTCGTTTGGTTGCCCCCGTGGTGGTTGTCGATGTTGTTGATGGTCAAATCTCCAGCTACTGCTACCGGGCCAGCAAAACACGACCACATTGGCTGGTTGTGGAGCGCACTGGCCAGCGACAACCACAACCTCAGCTCTAGAGTTATTGCGCAAGCAAGGTGATTGAGAATTACCAAGAAAAAGAAGGACAAATCTCTAAAATATTACCTATAGAATTAATCTATTTTTCTCATTTTCTTTTCATGCCGGAACACTGGACAGACAGCAACTGCAATCAGCTCGCAGCCATAGCCGCTCACCACGCCACACACTAGCCACATCCCTTGAGTCGCCGCCCGTTGCGCTGCGCGAACCTCATCTGGCCAGGGCAATTTCCATGATTTGTTACAATCACTTCGCTCTTCCAACCACCCACCCATTCCCACTTCATATCCTCCCCGGCATCACGCTGTCATCCGTATCGAATCATTGTTCCCTCGAAATTGTCTCAATTATGCGCTCTTGATATTCCCCATCACCGCACTTGTTCAATTTAGCCTCGATCTGCGCACCCTATGGCTGCCTCGCCTACCTCGGTCGCCGCCACGTCGGAAATCGACCACCCGAGCTCTCCCGCCGCACCCGAAGGCAAGTCTTTTGTCTCGCGCGTCGGTAGCGACGATGAAGATGTTGGCGATGACACCCAAATGACGGAGAAGCCGAGCCGTAAGGCAGGCCGAGGCTCGCAACGTGATGGTGTCGTGCAACAAATCGGCAAGATTCGCCATCTCAAGAAAGAGGATGGCGAACCCTTGTGGCGAGCCGACATTCAATACGACTTCCTCAAGGCTGTCTTCGACAACGAACTCAAGGTCTTTACCAACTCGTACGATCCGCACGGTATTGGCAAGCAGAACTTTGCCGATCTCTACATTGACACAATGGCGCGCAGCAGCAAGACCAGCAAGGTCTTGCGCGACAAGCTATTAAATGATAGAGAGGCGGCGAAAGGCATGGCCATGGTCTGCCTACTGGTCAATGTCGGCAGAATGAACACGACTCTCAACTGTGAGCTCCGACACTCGTGCACACTGGCGCTATAGCTAACGCGTATAGTCTTTCCCGAGATGAGAGCCCAGCTTCGAACATATCACGCCATTCCCTCCCTCCAAGCAAACCAAGACGCTCACGCATACAAACAGCTACAGGATGCTCCACGCTTGAAATCCATCCTCAAAGGCGGTGCAGAGGACCGGCAGGAGCCAAGCACGCTACTGAAGCTCAAGGAGATCGCGGAAGTCCCTCGAACGAACCCTGTCAATCTGATTTTTATCATGTGCGCAGCTGCCAAGAAAGTTGCTGATTTGCACTTTCCGGATGGCCAAGAGTTCCACGACGTAATCATGAAGACGCAATTCAGCAGCAACTCGCGAGCTAGAGCCTTCCTCTGGCTGATGTGGTTCCATCTCGAATCTGATTTCACGGAAGAGGGCTGCGATGAGAACCCATTCGGTAGTGGCGTTGACTACGATGTTGGTGTCGCAAACCAAGGTGTTCCGCGTTTGGAGCTCATGACGGAGGAAGAGAGAGCTCTTGAGAACGTGGACACGGAGACCGAAAAGGAGTTCGGCGCGGAGAAGCAACGCACCAGAGCCAAAATTCTGGAAATGGATCAGGCATTCATGAACGACCGAGACTCAAAGCGTGCTAAGCCGCGGGTATCACTACACGAGGACGGCCCCGCAATCCTGCCGCGCATACGCCCGTCGAAGCACGAGTCAGACATGGATAGTACTCGGTCGACGCCGCCTCCCCGCGGCGTTAGAGCCAGCGGCGGTAGAAGAAGCGCTGGACTCAAGTACCAGATTTTTGAGGGGTCCTCTCCGGCCCGCCAGGGCTCCGAAGGCGTCATCTCGCGCAAGCCTCGCCCGCCTACAGCACACCAACTAGCTGTGGAACGTAACAGAAGCCAGCGCGTTGAGTACATACTAGACAAGGGTCTTCGCAAAGAGCAACGCAAGAGCCGCAAGTCGCGACGCCGCGAAGGCGCCATTTTCAGGGCATACAAGCGAATTCGCGCGTCGGAAACACCAGGCGAGGACAGCGATAGTGACATTGAGGCACCGCGAAACCTAGGCCCCAACTCCAAGTTCCGTGAATCTGCTATTGGAGGCCTCGGCCTGCTTGCTGACGAGGAGGATGACTATGGCGAGGAGGTGAACGCGTATGCAGCAGCATTCCGCCGCTCCCGTCGAAGACTTGTCCGCTGGCTGGGCAGCGATAAGGGTGTCGTGGCGCCCATCAAGATACACAAGGCCAACGGCGTGGACAAGAATGGCGACGAGAATGATGTCAACGGCCTCGACGAAGCTAACGGCGACGCGGCCCTGGACGATATGGATATGGACGATGTTGACGGCGACGAGACTGCGCTCGGCTATGGTGCGGAGCAGACCATACTGGCCGACGACGAGGCCGACCGTACGGAAATCATGATCGACTCGGACATGGAGTAAGAACGGGAGGGCTAGCATATGTGTGTGATATTTTTTTCACCTGTAAATTGTAATGATAGGCTAGAGAGGATGGATCGGAGCGAGTTGGTCGTTTGCCTAGGGACGGAGTTGTAAAGGAATACGGGATATGGATTTTGTTTACTGGCTATTTGCGTATTGTTCGTGGTGTATTAAAAGAATTTCTAAACTTCTTGATCTGTGGCACAATTTGGCAGCGATGACTGTAACAGTATTCGCAGAAATACTCAGTTAATTGGGCGCAAAATGCTTGGAGATTATACTCGTTTCTGCCCGATTTTTGCGAAAAGGCGAACACGAATAAGGGTCCGTGTTTCTCGGAGTCCTGGGGCCCGATGGACTCGGCCGGAAATTACTCCAAACCACCGAGCGGTGAATTTGGGCAAAATCTCAGGAGTGGCTTTCAACGCTACCTAGTAAATAAGGCACGTCTCGCGCGATCACTTCAAGGTTTCACCGGCAGCTTTTTGTTATTTTTTATCAATTGCGCACTACCCTCGGGTATTTCTTCCTTTTCACTCTTAATTTTTTATCTATTCTTTTTTAATTGCAGTGAAGAGAGAGAAAGAGATGCCTTCGAAATCGCAAAGAAAGCGCAACGGCAGCGGCGCGTCCACGGGCACCAGCGGTGGCATCGGCCGACTCCTCGCCGTGCTCGGCCTGCTGACTGCGCTGCTGGCGTCGGTCGTCTACGTCGCGGAGCGCAACCTCGACAAGTTCTACGTCTTCGAGCTGGACCACCTGCAGGACCTCGCGAAGCGGAGCGTGGCCCAGCACGGCAACGACACGCGCGGCGCGGTGCGGTACATTGTCGACGAGCTGAGCGCCAAGCTGCCGGCGCACGTCAACGTCGAGGAGGACTGGGTGTTCAACAACGCGGGCGGCGCGATGGGCGCGATGTATATCATCCACGCGAGCATCACCGAGTACCTGATCATCTTTGGTGAGTTGTTTCCAACCGTCGTTGGAGCCTTGATTGGTGCTAATTGGCGGGGGCAACAGGCACTGCGGTCGGCACGGAGGGCCACACGGGTCGGCACACGGCGGACGACTACTTCCACATCCTGACGGGCACGCAGATGGCGTACGTGCCGGGCGAGTACGAGCCGGAGGTGTACCCGCCGGGCAGCGTGCACCACCTGCGCCGCGGCGAGGTCAAGCAGTACAAGATGCCGGAGAGCTGCTTCGCGATGGAGTACGCCCGCGGCTGGATCCCACCGATGCTCTTCTTCGGCTTCGCGGACGGCCTGTCCAGCACGCTCGACTTCCCGACCCTGTGGAAGACGACGTACATTACCGGCAAGCTAATGATTGGGCAGCTTCTGCGCGCCAAGTTCTAAGGAAAGGGTTGGGCTGGGCTCTTGTCCAAGTATGCTGTGATGATGGGGGGCCTGAGATGAAAAGAAGAGACGCAAAAAGGGAGCAATGAACCGGACGATGTTTCGCGTGTGGACTGAATCGGGACGGAAAATTTGACAATAATGTCTTTTGATAACATGGAACGGGCGTGGATTTATGGGCCGAGGCTGATATTTCGTATCGAAGCAGGCACAGGATAGTATAGACTAATAGAAACGAGTTCCTCGTGGCAAAGTTTCTTGGCAATGCGAGATTGAAGGGTCCTTTTAAGTCATGCTGTCCTCTTGCCACGCTCTGGAAAACGCCACCCCCTCGCGTCGACGTCTCTTGCCGCTCTATGCGGCAGCTGGTTCAAGCCTTTGGCTGCTTGACCGGTGAGGGCCAAGAACGAGGCTGCTCCACAGAGGTTGTCCATGTGAGTAGGTTTACGCCTCAGAGCTGAAGCCTTGAAACTGCCACGCGAGTGGAATTGGGGAATTTCTCCTCTGGCTTCGTCGCGGCTGCCATAATAATAACGTAAAAGTTAATTTCGACTTCTCTGGCTCGGTATGTCGCCACTACACGAGGAGAGGGCAAAGAGGGGGCCAGCCAAGCCCCGGGTCATCTTGGCGCAGGCGTTGGGGGGCGTGGTGGTAGCAGAGGTGCGGAGAGGGAGATGAAAATGATGATAGCTCTTTCTTCAAATTTTTGCAAAAGTTCCTTCGTGCCCAGCCGGCCTTCTTCTTGACCCCATCGACTTGTGCGCCCGGTCCCTGTGGTAAGGACGGATGGATTGTGGCTGCAGGGAGGCTGGGTGCGGCCTGCCCCCAAACGACCACCATCGGACTCCGAGCTAGGACATTATCATTATTACGCAGCCGGGTAGTTATTGATGCAGCGATCCTTCGGGATGGCATGTGGAATGTGTGAGGGTCAGACAAACGAATCGTCATCAGTGGCAGCCAGTGTCAGCTGCGCGTCTCGGGCGAGGTCAACATACTGGGCAATAGGCCCGCATTGCACCATCGTGGCAGTGGATATCGAGCAACCAGACAGACAACTGCTAGCAAAAGTTTGAATTTTGCTTATATTTTGAGGCATCCATCTGTTGCTTGTTGCTTGTTGATAGATGCTTCGTAGATGGACAACTTGGATAAATTTCAGCTGGGCTTATTATCCTTAGTTAAACCTCTGATATGTGACAGCACATTTCGGCGGCGCAGAGACGCGATGGCTCAATCAAGAAGGTCGAAATTGTTGGATTTAACCTCCCCCGCGCCGGCCCCTGCTAGCGCCAAAAGTTAAAAACGACTCCGACAAGAGAGCTGCATTGTCTAGGCTTTAGAGATAGTTAGCACGGCATTTTATACCATTTTAGCGAGACAGGCTTCGTTCGTTTGCTTATCCTCCGCATGGCCTGTTTCCAGTGTCATGATTACGTGCCTGGGGAGAGGCTTGCCTTATCCCCGTCCCAATCATAAAGCAGCTTTCCCCAGTCACGCGCAAGGAAGCGTGCAGGAAGCAGCCTTACTGCAGTTCGCCATCGCAAAAAGTCCTTGATTCCCCCCAGAAAAAATATCTTTGTCGTGTCGCTGCTTGCTTGGCCTGTGGCATATCCTTCTATCAGTGAAATTCTTGTGTCAGTAAAACATGAGAGTGTGTGCCGACACAACCCGCACAAGATGCCATACTAGACCGGTGGTCTTGGCTTTGAGGACCCCAAAATGGTTCGTCGGTACACTCCTGGTTAAGCCCAACATTGGCGCCCAGCCTTTTGGTGGTGATAATTTTTACTAATGAGGGCTGATGTCCGGCATCCTCACCCGCGCCTGCGGGCTCAAGAGATAGACCAGAGGGCTCTCTCTTTCTGACAGAATCATTCGACAGTAGAGCTTCGTGTTCCGGTAGAAGACTACTGGTGAAATAATTCATCTCCAATTTTCTCGTCGTTGAGTCTTGTCAGCTTGGGCGAAGTCGTTACCATTCGGCTCGAGACGTTGACGCCAGCCTATCTTGTCGGCCAATGAAGAGTCCCATAATCAAGACAACAGCGGCAAAATTAAGCTTTGTAATGCATTTTCTTTGTATCTATTCATTCTTTCCCTCTTGACCCCGAGTCATGCCCCCATAACCACTAGCCTTGTCTCGGGGAAGGAGGGATCTAGCTGCACCTTCCCAGTCAGCTCCCCAGCTCCCCAGCTCCCCAGCTCCCTACCTCCTAGAGTCCAGTCCTCGTTATACACACCCCGCATTCATATAAGACACTTGCATCCGCTCTTCTTCCTTTCCCTTGGCGTTCCCCCAGAAGACTTTTTCTTTCTCATCCTTCATCCGAACCGGTGTCTTGTGGCAGCTCAAGTATACCTAGCCCACCATCGATCGTCTTTACTACACACCATGCCCGCTGGTGACGCCGTCGCCGAGCCCATCGTGGGCGCTGAGCTCCGTGCCGAGGCGCAAGATGAGCGCAAGGCTTCACTCATTGTCGCACAGACTACTGCTTCCGATGCTAATGACCAGGTGACTGGTGAGGTTCTGGATGCAGACTTGCCTTCGCCTACGGCCGATGAGCTGGCTACTCTGCGCCGCATCCCCGACAAGATTCCGCTCAGGCTCTATACTATCGCGTTTATTGAGCTCTGCGAGCGCTTCTCCTATTATGGCTCGACCGTTGTCTGTAAGTACAGTCAAGATGTTTCCCCCCGAAACTCATGGCTGACCTCTACGTGCAGTCACAAACTTCATCCAGCAGCCTCTCCCTCCCGGTTCAAACACCGGCGCGTCCACCGAACAGCCTGGTGCCCTGGGCATGGGCCAGCGTGCTTCCACCGGCATCACCACCTTCAACCAATTTTGGCAATATGTCATGCCTCTTCTCGGTGCATACGTCGCCGATGCGCACTGGGGTCGTTTCAAGACCATCAGCTACGCTCTCGGCATCGACCTCGTCGGCCACGTCATTCTGATCCTCTCCGCCATCCCACCGATTATCGTCAACTCGTCCGCATCTGCAGCCTGTCTTATCCTTGCTGTCCTCGTCATTGGATTTGGTACGGGTGGCTTCAAGCCCAACATTTCCTGCCTCATTGCCGAGCAGCTCGGCGACCAGAGACTCATTGTCAAGACCCTCCCCAAAACAGGCGAGCGTGTCATCGTCGACCCGGCCATCACAACAGAACGGATTTACATGTGGTTCTACTTCTTCATCAATGTCGGTGCCCTTGTTGGCCAAATCACCATGGTCTACGCCGAGCAGCATGTTGGCTTTTACCTCTCTTTTACCCTGCCCACTATCATGCTGGCTCTCTGTCCCGCCGTCATGTATTGGGGCCGCAACCGGTACGTCCACCGCCCGCCCGACGGCTCGGTCCTGGTTCCCGCTTTCAAGACCTTCTTCTTGGCTCAGCGCGGCCGTTGGTCCATCAACCCTTGGGCAACCTGGCGAAACATGCACGACGGCACTTTTTGGGATTCTGTGAAGCCATCCAAGTTTACCGCAGAGAGCCGTCCCAAGTGGATGACCTTTGACGATGCCTGGGTTGACGAGCTGCGTCGTGGTTTCGCCGCATGCGCCGTCTTTTGCTGGTACCCCATTTTCTGGCTATGCTACAACCAAAGTAAGTTTGCAGGTTCTCGATGAATGGCTCAGTTTCCTTTTTAGCATCCGCCGGTCTCAATCAAGTTGAAGAAGCTAACAAAAACAGTCAACAATAACCTCGTCTCTCAAGCCGCCGTCCTCCAGCGTCATGGCGTTCCCAACGACATTCTCTCCAATCTGAACCCCTTCTCCCTGCTCATCTTCATCCCCCTCAACAACTTCATCATCTACCCAGCCCTGCGTAAAGCCGGCGTCCGCCTCACCCCGATCCGCAAAATCACCGCCGGCTTCTTTGTTGGAGCCGCCGCCATGATCTGGGCCGCCGTCGTGCAGTACTACATCTACCAGAAATCCGTTTGCGGTAACAGGGCCTCCGGTAAGATGATCGACCCTGACACTGGGGACACAGTCAAGTGTCCGGCGGTGGAAATCAATGTCTGGGCCCAGACAGGCTCCTACGTGCTCATCGCCCTCTCCGAGGTCTTTGCATCCATCACCTCGCTCGAATACGCGTACTCCAAGGCTCCTAAGAATATGCGCAGCATGGTCCAAGCCGTCGCGCTCTTCTCTGTGTCGTTTGCGGCTGCCATTGGCCAGGCCTTGGTTGGTCTCTCGGCCGATCCCCTGCTGGTGTGGAACTATGGTGTCGTTGCGATCCTGGCTGTCATTGCCGGCACCTGCTTCTTCCTCCAGTTCAAGGACTTGGACATCATAGAGGACGAGCTCAACGAGCTTCCTGAAGGCCAGATGATGAAGGTGGCAAGCGATGAGAAGATTGCGCACCTGGATGAGAAAAGCACCGCCTAATCCCACCCTCCCGCCTTGCTTTTCTGGTATCTTCTTGTTATTCCCCAGTGTCTTTTATGCGCCTGAGGGCGGAATTTTGCAGGTTCAGTCGTTATCTACCTTCTTACTTATGTAGTTGAGTTACCCAAGCGTCAGAAGATCGAGAAGCGCAAGATCGAAGCGAATATCGTGTTTACAGATAGCACACATGAGTTTGTATTTGTCAAACACGCAATATTGTACAACAATCGTTCAATGCAACAATACTCGATATGCACAGTGTCGCACAATGATGACAGATGATGAAAAATGTGAGACTTGTTCGTTATGCGTGCATGTTGCTAGGCCCGGTATCGGTGTACTCGCCTGCAGCTCCCAACATCTAGCTCCAACCGCGTCTGTCCCATGCTCAATCGCCTCGACGTGCGATTCTTCAATTGTTTTGCAACTGAACCATTTTCTCGTGGTTTTCCCAGGATTCTTATAGAGAAGACGCATGTGCGTCATATTTTGAAAAAAGAAAATAGCAAATGATTCCGATACCCAGGCCACATTTTGTACCATTCCAGAAACTCCGTTAAAGCAAGCTCATCATTGTTCTTCCCCGGCGTATAATATAAAAGCATGCTGCTAGGACGACGTGAGGATTCATTATATTTTTTTTTTCTTCTGAAGTTCGACTAGCTTATGCTAGCCATTGCTCTTCGGCTCGCTTCAAGCCTCGCATAACGAGACCGTCTTCTTCGTCTTCGGAATCGAAGTCGTCATCGTCATTCAGTCGTAGCTGCTCAACCGATACAGTGGCGTACTGCAATTTCTCGTCACCGCCGTCAGTTTCGTCGTCCTCGAGCATCCATGTTAAGCCGTTGGCTTCCTCCTCGAGAGGAAACATCTCGCGAGCGTATTCCTCGAGCCCGCGGGGTCCTTCCCACAGCTCCAAAGCCTCGGCAGGACAGTTTGCTTCGAGCCTAGCACAACCGAAGTAGGGGGGTTGCTTTGACGGATCTTTTTCATCGGGGCTAAAGAGCTTCTCCAAAGCTTCCAGCTGCTCTCTATAGCCTGCTGGAATGCGGACTTTGATGTCGATAGGGCCGCGAACATAGCGAACTGGGCGGCCAACGCCGCGGGAAAAAAGCTCGCAGGCTTCTTTGGGTGTCAGGTACTCGTAAGCGAGGGCAATGCGTTCGTTTCGCCATTTCGAGACGCCATCTTTGAAGAGCTGTAGAATAGCAGGGCCAACGTCGTGCTCAGCGTCGAGCCAGGGGAGCTTCGCATCTTCGTGGAAAGGCGCCTGCCATACGAAGGAGCCGTCATCTTGAATTTCGGTGCAGAAAAGCGGGTAAAGTAGGGAGGTAAAATTGTTGTTGTAGATGCCAGTGTAGACAAAGGTGGCAGGAAGGCCGAGCTGCCGGACATAGTCCTCAACCTTATGCTTGGCCGCCCAGAGCGGGAGAGAGGGCCAGTTCTTGTTGTAGGCGGCGTGGTCGGGCATGGACGAGTAGATGTAATGGTGTACGCCAGCTTTCTTGGCGGCGTCGGCTAGAGCCTTGCCGATAGCGAGCTCGTCCCCGTAGAAGGTCGTGTTGATAAAGGCCAGTTGCGCGCCGCGGAAGAGGTTGTTGATGAGGTCGTGGTTTACACCGACACCCGAAAGAGGGCCATTTTGAGTAACATCTTTGTTGGCTTCTGTGGGTTGGTGTCTCGTGTAAAGCTCGCCGACGATGCAGGTTACATTTGGATTCGTCGCGACCTCTGTAGCAATAACGCCTTCCTTGTTGCGCAACTGAGCTCGAACATGATAACCAACAGCAGTTGCGACACGGATTAGCGAGGCCGCCTGGCGCCCACTGGCGTTAATAATGGCGATGGTCTTGTCCGGGGACGACATGAAGCGTTTCGGAGGTCGAAAGGTTAGAGAATTGTTCCTGGACCCGGCTAGAGGAGATGATTCTGAGTAGGACGATCTCGAATGCTTGTGTTGTTTGCGGTAGAAAGAAGGCTGCTCTGCCGTGTTGATGCGGATGGGAATGCTGGCCGACATGGGGTTTAGTTTGGGATTAATTTGGGTGGGCATTGTCGCAGTGGGTGCCCGAAGAGGTTGTACAAGGCCAAAACGGCGGAAAGAACTGGACAGGCTGAGACCAAGGGGAGACGAAGCAAGCCGTACAACACGCGCGCGGCCAAAGACAGAAGCCACGGAGGTGAAGAGACGTGAAGAACTGGGCCGACGAGCGCAACAAGAGCGAGAGGCGTAAGAAGCACGGTGAGGGAGAGTTCGTTCCGTCAACGGCTCCCAATGGTGGGGTTTCGAGAAGGTGCAACCAGGGCTCGCGACTTAGGCCATGTGCCTGCTGGAGAGCGCGAGGAGAGAGAGATGGAGGAGAGGCGAGAAGAGAGTACGTAAAAAAAAGCTGTACGACAGTGGGCCAGTTGCACCAGAGAGGGAGCAAGTTTATTAGACCAGCAACGGAGCTGGCCACCTGGCGGAGTGGAAGAAGGGCTGAGGGCTGGCGGCAAGACGCGGGTCTGCAAAACTGGGAGAACCAGACAAGACGAGAATGGCGGGGTGCAAGTCCAGCAGGTCAAGTGGTCTCTTGCGGAGGCGTAGAGTCTGGATTAGTGTCAGGCACTTTGGCGGGGCAGGTGGACAAGACGAATGATGTGCGCGACTGGTGAGAACGTTGGTGGAAGAGCGGAAGGGTGGAAAGAAGGGACACGATGTCAAAGCGGCCTGCGCGTTGCGAATTGAGGCGGACGAGTAAGTAGCGTAGTATAACATTCGACTTGGCGAGACTGGCGAACAATGAGCAAAGACCGGTTGCTTGTTCCGGACCGTCGCGGGAGAGTATGCCGAAGCCAGATCGACCTTGAGGGCACGCGGAAAGCTTGATTCGGAATGGGGCGGGATTGAGAGCGATACCGGGGCGGCTGCGGTTTGTCGATGAACGCGGTTTCGGGGGCTTTATTTTCGAACGGCGCAAAGGACTGAAGAACTGAGGAAAAATACAGTGTTGATGAAGGAGTAAGAAATCTACGACGACAAGATAGATTCGACAATCAATGACAGCCATTCAAGATAAGCTGGATCCTGCGACAGCAGCAGCGCGCATATGGAAAGTAGGCTTATCGGCGATGGCGGGGATGCAGAGCTGATAAGCAAACCTTGTCAGAGTTGCGTCTTGGTTTTTTAGAGCCAGCGGGTGTGGCAGAATTTGCAGTAAGTGTGAGTAGGCTATAGTTGATGGATTTTTCAGTTTTGTACGAAGTAGATGATGTAAATGGAGAAGAAAAGTAAGTCGCCGGCTTTTTCAATTGGAAAGATTGGGCGGCCGTGCTTGAAGAGAACCTGTTCCTTATTAGACTTGACAGCTGCAAACGCAGCCAATTGCCAGCTGCCAGCTGCCAGCTGCCAGATACAAACATCAGATACATTACATAACCATGAAACGTATCTACCTCTCTCCAAACCAAAACTTAACAATACACCATCAACGCTGATAACATGTTTGACATCTTCGGTTATCGCCTTGACATTGGACGAACTTTGCGATGCGATGATGCTGGTCCCGACACCACCGAATTCGTCGCCGCCACAACCACGACGGCTACTTGCCTATAATCAGTACCAGCTCGCAACTGGGGGACAACACCACCCCCGGTAACTTACCGGCGCCACTTATCCACGGTGCGCGCGTGAGCCGACACAAATTTTCTTCCTACTCCAGAAACTCGGGCTAATAATTTGGGATGGGGTCCTCTCGCTGGGGCTACCGTTATCAGTTGGCGCTGGGCAGGCTAGCCCAAGCCAGAATGAGGCGACGGACGGGCGCCGCGGAGATGGGTTGATGGGGTTCAAAGGCGGGAAGCTGGCGTAGCCTGTCGTGGCAAAGAACTGATAACGGAAACTGCCTATTCCAGCATAGCCTGGATCGCCCTCGACCACGGTGTGACTAGGTGCGGTTGTCTCGTCTGCGGTTGCGTGATGGATGATGCAACCCAAGAACCAAAAGGGCCCCAACAGACCTGAACAAGAAGATAAGTATAACCGTCGAATCTCAAAACCACCAACATGTACGGATACGATGCCCTTTTCAATTCGTTGGGCCGTGTTTACATCTTCACTGACACAGGACTAGCCATGCAGAACCCTCCCCTCTGATAACGCCCTGGTTCGATCCGCAAACATGGAGGTAAAAATCGTTTTCCCCATATTAAATAGCTGCAGCAGCCAGACCGCTACCAGAATAATTGTCATTGCCGTCGAAACCCACTGTATCGCATGCTCTCCAGTTGTTGCCCGATAAAGACAGTCCCCAAGGTGAAGTCTACATTGGGGAAGATCAATGGGGGTAGCAAAAATGGCAGCCCATGCAGAGTTACCCCAAAATGCGGCAGAAGTGTTCTCCCCCCACAAGCTGCCATTGAATCGCATCGGGGCCTTGACGACGCCCCTTCTGACTCGCACAAACTGAGCTACCGTCACGAAGAAGGCCAACCCAGACAGCCAGAGCATCAAGAGCTATAGGAATATACCAGCCCAAGTTGCTGCAATCAGGAGCACCTCGGCCGCCAGAGGGTGCGATTCAAAATATGCATACAAATTATTCTGTCCGACAAAGCCTGTGAATTCCCAAGGCGTGCAACAATAATGAACCCTACAGAGTCCACTGTAATAAAGAGGCCGGGCGCCTTATCCGGTAGCGGCCAACCGTTCTGCATCAGATTGCCAAAGAACCGGACAAGGGTAATGAGACTTGTGATCCAGCCGAATCCCTAAAACGCAATGCCCGATAACCCCAGCCTTTTGGCAGGAGGTTGGTCTTTTGCGATTGCGGCCGCGATTGTGCCTGTCAGCATGGTGTTGTACACAAGAGCATGGAACCTGTCAGGTTTGTCTGTCCTTACATGCCAGCGAATGCCAGCAGACCTTATCAACTTCTCGCAATTTTCCAGGATCGAGATCCTAGTAACTAGTCGAATCTGCTGCACCTTTCTGCGGCACAATTTCAACGGTACATTAGGTCCCAGTGAAAACCAACGCAGGTATTTTTTCTTCTGTTTTTCTCCAGTCAGTCGCCCGTGTCCCACACAACGGGGGCCAATACACGAATTGGTCTCGGCGTATCAGCTTACTCGGTCTGAGGTTGCAGCAGAAACTTCAGCGCAGTGCATTACTCAACATCCGAAGACCCGCGTACGAATTGAGCCGCGCCAAGTTACCATAAAGCCACGTATCACTCAAAAGGTCACGAGAGGCCGCTTCTCATTTCGCAAACAAGCCGAGCACGACAAAAGATCCTTCTCGACCTAAGATTGACCCCAAGATCTTGGGGTCTTTTTCAAGGGCGCTAGTCAAGAGATATGTTAGCTGCGGCATCGGAGCAACCCCGCGGTTTCCCTCCACCGCCATGGGTTTCTGGGGTAGCTTTGTCCTTGACTCCTTATCCGCAGAGTGCAGAGTGCTGGTATCTCCAATTTCAACTACTCCGTACTCCGACAAGGTGGTCTAACTATCTCGCTACCTCTTTTTGCTTGTTCTTTCTCCGCGTGGAAAGCCTCTCTGAGGGATGGCCTCAATTAGGAGTTTCTCCCGTGGATCTTCGCGACTTGGCTACATGCAGCAGGTCACACCAAAGTAGTGTGTCTAATTTCGATAACACATTGTTTACCTCTTTATTTATCCATTTTCATTCATTTTAAGCCCTGACCCCTTATCTTTCGTACATGATTCTTGGTTTTGCAACCCTTTCTCTGGCTTGTTGGCTTTTACCAGGAGCAGTACGTCAGCCCGACTAATCCAACTCACTTATGCAGGGAGCAGCCACGACACTGAAAATAAGCATGCCGAACCATGCCGAACCCCATCTCTCTACATTCGGTTGAATCAATGCGTTGTCCGCAATTTTCTCTACCATCATTCCACTTGGCTTCCAGGCCTTTCTCGTGCATATGCAGCTACTGCTAGCCTGCCTCCTGGACATGACCCCAGCTTGTGTGCGGCCCGAACAGTTGCCTTTCCCGCTCCCCAAGTAGGATAATACATTGCAATCTGGGCTTTAAGGCTCATCGTCCAGGTCAATACTCAGTCACACGGAGACGCCACGATGCATACGCCACCAACCTCATGTCTTGCCTCAACGCATGTCTCGGGCTCTCGCCGGCCGTCCGCCTATTTTCATGAGAGTCCCGGTTAGCCTCGGGGACGAAGAGTGCAAGATGTCGTTGTATTTGCAACCACATGGCGAAATTTCTAGATACATAGATATATCGCTGATCTGTAGTCACGGCATCGCATGCCATCCCCAGCGCTCCTCCTAGACGATAGCCAGCTACTCCGCAACTTCGCATACTCTCATGCATTATTGCCTCGGCCTCCCCGCTTCCCCATACATTTCCCCAACCTCTGTGGCCCTCTTTCTAATCTCCCTTGTCCCTGTGCGATATTCCCCGCTCTCTCCGTGTTATCCCTACGAAGTACATCTGTCCCGTCCTCTTGTTCTCGGCCCGGCGGCTTGCCCCCCTCCGCCTTCTACCCCAGAATCTCTCATCCTTCTGCGGGACCTGCCAACAGGAGACACGCAAACTACGATTGTAAATTCGCCAAAAAAAAAATAATTGAACTACTCAATCGTAATACGTAATAGTATCAATGAGTTGCCAATGGCGCCATTCTGTACGTAGAGCACGACCCCCGGTTTGCTATCTTCCTCCCGGTCGATAGGGATTTAATGGCGGTTGTTATCAAGTCTGATCGACAACTAAAAGACCGCGCTTCACATCTTAAGCTGTTAGCACATGCGAATATCAAAAATTGCAGTGGCCAGGTAATAATGATGTAATTTTCTATTTTTAGACCGCCAATAGTTCTTCAGATTCACCTTCCACCCCCTCAATCAACAGACAAAAGGGTATAAGAAGTCTTTGGTCAACTCAGGCAGTCAAGTTGAGCCGCCGTAACTCATGTTCCGCGTCCAAGACTCCTCCAAATCCTGACCCAAGTTTCCTATCTGGTCGTTGTCTGCCGAGAACAAGTCAATCTGTCTCTGTAGGTAGAAAAGACGTCAAAAAATTAGCCATTAGCGTTCCTATCAGCAGTCTTGGCCTCTGCGAGAGGCGCTATCAGCACTCACCCAGTCCATGTCGTCGCCCATCCAAGACGATTCGAACTCGACAGTGCCAAATATGCCGTCGCTACCCTCCCCGGATGCCGAGGTCTCCTTTCCTGAAAGGTCAGCTCCGACACTCACCACCTCCAGTCCGGGAAAGGTCACGACTGTCTGGTCGTTGCCAACCAGTGGCATGTCAAAGGCCGAAGAAAAGTCTGTGTCCATCATCGTACCTATTGCAGAAAAGCCGTTAGCTAGCAATTCCAAAAATATCTTGTCGTGCGATACAGACGCCAAGAGCATAAAATTCGCGCAATATGCATGCATAGCATACCATTGAAGCCTTGGGTGGACTCTGAGCCAGTCGAAGGCTGGTTGGCAGATGCAGCCGCCGACGAGAGCTGTCCGCCCGATATCAGCGACGGTGGTGGCGGAGCCGTCGCGAACATGTTCTGTTGTCCAAACCCAAGGTCATTTCCTGACGACTGTGGCGGCGGCACGGCCATGGCAAGACCGCCACCGCCTCCTGGTACCCTACCCCTCGGGTCGGCGCCGCTCCCCTCGTCGACGGGACACCCGAGCTTGGCCAGCATGACGGCCAGTGTGTCCCTCGTCTTGCGCAGCTCCCCGACAGTCGACGACACGCGGCACCAGATGGCGTGCGAGCGGCGCAGCATCGCCGTCAGCTCCCGCCTGGACCTCAGCCGGGAATCTCCCGGCGCGGCCCAGCGCTCGTGGCCGTCAACCCCCGGCTGCTCCGGGTAATGCGGGCTGCGCGCGACGACGTAGACGACCATGGCGGCGAGCATGAAGTCGTGCACGGACAGCGAGGTGACGAACCAGCCGCACATGCTGAGCATGCTGCCCGGCCGCGTCGCGTTCCAGATGGTCAGCTGGAAGTCGAGCAGGGTGAGGGCGGCGTCGAGGCACTGCCGGCGCGAGTAGTCGTGTTCGGGTCGCAGTGGGATTTCGGTGAGGTGCCGGCGGTGCAGCACGCAGCGGCACTTGTGGTAGAGCGCCTCGATGCCGTAGCGCTGGATGAGCAGCGTCGGCGCGTCGCCGATGCACCGGTCGAGCGGCCGGACGCGCAGGAACGGCGGCACCCGGTCCCAGGTGTCGTTGAGCGCGGCGTCGAGGCGCATGGTGTCGGCGTAGGTCGGGGGGGTCAGCGCGTGCGCCTGCTTGGCGATGCGGCCAAAGACGCGCAAGATCTTGATCTTGTTGATCGAGTAGGACAGGGCGGTGTGCTCGGACAGCGGGCGCGGCGGCGGCATGCGGCACGTGTCCTCGTCAAAGTCCTCGTCCGGGTGGTTGCCATGGACCTCGACGTCGGACTCGACGCCGTGCAGCATGCTGGGCAGGCCCATGTGGAAGGACACGAGCAGCTCGACCTGGCAGGCCATGCTCCACCACCGGCGGCGCATCTCCGCCTCGTACGGCGTCAGCGCGGCAGCGGCGGCGAGCCGGCCCGGGTCCCGGTGCATGCCCAGCTTGAGCATGAGCCGCAGGCACACGGCGGAGAGCGTGTAGCAGCTCATCTGCGCGGCGCGGCTGAACAGGAAGTAGGCCTCGACGTAGAGGATGAAGGCCGGAATCGTCTCGGGCGTCGGGTTCGTGTACTTGCTCCAGACGAGCGCCCAGCCGGCGCACGAGCGGAACTTCTGGATGCGCTGCAGGACGGGCGTCGCGGACTCGGCGCGGAGCTCTTCGGGGGCTGAGAAGTGGTTGAAGATGACGCCGAGGGCAAGAATCATGAACAGTTGCGCAATCCAGGGCAGAGACATGCTATCAGGATCTTGCCAGAATCTTGCATACTTTATTATGCGTTAGATAGATTTCGTTTTAGGAAATGTGTGTGCTCACGTTTCTAGTGAATGTTGGCCGATGGACACAGACTGCAGCTCTGATCAGCATACCTGCACTGCCAAGCCAATTGGCAGTCAGTCGACTTACATTGTGAAGGACTCGACGATGAAAAATATCGCATAATGAGTCTGTCAGCAATATGTTTCTCTGGGATGTGTCCGATGAGCTCTTCGCGACTAGCCGGTCCAGCTCGGGGACTCAGGAGCATCTCGGCGGCGTCCAGGTCGCCCCCCGGAGAGTCACCTTCAAGCTCGTCATCCTCATCATCAAAGTACGTCTTCATGTCTTCAATCTGTAGCCGTATGAGCATCAGTCACCTCTCAAAGCACCAGATAAGAGCCAATGTCCACTTACATCTTCCAGCATCGCCATGCAGTGCGTTGCTCCCACATACGTCGATCCTTGCAAACTCCGCACCACCTGTCCCTGTGCCGGCCTCGTCTCCTGGGCATCCGTCTTTTCATCCTCACTCTTACCCTCACCACTGCCCCTCCTCCTGCTCGCTCTCCCGTCCTCGCCGGCCTTTTCCTCCGCCTCGGCCTCCAACATACTCCGCACCATGCCCTCGAGACGCTTCAGCCGTGCCGACATGCCCTTGGGCGGCGGCTTCTTCTTGACCGGCCGGGGCGCATACACGCAGGCCTCGGGACGGTCCTTCTTAGCGCACTGGCTGCACGGCTGACTCCTGTCGCACTTGAGCTTGGAGTTGCGACATGGCGCGCACGACAGCAACACGCGCGAGCGCTTCTGCGGCGGCACCGACGGCAGCGCCCCGTCGTCGAGGCTGAGATCCAGATCCATGCGTCGGTCGGTTCAATGGGCGTCGGCGCTATGTGTAATGGTTTGTACCAAACGGATGAGATGCAGGTTCAACGAGCTAATAAAGTTAGCTGCTGTTAGTCTGGCTCGATGCAAGGGTCGATGTTGAGATGAGGTAGCTGCCACGGGGTAAAGCGTAAACCTTGCTGTTTTAACGCCGGCGCTGACAGCTCAAGTCGGTGAGGGGTCCGCCACTACGTATGTACTTGAGAGTATGATCAAGCAAAACCTTTATGGGTATGTTTTCTTCTAAAAAAGGAGATGCATTTTACTAAATATAATGTTAGTTCTACCAAGATTTACGTCGAAATTAATTTGAAAAAATTGCTCTCCCATTGTAGTAATCTGGCGGTGCTCGGCACTTGTGGTTGACGAGCAAGTGTTAGTTCTTCGAATAAATCGCACATTTAGAACAAAAGATTTATCACGGATACAGTAAATGGTCATTAATGTCTCAGGTCAGGTCTTCTCATCATTCAATCAGTTCTATTTTCAAAGTACTCTAGGCCGGCCTTCATACTTGTTCAATCACTGCTTGTCGATGATGAAGGCACTGTCGTACCTCAAAGCCTTGCCGCTCCCTGGGCGATCTTGTTCTTGTTCTTGTTTGCAGATTCGTTATTCGATGCCGTTTCATTTGCAGCGACGGTGCAGTTTTGCTGAGCAGCTTGGGGTTGTTGAGCCTGGGCAGCTTCGCGACCGCCAGCATTCCCGGCATTTCCAGCATTTCCAGCATTCCCAGCATTCCCAGCATTCCCGGCCTTTTTACCTCCCGCGTTGCCTGCATTGTTGCCCGCATTGTTACCGGCATTGTTGCCAGCGTTATTGCCGGCGTTCTGGCCAGCATTCTGGTTGGCATCTTGGCCAGCATTCTTGTTGCCAGCGTTTTGGCCTGCGTTATTGCCAGCAGCTTTACCGGCATTGTTACCGGCGTTATTACCAGCGTTCTGGCCGGCATTCATGCCAGCTTCATTGCCAGCATTTTGGCCAGCGTTGTTGCCGGCAGCTTTGCCGGCGTTGTTGCCAGCGTTCTGGCCAGCGTTGTTAGCAGCATTGTTGGCACCATTCTGGCCACCGTTCTGGCCAGCATCTTTACCGGCATTGTTGTTGCCAGCGTTCTGGCCGGCGTTGTTGCCAGCAGCTTTGCCGGCATTGTTACCGGCGTTATTACCGGCGTTCTTGCCAGCTTCATTGCCAGCGTTCTGGCCAGCGTTTTGGCCAGCGTTGTTGCCAGCATCTTTGCCGGCATTGTTGCCAGCGTTCTGACCAGCGTTCTCCAGCGTTCCAGCGTTCTGACCAGCGTTCTGACCAGCGTTCTGACCAGCGTTCTGACCAGCGTTCTGACCAGCGTTATTACCGGCAGCTTTACCGGCTTCGTTGCCAGCGTTCTGACCAGCGTTACCTGCATCTTTGCCAGCGTTATTGGCAGCGTTATTGCCAGCATTGTTACCAGCATCTTTGCCAGCGTTGTTGGCGGCATCATTACCGGCATTGTTGGCAGCATCATTACCGGCATTGTTGGCAGCATTGTTTCCAGCATTGTTAGCAGCATTGTTTCCGGCGTTGCCTCCAGCACCACCACCTAACAAATTGGCAAGATCCCCCAGGTTCATGCCCCCGAGGCCATTCTTCAGCGGACCGTTCAAGAGGGCGTCGAGGCCACCGGCGCCTGCGCCGCCTGCACCGCCACCCTGTACGCCATTGTTGGAAGGAGTGAGAGCGCCAAGGAGATTAGACAAGTCCTCATCCGGGACACCGGCCGCGCCACCAGGGCCGGCCACAGGCACGGCGATGGCCAGGCCGGCAAGGCAAGGACCAATGGTGTATGAGAGCTTCATTCTTGCAGAATCTTTGATGTGCAATGCTTGGACAGTCAGTAATTTGAGTCAATCGATTGAGGTCAATAACACGTACATAGAGAGTGGAGTGTAGTTGGGCAGCTCGTAATGATTGTAGGTTGGTCTGCAAAGTAGTTCAGTTGACTACAACCATAGGATTCACGACCGCTTTATATATCCTGTGTTTCCCATCGAGGAAAGTAGAACTCAGGTCATACTGAGGACCAGCTTCAGTGTATGATACCTGCGTTTCAGTGTGCTGTCCTAAATTTGGACTTTACATTCTCAGCGCGAAGGTCTTTGCGCAAGATGGTCAGACAAGATTTCATATGATCGTCGGTAATTCGCTACTAAAATCCAAGCGTTCTAATGTGCTCTGGTCATACAAGTGCAAGTATCATCCATTATAGGCGCTTGTGAAACCACTTTACCACAGAACTTACTTTACATGGTAAGGTTTTTGACAAATTTTCATCGTTTCCACCATTTCCCGTTGGTCCAGGCAATTCTTCCTCATGCTGCTGAGCAGCTCAGAAAACACGGAAGGCGTCAGCACACGACCGCCATGTCGCGGATAGACACTCGCACAATGCGACGCTGTGCAGTGAACTGAATTGTGTGTCGATCGTCCGATGGCTGATACGCTTCGCCTCAGCAATGCCCGACGGACTAATTGTAGATCATAGGGAGGTGAAACCTATCGTGTGCTGCTTAATCCTTCTCCAGGCTGACGTCGGGGTCCGGGTGTTTCATGATGCACCGGAGCACCGCGGCCCCGCGATACATGCAATCCATCAGAACGGCAGATCTCTCTACTCCAACAACCTCGCTCAGAGACAGTAGAGTACTCTCGGAGCATCTTCGAGAAAGGGGGAGGCGGTGCAAATATTCATGTCTGAAAATGATCATTTCGCTAAATTCCCAAAAAAGACAATACTCTCAACGTCTTTTTTATGAGTCTGGCGCACCAGGCAGCCTCTCTATCACATACTTTCCCCGTGCCACGCTCATGAGCGGCACGCCAGGGATCTTGCGCAGGCGCTGCTTCAGCGCCCTGTCGTTGGTTCCCACAATGTATATCCGGTCCTTCTGCACGCGGTCGACGAGGCAGTCGTCCGCGTAGGTGCCCTTGTGGTCGCACGTCAGGCGCTGCCAGCGCTCGTCGCGCGCCACCTTGAGCGCCAGGCGGTACTTGGGGCCGAGCTTCTCCAGCTCCGACATGACGCACGAGGTGATGATGGGGTTGCACTTGGCGTAGAGGCAGTCCATCATGGACTCAAGCAGCGACAGCTTGCGCTGCACCGTGTGGCTGAGGAAGTTGGTGTCGACGAGGACGTTGTACGGCGGCACGAGGGCCGTGTTGTGCTGGAAGAACATGTTGCTGGGCATCTGCTGCACCTCGCGCACCACCTCGCCCTGCACCGTCTTCTTCTGCTTGAGCTTCTGCAGGGCCTCTTGCTTCGCTTGGTTCTCTTTGAGTCGCGCATCGCTTTTGCCAATCACTCGCTTAACCTGTGATGATTTCTCGTCAGTATTCAGTTTCGAAGTGGCTTATCGATAAGGTGTCGTACCAGGCCAAACTTTCTCGTCTTCTTGGCCACACCCATGGTGTCGGATATTGAATTCGGAAAAGTGGTGTGTTAATATTGTCTCTCTCGTACGGGGCTCTTTTCGTATCGCCGCGAGGAATGCCGTGTGCAGTAGGTGTCGTTCTATGTGTTCGTAATTTTTTGGAGTCGAAATTTCAGAATCTATGCGATGGACAACTTTTTTTCTGGGTCCGCCGGGCCACCACAGCGGTTTGGGTGCACGGACCACCTTAGCTTCTAGTGGGATGCCAGCAGCCTGAACCAGAACCATCAAACGCGTCTTCCCATCGCGTAAAGTGCTGCACACGTACTGCTCATTGTTCTGCCCCCTCACGAAATTCACGATGCCAGCCGCGAAAGCCGAAGAAAAGGGCGAGTCCTCGAATGCCGCTTTCAAGGCGGCCCTCTCTGCCTCTACCAACGGATCGTCAAATTATGAGCTACCATGGTACGCCAAGCAGAACAACTATCACGGTGCACCAGAGCACGCTTGCTAAGAAGCTACCCTTAGGGTCGAAAAGTACCGTCCCGTCTTCCTCGACGATGTGGTCGGCAATACCGAAACGATTGAGCGACTAAAAATCATTGCCAAGGAGGGCAACATGCCGCACGTCATCATCTCTGGCATGCCAGGCATAGGCAAGACAACGAGCGTGCTGTGTCTCGCGCGTGAGCTCCTGGGCGAGTCGTATAAGGAGGCCGTCCTCGAGCTCAACGCCAGTGACGAGCGAGGCATCGACGTCGTGCGCAACCGGATCAAGGGCTTTGCGCAAAAAAAGGTGACGCTGCCGGCCGGCCGCCACAAGCTCATCATCCTCGACGAGGCGGACAGCATGACGTCGGGCGCGCAGCAAGCTCTGCGCAGGACCATAGAGATCTACTCCAACACGACGCGATTCGCCTTTGCGTGCAACCAGTCCAACAAGATCATCGAGCCCCTCCAGTCGCGGTGCGCCATCCTCCGCTACGCCAAGCTCACCGACGCGCAGGTCGTCAAGCGGCTGATGCAGATCATCGAGGCCGAAAAGGTGGAATACAGCGACGACGGGCTCGCCGCCCTCGTCTTCAGCGCCGAGGGTGACATGCGACAGGCCATCAACAACCTGCAGTCGACGTTTTCCGGCTTCGGCTTCGTCTCGGGCGACAACGTCTTCAAGGTGGTGGACTCGCCGCATCCCATCAAGGTGCAGGCGATGCTCAAGGCCTGCTACGAGGGCAACGTCGACGCCGCGCTCGACACGCTCCGCGAGCTGTGGGACCTTGGCTACTCGAGCCACGACATCATCAGCACCATGTTCAAGGTCACCAAGACAATCCCGACGCTGAGCGAACACTCGAAGCTCGAGTTTATCAAGGAGATCGGCTTCACGCACATGAAGATTCTGGAGGGTGTGCAGACGCTGCTGCAACTGAGCGGCTGTGTAGTGCGGCTGTGCAGGATAAACATGGATCCCAAGCGCTTCCAGGCAAAGTAACGGTTTCATGGGATGGTTTCAAGGAATAAAACGTAACGCATCTTGCATTTGGCGTTGGAGTTGGTTTTTTGATCTATCAATTTGACTATTCGTACATGTTCGGTGGAGATGAAATGATGTGAGCATAAAATATGTCCTGGGTGGTTGTATCGGTATAAAATATATGATATTTTATGCCGTTTCCGTGTTTCATTTTTTGTTGTTGTTGGCCTGGATGAACTCGTCCTGGTAGCGCTCCCACTTGGCCTGCTCCCTTTGGACGCGCCTTTGCATGCGCATCTGGTACTCGTACAGACGGAGGCTGTGGTCTGCCTCAATCATGCCGCCAAGAACCATGGCGGACATTTGAACGAATCTGGCGTCTGATTAGCAAGTCGGAGGGCCGTTGAGCGATGAGTAGCGTACACTTTAAACTGCACTGTGGTGCCTCGGTAGACGGGCGACCAGACATGGCCGATCGCAGCGAGAACAACAGCTCCGGCTCCCCATTTCGCAGCTCCCATGCCGGCGCCCTTGGCCGCTTCCCAGCTGGCCGCATTGGCTTCCTCTGTTTTTAGGGGACTATGTGAAGGCATCGTTGCGGTTGTGAAAGTGGTGTGAGAGGTGCAATGACGGAGGCAGAAGCTTCCGATACGAGTGTTGATGTAATAGCGGGCACGCGACCGATTGGCATTCTACGGCGGCACGGCGCTTAAATAAGACAGCACTTCCCGCCCACTTGTTTACATATCTCGATAACTTCCCCCAAGAACCCAAATTTTGAGATTCTTGTCGATCAGAACCACGAAAGCCGCAGAGGAAACTTGCATCCAATTTACACAATGATCCCGGGTAGGAAGGAAGCTCTCGCCCCGATAAACGCGTATGCCCGCCTAATGGCAACTCGCCAGAATGGGGCAAGCTCCAAAATTTGCTCCGGTCCACAAAACCGGCTTCTTGCACACTGGCCAGCTTGCGCCAAAACTCTGCCTGAACAAAAAAAAACGAAGATGACACGATAGCAGGCCAGCTACGCAAGACACCTCACCTCCATCGTTGCCTGGAGCTTGTGTGTCAATCGTTCTTTTTTTTCCATCCCTGCATCAAAGAAGCTCCACATCATCGGCTTTCTTTCGCACGGGACAGCTTTGTTTTCCTCTCCATTCTCTTCGCGCGAGGCGTTTTGGAAGACGAACGAAAAGCTTGCTTCATTGCCCACAGCACCGCACAACGAGAAACGACAGCTTCTCCTCGTAGCACATCATGTCTGATAACACAATTGCGGCTCAGTACTGGCGCTTGCCGCCCATCTCTCGGTACGTCCCCCCTTTCTGCTCTCTTCGACAGAGCGATGCTAACTTTCCGCGCAGTACTCTGGCCACGTGGATGTTTATCAGCTCGGTCGGTCTATACTTTGGATTCATCCCTAGTCAGTGGTTGGGATACCACTCGGGGTACATCCTGCGGTTCCCGCCGCAAATATGGCGCCTCGCGACGGGCTTCCTCATCACGGGGCCCCAGCTCGGCCTGCTGTTTGACACGTTCTTCTTCTACAAGGCGGCCAGTGACCTCGAGACCGGCCATCCGCGGCTGCGACGCAAAGAGGACTTCATTTGGTATCTCATTTGCGTATGCAGCTTCATCGCGGTAAGCTTTCTTTCTTGTTTATATGCCTCGCTTCGCTCGCTTGTTTCCTGTTTTGTTTGTCTTTGTCCCTGTCTTGAATCTCATGGCGCACCCTGTGCCACACCTCATATATCTGCCCGGGCAGTGTTTTGCCTCTACAGCTGTCACGGTTCCTGGAAATGAGGAAGATCACCCCTGTACTTCCCGCCGGTCCATCATTCGCAAAATCCGGACTTGGTGGGCGGTGCAGGCATGGTGGGATGTCTATATGGATGGCTCGTGTGACTCTTAATTTGCTCGAGTGGTTTCTTAGCTCCCTACATTTCTACACATTTGCTTTTCCTTTTTTTTTCCGTAGATCTTTTTGTTTACTCGAGCGACGGGCTACTTTCGCTTCAGAACCTTGACTAACTTGATTGGTCAGATCATTGATTATTTTGTCGCCATTATGCCCTTCTTTGCCCTGACGCGGGGCCTCATCGTCGCCCTGACCTATACAGCCACCCAACAGCAACAAGGCTTGCAGGTGAACTATATGTTTGTTCCCTTGCCTGCGCCACTGATGCCGTATGCCATGATTGGCATTAGCCTGCTGTTCCCTGGCGGCATCCAAGATTTTTTCCTCGGCATTTACGGTCTCGTGGCCGCCCACCTGTACGAGTTTCTCACGAGAATCTACCCCCAGCTTGGAGGTGGTTCCAACCTGCTCAAGACGCCCCAGTTCATGACCAGCCTGGTCAGGGCCGTAGAGGGCCGTGTCGAGGCCATCTCCCGCCCCGGCGTTGCGGGCGCTAGTAATTACGCGACAGGTAGCACGACGGGCTCTCAGTCCGGCCCGCTCCCAGATGCCTGGAGGACGAGAGGTGCAGGACGCCGTCTCGGTTAATCTCCGTTGTAAGATATTATACAAGTATAAGAAGTGTAGCATAGTGTACCCGATATGCAGATCCGCAGATATGCCAAGTATAATTTCAATAAGAAAATTCAGCCTGAAGACGTCAAAGCTGCTGTTTTGCTATTGCTAGGCAGACATGTCCAAATATGTGTCCTCCCAAGGAAATAAAGAAAATGTAAACAGAAGAAAAGAAAAGAAAAGAAAAGAAACCCCGGGACAATGCCATTATGGTAGTGAGCGTGAGTGTTCTGTGTGTCCGACATCAATCTGCAATGAAATTACGGTACGTGAGCTCCTCAGAAGCGCGAACGCCGCTGGTATCAATGCAAAATTGGAAAGAAAAAGCGCCAAGAGAAGCAATGCAAATAGGCCAAAAAAATCAAATTGGATATAATGTGCGTGAGATATGGGGACGGGTGTATCTAGCCTGAGATGAATCCTAGTAAAGGAGCAAACGGTCAGTCAGCCACGGCGCGTTCTCATCCGTACACGTCACTGGAGACCGCCTGCTGCCGCGGGCGCGAGATGACGCGCTTTTGCCTCCTGGGGCCTACAACGACGGGACCCCTGGGAGCGATCGAGTATCGCGGGCTGGTCTCCAGGATGGGAGCCGAGATGTGCATGATGGGCTGCTGGGACGAGGAGGAGCGGAAGAGGCTCGACAGCTTCAGCTTGGCGGCGATAGCGCTGGGCGATATCGTAGGGAACCTTTTGGCGGCGCCGTCCGCGCTCGCGCCCGGGACGGTAAAGGCCGCTCCAGGGGATAACTGCTGAGACGCGCGGGCAGCGTGACGCGCGGCGATGCGCTCCGACTCCTCGGCGGCGGCTATATAAGCCTGCTCGGCGAAGGAGTCTGGCGTGTTCGAGCGCCGTCGCGGGTTGGCTGGCAGGCCGAAGGTCGCGATGGGCGGGGGCGGCTGCAGCGACTTGCGCTCGCCGCCTCTTGCGCTCCGGTGGGAGAAGTAGTCCTCCTCATCCTGGTCATGCCGCTGCTCTCTGCGCGGCGATGGCGTGCGGCCGCGACGTGCGCCATCGCTCTCCTCGCCGTCGACGTACGTTGGGACCGGCGTGACGATGGTGCTTTGTGAGCGCGGCCGATAACCTTGTGTGTCGTCCTCGTAGGGGTGTCCGCCACCTAGCTCAATGCCCCCTGGACCTCCAGGGCCACCAGGGCCCCGGCTGGCGGCTGTGAACCGAGGACCGGTGACGGGCGTTGTCTTCTCGCTGTGGCTGCGGGCCCCCATGTACGCTTCTTCGCCGTGGTAAGGCCGCACAATGAGAGCTGGCGGCGCAGTGGTCCCCTTGGGGCCGCCCGCGGCGGTCCAAGTGTTGGGGGACCGGTACGGGCTCTGCAAATTGTGTTGTTGTTGGTTGTGGTGATACGGCTCGTCCGAATCGTATGGGTCGGACCAGCTTCCGTAGCGGCGCTCGCGGCGGCAGTGTGCCACGAGCAGGCACACGGCAATCATGCAGACAAGCACGACGCCGACGACGATGCCGGCAATGGCAGGGGCTGGCAGCTTGCCTGAGGGCTCATCTGGGTTGGTGACGCGCTGCGGATCGATGATGTCGACGGTCGACTTGGAGAAGACGGTGGCACTAAGGCCAAGCACATCGCCGTCGTTGGGCGTCTGGCGGCAACCAGCTTCCAGTGCTGTGATGACTGCATGGGTGGCAGGCTTGTTAGCTACGAGAAGAGGGGGTAAGATGAGAGATATGTAGTGGAGGGCTCACAGTTGGCCATGTAGGCCTGTTCATTGCTATTCCGCAGACAATCGCGGCACACGGATATGTTGTCGCCCATGAAGTTGCCATCGTCGGCTGCGCAGTAGTCCCAAGCCAGACTGGGGTCCGGCTCGAGCTTATCGTTGGATAGCGAGGGTTTGAGTCCTCGGCAGCCGCTGTTGGTAGCGCACGAGATGTTGCCCTCATACTTTGGCTGAGACGGTATTGAAAAGAGGCAGGCGTCGAGTGTGTATCGAAGGTTGTCTAACAAGTTCGGCGGATGGGCCCGGGTTAGCTACCAACAGAGGCGCAAACGCAGAGCTCGAGGGAGATGTGAAGGCCTGAGATGACTTACAGACAAACCACTTGAGGTCACTCTCGCCATCCCACGCTCTGTTGCTTCGCTGTAAGCAAGTGAGGCATCTTTGGTAGTGCTGGCCTATTTCTGTGTTGAGGTAGCTGGAGTCGGCGCAGGTCACGTCGGTGATGTTGGTGTTGGAGTCGGACTTCTTCCACGGATTGTCGCTGCCTGAGTTGAGGCAGGCTTTGGCGCACTTGGAGCCGGGCGTGACTTGGAGGGCATCGACGGCTGAAGGTGAAAACACAAGGAAAAGGGCGGCGGCAACGGTGTATACACGGTGCATGACGATCGCAGTGGGCTTACGCGCCGGCGTGGAAGCGCTCCTGTTGGCCAAATGGGACTAGGTGAGAGGGCCAACCGCGGGGTCTTGAAGAAGAGGACGAGCAGCCGCTTGGGGACTGCAAAAGGCGGTTTGGTTAGCACAAGGCTGCGGGCTTGTGGGAATCCAAAATGAGAAGGGCGTCGCGGGCTTTTTTAGTCTTGTGTCTCGTTCATGGCAAGAGTGAGGGACGAGAAAACGGCGGGAGCCTTCCCTCAGCAAACATCAAGGTGGACAGACAAGTGGCCAAGATTTCGTCCCTCGCTTTTACATGGCCATCTAGGAGCCAAGAAAAAAAGAAGAAGAAGAAGAAACAGATAGAAATGTTGGGAGAAGGAAGAACGGAAACAGGAGAGCAGAGGACGGGAAGTTATGGTGTAGCTGCGTCTCCGTACAAATCATACATAAGTAAGTAATTAAGTGGGAGGGGGAGGTTATAGCACACTGCAGGACGTGTGAGTCGCACAAGCGACAAAAGGGGACATGACGGTACCCGGCAAAGTTTACAGAAGGGAAAAAAACGGTTTGTTGCCAGCATCACATCCTTACTGCAGGAATCAGCTCACCCAGCCAGGACACTGTTGCAGTGAGTGGCGTAACGGGCCAGGTAGCCCCCACCCGATGCACCAGATGGAAAGGTTGCCGATCGCTGGCTGGTCAGTGACAGAAGTATTTTGTGTCAACGTGTGTGACTATATGTCTCTCTTTCTCCGGAACGAGGTGAAAGGAGGGGAAAGGAGGGAGGGTGTGGTGTGTGTGTGGGCGAGTGAGAGGATTAGGACGGAGCCGAGAGGCGCATGTACGTATGCACCTGGGGGCAAGATTCAAAAAAGTAGAATAATGTTTGGCCCCCGCCCGGACCCCGCCACCGCAAAAGAAGAGCGCTGATACCCACGAAGTATTGCGAAGGTTGGGGAGTCTCGATGTGTCTGAATGTGGAAGGCATGGGGTTGATGGTGATGTCGACCAAGTTAGTTAGTACTGGCGGGTGGTGGAGAAACGGCGGAAGCACGATTTTCTCGCCGGCAAGGAGAAAAAAAGGCTTGGCCCCTCCCAGCATCACATCAATAGGGTTAATAAAGAAAGGGAAAGAGGATCAAGACCCAGACCCGGAGGCAGTTAGGCGCCTCGTCGCCTTGCAGATTGGCATGGGCCGAGCCAATCACCATGTCTGTGTTTGGTTAGGCTTCCCGGTCTTGCTAGCGCCCAGAGATCCTTAACTCCCCGCGATATTGGGGGGGGGGGGCGGACTTGTTGTCTGGTGTCCATCACCCTCACAGCGCTGGACAGCACCGCTTTTGGACGGCTTGGGCCCGGAGTCTCCAGGTCTTCAGACGGTAGCCGTCTCTTGGCATCCTTGCTTGTAGTGGGACGGATTATGCCTTGTAACTGGGCAGTCGACCCTGTCGAGATGGGGGGGTCCTGCAAGCCACGGCACCGAGCGAACCATACAGACGTTGATTTTAAGCGCCGGGCTCAGAGACAATGTAACCCCTTACCCCCCTGTCCGCTCAACTGGATTGGCCAGACGGGGGCTGAAGCATCTTCCTGCAGGTGAGCCACACCCTGAAGGAAAAGGCGGCAGAGTCATCAACAAGTTGGCTAGTATTGACAAGGCAGGCCAGGAAGCAACTTGCCCGTTTCCCCTACAACCTTGACGCACCCCCCCTGCCCGTCTTGGGAGGCGGGCATATTCCGCCCAAGGTACTAGCTACCTGTCATTGCATTGACAGCTGCGGCGTGGCTGTTGTCACTGCGAAAAGGACTCTGGTCCCGGGAAAATGGAACGCCTCGCTGTTGGCTGGCGACTTAGTTCGTTAGCGGCCGGCGCAGCGCCCGGCCAGATTGCCTACCCCCCGGCGAGAGGGAATAAAACAAAAAAACTCGAGCAAGGGATGTTGGGCTCGTGCGAGTCCGTCCCACAGTCACTTCTCCTCTAACTAATGCGTCGGATATCCGTAATGTTTGGGGATATGACTTCTCGTCTGATGCTGGTCAAAAGACGACCAGCGGGCGCCTGGGCGGCAATCGCATTTGAAGACGTTGCATCACGCTATGAGGCCGCCAAGGTATAGAAGCGATAAGACGAAGCAGACACCGGTGGTGGCTTCTCTTCCCTCTCTTCAGCGGGTGTCTCTCTGGGGGTGTCCAGTCCGTGCAGAAACCCGGCTGTCCTTCCGTGGGCACTTGCTAGCCGTCGACGCGCCCCCCCACTGCCGGCTCTGCGGTGCACCATGCATGCCGAGTGACAATGAATTCGAAGTCTGGAGCATGGTGTGGACAATCTTTTGCAGCGTTGAGCGGTCTGTCACTGCGACACAAAACACAGGAGAGGAGGGACATGCGTCGTCGATGTCTTTCTTTTTCTTCCCGCTGCTGACGGAAGCTGGGGAGGAAGGAAGGGCGTGGCAGAATGTTGGTAGTCGAAGCGTAAAGAACTGAGACATTGAAAAAACCCGATTTTTTGCTAGGCTAGTTTGGCTCCCACTTGCAAGCATTGTCCTCGGAGTTGCGTGAGACGGATGGGGGGTGGGTGTGTTATCTTGGACAGCCTTATTATGCACGTTGACGGGCACATCACTCCCCGGGGGTACACAGTATTTATCCAACCTTTGCACAAATCGCATACCGTCGGTTTTTTGGCAGGGTGATTTGAGGATATGCATGGTCCAGGTGGGTGACTTGACTGGATTTTGTCGATATTGTCCGTGGCATGCACTCATCTTGTCGTCCGCGGTTAAGTTTGCCAGGCTCGCCGCCTCCCACACCCACCACCCATCCAGTGACTGTGAAGAACAGCGCCACCCTTGAGGGCGAGACCGTGGACGTCTCTCTTTTTTATCATTATTGGAGACATTTGCTGCCCCGTCCGAAGGAACTTCTGCCCGGTTTTAATATCCGCTAGTCGCTTGCACACACATGTTCACACCACACCACTGACCTTTCACATATCCGTACGCGAATACCACCAACGTACTGGCTGGCCATGATATAGCACACACACGAGATGTTCTGCGTCAGCAAGGGAGCTGCCCTCTTTTTTGTGCGACGTGACAGCTCCTGGTCAGGGTCACAAAGGTGACTGGTGGCGTTGGTAGGTGGTGCTTTGTGGTGTGTGGTGTGTGCTTTGTGGTGTGTGGTGTGTGGTGTGTGTGTCTGTCTGCCTGGCTTCGGGCAAGTCAACCTGAGCACCGCCATCCACAGCCCCTCTACATGCAGGTGAGTCTGGCCCCCGAAGGAGACCAGCATAGAGCAAGGCGAAAAGAGTTCATAGTTGATGCCAAAGAGAAGGTGGTTAAGATAAAAGATACGGAGCGTAGGTAAAGAGAGAGCCAGATGAGAAGGGAGGGGGAATTTTGGACACTTGCGGGAAGCCTCCGGCCTCTGGTCTTGGCTTCTGATTGTTGTCCTGCCCGAGGAGCATACTGGTAAACTGGTTACCCTTGGGCCTTGGCGCACATCCGTTGCTCAGAAAGGATCTCGATCGGTTGGCAATATTCGCGAGATGGTTTCCTGAGCATCCATCCGTATACTCTTTTTCGTGGTTGTTTGGTGCTGGCTGTGAAGGAGAGCGGTCTACGACGACCTGCACCTACCTATGTACGTAGGTACATACCTACTTACACTTCTACCTCCAGACATTGCCAGCAAGACGCTCTTCATAGCGGTGAAATCGCAGTGAACCTTCCCAACTGTATAGCTCGACCGTCTCCAAGACCGGGCTGACCACAATAGGATTAGATTGGCTGTATGTTGCCTTGCTCTAGTAAAATAATCCAGATCCCTCTTTGCTTCCCTACACCCCTAGCGCCAGCTTGAGCGCCTAGCTGGCCTAGCTGGCCTAGCTGGCCGTTCAGCTACCAGCAATGTCCTGGACTGGCCCACCAAGTAAGCCCCGGCGGTAATAAACTAGTTATTGCTAAACTTTGCAACTAAAGTTAGCTACCTACTCTTGGAAAATCGTTCAAAGAGCAAAAGCCCCCCATTTCTCGAGGTTTACTAGATATTTCATAAAATAATCTCCCTCGACGACCGTGCTTTTGGCAGGTGCGTGCTCATCGTCGTGGTCCCTCCCCCTCGGAGTTGCAAACAGGCAGCAGCTTGCTCCAGTAATATCGCCAGGGACTACTCACTCTGCACCACAACGCGGGTAGCCTCGCCGCCCCCGCTGCCAACTCGCCTCGCTCGCCCATCGCCTTCCCCAAACCAACGTCTGGACGACCCTCCATCTCTCAGAAAGAAAGTCTCTTCAGCGAACAGGGCTGTTTGTATCACAGAGCATCACAGCTTGCGCACAGTACCTACCCCAGAGTGTGCTGTGTCCTGTGTCGCCCATCCAACGCTGGCACTTGGACGTTTGTTCACAAGTCAGTCAGTCGCCTTGCAAAAGCGCCCTTCGGTCCACGCCCGCGTCGGCGTCGGCATCTGCGTCCGCGCTGTCTGCGCCTGCCGCCGCTCTACGTGGTAGGCCGGCAGGTCGTGCTCAAAGCAAGATGCGCATCGCCTGTCTCCAGTTCGCACCGCAGCTTGCAAATGTTGACCACAACATCGAGCGAGCCGATGCTATCCTGGAACGGGCGGACCCGCAGGACATTGACCTGCTTGTCCTGCCCGAGCTGGCCTTTTCCGGCTACAACTTTAAGTCCCTCGGACACATCTCGCCACACCTGGAGCTGAAAGATGCGGGCATCAGCGCAGCTTGGTCGCGACAGGCCGCCTTGAAGTACGACAGTGTCGTCGTCACTGGCTACCCAGAGAGGGTTGACCCCAAGGATGGTTGGCCCACCGACCCGAAATACTACAATTCGGCCATAATAATGGACGGTGACGGCGACGCTGTCGGAAACTACAGAAAGTCCCACCTGTACTACACGGATGAAACCTGGGCACTGGAAGGCCGTAGCGGGTTCTACACTGCCAATGTCCACCCCGTGGGCCGCATGGCACTCGGAATCTGTATGGACATCAAGTAAGTTGGCCCTGGAAGCTTCTTGTCTCTGTCGTGGAGTGTTTAAGCTAACAGTCTTCGTAGCCCTTACAAGTTCGAAGCTCCGTGGGAGGACTACGAATTCTCCAACCATGCGCTCGAGTCTGGAGCCAGCCTTGTCGTGCTGAGCATGGCATGGTCTACTCATATTGACCAGAACGAGTTCTTCCGCAAGCCCGCAGAACCAGACATGGACACTCTACTCTACTGGATCACTCGTCTGCAACCAATAATCTCCGCTGAATCCAACCGAGAGACCATCGTCGTCTTTGGAAATAGATGCGGAGCGGAAGGAGACGCCACATATGTCGGCACAAGTGCTGTTATCGGTATCAAGTCTGGTGAGATTTTGCTATATGGAATCCTCGGACGTGACGAAGAGTCTTTACTTGTAATTGACACAGACGACGTGCCCTATGCAAGACTCAAGCTGCAGAGTCGTGAGTCTGTTCCGGAGCAAGATCAAAGCGAGCATACCTTGGCACCACAGCTGCACCACCAAAATGGCCCGCGACATCATCCGAGAAATGCACATGACTCCGGAAAAGACAACTCGCACAGGACGGTCATGGACCAGAGGCCCTCCACTGATGTCCAGGAGCACACCGTCAACACCATCGTAGTGACTCGGGGACCGGAAAGGGATCCGCAGTACCACGATCGTTGGATGGCACCATCACGTCAGCCCCGTGAGCATTCAACTAGCGGACCTTTCAGAGTCGACGGTAGCAGCGTTGGAATATCGTCCTCCAACAGCCGTCCTAGCTACAATCGGTTCACGCAATCATATGTTGCCGCCCCAGTCACTTATCAACATGGCGAGGAAAAAATGCGCCCGACGATGAGCGAAGGCCACTACAATCTGTTGGAAGAGTTCTCTGACAGTGACGAATCCATCATCTCACAGTCGTACCCGGAGAGTGACGAGGAGCCATGGCCACGCACTCAAGAGTCACAAGTGTATGACAACGCGCGGCGGCGTAACGCTGCTAGTGCCCAGCGGGAGTATGGGATGCAGGATACCAGCAAACGATGCCCAACAGCCCATCAGCAACAGGCCGGTCCGCACATACCACAGCCAGAACAGGATGCTGCGTCAGAGTCTTCCCTGGTACAAAGGATCTCGGCCGTCGCCCTTGAAGATAAAAATTTACCGTCTTCAAACACGCAGTACTTCCAGGAGCAAGATATATATAAATATGTTCATGGTGAGAACCTGACATCTGAGCATCATATTCGATATCATACGCATTTGCTCAGGGAGAGACGCGCCAGACAAGGCCTGCCTGCTGATATCGAGGACGACAAGCAAGACCAAGAGGAGTGGGAAGGGCAGCAGGAGGTAGAACCCGTGGTTGGGGCACGTGCAGAGTATAATGAGCCCATTAATGAGAGAGAGGTCATGCATGACGCAGAGTCGGACAGCATAGAGCTGCCTATCTTAGTACCTGCTTCTCCCAATCGGCTCCGCGCAGGCGCTGATGCACAGCCAAATTATACCTTTGGCAGTGTGCAATCCAGGCAAGCCTTTTGGCAGGAGAATCCACCAGAGCCCACGCCCATTGCTGACACTCCGATGAGCCACATGACACAATTCTCACAAACCCGCCCCAGGCGGCGTCACGACCGGCAAGCACCTGCATTATACCTGGCGGATCAGGCAAAGCGTGAGCGGCAGGCCAAACCGAGGGATCCCACCGCTGAAATGAAAACTGCAGATTCCCGAGCAGATGCGATCAGAACCGGAAGCATTCCAGAGCTTGCCGCTGTGGATGGCAACAAGCCGGTCGCATGTAATGAGCCGCCGCCGGCCCTCAACAGGTCCAAGGCCAAGGAGAATTTGCTCCCTCTGCAAGATCCCTCTAGAAGACCTAAGGCGGCGACTAGACAGGTGCCTCCGTTACGGCTCGTGCCTAGGGAAGCGCCACAGGAGAAGAAGCGGGAGAGGGAGGTTCGTGAGCGCTCGCGGCGCACCCCGAGACAGATGCCGATTGCCCGCGAGGTAGAAAGACCCAGTGATCGTGATAAAGGCCGAGAGAAGGACTCTCGCGACAAGGGCCGCACGACGCCTGTGCCGATGGTCCTTGTGTATGAGGAAGAGGGAGAGAGCATGCCCGCTTCACGCCAACGGTATTGAGCATATGTAATGGACAACAATGCATTGGGTTGGATAATGGTCTGGCGTTTGGGTATTTTGTGTTTTTTGTTGTAGCTGATGAAGCTGTCCTCTTCCCTCATGATAACGAAATTGAAATGATGAAATCACGAAGGAGAGTTTGTACTTTGCAGTGTACGATGCGGGCTAGGCTATGTATGTAGGGAAACGCATGATTAATCATTTGTGACCTCTTCTAAATATAAAAACCACCTATTCTCATAATTTTCATGAAGAGTGTTATTTTTAGACGTAGCGCCTGTCGTGGTAAACGGCCGCCTCCATCTCGACTATCTGCGATGTCTTCTAAACATAGAAGTTATACATATATGCTGTAGAGATAGAATATTTTTAGCAGTGTTTGGCTGTTATGAGAACTAAGGGTCTCCATCTGGACTATTGTCCTGTTCAACACCGTTAGCCAAGAGCCATCTGTACCCGTAGAGATATTTTAAACCATCTTCCCGCCGAGGATGGCTAAGAATAGAAGCTATGTGCAAGTGTTGTCTGCCATGTTGAATCAAGAATGTACTTAGCGTGTCGTCGTCAGAACCTGGCTCACTCAGGATAGGTGCTAAGAATAACAGCAGCAACGGCTCTTATTCGAGCCCAACCTCATTCAGCGAAGGGTGGACGATTCGGGGAACAGAAGTGACGGCGGCAAGCCAGCCGGGATGCTACCCGCCCTATCACAACTGTGCGACGACACCGTACATATGAATAGTACAGAGTACTATGCGGTGACACCGCGTGTTACACGGCTGGGATATGGTAGGTTGATATCAACATCACGCTGAGAGGTTATGCACATCACAGCGGGCTGGCTGAGTTCCATGTGATGAGGCGATTATGAGCGTGATTCACCGTGACCGGCTAAGGGTACCACTTAAGCATTCAATTAGTTTTAGGCATGTCAGGAAAAGAGAACATAGGCCGCAAGTCGGCCGCTCATCTCGCTCTGTATCAAGCAGTTGAGAGCCTGGACCCCCCTCTTACAGGGAGCAAGGGCAGCAGGAGTAGGGGTTCTCGAAGTCAGCAGCTAGAAATAGCCCATGGTAATCAAATTAGCCCGTTTGGATAAACGGCAAATGAAGATCACACAGAGACAGTCCAAAAATGGAAGTTGGCGTGATACTTGTACCACGGCACCGTCTAGTTTTGTAGCATCGTGACTGTCATCTCCAGCAGGTGAGGGGAGGGCTCGCCGGCTGATACATCATTTTCTTTGGCGTTTCGCAGGGCACCGCTTGATAGTGACGACTGGTCAGCAATACTTGATGTGTTACCACTGATTCTGGTGAGCTTCTACTCACACCTTGGCCATGAAGGAGCCGCTGAGGATGGAAGACAGCCCACGGGCTGGCACACCTTTTTTCATATCCTCTTGTCCAAAAATACCATGGAAAAGAAAAGCACCGGCTGTGTGTGCTGAATGCTTGATATAAAGTCCCTGGCATCTTCGCAACCATGGTCGGCGATCTCTTTGTCAGAACAGCAGTCAGCCGCAGACATTAAGTCTACTTGTCCAAGCCCTTGGGATCAGATGCACAGAGCTTCACAACATTGACATCAATCTATTAAAGATCCTACCATTCCCTTCCATTCCCTTTCAATCCGTTCTTATATAACTGAAATCCACTCACCTTGAGAAAAATGCGCGTCGGCTGTCTTCAGTTTGCCCCGTGCCACGGCAACGTCGACGCCAACATGGCCAAGGCCAACAACATTCTGGACGGGATCGGCCTCACGGCTGAATCGGAACTCGACTTTCTCGTACTTCCGAAAATGGCGTTTTCCGGTATGATCCCATCTCTTTCTTTCTTTCTTACGAGGCAGCATTCACTGTGGCCAGACCCTCAGGGGTGCCATACAGAAACTCACCTTTGCTAACCTTTGAACTTACCTGTAGGCACCACCAAGCTTGCCCCAAAGGATCACCTCGAGCCTGTCCGCGGCGACAAGACGCAAACGTGGGCAACTGTGGCAGCCGAAAAGTACAAATGCGACGTCGTCGTTGGCTACCCCCAAGAGGTCGACAAGTTTTCGGCACCGTACACCCGCGATGAATTCTTCAGCTCGGCCATCGTGGCGATGCAGGGCGAGAAGGACGTTGTAAACTGCCCGGAAAGAACACTCGATCGAGAGTCTCCGGTGTTTACAGACATTGACCTGGAGCTTGGTAGGGTCTCAATTGCACAGTGTAGGTTAACACAAACCCCCGGAACTCGGACAAGAAGAAATGCTAACCTCCTGGCTTACGGCTTGGTCGTGGAACAGACACTGATTTCGGGTATGTGCAATAGTGTTCACCAGCGAGGCAAACCATTGCTAATATGCTCCATAGCGACAACGAGTACTTGAACGATCGGGAGTGCCGAGCATTTGCAGACCACATCGTGCATCACGGCGTCGACATGGCCATCTTCCCGATGGCTTGGACGATCGGAAAAGAGCCAGATGAGCTTCCTGAGACATGTGGGCCCTCCAAGAAGTCGAAGCTCCCTGAAAATACGGAACAAGAGACTCTCAGTTGGTGGATCGCTCGTCTGTGGCCAGTTGTCGAGGCAAGACTCCAGAGGGACATCTGGATCGTCCTTTGCAACCGAGTCGGCCGCGAGGGCGATGACGTCTATGCGGGCACAAGCACTGTCCTATGTATCAGAGGTGGTGAGGTCTTTGTCCACGAATATATGGAAAGCCATAAAGAGGGCCTCCTACTGGTCGATACGTCGGATCTACCCCGTTGGAGGCTCGTTGAAGCCGACTCTGGCTCGGAGCAGGACAATGAGTCCGTGGCTACCGCGGACTCGCCTCAGTCTGGGCCGCTGACACCGGATACTTCATACAGAGGATCTGAAATTTCCCATGAGGACCGGAGCATCCCATCTGAACACGATGCTGCGGCAGCAGCAGGGGCAGTGTATTCCGCCTCCCGGAATCGAACTCAGCCGGTGAGGGTGACGGTAAAGGGCCAGGCGCGTCCGAAATTGGACATTCCAAAGATGAAATCCAAGCCTCCGCAAGAAATTCCAGTCAAAGAATACACGGCGCAAGCAGCCGCTGCCGTCTCTAAGCCTCGGTCCAACGTCTCCGCCCCCAAGGTCCGTTCCCCGGAGGACAGCACGCCGCATCCGGGCGGAAGCCACGGGTGTCTACACTGGCACCAGCGGAGCCGGGGATTTACCGCGCGCCCGTTCGAACACCACTCGGCTGCGGCCGCCGTAGCAACGCCGATTGAAGATCCCAAGACCGCAATCTCAATGTCTCCCCAGCGCTGGAGCGGACCCTGGTCATCTTGCCGCAAGGAACTGGAACAGGCCCGGCCGAACCCGCCAGCGCGACCCAAGGCACCCCGGGCAGGTCGATCCCAGTCTCTGAGCTCTGCCGTAGCGCTGGGTCCGGTCGGTCGGAGGAAGGGAGATATGCTGCCAGCGATCAAGAGGCCGGCATCTCCCAAGGCGCGCAACGTCACGATCCTGGAGCCGCTGATACTCCCTACCTGGAAGGCACTGGAAGACTGCGGTATCATCCCCATCCTTGCGAGCCCAAGCATCATGACGACAGACTCGCAGGCGGGGAGCGAGGCGTCGAGAGGCCGTAGACGGAGACATAGGCGATCGGAGGAATATGAGGAGAATTCCCGGAGTTCATCGAGGGATTCGACGCGAAACGCAGTGTTGCATCGCAGGATGAGGCGCAGCGACGTTGAGGATGACTCGCGATGCCGACTCGGGGCAAAGAGGTCGCAGTCGGCCGTCACTCAGCGACCGAGGGACCCCCCTCGAAGTGCGAGCGAGCCAACTACTCGGCGTGACCCCTTTCAGAACTTGGGAGCTGCGCAGGTGGCCAATACTGCTAGATCAGAGCCTCGCTTCGGGTATGTTTCGAAGAACCTGCGGTGAGCCAGAGCGGGAGTCGAGGGACGGTTGTCAATGGATGGGTATTGTTGCCGGGGATTTCAGACGAGGCGCTGCTTTGTAAATAAGATTGTCGAGAGTAATGTGAAGCAGTACATAAATTTTTCAGTGGCAAATTGACGCCTTTTCAAGCCTATGACGCCTTAGGATTGTGAAATCTCATGGGCTGCCGAAAGACGTTGAATCGTGTGAACCTGAGAATACAAGTCTGGCAATGAATAACAGGAGGGAATCGACTGTCTAGATTCTCTTGCGCCACGAATTCGAGTTCTCGGCGCCGAGGGAGAAGAGTAGGCCCCGTGTCGCTGTGTCGACAGTGGCGCTGCACCAGTCGATGAGGAGTTGCTGCACTTGGTTTGGACTTCTGTAGACGAGGCGAGGCCAAAATCTTGGTTTCCGCTCTTCCTCATGCAATACGGTAAGGGAAGAAGCATGAAGAGCCTGGTTCAGCCGGTATGTGTGGCTGAGAGAGGCCGAGACTGGACGACCGAACCGTTTCTTCCTTGGGCGCGTCCGGGGCAACAATACTCGTCAGAAAACTCCCCAGCCTCGACCCTCACCCGAAAGTCCGCCAGGGGGGGGGGGGGGGGCGGGGAGGAGACACTGGGTTCGAGCCGGCAGTGACGACGAGTATGCAAAATTCGCTCCGGCCACAGAGACCAGGCACACCAAGATCACTCAAGAACTCGCTGTACCGGCTCGGGAGTGCGACGAAAAGCATAGAGTGGGCCTGAGGCGAAATTGTGAGACGCAAGGCAAAAAATACTCCAGCAGGGTGGTTGATGTTGGTAGCGAAGCCGGTAGCGAAGCCCTCGCTGGGATGCTGCTGCGCCTGACCTTGGGCATTGGTGATGGCGGACGGACAATTCCGAACAGGTAAGCCGGGGTCTGACCAGAGGGGAAACACAGAAGGAGGATCAAAGCGGCATCAACCAGGAGCCAAGTCACTCCCGGGATAAGTTTGAGGTTGGGCATGCAGGAGGCTTCTCGGGTGTTGCACTGGCAAGAGTTCGTCTGAGACTCGCCAGACGACTCTCCTCAAGTTCTCTTAGACCGCAGCTAACAGATATAATGGCGATGGCTACCCCGTCAGAAATTTTGGCAAAGCAGTATGCCGCCTTGTCATTCAAGTTGGTGGCATTGCTGCTGTGGGTGTTGGAGGAGGCAGACACTCAGCCGAGAAGCGGAAGGCAGACAGTAAACTCATGTTGATGGAGAAGCATAGGTTGCAAATATTGTCCATGTTTCAACAAATAGTATGCGATGTTATGCTTTCACTTGTGCTCAGGAGTCAGATGCTGTCAGTGACATGCGTGCAGTCGATTAGGAGTCGCTGCAATGACATGGGCAACAGCATGACAAGAGGCTTTGTAACGAAAAAGAAGCAGAATGAAACTGGAAACTGGGCATTAAAATTTGAGAGATACTCAAGAGTCTATTGATGGACGACGGCGGGCCGAGGGTTTATATACCTGAACGAGGGGAGCAGCCAGAGTGCCGCATCATCGGACAGAGTTTCAAAAGACATGAGGTCATCTTCGTCAACATTCGGGAAAGGTTTCAAGAAGGTAATACAAGGGGACACTCGGTTGAAGAATCGCGGGTGATGGGGCTGATGGAGGAGTTTTAGGCATGTTACGTGTAGGGAACACAAAGGCGGCCACGGCGTGTAGAACCGTGAGTGACTGGCGCTTGTTTTTGACGAAGAGGAGTAGTTGAATACGGATTTTTCTACTGAAATTGGAACAAATATGGCATTTAAATCTACAATTGCATTTGTCAAGGAAGTCTTGCAAGACAATTACTTGGTTGGTAGAGGACGCTGGCCAAGTCATATATAATCGTCGATACCAGCCAATGGTTGACGCGCGATGATTCGGTCTCTACGTTGAAATAAAGCGACGAGAGCAAAACTCCGCCAAGATAGTTTCAGATAGATATGAAAATATGAAACAGGAGATAACTTTACGAGGCTCAGAAAATCATATTTGTTGTGTTACGGCCCTGATGCCGTCAGAAACTCAGCAGGCCGTGACGAAGCTAGGAGGCATCGCTTGAGTACAGGGCGGCAAGCGGAGATTAAACTTGGCTCTCTAATAAACAGCAGTATCTAGAAATAAATAACCGGCTGCGTTCTAAACTCAAGGGGAAAAATGTGTCAGTTCTATTGACAATTCTATATTCCCGGTTACTGGCTTCCTCATCGCCTGTTAGTACTCAGCCAGTCGTTTCTGAGGAGCACAGCAACATATCTTTTTTACCCGCGGAGATCGTTCCGGCCCGTAGATTTATGTGAACATGACCTTGCGATACCTGCTTGTGGAACCGTGGGACTACGTTGAATTCGTATGGCGGTTACCATGAATCGGGGCTCGTGTTCGCCGAGGTAAGTTCCCCGGGAGCGGCTCGTCGCGCACGTTTCTCCAAGCAGGAACTTTTGCTCAAGTGAGGAGAAACAAGGATATAATGTGATGACTTCTCCGGGTTTATTGTGTAGAAACGACCCCATGCAAAGATGAGGTGCGATGTGACGATAGAACCGAGACATGCAGGGTAGTTTTGAACAACGGTCCAATGAAGTCGTCTGTGTAAGCGCCGGGCGATATGAAGGCCTGGCCAATGAGAGGCTGTATGCTGGGATGCGGAGCGGTGAATGTGATGTGGCTGACAGCTGTGCAGGAAGCATTACAGGGCATTACAGGGCATTACAGGGCATTACAGGGCATTACAGGGCATTTCAGGGCGACTTCAGCACTGTTGTGCGATTTTTTAGTGGTCAAGGTTGGAGGCTTGCAGTGGGTTTGACGTGCATTTCCGCGCCTTCATCACCATCACCAGCCTTCCACCACGTTTTCCAGCCATCCATCCATCCATCCATCATCCATCACACCCTCCCGATGGCAAGGGTCGGGCCTCTAGCCTCCTCTGCTACCTGCCGCTGCTGGTCTCGTAGCGAGGGAGGCCGTCCTCCTTTGGGGGCCGTGAGCGATCAATACTGCAACGGTCATGGATGGACACCCTCTCCTCCGCCTCCTGCTCCTGCATCTTGACTGCGGCATCTTTATGCATTCATCACAATCTGTGCACACACAATGTACGCTCTATAGCGGACCCAGCATTTAATACCGACAACCACTTCTAGGTGAAGAATCCATCAGTCCTGCGGATACAGGCGCGGATGTGAATCGCTGCCTTGCTGCTCCCGTCGTACTAGACTCATAGCATTCAGCGTGGTCGGAGTTGACGACGCGAACATCGACGCCAGCCGCAATATTCTCCGACGCGCCCGTCTCGCAGCTGCAGCTGGCCATCGACATCTGTCATTGCGACAAGATAGTCGCACAGCACACGCAGCCTTCGACTACATTCCTCCGTCTTGGTGGCACGCACCCGGCCACACAACAAATCCCTTTCTGACGCCCGCCATGCGCACCCTCCTCGCCAGACTTGCCGTCCTCACTACCGCGCTGCCGGCAGCGCGAGCTGTCCTGGTCAACCCAGACTCGCCCTGTCTGACAAAGTGCGGCAACGTCATCGATTCTACGTCCCAGACTGATATAGCATGCGGCGACGACAGCTTCGGCGCGGGTGACAGCCAAATCTTCAAGGGATGTGTCCAGTGCGAGATCAATAGCCATTATGTCGGACCTGGAAACGAGACTGATGTCACTGCAGCGCTTTGTACGTTCTCCCTGTCGCGTTCACGCTTCTGCACTCAACTGACTCGGCATTTTCGTAGACAATATGCGATATACTCTTTCATCCTGTCTCTTTGGTATCCCTGGGGCAGATCATATGCTCAGCAGCAACCCTTGCGTTACCAGGTAACATCAACTCCTCCTGCTCTTGTACACTTGGCTGACCAATCTATAGCAAGGCTTGTGCAAACTTCATGAATGGCACCATCTTTGACAAGGTGGCCGCTAAAGATCATGGTTACGAATACTGTAACCTCTGGCCCTCAGGCGACGATGAAGACTTCCGTGGCTGTAGAGACTGCCTGGCGGCAGGTCACAACATTCTGGCTAATTGTATGTCATCCGTTCTCTTGTGTCACCATCTCTGCGTTACTAATACCTACCAGTCGTAGTAATGCTCCAGGCTGGATGCCTTCAGCAGCCAGTGCTCGGGGTCTCCGTTGGTGTTGACGGTGACCCTTTTTCCACGAATATCCTCAGAATCACTTCACCAACACCGATTGCGACGGCTAATCCCGCCTGGTTTGACAGCGGCCCCCTTAACCTCAATGCCAAGGTTGGCATTGCCGTGGGTGGCCTTGTGCTCCTTTTAATCGTTTCGGGCATCTTAATTGTATGGAATGGGAAGAGGAGACGCAGGGCCTACCTTCGCAAACTTGAAGCAATTTATACGCCGAACAAGGGGTGGCCAGCACCCCAGAGCCCGGGCGGTGGCATGTTCGAGACGCCTGTCAGCCAGCGACCTTTAATGACTGGCTGGGGTGACTCGCCCATGACCGAGCCGAGTGAGAGGCCGTTCCCGCGCTACGTCTCACCCTACTCGTCTCAATTCAACAGCCCGACCAGCGCCACTGACATGACCTCGATGCCCTGGCCCAGCGCTGCGCTCGCGCGAGACCATCAAATCGGCGTGGCCCATGGTGGTGATGACAACGACGACGTTGGAGAGGAAGGCAAGGGGAAGGGTGCTCCTGAATCTTACGAGATGCATACTGTCGTGGGCAGTGCTGGCGGCGCGTCAACGACTCGTCATCTCGCAGCCGATGCCCCCGTTCTGGGCCATCCCGGGCAAGGGCGAAACTCGATCAGCCCTACCAAACGGTCCTTGAATGAAGAAGACTTCAAAAATGGAAATGCGATATGAGCTCTGCGGTGTGTTATCTCGAGTGTTGGATATTGGCGACACTCTTTTCACTAAATGGTACATCTTTTTCAGCATGGTCAAGGCCCACGCTCTGTCATGGCCAGAGATTTTGTGTGTCTTCGTTTGCAGCCTGAGGCTCACGAGATAATTTCTCATGAAATTTACGCCTTGTATATATTTTGACTAGGCACTAATAAATAGCCGTCTTGTAAGACTCCCTCTACAAGAAGGTTTGTTTGTATATATTCTGCATTTCTTCACTTATCCTTCTCCTCAGTTATTCGAAAATGCGCTGTGGCTAGTGACTGTGGCTGTAGTTTCTCACTTTCCATTACTAGACTAGTGCCAGAATACTAGCCACACCTACGGCAACCAATGTCCCCACAAAGGTAGAGAAAAAAAAATTTGGACGCTGGCTATCCATCTAAAAAATCACCAAAACGCAGAGGCAGGCCAAAAAAGTCATCCGCCGTCACCCTGCATTGCACGTTTTGCCTTTTAGCGACACTTGACGAATAGATTCCTGCCGATACACACAAGCAAGATGGCAAAGGACGTTGTGGCCACCGGCAAGGCCGAGGAGGATTACTCCATCAAGCCGCAGGCGGTCACGCCCGCGCTCGACACCAGCAACTGGCCTCTGCTGCTCAAGAACTACGAAAAGCGTGAGTAGACGACGCGATTTTGGGCGGATAAGACATATACTGACGAATTGGCAGTCCTTGTTCGCACTGGTCACTTCACCCCGATCCCCAATGGCTGCTCGCCTCTGAAGCGCGACCTCAAGTCCTACATCAGCTCCGGCGTTATTAACCTGGACAAGCCGTCCAACCCTTCCTCCCACGAGGTCGTCGCCTGGGTGAAGCGTATTCTCCGGTTCGTAGCGACCTATGATATTCACAGAAGAAGCAGTTGCTAATGATTTTGCTACCACAGATGCGAAAAGACTGGTCACAGCGGTACCCTTGATCCCAAGGTTACTGGCTGCCTGATTGTCTGCGTTGACCGCGCCACCCGCCTCGTCAAGTCGCAGCAGGGCGCCGGGAAGGAGTACGTTGCCGTCATCCGCCTGCACGACAAGCTCCCCGGCGGCGAGGCCCAGTTCGCCCGCGCTCTGGAGACGCTCACTGGTGCGCTCTTCCAGCGCCCGCCCCTGATCTCGGCCGTCAAGCGCCAGCTCCGTATCCGAACCATTCACGAAAGCAAGCTCATCGAGTTCGACAACGACCGCCACCTGGGCGTCTTCTGGGTCAGCTGCGAGGCCGGTACCTACATCCGTACGCTGTGCGTGCACCTGGGCCTGCTGCTCGGTGTTGGCGGCCACATGCAAGAGCTGCGCCGTGTGCGCTCCGGCGCCATGGATGAGAGCAAGCAGCTCGTTACGCTGCACGACGTGCTCGACGCGCAGTGGACGCACGACAACACGCGCGACGAGTCGTACCTCCGCAAGGTCATCTCGCCGCTGGAGACGCTTCTGACCTCGTACAAGCGCCTGGTTGTCAAGGATAGCGCGGTCAACGCCGTCTGCTACGGCGCCAAGCTGATGCTGCCCGGCCTGCTGCGGTACGAGTCGGGCATCGAGCACCACGAGGAGGTGGTGCTGATGACGACCAAGGGCGAGGCGATTGCGCTCGCGTACGCTCAAATGTCGACGGTCGAGATGTCGACGTGCGATCACGGCGTGGTCGCCAAGGTCAAGCGCTGCATCATGGAGCGCGACCTGTACCCGCGCCGCTGGGGTCTCGGCCCTGTCGCGCAGGAGAAGAAGAAGCTCAAGGCCGACGGCAAGCTCGACAAGTTTGGCCGCCCCAACGACGCCACGCCGGCCAAGTGGACGTCTGAGTACAAGGACTTTAGCGGCGCCGATGCCGCGGCCGCCGCTGCCGCCGCTGCTGCGCCTGCCGCTGCTGCCACTCCGCAAAAGGCGGACAAGATGGAGGTTGTGGAGACGCCGGCGGCGGAGGAGACCGGGGACAAGAAGAAGCGCAAGAAGCACGAGGGCGAGACGGCCGAGGAGAAGGCGGAGCGCAAGCGCAGAAAGGCGGAGAAGAAGGCGGCCAAGGCGGCCAAGAAGGCCAAGGAGGACTCGGATGAGGACAGCGACTAGAAGAAGTCTCGCACCGTGTCTATTCCCGAGGAGTGATGGGCAAGCATGTGGACCTACTGTTGTTTTGCTTTTGTTTGGGGACAGAATGTTGTTGTGTGAAGGTTGCTTTTGCCCGGAGAGAGAGAGGAGAGAGGGGAATTGTGCTGTAAAGATAACGTCTCTCGGGCTTGCGGCAGAAGAAAAAACATTCGGCGTTTTTGGTCAATTATTTTAGGCAGGAATTTCCATCATTTGTATTCATCTACGGCACGGTTCACGACTCGTGAAGTGAGGCACCCAAATGGAAGGAAATAAAGGGCTTCTAACCACTAACCACTAACCACTAACCACTGTTGGGAATAGGCTGACCATTTGGTGGGCGGTTATCGGATGCAAATCATTCGGTCGGCCCTTGGCTGCCGCTGGGGGCGATTTCTTAGTGGGAGAGATTGGTCCCGATCGGAAGGCTGGAGAGGCAGCAGCGCCAAGGGCGTGCCGAAGTAAGCCGCGGGATGTTTTTTTTTGCTTGGCGATTTGGTATTTCGATGGTGCTCTTATCCAGAGCTGATGTTTCTAATATATTACAGAACATCTGCAGCCTCGGCGGTTAGACGTTGTCAAAAGAAAGCACCACCACTGACTGGTCGTGCCAGGCCGGGGTTCATGTATGCATGTATGTACTGTATGTACTGTATGTACTGTATGTGTGTACATACGTGTGCTGTCGGGTAACCGGCTGCTGTCGTACAGGTGTACCTTTGGGGGAGAATAAAAAACTTGACATAATATCACATTTGGAATTAATTGTGTGCTAATTCATCAATCAATACGGATTAATTCACAAGCCCATAAAAGGTGATGGCAGGCATTTGTTTGGGATTGTCTGGTTGGTTGGGACTGGGCTGTAAGCGCCTAGTCTGCCTTGCGTTGCCTTGCTTGCTTTTCCTTCTGTTCTCTCTCTCTCTCTCTCTCTCTCTCTTTGCCCCCTCACTTGCTGCATTCTGCATGCTGCATGCTGCATGCTGCATACTGCACCCTTGCACCACCACCACTACCCATCACCAACCAGCCAGCCAGCCCATCACCAGCCCATCACCAGCCCATCACATTTTACCGGCCTCGCCACTTTACCAAGCACCCGGGGCCACCCTCCCCCCCCCCCCCTTCCTCTCCTCCTCTCCTCCAGTCTCCCTCCCCACCCAGTGAGCGTGGTTGAGTGGCTAGAGGCCAGACAGTGCACGTTTGCTCATTCATGGCTTGCAGAGCCTGACCTTCTTTCTCCTCCCGCGGACCCCATTCCGCATCTGCAAGTTCATCGGCAAGAGGGGGTGGGAAAGTGGTCGGTGGCGGCCGGTCTGGTCCTCCTGTTGGGAGCTAGACCGCTCTCTGCTCTCTCTCTGTGTCTCGCTCAATCTCCTCCCCTGTCCATTCCTTCTGGACAGTGTTCACAGCTATCCCCACAAACAAGGAAACAAGTAGTATCCCGCAAGTTGCCCGGAGATGCCATGGGATCCGAGGCAGCCCGATGTGACGCGAGACGATGAATGTGGGCGCGCCTGCAGGAAAAAGTAGCTGGGGGCCCTTGCCTGCAGAGGGCTCCGGAAGGCGGGAAGATGAAGGTGTCAGCACAACAACCCCAACTCGCACAAGGTCAAGCTGGGGTGGTGGTGGTGGTGGTGTGTGTCTCTCCCTCTATCTCTCTCTCTGTGGCAATATGTGCGTGCCTTGTATCCGTATGTGCTGTACGTTCTCTCTCTGTGTGTGTGTAAGTTGAGGAGGGGGGCTTGCCCGGAGGATGAGCAAGATATATATCACCATCACATTGCACCACGCCCTGTTCCGTGATCTCCTCTGCTTCCTCTGTGTTTCGCTGTGCCTTTTCACCGTGAGAGTCCTCCTTGTTCGAGAGCAGCCGTGCTGTTTCTGTCTACTGCTCTCTCTCTCTCTCTCTCTCTCTCTCTCTCTCTCTTCTGCCTCCTCCCTCCCTCCCCTTACTTCTCTCACCAAACTCACGGAAGTGGCTGGCACACTTTCTTATACATATATATATATACACACACGACCAGGCTGCAGTATCACATCACGTTGGCTCCGTGTAAAACGTCAACATGGTCTTCGCAACGCGACGCTCTGTGCTCGGTCTCTTGGCCCTATCTCTGCTGTCAACGCTCACCACTGCATTGCTGACAGCGCCTGATTCGCCATGCGCCTCCCTCTGCCTCAACGCGTCGGACCCCAGCGCGCACCTCAATCGCCCAGACGAGATTGTCTGCGCCAACAAGGACTATGCCAGCGAGACGGGCCAAAAGTTCAAGGGCTGCATCGGCTGCCTCCAGAACAGTACCTACACCTCAGGCTCCCAAAACGACCAGGCCTGGTTCATGTGTACGTTTGCTTCCTTCCTTCCCGCATGTCTTAGTCGCCGACAACTCACTGACTGTCTGAGAAAAAGACAACCTCCAGTATGCCTATGCCCACTGCGTCTTTGGCTACGACGGCACCGGCATCGGCCCCTACCCGTGTATGACGAGTGAGGCGTGCGGCCCCCTCAAGACCACCGTCAGCAGCAACCTGGCAAACTACACCGGCAATGACCCCTACGCCTACTGTCGCTACCGCGGAGGCTCAGCCCTCGGCGAGACCTTTGGCAAGTGTCTCGACTGCATGAAGCCCGACACCAAGCACGGCTACTTGGCCAACTGTGAGTCCCTCTCCAACCAACCAACCAACCAGTCCTCTTCTCAATTGCTGTACGTTGGTGACTAATCCCTGCTCACGCAGTCTTTGTCGCGCTCGAGGCCGGCTGCGAGCAGCGTCCCGGCGCACACGGCTACGTCTCCCTCAACGACACCCTCTTCGCCAACCGCACCATCGGCATCGTTGACCCCAACAAGCCCACCAAGTCCTCCCGCTCTGGCCTGTCGACCGGCGCCCTCATCGCCGTCGTCATCGTCAGCGTGCTCCTCGGCATCGGCCTCCTCGGCGCTTGCGTCTTCCTGCACCTCCGCCGCCGCCGTCGCAACAACACCTACAACAAGTCCGCCCTCGAGCACGACGTCGCCCTGCACATGCGCGGCGGCGGCGGCGGCGGCGTCGGCTTCGCCATCACCGGGCCCTCCTCCGGCATGAGGAACATTCGCAACAGCGTGCACAACCTCTTCACCCCCGGCCCCGGCCGCCTCGCCACCAGCAGCGCCAAGCACGGCAACGACGGCGGTAACTTCGACCCGGAGGCGGTGACGTGGCAGGACCCGGGCCACCTCGTGGAGCTGCGCAACACGGCCGCGGAGGAAAAGGCCGCGCTGGCCGCGGCCGCGCTGGCCCGGGAGGAGCAGCAGGCTCACGGCAGCGCCGCCGACGCGCTGCGCTCTCACCCTCCCACCACCGGCGGCGGAGCCGTGCGCAACTTCTCCCACAAGCAGAAGAGACAGCAGCAGCAGCAGCAGCAGCAGCAGCAGCAGCAGCAGCAGCAGCAGCAGCAGCAGAACAGCATCATCGACACGAACGGCGTCGCCGCCCACCCGGAGCCCGCCGTGACGGCGAGCCCGTACTGCTCGCCGGACAGCTACGCGACGCCGTCGAGCGCCACCTCGGCCACGCCGTTCCTCGCCGCCGGGCAGGGCTCCTCGTTCTCGCCCGTCTCGCCCCCGCCCGTCCCGGCCTCGTCGTCGTCGTCGTCGGCGTTCTCGGCGGCGCTCAAGAGGCAGCAGTCGTGGGACGAGACGCGCGCGCAGGCCCGCGGCGCCGTGGCGGACCTGCTCCGTCCCAAGTCCAGCAAGACCGACGTCAAGGCGCCGGTGGCGTCCAGGCAGCTCAACACGACGACGTTTGCGCCGCCGCCGAAGCGTTGAGAGGAAGGAAGTCCACTGAGGGAAGGAAGGGGATGAAGGGGGGGAAAGGATTTCATTTGTACATATTTCATTGGTGGCGTGCATTTTCACACAAATCATCGCTCCTTAATACCAGGCATTGCAATACCCAGGCTGATAACGCATATACGAAAGAATCACTTTCATGTCCAATGTAGGTAGTGAAGCCATCAACAGACTACCCGGCGAAATGAAGCAATCGTCAGTGAGCCAGCCTCCGGGTAATGAATCATCACTCATGCAGCCCTCGCGCGCTAAGCAGTCACTCATCAAAGTCCAAAGTAGTAGTTGGTGGTGGTGAGTTGGCGTCCTTCCAGACACCAGTCATAAATGAGTAGGTATTATTCATCACCACCCTCCTCCATATCCCTTCTGATGCCTCCATCATCGTCGCGCGTATATACAAAAGTCTTGTTGATTTCATGATGCTTTGTGCGTGGTGTGTTTGTGTTCCCCCTTCCTCTCTTCCTACCTCCCGCTCTACCGTTCCCCCTCTTCGAACTAGATCCAGTCATTTCCTCTTCGCCAAGGTGGCACACGCGGCGCCTCATATTTCTTCTGGCTGCATGTGCAACGTCCCCCTGTTCCCTCCCGTGGGTATTGTTTGTGCTTCCCATGTTAACAAAAAAGAAATTATAGAAAAAAAAAAACTTCACGCTGTCCCACAATGATACAGTGACAAAAAGAAGAAAAAGGAAAGAAGATAGAACGGCAAGAAGAAGCATAAAAGCGCCAACCCAATGTAAGCCAAATATCGGCCCCCAGCCAAAACCGACCCAACAGCAAAAAGAAACAGCAGACGCGTAGCTTTTTCTCAAGGCATGTGGATTTCAATAGTATGATTATGAATTGAATCCAGGTGGCCCTTTAAGAAAGACGACCCCTAGAAGCTGTCATCCATGGGAGTGCCTCCTCGGCTTGAGATCTCGGAATGTAGACGCTCATTCTGTGACCTGAACCACAGCGTCCCTTCTTCCATTTCCTCCCGCAGCATCCGCAGCTCCTTGACTAGGTCCTTGGCGTCGCTCATGACGCGCTTGTGACCGTTGGGCGGTATGTCGTCTTCTTGCTCCACCAGTTCCATGCTGTCCACGCTCGCCCGCTTCCGCTTGTGGCTATTGTTGTCTTCGTACACGGCCGGGGGAGTCGTGCCGTTCAGCCTGCTCTCGAACGGGGGCGGCGGCGGAATGCTGCTGATCGACGGCCGTCGGGACGCTGTACTGGCGATCGAAGAGGCCCTGTACGATGGCCGGTTGTACGCGTGGAATCGCCGGTCATTCATGAGGCTTTCAGGCACGGCAGTGCCGTCAGGGAGCTGGACGATGCCCATAGCTTTGAGCCGCCAACGTTCCGAGACTTTGCTGCTCCGCACGCTCTCTGCTCTTGAATCTTCACTAGAGGCAATCGAGGGCAGAGAGCGCCGGAAACGTCCCGGTTCCGTGCCAAGCAGTGCTTCACGTAGCGCCCTGGTCTTTGAGCCTCCTTTCGACACGGAGCTTGACCTTGACCGTGCTGGAGAAGACGTCCCACTCTGGGGCATCGGCAAGTTAAAGTGGCGCCCGATGGCTGCGGCAGAGTCCCTGGTCTTACTAACGTCCACAGTCGAGGACGGTGTCGCGGGTGGGATGTAGCGTTTCTTGGCTTGACTTCGGCGGAGGCCCTCCATAAGGGCTTGCTCACGGATTGGCTGCGGGATAGGCGGGACCTTGGGCTGAGATTTTGGTGTGGCTTGCGGAATGCGTGACGCCATCTGCTGAGCCCGAGAGAAGTTTCTGAACTGGTCGCGCCCACTGCGACGCAGAAACCTCAATCGCTTGTTCTTTGCCTGAGCCTTCCACCGGTAAAAGTATCGCACGCACAAGTGCTCTCGCCTGAAGTTGTCTGCGGCGGCATTATCCCGCGCTTCCTCCTCGCGTTGGCGCTTTTCCTCCGCCTTCTGCTGCCACTCCACAAAGACGGGTGTGAGCAGTCCATCCAAGAAGTGCTGTTGAAACTCAGTCATTAATCCATCGTCGCCTTCCACAAACCATCTCGTGAAGTCTAACAATCGATCACGCTTGGGTTGTGGAGAAGTTGGCGGTTGCACTGAAGGAGCTGCAACGGGCGGGTCTACAGCAGGCGAAATCGCACTACCTAGAAATGCCGGCGGATTCGATGGAGGCGTAAATGAACTGAGTATTGAGTTTGACTTGCTTGGCACTGATGCCTCTGACGTTTTCGGCGTTTGCGTGAATGCAGGTTGTGTGGGAGGTGTTGCTCGTGCCGGCGAGCCTGGCGGGGTTGAACTCTTCGCTGCTTCGGCCGGTGCTTTCGATTGAGGTTGCGGTGAGAAGCCAACAAAAGCAGGCAAGGTAGTATGTGGCGGTGTAGGCGATGGCTCAGCTGGAGGTTTCGAGGTCCCCATGTTAAAGCCGGCGTACCCAGATGCAGCAGGCGAGGCCTTAGAAGGCGTGGCAGAAGAGATTGCAGCTGACGTTTTTGAAGCACTTGGGCTACTGCCAGTGAAACCGACGGAGGGCTTATTGAAGTCCTTGACTGCCGTTGCTGGGGCAGCCTCAAGTGTGCCCGTTCTATTTTGTCCGAAGTATGCCTCATGCTTTGCATCAAAGTCTGCATCAGCATCCGATTTGGCAGCAGAGCCAGCATCTTTTGCTGGCTCACTAGGCACCGCGTTCGTCTTCGAAGCTGGAGTCGTGGCGAATGGATTACTTTTCTGAGTACCCCCAAAGCTGAACGTAGGAATGGCTGTCCCGGTAGACTTCAACTCAAATGCGGGTGCTGGTGGCGGTGCAGTTTGCGGTGGCTTTGCATCCGGCGTAAAGAAACTCGACTTAGCTTGATCAGCTGCTGCGGGAGCTGAGATTCGTTAGTGTTCTGAACTTTTGCGAGGTCTGACTGTGGGCGAACCTTTTTTCAAGGGGTTGCTTGTGGTGCTTCCATTGGTCGTTGGTTGAACAAAACCACCAAAGGGATTTTTTGGCGGTGGAGGGGCCATGCCAAACCGCGCATTGGCAGATCCATCCTGCACGAAGAGACTTCCCTCTTTGGCGAGAGAAGCGTCATTCTGCCCGAAGTTTGTAGCGTCATTAAAGACGGTTTCGTGTATGATTTCGGGCAGAGACCGGGAGCCGCGCTTATTCTCAACGAGAGTCCTTGAAAATTGATGTTGGAGTCGGTGGCTGGGTAGGTCCGACGAATTATGAAACACGGCACAGCTGAGTCTCCGATCCGCTGGATTCTGCTGGTTAGGTTGAAATTTGATGTCGTGGCGTTCCGCAAATGCAATTGCCTCCTCTACAGTATCGAACTGCAGGTGTTTGTTTAAGGCGGCTGCTGTGACATCGCGTGACGGCTCTCTTGGCCGTGAGAGCGCTTTCTTCAGACACCGGAGAATAGAGCGGCGGAGCTGGGGAAAATGACATTCTGCAAAGCAGGCCATGGTGTAAGAGACCGATTCATCCTTGACAATCCTGAAGTAGGCGTTGTGCGAGCCACCCGTAGCGAGGGATGGACCGGCCTTCAGCGGACCGTGGAAAGTTGACGTATCCTGCAGCGCTTCTACCAGCGAAGCCGCAGTTCTGATGATGTCGAATTCCCACAGGCTTGGTTGTAGATTTTCGAGAATGTTAGGATCGTTGGCTCGGAACAGCAGATGGTATGCGCGGAATTCCGGTTCGTTTTCGCACGGTGAGCCCTGTGCCTTGCAATCATCGTAGATGTCACGTAAGGTGAGGAGAGCTTTACCCAGCTGTTCCAGTTCCTGCTGCTCCACGAAGTCTTCAGGCGCTTTCCCACCCTCAGACAGCAAGTGCAGAGCTGTGACATGGAATCGGGCGATTTCCTCCAGTACCGATGCTTGGATTTTCATGTCTTCAACGCTGAGTGCTGAGAAAAAGCTAAAGTCTCGTCGAATCGCTCGCGTTCGATCCCAGAGGTAGCCATGCAGCGTAGGCAGATTATCGTCGTTTCGCAGCAGGTCGTCCACAAGATAGTTGAACGACTTTCGCAAAGTCGGCACAGATAACACGTCCATCGGTAAGGGCGCTTCTTGGCCGGCGGCGGATCGTGCTAGCTTCTTGACCATCCGCGATGTGCTTGCAAATGTTGTCTGCGGGTCCTTTTCCGGTGTGGGAACATCGTGCTCTGTGATTCTTGTGATCTTCTCGTACTCTGGACACATGTCCTCGCAGATACCTTTAAAGTCGATGGCATCCTGCAGTCTCTTTCGTTTCGTAGGGTCGTCGATCAGACCGGCGCGTGTGAGTGAAGCTCGCACCTTGCTTCTATAGTTCTCATATTGTTCGCGGAACTTAGCCATCTGCGCCTTGCTCTTCGGATCTCCGGGCTGCGACGGCCACGCTGGCGGGGCGATACCATCTTGCCGTAATCGTTCGTAAATTCTTTTAGCATATGGGTCATTCGAGTTCGGCAGCATCCCGCTTCCCAGTGTAGCGCTGGAAAGAGCCGGCGCAGGTGGGTGATTCACTTGAGCTTGAGGTTTTGTGAATCCTCCAGACTTCCCACCGAATTGACCGAATGAGGTCTGCGGTCCATTCTTTGGTTTTTCCCATGCTGGTGTCGATGACTGTTTGCTGCCGTCGACAGCTGCCGTCGAGGGCCTGGGAGCAAAGGGATTCGGCACGCCATTCGCGTTGCTAGCAGGTGTCGAACCCTGTGCAAATGGATTGGAAGGGTTAGGTTTCGCTCCAAATGCAGAGGTGCTGCTGCTACTCTGGGCAAATGGATTCGGCTTCGGCGCGAACGGATTCGAGGTGGCTGGGGTCGAGCTCTGCGTCGACGTTCCAAATGGCGAAAACATTTGGCCGACGATGCAGCCCACGTCGCAATCACCTATGCAATCGCCTGCACATGGAGGGGAGATTCCAAAGGTCTTATAATTGCGCTCGCATGTGATGGCTGGCAACTCGCGATGCTTGATCGAAGTTATCGAGGCGCCAGAAGCTACCCACAAAAAAACATCTAGAGTTAGCCCACAATATACGCGCTAAGACAAAGGCTCACGTGACGCCGTTGCCTTGGTCTTGCTACTATTGATTTCACTGAACGTTGCACTTTATGCGCAAAGCATGTTTAAAAATGATACGAAAATCAGACTATTGACTTCTTGTGCCACCTATGGGCGAGACAGTTTTACGCCGATGATAATTTTTTTACCCGTGCGTTGGTGACCCTTGTGTCATGAGTTGTCATTGCTTGGTATCTGAATCTATGGAGTTTACTGTCTTCCCTTTATTCGTGCAGGGCCAAGCTCTCTTCGGATCTCATCCAACTGCTCCAGGCCGGTCTGCGCCTTGGATTTTTTGTGTGTTCTCTTGCCCGGTTTGCCGCCATAGCTGCCCAGAAATTCGTCCATAATACTGTCAAAGTCGCCCCGGACCGGGCCCGTGACGCTCGACGCTGTCGAGATGGCCGATACGGAGCCCATGTCGTCAAACTCTTCGTTGTACTTCTCTTCAATCTTGTCGAACCGTGCATCGAGAAAGGATAGCTGCTCTGTGCGTACCAACGACGAGGATGTCATAGAGAAGCCGGACGCGACGGTAAGCGCGCCTTTTCTCTTCTTCTTGCGCCCGCCGTTTGTGGTGGTGGTCCAGGTGGACTGGAGCTCCGACTGAGAGGGTGCGCCGGCGGCTTTGGGGGAACCACCCGACTTTTGTTCCTTTTTGAACTTTTTGAAGTCCTCGAGCCAATCTTGCGACGGGCCCTCTTCAGGTTGTTCTCCGACCGCTACCAGTTGTGGTACCTGATCGTCTTTGTATTCCTTGTTTGGCTTCGCCGTATCATCAGACTCCCAGCCGTCGTCATCGTCGTTGAATTGATTTTCCTCAAACTCATAGTCGTCAATCTCGTAGCCATCCTTGGCCAGCTGACCGAAAATGTCGTCATCTTCGTTATCAACGAAAGCATCATCCTCCAGAGCCTCGAGGACTTCTCGCAGTCTGGGGTCCATGTCTGGTTGGAATCCGGCGATGGCATCTGGTACATCCTGCTGTTGCTCATACGACATGCGTGAGAGATCTCTTGAGGGAAGCATATCTGGGTCCAGCACGTCTCCGGCCTTGTGCTCCAAATCCATTTGTTTCAGCGCGTCCTCCAATGACTGCTTCTGCTTGCCCTTGCCGGTATTCCCTGTCGCCTTGGCCTCGACAAAGACGACATCACCACCACCTGTGTTCAGGTCCCGCAGATGTTGCATATAATCGTACTCGGAGTCGTCAAAGTAGACGCCATAGTTGGCAGCCTCGCCTTCGTTGGCCCGGATGTGTTCGGCGTCTGCGCCAAGTTCGGAGGCTAAGTCGCCGAGGTTCTTTCCTTTGCTGGCATTTTTGCTACCTTCCGTCGGGTTCAGCACCATAGACGGCGCGTTCTCGTCGTAGATGAGGGGATCATTTTGCGGGCGATGCACCAGCGTAAAGTGCTGGGCGTTCTTCTTATCTCTAGATTGTTGTCAATAACATGCAAATATTGCGGCCCGGTGTATGCGACTCACATCCACTTTCCCTTAGGCATTTTGGTCTGGGTATAATTATTTTGCAACTTTCCAAAAGCGTGTGCACCAAATCCAACAAGGTGACTTAACAAAATTTACGAATCGGCTTACAGTGTTTAGCCTGATAGCACTGTGCTGAGCCTACGTAAAAGTCTGCGAAGAACAGTACGAATAGCCTAGTGCCCCGCTATCATAGAATTTTGCCCCTCCACGGGTTGGAATTATTCAGCCAGCCCACCATCGTCTTTCTCTTCACAAACAACTTTTAAGGATACAGGACCTGTCCTTTTTGAAAGGTCGGCATTGTATCTGATACCGTTGATTTTTACTCATATATACGATATTTGCCGGACGGACTGCCCACGATGGTTCTGGCTAAGTCGAAGCAGAGTGTGGGGTTAGGCAATGCCTTGATGAACGATCGCTTCGGCAAGGGCAAGGGTGTCGATAGGAAGAAGGGCGCGGCCGTTGCGCGGACTCACCACGCCACCGGTGAGCAGTATCTGGTCAACGAGAAGCAAGATGCTGCCTGGGTCAAGATGCGCTCCGTCACGGAGCAGAGCGCCATGGACGAGTTCCTGTCGACCGCCGAGCTTGCCGGCACCGACTTCACCGCTGAAAAGGTCAACAATGTCAAGATTATCCATACCGATCAAAAGAATCCCTACCTATTGTCCGCGACCGAGGAGCGCGCCGTGTTGGGCAAGCACAAGAAGCATAGAGATAGACTGACGGTCCCTCGACGACCAAAGTGGGACGCCTCGACGACACCACAGCAGCTAGACCTCCAGGAGCGCAACTCGTTTCTCGACTGGAGACGGGGCCTGGCTGAGCTGCAAGAAAATAACGATCTTCTCATGACGCCCTTTGAGAGAAATTTGGAAGTTTGGAGACAATTATGGCGTGTCATTGAACGCTCCGATCTTATTGTACAGATTGTCGACGCCCGTAATCCTCTGCTCTTCCGATCAGAAGATTTGGAACACTACGTCAAGGATGTCGATCCTAAAAAGGAAAACCTGCTCCTTATTAACAAAGCCGATATGATGACGCACAAGCAGCGCCACGCCTGGGCCAAGCACCTAAAGAAGGCTGGCATCGCTTTCAGATTCTTCTCAGCCCATCTCGCCAAGGAGATGAACGAGGCACGCGATAGAGAAGAGGAGGAGGAGGACAGTGAGGAGGATACTGCCCCCAGAAAGGCTGCTGGCGAGCCTTCGGCAGCTGCAGCCGCAGCCGAGTCGTCAGTGGAGGAAAGCTCTGAGGAGGAGTCGGTCGAAGAGCGCCGCGAGGATGGCGGCGTAAGCGTGGAAACCGACGACACGGAGATTCTCACCGTGGACGAGCTCGAGGAGCTCTTCCTACAGCACAAGCCCACCGAAGCCGGGTCGGACCGCAAGCTTCAAGTAGGCCTCGTCGGATACCCCAACGTCGGCAAGTCCTCCACCATCAACGCTCTCATCGGCGCGACCAAGGTCTCGGTGTCATCCACTCCCGGCAAGACCAAGCACTTTCAGACGATCCACCTCTCGGACCGCGTCGTGCTGTGCGATTGCCCCGGTCTCGTCTTCCCCAACTTCGCCTCGACCAAGGCGGACCTCGTGTGCAACGGCGTGCTGCCCATCGACCAGATGCGCGAGTACACGGGACCCGTCGGGCTCGTCACACAGCGCATACCGCACCGCTTCCTGGAGGCCGTCTATGGCATCACCATCAAGATCCGCCCCATCGAAGAGGGCGGTACCGGCGTGCCCACAGGCGAGGAGCTGCTCCGCGCGTACGCCTCCGCCCGCGGTTTAAAGACCTCCGGCCTCGGCCAGCCCGACCAGTCCCGCGCCGCCCGCTACGTCCTCAAGGACTACGTCAACGGCAAGCTACTCTTCGTCTCCCCGCCACCAGGCATCGACGACGCCACAGCCTTCAACCGCGAGCTATATGACGAGCTGCACCTACCCGAGAAGCGCCGCGCGGCCCTCGCCGCCGCCGCCGCCGCCGCCGTCGACAACTTGTCCCTCGCAGATGACGTCTCCATCGCCGATGCCGCTACCTCCACGGCAGGTGGCACCTCCGACATGGCCTCGCTGGCGCCCGTCGCCGGCCCGAAGACGCAGCAGCTCGACAAGGGCTTCTTCGGCCCCCGCGCCGCCGGCGGCCACGTCACGCAGCCGTTCAACTACAAGTACACGGAGCAGGGTGCGCGCGAGTCCGGCAAGGCGCTGACGGGCCGCAAGGCGCGCACCGCGTATGCGCTGGAGAACGGGCTGGACCCCAAGGAGCTGGCCAAGGCGGGCAGCAAGAAGCACTTCAAGGGCGGCATGAGCAACGGCAAGGGCAAGAAGCAACATCGCGGACTAAACTTGGATGACGACTAGATTTTTATGACTTTAGGGGGAACTTACAAAAAGAATTTGAATGAACTTTTGAGCATATACACGGCTATACTTCTGGCGCATTTGGGCATGAAAATGAATGGGATGACACGTTGAATTGTCAATTCATACTCGTAGGTCAATTTCGATACTCATTATTTGAATATTTCATCTTCAGCGGGAAGAACCCATGGCTATAGCATGACCAGCAAACTTCAAGACTAAAACGAGGTTCCATTGTAAAATTACCGTGCGCCAGGTGTAATAACCCACCCCCCCCCCCCCCAAAAAAAAAAACAAAGCGAAGACATTCTATACCCTAGAATCATTCATATTAACAACCCTCATATTACGATATTCTTCCTTCCATTCTTGGTCCTTTAGTAGGCAAAGACCATCAAACTGGGGTTCAGCACAAACGGCACCAGCGCGTGAAAGGACAGATTCAGCGCCAGGGGAACAATGGCCGAGAAGTCCTTGATGGCCCAGTCCGAGGGCGCGAAGACGCCCAGGTAGATCATGGCGGCGACCATGAGCGCGATGAAGACGTACATGGTCCAGAACGTCTTAAAGATGCGCGGCACCTCCTGGAAGAAGTTGGAGTCCACCTTCTCCTTGGACGTGGACCCCCACTGCATGTCGACGTGGAAGAGGTGGGCGAGCAGGGCGAGGGTGATGTGGTACGAGAGGCCGCCGAAGAAGACGGTCATGAGCGGCATCCACTTGTAGTTCTCGAAGAGGGCGCCGACGAGGCCGCGCTCGCCGGTGCGGTAGCGCAGGATGGCGAGCGCGATGGGGCCCGCGCCGTTGAAGACGACGACGAGGGAGAGGAAGACGTTCCAAGAGGTGAGGTAGGCGGTGGCGAGCTCGTCGCGGATCCAGCCGATGAGGAAGTAGTTGAGGCAGGTGAGGAGGAGGGCGGAGCCGAGGGCAAAGTACGAGCACATGTAGGACATGATGGAGATCTTGGAGGACCACATGATGTTGGAGAAGAGGAACGTGTAGAAGAGGGGGGTGAAGGGACCGCGGTAGATCCAGCGGTGTAGGGGGTGGAAGATCATCTCGGAGACGCCGTAGGCGTACTTTTGCCAGCGCATGATCTCGTCGTAAATTGTCAGCGACACGCCCTCCTTGAACTCGTCATTGTGGTAGGAGCCGATGCGGATGACGCTGCCCTTCATCTGCAGGCGTAGCGCAATGTCGAAATCTTCCGAGACGTGGCTCTCAGACCAGTACGCGGTGTACGCGCCGCCTTGCTCCGGACGGCCGACGTCCTGGACGGCGCGCCAGCGAAGGAAGGCATTGTGGCCAACAAAGGGAGCAACCTCACCAGCACCGATAGAGAAACGGATAGATGAGTACACTAGGTTGGTGAAGTAGGTGATGCCATTTTCGAAGTAATCATGCGTAACCTGCATGACGCCGGTCGAGTGCTGTACGATGGCGACCTCGGGAGACAGGTACATCTCCGCGGCACCATAAAGTAGACAGTCAATTGGCACTCGGGTATCCGAGTCTACCAGGAGGATGATCTCGCCGACACGAATGTCTCCCTCAGCCCAAGCAAGCGGCTCTTCGCCGAGCAGCTGCGCCAGAGCAGAGCCATACATCTCCTCTTCCTCAGCCTCGTCGATGAGGTCCGAACCGGTAGTTTCGACCTTGGCGTCCATCATCTCCTGCATGCGCCTCTCGACGCGCTGCGAGAAGTTGAGAGCAAAGTTCATATTGGAAGCCTTCTTGAACTTGCCCTTGCGCTCGTAGCCCTCATCGCCATTGTGACGCGGGCGCGCGACCCAGCCAATATTGTTGTTGTGGTAGTACTCCCGGCGCTGGCGCACCTGCGCCTCGGACAGACCAGCACGCAAGCCGTCGTCGTTGACGAAAATGGTGGCAGAACCGCCGTGCGACTCGTAGAACGAGACAGCCTGCTGTAAACTGCGGATAGTAGGGATGATCACCGACTCCATGCCCTCTTTGTAGACGGGCATCTGAATCGTGACTTTCGGGAGCTGCATACCCTCCAGGTAGGCGCGCTCCAAGCTGGGCTTGTGGCACGAGAAGTAACGCGAGTTGGTGGTGTTGCCGCCGATGGGGCCAAGCATCTGGAAGAGATCGGAAAAGACAATTTGGAAAAAGAACAGGCTGACGCAGGCCAGAAGAGGGATGGGGAAAACGAGAGCCATGCGGACCCAAGTGCCATCGAGCAGGCACTCGCTGACCAGCCGGCCGAGGTAGACGCCGACGAGCAGTACAATGGTGAGGGCCATGGCCAGGCCGATGAACACGGCAGAGGTGCGCATGACAGGCCGCTTAAGAGACTCGGGGCGTTCCATGGCTTTTTCCTTTTCAGCGGCAATCTCTTCATCACCCTCGTCAGCCTCTGCGATATAAGCCTCTTTTTCAGCGATGGCGTTTCTAGGCGTGTTGTAGCCACTAGCCAGCGGTGTATTGCCAGAGAGAATAGAGGGAGTGCGAAACGGCGACGACAGAACAGTATGAGCCATCTTGCCAGATCCCCAAATCTACATCAGTCAGCACGGGTGTTGGTGTACAGTTTCCGGTTAGAGGTACATACCATTGTCAACAGTTTCTCTTCGAGATGCGCTGCATGGTTGAGGACATGCGAAATATCATCGTGCCAGACGAGCAACATGCGCTCCTGCTGGCAGATGCACGCATACTGATACTTCTTAACGGTGGTGGGATGGGCATGGGCAAGAGAATCAATGACTTGCAGCTGGGATCCGTCTTTGAGGCGCAGCTCGGTTTGGCCCTCGGTCAGCACCATCATGATACCCTCCAGAAGACGAGGTCGAATTGTGATGGCAACAGCCAGGTTCATGCGGCTGACGGCGTTGTGCAGAACAGGGTGTACAAGTTCGGGGACGGAGATGTACTGTCCTCGAGAGCGACGAATCATGACGCCGTGGATGTTATTCGGACCATGGGCCGCGTCAGGGTGAATCCAACCGCTAACCATAATCTGGTTGTAAATATATGTTGCCATCTGCATGTCTTGTCAGCTTCACCAAGTCGCGTTTGAACGCCTGTGAGTAGCCAACTAACCGTTCGGTAACGAAAGTCATCCGAGTATTGGATTCGCGAAGGCGTCGACTGGCCCGTCTTGTGGCCATGGTCGCTATGGGAATTTGACGAGCGCATGGAGGCGATCGAGACTGCGCGACTTGGGCGATGAGAGGACTGCGTTTGTTGGCTGCGCTCACCCAGAGACGGGCTGTGAGCTGTGTGTTGGACCATGGTGTAGCAATTGAAAGGAGGCTACGATGCCTCCTTGTTGACTGTAGAAGCTCGCCGGTGCTGAAGGTTGTTTGAGATTAAATGCCCGCTGGCGTAGAATCGAATCCCTGTTGGGCTGGGTTTGAAAGATTGAAAACGAGCGTGTGAGTCTCTACGTCGACATGCCGTTGGATATGAAGGAGGGCAAAGAAGTACTCTGAAGCTCTTATCAACAAAACAAAACTCCGAAAAAAATCCAGGTTCGAGTATGTAGTGAGCAGAACAAGTGTATGGTGAAAGCTTCGAGTCAAGAGATAACAGCAGATGGACCAGAACTAGCAGCGATTTTGTCTTTTCGGCCGACACCCACGGTGGACTATGAAGTCGAGGCCAAGAGGGGCCTGATATCAGCTAGACTGAATTGAATAGGCGTGTCTGGTCATCAAATCGTCCATGACTAAGCGAAAGAAGGCCAATCCATACTTCATCGCCGACGGATAACTTGTCGAGGGTGGTGACAGGGGAGGGGGTGTAGCCAAGGGCGTGTGCATCTTTGGCTGTAATAAGCGAAGGTACAAGTTGAATACAAGTGTCGAAACATTGTAACCTAGCTTGATCGAAGTCTGGTGGGCCGCTGAAGAACCGTGTATTTCGTCACTGGGTACTGTAACTAAGGACGCAGGACGGACTTCAGCCTAGCAGGCTATTGTTTTCCAGATTTAGGTTGGGCCAGGAACAGACCTTTGCTTGGCGTGCGAGAACAATGGTCACCTCAAACGTCGGTGGTGGTATCGGTGAGGCGGCCTTGACTTCCAAAGGTGTCGCTCCCAAGGAAAGAAATCCCGCGGACCGGCACCATTGCCCGTCCAGCCACCACCGGATTGGTTTGTACGCCGTGCCAGTACGGATAAGGATACAACTATTGGCGACAAGCTGAGTTACCGAGATGAGCCGTCGTGATGGGCCAGAGGTGCTCGCCGTAGCAGCGACCATTGTTCTCTTGCAAAAAGACAGAGAAGCGGGATCCGTTAGTGGAGCGGTGGACGTCGCTGCTGAGCGTGGAGAGAAAAAAAGTCAAAACGGCATCCGCTGGATATTTTGACTTTTTTTCGGTGGTTTTATCCCCCCTGACAAGCTCGGACGATAAAATCAGGGAACAGTGGGAAAAGAAAAAGCTTCAGGAAAAACTCGACTTTGTGGACCGTTGCCTCTGGTAGGAGATGGGAGATGCTTCTACTGCTGTCGGTCCAGCTTCTGGTCGGAGATTTCTTCGTGAGCATCTGGATCTTTTGGTCCGAATCCGAGACACTTGCAAGACCAGCCCAGGTTGGCTGGCCTGTCTCAGCTCTGTTTTCTTGGTGTGCTGGATCGGTTGCCTATCCGATGATGAGGCGGCGGGAGATGAGCCTGCAGCGCACGGCGGACGGTGGCAGACCTGCTACGTCGCTTGTCCTTTTGGGCCTATTTTTGTACTTTTGAGTTGTGGCGGCTTTTGGGGGCTGTCAATGCAGCGCCACCGACGAAAGACGCCTATTGCCCAAGCGCAGCTAGCTGGAGCGGTCATGGCGAGAAAACACTTGATAGATGGTTCGTTCGATGGGATGGGAGGGAGCCGACTCTGACCGCGGAGCTTCTGCAATTGTCCTGCCTGTGTTAGGTCATCAAGTTGCGAGTAGACTCGAGCAGTTTTGGCAAATTACAAATAGTTAGGCTGGCCTTGGTCTCTGTTGTCCAACGCCTTTGGGCGATGGATGGATTGCTGGGAAAACGCTCCGCCGCGTGGCACTTGGCTCGTCCGCTTCCCTTTTTTGGCAGCTCTATTTTTTTTATTTTGTCAACAAGTCGACGACACTACTGAGTAGTTTGTGGGTGCTGATCCGTGTCGCTGGGATCATGGTTGGAGGCTTGGTGTACTTTTTGGCGTTGACAAGTTGAGCCTCTCAGAATCCTGCCGTGCCGTGCGAGCGCTACATGTGGATTCTAAGTTTTCGATATTCGCTAAGTGCGCCAAGTTCTCTATTGGTATCAAGGCTCGGTACTTAGCCGTGGGCGGGAAATCACACATTACAGGAGGTACCCACCCTGTCTGTATTGGACCAACGATGCTCACATTATCCAGATGTTTTCACCGTGTATTGATGATGGCACCTTCGCCGATGCAAGCACGAAAATCGAGACGGTCTCCTTAGTATCACGACCTAAATCGGCGCCAAAAAAAGTCTTCAACGCCTACCACTAGTTGGAGCACCTACCACCATGCTCCAGCGCAGCCCGGATCACCAACAGCCTGTCCTCTCCGACGGCCATCACGATCTCGTGCCCTTGGGTCCAGGGTTGCTGGCTCCTCGACATGATGAGGCTCATCATGATGTATCCCAAGCGGGCGTGTGCATATCGGTAGCTCAGCTGTCCGGCGACGCACTGTCCACGATGCGAACCGCTGATTGCGTGGCTATAGCCTGCGGGCCATATAGATCGCGACGGCACCGCCCGTTCCATTGATGAATGAGGTCTTTTTGACAGATTATGAGCGCAGGCTCTGTCACCCGGGCTCCAGCCTCGCCGGCCAACCCCTGTTCGGCGTGCGCGCACCCCTGGCCCTGTCTGAATACGAAGCAGGAAATATTGTACTGTACGGCTAATGAGGTGAAATTGAACGGATACATGCTGAGCGCCAGAACGCCATCCGGGCTTTTTCGCAATACTCTGCTTCAGCTCTACTTCAACCACAATTTTTCTTGTGCGTGGAAATAGTGACAGCAGCACGCTGCGGAACGTGGCGTGGCAGCCATATGGTAGCACTTGCTGGCAAATGCATGTATTATGTACGAGTACGGAGCTCGCTTGCATCCTGCCGTGTTGACAAGATGTCCCATTCAGCTTTGTATGGATGTATCCTTACCCATGGGCGCCACAAAGCCGCCTCATTCAGTCGTCTCGAAGACCATGTAGCCACATCAATAAGATGCAGAGTGCTTTTTTGTAAATAATTACATTCATCGGTCCGGCTGTGGCAAATATTCAGAGGGCGCGAATCCTTTGCTTAACTTCGGCGATCCCATACTACCTCTGCGGTTGGCAGCAGCCAAGAGACCGTTACACGTGGCGCGCTGAGCAAGTTCGAAACCAGGCAGACACGGCTGACAGAAGGATCACGCAATGTGAGTGAATAAGCATTGATAATTAAATCTAATAAAGAAGCAATCAACGTAGTCATTGAGGTGCTTTACTGGCACCTCTGCGCCAGCAGCCAGCGTTGCAATGCATCAACGCATCAACCCCCAAAAGAACACCTGCGACGCAGAATCGGGTAAAGCTTAAAAGCAACAATAGCAGGAACTATTATGAGAGCCCTTGTATGCGCCACATGCATCGGGCCGCCTGTGGTAAGCTGAGCCAGCTCCCAGGGTGAGCAGGCTTCGAGAGCAATCAATGTCGTATTGCTTCTGTTTTACCCTTAAGCCTGCATGACACTAGAGAAGTCTATATTGGTCGGCGACGCCATCCATGCCCATGGTTTGGCACAGCCAGCTGCATCGTAAGCACGTTTTCACGAGCCAAGCTTTTACACAATGACTGCAACCCTACGAACTAAAGATGACAATTCCCTTTGTAGTCCAGGTTTCCTTTCATCCCCTGTGTCAATCTCAGCCCCTAACAGGATAGCGCATGATGATCAGCTGCCGGCGTTGGCCGACTCCCCAAAGAGGAAAGTTGATGCAAGCCACACTAGCAGCCAACTTTTTGGCCTTTGTTCCGTGTCGCAGAGCTCCGAGACGACGACGGCGGTTTGCAAAAGAACCATTGTAGAATGAACAGAACATGTACATGGAAACTAGTTCAAGTCTGGCTTACCGGCCACACCCTGCTTATCTTGCCAGTGGCCTGGCAGTTGGCGACGTTGTTCTAGTTGGCCGAGTTCTCAACGAGCCATTAGATCGACGCTAATTGTGAGCCGACTCACTGGGCCGAGGTTCTGGTTCTCTCTTGCCTTGTGGATCTTGCGAGGATGGGAGTTGTCGATCTCTTGTTCTCGGAGAATTCTATGCCGGACCTCGATCACGGCAGTCTTGGCTCACGGCTGACTGTCAAGTTTACGTCGGGAGTGTATGGGTGTCAAGTTCGCAAAATTCCGTAGAAAATTTCACCATGTGAGAAAAAAAAAATCGCATGTTTGATCTAGTCAGTCTAAGCTCATTCATCCATTTTCATGATTATCCGTATTAATAAGTGATTGTCTATACCGCAGTGCAAAAAGTGATGTCCCAAACCATAACAAGCCCAATCTCATAAGAGAGCATTTTGATAGCCAAAGTAACAATGGATAACATATCCTTGAAGAAAGGAAGAACCTCACAGCTCCTGCTTACTCCCACAGGCGCCGAGCTGCCACATCTTGACCGAGCGCACCGTCAAGCCGCGCTGGTCGCCCTCGCCCCAAGTCGGCAGCCACTTATCCCGAGCGTCCCAGAACGACCATCGTGCATTAGTCGCGCCGTTGACCCAGGGCTTACTCCCGACATTATCCAGGAAGAAGCCGTTGGTGCCGCCGACCGCAACATTCAGAATCAGGTAAAACGACTGGTCAAACGGCGCGTTCCCCGTCGTCGAGTTGGACGTCGTCCACGGGTCGTCCAGCAGCGTGTCATTCTCCGACGTCTGCTTCGCAAAGGCGCCCTTGTCGTACAGCCCCTTCTTCTTGTCGAACCCGATGAACAGGATCTGGTGGATCTTGGAGTCGATGTAAAAGTAAATGTAGTCGGGCGTCCACTGGATGCCAAACGTGTGCAGGCCGTCCGAGTAGGCGCCGCGGCGGATCTTCTTGGCCATGGTCGTCCGCCAGTAGGCGTCGCGGTGCGGCGACGGGCCCCAGTGCAGCGTGCCGTAGTACCAGTCGCGGCCGCCCTCGGCGTACTCGGGCCCGTTGCCGCGCGACTCCATGACGTCGATCTCTCCGGAGCGCGGCCACGCGCCGTACGCCGAGTCCTCGGGCATCATCCAGATGGCCGGCCACAGCCAGTCGCCGCGCGGCAGCCGCGCGACCACCTCGACCATGCCGTAGCGGATGCTCTTGGTGCCTTTCGTGGTGAGTCGCGCGGAGCGGACGGGCGGGATGAAGGCGCCCTTCTCCGGGTTCGAGCGAAGAACGCACGCGGACGAGTTGAACTCGCCGGTGCACGACTTGTCGCTGTCGAGGTTGAGCGTGTAGTTGGCGTACATCTGGTCGGTTGTGATGTCCGTCGTCTCCGTCGTCAGCGTCGGCACGATGTGCAGACCGTCGGCGTCGACGTACGAGTTGCGCTCGTCCGTCGTCGTCCAGTCAAAGGCGTGGTTGCCGAAGCCGTCGAGCTGCACCTCGTGCGACCAGACGCTCTTGTCGAGCGATTGGAAGTTGTCCTCGTACACGAGGCAGTACTAAGTTCATCATAGTCAGTACATGGGGAAGAAAGAAAAGTCCCATGTAATGTTGGAGTAACGTACATCTTTTTGCACGTAGGGCTTGGACATGAAGTACACGACGACTCCCGCGGCGGCGATGCCGAGGAGGATCAGGCTGCCGACGATTATGTTGTTCCACCGCGTCTTCTTCATGTCCTTGTCCTCGAGCCAGGGCTTGGGGTACTCGCCGCGCAGGCGGTAGCTCTTGAAGCGGCGCTTGGGGGCCGGGACAGGCGTGCTGGCGCCGGCGCCGTCGTGGGCGACGCTGTTGTACGTGTACGGCGTGAAGGTGCCGGGGCCGCCGCCGTCGGTCGAGTGTCGCGGCGAGTCCTTCCAAGGCGTCGAGCTGGAGGACTCGGGGCGGCTGCCGCCCGGGCTGGCAAAGGGATTCTGGTGATGCGCGCCCATAGTTGCTGTCTCCGGCCAGAGGAGAGAGGGCGGTGGAGTGTCGAGTGAGTTGAGTGAAACAGAGGGAAATTGAGATAAGAAACCGAGCCGATCTGTCTATGCCATGGGTTTGGGTCGGTGGGTGAGACGGAGGAGACGGGATGGTCAAGAGCCAATGGATGGATGGACAAGACAGAGGATATGTGTAGATGCAGATTGGTATATGCACGAGCAGACTAGTATTTGGGATTTCAGAAACTCCTTATCGACTCAGCAAGATAAAAAACAACCAAGATGAGGTGTGAAAAGACGGTGCAAGAAGAGTTGGCCAGTATCCGTGTAGTATGTATGTACAAGGTGGGTGTCTAGTGATGGGCCAAGCTCGGCCATCGCGACAAGGATGTGTGCTCCAGTAAATTTAGATACAGCGGCTCCTCCTATCGGAGGATATCATGCAGCTATTCCTGTCTCTTCTTGGCCCAACAAAGCGAGAGGGGCCCGGCCCATGCTGGGCTGGTTGTTACGGTGTGGTCGGCCCGTGTAAGAGGATTGAGCGAAGCGACCCAGCTTGTTCTCAGCCAGCCCAGATAGGATGATTAGCGGGAGCCCATTCTTTGCCTTGATTGATTAGACTAGAATATTGTGCGTTCTACTTCTTTTCTAGTTTATACTTTTGCCCTCTCGGAAGAGTTGGTTCCCGAGTTTACGAGTCGCTCCTCTGTATAGTTGTATAGTTAGCGACCGGGACCCGACTCTCGCTTCCACATTGCGCAACTCGGCTGCCCACCTGTCTGCCACCACCGAACCGCCCATTGTCCTCTTTTTTTATACTTTTTCTCTTCTCTCCTCCTGTTTCCTATTCTAGCCTACCTCTCTGGGGCCGTCTGTTCTTGGGGTGGAGTGGCTTTCCATTGTGGAACTTGTTAGTTTCATGCCTGACTTGTCCTTGGTGTCGAGAAGAGTCAAGTATTTTGTACAGAGGTCAATAGAAATAAACTAGAAAACAAATTGAAAATTAAAAAGACGTGCGCAATCTACAACATCAGCATATTGACCGAAAGATAGCTCGGTCCACTGCGCCGGCCCGTGTTCTGCTCCCCTGTGGACAATCTTCAGCCTCCAACTATTCATGCACCTGCAACAAGCATTTTCATGCATCTTTCTTGGAGACCCCAGTCTTGTTGCGACGGTACTTTGCATGTACCTTTTTGTCCTCTTGTTTCCCACCCCCCCCTCTGCCGCCTCCCCTGGCAAATGATCCGCCTTCCCCTGTCTGTGGAACAATGCTTGCCAGGTTTCTTGTTTTCTTGGGGGCCATTTTTCGTTTTTTCTTCCTCATTGTATCATCTCGGCCTTGAATCCGAGAAATCCACTCGCGGCTTTTGATTTCCGATTTCAGCTTTTGTTGCTCTTCTTTTGAAAAGTACCTTCCGTACCTGGTACACACGGCACAGCACTTTACACCGCCTACTAAGGAAACCAAACAAAACATTGGACAGGATAGATCTCTTTTGGGCTAATATCGAATCCTTCTTCCTTGGCCATTATCAGCTCGCGTACGGACTTGCTACGTCCAGGACTGGGTGCCCCGGCTGAAATAGCATGTCTTGGCAAAAAAGACATCGAGCTTGTGCACTAGGGGCTCCCAGTACATGTGCGTCTCTCTCTATCCGTATGTTGCATCGAGATTACTATTAACACTTCCTCTTCCCGGTCGTATGCGATTTGTCAAAGTAACTACATAGCTCATTCCCATTCTTTTGACGTGTCCTCGTCCCGACGGTGAATCAGAGACAGCTTCGCCGGCACGCAGCAATGGTGTGCTTTATGCAGCCCAAAAGCAAATCATGATGTGATTTATGCAAAGGTCTTTATGAATCCAATCTGCCAAAACATGTCAAGGTAACTCTCAGACACCCTCGGTGAAGCGGCATCCTCCACCAGCCCTACGATCCAAGCGACCGTGCCGGAGATGAGCCTGGACACCAATCGTCGCAGTTTCCACGCCAGGACAGGGCCTGTTTCAGAGATTTGGGTCTTCAAGATGGATAATATTGCTTCTTTATTCCAAGTCGATAATAAACGTCACCTCTGGCAGAACCCGCACGTCCGCGCCTGGGGCCGCTCCCGGTCCGCGAGCCAAAGCGCAGTCAAATGACAGGCCGTACGTTGCCATTCATTGTACCGAGCACTGCTAATGCAGCTGACGTCTATTGACACCGTTATTCCCCTGGCTGCCCATTGGGAAATTACTCATCAATAGACATAGGAGTGCTGGCCCATCTTGCATCATCCTGTCTTGTCCTGATACGAAAGCTCTCGGCGCACCAGCGATGGGGGAGGCCGACCGCAGCTTTTGCTTTTTGTTTTTCCAGCTCTCCGTATTAATACTACTCGGGAAGTATAAACCTGCAAGCGCTGAAAGGCCCAGGATTCAAGCGTACTTCACCGTATGGTTACACGGCCCTACGGGCGACCGTCTTCCGCTCCAAGTACGCCCAGCTCACACTGTTGTCATACATTGAGTGGGCGACAACATGTAAACTTGTCCGCTGCCAGGTGACTGACACGTAAGAGAAGTGAGATACCTAACAAGAGGCGACAAATACATGTTGCCACCCACTGTATATGCTATCCAATTATAGGCAGGCTCTAGCAATATTGGAGAATATACAAATATATTCCTCTAATAGCTCAAGTTCTAAATGACTAAATGATGGTTTCATCGGTGCAAGATGTGATAAGATGATTTTCATCATTCCCTGCACAAGAAAAATATAGAAATGCACGCAGTATGTACATGGTATAATCAACAACTCTTCATCCACTGCACGCATGCACGAACTCAGGCCGCGCCGGATCGCCGTCCATCCGTCACCGATTTTCTGAACAACCTCGTCGTACCTCCCACCTTGCCCAGCTCGCCGAAGCGCTTCTTGTCCTCCACGGGCGTCGACCCTCTTACAAAGCGCTCTGGCGCGACACTCGAGGCCGCATTCACCGCCACGCTCGACAGCGGCGGACCCGGTGGGTTGCCCAGAGGAGGTACTTTGCGCTCGCCACTAGCGAGGCGCACCTTTTCCTTGACGCTCTCTACCCATGCCTTGTTCTCGTCGCTCATCTCGACCTTCTTACCCGAGGGACCGGCGAGACCCAAGAACGAGCTGTCGTCCTCCACCCAACTCAGGCGGGAACCGGGCCGCGATCGCGCAGAGCCGCCGCCGCCTTCCGAGCCGGGCGTGTTCTCAACAGATGAGTAGTGCAGCGCTGCAGCGGGAGTCTTGGGGCGGAAACGCGGTGCCTCGCTGCCCACGGCACCCATGCTACGACGTGTCTTGCGAACGTTGAGAGGAGTGCTAGGCGCAATAGTGACGGAGGAAGCATCGCCAAGTCGTGACCCAGGGCGGCTGTTGGGACTAGAGCCTTGTACGATACTGTTGTTGTTGTTGTTCGTGGCGCGACCAACCTGCGGGACATCACGCACTTCGACTACGGCTTCCTCTGGCTTGCTGGAGCGCCGACCATGGTGGCTGGCATAGTCTTTGAGATATTCGCTAAGATCGGCCCAGCCGCCACCAACACGCACCATGACTCGCTCGCCATCTTGCCCGACGCAGCGGATGAAGAGCTTGATAGGCGCTTCGCCCGTTGAGCGTGACAAGTGGTACACTTTGATCTCCTGCTGTCCGCGTTGCGGCCGCGGCGGGCGGGACGACTTGGCGGGCGAGAGCGTAAAGGACGGTGTGGTAGTGCGCGAGCTCACAGCCGAACCACTACGGCGAAAGCGATCCTTGGAGGGTTTCTTCTTGAGGTGCGGCAGCTGCAGGTCCGGAGGGTTCAGATTGACGTTTGGTGTGTCAGATTGAAGCCGGATCTTAGCAGGGATGCCCTCAATTATCTGGCTAATCTGACTGCGCAGCTTCTGATCGCCAACACTATCTCGGCGGATAGCAGAGCTAGGCGGCGCGATGTCGGCGAGAGAGTAAGAATCATCAAAGTCATCCATGAAGGAGCCGTCAAGCGGGGTCTTGATACCGATGGAATCTTCAAACTCAGGTAGGCCAGAGTTGACAAGGGGGCTGTCGCCAAGAGCAATGACGGAGTCTCGCATCTGATGCCGCTCTAGCTTAGGCGGCGACAGCGGAGGCGAACTAGGCGGGCTGTCGTCGAAATATTCGGCCTCGCGAACGGGACCCTTAAAGCCGGTTGGTGACGCTGAAATTTCAGGGCCATCGCTCGACATGCCATCAAAGTGGCTTCCGTATAGTACGGTATCGTCAGCAAGCTCGCTGACATCGGCCATGACACTACTTCGCAGCTCGGGCAAGCAAATCTCTTCCTCCTCGTCGACTTCTTCCTTGACAGGGCTCATCGTAGCTTGTGCAAGCTCATCTGAGGCACTGCGTTTCTGCTTCAGTGGAGTTTCGGAGTCAACCACCACTTCACTGGCCATGTTTGGCATGACCCCTCCAACAACTCCAAGAGCCGAGAGCGACAAATGGTTGTGCTGCCCTTTCGGAGATATGGTGTCACGCGAAGCGACTCGGTCTGCAAGGTTGTCCTTAACATGCAACATCGAAGCCTCGATTGTTGCGTCAGAGTCAGTGTAGGCAGACTCGTCCCGTAACCTAATACCGCCCTCGCCATGGTCGGCCAGGATGTTGCGCAACCACTCAATCTCTCTAATCTTGCGCTCAGCAACAGCCGCCCACTCGCTGTAGTCCCGCTCAACCGTTTCCATCCGCTCCAACCAATGGTCCGGGAGCGTATCGTCGAGGCCCTCGAGGCAGTCCAACATGTAGTCGAGGGTGCGGCCAGGCTTGGCCACCTTGCGCACGATGGATCGCTTCTTAGGGCCAAATGTGTCTTTTGTCAGGACACCTTCCAGGGGTTCGCCGTCTCCGTCTCTCTCTAAGCGAGCTTTTTCCTGGGCGAGTAGCGAAACCTGTTGCCAGGCGTCATCCATAAATTTCTCAGCATCTTCGATTGCGGTGAGAACAGGGTTCACGTGCTGTAAAACTGTTATGCGCATAGTCCATAATTGTAGTAACCGCGTCAGTCGCGCAAGATTGGGGAGAGTCTGGACAACAATAGCGGTTACCACGGCAGAGAGGTCGTCCATTCTATGGTACGATGGCGCAGCCTCGTTATAACGGCTGCCTTCTGAAAGGGGCGTCGTTGACCGCGAAAGGGGCATGACATGACTTGTAAGTATGTGTGTTTTGATATCCTCCACTTCGAGCTGGTCCATGCCGTGGTAGATCTCTTCTATGCGACGAGCGTACTCGGTAACTTTATGCTGGGGCAAACTCCCCATGTACACCTCTTCTTGCAGTGGCTGAGAGTTTGTCGAGCTCGTGGAAGAGCTAAATAGTGTTCGACGGACTTGGAGCGCACCCTGTTCGAAGCCGGCAGAGCCACCTTCCTCTGGCCAGGTCCAGGCGCGTATTTCGTCGAGCCACTCGACTATTTTCTGCGAAGCGAGAGCCGTGCGCATGGCAAAGTCTCGCTCAGCGGGGGAGGCCAGAGCCATGCAAGCACGGATGGCACCAGTCGGAGACATGAGTGCTTCGACGACTGTGGAAGGCGTAATGTATAGAAGGATATCATCAGCGAGGATCTTGGATCGTGTCGGGGAATGGCCAAGCGATTGCCGCTTAGGCTTGAAAAGCAAGGGGCGGTCGTTGAACGTTGTCATTGTGTCGGATTTGAATGGTAATGACGGAAGATTTCGTGGGAGGATCCGACGTTGTTCTCCGGCAAATAGCCCGTGGCTGTCGAAAATCGGTGCAAATGCAAAAGGCTTTCAAAACATTTCCGCCTGCTCAATGTCCCGGAGAAGATGCGGTCGCTACTATGCAAATTTCGAAGCCAGAGCTGCCCATAGTAAAGAGATCAAAATAAACGAGGAGTCTGGTCAAAGCCGTACGTAATGACGCAATCGAAGTAGGAGCAGGACGAAGCAGTGCGTTCGGTAGAATAGTCGAGACGTAAGCGTCACTATTGCGCCGGCGACAGCTTTTAGAGCTTAAGGCAGAAAATGGCGGGAGGTGTATGAACAGTCTTGTATGCCTTGGGGTTCGGAGCGTCGAGATGAAAGGAGGGTGTATCGGTCGACTGTCGTTTAAACAAGTGAACGGGGCGAAGTTGCAATCTTTGCCTGCCACGGCTGTTTCGGGAACCGAAAAAACAAACAGTGCGCCGTTGCGCTTGATGCCGCACAGGACAAGAATGAAACTCTTGTCTTTGCGCTTTTTTGAGAGGCTAAATCTGCCCACACCACCAACAACAAAGCAAGGGCGGGCGAGGATGCGAGTTCGGGTGCCGGTGTCGTTCGTTGGGCAGAATATGACAGAGTTGCGTCAGAGGGGGCGCCTTTCGCGAAGCGAGCCCACAGGGAAAAGTGACTGGTATCGAAAGGTTCGAGAATACAACCGTCCCATTAGCTAGGCAGCTCCAGAAAGAAATGAAGAAAAAAAAAGGACCAGCGTTCAATAGCGGGTATGCACGTCAATGACAGTAACACAGCTGGGAAAAAGCAAAGGAGCCAAAGCGTTGCCCAACGTCGGGTAGGCCTCCTTTGACGTGAGACAAGATTTGCTTCTGGTACGGAAGCGTGCGGGAAGAGCGGGGAGCAGCGGTTTCTGAAGCTCCCAGATACCTTATTTTCTGATCTGGTTAAAAAGGGGAGAGTGAGGAAGGCGAGCTGCGAAAGAGTTGGTAGCTAGGTGTCTTGCGGTGGTTCGATCGTGAGACGCGTCTTGCCACCACACTATTCACTTGGCGGCAGCTGCAGCGACGGTGGCGGAGAAAATCAAGGCGGCGGAGCTTGGGGTGGTTTTTAGCGGGTTGCGTTTGCTGGTCGAGCGAGGAGGGAAAGGAAAGGAGATAACGGATGATAAATAATAATAAACAGAGACGAAAAAGGAAAACAAAGAATAATGAATGGACGGATGTTTGCACACGAGAAAAAAAATGGTAGGGGAAGAGAGATGTGATGTAGGAGTGAAACAGGCAGGACGTCGTGCCGCCGAGGAAGTCTCCAAGCGGCCTTACTCGCCGTCCAGGCAAAAAAAAAAAAGGCCAGCTCGCTCTTGGTCAGGTTGGGCCAGGCCAGGCCAGTCTTTCCTTCTCCGCACCAACACGTCACGCGCAATATTGGTAATATTGCAGATAAAAAAAAAAGGTAGCGACTGCCTCTTTTCCTTTTATTATGTTCTTTCCCAATTCGTCTTAATTGGCTGACGCTGACCCAACAACAGCAGCGGGCTTCTCAGCGGGGAGGCTTGCTCCGTCCAGCGTAACCCGCCCGGCGGTCCAGGGGTGATTTTCTGCGCTATCTCGGTGGAGCGCGTTATGCATGTCAACAATGCAGCGCGGCGCACAAGATGAAAAGAGTAAGGGGTGATGAGGCTTTGTTTTCTTTAGCAGATGCACATAATTTAAAAAGTAAACAGAGACGGGGGGGGGGGAGATCAAGAGATCAGTTATCGTTAAAAAAGAAAACTGGTCAGTGACACCTCCCCCTTTTTTTTCTCCCCCGCCTTCTCTTCTCCTTCCCGCCTGCCCCCGCATTCCACGAATTCATGATCCGTCCCCTTTGTGCTGCTTCCCGCATTCCATGCAGAGGCAGGAGGACGTTGAAATCCTTTAGTGGTTTTTTATTCTCCTGCGGCAATTGACATCATACCGCTGCAATTGAGGCTCGTGCTTGCGCGCGCATGGACCCAACCACAGCACAATCTGCCAAAGCCGCCTCGACCCGGTCCTCCCTCCCCTCCCGCTCGTGGCTTTCTGCACAGGATAATATCATACTTCTTGGGAAATTCCCCGAGTATGGCGCGAACCCCGTGGACAGGCCCAGGCCATTTTCATCCCACAATTCCATAGTTGGCAAATTAGAATCCAACGCCACATCTCCAGTTTGGCGCTGGTCGGTGACCTGGGGCGCGTCCGATGTTTGCGCACGTGCCTTGCAGATGCCACGATATCGCAATGTTGCATATAATAAACTCACAATATCATCCAGGGCATGTACTGATTCCTACTCTGCTCGTTATAGATCACCAAGAAGTTGCGGACCTTCGCTTCCAGGACCCTGTAAACATGCCAGATATCTGGATACCCTGCACTGTATCATCGCTTACGTACAGCATAATATTGGCACTTGCAACGGTGTTTACAATTGTATACATTCCACATCAAAATCCTGTTATTACATCTGCCCATGATCCTTTTCATAACTTCAATCCCACACGAATTTTGCCTTTGCTGAAGCCGATGTAGACAAACCACATCCAAAACATGCCAGAAACGCCGCCCCGCTGGGGATATATACCTGTCAACTCCAACAAAAACGCCATCAAGTCAATCCCAATAAACCAAAAACAGTCCATTCAAGCATAATTCAACTCATGCAGAAGCTTCAATACCCATCTTGACATCTTCCATCGAGCCACCTGTGTTGCTTCCGCCAAAGACGCCGCTCATCATCTCTTCTGACGGCTTGGCGCCATCGGTAGGGAACTGTAGGAACTGGTCCACGTCAAAGTCGGTACCCGCCACCGCGTTCCAGTCGAACTCATCATGACCCTCCATAAAGTCCATGTCCATCGGATCCGACTCAGTCGGCAGCTCCTCCGACAGCCCGCTCGCACTGGGCGTCAGGCCCGTTGCGTCAAAGTCTGTCTGCGGCGGCGAGTCCGTCAGCTCCAGCGCGGCTGCGTTGACCGTGTTGGGCGGCAGCATGGCCGTCTTGCCGAACAATGCCTCCTGCAGGCTCGCCGTCGCCTGGCCCTCTGGCGGTGGTGTGTGTACAAGCCCAAACGGCAACCCGTTGGGCAACATGTTGCTGGTGGCATTTTGGTTGATCTGGCCCATTTGGCTGATCTGGTTGATCTGGTTGGCCAGTGCAGCCGACGCAGCGCTGCTGCTGCTGCCACCGTTGCCAGACCCAACACTAATGTCGGCCTTGCGCAAAGCCGCATCCAGGAACCCGGTGGCATAATCGGCCGCCGAATAAATCTCCCGCAGCTTTTCCATGACACGCATGCACTGACGAAAGCCGATCGTGGCCCGCTCGCGAGCCTCCTTGGAGGAACCCTTCATCTCCAGCAAGTGAATAATCATGGCCGGCAGAATCACCGTCACACCCGTCGTGGGGAGGTACTTTTCCAGACGGAAGTCGTGCAGCTCCGTCACCATTCGGGTGATTTGCATGGCCGAATCGCGCACCTTGACGCGCGACATGTCCTGCACCTGGCGCGAGGTGGTGGGCATTTGCGTGGGCGACGATGGCAGAAACTGTGGCCTGTGAAGCGCCGAGATGGTAGTCTGATGCACCATGTGCAACAGTGTGCGGTGGACGGTGACGGTCGAGCGGCCGCCTTCGATATCAGCTTCCTTAAGGGGCCGGTACCGGCAGCACTCAGGCAGGGTATCAGCCCACGCACGCAACTCGGCGTCAATGGTGTCGACGGCGTCACCATTCTCGAACTTGTTAGGAAACAGCATCATGGTGCTGTTAGTCGTATTCTCGGGCTTCATGTTGTCGCGGATCAGCACCGAGTACTGGGTCTTGAGCATGTGGCTGATGCCCAGACAAAGCTTGGCCTTGGAGATGCACAGGGTCGCCAGCTCACGCTGCATGGCCACGTCGCGGATCACGACGCAATCGGCGGGGAGCAAGGTGTTGTTCTCCGCCAACGCCTGGATTTCGAAATCGCTTTCGGCCAGCATGGGCACGTCAAAGTCCTCATCCTTGATGCGGGTGGGTCGGCGCATGCCCAGGGCGATGAGCCTGTCTCTCATAAAGCAAGACCACCATATGCGCTTCCAGAGCTTCCGCTTGGCGTTGCTCATCGAGTTGGCGCCAGGCTTGCGGTGCAGGCCGATGGTGTGGGCCAGCGAAATGGCAACACCCATCCAGTGCCAGGTGTCCTTCTGGTCATCCGGTGTCTCATACCAGTAGGTCATGAGCAGCAGGGACTGCACCAGTACGAGGCGGTCCGATTCGTAGTCGAAATCATATAGCAGCTGTATTCACATGTCAGCATTCACCATCTCTAACAAGGGACATGTGGCCAGGTGCGGGGAAGCACAAAGTCGTGTCACGCATTGGTGGCTTGCTTACCCTTGTCTTCTGGAAAAAGGCTTTGCGGGCAGCCTTGCGGCTTGTGTAGCCAGCCTCGCGGAGGCGCTTCATATCCACGGACGCAGTGGCCGCAAAGAGCACGGCATGGTAGAGCAGCAAGCTCATCTGACCATTGAAGCCATTGCGGTTGTTGACGATGCTGAGGAAGGGGTGCAGGTCCATCAGCGGCATGAAAGGGTGAATGTACTCGACGTAGGCCTGCAGCAGGGCATTCTGGAGCGGTAGGGCGGGTAGCGTCAGAGCGCCCTTCATCTGGAGATAGCTCACATCCTCCGGGGTGATCTTGCTGGGCAGCGGACGGAGGAAAGGCGGGAGCTGGGGCGTGGCCCGGGCGGCGGCGTGGAACTGGAACTGGTCGAGCGGGCTGGCGAAGTTCGGGGTGGCAGGGGCGATGCCCGAGTCGCCGAATAGACGGTTGGGGTTGACGGTGTTGCTGTCGCCGGCCCAGAGGCTGCTCGACGTCGGGCTGGCTTGGTTAGGGTCGATGGAGGCCTGGCTGAGGAGGTCTGGACGGAAACCGGAGCGCTGATCTAAAATCGCGTGTCAGCTCTGTATCCGTCGTCACAGTTTGGATTGGCTATGGAGCCCGGTCGCAAAGTGAATCAAGCTAATGACTTTCACATGTGAAAATGTTGAGCTGGACCTTTAGGTTGATGGATGATGCAGCGGGGAGGCGTTGACTCTCGTGACTCGAAAAGTGGAGATGATGTGAGTGGCGCAGGGGCCAAAAGATGGGTGAGATGGATTTGTGCCCATGGGGAGAAGGAGGGATCATAATGCGGGATGATTTTTTGCGGGCTGAAAAAAGTTCCAAAAAGACTGAAGCAAAAACAGGGGCCAAATTGTGGCCATGAGTTCTCTTCTGTTTTTTTTTGGGTCGCCACTTTTGATATAGCGATCGGTGATGTGTCCCAATGATGAATGCACCAACCACTAACACCAGTGATGGCGTTGCAATGTGACAGAAAAGGCGGCGTGAGGAAATTGCAGTGCAAAGCACTAGAGCGACGCAGAAAAAAAAATAAGCCAAACTTACAAATGAGATGAGGGATATGCGAGTCCACCACACAGTTGGGCATGAGACCGCCAAGTTGGCTGTCGATGCCGCTGTTCGTTGTGGCCGACGAAAAGGCCGATGCTGTGCTTTGTCTTCGGGGATCATTTGAGGTCATATGCGCGAGCGCGATGCCGTCTGTGGCATTCACGTAGCCAGTGTCGTTGGTGGTGGCATTATTGGTGGTGGTGGTGGTGGCTGCTGTCGTCTTGCAGCGAATCTGAGCCTCGGCTTGATTATTCTGACCCACGGCATTTGCCGTCAAGGTACTCTTCCTAATAATTCTGGGTCAGTGGATCGGCGCCCATGTCAAGCAGAGAAAAAAAAAGAGAATCTGTGCGGCTGCAAGTTTTTCCCCGCTTCGGAGGCCGTAAACTACTAGTAATTGAACTAGTAATAACGAGCAGGGTAAGAAGAGGGGGAAAGTGAAAAACAAGGTTGGGGGACAGGAAAGGTCAGCCAAAGCCAACGCAAGAGCGAAATGCTAGCGTCAACGATTCAGAGCCTCTTTCTTTGCTGAGATGCGGCGCCATCATCGAGTCTCTCCGGGTCTCCGTTTGAGCCCCGTAAAACCGCAAGGGCGGGAGGGAAGCTAGGCAGCCGCACCACAACGCAAGAACAAATGCCCCCTGGTTGTTTCATGCTTTGCTGTCGAATTTCACATGGGAAGCGAACGCGTGGCCGTTGGGGTAGGTAGGTAGGCAGGTAGGGGTAAAAAGGGTGCCAGGATCGGAATTGGGGTAGCAAATGGGCAGAGCGGAATACTTACTTGCGCCGACGGCTCTCTTGGACGATGCACTGTGATGATGCTGTTAGCATCATGTTTCACTTTTTGCTATTTTTGGAGCAGGATTTGGAGATGCAAACTGCAGCTTGCGAAAAGGTCAAGCCCTGCAACAAGCTCCTCTTCGTAATTGTCCCCAACGTACCTCGACATTATCCCAGCGGCAGTTTCCGCACGGCGCGCCCTCAACCACGTCGCAGCGGACTTTGCGTGCGCGACACGAGACACATGCGCGGGCGGCTCTGCGCTTCGTGACCTTGACGACGCCGCCGTCCGCGGAGCTGCGCTTCTTGACTGAGTTGCTCTCCGTCTTGGTCAGGGGCGGCGGAGAGGGTGAATGACTCCCGACGGAGCTGTTGTCTGTGGTTGGTGCCATTGCGTCTAGCTTTCGCTCAGCAGACAATGGCTTTGTATCGTCCAAATGCTCTGTTTCTGTGCGAGCGACACCGGGAGGCGGGAATCGATGTAGCAGTCGGGCTCTCTTGCAGAAAATAAGAGCCCAGGAATTTGGGACAGCTTCTTGTGTTGCTGGAGAGCTTCGACTGTCGTTTCAAAGGGGGTAAAGTAAGCGCAGTAGGAAATTGCTGCTTGATTCGGCTTGTTGTCTGGAATGTGGTGGATTGAGAATGGAGCTGATTTGAGTCGCCGAAAGTGCGTAATAGACAGGGAGGCGAATCAAAGGCGATTTTGCGTCGAAAATATGCGGTCAAGGAGGAAGAAAGATCTAGACAGAATTCGCAGTCCACAATGAAGGGTGACGAAAAAAATCGAGTCTAGAGACGCAGGGCGTAAGAGCTTAGTGTGTGAGATGATGTCGTCGAGGTGTAAGATGGTGGCATGTGAGTATGGCGCCGCCGGGGTAAAGTAGTAATCAACGACCGACGATGTGTGTCGAACTTGTAATGATGAGAAGGAGAGAAGAGGGGAGGAAGAGAATGCTTAAGGAAGAAATAGTTTCGAAACTTGAACCTGCTCCATTGAGTTTGAAAAGAAATCCGGGGTCGGGGGGAGTGGAGGGGGAGGGGGGGGAGGACGGGTGCGGAGGAGTTATTATATTTCGAGAGACTCCCAAGCTGGATGAATTCACGAGCCTGGGAAAATAAAACAAAAAAATTATCCTGGGACCACACACCAACAGACCTAATACGGTGTCGTATGGATGTATACATTACCCAGTAAGTAGTCTCCGTAGCAAGGACCTCTACATATGTGCGTGGCTCCGTCAGCGGACGGATGGAGTGGAGTAGCAACAAGCCGCTACAACGACGACGTTGCCGGTGTTTAAAAAATGAAGCCAAAAAAAATTAAATTGAAAAATAATAACTAATGACAATAATAATAAAAGGCTTGGTATTGGCAGCAGCGCCTTCTGGGGGGGCTCGCAACGGGGCTACGGACGGAGACGGCCAGTGGCTGCGGGGATGGCCCATGGCAGCAGAGAGAGGGTTGCAGTTTTTCAGCGGACTTGCCTTATTTCTTTCTTTGCTTTATTTATTTATTTTTATAGGTTGATCATTCTCTCACCCCTTTCCTTCCTTCGAATTCTTTTTTTTTTTTCGATTCATTCTTCAGTCGTCATCGCCGCCACAATAGTTACAGTCAGTTTATTACAGTGCCCATGCCAAGCTGGCTCTCGCTGAGCGCCAAAAACCGGAGAAGCCGCCCACCTGATGAGCCAACCCGCCGCCCCAGCGAGGAACCCACAAGGTGCTAATACTGGCAAGTTACAGCGCTCTCCCCCTTCTGGGGCTCCCGGGGCAGGACAACATGCGCTGAGCCACTCACAGCGGCACTAAAATAATGAGACAACCCTTCCAAAGGCCGCTGTTCTCGGCGCTCTCCATTCCTTGTTTGCTTTGTTTGCTTGGTCCATTTCGGTACTTGAGTTTTCCTAGCAATTCTGGCTGCTCCCAGAGGTATCCCAGGTGGCTTGCGAGTTCCTGTCAATTGTCCAGCCTTCCCCCGCTCCCCGCCGACTTGCCCCCTTCCACTACAGTCTCACCAGCACCACACCTCGCTTTCTTCAGATCAAGTACGAGCCCCCATCTCCACACTGCCTGCTGCCATCATCAATCATGTCGGCTTTATGATGTTCTAGTTTTCGTCCTCCCAACGGGCAGAGGACGCCCGCCGCTCAAACGTCTTCCTATCAGCTCCGATGAATAGCGCCTGCCGGTCGACCGCCACAACGGCGTTTACAAAAACTTTCTCGAAGAAACACTTCAACGCCGTAGATAAATCCGTCTAATGAAGCACAGTCTCATTCCGTCTAAGATGGCAGCGCATGCGAATCTCCCCATAGTCGCCACGAATCATTTCCCTGATCGCCTCATCAAGGTTTGGAGCTACTCTCGCTTCATCGTACCATGAACCTGACCTCCCTGTTCCCAGTCTGGATGATTTTCTGGGGCAAGCCACACTCTGTCTGTCTAGCCAGCAGACTATTCCCTCCATATCCGTAGTCTCAGATGGGCTCCTGGGCAAAAACTCTCAGACATTGACTCAAAATTGACATGTGCGCTAGTTCATAGCCCACATCCATCCCCCCTTCGCCTACGTCAATGCGATGCAAATTCTATGTAGTTGACCACCTGAGCATCGTCGACACCGAGTTGTGCTAGTACGTTTGTCAAGGCCATTTCCGTAATTGTCATACTCTGCTAGTTACTTGACGCTGCATTCCAACACGAGTGTGCAGCTCTGGCAAAGGCTCCAGAGATGACGGAACAAGAACGCATCAAGCAGCCACATGTAATATGTTACAGAGCTTGCTGCTATAGTTTCAGTGGCAGGCCTGGTTGCATCTGCCTACAACGATTGTCACAGGTGTTGGTCGGTCGTCTCACGCAGTCCGTAGCCCTGGCCTCTTCCAACAGCAGACGTCCACTGCCAATTGCCCATCATCCTGGTTTTTTTTTCTTCCTTCTTAGCTGCTGACAGTCACATTCTTTAATTAGACCAAGCGGGTTCCCCTTTCTCCATGATGAGGCTCTGCGCGCGTGGAGAGTGGGACCCAACAACGGAAACTCTCATGCACTGACTGTAATAATTTGCAGGAGGGAGAGCTTTCAGAAACCCAACAGGTCGTGAGCCAACATCGACAAGCTCGTCTGCTCGCTCGTCCGACCTTTTTCCCGGAAAAGAGAATCGAACCCTCATTGAGCCCAAGACTTGTGACAGATCACTATCCAAAGCTGATCGATTCGTCATGTGTGTGTCTTGACCACGACTCCGTCTTTAGCGCGTGTGTACCTTTGCTCCCCCTACGAATCAATCTCGTCGTCTCTGCCCTCTTTGCGGAGGAAGTGGGTTTCGATAACAATTGACTTTCTGTCCGAGAGCGTGCTCCGCAGCCTGCAACCCAGCCCAATGACTAGACGGACGTGTCCAATACACGGGACTTGCTGGACTCTCAACTAGGCATGGGTACGGTCAGTACTATATCGACGATGGAGATGACTCGTACAAGTTAGATGATTGTGCTGCTTTCAGAATTACTTGACGTCTTTCATAGTAATCATGTACTGTAAACTCAATCTACGGATTACTTGTCAGAATCAAGAAACACTGTCACTTTCGTTTCAAGGAAATTGACCCTTTTCATTTAACTGCCGGGCTGCAGCGAGCCATCAAGGGTGCTGCAGATGGCTGGCCCCTCAGCCCTCATCGAGTCCAAGTCCAAGTCTAGATCGTCATGCCTGCCACCGGTGTTCCGGTGGAGCCCTCCGGAGCTCCGGGACACGCTCACTGTCCGTCTTCACATTACACTTGCTCTCCTCTCACGACCTCTTTGACCTTTGCCACGTCCTATATTACCTCATCCATTTACCTTCCAAAATCTAATCATTCCCGACAAACTCTGATATTCGCCACTCTGCCTGAATCATTTCACAACACCGTCTCAGGCGTGCCTCGTGTCTTGTGTCTTGACATGGCCCTGGGCGTTCCGGAATTTTGTGGAGAGAAAAGTAGCGGACGGACTGCCGGGGTGGATCTGCAGCGCAATAAGGACACAAAGACGAGCAAGATTTTTTGCTTTCTTCTGCAAGACGTAATCCCCAACAGAAATAGTCAGGATGGGCTACCAAATTACCATCGAGACCATTGGTAAAGCATGTCCCCGCCAAGAGTGTAGCCGTCAGGCTTCCCCCTGGGGAAGCATATGGAGTCGAGTTGACCACACAAAGCTTGGCACCGTTGATGAGGCTCTATTGCTCTTCACATGTGAAATGTCACTCGCCAGTTTCACACGTTCTTCCCCCACCTCCTCAGCGACCCCAACAAACGCACATGGGTGCAATTTAAGGAGAGACGGCAAAAAAGTCCGTTTGTCGATCTCCCCGTGATCTCGGTGGCCATGGCGACCCGTTTTCTCCAGTTTCTAGTTGGACAAAGGCTCTCGCAATGAGGTCCTGAATTAGGTTTCGCCCACGCCACGTAGGAAACCCATACTCACATGTATCCAACACTAGCCCATCAACCCCATCTACTCCAGGATCGGACTTTTGAGGGGGAGAAATCTCCGGAACATTGCGCCTCGCCAATAAGAACAACGAAGAAACTACCGTTTGGTGTGGGTGGGATGGATGAATGAGTGAATGAGTGAATGAAGAAAATACTGCCTAATCTAGAAAAGTCGGCTGGTACCACGATTCGAAACTGGATGATGGCAAGACATGCGTGGCTTTCCACAGAAAAGGAACAAGAATTGACGACGTCCTGCATCTGGCGCCCCCCGAGGCTTGTTCGCCCTGCCCGCGGGGTAGTTCTTCTCTCCGTGGGCTTACAAGAGACGGGAAGAGCGGGTGCAACGGAAGACACGGGATGCAGACAATGTAAGCCTCTTCAGCCCTTTTTTTAAAAAAAATCTCCTTCCCATGAGATGTATGGAACCAATTGAGGGGCAGCATTTGCGAGATTAATAAGTTGCAATATGGAGATGAGGAATGAAACCGCTCAACCCTGTGTGGTGGTGGCTTATTACGGACGGAACTTGGCTTGGTTGTCTCTGCGACATCGCAACGAAGCATAGGGTAGGTAGCAGTAAAGTTAGCAACGGTGAGTCAAGAGGCGCGTCAAAAACCATGAAGCTCGACCAGTGACGCCAGTACTCTAGAAAATTTCAATGGACTCACTAGATGTTATGTCGCTTCTGGCTCACTGATGTTTACATTGCTGCTTTATTCCATGACAGTCCGCGCCTTGAGCTTTGTATCAATTATCATGAGACAGTTACTACACCTCAGTCGTCCTAAAAAAAAAAACCTATTGTGTACAAGTTTACCCCGACTTGGCCCAGCACCCTCCTCGATGGACAATCGGGATCATCATACCGCCAGGAATCGGAATCGGCAAAGACACACGGCGCTTGTTGTGGAGGTGCCGGCAGACCGACTTTGCGGTGCCCTCTGCCCTTCCGGAGCTCCGCCTCCCGGGGGTCGGACGAGGGGTCTCGCGGCCCCGTCTTCGTCTGCGCTGTTGTTCCCACAGAGGGAAAGCTGCATATGCATCAGGAAGCAGCTAAACAATAATTAGTTAATGTGTATGCGCCTCCCTGCTTGCAGCGTTCCCGCGGCCGCAGCAACCCGGCGTCATCAACAGGGGTTCCGGCACTCGCCGAGTGACAAAGAAATAGGGTTCCTTTTTTTTAGCAGTCTAGGAACGGTCTTTATTCGTTCAAAGGGATCGTGTCTAGCAACTTAATCAAGGCACATGGACCTCGAACTGAGCTTGATGGATGACGATTTGTGTTTGGTAGTACATGATCTCTCGTCGCCTGTCGTTATCACGACATTCCCGAGACCAACAAGAATCACAAGGAAGAAGAGCTATCTTAATACGGAATGAAACAGTGCACTTATTGAGTACACCGGCTGTAGAGCACCACTTCATTCGTAATCAAGTATGTAAAAAAAAATAAAAAAAAATACAAGAGACAATGTGTCAATTAAACATCCATTCCCTTGTCAATCCCTGTCCACGCCTCCTACATCCGAGCCGCAGGCATTCGGCGCTCCGAACTGGAGCGCTCGGAAAACGAGCCAACCACTTGTCCCTTGTCGCACCACCACCAACTACTCCATCTCATGTGAACCGTGATATGCCCATTCTCCCATTCGTCGACTCCCCGACTTCCTCTCTTCTTCATTTTTTTTATCCCTTACCCATATCCCGTCCAACTACATCCCTGTTTCCACTTTTTCGTCCTTTGTTCCCAACGCAAGAGTTTCATGGCTTTTCTTCGAAAATGTTTGTTTGTTTCTTCCCGTCCCTCCTCTACACGGTCGCCCTACTTGATTCGGCCATGGCACTTTTCCCGTCTGCCCCAAGCCCGGAGAAATGAAAACGGCATGTTGGGGACTCCCAAAAACGCCGATTGAGCGTTCAACATCCCGGATTCTTCCTCATGTGGCATACAAAAAAAGAACACCAGCAAACATGGCATGCGTCCGTCGTCGTTGGGGCTGAAAAATGTCCGACAACGGCGCTTCGACTGGATGAAACGGCTTGATGCTACCTTTTTTTTTTCTCTCTTGATGGGTTAGGGGAGCGGGAGCCGCACGCCATTGACGTTCTGGATGAGCTTGAGTGTTGATGGGGGACAACGGATCGATGTTATAGCCGCGCGCAGCTCGTCAACGTCTCGCGCCTTGGCAAGTCAGTACTCTGGAATACGAGGCTGCGCATCGCGACGCGAGATGTTCATGTCAAATGGTATCCGTGTCTCATTTTACTTGACCAAGCTCGATATTCGACTCGATCAGCGGCGAGGATGGCCCATCGCCAAAGCTAGGTCGAAGGGACATTTTCTGAAAATGGACCTGTGTCTGCTGAGTTGAACACCAGCCAGCTCATCCATCCCCACGACAACTCGCCCGCTTGGCAGCAAGCAAGCCTGAGACATGGTTGCTTTGCGTCTCAGCATCAAAGGGATGATATTGAGAGACTGGTTAAATGGCAACTTTCATGACGCTGGCATTCCTTCATTGGCTTCACTCGGAGCGTCGCATCTGCATCAACTCATTGAAGCTCATGCGACTGCTTCTACGCTGTCAGAGTACAAAGGACGAAAATCGCGCGGAATGTGGCGTCAGCCAATTCTATTTAATGGCGTCTATCAACACCCTTGCAGGGCCATGCTCGCCAGGTTTTGCTATGAATCCACGCTCAAATATGCCATCAAAGGAAAAAAAAAAGAGATATCCCGTAACGGGAAATTGTGGTATCGTCAAGACAACCACACTGAAAAATGCCCCGAAAGAGCGACATGGCATCTGGGCCGTGTGACAAAGAAAGAGGAAGTACCATCCCAAACGCCAATCCATTATACCCTCGCGTTATATCGCTCGACATGCACCGATTTTCAAAATGGGAGCGTTCCAGGTCCGTTTACAAACGGCTGCTGTTAGCATCGTTGAACGACTTGGGTTCATAGACGCGCTGCTGAATGTACGAGGTCAGCGCCACATCACCCCACTCCTCCCACTCATTCCAGAGCCCTTCGGGAAGAGTGGAAACACCTTCGCGGCGAGCGGCCTTCATGACCTCACGGGCAATGATAACACTGGCGTCACGGACGCGCTCGATGCGGGGGTAGATGAGACCCTTGGCAATCTCATCTGCATTCAGGCAGTTGGCCAGAGCAGAGGCCGATGTGTACACCATCTCGTCGGTGACGCGCGTGGCCTGGGCGAGAATGGCACCAAGACCAAGACCGGGGAAGACATAGACATTGTTGCCCTGGTTGGGGTGGTACGTGATCTCGTTGCCATTGGGGCCGGTGACGGTGAGAGACGAGAAGGGTGAGCCAGAGGCAAAGATGACGGAGCCATCCGTCCACTCAACAGCCTGCTCAAAGGTGCATTCGGCCTTGGTGAGAGGGTTGCTCAGAGGGAACAGGATAGGACGGCGGTTAGGGCCGCCACCGTCGACGGAGTGCTTGAGAGCACGGATGCACGACTCGGTGAAGACACCGTATGTGGCCGCCAGACCGACAAGGGCACTGGGGCGGACATACTCGATGACCTCTTCGAGAGTACGGAACTGCTGGCCGTGGTTATCAGTACGGGCAAAGTACTGCTTGTGCTCAGCAAGGTGGTCACCGCGGTCCTTGGTTACGAGACCCTTGGTGTCTACGAGCCAGAAACGGTCACGGGCCTCGCTCGGGCTGAGACCGCGCTTGGTGTAGTACTCGACGAGCTGCTTGGCGACACCGACGCCGGCGGAACCAGCACCCATGAAGACGAGGCGTTGGTCCTCGATGGGGACACCGGACAGGTTGACGGCACCGATGTAACCACCCAGAACGACGGCACCAGTACCCTGGACGTCGTCATTGAAGCAGCGGTGGGTGTTGCGGTAGCGGTCAAGGTAGTTGAAGGCCTTCTCGCTCTCGAAATCCTCAAACTGGACGACCATGTTGGGGTAGACCTCCTTGACGGCATCCATGAACTCATCCATGAAATCTTGCTGGATGGCCTTCGGGACACGCTTCTGGCGGAGACCCAGGTACAGGGGGTCCTTGAGGTTGGACTCGTTGTCCGTACCAGTGTCGAGGACAATAGGCAAAGTCTTTTCGGGGCTGATGCCGGCGGCGGCAGTGTACAGGGACAGCTTGCCAATCTGAACGAGTTAGCGCGTGTACAAGACGTCGCAGAGCTAGAGGAAGCGAAGTGGGCTTACAGAGATGCCAACGCCATTTACACCAAGATCGCCGAGACCGAGGATGCGGGAACCGTCGGTGACGACGCAAATCTCGGGGTTTGTGCAAGGCCAGTTGCGGAGCATGGTCTTGATCGAGCGGCGCTGCTTGATCGAGATGTAGAGAGCCTCGGGGCGAGTATACAGGGTGGAGTATTGCAGGCAGACGTCGCCAATGGTGGGAGTATATACGAGAGGCATGAGCTCACGGATATTATCCATGAGGAGGCGGTAGAAGAGGTCAATGTTCTGAGCCTTGAGGTTTGACAGGTAGAGGTACTTGTCAATGTTGGTCTGGCGGGTCTGGATCATCTTCATGGCACGGATGCTCTGGGTCTCGAGACTCTCCATGGTGTGAGGGATGAGGCCGGTGAGGTTCTTGGCGACACGCTCCTCGGGAGTAAATGAGAGACCTGGTTGGAAGCATGAGCGGTGAATCGACGACAGACCGAGGCCGCACCTCGACGGGACGAATCCACGACGACAGCGAAAAACGAGAGAAGAACAACGTACCCTTGTTCCAGTGAGGCTCACGGATGATTTGGTAGCCGGCAGCGGCAGACTCATTGATGTATTCGGTGGGCTGGGCCTGCTTGACCTCGGCGAAGCGGTCTTGCGAGTAGCCGCGGTGTTGATCCAAACTAGTCATTTTCATGGCTTCTTGGATGGCAGCAATGTCGACTACATTCATTGTGTTGCGTTGGGTTAGTCGGTGAGCGGAAAAGGATTGTCTCGAGGTTGAGGTTTGCGAGGTGGAGCGGGCAGAGAATCGAGAGACAGAGCGGGCGGACGTTCTCGAACCAATGGAGGAAAGCGAGGCGGAGCGAGGAGTGGCAATGTCGGACGTGTCTGTGCTGATGGGATACGACGAAGCCATTTGCAGAGCAGAAGCACGCGACAGGAGTGAGGGCCGATGAGCAAGAGGGTTGTTTGCTAGAGCGTTGGCTAGAGCAGAGAATCTTGGTCTCGACATCACTCTGGGACGGGGAGGGCCGGACGAGGGGAAGTTATATGAAGCTTGAGACGGCGACAAGTGGAGAAGGGAGCAAGGCGAAAAGCCAAGTGAGAGGGTGGTGAGGCAGGGTGGGTGAGGGACGGTCCGTGTTGGAGGCGCTCGGGTTGCAAGAGGTCGACGCGACGCCAGATACCGCGCACGCCACGGAGCTACCAAGGCAAGCAAAGCGGGAAGCCAAGTGCAGTCAATCAATGCAAAGAGGACCGGAGGGGGTGTGCGGTCGGAAGAAACGAGGCAACAACAGACGTTTCAACGAGATGGGAGGAATTGGAAAGGAATCGAGGAAAAAGTTGTGCGTTGGGTGTGGGCGGTGGGTGAGAAGCAAGTTGAGGCAGAGCGGATGGGCATCGGAGGGGGATCCAGAAAAATTTGGGGAAGGGGGGGGGGGGTGTGAAGAGAGGCTTGTAGCTGGACCAGGCCCCCGTTGCGAGTGGGAGGGCAATACGCCAGTCGGGATGAATAGGAAGAGCAAGGAGAGGCGGCTGAATGGAGGTTTTGGAACAGTGACAGAAGAGCATACCTGATGGGTTGTTGATAGACGAAGTCGAGGGGTTTGGTCTTGGTCTGGGCGACGTTTCAAGAGTAGGATAAAGCGTGTATTGACTCAGGTCGAGTGTAGCAGTTAAAACGATGGCGAGAATGCTGCCGCCGGTGAATAATAGCAGGGCCAGTGTTGGAGAAATGTATCTTGTCTCGTTTGCTTGCTTTTCTTTGAGATGGCCCAAGTGAGGGTTTAGTAAGAAGGAGAAGGGGGGAGGGAGAAAGAGACTGTGAGGAGAGAGCGCGGGACGAGGTGAGTATAATAAAGTACGGTTGGAGGGAGGGAATGCGAACGACTGCCGAGCCAACCCCACGATGGATTGATGCGGGAAAAAAGCAGAACCAGGCAAATGGCCGCCAAAGAACAGGTTCCGGACAAAGACGAAAAAAGAAACTTGAAGAATTGGAGAAGCAATGAGGAGGAGGGGGTGAGGCTAGCGGGACTCTTTTTCCTGTCATCGTGTCTGTTATTATTTTGTGGCACCTTGGTGGGTGTTGGGTTGAGGTACCGGTACTTTGGAGTTGGCGAAAATCGCGTCTCTTTCCGGTATCCTATACTTTGGCGACGAGACGACCGGGCAAAGTCGCGACAAGCCTGTGGACGGGCGGCTCCGGGAGAGGACAAAGGGTGAGAGTTTCGGTCATTTCGAAATTGGAGAAAAATGGAGATTTTTTGCGCAATTGATTGATATTATCACTTGCTGAGCTCCCCTATTTTTTTTTTTACCTTTTTTTTCTTCTATTCTCGGGGCGTTCTCTTGCGACCAACTGCTTATACTTGAATATCTTGGGCTTGTACCTTTACTTGGCTGGCTGTCGTGTGCTCTCTTCCACGCGGTAATACAAGCCCTCATGTACTGCAACGCCGCCTACGCCTCACCCGAATTGACTCGAATGAAAAAAAACCAAATCGCCACCTCGTGAGAAAAGGAACCACCTCCGATGCATCTGTTCATAGTTATGAATCAATAGGAAGACTCCTATTTGTTGGGCACGCGCTTTGCCTCAGCTATGAAACCCCCAACCACACCACACCCCATGTCTCGCTTCTCGTTTGCAGTCCGTACAATGCCCGTATGGCTCTTGGCATTGCTACCACCTTGTATTGCTTCTTTTGGTAGGGCGGCCCTGGTAGTTTCTACAGCGTCTGTACCTGGCGTCTACCACTTCAGACGAGCGAGCTCGGCCAGCTTGGACGTTTGTCGGGAGCACCAACCCCCTACCTAGGTACTATGTGGACACAAGAGCCGACCTATCCGATTCATCGTCTTAAAAAAAGAAACACAGTAAAAAAGCGCGATAAAAAAGAAATACGAAAGACCACCTTACCTAAAGCACAGATTACAGCGTATAGACTGCCGATTGACCAACAAAGCGCCCAATACCAACGCCACCATGTGCGAATACTGCGGCGGAATCCCCCACGCTCCACTGTGCGGCGAAGTCTATTCTGCAACATTCAGTCCGTCGTCGTCCGTCTGCCATCCCGGCCGGCTCCAGTCTCCGACGGCACTTACCCGGAGGACTCCTCGACAGCACCAGCGACATGTCGCCTTTGTACAACCAATTGGTAGGTAAGAACAAAGTAGGAAGAGTCAGCATGGCGGTATGAACCAGCTCAATCAGTCCGGTCTCGCTGTTTCTCCAGCACAAGCCTCGTTTGCCTCACCCTTCCCTGCCAGTTGCCAGCTGCCGGCTGGCAACCATGCCAGCTGCCTCCGCCGTTTGCCTTCCTCGTCGGGCATCAACACTGATCCTCTCTACCCTTGCTTGGCTCATCCTACTTTTCGTTCGTCACCTCCTCCGCCATCAAAACGTGACACAACGATAATATTCAGGCTCACACCAATCCCGCCCAGACCTTGGTCCGAGCCTCGACCATCCGTCGCTCCCCAGCCCGTCTACTAGACGAAACAAGCTCTCATGCCCGGAACACCATACCGACCTGTTGTATTTGTAACCGTGGCGAAAAAGGCAATCCCTCCCGCCGCTACCAAGTTAGATGGCTGCATCGCAGACAATCGGTAGCAGCCACTCATAGCCATGCGCGTTTCAGAGCAAAAGGCTGCGACATAACAACAGTAACTGGCCGCTGCTATTCTAACAATTCCCGTCTTGAAGCCGCTTCCCGTCCTTCCTATTCTAGACAAAATACAATATTAACACTACTAGCAACGACACAAAACTCTGCCCTTCTTCATACCCTGGATCAATATCAAACGTTACCTCTGTCAAACTGGCAAGGGCTCGCTCTCCATTTTGGAAATTTCTTGGCCTTCTTCGCACCTTCGAATCCCATTTTTACCGTCGTGGCCCAAGTTCCAGCTGCCCCCGATGCTCCACACCAGCTGCCGCATGGCTATCCTGGTTTGGAATGCTGGGATGCGCTTTGTACGAATACTGGTACATACTGGTACCGCCAAGTAAGCCGCAGCTCTGCGCCGCCCAAGCCCCTGCTTACTGGTATCAGCCGCCACCGCCGAACACCTCACGGATTTGATACCTCTAATTTTCCTCTTGGAAAGCCTGTTCTTTCGGTTTCCGCAATCGTATAACAGTCCCGACCCCAACAGCCAGCTCCAGCAATAGCGTCGTCAAAGAAGAACACGCATCATACACACGTTCATATCCGGTGTCGGGGTCCGTTGTCCTGGCGCTGACCCGCCGCTCTCTTGGAGAATTGCGCGGCTGCTATGAGTGGTCGTACCTGACAGAGCTTCCACCAAACGCGCCCAACAATTACCCAGCCAACAAACTGACTACTGGAGGGGCAATTGGAGAACCGTTTCCACAATAGTTGGGGTCGTTAGCGACGACGGCGAAAAGCTGTCTCGCTCGACTGCTAACGTTGGGACTCTCTTGTACGACGTGGACCAAAAAGAACTGATAATTTCTAGATGGCGGTGTGCTTGCCAGACTCATGACAAGAATTCCATATAGCCAAAGGCAGTTTGGCATGTTACTGGTAAGCCGGCCGGGACTCACCATCCCCTCTGACGCAGAAAATCAAACATGGGCCGCCTGAGGGAACCCTGCATCTTTACCCCATACCGCAAAATTGCAGCCAATTTGGCATCAATGCTAATAACCTGCTCCGCCAGCGAAAACGGACCCCCAAAAACTCTCCCGCATTTCCCCAACCGCTAGCTTCCGACTTCGTCCGAGGAAATGGGGAATCCTCATGAGCCCCTGGCGCCTCCAAGCTGTTCTATTTGCACACCCTCCAGCTACTGGTGGGCCTTTGATGTCCCAACGGCGAGAACTTGAGGATGGACCAGTAACAGATCCGTCTAGTTCGCTTGTGCTGCATCTCCTCATCGCTGATGCATGCAAGGGTGTGGTGGTCTTGTCTGAGCATTCTCTGCATCGTGTCGAGACATTCGCAACTGAGACGGCAAAATGCCGGGTGCCCGAGACTTCAACACATTGTCAGCACTGTGGTTGGAGGGGTTCGTTTTCGTCTTCTTTCTCGCAAGGGACTACAATTTCAGCGCCCTCTGCTGAATGTTCTTGTGGCGGCTGTGATTGACACATTCTGGCTCGTCCAGTCCATCAATTACACGCGGCAGTGTAAATTACTCACAACACTGGCTGAAGAGTAGTCAGAAAGCATTGGCATTATCCACATGCTGCATCTGTCCAGTGAAAACCTCTCAGCAGCAGATCATGCGTCTGTGGGCTTGTCATGCAGTCACCAAACGCACAACGCTCGGTATTGCTCGCTTTTATTCAGAGCGCCTGCGTGCCTGGCTTGATATTCCCGCAACCCCGATGATACAGCCACGTGCAATATCTGCGCCTGCTTCATCCAACGCCGGCTTGAACTGGTGAAACTGTCCTGCCCATAGATGCATTACTGCCTGCGACACACATGTAAACCACTGGTTGTCCTACAGAGTCCATGGAAAAGGACCCGGCTCCGCTCCTCCGCCACAAACAACACACTTTCTTGTGCGCATCTGTTGCAATTCTGCGTCGTATACGAACCAAATACACATTACAGCTTTTGCACTTGAGGAAAGAGAACGCAAGCCGTCCGCTCCCGCGTCTTTCCGATTTTGGTATTATTGGGACTTGATCTTTCAGTCATTCCAAGCTTCGCCGCGCCCACTTCCCCCGCACCCACTCCAGAAGATATGTATCTCATCATCACCCCACGCTTATCTCTGGCTGCCGCCCAGTTCCCATTTACCCCGGCTAACTCTTATTTACTGGCCCCCTCTGCCAAGTAAAGAGCTCTCAGTGATTGGCCGGCCGGTGCTGCCCTGTTGAGGTCTTTCTATAGCTCTGCCCCAGACTACCTTATGTGGCAGGGCTACCACACGGCCAGCTTCAACTTTCACATGGAAACAGGGTCGACTTTGATGAGGGGTAGCAGGCTGCCAACCACTAGAAGTCAAATGACGCTTGATGTGACTCTTTTTTACTAACATTTGACAAGATTCTTAGTAGATCCCGCACTTGGCCCCCCTCCGCTGCTGCTACCCGACTGCCGTTAGTTTCGGCACCATCCCGCGAACTTGCACGTGTAAATAGATTCCGCTCCACCGGCGTTTGGCTCTCCCTCCTCCGTCCCTGAGCCTCATCCAAGTCAGTCGATGGCACCCCTGCCTCTTCAGTAGAAATAGCACATGAAACTCCTGTACACCACGCATCTCTTGATCTTCCCGACATAACCCCCCCTCCCCCACCCACCACACATCCCGGCTAAGGCTCTCTCATGCCACCGGAAAACAATACAAGCCGCCCACGAGAACTGTGTGGCCTTACTGCCTCGGGAAAGGCCCCCCCCTCCCCCTCTCACATGTAGCTATTCTACCCCAATTCCTGACGAATTTATCCCGGAGAAGATGAGCAATCGCTCGCAGATCTGGGACTCACCAGTGGGACGGTATAGGACTGCAAGGTTGGAGTCATACTCGGATACTTAGAGTCATCCTCGCGATGTACTGGTACTTCTGACGACGTCGAAATTCACACGCCCCTGCGAGGCTCTAAATTCTCCAATTGTCTGTCATGGCGGAGCTTGCATCACTCATTCTCTCTCGTCAGAGTGGCCTGTCTCGCGTCATATTCAGTCAACCGGTATTGTTTGGCGTTCCCAGACTTTGTTAGCCGCGGGACCTCGGCGGTTGATGACCGGCTCGGCTCCGTATCTCATCGGTTGCCTTTGCTGCTGGTGAATTACATCATTCTAACACCCAGTGCCTGTATGGATTCTCATTCGTTTGTCCCTGGGGTGCTATATCACATGATTACGTCTCCTGGTGTACATATTAATGATAGTATACATTGAGTTAGAGTTTCCGATAGCTCTCTGCATAAACACTCGCCAGTTTTTGTTTACGGTCGTCTAAATAACAAAAAGAGGGCCCAAAGCCCGAAATGCTAAAAAAAGTTCACTACATGGTATCTTAAAGAAAAAAAAAAAGTTGCAGTCGTCTCCCTTTGGACCGCCCCCGCAAAGCTAGGAGCAAGTGTAAATGACAAAATCTAAAGAACGCGAAACACGCACAAGCCAAATGTCTTCTTCGATACTCGGTAGCAACCTCGCATCTCCTTTTGCCGGGATGCTGCCTCTGCAGGGCCAGCCCCGCCACGCTCAGCTCAGCGCCAGTGTCTTTTGCGTCGCGCGCTCTGTCTTCCGCATGATCACCTCGTCCATCTGCGACCACCAGCGGGAGAGCGCCATGGCGTACCGAGCCTCTGCCGGGGTGACCTCGAGCGGGGGGCCTTTGATCTGGGGGAGAGCGGCAGCAGCAGCAGCCTCGTCGTCTTCATTACAGGTTGTAGTGGCAGCGGCGGCGCGGGTTTGCTCGTCAAAGACGGCCCAGGCCGAGGTGTCACTGGTGCGTACGCCGAAGCCGCGCCCCCTAAGGGCGACAACGGTCACGCCACACAGCAATACTACGTCGCCGCGCTGCACGACTGGCAGCGACTGCTGGTGCGGGCGGAAGACGTGCGCGACGTGCACTCCGCTCGGCGCCGAGGACGGGTCGACGAGGAGCAGCTCCAGCATGTAGTCGCGGGGCCCGTTGCGGGGTCGGGACGGCGGCGCGGGGGTGGCGGCTGCTACGGCGATGACATCGGCTGTTTGCTGCAGCGAATTGCGTAGCGCTCGTAGCGAAAGTTTCTCGGGGAGCGTTGTCCGTAGGTCGCGCTGCAGCTGCAGTTTGAGCGCCGTACCCGCCGTGCGACCTGGGGTGTCGGCCGGCGGCGGCGACGAGGGGATTCCTGGCGACATCCGCGGCTCCTCCTGCTGCTGCTTCGGTGGCGACAGCTGCGTCTGCGTGCTCGGTAGTTGTGGCATACTCCCCACGGGGGAGCGCGTCCCGGATGACGAAGCGGAATCGAAGCGCGCGCTGCGTACGGACGTCTCTGGGATGACAAGGCCCTCCTTGAGGCCTGCCTCGGCGATGTTCTCCATGCTTCGAGTCACGCGCAGCATGATAGGCCGCGATGGCGTGTGCTCGGTAGATCGGGGAGATGCTGAGGAGGCGCTGCCGCCACGGCGGGTGGCTTTGGCAATGGCCACACTAGGGTCTGCCAGATCTGCCGTTCCGCGGCTGCGAGTGATGCGAAACGAGCGGTGCAGGAGCGGTGCCCTATCACCACCCCTGTTGTTTATGCTGGTGTTAGACTCAATTGAGGCGACGACAGTCGTCTCATTGGTCTTATCAATGGACCGGCTACTGCGTCTGTGGCTGCGCGGAGAAGACGTTGATTCTTCCAGTGCACTGTGCTCGTCAGCGTGCTGCTTGGTTTGTGAACGAGTTCGTCTGCCTGTTTCAGAGATGGTATCACTGCGTTTGCGACGGTGTACCTTGGCAGATAAGGGCGGAGCAGGGGGAGGAAGGAGTTGGTTTGGTGACGCATGCTGCAGGAACTCGCCCATGATTTGTTGGCTCGCAGCGATGTCGTCTTCGTTAACTTCTTCATCGTCTTGCAGCGGCTCGCCTTGCGTAGTATGGATGATCTCGATATCAGCGACCTCCGTGACGGGTATCTGTGTCTCGATGGGCGTGGGCAGCTGACGCTTCCTAAGGGACCCTGTTGCATGTGTGCTGGCTGCAGCTTCAGCCTCCGCCGGGATCTGTTTGGCATCGTCTTTGGCATCGTCTTCTTCTGGTAGAGACTGGTCTTCGATAGGAGCAGGGGCTTCTTGGATAGGCACCTCTTTAACCCCCCTTTCAGAAACCACTTCAGCAACTTCGATGATTTTGGTCGACGAGTCCAGGGTTTCGCTGGCTGGGCCAAGCTCTGGCTCCTGCTCGACCTTTTCTGGTTGTATGTCTTCTACCATGAGATCTGGTGAGTCCTGAGCAAGTATTTCGATGTCGTCTGGCTCCCTGACCTCCATGTCAACGTCGGGCTGAGATTTTATTTCGTCCTCGAATGCCTCAGGAGCGTCCATAACCTCCACATCTTCGTCCACATCGCCAAGTTTATTGATATCGCTGGCATCGGGCAGCGCCTGTTCAGATGCATGATCTTCCTCCATTGCGTCGTCGTCTTCTGTCACCTCGTCTAGTGCGATGGGAGAAGGAACAACCGAGCCTAGTTCCTCGAGAGGTCGCTCCGGCCCCGCCACGGGAATCAGTTTAACATCCTCGTCATCCTCATCAACATCCATCTCGTCCACTGATTCTTGCTCTAATTTGGCAGCATCAACAGGTTCCGCTGACGACACCCGAAGTTCAGTAGAGCCCAGTCCTTCGTCTCCTGCGATGACTGGCTGCTTATTTGTTGCTGGCTGCACAATGCTTGAGTCGTCAAAGTGCTCTTCGGCGGAAGCGTCCTCGTCGTCTTGATCTACTGCACAGTGTTGTACTGCCTCCTCGTCCGTGTTAGACTCGCTAGCATCTGGCTCTTCTGACTGCTGAGAGGTACTTTCATCGTCCTTTTCAACCACAGCTTGAAGCTCGTCCGACTTCTCGTATGGCTCTTCGTCCTGTTGTTGAGCGGAATTGTCATCTTCGGAATTGTCATCGTCAACTCTGGCTTGGGCCGCGTCTTCATTTCCTTCGGACTCTTCAGCTGAATGTTGAGAGACACTATCGTTGTCTTCTTCAGCTGGCTGTTGAGAGACGCTATCGTCGTCCTCTTGTAGTCTAGTTTGATGCCGATCTTCATCGTCACCAAGCTCGCTGGATTCCGCTGATCTGGTGGGATGTGTTGCCTGGGGGACAGCTCCAGGAATCTCCGCGGCTGGTTCATCTTCCTCTTCAGAGTCTGAGAGAAGGCTGATGTAAACAGGATCTTGAGAGACTTGTCGGACCTCAGGAGTAGGTTTATCCGCTTCCTCGTCTTCATCCTCATCATCGTCCCCATCTGCGTTATCGTCCTCATCCTCCCCATCCTCATCATAGTAGCGCTCGTCGTCGTCCTCTTCATAATGCTTGTCGAGGCCAGATTCTTCTTCACTGTAGTCGTTACTGTCCTGGTCGTTCGCTTCTTGCTCATCCTCCACCTCTTCCTCATCTCCGTCTTCAATCCCTTCCCCCTCCTCCGATAATACTTGCTGGAGCCTTGGCTCGCCACACTCAATATCGTAGTTTGTACTTTCATCTTGGTCCTCAACCACTTCGTCTATTCCAGCAGACTGACTCGGAGCGTCAATTGAGGCCTGATTGAAGCTGTGCGGTGCATCGAGTGCATGGAGACACGATTCTTGGGGGATGTCCTCGTGAACTTGTATTTCCGGATACGGCTTTGCTTCGTAGATATCATCCTCGGCTTGATCACGGCTCTGAGAGAGTAAGGTCGCGTGGGGGAATGGCTCGACAGCGAATGGATTGCTGATAGAGGTTGGCGGCGAGAACCCTGTAGCGGTAAATGAATGTGCCCCTTGATTTGCTCCTCGAACAGCCACCACGTCGAAGGGAGTGACAATTCCGTGGTCAGCCTCGTCGGCTGACACATCGAAAGCCGGTTCCGGCTGACCAGGTGCGCGCTCCTCGGCAGCCTCACGACTTTGTATTGATTCAGCCAGGGCGTCATTGAACACAGGAATACTGCTAGTAGAGGCCGTTGTGGTGTGTTCAACGGAAAACCCAGAGTTGCCAAATGAAGACCCAAATACGCCGGTTCGCACTGAGGTAGTAGTTGTAATTGTTGCAGCGGAGGCGCATATATTCGAGGTACCGTCAAGGAGTGGTTGGTCCGGCTGACTGAATGCCCAGTCGGTCTCTTCTCTCGCGGCAGATGGTGCGTTGAGAGTCGACGCTTCCAACGCACCGTTGCGCTTTTCTTGGGCCTTTCCAAAGGTCACCGGCGTCGGCGACGAGGGGATCGATGCTGCAACTTCCCGAGCCTGCTCCGCGACTTGGGTGGCAAATGAAGCATTTTGCGTTTGCGAGGCTTCATCTCTAGTTATAGGACTGTCGACCGGCGCGGCCACAGTATCGACCGGCGCGGCCGGCTCATTGTCCTCTTCTGAATCGCTCTCGAGGTCGTGTGTCACTGGCTCTCGCGGTTCCGGGGTAGGTGATCGGCTGCTATACTTCCACCCTGAAGCTCCTATGCTGAACCGTGAGTGCTTCGTCTTCTTGGTCTTCTTTTGTTTTTTGGCCACGTCTTCGTTGAAAATATCGAACCCATCCTCGAATAGTGATCCGTAAGAAACACGCGCTCGTTTGATGAAGGCGGGAGATGTATATTCGGCTGGTTCGAAAGCGTGAGAGGCTAATCGCTTCGTTGGAAGGTTGTAGTCTGCGGGGTGTGCGCCTGGCGTAGCAACAACCTCTGTAGCAAACAGCGCGGAGTGCGCAGCCGGCGAGGAGCCTCGTGGCGTGAGCGTGGCCAGAGGAGCATCGTCCCCGTTTTCGTTTTCGGGTAGGTGCAGGTCCAACATTTCCGTCTGCTGTTCATCGGCTCTTTGAACGCGCATCAGCAAACGGCCGGTAAAGTTGAGCTGCCACTCCAGGATCTTGCCTGGCACTCGCGTTTGCGCCTTGTATGTCTCCCACTCGGCGCCCTCCAGCGATATACGCAGGCTATCACCGCTGCCGATGCCGGCGTCTGTCAGCTTCTGGCCGACATGCCCGTGAAATTCGAGGCGTAGCTGGCCACGCGCATGTCGCAGTCGAAAGTCGTGCTCGGCGAGGATGAAGGCGGCGGAACGGGAGACGGTGCTGTAGGGCCATGTAATCGTGACGATGCCATCGATAACGCGTGATGCACGGTCGGGAAGCTCCGGATTGAGCTGCGCTATCGGCGTGGGCGCTTGCGCGTCGAGGGCGTTGCTCGCGGAGGCGGAAGCTGACGGTGGCGCTTCGGCCATGGTGAGAGTTTGACCGGCGTCTGTCGAGGGCGAGCCCACGATGGAGCTCACGATCGGCGAGCCACTAGCATTGACGGCTTGGGTGGAGGAGGGGATTTTGCGCTTTAGAGGTTTGATAATTTACCCGTGTGCACTTGGGGAGCGATGGCGGCATCTGCATGACACGGGTGGTTGATGGGGGAGTGTGAGATGAGGGTGAGAGGAGGAAGGTGGTTAGGTGGGTTGGGTTCTTGTTCTGCTGGAAAAAAAGGTGAATGAGAGGTAGTTGGACGCGCTGGAGCTTGCACAAGCTTGACTCTCGCAATGTGTTACAGCCAATCTCCGCCATGTCGGTCAAATATCTTAGGTTACATGGGATGAAAACTGCTCGGCGTTAGTACGAATTATTATTACCTTGCAGCTTATTATTGGCGTTATTCTATTCTGGTCGCTGCCCACGTTGGTGTCGTTGAGCCTGTGCATGTATGTATGTACTGTACATACATATACCGTCTTGGCTCAGGCATTGCATCTTGCCCATGCTTTTTCCAAAATCCGAAAATGGCAACAACACCAACCATCGTGAAAAACTAAAAATATTTTGATTTAATCGCCGACCTTGACTCTACTCCTCTTTTGGAGAATATTGAGGGTAGCAAACGCCAGCATCTTCTGCATTTGCGATTCGTGACCTCGACCCTGACGAGAGAACGACTGTCTCCTCTCGTCTCCAAGGGTTGAGAATGCTTGCTAAAATACAAGATTGCCTTGAATTGAACTTGTTTATGAGCGAAGCAGGCACATCTCGTGGTAAAACTGCACATCGCTGGCCGCTCGCCCACCCACCAAGCCGCCGAAAACTACCTCTGCCATCATGACACCGCGCAACAGATGCAATTACTCCGGCCTCAGTCATCCCAATCTACCTCCATCATACCTACTAATCTGTAAGCGCACCACTACCTTCTTAGCTTGCGATCTAGATGAGCCCAATCATGACTGAAGGATTGATTATAGTAATTACAAGATGAGCCTTGATAAGATCGCGCCGCAGGGTCTTTTTTTAGTGCCTAGATTGCTAACTTAGCGGGGCACTCCCGCCGGAGACACCAATCGCAGGCAATCTTGTTTTCCCTCCGCCAAGTAAACTTTTTCTTCCCTTGGCTCGAGGAGGGCTTGCGCTTGCTGGGAAATCGACGTCTCCGGCCTGTCTTCTGCTTTTCCTTGTTCGCGCCATCTTCTCTCCAATTCCTCTTCTCATCAGCAACTGGTGTTTTTCGCCTTTTCTCGGCTGCTGTCGCAGTGTGAGCGTGGCCAGCATCAGTGCCGTCCCTCTCTCCACAAACAGCTGGGCCGCCTCGTCGTCGCTCGTATGCGCCGCGCCGGAATCACCTTCAAGATGGCCTCTGAAATTGCCCGAGACGGCATATTTGGTATGCGACCCCTGTGCCCGTCCCAGTAGCCTATCCAGCGGCCCGCAATATGCTAATCGAAACGTGCCTCTTCCCCGCCTCCAGCCATCAACAAACCGTGCGGCGAGAGCTCTGCACAGGTGATTCGCGTCTGCCAGCAGCACTTCAACCCTTCTTCCTTCTTCAAACCCATGCTCGACAATGAAGTCGCCCGCCGGCTGAAGGAGTCTGGCGGCCAGTTCAAGCGTCGCAGGCAGGAGAAGAGGGCCGCCCAGGTCAAGATGGGCCACGGCGGCACTCTAGACCCTCTCGCCACGGGCGTCCTCATCCTCGGCGTCGGCACCGGCACCAAGCAACTCTCCCAGTTCCTCGACTGCACAAAAGCATACGAGACCGTCGTCGTCTTTGGCGCCAGTACCGACACCTACGACCGCGTTGGCCGCATCCTCGCCAAGCGGCCATACGATCACATCACAAAGGAAAAGTTGGAGGAGGCGCTCAAGTCCTTCAAAGGCAAGCAGATTCAGATTCCACCGCTATATTCGGCCCTGAAGATGAACGGCAAGCCTCTGTACGAGTATGCGCGCGAGGGCAAGCCGATTCCCAGAGAGATTGAGGGCCGCGAGGTCGAGGTCCTTGACATTGAGCTCGTCGAGTTTTACGAGCCTGGAAAGCATGATCACCGCTGGCCAACTGAGGAAGCATCCGCTTCGGAGCGTAATTTGGCTGAGCAGGTTTGGCGTCTCAAAAAGTCTCAAGAGACGGCCAAGAAGCTCACACCCGAGGAGAAGGAGGAAGATGATCAAGCGATTGCGGCGCATGAGTCGTTCAAGAAGAGTTTCGAAGAGCGCCAAGACGACCTCATTCGCGATTCTCCGAAGCCTTCTCGTCAGCGCGGTCCCAAGGAGGCCATGATGTCCGGGGCTCTGGGCGCGCTCCCCCAGTCCGCCAGCCATTCGAGCAAAGGCTCCAATCTCGTGCCCTCACCGCCGGACAAGAACACGCCGCCTCCGTGGACCGATGCCGGCCCTCCTGCAGCCAAGATTAGGCTCACTGTCACGTCGGGATACTACATCCGCAGTTTCTGCCACGACCTAGGCGCCAAGCTCGACTCGGCCGGTCTCATGGCTGAGCTCTGCCGCACGCGACAGAGCGACTTCACCGTCGGCGGCATCAACTGCCTCGAGTATGAGGACCTGGCCAAGGGTGAGGAGGTTTGGGGACCACGGGTCGCCGACATGCTCGCCCGCTGGAACGGCGAGCCCGCCGGCAACTGGACGCCGGGCGGGGCCAAGACCAACGGCGCGTCGCCTGGCAAGGCGGCGGCGGCCGGCGTGCAAACGCCAAATGGCACTGGCCCGTCCAGCCCGGCAAGGACGGAGAAGCGTCGTCGCTCTCCCTCGGAGGAACTGCCGAGGAAAGCGGCGGCGCGCGGTGACAACGATAGCCTCCGGCCAGATACACCCAAGGGTCGGCGGTCAGATGACGAGAAGTCGTGGAACGGCTTTGACGACTAGAAGGTGAAAAAGCACCATGTTTCGTAATTCCTGCGGCGGCGGCGGACGCGTCATCATCATTGGGACACGGCGTTGGGGAGAAAATTATCAGATACCTTAAAAGGACTGTTGTGGGCTGCGGCATAACTCATACACTGTATATACATATCCATTTGCGCTCTTTTAGCTGGCTACACCGTGGATATTTGAATATCGAATTTTTGCGCTCTCCACTCAAGGTCTTCTTGCTGACTTTTTGATTACCATTCCTCGTCGCGACTGTCTCTCCGCTGTTTCCGACCAGCTCTCCCTCTGTGCCACCGCCAGAGGAAATAGACGCACACGGCCATGACGACGCTGCCAAAGACAATCACAGCTTGCCCAACCTCCCTACATGCCACGCACGTACCGGCAGCTGGTTTCGCTCGCAACTGCGCTGGGTAGGGATAGTGCAGCGTCGACGCCTCCGCGACGTCAGCTCCCTCGACGTGACTGTCCCCCGCGCCCCTCCCCGCGTCGACGCCCACGAAGCGGCTCAGCATGTCCAGCGACCTCTGGGGGTGATCCAGCGGCACCATATGCGAGGCGTCGTGGAACAGGACGTACGTCAAGCCGCGCGCCTCCTGCCAGAAGCCGGCCCTCTCCCCGCCAAACGTCCACGCACGCCGCTGCGCCCCCTCCCCGAAGCCCCGGCCACCGTTCCACTCCAGCGCGTCGATCAGGGCCTCGGTGCCGGCGTGGTTGCAGCTCAGGTCCTCGGCGCCGGAGAAGAGCAGGATCGGGAGCTGCGCCGCGAGGAGCTCCGGGAGGAGCCGCACGGAGGGCTCATCGGCGGAGGGCCGCAGGGCCTGCCCGACGCTGCTCGTGCATTCTTGCCAGGCGGGGTGGTGGCCGTGCATGTTGAGCTGGGAGACGACGTCGGGCCGCCGGAGGTACGGGGTCGCGTATCGCAAGTCTGGCGGCCAGTTCATCCCGCAAGCAGGGTACGGTTCTCGGAGGCGGACGTCGTAGATGTTGTAGCAGGTCTGGTCGTCGGCGCCGGCACGTCCAATGTCCCGCATCATGGCGCGTACCTTGCCGCAGTCGGGGTATTCGGCGAGGGTGGGCGAATCCCCCATTGCTTGCTGGCAGTCGCGCACGAGGGACCGCAGCTTGTCGCCCTCTTCCGTGCCCTCTTGCACCAGACCCTTCTCGACAGTGAAGGTTAGGTACGCTTCGTACTGTTCTTTTGGTGAGATCCAGCCGTTGCCAATAATCAGGCCTCTTAGGTTCCACCGGTCGGAAGAAGAATGCTTCCCGATTGCTTCGTTGCGCTGGAGGATGGCCTTGGCAATGTAGGGGATGTACTGGCCTGCATACGACTCCCCCGCGAGGTAAATCTGCGAAATAGTATTAGATGGAGACCAAATATTACGGTAAAGGAATGACTCACATCGTCTTGCTCATAGTGAGGAAAGATGGCAAAGAAATTCTCCAGAAAGGTCACAAACTGAGACGCCATAGCAGGCAGACTGCGGGTGTAGCTGTCCGCGTCCACATTGCTGAAGCCTGTACCGACAGGGTTGTCGACGAAGAGCAGGTTCGCAAACTCGTTCCACGATCCGTTATTGAAGGTCAGCGTCTCCTCGTCCTTCAGCCTATATGGTCCAACCTCCATCAAAGCACCGTCTTCGGAGCTGCATCCCGGGCCTCCGTTGAGCCAGATGACGGTCCTCTGCCTGCCGACGATGTGCCGGTTTTGAAAGTGCCAGAAGAACATGTTTCCGTTGTGTCCACGTTCAATCTCAATATGTCTGTAAGAGTCGAAAAAGGTCAAAACTGCAAAAGCCGATCGCGGAGGTGGCTTCACTTCACTTACCCGGCGTGCATCTTGATGGGAGGTGCATCTTTGGGGATGCCGGGAAGATGATGTACGTAGTAGTCGGCGGCGGATTGGATAGCAAATGCTACGATGAGCAAATGCGCCATCAGAAACATCACCGCCCAAGGTCGGGGCGTAGAAGAGTACATGTTGATTTGTGGCTTGGTTGTTCGCCGAATGCGGATGAGTGAGGTGTAGTTTGGTGGTGCTTGGCCATCGCCCGGAGACTGAAGATGCCCCGATGCTGGCGGAATCAAAACATTAGTCGTGATAGGAGGAGAGCCTATACATATCGTCTTGCGCGTTAAAGAATGCCGACTCTGGTGATGTCAGGTATGCAAATAGGAGAAAGGCAAGGAAGGGAGGGTGTGTGATGCTGACAGCTGAGATGTGTGACCTGTCTCGCATGCGTTTCCCCGCCCCAAAGAGGCTGTGACCAGCACGGAATTGGGTAGCTCAATTCATTATCAATATGCACACCCTCGATTGCAACTTCTCTTTAAAAGGTCGTAGCTTTGACGGCTTGAGGCTGTACAGGGCACTATTCACAGGTGTTGAATCAATCCTAAATTTTGGATTGGACGTGCACAGAATAAGTACATGGTTGGCATATTCCATATCATATACTGTCAAATTCCTAGATAATTCCAGGAGGCGTTTGTATTGATTTGCTTGCTATTCAAAAGCCTCGACTCTTCACTCTCCTACGAGACAACCTGCTCGACTTGCTCGGCATGCTCTTTATTCTCTACAGGAAAAGCCGGCCCCAGGTCAGGGTGTGTGAGCACAGACCCTGGATTCTGTTAGTAAATGCATCATTGATTCTTTCCAATGCAAGTATACACACCTCTCATTTTGTCGTTGGGAATATGGTGATCGCCTGCCCATTGCATGAGAGCATTCCAGTCGCGGCCTATACACGATCGCATCAGATACCGGCAATGAAGGGGAAAAATAATGAGGAGATATACGCACAAGTATGATCAACGTCAAATTCCGACCAAGGTCTTCCGTGCCCTGGAATCCATTTGTACGTCTCCAAAACGTTAGATGCGACCAAAAACTGACGGACACTGACACGACTCTGCTACTCACCACCAAGGAAACGTCCCCTTGGCACATTATTACCTGCCTCAGGATATCGACGCAGTGATCGACGTGTGAAAATCGCTTTGTGCTGTTCCACTCGCCGACGCCGGGGTAATAGTACTCGTGATATATTTGCTGACGGAGCTGGTTCAGGCAGTGCAGGTGGTGAAAGGCCTCGAGGGTGACGAGATGGCCGCCTTCATCATCTTCAAGAGGCAGGGAAGTCCGGTTGATCTTGTCCAAGTCCGACTTGGGGACGCGTATGTTGTGATCTGTACTTGTCAACAGGTAGACGGCAGAGGCAGCAGGGATTGACGCTGTACTCACACTTTAGCAATTCTCTCCAGGCTGCGTGCAGCTTCTCACGAGGCGTTCCGCGGTAGACGTTGGTGCCATGTAATTGCCCCGCAAATGTCACAATATCGTAGTTGTCCACTGCAGATGTAGCAGGAGCTGCAGCGTGGTCAAAATAGTGTGCCATTTGCTTCCAGAGGATGGTTGTGGCAATCTTACAGTAGACGAGGTCACAAGGACGTTGGGGTTTCCAGGACCATAAGACGGCGGTGCAGGAGAGAGTGTAGGTTAGGAATAGTAAGACGTGAATAACGATGCTTCGTTTGGAGAGATGACCGTGTTGTATTTTCGGGTTCTCATGAAGTTGGCCATGTTCAGTTTGAAGCAGAGCTTCAGACTCAACATATCCTGTAGAGTCAAACTTTTCCATAATAATAGATGCAAATTTTCGAAATGAAAGATGCCCGACAAAGACCAAGTATGAGAGGTCGGGGACAAAGGCGGTTGGATCATCATCCATGCATACGCCGCTAACCCTTCACGGTGCGATGAACGAATGCCCCCAAGATACTGTGAGTCCATAACCGAGCCTACCATGCCACACTCGATGGCGAATTGGCCAGCCGTTATCACGACATATCCGAGACTTGCTACATGACGTGGTGGCATGGTAAACGAGCCTCGCGGAGCGGCTGCCGGCACGTGGTAGCCGTTGAAGCCGTTCTATCTTGGGAAGGAGAATCAGCGATTTCCGATGGCATCTTGCCAAGCCCCGCGAATCTACCCGAGCCACCGCCAAGTCTGATCATGCCAGCGCTAGACAGCAGATACAACCTGGGGTCTACGGATATAGTTAAAGAGTATGGAAAACATGGCGAGAGTTCTAGTCCATCCAACTGGAAGTATTCGACCACAGAAAACCACAATGCTGCTTATTACAGGTATTGTAATCGTCCTGACGACAAAGCGATTCTTGAGTTCGGAAGGACCTTTACCCCTCACGGCCAGCCTGATCTGAACGAGCCCAACGGCACCCGCAGATAACCGAGCACTAAAAACGAGGCTCTCACATCCTCGGTAGAAAAGTGATGATCTATCAGGTGATATGAACAAGCAGAATTTCGTTTAATTGGCTTCATGCACAGCTGGTTTCTCAGGAGTGTCTAAGAGCCCAGACAGCAAAGTAAAGCTGAAAGCAGAGTCAGAAGTCAAACCCATGCTCGTGAACAGCCCCGGGCAGGTTGTTCTCTCAAAAGAAAGAAATCATCGAAATCAAAAGAATAGCGATTATTTGAACTAGGCAAAGATTGTAAATTGACCTCTCAAATCACTACTTCATCTTCGGTTCACGAGATAGCCGTGACAGTTCGTTGATGGGCGACGGGCCGCAACCTGTCTCGCTTCAGGATTTCCAGAACTAGAGGAAACTCAAATCTATTTGTAGTAGAATTGATACGAATTCACGTAAATTTATCCTGCAAGTGTGTTGATATGTTCCTTGGGGCCGCGACGGCTGCTGATGGGATTGAATGAATGGGTCTCCCGCATCCTGTGATATCGGTCTCAGTGCCCAAATGACGAACCTGGTCTGATCCGCAAACTGATGTCATACTCTTATGAGCCTGATCCTTCGATGATACCTTCCCTTTCGGATGTCCTCGTTAACCGTGGGGCTTTCTGCGGCTGGCTTCATCATCACTCGCTACTCGTTGAAGCTCCGTGTCAGCAGCTTGCATTGATGATATTGACTCATATTATTACGCTGCATGTCTTTAGCCTTGAGGTCATCAATCAAATAGATCGGCAATAAGGGATTCTCAAGTATAAATAGCATGCTTTGTCCCAATGACTTTGAAGAACACCCATCACTTCATTCTCATCACCAACAACTACAACTACAACATACTTCTTTGGCCCTTTCCAGGTTTCATCTTCACCCATCAAAATGCGTTTCGCCGCCATCTTCGCTGCTATTGCTGCCACCGCCGTCATGGCCGTTGCCATCCCCGACGCTGATGCCGAGTGTAAGTCAATCCAGCATCGCCTCCAATCAAGCATCCCAACTGACAGGATAAAGCTGGCCACCCCGTCATCAACTCTGACTGCTGGAAGCGCGGTGTCGAGCAGTGCTAAGTGCATCCATTCTACGACCAAGAGGTGCAGGCAGGAGCCTCGCATTGAAGCGCTCCCATGAAGACAGATGGAGCCGGGGGACAATGGGTGGCGACCCGGCAGCTCTACCTGTGAAAGTGCTTCGTGTTCCTGATGCTTTTCACATGTCACATATTAGACCATCATTTCTTGTCTTTGATAACAAATGACCTGCATCTCATATCTCTTACTGATCTCGTCCCTGTGGCTCTGTGTGCAAGCCATGACTGCTTCAGAGCTATCGAAAATATCTTGACATGGCACTACTAGCGTACTACATGTTCCAAAAAATATGAATAAATTTTGTTAAAAAAAATAGCCGGCATTTTAGTCAGCCTGTGTTGGGGGATGAATCTGGCTCTGTTGTTGGCCGACTGTTGCCCGTGCCCCTGGCGAGCGTACTTTTGTCCCATCGCTTGGCGGTTTCCAAAGTAGATGGATTATTAGTAAAATTCAACAGATCCCTGGCGACCACCCAAGCTATTCTTCTAGAGAACCACGACAGGCCTCGATCAGCTCACGGATCGACGCGTCGTCGGGGACCTGATTCAGGATGCCGCGCACCACCTTGTCCCCCAGCCCCCGAAGGAACCAAAAGTACGTCTCGGCGCGCCTTACCAGCTGGCACCAGTGCGCCAGCACTATAAGCGCCGCGGGGGCCTGTCGCTCGATCATGGCGTTGAAGTGCGGCGGCAGCTCGCGCAGCCAACACTCCAGGCCGAGCCAGGCCGCCGCGCCGTCGTCGTCGTCGGCCGCGTGGCTGACCACGTAGCAGTCAGTGAGGATCTCGATGGCGGAGACGACGGCGACGAGGTCCTCGTGACTGTCCGGCTTGCTCAACGCCACGACCATGCGGAACGGCAGCTCCCGCAGGCTCTTGAGCAGCGTCGGCGGCGCCTTGTTGGGCACGCCGGCCGCCAGCACCCGCGACTCGGCCGGGACCGGGATTGGGGTCGGCGCCGGTGACGGGCACAGGGTCATGAGAAGGGCTATAGAGGGGTCCCGACAGCCGCGGATGGCGCTGGTGAGGAGCGACCATTCCAGCCGCTCGACTTCGCTTCCTGGGGCACTCGACAGACCTGTGATCTGGCAAAGACCCAGGACGCAGCGGAGTTGCGCGCACCGATCCAATGTCGGACCCTGGACGACGCTTGTCTGCGCCAACCAGGTGCTCGAGAGCTCGGCCTGGAACTGCGCGGCCCTGTCGTGGTGCATCCGTCGCGCCTCCGGATCACGCTCCTCGGCGCACTTGTGTGTGGCTGCCACGGCAAGGACCATGCACATCAGCCAACGAGCCTGCAAGGCGCGGGCGACGGTGTCAGTCTGCCAGTAGGCTGTGCCTTTGTCGAGGCTGGTGGGAAGCGTCAGGCTGGTGGCGCTGGCAAAGTGGTGAAAGTATTGCAGCGTTTCCATCTCGACAAGCAGCGGTGGCGGCGCAGCAGCAGCAGCGGCAGGCCGCTCCGAAACCACCGCGTCTGAGGCGGCATCTTGTGGTCCGGCTTCCGCGGTGGCGGCCGATGACGGAGTATGCGAGCTAGGGGTAGAAATGCCCGAGGATGGCAACGGCAATGGAGCCGGATCGTCCACCCGGAGGACCTGAAAGTACTTGAGCTTGGTGCCGCGGAAGAAGGTCTGCAGGTGCGCCTCGGTGGCCATGGCGGCGGGCGGGCGGTCCGTCGTGCCGTGAACCTCGCTCCAGTGGCGGCGCATGCGCTTGTCGCTCGCGCAGAGCGCCTCGCATCCGTCGGCCGCGCAGCGATAGCCCGGGATGATGGCGAGCCCCTCGACCGGGGCCGGGAGGAGGCCGCCGTGGCCGCTCGGCACCCTCACCTCGTCGGGTTCCGCGAGGTGCAGGCGCGTGATGGCCGCGAGGAGCGTCCGCCGCTCGCCGCGGTAGACCTTATGCCGGAGGAGGTGGCTCTCGACGGCGCTCTTCTGCACCGCGTATCGGCATTTTACGCAGATGAGTACGCCGTGGGCTTCATCGTACCGCAGCCGGCCGTTGTGGGCGAAAGAGAGATTCATACGGGCCGCGGACGTGAAGATGATGCATTGTGCAAAAGAAATTAAGGCTGGGTGCTGTAGGACGGGAAAACGGGAGAGATGTGATGTCCGAAGAGAAGGGCCAAGGAACGTAGGGAAGGAACGAGTTGAACGAGCCTTGGTTGTGACTTTGGCGTGCAATAGAGGCAAGGCTATGGACGATCTTTGCTATTTTAGGTATAGCGTAGTCTCGAAATGACTGGGAACACCATATGTGATTCCAGAACGCCATATTCGATTCCAAGGCGACATATACGATTCCACGGTCTGTGTAAGTCAGCTTGATAACCGGCGGCTTCACATCACGGTGCAGTTTCTACTATCGCAAATTCACCATTTGAAATCCAGGACATTTTCTTAATAGATCTAGCCGCGCGATTAATAAGAGCACCGCTTAGTCACTCTTCAAGACGACGATCCTTCAACTATAAAGAGGATGCGAACTCTCACCAAGACAATTTGTTCTGCAGCTGACTCACGTTCACAATTCTTCAATCATCTCAAAGAGAAAAGAAAACTTTGATTTAATTTTATCAAACATTATTTCCATCAAAATGTCTGCAAACCAAGCCGCCTGGCTCATCAAGGCCGACACCCCCCTCGAGGTCCGTGAGGCTCCCATGCCGACACCCGGACCCAACGAGATTGCCGTCCGCAACTTTGCCGTCGCCATCAACCCGCTCGACACCCACATGCAAAAAACTGGCATCTTTGTGCAGCAGTGGCCGGCCATCTTTGGCTGTGATGTTGCCGGCGAGGTCTACCAAGTCGGCGCCGAGGCGGGCGGCCGCTTCAAGAAAGGCGACCGGGTGATTGGGTAAGTCATTTAAATCTCTGGCAAAATCGGAAAGAAAAAAAAATAAGAAATCAGCTAATCAAATTCCAGCCACACCGTCAACTTGGTGAGCGGCCGTCCCGAGGATGGCGCGTACGCCCTGCACACGGTCGTTCAGGCTGACAAGGCCGCCATCCTTCCTGATGAGATCCCATTCACCACCGGTGTCGCCGTGCCGTTTGCTCTGGAAGCCGCCGTGTGCGCCCTGTCCGTCAAGGTGCCCGGTCCCTCGATGCCCGGCGTCTCCACCCCGGCCCTCGGCCTGCCGTACCCGTCCCTCGACCCCAAGCCCCTCGGCAAGACCCTCGTCATCTACGGCGGCTCCTCCTCCGTCGGGTCCATGACCACCCAGATCGCGACCGCCGCGGGCATCCGCGTCGTGGCCATCTGCAGCGCGCACAACTTTGCGCTTGCCAGGGCTGCCGGAGCTGCCTCTGTCTTTGACTACAAGGACCCAGAATTCGTGGCAAAGGTTATTGAAGGCATTCGGGCTCACGGAGAAGAGTTTATCGGTGTCTTTGACGCCATCTCCTCCCCGGAAACCTATGAGAACGGATTGAAGATTCTCGAGGCTTTCGGCGGCGGTCACTTGGCCTGTGTTCATCCTCCTCCGACCGAGGTGCCGGGTAACGTCAAGGCGGGCATGATCTTTGCCGTTGACGATGTGGCCACGCCTGTTTGGCGAGATTACGTCACCCCGGCTCTGCAGCAGGGTAAGCTGAAGTGCTTGCCTCCTCCGATTATAGTTGGAAAGGGCCTGGACAAGGTTAATGAGGCGCTTCAGAGGTGCGAGGCTGGTGTAAGTGGTGGGAAGTTGGTGGTGGAAATGTAAAGACGGCGAGGACTGCTCACGCTAGAGCAAAGGACTGGGAGTTAGATAGACGATATAGATTTTGAGAATGCACGAACTGCGAATTAACGATAAACATGCCTGTGTTGTGACAAAACTGTCTTCTAAACTATCCAATCCACAGCCCAAAGCCACCACAACTTTTCTTAGCCAGAAACCAAAACCTACCCAAAAAGCAAGAACCAAAAAAATATATCTCCGCATGCTATGCCATCCGTCCTTTCCCATACTTGAAAGAAAAAAAATCTAAAAGACCTGCCAGGTATAATGTAAAGCTCAGCGCCGTTTGCGTCGGCAGCGCATTAGAAGAGTATAGTGTATATGCTGAAAACTTGACCGGGCCAAACACGGCTCTTGAAACAAAATTGGAGAAAAAGAAAGCCAAGGAACATGATGAGCCCTTTCCCAAGCAAGAAGAGCTCAGCATTTCCATTGTTTAGCACTCGTAAGTTCGTTGTGTTTCACCACCCTGTCGATGCGGCACCCGTCGCAAGTAGTTAACTGAGTGAATGAAGAATCATCGTCTGCTGATGGGTCAAAAAAAGGGTCCCTGTCTAACATGAGGTCCTCGTCGTAACATGTCGTAGATGTCGAGGATAGTTGCGCGAGCTAGTCTCACTCGCGGAGGAGGTTCCTGACGCGCTCGATGCGGGCCATGGCGCTCTCCAGGCGGTCCAGGCGCTTCTTCTTCTCCGCGTCGCGGCGCTCCAGCTCGCCCACGCGCTCCTCCAGCTTCGCGCGCGCGCGCCGCTCGTCCGCCACCATCTCGTTGGCCTGCTCGAACAGCGCCGCGCTCAGCTCCTCCATCTCGCGGCTCGTCGCGCTCAGCCGGCCCTCCGCCTCGCGCCGCAGGCCCTGCTCACGGTTCAGCGCCTCGAGCAGGTCCTCGTTCATGTGCGTCGGCGTCGAGGGCGTGGCGGCGGCAGAAGAGTCTCCCGCCCCCGTCGCAGCGCCGGCGGTGGTTTGCAGAGCGGCCAGCGGCGCGCCGGCGCGAAGGGTCGAGGTCGAGGGCTTGCGCGAGTAGAGCAGCGCAGAGATGCGCTCGGTGCTTTGTTGAAGGTAGGAGGACGGGCTGCTGCGCGTCGGACTCGGCCGTTGCTGCCGTGGCGAGGAGGTCGATCGTAGGCGGGTCAGCTCGACTTCGTACTCGGCCCAGCGGTTGATGGCCGTCGCGGCCTTGTCGTTGAGGGCGCGCACCTCGCCCTCGAGCTCGGCGATGCGCGCCTGCGCGGCGGCGAGGTCTTCGGGCACGTCGGCGCCGCAGCTCGGGCAGTGCGAGGCAGCTGCGCTGGCTTTTATGCTGAGCGAGGGTTGTGCGACGGTGGCGACCATCGTCGACGCCATCGGTGCGATGCTATCCTGTTTTACGGGGTGCTGGTTGTAGCCAGGGTGGCGTGTTTGGTTCGGACGGGCAGTCGAGGCGGAGGAGGTGTCGAGTTCATCCGTACGCTGGGAGATGGGGGGACAATAATATGGTGGCTATGATGAACAACAAATGTTTGACGGGAACGGCCGAGTCTTGAGGGGAAACGGGTAAGATGAGATATCCGCTGTGGCGTCGGGAAGCAGCAAGTGAATAGGTACGGTTGGGGCCGTTACGAGCCGTTCGTCGATGTGGCAGTTTTGGTTGGAACGGCTTCGCAACGGGGCCTACCAGTGGATGACGAGCGGACGAGCCAAGTTTGGCGGAGTCAACTTGGTCCCTGCTTCGTATTGTTAAGGGCAGGATTGCACAATGTCTCCGCAGTCGAGAAATTTTTCTTTTCTCTTTCATTTATCGCTATCTTGCCCGGTTTCCGTTGCTTTTTCCTCATAGCCGAGACAATGCAGTCATTGCATTGAAGCGCTTCTGGAATGCCAATCATGCCCCGCCATCGAAACGAAGTTCAGGGGCGTTCCGGCGCCGCGGGCCGCTAAAATTCTCATCACAGGGGCCTCTCCAGCGCTTTGTTCCCTGCAAATCACTCCCGTTCTGCCATCATGTTTATTAACCCCATGATGCCAAGCTTCACCTCAAACAACTATCCTGTTCACCTTGCAGTTACGATTAATATCAGGAATCATCGAAACATCTATTTTTATTTTACTAGATAGATTCTCCTTCCTGCCTCTCCCTCATATGGATGAACTTGCGTCACAGCCTGTCAGCAGATCTCCCTTGGAGCGCAATGGCGCGTGCCCCGGAAAACCTCACAGAGCGCAAGGCACGTGCACAACTCTGCGACACCATGAGTTCATGGCGGAATCGGCGCAACTGTCCAAGTCTGCCGAATTTTGGACTGTATTGGCCATGTCCCTTGTAAAGAGACTACCTCGCGGCCGAGTTGGTTCGTCCCTCAGCCAAGAGCTCGTCGAAGCTTGTCCAAGCTTCAATGGACAATTCTGTTCGTAAATGTCCTGTAGTCCAGTGTCGTGCTTAACTGCCCCGCTGGCAATTATATCCTGTCTTGGCAGTCGACGAACCGCGATTTTTCTGCTCGGCAACACGAGATGCTTATTTCTCTCCCTCCCTTGCAGAACAAAACCATATTGGCCTTTCAGCTCGGCTTGGCAACCTTGCGCAGCTCGCCTGCGCCTGTCTCAGGGTCCTGAAATTCCTTCCAGCTGACGGGAACCATGTCGTTGCCCGCCTCGCTGGTCGCCATGATGACGCCGAGCTCGTTCGATGCCGTCGACAGATAATAGTTGGCCTGGTCACCCAGCGAAATCTACACCCTTCGTTAGTATGACTTGTCCTGGCTCTGCCAACAATTGGCAGCCACGTACCACTTGGGCCCGGACGATATCACCAGGCTTGAAGGACTCGTGAATCTTAACCTTGTCCTTCTCCGTTGCGCGAACATCCTGCACGCGGATTACGCCCTGCCACTCCGTCTGCAACACGGTGTCGCTGACCTGCTGGATCACGACAATGGCCTGCTTGGGCATCAAGCGCACCACACGCGCTAGCACGATGTTGTTGACGTCGGGGAGGATCTCGCGCTTGCGGCCCTGTCGCGCGACTGTGATTGTAGACAGTTCTCCCGATACGGGCGCCGTGATTTTATTCAATCGCTTCGCGGGTCCAGGTGCCTTGGACGGAGGAGTGACTGTCACATTGCCCATCAGCGAGGCCACCACGTTGCCGTCGAAGATGTGTGTTCCGGCGCCGGGGGCATATTTCGACACGGGACCCAACACTCTGCCTGGGATCGCAAGGCTTGGAACATCCGCAGTAGCCATGGTGATAGTGTCGATTTGATTTTGCGGCTTTGAATTATGTCGTACGGTGGTGCTAGTTCGCCGGTCCGGACAAGCTTCTACGGAAAAAAGCTCTGCCAGCTGCCACGGCAAAAAAATAAAAAGCCCACCGCCTAAAATGGGGCATCCAGTGAACAGCACCAGTGAAGAACCTCCCCATACTTGCTTTTCACGGCTACAATAGCTTCCATTTATTAGTGCATCAGGATTCAACACCGATTAAAGACATTCGGTGGATCAAACCACACCTTCCGGCTCCTTCAGCCGACAGTTCGAGACATGGCAGAGTGCCTTGACTGCTTGTTAGTCACATTCCAGTCTACAGTATAAACTCCGACGCCGACGAGGCGACGGCAGACTCAAAACAAACAAACTACTCCGCAGGCTCTCGCACTAATAACGCAAGTTATTACACGTCAGTCCACCACCACGACCAGCCGAGAGATCTCTCCGTACAGACAACGGGAGTGTCAATCTCAAAATTGCTTGGCATCATCACCTAGCCAGCGTTCCCTATTGTCCCTATCGCCACAGTTTCACATCCCCGCAATGTTGCGACAGCATCAGTGATGGCAACTTAATTCATGAGCGAATTGTTTACTCAACACTGTCTCATTGTCAAACAAACAAGCAACCGTTCGCTGTGAATGGTGCAGCTTCCTCGGTTGTCGTAGAGCGGGTTCAGCTTGTACTCCGTACCAAGGCCCGGATCCTGTACCCTGCCGCTTCTCCCACACGCCAAGAGACCTTCATGCCTACAAATCCTAAGTTAGCTATTGTCTAGCGCCACAGACACCGCCGTTTACACGGAGCAAATCGAGTGGCTGCGAGACCGAAAGCGAGTTTACCAAACGTCCGAGATGTCGATTCTACTTGCGGAGTCTTGTTGGCCAGCGTTCCCGGGGTTTCTGTAGTCTGCTCGTTGGTCTGTTGAGATGCTACGATGACCGCCGGGTGTGATGGATCCGACAGTACGGAGTGAAGACTGCTCAGCTCACTGACAGACAATGCAAGGCGTCCCTCGATTGGTGGAGAGGACATCTCTCGTACGGTATCGGGAAATCAGCGATGCGGAGAACATGGACCCCAAGATGAGGCCGCAAGGGCCAGGGTACGGTACACATCTCACGGACTGTCGCACGGGGGGGGGAAGTGGCTTGCTCTTGATGACACTCACTGTTCCTCTTCGACTAGCTTGGCAAAAGCCCGCCTACCATACACAACCCGCCCGCATTCGACAGCAGAGCATCCTAGTGCCTGATTACCAACAGGTGTGGCCTCCTGTCCCATCTCAAGTACCAGAATTACTAATTGTATCTAAATCAGACCTGTCTCTATGGAGTGGATGCGTGGCGACCAATGCTGGTAAGTGGCGGGCGGACTTTGTGTTTAGACCCGGATTGTAAGCCCGGGTACCAGTTGCTGTTTCGGTCCCGGACCGGCATCTTTGTGATGCACTTGCCCAGTTAATTTATTTGGCTGGAGTTGCCATTTTCTCTTTACTCTGCCTTTTCTGTCGAGCCTTTATTTTCACGACAACACCGAAGCACGAGTGCGACTCCAACCAGCCCCTTCGACGGGTTCCTACTCAAAGCCTCGGCCCAGACGAAACCCGGTCCTTGTTGGTCTTTACACTAAACTTTGCCACAAGAAACAAGATCGCAGCTGCCACAGGAAAAAGGGAACAGCGCCTGCCACATGGAATAACGACCGGTCGACTCGCACACTCTCCCCACCCGCAAAGATCCCGTGTTTTGTCTCGTCCACTGGGTCGCAAGAATTAAAATCATTAGCGGTCTGAGACACCGTCGAGCTGCTAATCACAATGGCCGACGAACCGGAAAAGGAGCTCCAAACGCCCGACGCGCTCGCGGCTACTGTCGCGCAACAGGATGCGCCTTCGCATAACGTTGCCAAGACACAAGATATGCAGCCGAGCGATAAGAGCGACACTGCCGAGTCGCGCAGCGTTGGAAATGAAAAGTCGCACGACTCGTCCAACGACCACGAGACGAATGAGCTCAAGGTTACTGAAACCAACGCTACTGACGCGAGCGTTGGAACAACCGCCACCGGACTACCGCCGCAAGAGAACAAGACATGGAGACAAAAGCTCAATCCTCTCCGATGGGGAGGCATCCCGGAAATTCCCCATGAGCGCATCGTGTCCCGGGAGTATGGCGCGAGCATTTTCAGCAAGCTCTTCTTCAACTGGATGACGCCTCTAATGACTGTAGGTCTGCGCGATCTGCTAGAGGCAGAGGCAGCCGCAACGCAAAAGGTGCTAACCGTTTATGCAGACTGGATACAAGAGACAATTACATGAGCGCGATCTCTGGGCCGTGAACCCCGACCGAGGCGCCGAGGTCCTGACCAACAAGGTGAGAGCAGCGTTCAAGCGCAGGATTGCCAAGGGTTCCAAGCGCCCGCTCTTAATGGCCCTTTACGATAGCTTCACGTTTGAGTTTTGGCTTAGTGGATTCTGTGCCTTGATCTCTACCATGCTCCAAGTCATTGCGCCATTTACCCTCCGCTATCTCATTCAATTTGCCACTGAAGCATACTATGCCCATGTCCAACACACCGCCCCGCCGCACATTGGCGAGGGAGTCGGTCTTGCCGTTGGCATCACAATGATGCAATTCGTTGGCAGTCTCTGTATCAGTCATTTCATTTACCGTGGCATGATGCTGGGAGGTCAGAGTCGTGCCGTCCTCATCGGCATGATCTACGACAAGTCAATGGTCATTTCCGGTCGCGCCAAAGCCGGCACGTCCAAAGACGCCCTGTCACCCGAGGAGGGTGGTCCAGAGAAGCCAGATGCCGAAAAATCCGGCGATGGGAAGAAATCCAAAAAGGAGAGCAAGGCCAAGGGTGGCGCAATAGCAAATGAAGTTGGTTGGGCAAACGGTCGCATTGTCAACCTGATGAGTGTCGACACCTACCGCATTGACCAGGCTTGCGCTCTCGGCCACTTCATCTGGACGGCGCCTATCGCTTGTATTGTGACCCTCGTCCTGCTCCTTGTCAACTTGACCTATAGCGCTTTGGCCGGTTTTGGACTGCTTGTCCTTGGCGTGCCACTTCTCACAAAGGCCATTCAAAGCCTCTTCGCTCGTCGCAAGATGATCAACAAAATCACGGATAAGCGAGTGTCCCTGACTCAAGAAATCATCCAGTCGGTTCGATTTGTCAAATACTTTGGCTGGGAGACGGCCTTTTTGGAGCGCTTAGCCGAGATCCGCTCCAAGGAAATCTACGCCATCCAGATTCTGTTGGCTACCCGAAATGCCATCAACTCGGTCAGCATGGCCATGCCGGTTTTTGCCTCGATGCTCTCTTTCATCACCTATCGCCTGACCAACCATGGCCTTGCTCCCGCCCAAGTCTTTTCCTCACTGGCACTGTTCAACAGTCTTCGAATCCCACTCAACCTCTTGCCGCTTGTTCTTGGACAGGTCATCGACGCCATGTCATCCATTGGTCGAGTAGAAGAGTTCCTCCTCGAAGAGGAGCAGGAAGAAGATATCGTTATCAAGGCCGACGGCGAGCACGCTATTGAAATGAACAATGCATCCTTCACCTGGGAGCGCACCAAGAACAAGGAGACGGAGCTGCCCTCCGACCCTAAGGAGAAAAAGGCTGCTGCCGCTGCTGCTAAGGAGGCTAAGGCGCAGCTCAACTCCACAAAGCCTGCTGAAGAGGATGGGCCGAAAGAGGCTACCCATGGTGAGGAGAGAGAGCCGTTTAAGCTCCAGGATCTCAACTTTACCGCTGGGCGAAAGGAGCTTCTGGCTGTCATTGGTTCCGTCGGCTGTGGAAAGAGCTCTCTCCTTGCCTCCCTGGCCGGTGACATGCGCAAGACGGAGGGTGAAGTCGTATTTGGCGCTTCGAGGGCATTCTGTCCCCAGTATGCGTGGATTCAAAATACTTCTCTTCAAAACAACATCACCTTTGGGAAGCCGATGGAGAAGGCCTGGTACAAGGAAGTCATCGACGCATGCGCTTTGAGATCCGATCTTGACATGCTCCCGAATGGCGATCAGACCGAAATAGGTGAGCGTGGCATTACCATCTCTGGTGGTCAAAAGCAGCGTCTCAACATTGCCCGTGCTATTTACTTCAATGCCGACATCGTCTTGATGGATGATCCGCTGAGCGCCGTCGATGCCCATGTCGGTCGCCACATCTTTGACCATGCTATCCTCGGTCTTCTCAAGGACAAGTGCCGGATCTTGGCAACGCATCAGCTCTGGGTTCTGAACCGCTGCGATCGGATCATCTGGATGGACGGTGGTAAGATTCGGGCCATTGACACCTACGACAACCTCATGCGCGACGAGGAGGGCTTCCGAGCCTTGATGGAGACGAACACAGTCGAGAAAGAGGAGGAGGAACTCGAATTACAGAGCGAGGAGGTGTCTGAGGAGACTGAAGAGGTGACCAAGGTGGAGCGGGTAGAAACCTCGGCCGAGGACCGCGCCAAGAACAAGAAGAACAAGAAGCAGGCCATGCTCATGCAGCAAGAAGAGCGAGCGGAAAAGTCCGTCCCCTGGTCTGTTTACGCAGGATATGTCCGGGCTTCCGGCAGCATGTTCAACCTGCCATTCCTTGCTCTTGTTCTTATTCTGTCGCAAGGCGCCAACATTGTCACCAGCCTGTGGCTCTCTTGGTGGACCTCGGACAAGTTTGGCTACTCGGATGGCGTCTACATTGGCGTGTATGCTTCCCTCGGCGCCACTCAAGCCTTTCTCATGTTTGCCTTTTCCGTCTTGTTAACTGTCCTGGGCACGAATGCGAGCAAGAGCATGCTGCGAGATGCCGTGACACGCGTGCTGCGGGCTCCCATGTCTTTCTTCGACACGACTCCCCTGGGGCGCATCACGAATCGGTTCTCGCGCGATGTCGATGTCATGGACAACAACTTGACGGATGCCATTCGAATGTTCTTCTTCACGCTTGCCAACGTTACGGCCGTCTTCATCCTCACCATTGCCTACTACTACTACTTTGCTGCTGCGCTGGTGCCGCTCTACATTCTCTACATGATTGCAGGCACTTACTACCGCTCATCTGCTCGTGAGGTGAAGCGGTACGAATCCGTGCTTCGCTCCAGCATGTTTGCACGGTTTAGTGAGGGCCTGAGTGGTGTATCTTCCATCCGAGCCTATGGACTGCGTGAACGATTCATGAACGACTTGCGCAAATCCATTGACCAGATGAATGGGGCTTACTACCTCACGTTTTCCAATCAGCGGTGGCTTTCCGTACGACTGGATATGATTGGTAACCTCCTTGTCTTCGTCGTGGCCATTCTCGTCGTCACATCTCGCTTCACCGTCAGCCCCTCGACTGGTGGTCTGGTTCTCAGTTACATGCTGTCGATTGTGCAGATGCTGCAATTCTCTATCCGTCAACTTGCCGAGATGGAAAATGGTATGAACGCTGTCGAGCGTCTCCGCTACTACGGCCACGAACTGGAAGAGGAAGCCCCTCTTCATACCATCGACGTGCGTCCCAGCTGGCCGGAAAAGGGCGAGATCAAGTTTGAGAACGTGGAGATGCGGTACCGCCCCAACCTCCCTTTAGTTCTCAAGGGCCTCTCTATTCACGTTGAGGGTGGAGAGCGTATCGGCGTTGTGGGACGGACTGGTGCGGGCAAGTCGTCCATTATGAGCACGCTGTTCCGCCTCGTTGAAATTTCCAGCGGCAAGATCACCATCGACGGGCTCAACATTTCCACTATCGGACTCGGCGACCTTCGCAAACGTCTCGCCATCATCCCGCAGGACCCAACACTCTTCCAGGGCACGGTACGCTCCAACTTGGATCCGTTCCAGGAGCATGATGACCTCGCGCTATGGTCTGCCCTGCGGCAGGCCGATCTCGTCAGTGCGGACGCGACTCTGGAGGACCGGTCTGACCCATCGCGCATTCACCTAGACAGCATTGTCGAGGACGAGGGTCTCAACTTTTCGCTCGGGCAGAGGCAGCTCATGGCGCTCGCACGTGCGCTGGTACGCGGCGCGCAGATCATTGTATGCGACGAGGCGACGTCGAGTGTCGACATGGATACGGACGACAAGATCCAGCGGACCATGGCGACAGGCTTCCGCGGCAAGACGCTGCTGTGCATTGCGCACCGTCTGCGCACCATCATTGGCTACGACCGCATCTGCGTCATGGACGCTGGTCGCATCGCGGAGCTGGACACCCCCGCGAATTTGTACCGCAAGCCCGACGGCATCTTCCGCGGCATGTGTGATCGCAGCGGCATCAGTCTGGGGGATATCGAGACAGCGGCGCAGACCATGGCCGCCATTGACAGCAGCACCAGCGCAACTCCGCGCATCGCCGAATCGAGCGAGTAGGGGATGGATGAAGTCTCATTTTGGTTGTTGGGGAGAAAAAGTTGTTCGTATATAGATTTGTTTATTGGCCTTGAATTTGGGTTGACTGACAGTGGTGATATACATGGCGTTTTATGAGCATAAAGACCTCTTCGCTGCAGGCGAGCATATACATCTACAAAATTATTTGAATAAATAATAAATACCAGCATCTTCCTTTGAAAGTACTTTTTGCCTGCTAAATAATTCACGATTGTTTCATGACACATTGTTTTCCTCATTTCAGCTCGGAGATGAGATGCTCAGCCCAGGGCTAGTCACCGAGTTAGCTGCGCGGTCAGCCCTGTTTCGTCTGTGCTGACGAGAATTCAGCTTCAGTAATTCTCTTCATCCCCGCCGCCGCGCTCGCCGTCCACCGCCTCGCCATCCTCCCCGCCGGCCCGCCCCCGGCGCCAGGCGTGCCGCTCGTCGGCCTGCTCGTCCTCCACGCGCTGGGCGCGCCGCCTCGGCACCGAGTGGGAGGCCAAGAACGTGTCCCGCCGCCGTGGCGGCGGCGGGCAGACCCGGCTCGGCTTCCTCGCGCTACGTGCTGCCCCGGGTCGCGGCGTGCCATCTCCTCGTGGACGCAACTGATGATGGCGCCGCCGCCGGAGCTCGTCGCGGCGGACCAGCAGACGGCCTGGCGCCTGCGGACGCTGACCCCCCGAAGGACCTCGCGTTCCGCGCGGCCACCACCGCGCTCTTCTGGCTCGTCGCCTACTGCCTCATCTACGTCATCGTCCACGTGCCCGCCGCCCCTGTCCGTCGCCCTCGGCATGAGCCGGCCCGAGTTCTGGCCGCACCTGTTCGGGCCCTTGTCCGAGCTCTACACCATCCGCGGTTTCTGGGGGGGAGGGGGGAATTCCTCCTCTCCTCTTCTTCTCTCTTTCTTTTCCATCACTAACAAAAAACAAAAACACACAGCTCATTCTGGCATCAGCGCCTCCGCAGGACGCTCACCGCGTTCGCCGACGTCATCGCCGACGACGTACACCCGGCTGTTTCTCGTCTTCGCGATCAGCGGAGCGCTGCACCACCCGACAGACGTGGTGCAAGGCCTGCCGAGGGGGCTGACGGCGACGGTGGCCTTCTTCCTGATGCAGCCGGTCGGCATCGTGCTGGAGGACGCGGTGCAGGCGCTGACGCGGGGCTGGCCGCTGCCGCGGGCGGTCCGGAGCGTCGCCGGGTACGCGTGGGTGGTCTTCTTCCTCGTGTGCAAGACGCCGACGTGGACGTTCTCGGTGGCGAGGTTGGGCCAGACGCCCGATCTGCTGCCGATCCCGGTGGCGAGGCCGCTCGTGGCCATGCTCACGGGAGAGTGATTGCGCCCTTGTTCGCTAGAACTCTCCGTGATGCTCTTTGTTAGGCTACACATTAGACCGTGCTTTTACCGTCACCTTGTTCAAGCAATAGACTTAGCCTTGCAAGTTGTATCTATATTGCCCATCGGGTCGCTTCAATTATTAGCTGGGGGCCAAAACTTATCTGCCCCAACACCGTCCTCTGTGTAGTTATGGTACAGCCTGTTGCTTCCCCCAAAAGTACGAAGAGTCCAAAGCCAAGTAAATACTATGTAGCGTATCAGCTACTGAGAATGAATACGGGAAAATAAAAAAGAGAACAGTAAAACACTACGCAGGACTCTCTCCAAGAGAACAAAAAACAATAACCCAAACCGTTATTCAAAAAGAAACGCCTTTCTAAAAGGAATGTCGTGGTATATATGAGTGTATGAGACCCGTACTAGCCAACTCTTTACAACGCAGCTTTTGTCTGTCGTAGTAGTCATGCCTATCGACGGGAGCCTGGCATGCTTGGCGGGGGGAGGGCAGACGGGTCCTCGGCCAACAGATCTTCAAGATAGGCGCTCGGAGCTCTTTGGCCGGCTTGCAATGGCGCGGCAAGGTTTACCGACGAGGTACTAGCATCGTGGCGGGCGTGAAACATGGGAGACTCGGGCGGCGAGGCGTTGAGGTTATGGCGGGAGCCGTTGGCGTATCCACCGGGGGCAGGGCTGAGGTTGGACATGCTGATAGACTGGCCTTGCTGGTGCGCCGTGGCGGCAGACCCGGCAGCATAGAAGCCAGAGGGCAGATACGCGGAGCCGCGGTTGCCACCAGCGCCACTGGTAGCGGCAGTGGGTGAGAAGAAGAGGTTGGACTGGCTGGGATCAGAGGCAGGATCCGGGCCACGAGTTGAGCGTCGGTTCGTTCGGCGGGCGTTCTGGCCGATAGAGCGTGTGGATTCATGGTCGGTGTACTTGTAGAAAGGCGCAGGGGGCGCCGGGAAGGCGGAGTTGCCAGAGGAGGACTTCTTGATGTTGGCGGCATGCTGAGCTTTGGAGGCGCGCTCAACGGAGCGGTGCAGCAGGAGGCTGACAATGGCGCGCCAGATCAGGACAGCAAGGAAGAAGGCGCCAAGGATGGCGCCGACGGCGATGAAGACGGTGCCCTCGGGGGCGCTGGAAGACTGCATGAAGGGGGCATCCTTGGTATCGGGGACGGCCGGCGGGGGGTACGTCGGTATGGCTGCGATGTTGGTGAGGGTCGGGAGGCCGGTGAGGCCGCCGCTGTCTGTGTTGGTATCGGAGGACTTTGTCGCAGAGGCGCTCTTGGACGTCGGGGTCGGAGATGCGGATGAAGGCGACGATGACTTGGAGTCGGTCGAGCTGGCCGAGGCCTTTGAGTTGGAGGGCGAGGCAGAGGCGGACTTGGAGTCGGAAGCGGAAGCAGAAGCAGAAGCGGAAGCAGAAGCGGAATCACTTTTGCTGTCGCTGTCAGCGGCATGGACGGGCACGACAATGCCGTTAAAGAGGGCAAAGACCGTGAGCAGCGTGGCGCTGCCTGGGAGATGATTTGCGAGGCGCATGGTGGCGAGCCAGAGGGGAGGGCGACGAAAAGAAATTGAACGAGTGCGGGCGGATGACGTTGAGAGAGAGAAAGCAGACCGAAGCCGAGGGAAAGGGGCTTGGTGAAGAAATGACTCGGTGGTGGAAAACGAGAGGACTAGTAATATCGATGCGCTGTCTTGTTGTCTCGCCTGGTGCCCAAGATGAATTGACGTTGAAACAGGGATGATGAAGCAGGCTTGCTTGGGCGGCTGGGGCTGGGCTGATGTCGTCAGGGGGACTTGACTGCGTGGCTCTCTCTCTGTTTGCGTGGCGGGGGCAAGTCGTGGGCTTCCGATGAGCCAAGATGAAGAGAATGGCGCGAAATGAAGGAAATGGGGATAAAAAGGGAAAAGGAACACGTTCAGGCTGTCAAAAAGGACAGAAAACGGCTGAAGAGAGAAAAAATGCAAGGAAGAAAGTGCATTGATGAGGCTGGCCCTGCGTGTGTTTTCTTTTTCCGAACTACCTCTAATAAGGGAAGGCTCACAGGACGACAGACAGTACAAGCGCCTACATACTGCCTACCCGGGAGCTGAGCTCGTAACACAGATTCTAAAGAGTTAAGCCCCAGCAAGATGAGGTCTATATAGATGTCAAAATGTTGTAGAATTTCCAGGGAAAAAATTAGTTTCGAAATGCCATTTAACTTTTGCTTTTGAGTACCCTTCTCCGCTGAGTATTGCCTAACACACCGCATTCTCCAGAATGCTGGTGCCTCTCGTGTGAAGAACACAAGGGAGAAAAAGACACCGTGAAACAAAGTACGATGCAAGCCAAAGAAAAAGTAAATGGTCTACTGCAGCCATTAGTATGCTCAGATGCACACCTCGCTTTGGCGCTGAGCCGTCTATCACCATCCCATACCCCCACGCCGTTACATATGGCTGTCGAAATATCAGCACATGTTGAAATATACAAAATGTACATAACATACATAAGACACGGAAAACTACACCTGGGATCCCGTAAAAATCTATAGGCTCAACTCAATTCACCTTGCGCTATTTTGCGTCATATGACCGCGGCCATCCCTAGATTCTCAATCGGTGACCTACTTCGTCCTTACATGCCTTACTAGAAATGACATGCTTGGTGATGAGCTGATCGTTTGTAAGATATTTTTAGTGAAATCATCCCGAAAATATATGACACAGATTATCGAAGAGCTGAACCGTGACTTACAGGAATGACAAATGTTATTGAGAGGCACGCCGCGCTTCTCTTCAAACCATTGGCCGTGATAATGCGACAACGGCTGAATGGAAGCCGAGGCATCGCCACCATGCCAACTTCAGTATTGCTGACCACCCATAACATGGCCGTGGAATAACTGTCGACCTTTCAACTCGATAGCCTGGATAAATATTGTGCTGCGCCTCACGTCAAGTCTCCAGTCATAGAGACACCGGGCAGTTGATGGTGTGATGCGAGAATCCTCACTATAGCATGGCAGAGATAGTGCGCGGCACTTGCTCCAAACAACAAATCAACCACCGTCATGTGGAAGAGCTATTACTCTCCTGCACTTGAAGTAGGAGGGCAAGTGTGCAGAACGCCTCGAAGCAGCACTTATACAGCCCGCCAGGCGCCCTTGGGATCCATGGTCAGGGCTCTCTCCTTTTTTCTATTCAACTGCCAGATACAAAGTCAACCCCTACTACACCTACTCGCTTTTACCTCTACACTCTTCTACCAAAACCAACATGGCCGCCCCTCCACCCAAGGTCGGGAACCCCAATCAAGGCGGCACCACCACCGCCGAGGACGCCGACTTTGAGATCAGCGAAAACCTCAACGCCGTCAACACCGTCACCGTCTGGGTCGACAACGGAAGCGGCAGCTTCAGCAACACGAAGCTGATCAAGGCCATCAAGGTCAAGTACGGCGACGGCACCGAGCGCACCAAGGGCCACACCACGGGCACCACCTACTCCTTCACCTTTGACAACAACGAGAAGATGAAGACGATGAGCCTGTGGGCAGGGGCCCGCGTCGACCGCATCAAGTGGGAGACGCGCGGCGGCCGCACATTTGACCACGGCGGCACCGGCGGCAGCGAGTATACCCAGGACGTGGGCAACGGCATCCTGCTCGGTTTTACGGGCACCAAGGACGACAATGAGCTCGTCTCCCTCGGATCCATCTTCAAGGAAGCTTCAGACTAAAAAGGTAAGAAGCTCCTCCTTCATGAATGATATCAGTCACACTGTATAATGATACGTTTCTACTAGAACTGAAAACCAGCGAGTCGTGTTGTTCGGAGGCTGCTTGCCAATGCATCTCACTGCCGTCGTTGGCTCGCAAGTCTGTAGCCGAGTACAGTTTTACTTGTGCGTTTTTCACAGTCCAGGCGCAGGCAAGAAAGGAAAGACAGTCAGGGAATAACATAGGCATTGGTCTATCACTGCTAGCTACAATACAGTCCTTTCTCTAATCTCCGAATGAGTCACAGCTGCTCGAGCTTCTCGCCAGTGTAGTCTATAGCTCCGCAGGCGCACTTTCATGCCGGGGATGGGGTCCGCCAACTGCCTCATAGGCTTATCATCTGCGGTCCCTTCTCCATCCCCATGCCGGCTGCAAGGTAGGCCCTCCCCGCTGTCGCGGCGTACTTCTCCCGCCTGCACAAAACGCAGCCCGATAGAGGAGCGGCTGGCCGATCTCATGCACGCCTCCGCTCAGTAGTTGACGCGACCTCTCCGCTGAATGCTGATGCAAGCATCCCGGACAAGAGTTGCCGGGATACACTCCCAAGAGGCATTTAACCAGCAGTATGTCCCATCATATAAGTAGGTGGCGCTCTTTCCCCGAGGAGATGCACCCTTTTTTGATGGGCCGAGTTCCCCGCGACATGTCACAAAAGTGACGATGCCGAGTAGTTCGCAGCGTCCATGGCGCTCCATATGAGTCGTGGCTTCTTACCCACGCTGCGCTGCTGCCCATCTCTCGTATCCGTGGGCGATCACCCTGATGTCCGCTGTCCCCGGCGTCAGAATATGCTCTTTTGGTATGAGGGCGTCGTTTCAGCCTCTCTCAGCACTATCCCTTCCAGCTGGATAGACTCTGTCGCAAAATGTGAGAAGGCAGATGAAGGTGCGTTCTTGGCCGGAGGGCACCGGGACTGCTAAGAAAGAGGCACGGATAAAAATATGTAGACGAGAGTGTGCAGAAGGCGCGCCGGCTAGGCATCGATGTCAAGCTCTCGCAGCCTACGATTCCGTCCGGCCACCCATGTTTGCCTTGCCTGCCTGGCACGTCTTGCGAGGCATCCATCTAAAAGCTGCCCCAGTTCGGGTCTTTCCGCAGCTTGCGTACCGACGCGTACAACACTATCGCGTTGAAGAACAGCAGCGACACGGCTGAGAGCCCAATCGTGCGGCGAAGGACCCGACGCCGAGGGCGGCGCAAATGACGGTGGCGAGGAGCGAGGCGGAGAGTAGGATCCGCCAGACCATTCCGCAGCTCCGCGGCTCGCGGTGTTGGAGACTCCGCCGCGTCTTCGTCTTCTTCTTCTTGGTCTTCAACAGGCGGATGGTGGTTGGGTGTTGTCGCGTGTGCCTTGCTCCGCGCGTCCGCCGTGTTGGAAGGTCGGATGGCGCGGCGGCTGTGACTCACACGCATCGCGCTATTGTTCTGTCCTTGATGAGGCTGGTGGTGCAGTGTCGTTGGTGGTATTCGTTGGCGTTGGGTGTGCTGAGGAGCCCCTTGTCTTCTCCATTAATTCGTGGCCTGGAGGCGGCATCTCAAACTGGGTTGATGGCATCGTGAGCAAACGGCCTTGCAGGTTGAACAGCGGCAACGGTAACCGGACTGTTTTCTCCTGGGGAAGATAGATGAAAGAACATGATGACATGGTATTTATTTTACATCCGGGCGAAAGGTAAGTTGCGGACGGAGAAGGATAAAAGTAACGTTAGTCCGGGAAATACGCCAGAACGTCCGTCTATCGAATCTGCCTCAGCTCGGTCCTAGCAATGCCTATGTAGCATTTACGCCCGGAACTAGCTGCTGACCCACGTGGGAATCATACCCGCGGTTATTACGAGTGATGAACTAGCTGACTGATTTCTTTCTGTAGTTTTTATCAATAAAGCATAGATAAAGTAAGGCTGGCGCTGACAAGGCCGCTACGCTCTGTAGAGAAGACTCAGACAGCATATTGGGCTTGCCTCGGAGCAAGTCCGATTTCTAGCTTGTAAGTAAAAGCCTGTTTTTAATTGCCAAGGGCTTCGAAACACTTCGTACTACGTTTACCAAGATCTGCGTGCTGCAGTGGGTTGCCTCGGTGCAGATAAGCCATCACCTAGCCACAAAATAATTGCCTTAATACATTGCTTTTGTACTGTATATGCCAGACTCCTAGATCACTTTCTCTTCTCTTCCAAAGACCAAAACTCTCTCTAGACAGCCCCCCCTTCTAATCGTATATATCCTACGCCTCTGCCACCTGGGACATAATCCACTTCTCCAGGCCGCCCTTTGCGATAATCTCCTGCAGGTTCTCGGGGAACTCGCCCACCTTCTCCTCCCACTGCTCGCCGCCCTCGCCCTCCTGCACCTGCACGACGCTCCGGGCAACGTCCCACGTGAGGGTCCAGCCCGTGCGCCGCGTCGGAATCTTGTCGGCGAACGTGGCGCGCAGGCGCTCGACCAGGCGCGGCACCTCGAGCCCCAGCAGCCCGTTGTTTACGCTGTTGCGGGAAAAGATGCTGCCGAAGCTTCCCGACACTACGAGCGGGATCTGCTTTGCCAGCAGAGCTGTTGCTGCCTGCTCTCGCGAGCTGCCGCAGCCAAAGTTGAACCCCGACACAAGAATGTCGTTAGGCTTGGCAACGTCGCCAAACGTCGGGTCGTAGTTCTCCATGCATACCTTCGCCATGGTCTCCTTGGTGATGTCGTCCTGGTACGTGTATTTGCCGGCGTAGATGTTGTCTGTGTCTAGGTTGTCCATGTCGCAAAAGACAATCTCACCAGTAATCTTCTCCGGGAAGCCGGGGAGGATCTTGGTACCGCCGCCCTCCTCCTCCGCCTCGCCGCCGACGGAGGATTCGACGCGATCGATGAGAGATTCGAGCTGCTCGAGGACATTCCCAAGCTGGCTCTCCACCGTCTCCGGTGCTCCGGTGCCGTAGCCATGCTCAACGCCCTGGTAATTATCAGGGACTTGGAAGGACTGCGTCCCGGAAATCACGCCGCTCAGAGCGCTGGCAGCCACAACTTCTGGACTTGCTAGATAGGCTAACGCCTCGCGACTTCCCATGCGCCCCTTGAAGTTGCGGTTGGAGGCCGAGATGCCAACCTCTCCGGCTTCCAGAAGACCGGGTTCAAGGCCAATGCAAGGGCCGCAGCCTGAGGGGAGCTGGATCGCGCCGGCTTCAACCAATACTTGCCAGTCGCCTGCATCCTCTGCAGCCTCCTGCTCGCGGGCCGAAGCGGCCGCAATGTAGAACTTGACTCCATCCGCAATCTTAGGGATCTTCCCGCCATTCTCCTTGGCGGCGTCAATGAATACCTTGGCTGCGGCTGCAATGTCGGGGGCTCGACTGTTGGTGCATGATATAATGTACGCCCTGTCAACTTTGATCTTCTGCGGTGCAAGCTCATTGAGTGGAGTCGAGATTTTGACAGAGTTGGGACCTGAAACGTATGGCGAGACGGTGGAAAGGTTGATGTACAACTGTTTGGCATACTGGGCATCGGGGTCGGCCTTGATGGGGTTCGCAAAAAGTTCATCCACTTTCTCGTGCGTGATTCGGTCCTTTGTGGTTCGGTCAGGGAACATGGCCGCTTCCGTCGCCTTGTACCGCAGCCAACGCTCAAGAGTCTTGTCTACGGGGAACTGTTGCAGAACATCGTTAGCTGGTGTCTTTCGTACTGCAGCATTGACACAATACGGACCAGTCCTGTGAGCGCACCCCATTCCGTTGTCATGTTCGATATGCTGATTCTATCGCAAATCGGGATGCTGGCCATGGTCTCCTCGGATCCCGAGAACTCTACCGCATGATTGAGGACATCGCTTTGGAACAACCCACATAGCGCAACGATGACGTCCTTTCCGGCAACTCCAGGGGGGAGAACACCAGTCAGATTGACCTTGGCAACCGGAGGAACCTGGAACCAACTCTTGCCGGTTGCCCAGATGCCGGCGGCGTCTGTTCGCACCACAGAGAACCCTCCAGCACCAAGCGCTGAGTAACTTGTCGAGTGAGAATCCGAGCCTACGCATAGCTTGCCTGGCCAAACGTATAATTCCTCAATCTGTGCATGTGTTAGCGTTTGTTTTAGCCAAATCCTCTGGGTTGTGGTAGGCCTGTACCATAATTTGATGAGAGATGCCGTGCCCGGCACCGTAGAAGGCAACACCGTGCTTCTTCGCAAAGGCCTCAATCATCTCGTACTTTTTAAGATTGGCCTCAGATTTGTCCTGAATCGCATGATCTAGCGCGAACACCAACTGATCGGGGTTCTTGACCTCGGGTACATTCATGGAGTGGAACTTCTTGGCGCAGGCGAGTGTATTGTCGTGTGTCATTACTCTCCACGGTTGAATCTGAACGTAGTCACCGCTACGGACAGTCTTTCCTGGAGGCAACCCAACGGCGTGGTCCTGGATAATCTTTTCAGTCAGGGTCTGAGGCCCTCGCCGTTGCTCGCCTGAAGAAGCAGCCCATGAGGTTTCGGTAGAGGATTCACTGGCGAGGGTCGCGCGGTTCGCAGCTGTCGACCCAATCGTACGTAGTTGGCATTGTACGTGTCGAGAAACGGAGGTTGTGCAGGGGATGCGTTGGCTAGCAATTATCGTCCTCGCGATGGGCCGTCCGCCTCGGCTCAGCATGCGCGCCCATTGCGCGGAAGCAGCGACCTATGAACAACGTAATTAGCATGAAAAAGAAAACGTTGCTGTGAAGAGGCGGCGACGAACCGGTCTGTACGACATGATACGCAAGACTCTGTAGGTCACAATTAGAAAAGATTGAGAGTGAAGTTTTGAGAAGCTTTTCGAAAACCAGTTGACTCTAAAGTGTATTGCGCAAGCCGAAGACGGAGCCGAGTGGGGCCTGAAATTGGTAAATATCCAGCTCTGATTGGCCAAATCGGCCTTCGAGGCATGACTTGTAGATTAACACTTTAACCTTGCATATACTCTGTCAACGTTACAGTGCTTCCTAATTAATGTAGCAAAGAGTGACAGACTTGGATCTCCTCTTTGAAATCAAAGTCAAAGACGGGTCTTCGCAACTTACTTGTACTGGCGTCCAGGGAAGTTTTGGTATGGTCACCTGTATCAGGCAAGCAGTCACGGCCATGACGATGCTTAAGCTGAAACTAGAAGTATCATTACTTTACTATTTAGAGGTCTGAAGAGCAATAAACCTATTTACCTGCCCACAATAAACTACGAAACGAGATCCCTTTCAAAAGCAAACTGCCGGTTACGCTGCTTAGGTACATAAATTCCCACTTGAGGCTGCTTTGACCCGCCGCCCATCTTTAAGCGCTAGCTTGACAAGCGTTGACCATGTTGGTGAGCTGCCAGGGAGATGAATCGACAACGCCGTAGAGTTATAGTATGATAATTTTGAAGACGCAGAAAATTCCATTAGGAAAGCCTTAGTTAATTCGTCTATGTGTTATTGTTTCCTGTCGTTTTGCCGCTGTTGTTCAAGTCACGGATCCCTCTCACCAAAGTTTCAGGCACACGTGACTCTTGCCCGTTGCGACCACTGGCTTCGTCATCGGAACCCGCCCCAGCCTCCAGCGACGACGCTTCAACATCCTAGACAGCTCACCTTCGCATCAGCACGACGAAAAGCTTCGACCGACGATCCCGACCCCGCGCAGCCATCGCACTCTATTAGGCATCTGCGTACACCGCTATACTCGATTCGAAATCCTTCTCGCCGATAAACGACAGCGCTCGGAGCTACCGCAACCCACCATGGAGGAGGACCGACTTTGGAAGTTCTCGAAGCCCGAGTGGCTCAACAGCATCTGGGCTCGCAATGCCGGCATCTACGCGGCCGGAGGCTTGGTACGTTAATTTCTCCCCATCACCGGCTGCTCTTCACTGGTGCCGCGCCGCGACGACGCATCCGACCTGCCCGGCGCACAGCTCGCAGCTCCGAGCCCGAGACAGCAACCCCCCTCCGCGCCGAGTTCACCGCGACTGACACAAAACCCTCGCAGTTCTCCCTCGCCTTTTACACCATGCTCGATGCCGCCGTGTGGTCCAAGTCGGCCAGTAACGGATCCAACATCCACGTCAAGTTCGTCGACTGGCTGCCGCTCATCTTCTCCTCGCTCGGCATGCTCATCATCAACTCGGTCGAGAAGCAGCGCCTGAGTGCCGACTCGTTTAGTTACAGCGGCTCCGGCGTTGCTTGGAAGGCCCGGGTGGTGCTATTCCTCGGGTTCGCGGCGTTGGCTGGCGGCATGGCGGGCGGCGTCGCCGTCTTCGTTCTCAAGTACATCGTACCGAGCGTCGGGTTCCCCGCGCTGGGCATGGGCATCGAGACGCTGGCTAGCAACGCCCTGGTAGGCTTCAGGTATGTCATTTTCGCCCTACGGCATGGCTGTCTTGCTCAGCCGAATAACGGCTAACCACTTCGCAGCTCCGTCGTGCTTTGGATTACCCAGAATATGGAGGACGAGTACTCGTACAACCTGTCGCTCTGAACGCGATAAAATGACAGAAACCCCTGAGCCTCTATGCGCAATGGGCATACTTAATACGACTCTCTTCAAAGGAAATGGCCGCTGCTTTTCTTTGAGAACTGTGTACTAGTACAGCTAGCTGTATGTGATTCGGTTGGCCCGACTTGAATAGTTTTAGCATAGTTTTTTTTTACAACATGAAAGCGTTGACGTTTGCAATGGCCATTCGAGAAAACTATTCTCTATCGACCGTCAAATAAGCTTCCTTTGATATGCTTGACAAGCTCGATTTCCACATGCTCAGTCATGCCCCACCAAGCTGCCCGCCATCCACCTGAAGGGATACAGGATTGTTAGCGCCGTGCAGCCTGTAAGACAAGAGCAAGCACCCCTTGCTAATTTTTATCAGGTCTAGATTTCACCATCTGCATTTCATCATCACAACCTTGAAGATACCCAGTATATACGAGAGAAGCAGTGCCAGCCATGAATGATCGTGGTCGCAACGTGAATGGCTCCTCCCACCACCCCCCGCCCCCGCTGCAGCGCACACGGCTCGGCGCACCAAGCGCAGCCTCCGCGCCGGCATACCAGGCGCCACCGGCCGCCTCCTCGCGGGACCGGACGAACCTCTTCCGCAGCCATCTGATCAGGCGACCTACGGGGGCCGCCGCCAACGGGACGAGCAGCAGCGCGTCCTCGTTTTCCGCGACTGCCGCAGCAGCAACGGCGGCGGCTGCGGCGGCGGCGGCGGCGCTGGCGACTCACCCTGACACGGCGCGCCTGGCGGCGGCAGAGGAGCAGCAGCGCATGGCGGAGATGTGCGAGATCGTGGTGCGCAACCAGAACGGGGACATTGACCTCGAGGGCGCGCCGGTGCTGCCGTTTGACGACATTGACGAGATGGCGCTGGATGCCAGACAAGAAACAGAGCGTATGTCGTCCTGTCTAGTTAAGTTTATTGTGTGCTAACGTCAAGTATAGAAGAGCGGCAGAGGCTGGCAGAAGCTGTTGTACAGCATCGGATTAACTACACTGCAGTTCCTGATCAGCCCGAAGGTACAGCGTGTTTCTACAAACTGTGTTGCGCCCAAGTCTAACTTCAGCAGAACTACTGGAAGCAGTTCGAGCGAGTCTACGTGCTAAAGTTGACGCTTTGGCTGAAGACAACTGGATGTTTGAACCGGAAGAGCAGCCGCAAGGCTAAATCTTGTTCGCCCTGCATGCTCACATGCTCACGCGTGGCACATCGCTGTCGAACGAAGCTCTATCATGACGCTTGAATTCACTCTATGCTCTAACGAAAAGACCCAGCCGACCTCTAGTCGACTGCATCGGCCGGGAGTGCAGGTCTCCCCTTCTGTTGCGGTGGCTGGCCGCCCGCGCCGCCGCCGCCACCGCCGCCAAACACTCTGCTCATCATGTCCATGAGCGGGTCACTCTGCGCCGGCCTCGGGGCGCTGAAGTACTTCTCCTCAATCCTCTCCAGCGCCTCGTCCCAGTCGCCGCCCTCGACCTCGTTAATCTGCGCCGTGTAGTTGGACTTGAGCTTGAGAAACATCTTGCGCGCGCCGCGCTGCACCGTCAGCAGCAGCAGGCCCAGAAAGTTGAGCAGCGGCAGGTCCGAGAACACATGCAGCACCTCCGCACCCGAGCCCGGTGGCGCTGGCACGTCCTCTACAGTCAGATTAGGGTGGTCTGCGCGTAGCGTGTCGACGAACAGCCGATAGCAGGTGTTCGCGTCGCGCACGTTGCCGACTAGCAGGTTCGGCAGGACGGCGCGTGCGGCGTACCACGCCGCGCGCTCGACCGACTCCTTGCCCGACTCCTTGTACCACGCGTACTCCATCCTGAAGAGCACCCCGGCCGATTTTTCTGTGCCGCGGATCAGGTGCTTCTCAGCCTCGTCCGTGTTGTGCTCTGCGGCGTAGAGCGAGCCGACCTCGTGGTGCAGTTCGGGGTCGTTAGCCGACCACCTGGACGAGTTTAGTTAGCATCACAGGATAGATATCAATAGGAGAATCAAATTTTAGCCTCCAATCACATACCCCAACATCTTTTTGATAAATTCATTGCGCGTGGGCTCCTCGCTGTCAAAGAAGCGCAGCAGGGTGCATAGCCGTCCATTGTTCTTCTCGTTCGGCTTGAGCCCGGCCTGCTTGTAGACGTCGACCAGCTGGTTGCACAAGTCGCCGCCGCTGCCACCGTTACCGGCCTTGAGGAGCGCCTGGGCTACGCTGTAGAGAATGTCGACGGCCGCCGTCCAGTCCTTCTTGTGGATGTAGCGGATGGCCTTGGAGTTGGCGTCCTGATGTGCTTTGTAGTAGTCGCCGGCGGCAATCGTTTCCAGCAACCCAGCCACGATACGGTCGACCTTGCTTGCCATGGTGTCGTGCTTCCGTCGCGTTGTGTGTATCCGCGAGTCGAACCGAGTGCAGCTGTGCCGAGGGATTGACGTCGAGGTGACCAGGTCGATGTTCGAGCTGGCCAGCCAAGCGGAGACTTGGAGGGGAAGGAGGAAGCACCAAGTGGGGGCAGTACTCCATATCCTTATAATCCAAATTAAATTCCCCACTCGCTAACATTTTGTCCTGCGCGGATAGTGTAGTGGTTAGCATGCGTGCTTCCCAAGCACGCGTCCCGGGTTCGAATCCCGGTTCGCGCAACTTTCCTCTACGCTGCGTACTGCATTGTTTTTTTGCCTCTTCCTTTTGCGCTCACCAGTGAGTGGCCATTTCTTGATTTTCCTGATGAAATAAATAGACAATGATCTTCTTTGCATGTGCTTTTAAGTGTACCGGTAGATGGGTTGCGTACAAGATTGCAAAGTGGTCGCCTTAGTAATGGTGGTGACGGCACTCGTGCATCGGTCTCCGAGCTTGGGCAAATCAGAGGTCCCGTAAACCATGCGTAATCACAATCTCGCCTTTTACACACGCAGAAGCAGGCCGACAACCATGCCGCAACGACTCATGCTGCGGCAATTGACACGCCAGACGTGGCAGCTTGTCAATAGGACCTCGCTTGCTGCGGTGCCAGCCCGCCGTGCCTTTGCCTCCAAGCCGCCGCTGCCGACGGTGCCGACATGCCCGTCGCCAACGTGCGAGTGTGCAGAGATGCCGGTGATGCCAGAAGGCCTCGAGATCGACCACAAGAGCCCAATGAATGGCGTAATCGCGGGGTATGCGGAGCAGGTGCTCATCTGCACTGGCAAGGATGACTGGCCTTCCAAGATTGAGGAGGAGAACGGCGGAGACAATCTGGCTGCTGATTTGAAGGAACTGTTTGGCCGGGGCGGCACATATGCCGATGTAAGTCGATCCTGCTTCTGTGCTCAGAAAAATTCATGAAGTATGCCCCGTACTGACAATTCACAGCCATTCCACAACGTTGCGCTCGTCAACAGCTCACTGCCCAGCTCAGTCCCACCACGGGCCGAGGTGCAGAACACCTCCGTCTACCTGCTTCCCAGCTTCAAATACGTACCGTTCCTGCCGCGCGTCTCGTTCGACCACGTCCAGGCGCTCGCCAAGGGCTACCTGCTGCCCGAGAAGCTGCACTCCGCCCACGGCGGGCTCTCGCCCGTGCATCGCGACATCCTCACTCGCAACGACGCGTATCAGAGCCTTCTGCCCGGCGTCCAGGACGTGAACGATATCCTCGTCCTAATCTGCGGCCACGGCGGGCGCGACATGCGTTGCGGCATCCTCGGCCCGCTCCTGCGCGACGAGTTCGAGAGGCAGCTCCGGCGCAAAGGCGTCGAGGTCCTACAAGGGCCGGTGCAGGTACAGGCCGACGCGGAGGCGCCGCGGCTGGAGGGTGTTGCTGGTCCGTCAAAGGACACGGCGAGAATTGAGGTCATTAGCCACATTGGCGGGCACAAGTTTGCGGGCAACATCATCATTTACATTCCTCCGGGAAAGAAAATGGCAGATGGGTCGCCGCATCGCTTCGCAGGCCACGGTCTATGGTATGGCCGTGTTGAGCCAAAGCACGTGGAGGGTCTTATTGAAGAGACGATAGTCAAGGGGAACATTGTAGCGGACATGTTTAGAGGCGGCATCGACCCTCAGAGGCGCATCTTGAGGATATAAGGGCTTAGATGTATTTTTAGAACCATTGTATCATATATAGACAGACTCTTGGCTTGGCCATTAGAGATGCCCATCTTCAACTTATATATGTACCTATAGAGCTAGTGATTCTGCCCCAGGGGCGTCCATACTCCTTTTGTATTATCCCTACTGATAGCTTCCGCCACATGAGGTGGTGCCTCAGCAACATGGGGCGTGCCATCCAGCCAACGCTTCTCTTCCTCGCTGCTTTCTCTACCTAGAATTGCATTACGGTACGGGTATCGCCCGAAGCGCTCAATGATGGGCCAGTGGGCGTCGAGAATCATGCACCACCAAAAGATCCAGGGATCGCGATCCATACCGCCATCTGCGTTCCTCGGCGGTCCGACCTTGCACATCTCGCACAGAAACGCCAAGCCGTCCTTGAGCAGTGCCTCCCTCGTCGCGCGGTACGGATTCTCGACCCCGAAGCGCTCCTCCACCATCTATCGCGTCTCCTCCACCAGCTCGAGGGCGATGCGCTGGCTCTCGAGGCTCTCGTCATGGCTGATCGACGCGATCCACGTCAGGCGCGTGACCAGCCAGTAGTCGAATCTCGACACTCCGGCGTCGTCGCGCCACCGAGCCCACGCGCCGGGGCGGAGCGCGGCAGGCAGCGCGAGCCACTCGCCGACGAGCCGGCGGCCCAGCGGCCCGAACAGGGCAGACTGCCAGTGCAGGTCAATGCCGCTGAAGAGTTCGCGAGAGGCTTTGTCCAGGAGGAGCTGCAACCGAAGCATTGGACCGGGAACTCGGGCGACTCGGGCGGAGGTAGAAATGACATGAGATCCAGGTCGGATGGGGATGGCATCTGCCCATCAGGAGCCATCTCGGTGATCGCTATCAATGATTGACGGGCAATCGTCGATTTCATTTTCTCTGGAAAGTCCGTTCCGGATATGGAGTTGTATACTCCCGCAAAGTCAAGAGAGTTGGTCTTGCTGTGGGGGATCTTGGTATCGACTATATAGTTCAGTAGCTCCGGTGTGATGAGAGACTGGAGATCATCGTGCCCAGCAATTTTGAAGTACCTTTAAGCAGTCAGTCAATGCGATTTTATGGCTGATGTAAAGTGTAGAATCTGAACAAGGCTGCGGTCACTTTGCCAGCACAGTTCATACCTACGTCCCACGAAGGTGGAGTTGGTTTGCTTGCTACCTGCAGTAGCTTTACAAACGGTCCGTTATAACCGAAAGCTGTGAAGATATCAATATCGCAGTAGTATAAAAATGAAGCCTATTATGTTGTGACGATCAATCCTTAACTATGCAGTTGATTAGCTGCCTGGTTGGTAGTATGTTCCGTTTTCGCTACCACAGCGGGGGTCGTGATGCGTCGGAGACGACGGCACACGAGCTGCATGGAAATTATTATGAAGGGAAAAAATCCAAGGGAAGTCGATTTTGAAAACCATCATTGCTCACATTCACATAATAGCAAGACACCCTCATACAACCAGTGTTGGTTGTTGTGTTCTGGTTCAATGCTACACGTGACTCAGTACCAAAAACTGCTTCTCGTAATCCCACGATGTTTGTCCTCAGAGTCTAGTTGCATCAGACATCGACTAAAGTCACTTCAAGCTATATCTCGCACACAATTGTCGGGTATGATTTGGCGATAACATATGAAGCATCGGAATATACAATTTTAGGCTGGTTCGCGATGAATGGCCCTCGAAGGATGATAGGGGCCTGCGGCCGTAACCTCGGCAGTGGTTCTGCTGCGCCTCTAGCTCATCCTCCCTCGATACCCTCCATTGCCTCAAGTGCGCGACCATTATCAACGCAAAAGCCTATAAAAAGACCAAATGGATATCAAACGGGCATTAAAAATCAGCTACATGCTCGCGCTGCAAGACCTGCTCTGGCCGCCATTCTCCTCATTGCTGGAGGTACCGTCTACTATCTCACCACGCCCTCGTCGCAAGAGAAGGTTCTGAACCAGGACACCTTCGTCCCTTACACGATAACCGCGCGCGATGACATCTCGGCAACCTCCTTCATCTTTACGGTCGCGCCGCAGCACCCCAATCCGAACCCAAGGTACTTGACCGCCGACCGCGCGAGGTGGCGCTACCCGCTCTGGTCCGTCGAGTTCAAGCAGCCCGAGGTGCAGATCGCGCGCAACTACACGCCCCTGCCTCCTCTGGAAGGCGAGCGCCTGGAGGACGGTAAGCTGCGGTTCTACGTGCGGTCCATCCCCGGCGGCGAAATGTCTACGTACCTTGGCCGGCTCGGCGTCGGGCGGGAGGTCTGGCTGCGCGGCACGCACCCTGGCTTCGACGTGGCCGCCCGGCTGGGCTCGCAGAGAAACGTGGTGTTCCTCGCCGGCGGCACCGGCGTCGCGCCGGCCGTGCAGGTGGCCCGGGCCGTGCTGGACAGCCACGCGGACTCGAGCTTCACGCTACTCTGGGCCATCCGGAGCCGAGAAGAGCTCCAACAAGCTCCCGATGTACTCGTGAGGCCGGAGCCGCCATCCTGGTGGAACTGGTTCCAGCGAAGATCGAGACCGCAGCCGTCAGAGGTCGAGCATCCCATCGCGGCGGCCAGCCCCCTGGGCCGCGAACTGGACGAGATGAAGGCTCGCTACGGGAGCAGGCTGCGCATCCGCGTCGGCATCGACGACGAGAGCAGCCAGTTCCGCGCGTCCCACATCGCGACGGCCATCCAGCGCGCGGACGCGGCACCGACCACGCCCGGCGCGACGGACTGCCAGCCGCACAACCAAAAGTTCCACGCGCCGGCGTCCGAGTTCGAGCCGTCCGGGGCGCGGCCGTGCACCTGCCGGGCGGAGAGCCGTGGCAAGAACCTGCTGATGGTGTCGGGCCCGGAGGGCTTCATATCGCACTATGCAGGGCCCAAGGTGTGGCTCGGCGGCGTCGAGACGCAGGGTGCGGTGGGCGGCGTAGCTGGGGAGCTGCGTAGGAGGAACTCGACCTTTGCTGCCGATTGGCTGGTGTTGAAGCTGTAGAATAGGCGTATATAGTTGCATTCTGTTATGTACATAGGGTCCTAGAATATTGGATATTACTCATACAGTCAATGTCTGGTGCATTGTGACTTGTTGGCATGCAACGTGTGATGTCACATGCTCTGCCGGTGAGAGGCGGCAAAGCCACATGCAATGTAGATAACGACTCGCAGGATTTAACCAATCAATTTCATGCCTTTCTGAATTGAACCCGCCCCTGTGTAGCAACTCGGCCTCGGCCAGATTGCCTCGCGCCCTGCTATGCAGATGCCACAACTGTTGACCCTGCTCTCTTGTCTTGTGCTACGACAGTTGCGTAGCAGTGACTATTCACTCATGCTAAGACGTTTCTAGAATATTGCTCCACGAGCTTGCAACTAACAATAATACGCCGACGTCATTCCGTGTCACCTTACCCTACGGAATATCGCCAAGTAAGATGGCTTGGATGGGCGGCGCCATCCCGGCGCCGCCGGTTCAATGTCCGCAAAAGGCTCTAATATATTGCCTGGGTGCAAGCTGAATTGGTCAATTTGTATTATTAGATGCAATAACTTGATTTCTTTATTCAATAGCTTGATTTCTTTATACACGAGACTCGGGAATGGGACGGATTGAGCGGAATTGAAGCGCATCATCGTAGCTAGACTGAGTAATATCCCCGCCAATTGCCTCAGTCCGTATAAGGACTTTTGCGCAATTGCAACTGCAACCCATTGAAGAAGAGAAGTGGAAAGGAGCAACTGATTCCTTGGCTCGGTATTCTATTCAGCCTTGCGGGCCTGGCTTGATACCCTTTCTGGCTCGACAGCCCGCCAGGGACGCCGACCGGATATATGTCGTGCAGATGGAGGAGCAGGGAGACGAGACCAACCAAGGAACCCGACCCGCGAGCTATACCCAAAGCTGGCAGTCTGCGAGAGGGACTTTGAATAATATTTACGTCGCCGTCAGGGTCGTAGCCGCCAGCACTCCCCAAGGTCCTGATCAAAATATCGGGCCAGGTTCGCAAAGGAGCCAAAAGAAGACAAGGTCATAGCCCCCCATCAGCAATGGTACGGATGACCAAGGTGTCTTTCAGCTTTGCTGCAGGAGCCGTAGCGAAACGGGAACCGAAGGGTCGCCGAACGCGGGATCTACTGCAATAAAGCTGCAAAGAAAGTTCCCCTTCCCCCTATGGGGCTACGTCGATCCCAGATGGGGACCCTCTCTCCGCGCTCTTGAATCCTTAAAGGTGCTTTGCTGTGGACGTGTGGATGACTTCGCTGCCGTCCCGCGCCCCCTCTATGCTCGATCCAGGCATCGTCCCCCTGGATAATAAGCCCGACTAGCTCCAGGCGTGAACGATGACTATGGCTGCATAAAGGCCAAGCCGGGATGAGATAGACAATTGGGAGAAGCTGCGAATAAGACGGAGAAATGCGCACTCCTCCTTTTCTAGCCTAGAAGACTTGGTTCTTGCTTCCCACTTACACTTTGGTGCCACCAGTTGTCAAGACGTGAATGCTACCCCTCGGGCTTCTGAGCCCATCCGTCGCATTTCCGTACACACTAGTTGCATGATATTACCGCCATTGGTTCAGTAGTCAATACATCAGAGGTTCCACCTCGGACTTGACCAATCGCTTATGCTCCATGCAATGCTACCTTGGTCTGACATGGACAGGGCGCTCCGGCTACACACGATCGTACTTGTCTACTCGACGACTGGGCGGAATGAAGTAGACGAGTTTCCATTTCGAGCTGTAGCACTTCGGCGAGACTGCTGGGTTAACGACATGATACCTTGTCCAAGATGAGGCCGGCGGTATTCACACGCCAAGTATATAAGAGCCGTGTAAGCCCCGGGGCCTTGTAGGTCTCTCTCTCAAATCAGATCAAAATGGTTCGAGCAAAGACTAGAAAGCCCATCATGTTCTCCAAGGCTGTTCTTCCCGTCCTCGGTGCCCTCGCTGGCACTGTCATTGCCAACCCTATCCAGCGGGCTGTCGCGGAGGCTGCTGCCGCCGCACCTCAGATCGTCTTCTCCCCCGTTGCTCCCGCCCCCGGCAACGGCAAGAACACCGTCTCCAGCGGCAACAATGACCTGACTCTCCTCCAAGAGGACAGCTTCTACTGGACTCAAGAGGACGAGGGTAAGCCGCCGTGTTCCCCGCTACCCTTCTCTTCAAAGACTAACACGAACCGCATCCAGGACTCCTCGCCAACATGACGGTCACGGCCAAGCCCGAGTACCGCCTGCTCAACGAGCACCACTTCGCCGACCTGGTGCGCTCCGTCGACTGCTCCGACGCCCGGCAAGTCACCGTCACCTTCCGCTCGGCCTCGACCGTCGCCGCCCCCCGCCGCTCCTGGGCCTGGGTCGCCGCCGACGCCGCCAACACGCTCGTCTACGTCGTCGACGCGCCCGGCTGCGGCGGCGAGCACGGCCGCCAGCCATACCACGTCTCCGGCATCACCTACGACGACGCTGCCGGTCTCGCCCACCTCGCCGTGCAGGCCGTCGGCCAGTGGAGCGACTTTGTCGAGGACGCGGCCGTCAACATCGGCGGCGGTGACGTGGAGGACAAGCTGGGCCGCCGGGCGAGCTACTCAAAAAAGGCCAAGATTAGCCTCGAGCACACCTTCAACAAGCACTTTTACGACGCGGACGTCGGCCCGGCGCACATCTCGGTCGACTGCTCCGACTGCGGCTCGCACGGCAGCCTCGAGACCGACATCACCATCTCGACCAAGCACGGCTTCACCGCGTCCGCCGTCACCGCCGACAACGTCAATGTGCGCCTCGCCGTCGCCGTCACCGCCTCGGCCGCCATCTCCACGTCGCACCTGTCCGGCAGCATCCAGATCGCCAAGTTTCCGCTCGCCGAGTTCAAGGTCGCCGACATCGTCACCATCACGCCCGAGATCACGCTCGACATCGTCCTCTCCGTCTCCGACATCAGCGGCAAGGTGACCAGCGTGGTCGGCGCGGAGCTCGACTTCCCGGACGGCCAGTCCATCGCCATCGGCAAGGGCTCGACCGGCCTGAACCCCCAGTTCAAGCGCATCGGCCCGTCCGTGTCGGGCAAGGTAGACGCCACGGCGCGGGTCAACCCGCTGCTGACGCTGGACCTGTCCGGCAAGATCCTGGGCAAGCACGTCACGGGCGGCCTGGGCCTCGCGGCGCCGTACCTGGCGTTCGCGGTCGGCGCGGACGTCCACGAGCCGAGCGCGTGCTCAAACACCAACTCTGTCCACTTTTCCCTGGACGTCGGCGTGGAGCTCGACTCGTTCTACGGCTTCGGAAAGGCGGGCGATCAGCCGCACAAGAAGGCCATCTACCAGAAGGACCACCCCCTTCTGAAGGAGTGTATTGCTTGGTGAGCGGCTTTGACGCAGTGAGATGAAATGATGACGGATATTTGGACAGGTTTGTAGCAGAAACAATTCTATGCTCTACATATTTATATATATATATATAGTGTATATGGTGATGGGAATGAGACGAGAAAATACGCGATTGCAAGTCCCGTGAAACTTGGGCTAGCATTCACGACGGGCTCGCTGTGAGGAAACCTGACGCCGATTGCCAGCATGCCAACCGGTACAGTCTTTCTATATGCAATGCCAAATTATGCCTTGACCTCTTGTTCCTTTTGGAACTGTTCAACAATCCCATGCAAAACAGATGCTACCTCCTGTGGGCGAGAGAAGAACGGGCTGTGACCCGAACCTTTCAGCTCACGCACAATCCACTTCTCTGCACCGCCCGCACCGGCAATCATGGCCTTTTGATCCTCAAACGGGACGGCCCGATCCTCCGTGCACGCAACGTACCCCAGCCTGCCCGCGTAGTGCTCCGCGTCCTCCTGCCACGCCTGCGGCGGCACTATCCCCTTGTTGGCCGCCATGCTCTGCGGCCGCAGCTGCGGAACCGCCCAGTCCGTGTCCTCGGGCGACGTGTCCGGCGGGAAGAACATGGCCCGCGGGTCCCGCGGCACGAACAGGCCCTCCGCGGGGTCGTCCCAGACCACGTACCGCAGGTCGCCCGCGGCCTCGATCGCGGCGCCCTGGTCCATGCCGCCGGGGAAGATGAACGCGCACAGGCAGACGAGGCCGAGCACGCCGCCGGGCAGGCTCGCTGCGCGGCGCTGGCGCTCAGAGAGCCCGACGACGGCGGCGCTGCCGATGGGGCCGCCGTACGAGTGCGCCACGACGATGACGCGCTTGCCGGCGGACAGGAGCGGCTCCAGGACGGCGCGGACGGCGGCGGCGTCGTCGTGCTGCGTGGTGCCGACGATGCCTTGCGCGGACGGCAGGTGCGCCGTTTCCACGTCGTAGCCAAGCTTTTGCAGCTCGGGGACCTGGTCCCTCCAGCACCACGGCCCGTGCCATGCGCCGTGCACGAGCACTATGGCCAGGCGAGTGTTGGCGGACATGGTGGATTCTGTTATGAACTTGTGAGAGCTAAAGCTTGAAAGTGAACTTGTGAGAGCTAAAGCTTGAAAGTGAACTTGGGAGAGTTGAAAGTGGCTGACTGATCGTCGGCGCTGGTGCTTACGGCGTTTCCGAGATATGATGTCCTCCACGTGACGACAGTAGCAGAAAGCCGAGAGCCTGATCTGTAGAAACATTGATAAAATTTGCGCAAAATATGAACTCATTTAGAGGAAGCCGGGGGTTGCATAGAATGCGCTCGCCAGGTATTGGCTGATGGGCAACATAGGTAGTAAAGTGCACTTGCGTCCTCTCTTCAACGACCAAAAGCTGGTCTCCAGGTGCACTGCACCACTACATCCCACGCATGGTGCATGCACGCTGCATCGTTGCGATGTACCAATTTCTTGTGACAATGTGCGTGATAAAATATCCCTGAAAATCAGTAACAGAACAACGAAAGGAGATCCACTTGTGTGCATGCCGGTAGACTTCATGGTCCAGCACGATGCGTCACAACGGCCATATGTGATGTAGAACACGACAAATACATGAACAAGAGAGAGAAAGGTGCTATAAAATGCACAGTAGATTCTAAAATACTTGCCCGCTACTCTATCGACTCTGCACCTTTCTGTACGACGGCGGTTTCATCGTTCTCCTAATAAGCTTCGCCGCGTACGGGGGCACAAGTGAAATAGACAAGATGGCCAGAACACGCCAAACAAATCCCCTGCGCATAGTGTAAGCAGTAGTCCAAGGTAGAGTCATTGAGAGCATTGAGGGGAGAGACATACCATGTAATAATAAACTCCAGGTTGAAATATCCGCCAAGGAACGGCATGGATCCAATGTACATCAAAAACGTGCCCAGAATGCTCACAATCATGATGGGATGCCACGTGGTAATCTCAATCGCCACCATCAGCAGCTCATTCAGAATCAGCACCGTGTAGCTGACCGCCGTCATCTTTTTGTTTTCAACACCGGTGAGGATCTGCGACAAGCCCTGGATCATGCCGCCCTGGTAGATAGACACAAACACCCATACGAAGAACGTGCGGTACGAGAGCGACCGGCCGGTGGTGAGCTCTTTGTACAGCTCAGGATACAGGTTGGCCAGGTTCTCGTCCACGTCCTTGTCCAGGACCAGGGACAGCACAGGTGCGGCGGTGTAGACGGTGGCGTACCCGACCATGAGCCAGTCAATGTAGAGGCCCTCGGGCTCAAACTTGAGGGCGATGCTGTACATGGTTTGGCAGACGGCAATGATGAGACCGCGGTGAATGACAAACTGCGCGAGCTTGGCGCTGCGCTTGTAGCTGTTGCGCCCGTGCCACACGAGCAGCTTGACTAGATGACAGAACTGCTCAATGGAAAAGTCAGCTGCTAGACTGGCCTGTCGACCTTCTTTGCCGACGATGCCGACACCGACATCGGCAGCCTGTATCATGGAAACATCATTGCCGCCATCGCCGATGCAGCAGACGCGCTTCTTGGTGTACTCCTTGATGAGGGTTGCAATCTCGGCTTTTTGCGTCGGGCTGCATCGGCATGCAACGACGGTCGGGAGACGGACTGCCACCGAGATGAACTCGATACGAAAGTGGTTCAGCAAGAGCGCTAGACTCTCGCCATCAATCAAAAGACAAGCGTCTGTTTTGTTGCGCAAAAAGTCGAGGTGCTCTTGAGCATTATCCTTTCGCTTCAGTTTGGCGACAGTATAAATGTACTGGCCTCGCGCAACAAGCTTCGAGCTTACCGCCACACATCGTGCAGTTTCCACCTTGTCGCCCGTCAGCATCCAAATCTTGATGCCCGCGTTGCGGAGGAGCTCGAGAGACGGCTTAATATCGCGCTGCAGCTTGTCTTCGACACCAGTAACGCCAAGAAGCTCAAGATCGTTCTCCAAGTACTGCGCGACAACCTCTTGCATGCCAGTATCGCGATTGTGAATCGCCAGTGACGCTTCGTGGTACCTAGAGGAGAATTCTTTGTACTGCTGGTGCGATAGCCTCTTCCTGCCCACAACCAAGGTGCGCAGACCCTCTCTCGCCATGTTGGCCGTCTCTTCATCGAGCCAGTCATTCGCGACGACGATCGAGCTCATGACGGTATCTGCGCCTTTCTGGTAGAACCAAATATCGCCAGTACCGAGGTCACGATTTGGGTTGTTGAGGTCGTCCTGGAAATGGACAATAATACCCATGCGTTTTCCTTCCGATGTAAATGGGAACACGTCAAGGATGCTGACACGCACCACGGGACGGCCTGTTGTCGTAGCAGCGAGCGTCATGCTTTTCCGGTCACGAGAAGCAAGCTTCAGTCCAACCGACTCGGCCCACTTGACAATGGCAATCTCGTCGGGAGAAGAAGCTTGATATGACGTGACTTCCTTGCCATCTTCTTCATCAGTAGTGGGCGTCACATTGTGGCAGAGTGCTAGAGCTAAGACAACGTCACGAACCCTGGTGCCAATCTCTCTCCTTGTTCGGGTGGCACCAACCGCAACGGTATTGACATATGTTGAGGATGGAGTAATAAGCATACTTTGCGTCGCAGGGTCTGTTGTAGGTTGTACATAGAAACCCTGGCGAACGTACGAGTTGACCTCGTCCATGGCTTCATTGGCGTAAGAGACAGTGCCAATGTGGATCTTCTTCATCTCCATGTCATTTTGCGTCAAGGTTCCCGTTTTATCACTCAGAAGGTATTCAATACGGCCAAGGTCTTCCGGGATGGTGCTCGTACGAACAACAGCCCCTGGAATACCAGGATCCCTTTGGATGAAGCGACCATAAGCAGTCTTTCCCATGTCGAGGTTGACACGCAGACTAATGGGCACAATGGTGGAAAACAAGACCAGGAAGCGCATGATTTGGATGTACCATGGCTTTCCAGGTCTGTTTTCAAAGCCCTCCAGCGCGACGAGCACGATGGACAGAGCCAACGTCAGCGCACAGAGAATCTTTGTAAGCGAGTTGATCTCGTATTCGAGAAGTCCGGTTTTTGAGCGAGATGGTGATGTGGATAGAGCGGATCGAGTATGGGGTCCAGTGTACATGATCACTGCCAGAGTGCTTCCTTGGGAAGCGATAACAGTGTTCGCCCACGCAGTATTGTCGATAGACAGCGCCGCAGTCGTGGCAGCTCCATCTTCTTGTCTGAGGGACGCCTGCTGTTGAGTGGCCTCCTCACGAGACGGTAGCAGTTCCACAGTTCCAAGAAATTCGTTGACCTTTTTATCGGGTTTTCCGCCATTGACTCTCAAGCGGACCAATTCCTCGAGGGGGGTATTTTGGGTGAGAGGCGACGCAAGTCGAAGCTTCCAATCCGTCTCACCATCTAGCTGATCTGTTCTGATGAATGTTTCACCAACGGTGACAACGGCCGCTGCCGTATCATGTCTCTCCGTCGCGGGCTGTTTCCCCTTGGAGTTCGGTCCAGCTCCGTCCTCTAAGGATACCAAATCGCCAAGGTCATGCTGCTCATCCGAGTCGCCAGTACCCAAAGTCTCGCTGTTTGAGCACTGCAAAATGACAACGTCCGCTGGTACACGTTGACCTTTGGTCAAACGAAGGACGTCGCCGACAGCAAGGTCCTTGGATTTTCGGCTCATTTCTATTATTGTTGAGGAAGGTTTTCGGGCCTCCAGCTCGGGGTCCTCCTGTATGTCTGACAATCCAGCTCTTTCCGTTCTTTCGCTTTGGCCCTTTTTAGATCCGCGCTTCATGGTCTCGGACCTAAGGAATTTCTTCGGTCGTGGACTCGGTTCCGGCGCAGGGTCCGCGAATTTGAGGACCGTGTATTGCTCCGAGTTAGCTTCGTTGTCTCGCCGACGTCGATCGATATCGTCCCAAGCTTCCTTGCCCATGGTGATACAGAGCACAAATGCCAGCGGCGCGATATACGTTGTGAGATATCCGATTCGTAGCGCAGGAATAATCTGTGACAGGGCGACGAGGAGGAAATACATGTTGAAGAAGAAAGAAAACTCGTTGTAGAGTGTGACAGGGAGAAAGGACCAAGCGGTATACTTGGCGTTGGAGACCATGTTTGTGGGATATCGCACTGGTTGCACGGATCCGACCGGGACTATCCGCGAAGAGGAGGGGTCGTCATCCTCGGGGGGCTCCTCGTCGTCAGGTCCCCGCCTCGTCCCGGACATGAAGCTCGGCACTCTTAGAACAGAGCTGAGAGACATTCTGCGACCTTGATTGTCCCTTGAGCGACCACCGAGGAGGGGCGCGCCATCCTCGCCCCCTCGAGCATCGTCCTGGTCGCCCAGGAGGCGGCGCGAGTCATCGTCCTCGTCGGCGGCATCGCGATCGTGGCCAAGCTCCCCGTAGGCACGATGTCGCTTGCCCGCTCTGCGCAGCCCACCCATACGCAGGTTGCGGAGGGCGATTCTCGAGGTCTTTTGCGACTTGTCGGCAGGCTCGGGCTTGGAGCCTCGGGTGGGCGCGGTGGAGATGGGATCGAGCTCCTGGATGTCGAGCTCGAGGTCAGAGTCGGAGTCGTGCTCGGGGGAGTCGGGCGGCTCAGTATGACGGTACGGAGGTGAAGAAGGCATCCCGCCGGGGGTCAAGGGCCGGAGGTGTGTCGTGGCTAAATCAGTTCTGGATGGCGCTGTAAAGCCGGCTGATCATGGCTAGCTCGGACGCGGCCACAGTAGTTCAAGTCACGGGCCCCAGCAGCAGCCATGTAGGTGCATCATAAGACGCGTGAATTGGACTAGACAGAGATGAACGAGAGAATCCGGGGTTACAAATGAGTGAATGTGCGAGTTGAGCCAGAATGGTAGGTATGTAAAGGCGAAATGAGAGTCAAAGCTCGTCTAGGTGTCCAAAGTTTCACGTTCGGTGTCCTTGGGAAAGTCGCCAAGTCGCCAGAAGCTACATACGTCAGCCTCAAGGGGTGCGCAGGCACAGGTGGCGCAGCGCATGAATGCAAGGGTGCGTGGCACAGGCTGTGGCACAGGCTGTGGCGCAACATGTGGTTGCAACCATACATCTGGATTGTAATGAGATTGTTACCAGGTATAATTGCAAGTTAAAAGTGGAAAAGAATTTTAATAACTTTGAAATTCTAAGAGTCCTAGTACTTGATGGTAGATTTTTAGATTGAACGGGAGATGCTTAGTTGCCTCTTAGGTGGCAGTACCTCCACTACCACTTACAAAGAGGCCAAGCTGCAAGTAGGTAGGCAAGAATAAATATGCACAACTGATTTGTTCGTTATTTCAAGGTTTAATCAACTCCAATAGTTCGAATCGTTTTAATGGCGAGAAAGGAGATAGTCTACTACAGAGTCTCGATACTCCATGCTACGAACCTCAAGAAGGCTCCCATACCAGAATCACCCTCCTCGGAATGGCACCGCTGTCTGATTAAAACCAATCATATCTAAATATTATTTATCGCTTGGCGCTTGACCAAACTCCCTAAGATATGGCTTCTACACTATGTCTACCTTGCATCTACACCCGTTTTGTTAGGGTAATTGTGTCCAGTATCTTAAGTTGCTGCGTGGTAACACGGCCATTAATGGTGTTATACCGCCTCCGATGGTCGAAACCGCCGCTTAAGAGGCGTATTAATCGCTCATATTCCGGAGGGTTTTTTTTGGAAGATATAATCACCTTCTACTCGCTACAATATTTTTTTAAAAAATAAAACAATGTGAGAACCTCATCCCGCCTAAGGCTCTGTTGGTGATGCGACCAGTCAAGCCGCACGACCCAGCCATTGGTGTAAGCTGAACGAAGGAATCGGTGGCAGCCTTGCGGCTCTCTATTCTGCTGCCACCGTCCCAAGTCACTGTTCCAGCCTCCAATTAGAGCAATATTTCATTCACCCGTAATTTCAAATCAAGCCTCGCCCATCTCGGACGACGGCCGTCCGCCGCCACGGCGTCCCGGTACCATGATCTTCCGAACAGTTGGGCTGACGACGACTCTACAGCTTTAGATGGCTGAAAGTAGCTAGATGTATAAATGAAAGCAAGCCCGAGTTTCCATCATCGGACGGATTGCCCCAGATCATCTGTTTGGGTGTGCCGTTTACCGCGTAGCCCATCGATTTCCGCCACTAGCCTTGTCTATGACGGCCCAGACGGATCGGCCACCGGCCAATCGCTATCCAATCCGGCGTACGTCATAGGGGTGTCACAGTTACTAGAGATGGAGATTTTTGAATCGACGACGCAATTCTAATCAGCTCTGCCCAATCTGGGAGGTCGTGGCTGGCAACAGTGAAAGAAGTTTCGTTGCGTAGATGTCATCAGCCGGAAGCCCGGGAGTGTCGATTTACTAGTGGCGATATCTGGGTGTATAAATGCATGAGTGTCTCGCGCATGGCTACTGGGCTGGAATGTTATTGCCAAATACCTCGCATCTCACATAATTTCTGCGATGAAATCTTTCACCCTTCTCGGTCTCATCGGCCTTGTTGCCGGCGCGGCCGTGCCTAGCAACGATGGCTTTCCTAAACCAAATAGCGACCAGCAAGTCGTGCTGGCTCAACAAGCTGGCGGCAAACTACCCAATATAGCTTTGCCTACTAAAATTGGTCCTGAGAGCACGACTGCTCTCCAGCTCATTGCATTTAACGAACTGTTCGAGACGGCATTCTTTAACTCTCTTCTTCAAAACATCACCAATGGAACGCAGGGCTACGAGGCGGACAACAAGCAAGAACTGATCAACGTCTTCTCTACCATTCTAGCTGTTGGTACCCTTTCCCCTCCTCCCGAAGAATCAACCGTTAATATAGCCTAATATAGCAAGAGGAGACGCATGCCCTCGCAGCCCAGGCGGCCCTGATGGCAGCTAATACTTCATTTGTGCCGTCGGCCTGCCAGTATATGTTTCCGACGACCAACTTGACGCAAGCCGTCAACCTTGCTGAAACCTTCACTGCGGTCGTACTGGGTGCGCTCCAAGGAGCGAATGTTTTGTTCGCCAAAGAGAACGTTACCGTCCCCATCCAGCTTATCTCTTCAGTCATTGGGCAGGAGGGCGAGCAGAACGGCTACTATCGGACAGTGCTGAAGCAGGTGCCGTCAGAGTCGCCCTTCTTAACCGCCGTGCCAGCCCCTTTTGCATATTCTGCTCTGCAACTGTTTGTCGTGCCTGGGTCGTGCCCATACCCCCTCTCCAACATCAACTTGCCCATCTTCCCGGGGCTGATGGTCAACGGCACTCCTGTGGCAGTGCTGGATGCGAAGGACCAGACGCTCTACTTTTCTGCGGACCTTGGCAATTCGACTCAGGCACAGAAATATGTTGGGGGCAATGGAACTGGACTTTACTTGACTTACACCACTGGTCAGCAGAAGCCGATTTCGTTGAATATTACAAACGTCAAGTGGGACAGTGGCAAGGTCGGCTTTAACGCAGATTTTCCATTTACTGAGAATGTCATGGATGGCTTCAGTCACGCTGCTTTGACTACAGGAAACATGTTTAACTCCTCAGATGATGTGGTGGCTATGGCCCTTGCAGGACCTGGTGTTATTCAGGTTAGAAACAGTACCGTGGCGGCAAATGCAACTGGATGCAGCTGAGTTGAGTGTCCAACGCTGCCGACTAATACTTTCGAGCCGGCAGATAATTAGCAACAAATTCATGAATTCGCTACACTCTTCATTGGATTTTTAATAACGTCTTTAATCAAACGACGTGCTGCGTGAAAATTAATCCAAATCACTACAGGGTAAGCTACATACGCATTGCTTCCCCCCTAGCGTTAGTTGTGTAATAAGGCCTCGGCCTGCACTGTAAAATGGGGCTCCGTTCCGCTCCCGTGCCGTGCCAAAACCCACCAAGCTGCGACTCGGGCGAACCACGCCATATTACAGCACCACCTGGCCGCTAAACTCCGACGTACAAGCCAGTTCTCCTTTCTCCATCTGGCCAACTTGCCTCTGCCGTCCCGCGCCAGTCAGCCAGCGACACTGCCTGCTTTTTGTTTTTCGCATCGTGTCGTCGGCATCGCTTGTTATTTTCCAATCTCGATCTCGATTTAATTCTTCATTCACAGTACGCCGAACATTTTCCCACTTGCGCTCGGGCTCCCCTATCGGTTGTGGCTGAGTGGCAATTCCTGGGCCATCGCAAACCGATCGACTTGACACGCTGACGGCAAACCTTCTAGTATACCCCCATGCGTTTCTGAGAGGCTCCCTCGTTCACGAGTAGCGAGAAGAAAAATGGCCGAAGAAGCGCCCAATTCATCCTGGCATCCGGCCATGATGCCCAACCGGCTGGAACAGATCGCGCCGCCCAAGGTGGACGCTACACTCCCGTCAGACGCCAATGGTGCAGCCACGACACCTACGATACCCCAAGTGACGCAAACCCATGATTTGGGCGATGCCTGGATGGACCGGGATGGTAAAGAAGATGACGGCGATGCTTGGCTAGTGTCCGAAGAGCCGACTGCGCAGTCCATCGACGTTGATGCGCCAGAGGCTACCCCTAAGCATCACATCTCCGAACATACCCCTGCTACACTTCCCGATCCTACGACCGAAGCGCAAAACTCACTGAACTCTGCTGCGAAATCTTTGGAGATGGAGCCCGCTGTGACCGACCCGTTTGCTGCGAACGAAGACGACGATACCGATGCTTGGTTTGCAGAGCCGCCGGCCCAAGAGCCTCTGCAGCCTCAAACTGGGCTAGCCAGTTTATCGAGAAATACCGAGCTCGCCAAAGTCGAAGATTTCGAGCCTGCTGATCAACAAACTGAGCACAGTACAACGATGGAGACCAAGGCAGCACCGCAGCCAGCACCGCAGCCAGCAGAGTCCCATCCCCGAGAAGCTGAACCACAGTCGCCTACCAAGCACGACGCTGAGACAGCTAAAGAGCCAGAGCCAGAGGTACAGGTGACACAGCCATCGCATCAGCTTTCTCAGCATTCAAGCTCCATGTCTTTCGCTCGGACCGTCTCCCACGAAATCAGCTTCAATGACGATGACGAGAGTGACTGGGCACTCTCCCGATCCAATACCGACCAATTCAAATTCATGTCCCCAACCGACCGAACAAACTCCTTCCCTCCAGTTCCACCAGCGCAGACCGCCGAGAACCTTTTCCCTGCACACCCGCTACCTTCTTCACAAGCCCTCGACGTTGTTGAAGAAGTTGACAAGAATCCATTCGCCGAGGCCGATCCAGAGGAACCGAAAATGTTCTGGGAAAACGATGGCGCCGATGATCATGCACAGGGGTTTTTCCAAACAGTTGGCGGTGAGATTGGGGATTCTGCTACAGAAGCATCGCAATCTCGCTTCGAGGAAGGCCTACCACTACTTCCAGCTCACGCAGAAGCTGTCGCAAGTGATGCTGAGCAATCAAAGAACCCTTTCGACTCCTTCGAGGCAGAGGACACAGTCGACGATTTCTTCTCCAACGTCCAGCACAGTGAGCCTACTGACGACTTCTTGGCTCCGATTCAGCGCAAGTCTACCATGCAAGTTATTGGGAATACCCTAAACGGAGGACCGACCGTACAACAGCCTGCATTCGACGCACTGGAAGAACACGCCGACGAACATCATCCTAGCCAGGCTCCCACGGATGCATTTGATGCAGCGGTCATGGATGAAAGTCAGCCAGACGCCGCCGAAGCCCCGGCTGATCTCTCCGCGAAGTGGCAGGAAGCCTTTGGAACTGGGGACGATGATGACGATTTTCTTCTGGACGACAGCCGCGTTGATGATGCGGCGGTTGATACTGCTGGCTTCTTGGGAAGCGATGATGAAGGCCTCTTGGACGAAGATGACGATGTGCCCGCTGTCACTGAGCCAAAGACGCCTGCAACCAACCCATATTTTCCAACTCCGGCCCAGACACAATCTCCATCTGTTTCTGCACCATCAACTTCCTATGGGTATGCAGCGCAGCCTCCACAGCAAACACCCTACGGGGGCGCGTTTGGCTATGCCCCAGCTGTACCGCCTCAAACTGATGCTCCAAAGGCTGAGAGCTTTGCAGACAAGGCCAAGGGCGGATACTCTTCTCCATATGACCTGCCAACGGACCTCGTCAGCATGAATGTCAAGCCTCGGAAGAGACCAAGCTTGCCAACCGCGACCCAAGAACCAACTCATCCACCCATGTCTGCTCCTCCACGCCCAGCGAATGCGTACGCGCCGCCTCCTGGGCCATCTGCATCCGCTCCTCCCACGCAGGCGCCACCTTCTCGATCCGTCAGCCGACAGGGTGGCTTCTTTGAAGATCTCCCTGTGACCGCGAAACCACGCCCCGGCTCGCGTTCAAGTCATCGTGCCGCCTCGCCTACCAAACAGTATGGCAACGCAAGCCCGACTTCTACTGCGCCTCCACCGCCTGCCCTGAACCAGCAGTACCAGTCGCCGCCCCTGGAGCGGTCTACGGCGCCAGAGGCGTCCGTTCTAAACTTGGTCGCGCCGCCCAAGGTAAATCCGTATGCCGCGTTGCAGACAGGCTCTGCACAACCCCCAGGGCCGGCCTCCAATGCTACTAGGTACTCTCCATCTCCCGCTCAACTACACAAGGGAAGCTCAGCTCCTCCACCTGCCGCGCCAAACCGTTTCTCTCCCGCGCCTCCTCTGCCGCGCCAAAACAGCTCACCAACTCAGATTGTTACTGCTTCCGCGTCGCAAACATACCTTCCACACTTGCCCAGAACTTCAAGCCCCTTGGCTCAATTTGAGATCCACCACGACAAGTCTGCTACCGGTGCTGATTCTGGCCATCTTGACAGACGTGCTAGCTATAACCATGAACCGAGATTGAATCGCGTGTCATCACTTCCGCCAACGCGGGAGGTCGATGAAGAGGAGGAATCACAGGCCGCCAACCTGCCTGGAGCACCTCACCAAGCTCCCTCTGCTGCTGCAAGATACAGCCCTGCTCCCCGGCAGACCCCAGGTGTACCGTCTAGTCTGTCACCCCAGAAGCGTAATACTAGCAACTACCTGCCTCAATCTGCGCCACACCAACCCAACTTTGCCCCTCCCGTTCGGGCCCAGACACAATCTCCCGGAGCCACTCGCAGTACTCACCAGCAAGCGCGCCCGGCCTCTGCTCATACTAATGCGGCCCCAACTTTTGGTCAAGTTGCTCAGCAGACACACGCGATGCCCGTCCGCACTCGAGGTGCATCTCTTACTATGAACATGGTCCCTCCCACGGATGGTCGCGAACATGATCCACTTCAGCGCTGGCAAGGTGTCCCCATTCTCTCCTGGGGAGTAGGCGGTGCCATGGTGACTTCATTTCCCAAGAGCACGCCGCGCTACACCATGAACCAATCGGCGCCGACGATGCTGAGAACCCCTGGAGAGGTCAAAGTCAAGAGCATGAAGGAGATCGAGCCGTTACCCGAGCAGCTGGCGAAATTCCCAGGTCCTCTGCGAGGCAAGTCGAAGAAGAAGGATGCTCTGGCCTGGTTGTCCTCCGGAATTACCGCACTAGAACGCGAATTGCCTGATGTCTCCCTGAGCCCTCAGCTATCGTTGGAAGCAAAGAGATCTATCGAGCGACTGCTCCTGTGGAAGATTCTCCGAGTCTTTGTCGAATTCGACGGGCACTTGGAAGGATCTCCGGCCGTTGACAAGGCAGTTCGGGAAGTTTTGTCGGTAAGAGGGAAGGAAGATGACCTGCTGCCGACTGGGTCGAGCGTCAGCCAGATGGCGCCACTCACTGGCATGAAGACTGATGACGTCGGCTCCGCTGCCATGGAAAGCATAAAAGACAGCCTGCTTAAAGGCGACCGTGAATCGGCTGTCTGGGCGGCTGTTGACAAGCGCCTTTGGGGCCACGCTATGCTGATTGCCCACACTACCTCACCTGAACTTTACAGCCGAGTGGCGCAAGAATTCGTACGAAAAGAGGTCAACTACCCTGGTCACAGCAACCGGTCTCTTGGCGCATTCTACAAGGTTCTGTCTGGGAACTTTGAGGACTGTGTTGATGAACTGGTACCTGTCCACGCGCGTGCTGGTCTGCAGCTGATGTCTACTGATGCAGACTCGGGACCAACGCAGGATGTTCTAAGCGGCTTGGAAAACTGGAGGGAAACTGTGTCCTTGATACTCAGCAACAGAAGCGATGATGATATCCGTGGGTTAAATGCCCTCGGAAAACTCCTATCAGGCTATGGTCGGGCTGAAGCTGCGCAAATCTGCTTCATTTTCAGCAGGGCCATTTCTGTCTTTGGTGGCGTTGACGACCCGAACGCCGACTTCGTCTTGGTTGGCGCAGATCATCACAAGCAGACGGACCAGTTCGCTAAAGAAACTGAGGCACTACAGCTAAGTGAAGTTTACGAGTACGGTTTGACGCTGTCCGGTGCCGCGAATCTCGCAGCCGGTGCCCCTCATTTAGCAGGGTATAAGCTTCAACATGCGACAGTACTCGCTGAACATGGATACCGTGATAAGGCTCTACAATATTGCGATGCTATCCTCACTTCCATGAGCGCCCAAACTCGCCGATCACCATACCACCACCCCCTTCTGGAGGCTTCTGTCGACGATTTTATGAGACGTTTAAAGCAGGCTCCCAAGGATGATGGTACAAGCTGGATGTCTAAGCCAAGCATGAACAAGGTTTCTGATAGTATGTGGAATCGGTTCAACAAATTCGTCTCTGGAGATGAAGAGGGCAACGGGCAAGCTGGTGCAGATGGTGAACATGGCCCGTTCGCTCGCATCGCCTCGACACCAAATATCAGCCGCTCGCCGTCTGTCTCGAACTTCGAAACTTATGGAGCTTCACCCAACTACGGAGTGCCAGCTTTGCCTCCACAAGCCTCAGCAGCGAACTCTCGATATGCCCCAGCTACAACCCCTGCTGCTGCCACGGCCCAGAACCCATATGACTTTGTCTCACAGCAGCCAGCTCCTGTGCAACAGCAAATGAATGGCCGTACGTCGAACGAATACAGTGCTAGCCCCTATGAGCCTGCCTATCCCAGCACCGGCGGCATTGATTCCGGATACCCTGGCTTCAACAAAAGCGCGCCTGAGCTGTCGCATCAAACCAATCAGCCTGCAGTCTCCTCTTATCATCCCCAAGCATCAAGCACCGCTGCTCACCCTTATGGTCTACAACCTTCTCCTAGCATCACAGCTGAGCCTAATTCGAATGCCAACTATGGCTACCATGGCTACCAACCTACTACCAGCTATGAGCCGGCCCAGCCTGCTGAGGCCGACGTCCCCAAGGTCGATGACGCCGCCAATGTCGGGTACCAGCCGCCCACCACGCAGAGCCATGGATTTGAGCCGCCATCGATGCAGCCTTACGGATACGATCCTCCGTCAACAGAACCACAAAGCTACGAGCCTCAGTCGACACAATCGCAAGGCTACGAGCCGCCATCAGCGGAGCCGCAAGGCTATGAGCCTCCTTCTGGCCACTTCCAGGGATACGAAGCACCATCGATCCAGTCTTACGGCTATGAGCCTCCCTCGTACCAGCCCGATATGAACAATGATGCCGAAGACGCCGCGCCCAAATCAAAGAAGAAAAGCTTCATGGACGATGACCAGGATGTCATCCCAGCTCTGAAGGCCGCAGATGGCAAGTCCAAGGCTGATTTAGATCGCGAAAATCAAGAAATGTTCAAGAAGGTTGCGGAAGAAGAAGCCAAACGAGCTGCAGAAGCAGCCGCAGCCAAGAAGTCAGGCGGCTGGGGCTTCGGTGGCTGGTTCGGTGGCTCCAAGAAAGCGGAACTTGGAAGCGGCGAGGCATCACCTCAGAAGGCCATCAAGGCTAAGCTGGGAGAATCTAACAGCTTTGTGTACGACCCTGACCTGAAGCGGTGGATCAACAAGAAGGCTGGCGCCGAGCAGACTGAGGCTCCCAAGGCCGCGCCGCCTCCGCCGAGAGGTGGTGCGCCTCGCTCCGTCAGCGGTACGCCTCCCCCGAGTGCTATTGGCCCGCCTACCGGAGTCCTGGCACGGTCCGCGTCAACCTCCAATCTCAAGGCGGGCACCATGCCGCCCCCTACCAGTGGCCTGGGGATCAGCGCTCCGCCGCTCATGATGCGCTCCGACTCCAACGCCAGCGGTGGCGGCGCGCCGACGCCGCCTAGTGGGCCGCCGAGCCGTCCGGCCACGAGCATCAGCAACGCCAGTAGTATTGACGATTTGCTGGGCGCCGCTGGACCGCGCAAGGCTGCGGGCAAGAAACCTCGCAAGAGTGGCCGCTACGTGGACGTCATGGCCAAATAAAGGATGTGACAAAGAACAGAAACGAACGGAGAAGGCAAGGTATTGAAATGAAGGAATGAAGGAATGAAGGGAAAGGATGGAAGGTTCAAATCGAAAACATTACCGGATTATTAATCATGAAGCGGCGAGGCATGAGCTTGGGAGTTGCGCATATCTGATGGCCGCATTTCCCCGATCCCCTGTTTGGCCCTTTGTACGACGTTTTAAATGCTAGGGGACAAGTCTTGTCACGCCCTGTTTCTTGTTCTTTTATACTCGTGTATCATAATAGAGTGCATTGTATTATAGAAATCTACTATACATTATTTTGTTCATCATGCCTGGTCGTTCGTTTATCCGTAGATGGTATCGTTATGCGCTATATGACTGGACGTAGTACTGCAGCGCTTTATGTTAGTACACCTGGCCGAAATGCAGCTTTGTCTCTGCTCTCAACGTACCGTGACTACCGAATCCTCCGCAGTCGCGTCGTCGTGCTGCGGAACGTAGACGTAGAGGATCAGCGCGTGGTCGTCGGCGAAGCACGCAATGACGCGCCCCTCGAGGCGGCCGACGCTCAGGACGCGACTCCAGTCCTTGCCGTCGACACGGACCGTGGCCCAGCGGTCCGGGCCGGCCTCGCGGAAGCGCGTGCTGGGGTGCTCCTCGAGCGGGCGGTCGAGCTGTGCGGGGTCGAGCTGCGGGTTCTCGAGGCCGGACCAGACGCTCGCGATGTCGGTCGTGTCTGTGGCGATGCGCAGGCGCAGGCCGCCGTGCATGTTGGCGCTGAGCTCGAGCTTGGGCGCTCGCGCGGCGGCGGACGCGGACGCGCCGCCGCCGGTGCCTCCGTTAGCGGTGGTCGTGGCCTGCGCGAGCTTGGTGAAGCGGTCCGAGATGGCCTTGAGCTGGAGAAGCGGCGGCAGCTGAATGTGAACGTCGGGCTCGCGCACCTTGGGCTGCATGATGGTCTCGACGGTCTCGGGGTGCAGCACCCGCACGGGAATGTCCTGCGTGATGATCTTTTCGTGCTCCCGCCGCAGAGACGTCTCGAGGTGCTCAGCGTGGAAGTGGTCATCATCTTCCCCTGTGGCAAATGGGTCATCTATGGCGGAGACGCGCTGACCCGCGGCGGCAGCGGCGGCGACAGAAGCAGCGTTTGTGCTACTCCCAGCGGTCGTGGTGGTAGTGATTGTGAGGGAGAGTACGGGCAGGCCGTCTTTTTTCGTGAGACGCAACGAGGCGGAGATGCTATTGAGGGCTGATTTGAGCGCGCGCTGCAGCGGCTGCAGCGGGAGCTCGAGGTTGATGGTGTTTGAGGCTTCTGCGGACTGGATCGTGAAGTTTTCAAAGATGAAGTCCATTGAGAGGGAGCTGGAGGCGCGTCAGCGAGTTAGCACCGCCGTGACAGGCAATGCCACGGCTACCATTCGATAGGCTCGGTGCACACGCCTGGGATGGGGTACATACGCCCAGACCTGGGATCCCATGTCGGGAATCACCGTGAAGCGTGCCGTCTCATCACTAAGACGCACCCAGGCAATCTTCTCGAGCGAAGAGAGCGCGGCCGTTAGCTCTGCGGGAGATGTTAGCGCACCCAAGTCATGGTTTCTGTTGCCTGTAATCTTACTGGAAAATGTGCGTATATTTTTTAATTCTGTTCGAAAGCGCATGGCGGATTGATGAACATCGCGTGTTGGTAATTGACTGGTGCAACGCGAGACTTGCATTTACCACCAGTGCGTAGAAGGAATTTTGGCGGGGCAGCGCACTGTGTGCGTTTACCTATGTAGGTACGACCCCAGATGAATTCTAAGTGACCCCCCAAATTCTTTCTGGCTTTTCTTTATTCTTTACCGAAATGATTCATCATAGGGAAGTGGTCTGTCACTTGTCGACCGTCAGAGCATTCGTCTGCAGTGCCTCACTCGGCGTTCAGAGTCAATCATGGCTCGAAGCTTCGGCGACAGGCTGGCATCGCGGGAACGGTTCCTGGACCGTATGACCTAGAACGGCCTGCAACACTGCAAATTCTATAAAAGATCACGAAATATTCAGACTTCTCGTATCGATATACAGCATCGTACCATGTGGGCTAGAACGGCGGCGGCTGCTGGGACAGAGGTAGGTGCAAACCACAACAAAGGAAGTCCAAGCTCAAGCCGCCGGTATTACCTTCTGTCGAATTTACTACATAATATCTACTAATCATTTGGCTCTCGTGTTTTGCAACATCTATCCTTCTATCAATATTTGAACATTTAAGATTCATAGCATTAACTGCCCCGACCAAAATAAGTCCCCCCAAGTCGCCTTCATCTCCCCGTTCAACGCTACTCTGCTTGACAACGCTGCTGAGTCGCCACTTGCAAACAAGTTTAGAGAAGAATACGGCTAGAAAGCTGCGTTAATACAATGGGTTGCGTTTTCTCATGCTTGGCTGATCGTACCAGCGGCGGCGACGAGCAGCCACCTAGGGCTGCAGCCAGAGTTCGCCACTTTCGTTTGAGAAGCCATACTGTCAACACGGACTCGATGCTCAGGAGGCAAGACGCGGACGGAAGAATCAGCTTCCTCAGGTTTGGTCGCTCGCACGAAGACCCGCTGGGCAGCCACCCGTTGCAAACGGTGCTGCGGCCCAATGCCAGCGCGCCGGACCTTGGCTCACTTGCCCGGACGGAGGAGAGGGAGTCGGATTTTAGTGGCAGCACTCCGGATCTTGCTTCGCCACCTCCCCGGCCGTAGAACGAAGCGGAGAAGAGGTTGGGGATGGTGATTGTACTCGAAGATGAAGGCGAAAGCTCCTTTGCGGGGTCGACAAGACGGCCAACCGAGGTGTACCAAGACGGTGATGCAGGAGTCCTGGCAGACCAGCTGTTGACGCCTGTTGAGACTGACGAACCCCGGAGCCTCGAGGGCTTGGGAGGCATCATCGCATGATGGAGTTTGTTAGAATGGGGCGGAGACTTTGGTATTGGCGTTTTTGTGTGATTTCAAATACCCACGAGGCACGTTCATTGTTTTGATCATGGCGATGGGCTATCAGCGGATACGGAGGTCAGCGATGTACAGTATTGGTCGGTATTTGTTCCGAGTAGAATAAGTGTCGTGAAATTCATAAACGCTATACGAAATGCTAAAATTATACAACTGAGGGAGAAGCTCTAGCCTGTTCTCTGCGCGATTATCCTCGTCTTGGTCGCCATTGGGCTCATGTTTAATCGGAATCGGAGTCGTCGGAATCGTCTATAAACCCTTCTTCCAAGCTGATGGAGAGTCAAGCGGTTAGCCTTTGGACCACAAGACGATGGCATCGTATCCTCCAAGCCAACCGACACAAAAAAGTACTTACTCTCTACTCAGCCGAACAGTGCTCGAGACAAAGCCGCCCGTTACCGTCCTCCCAGCTCCCGCACCGACACGCCCCAGCTCCTCGCCCCCGTCATCGCCCTCCCCATCCTCGCCCAAGCCGCCGCCCGGGCCCGACGTCGCGGCGAAGCGGCCCCTGTCCCGGCGCCACGTCGACGGCAGCGTGAGCGTGGCCAGGCGCGCGGTGATGCGGTCGCGCAGCGACGACGACGCGGTGCCGAGAGAGTCGAGCGGCAGGTACTGGCTGTAGCGGTTGCGGTAGCGCCGCCAGAGCGGGAGCACGGCAAAGGTGACGACGAGGAAGAGCGCGAGGGAGATGGCGGCGGGGACGATGAGTGTCTGCGGGTGTGCTGCGTTAGCAATTTTTTCCCTCGCCCTTCTATGTAATTCCTTGCCCACGGGGGGTGGCAAGTGTGTAGATGAAGCGAACCTTGATGCCGGACAACGCGGCGCCCATGATGACGGTCCAAGAAAAGAGTGCCTAGAGGCGTTCGCGCGACGGCGGAGTCGGCCGACCTACGCGAGTCTTGGGCGGAGCAAGGCGACGGTGGACCGCGGCAAAAAGACAAAGTAAAATAAATAAAGAGCAGCTAGAGTGACCAACGCAGAGATGATGTCGTGAGGAGATGGTGTGGCGGAAGCTCGTCGATGAATTGTGATGGTGATTGATGGGGTTCTCGACACAAGCCGTCTTCATGTTGAGGAGACCCCTGTTGCGGACAAGGTGCCACAGGTTTCTGGGGTCCACGCGCTAGAACATTCGCTGCCCGTCAACAACCTTGCTAATATTTTCCACCAACTTTCACCAACATTTAGGGACTCAAAGGACACTGGAAGAATTGCACGACACAACCCAAGGTTAGGTACATAGTATGCGTCGGATTTTCACACTGCTGGGGAAATAATTGGAAAAACGCAACCAGTCAAGAACCATGCGAGTGCTAAAGCAAGGCACCGAAGCTTGTTACCTAGTAGGCAATACATTCGGTCATGGGCAGCAAAATAGATTCCAGTGACGAAGTCAAATTCAATAGAAATAAATAATTAAAACAGCACCCGGCCTAAAATATCCACGTGAATGAGTTTTTCCGCCATCACAGTAGTATCCAATCTAACCAAAGATCCAGAATCGCGAAGGTTCCCCGGCGCCACCCCTTCCGTGTAAGCCCCCAAACACTAACACGGCGTTGGACCGCTCTCTCTATGTCGAATGGGTATTCAGTGCTCGCATCGCCCGGAAAAAACTCTTGTGCTGATTTTCGGTCCGAACTGTACAAAATAGTTTGCGGCAGTGATGATAGCCAGCCAGCATCGGCGAGGCACTCAGGGTGTGACTGTTGAAGCGAAGTCGCTTTTTGGAGTATCTGAGCCGCACGGGAGCTGGGCCTGTTTTTTTTTGTACATGTCACAGTCAGGGAACATTGCAATGGAATGTAGGGGTACTCGTTGGAATAAGATGCACATAGGCACTGAACAGCCATGTATGCAAATTATTGTCCCCGTTTGACCTGGCCACTTTGGGTAGTGGTATGCCATTGAAAGAGGCAAGCTCGTTTGACGGCGGCAAAAGAGAGGGCATTGATGACATACAATGCAAAAGCAACGGTTCTGAGCCCAAAAGCAGTACATGGAGGCTACAGAAAGTAACAGAAAGAACAGAGGAAGATACGGGGGCAACGACAACGACACGACACGACACGACAAGAAATGCAGAAAAACAGAAGAACAAACAAAAGGTGGACGGAACAAGAGCAAGGACAAAAAAATCATGGGGAATGGTGAAGGGAAGAGAAAGAAAAATATCAAGCAAGGTTGCGAGGCCGAGATATGTGTCCTTGGCGAGCTGATGATATTCAGGGAAGGTGCGTCCCGCCCGCGACAAACGCCTGCTCTGTAAGGCAACATGCAATCGGGACGGGCATACGCAGAAATTCCTACATATTACGAGTACTTGATTATGTTGTATTTCTTTTCTTGAGATCTCAACAGCTAATTATGGTTGGAGAGACCAATTTCACGCTGTTTCTATGGTGGGCTCTGCTGTACGCTGAATGGACCGACCATGCAGTGACAACTACAGCATCGCACGCGTTTCTGGCGGCAGAGATGTTCTTGGTTTGCGACCCAAACTTGGGGTTCGTTGAACCTTCACTTAAAGCCTAATAATAGCTTTTTGAAGCGTATTTAAGTTGTGGTAATGAGCATGAGCGTAGCCGATAGAGTAATAATCTGCTAGGGCTATTCAACGCGAGTCGTCGCCAACATCTAAAATTTGGCGCAAGAAACTCCTGTCCGAATGATTCTTGTTGTTCTCTAGTGGTATTCTAGCCATATTCTAGTCCAATATATCCGCTTTGCATTATCATAGGCCAACATGTACGAATTAGTGCGCTCGACGTCGCTCGAGGTGCTAAAGTGGTGAAGGCGCAGACCAAGACGGATAATCATCCGGCCTGCCGAGGTGTTAGATAACCGGGTGCTGCGTTTTACTGGCCAAAACTGATACAAGCAGAGTTGCATTGACACCGAGGGGTACACGTGTTTGATGTTTGACGAGGGCGTAGGTATCGATAACCGTGCGCTAAACCCCGCAACAAGACAGACAGTGTAGTTATCGTTTCAGAGGTTTCCGACAGCCTACAGGTCTGTACATAAGTATGTAGGTTGATCAGATCGTGCTGGTACGGCTGGCGTCTCCTTGCACACTCAGCTAGCATATTTTGTAGCATATAAAACACAAAGGGCACCAGACTGAAGTGATGTTAGTGGACATGTGCTTCTCATTAATTGCGTACGGAGTAAATTGGGCACAATTCTCAATACTACAGGGTATTATCCATTTAAGTATTCGTACTCTGGAAGAATTGATATCCCAGCAAAAAGGCTGGCTAATAACTAGATCGCTTCGGGTTACTCGATCCAAGTTCGCAGCCAGGCGGCAACCTCATCAAAGTGGTGGCAGCAGCACAAGCTCGCGCCTTTGAAGGTAGGTCGATGGCTGAGGAGATGGCAGGTCCCTGCAAGGTTTGCTAACCCAAACAGGCGAAGCGCCACGCTTGGAAGTCAGGGGCAAGGTCGCTGCAGCCACTGTAACGCTGGCCACCACATCCACCATTGCCGCTAACAACACCATGACGGGCAGGCTGAGGAGGGGGAGGTACATGGGAGCCCTTGGTCGTAATACCACCAAGAATCACGATAGAAATTATTTACAACCTGATGTGTTTGAATACACCTGGCTTCGCGACGTTGCTGCCTTTTGCAACAGATCTGACTGGAATTAGGAGGAAGGCATGCTGCCTGGATACCTTAGTACCTGCCTTACCTCCTTTGCACCTCTAACCACGCAGGTACAAAACACGGGGCCACTGCAGTTAAACGCTACAACGGGACACCACTCAACGCCTTGCATCTCAAACAACTACACTTCACTAATCTATTCATGCTACTAACATCGTACGCCCTAATCCCACGCCGGTCTCGTCTTGAGCCTATCCTCTTGCTCGTCCCGTATTCTATCGAACCCTGCCTACCTGGTCTTGCGTCGCATTCTCTCCTCCCCTGAACCGCTCCTACCTACATAGGTACCCTCCGAGTGCCTGTGCAATTTGATGCTTCCGGCTCCCCACTAGCGCACTAGCCACACCACCTGGCCAGCCTGCCCTGTCTGCAATCCCCTTTTGCCGCTCGCTGGGCACAATCCTCCGCCTCAACCTCTCCCCATAACCAAACCGCAGATACTTGACTCGACAGACGAACTCTCCTTCATATTTCAAAGCCTGTCGTCTCGCTGTGATTTTCTGAGCTTTGGGGATCGCGGGAATCCAATCCACTCAGGCATCAAGCCTTGCCGAACAGCAACGACAGAAGATATCTTGCCGTACAGCTTGGACTGCCTCCGCTTCCCACCGTCGACAACTTGCCTGCGACGCTACGAAACAATTCTCCCCGTCATCATCATGCGAGCGGCCCAAAGCCTGCATGCCGTCGCTTCTACGCGTTTCTGATTACGAAAATCAGCCACCCTATATAATACAACCAATTCAAAATGTCCGACAAGACGAGACAGTCGTCCGGCGGGCGTTCCCTCTTCTCCCGCAGCAAGAACAAAGAGAAGCGCGCCGCCGATACCGAGTCCTACGATGCTCTCAGTACCATGAGCTCCCGCTCATCTCGCCACAACCGCGACTCGTCGGCCATTTCCATCGATGGGCTTTCCTCTCCCGACCCCAGCATGGGCATCATGCCGCCCGCCATCACCTCGATCCCGTACGATACCACCGCTCCCGGCTCGCGCTCGCCTATTCCCGTCGACTACCTCCCGAAAGCTGACCAAGTCCCCGTCCGCAGAGAACCTTTGCCTCACCAGCTGAACAAGGGTCACGACTTTCACCAATACCCGACATTCGACCCAGCTGTCGCCAATGCTGGCTCCCACGCCTCCAAAATGGGGCCCCCGGCAAGCAACGTGACCATGGCCAGCACCGGTAGGGTCGCGCAGTTCCAGCAATGGGGCCCTTCTCGTGGTAGTATGGCTAGCACTATGAACGGATCTCACACCTCTCGGTACGACTCGCTTCTTTCGCCCAACAACCGTGTTTCCGACGCCAGCGTTTACTCAGGTATGCCCGCTATTGCCGTCATCTATCTACATTTGGCCCCTAACCAACCCTCATAGTCCAACCAAGCGCATCCTCCCTTAGCTCCTATGGCGTACCGCACCGAGAGTCTCACCGTTTGACCAAGTTCCCCGGCCCCGGCGCACACGATACCTTTCATTTTCCCAAGCCGGACGATGACAATGTCATTGAGCAGATGTTTGCACAGCTTATGCATAGGCGAGGTTGGCACAATCTCCCCGAGCAAGCTAGACGACAAATGATGGCCTACAAACCCGACAAGAAATGGACCCTACTACACCAAGACCGACTGGCCGAATGGCAGGGCGAACAGAAGCGTCGCATGACGGCTCGTGTCAGCCAATTTGCTCAACCAGATGTCACTACCTACTCCGACGAAGAGGGCACGCCTGAATGGTACGTGCGACGAGTAATGGAAGATAAGCTAGACGGCAAGGGTATGGGCAGTCTGGAAGTCAACCTACGCACGCAGCAGATTGGCTGGGTGCGTCGCTTCGTCGAGTGCCAAGGACAGGTTGCGCTGGTCACTCTTCTGCTCAAAATCAACCGCAAGATCTCCAACGCACCCGCAAGTGAGAGCTCCAAGGTTGATAAGGGCCTTGACCGCGAATACGACATCATCAAGTGTTTGAAGACACTGATGAACAATAAATTTGGTGCAGATGATGCGCTGATGCAGCAAAAAGTGCTTCTAGCACTCGGTACATCGCTTGTTTCGCCGCGCTTAACTACAAGAAAGCTTGTGTCCGAAATTCTCACCTTTTTAAGTACTTGGGGGGATAATGGCGAGGGTCACTACAAAGTTATCCAGGCCCTTGACGAGGTCAAAGCCCAGAGCGGCGCCAATGGACGGTTTGATGACTGGATGCGCCTGGTTGAAGCCACTGTTGACGGCCGTGGCAAAATGGGCAGCATGGTCGGCGCAAGCGATGATGTTCGTACCGGCGGCGTCGGTATGGAGAATTTGCTGATGGAATATTCGGTTGCGACACTCATGTTGGTAAACATGATGATTGACGCTCCGGAAAAAGACTTGCAATTGCGAGTACACATCCGCGCCCAATTTACAGGATGTGGCATCAAGCGCATTCTGAACAAAATGGAGGCCTTTCAATACGAACTCCTGGACAAGCAGATTGAGCGCTTTCGCACCAACGAGGCCATTGACTATGAGGATATGCTTGAGCGTGAAAACAGTAGCGTCAAGGACAGTATCGAAGGCGAGGTCAAGGATCTTACCGATCCCGTACAGATTGTCGACGCCATCCATCAACGTCTTCAGGGAAGCCGAACCAACGACTATTTTGTTTCGGCTCTTCAGCATTTGCTGCTTATGCGCGCCAACGACGGAGAGGAACGCCTACGCATGTTTCAGCTTGTGGATGCCATGCTAAGCTACGTCGCCATGGACAGAAGACTGCCTAATATGGATCTCAAACAGAGTCTCAATTTTACTGTTCAGAGCCTGCTCGATAAGCTGCACACCGATTCAGAAGCAAGACAAGCTCAGGACGAGGCCCTTGAATCACGACAGATTGCAGAGGCCGCCATGGCTGAGCGAGATGAGATGCGGGCGCAATTGGAGCTCGGTGCAGATGGGCTAGTCGCGAAACTCCAAAAGCAAGTCGACGAGCAAAGCAGATTCATCGATGCCCAAAGACGACAAGCTGAAGGGCTCAAGACGGAGCTGGATGGCGTGCAAACACTCCGTGCCAAGGAAGCCCAACGAAACGAGCTCGAGACCAGAGAGCTGTACCTCATGCTACGTGACGCCCAGGACATTGCCGCTTCCAACGCCGCGAAAGGTGCCGCCGCCAGCTCTCCTTCTATCGGAACGACCATGGGAACAAATGGCGCCAATCCCGAGCAGATGCAAGGCATTCTTGACCGCCAACGACTAATGGAGCGCTTGCAAATGCAGCTCGAGCGACAAAAGACACAGTACAAACTTGAAGGAAGAGTATGGGGTGAGGCTGCCGGACCTTCTGATCGCCTTCGTGCTCTCCGTGAAGAGATGGAGGATGAAGAAGGAGAGGCAGCCGGTGCCGGTGCCCCTCGCGACTTCACCAACAGTGTTCTCGGCAGTATTAGTCGTCAAACTCGTATCCCCCGCAAACCCATCAACGCGAATGGCGATATCTCTGACAAGGAGGCCATTGAAGAGGTTTCAGAGTTAGAAGAGGATGTTGGCGTTGTATATGAGCGTCCCAGAATTGTCGAGTACAAGCGACCTGTTATCGATCCTCGGCAGCAAGCCGTTCTTGTTGACGAGCTCGGGGCCAAGATCAAAAAGTACGACGGAAGCGATGACGAGGATGAGGGTGTCACCACCGGACCTTCGCATCCCAGCCTGGAATCCTCGGCGCCGCGGACACCTGCCGATAGCGACACGCCCAAGGCAGGTTCTGCAAGTCCTGCCACTGGTGCGCCTACACCAAGCGCCAGCACCACTGGTCCTCCTCCGCCACCTCCGCCGCCACCGCCTCCGATGCCGGGACAAATTCCCGGAGCACCACCGCCGCCTCCGCCGCCTCCACCGCCCATGCCGGGACAAATCCCCGGAGCGCCGCCGCCACCGCCGCCACCGCCTCCACCTCCCATGCCTGGCCAGGTCCCAGGCGCACCCCCGCCGCCACCACCCCCTCCTCCCTTGCCTGGCATGAGGTCGCCTGCGATAGGAGCAGATGGTACAGCTTCGCCTGCAGGATCTATGCCTCCACCACCGCCACCCTTGCCAGGTCCCAAGACTGGTGGCTTCCTTCCTCAGCCCACGTACAGCGCCACGCCTAGCGTCGGGTTGCCTGTCGCGAGACCGAAGAAGAAGCTCAAGGCTCTTCACTGGGAGAAGGTTGACGCGCCTGAGACAAGTCACTGGGCAGCTCACACACCGTCGGCAGAGGCACGTGAAGAAAAGTACATTGAACTTAGTAGGAAGGGTATTTTGGATGAGGTTGAGAAGCTGTTCATGGCCAAGGAGATCAAGAAAATTGGTGCTGCCGCGGGGCGGAAGGATGACAAGAAGCAACTCATTTCTGGTGACTTGCGCAAAGCATATGAAATTGCCCTGGCAAAGTTTTCACACCATTCCGTGGAGAAGATTGTGCAAATGATTATCCACTGCGATTCCGAGGTTCTCGACAACGCTGTAGTGATGGACTTTCTTCAAAAGGATGACCTTTGCAATATTCCCGACAATACGTCCAAGCAGATGGCTCCTTATAGCAGAGATCTCACCGGACCTGACGCTGCCACGCAGACGCGAGAACTGGACCCAGCCGACCTGACGAGGCAAGATCAACTTTACCTTTACACTGCATATGAACTACACCACTACTGGAAGAGCAGAATGCGTGCTCTGGCCCTGACCAGAAATTTTGAGTCGGAGTATGAGGACATTTACAACAAGATGCATCAAGTCATCAGTGTGTCCGAGTCTCTCCGCGACTCGGTCTCGCTCATGAACGTATTGGGTCTCATTTTGGATATTGGTAATTACATGAACGACGCCAATAAACAAGCTCGAGGATTCAAGCTGAGCTCGCTCTCACGACTTGGCATGGTCAAGGATGACAAAAACGAGTCGTCCCTGGCTGACCTGGTTGAGCGCATCGTTCGCAGCCAATACCCAGAGTGGGAGAATTTTGCTTCCGAGATTGGTGGCGTCCAGATCGCACAGAAGATGAATGTCGAACAGCTCGAGACCGATGCTAAGAAGTACATTGCCAACATTCGCAACGTCCAAAAGTCTCTTGACTCGGGCAATCTCAGCGACCCCAAAATGTTCCACCCTGAGGATCGCGTCAACTTAATTGTACAACGCTGCATGAAGGAGGCCCGTCGCAAGGCTGAGCAGATGCAGCTGTACTTGGATGAGATGATTCGTACATTCAAAGACATTATGATTTTCTACGGCGAGGACCCCGCTGATGAAAGTGCCAGACGCGAATTCTTTAGCAAGCTGGCCAACTTTTTGAGCGAGTGGAAGAAGTCACGAGAGAAGAATATCCAACTCGAGGAGACGAGGAAGCGCAACGAAGCTTCAATGAAGCGAAAGCACGCAGCGCAAAAGGCTGCCCAAGCCGCCAGCGAGTCAGCCTCGGCCTCGGCAACTAGTACTGGTGCGATGGACTCGCTGCTCGAGAAACTACGTGCGGCGGCGCCGCAGGCTCGGGACCAGAGAGACCGACGCCGGCGGGCGCGTCTAAAGGACCGCCACCAAGTGCGTGTTGCCTCTGGACAGAAGATTCCTGATCTTAACGAGATACCTGAGGTGGAGGCTGGGCTAAAGACGACGGACCAGACTATTGAGGAAGAGAACAGCAGCATGGCTGGCCCAAGCGGCCCCGCAAGCCCAAATCGAACGCAGTCTCGGGACGGTGACGGCGATGTTGCCGACCGAGCAGCCGCTCTCCTACAAGGTATGCGCGGCGGCGACGCAGACGACAGCGAAAAGCGAGAGAGCCTTCGGAAGGCAAGAAGGCAAACAGCCGAAGAAGAGAGACGCATGCGCCGTCGGCGACGTGATAAGGCTTCCGTGAGCAACGCAGAGGATGTCGGTAAAAAAGCCGACCCTGCCGAGGAGGATGCAGCAACAGGCGCCGGCCACGAGGAGACGGCTCGCGACTCTGTTGCTGCGTCTTTGGAGAACGGCGAGACAGGAGAGGAGAACAAATCCTAAGACGTTTGGGCGGGCTGATGAGGGTGTGTGGAACGGCGGAAGAATTGAAACGAAGAAAGGCATACGGTGATTCGCTCTTTTTTATACACAAAGTACGTAATGTTTACATACAAAGCACATAGGCGCATATAATTTTCCTTATTGTTTGACCTCGGGTCTTTGCTTTACTCGTTGGCATCTGGGGAAACGGCTGAGAAAGAGTGCTGGACTTGGTACACATTTCCCTTGATGTGGTGGTTAGAAGGGTTTTGTATTTTGCATTTGCTGATAGAGAGAACTGGACGGTTGGGTCGTGTCCTGGGTTGCACTTTTCGACTGTTATACATTTTGCTTCTCTGCTTTGATACATTGCAGTAGCTAAAATGAAGAAGTTGCCTGTTATCATTGAAAAATGACCTGCCGTTGAGCTCTCGAGTAACGCCATAAGAACAATATCGCTAAATGTACAACAAAAGAAAACGAAGAGACAAAGTCCGGACGCATGATGGGTTCAATCGCGGGTCGGACTCAGCGCCCGGTTGAAGCCGCCGAGTCGGTTCATGTACTGCCTGTACTCGGTCTTCTTCTCCTTGCGCACGGCGCCGACGTTGTTGCCGGCGACGCGCTTGTCCTTTGTGGTGCCGAAGCCGCCGAAGCCCATCATGGCCTGCATGGCGGCCATCTCGTCGTCGTCGTCTTCGCCGTCCTCGCCGGCCGTCACCGGCACCGTCTTCTTGCTCTTGGCGGGAGGGGGCGTGGGGTCCCGGTCCATGCGGTCGCCGTCGTCGTTTTCGTCGGGGCGGCCGCGGGGACCTCGAGGCGGGCTGCGGCTGCGTGAGGGGGAGCGTCGCCGGCGGTCGCGGCCTCCTCCTGCTGAAAGGGTTAGCAGTTTGTTTGAGACTGATGATTACGGAGGGAGAGAGGGAGCTGGGGAAAGGGGGGGGAGAGGAGAGAAAGGAACGGTACCTCTACGATTGTAGCCGTCGTCGTCATTGTCGTAGTCTCGGCGGCGGTAGTCGTCGTTACGCCGTGATCTGTAGTCGCCGTCTCGTCTGCCGTCGCCGCCTCCTCCTCCACGACCGCCTCCTCCTCCACGTCCGCCTCGTCCTCCTCGGCCACGACCACCACGACCGTCGGCATCGCGTTCTCCGTGCTCGCGGTAGTTGTTGCGACGATCGGGGGAGCGGGAGCGGTCGTCGGCGCGCCCGCCGCGGTCTCGCGACCTCGAACGGTAGTTGCTGCGTCGGCCGCCGCCGCCGCCACCACCACGAGGTCCGTCGTCGCGCCGGTCGGGGGCGTCCCAGTCGCGACGGGTATTGGGTCGACGGTCTCGTCGCTGATCGGACATGGTGGTGAGGTTTGATCTGATTCCCGATATCGCTGTTGCGGGTTTGGGACGGGTGCGATTTTGAGAGGGAGAGGCTGGGCAGATGATGATGGTCTGGAGACTTGGATGGGCCCGATCTGAAGCTGTTGGGTGCGATCAGCTTTTTCGGCCCCCACTACCCGAAGGCTGGTGTAAGTCCAACTAAACAGACCATTCAATATCACACTTCAGAAGAAGGCGATAATGCAAAATAGGATGGCCAAGATTACGGTATTATTCATTAAGCATTTCAGTGTATGGATGACGCAATGAAAATGTTTAAGCCGTTTTCGTTGTGCTAATGACCGGTGTAGAATTGCTTCGGTAGCGGGCTGCCCCGAAGCCCTTCACTAGCGACCATGGAACATTTCAGCCCGAAGCATCTGATATTTTCTGGGACTTTCAAGACATTTTAGTCGGTAATACCGAATTTAAAAAACTTGTCTCATGCAATCAAGCAAAATCTACGCCCATAACAAGATTAGAGGTGTCGCGTCTTGTTTCTCGTGCGGAAGTCTTCTCTGCCCCGTCAAATGGCCCCGATGAGTCTCTGATTGAAGATTCGACCGCATCGGAGAAACAGCAAATTTGTGACTTGAAAAAAAATTCAGCCTCGTGAGCAAGTTCTGCGACCTGCATGTACGTAGAAGAACCTACCCGACCCCTCTGCCGGTGCTGCACCCCCGCTTCATTGGGATACTTGGTATTTCATCTTTCGCGAGCGGGAGACGGAACGAAATTCGAATAGGTCGCGAGCCTCTATTCATAAAAACTACTACTTTGTTTGGATTTCCATCTCTGAGAGTATCTTGTCATATTATGCGAGAATTATTTGAGCTTACGTGGGCGCAAGTCTTCCGCTACCTCTCGTTTGCCGCTCTCCTGGCCTTGATCAAATTCATCAGCACCTGTATCTACAATGTCACGCTCCACCCGCTTGCCAGGATTCCAGGCTCACGACTGGCTGCAATGACAAGTCTGTATGAATTCTGGTTTGATGTCGTTTGTGACGGCACCTATATATGGGAAATCAAGCGTATGCATGCGAAATATGGCAAGTTGTCCCTCCATTACTGCTCCGGCGAACCCATTCTCACGCGTCCAGGACCCATCATACGGGTGAATCCTCGCGAGATCCACATCAAAGACTCGGAATACTACAGCACCATCTACACGGGAAGTGCACGCAGAGTCGACAAGGACCCCGCAGCCGTTGGTGCCCTCGCCTTGCGGACGGCGGCGGCGGCCACCATCGATCATGACCTCCATCATGCCCGGCGAGGATACCTGAAGCCGTACTTCTCCAAGCGCGCCATCGCGTGCATGGAGCATGCCATCTATTCGCACATTGACAAGCTCTGCCAACGCGCCGCGTCATTCATGGAAAACGACGCGGTCATGGCCCTGGACCCGGCCTTTGCTGCTCTGACCGCGGATATCATCACGGAGCGACTGTACGGCGAGACCCTCCAGTACTTGGACATACCAGACTTCAGGACGCCCATTGCCGAGGGTTTCCTTGGCATCGATTTGATGTACCATTTCACTCGCTTCTTCCCCGGCGTGGTTAAACTTTTCAAGAAGATGCCGACCGCGATTGTCCGCAGGATCTCGCCGGCGGTGGCTGAGCTGCTGGCGCTGCAAGAAGGAATCAAGCAGAACATTTTGCAGACTCTCAAGACACAGGAAGGGCGAGACTCTGATTGCATCATCGTGTCCGCCGCTGGTGACTCGGAAATCCCTGCCGCGGAGCGGCAGATCGACAGGCTGATGGACGAGGGCGCGTCGTTGACGATCGCAGGGACCGAGACTACAGCGCGAGCGTTAAGTGTGGGCATGTTCCATCTCCTGAGCGACAAGCGGCACCTGCTCAAACTTCATGAGGAGCTCCGATCCTTGCCATCTCCGCCGAACAGGGAGTACCCCTTTGCCCAACTTGAGCCCTTGCCGTACCTGGTATGACCATCTGCCCCGGACTGGAGCTCTGCCGTGAAAGCTGACGTGGAAGTAGACTGGTGTCGTCTACGAAAGCTGCCGCCTCTCGTTTGGGCCCATCAATAGGTCACCGCGAGTGGCGACTCACGAATCTCTTCAGTATGGAGTCTACACCATTCCCCCAGGAGTAAGTGGCACTGATTGCATCGAAATTTTGGTGTTATGCGCTGACTGATGTACTTACTACTGCTGTGTCAAGACCCCCGTGAGCCAGTCTACTTACTTCGTGCACACCGATGAATCTGTGTTTCCTGATCCCCTCTCGTTTGACCCCGATCGCTGGACTCGGGCGGCCAGGGACGGAATTCCACTGAACCGGTACCTTGCCAATTTCTCCAAAGGCAGCAGACAGTGTATCGGAATCCAGTACGTGCTTGCGGGAGACTCTTCAACATCATTGATTGACCGCGTTTATTGCACAGGCTTGCCTTCACCGAGTTATACCTCACAATCGCCCGGCTTGTCACGTCTTTTGAGATGGACTTGCACGAAACCACAAAGGAAGACGTGGCAATCCATCATGTTCGTCTCGTGGGCTATCCCAAGAAGCGCAAGGGTATGGGAAGCATACGCGGAGAGGTCAAAGTCCGGATTAAAAACAGACTCGAAAGGTAAACTGGAATGGGTTGCTGAGCGAGAGTGATGATCGATGTTGATGCGCGTTATTTGCCAAACCTACCACCATACGATGATTCTGATACAAAGATTCGCGACGCTACAACCATAAATTCGTATTCTGAACAAGGATGAATACGAAAATATCCTCGTCTGACTGACCCCCATCCCCTTCCTAAAACGCGATAGCCCGACCCCTGGAGAATTGGGTCCGAAGAAACTTGTCAAAAATATGACTGCTGGCATGTTGGGATAAATTCTGGGAAATGAACATGGGTGTTTCGGTTAACAGCCGGGGAAGAAACCTAAATTCAAGCTTGTGAAGAAGACCCCCCTCCAGTTCGCCGGCGCATTACGGCCGTCTTTATTCGCCCCTGATGTGTAGCTAAAGCGCGCAAATCCCCTAGGAGCAGTTCACATCATGCAATCTTTCCTGGGACTCACTTTCCAATTTTTCCTATCTCGAACGATAGCACGTGCTGCGTGTAAGAAGGCCATGGCTATTTATCCTCGCTCGGACACGGGATAGCCCGATGGACCACACGATTTTCATAAAACCGGGCGCCCGTGGAACTAATCATAGCAAAACTCCACTCGGCTAACATATTCTGCTTGATGCCTCTTTGGACTGACTTGCGGACGAGTTGTTTCAGACCGAACAAGCCAAAAGCCTCGCAGGGGTTAGAGCTGAGAGCGGACACGCACACATGGGCTCCTAATAAATGCCCAATAAATGCGTGATAAATGTCCTTGAGTAATACTCCGACGAAAATCATCCCGCTCGCTAGTTGCCGTACCTGATACCTGTCGGCCGAGCGCCTTAGTTGGCCGTTAGCATCATGGCCCTTCCCGCCAAGGGCAGTTGAAGGGGGGTTTTTTTGTTGCTTTTAGCGCAAAAGATGCGTTGGTTTATGCTCGAGTAGGAAAGATTGCGCAGCTGCGCTTTGATGTGCTCGTTCCCCAATTTGACTTGCTTCATATGGCAATCTATAAACTCGGCTCGCGCGCTTTGGGCTCCGCTGCAGGTCCGCAAACTTTCATCCACTGAACAAATCCCCAGGGAATTGGGCAGGTTCCCATTCGTACGGATAATACGAATATACCTTGCTCTGGATCAACCTCAAACCATGCTGATAGACAATAAAAATGGCAACGCGCGTCCTGGTACGTCTTCAGCCCCACCGTGGTGAGGTGGCTGAACGACTTGTTTAGTTCTGACGAGTTGGGAACTCGAAGCCCTGCAGCTTTAGTGACCTGGATTCGTGTAAAGTACTGCTAGTTGAGATGGAGGGTACCGAATAGAACAGTAGAAACAGAAGAGGCTGTGGCTTTGATTCTATCATGGCGGCCAGGGCGGCCGAGTTGTCCGTGGACCTGAACTCTAAAGAGCAGCCTCGAATACGAGCGTCGAGGCAGGGATGGATCCGCAAATCGCCGCGAGGACACACGGAATCAAGAATTGCAAGGATTGGCTCTTCTCATGTCGGTGTTTTCTTATTTTTGTGACAGCTTTGTGGGGTGCAGATTGAACTCTCTTGTCGATCCAGACCTACAGACACTTTGAAAATTGACTGCTTCAACACAACGCCATGTCGTGACGGACTTCAAACTTTTGTACGGGCTTTTTATTCTGCTCCCATTATTATCACACCCTTTGACAAATACATTTTAGCTCACCTTTCATGACGCCGATATTACGCAGTTTCCGGCGCTTGTCGCCTAGCCGCGAGTTTGGCAAGCTTGGGCGGCAACGACGAGCTGTTCGTTGCGTCAAGCTGCTGTTGATCAGCTTGTTCGCAGGATGTCTGATATTCTTCTATATCGACAACGCGAATCAAATAACGGATGCTTCCGACTTTTCTAGGTTCACGCCCAGTGTGGAGGAGCCCGTGACTCCGACTCCAGGAGGGCATGCTGATCACGAGATCGCGTCAGTCGGTTTGCAGGAGCCGCCTCACAGTCAACAACAAACGGAAAAAATACGAAACACCGACTTTGAACACGCCCTTCGCCGCGTGGATAGTCTACTTCCCAGCGAAACAGAGGCTCGCGATCTTCTGCACGACATCCAAGGAACAGGCGAGGAGAAGCTACGCGAGATTGGACTTCGCGCTCGCGAATACAGCCAGTTTTTCCAGGCCTGGGAGCAGCTACATTTGGTTGAAGACACCGCCAAGTCGACATTCATCAGAGCCGACATGGTTCCGTATATGCGTCGATACTTTTCCACGGGAGTGGACAAGATGCCCGCTGCTGAAGTTGAGCAGACGATACGCACGTACGAAAAGTACAAAACTTTCATGTACAAGTTTGAGAAGTTGATTGCCGGGTGGACCGCGCCATATTTTGCCGACCACATGACACTGCACTTGAACTTGAAGCAGGGCGGCCGGGGTATCGTCGTCACCGCGGGCAACACCCAGGCGCCACACTTGAAAACGCTTGTTCATAGCTTGCGAGATGTTGGGTGCAACCTGCCTATCGAGGTCATGTACTTGGACAACGATGATCTTGGCGTCGACGTGCAGGAAGAACTCGCCGGTCTCGATGGTGTTGTTACCCGCGAGATTGCCCCAATGGTCGATGACAAAGGCTGGAAGTTGGCTGGCTGGGCGGTGAAGCCTTTTGCAATCTTGTTTTCCAGCTTTCGCGAGGTCATCTTCGTCGATGCCGATAGCCTCTTCTTCCACGACCCCGAGACTTTATTCGAGGACGAAGACTATCAGCGAACAGGCGCGCTGTTCTTCAGGGACCGGACACTTTGGAAGGAGTGGAAGCAGGACTGGCTCAAAAAGGTGTTACCCAAGCCCATCTCGCCGGCGGTTATTGCGAGCCGGTATTGGAAAGGGGAGAGCGGACATATGCAAGAATCGGGAGTTGTGGTTGTAGACAAGTGGCGCCATTTCATCGCCATGCTCATCGTCTGCCGCATGAACGGCCCTGAGAGAGATGGAAACAAGGAGAAGGACTTGGTTGGCGTTTACGATATGGTTTATGGTAAGTCGGCAGCCTCGCCGTAGGAGCGTACCAAAGCTAACTGTCCCGTTAGGTGACAAGGAAACCTTTTGGATTGGCTGGGAGCTTGTGGGCGACACGGATTACGCGTTCCATCGTGGCCGCGTCGCCGTCATGGGCGTAGCAGAAGACGGTGAAGAGGCGAGGAAGGCTTCCGACAAAGACAAGCCTGACGCCGACGAACTCAAAAGGTCATCCGGACCAACGGCTGAGACCAACAACAGAGCACCGGCTGCGTACACAGTGTGCGCGCCACAGCTGCTACATCTAGGCGTCGATGGAAGTCCGCTATGGTTTAATGGCGGTCTTGTGCAAAACAAGTTTCTCGATAAGAAGGAATGGGAGTTTGGGAAGTTTCGAGAGTTCGTCGTCGAGCCTGACACAGTGTTGACGTCGACGTGGACAATGCTAGGCGGTAATAAGGCCTGCCTGACAGGCGATGCAGGCCTGAAGCATTCGTTGAGCGAAAATGAGGGTATGAAGCTTCAAAAAATGATTGCTCATGCCAGGAAATACGTGTTGGGGCAAGCGAGATGATGTCGAAGAGGCTGTTGATGAACATTGGGAGAACACTGGAGAGCAAAGCCACCTCACCATGACGCAGTGCAATGTGGCGGTTGTGGCTAGGCAGGCACCAGGGGTAAGTTGCCGTCTCAGGGGGGGTCTAAAGTCACGGTATGATACCAGCAACTTCTGGAATATTTAGATTGTATATATTTCTTTAAATAGTATTTATTAACCACAAGTGCTGAAAAGCTTCTCTTGCGGTGATACTGGCTGGTTGTCGGTTCTTTTTCGCAGCTCTGCATTGCTGAGACTGATCTGCGACACTGATAACTCCATAGTGAATTGCGCTAACGTTAGAGCGTTCGTGTTTCCCAGTTACACCGTGTCCCCAACGACAAACGCTCGGTCGGAATTGCCAATGACGACTCTTGGAATTCGCAAATAAATTGTCGGATATTCAATTTTGATCCGAATTGATTGCAAAGCCACGACTTTCTTGCGGCCTCGCTTACAATAAGGATGGCGCGACTCTCGCATTGGATCGCGGCGGCGGTGGCCGTTGGAACGGCAGTCGCTGAAGGCGAGTCGATTCTCACGGCGGAGATTGGACGTCAGAACAACCAGAGCCTTTTCTGGGGACCATACAAGCCCAATCTGTACTTTGGTGTTCGGCCGAGAACACCCGAGGGTCTGTGGACAGGCTTGATGTGGTCCAAGGTCGACAACTACGGCGAGGTACAGGAAGGTACGGCAAAGTATATACCTGATACTGGCAGAGCAATTATACTGATCGGTCATAAAATAGGCTTCCGATACACCTGCGAGCAAGGTGAACATGCCCACGGCTACGGCTGGGACGAGTTCGACGCCCGCCGCGGCGGCATTCAAACGATCCACGACAAGGGTAACTCAATCGACATCACGACATCGTTTGTAAAGGTTCCCGGCGGCGATCATGGAGGCAGCTGGGCTGCGCGCATCAAGGGCGTGCCTCGGGAGGGTGCACCCAAGGATATCAACACTATGCTCTACTACTATATCGCTCAGGACGGCGAAGACGAACTCGCCGTCGAGACGGAGAGCGCCGAGTTTGGATACACAGGTGACGTTTCCCTCAAGGGAAGCTCCAAGTCGCTGGGTGATTATACTGTGGTTATCACCAAGGGCAAGGGCAAGCACCCCACGACGGATCATGACCTAGCCAAGAGACGCAAGACAGACACTACTCTGGTGCACAGCCTGCAGCTCTCCGAATATGAGCTTTGGCAGAGTAAGGCGGCTGTATTTAAGCTACTCCAGGCTGCTGCAATGGAGGTACAGCACGATTATGAGGAGGACAATGCGCCATTCCCGTGGCAGGTTTACCGCATAGCCAACAACCCTGGTGCTGGTAATGCGCACGTTGTGCAAAAGAATTTCCAAGGCGAATTCGAATTCGACGTCATCTTTTCTTCTGCCTCCGCTGGTAAGCAATTAAGCTCATCGGATGTTACACGAGAAATCAAGCAGACATCGGAGCTGTTTGGCCAGCGATTCTCGAAAATCTTTGACTTCAAAGCCCCCTTCGATGGCAGCAAGTACCTGCAATTCGGCAAGAGCATGTTTTCCAACCTCCTTGGTGGTGTTGGATACTTCCACGGTCAGCAGATCATTGATCGTTCGTACGCGGAAGAATACGAAGAGGACGACGAGCGTTTTTGGGAGGGTGCTGCTGAGGCCAGAGCCCGCCAACAAGCAGCTCTCGAGGGTCCATACGAACTCTTCACCAGTGTTCCCTCGCGTCCATTCTTCCCGCGTGGATTCCTCTGGGACGAAGGGTTTCATCTCATGCCCATCGCGGATTGGGATATGGATCTCGCTCTGGACGTTGTCAAAAGCTGGTACAACACCATGGACGAGAATGGCTGGATTCCGCGTGAGCAGATTCTCGGATACGAAGCTCGTAGCAAAGTCCCAGCCGAGTTTCAGATCCAGTACCCTCATTACGCGAACCCGCCCACGCTCTTCCTCGTCATTGAGGACTTTATGGAGCAGCTTCGCAAGTTCAACGGCTCAGGCGAGGTTAACAAGGAGACCCTAAGCAAGGAAGACAGTCTGCACGACGCGCACCTCAAAAACACCGAGCTCGGCGAGGCTTATCTGCGCAACATTTATCCCCTGCTGCAGCGCCAGTACCAGTGGTTTCGACGCACCCAGCGCGGCGATGTCAAGACGTACGATCGCGAAGCGTTCTCTAGCCGCGAGGCCTATCGCTGGCGCGGCCGCACCGAGACACACTGCTTGACGAGTGGTCTTGATGACTACCCTCGGCCTAGCCCGCCTTCGCCCGGTGAGCTGCACGTCGACTTGCTTGCCTGGGTTGGTCTGATGACTAAGTCTCTGATCAACATTGCCGATGCTCTTGGCATTGCCGAGGATGTTGCTGATATGGAGAAGAACCTCGAGGCCATTGAGCACAACCTGAAAGATTTGCACTGGTCTGAAAAGGAGGGTTGCTACTGCGATGCTTCCCTCGACGACTTCGAGGAGCACACGCTTGTCTGCCACAAGGGCTATATTTCCATCATGCCCTTCCTCGTTGGCCTAATGAAGCCCAAGGACCCGAAACTGGGCAAGATTCTGGACCTTCTCGGCGATGAGGAGCACCTCTTCAGCCCGTACGGCATCCGCAGTCTAAGCAAGCAGTCCGAGTTCTACGGAACGGAGGAAAACTACTGGCGCAGCCCCATTTGGATGCCCATGAACTACCTGGCTGTGAAACAGCTTCACGTAGGTACCCACTAACGGATAACGCATGAACTATCAGGCTGACAAGTGTAGTATTTTGCAACGCAGAGCGGCCCACATCGCCAAAAGGCGCGCGACCTGTACATTCGCCTGCGCAAGAACCTTGTCAATACCGTGTATAACAGCTGGAAGGAGACGGGATTCGCGTGGGAGCAGTACAACCCGGAGACGGGCGCAGGACAGCGGACGCAGCATTTTACGGGGTGGACGAGTCTGGTGGTCAAGATTATGGCGATGGAGGACTTGGAGGGCAAAAGGTTTCACGATGAGCTGTAAGAGTGGAGCGGGCTAAGAGCATTGAAAAGTATATGTAGCATAAAGTGGGCGAGGAATGTACAATAAGAGTTTGCATTGAATGAGATTCGAGCGTTTACCCAGTAAACTTGCTTGACAGACAATTGCGACAGGTGCATTGACAGAACGTGGGGTGCATGAAAAGCTCATATACTGAATATTCCCGTCATTGTTCTAATCCACACTACGACAGTTGAATACAACTGTTCAATCTTCCGTAGTATAGTGGTCAGTATTGCAAGCTTGTCACGCTTGAGACCCGGGTTCAATTCCCGGCGGGAGAGCAACCGCCAGCATCCTCAGGATGATCTTTTTTTGCTTTTTTTGCTCCCTAATAAAGAAGTTTGGCGTACATCCTAAGGATTTCTTCCTTTTTACTCTGTGGAAAACATGGAGTTTTGTTTCTGTATCCGGCGTTGCTCAAAATGTTGCTGCCTACGCCAGGCTGGAAGTCGTGGCTCGCTATGCATGCAAGGTATCCTGACCAAGACCCTTACAATGTGAAGGATTTAGCATAACACTTTAAAAATGACGACGAAAATCAACACGTCGCGGTTCTACTTTGAGTACAAAGGCCATGACATCGCGGACCTAACCACCTTCTTCAACATCGTCACCGCGCATCGCCCCGGCGCGCCGATCGTGTACCTAGCCGGGGACTCCTCCCTCGACAATAAGTACTGGCTTCCCACCCCTCCGACCAGCTCCCGTCGCAACAGCGCCGCGCCGGCCGATCACGACGACGACGCCGTGCCCGAGATATACCACCTCGCGCTGCAGACGCCGCGTCCCAAGGCGGACGTGGCCTTTTGGCTGAACCGCCGGCTGGGCTCGCGCGCGACGGCGCTGAACCTCGCCGTCGAGGCGTCGCTGCTGCGCGAGCGCGACGGCGCCGCCCTCCTCCCGCACGACGAGTTCATCCGCGACCGCATCACCCCCGAGGACGTGCTGGTGGTCTCGGTCGGCGGCAACGACATCGCGATGCGGCCGACGCCGTGGACCGTCCTCCACATGCTGTGGCTCGCCTGGCTCACGCCGCTGTCCTCGATCCGCAGCGGGCGCGCCTGGGCCCTCCGCTACTTTGTCCGGCTCTTCAAGACGCGCACGGAGGCGTACATTGAAAAGATGGTCGCCAAGACGAAACCCCGCGCCGTGATTGTGTGCATGGTTTACTACCCGCTCGAGGCACTACCCGGGAGCGGCATCAGCTGGGCGGACAAGGCGCTGGCGGCGCTGGGGTACAATGGTCGGCCCGGCAGGCTGCAGGCCGGCATCCAGCAGATGTACGAGCAAGCGACGAGGAGGATCAAGGTTGCGGGGGTGCGAGTTGATACGTGTCCGCTGTTTGAGGCCCTGGATGGGAAGAATGCCGTAGACTACGAGGAGAGGGTCGAGCCGAGCGTGCAAGGAGGCAGGAAAATGGCCGGGCTGCTGGGACCCATCATCGATGGGGTCTTGGTGTGTGCTGAATGATGATGTGTATTTCCTTGACGCGCTATGTAAAGTCTAAAAAAAAGAGATTGTGGAATCTCACTCTGTCTACTTTTGTGCTCTTCTGTGCTCTTCTATCAACATGCTTGCTTATATGCAGAGGGGGGCCGGTCTTTTATGCGGCCCTCGTTTCACGCGACCTTGTTAAAAGTGACGTTATAACGCTTCGGCTCCGCAAAGAAGTTGATAGTGAGAGCCTTGGAAGCGTTGCCGGCAAAGGTGAAGTGCGCCTCAAAGACCTCCGTGGGAAGGCGAGAGGCGATGCGCGACTCGAACCAGGCCATCCAGTCGTTGCCGGACACGTGCTCGAGGCGGACGTTGTACTGGTAGAGCATGTCCGGGCGCTCGGCCAGCAGCTCGAAGTTGGAGGAGTTGCTGGTAGGCTTGAAGACGAGGGGACCGTAGCCCGGGTCCTCGTAGGTGCCGGCGAGGGCGCTCAGGGCAGCCGGAGGGGGCGCGCGGTTGTCCTTGTCGAACTTGGGGTAGATGTCGGTCGCGGCGGTGTCCAGATTGTGGTCTAGCTGGTCCATCTTCTTAATGGACCTAGAAAAAAAAAGTAAGGGTTAGCTTGAAATCCATTGGTGCGTTGCATGGTTTACTTGTCTGTTGTGTGTACGTACTCTGCCAAGTCGTTGATTCGCTTCTCCGGAGGGACGTCCAGGGCTTCGGCGGCCAGGCGGCGGATGACGGCGACGCTGGCCTCGTTGGCGTGCTCGTAGACGCTGCCCATGGCCACGGCGCCGAACTTGCGGCTGGGAATCCACCACATGGTTGTGCCAAAGGCCAGGCTCTCGCCGCCGTGGAAGAAGAGCTCCTCGCCGAAGAAGGTGGTGCGCTGCCAGCCGAGCGCGTACAGCTTCACGTCTAAGCCGCCCTCGACCCAGGGTTGGTCGCTGAAGATGCTGCGGCCGCGGCGGATGTCCTTGTGCACGGCCTTGGACAGCGGCCCGGACATGTCAATTAGGCTATGAAGCCAGCGGGCGTGGTCCTCGACGGTGGTGATGATGCCGGCCGCGCCGGACGCCTGCAGCGTGTCGCGCTTGATCTCGACGAAGCTCGAGTTGTTAATGTGCCAGCCGTAGCCGGTGGCCATGCGGTCGCCGGCGGCGGCCTTAGCCTCGTCGACATCGAGGAAGGTCGAGTTCATGCCAAGCGGCTCCCAGATGAGCTCCTTAAAGACGGTCTTAAGCGGCTTGCCGGCCAGGGTCTCGATGACGTGGGAGAGGGTGATGTACACGAGGTTGTTGTATTGGACGGCAGCGCGCGGCTCGGCGACGAGCTCCAGGTGGCGCAGCGTGCGGACGACGTCCCGGATGGGCGTCCGCTCAGTCCCGTTGGCGTTGGAGTACCGCCAGGCATAGTCGTGACGCGGGAGGCCAGTCTGGTGGCTGATGGCGTCTTCGAGGGTCAGGTGCTTGGTGGCCCATTCGTCAGTGAGGACGAAGTCGTCGGGGATGATGTCCGAGATGGGCGTCTTCCAACCCTTGGTGAGCTTATCCGGGTACGTCTTGTTGTTGATGAAGTGGGACAGAGTCGCGCCGACGAAAGCCTTGGTGGTGGAAGCGCCGAGCCAGATGGTGTCGGGGGTGGCCTTCTTGTCAGACAGATGCGCATAGCCATAGGCCTGACACAGTTAGGAATGGAATGAATGGGCAGATGGTCCTGTCGATGGGTTCTTCGGTCTCACCTTTGTAAAGGTCTGGTTTCCGTTGACGAGTGCAACGGACATACCGGGTACGTGGAGGTCTTTCAGGACCGATTCAACAAAACCGTCAAAGCCGGCGGGAAAGCCGGCGGCGGTGGAGTTCGATCCGGGCTTGGGTCGGCATGCCTGGGTAGAGGCAGAGGCACCCAGGCATGGGGCGACAGTCGCCAGGAGCAGGAGAAAGGAGTGAATCCGGGTCATTTCGCTTTGTAAATGAGTGAGGTGCGTGAGAAGCATGAATTCAATGCTGTTGACGGAAGCGAGAGGGCCATCTTATACTTGTCTGCAATTTGCCTCTACCAAGTTGATTGTCGCAGAATAAGACCAATAACCAAGACCAACCCAACCCAACCAACCATGACGACTCGACAATTTGTCCCCATCATAGACCGGATTATTTTTAGTCGCTGAATCGCATGATTCCTGTGCCTTGATAGAAAAGTAGCTAGTTAACTACCATGCTTGATCCCGTTAATCTCCTCCGCTTGCCATGTGCCTGATGGGTGGCAGTGACTGACTCGCCCTTGGATGGCTGAGCCTGCCTTGCTGTGGAGAGAGACCGGCCAAGCCACGGTCGGCGAATGATGTCGAAAGAGGTTCAGACAGGGCAGGCCAATTATTCAATAGATTTGGTCATTGCGGGTATAAACCCTAAAAATATGCATTATAGTCATGGTACGCTTTAAATGGTCAACACGTGCCGGGCAAACCACACCATACCACGGGAACAGTGTAAGCCGTGGAGAGCAAGGCAGACAAGCTCGAGGCGAAACAAAAAAGTCTATAACAATGAACCAGGGCATAGAGTTTGAGTTTGAGATTGATGAGTCGTTATCAATGTTGAAACTATCTCTCACCTTGTATTATTATGACTAAAAGAAAACATTCTGTCTCGCTGTACTTCCTGGTTACCTTCCTCCAGCAACGCCGTCCCGTCATGGTCGTTGGTTCTTATCACGACCACGGACGGCCAGGGATAAGTTTATCTCCGTATACCTTGCTGTCTCCCTCTACTCCTTATTTCTCCCGAGCTTACCACCGAAAGCATAGTATCACGCCATAAAACATTCTCCTGCTAACAGTGACCTCACCGCTCACATATCAAAATAGTAACCTGCCGCGAAGGGGGATGTGAGGCCGCCAATTCCAAGGCAAGCAGCTGTCCGCCTTGATCTATACACAATCTCACGATAATGAGAGGATGGAGAGAAAGAGGCAGAAAAGACAGCAACACTGAGCCCCTACCAAGACGCAGGGAACGGCGGGCGCTTGATCCCTGCAGGCTTGGCACCGAGCGTAGCAGCCTATCAGACTTGAAGTCTCGAGACACCCTATGCTTAAGACAATGCTCAATGCCTTTCAAAGACAGGATCCCCCCGGGGAGAAAGTTGAAGCAACAAGACCGCTCCACTGTAGCACCCAGCTGCAACGACGGTCACTACCGCGACGCATATCTTCGAATGCCTGCGTTAGGCAGTCGCAAAGTCCGTTTCTGTTTGAACATACCGAAGCTGCGTTTAGGACAGTGGATTATACCAGGCACCTGGGCTCTAGCAGGCGGCTGGGTTTCCTCGGAACGTAACTGGGCCGCCGCCATCCAAGCGGACAGCAAAACAACTATTGAGGTCCCTCTGAATACAGTTAACCAGTGTCTTCTACCTGCGGTAGATCTTTTTAATAAGTGACTTTTCAGAAGTTTACTATCCGAAAAAACCAATAATTCCACAGAATAGCCATTGGCACGGTCAGAACTACCTACTTCCTTTCAGGTCACCGCTCCTTGTGTCCTATACTATCACTGCCTTGTCAGAACAAGACAAAAGGTGCATCGTCTAGGGACACAGACGCTCTTATTATCTCTGTATTATGAGCTTGACAAGGCTGATTCGTTTTCGGATTCGACCTCGACATGCTGCGCGCGAGAAATGTAGACCCTCCCATGACCAAGGCCAGGGTGATGTCGCCTCGGCATATTGGACACGCCAGTGGACTTCTGAGCCATTTACTCACTTGGCTGTCTAGTTCTCTGGCCATTGAATTCTTGGTCAGTTTGCCCATAAGATGAAAAATCCCGTCGTGCCACGATTTAGGTCAGTGTTTTTCGCCAGCACCTTCTGGCCGATTCCTCTTACGCTGGCGGCTCTCGCTCGTCCAATGTTCCACCGGGGGAAAGGCTTTCGTTCCCTCCTACCTCTCAGTTCAGCACGTTCACGCCCGCTCACCTCGCCCACAGAGACCCTGGCCTTAAGCAGCACGGCTAGTTCCCCTACCGTTTGAGAATTGGGATAGATACCACCTCGTAGTTAACACAGCTGGCGGAAAGGATGAGGACGGCACTGTAATTGGGAACTTGAAGCCCAGCCTTCTGGCTGTTTGAGTACAAACTCTCTCTGTCTTGTCTTTCCTGTACCATCGTCTCCTACGCCATAACCCGTAACAAGCCTTTCATGCCTTCTATGTAGTAGGTTTCGTGACAGCAAAGAGTAGCCGGAGGAAGGCTGCGGTGATAGAGCCGGACAGAACTGTGGGAAAGCCTAAAACTGTTTGATTTACCTGCTTGATTCCATTCGTTCACTCTAATAGATCAGATAGAGCAGTGACCTGTTGTTGGTGCTCTAGGCTCACACCAGATATCAATGCGCTGTGGGTGGTAGTAGCACCTATGAAAACACAAGTTTGGTGCATCAATCCGCCGTAGAAACAGACATGTTGATGACAGAAGAGCTAGAATTAATATAATTGATTAGAATTAAATTATATATTCTTTGTAGCAACCCTGGAAAATCGCACGAATGCTGGCTTTGAACTGTGAGCTGGAAAAGGCTACCCTATACCTCCGGCCGGCCGCCCCATCACAAATTTGGCTATGGAATCACCGAATGCTGACAGAGCTGTTGGAGAAGTCGCCATCTTCCATCCCATTCCACCACCCACCCAGCAGCAAGTTTAAAACGCGAGCGAATCACCCGCCTACAGATTTATTCGGCACAAGCGAAGCATCTATATTTACCAACATCAACATCCACTTCCGCGCCGGTTTATCGAAAAATCCGCGCCTAAAAACAGCCTGCACAGCCACCGCATAGATCAACCCCCCCCTCCCCGCAATCGACAAAAATATCCCACACGCCACCCATGAGCATCCAAAACGTCACCTCCGCCGAGGAGTTCCGGCAGCTCCTCGCCGCCAACCGGTACGTCATGGTCGACTTCTTCGCCACCTGGTGCCCGCCGTGCAAGGCCATCGCGCCCGTCTTCGAGAAGCTGGCCGCCGAGCACGCCGCCGCGGGGAGCTTCGCCTTTGCCAAGGTCAATGTCGACGAGGCCGCGCTGCGCCCCGTCGTGTCCGAGTACCGCGTCAGCGCGATGCCCACGTTCCTCTGCTTCAAGGAGGGCAGCCTGGTCCGGGTCCACGGCGAGGCGGCGATCCAGGGCGCGGACCCGGGGAAGCTCAAGGCGGCGGCGGACAAGATTGGTGGTCTGGCGAAGGCGTACAAGACGGAGAGCGAGGCGGCAGCAAGATGAAAAAGCGATTGGGGGGACGCAGGAGAACAATGGCGGTTGTTATCAGGAGGAAAGTGCAGTCTACTGTTGCTCTGGCTGTGGTTTACCTGCATAGGCACCTTGGAGGAGGGGAGCAAAGAAACGACCTTGGCATTTGCAAACAAGAGTCTATACCCATACAATATTGAACATAAACCTACAAGAAAAAAAAAACCAAATAATCTGCTAGAGCCGACAGGCCGAACCTGTTCGATATCTTACAAAGTTCCCGCTCTACTTTCCCACACAAAACCTGTCTTCAAGTTAGCAAAGGATCCCACACAGGGAAGAAAAAATAAACTCACTTTTCAAACACCACGCCCAACACCTCCTCCACGTCGCCGCCCTCGCCCCGTCCCGTGATGCGCGCCAGGCAGTCCGCCGCGTACCTTAGAAACTCTGCCGCCAGCACGCTGTCCGCCGCCTCCGCCTCCGCCTCCGCCAGGAACGCCTCCAGGTGGCCGCGGCAGTCCGCCAGCAGCTGCCGCTGACGCTCCGTCACGCCGAGGAGGTCCTGCTGCTCGGCCGGGAGCGTCGTCATGGCGGCGAAGCGTGCACCCAGCGCGTCGATGACAGCGTGGACGCTGCCGGGGTCCTGCGTGTCCCCGCCGACCGCGACGGTGTGGGTGGTGCCACCCTGCGCTTCCTTGCAGGACACGGCGTGGACGTTGATGCCCTGCAGCTTGCCGCGTAGTTCCTTCTGGAAGTCGGAGAGCAGGGCTTGCAGCGTCTCTTGGTCGACGGCATCTCGCTTGTTGACCAGCACGAGACAGCTGTCCGCCTCGGCTGCTAGTTGTAGCGTCTGCTCGTCGTGTCGTATATAAGCATCGCCTGCACCGCTCGTCTCGACAGATGCCAGCACGACCACGACATCCGCTTCTTTTGCCTTGTTTCTGGCCCGTCGTATGCCCTCCTCCTCCACCATTCCAATCTCACCTCCCTCCTCCCTCGTCCTGAAGCCCGCCGTGTCCGCAAACGAGCACAGGTACCCCCTGATATCCAGGCTCGCCTCCACCACGTCCCGCGTCGTGCCCGCCTCCCCCGACACAATCGACGCCTCCCGCCCAACTATCAAGTTCATCAGCGAGCTCTTGCCCGCGTTCGGCGGCCCCACCAGCGCGATCCGGATCCCGCTCCGCAGCAGCTCGCTCCTCTCGCCTCCCCTCTCGTGCAGCCGGATCCCTTGCAGCATCTCCCGCACCTGCCGCGCCACACTCTCCAGCAAGTCCGCCGGCGACTCGTCCAGGTGCTGGTCCTCGGAGAAGTCGATCAGCGCCTCGGCCTCGACCTGCGCCAGGTCCAGCCGGTCGTGGACGAACGCGCGCTGCGTGAACTCACCCGGCTCGGCGTAGCGGATGCGTCCTCCGGACGGCGGCGGGCGGCGGCAGCGCGGGATGGCGGCGAGGACGGCCTTGACGGTGGCGGAGCCGCCGTGAACGTGCAGCTCCAGCACGTCCTCGCCGGTCACGGTGGCGGGCGCGGGGAAATAGAGGACCAGCGCGGAGGAGTCGAGCACGACGGGGGACGCGTCGCAGGACTCGGGATGGAGAAGCCTGCGGACAGCGGCGTACCGTGGCTTCGGGGGTGGCTTGGAAGGGCACAGGCTTTTATATATCTAAGAATGGGGTGAGTCTTGTGGTCATGGGGTACGGACAGGGTCAGGACCAACCTCCAGACATGACGGCCCTGATATGCGGATCACGGCTATCCCGGCCTTTCCTTGCGCCGAAGATAGGGCGTATATGGTATCTGTAGTGCGCGAAAATCCAGGATTGACGGCTTCAGCACGGCAATGCCGCGTGGTTGATAGCTGTCTCCGATAAAACGCTGGCGTTTGGCGCTGGTGGTATGCAGCGGCACAAGGCAAACGGCAAGTCGGACGACTTGCCGCACAAGCAACTCTGCGCATCAGTAAGCCTGGTCGCGGCATCTTAATGTCATCCTCGCTTTAAGATTCCGGTTTCCGCTCTTTGCGACGCAGCCAAGCCGCGCGATGCCCTGTGCAGAGCTGGTGTTGAAAGAGTCAGGGTTGAGCCTTTGGTGGAGCCACCGTGAACGAAGCTTTCGACTTCTGCGAGGGTTGGCGACGTGAAAAATGCTTAGTTGTTTCTGAGAGTAACTCATATGCAATGCAGCGGCGATTTTCTTGCTCATATAATTTAAGGCTAATTCATACTTTTAATGGTGATTTTTAACATTATACCGTCTAGGCAGCGAGTTGAATTCGCAGCTAGCTTGGGGTTGACCGATCCTCCGAAAGCGACCCGCACCCTGCACTCAACCTTCTCAAACCACCTCAACCAGCATCAACTCATGCCTTGGCAAAGTCGTTAATGAACTTGGCAAGCTTTTCGGCGCCCTCCAGAGGAATAGAGTTGTACAGAGAAGCACGCACGCCGCCGACGGAACGGTGACCCTTGAGGCCGGTTAGACCAAGCGCCGTCGCCTCTTTGAGGAACTTCTTCTCCGTCTCGTCGACGTCGCCGCCCTTGGTGACGCGGAAGCAGACGTTCATGCGCGAGCGCACGCTCTTTTGCGGGACGACCTTGTAGACATCGGGGTGCGCGTCGAGGGCGCCGTAGACGAGCTCGGCCTTTTTGGCGGAGACCTGCTCCTGGCCCTCCACGAGGTTGGGGTAGGTGTTGAGAAGCTTCTTCAGGACCTGGCCGGCAATGTACACGCTAGACGGGGGCGGTTAGCATGCTCGGGCCGGACACTTGACACCAGGGGCAAACTTACTCGAAAATGCTCAGCGTGTTGTAGAGGCTGTTGTTCTTGGCGATGGTCTCGTAGGAGAAGATGATGGGGGGGATGGGGAGGCCCAGGCTGCGCATCAGCGTCGCCGACGGCTGGGACAGGCTGGGCGGGAGCAAGTTCTTCTTGATGATGACGACGGTGATGCCCGTGGACCCGAGGTTCTTTTGCGCGCCAAAGAAGATGAGCGAAAAGTTGCGCACGGGGATCTTGCGCGAGAGGATGTTGGACGACATGTCGGCGACGACGATCGGGCCCTCGCCGTCCGGGCCGGGCGCCAGCACCTTGGGGAAGCCCTGGAACTCGACGCCGTCGACCGTCTCGTTGTCGCAGTAGTAGACCGCCGCCGCGTCCTTGGAGAGCTTCCAGGTGGCCTCGTCCGGGATGGCGCCGAACTTGCCGTCCGCGCCGCGACCGTCCGCGACGACGTTGACGTGCTCCGATCCGAGGAGACGGGCGGCCTCGGCGGCCGCCTTTTGCGACCAGCCGCCGGTGACGACGTAGTCGAGCTTCAGGTCGCGGTCAACGGCGGAGCGCAGCTCCTGCGCCAGGGCCGGGTCGTTGGCCTCGTCCGTCTCCGACTTCTTCAGGGCGGCGAAGAGCTCGCGGCGCTTGCGGGCGACCCAGGCGCCGACGAGGTTGTAGACGACGGCGGAGAACTCGCCGGAGCCGCCGCCCTGCATGAAGAGGACCTCGTAGTCGTCGGGGATGTCGAGGTAGGTGGCCAGGTCGGCCTTGGCCTCGTTGATGATCTTGGTGGCCAGCTCGGAGCGGTGCGAGTGCTCGGCGATGCCCAGGCCGGTGTCCTGGAAGTTGAGCAGCGCCTGCGCGGCCGTCTCGAGGACGTCGCTGGGCAGCAAGGCCGGGCCGGCGCCGAAGTAGGTGATGTCTGCTCGGGAAGGCATGGCTGAGGAGGTGGCGATGCTGTTGGGTTAGAGTACAATGACAATGTCTGACAGGCAGGGGCAGAGAAAGGGAGGACGAGGAGGATACAAAAGCTCAGGCGTCACGACGAGGGGCTTTTATGTAGCGTTGCAACGCGAGAGTAACGTATCCAGTCAAGGGTTTATTACTAGATAGAAGCTGGCCAAAAAGGGACACAAAAGGGGAACTGTGAATGGAAGGATGGGATTGGCTTGAAGATGAAAATCAGTGATGGGATGATGCGGCAGTTGTATTAAGCTTGTTTGTCTAGATTTTCGTTTTCAGCACGAAGGAGGGGTCTTTGGTGCAACTTGTGCCCCTCCTCCCCACCTTGAAGGTTATGACGGCATAGCAAGCGCCGACAATCGGCGCAAGGCACTAGGCATAAGATAGAATTAAGTGTGAATTTAGCAGCTGGAGAGTAAAGAGAAAGACGAATGGTCTTCTGATCAAATTCAGAGATCGTCATATTGAATGAGTCAATCTGCGCCTTTGCTTTCCGCCATGCATGGTCCCCGGCAGCTTTGCGGAATTTCCAAAAACGGACATGCGCCGCGCACACTGACTAAACCGCCAACGGGTCACTCAACTCAGTCGCAAAACAACCTCGTAAAATCATCCAAAAGAATAACTTATGAACAAATATAGACATAGAAATTTTGACACATAACAAGAAGCTCCTCGGCTAGACTTGTGTCTTTGACAGGGTTTAGCGTGATACGTCTGCTGGAAATCCCCGCCATGGTCACCTCCCAAGGTTGTAAGTGGATTGAGCCTGCAGATCACTTCATCTAGGTTGCAGAATGGGTTTATTGTTTTGAACCTGGCGTTTTATTAATGTTGCTCATTCAACTATCGTCCAGTCACCCAGGCACACACCACAAACCTCATGCGTGGGTTGAACTTGCATCAAGCATCTCCCAAGTCCGAGAACACAGCGGCGGCGGAAAAGGTCTGCTCAGCGTTGCTGAGCCCCCGCTCCAGTACATCCTGAAAAACGCCCGTCATGTTGCCAATGCTTTCTCTCTCGTAGACATCGGTCGAGTAAAACACCTGGCCCTGCAGGGTATGGCCTTTTTGGTTGATGACGAACTCAATGTCTTCCCTCTCCGTCACTAGGGTATCCAGCACCTGTGAGTCGACGCCCTCGAATGTGAAATCTGGCAAATCGTCGGTGTTGTTGAAAGTAAACACCATCCTGAACAGCGGCGGAAGAGGTGTAGGTTTGCCCTGTTCTAGCTTTGCAGCAATCTCCCCCCACGTTACGTCTTGGTTGGCAAAGGCTGCAGTCGTCGTCTCTTGGACCTGCTGGACCAAGCTGCCAAACGTTTCATTTTCCACCTTGATTCGAAGGGGGTACAGGTTGACGAGTGATCCTATCAAGTTCTTAAGCTCCACACGGTCACGGCTCGAGCACACGGAGCCTATCGTGGCGTCGCCGACTCCGGTGAGGCGATAGTGTGTGGCGGCCAAGGCAGAAAGCATGACAATCGGTAATGTGACCTCTCTTTCCTTGCAGAATAGTTGCAAATGGTCGTACAAAGCATCATCTATCTTAAAGCCTTCTATCTCAGCACGACAGGAGGGTACGGCTGGCCGGGGCTTGTCCAGGCGCAGCTCCGCAGGAACGCTTGAATCGAGACGTCTAGCCCAGTATTCAAGCTGTCGCTGATGCTCATCAGTCTGAACTTGCTGTCTCTGCCAAGCCGCATAATCACTATATTGTATCGGCAGCGGTTCCAACTGCGAGAGGGGATCGCGGTGATAGACTGCGGCTGAGTAGCAAGCCGTCAGCTCTCGACTGAGAACCGCGAGCGACCAGCCGTCCACGATGATGTTGTGCAGGACAATGGACAGAACATGGTCGTCGAAGCCGCAGCGATATAATGAAGCCCTCCAGGCCGATAGTTCCAGGCGAAAACCGGTAGTATGATCCTTCTCCAACACGTCTCTGAGGCTGTCAGGGCCGTCGGCTTCGGAGGAGAATTCGATGACGGCAAGCTCCTTGGGCTGAAACGGCTGGACCTGCTGGAGATGAACCTGGCCGTGCGTCGCGAACGTGGTACGCAGCGATTCGTGTCGCTTCTCCAAAGCATTCAGTGCAGTGTTGAGTGCCGGAAGTTGGAGCGGCCCTCGCAGGCGTATAGCACATGGCTTCAGGTAGCAGATCTGTCCGGGACAGCTTTGTTCCACCAGCCATAGTCGCTCTTGGTAAAGGGATTGCTGAACGGGACCGGAGTCCCTGCGGACCGGAATTTCGCTGCCGATCGTCTCGGCCAGTGGAATGGCAGTGGCCGCCACCGGTCTCAGTCGACGGTGTCGGAGTATGTCGGCGACGGCGATGTAGAGACCGGCAGTGCGCGACTCCGCCACTACTCTCATTGCGGCAATGGAATCGCCTCCGAGATGGAAGAAGCTGTCGTCCAGCCCAATATTGGACAACGTGAGACCCAGCACGCGAGCCCATATCCCTTGTAAGAGACTTTCGACAGGCGAGGTTGGCTGTTGCTTCGAAGACGCTTCCGAGGTCCGCGCCTCGGCCAATTGCTGTGCTGACAAGGCCGAGCCAGCTTCTCGCAGACGCGAGCGGTGCATCTTGCCAGTCGCCGTCTTCGGTAGCTCATCCATTAACACGAGCGCGGAAGGTATCATGTAGCTTGGCAAGTGCTGAGCCAGCTTGTCCTCGACGCCAGCGGGGAGGCGAACTATCTCGGGAGCACCCGTTCTGAACTGACACAGGTCTGCGAGACTTTCGTTGGCTTGAAGAAACACCAACAACGTCGAGCATGCACAATCGACGCCTGGCAACAACACAACTTCAGCCGCAACTTCGGTAGTCCCGGGTATGCAAGCACGCACCCAGTGCTCGACTTCACCCAAGTCGACTCTCTGGCCGCGGACCTTGGCTTGGCCATCCTTTCGGTCAACAAATGTCAGACTTCCGTCCTTGTTGTATCGCACAAGGTCGCCCGATTTATACAGCCGGCCCTGACGTCCGCTGCATCCGGGTCCGCCACGCTGAAGCCACACCGGCGCTTCAATGAAGGCAGCCGCTGTCTTGTCCGGGTCATGCATATAGCCGCGACCAACTAGAGGACCTTCCAGTAGGAGCTCTCCGATTTCTCCAGGTGGGACGAGTATGTTGTGATCTTCCGGGTCTACCACCCAGGTGACCATACCGGCACCCGTGCCAATGCGGACCACGTCTTCCGGACATGTTGCCCTGCAATTCATGGTGCTGTTCTGCGTACACTCACTCGAGCCGTACTCATGAATGATTCGTGTTTTACCCCACCAGCGCTCCACGTCTCCAACTCGCAGCGCTTCGCCGCCGAAGATGATGAGCTTCACCTCTGGTATACTGGCCGGTGACATCAACCGGGCCAGGGAGGGAGTTATGTCAATCGTGTTGGCTCGCAGATCTACTATGCTCTGTTCGGGGTTGTTGTTTCGATCCGACTCTTTTGGCACACAGAGACACCCTCCGGCTGCCCAGACCAGGAAAAGATTGCTTATTGACACGTCGGTGCTGTACGAGGCAAAGTCAAACATTCGTGTCTCGGCGGTAAGTTCCAGACGCGGAACGTGGTGATGCATGGCAGATGCAGCATTTTCGTGAGTTATCATGATTCCCTTTGGCGTGCCCGTACTGCCAGAAGTAAAGACGACGTAGCAAGTCGACCCCGGATGGATTTTCCGACCCTGCAGGTTGTCTCCGGTTTCCGACTCCGAAACCACGTCATCATCAACGACAAGAACAGAGCTATGCTCGGAAACTAGCCTGGAACTCAAAGCCTTGTTGGAAACGGAGGCTAGGATGAACTTGACGTCGAGCTGCTGGACAATGGAACGCAGGCGCTGCTCCGGAAGTGATGGGTCGAGTAGGACAAAGGCACCGCCTGCTTTGAGAATGGCGAGAATCGCAACCGGAGTCCACTTGGATTTGTGAAAGCACAGGGGCACTCTAACGTCCGAGCCAACGCCGTGTCTAGTCAGCCGGGCCGCCAGCACAGTTGAGAGCTGATCCAGCATGGCGTAAGTTAGGTCGCCATCCCACGCGCACACGGCCATTGCTGCGGGCTGATCTCGAGCCTTTTCCTCAACTATTTCATGAACGCATCGCTGGATCGAAGCGGGCACGGTCGCGTTCCAGTGCCATATCTGCTTCAGTTCGGATGGTGTGATGATCTCGCTTGCTGCTGGCAAGTCTCCATCATTCGACGTATCACCATTTACTCGAGCAAGTCCGTTCGTCTTCACAACTCCATTCGTCTTCACAACTCCATTCGTCTTTGCAAAGCCATTTGTCTTCACAGCGCCATTTAGCTTCAGGTTGCCATGCCCTTTGGCTGCGCCGGTCGTCATCTTCCTGATGATGCAATTGCCTTGGTTCTATTGCGTGGTCAGCAGCTGGGCTCGGCGCCTAGGACTGTTGTGCTGCTTACCGAGATGGACTTGTGGCGATAGTAGATTTTATCACTGCCTTGGCATACTGGTGAGATTGAAGAATGAGAAGCAGTCAGGACGGACTCCGTATCGTGAAAAGATGAAGTCACCGTGGGTGTGGCCACTTTGATTTTGAAGGGGAACTTGATGACTAGGGCTCCCAGACGCATGCATTGCGACCTGTTTAGACGATGCACAGCTCTTTTGCGCCGGAGCAGCCGGAAAAGCCTCTGGCCCGTTCAGCTCTCGGAATGCTATGCTGCCAAGGATAGGTCCTGCAGCGGTCCAATGGAGCAACCGTGTGTAACGGCGTTGAATAGGCAGGCCTTGCGAAATGAAGCACTTCTCGGTGGAGATTTTGCTGACCCGCGTCTTCAGCAGACTTTTGCTCTTGGCTGACATCTTGTCTTGCATTCGCCCTTCGCTCGAATGCGGAAGGAGAATCCCATTTCGAACGGAGATCGCCAGCATATCTGTCCTCCACGGGTAAGACATCAGCTGGTTGGCCGCCACCGGGGCATCGGATGTCTTTTTCAGCCGCCACGCAGTTGAGGCTCCACGACATAGAGCACCGTTTACCGTTCCCGTACCTAGACTGCAAGCCATCCTGCCTACGAAGAGGGTGGCCTGATTGCAGACGGGAAAAACGGGCGCCAAGATGTGGCGCTGAGACACGAGATGGACATTTCTTACCTGCACGGTTCAGCTCAGGTCTTACCCCGTCAATGACGCCTTTTCCGTCCTGCGAAGCTGCAAGCCATGCCATGGAAAGCGCAGCTGCGGTGTTACCGGGGTGGCCACGAATAACATTCGGTCAACTCATCCAGCTCTTGGGCGTCGAGACACACGGTCGAGACACACGGCCGAGACACACGGCCGAGACACACGGCCGAGACATTGAGCGATACCGCCTCATGCTGGAATGTAGCCAAGAGCGCCCTTTCGATGCACCGCTGTGTCCTATCCGGTGAGGCAGAAATGCATATTTCCTCATTTTCAGCGACTTAAGTGCCGACAAAGTCATGTCACATTCTCGGTCTTGACCGCTTAGGTACGGTATCAGGAGCAAAATCATGAACATTGCTTTTACCGTCGACCAATTGCGTGTGGCTGCAGCTGCTGCCCGCAACAAGATAGGGAGGGACAGTTCAGTTGGCCGTATACCGGAGATGCTGAGCCAGCATGCTCATCGGTACTGAAGTTCTGAAGCTCCTGATATCTATCAATCGATGGAGACGGTGCTTGTCAAATTTGCCAATAATTGACTCGGAAGTTGTAAAATGCTGTAAATGAATGCAGTGTCGCTAGGATGACAGGACATTCGAATGCCCTCCTACCTAGTCAAACAAAAAATGAAATGAAAACAGCTATCAACGGATGGATACCCCACGAACTTCTGCTTCAACTAGCTCTTACCGGGCACGCTTGCCCAGATGCTGTCTACTGTAGCCAATATGTTTCCTGTAGAATCCACCATCTCCCCCTTCATGGTAGTTCTGCGATGTCCAAATTTCTCTATCCAAGTCGTCACACACACGGCTTCTTCCGTCACCGGGAGAGGCGCCAGAAAGCTTACGTTCAAGGACGCAGTGACGCTGACAGAAGAAAACGCGGGTCCTGACTTACCCAGGGCCGAGTTGAGCTCATTGACGATGGAGAGACTCTCGTCAAGCACCGTTGCGATCAGCCCACCGGCAACAATTCCTTCGTAACCAGATGTACCAGCTCCAAATGCAATGAGCGTTGAGACACGGAGTATAGGCCGCTCGGGATCTTCAACGTGGTTGAGGTCGGACGGTCGGAAGAGAGACAACATGTGTCGTAGAGGAGGCCCTTCATTGTTTGCATTGCGAGTATCGTGCTGCTCATCGCTATTGGTCATACACGTAGGCGCGTGAGAAAGGGTATAGCCTAGGAATTGCTCGTGTCGCGAGCTGGCCGGGTTGAAGCAGTGTGGGATAAATGTAACTGCTTGGCCATGCCCTGGAATTGGGCCATCTGATGGTGAGGCTTCATTGATGAGCCGAGAGCACCACGGGATGTTGTTGAAGAACCTAGACGCAGCCTCAAAGCGATCAAGACGAGACCTTGGAGGGTAAAAGTCGAGGGATGGACATAAGACACGGCGAAGCGGAGAAAGGGCAACGGGGTATTTGGTAGGAGGGCTTGCGGCCGATTCAGTGGCGGGAAGGCAGTCGAGAGGCGCAGTCTTGAGCGCCTGGGTGCTAGCTATGACACCAACACTATTTGTCTGGCTCGTCTCTTGATATATTCGGCCAATGTACTTTCTCAGCTGCGTCTCGTGAATCAAAGGTGCGGGCCAGATGTCATCGCTCCAGACATGGCCATCCAAGGACGGCTTGTCCACGGCGGCGACGTTGAAGAGTTCAACAATGTGCTGGTTTGTGAGCTGACTCAGGATATCGGCGAGACGCACGAGCTGGCTTGTTGGATTCGAGACAGCCAATGTCAGAACAGAGCGACGCCACTGGTCCAGAGGAACAATCTCATGATGATTGCATGCCGCAAGCATTGTCGAACAGAGGTCCTTGAAGCTCAGCGCCTGCGTATTTGTAAAAATGACATCACTATTAAGCAAAGAAGCATGCTCCATTATTGCAGCTGCAACGGCCTTGCCTAGGTAGTCGACCGGCATCCATCTGGACATGCTGCCGTGCAAACGCGGGGATTTGCCCATCAGAAGACTCCCAGCGAGCAGGTAGTGCAAGAAGTTGTCAGGCCTGGGATTGAAATGGCCTGTTTCTGAAGACGCGAAAGCCAAGGGTAGCCGGAGTATGCATGCTTTTGCGCCGCGAGACCAGGCCTCTACTACCATGCTCTCAGCCATCGGCATGGAAGTCAGGCGGTCTTGTTGGCAATTGCTGTGGTCCGCCTGCCTGCTAAGGGATTCCTGGGGGTTGACAGATGACGAGATGAAATAGATGGATTTTCCACGGCCAATCGATGCAAAACGCAGAATTTCGTGGGTGATGTCGCTATTGAGAGCAGTGACGGTGTGTGCAGATCGAGAGTTGTCCATCAAGGCTCCTACGTGACATATAGCATCCACGGACCTGGCCATCCCACGAAAGTCTGCTGGGCTCATCCCAAGATTGGGCCTTGTCATGTTGCCAGGGACGGCGTATAGCGCGCCCCTGTAACTTTCCTTCCAGATATCGTACTTTTTGAGAGATGATTCCAATCGATCCATCGCTGGGGCGTAGCCATCGGCTTCACGCACAAGACAGTAGGCTGTTGTGATGCCTCGCTCGAGTAACTGCTGCAGCACAACGGCGCCCAAAAACCCCGTAGCACCGATAATGAGCACCGACTTTGGTGGCCATTGAATATCGATCACATTATCGAATGCAAATGTCACATTGCTGCCAGCTTTACCCGTCTTAAGCGGTCTCATACCGAGCGTTGACGGTATCTCAGTTCCAGCGAGCAAACCACTCTGGCGTTGCTTGGGCAATAGTGAAAGCAAATAGTCGCACAAGGCACTCAGGTTTGGGTGTGTAGATGTGACGTTGGTTGGCAGAGGCGTATCCGTGAAGCTGTCGGTGAGAGATGCCAATTGACTGCGGAACTGAGGTTCCATCAACGAGTCGATGCCAATGTCTTGCCAGGCGAGGTTGATGTCGATACTGTCCGACGACTCAATACCAACTAGATTTGCAACGATTTTGCGCACCGTGCCTTGAACAAGAGTTGTGCGTTTTTCCACAGATGCATCCGTTAACAAGCTGCCGAGCCCAACCTCAAGCCCAACCCCAAGGCTCGAGTCTGGCCCATGCGCAGTTCTCTCTCGGCTCACATTCTCAGTACCTTCAGCCTTGTTGTGCGGCTTCGGTACCCGAGGCAGCTCCAGCGACAAAACGCGCTTCCGCTGAAAGGCATACGTCGGCAGCTCAACCCGTCTAAAGCCAAAAGGTTTGAAGTACCCGGACCAGTCTACCGATACTCCCAGCTTGTGCAGTTTTCCGAGACTATCTTGCACAGAATCAACGCCGCTCTTGCGCGCAACGAGGGAAGGCAGCCATGACACAAGTCGCCTCTGGTCGGCGCCCAAACAGGCAGCACCCATGCCGGAGAGAACCGGCCGTGGTCCCAGCTCAATGAAAACATCTATGCCGAGGCTTGACATGGCCTGCATCGCGTCACTGAAATGCACCGCTTCTCGTGTTTGGGAGACCCAGTATTGAGGTGCCTCAAGCGACCCTGGTTCTGTTAGCCGACCAGTGAGGCCACTGACCACTGGTATCTGCGGAGGATGGAAGTCAATCTCTGCCAAAACAGCCTCAAAGTCTGCGAGCATGTGGTCAATATGATGAGAGTGAAAGGCGTGGGACACATCAAGCGCCTTCACTTTGCGACCCAATCCGGAGAAATGCGCAGCGACTGGCCCAGTGGCACTGACATCGCCGGATATCACAGTCTGCGTCGGTGTATTATGGGCAGCGATACCCACCCGACCGGTGTGATTCATGCTGCCAACGATAGCAGCTACTTCCCTGGCGCTGGCTTCGAGCGACACCATGTTGCCTCCAGAGGGCAAGCCTTGCATCAATCGAGCGCGCGCTTCCACGAGTCGGCATGCAGAGGCAAGGTCAAAAACGCCGGCGGCGTACGCGGAGGCATATTCGCCGAGACTATGGCCAAGGACAGCCCCAGGCTCGATACCCCAACTTCGCCACAAGCTCAAGAGGGCCACTTGTAGGGTGAAGATGGCTGGCTGGGCAAAGTCAGTGCGGTTGAGGAGGGCGACATCTTTTGCGTTGTCAGCATCCGCCCACATGATTTCGAGCAGTGGCCGCTCCAGGGAAAAGTGTTTCGCAGTTGTCTCGAGTGACTGGCAAAATACCGGATATGTTCGACTGAGATCGCGGCCCATTCCGGGAATCTGACTACCCTGGCCTGTGAAGAGCATCGCCAGGCGAATGCGATCCTGCCCAGCGCAAGTTCCCGCTGCTGCAGCGATGGTGCCATGGGGCATTGTGGCAGCGGCCAGCTGGTCCAATAGACTGCTCTTACCATCTGCCATGAAGACAAGGCGGTTTTTGAAATGCGTTCGCGTCGTCGCCAGTGAGTAAGCCACATTGCCCAACTGTTGCGGACCAAGATTGCAATCCTTGCTCAGGTAGCAGCGCAGCCTTTCCACCTGCTGAACCAGGGCTGCATTTGTGTTTCCTGACACAAGAAACGGCATCGAATCAGCATGGGAAAAGCCATTGACGGACTCTGGCGCTGCTATGGTCTCTTCCACTTCTGAGACAACCACATGTGCATTTGTGCCTCCGATTCCAAACGAGCTGACACCAGCACGCCGCAGACGGCCGCCTTTTTGCCGGATCCAGGACTTGTCTTCCTGTAATAATGCCATACCAGCTCCTCTCCAATCCACTGCGCTGGTAGGTTGGCTGACATGCAAGGTTTGGGGCAGTATTTGGTGCTGCAATGCCAGGACGACCTTGAGGACGCCCACGAGGCCCGCAGCCGCCTGTGTATGGCCGATATTGGACTTGATCGAACCAATCCAGAGCGGATTTGTTTCGGTATCAGAGCTGCGGCTGCCTCCAAATACCTGTGCCAAAGCCATTCCCTCAATTGGATCTCCTAGCTTCGTGCCTGTACCGTGTGCTTCTATGTAGTCAATGTCGGTCGGCTGCAGACGCGAGGCCATCAGTGCGTTCTGAATAACTTGCTGCTGAGCAGGGCCGCTAGGTGTCGTCAAGCCCGCGCTACGGCCTCCGTGATTGACAGCGCTACCACATACGATCGCGTGGATTGTATCACCGTCACGCCGCGCATCTGACAGCCTCTTGAGCACAACTGCTACGGAGCCCTCCGCCCAGCCAGTGCCATCTGTGTCTTCCGAGAAGGCCCTGCACCTTCCATCGCGCGAAATGCCTCCGAGCCGACTGAACTCGACGTGTAGTCCGGGAGTCAGCATCAGTGTCGTTCCGGACGATACGGCCAGGTCGCATTCCCCACGGCGCAGCGCCGTACAGGCGAGGTCAGTGGTTACTAGGGAAGAAGAGCAAGCTGTGTCAACGGTCAACGAAGGTCCCTCAAGGCCCAGTATATGGGAGATGCGTCCGGATATGGTGGCACCAGCACTACCTGTGGCAGTGTATCCGTTTAAATTGGCTAGAGGACGGGCAAAATTTTGATGCGCTGGCATGTTGCTGATGCCAATGTACACGCCCGTACGGCTTCCACGCAACTTTCCAAGCGGGTAGCCAGCTCGCTCAAGCCCTTCCCAGCATGTCTCAAGAGTCAGGAGCTGTAAGGGGTCCATCTCCCGAGCCTCCTGGGGCGAAATACCGAATAGGGCAATGTCGAATGAGTCGATGCAGCGGAGGAATCCGCCGCGCAAGCATTCCGATAGTTGACCGGTGTCCAACCCGGCTTCCTGGAGCATGGCAGCATTCCACCGATCCGATGGTACATCGGTAATCGCATCACGGCCGGATCGTAAAAGCTTCCATAGCTCCTCGGGAGTGCAGACGCCACCAGGAAGGCGACACGCCATGGAAACGACGGCTATGCGCTCTTCCCCTTCGGAGGCAGAGGGGAGACAACGGCGCATATGGTACTGGTGCACGCCAATCGCATCTTTTCCGCCCAAATATCCTGCCAGTGACTCGATTGAGTAGTGCTCAAAGAGCTTCGCGATCGGAATTGAACGATTGAGAAGCTTTTCTAGCTGGACTTGGACTTGGACAACACGCATAGAGTTGCCACCGAGATGGAAGAAATTGTCTTTAGTGCCAATTCGGGTGACACCAAGAACCCGAGACCAGACAGCCAAGATATGGCGCTCAAGTGACGAGGTAGATGCCGCTGCGGGTTTGGACGATGGCGTGGGCGATTGGGGCTCCAATTTGACTGGGGTCTTGTCTGCGAGAGGGTCTGGTAAGGCTTTGCGATCGATTTTGTTGTTCAGCGTCATTGGGAAAGCCTCGATTTGCACAAAGAATGCGGGCACCATGTAGGGTGGGAGAGATTGACCCAGCCATTTGCGCAGTGCGGCGGTCTCATTGCATTTTGCTCCGGCATTCGTTTCTGCCTTCTTAGAGCCGGCTCGCCATGTAAAGTATGCGATTAACTGATCTTGACGGCAAATCACCACAGCCCCAATTACCTGTGGGTGACCTGCCAACGCTGCTTCGACATCACCTAGCTCGATCCTGTATCCTCGGACTTTGATCTGGCTGTCTGCCCGGCCCGATATACTCAATTTGTCTGGTTTCGAGAAGCAACCGATATCGCCGGTGCGGTACATGCGCCCGTGGGTGAACGGATTGTCGATGAAGCTAGCCTGTGTAAGCTCCGGGTTCTTGTGATAGCCGCGGGCAAGGCCAGGACCGCCGATATAGAGCTCGCCATATTGACCTGGCAGCACTGGCGTCAGCTGTTCATCTAAAAGATATAGTTGATAGTTGGCTAGAGGCTGGCCGATGATGATGTCTTCCCCATGCCTGACTTGCCAAGCAGCGGCCCATACGGTAGCCTCGGTTGGTCCGTACAAGTTCCACAATGAATCACCGCACTCAAGCAGGCGCGCAGCAAGTGTCGCCGGCATAGCTTCACCACCGCATAGTAGTTTCCTCAGCGCAGGACTACCTTTCCAACCTGACTCAAGCAGCATTTGCCAGGACGCAGGGGTCGCCTGCATCATCGTGATGGCATGGCGTTCCAGTAGGCCACGCAAGGCCTTGACGTCCTTGACTTGTTCCCTCTTAGCAATGACTGTCGCAGCTCCGGACAGTAGCGGCATAAAGAGCTCAAGTGCCGCAATATCAAATGTAACGGTGGTCACGGCCAGAAGTCTTTCTGCTTCCTCACAGTCGAAGACTTCTCTCATGGATAGAAGCAGATTGCACAAAGCGCCGTGGGTGATTTCTACCCCCTTAGGCTTTCCGGTAGAGCCAGACGTGAAAATCACATAGGCTAGGTCTTGTGGGTGCACATCGACTTGGAGATTGGAACATTCCATCGCAGAGCTAGTCACATTGAGCTTTTCTTCATCGACGCTCAAGATAACACCTGCCCAGGACTCAAAGGTACTCAGCGTACCAGCGGTGATAACAAGTAGTTTCGGCGCCGCGACATCCAGCATGTGCTTGATGCGTTGTGATGGAAATGCGGCGTCAAGTGGCACATATGCGGCTCCAATCTTGAGCACGGCAAACAGAGTCACAACGAGATAAGCTGATCGGTCAATAGCAACACCAACCAAATCGTGGCGGCCTACACCCAGGCTTATCAGGACCCTGGCGAGGCGGTTGGCAGCCTCGTTGAGATCCCGATACGTGAGTGTGGTATTGTCGCAAACGAGGGCAAGATTGGTCGGATATTTCTCTGCAGCATCCTCAAGCAGATAATGCAGGCAATGGCCCAGCTTGGCGGTATCGCCCGTTTTGTTGAAGTGGTTGACGGATCTCGATCCGGTATGAACTAAGGGAACCTCCATGTCCACCTATGTTCCTGTCGGCGAAGAAATGATGATGTTGAGATGGGAGGAGTAAATGGTCGAGTTGCGAGAAAATTTTGAAAGCAAAACTCATGAATTGTAGTCGGAAACGGCCAATGAATGTGGTGAGTATGTATCCCAGCGCCAAGAAACAAACAGCCGCGTGTCGCTCGCGTCCTCCCATTTCCCTACTCAGCTGACAAACTACGAGCGTCTTTAACGAGAATAGACATTTGACGTCACAAGAAGCGCGGGTTCTACTTCTTCACTATCCTGGTACCTGCTCGCAGCGCCAGTTAGCAAGGATTCTGCTCCCTCGCTGTCCCGGCACTCGCAGCGCAAGTTCGCACAGGCTCGTGCCGGGGGGGGGGGGGGGGGGGTTTCTCTCGAGTTTCTGCATGATGCAATTGCCCTGAGCAATTGCATGGGAAAACAGTCTCGGAACAGCAGCCATACTTCGCAGCCTAAATGCGCGCCGACGCCGTCTCGGATCGGGCGTCATCCCGCGGGCCAGAACAAGCGGGCTGCATCGCATGTGGCTTGCTGAGAATAGCGGTGCTCGGAACGAGGAGAATCTAGATGGCACAGCGTCGGATTCCACCGCCAAAAGGAAAAATTTGATGCAGGTGGCTTCATCCTTCTGCTCTGTTGTCGGCTGGGGTGCAACATTGAAGCAGGGAGAATGTGAACCCTGCGCCGCAGGAATGGTGGCGGGCTTTTAGCTGCCAGCGTAAAATATCTGGTACATACAATTTATACATACATACATACATAAAAGGTACCTATGTACATATGTATGTCTGGGCAACTACCCAGTACAAACAGCCCATGTGCCACTCACCCGCCATCCACACCCAATAATAAAGAAGAAAATAAATGTCTTATAAAATAATTCAAGAAAAAGGCATGATAATTTTGTATTTCTTTCCAATGAAATATTTTTCTTCACAAGCCAAAGGAGGCGTAAAGAAGGCGTTGTTGATTTTTTTTTTTGGTGCAGTCTAAATAAATTATAATCTGATTAAATCGCACCTCTATCAAGTATACACATGTTGTATGTATGTTGATATTTGCTATTATTTTCTTAAAAGTCGTAGGTGATACTCCGTTCATGGTAATATCCATGTTCTTTTCCATAGTACTGGACCATTTCCTGACAACAAACCCCGACAATGTGACTCTGGCTACAGCTCAGCTTGTACGTAACTATGTATCTATACTTGCCGTCCTGGGTGTCCTGCAGCTCGGCTTCCATTCTGCGGAAATGTCGCTGATCGTGGAGCACAACATTACTCCAATGCCTACTATTCGTCATATGTGATTCTGTCTCAGTTGGGCCTGTCGCAGTTGGGCTCGTCACAGCATGATATTGATCTTTGCACTTTCACAAACAGGTCTGTCCAACTTACCCTGAATCTGCCGAAGACGCATCTTCGCAGAAAAAGCCTCTTCCAAGCCCTCTCATTCTCCTTCAAATTCTTTCCTCTTTATACCGTGTACCCATAATTTCGCGCGCGGTGGTCCTTTCTTTGATTACATCCAACCTTGGCTCAACCTTGGCTCATTTCCTCGGTCCTGCGTTTGGAAGACTACGACAAAGATGGCGGCCGGAAACGACATGACAAATGGCACGCAGATCAATGCCGCTCATGATGAATCCCACGTATTGCATAACTCGCTCGTCTCGAAGCCGCCCACAGTCGCGTCTGCGTCAGGGTCTTACATCACCATGTCCACGGGGCAGCGCGTGCTCGACGCCTGCGGCGGTGCTGCTGTCACCATCATTGGCCACAATGACCCCGACGTCAACGCTGCCGTCGCGGAGCAAATGACCAAAGTCTGCTACACCCACACCGTGGCCTTTACCACGAATGCCGCTGAGGAGTTGGCAGACTACATCCTCGGCGAGAACCCTCATGGACTTACCCGGGCGTTCTTCGTGTGCTCCGGCAGCGAGGCCATGGACTCAGCTCTCAAACTTGCACGACAATACTATGTTGAGATTGGCCAACCTGAGCGGACGCACATCGTCTCGAGACACCGAGCATACCATGGCAATACCGTTGGAGCAATGAGCGTGGGCAGTCATGTTTCGAGAAGAGCCCCATTCGAAGAGGCGTTGATGCTCGATAACGTGAGCTTCGTGAGCCCGACATATGCCTACCGACACCAGCTTCCCGACGAGGAGGAGGAGGAGTACGCCGCGCGGCTAGTTGAAGAGCTGGACCAGCATTTCCAGGCGAAGGGGCCAGGTACTGTCATGGCCTTCATATCCGAGCCTGTCGGCGGCGCGACCGCCGGGTGTCTCACAGCGCCCAAAGGGTACTATCAGGGCGTCCGCCGCGTTTGCGATAAATACGGCATTCTTCTCATCCTGGACGAAGTCATGTGCGGTAGCGGACGGACGGGAACATATTTTGCCTTTGAGCAAGAAGGCGAGGGTATGTACCCCGACCTCATTACCATGGGAAAAGGACTGGGCGGAGGCTTCGCCCCCATGGGAGCCGTTCTCGCCCACGACAAGGTCATCAAGGGTTTCCAAAAGGGAAGCGCCTGGTTCGTACACTCGCATACCTACCAAGCTCATGGAGTCGGCTGCGCCGCTGCTCTCGCTGTCCAAAAGGTGCTTCGCCGGGACCAGCTTGTCGAGCGGTGCGCCGCCAAGGGCAAGTGGCTTCACGAGGCACTGGTGACTACATTTGGCGACCGTAAATACGTCGGTAATATCCGTGGTAAGGGCTTGTTCTGGGGCATTGAGTTTGTGAAGGACAAGATGACAAAGGAGTCGTTTGAGCCGAGTCTACGCTTCACTTGGCTCATTGTTGACGAAGCGCTACGGCGTGGACTGTCTGTATACCCGGGAGCCGCTACCGCGGACGGGTTCAAGGGTGATCACATCATCATTGCTCCTCCATACAATATGTCGGATGAAGAGTTTGATGAGATGCTACGTTTGTTGAAGGACACCTACGACATGGTCGAGAAGCAGGTAGAGGCCCTCGCCGATGGCAAGTAACCATGCCACCGTCTGCCATCAAGTCTTTAGACAGCCAGTGTTAGTAGGCTTACGCTAGACAAAATATTTTCCTTGAATTACGTCTATCTCTGCGCGATGCATCCGGTCGGTCAGCGGGAACTTGTTGGAAACTTTGATGACGTGGCAGGTAGCTTCTACGTTTGTTCTAACTCAGCAATGCAAGTCAAACTGCACTGCTCACCATCCTGCAGAATACTAGCTCCTACAGGTTGTCTGATGCCGTGGACGAACTAATGTGCCGACAAATTGGCGGTGAAGTGCCGAGCCCGAGGTCGGGCAGCTACCATGTTCTCGCAACACCGGTGATGTTGAGGTCTGCAGCCTCTTTCTGTACATTATACAGTAGCTAATGCATGGCTAGTATCAGGTGAAAGTCAAGGTCGGGAGACTTACTCAAGAAAAGCCGAGCCGAGCCAATTTGACGAACACCAAATGCGAGCCCGACTCTCAGCCACCGTCACGCAAGTATATCCAGAGCATGTATAGCATCTACTAGTTGAGATTCTTCTGCAGATCTGCATCCAGGCTCCGTATTGCGGCCAGTATCACCCCGCTGTATTGTTAACATGTGGGCGGCGCGCAAGAGACTTGCCACGTCTCACGTCAACCGGAGGACACGTCAACCCTACGACACCAAGGCATACCTCACCTCCACTCACGGACATTTAATGAAACATCAGGCCTGGAGAGACAAGGTAGGTTGATAGGCGACAGCAGAGCCGTCCGTCCACGTTTCGATCCTTGCATAGAGACCTAACTGAGTGTGGTAAGATGAGCGCGCTCGTGGTTTGTGGCTTGCGTACATGCATAGTATATGCAGAGCGGATGTGGTTTCCGCGTCTTATTTGTGTGGTTGTCAAGCCCGCAGAGGACGGCATAACCCGAGCTGCAGCCAAGACCTGCTGAACAGATGCTGGCTGAGACAATTCTGTCCCCAATTTCCATTAAGCCATGCACGGGTGTGCTGATCGGGCAGGGACACAGGCGGCTGGAAGATACCTTGGCAAAGCATGAGTTATATTGCCCAGATGAGGAGTGAACTACAGTGACGAGCATAGGCGGCAGGTTGTTGTTAAAAATGAAACATATGCAACATCCCAGCGTAGACGCCACCATGAATCCATCTTTTTCCCGCTCGTGCATAATGCGCGCACAAGTCTATGGTGCTTCCTGTTGAATACTAGTACCAACGATTTATGAAGAAATAGGGCAATAAATTTACGCAATTACTTGACAATACTTTAGTGACATGGAGTTACGCCATCCAGGTTGGCAGACTCATACACAAAGAAACCGTAGTCCTAAGCGAGTGGTCAGGTGAGCAGCCAATCTGAGCCTCGGACTGTAGACTGCGTGGACAGAGTCGGACGGCATAAGATCAAAGAGGCCACCCGTGTCATAGAAGTAAAGGAAGGGAACATACACGGTCCTTCCATCTGACACACTCCATACCCTCATACCCTCAACAGCCTTGGCACTTTTACACGGATACTATTATCTGCTTTCCAACACAACCATGACTGTCAAGACCACGGTGCTCATCTCGGCGGACGACGAGTGGTCGCCGTTGAAGTCCGTCATCGTCGGCCGGGCCGAGCACTCGGCGTTCCCCGCGGAGCCGCCGCATCTCGTGACGGCCGTCATGCCGCCGGGACACTGGGAGGAGTTCAAGCCCAACAACGCCTTCCCCAAGAACATTGTTGAGAACGCGCAAAAGGAGCTCGACAACTTCGCTTCCGTCCTGGAGCAGCACGGCGTGCACGTATACCGCCCGACCGAGGTCGACTGGGTCGCCGCCGGCGGCTACACGGGCTCCATGTCGCGCGACGCGCTCATGACCGTCGGCTCCACGCTCATCGAGTCGGCCTTTGCCTTTGGCTGCCGCCGCCACGAGGTCGACCTCGGGTACTCCGAGATCCTCGCGCAGCTGTCCGCCGGCACCAGCCCCGCGACCATCGTGCGCGCGCCGCGGCTCATCGGGCGCGACACCATCTACGACGGCGTGGCCGAGTCCATCAGCGCCGACGCCGCCCGCGGCTCCGTCATCTCCATCAACAACTCGCGCGTCGCCTTCGACACGGCCGACTTCATGCGCTTCGGCAAGACCATCATCGGACAGCTCAGCCACGTCACCAACGAGCGCGGCGTGGCCTACGTGCGGTCGGTGCTGCCGGACGGGTACACGCTGGAGATGCTCGACACGGGCATGCGGCCGGGCAACATGCACATCGACACCACCATCCTTCCCCTGCGCAAGGGCCTGATGATCTACTCGCCCAAGTACGTGAACGAGGAGAGCATCCGCCGGCACGCCATCTTCAAGGACTGGGAGCTGCACGCGTACCCGTTCGAGCCCGAGTACGTCCCGGGCGGCCCGCCGCCGTACACGTGCTCGCCGTGGCTGGTGCTCAACGGGCTGAGCCTGGACGAGAAGCGCATCTTTGTCGAGGAGAAGAATGTCGAGTTCGCGGAGTGGGTGCGCGACAAGTTTGGGATGGAGCCCATCATGCTGCCGTTCCAGCACGTCAACTGTCTTGGAGGATCCTTCCACTGCGCTACGGTCGACCTGGTCAGGGAATCTTGATCTGTGTGTACCTATTCAGATGGTTGGTTGCCGACGATGGCTGGTTAGCTAGTGAGTGCGCCCTAGGCAATAGGAAATGTTTCGTTGTTTGAACGCGTGCTCGCGGCTGCCAGTGGAAGCCAGTGACTTAGCCCAAATTTTGGCGTGATGACTGGATTTGCACCGTTTCGCAGTGAGCACGATACCTAGAAAGTTACCTAGCCAAGTCATTGGGCTTCTGCGCCACTGACGTCGCAGCCAGTTAATTAAATCGAGGCACGTTGATGAATCTGAGAATTTTCGTGTGTCCCATCACACACAATATCGTACTTCGAAGGCTTAGGTAATATGCATAGCGCAACACTTAAAATTTAGCCCCATTTGCGAACAAATGACAAGTCCAGGAGGCGGGCGAGGCGGGGATTATCGAGAAAATTGTCCAGCCAGAAGCGATCCCGGCACGGCGTGTGCCGGCCGCTCGCCGAAAACAACGGAGTCACACTTGACCTCATCCTTAGGTAGTTGGCTAAATGGATGCCGCGCTTGGTCTCCGATATTTCGCCTCAGGCCACTTTTGCATTTCTCATAATTCTCCTCAATTCATACCACCGAATCCTCGACCACAGCACCCAAACAAAAGTCACAAGATCAATTCTGCTCTTTTGCTCTTCCCCGCATCTTTTGCTACCCCATTGCCACACCCTTGGCCCTTCTTGTTTGCTTTCGTTAGCGAATGTCGAGTTAGGCCGTCGAGATTTTTAAGTCGCGCCGGTGCTGCTGCTTCGACCGTTCTACCGCAAGACTAACAATTTAAAACCTTGCGCCTGCATTTTCCAACGAGCAGTCTTCGACCGAGAAAGATGACGGCCGAAATCACAAACGGAGCCGCGGCGGCGGTGCCCCGAACCAAGATCTGCGTCTTCTGCGGCTCTTCGCCCGGCAAAGGGCCCGAATACCTCGAGGCGGCGCGCACCCTCGCCCGCGCCATGGCTGCCAAAAACATTGATCTAGGTGAGCTTTTCATCCTCTGGCAGTCTTTTCTGACTCCTCAGCCCATACGTCATCTCCTCCCCCCCCCCTCACTTCTCATCGCGCACATCTCTCTCTCCGCCCACACCCCGCTCAACCAACCCCATCCGCTGACTTCCTCCCCCCTCCTTAGTCTACGGCGGCGGCACCGTCGGCCTCATGGGCGAGGTCGCCAAGACTCTCTGCGAGCTCCGCGGCCCCGACGCCGTCCACGGCATCATCCCCGAGGCCCTCGTCAAGTGGGAGCGCGACGGCACGTACGCCACCGTCAACGCCGACGGCCGCTACGTCCCCGACGAGTCCCGCTACGGCCGCACCACCGTCGTCCCGGACATGCACACCCGCAAGAAGCTCATGGCCGAGGAGGTCTTCGCCGGCGGCCCCGGCTCCGGCTTCGTCGGCCTCCCCGGCGGCTTCGGCACCATGGAGGAGCTCTTCGAGGTCATCACCTGGAACCAGCTCGGCATCCACACCTGCGGCATCGTCCTCCTCAACGTCGGCGACTACTGGCGCGGCATGCTCGACCTCATCGACACCGCCGTCGACCAGGGCTTCATCCGCGACGCCAACAAGAACATCGTCGTGGCTGCCTGGGACGGTGAGGAGGCTATTGCCATGCTGCGCGACTACAAGGTCTCTGAGGCCATCTACGGCTTGGAATGGGGCAAGCAGTAGGTCAAAGCGGCTTTTTAGGATGCGAAAATGCAGTGCAGAGAATAAAGTAGAATATAGATTCTGGATCTGCAAAGATGCAATGATCTGCTGACTAGTTGTTGGGATGGCATAAAACACCCCCCTTATTAATACTAAACTTACATGCACTTCGCACCCGTCAAGTTTCGCGCCTCATCCCTGCTAATTGATTTGATTGGTATAGTGCCGGATTTACACAGAATTTTCCGTCTCGCGGCGTGTATTGTACATGTTCTACCAGTGTATTTTTCGTCACGTCATCGCGCGACTCCTCTAACCATCCACCTCCATGCCTCCTTGGCTCTCCCCAACCTCCCCAACGCTGTCAATCCACTCTTTGACCTCGAACTCGTCGTACAACTTGAACTGCTCTATGCCCTTGCCGCCCTCAGACTTGACGCCGACCAGCCCGACCGAGGTGTTGTCAACCGTCAGCTCCTTGTCCTGGACCAGACTCTCGCGGAGCGCGCGCAAGCCGTGCTGAACGAGCTCCTCGCGGGAGCAGTCGGCAAAGCTTTCAACGTGGCGTTCGAGGTACGTGCGGGCCATCTGGCTACGGGCGCCGATGGCAAAGGCCGTCATCTCCTCCGTCATGCCTGAGGGCTGGAACTCGAACAGGTGCGGGCCCGTCTCGTCGACGCCCGCGATGAGCAGGCCCACGCCGTAGGGCCGTCTGCCGTACATCTGCGTGTTGAGCTGCGCCTTGTCGCCAATCATGTTGATGAGGTTACGCAGGGGCATGGCGCGGCCATACGTCAGCCGGTGGCCGAGGCACTGCTGCTTCATAAAGTTGGAGAGGACGCGGGCGTCGGATGTGAGGCCTGCAATGGCGATGCCGGCATGCTCGTCAATGGTAAATAGCTTCTTTTGGTATGATGAGAGTTCTTCGGCGTTGCGCTGTGGGGAGTGAGGGGGGCGAGGTTAGCCAGGTTGGTGATTTAGATGCACGTCGTCACAGCGGGGGCGCAATTACCTTGACGGCGCAAAGGACGGCGTGTGTCTTGCTGACGATGCCAACAACTACCGAACCCTGCTTTACAGCTTCGGCGGCATACTCAATCTGGAATATTCGGCCCTGGGGCGAGCTACAAAACGAGAGGGTCAGCTAGGAGCTTCCAGCAATGCAGCGCCGCAGCGTAGTCTGCAAACAACGATCGCGTCGGGGAATCGGCACGGGAGGGCGTACAATGTGACTGAATCGTTATCGTAGTTGTTGCGGAACATGATGTATAGCTCCCCGACGCGGATGGAGATAGGTTGTAGTGTATAGGCGGTGGTCAATGGAAAGCGAAGCGAAGTCAGGTTGAAGCTGGAGCTGGAGTGGGTTGGTGTTGTCCAACGTAACTAGCACCAGCCAGGCAGCCCAAGCTTCGTCGCCTTCTTTGCAGGCAGGACGGTCGCGCGGCTCGGCAGATCCACGGTTAGGTTTTCACACCGCCTGCCTAAATAGGCTCTTCCTTCAGCGAGTGAGGCCTCTTACACGGCCAGCATCGACAACATGATAGCAGCCCAAAAAGTGCTTATCTTCTTTCAAATTTAATGCTCATTTATATCACTATCTTTTCAGAAACATATTTCCTCAATTCCTAGTTTACTTAGCAAGTGGATCCATTGCCTTTGGTAATTGGAGTCGGATGCCGAGGGGATGTTACGAAGACACCTTAGGTAGGATCTGTTGATATAAAACACTCGTACTTGGTCAAATGACTGAAGAAATGTATTTAACAAGAAGGAAAAATCGTGTATTTTTATTATCAAAACAGAGACTGGAAATCAATGATACCACACCTCAAGAATTGGATGACACCACGTGGGTATCACCTGTACAGCCTCGCGTCCAGCTCTCAGTGGGGTGATACTGACGGACTAACGACTTGGCCTCAACGCCAACACTGGCCTTTTTTGCCCCCTTACAATCCAACCGCCAACGTTTTCCTAGACTGCCTTTTCTGCGCGCTTTACGCGATAGGGTTGGCACCGTTAGAATTGAGCATTCTCAGTTTCGAATCTCTGCCGTTGAACCGTCCCACCGCAGCGACACAATGCCTGCCCAAGGTGTTGCTGCTGTGCTCCCCCAGCAGGGAGCTCGCGGCCAACGCCAGCAGCAACAGCAGCAAGGTGTAAGAGCTCTCTTCTCCTTGAATCATACTCACCAGTCCCAAATGTACTGACCCTTGTGCAGGGTGGCTTTAACTTCCAACGACTACTCCTCGGCGCTGGCTTCTACCTGGCTGTCAATGCCGGTTTGAGCTGGTATCTCCAAAAGGACCAGCGCGGCGTCACCGTCGAAGATCCCACCACGGGCAAACAGATACGCGTCACCTCCAACACCGGCGACATCCCGGCCTTCCAGCTGCGCCCGAAAGATCTCGATGAGGGCGCCGAGCGTGCCGCGCTTCCGAAGCTTGTCGCGCCAATCTGGCCCCAGGACAGCCACCTCGACATTGTCGTCACCGTCTCGCCCTCGTCTCAACCTGCCCCGATCGATCAGACGCCCGCCGAGTATGTCGTGCTCAATGAAAAGCGCTTCCACATGGGCAACAGCTCCGACAAACGCCATGTCGAAGGCAAGTTTGCTGTGCCCTCCGAAATCCAGCACAACGCCACGCTCTGGGGCCACTTCTTCGTCGGCCTCGCTGGCAGCACCCTCGACCCTCGCGACCCTACCTGGAGCAGCGACACCGCCTACCATATGGCATACCCGTTAACCCAGTATCTTCCCAAGAAAAAGATAGCCAAGACGAGAAACCTGCTCGAGTCGCGCAGCGGCGACGACCAGACCGAACCGGAAATCTCTGAGCCCAAGACGCCCATCATCACGAACCACTACCACCCCAATGCGAGTCTTTCGTTTATCCCCGGCGTTGGTGTTAAGGAGCTTACAACTATGCCCCCTCATATGAAGCATTTCATCCGGCTTGAGCGAAGTGGTGCCCGCGATGGCACTGGCCAGAACGGCTGGTACTACCCGCTTCTCTTTGTCAACACGTTCTGGCAGCTCAACAAGGACATGATTCCTCTCAACGAGACTGTCAAGGAGCTGCCCATTCGTATTGACCTCGGTAATATGGCGGCCTGGCAGTTCCAAATCATGGCCAACATTGAGATGAACTCCAAGGAAAACGCGCGTCAGGCCGCCTTTGGCAACCCTGTGCCCGGCACTGGGGACGGCTCCGAGATTGAGATGGTCAAGGAGATCCTCATCGACAACAACCCAATTCTGCTCGCCATTACTGCCGTCGTCACCGTCGCCCACGTCATCCTTGAGACGCTGGCCTTTGGATCCGACATTGCGCACTACCGCAAGAAGAAGGACAACGTCGGCATCTCGGTGCGCTCTATCCTCGCCAACGTCTTCATGCAGACCATAATTTTCCTGTACCTCCTGGACAACTCCCAAAACACGAGTTGGATGATTCTTGGCTCCCAGGTCGTGGGTATCGTGATTGAGTTCTGGAAGATTACAACCGTCGTCGATGTCCGCTGGCGCCCAACGCCGCCTGGCTCCTGGATTCCTTACTGGTTTGTGTTTGAGGACAAGCACAAGCTCACTGAGACGGAAGAAAAGACCAAGGAATATGACCAGATTGCCTTCAAGTACATGTACATCGTGGCTGTGCCGCTGCTGATTGCCTATGGCATCTACTCACTCATGTATGAGACGCACAAGTCATGGTACTCGTTTATCATCACTACGCTCGTTGGCTCCGTCTACACGTACGGCTTCCTGATGATGGTGCCCTCGCTGTACATCAACTACCGGCTCAAGAGCGTCGCGCACATGCCCGCCAAGGCCATGATGTACAAGTTCCTGAACACTTTCATCGACGACCTCTTTGCTTTTACCATCAAGATGCCGCTCCTGCACCGTCTGGCGACGTTCCGTGACGACGTCATCTTCTTCATCTACCTGTACCAGAAGTGGGCTTACAAAACTGACTATTCGCGCGTCAACGAGTTTGGCCAGGGCGGCGACGATGACGAGGAGCTACCGAAGCTGGCAGAGGACAAGGGGAAGAAGGAGGAGGCCAACGTGGAGGCCAAGAAACAGCCAGTCCGGGAGCTTGTGGCGGAGAAGGCCAAGGCCAAGGCCAGTGGCGCTGACACGGGCGCTGCGACCAAGAGAAAGTAAGAGTAATTTGAATCATCAGGAGGCGTCGTGTAGACGAGCCAAGTGCAGTGAGGTATGTGTATGGGACTTTTTCATGGGATTTCGAATCATGCTATAGACGAGAAACACAATGACAAGGCGTACAATCGGTCCCTATTCAGCTGATGAGCACTCTTCTGTCAACGGCAAGCACTCCTATTGTGGAACCAGTCTTTTGAAACGTCACCGTCGAGTTATCAGCCGCCCGTGAAGTTTGACTCACTGTCCAACTCGGAGGCCGCCCCCTCTCGTCTCAGACCCTGGCGAGGCAGAAAGGAGCCTCGATGGCCCAGTTGACCAGGTAGGATCTCGGTCGCAAGTAAATAAATACCCGCATAATAACAATCCACGAAACACAAAGTTACAGCCTTAGTAGCTACAAAGTTAATAAACTTTGGTTTAGAATCAGTACGTGGGGGCGTCATAGCTAAAACGCCGGGAGAAACAGTAAACTTTTCTCGGGTCTTTTCGATTGACTGTCACATTGGGCTGAGAAAGCTGTGAATAGCCACGATTTAGAACGAGCCGAATAATAAGGGACGGAGATCTGTATGTCAGGGATGGCGATCTCATTGATGACTATGCATAGCGTGCCAGAAAAGGAAACGACTGTGCATATGCCTCAGGAATTATTTTCTTTTGTCTGCTATCTCTTTGCCCGCACTTGCTTCTTCATTCAATTTGAAGCTGTGCCCAGACGTTTCGACTGCGTGCATACGTGCATGGCCGGAAGGTGTGATTCCGAGCTACACACAGATACCTGGAATAGATGCTTTGTCCGGTTTTTTTGCCTGGATATTCGAAAGTTCAATGAGAACTTTAGTCTGCATACATATCCGCTGTGATCAAAACGGATATCATGTAAACGCATAGTTATGTAGCTGGTCATGAACCATCAAGCGGAGCAGCGTCACCGTGAGCCCAGAGCAAGGAACAGGGCCGCTAACAGCTTCAACATGGGCTCCAGAAAGGACCCCAAAACAAGCCCCGACAAGGCGGACTGATGATCATACTCTAACTGGGTGTTGTTTCAAGCGGCCTGTGCTCGTTTTTTGTTTTCTTCTTTACCCCTTTACGCGGATTCCAAGCCGTATTCTATTTCGTCTCGTCCCGTCTAGCATATCCGCCAATGCATTCTCCTGTATAGGTACATACATCCATACATACAGTACTACGTCCGGTCCACGGTCAGCCCACGCTGAAGCCAGAGGCCGCCGTCGCTTGCCGCCGCCACCCCTCTTCGGCGCCTTGAACTTTGACCACGTCTTCGATTTCCCTTGTCACCCGCAAACCACGAACAAACATCAACACAAACCAAACCAAACCATTGCCTTGCCGAACACCGCTAACGTTGCCTCCTCCTCCTCCTCCTCCTCCTCCTCCTCTTCCGCCTAATCCGACTGCGACGCCCGCTGAAACTCATCACCTCGCTTCTCCCACGACGGACTAGCCACAACAAAGAAACCCTATCTCCCCGCGGCCGCCCACCCGCTCGCCCGCCCGCCGTCATGGGCTCCGACTCGGTGGGCTCGCTGCTCGCCGATATTGCCAACCTCATCGTCGACGGCCTGCGCATCCTGGGTCTCGCGGACAAGCGCCACTGGGGCCCAGACGAGTACGAGCTACAGCGGGCCATGGAGCGCGTCCTCAACGACGCCAAGGCCGACTTCCAAGAGCTCTCGCCCCTTCTCAAGAGCCAATCCCACTACGAGCACGATCGAACATGTAAGCTCATTTTGCCCCCCACGGGGGAGGGGCGTCCCTTGACGGCCAAGTCAGATACAGATCCTTGGACGGGAGCTAACCTCTGAGTTCCAGTCGCCTCGCTCGAGGAGCTTCGCGCCCTGCGCGGCAAGTTCTACATGCACATGCAAAACATGCGCGAATGGAGCCGGTCCGGCGGCCCCGTCGACGCCGTCTGGGTGCGCGACACCAAGGCCCTCCAGCGGCAGCTGCACCGCGCGCAGTGCCGCGCCGCCCAGCGCGTCTTCGGCAGCGCCAAGGAGACCTCGCGCCGCTGCCTCGGCGCCTTCATCGTCCACCGCCGGCAGCGCGCCTGGCTCGACGCCCGCCGCGCCGGCGCCCCCGCCACCGACCACGACTGCCGCCGCCGACAGCTTGACGAGCTCGCCGAGTGTCGCGCCGTTGGCGGCTTCGAGCGCTTCGGCGACGCCGACATCGCCTTCGTCTGCGACTTTTGCGACGGCCACCTGCTCTGGGACGACGTCGAGCGCGTGCCCACGACGCGCACCGGCCTCGGCGACGACGACGACACATTACCGGACGCGGCAGGCGGAGGTGCGCTGCTGCCAACTGCCGCGACGCCCTTGCAGGACGCGCTGGGTGCGGCGCTCAGCGAGTGGCGCGCCACAGCCGTGAGCGTGTCGGGGGGGCGCGAGCGCAAGCAGGTCGTGTATCCGCCGATGGCGGTGGCGAGCCACATGGCGCCGCTCCGGGGCGACTGGCAGGCACGCTTCCTGTGTCCGCTGTGCGAGGACGCGGCCGAGCCGCAGGACATTGACGACGAGGACGAGATGTGGCGGCCCGACAACCGCTTCGACGACCTGGCGGCGCTGCAGGAGCATCTGGAGTGGGAGCATGCGCCGCCGGCGCGGCCCTCGACGCTGCCGTTATCCTTACCCTCGGCGGACAAGTGCGTCGTCATGTAACCAAGACTGAGCTTCCCACGATACCCAACTGTGCAGCAAGAATGGCACCATTCTCGCAGCTGACACGAACCACTCTACGATACCAGCATCATATTTGCAAATGACTTTTACCTTTAGCATCACACGGAGCACACGGACCGGAGTTTTATGGACATGGGCTTGCTTAGTTTATACCGCATTCAAGTTTTGACATTTCTTTTCATTGGAAGGCCCGTCGCATCATCTGATGAGCGCCTTCATCATCTCCAGTACTGTACATACAAGCAGTAAAAGATACCTTTTATATCATTCAATGTTTCAAAAACTGCTCCCCTCATTCTCATTCCCATTTCTAGTTTTTATATTATACCCGTTCGCTATACACGAGCCACGCCGGCCCACCCTCCCAATCCGCCAACCCGCCTTAGAAGAAGCGGTAGTAGAAGAAGACGAGAAAGATGAAGCCCAGGACGGCAAACGGCGCGTACTGCTTGAGCAGCAGCTCCCAGTTGATGCGCACCGCCGCCCGCCTGTACTTTTTGCTGTCGTCGCGCAGCCTGCTGCTGATCTCGCTCATCGACTCCAAGCTCTCGCCCCTGTGCAGCAGGTCCTCGACGTTCTTGAACATGATGCCGCGGACCTCGCTGACCTCTGCGTTGAGCTTGTCGAGGTTCTGCGGGGGCTTCGGCGCGCCGCCCTTTTGCGCAAAGTTCTGCACGGCGCGCGGGTGGTTGTACGTCATGCACGTCTTGGCGATGGTGGTCTCGAAGTCGCCAAAGGCGTAGGACCGGTTCATGGACTGGCTGTGCACGCGCTCGAGCCGGTCCTGGTTGAGGAACTCGCGCGCGAGGTCGGCGAGGTAGATGAAGGCGAGGTCGGTGGGGTACGGGTCGACGCAGATGCAGAGGAAGACGATGTCGGCTTCGACGAGGTAGTTGATCGTGTGGTCGCCCAGGTCGGCGGAGACGCGCGGCTGCGAGTTGCGCTCGATGTTCTCGATGATGGTCATGGCCCTCTTCTTGGCGGCTCTGAGGGCCTCGTTCGCGGGCTGTGCCTGTGGTCGGGTGTCGGGTGTCGAGGCGGGAGAAACGAACTTGATCCTCGTCGCCGGCGGAGGCGCAGAGCAGGAGGGCTGGTTGAGTCAGTTAGCCGCGGGACGGTTCTGGCGCAGCATGGCAGGTTGCTGCAGGAGACAGAAGGGGGCCCTACACTTTTCATGGCCACGCCTAAGACGTGCTATTTGCGTTGACTTGATCATGGCGGCAGTTTGATTATGTAGTTTTGGAGATGCGCAAGGGAAGAGTTGTGTCGACAGGCGGGAGCTGGTGGTTGCCGTCTTTCAACACCGTGTCCAGAGAAGCAACGGGGCGCGTGACGGCTACCTAAGTGGCACCAACCCGAGGCGGCAAATCCCAACAGAAAGCGAGTTTCGGAGATCTGCGACGGGGTTCTAGTCTCAGCAGGGGCGAAATGGCTGTTGAATGCTGCTCTGGCGCGGACAGGATGTATTTATTGCAAAAGTGTCGAGGCCACTGGTGCAGGAGACAAGTTGGGGCGGATCGGCGAAAGGGGGGCCAAATCTCGTCCCCGGCGCCGCCCCGCCAAACGTTTGAGCTGGCGAACTGATGGCCTAGAGGTACAATCTGGTATTACACCGGTTTCTTGTTAAGGAGCTAATCATACCACAGTTTCCTGAAATTAACAATGTTTTCCCAAAATAGTTATACGGCCGCCCTTTAACTGGTGTGTTACGCTGTTACATGCAAGCTCGGGCGTGGTGCATGTACAAGTGCAATCAATGTCGGGGAACAGCAAACAAGAGACGATTCTAACACATGGTGTAAGAAGAACGACGAACAAATAAAAAATTCAGAAAACAGTGTCACATGCCTCAAATAACAGCTTCATATCCAGCTAGCCATAGCATTTATTGAGCCCCAATCTGTCAATATCTGTCCGTTGCAGTGACAACCGCCAGTGACGAGTTGCTACTGGTTATCACTTGCTAACCTAGACCGCAACGCAGGACATGTCGAGGAGGCCAACACGGAATTAAACATGAATGAGCTTTATGGCTGAAAAGTTCTGGTTGGTCTCTGTGCTAACTGTTCTGTAATCTGCCGAAGAGTGCTGTTGTTTTGTTTGTGTTGATGCGGTTGAGTCTAACATGCCGATGGGTTTATACGCGAGGTAACAGATTGAGCTTAAGATTCAATGACATTCAACTAGCTAACTACAACCACCACTTGAACAATTGCGGACTGCAGCCTATACGTAGTTGCAAGTCGGTCACTGACTAATAAATCTGTTTCCATCATCATCTCGCCACCGCTGCTGGTGTTCTCAGCCTGACGGAGACATTCTGCCGAGGCGAGGAGTCGTGGGAGTAGGAACATCCTTTAACGCGCCTGACAGCTTAGCTGGTGGCTGCAGTTGCCGCCCACGTACTTGCAAGACGGGCATCGGGCGTCCACGGTGCAGCTGAAGCTGCGGGAGCAGAACTGGCCGCAGCGCGCAGCGCGCGCGAACAGGTCGCGGGGCTCCTCGCGCTTGCACTTGGACGCCGACGCGTCGTCCGCGCGCGCCTCGAAGCGCTTCATCACCTTGCCGACGGCGTCACCGTCCTTGTTGTACTTGTTGTAGTAGGCCTCCGCCTCGGCGTCGTCGACGAGGGCCACGGCCGAGATGCGGTCGTGGGTGTCGGCGTTGAACTCTTGGTACAGGACAACGTTGGCCACGGGCTTGTTGACGATGCCAAAGGTGTCCGGGCCGTGGGTGGCCTCGGCGGCAGTGAGCGCAGCACGGCCAACCTGGATGTCCGGGTGTTGGGCGAGGAACTCCTCGGCCGCGGTGGCGCAGGCGGCGAGGCCGACGTGCAGCGAGAGGGCCAGGGTGGCGAGGGCCTTGACGGAGAACTGCATGTTGGCTACTGGTAACAAAAAACGTGTTAGAATCATGTTTCAGCGTATAGCTTTGGCTGATACTTGCTGTTATAAATTTGGAAGCGTCTTTGCTTAGTATTCGTTGTGAGTGCTGTGATGATTCTGAGTGGTGAGTTGAATGCCCAAGTTGGCAGCAGCAACGAACCTCTTTATACCTGTGCCGACACCCTTCAATCTCACGTCACTGAATTACTTCGTTCAACTCTGTCGAGATCAATCAGTGTCGGCTCAGTGCGGATACATCGCTACGTCTCCAACCGGAGGCTGGACGTCTAGCAGAGCCTTGCCATTACCCAACCTCCAAGACAAAGCGACATCGAAGGGTTACAGGCATTAGTCCCAATTACCACCTAGCTATCATAGGATGGCTGGATTGTAACCAGAAGCGTCAGTGCACATTCCTCGAATATTGAACCTCGTTTGGGCGCCGTGAGCTTAGCTTAGCACCTGCTCAACTTGGAACTGACAAATACCGTATAATCTTCAGGAGAAAATACATCCCTGTGACTGGGTCTCGGGTAATAATTCTGTCAGCATGAAGTAGATGTGGATGTAGATCCCTTCACACGAGCCCTTCGCTGTGCTGTGATACGGCGGTTTTTGGCCTTGGAGTCGACATGCGTCCGGTCTCCGCTGAGCATCCATCACTCACTTTGGAGAGATTGTCCAACAATCCTTCCGCGCAACGGAAGATGGCCTGATTCCCTTCGAAAAAAGAAAATATATAACCATGAAAGTGTCAATGCAAGTAAGATTGGGAATGCAACGAGAATTGAACGAATGCCTGGACTGCTTCGTTGCATGTTGTCTCACTGCGCTTTCGAGCTGTCACTTGCGTTGGCTATGCTGATAATCGGCTTCTTCCTCTTCAAGAGGTGAACTCAGTCGATCTTGGCGTCTGCATCCATGCACATTTTACGGTGCCCCTCTGCCCCGGGGAGGCGGCTCGGAGCCTTGTCTCGGTATCATCGGGGACGGCCTCGGCACTCGACTTCTGCCGCTGTCATCAAGTGTGAAACCTGCAGCGCACTTATTTTCTCCGCTTCGTTCAGCGACGGCTCTGAAAATTAGCTCCTCTTTCGAATCATGTCCGGCGTACTGCCGGAAAGGCCTTGGGCTTGAGTGCCGTCAGCGTCGATGTGCCTCAAAAACATAGAGTTACATGAGCGTCCATTTGTGCGACATGATTTCCGGCGAACACGTAACAATCTGGTGGCTGTTGTTGTGTCATCAGATGGGATACGCGATCCCATTGGCAGCTCGGCCCCTCGCAGGGAAGATCTGCACGGAATTCGCCCGGCAGCCTGATCAGAATCGTGACGCTGACGCTCGCCGACACAGTTTTTGATTGATGCTGGATTCCCTTGGACGGCATCTCCACCCAGCTTTTTAGACACGAAATCCTACTGCGCTTTCTTCTTCGTTGTCTCTTTGGTCGCCGACTGGTCGCCGATGGGGAATTTTGAGACTGAGGAAGCATGACGGACGTTGCCCTCGTGGTCTGGACCAGCGATGTCGTTTGCCGTGACTGGCAACTTGCAGAAATGATTGCAGACACTGGTGCTTCGGTAGTTGTTCTCGGCACGTCGGAAACGTCCGTCATCGATAAGTATACCTAGTTGATGAAGATTCTGGGCCGTCAAGTTTGTCTAGCCATAAACGGATTGTCTCGTTTGACAGGGTACACCGCGCTCATGATGATCAGTTCTGCGACGAGCGGGAAACGAACAGGCGTTATGCCTCGCCCTCCACATCATGGTGGGTGCCATGCGTGTCCCCGTCCTAGTCAGCAGGCTGCATATGAAAACTTGAAAAAAAACTAGAAAATATACACTAATTTGATACTTTTCTGGAGTTTTACACTGTTGTGAGTGAATCCTGCCACGTACAATTGCGGCTGTGCCAAACAGTGTGCGGGCGCGCACTACAGTCAGGCTCCCATCAGCACGTACATACACTCCGCAAACACATGACTGTGACTATTTTCACATCTCTTCCTCTCTTGCCTCCCTTCATCTTCCCCCATCACTATAGAGTGACAAATTCTAATCCAAGAGAAGAACATTTAAAACTAACTGCTCTCTCTCTCAACACTCTCCTTGAACGGGTAGGCTTGACAACTCGTATTGTGCCCTTTGTTTGCTCTGCACGCGCTTACTCGACTCTCTCCAGTGACCTCCTAAACTCAGGAAGAAAGAACTGCCAGCCAACAGAGCCGCTCATGGCGCAACCTCCCACCACAACCGGCGACGAAGAGGTGAAGGCATTCCTGGCGAGACATCCCGAGATCCTCGTCGGCCGCGAGGCGCACGAAAAGGCCGAGGAGGAGGCCGGCGGCGACACCTTTGTCATCGTCAACAAGCCGTTTGACAACGTCATCTTGAACCAAATCTTCAACGCCGATACCCTGGAGCGCGTGTCCGCTGCGGTGTTGATCGATGACCAAAAGGCTCTCGACTACTACAAAAAGCACAACCAGGACGGGGACGGCACTGCGCCAGATCCCAAGAGCTGCCCGGGCTGCGGCGCTGGGTCTGACAGGGCGGCCCGCGGCCTCGAGGGGCCGGAGCGTTTCGTCATTGAACGCATGGCTAAGTGTACATGCAAGAGAGCACCGGTCGGACGGATGTGGCCGGCATAGGGAACATTTTCGGCGGAACATTACTCAACGGTTCCAGGTTTCACTGGAAGTATGGAGGAAGGGACAGAAGGGACATATCACCAGTGCCATTCTTCTAGGAAACTATGACATGGCGAGAAAAGTGTAAGCCGTAATAAACGCTACTGTATTACCTGACGCCATCTAAATCTCATCCTCCTCCTCGTCGAAATCATCCTCCCTGCCCATCTCGTACAATATCCTGCCACCATCACCACCGCCCACCTCCGTCTGCGCATCAAAGTACGGGAGAACGATGCCCTCACGGTCCCGCCGTTGCTTCTCCGTTAGCCCGAGATCAAACGTGCTCTCCGGGCCTGTCTCCCCCTCCACTCCTTCCGCCTCCGCCACTGGTGCAGCAAAGACCGGATGATCACCCCGCAGCATCAACGCCCCCGTGCCCCTGCCCTCCCTCATCAACACAAAAGTCTCCGTGACGGTGCGCCCGCTCCGCCTCCGCAGCTCCATGGCCACCACCACCCCACCCTCCTCCTCTGCGCCGCTGCGGAGGCCGACCAGCACGCCCTCGCGCCCCTCGTCGATGCCCCATTCCGGCTCGACGAGCGCCTTGTCACGCGCGCGCTGGCGCGCGGCCTCCTGCGCCAGGCTGGATAGCCGCAGGATCGCCGTCGCGAGGTGGCAGAGGACGGTGAGCGGCGCGGGCTCGTAGTCGCTGCGCGGCGGCTGGGTTGGCGGCGGCAGCACGGGCACGTCCGTGTGGTAGACGCCGACGATGGACACGGCGGGCGTGATGACGCTGGAGAGGAAGGTGGCGAGCGCCAGCGGGATGGAGGAAGCGAGCGTGTTGAGCGAGTCTATGATAACGACGGCGCCTGTGGTAAAAAGTGTGTTAGAGGGGGGTGGCTGGTAGGCAGTGAGAGGAGGGGCGTTCTTACGTGACATGTTGCGGTCGCGAGCGGCTGCGGCTGAAGGGTCAACGGGCGGGTAATGAGATAGGATCTCCTTTCGTATTGTGTTGAAGTGTTTCCCGGTAGCCTTGACTACGACATCTACGTCGCGCGGCTTCTTGATGGTTGCGAATGAGAGGAAGATGACCTTGGTCTTGGACAGCTACAATACCCGATAGTCAGCTACTGGTAAACTCTAGAGGTAGATTGCAGCACGAGAGAAGCGAACCTTGGCTCTTGTGATGAATTCTGAGACAACGGACGTAGCTGGTTGCTCGAGGTTGTCCAGTAGCAGCGTGAAAGGGCTTGCTCCATCTCTCAGGTTGAGGAGCTTTTGCAGCAACAGCAGGCTGTGCGACCGAGTATGCGCAGCGTTTGTGGGCGCCATTATATCGGAGGTAATTTAATACGCAGATGCGCGCCGTATATTATCGGATTGAAGGTTCTCTTGGGCGGTATGGGGGCATATGCGGCGCGTCGAGGTGATGTGAGAAGAGTTTGAACCGTCGTTTTGTAGCGCCCAACGTTCGTAGGTGGTGATGTGGAGAAATCGACGTTTCCAACAGCCTCAACCTTTCAAGTATTAGTACGGTAGCACTGGATTAAATCATCAGGAAGCCCATATCCATTGAACTTATAGCCTACTTTATTTAATACGTGCATCATGGTGCATCATAGTAAAACACTGCGAATCACTACTCCTATGCCAAAATCTGAAGCTGTTTGCCAGCATGCGCGATGCCGTCGCGAGTCCCGAACCTGTGTAGAGGATAAACTCCTGGTTTTATCCCGGTGACGCATAATCCATCATGCAGCATTTTAATCACTGAGATACATGCGCACCATGTGGCTGCAGCCCTTGCCCCGTCGAGCTGCTGACCTGCGTCGCAGCGTCACCGGCCAGCGCTTCCTTGCTCGCATCCGCCTCACGCTCCTCCGGCAGCTGCACCTCCCAGTCCTTCTCAAACTTGGCGCGGAGATAGTCCTTAAAATCGCCCGCCCTTCGCCGCTCGTGCGCTGCCCACGCCTGTGCCAGCCAGTCCGGGTCGTGCCGCCCCTGCGCCAAGCTCTCCGTATACGCAGCGCAGTCGTACCGGAAGCTGTCGTCGTTCATTAGCGATGCCGTGTTGGGCTGCGCCGTGCCGTCCTCCCCAAGGACAACGTGGCGTTGGTCCGGGAAGAGCGCTAGGATCTCGGCGTGGTCTACCGCGTCGAGGCTGCTCCATGCTATGGGATTGGAAAGGATTGTCTAGTGGCAGAGTGAGCATTAAACCTTCTCCGAATGAGGCTTGGACGTACTCGTAGGTTCGCTCTGGCGAGTGGCGATTTCGGGTCAGTGAGGAGGCGTTCAGCGTCCCACTTGCGCTTGCTGATGATTCTCACAGTCCTTTTTACGACCGTTTCTTCCGTAATACGCCCTGCATTTCTCAGGGACCGGCGGGGGCGGGAAACCAGAGTTGTGCCGCCTTTGTCTGCATCTTGTGGGTTGGCTTCCTCAGTGGTGCTTGCATTCGTTTGTTTGGCATGAGCCTCGCCATCGGCAGCGTCTACCTGAATCCCATCCTCGACTGGCATCGACTGATTCCCTTGATCCGCCATGATATTGTCGGATGTCATCTCAGGATCCGCTGGTGTAGCGGGTGGTACGAAGAGAGGTTGTTGCTGCAGCAAACGAGCTCCTTGCTGTAGGGCGGTGCAGTCGGCTCGATGGACTGCGCATCAACGCGTGTCGCAACGTCATATGCCTTCACTCATGGTCGAGAAGAGAGGTTCAGGGTCACAAACAGACAAGACGGTCGCGCAACCCAATCTGTTGGTGATGATGAATGCTGCAAGTTGGCGACCGTATTGACTGCATGGAAAGCCGTCAATCTCCACAGTGTCACACTCTTTATGGCCCCTCTCATGCGTCGTTCTTCCCGATTTTTAGCAAGCTACCATAGCAGTCTATACGTGAGTCACAGATAATCTCTATACACAGCTTATGTAGAATAAAATAAAGAATACATAAGTAAGTGTGTAACTGCATTTTTTTTAAAAAATAGCACAGCCAGCGCAGACGCAGAGCCTTAGCGCAGCGAAGCGAGCACCACCGGAGCCTTATGCGACTAGTAACCAGAATAACCAGAGAATTTCTTGCGCGATACCTGTTGCCCCTGATGGCTTGGTTTGTTACATTTGCCAATGCGGAGTGGGCCCACGAGTAGAGCCTTTCTTGTAGTGAAAAATGATTAGAGGAAATTATTCCATTTACTTAACAGATTACAACAACACTGCAGTTACTGCGTCAAGTTGGTTGTGATTGGCAATGACGTCATGTGACAAGGTTACCAGGGGCAACGCTTGGAATAGCACTAGTCGAAAGACCAACCCAACACTTCCAACACTTGCATGTTCAACATCGATTTCATGGTTAACGCCAGGGACAACCACAAACCCCATGTAATAAGAATAGTTTCGTTGTGCAGGCCTGGATCAACGATGTCGCTATAGATAACATGCCCGACATACCGAGCCCTAAGAAACGCCCACGAACTAGTCACAATGACGAGACCGCACCGCCCGACCCCGATAAAACACCAGTGCGCCATTCAGGGAGCTCGACACGGTCAGCCTCTACTTTCCAGGCCGCGCTCGTGAGTAGACCCGCATTCTCCATAATATAGCCATCGAGCAAGACATCGTGGTCCCGGAGCAGCTCCCCTTCAAAGCGCTTCCAGAAGATCGGGAGCCTCGTCGCCCTCACGGTACCAGTCCACTTCACCCAGACACAGATCCTCGGGACAGCGCTCCCAGCCGACGCCCAAGGCTTGCTCAAGACGCTATCGGCGGTCCGGGGGAAGGCTCGGCTACTACCGGCTGTGCTTCGCTCGCACCCGGACTTTCACGACGACGACGATATACTGGATTTTATGTGGTCTGATGATTTTGAAGGCCAGGACACTATACAAGAATATAAGGCGGCGCAGCGGAACCACGAGGAGCTACGCCGTATTGTGGCTGAATCGACTGAAGCGTCCAACGAGGGCCGGTTCGAGTCGGGCTGGAATAATCTCGTCCACACGCCCATCTTGAAGCTCGCAACGAGAGATATGCCCTCCCTATGATCGAGCCCGCCATGTCGGCGCAGATTATGCCAGCGTTCCGCCCACTTCTAGCATCAGGTCAACAGATACTGCTGCCGTCCTCGTCGTCCATCTCCAGTGCCACTGGCGGCAGCCGCGAGTCGGCACACGGCGGCGAAGCCGCACCTGCGCCTCGGCCCGCAGCCGCCATCGGGTTGTCGGTCCATAAGATGGTCGACTACGTGGTGGCCCTGCGGCCCTCGGACAAGTTACGGGTGCTCATCGACGCATTCCTTCTAGGGGAGCCCCAGGAGAGGGACTCTATCAACCAGACACGCTACACGCCGTTGCAGAAGCGCCCCGCGCCTATATTCATCGAGACCAAGACGACATCAGGCGTACGGGACAGCGCGAGTGTGCAGCTGGGCGTGTGGCTGGCGGCGTGGTACGAGCGTCTGCGCAACATAACGGCGCTGGCGGGCAGCCCGCAGGAGAAACTATTAACGCTGCACTGATACAGGTGACAGGCGGTGCCTGGACCCTCATGTTTCGCGGTGGACGAGGGGACGCAGATTGTAAGTTACAACTCCAGAGGATAGGGTGCCGGCTAATACTCGTCACAGCGTGTGCGCCACAGGGACTGGAGCATTGGCGACACGGTCAGCAAACTGGGGATTTACCAGCTGCAGGCGTCGCTGGTGGCGTTGGGGAAATGGTTGGAGAACACTTTTGAGCCTTGGTTTACGGATCTACTTGAAAGGGCCGTTGAGAACCGGCACAGAATGGCAAGCCCAATGGGTAATTCATTGCTGATACCGTAGGCCTTTTATCTCCCGTTGTCCTGGTCGTCCTATCCTAACTACCCTAGCTATCCTAGCTGTCCGAGTTATTCTGAACGACTTTACGAATCTTGCCCATTACTTTTGTCAAAAGGTTAAAGCTAATGGATTAATTTGTCGATTACTAGCCCCGGTTTGTTTGTCGTCAGTTTGTGGCATTTAGACGACGACTCGCAGTTGGAAGCTGATAACTAACCAGAGCAAACCCCCGCTCTGGTGCGCACTCTTGGGTGTATTGGGCATCAATGCGTCTGTGGGTGCGTAAGGCATGATTGTAGATACAGGCGGCTCAGACAAAATCTACTTGAGGATTTCTACTGATACCAGGACCGGTAGCTGTTATAGTTCATCCGCACAATGGCAACGCCGACGCAGACAGAGTACCTAGCCGAGCCTTCCTCCACCGCATATGCCGAGGCGCCGTCCAGCCTCGCCAAGACGCGGTCGACGGCGGTAGTCAACAGCCGGGACACTGCCGACACCGCCGCGTCGCCCGGCAGCTTGATTATCGAGCTTGGCCGCGTCCGAAGCAGGCAGGTTGAGCCTGTCGAGGCCCGTCGCAGCCCTGATCTTGGCGGCCTGCCGGAGGAGCGAGGTAGCCCTGCCCGGCTGCTACCGCAAGGTGTGCCGCCTGAGCTGCCCAATCTCATGGCCGAGGTCGTCTTTGTCCTGGTTTGCACGGCGGGACAGCTCATCTTCTCCCTGACTCTGGGCCACATCACCGTGAACCAGTTCGTCCTTCGAAAGGCGCTGGACATTGCGCCTTCTCAGATCCCCTGGCTGATAGGCTCGTCCAGCCTGGCGAGCGGCCTCGGCGTCATTGTATTCGGTCCTCTGGCCGACCTGGCCCCTCCCAAGCCTCTCATGGTGGCTGCCTTTCTCTGGGAGGCTGTTTGGAATGCGGTGTCTGCCCTGGTCATCTCGCCCAAGCTCAGGATCTTCTTCTTCGTCTCCCGCGCGATGCAGGGGCTGGCCGTTGGCGTGCTGGTGTCGGCATCTATGAGCATCCTCGGGAGAGTGTACAACCCCGGTAGGCGAAAGACCCGCGTCTTCTCCATGATGGCGGCTGGTGCGCCTTTTGGATTCTGGATCGGAGCCATGCAGGGGGGCGCTCTCAGTTCCCGTCTACCCTGGATCTTTGGCAGCACGTCGCTATTCCTCTGCGCCTGCGCCGTGGCTGCATATCTTACCATTCCTCCTCTTGTACCTGCCAGAGATGGCAATTCGACGGATGTGCCATCGATCAGGCATTTCGACTATATTGGAGCGACGTTGGCATCTCTTGGCAGTGGCTTGATCCTGCTCGGGCTTACCCAAGGCTCATCGGTACAATGGAACCCGTACACCTATTCCCTTGTCATTGTAGGCCTCCTCATGCTGGTTGCGTTTTACTACTCCTCGCCCTATGTAAAACGACCACTCGTACCCAGAGGAGTGTGGAAAATCCCTGGCTTCGTTCCTGTCTTGCTGGCTTACGTGTTCGGGTTTGGGGGCTATGGTGAGTTTGAACAATCCGCGATTACTTTTGCTACCACAGCGCTCATTATTTTCTTTTCAGCTGGCGCTTGGCAATTTTACGCCATCCAATTCTGGATTCGATACCAAGGAGCCTCGCCGCTCACGGTAGCGCTGTACCTTGTCCCCAATGCTCTGGCTGGAGTTGCCGCCGTGTGGGTAGTATCCAGAACACTGCACGTCGTCCCTGGTCACTGGATCTTGGCGACAAGCATGGTATTCTTCGGAATAGGAAATGTTTTCTTCCTGCCGCAGAAGCCAAGCACCTCGTACTGGGCGCTGTCCATGCCAGCCGTGGCGTTGGCATCTCTGGGTCCTGATTTGAGCTTTGCAGCGGCAACCATTTTCATCACCTCGAGCGTCCCGAGATCGTACCAAGGCTCGGCCGGCAGCCTGTTAGTCACTGTGCAGAATTTGACACTAGCCATGACGACGTCAGTCTCGGACTCTATAGGGATCAAGGTTGATCAGCTGCCGTCCGGGGAGATTGGGTTGGAGGGGATGCGCGCCATTTGGTGGTTCGGCTTGGCCCTATCGCTTATAGCAGCCCTGATTGCGGCCAGTATGGTCCGCATCCCAAGAGCGGAGGAGAAGGAGCATGTACAGTGACTGACGAGGACGAGGACCAGGATATTCCAGAGACGTCGATCGGCAGGAAACTCGCGGCAGTTAAAAATAACGAACTAGGATTATTGCGCCGCTCGCCCGTGCAGGGCATGGCGCCCACCATGTCACCAGGAGGAATCTGTCCATCCTATTACGCTTGACTCTGCGAAGCTCACGGAAGCTCAAGGACAACAGACCCAACGTCGCCCCGCCTCTGCAGAACTCAGCCGCAGACCACTTGGAGTTAAGTGAGGGTAATGCGCTGATTTTGTTAGTCAAATGACAATAACCGACTTTCAGTCCTTATGGGGCTTTGCGGGACGAGACAGCCAGCACCTTAAAAAGCGGAAACACGGCTAGCCTCTTGTGCTATAATCTGATTGATAAGATGCCTGCGTGGAGATTCAGCAGGGATTGCGTGAGACATTTCTATACCTTTGGGAGGGGCAAATCAGGTCCGAGGCCCCAGCTGGGCATAACGATTCGACTTTAACTCGTCCCTGCGAGCCCCCCCGCAAGTCTGCCAAGTATGCACGGCGCGCATGAATAACGCCGAACAGCGACGGATAGGTTGAGGGGGTTGAGAGGCGCGTTCCAGGGGCTCTCGGCTGAGGATGCCTATTTCCGACAGGATCATTCTTCCTATGCACAATTCCTCTTGAGCCCGGCCACGACAATCTGCAACTAGCCAGTCCCGCATATCATACTACGGGTACACAGCCGGCTCCGTGTCTACTCTACGTTACCTAACTATGACAGGCAGGAGCGTGAGACAACGAGAATCAGCGCCAGCCCGGACTTGATCGACTCCATTCGTCATTGGAACAATGCCCCGCGCGGCGTGACTTTCAAGATGGAGACCCCGCCAGTTCCCGGCATCAACAGCGTGAAACCAAACGGCCATACATAGATCAAGACCTGCGCGCAACAGAGCTATTTTAAGCTTCACGTCAAAGTTTCAACTTGATCTTCTACAACGACTTCCTTGACTAGATAGGAACTTCAGACAAAATGAGTGCCAACGACAACATCAATGGGTTGGCGGCGCAGATTGCTGAGCTTGCCAGCAGCTTCACCAAGAGTCTCGCCGATGCAAACATTGCTGAGCCAGATTTCACCCCCAAGAGCGCTACCAGCTACGAAGGCTTGACTGGGGAGCAGTTCCTTCGTCGACAGCAGCTTCTCGACAAGATCAACGACATATGGTACCTCGTCCAAGGACCCAGCGAGAGCATCTTCAACTATGTGCACACGGTAAGTATCGGATGGTCCGGCATTTCTCAAAACAACCTCACTAACTTACACCACCACAGGCCATCCCAGACATCATGGCGCTGAACCTCATGAACCACTTTGACTTTTGGGCCGCCGTGCCGCTTGACGGCTCCGCGTCCTTTGCAGAGATTGCCGCACACGCCGAGCTCCCCGAGGAGGTTGTCCAGCGCGTCATCGAGCATGGCATGACGCTGCGGCTCTTTGCGCCCGAAGGCGACCACAAGGTGACCCGGCGTGTGCGCCACTCGAGCCGGTCGGCGGCCCTCGTCAAGTCGTCGGGCCTCCGTGCGCTCGTGTCCACCATCCTGGACGATGCCGGAGCGCCGATGCTGGCGATGAACAAGGCGCTCGAGCTGCACGCGCGCGGCCAGCCCGCGCTCACCAGAGACATGACCAAGACGGCGTTTGCGATGCACCAAAAGGGCGCGACCATTGGCAACTACACGACTTCGTGGGAGTACATTGAGAACGACGGTGAGGGCGACCGGAAGGGCTGGAGACAGAGAAACTTTGTCGAGTTTATGCGCTACCTCAAGGAGATTTTCAGACTCGAGACTGTTCTTGAGAATGCCTTTGACTGGAAGGCACTTGGAAAGTCCCACATTGTTGATGTAAGTGGCAACGCTCTGGCGGCCAGTAAGTAGTTGGCTCACTTGACTAACAATTCAATCATCCAGATGGGCGGCTCCGGAGGTCACGACGCCTTTTTCCTGGCCGAAAGGTTCCCCGAGCTCACCATCACCGTGGAGGACCTCCCCGAGGCCGAGTCGGTGTTCAACAAGCACCAGCCGGCGGCGCTCCAGGAGCGCGTCAAGTTCATCGCGCACGACTTCTTCAACCCGCAGCCGGTACAGCCCGATGTGTTCCTCATCAAGCTCATCCTGCACGACTGGCCGGACGAGGAGTGCGTCAAGATCCTGCGCGGGCTGGTGCCGGCGATGCGGCCCGGGTCGCGGGTCTTCTTCCTCGACTTTGTCGGCAAGCAGGAGTCGACGGGCGGCGAGGAGGCGGTGCCGCGGTCGATCCAGCAGATGGGCACGGCGACGGACCTGCGGATGATGGCGCTGTTCAACGCGGAGGAGCGGCCGGCGGAGGCGTGGAGGGCCATCTTCAAGGCGACGGACGAGCGCTTCGATCTCGTGCGTCTCGAGGCTAACCCTCTGTCGTTCTTTGTTGTGATTGAGGCCGTCTGGCGCGGTTAAGACCGGTATCTAGCCTAGTAGCGTAGCTGTAGTCACCTTGATAGACCATGTTCTTAGACCTCTCAAAATTGGCAAAAGTTTCCATCACATCGCCTTGCATCCCGGCGCCCCCCCTACCTCGCGATAGGCAGTCGATTGTACAATACGAGGATCGCCGATACCCTTGGGCCACATGATGGGTACCGTAATCAACCATTGCCTCCGTTGCATACCCACACGCCCCTCAGGATAATCATCCAACAAATTTCTAAAAGCAGCAAGGATTGCACCCAAGACCTTGGCAAGGCGCAACGCAACTTCACCTGCATGAGACGGCCTGATTTACAAAACTGTTTAGGTGGTGGAAATGTCAGATATTTCAGTGAGTGTTTTTAGCTAAACACCGTCGTAGACCGACCGGGGGAGGGGGATCCTGTGTACGAGGAGTAAATAAGCGAGAGAGGGAGGAGAGCCTGATCCCATACGGCAAAAGATTTACTCACTTATTATCCGTGCTCTTGGCCACTGCATGTCGTAGTTTCGCTTCGCTTCCGAGACCAGCACTCGAAAGGGAAAAACGGCTCTCCATGCTTATCCAGTACTTGAAGAAGCAGCGCATCATCGCCTCCAAACAACCACCACCAACATGGACGGAACAGTCCTGCCCACCCTGCCCGAGCTCAAGCTGCACGTCGCAAAGGCTGACGTTGACGCAGCTGCCATTGTTTCCGAGTGGCTTGCTGGTCTGCACGCATGCCTTGCGGGCACCACCACCGGCGACAGCTTCGCAAAGCTCTTCATCGGCGACGCGTGGTGGCGGGACATTCTCGCGCTGGGCTGGGAATTTACGACGAAGCGGGGTCAGGACGACATAAGGCACCACGTAGACGAGGGCAGGAGGACGCGCGTGGTGGAAGACGTAAAGGCGTGCGAGGCGGGCGGGTTGAAGCCGTCGCTGGTCGAGTTCGCGGGGCAGGCGTGGGTGCAGTCGGCGTTTACGTTCCGCACGCAGCATGGTAGCTGCCGGGGGTACGTGCGGTTAGAGAATGACGCGGAGAAGAACTGGAAGGCTTGGACGGTGTTTACGGAGTTGGAGGAGCTGCATTACCAGAAGGAGCTGGAGGTGAAGAGGCGCCAGAGCCGGTCGGCGAGGAAGAGGCCGCAGCAGGCGAATGGAACTCATGCAAGCGAGGATCTTGACGTGCTGATTGTCGGTGCTGGTACGTACATAATTACCCTTCTTCTTCTCACTCTTGTTCCCTTTATGAGAAATACTGACGTGTTTTCCAGGACAAGCTGGTGTGTCCCTGGGGGCACGTCTCAAGCACATGGGCATCAGGGCGCTGCTGGTCGAGAGATATCCCGCCGTTGGAGACACCTGGAGAGCTCGCTACGACTCGGTGACGCTCAACACGCCGACCTTTACCGACCACTACCCCTTTGTCAAGTATCCGGAGAGCTGGCCCGAGTGGCTGACCGGGAGCCAGGCCGCCGACTGGCTCGAGCACTACTCGCAGCTCATGGGCCTCGACGTCCTCGTCGACGCCACCGTCACCTCCGTGCAGCGCACCGACGACCACTACACCGTCACCGTCGAGAGCGGCGAGCAGGAGAAGACGTTCCACCCCCGACACGTCGTCCTCGCGACCGGCGTCTACGGCGACACGCCTGTCACGCCGCAGTTCCCCGGGCAGGAGTCCTTCCGCGGGGACATCTACCACTCCAGCCAGCGCAAGTCGGCGCGGCTCATCCCGGACCTCGCCGGCAAGAGCGCCGTGGTCATCGGCTGCAGCACCAGCGGGCACGACGCCGCGCAGGACCTCGTCGAGTGCGGCGCCCGCCATGTCTCCATGATCCAGCGTCACCCCATCTTCACGCTCTCCACCGACTCGTGGAAGACGCTGCAGCTCGGGCTCTGGGACATGCCCGGCCTGACTACCGAGGAGGCGGACCTGGTCGGCAACTCGCTGCCCATCGCGGTGGTGCGTTCGATGAGCGTCGGTCTGACGCAGGCGATGGCGGCGGCGGACGCGGAGATGCTGGCGGGCTTGCGCGCGGCGGGCATGGCGCTGCGCACGGGGGGGGACGGCTACGGGCTGGCGGACCACCAGCTGATCCTCGGCGGACACTACTACATCGACCAGGGCGCGTGCGCGATGATCGCGGACGGGCGCGTCAAGGTGCACCGGTGCGAGGGGGGCGTGGCGCGGCTGACGGAGAGGAGCGTGGAGCTGGCGGACGGGAGGAGCGTGGAGGCAGACGTGGTGGTGCTGGCGACGGGGTTCGAGGGGAACATGGAGCATGTGAGAGGGCTGATGGGGGACGAGGTGGCGGACAGGCTGGTCGGGTTCGGCGAGCTGGACGAGGAGCAGGAGAGGAGGGGGTGGTGGCGGCCGACGGGCGTGGAGGGGTTCTGGTACATGACGGGCAGCTTCATGTGGTGTAGGCAGTTTTCGAGGGCGTTGGCGCTGCAGATTGCCGGGAAGGTCAAGGGATACTACTGATGATGATGATGATGATGATGATGATGGTGATAATGAAGGTGAGGAGATGGATGGGTGTTTGTCGCTGGTGGTGTCGGTTGGACAGGGACATGCTCCTACCCCATAGCAAAAAATATACAACGAAATACTAGAAAAGCAGACTGTACGTCAACAATTGAAAGAAATTCACTGAATTCAAGGTTTTGTTTTTAAACAATTCTTTTTTTTTAATTTCACCATCAGTCATCGGATGTATCTCTATAAACGCTCTCTATGTTATGTTCTAGTGTAGTTGTCATCTTGTCATTACATGGACGCCTGTACGTCCTGACGCATCTTCACGCCAATCCAGCTCAGGCAGCCTATACATCTGTTAGTTAGTTCAACCGTCAATTCACAAGTCTTGCTGTCACACTCACCAGACAGGTATAAATCATTGCCAAAGAATTTAGCCATCACATCCTCTCCCGAGCCGGTGCCTTCCGGACCGGACCAGACCGCCTTCTTGCCCACCGCCATGACGATCATGGCAGGGATCTCGGCGAGCTCGCCGTACTTGGGGGTGTGGTCGATGACGTTGTGAAGGACGTGCTGGTGGATGTTCATGGCGACCAGGTGGCCGGCTCGCATGGCGCCGCCGCACCGCTTGATGCCGGACCACTTTGTCGCGTCGCCAGCGCAGTAGTGGTACTCGGAGTTGGGGATCTCGGCAGGCAGCATGAGGCTATTCCGGTCAGCATTTCTGCAACTTTAGAAGGAGAAGGAGAAAAATTACTTTGGCTGAATATTTACTTTGCCGTCTTCGTCTCGCGCCGCGACGGGCAGAAAGTCTGTGGCGGGCACGCTCTGGGACACGCCGACAATCACCATGCTAAAGTCCATGGCGGTTCCGTTGGTGAACTTGGCGCTGTACTTGGCCGACCCGTCCGCCGTCTCGACGCGCTCGTGGCTCTCCAGGCGGTGGTTCAGCAGCACCTCGACGCCGGCGTCGTGCAGCAGCTGCAGGGAGACGTCCTTGCACTCGTCGCTCAGGCCCTCGGAGGAGAGCAGCTTGTCGCGCGAGTGGGCCAGGACGACGCGCAGGTGCGGCATCACGAGCTTGAGCTCGGCGGCCATCTCGATGCCGACGGCGCCGCCGCCGACCACCAACACGCCGTGGGTCGCGCGGGAGGCATCCTCGATGTGGCGCTGCGTCTCGACGAGGTAGTTGTCGTAGGTGAGGGCTTGGGGCACGACGGGCCAGACGCGGCGGTAGCCGGTGGCGGCGCAAAAGTAGTCGTACTCGATGGTGGTGGGAGCCTGGTTGGTGCCGTGCGGGAGGATGGTGGCCGTCTTGGCGGCGCAGTCGACGTGGGACAGGCTGCCGTGGACAAAGGTGAGGTTGTCGGCTTGGAGGTCCGTCATGTCCTTGAAGCGCGCCCAGGCCCGGTCGCGGTAGGCCGGGTCGGCCATGGCGAGGGGGGCGCCGACGATGTGCACTGGGGGAAGAAAGTTGTGGTCAGTCCGGATGCTGGGGGGGGGAGCGGACGTACTGAAGCCATCACGCTCGTCGACGACGGTAATGTGGAATTTAATGTGCGGCCAGTCCTGCTCGGGAACAAACGGCTCCGGGTGCATGCGAGGAGACACGCCACGATGCAGGTCCAGCAGGTTTACGGCGACGGCGAGGCCGGCGTAGCTGCCGCCGGCGACCAGGACCCTTATGGTGGTATCAGAGTTGGGTGCTGAGGGCATCCTGGCGGGTGAAGTTAGGAGGAGGGATGGTGTACGAGGTAGAGTGAATAAGAGTGTAGGTGATGTGTAAGTATGGCGAGTTTGGAGCTTGGAGCTTGGAGCTTGGACTGAGAGACAGCTACGGTACAGGTTACAGCTACCGGTCACGTCAAATACGTCCGTCTCTCGGGACAAGTCGATCGCCCGAGCCTATTCCGAGAATAGCCTCGTGCATGTGGGAGAAGCAGGACGGACGGATATATATGTACCCAGTACTGATACGAATACAGACTGTGCAACTAGGGAATGGAATGGAATGGGGCAAAAATTCGAGGTAAAATAAAATAAAAGTGCGCGGCCAGCGCGCCAAGCAAGGGCTGCGCTGATCTGATCCCAGCTCTCCAATTTTTCTTCAACAAATTTTGACTATTTTTTCTTCTCTCTTGTCGATTATTCCCTCATACTGAGTGTTAAAGTCAAATTCATAACTAGTCACCTGCTATTAGTCAAGGTCAGTTCACCGTTCCCACCCCGAGGTTCGCCTGTTTTACCTCCAGTATATTATATACATAGGTACATAGATTAATCTAATCAAACCCATCTTATCAATCGCATATGACTCGCCACCGCCAGCCAGGGCGCATCTCACCTCGGTTTTTCTTGGCCCTTTTGCCCATCACTTACCCAGTCGGTTAGTTGCCCCCCGAACAGTTATTAGTTAGTCTCGCCACCAATAATTTTCAACCGGGTCACCTGCTCCGTGCAATTTATTTCTGCATCCTTCTAGCCTTCTACTGGCCGCTCCTGTCCACACCCATGTGGGAAGCGGACCCCGTCGCACTCGGACAGGAACTCTTTGGGACTGAAAAGGGCCGTTGAGAAGGGTGGCTGGTGTGCTACTTTGCTGTCTGTGCTATTAATAAGGCTGTCATATATGAAGCCAAACGACAACTACTCGTACCAGTATCCGCGGCAACATTGTCAAGTTGCAAGGCGGTAACTGGCAACTACTAACTAGTTGGGAACATTGGAACCCATAAGTATGGCAAGTACACGCGAGTGGCTTGCTTGATTGCTTGATCTTGGGGTCTGACAATCATCTCGAGACTTGGCAACCAAAGAGCTCCGACAAAAACGCCACAAAGACCTGCGAGCCAAGACTTTTTTCATTGCACCCCTCGATAGTCACCAGTAGTTCACTGTACGTTGATTTAGAGTTGGGACAAGGTCCCTGATTCAACCGAACGCTCCCATCAAGCCTCTTCTCTCTCTCCAACTAGCAAGCAGACCCGTTATCAGATCCTGGGTACTGTTTTGTATTGCCAAGACCGAATGCTTGGCAATATTCCAGCTGAGGCTGCTTAATATCCATCACATGCGACGCAAACAGAGTCTCGAAGGCGAAAATTTTCTTGCATTTTTTTCCGTGTCTCGCCTGCCATGTCAATCGATTCCCCATCCGTACGGCCAGGGGGGTCGGAAACCTACATCTAGCCTCGCCCGTCCGCCCTGCTCTTGATTCTCTCCTTGGGAAGAGTTGCCTCGTGTGTGTGTGTAACCCTTTGTGAGCTGAACCCTTCCTCTTCGGCAAACCGGCACAAGACAAGACAAGACTCTCGCGCACTAGAGCATCACATCTACAGTGAAAGGCAAGCAAATGGCGGCCATCACAGCAGATCAGAAGCGGCCCGGCGAGCCCGAGGTCATCGCTTACACCGACGCCGAGAAGGCTGGCGGTGTCGCGATGCCGGCCGGCGGTCATCGTGACTCCAAGGACGGCAACGGATCCGACTCGGATGAGTTCCAGGAGGGTGTTCGCAACATGCGCGCCATCACCACCATCTGGACCAAGAAGACGCTCTGGACCATGTTTGGGCTGTAAGTGCTTGCCCTTGTCCTTGTGCTTGTCCTCCTCGTGCTCATCATCACTAACACCTTTCCCCCAGCCTCTATCTCATCTCCTTCGTCGACTACCTCCAAAACGCCGTCGACTCGGCCCTCTCACCCTACGTCACCTCCGCCTTCAAGTCCCACGGCCTGCTCAACATCGCCTCCATCCTGTCCACCATCATGGGCGGCTGCGCGCCCCTTGCCCTGGCCAAGCTGATCGACATCTGGGGCCGCGTCGAGGGCTTCGTCTTCATGCTCCTCGTCTGCGTCGTCGGCACCATCCTCAAGGCCGTCTCCAACAACGTCTCGACCTACGTCGCCGGCGGCACCCTCTACTGGACCGGCCACATCGGCGTCCGCTACGTCATCGGCGTCCTCCTCGCCGACATGACCTCGCTCAAGAACCGCATGATCTTCATCGGCTTCAGCGCAACGCCCCGCATCGCCACGGCCTTTGCCGGCCCCGCCATTGGCAAGCTGTTTCTTGAGCAGGTCAACTTTCGTTGGGCGTTTGGTGCCTTTGCGATCCTACTGATAGCCAGCTGCGTCCCGGCCATTGTTCTCCTCAGCATGATGAACCGCAAGGCGCTGCGCGAGGGCATTATTGAGAAGCGTCCCGCCTCGGGCCGCACCATGCTCCAGTCCTTCAAGTTCTACGCTATCGAGTTTGACATCCTGGGCATCTTGATCCTCATGTTTGCCCTATCCTTCCTGCTGCTGCCCTTCAGCCTGGCCAGCCGCGCCCCCCAGCAGTGGCGCACCCCCTACATCATCGCCCTCATCGTGCTCGGCGTGCTCCTCCTGCCCGTCTTTTACATCTGGGAGGCCAAGTTCGCGCCCAAGCAGTTCCTGCCCTTCCACTACCTCAAGCAGGGCACCATCATCGGCTCCTCGCTGCTCGTCGGCACCATGTACCTGTCCTGCTTCACCTGGAATGCCTACTTCTACTCGTACCTGCTCATCGTGCACCGCCAGCCCATCGACACGGCCGGCTACATCGTCAACACCTTCATGCTGACCGCTGCCTTCTTCGCGCCCATCGTCGGCTTCGTCATCAGCTACACGGGCGACTTCAAGTGGACCGCCTACGCGGGCGTGCCCATTATGCTGCTCGGCACCGCGCTCATCATCCCCTTCCGCAGCCCCAGCGCGCCCGTCGGCATGCTCGTCTTCACCCAGTTCTTGGTCGGCCTCGGCAGCGAAATCTTCACGGCCTGCAGCACCCTGGCCATCATGGCGCCCGTCACCCACCAGTACATCGCCGCCGTCAATGCTATCGGCGGGCTGTTTGGCAGCGTCGGCGCGGCGATTGGTTTTGCCATCGCGGGTGCCATGTGGAACAACATGGTGCCCCAAGAGCTGACCAACCGCCTGCCGGAGGGGCTCAAGGGCAACGCAAGCGCCATCTTCGCGGACATCAACATCCAGGGCTCCTTTGCCGACGGCTCCCCGGAGCGCGAGGCCGTGGTCGGCGCCTACTCGCACGTCATGCGCCTCATGGTCATTGTCGGCGCCGCGTTTATGCCCCTCTGCGTTCTCTGTGTCTTTGCGTGGAAGAACATCAACGTCAAGAAGATTGAGGAGGAGCAGGGCAAGCAGACCAAGGGCAACACTATTTAGACGTCCTCCCTGGTCCAGGGCTTCCGTGTAACGAATGTGGCCAAGAAACTACCAGATCAGGTGCATTCCTCACGCTTCATTCGCCACAGAAGGCAGCAGGCAACATTCGATGTTGTCCCTAGACCGGCCACCGTAATTCACGCGTCGCTGTAGTTAACAAACACTATACAATTAATATTTATTTACAGCGGTCTATATTGATAATAACTCTTCACAATCCAATCAGAGTACCTGACAGTTGCCTCGCTGAGCATCACCCATCATCGTAGACCTTCCTGCTACACAGCGGCTTCTCTCAATACTTCGAGTGAATCTTTGTCTTCCAATCTGCCGTGCCGTTCTCATTAGCGTACCATGCTTCCACAAAGGGGTTCTGTCTGCAAGCTTCAAGCTCTGCCCGCTAAGCTTGCGGGAAGTAGGCCCTGTACCTACTTAGCCCCTGGCTGCCAATACCTTGGATGGCACTCTGTCTATAATTCTCCTTGGACCTCTCGCCAAGATGCCACCCTTCATCATGCGCCCTGCCTAGCAATGTGATGCGGCATCCTAGACCTCGCTCCTGCACAGCAGCCGCTCCCAATATCTCAAGTGATTCTTTGTCTATCATCCTCCCTTACCATTCTCGCTCAGCCGGCATCCCTTCACTCGGGTGCAGGTGTTCATTCATGCGATGTGACGCAACACAAAGCGCATATATTGTCTTGGCTCTGGGTCAGCAGAGTCGAACCGGACGATGCCATCACAATCCAGCTGCCGGTCGACTGACCAACTTGCACAGTCTAGACCGATTTGCATGTAACTCAAGGGGTGCAGAGACTGGACCAATATGTATTGGCTACTGAGAAAAGACAATCATTGCTAAAGTATTGTACAGGAGAGCGTGAGCTGAGTCTCATTCCAGAGTCTGTGCCCTCCGTGCATAGGATGACACCCGCTCGGACGGCAACATGTTGCCGTATGCTGCAGCTACAACTCGACAATATGTAAGGTTTGTGACTGGAATATTACGAGCTGGATTGAATCACGATGTAGTCGAATTGCGAGCCGGCCAAGTCCGCCCAATTTCGGCCTGTTGAAAGAAATATCCTTCTTGACGTCGGAAGATTCTCTGTAGCACGAAGCTTCAGACGATGTATAAAGATGTCTACAGTCTTCCCAACTTGAAGGAACCTATCTTCAAGCCATTTTGCACCATTTCCCACCATATGCAGTTATTACAAAGAATACACAGCATGCATACCTTCTGGGCGGCAGTGGCAGCAGCCGTTGTACTCCCCACGGTAGCTGCTCTCCCCGCTTCAGCTTCAGCCGCAGATGTCGACATGGCTCTTCAATTCAGAGGCACACCGGCGGGAAAGCAAATTGCAAACGGTGTCAAGCTCCGCATCCTACCTGTGGGAGACTCCATCACTGTCGGCTTTCTCAGTGACGTCGGCGGAGACGGCGATGGTTACAGACGCCAGCTCCGAAATGACTTGTTCAGTAAGTTCAGGGACACCCGTTCTTCCTGGAGAAAGAAGACGAAGAATTTACAGAAATAAAGGGAACCGGGTTGTTTTTGCCGGGACCGAGTCGTCTGGCACAATGGATGACGGATACTATGTAAGTCACCTTGCTCTCTACCAAAAACCGGCGGAGCTTAACGACAGTTAAAGGCAGCATGGAGCGGCAAGACCATCCAGTACATGGCGGATCACATCAATCCCTCTCTTGAGCAGCGGCCAAACGTCGTCTTGATCGGTGCCGGCACCAACGATATGAACTCGAACCCCTCCATCTCCACCGAAGGCATCGATCCCGTCGAGGCCGCCTCCCGGCTCGGCAAGCTCATCGACAAGATCACTGACAAGTGCCCCGACGCCGTGGTGCTTGTAGCCATGATCATAGACACCTGCGATCCGTCGCAGGAGCCGCGGACGCAGCAGTACCAGAAGCTGGTCCCCGGTATCGCCAAGACGCGAAGGGACGCCGGCCACCACGTGCTCGCGGCCAACTTCACGACCTTCGTGCCCAGCTACGGCGATGGTGTCCTCCGCGACTGCATCCACCCCACGAATGAAGGGTACAAGCTGTTCGGAGACTACTGGTACGACTTCGTGACGCAGATCCCCAGCGGCTGGATTGCCCCCCTGGTCGGCGAGGACCCGAGACGGCTGCCGATGAGCGACCGGAGCTGAAACGGCGGCGTTGACGAGCACGTTCCGCCGCCGGATTATGGAAACAGTCCTCTAGACTCGAAGCCGGAAGGAAGCTACCGTGAACTCCGGGACTGGGCTGTCGGGGACGGCCCGGCCAGGTGCAACTCGAACCCGGCGTGGAAGGCCACGGGCAAGATTGCCGCGAGCTTCGGACGGAATGGCGACTGGAAGTTTCATAAGGACTGGCAGGAAGCAGGAAAGGTTGTTTCTGGTTTTGGTTTGGACGGTGCCCGTGTCCGGTAGGTGTGTCCCATGGCATGATGAGGCACTTAACTAGATTGACTTATACAGGGCGGCATTGTAGACTGCACGACATGAACGGGGACGGTGAAGCAGGTAGTTGAGAGTTTTTCATTATTTTGCCAGATATTGTGTGTAAATCTATTAACACTCCGACAAGCAGACTACGTCTGGATTGACCCAGTAACGGGGGAAATTCGATGCTGGCTCAACAACCTTCCGAATCCATGGACACCCGCGGGCAACAATGACAGCATCATCGGTAGTGGTGCCGGTCGCGGACAGACAATCTACCTCGCAGTATGTCATGACATGAATTACAAACACAACCAACTCCCTCCTCTGGTAACAGGCCTTGCACAGGACAAGAACGGCGACGCGGTAAACAAACTTTGCTTGGCCCTGTCCCGCAACGACTTGACTAACAAACAAGCTCTAGATGGACGACTACCTCGTCGTGAACCCGCGCAACGGCGCTGTCCGCATCTTCTGGAATCGCGGGCCCGACGAGAGCTGGGCCAACGGGTGGAAGTTCGTCGACGGCGGCGTCATCGCCTCGGGCGTGCCGCATGCCAACCTCGCGACCCTGCGCTTTCCGGACATCAACGGCGACGGCCGCACCGACTACGTCTACGTCGGCAAGAGCGGCTCGGTCGTGCACTTCCTTAATGTCGGCTCGGTCGGCGGCACGGACGTCGTGTTTCACGACCAAAAGGGCATCGCGACCGGGGTTGGCCTGGACGACCTTCCAAAGCTAGTCTTTGCGGATGTATGTTCAGTTTCCGTCTGATGTTCAATTGTCACAGTACAAAAGTATTGGCTGACACGCGAGTTTGCGCAGACCAACGGCGACGGACGCGACGGTATGCTTTGCGGAGAACAAGGGCCGCAAAGGGCCTGATTGCTGACCGCTGGCTTGGTGACTCATGTTAGAATATCTCGTCTGGGACGGTGACGGCGGTCTGTCTGGCTTGCTGAACCAGCGTACGAATCGTGAAGGTGTGCCTCTATTCATTGACCAAGGCGGTGCCAAGTCCATCTCGGATGGCATCGGCCAAGCGCACAGAATCCGACTTGCCGACATGGACGGGTAAATGGAATCTCTCCCCGTCTTTCATACTCATGGCCGGAATCTAACGTGCTCACAGAGACGGCAAGGATGACTACGTGGTCATCGGCGACAACGGCGCCTTGTCTGTCTGGTACACCCGGGGCACCACCGATGACAGCATGGCCATTGACGGACTGCGATTCGCCGACATTACCGGAAGCCTAGTACGTAGAATCAACTTGCTCCTTACTTGGGCACGCTGGCACCATGCCGAATCTTCTCTGACATTTAATGCTACAGGGACAAGACTACGTTTGGGTTGACCCGAAGACTGGCGCTCCAACTGTCTAGTGAGTATCTGCAGCTCCCCTACACAACCAACGCAAACTGATGATTACATCCAGCTCCAACCAAGGCGGCTCATTCAGTCCCTTAAAAGATGGGGGTCCCATCGCAGCAGGCGCAGCTCCCGGAAGCCAGGTCGTCTTTTGGCGACATTGACGGGTACGCACAAGTCTCATCCCAGCAGGAGCTGATCTGATATCATCTGCTGACATGCCTTAGCGACGGATGTGACGATTACCTGGTCCTTGAACCAGAGACCGGCGCACTTACAGCCTACTTGCTCGTACCGGGGGGCGGAGGCAAGAGTCAAAATGGCAGCTACTCGTTCACTCCGATCGGCCAAGTCACCAGCGGGCCTGGTCTGGGCAAGAATGTCCGCATTGCCGATATTGATGGAGACGGTGTAAGTGAACTTCAACACCATCCTTAGTCCACATATATGTAAGATCTGACCCTTGCCATCACCGCGATGACTACATCTACCTCTCCAACGCCGGCAAGACGACCATCTATCGCAACATGTACGGCACCAACACCACCAGCCCCGACAGCCGCTTCGCCGCGCTCCCACAAGCAGACGCCGCCGGCATCGGTCAGCGTCCCAAAGAGACAAGCTTCCATGACATCAACGGGTACGTGTTTTCCTTTCCTTCCCAACGCTCTTCTCCAGCAACAACCCCCCACCCCGCGCTCACACACATCCCCGGCAGCGACGGCAGGGCCGACTACGTCTGGACGCGGCCGCTCAATGGGAGAGTGGAGGTCTGGCTCAACATGTACCCACAGCAGCCGGCGTGGCGGCACGTCGGCGTCGTAAATAACTGCGTGGGTACTTCGGGCGCCAACACACGCCTCGCGACGCTGCCGGGGACGAGGCGGCGTCCGGGCAGCGGGCGCGCGGACTTCGTCGCCGTGGGTCCGAATACCGGCGCCCTCGCAGCTTGGCTGAACGGATGTGATGATGGGACGTGAGTCCATTTTCAGCTGGGCATGCCCGAGTCGTGAAAGAGGTGGAAAGTGGCGCTGAGTTACAGGTTAACCGGGTGGTGATCGTGGTTCCGGTCACCCATCAGTGCATCTTGTATGTTAACTAGTGCATCACTTGATCAGGACGCGACATGGCACAATTTGAATACAAGTTGCTTTGATTGACATAAAACTTCGTTATCTTCATAAGTCATTAGCCTTCGTTAGTAGGAAACCCAATTCCACCGCTGCCTGCTTTGGTCTCAACTGCCCAGTTCCCAGGAACGTACTAGGTATGCAAAACAAAAGCAAATTAAAGAATCGAGACATCATAGCCTCGCCGAGAATGAAATCACAAGAACGAAACGCAGTGAAGCAGGCAGCATCAACCCAAATGAACAACCAAGGTACCCTTCGAGTACACCACAAACTACAACACGATCCAGTCGGTCTGCACCTGCCCGTCCCCCGCGCTCGTCGGCGTCACCGGCTCGTTCGCCGACGACCCTTCCTCCCCCTCCTCCGTCGAATCCATGGTGCATTCCGACACCTCCTCCAGCTTTTCCGCGACTTCCGCGGCGGCCGCCTCGCCCCTCGGGATCACGCAGTAGATCCCCTCGCCCGCGAGCTCCACGTCGATGGCGTCCGCCAGGTGGTAGTGGTGCGCAAACGTCTCCTCGTCCACCGCCAGCTCCACCTCGGGCAGCTCGTCCACGTCCGAGTCGTCGTCGCGCGCGAGGTACACGCCAAAGTCGAGCGTATGGCCGCAGGCCACGGAGGCCGCGCCGTACACCTCGACGTCGTGGATGATGTGCGTCAGCGGCACCTCTCCGCTGAGCTCCTCAAAGGTGGGGTTTTCGTTGACGAAGTTGAAGAGGCTGACTTCGTCGTCGCATTCGGACGCGGGCTCGGGCGCCGCGTCCGCGTCCGAGGAGTCCGTGTCGGAGCTCCACGCGCTCGGCAGCTGAGCCTCCTCTTCCGCCGCCACCCGGTCCGCTTCGGCTTCGGCGGTAGACCACGGCGGCGGCATGTCGTCGCTGTGCACGCTGCTGCCGGTCTCTATCGTGGTGACGCTGGCCTCGTCGCCGTCGCGGCCGCCCCAGGTCGGCAGCAGGTCCAAGCCGATGGTCAGGTCGCTGAGCCGCAGGTCGAGCGCCACGGCCTCGGCCAGCCGCTCGTTGCCGAGCTGCACGAGCGCCGGCAGCACACGACGCGCATTGACGACGGCCTCGACGTCGCGGCACTCGAAGAGCCGCGCCTGCAGCACGTGGTGCAACGAGTGTGCCTCGGGGTCCCACGAGTGCAGGCCGGGCCACGTCGGCAGCCCGTTGTCGTCGATGGACACGGCGGCGAGCTCGACGCCGCTGCAAATGGCCATCTCGAGCAGCGGTACGGCGGTCCCACGTAGATACTCCCGCACGTGGAAGGACATTAGGTAGACGGGCATGCTGCGTCGGATGGCGTCCCGGAACGCGGTTGAGGCAGCCTTGGCCTCGGCGCTTGGCTCGGTTTCTGTTTTCCGTGTACCTAGTGTCAATACAGCCTCTGTCTGCAGGGCCAGTCACCAACACCATCACCTACCTTGGGGAGCTTCGTCTACAGGATCTGCATAGGGAAGGCCTGATGTGTGTGTGTTGTCTTCTTCATCGGTGGGTATTTCGATAATGTTGGCCGGGTTCTCTTCCGGCAGCCAGTGGTAGGCGTCGAAGCTTGTTCGGTTGTACGTCATGGCGGTCAGTGAAGAGGGAGGCTTGTGAAGAGGAAGAAAGAGGGAAGATGCAGTGATGTTGTAAAGATGTGCGGCGGTGTGTTTGGGGATAAAAATGAAACAAGGCAGGGACACCACAAAGAGGAAAAAAGGGGGAACACGGCGTCTCTTATACGCGTGAGCAAAGGAAGATGCTCAAATGCCGTCCTTGCCTCTTGTGTGACGCTGGCTGCACGGATGACTGACTGATTGACGTGGATGCCGTCACCCGGGTTGCAACGGAGAGTCCGATAATAGGCACCCAGACCAGGAAACCAGCGAAAAAAAAGGCAAGGGGAAAAAAGGCGTGCGAACCAAGGCTCTGGGGATTTCAGGCGAAGGAACGCCCTGCATCTGAAAGCGCAGTGCAGCATGCAGCATCACGCCGTTTGCCACGACACGTTTGCATGAGTTAGCGCTTGCAGTGACGAACAACAGCAATCTGTGTGCGTGCATCACCAACAAGGCCTCCTGACACAATGTGAAGAGGAACGGGGTGGATTGAACGTCAGAGTTGCCGTTCCATCGACTCACAAGCATCTCGTCTAATTTTGGAACATGGTGTCATGCAGTCCCGGTTGTCCTACTTAAGGCCCAGGTCGCACTACGTCCACTCTCCGCACAACCACTTGGCCAACGGATTGTGTCGCCCGGGCAAAGATGACACAAGATTCCCGTGACCCGTCGTCCAACCTACAAACCTTGGTCAGTGACGCCTTACCACCCGACCGGCCCAGCGCCGACAAACGCAGCAGCAGTGGCAGCACGCAGTCATCCGTCGTCCGGACGTGGTGCAGCTCCTACCAAGATGAGTCGGCCAATGCCGACCCGTCGCCTCCGCCTCGTCCTCCTTTACCGCCTCCGCCGTACGCCTCACATAGTCGACCTCCTTCATACGTCCCCCGTGCGCCGGCACCGCAGCCGCCGGCACCCGCTGTTGAGACCCCCGCGCCTCACAGCCCAACGTGGGAGCAGCTGCTCGGCGAGCTCCCCGGCAGCGAGCCCGAAGAGCTGCTCTGCGTATGCAGACACTGCCGCGGTCCGCCTTCCATCACCTCTTCCCTCTATGTAGAGCTGGAGAGAGTTCGCACTATGCGGTTCTCGGACTGGAATGGCTGGCGTCAAGCCGATCCATTGTCGGTGCCCCGGAGCAGGCGGCGGCGGCTGGCAAGGCAGCTTAGGAGACTATTTGAATTTCCCAACCGCTAGTGATTGTCAAGCTGCTTCAGTTCGGGTCGAAACCAGATTGATTTGTTTTTGTATGTTCTAGTGTATTTGTATCGTCAATAATATCTCAGAAAAGCATGTTATTCCTTTTGACCGCCAAACGCCGTTCCCGAATGATTTTGCTCGATCGTAGACTCGTAGCTCGCATCGTCGTCAACCATCTCGTCTCGTCTCGCTCCCTTTACAGAATGCCCTCCATCTCCGTCTCGTCCGGTCCTAGTCGCTCCTCCTCATCCGCCGGGGCATCTGCAGCCGCATCGTCAGTAGCCATTCACACCGCCCCCGGCATACCCAACAGTTCTGAACATACCAGTCATGACGGCCTCGCCCTCGGCCTCTGCCTTGCGCTGCATCGCGTAGCCCAGCTTCTTCTGCAGCTTGCGCGCCTTCTTGGAGCTGACCTTTGCGTTGGGCCCGCTGTTCGGTAGGAGGCCCGGCCGCGCGCCGCGCCTCACGTCCACCTTGGCGATCTTGTGCTTGTTCTCCTCGGAGCGCTTCTGGCTCGTCTTGCGGGCCTTGGCCGCGCGGGCGGCGAGCCGGTTCTTGGACGGGCCGTTGGGGTTTTTGACGGAAGGCATCTTGAGGGCAAGGTGAGAGAGAAAATTAGGGCGAGAAGTTTAAGGATGTAAATGGAAGTCGTCGCAAAATAAAGACATGGTCAACTTTTGGAAATATTTTTCTTTTTGCCCCACGACAGATCGGCCCCACTCGAATCAGGACCCTGACACTGACAATTCAACAGATCTAGAAATGCCATCAAATCAATCTCTAGTACATATCTAGGTAGTTAACTAGATATCGTACACTGATACACCTGTATGAAATAAATGTATGAATGCAGCTATATCAACGACGAAATAAACATTTCTTCATATACGCCGCAAGTTCTTTCACCGACTCAGGATCGTCCCCCGAGAACGGGCAGCACTCACACGGCCGGGCCCCGACGGGTCTCGTAGACAGCCTCCTGTACTCCTCCTCCTGGTCCTCCTTGTAGCCCATCGCGCAGACGTACCCCGTCCTCCTCAACAGCACCGCCACGACCAACATTCGCGCCACCGCCGCCGTCCTTTCCCCGAACGGCGACGCGCGGATGAGCTGCTGGTGCCAGCTCGCCGCGCGCCAGAGCGCCTGCTCCCGGTCGCCGACGATGGGCACCTCCGCGGCCATGTACGCCGCCATCTCCGCCAGCAGCGCCTTCAACTCCGGCTGGATCTAGCACTTCAGGGTGCAGTCGCGGTGCCGACTGTGCAGGCGGTGCCCGCGGCGCACCCAGCCCGTCACGAGCAGCCGGTGCGCCTCGCAGAGCGCCACGCCCGTCACGGGCTGCCGCCGCGCCACCACCTCGTCGACCAAGTAGCGCAGCGCGAGCGCGTGGTTGATGGTCTGCTGCCGCGACTCAGCGACGGCCGCCCCGGTCGCTTTGCGGCCGCGCTCGACGAGGTGGTACACGTGCGAAGCGTAGTCGGGGTCTTCTTCGGGGGCGGGGATCGCGGCCGTGACCGAGTTGCCCCAGCAAATGGCGTTGTAGATCCGGAGCGTGTGTTGCCAGCTTGTGCCGCGTGAGTCGAGCGTGTTGGATCCGTAGACAGCGTTGGACAGGTCCAGGGCGACATCGTCGGGCTGGTAGTTGACTCGTCGATTAACTCGTCGGCAGGCGACCATGCCGGAGACTTGATATTCCAACTCCATTGTACTGTTGTGCTCCGTTTTCGCTCTTTTGTCGCTCTCTTCGGCTGACCTGTCCTTATAGCTGGCCTGTACTGTTAAGTAGACGTGAAAATAATCAACTCTTGCAACAAGGCGAGCACACTTTATTTAAGCTGCTGCGAAAAACTTCCGAATCAGTTCTTTTTAAAATTCAACGCGTCCTCCGATAACGATTCCTTCATTTAGCTTGGCGCTTTATCGTATCGTGGCCCTTATTAGGGCCTCACGCTGTAAACGAAACTCACAGCATGACCAACAAGCTTGAGACGCAATCCCCGTAAAATTCGATGGCTACCGCAACTAACCTTTATACAAGACCGATTCTGAAAAACTCAAAAAGCACAATTCAAGCCCGGCAATTATCATATGCCTGCATTTGTGAAATCAATTGCTCCACCCCAGACGCCGTAATGATGTATAGTAATTTCTTTTTCGTCGACAAGAAGACGTGCTTCAATCTTTAATGTGCAGAAGCATGATTGTTGCGGCCAAGCGTGCTCGGTGTGTCGATGCTTGCCCTATCCGCTCGATTGAGCATGCGCTGGCCCTCATCGTTCTCCTCCTCGTCGCTGAGGCCCTCGAGCTCGAACTCTTCGGCATCGCGCAGGCTACCCTCCTCTCGGGCGCCACCATTAAGGCGAATATGTCCGTTAGTGTACTTACCGCCCTTTTCGTCGCTCGAGAGGCGGTCGTAGAGATGGATGAGCATGTTGGCAAACAGGAAAACCATAAAGGCAAGAGAATAAAGAATGAGCGTATAGGAAACGCCGTCCATACCGGACGTCGCAACAAGATTCATCTGCTCCTCAGTGGCACCCATGAACAAGAAGCCCGCGGCGTACATAAGAAAAACAGGAATGTACTGGAAGCTGCTCCAGGTGCGACCATTTTCGTCGAGCGACTGCTTGTCCTTGAGAATAAATGCAATTTCAATAACGCGAGTGACGCCAACAGCCATCAGTGTCTTGCCGAACATGGCGTGCGTCATGGCGCTGACCATTAGCTCCTGGGGATGCGCGGACATGGCCCAGCCAGTGATCAAGATGACAAAGGCGGGAATAAAGTTGCGCTTAGGGTTCCCATCGCGGTCTCGGCTCAGCCAGATACCAGCCAGTCCCGCACACCACCAGACTATGCCCATAGTAGTGTGCTGCCAGTCGTTTTTGACCCAGGCGGTGCCCCAGCGGTGCTCCGTGAAGGTGTTGATGCAGCCCCAGACGGCAATGACGGAGCTGTCAAAGAACTCTTGTGAGCGGCCGGTGCGGCGGATCCACATCTGTCCGGCGAGGAGGATAATGGTCAGGATGATACCATATGCGATGAAGGCACCGCCCATGATGAAGTGTGCGGCGCACTGTCCGAGGTGGTCGCCCTGACAGAAGCCGAGGGTGGTGATGCCGCCAAAGACCATCTGGACCCAGGCGAGCAGGGGCATGGCCTTGCCGATAACGGAGTGAAAGGGCCGGATTAGGAGGCGGATGCGGCCATTGATACCGCGCTCCCAGTGACCCTTGAGATAGAGACCGAGGACGACCTGGCCGACAAGGAGGAGCTGGAGGATGTTGGCGAAGACGGAGTGGACGTTGTTGCCGACGTATTGACGGCCGCCGTGGGCGTGCCCAAGAAAGAAACCGACGAGGGCGAGCGAGGAACCGATAGCCTGGGTTGGGACGTGCCATCGTGATTTGGTCATCTAGAGACAACTGTAAGGCGACAGGGGTCAGGATGCGGAAGGGATCAACCAACTTACACCAAGGACCATCCCAATGGGGAAGATGACGCCGTAGGCGAGCATTTGAATAAAGATGTGAAGCCATGTAATGGAATCCTATTGTGGTGTTAGCTAGTTGCTCAAGGCCATCTTGTCTGTGTCGCGTCGATCGGTACGCACCAGAGGCTCTTTGGTGACAGTTTCGCCCTCTGGAATGGCGGTTTCGCCATCATGGTGATCGTGGGCCCGAGCAGCGCCGACAAAAACGGTTGCAACAAGTAGAGAGGCCGTCGATGCCAGGCAGGCGATATTGCGTGTTTGTCGGGTGGTCATGGCTGTTCGCGCACGCGGACCGGAGCGTGTCTAATAATCTTGGGTCGAGAGGTGGCGTGCACTGGACCGTCCGAACGTGTGCAACTAATGTCGAGTACAAACGGGAGCACCAGAGGTGGAGGAAACGCGGCAGTCGACGTTGAAATAGCGCAATACCAGTGGAAAATTCGGTTCGGCAGCTCGGCCAGCGAATGTCGCGATCAAAGATGCGCAAGGCAGAGTCTGTGGGATGGAATTGGCAAAAGTCAAAAGGGGCGCTGCTCGAAAACGACCTACGGAAGCCCGGATCTCGTCTGGTAACTCGCCAAGTAATCCGGGCATTTATTGCGTTCTTGTTGATTGGCCCCCCACCACACGGTGGGTCGGCCCGCAGTAACCGATACAGGGGGGCAAAGAGCAACTTCGCGAATGCACAAATCGGCCATCCTAGTCGGAAACTAACCGAATCATGCTCACGTTTGCTCCAAACCAGTATATCAATGCAGAGCCGTTGGTTTTTCATATCATGCGGTATTTCTTCTGCCAAAAAAAAGCTTCGGAGCCATCCTCACAGCCCACTCACCCATCAATAACACTGACCACTCTGTATCAGCCAGTCTTCCCAGGCCTCCATTCCCCGTCGCAACTACGGCACTATGGCTGACACGAAACAAATACTCCCGTGTCGAAGTCGCGATCCGGCTCTGAAAGAATCACTGAAAACACTTTTTGACATGCAAATCTTTTTCCATTTTCTCATCCCAAAAAAGTCACTAGGTACCATTTCACCACAATCGATCGTATCCCAGCAGTCAAGCCCGTATCCGACCCTCCATCAGCCTTCCGCAAACAAACAAACCCCCTCATCTTCCCCGAAATCTGCATCTGAAGACCTTGAAGATCGTAACAGTACCCCTAGCTGACTAGCTATCGAAAAATGGAGATGAGGTGCGACGGCGCAGCCGACAAGGCCCCAGGCGCACAGGCGCCAGTCCAGCCGGCATCACCCCGGCGTTGAGGAAGTCCGCAGTGCCCTCGAGCGCCAATGGCGACGAAACTGGCCTGGCGGGCGCCAGTCCGGCCTCGAGCATGCCTTCGTCAATGCGCGGCAGTGGCGCGGAGGCGGGTCGGGCTGGCAGCTCTACCGCCTCCAAGATGCCCGCCTGCCTATGCTTGCGCGAGTTTGAGCTACCAGTCGCACAGCGGTTACAGGTGGTAACGGGGGTTGGTTCGTCTCGGTAGAATTAGATCAATAGTACGCTGAAGAGCAGCAAGACGCCGCCCATGAAGATGAGCAAGACGGAGAAACGTGCTGCAGTGGAAGAATCTGAATCTCGTTTTTTCAGATGGTCAATGGTGATAATTGTAGTCATACTCGTCAGTTTTGCCATCTGATAGCGTTTGGTGCAGTCGTGTTGATGTTGTCAGGGCCGGTAGTCTCGGCGGTGTTGTGGATTGCTGCTGGAAGCGTCTGGACACATTTAGAGTAGGCACGCCAGTATTCCCGTCTATGTAGACCTTCGAACTCGAAACCAAAATGGCAGGATGCCTTTAGAATGACCGAATGAATGACTCTTACCTCATAATTTCGAGGCTATGCTGCGCCGTCGCCATAAGTCTTTGACCAGTCGTCAAAGAAGTTGGTCTTTCAAAAAATGCGATGCAACAAAGGGGACTCGCAGAATTCTTCCTGGTAAATATCATAATGGTCATTTTAGAAGTTGTCAGCATGTCATTTAAAAGAAACAAGAAAAGTCTTTTGTCATTGTTGACCGGGTCTTTTGTGTCTTTCCATCTTCCAATACACTGGATCAAAGGGCGCTCACGCCTGAAGCACTGACAAGGTTGACGAGCCATCTCCCCCAATTGAAGGAGCTAGAATAGCCTATAATGTAATGTCAGTTTTTATTTCTTGTACAAACAAAAAACTCTCAGACAGTTGCAGGCAGGCGAGTGCGGTGACTGCGATGGCACATCAATGGAAAGTAAGACTACCAGAGCAACAGCTAAATTGGCGAAGTTCTTCAACATGTGGTGTAGGCTGCGACGTATGCAGATCCAAGTCTACGGTCAAGTCAATAGATGCCCCCATGGAGTAACCCAGGAAGTGCTTTTGCAAGGTTTCACAGAGATACGATGAACATGCGATATATTTAGAAACAAGTACCTCCTCAAATATTAACATAAAAATACAAAAACTTCCCTCCACATACATGTCCCCCCGCGTGCCTAACTCGAACATGCCGGCTCCTATGCGCAGCTGCTGCGGAGCGCGTTCTTAAGTAACTAGAAGCTGAGCCCGAGAATGGCGCCCAATGGCGCGCACTTGGTTTACTTTGAGCTTCACGTAGCCTCCAGGTGAGCCTCCCTCGTCGTATTTTGGTCCCTATTTCGCTCCCCTTCCTCGAGACGCCGGTTCTTGGCCGCTAGATGGTGGTGCATTTTTCGGTCCTTCCATCGCTGGTATCCAAGCAAGACGACGAGAAATAATAGGAAAACAACGGTTAAGCTCAGGCCGGTGATGGTAGCACTATCGTGAGACGTGCAGTTGACATCGATTTTGGGCGTCTTGTTCATGGTTTCCATGATTTTCGTGGTTGGGTTCGAAGGTGTTGATGATCGTCTGCGAAGCTGAAAGCGGATGCTGGTGCTTTTGTAGTCGCTCTCTTGGGTACATCGCATGTAATTTGCCGCAGACTGGAGATCGGTCCTATCATAAAGTATGAGTTCTAGGAAGACACCACCTCGTTGACTGGCGGTCTTCCTGTGACTCTTGGGAAGCCCAAGACACAATAAGCTTCTTTCAGAGACGCCGACCCCGCGAAAGAACAGCGCGACCAAAGTCTGGTACGCCATTGTGCCCTGGTCTCAACGCAAGAAAGAGATGAAAAGAAGGTTCTTTGCTGCGTGTGGGTGATTCGCAAGGCCAACCAGCTTATTTGTCCTTTGCCAGAGACTCAATGAGTTTCCTCGCCTTGTCCCAGAGCTCCGCCTCCATGTCCCGCTCGACCTTTGTGCTGCGACTGTTAAGCCAGCCGACGTCCAAATTGCCGATAGCGCCCAGCCCGTTAGGCCGGAGCGACGCCTTAGCCGAAGCGTTGGGGTCGCCGCGCGACGCGCTGTTGAGGTCGACGATGCTGGCTTCCTCGAGCGCCATGATCTGGCGCTTCATGCGCACGTCAATGTCGTGCAGCGCGGTGAGAAACGCGTCGGTGGACTGGGTAAAGGCCTCCTTTGCGGCGTGCGCGTTAATTTCGGAGCCCCCTTGCTCGGCGGGTGAACTGGTTGACGATGGGGTGGTGAGCGAGTTGAGGGCTGTGGCGGCATGGCTCATGAGCTGCACAGCTGACTTGTCGATGGCATTTAGTTGGCTGATGTTTTCTTCAATCGTGAAAGGCTCATGTATATCGACGGGCGATCCATCGCCCATGGCTACGTCGTTAGGTGATGTCATTGCGAGTTGTGACCTGGGAGTTTGTTATGCTGGTTGATGGAGAGGAGAACCCTGCTTGACTGAAGTGGTCAGTGATAGTTACCTGTAGGCTGTGGGGGCGCGGCGTGTAGGTTGTCCGGTGCATTTTATGCAGACGAGGACGTCAAAGAATAAGGTAGTCCGCTCGACTGGGAAAACTTCTTGAGCAAATAACATGCACAGAGAATTTAGGGAGGAAAAGAATATTTCCAGTTATGTGTACTTTACATTCGTCCTTTCTCTGCATAGATTCATTCGGTACCAGGAAAGCTTATTAAGGAGCAAACATTGTACAGCCGCGACCTTCTCCGGCTTGCGCTACGATAAATATGGGGCGCCTCGCAAACCAAGGCTGCTTCGCAACTCCATCACCGACTTCATTTTCACTTCTCGCATTCTTCCATCTATGCGACTTGTGCCACGCCCGCGCGCACGTGCCAACCCGAGAATAGCCATCACTAGTCGTCTCTCCCGACTCGATAGCTACGAAAATAGGGTTCTATTCCTTGCGCGTTACGCTGCGCGCCTGGCCGACGCGCACAGCACCGCACGCGAAGATCCAAGTCGCATCACCGCTACCCCACGACTCGGCCCATCACACCTTTCAATCCATCCACGTTGGTTAACACTCTCGAATCCAGCTCGTCATAAAACATCAAATATCTCGACAAGATGACACAGCAAACACCTGTCCCTCCTCCGGTTTACGGCCAGCCCGTCCCTGCCCCAGCACCGCCGCCTCCTGCCGCCCCGGCTACGACGACTACCCCGGCACCTGCGTCGAATGCCATGTCCAATCACAATCTCAACCAGATAGTAAGTGTGAAGCATGGATGACGGCTGCGGTAACTCATTTAGCTGCTCTGCCGCTAGCCCAGTCTCTATGCATGATGGCGATGCGATTGTGGGCTTACCTGAAACAACAAGGTCACCGATTATTTATTGAAGAGAGGCTTCAACCGCACCGAAGAGGTTTTCCGCACAGAGTCCAAGCATCTTGGCTCAGATGGAAAGCCCATTCATCAGCCTGCAATTCTGGGACCTAAGAAGTACGGTAAGGCCTACAGACTTCTAAAGGCCTGGGTGTTCAATAATCTTGAAATCTACAAGGTGCGTACTTCCCTGTCTTGGTCACTACATAACATCTAATGCCGTCCAGTTCGAGTTGTCAAAGCTCCTCTGGCCACTATTCGTCTACTCCTACATCGCCCTCGTTGAAGATGGCTACACCGAGGACGCCAAAATTTATCTCAAAGATATGGGTCCCCAGTTCCAAGGGGCGCATGCTGACGACTTGAAGACTTTCGCCACCGTCACGCTACCAGCCCATACTTCGGAGAATCCTACCATAGCGCTCTATAAGAACAACAAATACAGGATCCCGCTTAACCAACATGCCACCGGGGACCTGTTCAACTTCCTCGAACGCGAGTCCGATAATGGCGGCACAGTCATCCGCCAAATCCTTGTCAATCACTGCCAGATTGACTCGACACAACGAGGCCCTATTACCCCCTTTAGTTTCGAGGCTGTTTTCCGACGTGCCAAGAACATGGATGTGGACGATATTGATACCAAGGAAGGTGTACCGGGCATTAAGCTGGGGCTCTCAAATAAGGATGTTCTTGATCCCGCAGCTCCCCTCCAACTGGGGCCACTCCCCATGGAACCTGAACTGCGTGATGACGTACGCGCCGAACTTGAAGATGAAGAGAAACGCAACCCATCGGCGCCGGGTACCTCGACGCTTCTGGAAGTGTTCGACCAAAAGATCAAGCGTGAGGATAGTGATGATGCTCCAAACCGAGCTGATCTTCCCCTACCCCCATCCAGGCCGCGAGACATTATGCTGGAGATGCAGAGGCTCCGCGAAAACAGAGATCGCTTCAAGATCGAGGGACGGACCGGAGGCGTTGGAATCGCCGTCAGCGCCTGCATGTTCACATTTCACAATACACTGGGCAGCGTTGCTTGCATGGACTTCTCTGATGATGGGCAACTCGTTGCGGCCGGCACTTCTGAGTCGTACATCAGAGTTTGGTCGTTGGATGGCAAGGCCCTATCATCTATGAATGCTCACGAGAGGGACTCCAAGTTCAACAGCAGAAAGCTGATTGGTCACTCAGGGCCTGTGTACGACGTGTCATTCTCTGACTCGGCCGCGGGCGCGCCTCAGCGACTGTTTGGAGACGAGGCCCAGCCGGGCGCCAAGATCGACACCAAGGCCAAAATGCTGCTGTCCTGCTCTGCCGACGGTCAGATTAGACTGTGGTCCCTTGAATCATGGTCCTGTCTTGCTGTGTACAGGTCTCATGATGGCCCAGTATACCGAACACAATGGGGTCCTCATGGACACTACTTCCTGAGCGCTGGCTACGACAGAGCTGTCCGCCTATGGATGCAGGACCATGCTTCGCCACAGCGCCTGCTTGTTGGGCACGACACGTCGCTTTCTGCCATTGCCTGGCATCCCAACGGCTTGTACGCATTTTCCGCATCCGACGAAACCGACAAGTCCATTCGCATGTGGTCCGTTGTCACCGGCAGCTGCGTGCGAGTGTTCTCTGGTCACATGGACTACATCAGCGCCCTGGAATGCGCACCAAATGGAAAACTCCTTGCTAGCGCTGACATTGCTGGCAACATTTTCTTTTGGGATATTTCTAAGGGAACACGTATCAAACGCTCCCGGGGCCACGGCAAGGGTGGTATCTGGTCTCTGAGCTTTAGTGTCGAGTCCACTGTGCTGGCTTCTGGTGGACAGGACGGCACGGTCCGATTGTGGGATGTAGAATCTCCCGCCGATCCCCAAAAAGCTGCACAACACGCCGGTCTAGATGCCGGTGCGCTTGCAGGTGCTGATGCCCTCAGCGCCGGTGCACAAGATGCTTCTCGGTCTACGGGTGCCACAGCTCAGCAAGGTGCGGCCTCGGCCAACGCAGCAAGCGGCTCTAAGAAGAAGAGCAAGGAGGTCATGATCACGCCGGACCAAATCAGCGCGTTCCCTACCAAGAAGACACCAATCACAAAGGTGAAGTTTACGAGGATGAATTTGGTGGTCGTTGGGGGTTGCTTTGAGCCCGAACGATAGATGTTTTGCATTGTGAGCAGTTTTAAAGGGGCAAAGGTTGCCATTGCGTAGGAGGGCAGTAGTCTTTTTAGGGTTATGAAATGTATTAGGCGCTCGACGGCGACTGTCCTGGAGTTTGGAGTCATTTTGTAAACTAGCTGGGAAGGTAACGGGAGATGGCTATACCTCAGCATTTGACCAGCATATTAAAAGGGGCAAATGGAATTTTCTTTTTATTTCCTTGGCGTTCAGGAACTCTCATCCCCAAAACTGTAGACACGATTATTACCTATGTACCTGCTCAATGCAAACAGAAGGGAAGGAACAAGTGGGGCGCGACAACGGTACCTCCAGGTGACCAACCTCCACTGACGTTGATTGATGCTGTTGGAGCTTCCTTGGTGCCTGTCGCTCCGCCACCTACTTACCTACCTCTCTCCATTGCTTTCGTTTTTCCCGCAACCAAAAACAACACGCAATCCCACCTTGTAGATCAATCCGTTTTGCGGCATTACCACTGTCATCATGGACGTCGAGGAGTCTCCGTGGGCTGACTCGACCCAGACCACTGGCGCTTCGCAGGGCGACGCACTCGGCTCCCCGCCGGCGTCCGCCACAGCGCCGACCGCCAGCACCTCGTCCCCGTCGGCCGGACGCTCCGCCCGCGGCCCTCGTCGCCTTATCGCGCAGCCGACCCGTCTCGAGGCCGTCGAGGACCCCCTCGGACCGCTAAGCGCCTCCAACGACGATGACGACGGCTCCGGTCCCACCGAGGCGACGCCCCCGGTCCCGCCGCAAAAGGAGCAGCTGGTGATGCGCACGACGATGCCGCCGCAGCAGCAGCACGCCCAGCCCCGGCGACCGGCCGACCCGCACCGCATCGATGACGACAACACCGACGCCGCCGGGTTCAGGGGCCCCCGCGTGCCGCCGCCCGTGGACGCCGCCGTGCCCAGCGCCTACCAGAGCAGCCAGCAGCCCAGCGTCAGCGTGGAGCAGGCCGCCAAGCCTACCTTTCACATCAGCGTCGGGGATCCGGTCAAGATTGGAGATCTGACGAGCTCTCATATCGTCTACTCTGTGCGGACAAAGGTGAGCCGACTCAGCTACTAGATAAAGAATGCATTGCAGCTGACATGTTTGCTTGCCAACCAGACCACGTCCCGCGCGTACAAGCAACCCGAGTTCGAGGTGAAGCGTCGGTACCGGGACTTCCTCTGGCTATACAACTCGCTTCACACAAACAACCCCGGCTACGTGGTCCCGCCGCCGCCCGAGAAGCAGGCCGTCGGCCGCTTCGACAGTAACTTTGTCGAGGCCAGACGCGCGGCCCTGGAGAAGATGCTCAACAAGGTGACCGCGCACCCGACCCTGCAACACGACGGCGATGTCAAGATCTTCCTGGAGAGCGAAGCCTTTAATGTGGACGTGAAGCAAAAGGAGCGCCGTGACCCGCTTCCCTCGGAGAGCAAGGGCGTGCTGGGCTCGCTGGGCATCAACGTCGGCGGCGGCAGCAAGTTCGTCGAGCAGGACGACTGGTTCCACGAGCGCAAGATCTACCTGGACGCGCTGGAGAACCAGCTGAAGGGCCTGCTCAAGGCCATTGAGACCATGGTCGGGCAGCGCAAGATGATGGCCGAGGCAGCCGGCGAGTTCTCGGCGTCACTGCACGCGCTGTCGACGGTGGAGCTGTCGCCGTCGCTATCGCAGCCGCTGGATGCGCTCTCGGACCTGCAGCTGACGATCCGCGACGTCTACGATCGGCAGGCGCAGCAGGACGTGCTGACGTTTGGCATCACGATCGAGGAGTACATCCGGCTCATCGGCTCCGTCAAGCAGGCGTTTGGCCAGCGGCAAAAGGGGTTCTACGCGTGGCACTCGGCCGAGTCAGAGCTGCAGAAGAAGAAGGCGACGCAGGACAAGCTGCTGCGCCAGGGTAAGAGCCAGCAGGACCGCCTGAATCAGATGAACGTCGAGGTGGCCGAAGCAGAGAAGAAGGTGCACCAGGCCAGGCTCCTGTTTGAGGACATGGGCCGCTGCCTGCGCAGCGAGCTGGACCGCTTCGAGAGGGAAAAGGTGGAGGATTTCAAGAGCGGCGTCGAGACCTTTTTGGAGAGTGCGGTGGAAGCACAGAAGGAGGTGAGTCCATCTTTGTGCCGCGCTGATACTCTCAGTGAGTAACTAGCTAATGTTGATTTTCTAGTTGATTGAAAAATGGGAGACGTTCCTGATGCAGCTTGACGCCGAGGATGACGCGTCGGCATTCTACAAGCCCCCGGTATACCAGAGCGCGAAGAAGGGTACAGGTGACACGGCGATTGACCGTGCGAGAGCGCGAATGGACGAAGACTCTGATTAAATAGTTGCTACTACGACTAGTCATTTTCATGGTTGGTATCATTTTTTTGGCAAGGCGTTTTGCAAGGATGTCTCTGCTATGGACTTGAGCTGAAGTGTAGGGATGCGTTGTGTTGCTAAATCGAATATGAGCATACATACGATGCAATAAAACTGAATTTTGCCTTGCATTCATGCTTCGGTACTGGTTTCGGGTTGATTTGATTTTCAACAGACTTCAGGCGGATCGTCGTTTTGGTGGTGGTGAACGGGGTTACTTGTAGGCCGACTGGAGGCGGAATTCCCCGAGACTACCCATTTTTATTAGCACCTCATCGTTTTGTCCATCCTCCGTCGCTTGGAGTCCAAGTTCCGATGAAGACCAACTCTCGAGCAAGCATAGACGCTAAATTGAGATGACTCGCAAAATGGACGAAAACGAGGTAACCGGACAGGGGGGGCGCAGAGAGGCTAGAAGTCTAGAGCCCAACTCGATTGTACCAGGTCGATGGCTGAGACGCAGCCAAGAACCCCCCCCCCCAAAGCTTAGAAACGAGGCCCTAGCTGGAAAATTGCGCCGCAGTGGGGAATCCATCTATATCTGCGCCTCTTGTTAGGGGAAACGACTCGGGAAGCGTCTCGCCTCGCCCCAGCCTTCAGCTGACTTTGCCGGCGGCCCCCATGCCCATGGGTTTCTGTTTCCTCGCCCCGGTAATTTGCCTGCCTGCTTGCGAGTCCTGGTGTGTTTGCTTTTTTCCTTTCCTTTTTGTGACAAGACACGAACAACTATCACATACTTCTACCTCTCTTCGCAAATCCATTTATCGCGTTGTCGCGTTGTCGAGGCAATCAGTGCAAGCAACGTCTACTACACCACTCTAACTCTCCGCTCGCTGAGAAGCCTCATCGGCTGGCCCCTTTTAGCAATCGCCGTTTCGGAGCCCCAGCGCAAATTCCAATCCAATCCGCAGCAATTCTACAATTTACACCACTCTCCTGAACGCGGAAAAATTGTTGCAGGATCCTTGTTCGGAAAACAGAAAAAGAAATCATGGATACCATGCGCATCCTCGACCAACACATTGACCGGTCCCTGTTGACGCTTCCGCCTGCTGAAGCTGGCCAGTGTCAATTCATCTGGACCAATGCGCCGCGCCCGCGACGGTCCAGGGAAGAGGATGAACACACACTCGCATCGCCCTCTACTACTGCTACAGAATACAAGAAAAATAGAAAGACCACGATGCCGGCGACAGCAGAGAGCGACGCCGGCGGCTTGCTGGGAATGCTGCAGCAGGCATGCCGCCGCAGCGTCAGGGTTCCCCGCAAGCAGATGCGGAAGATCCTCACCAGGACGCAAGATAACCGGCAGCAGCCGCACGGGCAAGGTCACGACGGCGTCAGGAGGTGGTCAGTGGCGACGCTCGTGGAGAGCGAGAGCTATTATGAGGAACGGACGAAGACGAAAGAGCAGTGATTCTGTCGGTTGGCGCCTCTTCTTCTATTCCTGTTCTTTATTCCGCACACGCAACTTGCCCTTCTCGACGGGTTTGTTTGTGTAGCCGCTCGCCCACAGCCTGATCGCGGGCCTGATGCTGCCCGACCTTTTTTTCTTGGGCTTTGCATACGACCCTTGTCTCGATGGATGACACGAGGCATGCAAAGGCATTTTGATACCCTTTTTTATAAACTGCACATTGCTTCAGCACACGAAACGTTGCATCTCTACATAGTTACGATACGATATCCAGATACATGCAATTCTATTATTTCTTTTTGCTTCAAGACGAGTACAGGGCAAGCAGCCCCATATATATGTAGAATATCCGTCACGTTTTAAATGTTCTGTATCGATTCAAAAATACAAAATAATGTTACAAGTATGCTGTGTACCACTTCAAACTGCTTCTCCCAAGAATAACACATCCGCCATGCCAAATCTCATCTCCGTCATTCCCCTTTACTTGCGCTTCCCGGACGGTCCAGGCGGTCCCTTCTTCGAGCCGCTCTCCTGCATCGAGCCCGTATCCTTAGGCGCATATCCCGCCAGCAAATCCGCAAAGGCGTCCCCCGTACCCGACGCCCCCGCCGTGGCCGAGGCAGGCGCCGACGTCTCCGCCAAACCCTCCTCCGCGGTGGCGGCGGCATCGAACCCGCGGCCGAAGCGCTCGCGGAAGGCGGCCAAGCGTCCGGCCTCGTCAAGCTCCACGTTGCGCAGCGACTTGTCGCTCGGCTGCCACAGCAGCGCGTTGCGCGTGTCCTTGGCCGGCCGGTACAGTGGCTCCGGCGAGGTGGTCCGCATCGTGTACGTCGACCCGTCCGACAGGCGCACCATCTGCGTGAACTTGTAGGGCCGGCGCGGTCGGGCGATGAAAGTAGCGTGGCGGGCGTGCGCGCGCAGCGAGGACGGTGCCGTGCTGCTGGCTTGTGTGGTGGTGATGGTGGTTGTCGTGGAAAGGAGGCACGAGGCGCGCGTGGGCGCCAGGGCGACGGGGAGTCTCGTCATGGTGGTCGTACCGGGTCTCTGCAGAGACTGTATGTGTTGATTGGTTGAATTTGCCCGGTTTTATTTGTCAATTGGCGGCTCGATGAGAGAAAAGGGAGGGCAATTGGGTTCGTAGAGGTTGTGATGTGGTGTGGTCAAAGTGAGGCCTGAGGTGGCTCCGCAAAATTTCCTTGTCCTCAGTGACGGGTATCGATAAGCTCCGACGACGTCAAGAACCCCCCGAAGCTAAGCTGTGGACATGAAACTTGAGAACTACACAAACTCGACCTCGGCGCGTTGTGACGCTGTGCCGTTTCCCAGCTTGATTGGTCGTTCTGTATACTGAGAAAGCATTTTCCTTGCATCTGGCATTTTGTTTCCGTTTTGCACCGCCAGCGTCCCGCAATGGGCAACAGTTGACAATGAAACTCTTCACAGCGATGCGGCCTTTGCCGCGATTGCCCTACCATACGTCCCTGGCAGAGCAACAGTCCGTGAGGCTTTGGGGGACGCAGTACGTGAGGCACTTTGGCATGATGCAGGTGGTGCGGCGGGTGCAGGACGGGGTCGGCGTCGCCATTGGCTTCTGCGACACTGTGACGGGGCGCCCGCTGTCAACGATCCTGCCAAAAGAGCTTGCGCCGGTACTGCAGACCGTGACTGGACAGGGCTCTTCTACATGTACAGTCCTTCCTACTCCATGCTAACCGTTTCAGCTACTAATTGCACCTACTATAGATACACAGAGCCGCGGCTTCCGACCCTCAGCGCCCCAACCCGCTCCCTGGCACGTGTCGCCGCCGACGCCGCCAACCACCGACCTCAAGGCACCAAACCCTCCGCCCGAGCAGCTGCGCGCAGTCATGCGTCTTCTCTCGCAGTCCGTCGTCGTATGCACAGCAGCCGGGCACGACAGCATGCCCCGCGCGATGACCATGTCGTCCTTTACGTCCCTGACTCTCAAGCCCACGCCAGTCATCACTTTCAACGTGGCGACGCCGAGCCGCACGCTCGACGCGATCGCAGCCAGTCGCGGCTTCAACATACACATACTATCCGGCGACGCGAGCGGCGCGGCGGTGGCGGACCACTTCACGCGGGGAAACGTGGGCGACGACCTCTTTGCGGGCTTGGACGGCGTAGTGGTGGAGCAGAGCGCAGCTGCCGTGCCGCCGTTGTTGCGGGGGAAGGGTGTAGTACATGTGCTTCGCTGCCGTCTCCTCGATGACGAGCCGTCAAGGGGCTTCGTCAAGGTGCGGGATCATATGATTGTTGTGGCGGAGGTGGTAGAGATGATCTCGGGCGTTGAGAGCAAGGAGTTTGGTCTGGCGTACGCGGACCGCAAATACCGACAGGTAGGCGGTGTTATTTCCAATGATTAGAAGGTACATGGATGCAGTGTAATTGTACAAATAGATATTCCGGAATAAACGGCGTTGATTGGGCAGCCTGACTGGGTTCTGATGCATGATGTCTGCCACATTTGTGCTGTTACTTGGGTTGGCGGGCAGTGTTTCACTAGGGCTCCATCAGAGGCTTCTCAAGCTTCGTCAAAGACCACTGGATCTTGCTAGAGATCGACGGGAACATCCCATTAAATAGGATTAAAGTAAATTCGGAATCTTCATCCTTCTTCATGATCCAAGCTTGCCAACGGGCTGGCGTGTGTTGGTCTGAGGGGCCGATAAGATAAGAAACCTTTTATGGGACTATTGGGGACCTTGGTGGCGGTGGGCTGTTGCCTGCTGTGGAGGACGGCGAGAATCTTCCAGAGAGTGCACGACAGGTTGCACAGGTGAAGGCAAACGGGAGAAGTCCTCGTTTTCGAATGAATTGGGTACAAACGGTGTAAGACTGGTACGACCCAGCCACTTTGCCACAAAGTCAGCCTCCCGGTTTTCTGCAGGCTGGCGTCTTCACCTGAGTGAAGTTGTTTGCTGTGAAGAACCAACCCCGCCAGATGGCTAGGTAGCCAGGCTGTTATCAGGCTGCAGCGGGACTGCATCGGCGGCATGAAAAAGATTGGGTGCGATTTAGCGGTGTCCAAAGCCACCGCAGCCACTGAAACTGGCCACTACAGGGCCCTTGCCGGTGGGGGATGTGCCAGAAACCTCCCCTGCCGTCCAGCTCCGTCTCGACCAATCACAGGGCCCCCATCCCGTTGCTGTGGAAAAGGTACCGCCCGTTTCTCCGTAGAATCTCATGGAAACTCTGGATAGTGGCGGGCAGACCAAACGCAGCTGGCACAACCCTTTTTAGCTCGAACCTCGTTTCTATTTCTTCCTCTTGGTTCTTCTCTCCTCATCAACCTCTCTTCTTCATACCGCATCTTCTCCCCCCTTTACCTCCGTGCTAAATCGATCTTTGGACACTTGATCTGTCTAGAGCTTCGCATCAACCTTTGCTCTTTCCATTACCAGCGTCTAGGTAAGCTTTTGCCCAACTCCGTTGTTCGTACCGGCTTGGAGGCCAGCTCCTCTTCGAAGTTTGCCAGAGCTAGGTCAGCAGATAGACCGCTCTACCTGCTCAACCGTCTGCTTTATGTGAACGTTGTGTTGTCGATCAATTGATCAACGCCACGCCGTTTGCGCAGCCGCTTCTGCCCCGCCATTCACCGACCGTTGCCTCCTCGCAAAATTCTCAACACCGCCGCTTCACCTAGCTAACTCAATTCTCTAGAATCACAAACCCTTTGATACCCTTCACAATGGCTGAGACTTTCGAGTTCCAGGCTGAGATCTCTCAGCTTCTCTCCCTCATCATTAACACCGTCTACTCCAACAAGGAGATTTTCCTGCGAGAGCTCGTCTCCAACGCTTCCGATGCCCTCGACAAGATTCGCTACAAGGCGCTCTCCGATCCTAGCCAGCTTGACTCTGGCAAGGATCTGCGCATCGACATCATCCCCAACAAGGAGGCCAAGACTCTCACCATCCGTGATACCGGTATTGGTATGACCAAGGCTGTACGTATTTTCCCATTCCCAACCATTACCTGAATTTGCCTAACGTTACTCTAGGACCTCGTCAACAACCTTGGTACGATCGCCCGTTCCGGCACCAAGCAATTTATGGAGGCGCTCACCGCCGGTGCCGATGTCTCCATGATTGGTCAGTTCGGTGTTGGTTTCTACTCTGCCTACCTTGTCGCCGACCAGGTCCGCGTCATCTCCAAGCACAACGACGACGAGCAGTACGTCTGGGAGTCTTCTGCCGGTGGTACCTTCAGCATCACCGCCGACACCGAGGGCGAGCAGCTCGGTCGCGGTACCGCCATTGTCCTCCACCTGAAGGACGAGCAGGCCGACTACCTCAACGAGGCCAAGATCAAGGAGGTCATCAAGAAGCACTCCGAGTTCATTTCCTACCCCATCTACCTCCACGTCACCAAGGAGACCGAGAAGGAGGTCCCTGATGAGGACGCTGAGGAGGTTGAGGAGGTCGATGATGACAAGAAGCCCAAGGTTGAGGAGGTCGACGACGAGGAGGAAGAGAAGAAAAAGAAGACCAAGACCATCAAGGAGACCAAGGTTGAGGAGGAGGAGCTCAACAAGCAGAAGCCCATCTGGACTCGCAACCCCCAAGATATCAACCAGGAGGAGTACGCCTCGTTCTACAAGTCGCTCTCCAACGACTGGGAGGACCACCTCGCCGTCAAGCACTTCTCCGTTGAGGGTCAGCTCGAGTTCCGTGCCATCCTCTTCGTCCCCAAGCGTGCTCCCTTCGATCTCTTCGAGACCAAGAAGACCAAGAACAACATCAAGCTCTATGTCCGTCGCGTCTTCATCACTGATGATGCTACTGAGCTCATCCCTGAGTGGCTGTCCTTCGTCAAGGGCGTTGTCGACTCTGAGGACCTTCCCCTCAACCTGTCTCGTGAGACCCTTCAGCAGAACAAGATCATGAAGGTCATCAAGAAGAACATCGTCAAGAAGTCCCTCGAGCTCTTCCAAGAGATTGCGGAGGACAAGGAGCAGTTCGACAAGTTCTACAGCGCCTTCTCCAAGAACCTCAAGCTTGGTATCCACGAGGATTCCCAGAACCGCACCATCCTTGCCAAGCTCCTCCGCTTCAACTCCACCAAGTCTGGCGATGAGTTGACCTCTCTCACCGACTACGTCACCCGCATGCCCGAGCACCAGCAGAACATGTACTACATCACCGGCGAGTCCATCAAGGCCGTCTCCAAGTCCCCCTTCCTTGACACCCTCAAGGAGAAGGGCTTCGAGGTTCTCTTCCTTGTCGACCCCATCGACGAGTACGCCATGACTCAGCTGAAGGAGTTCGAGGGCAAGAAGCTCGTTGATATCACCAAGGATTTCGAGCTTGAGGAGACTGAGGACGAGAAGAAGGCCCGCGAGGCTGAGGAGAAGGAGTACGAGGACCTTGCCAAGGCCCTCAAGAACGTTCTCGGCGAGAAGGTTGAGAAGGTCGTCGTCTCCCAGAAGCTCGGCCTCTCCCCTTGCGCTATCCGTACTGGCCAGTTCGGTTGGTCCGCCAACATGGAGCGTATCATGAAGGCCCAGGCTCTCCGTGACACCTCCATGTCCAGCTACATGTCTTCCAAGAAGACCTTCGAGATCTCCCCCAAGTCCCCCATCATCAAGGAGCTCAAGTCCAAGGTCGAGGCCGATGGCGAGAACGACCGCACCGTCAAGTCCATTGTGCAGCTTCTCTTCGAGACCTCGCTCCTTGTCTCCGGTTTCACCATTGACGAGCCTGCTGGCTTCGCCGAGCGCATCCACAAGCTTGTTCAGCTTGGCCTCAACATTGAGGAGGATGACTCTGCCCCCGCTGAGGTTGCTGCTGATGCTGATGCTCCTGCTGCTGCCCCTGCTGACAGCGCCATGGAGGAGGTTGACTAAATCACTCGGAGGCAGCACAAAATCGGGATTCAGGACAAAAAAAGTTCTTTGGAGTTTTAAATGCTTTTGAACACACAGTCAGCTGTGTGGGCCAGTTTTGGCTTTTTACGAGTTTTATTTGTTTTCGCAATGATGCCATAATTTCCCCTGCGCGCTCGTCGAGGATGACGCGAGGTGTATTCTAGCTGTCCATGATTACGAGTTAGATGAGGTAGACAAAGAATGATTTACTACAAAAAACTTCAATGCATATGAACGTGTCTGTTATGATGGGCAGGCCCAGTCATGGTTGACTGCCGTGTAGATGTGAGGTACAGGAGTGAAGAATCAAGTATGGTTCTGGGATGTAGGGTACGATGAGCACAGGCATTCCACACACATCAACTCTCGTCAAGTGAAGCGCTGAGTGGACTGAGTAGGTAGTAAATTGCAAGGTATGGGTATGTATAGCTAGTAAAATGACGAATGCATGTCCTTAGTCTTTAATGTACAGGGTATAACGGCGCCTCCTTTTATATAGACCCTGCTACAGCAGCACGTAGAGGGCGCAGATGAGGGACAGGCCCATAATCATGGAGGACCAGAAGCACACGTTGTTGAGCGTCCTCTTCCCCCGCACCCACCTTGTGCGCTGCAGGACGACGATGGGCAGCTGCAGCATCTGGCAGACGAAGCCGTAGCCGCGGAGCTTCTTGGTGATGCAGGCCATGACGATCTCGTGGCCGACGGCGGAGACGAGGAAGGTCAGGGCGGTGGCGCCGGCGCGCCCTGTGAAGGGCCGCGAGGCGGAGTAGACGTGGCGGCGGAGGAAGGCGTGGACGGGGACGTTCCAGTTGCGGGAGAACTCCATCCAGTCGGTCGAGTTCCACCAGTCGGCGTAGAAGCGGCGGTCGGCGAAGCGGGTGATCTCGGCCATGGCGCCGAGGACGTACTCGAAGATGACGAGGAAGACGAGCAGCAGGGTGAGCATGAAGGGGAAGAGCAACCAGGAGATGGTCTCCGCGAGGACGAGGAGGGTCTCCGCGGCGGGGGACCAGGACTGCGGCGACGACGTGGCGGCGGCGGAGGAGATTGCGGCGAGACGGACCTCGGCGTCGGCGAGGACGGGGAGGATAAAGTCCTCGGAGGTGATAGTGAGGAGGAAGATGCAGCCGAAGACGGCGACGATCTTGGAGATGAGGGAGGTCCAGTTGATGGTGGGTACGCGCGGGTACTCGATCTCGTAGCAGAGTGTCGGGCACAGAAGGTAGTCGACGTAGTTGGCCCAGGTGAGGTTGTGCGGGTAGGTGACGTGGCCCATGGGAGAGGTGAGCTCGCGGGCAAGGGCCTCGCGGAGGAGCTCGACCTCGTCGTCCGAGTCGCATTCGTGGGTGGTAGTGGTGGTGGTCTTGCCGTTGGGCTCGGGCTTGGACAGCGGCGACTGCCCGTCCGTGTGCTCGTGGTGCTGGTGGACGTCGTCGCGTCCGCCGCTGAGGTCGACGGCGAGGCCGGCCTTGCTAGAGCGGCGCTCCGCCGCGGCGACGGGGTAAATGTACGGCGGGGAGCGCTCGCTGGTGCCACGCCGCGTCGGCCCGTCGAGCCTCCTCAAGCGCTTCTCCGTCTCGGAGAGGTGGCCGTTATAGAAGGCGTACGAGTGCATCTTCATCAGCAGAACCATGGTGTGAAGCAGCAAAAACACCTGCGCCGTCCACGTCCACTCAAGCCAGAACGGCACAGCAACCCATACGGCAAGCCAGGCGACCTGGTAGATGGCCTGGAGGGCCATGCCGCCGCGGCGCCAGGTCCAGACGGAGTCGCGCGGCGCGGCGCGGGCCAGGCGATGGAGGGGCAGGGCGACGGCGGTGGTGGCGACCATGAGGGCGTCGGCGACGGCGAGGTGGCCGAGTTTGACGGCGAATAGGGACCAGATCTGGAAGGTGAAGGGGCGGCCGGAGTCCTTCATGTGGCGCAGCATGGTGGTCAGGCCCATGATGGCGAGGCCAATCCAGAACAGGTTGAAGAAGCCGTGGAAGTCGCGGTAGTCCGAGTCTGGGTCGAAGTGGGAGAGGCGGGAGGCGAAGTCGGTAGTTGGGAAGATACGGCGGCGGCGCTGCTGCTGCTGTTCTTGTTGGCGCTGCTCGGCGCGGAGGGTCTTGCGAGCAGAGGAGATGGCCTTGTTGGAGGGGGGCGCATTCTCGGCGACGGGTGTTGAGCGGCCGCTGGAGGAGAAGAAGGCGTGTGTTAACATGCAATTCGACGCGCGAGGAGAGATGAGAGAGGCTGATGAGGTAGATAAATAGAGAGGACGGACCTTGTGGCAGCGCTCGCTGTGCTTTCGGGGATACTGAGGGAGCCGTCGATGGACGTTTCTCGCTTGAGGTATTCGTGGACGGTGGCGGAAGTGGCCTTGCGCGGGCGGACAACGCCTGCGTCGCCATTGCTGACGACGTCAGTGGCCGTGGTCGCCATGACAGGCCGAGCGAGTGCGCTGTCAAAGGGCTGTCTGTCCGTTGGTCGTATGGGCGAGGCAGAGTCGCGAAGTCGCTGACGTGGGATGTCGGAGGGACAGTCCAGGAACAAGAGCTGGTTCGTGTTTGGTGGTCTCCTTTTAAAGTGGGCGGGCCAGCTGCATACGAAGAAGCAAGTTGGCGAGTCGTGCGGGCGCTCGCAGAAGCTGGAATTGAAACACGGGGTTATGGCTTATTTATAAATGACAAGAAAAATGCAAGAAAAATGCCCAAATCAAGGTGGCGAGGGGGGGGAGGGGACGATGTTTATCGAGGAAGGAAAAGACGCCTTGTTCGGTTGCTGAATTCAAGCTTCCCGGAGCTCCGGCTTGCCTGCTGGCAGCTTGAGCCTATCTGCCGCCCCGGTCGATCCGGTTCCGAGCCGAAGCTTCCAGTGGAGGATCAGGTGATGGGACGAAATTCTCCGATGGGGGGAGGGTTCTTTCTTTTTGGGTGATGGTTTGGAAAGAACAACGTGAAAGTGTTGTGAGAGGGGAAATGTACAAAGCGGCTGGCGATGCTGGTTTCATAGCCGATAGTTACACCCTATCCTGGCTGCGTAATGACGACGAAAGCCAAGACCTTAGTTAGTACTTTAGTAAGACGTTCTTCTCAGCCTTGTAGCCTTCATAGTACCTAACACAACACCCTGCTCCCTTAACCAACTAACTAGCGGGAACAAGCGGGAGTAGCCAACTAGTGAACAAGGCGGTTAATTTCTGGCTAACTTGGGACCTTCTGACGTTTTGAAGCGTCACCGCCGCCCACTTGTGTCTTGGAGTTCGGTGGTCTATGTCCGCCAAGGTGATCAGGGGCCGCAGGATGTAGAGTTGGACAGCCTCGAGGGCTCTAGTGAGTTTTAGTCAGGCCAACAACACGCCAACCTTGCCCTCGAACAACACCTCTACACTGTCACCAAGTTAGGCCTATGTCCGATCCAACTTAGCTTTGCGGGGCAATGGTAGAGTGACTGTATAAGGGATGGACGGCTTGCGCGGATGGTATATGAATGAGGGAGTGGATGGACGGCTCGTGTGGATGGTCAGTTGATCAGCTCAGAGGCTTGCACAAAGCGGTGTATTGGGGCTGCTTCCCCTTTTCTTCTCTTTTACGGGAGAACGGTTACGATGCTGGTTATGGAGCGCCATGCTGGTTGGACAGTATTACGAGTGCTGGCGGCGTTGGATGACTGGACAGTATTCACCCAGATGCAGGTCGTCTCTGATTGTGAAGCCAGTACTCACAACATAATAGTCTAACGTTAGTATGCGTGTCTGTGTAGCCTCCAGTTGCCACGAATTGACCTGCGGGAGATGACGTCGCAATGCCGTCTGTTTCACCTTGCGATAAAATGAGGCAGTTTTCAGCGTCCTGTTACCGGGTAGGTATGTAGTTCTTCGTCCTCAACCTATGCAGTTAGGCGCCGCAACTTCTACCGTGCAGTTATTAACCCTGCACATATGTATAAAAAATGTAAATCATGAGGAGAAAAAGGCCAATTCATTAAAAGAATCTAAAGAGAGGACAACGCCACCGTGGACATAAACCAAAAAGGCGATGGCACAAATTGCGCCCAGCATCAAAATCCACCATGTAAACGAGAGTTGTGCCTGGTTTACCAAATTTGCATGCGCAGTCTCTCCGACTAACCCGACTCGCCCGTCCTAGACAATGCTGAGACGGAGAGAGTTCAGTGTACAGACTGCAGGGGAAAAAGAACAAAACAAGAACCAATCCGTTGCAAAAAATGCCCTGCCCGAGTAATGGAAGCTAGATCCCTAAAAATATCAACTCCGTCCCAAATGCTCACAGGCAAAAATTCATGACGAATTTCTTGATGCCTGAATGTGTGTGATTGTGTGTGTGTGTGTGTTACCAAAAAAAAAAAGTTCATCAAGACATGTCTCGTTTCAACAACGTGAGGGACAGAAAAAAAAAATCCAAGCAAATGATCAGGCAAGAAAAAAGGCAAGTAAGAATAGATCAATCGCGCAACTGGCCTTGAGCTAGAGCCTGATAGAAGCCATCAAGCCCGGACGGCGCCGTTATACGGGGGATACTCGCTGTATCGAACATCGCCATATCTGGTCGTCTTGACGGTCTGGTAGCGTCCGGTGGGCGGCATGGCGTGGCTGCTCTCGCGGTAGACTGGCGGCGCGCGGGTTTCACGGACAGGCTGCGTGTACAAGTAGTGGCCATGGCCGGGGTCAACGCCCACTGGCATTTGCGGCGGCATGCGGTGGGTGCGCCGAGAGCCATCCACCTCGTACCGTACGGGGTTCACATGTTCGGGCGACGCCGTCCTGCGGCTGCGGTATCTCCGCTCTCGCTCTCGTTCATACTCCTCTTCAGATTCCGACTCGATAGGTGCTTGCGCATGCATGCGTGACCGGTCTCGGCCGCGCGGCATGTCCGAGGCAAAGGTGTGTGCGCGCGTGATGCCAGGGCCGGGCCGCGCGAAGCTGGGTTGCGGCATCGAGTTGACGCGGGGCAGCTGCATCTCATGACGAGGTGGTGAGCTGCCCATCGGCATCGAGCGACTGAACGATGCTGTGTGGCGGGCGGCAGGCGATGAAGCAACATGAACGTCGTCCTCGAGGACCTCATGCGAGGGTTGACGGTAGGCGGAGCGCTCGCGCGAGATTCGCGGACCATCGCCCGAGCCGCGGCGCGAGGGTGCAGCTGAGGAGCGGCGCACACAATCCTCAGATTCCGAGTCTTCCTCGAGATACGCCTTCTTCATGTTGCTGGGCGGCGGCGAAGGCGCGGCCGGGGGATACGGGGAGCGGGTCGTGTACGAGTAGGAACGGCCCAAGCCAGGGGTGCCTCGGGACGCCTGCACGTACTTGGATGCTGTGTCGTAAGTGTTGCGGTCGGTGGAGGAGTAGAAGGTGTTGCTGATAGGTGGCGCGCGTGGGGAAGGAATGGGCACTTCATCGCGGGGTGAGGTGCGACCAGCTTTGTCGTCGTGCTTCTTACTGGACCGTTTACGCTCCGACTTGGGCGGTTCGTCTTCGAAAACCTCCACTGAGGGCTTGGCGTTCCGGGAGCGATACTTTTCTTCGGCGTCACGTTTGATGTCTCGATCGCGCTGCTTGTCTGAACGCTTCTTTTCCTCCTTGCGGCGACGTTCACGGTCGCGCTCCTTATCCTTTTCCCGCTCCTTTTCCGATTCCCGCTTGGATTGTCGTTCGGCGAAGCTGGGGTCGCGTTTGGAGGAGCGGTTGCTCCTGGCCTCAAAAATGCGAGTGCCGCCAGTGGCGTAGTCATCGTCGTAGCTGCGGCTAAAAGTGTAGACTTTGGCGGACGAGGGCGACGACTTGAAAGCGGAGGAGCCCCTGTCCGTGGTGCGAATCTCGAACTCGCTCGTGTACTTGGCCGAAGATTTGGGGGTCGAGATGTTTGCTTTTTCCTTCATAAGGCGGCGAAGTTCCTCAAGTTTGACCTGGTCGTCGTATTTTTGACGCTTCTCACTGTCGGTAAGAAGCTCATAAGCCTGCTGGACGCGCTGGAACTCGGTCTGCTTATCCGCCTTGAGCTTGGGATCTTGGACTTTATCGGGATGGCACTGGAGGACGAGTTTTCGGTGAGATGAGCGGATCTCGGTTAGCTGCGCATCCTTGGAGACGCCGAGGATCTTGTAAGGGTCGGGCGGGAGAGGAGCCATGGTTGCGGACAGCGAGGGTCAAGTTTGCTTCAGAGTTGCGTTGATGCTGAAAGTAAAAGAAGCGAGGGGGGCTGGATGGGTGGCGAAATTATAGACTGGGAGCATCGAGTGACCCGTGACCGGAGAAGGCTGTACGTGTTGGCTTTGCTGGATGATGAGTTTGCCTGGTGTAGGTAGTGCCTGTGCGTGGGTGGTATGTACGTATGCTTTCGTTGGCAATGATGGTTGAACAGACAAAGGTGACACAGGCGAGGAGGCGAGGGGCCGACGTCAGGGAGGTTGGTTGGATTGGTTGATGTGATAGAATGACCCAAGAGGGAACAAGGACGACGAATAGGTAGTACAGCGCAGATAATAGGAAGGCGTGGGAAACAGAGGCGTGAAAGCGGCAGTAATACAAGGCGGATTGAAGAGTAGGCAGATAATAAATGCGGTCGAATAATGAAGAGAAAGAGGAAAGAAAACAAAGCCAGCGGCGAATCGGAGAACAGTCAAGTTCCCGATTCTCTGGCTTTGGGGTTGGTGATGTGTAATGGCAGGAGGGATAAGCAGGATGATGTTGCTCAAGCGAGGTGCCGAGCAAGCGGTGGTTGGCAAAGAGGAGAGGTGGGCGGTGCGGTGAAGATGTAGTCTTTTTTGGGTGGGAGGGAGTAGAAATGGCGGAGGGGGGAGGACGACATGGGTGGAGGGTACATCTACCTTGGTACGTACTGCCCATGTATTAAGGTACCTCGCCTTGGCTTGGTACAGCGGAGGATGGGTGGTGTGGTGGAGGGGTTTCCTGGGCTCTGCGGGCGCTGTATCGCACCCAGGTATAGAGTAATACAGGTGGTCGAGTGGTACCGTAATTGGCTGGCCTTGATGATCAAGCAGCATGGATGGACAGCCATGGAAAGATACTTGCAGGTACCTGCGACCGGGAATCTCGTTTTCAGTGGCTAGCGTGGTTTGAGTGGGATGGGTGGTCAGTGGGAGCGCGGGAATGGTTGGATGGATGGTGGACGTCACGGCGGGATGTAGGCGGGTTTTGCGGGCTGAATTCTGATTGGCTACGGTGGGGCGAGGTACAGCGAGGTACTTTGTGTCGTGGTGCGCCAGTTGCGGTCCCAGGTTGCACTTGGCTGTGGCCGGCGGGCAGGGGTGGATAAGTGAGTGGAATTTACAGGCCTGAGGCACGAACTGACGTTATGGGCAATCTGTACGGCTGATAGGTGAGAAGATCAGGCTTGGCCAGTGGGCGAGGAGCAATCAGTTGGCAAGCAACACCAAGCAAGGTAACAAGGAGATGGTGTTGTCACTCACTATGGTCCGTATGGGTCACCGTGTGGGCAACTGTGCGCATCAGTGTACATCACTGTGCATCACTTGCCATCACTGGGCGGTGATCCCTCCTGGCGCTGCTTTTAGCGTGAGGGTCCGCTGTGGCAGCACCGGTCAGGCCCTGCGCTCGTGGTAAATGGTTGATCGAAGAAAAAGGGTACCTGACCTGAACCAAGCAGACCATGACCAGGGAACAAGCTCTCAGGTGATGGGCCAGCCAAGAAGCAGTTTCTGAGGACTAAAACTAACTATTCGATCACTAGTTCGGTCAGAAGGTAGCTCAAGTTCCCTTTTCTCTTTCCCTTTCCTTGTCCAGCAGCCCGTGCAGAATGATGTGGCTCCACGCCTCCACGAGCCAGCCACGCAACGGTACGGCTCGCGGTGGGAGGCGAGGTCAACCAGGGGCCGCCTCAATCAGGAGGGCGAGGCGAGCTACGGTACGTTATGCAACTACTACAGAATGCGCACGACACTTCAAGTAAATGGAGAGAAAACCCCGTCTTGTTCAGTAATAGTTAGCACAATGGCGTTACTCATCATGGACGACCCTCGCTCCTTTTCGTACACGGCCGGGCCGGCTGCGACCGATTACTCGGATAGCCTCGTGGAAATACATGTCAGCCGTGCGTGGCCTTGATGATGCAAGGTGCCATTCGATTCTAGAAGACAAGAAAAAACCGCAGCCGCCCGGAATGAATGACCAGTCCGTCCGGAGACTACGGCGAGCGCGACGGCGGACACTTGATTTTTCTCGCTTCTTGCCTGTTACAGTGGTGTGCTCACTAACTAACCTGGCGGGCTGTCTCGCCATGGCCTGTTTTTTGCCGCTGCGCCTACCGAGGAATCCCGTCCTCACACAAGGACGGCGCGGCGATTTTCCCATTTCTTGTTCGTTTCGAATCTCCTGGAAAACAGTCCCCTGTACCAGTAGAACAAATAGACCACTTACTTTCTTAGCGTCCGGTGCTGAGCCAGTCAGGTCCCTTGAAAATCGTCGGCTAGGAGCATCTCCGAACCGTCCCTCACGTCGCACAAGCCGCAAGAGGTACGCAAGAGACTGCAGAAAGTACCCACACGACGGCTGTCCAAAAAGCGCAGAGTGAGGTATCTCTCGAAGTACCTGCCCGCGCAAGTACCCTGACCAAGGATACTGTGTCTCGGCGACGGCGATTCCCCGGACTTATACTTGAATAATCAAGATAGACTTTGCCCGAATATTCCTCGAAAAAGAAAATTATATGATGAATAATTATTATGAATTCTTCAAATCAAGTATTCGTAAAGAACAGCCGTCGTGCTCGCGAGCTGCTCTGCCAAGACGATTGACTCGCTGCCAGCTCCGCTAGCAAATGCACTCGCCAATTGCGAATCCAATGAGACACGCAGCACAACACTTCTCACATTCTCACAATGCGCCCTGCGACGATTCAGAGGGCTGCCTCGTGAGGGACAAGAGGGACAACTAAGAAGGGGGTCCAGCTGAGGGCTGTGTGGCACCAGCAACGACTCAAATCACTCAGCGCTTGCAGCGTCCGCGTGGTTTGATGTGTCTGACTGCTGTGCCAGGTGGCTTGGAGGTTAGTGATCGTTGATGCACCTGTCACGCGTGGTAGTTTGATAGTGGTTGTCCATGCCCAATATGATGGAATCAGTAGTAGATGTGACCATTCAAAAATAGTAGAATATCAATAAAAAGGGAATAAAATAATAACAGACCACTTGATTTATCCCTTGAATGTTTTTATTGACTCGGCCGCTTTCGTCCCCCCGACGACCATCTCCGTTTACCCTCGTCGACATCCATCAGCCTGCATACAGAGGCCCTGGTACCAAGCGGGGGAGGGGAAAGGGAAAGGCCCTTGAGACGAGACAAGAGACAAGCGGTGAAGCTGTGGCCTGTTTTGCTTTGGGAGACGACGCCGCGGGGTTATCTTTCTGCGACTACCTATTCGGAGCGACGGGGTTTCGATTCCTTGCAATAGCACGTCGCAGACTACAAAAAGGCAAGGCGGTGCTCCTTGGCCGACGTGACAGCTGACGACGAAACTTGGCCACGACCCGCGTCGCCATACCAATATACTCACATTGGCCTCCTTCTCAACGGCCTCCAACAAGACCATTATTCATTATTAGCTAACTATTTATTCATTACGAATCAATGCGATTCAAAAATGCGAAAAATGCGAAGAAAAAAAAAAAACTCCACGAGAGCCGCACCAAGCTGCGCCTCCACGGTCTTCCAGCAGCCCCAACCAGCTTAGCTTTGTCGAAGCGCCCTGTAGAGCTATACTGACACCGCTATATTTGGCTTGGTTTTTGTGGCCTCGGTCGATTCTAGGTGGCTTCTGGTGTCCTGTCCAACCACTAACAAGAACCTACGGAGCTCTCCCGCCAACCCAGCTAAGCTCACGACAACCAGCCAGCCGCGCCGCCATCCACCGCCCGCAAGCCCAAATCCCATCGGCCGGCCACTCATCTTGCCCCTCTTCAACACTCCCCCAACGGCAAACAGCAGCTCGCTCCCGCAGCTTCCAGACTCATATCCATTCCGCCACATCCTGCTCCGCATCTTCGCTTCCCATTGCCCGCCTCTATTGGCCTCCGGCTATCCTGTCATTTATTATCAATCGGTTCGGGCCTAGCTTCCTTCTCTCCTCATCGCCCACAGCTATTCTCAGACAAAGACCAGAAAGAGCTCCAGACCGTGCCCCTTCCCCCGCAGCTCGACGAGACACAGACCGAACCTTCTTGATCAGCTCGTGGTCTGCCTTGGCAGACCAGGCCAAGTCGTCTTGCGATGTAATCGTCCATATTCGGCAAACAGCTTTGCTGCAGCCTGCCACCCAACGCCTACCAATGCCCATGGCCCCGGCCAGACGGCCGCGCGGGGATATCTACACGGGCCCCAAAAGCCTCGCATCTCAGCAGACCCAGGTTAGGGCCTTGCCAACGACAACTCGTTGGTCACTGAAACTCCTTCTCACGCAACTAAGCATCATGTCTGTCATGGACATTCATGTTGGGCCGCCGATGCCAGGCTCTGGACACACAGGTGACTGACACGAAAGCAAACCCACGTTTGCGGCCGCTCCCGTCACATCATGCCCCCGCCTCGCCTTTGCAACCATACATGCAGAAGAAATATCCCCTACTGCAGCCGGCCCTAGCTTCGGCCCGGCGTACCGTTGCGACATCTTTTGCCAATCGCATCTCTTTTCAATCTGCCTTTTGGGTCGCCTGCCAACCAATTAACCCCTCCCTCGAGGGCTGCATTCGCTGTGGGGGGTCCCCTCCATCTCCATCTCTGGTCAATATTGTGCCAGCATGACAGAGCCAGGCAGCCTGCGAGCCAGCCAGTCAGCTCGTTGCTGCAACCTGTAGTACCCGTATCACCCATCACCTCGCATTGCGCACTCGCACACGGCTGCCTTGACCATTGAATGGGCTTGTTGGCTTGTACCCGTTCCCGAGAGGGTGTGGAGGAGGCCGTGACATCAGTCCGGATTAATGCTAACCTCCAGCCATCAGCCAGCTTCCTTGGGCAGGCTAGGCAAAAGAGCCAAATGGAGGGCCTGCACCGTTCCTGACAGAGTTGTATCGAACGCCTTCATGCAAGCCTACCTACATGCTCTGGTGATGTGATGGGCAGTGAATGGTTGGGCATCTCCAGCTCGTGAATGGACAGAGCTACGTACGAGCTAAGCACCACGATTCTCTTCCTGTGATATCTTTTGGGGGCTCTTCGTCACCTCACCATCATGACCGCGCCCGGTCACGACCACACCCATGGCTGGGGTTCTCGCCTTTGAGCCTCCTCATACCGATGCGTTCGTGACTGATGGTGCTGTGGGCCTGCACAACAATACCAGGACTCCAATATACAGCCCTCCTCACTCCCATACCAGTAACTAGTCACTCATTACCCGCGGCCCCGAAAGGCCCAAATTTGCACAGGCTCCCAGCTTTAGCCCATGTACCTGGCAACAATGAAAAAGGCGTCAGCGTGAGAGCCTCAGGATGAATCCCCACGATAATCAGCGACGCACTACTAACCGCCAGGCCCAAGCCACCAGCCCAAGGCCCTCCCTCGGATTGACCTGACTGGTTGGCGGCCCAGCCGACTTGACTAACTAGACAAAGAGGTCTCAAGGCACATCGAGTGCTCACCCTTCCTTGGGTTGCCTTTCTACTTGTATTCGTGCCGTCCTTCGGTCGATCTTCAGCTGCAAGTGCCGACGCGCGGGATGGCACGTTGAAGGCACGTTTTAAGGCCAGTTGCCTACCAAGTCCAACCAAGCTCGTACAGCGCACTTCCCACCACCCATGCATAGCCCATTCCGCAGATCGGGGATGCCTTTAGAAAGGAAGCGACGAATCGCCAATGCTAGATGCGTGCCGCCTGATATCCGCGGCGTCGTTCTTTAAACTTGGGGAATGCTCACGTCGTAACAAAGGACGCCACATTTTTTTGTACGAGTTGACTACATACCGAGCAGACGGTTTGGATTGGCCAACCCGCATAACGACCGCTTGTAAGCAGGCGGACGACAGCTGTGCATCCAGCGTTGGGTAACACCACCCACCAACTTGACTTGTTCGCCACGTTGTACAGCGAGGCACCAATTAGGGGACAATTATGCACCAAAAGGACGGATTATTTGCCCGATGCAGGGCCAGACAACTCGTGGCAGGTCGTTTGCATTGGTCAAGGCGTTCAAGCAGAGGAAAAGGGTCGCCGAGACAGAGTAACTGTCATAGGCGATGCCAGGTAGAGGCAAGGCAAAGAAAGTGAGCTATCGCCTTCCACTCGGCTACAGAGGCAAGGCGTTGTTGGGCTCGGATCTGACAATGATACAGCAACATTCACACCCTAATCCGTGCGCGGCATCGAAGCACATGAACATGAGGGCCTAACGAAACCAGCAACTTGAACCAGATAGCCAGACGAAAGAAGAATGAATCCGAGCCCAAGCCACACCTAGATGACGAGGGCGGTTACGAACCTGCACTGCTTTAGTGCTTGCCTACGGGATTCGACGACGGCGCGGAGCAAACCCAAACCCCGTCAGCTGGGCTAGCCAGGTACCAGCAGGTACACGCGCGGGACAAGCCGTCGAGATGTGATGGCGGTGCAAGGAAGGAGAGGAAGAGAAAGAGGAACAGTCGACCGACTAGTGAATTCCGATGACTGATATTGACGAAAACTAAAGAAGAAAGCATGATGCTTCGCCACGGGACGACGGACGCGTGTGGTGTCGCTTTGAACGAATATCGGCTGACGAGGTTAATGTGGTGGCGATATACATGGTCACGGATGTGCCGAAGTGCGCCGACGCCGACGGCCGTGGCGCTAGCTAAGCAAAAGCTTTTGACCAATTTGCACAGGGTCCTAACTTTATTTTCAAAACAATGCAAATGTACAGTATCGACATGCATCAAATGCACCATGCGTCACATGGACCTCTGTCAAGTATTTCCCCGTCGCTCGCATGAACCAATTTGACGTTAATCATACAGCTTGGTCATGTATGTATACCCCGCAGCCGAAGCCGGGACCGCCACGGCGCTTCCGTCGCCGACTGATCCGGACTAAGCAAAGGGCTTTGAACGGACGGCTTGTCGGGGTTCTGCATAATACGACGCTACTTCTCTGCATGGAAGCTTTATTGAATATATGTAGTAGATTAGGGGTCGTAAAGACTGTCTTGGCACGGATTGAGACGGCTGCTGGTACTTCTCGTGGCATGGCGTGGGAGTTACGCATGTGTACCGACTGCTCCTCCGCTCCTAGCCAGAGCATCTGAAAATAAACGAGATGCAGATAAAGAGAAAACGGGATGCGACAAAGAACGTTTGTGGTCTCGCATATTCCCTGCCTTGGCCAAAGCTACGGTCCTTGTGGCGGCCAGATGCCTGACCTCGACGCGCTCTGTACATGTACAGTGTTCAAGAAATGTAACCGCATAAAGAAATAGAAGGCACCAAGGATATAAAATGGTATATGAGATTGTTCATTCGGCACATTCCTTTGCTCGTATTACAAGTTGGGATTGCACACTTGGGCAACGGCTTCGACGTCGATGGTGTGGTGTAAGTCCCGAGGCCATGTGATGCGGCTCCGGTCGTGGAGCAGACTCTCGGAAGAAAGAGAAGCCTAAAATACATTTGATGTGCTCTCTTACAATGTGAAAGAAGTCTGGGATAGTTGTTGGTGGCGTCAGTCCAGGTCGCATATAAGTCCTTGCGGCCACCTACCCTGTTGCGTATGGGCGACATCCGCTTCATTGACACCCGTCGCGGGATGAGGACTACGGCCGGTTCGTGAAAGCGGTCGTACTTTCGATAAATAAGTACATGAACACGGTATTGCTCAACACTCCTGTATCACTCAACGCAATAGGCGCGTTTTGACTACTACACCATGGAGAGCCGTGACAAGCGTACGGCTTTGAATCAGCCACTTTCAGCGCCCACCTCGGTGATAGGACTGCTTCTCTTTCATCAGCTCGTCCTTGAATGTCAGTGAAAGTTTTTGGCAGTGTATGCGTCACTCACCCCGTTGTGTCAGGCCGAACGCAGCTCATACGAGCTGCCCCTTTCAGAACCATGTTCTCATCCTCACCCGCTCGGCGAGCTGGCTTTGGTCTAGCGCAGCGACATTAAAGCTACGATATATACACACGTTGAGCTTGGACGCTTTGTTTTTGATTTTCCCCAAGAATGTTCTTCTAAATGAAATAGCCATCAAAAATGGAAAACGTGGATTGGGAAGATCTCAACAGGAAGAACTGGGATGAGCGCGCTCCGCTTGTACGTTCCCGGCCGCGCCTCCTCTCCATCACTCCCCTCTAACACCCCCTCGTCCAACAGCATGCCGCCTCACCCGACTACAACCTCGCCGCCTTCATCGCCGACCCCTCATACATCTCCCCCGTCGTCGCTTTTGACGCGCCGCTTCTCGGCTCCCTCGCCGGCCTGCGCTGCGCCCACCTCCAGTGCCACATCGGCACCGACACGCTCAGCCTCGCCCGTCTCGGCGCCTCCTCCGTCGTCGGCCTCGACTTCTCGTCGGCCTCCCTCGCCGAAGCCCGCCGCCTGTCCACCTCCGCCTCCGGCGGTGACCGCCTCACCTTTGTTGAGGCCTCCGTCTACGACGCCCTCAAGGTCCTACCGCCGGCCTCGTTCGACCTCGTCTTCACCGGCGTCGGCGCGCTCTGCTGGATCCCGGACATCCGGGGGTGGGCGGCCGTCGTGGCGGGCCTGCTGGCGCCTGGAGGCGGGCGCCTGTTCCTCCGCGAGGGGCACCCGATGCTGTGGGCGCTCGATGACGCCGCAGACCGCGAGGAGCTGGTGGTGAAGAACCCGTACTTTGAGCGCAAAGGGCGGCCACTGCTGTTCGACGAGGGCGTGACGTACGTCGAGCACGAACCGCACGAGTTCCAGCACACGGTGACGGCGGAGTTCAGCCACGGGCTCGGGGAGATTGTGCAGGCGCTGCTGGACGCCGGCCTGCGGGTGACCGGCCTGGCGGAGCACCAGAGCGTGCCGTGGGACGCCCTCCCGGGTCAGATGGAGGACATTGGCGGAGGTGAGTGTTTCTCATTCTCTGTTGCTCGATGTCGCACTCTGGTCATTTTGCTAACATACACAAGGCGAATACGCACTCAAGACTGAGCGCTGGCGGCTACCACTGTCATATACCCTTCAAGCCATCAAGGACTGAAACTGTCTGTATACAGACCGTTGGAGAAGACAAAAAAGTTATTTCCGTGCTGTTTCCAACATCTTCCTCTCGTGCTACCCTCTACCCTGCACTTGACGCCCACTCCTGTCAAAGGACTTACAAAGTGACACCAACGCAGATCAACCACGTTGAATGCCCAAGGGACTCCCACAAAAACAGTACAAAAAGATACATCCAACGCCAAGCAAACAAAAGCAGCAGCACAATGACCTGCCCATCAAAGGGTCTCGGGCAATATCTTCTTTCAATTTATGTACCCCTCATTGGCCAAAAAGGGCAACCCAGATCGATGATGCTCCTCCGTTCTCTTTCCTCCACCCGGCGATCCATATGCGGTCCTGCCCGGCGGCACCACTACGTCATACGTGGAGAGGCCGGAGCCGACAGCACATCACATGCGACGCCGTGGGACCCCAGCATCAGCAGAGAGAACAACAGGAGAGGCGGGCGGGGAGGGCTGCAGCGTAGATCCTGTCAACCGTGAAACGCATCGAGCGCCAAGAACCGCTGAGCGAAGTGGTGATGGAAGATTAGGCCGGCAGACTTCCAGGGCGACGACCCGTCAGGGCTGTGGCGCAAAGACGTAAGCTGCGCACGTGGTACGTTTCTGTGCTCGGATTATTCTTGATTTACTTCGTGTAGACCGGACCTCATCAATTTCACGAGCGTTGTTGACTTAGGCAGCATGAAGATATGCCAACTCTACCATGAGCAAGCTCAACTCAAAGCTGGAATTTTCTTGCCACGACGTGAATCAGCTAGATGACAAAAATGGATAATTCAAAGACATTATGATTGCATGGACCGGGCAGCCTTTCTGCCGATTGCTTGTCCAATTGCTGGCAATCTCGTCAGCTCTCGTCCACGACTGGAAGATCGAGATCCACCACGATGGGCTTATAAAACTGCTTCCCGCCAGCGTGCGGAAACTTGCTCTTCAAGATCGCCGCATTGACAACACACGTCTCTCTTCGCCCGTGCCAGCCGGGTGCTTTCGCGTCGTCGAGAGCCTGCCCGCCACCGCCCCCGACAGACGACGCAGTAGTGCCGCTGCCTCGCTCACACCATAGCCCGTCATTATCTAGCGGTCGAATCGCCTTCTTCGTCGTGAGATCAACAAGGCTGATCTTATTGTTGATCCCAGCGCCCGGGTCCTGCCACGGAGGTGCCGCACCGTCGCCGTCGTCTAACTCCCCGTATGCTCGGTACAAATCCCAACGCACACGCGACACACCCCGGCCCTCGTGCATGTGTCCGCAGACGGCCAGCCGTGGCCTCACACGCCACAGGGCGCGGCGGAGAGCCTCGCACCCTGCTGGACGGTCGACACCGCCGCGGTCGTCGCAATGGCCGCGCGGCGGGGTGTGAGTCACCACAACATCGGCGCGCGCCGGAATGTCGTCCCACGGCGAGACGAAGTGCTTGTCATCTAGACCAACGGATTCCGGACAAGGTTCATCGTGCGAGCGCGACGTTTGATAGTATGGTGGGTAATAGAATGCCCAGTGGTGAAAAGCTGGCGCGAGCGGTGACCCGAAGATGGACAACTCGGTTCGCGGCCCGGTGGGCGACGACAGTCGGACGGTGACCGTCTCATGGCGCAGATAAGTCAGCGCCGGCGAGTTCTTCAGAAGCGCTAGGCACTCTTCGTGGGATTCTGGCTTCTTGTTGTGGAACTCGTTACCGTGCCTAGCATAAAAGTCGGCATCGAGCGTAATATCATGGTTACCTGCACGCGCGTCAGTACCTTGCCGCGTCGACGATAGCATGCAGCAAATAGTCACACCGGCTACGATAATCTTGGCTTCATATGGTAGTCCTTCCAGCCATTTGACCGCTTTTGAGAGCTACAGGTTTGTAAGCATACCGCCGCGGCCACGCCATGCTGATGTTATTTACCTCTGAGTAGCTGCCTTGGTTGGTAATGTCGCCCGCATGGATGAGAATATCACCTGGCGGGAGCTTAACAGTAGAGTTATGCGTATCTGATATGCAAACTATGCGGGTGCGGCGAGCGGGCCGACGTTTCGTCCCATCTGTTGTCGCCATTGTGTAAGAGGCATGTCAAAGGTGGGAAGGCTGACGGGAGAAGCCACAGAACCCCACCATCTATCTGTTACCATCGCGATAGGGCGCGGATGTGTTAGTCTGCCTCCCACGGACTGCTGATCTTTGCTATTGCGATGCACACGAAAGTCTGATTCGGGTTCATTATGAGAACGAAGGCAAGGGCCTGTATTCTTTGCTGTGGTCTTGTCAACGTTCAACTTCACCAGTGGATCCCTGTTTGCAGTAGCGCCAGCAAGAGATCGTCAACTCCATGCATGTGGCCTTGATTGAGATGTGTGCGCTTTGCTAGTTCGGCCTGGACGTGGCATCGGAGGGGCCACGATAGGTAGATACTGTGCCCGATGCCTTACTGCCATGCAGGTCCGAATGCGTGGTCCAGGCAAGGGTCAGTGATGGCTCAGCAACCCTCTCGTATGGGCGTGCGAGCGTTTGACATTGCTTATTAGCGACTCATAAAGTAGCGATATGGCTATACGTATAGCTATTCAATGATGGGTCAAGTGAAGCTCTTGCGTAAACAGCTATCAATAAACGTGGCAGCACCCCCGACTCAGGTAGTGTCACTGGACCAGATGATTGGGGCGAGGATATAGTACTGTGCATGATATGAATGGGGGTCTCGCCGTAGGTGGTGATCTCTCCATCACCATTGGTGCAATCAGCCCGGCCCAGCGACGGCAACAACGGATCGAATGAGAGCCAGTCTTGGATTCTTGGCCAACCAAGACCTTGCGCAAAGCACAAGGAGCGAGCTCCGAGGTATTGGTCCAGCTCTGCCAATATTTTCTGGCCAGACTAGAACTATTGAAGGTGCTACCAGTAATATGACATGGTACTTCTGGGCTGGACCAGGGCCTAATGTTGTGTAGTAGAGTAGTAATCTCGGCGGCCCCAGCAATTGGGCAATTGGGCCAGCTGCACGAGCCAGGCGAATGAGCCGTGCGGCGCTGATCGGCCTTGAATATGCGCTTCGGCGTGGATGGGATTCGCGACTCTGAGATGCTGTTGCCGAAGCATCTTCCTGGAACGGTCAGAGAAGAAGCGGTGGTAGATATACTCTGTAGTTTGCAATGTACCTGGGCGTAGATGATGCATTGGAAACTTTTACTGGTAGGCAAACACAAGACCTTTGGGTCAGCCCACTTGGAGTTGATTGTGCCTGAATTAGTACAGGAACTTGCGAAGGATCATCTTGAGCATCCTGGCGGCGGAGGGCGCTATCAGCAGTAGCGTCGACACCGTTTCTGGGCGAAGGAGCAGAAACGGTGTACCTGGTACGGAGTAAACGGGGGCAATCGGCAGCGGAGAAAGCGGCCTTTGATCATGATGCAAGCGTGATAGAAATCGATAGGTTTTGTTTAATTAAAGCCATGAGATTGTGGTGTTGTAGCTGGCCAACAAGGCCGGGTGGCAGGTAAACAGACCAGGTACGCATTACCTCACCTTACGTAACCTGGGGCATTGGGAAGCTGGGGAGTAAGCGGGCACGGTTGACCAGGTACTGGTACAGATTACATGCCCAAAATAGGTCTGTCTTTTTCATTTTTAAATTGTCGGTACCTGTACTCGATTGTGATGCGTCTTCATGTTCCCACTGGCTCATCCAATGCCCTGGATGCCGGCGTAGTGCACGGCTTTTAGAACCCCATGTAGACCAATCAATCTGTAGCAGTACCTGCTCCAGCCTGGGGGGCTAGTGTAGAATGGCAAATTACAACTAGACAGTTGACCCATTGTGTCTGTACGCATCATACTAGTAAAAGCTTGAGAGAAAAGAAAACTGTAAAATCTCTTGATAACCAGTCACACATTTGTAGTTGTTCTGACCCAATCCTTTCTTTTTGTTCTCTATCTTCTTTTTGCTTCTCGTGTTTCATTTGTCGAGCAAGCCACCAGCTAGTTGCAAGACCCTGGACGTGGGCGGGAGAAAAAGAAAGAAAATGCAGCGAAAGTTTTAGTGGGTACCCGGCCGAGTGGACAGCGGGGCTTATAGGAAACCAGCGCTGTATTTTAAGCCAGAATGTGCTGTGGGTGACTCCTGTAGGTAAGGTACCTAATGCACTGCCCAAGCTCCGGTCTCAACAGGTACCGCTGTTGCCCTGTTGGCTACATATGATGTTGGGTACAGTTCTAGCAATACCAAGTCTCTCCATGGAGACCAGTGTACCGTTTGATCCAACCAGCATTGTTTCGCCTGTGATGCCTCCGTTCTCCCTCTCAACTCCACTGCGAACTACAACACTACAATAACCCATCACGCACCCATCACAATCACAACACCCAGCGCAAGCCATCAAGTCACAGAGTCACCCTGGCCCGACTTCCCCATCCACTCCCGTCCGTCCCTTCATCCACTCGAGCGGCACCACCGCCACGCCGCACCACCACCCATTCCAATCTGCATTGCTGTGAGTGAATGCATGGATGGCCCTGCTCCGCTTAGTCCATCCTTCCTTTTCTCTCTCATCTTTTCTTCTTCTGGTCTCGCCAATCCCATGCCTATCGGTACTGGTTTGTGTTAGCATTCCTTTCCACTGCACTCTCCTCTTCCAGACTGCATTGTCTTTTGCACGCTTCCGCAACGGCCCTTTCATGAGCCACCTCTGATCACCACTCCAGCCATTGACCACGCAGCTCTCCCGCACTGCCTCGCCAACTCGCCTCGCCGTTCCGAGACCGAATCTCCTCACACCTTAGTTTGGCCCGTTGGCAATTTCCGCCATATCATACCTTGTTGCCATTCGCCAAACAAAGGCTCGATTGTGTCTGGCTTCCTCCCCCAGCGCGACTTTTGTCTCTCTCCTTTGTCTTGAGCCTGTGCTGCTCTCCCGCTTCAGGGCGCTGCCTTGCCCGCCACCCGTCCTCGCTTTGTCACACTTGATTTCAACCACCACTACAATCCCACTGCTCTATTTGGTAGAGAGCAATGGCTGCCGTGGCCTCTGTGCCGGCCCCGGCGTCGGCCTTGACTCCTCCAAGCAGCAGCCATGGGGATGAAAACAATTGGGACTATTCTGCAGTCAACGGAGAGGTATGATATTGCCTCCTCGGCCGGGCCGTCCCCAACGTTATCACGCGTCGCGAGGCTAACCAAGCCCTGCTTCCAATGCTTAGGATCAACACCTTCAGCAGACCACCGCCTCCTACGAAGAGTCTCTGCAGTCTTCTGCTCTTCCCGCACACGATGCTCGCGCCGCACCCAGAACATACACGCATGATATAACGGCCCGCAAGATGCGGTCCGCGGATAATCTTCACAGCTCCAAGTGGTCCAAATCCTCTGACCACCAGCGAGAGTTGCTACCAGGCCTCTCAGAGGAAGAGAAGGCCAAGAGCGACCAGTTCGTTTACAGCCAGGACCAGTCCAAATGGATCCACAGGGACAAGCTGGCCAGAATTGAAACCGAGGAGCTCGAGGCCGCTGGCTTTTTTTTACCGAAAGGAAGATCCTCGAGCCGCGCTGCACGCCGAAATGAAAGCCGCCTCAGCCATACTGCTGCTACCACCGAGTCCGACCCCAATACAAACCGCGCCAAGAAGGATTCCACTTCACTTGAGCCGCCGCTCTCGTCACCGCCGAGCTGGGACTTGCGAACTCCCCAGGAAATTGCTGAAGCCGATTCCAGTTCATATTTTACCAGCAATGCCCTTACCGGCAGTACGCGCATTCCCGTCGCGAAAATTAGCCCAGCTCCAATCTCCCTCGAGTTTCTTGAGCACGGGTCCATGGCAGCGCGTCAGAATTCGGACGAGGACGATGATGGCCTAGCATACAACAAGGTCCGCTCCCGCAGCGCCAGTGCCGCTATTAGAGATTCCGGCAGCGCCGGACCAAACAGCAAGCGGCCCATCACCGATTCCTCGCCCAAGAAGCACGCACGCAAAAACAGTTCCAGCACTCCAACGAGACCTGGAACAAGAGGCAAGGATTCTCTGAGCAGCTCCGGATCCCGCCCACCCACTCGAAATGGACGAACGGCGTCCCGAGCGAAGCACCCCGAGGGTGAGCCTCCTTGGATGGCTAATACGTTTAAGCCGGATCCCCGTTTGCCGCCCGACCAACAGATTCCTCCTTTTGTCGCCAAAAAGCTCGCCCAGGAGCAAATGGAGAAGGAAGGTACTTTTGGAGACGCGTACGATAAGGACCTGCGCCCTCTCAACACAAACTCTTTTGCAGTACCGAAGCCCAACCCCGACGCGGAACCAGAAAAGGAGGGAGAGGCAGTGGCGGAGGAGGAGTGGCCGCTCAAGCCGGCCATAACAAGCCGACCGCTTATGCGCACTGGCTCCATGTACTCGACCATGCCCAAGATCATTGATAAACCGCCGGGCACGCCCGTACCGAGCCCGCGTCCGGCCAATACCGCGGTGATGGGCCCGCCGCCAGCAGCGCCGCAAATACAACAGGTACCACAGGTTGAGCCCGAGGATACTAAGAAAGGCGGTTGCGGCTGCTGTGTGGTCATGTAACGCCGGTGCTCTTGTAGCCCATTTTACGACTTATGAATCTTTTCCCATTATATTTGCCCTTGAAGCCTTTTTATTTCTCATTCTCACTTGGTTTTTATAGCAACCGATCATGTCGGCTTCATTCATAGCCGATCAAGCGACTTCATTTCTCTCCATTTCATTTGTGGACTTTTCCCTATTCATTCAAAAACGAAGAGTTGCCAGGACGACTTGCCGTTTTTCCACCCGGGCCCTTTGGCTTCTACCACATCTTCTTTTTGGTATTCTTCTTACTTTAATTCTCAGCACAAAAGACGTTTTCTACAACTGCAACTCTCTTTTCTTCTTTCATTCTTGCCTGCTGTCTTAGCAGTGCGGTCCATTGCTTGCGTTACCCGGAGGGCGTTTTCTCACTGGACAAGTTCCTGTGCTGCCGATCTTGTGTTTTCTTGCGTTTTCTTGTCTGGATTCGTGTTACCCTTCTCCTCTTCCCCGCCCTCCCTTTTTTGTTCTTTTCAGTTGGTTAACTGCCTTTGCTCCTGATTACTGCGAGCTTTTATAAAGCTTTCTTGCCTTGGAGGGGCTGGAAGGCTTGGTCTACTTATTCTTCCCTCGGGGATTCTGATTTTTGCGGTTGGGAACCAAAAGCAGGGTTCATATTCTTCATAACTACGCGTGGAGTGATTGATGGTGGAATTCAGGGACAGGGAAGTTATTGAGGACAAAACATTTGATTAACTCCACATGTTTATTGGTGCAACTTGTGATGCCGCCGTCGTACCTGTTCATGGCCCTCATGTTGGTCAACTCTCAAGCGACCATAGTCGTTCCACGCAGTCCATGCAGTACCGCCACCGGTCCGAGATTAAATTGCCGGCGCAGTTCGTTGCTCAAACTACTCGAATAAAAACTACTCTAAGGCTTTAATAGAACCAAGTTGGACGAGCTAGACGTCTGGCCTGACCCTCGCACTGTCCTACCCATCTCTGCGTAAGGAATTTGCACCGTCGAGTAAAACATAGGACGAACCACCGCGTACCCAGCTACAGAGCACCCACACCGCGATAAAGATCATAATAGAGAAACGCATCATGAATGTAGATAAAAAGTCCCCTTATCAATGCGTTCATTCTGGCTGTCTAGACTATACACGCCTCCGTTGCATCCTCTCATGCCGAACAGCCATCATGCCCCTATGCGTAGGACCAATCTTTCCTTTGCCGTTGCTAATTCGTCTCCCTTCCCGTTCCCATAAACATAGACATTTTTATTCTTCCCTTCCGTTTCGTATTGCTATTGCAGTGCAAGTGAAAACAAAAATACCGACCGCACCACCTCCCGGAAGCAAACAGCCGAGGCCGTCGACGGCAAGCCCAACTCACTTGGGCCTATCCCTAGCTCCTTGTTAAATACACGTAGCCAGTGCTCCACGTTGAATCTGCCTCATATCCTCCTTTGGTGGCTTTTTTGGGAATAAGAAAACGAGCAAAATCAAAAAGAGAGAGAAAAAACCAGTCCATAGAAACAATCGTACACGTTATGCATAGTTGAACAGTCGAGACAATCCATCCGTCTCGCATTTCCGTCCCAGCCCCTGGTCACCTTGGTTCCCGGTGACAAACAAAATACATTTCGCTGCCGACTAAATTGTCGTGCAAGCTTCATATCGTCGAATGCATTCAGCTGCGCCGTGGCGAGACTAGCGCAAGCGCTCGCATTCGTCGCTCCTCTCGGTTCTCGGTCTCGCGGAAGCACATGCCTCCGCGACGTTGGCGGCTACGCCGCTTCTCATCACGGTTTCTACCCCACTAATGGTAGTTGCCACCCCAGCCGCGCTGCTGCTGGTTGGCACCGTAGTAGCCGCCGCTACCGAACCCCTGGTTGCCGTAGGAGCCGTAAGGCGTGTTACCGTGCTGGTTAGCACCAGCACCACCAGCACCCATTCCGTAGGCGCCGCTGCCATGGGCAGCATGGCCCTGCAGGTGGTTAGGGTAGCCGCCGTAGGCACCGCTCATCTGGGAGTTTTGAGGAGGCAAGCCGCTAGCTTGACCACCCGGACCGGTGTTGGTGGCTGACCCAGGGCGAGCGCCGCCGAGAGAGGGGGAGGGTCCGGGGGCACCCTTACCGTCACCAAAAGGCTTCAGATCATCACCGGTCGAGGCACCGGCGCCAGGTTGGTTCTGGCTATTGAACCCTTGAGCCTGCGACTGGAAGGCAGAGCCGCCGCGGGCAAAGCCGTCATGGGAGCCGCCAAAGCCGGCACCACCGAGGCCGGGCTGAGAGCCAGTCTGGCCCGCACCTCCACGGCCATACTCACCCAGGCCAGAGCTGGCGCTGTTATCGCGGTGGGCGTTGGAGGGAGCGAAATTGCCGGGAGAGCTGGCGTGGTCATAAGGCGCATTGGGAGACACGCCATAGGGTTGGCCATACATGCCGCCCTTTCCATACGGACCAAAGTTGCCCTGGCCATATCCAGAGTAATACTGGTGGTAGTATGGGTAGTAGGAGGGGTGGTTGTAGCCAGGGTACTGTTGCCCATGGCCCTGGGGTTGGGAGCCAGGGGTGCCAGCCTGTCCTTGCTGACCGGGCTGAGCCTGCTGGCCCTGAGGAATCTGCTGCTGGGCTTGGGCAGCAGGGTTAGGGGTGGAGTGGCCGCTGTTTTGGTTGTCGGCAGCGACGCCAAAACGAGGCTGGCCGTGTGAGCCTGCGCTTTGAGGATATTGGCTCAAGCTATCGGCCTGAGCAGCGTTGTAGCTGCCAAGAGGTCGCTGTTGTGCATCATGTTGGCCGTGAGAAACCTGCTGCTGACCGTACTGTTGGGTGTAGTAGTTATGATAGGCGCTACGATCCTGCTGGTTGTTGGCCGTGTAGTAGTTGGAGTAATCGGAGGGAGCAGAGCTGAAGGCGCCTTGGGAGGGGGCTTGCGTGGTGGCAGGGAAGCTGTCGAAGGGTGGTTGAGATGCGGGGGTCTGCTGACCAAAGGGATCGATAGGTTTCTGAACGGTGGGATCTTGACCCAAACGACCATACTGTTGGCCGGGGATAGCAGGCTGGGCGGCTATCCCACAATTAGCGAAAACGCCGCCTAAGAAGGGACACATGCAGATTGACTTACGTTGCGTAGGGATTTGGGCAGAAGGTGCAGCACCTAGTAAAATGTTAGAAGAGCAGTGTATGAGGTAGCCGGCGTCGGGACCGAACACATACCAGGAGCAGCGGTCTTGGGGAAGGTATCCGGGACAGCAGAGGGTTGAGCAACAGGAGGAGGCAGTGAAGTACGAGGCTGGGTAACAGGAGAATCGGCAGGGGGCTGGCCGCGAGTCTCCGCGTCCTCACGTTCGCCATCAATATCTTCCTCACTTTCGCCCAGATTGAAAGCGCCAAACTGGACAGCAGCGCGATCAACCTCACGGTTTCCGGGCATGCGGACAGCCTCTTCCTGGTCAAGAACACGGCGCTGGAAGCCGGGCGGGCGGGAAGTTCTGTCCGTGGTGGCCTTGAGAGCGGAAGCTGCGTAGCCACTGATTGGCGCCCGCTGGTGCTGCTGGTGAGCAGCGGATAGAGGAGTAGCGTTGGAACTAATAGGGCTCTGTCGTGGATCCCAAGAGTCAGCGGCAGTGCTTGCGGCGGTGCCAGTCGCAGCTGGCTGGGAGTCGTCAATAACCTGTTCAAGATTTGTCTCTGTGAGATCGTCCTTGGGTGGAGGAAGCGCAGGCTCTTCAATAACCAGGTCGGCGTGGGTAGCAACGGGGGTCGGATTCTCGTCGGTCTTGGCCGTGTCTTCGGCGGCAGGAGCGGGGGCGGGGGCAGGAGTGGGAAGAGCCTGGGGGGCTTCGGCGGGTTCAGCAGCTTCGGCGGGCTTGCTCTTGGGGTGACCTTGCAGAGGAGCAGGCTTGTCAACGGCAGTGGACTGACGAAGCATGCTGGCCCATGTCTTGGCGGCGGCGGCAGCAGGCTGGCTGGCAGGTAATTCAGTAACAGGCTTGGTCTCAACGGGGTCAGCCTTGATCTTTGTCTCGCCCCAAGCAGAGGACTCCTCAGTAGGGACGGACAACTGCTGGTTCTCCTTGCTGCGCGTGGCACCGTTAGTAGAGGGCTGGGCGGTGCGACCACGAGGGGCACCACCACGACCGCCTCTCTCTGTAGCTCGGCCTCGTCCTCGGCCACCTTCGGACACGGTGCGGCCGCCACGAGCGGCGCGGGGAGCAGTCGTCTGTTCGTTCGTGGTACTAGCGGCAGCCGGAGCGTCCTTTGCCTTTGTGCGAGCGGGCTTCTTGGTCTTCGAGACCTCGCCCCATTGAGAAATGGTACCTACGGAGCAGGGTTAGCCACGCGACGGGAGATTTCGAAAAGATTAAGAAAAAACTGGCAGGCGACGCATCCGGTTTGCGTCATTTTTACTGTGCGCGGTTGACAGATAACTGTAGGGTTAAGAGAAGCAAAGTAAACGTACCTTCGGCAATGCGCGTGACAGCCTCGGATTGATCACCGTTTGTCTCTTGGAGGGCAAAAAGGACGTCGGCCTCGGACCAATCTGGGAACATCTCGCGAATGACAGAAGTCTTATCTCCATACAGCTTTCGGAGCTCGCCTAGGTCGGCGTCGTCGTCAAAGGCGGCAGGGGAGTCGCTGTGATCAGGCTTGTCGGAGCCGTTGGGTCTGCGACCGCCGCGACCAGCGAAACCACCGCGACCGCCGCGGCCAGAGCCTCTACCGCGCGAGGCGGAGGACCGTGATGTGACCTCAGACATGAGGGGCGTAGATTGAGAGGATTGGTGTGATGGAGAAGAGGGTAAGCCGGAGCTGGGAAGGCAGAGTTTGGGAGGAACTGAACGTGTGAAAAGGGCAGCGGCCGGTCAGAGGGCCTCTGCAAGCAAACGAGGACAGGCAGCGGTGCGTAAACAAACGACGCCAGCTACCAAGTCCGAATCGACGGAAAATTAGATGGAGGCTGTATCGACAAAAGCGACGCCGATGGGGGTGGTGGTTGCGGTTGTGATTGTTGGTGATAGGAAGAGGATGAAGAAGAGTGGAGGAGGCGAGGAGGGTTTTCGCCAAGGTGCCTGTGCTGTGCTGTGCTGCTGGTTTTGGCGGTGCCGATTTTGGCTGGTCAAGCACGAGCAAGGATGGAAGGGAGCGGAAGGATGTGAAGGTTTGCGCGCCGCCTGCAGGCTCGGTAGGTAGGGCAGCCCTGTATTTTTAGCGGCGATGACAGCACTTTGCGCTTGTACCTCTCTACCAGTTTACTGTATGCAGGTACTTTGCCGACTCACCTTGGCACCTGAAAAGGCAGGTACACGGGGCGATGAATGCACCTAACAGCAGTGGATCGCGCAACGTACTGTACCTCCTCCCAACCTGTATTCGCGGTGCCTTGGGTGAGAGACCAGGGGACCGCCGCTAGATACCTGGGTAGGTACCTAAGGTAGCACATCCACCCAACCCAGGTTACCTTTGTGCTCTCAATAATGTCGTACTGTGCACCGCTGAGTATACATGGAAATTAACTATTTTATGCTTGAAAAAATAGTTGCATCAGTCCCCTGCTTACTCCGAGCTCACAGTCACTTTCTCGCTTCTCGCTGCCTCCCTGTCTGGCTGCTGGGCCACGCTTCTCGGTAGGTACGTACCTTCGTACCCATTCGTCTGCAAACGTTAGTCAAGTAGCCTTGACCTCCTTGCTACCCAGGGCAACGTGAAGTTCCAAGTACCGCTACCTCCCTCCAAGCCCACCCGGCTACCTATGTAGGTATTGTCCTCCCTGTAACCTACTCTCGCAGGAAAGTCTGCGGGAACAAAGCAATCCGGCAAAATACAGACAACCATGATTCAATAAACAAATCCTTACACCACAGTCTCCGCGCCCGCATGCGATTACGTCGCTTTCCCTTGGCACACGAGCAATTCCATGTACTTGATAGGGGCTTGTAGTAGCGACGACACATCGCCAGGGTCCCACCGCGCCAGATTCGGCCTACACATTGGAGTAATAACATGTTATACCCAAACGCTGCTATACGAAAAAATCTATCCGTGCTCGATCCGGCTCACGAATGTCTCGGTACGCTGTCCCGTCCAGGACCTTTCTTTCTTCCCGCACTGCAGCAGCAAAAAGGCTCTCTACAGAGCAACGGCAACTGGTAGCTCTTCTCGGTTAGCGCGTTCTCGGAGCTACTCCCTGTTTTTTTTTGCCCACAGTTCCGCCAAACAGAGCTTTCCCCAGCGAAATCACGTGACTTATGACTTATCGATAGCCAGATCCATCAGATCAACGAAGTGATCTCTCGACGTAGATGACCTGATGGGGGCACCATGCCGTTCATCAACCCACCACCATTGTTTCGATTCTTACAGCAACGACTGTTCTGTTCAATTCGGCCTGCCGATAGGCAGTGTCGCCGACCTGTTTTCCACAAGCTACCGTAGTCCTCGGCGTCATGTTTTCCACAAAACCAGCAAACTCGCTCCGGAAGCTCTTCGCTGGCTACCATGAACCAGCCGGCCTGTCGCCGCAGCAATCGCAAAAGCTGCTAGATGGCCTCAAATCGTCCTTTCGTCTACAACTAGAGCAAGAGTACGGCCAGACAGCTCTCACGAAACTTACGAAAAATACATCCAAGACGCTCAGCAATTCCTCCTCATCCTCCCCCCATCGCGCCGTGCGTCACTCGGCCGCCAACCGCCATCTACGGTCCATCCTCGCCAACCCGCTCTTCTCCTACAACAACAACAGCGTTACCGCCAACTCTACTCTACCTTCGCCGCTTTCCGTGCCCCGGAGCGACCCCTTGGACGACTTTGACCATGCCGTTGCCAAAGGCCTTATGACGCTCAATGCCGCCACCGGCTGCATCATGACCAAGCAAAAACAATTGGACGCCCGAGATCTGCACACGGGGCCCGCCTCCGAGTCGGCCACGGCCCTGCGCGTCGTGCGCTGGCTTCGCTCTACCGGTGCTGAGAATGACCTGGCTTTCCTCGACCACGCGGCCTTTATCAAGGCGCTCACGCCGTTCCTTGTCGTCGAGAGGATGGACGAGATCGCCTGGCAGTGGATCGCTCAGACGATGGAGCAGCGCGGCGACGACGCGGCAGAGGCTACGCGCCTGCGCCGAGCATCCTTCCTGCTCGCGCAGCTCGTCCACGTCAAGAGTCAGCCGCGGCACGGAAACCTCGACGGCGCCATAACCACCATCCTGCGCGCCGAGCAGCTGCTCGCCAAGGATCCGCTGCTCGCCAAGCTCCTCGTCCTGCCCTGGCGCTCCGTCTCGTGGTTGTCCACCGTGGAGTCGTACAGCCACGGCGCGCCGTCAGAGCGCCTCTTCGACGCGCACCTCGACACCGCCAGCCGCTTGCAGCAGCCGCTGTCCGTCGAGACGGCGCACCTCCGCCTCTGCCACCCGACGCATCCGGACCACGCCCCGGCCATGCACTTCTTCCGCGACACCCGGCAGCTGCGCCGCCTCGTCCGCGGCATCACCAGGGAGCAGTTCACGCAGGCCAAGCAGAAGAGCCTCAGCGTCGTGCCCTGGGTCGCGTACCTCGGCTACGACACCGTCAACCATCTAACCACGTCGGGCCTCACCCAGGAGGCGCAGGCGCTGAAGCAAATATTGCAAGATGAGCTGGCAGGTCTCTTTGCGCCACAGGCACAGCCCAGCTAAGCTAGATACCCCGAGCATATTCCATTTTTACTCTCATGATACCCCCCCTCCCGATTATTCTCCAAAAGCCGCACATGATCCGCAACCCATGAAACGGGCATTGCCATATTTACTGTACAATATAACATTCATGACCAAATTTAGCATCAGGATGCTGTTTGTTTTGCATAGGAACAGGATAAGAAGAATTGTTGTTTTTCAATGAAGTAACAGAAAACTTTTCATAAAGCCATTATCAAATCTATAGGGACGGTCACTCCCAATTCTTCTACCAAGCAACCATCTTGCCAGCTACGTGTAACCAAATCCCAACGCTTAGTCAATAGATCATCTCCCATGCAAACGACGATGCTTCTAGAAAATGGCAGTCCAATCACACCGGAGACTAGACCACCCTTCCTCAGTCCGACTCGTCGTCGTCTCCCGCGTCGGAGAATCCGTTAAACGTCTCCTCCATGTCAGATTCGCCCAGCGCCGCCGCCTCGCCTGTCGACGGCCCCGCCGCGGCTCCCTCCTCATCTTCATCATCGTCGTCGCCGCCTTGGTCCTCAATGTCAAAGAGGCCCCAAATGTCCCACCGGTCGCCCTGCGCCTTGCGACTGACGTACTTTGTGAACTTGAGCGTGCCGCTGTCGCGCATCACCAGGGTCAACTTGTTCCAGGCGGCGTTTTGGTGGAATAGGATGTTGTCCTCGTCGTTGCTGGCCTTGTACACGGCGGCGTCCTCCTCCTCGTCGTCGTCGTCGTCGGCCATGTACACTTCCTGGCCGCCGACGTCTTCAGTCTCCTCCTCCTCTTCCTCCTCCGCTTCCGCGGCCTTTGCCTTGCCTTTGCTATTGGTCGCGGCCTTGGCTTTCCCTTTGCCCTTGTCCGTTGGCTTGACTGCTTCCGCCTCTTCTTCCGTCCCGTTCTCCTTGTCGCCCGCCGCATCCTCGCCCCAGCCGGCGCTCGGCGTGATGGACAGGTTCATCTCTAGCCGGGCGGCACCGTCGTGGTTCGTTGCCAGCGTGTAGTCGTGGCCGCGACGGAAGCGACGCGCCAGGATGTCGTGGCTCAGGATGCGGCCGTGAGCGGCCACTGCGAGCCAGTTGCGGAACGCGCGGCTGGGGAACACGCAGTCGAGCAGCTCCGCGATGGGCGACTCCTCGTCTGCTCGCGGCTCGTCGGGGAGGCTGGGGTGCTGATAGAGGTAGCGGTGCTTGTGCGGGGGGCGGGCGACCTTCCAGGGCGTCGTCTCCTCGATGGCTCCGCTCTCGGCGGGCAGGCCGTTGGCCTCCTGCGCCTCGACGTACTTGCGCACGCGCTCCGCGAACTTTTTGGAGAGGAAGTTGTCGAGGGTGATGATGGAGCGCTCGAGGAAGAACTCTGACACTTGCTCGAGAGTATCGGGGGTGAGGTAGGTGGGGGAGATGTACTGGAGCAGGAACGTGAGGTCGGCCTCGTCAAACTCATCCTCGTCCTCGTCATCGTCGCCGGCAGCCTTGAACTCGTCCGCCTTGGTGACGGGCACCACGAGGGCCTGGGGCGCGTCGTACTGGGCCGGGTTGCCCTGCAGCTGCATGAGGCTGCTGTTCTTGGCGTTCTTCTCCTCCTCACCCTGGACGAAGCCGTCCTCGCCGGGCTGGGGGATGTGGAACCAGCCGCTGATGGCCATGCGCACGCGGCCGCCCTCCTTCTCCTGCTGCTCGCGGGTCGCGGCGTGGTAGACCTCCTCGACGTCGTGGAAGCTCTCGCCGGGCTGGACGGCGAAGAAGCTGAGCTGGTTCCAGGCGGGCGGGATGCTGCGTACGACGTCGGGCAGGGGCGTCTTGGCGACGGCGCCGTCGGCGCCCTCCTTCTCCAGCACGGGGAACAGGCGCAGCGCGCCGCCCCATTCGGGCTGCCAGGGCTGGTCCGGGTCAGTCAGGTACAGGATGTAGCTGACGCGACGGCTGCCGATGACGTCGTCGTGGCAGAGCAAGTAGCAGCCTGGGGTGTAAACGTTGATGGCCATGTCAGTCTTGCGGCCGCTCAGGGGCCCGCAGCCCGTGATGTCGGCGACGTAGCCGCGAAAGGCCTCGGAGTAGATTGCGTCGCGCAGTGCAAGCAGCGAGGGCAGCTTAGCGAGCGACTGGTCGTCAAGGCCGTCGAGATTGGCTAAGTCGCCAGACTGGTGGATCTTGTAGATGTCTGTCTCCTTGGGCGTAAACTGAACGTTGCTGCGAACCTCATCGCGGACGGAGCGTAGCAGCTTGTCGTTGACGAGCTCGTGGATGACGGCATGCTTGTAGGGCGACGATTCGGCGTACTCGGACTTGTAGGCATCGAGGACTTTCTTGTCAAACAGGCCCTCGCGAAATCGCTTCTGAGCTTCTTCGGCGCTCAATGCTGAGCGAAGGTTGGTTAGCAAATGCTGCCCTCGGTGTCTCGGCGCATGCAAAGCTTTGCGGCCAAGAGTTGATGTCTTGCTGCTTACAAGCTTTGACTCGCTTGGAGGAGGCGGCCTTTCCTCCGGCAGAGCCATTCGCCTTTCTCTTCATCTTGAGATAAAGAATTTTGACGAGTCGAATTGGTGAGGTGTGTTTGTAAAGAGAAGGTAAAAAATGTCAGGCCATGCAGGGTGCTGGAAGTGACGACTTTTTAATGGGTCTTGCTGGCTGCCTTTGTTTGGCTGGACCCTTGCAGTTGCCTCCCATTGAGGAGAGACGAATTTGTAGGAATTATCAATTAAAAAAGTGAGACGAATATATTAATAGCTCTTGGCTACTCAAAAGTTTAAGAAAAATTATTCATTAGCGTTTTCGCCGTGATGATATATAACAAAACTACTTTTACTACACATGACAGCACAGTTGTCGCTACAAACGATGCAGTGGAAGCATTGTCAAGTAATATCAACCTCATCTTTATTCCGTTGTTTCAAATAATGTTCAAGAATTCTAGTTTTCCATACTAATACGCCGGGTGCCTAAACATATTAGAAAGTACAATTACTGTACCGCTGAATGCATTTAATGCCTCCCCACCAGCGGCTCTAGGGTAGGTATTTTCGTAGAACGGGCTGGAGACAAGTTCGTGTAAGTGGTAGTGGTAGGTAAGGAAGGCGTCAAATTAAATTCACGGTTGTTTTGCATTTAAGACTCCACCGTGTTCAACCTGCATAATCAAGTCGTCGAGGCAGTAATACCAGCACGCCGCGAAATATCCTCTGTCCCAGAGCTCTTCCTCCAATCATACGCATCATCCCCCACGACCTTGGGCCGAGACCCCAGCGCACGGCGCAAAATCCAATCCTTGCTCGTCGTCGCATCCTCCTCGACGCCGTCCTCGAGCGGTGGAATCACAGCGCTCCCCTCCAGCCTCTTCAGCGGCACGTCGTCCTCCGGCCGGCTAAAGTAGACCACCGAGTACCGGGCGTGGTCGCCCTGCGCTCCCGGCGGCGACAGGACGCGGTGGATGTTGGACCGCAGGACGCCATTCGTAAACTTGACCAGCGCGTCGCCAACGTTGATGATGGCGTGGCCGGGAAGGGGCTTGACGTAGGTCCAGGCGGCGCCATCGCCGGGGGGTAGGATTTGAAGCCCGCCGAGGCGGTTGAAGAGGATCGTGAGGCTGCCAAAGTCCGTGTGCTCGCCGAGGGCAATCTGTTTGTCATCCAGGGGTTGCGGCGGTGCCTTGATGAGCCGGACCTGGTCGCCACTCGACACGCCGACTCTGTGCATGGAGGAGAGGGTGTTTGGGGGGAGCTGGAGAAACTCATTGAGCAGTCTGAGCAGCAGGTGGATGATATCCTGGGCGGAGGTCATAAATCCCTTTAAAAACAGTCGTTCCTTCTCAACTACCTGAGGCGCAGGCCATGGCTTTGATGTACCCAGTATATCGTCTCGGCTGATCTGGTCGCTGGTTAGCTCGTTGCTGGGGAGAAGTAGTCGGTCTCATGGATGGAAAGACTTGCATTGTAAAACTCGTTTCTGTCAAGCCTGCCGGTTCTATCCGCAACAGAGCCTCCTAGATGTTTATAGCCAAAGTAGGTCTTTTCTGCCGAAAAGTCGTACTTTTTCTTCTCCTCGAGCGGTAGATCGAACAGGTCTTTGGCCAGGCTAAAGAGACGCTCAGACTCTTGCAGAATGGTGTCACCAGGGCCGTCAAGATGAAGATAGAAGAAACCCAAGTCCCGGCATGCTCCTATAAATCGCTCAACTTCGTCAGGCTGGTGATTTACGAGCTTGAGGAGTGACAGACGAAGCAAAGGTGCAGTCTCGACGTCGGTGGGAAATTCGGGTAGCTGGTCAGCCATCACGACAGACAATTCAAGGGTAGCAGTAGTAAGTGATGATGTGTAGAATATAGACTACAGTTGAACGAGAAAGGAGAAAGAAGGTTGAATTATGTACGGGAGAGCCGGAGTAAATGAAGTAAAATAGACCGGTGGCCTCGGTATCCAAGAGTCTCCCCAAGACTTTTATTATCCCCCCCACCCCCGCATTTACCATAACGGCATAACGGCGGCGGGCGGGATGATCTCTTCGCCCGAAAATGGCGACTTGGTTTATGTAACTCGGCTAATAATTAAGAAAGATTTAGGCGTGTAGTATTAGTTGAATCTTGAGCTGGTGTATAAAGACAATGCTCGGCATATCCGCCTCCGCTTCCGAGTACACCGCGCCCATCATGCTCACGCTCCTCGTCGCCGATGACCACAGACGCTGACTGTTCTGAAGGCCTTTGATTCCTTGTGTCCATGGCATCAAAGGCGCAAGTTTGTCCTGCATTGTCGCATTTATTTGCGGTACCACATACGGGCCTTCCTTGTTTTTCGGATCTTTCGCTTCAGCTGCAGCATCCCGTACATGAGCGCCTCCGCGGTCGGCGGCCAGCCGGGAACGTAGATGTCGGCAGGGACGACACGGTCGCAGCCGCGTACGACGCTGTAGCTGTAATGGTAATACCCGCCGCCTTTGGCGCAGCTTCCCATGCTGACGACCCAGCGAGGCTCGGGCATCTGATCGTAGACCTGGCGCAGCGCCGGCGCCATCTTGTTGGTCAGCGTTCCGGCCACGACCATGACGTCCGACTGCCGCGGCGAAGCTCGGAAGAAGGTGCCCAACCGATCCTGGTCGTACCGTGGCGCCGACAGGTGCATCATCTCCACGGCGCAGCATGCTAGCCCGAACGTCATTGGCCACAGTGAGCTCTCACGTGTCCAGTTTGCAATTGTATCGAGAGTTGTACTGTTATATGCATCAGCTTCATAGTCATCATCAGATATGTCGTGGTGGAAAGTAGAATAAGTACAGCGCATATATTATAGGGCCTGAAGCAGTGTCTGCAGTTGGAAGAGTCGCTTGCTCCCGATGTGAACCGGTGCGTGTGGTCGCATTTGCTCTCCAAATTGCCCTTGTCGTGGAATGGCCGTCGCTTCTGAGTGTTGCATAATCGAGAGACTTCTACATACGTGCTCGGTGCTTGGATTTCTCGAAGGCTCGTAATTCTGAAGGCGCGAATGCCAACCAATGGTCACCGTCGTGCTGATCGGGGTACTTTGGAGGCAGAGAGCAACATGCTGACTGTGATGAAAGTTTTTGGATTTGCAGATTGGACAGTAGCTGGACGACAAAAGCACGTCGCTGCTGGGGATTTGAGTCGAGCAGTAGAGGAACCTGAAGGATATGGCATTGCCTGAACCCGAGACCGTTCCCGAGTCCGACTCTCGACCCCCTCTGGTGATGGGATCATCAGTCAATCCAAATTTGCATTGCAAGGCTAGCGTAACTATCATGACTGGATGATTCCGTCAAAGGTCCCGAAGCACACGAGACGCTGTTCATTGCTGATGTCGCTAGCATCACACCGCCTTGGCAGTTGGTAGATTCACTCAGGTGCCTCTTGGAGGATGCGTCTTCACCAGCCCGCAAGATACCAAAAATTTCGCCCTGCAACCTCTACTATCTCGCAATAAAACGACAGGGTCTTCATTGCGAGTGGATTGTGATGGCGTAAACGGTCCAGAAACTCATGGCTCACTGCCATCGGCCACGTTACAGAGAGCCTCAATTCCGGCGTTTCCGCGCTGATGACGGCATCTTCGATCCATCGTATCAATATGCTTCTCTCTTCAAGGCAAATACGGCCTATGCCAGGGTCCGGGCTCTCTGCCACGTTGAAGCATGCCAGCTCTCTCCGTGATGCTGCCAGCAGGGCATTGTCTGACTGACACGAATCTACAGCCAGCAGCTTTCCCAGTGGACCACGAGAAATTACGTCTTTGTGATTATTGAGAATGTCGCGCATACCACGAATTAGAAGGAACACGTCGAGTAAGCTCGCCAACGTAGGTGTACCGTGCTCAAGGGAGTGAGTGGTAAATGCGCAGAATGAGAGTAGAGATGCTGGTGTAAATGCTGTATGGCATGTCGCGTCAGAGATATCGTGGAGTACTGCGGAAACACCTCTGATGGGCGGTATTTTGATGATTTGATGCATCAAACACTCCGCCCTCGTGGCTCCGCGGAGAGGTGGGCCAGGTGAAAGGCCGATGTCGCAAGGAGCTGGTGCATCAGGAAATCATACTGGCGAGCCAGTTTCGGAAGTTGGACCTGGAGGACATCCTGGCGGTTGCGTGCATTCGGAAAGGTGCTCCATGTCATGGTGTTGTAGTGATGCATATGCTCGACAAACATCCAAGTTGACATGCTGCTGTGCTTCCCCTCCGTGAAAAGAGCCGCTAGATACGGCAAGGGATCCGAGGTCCGTGATGTGACATGTGCGGGTGTGTTAAGAGTACTGTGAGCTGGATTGTAGGCGTTATTGGGTAATCGTGACCTGTGAACTGTGAGGCTGTATGGGATGTCGTGCCTGTAGCAGGCGCTGCAGGGGCTATTTTCGTCACACTGAAGAATTAGGCGCTGATGTACTTTTGGGTGTGGATGAATATGTATGTATGTACCTTAATCTTGCGTTCCTTACATTTCAATGACAACCATTTCGGTATTTGCGATGTCCTAGGCGAGGCATTGCTGCCTAGAATGGATAAGGGACGCCTCTCATGCAGATTTTAGTGAGGCAGTCCTCAGCAGCGTCAACGTCGCTGATAGGTGATCATTTTTCGTGGTGCTGATTTTGAGGGATGGATGTTCTGTCTTTTGAGAACGACAGGGAGATGTTCTTGATAAAAATGGCTGACAAAACTGCGGGATGCTCCGAAAGCGAAACCGAGTCCGAATCCGCATCCGACACCGAATTAGCGCCATCGGACCAACAGCATGGAAGCTCGTTCATTTCAGCATTTTGCTCAGAATATCATACGAATAGTGCCCAAGTTTGAAACTTGTCACCCTATAGATTTGATTATAACGGCATTTATCACATGTTGAAAATACGTCAAAATCACCAGGGTGACCTCTTCCGCTCTGTTTGTGGCAGCCCGTCCAATCAGGCGCGGCGGTTGAGTCTCCACAAACGGCCAAGGCCAGCAGCTTCCTGCGTCACAGCTACCAGGCAAAAGAGGCATCCGCCATCATCAGCTTCGTCATCCCTCCATTGCATTTCATCCCGGACGACAAGAACACAGAGATTGGCGCGACAGGGCCCAGATCGACTTAAACAACCTCCAATCCCTCTGCAGAAGCAGCCACCATGAAGCCCGTCGTCAGCGCCGGCCACGCGTGGTCCTGGTACGTCGAGAGGAGGAGGGCTCCCTCGCCAAGGCCCAGCCTTGAGAGACGCTGCCAGCCATAGCTAACCCGCCTCTAGCACCGTTGTCTCCGTATTCGCCATCGTCATCCTGTCCGTCCTGGCGATCGTGTACCGAAGCGGCCACGAGGAGTTTGTCGGCGGCAACGAGGATCCCACACCCGAGGAGGGCGTCGCCATTTCAGGCACCATCCTGACGGCCGTTTTTGTCTATCTGGTACGTCCTCTCAGCTTTCGCGGCCTACATGATCCTCTTTTTGCATATACTGACTGTTAATCTGTAGGGCTTCTTTGTCTTTTGTGGCTGCCAGGGCATGCTCCACGTGCGGGAGAATCGACGAGGCACCATTGCTCTATAAATAATAGCATCGAGATGGTGAAGGCGGAGATGATGGACGACCGAGGTTCCAGTGTACAAATGCCTGGCGGGATACAATTTTACGGCGTTACTTGGGAGCATAAATGTTCTTTTTTTCTCACCATGCCCTGGGGAGAGGCTCTAACGGATCCGAGCGCTTGCAGCACGCATTGCGTATTGCTTGCTGAGACATAAGGTCGGCTGCGTTTGTTGGTCAATATACAAAACTAGAGAATAGCCCGTCAATAAAGCGCGCTCGCCTCATGGGTATGGTCTTGTTTAGATTCATGAATGGTGAGGCAGGCATGGAGCTGTGAGAACTAATTAGCTACGGACGGCGTCAAGGACAGGAACACGATTGCCCCAGAGGGGCCGCGAGAGCTTGCTCCCAGAGTCGAATTTGGATTTATCGTGCAGTATTCGTGGGTGCTATATCACTTGCACCTGATCCGATGATAGGCTGGGAACGAGTCATAGTCAAAAAGGATTCCCCATTTTGCTCAGTTTTCTTTTTGTACTTCTTCTACTCTATAGCAACTCGTGGGGGTATCAATGATTTAACATCTAAGGAATCTGCCCTGGCCGTGTCATGTCTAACCTGGTCATGATGGTATCCGGGACCTGAAAAGGCCTCTCCTGCGGGACAAGGCCGCGCTCAACAAGGACCTGCAGCGACAGGTCAGGATCCTCATCAAGTGCGCGCTTGAGGCTCCGAGCCGTCTCGGTAACATCCTCGATGGACACGATCCACTCGCGGGCCCAAAGTGTGCTCAGGGTGCCGGGGATGCCAATCTGGATGCTGCGGTAGGGTAGGCGGCGGAGGGCGGGGTCGCGCTCCGGGTCCCACTGGACGCGGACCTCGGCGGCACGATCACGGGCCGGGCCGGCATTGGCATCGGCGCCGGCGCCGCCGTGGGAGAGCACGCCGCGCTGGAGGAGGGCGAGAAAGTCGGCGTGCTTCATGCGCAGGGCGAGGATGCGGGCCTGGCGCGCGTCCTTGTAAGAGTAGCCGGCGCGGTACATGATCCACGCCCAGCTGGGCTTGACCCACGTCATGCGGCCGGGGCGGAAGTCGGGCGAGGCGTCGAGGCGCTGCGCGGCGACGGCGGCTATGGCAATGGCGGGGGAGTAGGCCTGGTAGACGGTAATGGTCTCTTCGTCGTAGAGGGCCCTGATTTGGCGGTAGGGGACTGCAGTGGTGGAAGGTATTGTAGGAGCGGCTTCAGACATGTTGACGCTGGTTGGAGGGATCCTATCGTGGGAATGCATATTGTTTTGGGCGTATGTTTGGAAAGACTACATTCTTTTCAAGACGTTGAAGTGTATTTTTATAAAAGTCGGCCCATGTAGGCAGCATCTCATGACTGTGCGGCTGAAGGCCGAGCCGGCGTGTGAGCCATACCAATGTGCTCGACGATGCAGGATGTGGATAGGTAACTCGGCGCTGACGCGAGCCGTTTTCGAGTTACCAGCGGTAAATGAGTCAGCCGTCCAAAGGAGTTCATCACGATTGAAGAGATGAAAACGAGGAGGGGAACTTGTTCTTTCATACAACAGTTTTGACTTTTTCATATATATGCAAGAAAAAGATCCTCTTACTTGTGTTCATACATGGTCGTCTCGTCCTGAGCAGTTTATTACAGGGGCCTTGTACATAGCTAAACCGTCAAAGCGTCCACTGAAACCACTATAATGACCTGGAAGATGCATTAATGTATGTACCTTAGCAAACTTGGCTGGCGCGCTTTCCAGTCCTCTTACAGACATACATAGTACATACATACATAGCTACATATACTAACATTATATAGATGCCTGGAGCGTGCTTTTATTGACTTCTCTGTACACCTATAAAACTTGAAATTATGCTAAGAAAAGACACACTTTCAAAACGTAAAACAGCGCCAGTCCAGACACCTTCTGTCCCAGATTTTAGCCAAGCGCCTCGTCAGCTAAGCCGCGCGCCGCCTACGTAAGGCGAAGCCAAAACCCCCGCCCACTAAGTTAGTAACCAGCAGCCAGCCAGCCTGCTTCCTGCTGAACAAGGCAGGCAGGCTCCCGTTACATCTCCAAGCCGCATCGATCCTCCACGACACTTCTTCCCAACACTACGGCTTGTGCCTCTCAGGCAGTTGTGCGACAGCTCGGTGCTCTGCAACTCCCACCACATAAACGTCTCTGCAGCCTGTTGAATGAAACGTCCGCCTAGCCAAGTCTAAGATCCTCAACAAGTGTGCCGCGCCTCGAGCTACCCGGGCTCTCTCCTCCATCACGAGCCGCACCCCTCGCCGCCCCGACTGTCCTCAACCGACCGATCCGGAAACACCAGACAAACGGCCCGTCCTCTGATCAGGGGATGACTGCCCCGGAGCAGCCCGCTGGGAGACCAGAGTCACCATCCCAGTCTCCCAGCGAGCCCGTGACCCAGGAGCCTTCCACCACCCATGTTGAGCCCAAGGCAGCCGATGCCGCTCCGCCTGCAGACGATTCCATAGCCAAGGATGCACCGTCAGCCTCGCATACACCCAAGGTGGCCGAGAAACAACTCTCACCGACCGAATATACGCCTTCCGACACCGCACACGTGGCCGAGCCTACATCCGAAACGCCAGCCCCGACTACACCGCCTGCGCAGACAGGCTCGAAAATGTCACAGCAGCTTGCCGCCGCCGCCGCTACCGTTACGAAGCAAAGAGATGATGTCACTGCCGACGCACGCGAGGACGGCGACAGCATGTCTGCGTCAGCCATCACCATCAGGCCGGCCAAAAGCCACGATGCCGATGCTTCCTCCCAGTACCTTGCCCCAGAGCCTTCGAGCTATGTCGACCCTACGCCGGCCACGCCCATGACCTCCCAACCGACATCGCGGTCGCCCTCCAATGCCGCAAGGTCCCATCGCTCCGCATCTGCCTCGCCAAGCCAGCCAGGCGCTGACGGCGAAGACAAGAGGTATTCCAGCGAGGAGGAGCATGACGGCGGGTCCCGATCTGAGATTCAGAGCATCATGGAACAGTTCAGCGAGCATGGAGGCGGGCCCGACGCCGACGAGGTCATGAGCCCGAGACTCGAGATTACCTCGCCCATGTTTGGGGGTCCTGCGCAGCACCCACCGAGAAAGTCGAGCCTCGAGCCGCTTTCCACCAAAATTACGACGCCCCAGATACCGGACTCGGATGCGCCGGGCGCTACCATATCGGCGTCGACCAAGGACCAAGAGGCTGTCGACGAGCAAGGCCCGCCAGTACCTCCAAAAGACGGATCGTTTGGCACGCCGCCGAGGAAAAAGGAAGCCCGGGGTTCGACCAGCCTTACTTCGCCAACATCCCCGCAGTTGTCCATGCACCGCCCGCCCCCTCCCGAGCCCGAACCCGAACCAGCGCTGCCGTTTGACTTTTACAGGTTCCTCGAGCAGCTACGCAACAAAAGGGCCGATCCCGTCGCACGCTATCTCAAGTCCTTCTTGAACGAATTCTCCAAACGCCAGTGGATGGTCCACGAGCAGGTGAAAATCATTAGCGACTTTTTGGCCTTTATCGCCAACAAGATGATGCTCTGCGAGGTCTGGCGCGACGTCTCGGACGCAGAGTTTGACAATGCGCGCGAGGGCATGGAGAAGCTCGTCATGAACCGGCTGTACTCGCAAACCTTTTCGCCCGCCATCCCGCCACCCAAGCCCGTGCCTGGCGCGCGGCCCAAGAAGCGCGGCGGCGAGGTGCCGCTCGGGTCGGGTCGGCGTGGCCAGCACCAAGAGGACGTGGAGCGGGACGACATTGTCTCGCAAAAGATTAATATTTACGGCTGGATTAAGCCCGAGCACCTGGACATCCCCGCCATTGAAGAGAGTGGACGAAAGTTCCTAAAGTTGGCGCAGCAAGGTTCGCCTGACCCGTTTCCGTGGTGCGGCGCAAGCTAACCCGTGCAGAGTTGTTAAAAATCAAGTCATATCGTGCTCCACGAGACAAGATAATTTGCGTTTTGAATTGCTGCAAAGTCATTTTTGGTGCGTTCTCCTCTCTCTACTATGCAAACCATACTGATACCTCCAGGCCTTCTGAAACATAACAAATCCGACTCATCGGCAGACTCGTTCATGCCTCTACTTATATATGTCGTTCTACAATCGAACCCCGAACATTTAGTATCTAATGTACAATACATTTTGCGATTCCGCAACCAAGATCGCCTCGGTGGCGAGGCTGGTTACTACCTATCATCTTTGGTAAGGTCTTCACCTTTTGTGCATCAACCACGGCGCGCAGTGCTGACCGTGTTTGCAGATGGGCGCGGTACAGTTTGTTGAAAACATGGACCGCACCTCACTCACCATTAGCGACGATGAATTCGAACAGAGCGTTGAGGCTGCCGTCTCCGCCATTGCCGAGCGCAACCAGGCGCTCTCTCCCACCATCCGGCAGCAGGCCACCTTCTCCGTGAAGCCGGGCTGGAGCGACGGCGCTGTCGACGGCGCTGTCGGTGGCGCCAGCGCCTCCTCTCCGCCGTCAAGTACGAGGCCCAGCTACGACGGCGAGGCGGAGTCGAGCGAAGGCGCAGCCATCTCCGGCCTACTACGCACCTTTCAGCGGCCGCTGACCACCATTGGCCGGATGTTCTCCGACGAGCCCGCCACGTCGGTCCCCTCGTCCTCCTCGCGCCCCCATCATCACCCGCCGCCGCGGTCCTCGCAAGACGGCGGCTCGCTGCCTCGACCCAGCACGGAGGAACCCCCCGTCCGCCCGTCCGTCCGTCCGCAGACCCAGAAGCAGCTGGCGCCGCCGGCGCACACCCTCTCGGCGGAGGAGGCCGCCGCGCGCCAGGCGAGCGCCGAGACGGCCGAGGCGCAGCGCCTACAGCGCGCCGAGCACGCCAACGTCGTTGAGACTCTAGCCGGGATGTTCCCCGACCTGGATAAGGACGTCATCAGCGATGTCGTGTACGAGAAGGAGGGAAGGTGAGTTTTGTCGTTATTCCCCACGGAGCCTGGCGCAAGCATGCACTAACATTGTAACTTCTTTCAAACAGAGTCGGCTTGGCGGTTGACGCATGTCTGGCCTTATCCAGCTAGGCATTTTCTTTCTTTATATGTTAAATCATTTGCATGGAGGCAAGCCGTTGATAAACCAGTCCGTGTTTATTCTCCCGACATTTGTCTCTCTTCCACCGACTCGGAATATTATCCCCATTTTTATCGTAATTGTACATGGCATGTACAGAAGAAACAAGTGACATGTCATGAACTATTGCCCGCGTCTCTCTAAAGCTATGCTTCTCCGCTCCCCGCGTCCCTCCGCGGTTAACGACGTGCTCCTTGCTCGGCCTCAGTGAAGTAGCACAGTTTTTTGCATGTACATGCGTCGCAGCTGTTCCATCGATCACACCACGAAAGTAAACAGTTTTAAGAGTATTTATTGCTATGCTCCATATACTGAAAAAAAAAACATTTTTCTTGCTTTTATCCTGTGAGTAAATCCACGCTAGAGCAACGAGGTCTTTCGTAAAAAATGTCAAATGTGCAAATTAAAGGAATGACTAGATGTCGCTCTCTGTCCTTGCAATCCCCAGCTAAGACCAAAATCCAATCCAGTCTTTCTATTGTGCAAAGATACCAAAGCCAAAGATGCGATTATACTTCCCCCTCCGAAAAAACGACAAGAAAAAGAAAAAAGGGCGCACCTAACCCAACCAGATCGCCCATAATATAAGAGATCGGAGGAATCAAGAATCGTCATCTTTCAAAACAAGGTACAGACGGAAATTCGGTGATCATACAGTTGCTTTCACTCGGGTCGGTTTCAATGTAGGTCGATATATACAGGCGCGAAATGGCGGGTGGTGGATGTTGATATATACAGCGTGGTTAAGGAGTGGCAAATGGTAAAATGGGCGGGGGTATTGGTGCGTCCGAGTCTCACAAGCGATAGTAGCCCGGCTGTGACTGAGGTAGACCGCGGTAACTACGGCTGCCCCGATCAGGAAGCGAGTTCTGGCGGGCAGGATCGAAGGTTCCGGGTTCGCCGCGCGTCAGATCTCTCGTTGGTTCATCGCGGTAGGGCTTGGTATTGTCTGCTTGACGTTCATACTGTGAGTATGGGTTGGGAGGTTGGCTGTGGGCAACAGTGGGTTGTCTTTTGTCCATTTCCATAGCTGAGGCCGAATAGAATGACTTCTCACTTCCCGGTCGGATAAGAAGGGAGTTGTGAGCATCCAGAGGCGTCAAAGTATCGAGCTCGCGATTTCGTTTTTCTGCACGTGTCAGCTGTGTTAGTTCCGGGGGGGGGGGTTGAGATTTACCCATTTCCTTTCTGCGCAAACGGTGTGGGTTGGCGGTGACGCAGGCTTGGATAGCATTCCAGGCGACGAGGATAGCAAGAACACCGGTAAGAGTGGCCTGAACAGCAATCAAGACAACGCCTGTGACGGTCTTGGTCGTCTGAGCGATGCCGAGCTCTTCGACAAAAATGAGAATACAACCAATGGAAAGCACGCGGATTGTTTGAATCGTGATCATGAGCACGTTACCGGCTCGGCGCTCGTAAGGACGACTCCAGAGAAGTAGGATAAGCATGCACGCCTCAATGACAAGTTGTGCGATAGTCTGCTGCATGCCGTGGCCGTCTCCAGCAGCAATGCAAGCGCCCTTAGCGAACATATAGACAATAGCAGGGACAAAAAGCCACCAATAGTTCTTGCGGTATGCGTCGTAGAAGAGCGAATACTTGGTCCAGAGCTCCTTGTTTTCGTATAGAGCGTTGACGTCCCCTTCCGCAGCCTTGAGCTTCTGCACGGTGGAGTAGATCTTCCAGGTAAAGAAGGCAAGAACGCCGGTGAAGAGAGCGAGAGAAACACCAGCAAGAGTTTTGGCAGCCCAGGAAGAATCGGCGCGAGAGAACTGGAAGATGCAGTAGAGAACCCAGATTCCGTAGAGAATCATGATCAAGTTGGTGATAGTTCGAGCAATAGAGCCCCAGTAGTGCTGGCGAAATCCCTTGAGTGACTCAGGGAAGGTACCCCAAATAGCCCATGCCTCGAGGATGACCTTTACCAGCAGGATGACGACAACAATACTAGCAATGATGATGGCGACGATGAGGAGAGCCGTCATGAAGATGTCAGACTTGGGAACAGACACCGTGCGGGCAAAGGCTTCGATGCCCTGGACCTTCTGCTCAAACGTGTTGCTGGGGCGGTCGTCGGTGCCGTTCACGGAAGTCTCAATATCGCGAATTGCAATTGCCATAGCAGCCCCAACAGCGCGCTTGAGGTTAAGAGGGCCGCCTTTGCCAGCCGTGACATTAGCAATGTAGTCGACATCGTCGTTGGTGAGATTGCCTCCAGTCTTGGCACGGAAGTCGTCAATTGCCCTTAGCATGCCTGACCAGGGAACCAAGCCGACGGAGAAGGCAAAGTTCTTTGTAAAGCTCTGGTAGACGGGAGGATAGTTGACGGAGAGCATGCCGTTCATAGCCATTCCTTGAAACCAGCCAACAACCTCGGTAAAACTTGGACTAACGGTCCCTGTTCCAGCAGATGCGCCGCCGCCAACAGCTGCACCAGCAGCAGAAACGCCGCTGGCGATGAGGGCAACACCAGCAACACCAGCGGCAACGTAGGAGACGGCTGGAACGTTGACTGTCTTGCCGTTGGTGACGGATGATTGGATGCAGGCAACCTCTTTCTTGGTATCGGCAGCCTGGAGCTCCAGTTTGGCATTGGCGGCGATATCGGGAACCTGGAAAGCAATGGCGGGGACCATGCTGGCAAATTGGGCGGGAATCTGTTGGGAGCCACGAGCGGCGAAGTTGCCGGCTGGGACCGGACAGAGCTGTTGAACAAAACTCGAGGCGTCACATGGATTGAAGGAACGCTCGTAGATCTGGTTTCCGTAGGCGGTGACGCTGAGATGGGCGGTGACGTTCTGCTGCTTGGTACTGGTGCCGGCGACATCAAACACGACAGTCTTATCAGCGTTGTTGTACGTAATGTCAAGCTTTTCCACTTTGATGGAGGCATCAGAACCGCAGTCGCTGAATCCAGAGGTTGTGAGAACGTCGGCGGCCATGCCGCCAGTGGCGATGAGGGCGGTAGCAAAGAGAGAAGACCATGACATCGATCGTGGTGCCATGATGGAATAAATCGGCAAAGTCGAACAAGCGGCTAATAATAAATAGTTGTCGAGCAAGGCGAGTTAAGTCGAGTGCGAAACGAGAGACGATCGATGGCGTCCAGGCCTTCGATAATACGGCAAGCAAACACTAGGCGGAGACGAGAGTACAAATGTAAGGACGATAAAGAATGAATACCGCCGGGGTATCCAAACAAGGTGCCCCGAGCAGATAGAAAGACAAGTGCTCGGAGACCAGAAAAGAAACGCAGCAAAGGACGTGGGACAAGATGGGCGGCGACCAGGTGACGAGGAAGCCGCAGTGTAATCCTCTGTGTTAAAGGCGAATTATTCGACGAGTCGGACAGGATTCTTCGCTCGTCGAGAAAACATTGAGCGAAGCAGCGGGAAAAGATTGAATAGGTCGGTAGAATCGAGAGCAGCCTCGCTTGCAGTCGGCGAGGGGAGAAGACGTGCGTGGGCAGGGAGAGAGGCACGAAAGAGCAGAGTCGTGGTTAAGCGCCAGGAGTAACCAGGGAGCGGGTGGGCAGACAAGGAGACTACCAAACTAGGGCGTTTGGTTGCGTAGCTCGGGTATTGTTCCTGGAACAGCAGTTCTCGAATCGTGGCGGAGGGAGTCGGTGGACCACAAAAAAGGAAGAAAGAGGTCGAGTCGAGAGTCTGGACAGGATTCGTGGAGAGCGAATGGCTGGAGAACCTCGTGTTGAGTGGAATGGGGGTGAAACGACCTAAGGACTGGGATCGGCCGAACCACCACGCGTGGGTTTTTTTTCTTGTGTTGGAGGGGTGATTAAAAAGGATAAACGAGTGACTGGTCAATGAATGACGGGAATGTATGAAATAAACAGGTTGAGGAGAGAAGGATGAAGAGGGACAAGCTGAGATGTCGATGGTGGTGACGGTGGAATTACAGGATGGTTGACCATGGGAAAGGGGAGGGGTCTGGCGTCCGGTACAGGTACATAAAGTGACGTGGGAACAAGGTGCAAACGCAGGTATCGACGGGACCAACACTCCCAACCAAGGTACTAGAGGCTACAGGCTGGAGGCTAGGACTGATAATAGTAGCTACAGGGGGGGTTGGAAGGAAGAAGCAAGGGGACGCGAATCAGATCTTGGCTCTCGTCGAATGGAAGCAGGGAAGTATCCATGCAGGCGACTTGAGGCGTCTTCGGAGATGGACGGATTGGTCAGGACCTTAGGATTAGCAGGGTAGCCTGGGGCAGGCTGGGCAAGATGGTTTGAGGCTAACGAGCAGGAAGCTGGGGGATAATAATGGGATTAAAAAAGCACGAGCATGCTGCATCATAAAGGGATGGGACGATGTTGTTGTTGTTTTCTATCTACTATACGGACAAGCGAGTAGCGACCACAGGCGTCCAGAGCCAGACGACGAATGTCCGTCCTCACGGTGGGTGCCTTACTACGGATAGTACTGAGAGATTCCCTGGCAGTTCTCGATATAACTATGTATGTAGACACGCGGCACCTAGAAAAAGAGTTAGATACGAGGCGGCTCCATCCATCTGCACCTACAGCATTCAAGGTTCCTTTTGGCTGCCTCTGGCTGGCTGGCTGACTGGCTGACTGACTGACTGACTGTAGTGATTGACTGTTGACTGACTGGTTTCCACAGCTCCACTCAACTGAACTTCTTGCATTGTTGGCTGACCCCTGGCGGGTGGGGCCGCCTCAGGATCCACATCGATTGCGGCAAAGAGGGGCCTCCGGTGCCTGGGCCTGACCTTGGCTCCGGACGCAGAATGCTTTGTCAATTGTACATACATACTGTTCGTAATTCATTCACTTCGCACCAAGGTGCCTCCTTGTACCAGCTTGCACACACTTGACACCCCAAAGCACAAGTACCACGCTCCATTTTCCTCTGGTAGTCAGCTGGTGGCAGCTGGCACACTCGACTTCAAACAGAGAACACACGGCCAGACCCACAGGCGGCTCCCACAACCTTCACCGTAACCTCAAAGCTCCCAGCACGGACGAATGCATGAAGATGTACTGACTTTTCAGGCATCTTTGCGCCAGTTGGGCAGATAAGTCTTTGCTCGGGCAGGAACACCAACATCCAACTCGACCGGCTTGCCCATCACAGTCAACTTAACGCCCACTGCTGTTGAATAGATAGCCTTGTCACAGTCACGCCATCGTAGTAACCACCACAATGAGCCACCACTTCCTCTGAAACACCTCCCAAAACACTACTACCACACACCCAGCCCAGTCATCACAGCTGCCCTGCTGCCAATCAAACCCATCCCTACCTAGCAGCAGACAAACCACTTGATGAACCACAAACTTTTATGCAACAGAATACCCCGAAACTCATTTATCTTTTCCCTTCCGCAGCTCTCGAGATAAGGAAGAGAAGCCAAAACATCACCGATGCAAGGCGGAAAAAGGAAAAAAAAGAGAAACCCCCCCATCGTCGATCCCTAAACAAGCCACAGCGAAAAACGTCGCCCTGCATAAAACGAAGTCCATACAGACTGATCCGTCCGCTCAGGGTTAACAGCACATGACTTTTGTGTATCAAACGATGACCTCGAAACTCAGGTGAGCCTATTGTCCATACCGACTCTCAAACGCGTCACCACCACCTGACTACGGACAACGAACGACGCTTCCAGCCGGTTCACACTCGGCGCTAATAATAGACAGAAAGGAAAAGATTCAAAAATGATGAAAGAAAAAGCCCTCTGTATACGTAATCCGTACTGCGTAAGTTAATATCGTCCTCTGCTATGTGAATCCCATTTCTATTTTTATTCAGGCTTTCGTATTCTGCCAAGGCAGCAACTTCAAAACACCACCACGGCCTCCCCATGACAATTCAATAATACGCCCCCTATCTGCCTAATAGCCGGACGAAGTACCTCGCTCCTCAACATCGACTTATCCCTACTCTTATTTCGGATGAGCTATAACTCGCAAATACATTTCACATAAAATCGGCTGCCTCCCCTCCCCTCCCCTTCCCGCCCAGAATAGTTCCCCCCCCCCCCGGGGAAACCGCCGCCCCGGGGCCGAATTTGCTGCCGTCGCTGCTGAAGAATTTCGAGCAACATGAAATCTTGCGCTAACTTGATCACTTTCGTCTGGGGGGTTTCGGTAAACCCTGGATATTACACCGTCGTATCAGCGAAAAAGGCCCTGCTCCTACCAAATTACCTATGGGGACACTAACTCCCCCAACCCCCCTACAATCATGACAAAATCCCCGGCCAAGAGATGCAGATATCCGTTATTTTCCATCATTTCTTTCCTTTGTGAACAAACTACCGCTACCAACGATGTCAGCGCCAACCGCCCAATCCCTGGTGCTTAGTCTCACATATCATTCATACCTTCTCGCTGCTCCATCAACCGTACAACTTATTATCACGATGCAGACAAACTTCAAGCTCAAATACGGTTCTGTCTTTTATTTCCTGTGCATATTCGCTATCCTTCAACTCATTGTAACTCAGGTGGAAAGACGTCCACGTAACTCCTGTTTGACCCCGGGGCCGTTTGCCCCCAAAATATGATTTCCAAAAAAAAATGCAGTTCATAAATAAAATGCACAGATGCTCGAGAGTAGAAAAAGATCATCAAGTAAAACAGGCCTGCAATCTAAAACTTCAATCACGAGGGAAACATACCCTGAGTATCCCACGTCGTATGCTCCCGGTTAGTCGCCTGCATGTGCGGCGAATGCGAATATGTCGACAGCGTCTCGTGCCCGCTGAACGGACTTCCGTTCAGGCTTGCCCTTTGCTGGGCCATCATTCCATTCTCATACATCATCTGTCCTCCCATACCGTCACTTTGTAACCCTTGCACGCCGAGGCCGTCCAGAGATGGAAACGGCTCCAGCCCGTTGCTGTTGAGGTTGGTCTCGAGGTTGCTGTTCAAGCCCATATAAGACTGGTCGGGCTGCGTAAACTGCCCGCCACTTACGCCCATACCGTGTAGGCTGCGATCCGGTTCATATCCATTCATTCCAGTCATATCATTGATCGTGTTGAAACCGTTGGCACCGTTCATGTCCATGGTGTTTGCCATGCCGTCCAGGCCGGCGCTCATGTCTGCCATGGAAGTCTGTACTGTCTGGCCCATACTTCCAAACTGCGTCTGGTAGAATTGAGGGTTGCCTTGTCCCATTGCATACCCATATCCACCCAAGTTCTGTCCGTACCCCATCTGAGCATGGTTCGGATGCAGCGTGTGGTTGCCAAAAGCCATGCTTCCCAATCCCGGCTGATCACTGGGTACAGGTAGCATTTGTCGCACTGGCGGATCCTGCACAGGACTGATTATGGAGTCTGCCCCAAGCTCCTTGGCTTTCATGTCCACCAGCCTCAGCACCGGTAGCGAAATCTGCTCCATGTGCTTGGCTAGATGCACCGTCAGCTTCTTCCATGTAGGAAAGACGCGTCCGCAAAATTTGCAGGGCTCGTCCTGCGGTTTCTTTGGCGTCTCCATATGGCATTCTTCAACTTTTTGCCAGGTCGGCTCAACCCCTCCAGCACGCTTCATTGCTGCCTTGGTCTTGACCTTGGGTTCCACAAACTTGTGCTCACGCACTAGATGCTGCAAAAAGTTGTCCTTGCGGTAGCAGGTATGGCGGCAGTCTTCCACATCGCATGTCCACCACTCCAAGTGTCGGTGGCCCTCATTTTCGTGACGTACCCAGTCAGCCTTGCGCTTAAAAGTCTTTGGGTCTTTGCACTTGTCCCATGTACAGGTAAAGGGACCGACATCCTCATGTACGTGCTTGGTCCAGTCCGAGGGCTTCTGGAATTTCTTCTTTTGATAGCACAGCTGACATTCGAACTCGGCTGGAAGGAACTGAGTGGGCGGCATCGGAATGTCTGGCGGGAAGCTCTCGTTACTGATGATTCCCTCTGCAGGGCTATCATCATCCTCAAAGCGAGCAGCTAACGGACCAATTCTATCTTTGTCGCCTTTGTGGTCGCCTAAAATCTTAGCCGAGCCACCGAGTGCCATACACAGTGGTCCACAGGAACAATTGCTGCCCTGGCGCATATGGTTGACCTTGAGGGTTAACAAGTTCTTATATCGAACAACTTGTTGGTGCGCAATGCGATCGACTAGATATAAGCCGCCGTTTTCAAGACCAGGGTTCAGTCTCAGTGCATGCTCTTGGAAGCCGGCAAAGGTGTGTGGAATGGTGTCAATTTCGTTGGGGTTCTTCTTCATGGCCGAGTCTTCAAGTAAATCGTCGTCATCATCGTCATCGTCATCATCTAGCTCGGCTGCGCCTGCCGTAGCCGCTGGCTTGCTGCGTGCCGCAACGACGGGGGGACCACCAGACTTTTTCCATAAATCGACCAGCGATGCTTGCGAGTCTTCGGTAGCCACTGACAACGGTGTTGCTTTTGGTAGCTCGGATTTGCTGCGCGGTCGTCGCAGCACTTTATCAACAGCCAAGGAGAAGCCACTTTTTGGGGAGGCAATTGGGGTAATGCCGCTTATGGATCCGCTCCGAGCGTGCGTCGATCCAATGGAAGCCAGAGGTGTTGCCATAGTAGCAAATACTGAATTAATGCTAGGTGTGGGCTGCTTTCCCCAACTAGACGTCCGGGAGGTGGGAGATAGGTGCGGTGAGCTATCTCTGCGTTCGTCTGATTGTTGACTGTCCTTTCGGCATAGGTCGTCGCCTTGTGCACTCTTGGAGCGACTTCTCGATCTTTTTCGCATTGAGGAGGAGCTTGTTCGTCGGACTAGGCCGCGAAGCTCGGCCAGGAAGCCAGTGGGCTTGCTTGTCTTCTTTGGCTCTGCCTTGCTGAGAGATAGTTTCTTCAAAAAGTTGCCACTAATGACGCCTTCGGCGTCAATCACGCTTGGGAAGCTGCGTCGGCGAGTTCCCCAAGTGGCAGATCGGGAAAGAATAGAGTCATTGTCGCGGATCATACGCTCGAATCGTTCAATGGCAGCTTGTGATGTTTCTGGCTGAAAGCGCCCTCGCTCATCGGAGATAATTGGGTGTGACACGGGAGCAGGCTCCCAGTGATTGGCGGAGTAAATGATATTGTAGTCCTCGTCGTTCAAAGGACCACCTGTGGGATCAATGTAAATTTGGTCATGAACGTGTCTGTTCTCGGTATTGCTTCCCAGAGGAATACCATCATCGTCGTCACGTGGCCGTTCAAGAGCCTCTATTTCTTCGGCCGTCTTTTCCGTGGGGGCCGTTATGTCATGCAGGTCTTCTTGTAGCCAGCGTCCAACTTCCTGATTGCGCTCTTGGCGAGCGTTTTGCGCGGCCAGCTCGTTGATGCTGGGAACCTCATCAGCAGATCGGTTCCGTGGTTCGATTCCTGAGTGTCCAGTTCTTGTATCTGGTTCCCACCGGCCAAGAGAATCTCGCTTAGCAGTGTTGGGTGTCCCGGGACGGCTAGTTGAGATCAGCTCGCCAACAGAATGGACGCCCCGAACTGTGCTATTGTCGTCGAAAGTGCGCTCCAGACCGAGTGCCGGGGTCAGGCCGTTGTCGTTGTCCCAGTTTGAGACAGTAACTCTAGGGCTCTGCACAGGCATAGGCACAGGTGCAGGGACAAGACCGTCCTCGCTGGAACGGCCGCTGCCGGTTGGGGCTGGAGTCAGTTGAGAAGATTCGGCAGAGAGCGTGGCGCCCTTGAAATTCCGTTGAAGGTTCCGTTGAAGGTCCCGTGGCGAGACCGAGGTAGGTGGGTTGGCAGCGCCGTTAGCAGCAGGTGAGGCTATATTTAGTGAGGACTTGTCAGGCGTCAATGGATACGACACGGCATAGCTGTCATCCGATTGTACTTCTTCGACAGGGAGTTCAGTCGCCACGACTGATTGGTCCCATATGCCAGCCTCTGCTAGGAAGCTAGGGCCACCAGCGTGAGGGTTTGTAAAATCGACACCGAAGAAGGGGTCTTCGTCTGCGTCGAGCTCGCTGTAGTCGCTGGCCTGATATTGGCCCGGTGTGGAGTGAGAGGCGTCTGGGGTATCGAGGTGAACAATCGAGGGAGAGAGGGATTCACTGTTGACACGCGACAGCGGAGGTGAGACGTCGTCGGCAGTAGGAAACTGGTGGTTGAGAGATTGGTGTTGGTAGGACGAGGAGTTGCGGGGTTCGAGGTCACTGTCTTGGAGGGAGTCGTGGAGATCGCTTTGCGACAAGGCAAATGCGGAAGCCATGGTTGGCGGGTGGACGGTGTGTGGCTGGGCCACGTCGGGTATATAGGCAGTCAGGCGACAAGAAGGCAGAAGAGTTATGGGAGGCCTATTCAAGCGCTGCGAATCGATGATTAGAGAGAGGACTCCGGGCGCATATTCGCAGGGGCCTGCCCTACCGATACTGTATGGTGGGTGGCTTAGTAAAAAAGCCCAAATGCAAGCGAGGGGCGCCTATCTGGCAGGGGGAATCGAGGAACGGGTCAGTCGGCCTGAGAAAGAGGCGATGAAGAGGGAGAAGGAGAGAAATGCGGGAGCGGCGCGGAGAAGCGAGGATGGGCTGCAGTGCGGTCGCGCTGAGCGGAGCAGGCTGATGGAGATGGAGGCGACGCCGAGAGGGTGGGCATAAAGTTAGGTAGGCGAGCCGAGTTGGTTAACAGGCATCCGTAGGTGCAAGACCCGGAAGTACCTGAGTATCGGGAGCGGGAGGGACAGCAGAAGCGCTTAGAATGTAACCCCTGCTAGCTGCAAGAGACCAGAAGACGAATTTCTGGTGCCAGCACGGCGATGGCTGTTGGGAGTTTTGGGGGGCGGGAAGCTGCAGTGCTAGCGAGACAGCAGATGGTCGGTGGTGTGTGATGCCGAGAACGTTGGAGATGCGATGACTGCGACGGTGAAGGAGGGCGAGTGCGCCTGGAGAGCCCAAGGAGGAGCCAGACGGGTGAGGGCAGAAGAGAGCAATCAGCAATACAATGGCGAGACGAGGCAAGACAAGGCGAATGGGGGATGGCGAGAGACGAGAGTGTGGTTTTGGGTGGTGGAGATTGTGCGCCTGGCGGACAATAAAGCTGGCAGCTCAATGGCTGCCTCCATTGCCTCGTGGAGTTGAGCTGAACGAGCGGGCAGGCAAGATGGCAGGTGCTCCAGCCTAATGCAACTGCCTGATTGGGACGGCGTTTTCTGGCTGGTCCAGAATGGCCAGCAGCTGAACGCCCATTCTGGTGTGGACATTTCTACGATTCCCAGAAAACAGCAGAGTCAAGTTCATGGGCTAATTCCGAGCAGTAATGAATCATTTCCGAGGCTATTAATAAACTACTCACGCGCATTGAATATAGGCTACCACGTTATTATCGTTGATAAAGGGTTTACCTATGTTGAGCCTATCGAACCGTTAGTTTCTGCCGGGCCGTCAGTACCTCTGTACATATGTATGTATGTATGTACATAGGTAGTTTATTGCCAGCCCATCACTGCTGACGGTCCGCAGCTCTCCGTTTACTGCCCAATAACCAGAAAACAGACCTCTGGAGTTGAATCTCAAGGCATCTTCATCGATAAAGCTCGCTTCCTTATCTCCTCCCAGTTCTGCCGCGCAGCCACAACCCAACCTACAACCACGAGTACCGTTCCGAAGCCCCCATCTCTCTGCCAGCCGCTACTTGGCGCCCTCCCTACACCAGTCCCCCCGTAAGGCTGGTCCGTCCCTCGCTGCCCGCGCCTTTATTAACTCAAACCCGCCAGAACAACTTTTTACAAGATGCCCACCAGTCTCGAAACAAAAAATGGCCATCGACGACGCGGTCCGCCCACAATCTTCAATCCAACTAACGACGACCGTTCAGCCTTGGCCGCTTTGCCTCACTGTGCCATCGCTCCCAGACCTTGACTAGTACAGCCCGGTCGTGGGGCTGAACGGCGCGAGTACGCCTTAGCTTTGTGCAGAACGCCTCACAATGCACACCATCGTCGCCCGGCCTTGCACTGCCTTGCCCTGCCTCACCCCGGTGTTACGGGAATGGCTCGGTTCTGATCTGACCAGTGTGCCTTGCGTTGTAGAATCGGCTCACATCTGGGCCACTCTTGACCCCAATCCGCAGCAGGGACCTTGCACTAGAAGGCCTCCAAGGCAGTTTTGGCCTGCCCCTGCAGCATGACCGCTGTTCAAGGCTGTCCACTCTGTCCTAAAACAGGTCCACGACGACCAAATTGAGACTGCGTGACACAGGCTGCCAGATCCAAAAAGTATGCTTCTTATTAGTGGTGGGACGCCCTTACATCCCAGACTTGGCTGCGTGGAAGCAGGCCAAATATCTCAGAGCCATGTGCGGGAAATATATGTGGTTCATTCACCGTGTCGACAAAACTATCAACGACCAACCAATAGCTAGTCCCTCGTCAACAGTAGGGTCAGTACAAGTAAGGTCGCATATGCCAGAAGGCTAAGAATTGTCAATAGTGTCACAGTATCGCCCGACGTCCGAAACTTGCGCGTCAACAGCCCATCCGCAGACTCCTTGGTGAAGAATTGCCGCTGACCCTCGTACCGTCGATACACGGCGACAAGCAAGATTGCAGTGCCATAGACGGCAAACAGCGCGCCAATGGGATAAAATTCATGAGTGAAGATCTTGAGAATCACGAGCGAGAACGAAAATTGACCCAGCGCAGTTCGCATGTACGCGCCTTCGAATGTCCGCTGCGCCGCGCGAACCTCAACTAGCCTATCCTCCTACGTCAGCCGCTGGCGCTGGTCTTCCGTCTTGAACGAGCTCACTTACTCGGCATTTGTGAGAACAACCGATTGAGCACGATGCAGGCGCAAGTGAAATTGCTGTTCTGGATGTGGCTACCCGTCCCGTTAGTTGTGACTCGAAGCATGATGCTGCTCTTTTCTATCAGCTTACCTCCCACATGGTGGCGGATGGCGGCTATTCGCAGCCGGGCATGTTGGTATGGCTCGGCAATAGGGTTGAAATACCGGGTAGCCACACTCTCACTCAACACTGAAACGACATGAGCATGTACAAAAACTCTCGTCACGAATATTCAGCGTTGCTCGAGATGTCGATGAAATGGGACGTGCGTGGGTTAGGCTGAAAGTCGACCCCCCAGTGACGCGATTCGCCCACCTCGAGTCGTGCCCATTCCATCACGTGGAACTCACTGAAAGGTAAAAAGACTTCGAAATCTCTTCACCATCCCGCCCAATATTATGGTCTAAAATTCGCATTAATTTCTAAAATCTATAGATGCCGGTCATTACCACATGCCAGTTTCTATTTCGAACGAGACAAATATGGTTGGTCCTCCGATCTGCCAACTCCCAGGCCGAAAAATTCACAATCGCGATCATCCGAAATTTCTTGGTATATGCGTTCATCGCCCTCCACGAGTCTATTAATCAACCCATCACTTGGCCTCCTCTGTCCCTCTATTCCCCGGCAACGCGCCCATAATGGCCCAGTCGCCCTGCGACCAGACGCTCTTGAGCCTCCACGTCTTGGCCTTCCAGAGCGGCGCCTCTGCCGTCCCGTCGTCGACCTTGACGAGGTCGATCGAGTACAGGCTGCCAACGACGAGGCGCTCCGTGTGGCCGCCCTGCTCCATAGCGAGGCCGCGCCCCGCGCGGTAGTGGTGCGCGACGCCCGTGGCAGTCGTCGTCGCGGCGCGCCCGCCTTCGGCAAAGGTCGTGCGCACGTTGCTCGTCATGTGCGTCGTGTCGAGCGGCGAGACGATGTCGAAGCAGGACGTCGTGATCTCGTCGAGGCCGCGCAGCAGCGTCCCGTTGAGGTCGAAGACGGCGTCGGTGGTAAAGGCCGACTGGAACAACGCGCGGTCGGCCGTGTCGAGGCCGCATACGCACCGCGCGATGGCGTCGACGACGGCCTCGCGGTCGCTGGGCGTCGGCGAGAGGTGTGCGGAGATTGAAAAGCTCATCTTTGAATGGGTCTTTTTTTTTTCTTTGGTGATGTATTTTGAGGTAAAATGCAACGAGTACATTATAGCAGCGGTGCCAACCCCTCTCTCGCCCAGTAACCCTGGCGGGGGCCGTCTTGGCGGGGCCAACTGACAAATAGATAAGAATGATCAATGTCCATACACGGAAGTGAGGTAGGAATGTCTAAATTTCAGTCTCATAGTTGGAATCTTCTCGATTTTTATCCTATAGCTCAATGCTGTCCCCTCATCGTTTGCCAGCTCGTACAACCTGTCGTCGATGCCGCAAGACCCCTGCTCTCGGGTAGCTAGCTATTGGGGAAAGAGTTCAGCCTCCTTCTACCAGAAGCTGGCAAATTAGTCGTGTCTGTTGTCATTTCATATTGTTGTCTATCTATCCTTGCTTTATCCAACGAAGCTTGAATATGCGCTGTTTATCTTTCTTCGCAATGCTGCCTCGTATATCTCCCGTTCGCCAGAACCCTCTGTCGCGGTAAACAACATGACGATGTTGTATTGCCTGCTCTCAGCTTGCACCCGATGCGCCAACACACCACTTTCGAATATGCGAGAGTTTCCTCCATTGTTTCGATATCGAGTACGACCTAGCCCTAGAAAATGGCATCCTCCGTGTCATCCCTTTCCACATGTTCCCACCTATCAGCCTCACAAGATCCCCCCACCGCTCACATTGGAGGAGGGCCGTTGTTGTGTAGAACGTCCCAAGGTTCGAATCCCATATTATCATGCCCGCGCTGCTGTTGCTGGAGCATCTGCTGCTGCTGCTCCGCCCCCCAACTACCGCTCGGGTCGCCGGCTTGTCGTGGTAGGTGGGCCGGTCCCGGGGCCAAGCTCATCGGAGCCGTCGAGGGCACCCCTCCATCGTATAGTACGCCGCCCGCGGCGGACACGAACGGCTGCTGCGGCTGGCCGATGAGCTCGTTGCTGAACGACACCGATCTCGTCTGCGCCGCCGTCGGGGCGGCGGCGCTTACGCCGTTGGCCCAGTTCCAGTTGTGCATCTGCGCGGCCTCGGTCGTCGCCATCCAAGCGGACTGGGTGGCCGCTGCTGAGTCGGGTCCGAACGGTGCTGCTTGCTCCGCGGCGGCGGCGGCGGCGGCGGCGGGCTCGTTGCCGAACTGATGCCAGCCGTAGGTCATCTCCATGGATCCGGGTAGCGCTATTGGGCTCGGCTCGGCAGACGCCCAGGTGAAGCTCGATCTCGGGGAGACGCTGAAGCTTTGTTGTTGTTCGGGGTGGTGGTTCGGAATGCTCAGTCCCATCTCTGCGACGACGAAAGGAAAGAATGTGGTCAGCTAATTACCATGCGCAGTCCTCTTTGTCAACGTCCAAGAACCAACCTTCGCCGCCAGTGATGGTGGCATATCCAACACTGGACGGCATGAGGACGGGGCCGGCAGCGAGACCGGCGGGGTCTTGCGCCCCCGGCCCGGTGCTGAAGATGGATCCCGACGCGATGCCAGGCGGGTTCCCCGGCGCGAGAGCCGGCGACGAGGATTGCGAGTGCGTGCTCCCCGTCCCTTGACCGCCGATGCTGCCGCCGCCGCCGCCGCCCTGGGAGTCCCCCGTCGGCGGTTGCTGCTGGTCGACAGGGCAGAAGCTGCAGTCCTTCTTGAGTCGGATGCAGTTTTCACATCGGTTCTGTATGTTCGCGGATACGATGCAGCGAATTTTTCGGCGTCGGCAGTGGTCTTTGTTTGGTGCGTCGCAATTCCCGGTCAGCAGCTGCGTCTGTGTGTGTATCTATGTGCCTCGAACCAGGAAGAGGTTTCGGCAAAGCCCTCCCAAGCTGCCCGCGCAGGACTTGTCCCCCAATGGACTCTGAAATGATGCTTGAGGAAGAAAAAGAAATTGCTAGACTCACTGCAGGCTATCGATGTCCTGTGGTACCCCAACTTGTTCCGCTTCTTCTCCCCCGCCGCCGTCGTGGCTGCGGAATCCTGCACCATGGTATGCACGGCTGGTGTCGAGAAGGATCGCTTGAGGATGGGAGCCGGCTCTACGCGTTGCCTTGCGAGCATGCCGAACGTCCCAGCTGGTCTGCCGCCCTCCGAAGGTTTGCCTTGGCGAAATTTATTTTCCTGTACAACGTGTCCCAGGGCGGGGACCTCGTCCATCTCGCGACTCCTCCTCCTACCGGGTGGGTGGTGGCTGTGTTGCTGGTGATGATGTCGATGTCGGAGCTGCTGATCGCCGACGCCCCTTGAGGGATCACTGCCGTTCCGGGAACCGTGAGATGCCAGCACAGCGTCGTTTTTGCCGCGCGTCAACGACGGACGATCTCCTACGTCCCACGACTGCGGTGGAGGATAGGGAGGGTAGGAGCAAGCAGCGGCCATGAAGACGCTGCCGTGCTATATCGGGGCAGGGGCCTCTTGATTTTCAGATGGTAATCCTCCCGAGTTGTGCGCGCACTGCACCCGATGTGTTCTCGTGGTGTTTTTCGCGTATGAGAGGCAAAGAAACGGGCAGGTGAGGTGAGAATCGGCCAGGGTCAGCCTCCTGTCGGCTTTCAGCTGAGCAGAGGGTGAAGGGCAGAGCAGAGCAGCTGTGAAAAAAGAAATGGATCGAGTGTGAAAAGGCGATCTGGGGTCTGAGATGCGGCTCTCGCTCCTCGACAGAGGTCAATCAATGCCCCTTTGAGAAGGAGAAGAAGGTGAGAATGACGTTTGGTTGGATGGGAGTGAACGAAGAGAGAAGAAATTGGGCAGCTGCCCGTGCCTGACTGCCAACACGATCAGATTGTCGAGAGGCTGTATTCTTTGGTAAGACGGTGCAATAAAAATGATAGCTCATCGGCGAATTCGGTGGCCCAGCATCTGTAGAGTAATCAGAGCTGAAGGAATGCGAAATTATCGAGATTGGGCCCCATAGCCGTCGGCACGCACGGCTAAGCTTGTTGATGCGCTTAAAGTTTCGCGATGTCTTGAGCGTAAAATATCGGAGAGCCCGGGGGGTGGCGAGTTGAAGGATGATATACTATCAGTTATCTTTTTCCTCGGGGATGATAGGACAGATGAAAAGAACAGGAAAAGACGCCAACGACGAGGTTCATCTAGGTATTAGTTAACTAGGGCGTTAGAAATATGTTGAATGCCTCTTTTGGAAGAAGCCATGTGTGCGGTCAGCAGCTCTTCGGCGTGCCCCTGACCCTCTTGCATCCTTGGCTTTTTTATTTTATTTTTATTTTTATTTTTATTTTTATTTTATTTCATTTCATTTACAGCTTGGGAATGCATCAATCTGGCTACGGGCTAGCTTGCCAAAGCAAGGACTGGCATTGGGGGAATTGGGGGCAACCCAACGGTTGGACTCTTGTGTTTGATCGTCCATCTCGCCTCCGTGTCTCTACCAAGAAACTACTACGCTTCGGGGGATTCCTGCTTTCCCAGAAAAACCACCCACACCTAGTTAAGAGGGCGAGCCTGACAAAGAGCCTTGGCCACATCTCGTCTACCCTCCCCCCAGCTAGGAGTGTGGTGTGGGCTTGTTACGAGGATTCTGGTCGAAGAGGCAGGCTGGCAGGGCAGGCAGGTAGGTAGGTGTGTGGCATTCGGGCTTCAGCGGTACCTTCCTTTCCTCTTTACGCCCCCCTGGCCCCCCCCCCCCATGTGTCGATATAAACGGCGCCGCGGCGGTCTCGCATGTACGTATGTATGTATGTAGGAAGGTAGGCATGTATGTATGTACGTATGTATGTATGTCTGTATGTATACGCTGGCGCGCCACAGACACAAAAACCTGTCGCTCGCTAGCTTTGTGTGCATCCCCTTCCCTGATGGCTGCCGCTTAATTAATGTATGTCTCTCTATTCCTCCAACATGTTGTGGAGCTTTGGGAATGGAGCTAGATGGATCAGCCAGCCTGAAAGACAAAATGGGTAGCTTCACGAGATGGCCTGCGACAGGCAGAATGCGGGTTGGTTGCGATTCACCTGCGATTTGGCAATTGTCGGTGGCGATACGATTCGATACCCTGAGACCAACCCCAGCTGAATAGAAGAATCCGATGTGGCGTCTGGGCCTTGAGAAGAACAAAGAGCTCGGCAACAAGGAGGCGGGGAAACGCACCGATTCGCAGGCCAAAGCGTGTTCGTAGGGGGTGGATGGAGGTTGAAGAAGACAGGGGGTTAAGGAGATGGAGGGAGAGGAGAGGAGAAGGAGGAGAAGAAGGAGAAGGAAAAGGACAGGGAGAGTTGTATTCTCAGCTCTGTTCAACATGGCTGAGTTCATCTGAATGATGTAGCCAGAATGATGCATACCCAGCTGATGGGACTTTATTATTAGCCGTATCCGTAATCCGTCCGGCATAGCGATTGCGATTGACCCAGATTTCCCATTGCCATTGTCAACAAGGGGGGGGGGGAGGCAACTAATTAGTTAGTTGCTGGTTAGTGAACAAGGCAGGGGATTTACGGTACCAGTACTATACCAGAGGGACAATTGCATTCTTGCAGTTTGTTCGAGGTCAGCCAAAGTCACTCACTACTTCTTAGTTGTGTAGCTGGCATATCCTATCAGTGCGAGCGCCTTGTCAACCTTTTTCTCTCTCTTGGATCCTCTCCCTCCAGCCGTGTCGACTTGATGAGCAAAGTGGCAAGGAACAGGGGTGCACAATGTTTCCAAGGGACCGGTTCTTGGGACGGAGGATCTCTATGGGCCGATTCGGCCTGCCACGCCTTGCTCTTCCCGCCTGCTCCGCACTGCCGCCGAACAATCTGCGGGCTTCTTCATCTAACCTTGCTTGCCTGCTTGCTTGCTTGTCTGCTTTTCTGCTTGCTTTCCCTGGCTGGGTACCGACATCCATCGGGAGGGGGGCGCATGTGAGGCCGCGCTGCAGGACTTGATGACGGGTACATGTCGTACAAAAATCTTTACTTGGGACCCCTGCCCTTCCTACCATGATCGAAACGGCGCGAACTGAGCAGCCGGCCAGCCAACCAACTTGACTGGTTGACTAGGTTATCCGTGTTTTTAGAGGACCGGGGGGTTCATGGCCGAGCACCGAATCGTCGTACTGTAGCTGTGCGCCAAGGTATAGTAGTTTACAATATATCCATATATCCGCAGACTGATAAGAGCAAGAACAGGCCAGTCATAACAATCGCTACTACCACCACTACTCCATTGAGAGTAACCAGTCTTTCAGCAATCAGTCAGGCTCAATGGCAGAATGAATCAATACCTGACCTGACTTGATGAGTTTTCGCCGCTTGTGCTTGCTTGTTGTCTCCAACCACGCGTTGGGCCGGGGCGGGCGCCACCAACGCCACCAACATTTTCAATCTAATAATAACAAAGATTATAACGAATCGAGGACGAGGTAGCGGGGCAAGAGGAGAAAACAGCGCGACATTTTCATTCGCAAACCCAACTTTCAGGGATCGGCCTGGAGCCATCAAAGTAGTTAGTCGGTGCCACTGACTAACTACTTGTCATCAAAGTTGCATGCAACTGCAACTCGAACGAGAATGGACGCAAAAGGTCTGCTGTCTGTCTGTCTGTCTGTCTGTCTGTCTGTCTGTCTGGTCGACCGTGCAGTTGTTGTGTTTGTTAATAAACAGACTCATCTTTGCTGTGCGTACGTATGTGCTGTGGAAATTCTCCGACGGCCTATCAGGGGCGAGTCCAGACAGTCAGTCCATCGACGCCAAGCTCGCACAAGGCCGGAGTCTGCAGAACAAGGCTGCAGTTGTCATTCTGGCCATCCGTCACCCATCGTTGTCATCGTCGAGGTCATCGTCGCACAAGGTGGACCTCCATACAGCCTCCAGAACATCATCTTCTTTCCACGTCCCCTCTTCTGCCCCTAGACTCTTATTACTTCTTGCCCTCCAGACCAAGTAGCAGCTCAAGTGGACATGGACTGCGGATGCTCCCTTTCGCCGTTCGAACAGTTGGTGGGCCAGTGGAGTTTTGGCCCGAGGAACTATCGCAGTCAATACCACGTTCGGGAATGAGCATGCCATTCCACTACCGAGTATGAGACCTATGAGACCTGGGTGCGGACTTCGTCCGGCCATGGGGTCGCAGCCAAAGAGAGATCTTGTCTCTCACAGGGTTGCACGCCAAGTACTCAGTACGGATGCCGCGGCCAATCCTCGCCCTTGGCCCAAATTCAGGCTGGCAACTGGATATCACGCCCCCAGTCATGGCTTGCAGCGGGTGAGTGGCTATGCCTGCCTGCGATGACCCAGATATTCCCCATGTAGGGTTGCTTTTTCTCCCCGAAAACGTCGTATTCCTGACACACTCGGGAAATCACAGATCGGTCTTTGACATGATAGTTGCAGGACCATGGCGTGGCACTGCTGTAGGTTCAACTATAGTCAGGCCCCCATCTTATCCTTGCGAGAGCCTAGCTGACCATGTAGCCTCGCACGTTGGACTAACTGCTGCCGACGGTACTACCGTTGGCATCCTGCCTTCGTTAGCCTTTTGATCATGGAGTTACCGGTTCACACTATTGACGCTAGTCCAAAGAGCCTTTGTTTTGCAGATTGCAACTTTGAGTGTCTGAAGTCGCATTGTGGAATTTGGTGTCTCATGACTAGTTATTGGAGACGGGAGGGTGGGGAGACAGAGACCTTTGAGTAAGTAAAGACCCGAGACCCGAATGATGCATGAACCTTTTGCGGAGGAGACATATGGCCCTGTTTAGTTAGTTGTCGGTCTCTTACCTCATGTCTCAGCGTCCTCGTATAGCCTCTTTCTAGACGCCGTGGCTTACAACAAAAGGACATCACCTTGCCTGTCAAATAGCTAGAGCCTGAGCTAGTTACTGCGTCCGAAGCACAGCCTATGCCTATTCAACGATTAGCTCCATGTACGCAGCATTCTAGTGCACGGGGGGAGCTTCCGCGCGGTCCACCAACGTCGTCAGCGCGACCAAGATGCGGCCTTTGGGTACTGTTACCGCGATGCGTCGGAGGGGCTCATGAGTGTCACCGTCTTATAACTAGGCAAAATGAAGAAGGGACGACGACGCTAAAATGGCGTCGATTGATGGCAGGTTGTCCTTGACTTTCCCATCGAGGCTGCACAGAAAAGATTGCGGCCCTGTCTTGAGCCGTTCGAGACATTGAGGCGGCGTCGAGGGGCGTCGCCGCGTCGGGAAGATGCGGCGGCGGAGTCCCCTCCACTTCGTCGCAATTGGGCAACGGCCAAGGGAGACGGGAAGATCACCATGGGACAAGGCAAGGAAGGGCCTTTCAAGACAAGCAGCCACGCGCCCCATGGTTGAATGTCACTCACTGCTGGGTGACCGGGCGATCTTTCGCAAGGTGCCGGGGCAGACTGTCCGGACCGGAGCAAGACAGACACTCGCTGCGGCCTGATTCCGAGATCTTTTCCATGGAATATGCCGGTATTTGCTGTGAAAAAGGAAGCAGCTGCGAGACTTACTTGCTGCATTCTTCCCGTGCCAGCGGTCTGGTGTGTAAGGCGCAGCCCGCACCGGGCGTGCTATTACTAACAACCAAGGACGACGGACTGTGTGATCAAGTTTGGTGCCGGTATCCAGATCGACGCCTAATTATAACGTGTGTAAGCAAGCAGGTCATTTCGAAATCCTGCTAGCCGCAAGAAGAGGCCACACAACCAGTCCACATGTATCCGTACATGAGGTGGCTTCTGGGGAACTGGGACATTATTATTATTAGTTTGACTGTTTCTGGTTAACATGGGGTTGTTGTTCGCAACATGGACAATCTGCAGATCTTGGGATCAGCCCGAGTATTCCAGCAAAAAAGCAAAAAAGATGATGGTTGGTTACATGTGCAGATGGTCTCTCCTGACTCAGTCACGTATGTCTCGATAAGAACAAGGAAATCAGAATAAAGAGAAAACGAGAAAAAAAAAGCTGTTTTAGATGAAGACGAGTTATCCCAACAGATGCGATGCGATGTGAGACATGAACTGATCTTATGATCTTACCAGTACAAACCATCTTTTTCCTTCTTCCTTGTCTCCCACACCCCCCCTCCCTACCTTGCCTCCTTATCCTACAGCTCTTGTTCCCGCATACAGATCTCCTCCATCGCCACCACCGTCCGGCTTCATGGCACTCACCGACACGTCGGGCCAGCACATGCAGGCTTTGTACACGTACGCGCCGCAGACGGTATTGATGCAGGCCGAGCAGATTGATGAGGAAGTTGGGCACGAGGACGAAGCAATTACAAGAGGTGCAGCCTCGGCAGCGCCTTCTCCGAGTAATCGCGAGCCGCCACGCATTTTCAAGGTCATGGTTGGTCCGGGATGTCGCTGCTCCAGCGTCTGCAGGCCGCGGCCAGCGACGCACGGCGAGACGTGACCGACGCCGCAACCAGCGTCCAGCACGCGCGAGCCAGCATGAGGTCCAAGCTGTCAAACAGATTCCCCTTCATGCGTCTGGAGCGGTCTGATGACTGGCAGCATGCGCCATGTTGTCCTTCTCCCAACACCCAACGTGCCGCGTGCCGCCAAGCACCAGCAGGCAGCCGATCTTGGCCTCAGCGACCGATACACCCCCTTGGACGGCGGGATGGTCGCCGATGACGGGCTCAATTTCAGGAGCCTGCGGCATTGGTAGCTGAATTTGCCGTACTGATTGGCACTTGGCCAGTTGCAGGGCCTGGTACAAGGTAATGGGCTCTGCTACTACCCTTGTCTACCTTTGCGCAAGATACTGGACCTTGCAATGCGCTCCGAGGACAATGGCTTACCCAAAAACAATGATTTCAAGTTTCTTTACCCCTTTCCGGCTTGGATGATCTGTTTCGCGCCAGAAGAACTTGACGAGAAAGGGCTGAACCACTTTTCGTTTCGACCCGGCCGTGCATGATCAAGCGTGAGATGGATTTACTGGGATCTCTAGATCGGCGCATTGACGACAGAGTTGAATTGAGGGGTTGCCGCATATTCAGAAAAAAGATGGCTACCGATCCTCTTGCAGATGATATCTCGCTTTGAAGCCCCTGCGAGATTGCGACTGCCGACACGACCCCGTTCTGACGAGACAAGGGGCCTTTATTGATTAATTTGAGAAGAGAGGGCTCCTTCCCAAGAATCCGTCCATTGACACGCGCCCCGCATACCAATGGCCGGTTTGCCGGCTTCCTGTTTCTTGTAGTTAATTCGTCTGGACTGGAATGGAGTCAATTAAGTTGCGGATACAGGCCGGCCAAGAAGCTCAACAACGCGATCTATCAAGTCCCACTTCCCGCAACAGGGCTGGGACTAATAAACAGATACGGAGAGGGAAACAGTGAAACCAATTGCATTGATGTGACTTTTAGCGTTGATCCCGCCGTTGCTAATTACATTGTCTCAGTGCGGAACTGTTGACGGTTCCGACAACCCTCTGTTACTCGTTATCTCCTGTTAGAGATTCAAAGCCAACAATCATACATAGATTGTAAGAATCCCCCCGATATCCATCACCATGTTACCCTTTTTTGGTGGATAGGTGTTAGGCAACCGTAGATCACATAAAAAGTATTTACACTGTGCTACTGCGCGTTAATGTGGTGGACCCCACAGTGCGCCATGGCCCCGCGCCACTGGCCATTACGATGGAGCTGCGCCGTTTGAGTTCCGAGTTTTATTCCATCAACGAGGACTGACGGCTGGACCCTTTCCTCGTGCCTGCCATGAGCGATCTTCAACGGGCCTGGGCTAAAGCGAAGCTCGGTATTTCACATGATGCGTTTGATGAGGCTGAGGAGGAGGAGGGGCCCGAGGGCCACGGGGTAGACAATGCCGCCGACGACGATTCATCATCGGCCTCTTCAGCGTCTTCGGTTTCATCGACCGGAACTATTGTGCCAACCGCAAACCAACGGCTATTTGCGCGCCCGAATGGGTGAGTCGCCGCTGTGCATGCCAATCTCGAGAGAAGAAAAAAGAACGCTTCTGTATTAACACGTGCAGAGTCGCCCGGGGACGGACTTTGGAGCCGATCCCCTGGACGACATACTTTGAAAGGGAGCTGTTCATGGAGTCGGAGGACCAATCGGTCACGTTTCACGCCTTTCTGACCTCGCCTGTCGATAAAGGACCTTTGTTTGTCATGCACCACGGAGCTGGCTCTTCGGGGCTGACGTTTGCCGTGGTCGGCTCCGAGATCCGGAAGCGCATGCCCAACGCCGGCATCCTCGCCGTCGACTGCCGCGGCCACGGCTCGACAGTCAGCCAAAACGAGGACGACGTCGATCTGAGCCTGTCAACGCTCTCCTCGGACCTCCTCTTCATGATCTGCGCGGTGCGGGCGCGGATGGGCTGGGCCGCGCTGCCGCCGCTCGTGCTCGTCGGCCACTCCCTCGGCGGCGCCGTCGTCACCAACCTCGCTAGCACCCGACGCCTCGGCGCCTCGCTGCTCGCCTACGCCGTGCTCGACGTCGTCGAGGGCTCCGCCATCGACGCCCTGCAGAGCATGCAGACGTACCTCTCCACACGGCCCGCCGGCTTCGCCAGCGTCGAGGCGGGCGTCGACTGGCACGTCCGCACGCGCACCGTCCGCGGCTCCACGTCCGCGCGCGCCTCCGTTCCCGCGCTCCTGCGCCGCCGCAACGACGAGGATGTCCCGGCGGGGGGGCTCGCGCGCCCGTGGCGCTGGCGCACCGACCTCGCGGCCACCCAGCCCTTCTGGGAGGGCTGGTTCGCCGGGCTGAGCGCCAAGTTCCTGGCCGCGCCGGGTGGCAAGCTGCTGCTGTTGGCGGGCACGGACCGCCTCGATACGGCGCTCACGATCGGCCAGATGCAGGGCAAGTACAACCTGCAGGTGTTCCCCGAGGCGGGCCACTTCATCCACGAGGACCTGCCGGAGCAGACGGCCGTCAGCCTGGTGGACTTTTACAAGCGCAACGACAGGAGCCAGCTCGTGCTGCCGCCCAAGGTGTCGGATCTGCTGAAGCAGGGGAAGAAAGTATAAAGTGGTGGGTGAGAGGGAAGGAAAAAAGGTGTGGATTGTATTTCTGAGGTGTATGATTTGATGTACATGGATGCATAGATGGAGCTGAACTTGTAGCTGCAACGCAGAGTATAGCTTCAACTACAAGTCACAGTTGACGGCTACTTCCAAGTCGCATTGCTTTATTTGTGACTAGCCCGTCCAGTGCCAATTTCAAGAAATCTATTGATCAAGCGCGATGTCAGCGACCATGGATAACCAAAAACACCCTTTCCGGTCTCCATTTCAGTCCCCGTAACCCTCTCGCTCCTAGTCTCTTCCGGCGGCGAACAATCAGGCAACATGCTCCATCCATACCTGCTATTTGGTTCACCCATGATGCCAGTCAAGTGATAGTCAAGGTAATTGAACACCTGCCTGAAAGGTTCCGCATAGAAACCTTGACGTGCAGGTGAACATGCCACCAGAAACATTTCAAACGACCGAGTCAACTGGTTGAGCCTTCTAGCGTGCAGATGGATGGCTGCTCTGTCGTTGACTCCAAGCTCTCTCATGCCGACGCGAACCAGGTTCAAATGGGCAGAGCCATCATCCCGTCGCTCGACTGCCTCAAGATCTTTATAAAGACCAATGATATCGTTCATGTACGTCATCAACAGCGACAGCTGAGCGAGGCCTGCATCTTCAACTGTGTGCAGATTTGCCTGCTCAGGTTCCATGGCCAGGAGCATCGGCACCAAGCCGCCCACCGTGACGACCCTGGTCTGGAGTATCTCGCTTGACGGATGCTCGTCGCAGAACTTCTTTCCTTCTTCATACTGGAAATCAAAGAATTGGGCAAGGGCCTGAGTGCATGCTCGTACATGGTGAGCCGGCAGAAGCCTCCGCTTCAGAGGCATCAGATCCTCCGCGAGGATACGCTGGGAGAGTACAGCAATCCGAAGCAGCTCGTCCGGACAGGAACCCTTGAACTCGGCCAAGTCGGCAACGGCCTCCCCCACCATGACGCCCTTCAATGCTTCAATAAACTGCTTCCCGGCTGTGTCGTGCAAGCCGTGTAGCGGAAGCTTTTCGACGACTTCGTCCATCAAAAAGACCCATGCCAGGTGGTGGTGAAGTAGAATCCTCCTCTCGTAGTTGAGCGGCGCTTTCAGAGCGCAGAAATGCGACATTTCAGTGGCGAGCTTCGCCATCTTGGAGGGCATGAGCGTAAAGAAGGACCAGGATTGCATGGCCCGAGCCAGCGTCGCTTCAATGGCATCGTCGTAGAGCAGCTCGATATCTGGCGGGAAGTAGAGCATGCACGTGTCGTCTTCGGCGTGCGACTGGCAATCCGCGACATCCCAGTCCGAAACAAACTTGAGAGCCAGGCTGCTCTTGGTGTTCTTGAACAGTGCCTTGTTGACATAGCTGGGGAAGCTTGCTTGGCACGTGGACATTTTGGCGTGGCTTGCTTTCGGAAGTGTCCGACTAACAAAGGAGGAAGATAGAGCAGCGGAGTTTCTAGAAGATTCAAGGTTTTGGTGACATGTGGTGTATTTTATACTCAAATGATACCAGCCAGCCACGTAGATGCAGCAGAACGGATACTCGTAGCTGAACGTATGATAAAGTGGGAGAAGGACCACGCATGATCCCACCGTAACACCAGCAAGTGATGTCGTAAAATCTCACATTGACGAGTGGCCGAGTGTGATGCCATTGTCTCAAGCCGTTGCAGCTTTCAGCTTCGGGTTATTTCCATGGAACTCCCGGCGCTGCAAAGACGTGCGGTTTCCTCGTGCAAAGGGCTCACTCGCTGGCACGAGGAATTTCCTTGTCCGAGAGCTGGCCCTTTTCTTCTCTCAAAAAGAATTTAGGTAGAATCTTAACTCAAGATTTTATGCAATGCTAGAGGCGTTATATTCTTTACTCTATAGCGAGCCTGTCATGGGGAGCACGGGTGTGCCCTTCAGCCACCACGTCGAGGGAGCGCCAGAGACACATGGCTTTCTCGTGATGTGGAATCGGCATCGCCGGCAGGATGTTAGCTGAGAATGAAAGGCTTTCCATCCGAATGACCTCGTTCTCAGCTTGCCCTCGACCAATCGTTTTAAGAGTCGAGTACATACTCAACAAAACACTTGACGCCGAAGTGAAAGCTCTACCTGCTCAGCGCTCACGCAACCATGCAAGTTCCAGAGCCATGGCCGCTGCCACTGCTAGAAATTATCGCTACTCATGGAGTAGTTGGAATACGTGCAGCGAATAAAGAGTCGTGGCGTTCAGAGGGCACCCGCCGCAGCAACCTGTCTACAAATCTGCCCTGTCCTGTTGTTCGCCGCTTTCAAGGAAGTCGTCACCCCTACACCAGCTTTTCCATTTGTGATGGAGGCATCTTTCTGAGAAAGATAAAGAAGCGAGAGAAAGTATCCGCGGTCGCCGGGCCCGATGACGTCCGCTGACCGGGTGAATTTTTGGTCCGGAGGCGGCGCAGAGATGGGTGGCACGACGCTGGCAAGTTTTGCAAAATACACGGGTGCAGGATCACGGGATACCTCTTAAATGCGACATTTTTTTTTGTGAAAGTTGGATGCCTCGCCAAAGTCAGTGATGCAGATCTGAGGCGGAGGTTGGTCCGGCTTAAAGGCGACCGCGCCGACTGGGTGGACTAGGTACTTAGATGGGATGGTGGCCGCCCAGCGCGTGCCGGCAAACTTTCTTGATCGCCGCGAAGGGCAAGGGCTTTTTCTAGGGCTTGCTATTGGGGCAGTCATGATCATCTCGGTTTTTCGGGTTATTATTGTTGACATGTGCCTCTAGGTTGAAGGGTTTTGAGAGTTAGCAGCGTGGTGTGTCACGACAGTTCTACCTATGTACATAGATAGGTACAGGCAGGAAGTGCATGTGAAATCGACAAACTATTCCTCTGTGTAATACTAGGATTAAACGTAATGGTCTATCTGACGTGTATGATAAATAAATCTTGAAAGTTTCTGTGATTTTCCGAGGCCTACCCTTGCAGTTGCACAGTTGTGGCTAGTGGTGGTGGCTGGCGGCAGTGCTGAGCCACAAATATGATGCCTCCCAGCCACAGGTCCGGAGCCACCATCCAGCTAGCAAGCAAGCCACTTCACTCGCTAATCACTGAAGTAGTAAAGACCGACTGAGCCTCCTGCGCCTCCGCTCCTCCTCCGCCTGTAGTTACATTGTAGCTTATTCCTTTGGTCGCCTCGGCCAACCCTAGCTAGCCTCTTCCTTTCCCTTTCCCCTTCTCCATTGCCATAGAGTATCATTCCAATTCCTCCCTCTCACACTCGAACTTCCCCTTCTTTCATCAAACCTAACCCCTCACTGATATCCAGCCATTTCCTCACCTACAATGAAGTTCCTCATCCCTCTCCTTGCAGCGGCCTCCCTGGTCACTGCCGACGACAACCCTCTCAATAGTATCCCGACCTGCGCTGTACGCAACACCACCCCCCCCTCACCCGTGCCCTAGCTTCTACCTACAAGGGGCCGTCGCATTTGCGCCTTTCTTCCTCTAACATTTTGTTGTCTATAGCAATCCTGCGTTGGGAAATTCCTGACCGGCAGCAACATTGCCGGCTGTAGCCTGCTCGACTACAAGTGCGTCTGCAGCAACGAAAGCTTCATCAACCAGATTGCCTGCTGCATCGCCCCCGTGTGCGACGACAAGGGCAAGTCCGATACTATTGCTCTTGCCAACAAGCTTTGCAAGGCTTTCGACGTGAATCTGCCCACCGCCGTCACCTGCAACACCGCCGCGGCTACCTCGACCGGCTCGGCCACCTCGTCCGGTTCTGCCACCTCCGCGTCGGCCGCCACTCCGACCACGAACGGTGCTTCGTCCGGTTCCGCTACCACTGGTGCTACTAACAGTGCTGCCGCCTCGACCTCCTCCTCCAAGGCCGGTGCCGCCCCCACCAATGTTGCTGGCCTTGTCGGTGCCGCCGCCGTCCTTGCCTTTGCTCTGTAAAGAGAGAAGCGAAGCGAAGCGACCTATCCAAATTCGATAGTCGATTGAACCACGAACCGAAACTTTCTAAGGATGGATTTGGACAGACGGCCCCCGTAGGCCGCATAATAATGATGGGAAGAGAGGGGCGCAGCGGAATTGGCGTGGCATCTTTACATGGTGGCGGTATTGATTAATAGTTGTATTGCGATTCGTGATGGCCATTGGCCAATCTGTTATCCTAATATCCGTATTATCTCAATGGTTCAATCTCTTTCTTGTCCGATTTCCCCGGATTTCGGATCCTCGGTTTTTGGGGGGGATATCCCCACCAGCCCCGCCTGTGACATAGAATGGAATTAATGTCGCATGTTTTAACTACAATTACAGCATACATTTACAGCATCAGTCTTTTTACGACCAGCAGATGCAGTGCGATATCGAGGAATTTGAACTATTGGATTCACTCGCTCGATAACGAAAGCACCTCCTTGAGGACCTTTATGAGGCCAAGCACCTCTTCCACTGCGGCGTATGCATCAGTAACTTGCCAGAAAAGGCCACAACACACATGAAACCGTCATGACTTACTTGTATTATAATGTGCCAAGCTTACCCGCACCACACCGTCCTTCTTGAGCATCAGCGTCTCGCGGACCAGCCTGTTCGAGTAGAAGGCACCCCAGCGCAGGCCATAGTTGGAGCGGGCCTCGATGGCCTCGACCAGTTCCTGCGAGCTCCATCCATCCACCGTGAAGCTGACAATGGGCAGGCGGGACTCCTGCATGACACGCTTGCCGTAGATTGTGATGCCGGGGACCTGGCGGAGGTACGCCAGCAGGGTCTCGGTGAGGGCCTCCTCGTGCTCCTCCATGGCGCTCCAGGATCCGTACTCGCGACCGCCGAGGTACGAGACGACGGCGGAGACGCCGTGGCACAGCTCATAGCTCCCCGCCGCCAGCCCCATCTTGTCGGCGAGCGTGGTGTGCGCGTTGAACAGGTGTCCGAGCGAGCGCATGCGCGTCTGCGCGGCCCAGCTCGCGTAGAGCGTGGCCAGGTGCGGCCCGTACACCTTGTACCACGAGAAGACGTAAAAGTCGACGCCGAGCGCGCGCACGTCGACCAGGCGGTGCGGCGCGAACGTGACGCCGTCCACGCACAGCAGCGCGCCCACCCCGTGCGCCAGGTCCGCGACGGCGCGCACGTCCGTCACGGTGCCGAGCACGTTGCTCGCGTGGGTGCAGCAGACGAGGCGGGTGCGCGGCGTCAGCAGCGGCGCGAGGTCGAGCGCGTGCAGCTCCGGGTCGAGCGCGTCGCGGGGTCGCCACCAGCGGAGCTCGAGGCCCTGGCGCTCGGCGAGGTCGACCCAGGGCGCGACGTTGGCCTCGTGGTCGATGGCGGAGACGACGACCTCGTCGCCGGGGCGGAAGCGCAGCGTCCAGGAGAGCGTGCGCAGGAGCTGCGTGGCGGAGGCGCCGAAGACGACCTCGTCGTCGGTGGCGCCCTGCAAAAAGGCGGCGGCGTCGGCGAGGGCGCGGGCGTGCGTGGCGGTCGCGCGCCGGCCGGCGGCGTAGGTGGCGCCGAGCTGCACGTTCTGGTGGCAGAGGTAGTCGCGGATCGAGTCGATGACGGTGTCGAGGGTCTGGCTGCCGCCGGCGTTGTCGAGGAAGACTTGGTCGGTGGACTGGAGTGCGGGGAAGCGCTTCCGCGCCTCGGGGTAGAAGTCGGCCATGAGGGGAGGCGGCGGCGGCGGCAGCAGCTGGTTGGATGGGTGAGATTGGGACTGTGGGATTGTTTTTTTTTTGGCAATGGCTGATGAAGCTTGATGGATCTTAGATTGATGAATTGATGAATTGATGAATATAGGACAAGACGGCTCAGGTCTAACCGGTCATCTGCCTCCTTCGACGGCTGGCGCTCCCCCGCACATCAAGCATGTGCGGGGTAAAGCTTCATGGCGTTGCTTCGAATAGCGCCAAACAAAGCTACTGGAGCATTGTGCAAGGCTAGAGTTGAGATTCAAAGGTAGCATGGCCTCTATTGCGCGCTCATATTTCACGATGATGGCCAATTGCGGACGGGGCGCAGATCTGATAAGTGAGTGGTGGTTGCCCATCGACCTTGGACGTGGCCGAAGCAGACGATGCGATGCGGTTATACATGTGTGTGGCGACCAGTCAGATCACAAATGAGCGGTAGGATATCAACTGACGAGTTGAACTTGAGTGTCCACTCCTCAGCTTAATGAATTCCAGTAATCTCTCGAGCATTTCAGGTCAAACGTGCCCATCATCATGATCGCTGCCCTATCCTCCGAAACATTGATACGTCATCTGTGCTGAAGCTGCAAAAGTCCGTTGCTGGCAGATCCCCCGCAAAACGGCCACCACGAAATCCCCGGGCAGGGGCCGGCAAGTAGAAAGAGGTTAAAGTCCGCCGTGCCCGATTTCGCTAGTCCGGGTCGTCGAGCCAATCAAGGAATCAGAAAGCCTATCCCTTTTTGTTCCCGTCCCCACCATGCTGGGCAAGGTAACTTGCGCTGCTCCGTTCGGAGAATACAAAGGCCAACCGAGGCAAAAATTGAATACTGTTAGCTGATGGCATCCAAGATTTTGCGATTAATAATTGAAACGATGCCGAATTTAGTTATCCATCCGACTTGCTACAGCTCTTCCCTCGCTGTCTCGGGCTCCTGAGACTGTCCGCGACACACCCGGTGCATTCGCTAGGCCTGGGAATCAGGCTCCGTCTCGGTCCTCGGCACCATGGACTTGACCATTGGGGCAAGCAATAGTACATATTTATTTGACCCGCAACCTCCCATGTTCCAGCATTGCATCACTACTGCGAACCATTAGTTGTTGCTTGGCTTCGTAGTGTCATCAAACGCCTCCCCTACGCGCCAAAAACCAACGCCCAAGCAACACCATTCAATATGCCCGACCGGAAAAACGCCGACACCAAGGCCTTCGACTACGACGTGGTCATTGTTGGCGCCGGCATATCCGGCATCGGCTTCGCCTACAGGCTGCAGCAGTCGAACCCGAACCTATCATATGTCATCATTGAAGGGCGACATGAGATTGGCGGCACATGGAGCTTGTTCAAATACCCAGGTACGAAGCCTTTCCCTGGAATTAGATCCCCCCCCCCCCTTCGTCGCTAACCGCGATCTCCATGCTTCTAGGCATCCGATCCGACTCCGACTTATACACATTTAGCTTCCCATGGAAGCCATGGACCAAGGGCCAAGCCATTGCGGAGGGGCCCTTGATCCAGGAATATTTGAACGAAGCGGTCGAGGAGCAAGGTATCAGGCCACACATTAAGTTCAACCACAAGGTCAACGCCATGGACTGGTCGAGCGCGGCCAACATCTGGACAGTCAATGTCACTTCCGACGGCAGCACGCAACGGCAGATCCGCAGCCGCTTTGTCTGCCTCGGATCGGGCTACTACGACTACGACGAGCCGCTCAAGGCCGTCATCCCCGGCATCGACCAGTTCCAGGGCTCCGTCATCCACCCCCAGTTCTGGCCCGAAGACTTTGACTACACCGACAAGAACGTCGTCATCATCGGCTCCGGCGCCACCGCCGTAACCCTGCTACCGAGCATGACCGACAAGGCCGCGCACGTCACGATGCTCCAGCGGTCGCCCAGCTGGATCATCCCCGTGCCCAACCGCAGCAAGGGTATCGAGTCCTTCATGCAGCGGTGGCTGCCGGGGCGACTCAGCGCGGCCCTCGTGCGCTTCCGCCGCACGCTCATGGGCCTCCTCTTCGTCAACTACTGCCTGTGGCGGCCCTCGTCGGCGCGCAAGCTGCTACTCGGCATGACGGAGAAGCAGCTGCCTGCCGGGACCGACATGGCGCCGAACCACACCCCTGCGTACGACCCCTGGTCGCAGCGGCTGTGCGCGACGCCCGACGCCGACTTTTACGCGGCGCTGCGCGCGGGCACGGCGAGCGTCGTGACGGGCCGCATCGCGACGGTGACGGAGAAGAGCATCCGGCTGGAGTCGGGCGAGGAGCTGCACCCAGACGTCATCGTGACGGCGACGGGGCTCAAGACGGCGGTGGGCGGGAACGCGCGCATCGCGGTGGACGGGGTGGCTGCGCACCTGCCGGACCGGTACTCGTGGAAGGGCGCGATGCTCGAGGGGCTGCCGAACCTGTTCTACGCGTTCGGGTACGTGGACGCGAGCTGGACGCCCGGCGCGGACGCCACGGCGCAGCTGGCTGGGCGCATGATCCGGCAGATGGACCGCGAGGGCAAGCGCGCGCTCATCCCGAGGCGCACGGAGAGGGAGAGGGAAACGATGAAGGACGTGCCTTTTATGCGGCTATCATCAACGTACGTCAAGTCGGGGCTAGTCAACTTGCCCAAGTCGGGCGACGCCAAGCAGTGGCAGCCGCGGTCGTACTACTTTAAGGACATTACGAATGCTTGGTGGGGAGATATACGATCGAGCATTGAATGGAGATGATGGATCGGGATCTTTTCAGATGGTGTACACGGCGTTTGTTGGCTCATGGCTGGGTTTGCTGGTCAAACAGGGTTCATGGAGACGGACACTGTAGGGTAAATAATGGCAGCACGTCTGCTACGCTATTTATTATGATGTATGATGTTTTTTTTTCACAGTATTAATTTGCTCAAGGAGCGCGACCTTGTTAAATTTAGCCTCCTTGTAAGTGACGGTTACTGAGAGCTCTTCTTCCTAGCAGGGTAGAGGAGGGTATATGCGCATGGACTAACATGGTGTGCGGATCTTTTGGCATGAACGCAAAACTTCTCCGATTTCTGAAACAAGAGGATCTGAACTCATGCCCTATGCGCAACAAGGCGGTATTCAAAAGATAAACGAGAACCGCAGTTGCTGCAGGTATGCACGCTGTGGGTAAGGCGAAGACGTCTCATGCCGATTGACAACCGCCTGCAACCAAGAGCTATTTTTATCAGAGCCTTGTTTATTTCCGCCCTTTTCCGTGTCTCTCTACCCTCCTCCCCCCCCCTTTTGCTTTGACAATTGATCAAGTCCCACCTTGGCTCACGCTTTTCTGTCTTTGTGGATCGATGATCCGGCCGAGACAATGCAGATGGCACTAACTGGATAGATAGCTCCTGAGCATTGACGCCAGGGAGACGTTACTTATCGTTGACGAGTCCATTACACCAGGCCGAGCCGGGCTGCTGCGCCATCCCGTCCATCCTTACAAATTTCCGCACGGAGTCTCCCCCCAGTTGATCCGCGGAGTCGCATGCAAGACTTCTTCGCAGCCGTCGGGCAGCGGCTTTAAACGGCCTTGCCATCGGGCAGTGCCAACTGTTAGCCAACCAGACCATATCTCCTGAATCAGTCATCTATCTGCCTTGAAAAGTAAACATCATTACGTCAATCTACCCACAACTGCAAGCAATGCCCCGAATCGACCCAACCGCTGGCGTTGCATCCGGTGTCTTCGCCCAGCCTCTCAAGGTGACCTAGCGCTCCAAGGGCCTCGGAATTTGCCTGGAGTTCAAGTTGTCGGTCTGGCGGTCTGCGGGATCACGGCATAGATGGGGTCGCTTCGTTTCGAATTATGCCTTTTTTTTCCCGAAGCCCAAAAGCACTGCCTCGTTGGAGGTTCTTGCTTGCTAGTGCTGTTGCGGATCAAACCTGAAAGAGATGTAGTAGTCATAGAAAATAGGAGGGCTCATATAAGTTTTGGCCGCTCTCGCCCGTGCCGAATGATTCGAGTGTATTGTAAGTTGATAGGTGCTTATCCGGAAGACATCAAAGGTATGCAGTCTCCCCGAACCTAGCCGTCCCAACCTGTGCTTACAGACTGAGAAAAGTCAAGAAGTAGACAAGCATGTTTCTCCGCAAAGCCGTGGCTTCGCTCGCCATCTGTGCTTTGGCATCGACTGTCAATTCTGCTTCCAACTCTACTGCATTCGACTCCAACACACCATGCGATGTGTCTGCCATTGAACTACTCGCTCCGCAGACAACCATCCTCAACATCACGGCCAAGAGGATAGATAACTACCCTGTTCCCCAAGGGCCATATTACGATGTCTTCGTCCCGTTGTCCTCCGCGCCCTCCAACGTCAGCTTCTGCAACGTCACCGTCACGTACACGCACCCTGGCTGGGACGACACCATCCAAGTGTTCGTCGGGTTGCCGCTGCAAGGCTGGAACCGCAAGTTCCTCGCCCTCGGCGGCAGCGGCTTCTCGACCAACGCGCCCCTGGACATCCTGCCCGTCATGGCCTCCTTTGGATACGCCTCCGCCGCGACGGACGGGGGGCACCTTTGGCAGGACATCAGCTGGGCGCTCAAGGGCAACAGCAGCCTCGTCAACTACCCGCTCCTCGTAGACATGGCCTCGGAGTCGCTCAAGGACATGACGGTACTCGGGCGGCAGCTGGCCGAGCTGCACTACGGCGAGCCCGCGGAGCGCGCCTACTGGGTCGGGTGCTCGCAGGGCGGCCGCCAGGGCATGATGGCGGCGCAGCGGTACGCGCACCTCTACGACGGCATCCTGGCCAACGCGCCGGCCATCCGCTGGAACGACCTGCTCGTCGGCATGCAGTGGCAGTCGGTCACCATGTACGAGACGGGCACGGCGCCGCCGCCCTGCGTCCTGGACGCCTTCACCAACGCTGCTATTGCTGCGTGCGACGGCCTCGACGGCCTCGAGGACGGCGTCATCAGCCTTCCCGGCTCCTGCAGCTTCGACCCGTACTCCCTGGTCGGCGAGTCCGTCAACTGCGGCGGCGGCGGCGGCGCCGACAAGATCAAGGTGACCGGCAAGGACGCCTTCGTCATCCAGCAGGTCCTCAGCGGCCCGCCGACGACCCCCGGCGGGAACAGCTCGCTCTTCGTCGGCTACAGCGTCGGCACCAACCTCTCCACCGCCGTGTCCACGAGCTGCGCCGACAACAACCGCAACTGCACCGCCAACGGCGTCATCTTCGCCAACGAGTGGATCCCCAAGTTCCTCGCCAAGAACTACGCCTTCAACCCGCTGACCATCACCTACGACCAGTTCTACCGCTTCTTCGCGCAGGCCAAGCGCGAGTACGACTGGGTCATCGGCACCGCCGACGCGGACCTGCGGCACCTTCGCCTCTCCGACACCAAGCTGCTCTCGTTCCACGGCTTCGCGGACGAGCTGATCCCGCCGGCCAACACGGTGCGGTACTACCGCGAGGCGCTCGCGCTCGACGCGAACCTGACCGACTACTACCGGCTGTTTATGGCGCCGGGCGTGATGCACTGCGGCGGCGGGCAGGGGCCGAACCCGACGGCGATGTTGCACGTCTTGGAGAGGTGGGTGGAGAACGGGACGGCGCCGACGCGGCTGGATGCGGTGGCGACGGCGGCGAACGGGACGAGGGGGGAGCGCCAAGTCTGCATGTATCCGGAGTCTTCGAGATATACGGGCGGTGATCCCACACTGGCTTCGTCCTTTACATGTAGTTAGATGATGAATGATCTTAGATGTTAGACGCTTAAACAGACTCTACGAGCACCTCTAAACTAAGCCCATGGTCAGACTGTACAGTAAGCTCTCAAGCTGCTTCCAATACGTCAAGATTACCAAGCTGCGACGAATCAGGCCACAACCATTCACAAAGCAAACAAAAGGCGGGTTAAGCATGCAGACATATGCACATCACATGATGGCGCACGTATGATCACATCCGAGGTATGGGCTTAACTCGGATATTAAGCTCAAAGCTGGCAATTCACAGGCCACAGAGGTACCAATACAATACCCACCCCCCCCCCCGCCGAGTGAAACAAGCTTGACTTGTTCCGCCTATGGCTGCCATGTGCGAATGTCTCGGTTTCCATCTCTTTGTTACCTAGGGCCTCCCCAGAATCATCTCCTTGCAGACGCGTAGCCTATTCCGCGCCTCCACAAGCAGTTCCGTCTCGGCCTCTTGCAGGATCTCCACCATGACATCCAGCAGGTCCGGCAGCCCGTCGTGGAGCATGCCCGCCGAGCGCTCATCCAGCTCCGGCCGCGCCGCCACGCGCGCCAGGTACTCGGCCGCGCGGCCGTGCGCCGTCGTGCTGCTGCCGCTACCGCCACCATCGGGCGACCGCAGCGGTAGCGGCTTGCCGGTCGAGCGGCCCAGCGCCTGCACGAAAGTCCATATCGTCAGCGCGGCAAAGTACATGATCCAGGGCCGGTGCGGGTCGGGCTCGTCCCGGATCGAGTAGCGGCACCACAGAGCTCCCTGGCCACCACCGCGGGGTGGTCGCCGCGGGTCCGGCTCTACTAGTACGCGGTGTAGTAGCCGGAAGGCGTGGTAGATGGCGTGGCGCGTCGAGCCGAGTTGGGCCCAGGCGGCCATGCGCTTGGTGGCGTTGGCGTAGTCGCGCGCCGACACCTTGCGGCCGAGGATGCGTTTCATCCCCGCATACACCTGGCAGTCGATGATGTCGACGTTGGGCGTCATGTGGGCGAGGTGAAACAGCAGCTGCGCGCTGTGGATGGGGCCGTTGGACGGGCCGCGCTTCGGTGGCAGGCCGCCGCCGCCACCGGAGGGCGACTCGGACATGGACCCGGACATGGCGCCGTCGAAGCTGCCCTTCCAGTTGTCAAAGGCGAGCAGGAGCATCTTGCGCCAGTTGTCCTGCACCTCGGTCGACGGCGTGCGCAGGTCGAGCCACTTGAGGTGCGTCTCGCGGTGGCTGAGGTGCCAGCCGACGCTCAGTAGGCCCGAAATGATGATCATGCGACCAAACGAGTGCGTCTTAACCTCCTTGCCGTGCAGAGCGCTCTTGAGGCCGTCCAGGAAGGACACCTGCTTGAAACCGTACATGCGAAAGTTGGCGTCGAGCTGCCGCACCTCATCGGGGCTGTTGGCCGCCCACAGGTTGTCGTCGCATGGAAGCGGCAGGCGGATCTCGTGGGCCGCCATGTCAGCGGCGTGGCCGAAGATGGCGGCGTGGATGATGTCAAGCATGAATGCGGCATAGACGACGCGGTGCATGGACTCGGTCTCCGCCCACCGCGTCCACCAGGTGTGCGAGTCCAGAGGCAGCCCGGGCGGCGGTCCCCGTTCATTGAGGGTCTCTGGCTCGGCCGGGGATTCGCTGCCTGTTCGTCCGATCAACGGGCTGCCTCGGCGAAGCAGTGTGAGAAAGGAGGGGTGGTAGATGTGCGCCCTCTCGTGGAACCGTCTTGAGGAGTATAGCTTCTCGAAGAATTCTACCAACAAAAGAGCCTGCGCCACCCAAAGGTTCGCAGGCGGCATCGAGTCGTCCGAGGTTAAAATTTCCCATCGCACGGAGTGGATGATGACATCGGCAAAGGCCCCGTACTCTGATCTCTGGCCTGTCCTGTCGTGATATTTCAACGAAGCGGCCCCGAGAGCAATCATGACTAGAAGTAGGAATACCGAGCAGCGATTTGCAGAGAACGTGTGCTGGTGCACTATGGGAAGTCGCGGGGACACACTGTCCCAGAATTCCTTGAAGCATTCGCGCAGCATGTCCACATTCAGCGCTGGCAAGTCACCGCCGCTTTCCTGCGTCAGCGTAGGCATGAGAGCGTCAAACTTGGGCCGCTTTTTGCGGAAGATTTGGAACCATTGCAAGACCTCCTTACGCTTCGCTTCTGTGATCCATTCATCCGACGCATCTGAATGCCTGGGCGGTGTTGGTGCGATTGGTGAGAGGCTGTGGAGAGACTCGTAGTCGTATTGTATCGTATTGTTAAACGTTGACTCCAGGCCGCCTTCAAGAAAGGGGAGGTTCGCAACACTAAAGTCGCCATATGTGGCCTGCGGGTCAAACAACCAGGCGGCAAAGTTTGCTTGGCTCATTTGGCTGTCTGAGGGAAATGTAGTAGCGGAGAATGGCATCAGGGTAGCGGGTTCCGGCATTGACGCTGGGTCACCGCCATAAAAGCTATTCCGGTGGCGCATGATAGGCGACTGCGACTGCTCATCTATTGCTGTCGGCCAGACGCTGCTCTGATAGCTGGGACGACCGTGGACGGCGTGCCCAAGAGACGCCGGCGTCGGCTCTGTGTGGGACTGCGGTGTTAGAAGGATAGCTGCATCATGCGGGCCGCCCATATGCGGATGCGGAGGATGGCTATAGGCCGGCCGCGATGTTGCTCCCGTGACACTCGCATGCTGCTGCCTCGGTGAATGATCCAGCGTCGTGCTGTGGTCCGCGGATGTGTCGAAGCTGGGAATGCGGTTACGTGGGGTGTACGACGCGGTGTGACGCTTCTTGTGCCTGGCCAACAGGTCCAAGCGGACAAACTTTTGATCGCAGTCTCCCAGGTCGCACCGGAAGATCTCCTTGGGGTTGTCTGACAAGGTTGGGGGGAAAGAGGGTTGTCAAGTTAGCCGGGCTGTGGGGGTCTGGCGTTGCATGGGGAAGTGCGTCGGCGTTTGGGCTCGCGCATGCATGGCGGTGGTGTCTTACGGTTCAGCTGGTGTCGCTGCAGGTGCTCAGCTCTCGAGTAGATCTTGTCGCAACCGGGATACTCGCAGGCGAACTTACGCAGCGCTCCCTTGCGGCTTGCGCGCTTATACCCGCCACCGTTGACGGACATGAGGTCGGGGTTGGGGGCGTGAGGACCGGGCAGACGCCCTCGACATGCGAGCTGATTGGATAGGGTTACTGTGTCTTGGCCGGTTTCATGGGGCGTCGCCGCTATGCGAGAACTTAATCCCCTTGGCGACGGAAATACCAGGGTGCAGATTAATTGTGAAAATGTTGCAAAGTCCAGATATCTAGCTTGCCCTGTCGCGGGGAAGCTTCCACGCGCAGCTTCTGGGGTGACCCCCACCGAATGCACGCTCCCCACACTATGTGCCGACCCGACGGACTTCCGTGGGGGTGCTTACCTGGGCCATCTTATTATACGGTCGGGGCCGGGTTGTGATATATTGAACTGGCAACGATATTCCTCTCGTGGCCTTGGCGATTAGCGATTTGCTAAATTTATTGCAGTCTCGGTAGCAACTGTCCATACCACGGCATTTGACGTCGTCTTACGACACCAAGTTGGGCGCCGAGTAACGGCTCACGAGTCAACCTGACATACTTGATCTATATTTATTGATCGAATCTATTTTGCGTCGTGGACAGTAACAATCCAACTTTGTAACGTCCATCTAGAGTTCTGGTTCCACCAAGTGCGAGTAAGATACCGGCCACATCGCCGCCGTAGGTATTGCTTTGCAAACCTACATAGACCTCGCTCTCCAGCCGCAATATTGTATGGCCCTCCATCATAGCGCACGGCCATGTTCATTACAAAAATGGTATCGCACCTTGCAAAAGAATGCTCTTGATATGTGTCGGCGCAGTTCTTCGCCTGCGGCACTTTGATGCCTTTCATATGTTCACCTCTCCCTATCCATTTCTCCTCTATGAGCTGGCCTCGGCCTTACCATCCTCTGCGGCCTCGTCCACCTCAATAGAGGCCGCGGCGTTGTTCAACCCCTCGTCAGTGTTTTCGCTCTCCAACTTCTTGAGGAAAGACAGGAAATACTCCGAAACTTCGGTCTTTTCGTTCTGGTTGGCCAGGTCGAGCGGCACGTAATCGCGCTCGTTGGCGAGGGCAGGTGAAGCGCCATGCTCCATGAGAAGCCTCACTGTATCCAGGTGGCCACTGAGAGCCGCCCAGTGCATGCCGGTGTTTCCGTGCTCGTTGGGCTCGTCCAGGAAGGCCTGCTTCTCCTCCTTTGGTCTTTCGTCAAAGCACTGAATGACTTTGCGAACGGTTTCTGCTGCATGTCAGCCTTGAGCGTTCGAAAGGGAGAAAACTATAAGATAGCCTGCTTGCTCCTGTATACAACCGAGAAAGCCATACCTAGGTGGCCATTGCCAGTAGCCATGTGAAGCACTGTGGATTTGCCCTTATCCTTGGTTGCCATGAGAATGACGGCTGGAGCTACCTTTTCACGCTCGGCCAGCGCGATCACGCTCTCCATGAGATCGGTATCCTCGCCAGCGCGAGCGAAATAGATGAGATCGTCAATCTCATCCTCTGTGAGTTGTGGCGCCATCTTTAAGGGTATCTTTGTTGGTATGCTTATCGCCGTCCAGAACGTGCAGTTGACACAAAAATTTTGGTGAGGGGACTGTGCGAATCGGGCACCCCGCAGTTTTCGCACCGTGCGTCCATAAATGGTCCCGGGTAACTGCTTAACGCAATTGGATGCAGCGCTGCTTCATCACAAGAAAAGACTATTTTAATCTGGATTTCCCAGTTCTCGTTGTTTTCTAGTGAATAATCTCAAGCGCCGTGCGTAAAGCATTGTCTAGCCAGTGTGTAATGTCGCCACCTTCATCTAAAGATTGAATCTCGGCTTTGGTGCCTAGCATTAACATAATTTGCAGCTCACGACATAGGAGCACATGCACAAGATCGGCGCCAGTTTCTTGACAATGCTTGCGCAGCATTCGGATAGCGCACAGTCTATCGCGAGCTGTCAGATCTACCAGGCAGTCATCCGACCACACCCGCCTTTGCGCATTGCTGATGAAGACTGCAGCCGTGTTGTTGCTGTGGGGCTTCCCCAAGTGTCCGGATTGTATTCCAAGCCAACCGAAATTGACTTTGACGTTGCTAGATTCGTGAGAAAAGTTTGAGGTGCCATACCGGTAGCATGAGAAAATATTTATCCCATCAGGGTCGAAATCGGACAATACGAGCATTGGCAGGAGTGGGCACTCGGCCTCAATCTTGGCCAGAAAGCTCCTGGTCACCAAGTCGGGATAGCCTTTGGCCTAAGGTTTGTTAGCATTATGAACTGGGCCCTCGTTTGAAGTTGAGTATCCTACCGTCACTAGTATCCCACGACCAGCAATGGATGTTTCCCAGAAGCGGGATGTGATGAGAGACCGAAACACCGCCTACAACTTGTAAGCCGAAACTCTCTTGGCGGGGCGTATTCGTACGTCTTTTTCAACTACAAGAAGCCATCTTGCGTCGCGAGCTTCAATGCGTGAAATCGATCGACCAGGAGGCACCGCGGCACCCTGAGAGAGAGTTAAGACTACTCGGCAGTAACAGTTCGCTGCTTGGCTTACCAGTTCACCCTGCGAGGCATCTACTAGCTCCCCGCTGTGCAAATGGATGGTTATGCAGCCCGAGATTGAGCCCTTGGAAGATGCAGTCTATTTTGTTAGCGGGACCTAGGCAATTACTCCTCAAGCTTACAATGTTGAGGTCGTCGCGATCGGTGCCGAGAGTATAAGCCAGATCATCGACCAATTCATCAACAACTCTTTGGGTTTCGAAAAGTTCTTGGTGCTGGTAGAAAATGTGTCTGTAGAGGTTAGGGCAATTTTGGGTTGTTCACGCCCGATTGGCTCACCTTTTCGTCAAAACTGTACCTGTGGTCATTGCCTGATGGGCGAGTTGCATAATCAGGAGAACCCGAGCTGGTCTTGTAAGTAGAGGTTTGTGGGCGGAACTAGACGCTTACCAAACTTCCGCGCTTCCACTGCAGAGGACCCGGGGAATTTTACAAAAGCTTCCTCGCGATTGGCGGATCGGGAGCGCTGCCGACGCGAAGAAAAGCGTATTTCTAGTTGTGCAGAATTGGCGAGCGAATCGGCAACACCCTCTAGCGTCGCTTCAATACGACCCAGGACAGATGCCGATGTCAGTCGTGATTCGGAAGACATGCTATCGCTGGGACTCATTTTGCAATAAAAACCAGTCAAATATGAAGTTTGACACGTCTTAGATGGAATGCCAGAGTTTGATTAGTTTTATATCCTGCAAACGCAGCTCTGGGCAGCTGCCGGCTGCCAGCTCCGAACTCGAGGCCGCGCCCCACAACTGTCGTACTCGATTTCAGATCGCAGCCGAACTTTCGCGTAGTTCATTTCTAGGACACGGAAGCCCTCCCTCGATGCTGCCACGACAACTGTTGCGCCGCTGCTCCGTCGCAGATGTAGCGTTGCCAGAGGTTATAAAGGTAGAAGAAGGTTGACCAATTTGCAGAAATATTCCCCGCATAGCAATTGAGCAATTGGCAAGTTCCACCATGGCGACAGCAACTGGCCGAGAGACACGCTCTGCGCGCAACCGCGCTGGCAACAACAATGGCAGCACCGAAAAGCCCAAGATTGAGGGCAAGACAGACCACACGCGCTGGCGTCTCAAAGATGACGACAGTAGACATACCTGGCACTATCTAACGGAAGATAGCGAGCTGGAGAAATGGCCCCAGAGCAATGCTGAAAAGTACTATCTGAACCTGCCCCTGGTAAGTCGCGAGCCCCTTGAAGCACAGCTGTTCCTCGGCGCTCTACCCCGGACAGAGCATTGACAAGCTTAATCCAGGGCCTACCCAACCTCCCGCGAGCGACCACTGCCATCGATGCTGCGAATAACGGAATCGACTTTTTTGAGAAGCTCCAGTTGCCCTCTGGCCACTGGGGCTGCGAGTATGGCGGTCCCATGTTTCTGCTGCCGTGTGTCGTCTTCGCTTGGTACGTCACCAAGACGCCCATCCCCGAAGCTTACGCGATCGAGATCAAGAATTATCTTACCGCGCGAGCGCACCCCGAGGATGGAGGCTGGGGTCTTCATATTGAGGGCGAGAGCACCGCCTTTGGCACCTCTCTCAACTATACCGTTCTGCGCCTTGTTGGCGTCGACCCCGAGGATCCGATCATGGTCAAGGCCCGAGGCACCCTACACAAGCTCGGCGGCGCCCTATATGCCCCTCACTGGGCCAAGTTCTGGCTGGCCACACTCGGCATCATGAACTGGGACATTGTCAACCCTATCCCGCCTGAGATATGGCTCCTACCGGACTGGGTCCCCATTGCACCATGGCGCTGGTGGATTCACATTCGCCAAGTCTTCCTACCCATGGGATATGTTTACTCGAAGAAATGGAGCTGCCCAGAGGACGACATCATTCGGGGTTTGAGAGAAGAGCTCTTTGTCGAGCCGCACGCCACAATCAACTGGGCCAGCCACCGCAATAGCATTGCGCCTCAAGACAATTACCACCCCAAGTCTTGGCTACTTAACAGTGTCAACTGGATGCTTGTCAACATATACAATCCCTACATCCGACCAAACTTCATCAAGAATAAGGCGGAGGCCTGGGTTAGCCAGCTTGTTGACATGGAAGACGCCAACACAGACTATGCCGACCTCGCGCCCGTCAACGCACCCATGAATACGGTGGTCTGCTACATCCGAGATGGCCCAGAGGCATTCTCGGTGAAGCGACACATTGAGCGACTGGAAGAGTTCCTCTGGGTCAAGGACGAAGGAATGCTGGTGAACGGCACTAACGGTGTGCAATGTTGGGACACGGCGTTCCTGATCCAGGCCGTGGTCGAGGCTGGTCTGCACACGGACGCGCGTTGGCGCCCCATGTTACTGAAGGCCCTCTACTACCTCGACCGGCAGCAGATCCGGGAGAACTGCGTCGACCAGGAAAAGTGCTACCGGCAACCGCGCAAGGGCGGGTGGCCCTTCAGCAACCGTGATCAAGGCTACGGCGTCAGCGACTGCATCTCCGAGGCGCTCAAGGCTATTATCCTGCTGCAGAAGACGGACGGCTACCCGACCGCCCTTGACGACCAGCGCATCTTCGACGCTGTTGACACACTGCTGCTGTATCAAAACAACAACGGCGCGCTGTCGTCTTACGAGGCCCGGCGCGGCGGCGAGTACATGGAGCTGCTCAACGCCGCCGAGGTTTTCGGTCGCATCATGATCGAGTACGACTACCCCGAGTGCACAACCGCGTGCGTCACCGCCCTCTCGCTCTTCCACCGCCACTGGCCCGACTATCGCGGCGCCGAAATCGCCACCTTTATCCGCCGCGCCACCAACTGGATCCGCACCAACCAGCGCCCCGACGGCAGCTGGTACGGCAGCTGGGGTATCTGCTTCACGTACGCGACCATGTTTGCGCTGGAGAGCATGGCTAGCGTCGGCGACGTGTACGGCAGCAGCTACATCGCCACAAAGGGCTGCGAATTCTTGCTGTCCAAGCAGCGGGCCGACGGCGGCTGGTCCGAGAGCTACAAGGCCTGCGAGACCATGACCTATGTTGAGCACCCGATGGGATCGCTGGTGGTGCAGACCGCCTGGGCGCTCATCGGTCTCTTGGAGGCCGGGTACCCGCACGTCGAGCCGCTCCGGAAGGGCGTCAAGCTCATCATGGACCGCCAGCAGGCCAACGGCGAGTGGCTGCAAGAGGCCATCGAGGGCGTCTTCAACAAATCGTGCATGATTTCCTACCCGAACTACAAGTATACCTTTACCATCAAAGCCCTTGGTATGTTTGCTAAGAGATTCCCCGACGAGAAGTTTTAAGTGCCCCAGGAACCACTACAAGATAGTGTAGACAAGGACCAGTTATGACAGTTTGAATAAAAAGAAAGACAGCTCCGTTTATATGCTTCGTAGAATTATCTATAGTGTCCTCTGGAAATATGTACCATTTATGACCGATTTAGAGCTTTCCGTTTCTATCCTGGACGGCTTTTCGTAACAGGGAAATCACCTCGGCTGGGTCCTTGGCGCCAAATACGGCGCTGCCGGCGACGATGACATTGGCGCCCGCGTCAGCGGCCTGGTCGATGGTGCTGGGTCCGAGCCCACCGTCGACTTCAATGTTGAGGTCCGGGTATCGTTGGCGCAGGGCCTGCACCTTGGGCAGCTCCGAGGCCATGAACTTCTGACCACCGAATCCGGGATGAACTGTCATTACGAGGACCATCTGCAAGGGAAGGCGGGTTAGCACGACGCGAAGCGGGGGCGGCCAGCTAGAGGAGGGTCGTGGGGTAAGGGGAGGGTAAGCGTACATCGGGCTTATCCTTGGGATCGGGGCTCTCGAGGAGCTCCCACAAGACATCGACAGAGGTGTCGGGCTTAATGGCAATGCCGGCAAGCATGCCGTTGTCGTGGATATAGCGGATGAGGTCCTTGGGGTTTGTCTTGCCCTCGGAGGTGTGTTCGGGGTCGGTGGCGTCCGTCGAGAAAGCGGCTTCGTAGTGGAAGCAGTAGAGGTCGCAGCCGACGTCCTTGAAAGTCTTGACCCATTTCTTGGGCTGTCGAGGCAGACTGGGTCAGCATGTTCCAGCGTCGTCCGGGGAAGCCGGCAGGGGAGTGCGCACCTCGGCGATCATCATATGGCAGTCAAAGGTGCCCCGGCCGTGGCTCTCGGTCGGTCTGTCGACGAAGCCACGAATCTTGGCGACGACGGGCGCGCCAAACGTAATGTTGGGCACAAAGTGGCCGTCCCTTTTGGAAGGAATGCCCAGTTAGTGAGGGGGAATGCGGCCCAGATAGTTCGATGATGCTAACATGATGTCGACGTGAAGCCAGTCGGCGCCTTGCTCAATGGTGCGGGAGCAAGCATGGCCAAAGTTGGCAAAGTCGGCGCTCAGCACCGACGGCGCGATGATTGCTTTGGGCGTCATGGAGGTTGTTCAATTGAGTAGTTGGGCAAAGGTATATTGGGTTGAAACGGGAGAAAAGGAGAAGGTTTAGCGCAGCTGAACTTCTGAGAGAAAAAGCTAAGAGGAGAAGCGCCGCGGCCCCGGTGTCGGGAGCAAAGGGTCCAGGCCACGGCGACGGAGCTTTGGTGGGGTTTCAGTGGCGGATTCTTTTGGTGGGACGGAAGCAGGGTCTCGATATCTAGTTAGCAATAGGGTAGGTATGGGGAGCTGTGGTGGCAGAAGCTTAGTAATGGCGTAGATGTGGCAAGGTTGTATGTTGAATACTTCGTTAGATGTATGACGTTTAGAATGCGAGGAAGGCGTTTGAAGATGGGGTTGCACAAACATTGCTGGCGGCATAACTTGAACCAGCACGATCCATTTATTCATGGATTATGCACGTTGCCGGCCCGTTGTTCCGTTTGCTGCTTGACACCTGGCTGCCTGAAAATGGACTTGAAGCAGTACGAATTAGCGTTGAAGTAAATAACAATAAAAGAACGCTGTGTGTATTTGCCCCACTGTGAAGAAGCAACTGGATAAATCCCCCGCCACGGCTGCATTTCCCTCCTCAATAATTATCCCATATTCTTTTTGGAGCAGTTGACTAGAGGAGACCTGCGACCGCGACCGAAAAGCATTCCGTAAAACGTTTCTGGAGATGTCTCACGTTACCCTCGGCCAGCAGGGCGTGGCTGCCGCCGAGGCCAAGGACTGGGACGGTGCCATCACCAAGCTGTCCAAGGCGCTGCAGTCGTCACTTAACCCGGGTTGGCTGCTCGCCCGTTCCAAGTCGCTCGTCAACCTGCACAGATACAACGAAGCACTCGACGACGCCAATCTGGCCTGGCATGCGGCTTTTCAGCGTAACAAACGACCCCTCATGATCGAGGCCAACTACCGCCGCGCCGTCGCCTACTTTCGCATGGGCCAGTTCGCTAATGCTGACGCCTGCTGCATCTACGCCATGCGCCTTGTTAAAAAAGGCCCCGCGGTGGACAAGGAGGATCCCGTCGCGCACCTCAAAGACCCTGCAACGGGCCGCTGGACGGCCACAGTCGAGGATGCAATGAAGGAGGCGCGGACCGACGAGATCAACAACGTGCCTGCTGCCATGGCTATGTCTGAAAGTTCTAATAATACTTCGAATGCTCAGGAATGGCGCATGGCGAGCACGCTTCGAATCCAGGCCCTCTCTGCTATGGCCAAGCTACCCGCGGACGACGCCGCTCGAACGGCAACCGTACAAGCGAAACCCGAGGAAAAGAAACTCGCAGATTTGCCAGGCAATGTTGAGGAGACAAAGCGAGCAGCGCCTTCTTCTACAGCTCCTACACAGACACCCACCAAGCCGCAGGTACCTAGCGATACGCCACTGCGACTGCAAGACTTCCAAAGCAATACAAACATGACCGTGTCCATATTCTCCAAAGGTGTCAACAAGGAGAAGCTCAAGGTTGATTTTCAGCCACATTCGGTTCACCTGGACGCCCTCATGTACCCTAGCGGTGATGAAAAGGATTTCCAGCTCGACCTTTGGGGCGAGATCGATACTACTGCCTCCAAATACACTGTCACGCCGAACAAGGTCGAACTCAACCTTGTCAAGAAGAGCCCAGGGAAATGGGCAAAGCTTACATCAAATGGAACACCTAGAGGACCAGCTGAGCCCGCCGTCGCTCCCGCTATCTCGACTGGTGAGAAACCAGCCGCTGAAACTCCCAGCGTCGTCAAATCGGCATCGACGGCTGCCCCTGCGTACCCATCCTCGTCGCGCACCGGCACCAAGAATTGGGACAAGCTCGACCTGGGTGAGGACGGCAAGGACGATGAAGATCCTAGCGACGTCAACGGCTTCTTTAAACAGATTTTCAAGAATGCGTCACCCGATGCGCAGCGAGCCATGATGAAGAGCTTTACCGAGAGCAATGGCACAAGCCTAAGCACGAACTGGGACGAGGTCAAGAATGGAACAGTTGAGATGGTGCCGCCAGATGGCTTGCAGCCAAAGAAGTGGGATTAAACGCAGTGGAGGGGCGCAGCACTTCCCATCCTGTGAAAGTTTCAGAAGGATGGAGGGGCTGGAAAGGCAGTTTTCAGGTAGTTCGGAAACATCAGAGGTGTATGCATGAGTAGTTGAAATCGGGACGCAAGCCACCAAGGTCCATTTGTCTAGGTAGGGCTATCGGAGCAGCGACAATTGCAGAATGTACCACCATATTCATGTATCCCATGTCTCATCGTTATAGGGGGTTATATCACGTTCTTTTACACCACCTCCCCGGTGACCGCCTGCACCTCCGCCGCCCACGGCTTGTGGGCTCGCAGTTTCTTCTCGTACTCCTCCTCGTACCACACCGTCTCGTCCACGGGGTCGCCCCTCTGTAGCAGCCGGCGCGGAATCTGCGTCGCCACGCTCACAAAGTCCTCCTGCGCAATGTACGCGCCCCGCAGCCACCTGCTGCCCCCGCCGGCCGCATCAAACGCCGTGCGGCCGTGCATGACGCGCAGGTTGTCGAACAGCACGCACTCGCCCGGCCGCATCTTGACCTCGTGCACGGCCGCGGGCCCGTTGATGAGCGCCTCGAACGCGCGCGCCCCTGCCAGCCACGGCTTCAGCGCGGGCTCGTCCGGCGCCCGCGGGCCCTGAAACGGCGGCGACCAGAAGACGGTGTCCAGGCGGCCGCCTTCGTCGCACCGCAGCACGGGGCGGCGCTGGGCATAGCGGCGGCGCGCTCGCCGTCGCTGAAGAGCGAGGCGCCGCCGGCGCACGAGTTGTCGAGGCAGTGCAGGATCTGGATGCGCGGCGGCGGGTCGAGGTACAGCAGGTCCTGGTGCAGGCCGAGGCGGCCCGCCGTGTACGCGACGTTCTCTGCGTTGGGCTTGGCGCGCACGTCAAACGTGCGCCCGTAAAAGGTCTCGCGAATGTTGGCGATGCGCGTCGCGATGCGCGTGACCGAGCCCTCCTCCCGCGGCACGCCGGTCAGCCGCACGAGCCCGAGCCGCACGAGGTCCAGTACCACCGCCCAGAGCGCGTCCCCGCCGGCCATGAAGGCGGCGTAGTCGACGGCCCGCGCCTGCTGCGTGATCGAGGCGCTGTCCCAGAGGGTGATGCCCGCGCGGGCGCGCACGGCGCGGAATACGGGCGGGATCTCCTCGGTGTCGGTGGCGCGGCGCGCGCCGAGGGCCACCTCGAGCGCCTCCCACGGCACCGTGGTCTCGTGCGCCGCGAAGCGCGGAATGTCGTTGCGAAAGCGGACGGCCAGGCCGTCGGCCGTCTCGTGGACGCCGGCGACGCTGATGTCTGCGGGGATCTCGACCGAGGCAAAGGACTTTTGCCCGGACGACGGGTCTTTGCAGACCACGCACTGGCAGCCGTCGCGGAGCGCGGCGGCGTCGAGTGTCACGGAGGCACCGCCGTCCTGTGAGCGTACGATGACGCGGTCGCTGTGCTGCTCATAGGAGAGCGGCCCCGTGGCCAGGCCCGCACGGGCGACGAGCACCTGCCGGTGGTGCCCTTGCTGCTGGCGGAGTTCCTTTAGACGCCACAGCGCAGTTGTTTCGCCGCCGGCTGAGTCCGAGCCCAGGCTCACAGGTTGCTCATGCTGGCTCAGAGGCTGCGACGCCACCTCATTGCTCGAGTTCTGCCGGACAGTGGTCAAGGCAACCCGGAGCCGGGGCACCCGGCGCATCAAGGCTCGCCCGGGTGAGAGCATTTCCGGCTATAAGTGAGGTCCGAGGTTCGGGCTATTTTTTGTATTTCTGTGTGGTTTTCTTCTTGAACGCTTCTTGAAGAATTTGAGTCTTGTAGTTTGATCGGAGCTGAAGGAGAGCTGTGTTGTAATCAATTCTCGGACGAGCGGGAGAGGGGCTGCGCTGATATAGAGGTTTGCGGTTTGGCTTGTGGTAGTTGCTGGGAAGTGGAACTCTGGGGAGCTGCCTCGGCGACAGCATGGCCGGTCCCCGCGTTTTTCCCCAGGCTATTCAACACACCCACCCATCTTTGCTGTACTGGAAAAATTGCAGCTGGAAGAAGTCAACTGGAAATCGCGCAAGATGAACCTGAATATATTCCAGTCATACATAATGCATTAATCTGTTCATACATGTACATCCTCCTCCAGGGGATAATCGCTAATGTTACACAAAATGGGTATCTATCATATACAACCAATACTCTCCGCTACCGGTTCCTGTTGGCCGCCCAGCGCTTCACCATAATTTCTCTTACTTTATATAGCTTCAGTGCATCCGTCAGGCCTGTTGCGATAGCGTCGTCGAAAACGGGCGGCGGCGGTACGTCCACGTACACGAGCACCAGGCTCTTAGTGACATGTGACAAGACTCTCACCACGCTGTGAAGCCAAGGCCACGATCTTTCTTTTGCTTTTATGCCACGTGTTACCCACCAGGGATCCGAGTATGATGGAACGATTATGAGGCCAAATTCAGCGTGGTCAAACACTGGGCCACGATTGTAGAGCAGCCAGTCGACTCCAAATTTGATGCCCGCGCGAGGGACCCAACCCAGTGAGCGAAAGTGATGATACACGACGTAATGTACCAAAAAGTTGTCATCTGGCTGCAGGTCGGGAGCGTCCGGGCCATTTCGCGGCGGAGAATAGGAGTATTCACGAAATAACCGCAATATGTCCATTGTCGACAAGTCCAACCCCGAGTGAGGGTCGCTAATAGAGAGAGCGCCGAAACCGAATTTGAGGAAAAAAGCCTCTTCCGAAGTGAGTTGAAGATGCTCCTTGTTGACAATTACTTCGGTAGGGTTGACTTCTGTCGTCGGCAAGTCGTCGTTACGGGGGGTTGATGGCTCAGGATGCCTTCCCTCCGATGTGGCGTTGAAGCTTGGGGGATCTGCAAAATCGAATGTGGTGGAGTCGATTTTGGGAGAAAATCGAACGCTCTTTTGTCGCTTCTCAGAGCCGTCCTGGGAAACTGTCGAGCTCCCGCGAGAGCGTGATGCTGGTGTCTGGGGAGCCGTCGCAGACCCGTTGGTTCCGGCCTCAAAGGTGATGCCGGCCAGCTGCTCGATGAGCGTAGGCTCGGGGGGCGGTGCTAGGTAGTCACCATTTACAAGAATCGACGTCGTTGGTGACTTCGCCTTTGTCGATTTGATATTGGGAAGGGAGTTGGGGAGCGCTAGAAGCTCGGCCGGGCCGACGGGAGCGACGATGCTGGCAGCCGCGTCAACCACAGCAGCCGCCTTTTGCGATTCGTTGAGCTTTGTTTGACGGATGGCCTCCTGCTCGAGCCTGGCGCGTTCCCATTTCGCCTCGGCACGTTCTTGTCGCCTTTGGTTTGTGTGAATTTCACTGACATGTGTCTCGTCCAGACCCTTGCGGACGAGTTCGCGCCGTAGCCAGTTTGGCTCACTTCGACTTAGACTACCTTTGCCGAAAAAGCCCTGCTCCCACAGGCCTCTCATGGATTTTTCATCGGTGATGTGCACAGAGTTGGTGCTTTCCGACCAGACGCCACGGTAGACGATGGATGGTTCTGCAGGCGGGGGGCGTACAGTCTGCTTTAGCCATGCGAATGCTACGTGAATTATGGAAATGGGATTGTTGGGATAGAATGTTGGGAGCGGAAATGTCCGAATCGGTACAGGCAATGAATATATCTGATTCAAAGGCGGACCTTTGCGTTTATGTGCAGAGTTGCCATTAGGCTTCGGAAAATCCGAGGCCCCCAGTGCCGAAGGAGCGGGCAGCGGTATGTTTATTTCAGTCATTATCGGTCCTGGTCATTTCTTTTATCTGGTTAGCGATCATTTCCAAATGAGCTGGCAAAGGAAGCAAAGCGGAATTGATTGTGCTGTGTCAGATACCGTTGTAGTCTATTCAGTTGCCTTCACAGAGACCAAATGAATGGATTCTCTAAGCACCGAAATTTGGTGTCATCATACTAGCAAGGGGAAGAAGCGAATTGCTTCAAGTGATGGACAGGGGATAGAAAAGTTGGGCAAAAGTGCAGTGCAGAGACTGGCGCTGCTGAGCTGCGCTCGAGATTCTGCTTACCTTTTTACAGCATGGCCATAGACCAGACGTGAGGCGGGTCGCCTCGATAATAATGAAGCAATGCCAATCAAGCAATGCAGGCCAGAAGTTGGCGGCTGGTGCGTTGCAGGATGTTCTTGCGGAGCAGCCAGGTGTTGAAGAAGGAAGAGTGAAGGAAGAAGAACGCTGCGAAAGAATTTGCTGGTTATGGTTTTAGGTGGAGATCACGAGTTTCCCAAGTCCCCACTTTTCATTACCTCAGTAATCAAAAGCTGTTGTGGTTTTGTGACGAAGATATGCAGTGTGATGAAAGTTGAATCAAAATTGATATACAAATTGTGCGAGATTTATGTAGCAAGCTGGTGTAACATGAAATACATTATCATGCAAACACAAGCGTTGAATATGGAAGGCACAGGCCGAAAAGTCATGCCCCATCGCAAGACCATGGGTTGACCTTCTCCACCAGCCAGCCAAATCTCAACGTCTTTTTAGTTCTCGGTCGGAAACCACGGAAGAAGGGCATCTTGGCCTGGGAGTTTCTTGCACCTGTTGCTTGTGATGGACGTCATTTAATATTGTTTCAACTCTCGTTTTCGCACTTGACCCTAAGACTGGCGCGCTCAAGGCAGCAATGTCCTGGTTCATCGAAACCGTTGCTGCCGTCTGCCTCGTTTGGTCAATCTTCGTCGTTATTGTCCAAGCGGTCGGCATTAGCGCCATGTACGTCTACCCGCGTTTGTCTGAGGTCTGCCTCAACAGTATATATGTGAGAGTCGCTGACGGTAGCTTCCTAGATTTCGCTACTTCTCGCGCCCGCCGCAACCTTCTATCTCGGCTAAGCTGGGCAGCGACGCGCCTCGCGTTACCATCATCCGCCCCGTCAAGGGCCTCGAGCCTAACCTCTACGACTGCATAGCTTCCACGTTCCGTCAAGACTACCCGCCCGAACGCTGCTCGATCCGCCTCTGTGTCGAAGATGTCAGCGATCCAGCGTACCCAATCCTAGAACAGCTCGTCCGAGATTTCCCTGGCTTCGATGTCCGCATCCTCGTCGAGGTGGAGGACCCCATCCTCCACGGACCCGATGGCCACATTGAAAACTTAGGACCGAACCCCAAGATTCGAAACATCAGCAGAGCCTATCGAGAAGCAAAGGGCGATATTATCTGGATTATTGACTGCAACGTCTGGGTGTCTACCGGGGTACTTGGTCGCATGGTGGATAGACTATCGGGCTTTGCGCCGCAGGGCCAGGTGGTGCAGCCGTACAAGTTTGTGCATCATATGCCGCTCGTTATTGACACGGTGGATTATAGCAAAGATGCGGCCAGCCAAGAAGCTCTCTTGGCGTCCACTGGTCCTGCAAATGACATGGGAACGATGAACATTGAGGAGGACCTTCGCACCAGAATATGGAACCAGGGGGGCGGTCGTCTCGACGAAATGTTTATGGCGACCACACACGTCAAGTTCTATGGAGCCATCAACTCGGTCGGAATTGCTCCCTGTATTGTAGGAAAGAGCAACATGTTCCGCAAGTCTCATCTTGATCATGTCACGACAGGCGTTCCGTCCCGGCCAACCGGGGTTGACCATTTTTCTTTCAATATTTGTGAAGATCATCTGATTGGCGATCTTCTATGGAAGTCGAATATTCCAGGCTTTCTCAACCACGGCATTGTCTGGGGCGATCTCGTCATCCAACCGATGGCTGGCATGGGCGTCGCTTCGTACGCGGCACGAAGAGTTCGATGGCTACGCGCCCGCAAGTTCACGGTGCTGGCTGCTACCCTTGTTGAACCGGGTGTCGAAAGTATTCTCTGCTGTGCATACTTTGCGTTTGCGCTCACGACTCTGCCCTGGTTCAATCGTCATTGGGGCATTTCCGAAACATGGACTGCTACAGGTTGCATCTGGCTTCTCGTCATGGCTGCATGGATGGTGGTAGACTGGCTCACCTTTCAACATCTCCATACCGGCAAGTCGATGAAGACGGATCAGAATACACCAAAGTTTGCCAGAGGCACCTTAAAACGAGCCGGAATGAACAAAAGGTCGTTTCTCGAATGGCTGCCGACCTGGATTGGTCGTGAAGTCCTGGCACTCCCTATTTGGACCACCGCTGTGTTGCTAGGCGCGACAGTAAGTTGGCGTGGAAGATCATTCTCCGTCAACATGGACGGCGCTGTGAAAGCTATCGGAGTTGCAGACATGCCTGCTAGGTCTTCACTCACAACACCGGAGCTGGAAAGGGCACGGCCACGAAGCAAGGACCGCCTTGACTAGATGATGAACGACCTAATGATGAGCACCAAGGTAACCTTTGTGGTTATCAGGCTAGATGCGATGAGGGCTCGAAGAGCCTGCTGCTCTTGACATGCCCAGTTGGAGGCCAACACGGGAAAAGCATTGCTATGCATATAATTAATCAATAGCTGTTAGTAGAAAAGTAGAATAAAACCATGTACCTCCAAAAAGAGCCCCAGGCGGAGCCCCAACACGAGCCCCAAGGCTCCATGAATATGCGACCCCAGACTGGGGACAACGGGGGGAGCCCTACCCAGTTTTGCTCCATGAGTTAAAATTTGCTCCAGAAACTTTAACAGACGCGCGGGTTTTTCCTCCTCTCCGCCGCTGACTTTGAACTCGTCGAGTGTATGTACTCGTAATCCCGACGGTCGCACAATGGAATACCAAATGAGGCTCCAACACGACCTGAAGCCTCGTTGGAGACCGGCTCCGAATTATTTTCTTCGTGATGGATCTCCTCAAGCCAGATCCTTGGGGTGCTGACCACTCACATAGCTGCACCGTTCTCGAGAGGATGCGTGTTCTCCACGAGATGGACAGCTCGCCGTTGTGGATGGCATGCGCAGCCGTTTCTGGGGCGCGGGGTCGTCATGTTACATTGCTCACCGATCTCTATTAAATTGGACTGAGGGATATTCCGAAAGGCATGTATTTGTCCCAGGAAAACCACTGTGATGGTCGTTCCCAAGCCTGTGATAAGTCAGGAAAGCGAGGCTCACGATGTGGAGACGACAATTGCTTCCATGAGCTGACACTTCTTGGCGCAGCAAAGCACTAGCCAAGGCCTGGAACATTTCGGGACATCAATAGCCGCCAGTCTTGGTGCCAAGTTGCCAACACAGATTCGGGTACTGAGGACTTTAGCTCGATTCGAGAAGCGGCGACAAACCGAAGTGAACACGTTCTGCCGAGCCGCTAGGGTCGAGGAGCCTTGCATAGTGGCGGTGGCGGCGGAGGGCAGCGGGCTTGGACTTCGTGGCGTGGGTAAGGGGGATCAATCACATCACTAGAAAAAGGCAACTTCGTTGGTGGAAGGGAAACCGGTGGCTTGAGTCCATCTCTGGGCACACACATCAACCCGACAGGCTCGGCGACAGTACCTGTTGTTTTGCCAAGATGACATGACCACATACGGTAGATTGCTGTGAAAGGTCACAACACGAAAAGACAAACACGTTCCCCATAGGTTCCCAGCTTTCGCACGTAGCAATAATGCATTATTAGTCTGCGTTACCAGGAAATGTCTTGGCGCGGGGGTGCTTGGGTCAGCTGCGTTCTTGAGCGGAAGTGAATCCTGGGGTATGTTTTGGATCAAGCCCGACCTGTCCCAGCACCTTTGACTTTCCTCAGCTCAGCGTGGTCAAAACGTCCGTTCGATGTGAAGTCGTTGCATATGCCGATACAAAACCCCTACTCACGACAGAGAAGCGAACGCCACAGAGCTGGAGTCGATCATGGCGGTGTTGCGGCTCAAGGCCATTCGCCAGACACGCCGCCATCGCGTGGGCCGTGGCGTCGTGGCCTTCTAGTTTTCGACTAGCAATGGGATGGCGATTCATTACCCTAGGGTCGCGACGGGGATGTGGCACATCGAGGGTCGACTGTGATTTGCTGATTGCTTATCTCTGCTGCGACGGACCTCGAATATACAAAAGATCCTTCTAGGATACCCCTGCTCGCGAGATAGTGCGGCTGTCGGTAAGTTGTACGGTTGTGGTCATGATGCCGGCGCGGCGCAACAAGGCTGCATTGGAACGCGCCAGCGCCCTGGTTCCGTAAACCTCCGCTGGTGGTTAGCTGACCATGTTATTAGCATTGGCTAGCATTTGATCCTTGTCACTCGACAATACTGGTACTCAAGATTGTAGAGTTTTGCAAAACATGTACCCCCACGCCTAGTCGAAGGAATAGCGCGGGGAGAAGATGAAACGGGGGACAGGCCATTGAGATCATCGCTGACGACCGCCACATTGGGAGGGGGCGCTAAAACTTTGCTGTACCAGCTTGTTGTAAGCTTAATTTTAGCCTAAGCGGGAGCTGCCTGTGCGGTATGCATGTGCATATGCTCGGTTGCATTACAATCGAAAGGTAAAAGTCGAGGAGAAAAGGGAAAAGAAAGAGGAATAGTAGCCACTGGGATACAAGCATGTCTTGCATGGATTCGGTAAACTGTTTGTAAGCAGAAAACACGTTGTTGGGATTGGCAGCCGTTAACTGGCAGCACAACAACCTTCAAACACCGAAATGAAACTTTGGCACCGCCAAAGCATCCTTCAGCCAACCCCAAACTCGCCTCGTGTACAATCAGCTGTGCCACTTTGACTCATGCTAACATGGAAACAGTGGCACTCATGCGGAGTTTATTCTTGCTACCCCATACCAGCGTCAACCTTGCCCTGGACTATGAGCCTGACGATGTCGTTGTCTCGACGTGCTGTCTCCGCAATGATGCGATGCAAACAGACCGCCTGGTGCTCAGTGCAACGTACCCCAGAACCCTGGATACGACGCTGGTCTGGGGGATATCATGTTCGTCCCATCTCGATTTTTTTGCCTGCTACTTCTGCGACATTTCCTCCTCGGAAAGGGAAAAACATCATGACAGTCTGAGTCTGATTCTTGGCATCATCATTCATCGCGAGCAAACGCTAGTCGCACTACCTCCACGCTCGAGAACCAGGCTGTCAAGCCACTTGCTGCAAAGTCCACACACCTCTTCAACATGACTCCACAAAGTCGCAGGGCTACGGGCTTAACAAGAGACTAGCCGGCTTACATGCACTGACGGGGACTGGAGGTCTCGTGCCGTCGGCTTGGTTGCGAAGATGGTGTCCAAGTTGGTACATTTTCTTCCCCAACAAGTGCTCCGCTCCGGCTCAAATTACGGGCGCATGAAAAAGCCATTCCAACTCGGATGATGCTATGTGGCGTTCTTTGGGGTAGCCGCTATTTCAAATATACGATATATTTTCGTGTCTCCTCACGACTGTGTGGCTCGAGCTTCGAGACCACATGGGTCCTAGCCGAGATCTTTACCCCAAAGTCATCACTACTGGCAAGTTACTACGTATGCTCTAATATTCCAGTCATTTCCCTGTGAGGCGACGGGTTGATGCTATGATTCTTTGACCGAATGGAATTCGAAATCGAGGTCAATTCAATGCCTGGCTGCGCGCACGTACCGCAGCTGAAAACTGCAAGACGCAACAGTGACACCACATAGAAAATCATTATGCCCCATGTGATGAGAAAATGATCGAAACCCTAGTCAGGCAGTGTCTGGGGAGACGGGACTAATCCACGTTGGCTTGCGGGTTGCAAAGTCGGGGTATGTCCGTCCCCAAGGAAAGGTGCAGGTTGGTTGGCAACTGCCATGCAGGTAACCCCTCACACCACAAATACAAAAGTATTAATATAGGTAAGCCGTCCCGCTGCATCACTCTTTCGTAGTCTGCTGCATTGCATTACTGTCTTACTTTTCCCTCACATCGTTTTGTTCCTTCTCCTCCATCATTCTGGAACGAGGCTTGGACGAGGCTATCTGTATTATTGACGGCCGCCTTACAGCTTCGGTGCAGCCCGCCTCTACGATACACCTCGATTGAGTAATACCTAGCATCTCTGCAGCATTTCTACTCTACCACAAGGTCAAATAGCCCCCCACAGACATGGCTACCCCCTCCACCCGTCCAGTGGCTGGCGAGCCCGCCGACGACTTGGCCCAGGGCATCATCCCCACGGCCAAACAGTCACTTCGCGATCTCTCCGTCTGGAAGCAGCGTGTCGTTGTTAGTAATGCGTACGGCGAGACGCGTTGCGAGTGGCAGCAGCCTGACAAGTTCATGAATCCCATCAGCCTATTTGCCCAGCTCACACCCAAGGCCTGGCTTTTCTTTATCGTCGGATGGCTCGCCTGGGTCGCCGATGCCTTTGACTTTCATGCACTCTCCATTCAGACCGTCAAGCTCGCCAAGTACTATGGTCGCACCAAGGCTGAAATTACTACCGCCATCACACTTACCCTACTTTTGCGATCTGTCGGTGCCGCTGCTTTTGGCCTGGCGGGTGACAAATGGGGTCGCAAGTGGCCGATGGTCTTCAACATGATGGTTCTTGGCCTCCTCCAAATTGCCACGATTTATTCCGCCCAGTTCTCTCACTTCCTTGCTGTTCGCAGTCTCTTTGGTCTTTTCATGGGAGGTGTCTACGGCAACGCTATTGCCATGGCTCTCGAGCAGTGCCCGTAAGTTGCTCGCGGAACCTTGCACACGGGTCCAAGCATATATTGACGTCTCTCAGCTCCAACGCTCGTGGCTTGATGTCTGGCATTTTGCAGCAGGGCTACTCGTTTGGCTACGTCTTGGCGGCATGCGCCAACCTTGGCGTCGGTGGCGCCGTTGACAGCTGGAAAATTGTTTTCTGGATCGGAGGTATGATCTCTTGGCAGCGCCGCCACCCGCTCACGGAACCCATGCTGACAACTTCTTAGCCGGCCTATCTATCGCTATTGGTTTCGTCCGCATGCTGTTTCCCGAATCACAGCAATTCATCGAGGCCAAGAAGAATGGCAAGAAGACCTCCTCGCCTGGCGCGTTCTGGCGCGAGACTAAGCTGATGCTGGCCAAGGAGTGGAAGATGTGTGTCTACTGCATCTTCCTCATGACCTGGTTCAACTTTTACTCGCACACCTCACAAGACTCGTACACTACCTTCATGCTCACTGAGAAGGAGCTTTCTAACAAGGGTGCTTCGCGCGCCTCCATCATGATGAAGGTTGGCGCATGCGTTGGCGGTACCATCATTGGCTACATGAGCCAGTTCCTTGGCCGTCGCCGCACTATCATTGGTTCGGCACTCATGTCTGCGATTCTCATTCCCGCGTGGATTCTGCCCCGTGGCGAGTCCTCCCTGAGCGCGAGCGGCTTCTTCATGCAGTTCTTTGTCCAAGGTGCCTGGGGTGTCATTCCCATCCACCTCAACGAGCTGTCGCCCCCCGCCTACCGTTCCACCTTCCCCGGCGTCACCTACCAGATTGGCAACATGATCTCCTCGCCTTCTGCTCAGATCGTCAACGCCATTGCTGAGAAGACATTTATTACACTCAAAAGCGGTCACAAGGTCGAAGCCTACGGCCCTGTTATGGGAATCGCCACCGCCATCATTGCTCTCGGCATCGTCTTTACTACGATGTTTGGCCCTGAGAGACGCGGTCGTGCATTTGAGAACGCCGTGGCTGGTGTCGAGACCTCTTCTTCGGAGAAGATTAGCGCTGACGAGGCGGATGAGGAGAAGGGTACCGTCGAGCAGGCAGAGAAGCTGTAGCTGCTTTTACGATTATGATTATTGTTCATATTATTGTTCAGTTTATAGTTGGGGATTTCCTCCTCGTCTGTCGTGATTTCCTCTCATGGAAAGTTATGGATGTACATGAAGCACCAAAATGAATACCATCACCAGCGACATTAGCGATATTTGTGCTTGTACCTCACAGTTTGTAATACAAGGTAGCAGTGAGCATCGAAGTAGTATGGGATACGTGCCAGTGATGACTCCCAAATTTTCATAGAAATGAGCCTGCGAGCAATGGTAATTCTTCCCTCCTTCAATGGTTTCGTGCGAGAAATACGCACCCGGTGGCCCAGCTACCTGCCAAGGTCATTGGGGACACTCTGCGCTCTTAGAGCGTGGGGAAGCAGGTCACCAGAAACTCGCCCCCTAGACATTGAACGGCCCGGAGGCCGCCGCCGAACACTTCCAGTGGCCCTTTTCCGGGGCGGCAGCGGAACGGACATGGTTGCATTGCTTCCCAGCGTGAGGCGGGTGGCTTGCATCATTGTGCTTGGGCGCCAGGTATGTGAAGCGGCCGGGCTTTGCACCAATGCTAGCCGGACAATGCACCTCTAGGTCCGTTCACGCAGCACTGCTTCGGTATACCTTTTATTATGAGATAGTTGCTGCCTGAGAGGGCTCGAGCATTGTGAGAGCGCAGCCTGTGCGACGTACCGGTGAGCTGTGAGACAAGGCATGTTCGTCGTGGCCGAAGCTAGCTCCCCCTCCCGCGCGATGGACCTGCGCGAGCCGAACAAAGAACCACTGGAAACAATCAAATATCTTAAGATTAAAAACAGCCGCCGTGCTCGTGTGCAAGGCCGCTACCGAGATTTGCGATTGCCTGCCGTCATGTTGGTGTTGAAGCACAAATCTGCATTTGGTAGGGCAAGCGAGCGACGTGAAATGTGCTACCCCACCTTGGTTCCAGCCAGCGCCAAGTCGCCCAAGCAGAGAGCTTCCAAACCAAAAGGTAGCTGATGACAAACAGCTTGACCTCTCACGTACCGATATCCCTCTCCAAGGGCAAAATCATCGACTCGTCAATCAAACCACGCAACAACCTCATCGTCCAACGACAGAAGAGTCCAGTTATCGCTCTCGACCCCGACGACTGCGTTTCTCGATAGCGGACGGGCGACCCCCATACTGTCTCTACCTACCCAGCATGGCGCCCAAGAATGATGGCAAGGCCGCCGAGGCCGCCACAGCAGCCGAACCACGCTTGGAGGTTAAGAAGCCCAAGAAGAAGAAGGTGCTGCTGATGGGAAAGTCGGGCTCAGGCAAGTCGAGCATGCGCAGCATCATCTTTAGCAACTACATTGCGCCCCCCCCCCTCCCAGTGACGACACAGCGAACTGACATTGGCCCCCCTTCTTCCTTCTGCGATTGACAGCGGCGCCACCATCGACATCGACCTCTCGCACGTCAAGTTCCTCGGCAACCTGACGCTCAACCTGTGGGACTGCGGCGGGCAGGAGGCCTTCATGGAGAACTACCTCTCGCAGCAGCGCGTGCACGTCTTCTCCAACGTCGGCGTGCTCATCTACGTCTTCGACATTGAGTCGCGCGACGTCGACCGCGACCTGGCCACCTACGTGTCCATCCTGTCCGCGCTGCTGCAGTATTCGCCCTCGGCGCGCGTCTACATCCTCGTGCACAAGATGGACCTCGTCGTGCCCGCCTCGCGCGAGACCGTCTACGACGAGCGCGTGCGCGTCGTCCGCCAGCGCTCCGCCGAGTACGTCGCCTCCGTCGGCGGCGACCCGGCCCGCGTCGACGTCAGCCCCTTCGCCACCTCCATCTGGGACCAGAGCCTCTACAAGGCCTGGGCCAGCATCATCCACGACCTCGTCCCCAACCTCGCCGTCATCGAGCGCAACCTCGCCAACCTCGGCGCCGCCATCGAGGCCGAGGAGATCCTCCTCTTCGAGCGCACCTCGTTCCTGGCCGTGTCGTCGTGGACGTCGCGCGAGGCGGCCCGGAACCCGACGGAGGACCGGCTGGAGCGCATGTCCAACATCATGAAGCACTTCAAGCAGAGCATCTCCCGCTTCACGGGCACCCCGCGCAACGCGGAGCAGTTCACGCGCATGGAGCACAAGGCCGGCACCCGCTTCAGCCTCTTCATTCTCAAGTTCACCACGAACACCTACTTGATGGTGGTGCTGCCGCCGGGCGAGGGCCGCTTCAACGCGGCCATGCTCAACTGCCAGATCGCCATTGAGCACTTCAAGTTTCTCGACGCTCCTGGCGGACTGCAACTCTCTGTGTAAACCTTTTAGGGGTTATCCGGCCACATTTTCACATTCTTCCTAGGTCGATTTCGCTCTTGTTTTCTTTGGCGTTTGAGGCGCGACAACGGATACCATTTTATTAGCAAAGTTGGTCGCTAGACGCACATAACCCAATCCTAACGACTGGTCATATATATAGCAAAATACTTTCGTAATCCATGACGTTTTCTTTCATTCAAGCAAGCTTTTGCTGCTACCACGTGGTCTCGCAGACCGTCTTGCCGTCTAGCTACTACTCTAGCCCCCTGAACGTCTATTTCCACTTGACAACCGCAGTTCCGCCCTTTTTGAACTCGGGCATCTCTCCGAGCACAAGGCTCTTGTCCGTGTGCTCCTTGTTGGGGAACGTCGTCGCTAGCACCCACGGACGAGACTGTGTCGCTGTTGACGCCCTCTGGACAAAGTCGTAGACGTCGCCGAGGGTGCTGGTAGTGTTGAATCGAGCGGGCAGCCTCACGCCGTCGGGGAGCTGCAGCCGGATCGTAACCGTGGGCTGGGACGGGTCGATGTCGGGAATGGGACTGCTAGGAGCCGCACCGTCACTGGCAGTCGAGGTACCAGATGCGACGGCGGGCGCGGGCGCATTGGCCGACGGCGCGTGGGGTACCGGGCTTCCGAGACGCTGGCCCGAGCCGGAGAATGGCTTGTACTTCTTGGGAAGCGCCTTGTATGGGGTGTCGTGCTGCTCGAGCTTGACGTCGACAGCCTGGTCGTGGTCGACATTCATGAGGTGTAGGGGGGCGCGACCGGCACGGATCATGGCGAGGTCTTGCTGGTTGGCGGGGTCGTCGAAGCGTCGCAAGTCGCCGTCGTCGATGCTGAAACCGTCTTGCCAAATGTGCAGCACGCGCTCTATCGGCTGACTGCTGCGGGAGCGGATGGGGCCGTTGGGGTCAGCGATGCTCCGACTCTCAACACCATCGCCACCTAGCGTCATGCCCGTGCCGCGAAATTGGTTCGAGGGAGCGCTGCTCGATTCGTCCTCGGACTCTGGACGGCCGGCATTTCTTTGGTGAAATGTCAGCAACTGTGTCAAAGGAGGCGCGCGACGCTCCACGCGCTTGATAACAGCACTCACTCTCTAGCCTTGGCCAAAATGTCGCTGATGATCTTTCTCGGGCCGGCATCTTGCTTGGGGTCTTGCACTGCCAGGCCGGACTTTTCTCCGCCCGCAAACAAGTTACCGCGGTTATCATCCTCTTCGTCTTCGTAATCGTCATCGTCGTAGTCGTCATCTTCTCTGTGAGCCGGCTCTGGCTTGGCGCTGCTGAGGGAGCCTAGGGTGGCAACGCCTTTGCGCTTGGGCTGGGCGGTTGTTGATCGGGCAGGTCGTGAGGAGGAAGCTGGGGCAGGTCTGCCGTCGAGGGTGCGAGGACCTGTGTACCCGGCATCAGCGGCAGCGGACGGCCCCGTCTCAGCGCCTTCATCTTCGTCCTGAAAGTACGAATTGGTGGCGGCAGATACCTGCCAGCCGTTGGCCGCGAGATAATGTGTTGCCTGCTCAGGGAGGAATGGTTAGCATCGCCATGTTTGTGGCGGGGAAGCGGCAACCGGACCTTCTCGGGGCTCGCGCCAGTAATTGAGCAGAACTCGCTGACGAGCTCATCTTGGCCATTATCCGCCATCGGGGGGGTTGAGAGTTTCTGCGGAAGACGAACGATGTGGAAGTGGGAAGAAGAGCTTCCCGCTTTCGAGCTTCAGTATGAATGGCCTTTCGTCATTGCAATTGCCTGTAGCAGGTTCCAGCGGTTCTAGCGCCCTGCCTCACTGGAAGCTCACTGTGGCGGGGCGCCCCCACTATATTTTGCCGAAAGAGGCTAGAATGTAATTGGTATATCAGCTTGACCTGGGGGATTGTGTAAGGATGCAAGATCCAACTTCTGCTTTCGATAAAGCCAAGAATATAAATCGATAAATAATAGGAAAACTCAAATTTATTACACAGATATTGACTCTGGAAGGCTATTTCTAAGTAAATCTGAAAGGATTCCTCGAGGGACGTGAAACTGCTTTCACCTTGGCAAGCAACAGCTGCGGTCAAAGAAAGCCAAAAGAGGTTATACGAATACTTGCAAACTGAATAATACACCAGGTAACTTCCAAATCACGGCCAGCGTAGCATATCTGTAGTTGGCAAGAAAAGAACCTAGTTGTCCTGTTCACATGTTGTTCCTTCAATGTATTCAACTCTTATTTTGGCAGCGAGCGAATCTTGGTTCCAAAACAGGGTTCAGTCAGCACTAGATAAGGGGGTCAAGTTATTAGCGACTGTGCCGTAGATCCTGAGCGAAACTCTTCGCACTCAAACTATTTTGCCTGTGGTCAAAGAATCTTTCTTTTCCATTGAATAGATGCTGCCCTAGACAACCATTTTCACTGAATTATACTACATTTATTTCTTCGGTTGCCGCGCCCTGCTCGCCATGAGGCCAGCTGTTCAATCGACGCCCTCGAACCCTTGGGAATAATGTCAACAATGTCGAGGAAGCTAAAATTCAGGCTCCAGCCCGTCCCACAGCAGGCGCCGAACCCTGCCGCCGATTACACGGCGCCGGAGCTTGAATTTGTTCACATTGAACAGCCGGCGCAGATGAAGGACGCGGCGACGCAGCGGCGAATCCGCCGCCATGTCATGCGTAACGTGGATCGCGCCCGGGGAGGAGGTCGGGCTGCCTCCTCGGTGGTGGTGCGCCGAAGCACATCGGACCGTGTAAAGGGCTTGGTGCTTGCTCCAACGCCGGCCGGCCTCGATTACTTCGGGGTCTGCAGCCGCTTCGAGTGTCTCTTTCGTTCCATGGACATGATCTCAGAGGGGCTGCTGGCGATGACCGTCGCTGATCTGTCATTCCACTCTCGGCTGACTGTGGGCGACGACTTGGGTCAGCTGCAGAGCCTACCGTTGTATAAGCAAGAGCGGCCAATCAACGGGATATCGCAGTATACCGAGTCTGTCCACCTCGTACGCGAGTCCATGGCGCAGCTGCAGCATGAGCCAAGTCGCAACGCCGTGATGGGCACCATTATTTGCTTGGCTTATCTAGACGTATGCCCCTGTTTACTTACTAAGTTGCTGCTGCTGACTGATAAACTAGATGCGTGTGCACAACTTTGGACGGTGTAAGATGCATCTCGATGGACTCTCCAAGATTGTTGACCTTTGTGGGGGCTTAGAGGCACTCGAATCCTGCAATGCCATACGCCAGGCGCTCTTCATGTACGAAACTTATTAACCGCTGTCGATCAAGTCGTCATCTTCAATGCTAACATTCTATACCTAGCGCCGACGTCTTGGACTCGACAAACATGGACTCTCAGCCGCGGTTTCAAGTGCCGCGAGAAGGGCCCGCTGTGCCATCAGCCCATGTGGGAAAACCTGTACAGAACATGTTGCATTCATTCGCACGAAGGATAGAGCAGTCTCCGTCTGACCAGGTAGCCCTTGGTGTTGTCGAGGGTGCCTTTAAGTCGGCCTCGCAGCTCGCATCTTTACTGAACCGCTTTGGTGGGCAGGAAGAGATGACGGTGAATTTGTTGCTCTCGGTTTGCCGAATAACGCACGGTATTTTATCTCTTCCCGCGTTGCAATGCAGCAGCCGATCAACCAGGGCATCTAGTGTCGAGCCTGAGGCTGACGCCTCTACAACATCACCTGCATGCGCCATGGCGGAACTAGTCCGATTGACCAGCTTGAATCTAGCTCGAATGGTCATGGACAAAACTTCCGGAGACGACTTATACTGTGTGAATATCGAAGGCCTCGTCCTGCGTCAGTTGCTCCAGCGGACAAGCGATAGCGACTGGCAAGGCTTCAACGAGGTCAGGCTCTGGATAGTGGCGACCCAGATTTTGATGGAAAGGGGATCGCAAAGACGCTGGTTTCTGAACGGACTTTCACATGTTATTGGGTTATTATCAATTCGGTCCTACAAGGCGATGATGACAAGGCTGCATACAGTGCTGTGGATCGACGTAGTCACCAGGCAGGAGATGGCGCAGCTGAAGGCAGACGTTGAAAGCCTATTCGCAGCCCGAATATGCAGTGTACCACAGTAACTCATGAAAATCTACGGGATACATATGTGCAGTTCTAAATAGTTACCCCCTGGTGCGGATCCAAGGAACGACATGGCTGCGCTAAGTATTTGCTAGCTGCAACCAACCAGAATAGGTAGAACCGGGAGCGGGCGATCAATAAGCGCATATATCCACTGGTTTGAAGCATGTCTCCGGGAGCTACGCATATATACAGCGCGGGGTAGCTTGTGGTACTGAGTGGCTCTCCCCCTCCTTCCAATCGTCTGCTAGTCGTGGCAGAATGGCTTCAAGCAATCTGAAAGCCGAATATGATGTCGTATTCGTGGGAGGTGAGTGCCACCGAGTCGGTCTGTTATAGTAATCAATCCATCTCACAAACTTTATCTCATAGGGGGCACCGCGGCCTGCGTGACGGCTGGTCGGCTGGCGAAGGCTGACCCGAAGCTGGCCATCTTGTTGATTGAACAGGGACACACCAACCTGGAGGTCCCCAGCATAGTCACTCCCGCCATGTTCTTGAGTCATCTCTTCCCTGGAAGCGAGACCGTCATGTTTCACTCGGCGAAGAAGGAGTCGAGCCTGGCAGATCGCGGTCTTGTGGTGCCGTCCGGAGGTATACTCGGTGGTGGTTCCTCAATCAACTTTACGATGTATACTCGAGGTGAGTGGCATTTGGAACATCGCAATTGGAGTCTCTACCCAATCTAACAGGCAGAGCTAGCATCTGCTGTCGACTTTGACTCTTGGAAGACCGAAGGCTGGGATGGAAAGCATTTAATGGCCCTTGCGAACAAGGCGGAGAATCACCAACTCGATGACCCCAAAATTAACGAGAGCGCTCACGGTCATGCCGGCCCGATCCAGATCAGCTATGGGACTCACTGCCCCAAGATGATCAACGACGACATTTTCGATGCGGCCGAAGCCCTGGGCATTCCTCACGTGGCCAATCTGCAAGACTTCGAAGCAGGTCACGGCTTTGAGCGCTGGGCCAAATACATCAGTCCGGACGGCAGGAGACAGGATACGGCTCACGGTTACATCCATCCTTTACTTAAATCCGGCAACTATCCGAATCTTCATATTCTCCCCGATTCAACTGTCACTCGCATCAAGTTTGACGGCACTCGCGCTGTTGGTGTCGAATACGAGCCAACTTCAAACAAGGCCAAAGTGGCGGCGGCCTTTATTGCTGCCAAGAAACAAGTGGTAGTCACTGCCGGGGCTCTGACTACCCCCTTGATCCTGGAGCGATCGGGACTTGGCAGGGCTGAACTGCTCCGCGACCTTGGCATCGACGTAGTCTCGGACCTGCCCGGCGTCGGAGAGAACTACCAGGACCACAACCTCATAACCTACCGCTACAAGGCCAAGCTAACCCCGGAGACGTCGTTTGACGGCCTCCTCAGTGGCCGCGAGGACATCGCCGAGGCCATGGCCGCCGGGTCGTCCAAGATGGGCTGGAACGGCCTCGACATCGGCGGCAAGCTGCGGCCGACCGAGGACGAGGTCGCACAGCTCGGCCCTGCGTTCCGGGAGCGCTGGGAGCGCGACTTCGAGCACCAGCCGACACGACCCGTCATGCTGCTCGCCTTCTTCGCCGGCTACTTTGGCGACCACGTCGCCCTCAACGAGCCCGCCGACAACCCGGCGCACTACATGACCACCGGCGCCTTCACCGCCTACCCGTACGCGCGCGGCAGCGTGCACCTCACCTCCGCCGATCCCCGTGGCGGCTCCCCGGCTGAATTCGCGACCGGCTTCCTCGCCGACCCCGTCGACTTGACCAAGCAGGTCTGGGCGTACAAGAAGCAGCGCGAGATCATGCGCCGCAGCGACCGCTACGCCGGCGAAGAACCGAACAGCCACCCGTCCTTTCCCGCGGGAAGCAAGGCGGCGTGCCGCGACGGGCCGGCGGTGGAGGGCGGCTTCCGGAGCGTGGCGGAGCGGGCGGCGCTGCCGCCGATCGAGTACAGCAAAGAAGACGACGAGGCGATTGAGGGCTGGATCCGGAAGCGCATCCAGACGGCGTGGCATTCGGTGGGCACGTGCAAGATGGCACCGAGGGAGGAGGGGGGCGTGGTGGACAAGGACTTGAATGTGCATGGCACGCAGGGGATCAAGGTGGCGGACTTGTCGATCCTGCCGGAGAATGTGGGCGCGAACACGTACAATACAGCGCTGATCGTCGGTGAGAGGGCGGCGGAGATTATTGGGCAGGAGCTTGGTCTGACAGTTTAGCTGGGGAAGACGGTACTGGGAAAGGGCCATAGACAGCTAGTTCAAGACACAGGTTTGTAAATAATATTTATTATGCAATGACATTTATGCCTTCAATCAATCTTGTGGTATCCTGCGCCGAGCTCGCTCTTTGTTTCTAATGCACCTACTCCATATACACCGTCTTCTTTGCCTTCATAAATAAACAGTAAATCATTTCTTTACAACATCCAAATCCAAATCTTCAAAGTCGGCCTCTACCGTCTTTGGCTTCGCCTCTACCACCACGTGTCGAGGAGGAAGTGCCGGCGGCGGGCCCTTCGGGAGCACCACTGGCTTTGTCGCCGCCTCTTGCGCATCGAGGAACTCGCCGTCCTCGGCGCCATAAATGCTCATCTCATCCAATTCGCCCTCCGCAATGGCCGAGTAGGGACTGTCCGCTCTTCCATCGTAGCGTGGTGGTGACAGATCCCCTTCCCGCACCGCCTCGGCCGCATCATGCCTCGTCAGGACGCGGGGCCCGGGACTGCTCGTCTCCGGGCTCGTCGCCGGTGTCGTCGTCGTCGTCGTCGTCGTCGCCGTCGTCGTCGTAGTGTCTTCGCCATCTGTTTGCGTGGCGGCATCCGACGTCGTCGTCCAGGCACTTCCGCTGCTCCACCGTGGTTTCCGCGCCGGCGCGTCACCGAAGCTCGCCCGGTATGTCGGCGGCGATCCTGCCGTGCTGGCGCGGGGCCGAAAGCTGCTGCCGCTCCGCGGGCGGAACTCAAACTGGTCGCTGGATACCCTAGCGTGGGAGCCGGCCTCGACAATCCCGAGACCTTCCCTCTCGAGCGCCGCCACACCGTACGGATCTGGATCATCCTCTCCGGGGAAGCCAAATGTGGCCGTAGGCGACACGACGTCGACGTCCCCCGGTGCCGGCTCCGCCCCCAGCTCCTCCAGCACCTTCTCGTCCACGTCCGCGCTGCCCTCCGCCGCCTTGAGCGCCTCCATCAGCCTCCTCGTCTCCCGCCCCGGGACGTGCCGCACCTTGCCCGCCAAGATATCCGCCGCCGCGATCGCCGTCTCGTTGTAGAAGCGCGCATTCTCGTCCGTCCGCTCAATCACCACCGTGCCGTCCACCTGCACGCCCGCGTAGAAGCCGCGCGACTTGAGGTACGTAAAGACCGGCCTCCCTGCCTGCTTGCTCCAGTGGCCGTCATTCTCCAGCACGCCACCCACGCCAACGGGCCCCGCGACGGCGCTGACCTCGCCGCCGAGGGTGGCGCGGATCTTGGTGAAGGCGGCGAGGGCGGCGCGCGTGTTGATGACGAGCACGCAGTCGTAGATGTCGACGCCGACGAGGAAGCCGAGGCCGGCGGTGTGGAGCAGGATGCCGGAGGGGGGCGACCAGGAGCCGTCGGGTTGGCGGGCGACGAGCACGCCGGAGCCGCCGGCGCCGGAGATCCAGAGGCCAGTGCGCATGGTGGTGAAGATGGCGAGGCCGACGGCGTTTTGGATGACGCTCTGGGGGATCTTCTTGAGGACGCGCTGCTTCTGCTTCGGGCCGGCGCTGTCGGGGACGCCGGGGGAGGGCTCCTCCTCGGTGTAGAATCCATCCTCTGAGACGGGGTGTTAGTGCCGAGGTCTGACAGGCGATCTGCTGAGCATGCACAACAAACGTACTGCAAAATGATTTTAGAATTCTAGCTGCCTTGTCGCTTTCCTTGTCGAGGGTCGTTGGCCAAAAGGCCTCGCTGCCGATGCGGTTGGAGAGTCTGTTGATGGGCGCGCCAAGCTTGTCGACGACTTTGAAGGCCTTGTCGAAGCCCTTTTTGCTTCCCTTTTTTGTCGTGTCCCATGACGGGAGATATGATGTGATCTTTTGCATTGTGAGGGAGGCAGCAGCGCTGCGGGCGCTAGTCTAGCGATCAAGTGCGCACGAGAAAGTGAGTTCTTAAACAATGCAGGGAGATAGGTGCTGACAGTAAGTTTGAAGGATTAATTCTCAGAAATTGTTATGCCGGGGAAAAAAAGGGCGAGCAAAACATATCTAGGGGTGCATTGCATTTTTAAGCAATCTGGTATGACGTCGCTGCCGGCGCTGCCGGATGGCGGAGCTGCCTCGGGCTGCTGCCGGGGCCGGGAGTGTCGGCCGCGCGTCACCCGAGGCAGCCCGAGAGCAGTGCTATTGGTTCGCTTTCCTGGGCGCTCCGAAGTAGACAAAATTGCCTTTTTAGCTACTAGTTGATTTGCGGTGCTGTCAGCATCATCTCACGGCTCTGGGTCCCTAGGATTTTTCCCGTCACAGCCCAGATAGTAAAAGCAACTAGTAACTAGTTGGCCAGAGTTGTTGTTGACACCCAAGGTATTGAGACAGTGATCCTATTCCAGGGGACTACGGGAGACGGAAACTATCTAAAGCCTGTCGCTCATTCTCAAAGCACCCGGCCCATACGATGGCGAGAGGAAGATGGCCATCATCATACTACCGGGTAGTGGTGCGTATGGGCAAAACAAGTAGGTGCAGTACCATTAATCAGATTTGGATTTTGTGAGGGCGATTTATGGGCACTTGAAAATATTCATGTAAATAAGAGTATATAACAATATTTCTAAAATATTATTGCGCAATGCTCTCGCGGGCTACAGCCCTACGCCTTCTTGCATTTATCAGTCGACTTGAGACCAGACGGGCAGCCCGGCATGGCGCTGATGCTGCTCGCATGATCACTGCCGCGGAAGGCAGCGATGGAGCCAGAGCCAATCGTGCCTCGAATCTTGGAATCGTAAATCTGAATCTCCGCACCCCAGGTATTGCTCAAGTCCGGAAAGTAGCACTGCACGTCGCGGTCCATCTGCTGATAGTCCCCGTCCTTGTTCAGCAGGTCGACATCCTGCTGATCGTTGAAGCAATCGGTGTAGTCGATGCCGCCGTTGGAGAAGTACTCGTCGTTGTACTTCTCGCGCCTCGCGAGGCCCGCCGCGGGGTGCTCGTTGCTCTTGTGGCCGAAGCCGAGCGACATGACCGAGTGGTCCGCCTCGTGGGCCGTGAGCGTAAAGTGCAGGCTCGAGTTGTGGTGGTTGTACATGTGGAAGACGGGCCAGAGGGTGCCCTCGGTGAGCGCGAGGCGCGCCAGCTTGGGGTGGTGGTGCGGCATGAAGCCGTCCAGCGCGACGGGCATGTTGAAGAGCCGGCTGAGCGTCTCCTCGGCCTCGAGAACGGCGTCGTCGCGCTTCCAGCCGCCGATGGAGATGCCGTTCTGCGCCAGACGGTCGTGGATGATCTTGACCGTCGAGGCGCCGTGCTTGGCCACGCCGATGAAGGTGGCGGCCGTCGAGATGGCGCCCCAGACGCAGGTCGCTGCGTTGCCGGCGCTGCTGGTGAACTCCTTGCAGCTGGTCGCCAGGCTGTAGAAGGCGAAGACTTGGTTGCCCGTCCACAGCGCGGCGCCGAGGAACCAGAACGGGAACCGCTTGGACAGTGTCTTGCCGCTGGGGTCGTCGTGCTGCGCCTGAAGCTGCGCCTCCAGGTAGGCCTGGTATTCGCGCTCCTTGCCCAGCTGCACGGCCATGTAAGCGACGCCGAGGAAAGTCATGACGGTGACGACGGCGAGCACGGCCAGAATCTTGATGGCTCTCCGGAGGCGGCGATTGAAGCCGTTCATGCTGGCCTGCGTGGACAGGTACTCTTCACCTTCCGGGAATGCGTGGTAGTCTGCACCCATGCTGAGATGTGCTTGTATTGAGGGATTGAATAAGGGATATGGAATGATAGAGAGATGAATTTCACATAGCCAGAGGAGATTATTGCCATCTATTTATACATTTTGCTCGCTCTCAGTTTCTTCCTCTTTTCCGGACCTACCAAACTCGACATCACACATAGTGAGGACATACCTGGCAAAGGAGTTTGTTTTTCCGCAGCTAGAAGGCCCTAAAGCCCTATTATTGAACCAAACTGGTTGATTTGAAGTCCATATCGAAGCCCAAGTCGGCATCGACGTGCCCAGACGGCAAGATGTTGCCGATGGTGTTGCATTGCAGGGCCAAGCCAGTAAATTCTGACAAAACCCTCTTTAATTTGTGCACCAGCTATAGAAAGAGTGGAAATTGTTGAGCGAAGGAAGCGGGAATAACAAAAGAAACAAAAGCCGCACTCATTGAGCACCCATCGTGAGCCAGTTCCCATGACGTCAGCCAAGCCGGCACGGTAGTTACTCTATCGGGAATATTCCGTCTCCTTCAGATACATTGGGCAACGGAAGATGCTGCCGAAGCCTTGTGGGGATTTCTGATTTGACAACTCTGACATCGTACGGATTACATTACATTGCATTGCGAGCAGTCTGTCTTCTGCCGTCCTAGTAATGACCTCCTGTGAGCAACCCCCTCCCTCCCTCCCCCGGAGCTCCATCACAACAGGTCCGGATGAAACTGACCGACACTTTAGTCTTGTACTCCGCAAAAGCCGCCGAGGCAGCGACGCACCAGCTGCCGGCGCTCCTTGACCGGCCACGCATCCTGCATATCCTTCACGACGAGACGCTGCTGCCCCGAATCCTGTGGCCCAGCAGCGTTATGATGAACAGGCAGCAGACCCTTTCCGGCCTGGAAGGCGTCCTTTCAGACAGCAAGATCGGCGTGTCCCTGCTCAAGCTGCAAGACGGCGTCACCAGCGTCGAGAAGGTCGGCGGCGGCTTCACCATGACGGTAACCTACACCGTTCTCGACGCGGGGGAAGACAGCAGCTCGCATACGTTACGGCTACGGGAGGAGCGCTCGGTTCGCGCACTGAAGCCGATTGCCAGCTTTGCAAAGTTCAAGGAGGAGTCGCCGGTGAAGACGCAGAATTTGCTGCGCTTCTTTGCGGCGTGGGCTGCGAATGGGGCTGATGATGCTACGGCTGCGCTGGAGAGCATCGCAGAAGCGAATGTGCAGGATGAGAAGCACAAAGACGACTGAGGTCCAAGGGAGAGATTGAGGGGATATTTGATTCCATGATTTTTAAAAGTTGGTTACTCGTCCCAATGCATTGCGCTGGTCCAAGCAGGTGCCCATTTTCTTGTGTGGCCCCTCTGCCAGGTACTGGCGAGCGAGGAATGTCTCTGCGCCTTGGGGGCATCTTTTATGCAGTCAATATCCGAACAAATTAACGATATCTAATAAAGCACGCGCTTACCAAGACAGATGCTTACCAATTCTGCCGAGGTTGAAAGAATTCGCTTTGCTAACCCTTGGTCTGTGTCGCAGAACTGGGTGACCCAGCGGGCTGGGACACCCCGGCCTCAGCCGAAGAAATTTAAGAAGAAATCGCCACCAAGATAGAACGGGCTTAAATTAGGCCGGAGAGTGGTCCTCATGGAACCAAGCTTGAACTGTGCAATGCGACCAACAGAGTGCTGCTCCATTGACCATGCGAGTGCCTGCAGTACTCCTGGCGTTGCGGTCCGCAACCTTGGCCATGGCAGATAACGTCAGTGGATATGCAGTAGAATCTGGCTCAAGTATGTCCGCATTGAAGGGGGTTGCAGTTGCCCTCTCATTACAAACTCATTGAGTGCTTCCTACGCTGTCGCTAACCAGTCCGCGCAGCATACACTGCTTCCTGCGATACTGCTTACGGCTTCACCAGCCTTTCCGGCACTCTTCCGGCCTGCACAAACACATTTCACGGGTCGCAATCTACTTACTCCCTGTTCTACTTTTTCTCGTGCGCAGGCTCTACTCTGGTTAAAGCTTCGGTGGAGGGTGTAAAGGGTAATGTAGCAACGAGTACGCTTGCGACCTACAAATGGTGAGTTGCCCTCAACAGTATGCGGCGGATCACTCTGACGAGCAGTGAAAAGCCTCGGACAATGCTCGACTGTCAGGATCTACAATGCGTACCCTTCCGCCACGACCACGCCATCAGCAACGTACAACCTCGCCATGTGCTTGAGCACCGACGACATGTACACGACCGATACGTTCGTGGTCGGCGTGGATGGACACTTGCCTAGCGATGTTCAAGCGCTCTATCGTTAGCCGTCGTCGGTTCCTCTTGCAAGCTTGACAGCCAGCGCAGCCTCCAGTACCGGCACCTCCACGCCTGTCGGGGGTGACTCGTCCTCAAACAAGGTGCCCGTCATTGTCGGTTCCGTCATAGATTGTCTGGCCGCGATTGATCTCATTGCGGCGCTCATCCTCTTCCGCCACCGACTGTTTCGCAAAAAGGCAGCAGATAGCGCGCCCGGGTCGGGTGACGGTGACGGCGGCGGGCCGGGGCTGGCAGAACTCGATACTGAGGAGAGCCATAAGCTACCCAGGCAGGAGATGGTAGACAGCAGCCCGTTGGAGATGGGGGGTTCGACATTGAAGCCACCGGAATTAGATTCGTCACAGCCAGTTCAGGCACACGAGGTGCCGGGTGCATCAGCGCGGAGAGTTTATCAGCCTCCGGCTTAGTTAGAGTGCGTGTATACTCGATACAAGATTACTTGGAGTTTCATGATCCTTTTTTTCCTCTTCCGTGCGCGTGTCTGAACGGCATGCCGCCTCGCGTATTGGGTTGAGATACTGTTGGCGGGTGCGGTAACATTGGCTTGCTGACGCCGATATCCCGACCCTGCAAACTGCTCATCGCAAAGGGGGCTAGGCGTAATATGTTGGGTCAGATTCGTTCAAGTTCATTTTGCGACACGGCTAAAGCGGCTGACAGAATGCAGAGCTCAAGAGCCGATGCAATAGTCTAGGGCTACTGCTGCAGAACTGATATGAATGCAGAGGCGACATCGAGGATCTGGAACGAGCGATTGGCTCCTCTCGCAGGGCGGCGACGCTCACAGCCAGGACAGACCCCTCGCTGGGGAAATGGCTCACCAAGGTCGCGTATCAGCTCGAGCTCCTGTACGGGCACACTGGAAACATTGCCTGTCTCCGAGAAGGTGTGCAGCTTTGCCGATTCGTGCTGTCAACGACGGCAGAGCATCACCCAGACCTGCCCCGGGCGGTTGTGTGTGCTGGGCAATGCACTGAGACGCCTGCACGGGCACAGCGGCGACTTGAATGACCTCGATGAAGCTGCCACGCTCACACAGCGGGCCGTTGAAGCCGCCGCGGAGGGAAACCCAGAGCTGCCGCACTTCGTTGCCAGCCTTGGCAAGGCTCGCGAGACGCGATATAACTGCTCGAGGAATGCGGACGACATGAGTGAAGCCATCAAAGCGTTGCATAAGGCGGTAGATCTGACTCGGCCAAGCCATGCGAAGTATGCGTTATGGTTGAAGGGATATGAAGAAGCGATGAAGAAAAGAAACTTGGAATTGTTGAGACCAAACGGATATTGTTGTTCCCTCAGTGGTGTTTCACTTCGTTTTAGCGCATACGCCTGGTGAGAGTCGGCGGAACTCCAATGATTTATAGCGCACACCACGGTACATAGTTAGCGCAATCACCAAAGTTACATGTTAAAACTAACAATTCACAGAATATTCCTCGGTCTAGCTTTTTGTTGGCCTCTTTGTGAATTTTTCGAGCATTGCTTAAAAGAGTGTTTTAAACAGATTTGTTACACATCCTAGAATCTCATTATAACATGGAATATTAAATACTTATGGTAGACGTCATAGGGCTTATTGGCGCGACACTGACAACTAAACTTCCCCACCCAGACTCATGAAGCCTCTCTTGTCTCCCTTCTGTCGCGCATCCTTCTTCCTGCACACTCTGAGACATCCTTGGTTTGCGCTACCCGCGCTGTCATTGCCGTGCACGAACTAACATACCGAATTCGAAATGCAAATTCGGGCTTTGCGACTGTAGATGGCCTTTTTCTGTGCGCCGACCAGCAAACTTGCCACCCATCCCATGCCCAGCCCATCACGACCAACCTTCTTGAGCCCTCCCTCCCGAGGACTCGCCCCGACCCGGCCACCATGGCCTTCCTAGAAGACCCCCGCCTGCGACAACGCTGGAACCAAATTACACACGATGCGGAGGCTGTTACCGAAAATGCCGCCGCTGGCATCTGGTCCTTCCAGCAGCACTACATCAACCCCTGCCTCGGATACCTGAGCCACTCGGCCGAGCAGTGCACCGCCGTGTGCTTAGGCGACCCCGACGAGCGCATGCGCCGTCGGCGAGAGCGCGAGCGCGGCGGCGCCGGCGCCGAATACTCGTTCGACTTCTACGACGACTGGTACGGCCAGGACGATGCCCAGGATGGCGGCGCCGGCGCTGGCTTTTTCGGCAGTTGGGCTGGCGAGGACTGGGATCGCCTCCTTGCCGGCAGCGGCAGCCAGCGCAAACATCTCGGCGGCGAGGGCGCGACAGCCGAGCAGCCTCGGCGGAAGCGCGGCATGAGCTACGGGACCAGGGGAACGCGACGCAAGGCCAGCGAGCACGATCCCACCATCATTCCCAGCACGCAGCCCATCGGCTTCCTCAGCAAGTTGCCCTGGAAGATGGGCGGCACCCTGCGATACAAGCCCAGCGCTGCCGACCTGCAGGACAACCCTGGCAAACATGAGGTTCTCGAAACGGCACCTCTCCTCGGCAGCGACGACGAATCTGACTACGGCCAGCTCATCGTCTCCCGCAAACGAAGCGGCACCACGGGATCTGGTGGCACCGGAGGCACATCGGACTCCTACCGTTCACGCGGCGACCTGTTTCCCTCTGACGGTGAGGGTGAGGAAGACGCCGTGGTTTTGGACGACGACGTCACCTACGACATGGTCCGAAACGATCGCAGCAGTGCGAAGAGTGACAAGACGAGGAGCAGCAAGGGCAAGCGACCGGCCAAAGGCGAGGGCTTCTTTGCATCAAGAACCCTCTCGAGAACGACGATAGCATCTAACTCATCCGCCGACACCATGCCTCTACGACGCTCCATATCATCGCTCGCAATCAGCCCCGCGGTTGAGCGCGTACCATCCCTGCAGGACTTGCAACTGGAGGAGGACAGGCTGCGGGACGAAGAAGAGCAATACATTGCCCACAGGAAAGAAGCAGCGGCGCAATTGGCCACACAACTTGGGCTCTCACCAACGGATACGGATACGTACTCGATTGCCGAATCCAAACGGCTACCTTCGACAGGTGATGAACCTATCCCGCTACCCACACATGAATCTTTGCGACAACCGTTGGAAATGGCCAGCGATGTGACGAGCGAGGAACAACATAAATTCAAACCGAGGCAAGACTCACAAACAACACCACAGGAGTTCGTCCCTGCGCGGCTGCCACACTTTGGCTCATGACCCGTTTCAATATCTGCTCGGTATACCTGTACATACATAGTACGACGTGATGGCTGCCTTGGGTTGGCGGCTAATTTGCCTCGGGAATTACAATGGGAAACACTGCGAGATGGTCTCGCAAAGCATACTGATTTATTAGCGCTGTATTCTACATAATTCGAGACGAAACTGTCTCTATGGCGTTTTGAATGGGATATTCTGTTCCGCGCTGCTTTTGACCCCGCCTCAGCTCTCGCGTAACGTGCTGGAATCTTCAGAGCCCATGTAGTGTAGTACAACGACACAAAACATTGATTCATCAACAACTCATTGTCTATCACCCCTAGTTCCCGTGCCTGGTAATAAAACGATCGACTGAGACCAATAGGCCACGTCAGAGCGTTTCCACGGTGCCCCGTTTCCCCGCGAAGGAATCCGGGGTCGGTGGCTTGACAGCAGGCCTCGGCTACAATTACCCCACAGACCTCAACGCTATCACCATAGCTATGTATGGATGTATGTATATAACCGAGTGGCTATTTTGTGAGCCGGCACGCAAGAAGCCGTCCGATCCGGTTCCAGCTGCATGTATTATCTCCCTCCCCTGATTTTCATTTAATTCCATTCGTATTCTCCCACTCAACAGTACACAGCAAGCCTCTCCCTACGTCTTTCTCCAACTGGCTAGGCATAGACTGCATCCGCACAGCCGCGTCTATCTCGCGAATAAATCACACACAATGGCTCCCGCAGGCCCCATCACAACAGAGCTCACCAAAGTGCTCGGGATCAAGCACCCGATCCTCCTCGCCGGCATGGCGCGTGTGTCTGGCGGGCAGCTCGCCGCCGCCGTCTCCAACGCCGGCGGCCTCGGCGTCGTCGGCGGCTTCAAGTACACGCCGGAGCAGCTCAAGGACATCCTGGCGGAGCTCAAGGCGGGCCTCGCGCACCCGGACCTGCCCTTTGGCGTGGACCTCGCGCTGCCGCAGGTCGGCGGCAACGCGCGCAAGACCAACTACGACTACACCGACGGCAAGCTCGACGAGCTCATCGACCTGACCATCGCCAGCGGCGCCAAGCTCTTCGTGTGCGCTGTGGGCGTGCCGCCCAAGTACATCATCGAGAAGCTGCACAAGAACAACATCCTGGTGATGAACATGGTCGGCCACCCCAAGCACGCCAAGAAGGCGCTGGACCTGGGCGTCGACATGGTCTGCGCGCAGGGCACCGAGGGCGGCGGCCACACGGGCGAGATCGCGACGTCCATCCTGATCCCGGCCGTGGCCGACGTGGCGCGGCAGTACCGCCCGCCGCTGCTGGGCGGCCCGACGGCGCTGGTGGTGGCCGCGGGCGGCATCTCCAACGGCCGCGGGCTGGCGTCGTCGCTGATGCAGGGCGCGTCGGGCGTCTGGGTCGGCACGCGGTTCGTCGCGTCCAAGGAGGCCAACTGCAGCGAGCAGCACAAGGCGGCCGTCGTCTCGTGTGACTACCACGAGACGGAGCGCTCGCTCGTCCTGACAGGCCGCCCGATCCGCCTCAAGGTCAACGACTACATCCGCCAGTGGCACCAGCGGCCGGACGAGATCCAGGCGCTGTGCGACAAGGGCGTCGCGCCCATCATGCATGACTTTGATAATGGAAAGGAGGACATTGACCTGCCGCACCTGATGGGCCAGGTGGCCGCGTCCATCACCAAGGTTCAGCCTGCGGGCGAGATTGTGGATGAAATGGTGGCTGAGGCTACGGAGATGTTGCACAAGGCAAGCACCTTTGTTGGTCCGAGTAAGCTGTAATTATTTATGAGCATTACATTGCTGTATCATGTCATTAGGCTCCTGTAAAATTGCATCATGAAATTCATGTTTGCGCCCGTGCCATGCTTCTCGAGCCGTGCGGAGTGCGAATTGGCGAGTTACCGCACTGTAGGAACCACCAACACATGGTGGGGCCATTTGTGAGTTTGGCTCCGCGCAACTTTTTCTTATCGATACTGTCCCAACTTTTTTTTGCAGCAAAATCCTCTGCGCCGCCTTGATTCATTGTGCATGCATTACCTTGTTGACGACGAGCCGCAAATCACATAATGGACCACTCAATAAAGAAGCGCAAGCGCCGAGATATCGAGGAAGCTACGACCGCCAAAACGAACGGCGCCGAAGGCATCTCGAAGAAGTCGAAAAAGGTCAAGAAACCGGCTCCCGTGGAGGAAGAACCCGAAGAGGATGACTTCGAGGGCTTCGACGAGGAGAACAATGTAGAGGAAGAAGATGAGTCGGAAGAGGAGGACAATTCGGAGGAGCAGGCAGAGGATGAGGACGAGGACGAAGATGCGAATGTTGCCGACCTCCCGACCGATAATGCCCCCATACTTCCCATGGCTGCCGACGCCCAGTCGTTCGAAGAGCTGAAGCTTTCAGACAAGACCATGAAGGCTATCAAGGAGATGGGTTTCACAAAGATGACGAGCATTCAGAAAAGTGTACGCGTTTCGACCGATCCGAATACCACCATGTCAGACTACTAACTCTCAGACAGGCTATCCCTCCTCTTATGGCTGGCAAGGACGTGCTCGGCGCGGCCAAGACTGGCTCGGGCAAAACGCTTGCATTCCTGATTCCCGCTATCGAAATCCTCTCTTCGCTGCGCTTTAAGCCGCGCAACGGCACCGGCGTCATCGTGGTATCGCCGACGCGCGAGCTGGCGCTGCAAATCTTTGGCGTCGCGCGCGAGCTGATGAAGCACCACTCGCAAACGTACGGCATCGTCATGGGCGGCGCCAACCGCAAGGCCGAGGCCGAGAAGCTCACCAAGGGTGTCAACCTGCTCATCGCCACCCCCGGCCGCCTGCTCGACCACCTCCTCAACACGCCCTTCGTCTTCAAGAATCTAAAGTCGCTTATCATTGACGAGGCCGACCGCATTCTTGAGGTTGGTTTCGAGGACGAAATTCGTCAGATTGTCAAGGTCCTGGCCAACGACGACCGACAGACCATGCTGTTCTCCGCTACCCAGACGACCAAGGTCGAGGACCTTGCCCGGATATCACTGCGGCCCGGTCCGCTCTACATCAACGTCGACGAGGAGGAGCGCTTCAGCACTGTGGATGGCTTGGAGCAGGGCTACGTCTTGTGCGACGCCGACAAGCGCTTCATTCTGCTGTTCTCGTTCCTGCGCCAGATGCACCAGAAGAAGAAGAAGGTCATTGTCTTCTTCAGCAGCTGCAACTCGGTCAAGTACTATGCCGAGCTGCTTAACTATATCGACTGCCCCGTGCTTGACCTGCATGGCAAGCAAAAACAGCAAAAGCGCACAAACACATTTTTCGAGTTCAGCAATGCTCCTCACGGTATTCTTATTTGCACAGACGTCGCTGCCCGTGGTCTTGATGTAAGTCTCAGACAACCTCCCTCCTGCTCCAATCCCCCTACTAACGTGGCCAGATCCCTGCCGTCGACTTCATCGTCCAGTTTGACCCGCCCGACAACACGCGCGACTACATCCACCGCGTGGGCCGGACGGCCCGTGGCGCGGGCAAGACGGGCCGCAGCCTGCTGTTCCTGCAGCCGAACGAGGTCGGATTCCTGTCGCACCTCAAGGCGGCGCGCGTGCCCGTGGTCGAGTTCGAGTTCCCGGCCAAGAAGATCGTCAACGTGCAGTCGCAGCTGGAGAAGCTGATTGGCAAGAACTTTTACCTGCAGCAGAGCGCCAAGGAGGCGTTTAAATCGTACCTGCACGCGTACGCCAGCCACAGCCTGCGGTCCGTCTATGACGTGAACAAGCTCGACCTGGCTAAGGTGGGCAAGGGCTTCGGCTTCCCGACGCCGCCGCGGGTGGACATTACGCTGGGCGGCTCGATGAGCAGGGACCGGGTGCAGGGCCGGCGGACATATGGCAGCCAGCCTCGTCAAAATGTCAACGGGAAACGGCGGTAGAAGGGGGTTCGGTTGATTTTCTTTGGTGTTTTGTTTAAAAGTCATATGTGTCTGTTTACCCAACATTGTTTAGTGCGGATTTCGGCATACTCTAGATGAAAAGAATAACAGATGAATTTATAGTCATGACGGTTGCGAGATCATGATCACTGTTTTCTTTTTCTTTTTTTTTCTTTTTTCTTTTTGGATATATTAACGGTTATGGATTGATGGACCACGGATCGGCGATGACGCCGCGGGCCGGCTGTTAGTGGCGCAGGGGAGGTGGGGATTGCTCAGCTCGAACCTGTCCGCTCCGGGACTCAGCTGTTGCCGAAACTTGCTACAGTAACTCAATTCAAGCATTTCTCATCTCATTTCCGGACACCAATACTCACCGACCCAGATTCCTTCTTGCTCCTAGCTTACACACACCCGTTACTTGCGGCTTGATGTTAGCCGCCGCTGCCGAGCCTTCCGGCCTCGCCCTCCCTCCTACGATGGAGAGCCACGACGCCGCCGTGCGCCTCATCGCGGAGCGCGTCCGGCACTTCTCCTCGCAGCAGAAGCCGTTCCGGATCTACCACGGGTCCACCAACAGCACGCGGACCTCCCAGCGGCGCCCCGACAACACCGTCGACACCAGCGCCCTCACGCGCGTCCTCTCCGTCGACGCTGCCTCGCGGACGGCCCTCGTGGAGCCCAATGTGCCCATGGACGCGCTCGTCGAGGCCACGCTGGCGCACGGCCTCGTGCCGCCGGTGGTCATGGAGTTCCCCGGCATCACCGCCGGTGGCGGCTTCTCCGGCATGGCCGGGGAGAGCAGCTCCTTCCGGCACGGCGCGTTCGACGCGACCATGCGCTCTGTCGAGATGGTGCTGCCGACGGGGGAGGTGGCGCGCGCGTCGAGGACGGAGCGCCCGGAGCTCTTCTGGGGCGCGGCGTCGGCGTTTGGCACCCTGGGCGTGGTGACGCTGCTGGAGATTGAGCTGCGGGAGGCGAGGCGGTACGTCGCGCTGAGCTACGCGCTGACGAGGAGTAGCAGAGACACGCTGGCGGCGATGGAGGAGGCGGAGGCGGCGGCGGAGACGGATTACATTGACGGCATCGTGTTCGCCAAGGACGCGACGGTGGTATGCGTGGGGAGGCTCACGGACGACTTGCCGGAGGGGAAGTCGCCGCGGCGGTTCTCGCGGCGGACGGATCCCTGGTTCTACCTCCGCGTCCGGAACGTCCTGAGACAGCTTCAACAGAAGCCTACGGAAGCGGTGGTCGACTACATACCGCTCCGGGACTACCTCTTCCGGTACGACCGCGGCGGCTTCTGGGTCGGCCGGTACGCCTTCCGGTACTTCCTGACGCCGTTCAACCGCGTCACGCGCTGCGCGCTGGACCGATTCATGCACGCGCGCGTCATGTACCGTGCCGTGCACCGCAGCGGCCTCGCCGACACGCACATGGTGCAGGACGTCGGCGTGCCCTACGCCGCCGTCCCGGACTTTTCCGCCTGGCTCGACGCGCAGTTTGGCATCTACCCGCTCTGGCTGTGCCCGCTGCGCGTGCAGCGCGACGCCCCCGACGCGCAGCACGGCCTGCACTCGGAGTTTGGCCGGCCCGGCGCCCCGAAGCTGATGAACTTTGGCGTCTGGGGGGAGCTGCGCGGGGCCCGTACACGGCGCGAGGTGGTGGGGAGGAACCGCGAGCTGGAGAGAAAGGTGCAGGCGCTGGGGGGCAAGAAGTGGCTGTACGCGCACGCATACTACCCGGAGGACGAGTTCTGGGCGCACTACGACAGGGAATCGTACGATAAGCTGCGGGAGCGGTACGGCGCGGGGTACCTGCCGAGCGTGTACGACAAGGTCAAGGTGGATGTGGAAGCGGAGGAGGCGGCGGCGCGGGCGACGTGGCGGTCCCGGGCGAGGCACGGCGTCAAGGAGATTTGGCCGGTAAGAGGCGTGGTTGGGTTCTGCAAGGCGGCGGTGGGAGGTGATTACTTGCTGCAGAAGAGTAGGGGAAAGACGGAGGAGGATGCAGCGAGTGCGAGTAGGACGCCGTGATGATTGCAGAGGTTGTTGTTTGGTACAAGGTAACATGTACGAGTTAGGTTGGTTAAGGATCGAATAGTAAATAGATTGGGTATAAATAGAAGCAAGTAGAAAAGACAGATGCGATGAAAGCAAGCAAAAATGAGGCCGCACTGGCATATTAAAACAGAAACCCAGGTCATGACTTTTCTCGCACGCATTCATTCGTGCCCGCCCGTGGAGATGAATGTGTTGACTTCCACCGCCTTTTTACCAATAATACATTTTGAGTTGTCGTGCATACATGACTAACCAACCTACTCCTTTCAACGCCTCTTCTTTCGTCGATAGTGTTTGTGTGTTTGTCGGAGCAACTCGCCGAGGCAGAAGCCTTCCTCAGGGTGTCCGCACCTCGGCAGCGACCCGCGCGTTGTTGCTTGAGGGGCCGACACCGACGGTGCCTGGGAACAGGGCTTTTTCCTCCTCTTCCATGAGGCTCTCCAGTCTGATTTTGGGCACGGAGCCGGAGCCGGTGCCGGGCGGGGTCTCCGAAGTCGGGCTTGTGGAGGGCGGCGTGAGGGACGGCTGGCGACGGATGCGGTTCCGTAGGAGACCATTTGACGCTCGAGGGCGAGCCATGGTGTTGTGGTCTTTGGTATTATTTTTTTTAATCTTGTAAAGGGAGAAAACCGTCAAATCTCACCACCGTCAGCGGCAAAGGAAAATTTGAAGCTTGGAAGAAGGAAAAAAAAAAAAAAGGGCTTAGTCTACACCAGCCTCAACTTAGACCACAACCGGCGTGACTGACTAACTTACTTATTAGGCCGTAAGCCGGCCACAAAGCAAGCCAAGGAAGGGACAAGAGCTTGCATGTTTTATTGGCCAGTGATAAGATAATGCGGCAGAGCCAAGACACGGGTTGCAGATGGTCGGCACATGGCTTGACTTGCGCCAGGGCCGCTCACTGGCTGCAGCGCAATGGCGCGCCGATGATGCTAAGATGACACGATGGCTGGCAGAGTGCTGGAGTGTCGCACTCGGGCAGGGATCGGCGTGCGCGTGCTGGGCGACTGCCGCTGGGAGGCTTGGCTTGGGCAACTCACAGTGCAGCTTCTCTCCTGTCACCACACGTCCTCCCCCTCCTGGACAAGCAGGCGCCCTTGGTGCCTATAATGCAGGTGTTGGTGGTGGTGGTGGTGGTGTGGCTGCTCTCTTGCATAGACTTGCATCTTGCACCTCCTGCCTTTGCTGGTAGCATATGTGTCGATAGATGGAAGGAATGAGAGATACGTGTTCGGCTCACAGCGCATGTGAATTGCAAGACGTCCAGAAAAAGGTGCGTGAATATGGCTTAACTTACCCTGGACTCTTGCTATCAGCTCCCCTTGTCTCACATGAGAGATGGATGCACGCCAATGGCATCACCAACTTGGAGTTGGTAACACGAAGGAGGAATGTGACTGAAAGTGTAACCGTCGTATAGTCAATGACTAGCAAAGTCGGCGATGCTCAGTGAAGCTGACACAAGCCTCTTCTGTCAGATGACAGGTCCAAGGTTAACAAGCCCCAAGGCTAGCCCGACTCTCACGAATCATCACCTGAATCTCCAGAGTCGGAATCCCCTTCACCATCAGCAGCAAGCATACCACGATCAAGGCGAACAATCCGGTCAGCGCCACCAAGGCTCGACTGACGATGGGCAATCGTCAGCACGGTGCAGCCCCCAAAGTGGTCCTCCATCGCCTGGTGGACAACCCTCTCCGTTTCAGCATCAACACTGCTGGTTGCCTCGTCTACCAGAATAACCTTGAACCCCGTCTCCCGCTGACGTAGGATAGCTCGCGCGATGCACATTAGCTGCAGCTGCCCCTTGGAGTACCCGACCTCATCCAGCATGGCATCGAGACCGCCCTTGTCAATCGTCGGCGCCCAGATGTGAAGACTCTTCAGCAATTTTTCCAAGTCGTCGTCTTGTTCCCCGGCCTTGTCCGCGTAAGCCACGTGCGTCGCCTTCTTCCCATCCTCGTTCATGGAAAGTGGCAGCAAGTTGGTCCGAATGGTGGCGTCAAACTGAACCTGATCCTGCGTGATGGAGATGGATCGAGCTCGCAGCTCCTCCGGTGCTACAGATGACACAGCGATTCCGTCAATCTCGACGCGGCCGTCAAATTCCAGAAATCCAAGCAGCGTGAGCAGAAGCGAAGTCTTGCCGCTTCCACTGCGCCCGGCTATGCCGATTCGCTCCCCTGGACGGACCACCAAGGACAGGTTCTGCAGCACCGGTCTCGATCCAGGGTCTCGAGAGTAATACGCGAACAGGTTCTGCACTCGCACGCTGCCAAGCGCCGGCCAGCTACTCGGCAACTCCGTCACCGCGGACCTCCTCCTCTCTTGCGGCGTGTCGCTCCCGAACATGGAGATCCTCGCCAGGGCGCTCGAGGACGTTTCCAAAGTCGTAAACGCCGTGATGGTCCCCTCGAGGGCCTGGCTGAGATACAGAAGCCCCATAAAGGACAATCCGACCGCAGGCTGCGACGAGCTCCCTGGTATGAGCAGCGTAAGCGCTACGAGCAGCGTTCCGATAAAACCGGTGACGAGACCCAGCACCAGCGACAACCAGCATTGGATCGCCGCCAGAACGTAGTACGGCTTCTGGGAGTCTTCCAGCGCCGCTAGCGCGGCCTCCATGTTGGCCTCTTGCCAGCCAAACGCCCGGATGTGCGTCAGTCCGGCGGCCGTGTCCTCGAACAGCGTATACAGCGGCGTCTTCATCTCTAGGTCCAGGTGGCGCACCTGCCGCGACGTGCGGAGATAGCAACGCTGGATGAAGTAGAGCACGACGAGCATCGCGGGCAGCACGGCGGCGAGGTAGGTGGCCCCGGACAGAATGACGCCCGTGTTGATGGCCGCGTTGGCGCTCGCGTAAATCGTCCGCATGTAGGCGCCGGGCAGGCTCCGGGAGATGAGCGTCATGTCCTGGCTGAACAGGTTCAACAAGCTCCCGACCTTCGTGGCAGAGTAGAAGGCGAGCGTGCAGCCCATGGTGGTCCTGACGAGCTTGTCGTGAAGGGTGGCGGAGGAGCGCGGGGAGAGCAGGACGTGAAGAACCCAGTACTCCAGCAGCCCGTTGATGCACGCGGCGACGGCGACGGCGACATAGCCGATGAAGAAGGCGGAGCTCGCGGGGTCGACTTGGATCCAGATCCGGATGTAGATGCCGGGGATGATCTCGAGAGCAGAACCAAATGAGACCAGCAGGGCGTGGAGCAGGAACTTGAACTTTCCGATGGGGTTGATGAAGAGCTTGTACAAGTGAAAGCCACCTCGTTGCCGAAGACTTGAGTTCGGGGAAACTGCACCTGGTTCGTGTCTTTCGAGGGATCTGCGTATAACGTCCTGCTCCTTGTTCTCATGGACAAGTGACACGTTTGTGTTCAACGGGAGGAGGGCGGCAACAAGATGATCCGTGTGATGCAGCGGGCTTCCAAGCCCTGTCTCTAGGGTAGCAGTTCCTCGACCGTTCAAGAAAAGGATCTGGTCCGTCACGTCTCTGCTTTGGGGGAGGTATGTGGCAAGCAAGACGGTGGCTCCGGACTGACGAAACAGTCCGTTGGTTCCGCAGAGCTGATGGAGGATGCATATCGCCGTGACGGCATCGAGCGAGCTAAATACATCGTCCAGCAAGACGATTGTAGTCTCGGCATACGCGGCTCGGGCCAAAGCTACGCGCTGACGTTGACCGCCGCTCAAGTTGGCGCCGTTGTTGCCGACGACATAGTCTTGTCCGTCCGGTAGCCGTGCGAGGTCATCTTCAAGAAAACAGGCGCGAATGACTCTCTGAAACTTGGCTTCATCGTATGGAGAACTGCCTATGACGTTGTTCCGAATCGACGTATTGCGCAACCATACTTTTTGACCGCAGTACGCAATGTCGGAGGAGCCGACTTGGATAGAGCCAGCCAGTACCTCGGTCTCCCCGAGCAGTGAACGGAGGAAAAGGGACTTGCCGGCGCCGGTTGGACCGAGCACTCCCGTGACGGAGCCCGGAGCAAGCTCGAAATCGACATCTCGGAGAACTGGCCTGGTTTCCCCAAGCGGTGCAATGTCCGCGCGGCGCAACGTGATGATGCTTTGGGTGTTGGGAGGCGACTCGTCTCGATCTTGCGCAGCGTTTCTGGATCCCACCCTTGACCGAGAATCCCGAAGCTCATCGAGTTCCAAGAAAGCTTGGATGCGAGAAAAGCACACCAATGTGCTTGAAACGGTAGAGACTGTTCTCAAGACGGCGGCGAGTGGCCGGACGACCAGCGAGATGACAGCAAGCATCGGGAATACCTTGACCGCTGTAATTCGGTGGTCAAATGCAGGTCCGAAAAAGCCGGAGGCGATGACAATGACGGGCGTCATCAAGTCACCAAACACAATCGGCCCAATAGATAGAGCCTCCAAGCGTCGATACCTCTTGGAGACACCAATCTCGGTCACTCGAAGTTGCTGCAGGAACGTGCCCACCGTCGGGCCTAGTCCAAGCATCTTGATCGACGTAAGCTGTGGCAAAACCCTCCCCGTGTGCGCAATCCTCCTCTCGATGCTCCTGTTCCACGCCGACAACCGCGGCGACATGGCGCAGCCGAGCAGATACGCCACCACAGTCGTCACCACCAGCGGACCCAGCACCGCCAGGGCAGCCACGCCAATGTAATCGGACAACAGGTACACGCCGAGGCTTAGCTCCAGCGCGCCGATGGGAATCTCGAGGCACTGCGGGACCCCGACCGCGATGCCGTCCATGTCGGCGCTCATCAGCGTCGTCGCCGAGGCCGCCGCCGCGTCGGCCAGCCGGTGCGCCTTGTCGAAGAGCGCCGCGATCAGTGCGCCGCGCAACCCGGTCACCACGCGGTTCGTCCGGTGCGAATACGAGGCCCGCGCGAGGGCGACGCCAAAGTAGACCAGCGCCGCCGCCGCCACCGCGCCCCCGCGCTCCTCGCTGCTGCTGCTGCTGCTGCTGCTGCTGCTGGTGGTGGCCCGCCCAACGATACCGACGACGCAGCGGATCACAAACGGCTGCGCAAAGGTGAACCCGGTGACGGCGAGCCGGGAGGCGACCAGGCCGAGGAGGCGACCCTTCCACGTCCTCAGGCACGCCTCTAGTAGCGCGTTCCGTGCCCGCGACGGTCGGCGATGCGGCTTCCAGTAGCGGGCGAGCCGCCGATGGAGGAGCGCAGACGACAGCTCCGGGTCCAGCCGGTCGAGGTGGCGCAGCAGCAGCGGAGGACCGCGTCGGGAACCGATCGCGAAGACGGGGCCGAGGAACAGGAAGAGCAGTCGCCGCAGCGGACCGCACGTGGTCTCCGGTCCGGCATCGCTGCGGAGGGCGGGGTCGATCAGCGCAGAGCGCTTGGAGACTTCCTGCAGAGCGAGCAGCGAGAGCCGGAGGGCGCTCGAGACGGCGACCAGGCCGCCGAGCGGTGCCAGGCCCGGGCGGAGGAACAGGGAGCGACTTCGTGCGGCGTCGGTGAGGAGGGTGACCAGGAGATAGGCGCTGAGCCACGCGGAGGAGCGGATGTGACGCCGGTGGTCCGCGCCGAGGAGGCCGGCGAGGCATAGAGCGGCGAGTAGATCGACCGCCGCCGCGGCCGAGGTGACGTTTGTGAGCTGTCTGCCCGATGTGATCCTGACGGCGACAAAGGATGTCTGTACTGCAACGAGAAGCGCTGAAACGGACTAATATAGGAGATTTCAGTCAGGACGCCAGGGTTCATGCAGATGAAGATGCCCCGGCCATGTCCTTTGCTTACCAGCTTCACCCAAAGGAGCGCCGTCGTCCGAACGCACACGGGCACTTGATACAGGCGAAAGAAGCAGACGATGGATCCAACCACCAAGCATGAGGAGACGGCCAGGCTAAAGATGAACTCCTCAAACTTGAGGGTAAAGTCGGGTGTCGGGCCGGTGCTGCCCCAGAACCCGTGATCCGAGAACTCGTGATCCGAGAAGGTGGCCATGATGACCGGCAGGCCGGCGTGGCAGCAGCAGTTCTTACAGAATTTAGCAACTTGTGAACGGGCCGCATCAAGCTGCGATGTAGTCAACTCTTCCTGTTTGAGAATGCCTTGGAAGCTGAGACTGGGTAGCGACTGTGGGTGGGTAGGGAAGGACAAGAGACGACGATAATACCAGCGCGAGGACGCCGCGATTTGCTGGTTAGAACAACATTTAGGAGTCCAATAAACGATCATGGCAAGTGGCCCAGTTGTCAACAGTCATAAAGACAAGGAACTTGTGTCAAGAACCTTTGCATTTAGATGGATCTATTGATGCCCCCAGATTGCACCCACAGTGGCTGCAGGCTCGGCCGAATAACTCACTGTCTGTCGCTTCAATGGGTTCGCTGGCAACAATAATAGATTGCGCTTGTTATGGAAGTGGCTTGAAGCCAGGCGAAGCAGTTGTTTTACCCGTCATGCACGATTTCGGAGGGGGAGGTTATCAGGGCGGCCAGCAGGGACAAGCGACTGCTTCCGTCCTCACTCACTGCACCTGGTTCTCATCTTCTGGAGGCGCTGAAAGTAAAGAAAAGGCATCATCTTGAAATTTCTACCATCATAGTTGATCTGGCCTATAGTTGAAGCTCGATTTACACCCACCAGGGCCGCCTGTCGAGGAAGGCCAGAAAGCTTGCCTGCCCCTCCCAGCATCAATTCTTGGCCGCCTCCGATCCAAACTCCCCGACGTAGGCGGGCTTCTCCATTTGCATCGGCGTGTTCAGGACTGCCGTTTCCTCCATTGTTAGCCTTGACCGGCAATTTGATGCGGACAAGGGGGACTCACCGGGGGCTGCGTGGCCAACGATTGCGAGAGCAAGGACTGCGGCGATGAGGCCGTTGACAGAGGGAGGCATCATGAATTCGGAGCTTTCAGGTTGTTAGTGCAAAGTGTAATCTCAGATGATAGTTTACAAGGAACGAGATCCTGTATTAATACAAGCAAGAAAGCAGGCCCTGGCGGAATCGGTTTCCATCCGACAGCCTGGTTCCCCCCCGCTACATCTCGTCAGGCTCCGCCCCGAAACTTGGCTGCGAACAAGTCCATCGTCCAAGCTTGTTGGGATTGGCAGTTGGTGATCAAAATGGCCTGACGATTGCATTTGCATCAAGCGGGGGTTGACCGAGGTGCATGGGAAGCGTCGTCGAGAGGTTTGCAAAGAAGCAGATCTTTTACTTACCCCGCCTAATAGATCCAGGGACTTTTGTCCAGGTAGGATTCCGCCTCCATGCAGTATGCAATAAAACCAGCCTTAAGAGTCAAATAAAGGACGTCTTGGAAGCCTCATCACAGGAAGGATGTTGGTGGCGCTCGTTCGTTCTTAGGACGGGTCTAGGGTAGCTACCGAAGTTGACCTGATTTGATCTGATTAGAATGATCTTTCATGTCCGAGGAATCCCTAGGAAGGAAAAATGCGCCTAGCGAGTCTATCTGATGTTCTAATTCATACGTGTTCCTGCTTCGCGTTAGAAGTTCGTGTTGGCCTACTGCTCTATCTTGGGGGCTGTGTAAGCAGAGAGCCTGGTACTCATATGAGAAGCTGAGGCACTTGCGACAAGTGCTGTTAAAAACCATGACTTCCGAACTGAGATTTCCTTCGTGTTAGCCCTACTCTTGCTTTGGTTGATACAGTCAGGATGCCCATTTTGTCTTCTGGGTGGTTGGGGGAGGGAGGGGTTTGGGGGAACGTTGATTCAGTCCATCGCTACCACCATCGTGATAAGCAAGAGAAGATGCGCGATCCGACCCAGGAGCGGCGTGATTAGTTTACTGAATCAAAATAAATCATAGGCGGTCAACAAAGAGTTTAGATTGGATGTTGCTTCTCACCCTCGCAGCCATTCACTGCCCTGTGCCTCAATGAAGCACTCTCAGCAGCCTTAGCACAACCTCGTGCTGCCTCAGACGCTCGCATCACACAGGTTGAATTCTTGCAGCGGATTGCGCCCAATTTCCCGTGTCACGATGTGTGAAATAGAGAACTACAAATTCGACCATAAATACAGAGCAGCAGCCAGCTATCATGGCCAGCTTTACTGTTTAAGCAACACACATTTACAGCTTTACCGTCAAGCGATACATCTTTGCTTGAGATCTTCTTTCGAGAGACAGAATGGATGGACCAAGCCATCGCATGCATTGCCAATGGCCTGCAGCGGACAACTCCCTGGAGAACTGCATGAACTGCCACTTTCACCCATGGACCATCTGCAACAGCGAGGTCTGCGGACAATGGCCTCCTGTCAAGCACACACCTGAATAATTATGTATCCACAACGCACTTGATGAACATGGCACAATCGTTGATGATAGATAGACAAGCGGGCTCACGTGAACGTTGAGCGTACTGGGTGCAATATCTGTCTGTCCCTTTGCTGTCTACATGCGCCACTAGCAAGAGAAAAAGCCCTCTTCTTGTTTCTTAGCTAGCTCAATCAAATCGTGCTTATTCTTCATCGTGCCTTGCTTCCACAGCTCCAGCTCCCACTCTTGTGGAACAAAACCGGCCGTCTCCCAGTCCACGACCGCGACGATCTTGTATGTGTCCGGGTCAATCAAGATGTTCTGACGATCCAGATCCAAGTGGCAAAACACGTAGTCTCCCTCAATCGCCGGCCACTTTCTGTCTTCCTTCCCACTGCCAGAACCGCCGAGGTGGAATGATGGCAAGGTCGGCATCTGCGCTGCCCATGCGTCGAGACCGCAGATTGCCTAGCTGCGGTAGGACCTCGGACTCCAGCTGGCGACGAGACCGCAGCCACCGCAGCCTCCATCTTCTCAGTAGGGAGGTTGGGGAGCTCTACGCCGCCATCTATCCAGCACATCTTGATGTAAACGAGGCCGTTTTCTGTCTGCAGGTCTACAACTTCCGGAACCGGTATCGTGGTCTTGGCACGCCGGTATCGCAGGGCAGCAGCTTCGTTCCGCAGTCGGTCTGCAATGCATGGGTTTACCCTTGGGTTGCCATAGATATCCTCGCCGAGTTCGCTTGGATACGGCTGTCGCTTGATGAAGACGCGTTCCGTCAAGTAGTATGACAGCGCAGGTGATATCAACTTGGAAATCAGCCTCCCATCGGATGCGGCAAGGGTCGGGGGGAATTTGTCTTCAAGGGGAGCTTGCGATTGATACGTAGCATGCCAGGCACATAGCGCATCTCTATGATTATCACTAGGCACATGATCCTAATAAATGAGCGGTCAGTCCAAGATCGCGGGCTCGAGGTAGGTCGACATAGACATGCTTGCTTTGTCTGTGGCCATATCGTTTTTACAACCCACTCCCAAATAGCGCGCAGAAACTGCATCCTGAAAACTCGAGTCCCGGGCTACTCCTTTCCACCAGTCGCAATGAATTGTGAAAGAGGTGGGATTGCGAAGCAGGACAGATAGGGGGTTTCGTCATGCAACGGACAACCCAGGGGTCATGTTTTTTCGAGCCGTGCAGTGTGTAACGTGTGACCGACTGAGATTGTTGTTGCCCTCCTCCTATCGCTTCTATCGGTGTGACGCGCAGTAGTGTCCATTGTCGCTGAGAGTGAGGCGCTGTGTGATGAAAACAGTGTGGTCATTTGGAAGGAAAGGTAGCTGCAGCCCGAACAATGATGTGCCGTTTAGTTTTAGTTATGGATAAGATTAGATTGAGGAATTGAAAATTTAAAGAGATTTGCTTTTGAGAGTGGATTCCTGAATTGTATTTTGCCTCTTATACTTGACTATTATCACTGACCAGATTTTTGGTATAATATGACTCTAATACCGTCAAATATTCTCCCATGAGCAAAAAGAAGACAAGGCAGCATAAGACAAATCTTGACTCAAAAACTAACCAATGATGGCAATTAAAAAACCAAGCCAAGACGCTATTACTGTGTGCTGGCTAGCTTGTGCCGTCCCGACCCGTCCATCGCTGGCTTCCGCCGGCCACTTCGCCGGCAACCGCCGGTCCTCACGATGCCCTCTCCCGTCTCCGCAGCGCGACATTTCCCAGCAAACCGGCTATATACCCCTCCAAAAAAAGAAAAAAAAAAAACAATTGATATGCCAAATGAAACGCAAATCCAAAAATATCAATGGAAGTCCTTGGCTGCCAAATATTTTTGCTTTCCACCAACGCCTTACCCATGGCAAGTATTCCAACCCGGAGATCGTTCGGAGGTTATACCGTTGCCTTACTTGCCGCATCCCGAACGGATGCCCAGCTCCCGAAGCACAGTCCATGTTGCCATTTCCCCAGAGAATCACACCGTAAATTTCGCTGCCCGATACATACCGGCACCGGCCGCGCCTCGATTGCCGAGCAGCAGCTAACCCAACCCACCATGCACGGCATGGTCCAGGCCCTTCCTTGCTGCCCATCCATCGTGCAAGGCTCTTCTTGCCTCTTGGGAGCAAGTCTCCCCCACCTGCTTCTGTTCTTATACACAACCCAACTGTGTTCATGTCTTCGTTTGCGGGCGCAAAAGACACCAAGAGCGATATTTATCCCGAGCTCACAATCATGGCCGTCGACGTGCCGCCACCGTCCGAGGCCGCCGGATATCCAGCGGACAAGCCCGTCCGGAGGGAGTCGCCGGTGCATCACCGCCGACACCTCCCATCGAGCGCTGTATGAACTCACATCCACAAAGGTTGCTGTGATAGTTGAGAATCTCACGACGTGTATAGGCTGCCTTCCCCGTCGGCGCGTTCGCCACGACCCTCACCACTCTATCCCTCAGCCTGATGGAGTTCCGCGGCGTCACCATCACCAACGTCTACGTCGCCAACTTCTTCTTCGTCGCCGCCCTCGGCCTCGTCATCTCCGCCCAGTGGGAGCTCTCCGCCGGAAACGGCTTCGCGTACACCGTGTACAGCGCGTTCGGTAAGGCGGTTTCCTCCCTTCGCCCGCTTCACTTACACCTTCCTGGCCCTGGCTAACGAGACGCTGCGACAAGGTCTCTTTTACGCGGGATACGGCGCAGTCTTAACTCCATCGTTTGGAATTCGCGCAGCATACGGCGATGACGTGACGCAGTATAATAATGCCTTGGGATTTTTTGTTCTCTGTATGCGCCAGTGGCTTCTGTCTGCCCCTCACACTCAATGTCTTCGTCTGCTGACCTTGCCTCTTTTTCTGCCAAGTGTGGACAATATTTGTCTTTACGTTTCTCGTCGCCTCCGTCACCTCGAATCTTGTCAATATTTTGATATACCTGTTCGTCGATTTGGGATTCCTCTTCATCGCCGCGAGCTACTTCGCCAAGGCCGACGGGCACGCCAGCGCAGCGACCGGGCTACAGGTGACTGGTGGTGCAAGCTGTTTTATCGCTGGCCTTTTAGGATGGTATGCAGAGACTGTCCTCTTCGTCTCTCAGAACTTCGATAATAGTGTTTGCTGACAATGACCAGGTACCTCACGTTTCACCTGCTGCTAAAAGACGAGCTTGTAGAGTTGCCACTTGGAGATACCAGCAAATACTTTTCCAAGAGGCGGGCACGCAGGACATGAAGGACGAACATGTAAAACCGATACGCTCCCGGAAGCATTTACGCCGAGGCATGTGAAACAAATAATAATAATTTGATCGGAAACCCCAAATTGCGTCCAAAATCCTGCTTCTCGCGCAACCGGTTGTACCATCGTGGGGCTGGTGACGTCCGCCGCTTCCAGCAGGCGATTTAACGTGGTGATGAGTCTGCAATGCAACCTTGATCTAGTCCTGATGCTGGGCAGCCAGCCGGTAAATCTGCTCATCGCTCGTGGTAGAGTGCCAGCGGAGCTTGCGCCATCGCCAACGTGCATCGCGACAGCCATGTCGCCATAAAATGCCTACGACAGCCAAGGCCCCGAGAAACTCATAAATAGTGAGCCGTTGATCTAAGACGCGGAGAGGGGTCAAATAACAGGTTGTCCATCAATTTTATAGTTGCAATTTGCGAAGAAAAATCATGTCCTCCAACGCTCACCAAACACCGGCAACGGACCCAAAAGTGTATGACGAATATCGCGACAAGTGGCAACAGCAACCCACTGATGCATCTGGATGGCTGCAACGCGCCATTGACGTTGCCACTGTCCTTGCAGTGGACGCCAGTGTCAGGGAGCGCGAGAACAAGTCACCGCGAGCTGAAATAGCCCTCCTCAAACATTCGGGCCTACTCAAACTGCTCGGGCTGCCCAAGTATGGTGGTGGTGGCCAGCCGTGGTCTGTCGGCTACAAGGTCATCCAGGAAGTTGCCAAGGGCGATGGGTACTATTCCGTTCAGTAACCTCTAGGTAAAATGAATGTTGACCTGTCGCACATAGGTCTATTGGCATGCTGCTCGGCTACCATCTGCTGTGGTCGACCACTGCGCGGGTCGTCGGAACGGATGAACAAGTTGAGCGCACCGAAGAGCTCATCATCAAGAACAACTACTTCGTCGGCGGTGCTGTCAATCCGCGCGATAGTGACCTGAAGATATCCAACGATGGCGACAGCATTGTCTTTAACGGATTCAAGTTTTTCAACACTGGAGGCGTCATTTCAGACTTGACCGTCTTGGAAGGCGTGTACGAAGACACAGCAGACCACATTTTTGCCATTGTAAAGACTGATCAATCCGGAATCAACTTTGGACATGACTGGGACAATGTTGGCCTGCGTCTGACCGAGTCAGGCAGTGTCAAGATTGAAAATGTCAAGGCGCCGTGGGCGGATGCCCTAGGGTGGGACGCCGCCGCAAAGAAGCCAGATCCAGCGGTGCTGGGCATTCCCTTCGGATCACTGCTGCTTCCAACGTGAGTTGCTTCGAAAGAAACGAAGGAGATGTGTACTGATTAAGTGGAAGAATTCAATTGGTGTTTAGCAATTTTTATATCGGAATTGCCTGGGGCGCACTGAACACGGCCACTGCATACACAAATGTGTCGACTCGGGCATGGCCATTTGGCGGCGATGTAAGTTGCGATGAAGAGATTCAAGGTAGAGACCTTCTAACGATGCGGCAGAATAAGGGCAAGCCCCAAGAGGAATTTTACATCCTCTCGACGTACGGCAACTTCTTGGCCCACCTCCGCGCGGCAACAGCACTGGCTGAGAAGGCCGGGCAGCAAGTCGACGCTGTATACGAGGGGACCCAGAACAGCGTCCAAGACCGTGCCAAGGTGACCGCCCAGGCTCGCGGCGAGGTTGCAGAATGGGTGGCCAGCGTCAAAGTGGTATCAACCGACGTCGGTCTGCGTGTCACGGCGGGCGTATTTGAGGTAACTGGCGCCAAGGCGACGGCGACCAAGGTCGGGCTAGACAGGTTCTGGCGAGATATTCGGACACATACGCTGCACGACCCGGTGGCTTACAAGAACAGAGAGCTGGGCAGATTTCAGCTGCTGCAAGAGATTCCAGAACCGACGTGGTATACGTGAAGAGGTTTCATGCTGAGGCACACGTGAATGTATGATACCGGAGCTTCGACAGTTGGCAAAAGGCCAAGAACTTGATGTTGAGAAGAATCGTGCTAATAGCGATGAATTTCGTCCTTGGCCCGTCGGCGATGGCTGGCTGCAGTGGGCGGGGCTGGTCTGGAGCGCGATGCTATAGGTATGTTGTCTTGTTACCAGAAACAGATAGATCTCTCGCGACGCCAACTTCGATCGGTCAAAAGGGTCCGAAATAAATTGGCATTTGAACAAAGAACGAAGCTGCATGTCATTTTTGGATTCATTTGGTCCCGTGCTCTGTCGCACTGATCGACGCTGAGAGCTTGTTGTGTTGATGCAGTCCACGTAATACGTTAACGGGAGGGCGCCAGGCTAGTAAATGGAGGGAGGGGTCACTGTTGGGGGCGCCGATAGCGGGTCAGCAATATTCCAGTGTGTACATTATTAGTGGAGGGGAGGGGCTCATTCGCTGGGGTACAACGGTGTCGAACCAGAGCCTTGGGTCAACAGGTCAGCGCAAAACATCGCTGATGTGTGGTATTCCTATGTATTGAGGTACTATGGCGATTCAAGTATCATGTTGGTATGACAGAGTTCGGGTCGGAAAAGGTCCGGAAGGAAATATGCTTAAACATTGGCGAGGCGAGGAGCACACAGGCTGGAGCGCGATGCAGGAGTCGAATGCGACCATGGCCCACTGGGCTGGGAGGGCTGCGGTGAACGACAGGACTATGTGAGACAATGCTGTTGATTGATTGCTTAAATTTTGCGCGACCGTCACAACGGCGATTGACTTGATTGAAGACATTGATGTTGCATGTAAATATGTAGAATTGTATAGGTAGACAAAGCCTGCGACGGGCGGACATCGATGAAATCGGCGTTTGCCAATCGGCGTTTGCTCGTGTTGGCTGGTCAGCCGGGAAGCGTTCAGAGCCGGAGTAAAGCGTGGCGGGCCGTCGGGCGACATCGCAGGTAGCTGGGAGCAAACGGCGGCCGATAGTGGCGGGCAGCTGCCTATTCCAGCCGAACTTGGCCAATTACAGTGGGCAGTATGTCCCAGCCAGGCACCTGACCGGCCCATCGGCTAGCGCTGGCCGCTGTATCCGTACTCCTGCTTGCTTATTACTGGAGCTCTCTCTGCTCACCTCCCATTTGCTCGCTCCCTATCCGCACTTTTCCAGTTCCTCGCCACTTGTCCCTGCTCGCCAAGAAAATCCCCCAAAATTTTAACCGTTGGGAATTAAAACCGAAAAGGATATTAAAAAAAAATTAACCAACCCCACCGAGGATCGATCGCCCGACTCTTTGTCCTCCCTCTCTCTCGGCCAGTCCTCTGTCCGCCATTGCCCGCCTTCTTCCACAATCCCTCAGTGTCCCCTTTTTGCCAACGACATCATCTCTTTGAGACGTCAATTTCTGTTACTTTCGTAACAGGGTGAACTGTCTCGTCGCTTGCATTTCCGGACCCCTACGCTTACCTTCTTCGTTCTTCTCCGCCACTAAGACACACCCCCCGACATTCCGACACACTGCACACAGTGGCGCTGCCGACCTCCCAAGGTACCGCCCGACGGTCCGTCTGGCTACTGCCACTCCATGAGACACGCCGACGACAATGAACGTTGCCGCGCCTCTCTCTCCGCCTAACACGCTTGATGCCCGGAGCCATGCGAGGTCCATGTCGGATGCCGGAATTAACCCGGCTCCTTCGCAGTGCGGTGCCGGCGCAAGCCCGGTTCCCCTCACCGGCACTTCCCCCGCCGCGCCCATAGACCGTCGGCCCAAAAAGTCGTCGTCTACCTGCGCGACGTGCCGTCATCGCAAGGTCCGATGCAACGGCGCCCGTCCCGTCTGCTCCAATTGCCAGCGCCTTGGCTTCCCTTGCTCCTATGACGAGGCCGACGCCGATGCCTGGCATGTCGCCCTCCCGCGTCGCCGCGTCAAGCAAGCTTGCCTTACCTGCCACAGCCGCAAGGCAAGGTGCTCCGGCCACCTACCCAGCTGCGAACGATGTACTTCCATGGGCCTGGAGTGCGTCTATCGTCCCACTAAACGCACCAAGGCGCCGTCCCGTCCCCAGGGTAGCATCACAAGCCCGGCCAGTCGCTCGATAGACAGTGACAATGATGCCCGTGACGACAGCGACCGAGCCATGAGCGACCCGGCCAGCACCCCCGCTTCATATGGCCATGACGGGTAAGTCCAGCTCCTCCTCAGTAGAAGATGCCATACGTAGATAACACTTCCATGGAGTCAATTCCGCTAACAGAAGCAAAAGCCCTTCACCTGACGAGTCCTTTGACTCCTTAATACGGCGCACTTTTGAAAAATTCTTTCATCATATTCATCACATACCTGTGTTCTCCTTCCTGCATCGCGCGTCTCTTATGGAGCAGTACTATGCCGGAAAAGTAGACAAGGCTCTCCTTCTCGCCCTCGTCGGCATTACTTCGTGTCTCACGAACATGGGCCCTGGCATACGTGAATATGGTGATGGGTGCATAGACGAGGCAGAGTCGCTCATCTTTGCCGACTACACTATCCCATCCACCATCAAAGTGCAAGCTTTAGTCCTCATCATTAAGCACCGTATCCTCTGCAACAGGTTCCCCAGCGCCTTTATGCTCTTCAGCATCGCCTCCCGCTCCGCTGCCGCCCTCCGCCTCAACCACCATAGCCCTAACCTCTGCTTCCTCGCCCAGGAGTCGCGCCGGCGCCTCATGTGGTCCCTGTACTGCATCGATGCCGGAATTTCTGGCGGCTTTGCGGAGTTTTCACTCTGGCGGGCAGACCGCATAAATGTTGGTCTGCCGTGCAATGAGCGTAATTTTGAGTTTGACCTCTCAAAGCCCACCGAGAAGCTGGTCCCCGGCCCCGACGACCCGGATCAGCCCCGGTCAGAGGACATTGGCAGCCTGGCCTTGAATGTCCGCATTTTGCACATCAGACAGAAGATCATCGAGTTCACCAAGACTGCGCTCGTTGGCCGCAACATCAATGCTCTAGAGCTGCAGAACCGGGTCATTGGCCTTCACCAAGAGCTGGAGGATTTTGCTTCTCGCATGCCCGCCTCGTTCCAGTTTTCGGAAAACTCGATGCGACTGCGTGCTTATTCTCCTCGAATATGTGCTTTTGTCATGATCCACATCTACTGGCGCCAGTGTTACAGCGATCTCTACCGTCTAGCCATGACGGGATTTCGCGACGCGCTGCCGCTGGAAACACTGGAGTCTCTGGATCAGAGCTTCCTCGACCACTGCCAGCGCCAGTGTGTAGAGCACTCCATCGCCATGGCTGACATCTTCAAGTGCATGGACAAGCTGCACGCCCGACCCATCGCCGATCTGGATCTGGCAATCTGTGCTTTCCAGTGTGCCCGCACTTTGCACTACGCCTACCGCCTCGATGCCCTTAAGTTTGGCCTCGTAACAGAGGGTGTGCTGGAGCAATCCAAGTCGTGTCTCAAGGTGGTTCAGCAGTGCTGCCGAGGACCAGCCGCTGCCGGCGTGCAAGCCGACCTCGAACGCCTGATCAACCGGGGACTCGGCGCCATCGACACCTCGTCACCCGTCCTCGAGGCGCAGAACGGCACCCGCGGGCGTACTGCCTTCCCCCAACACCCGGTCCTTAAGAACATACGGGTCGGCGAGGAACCGTCCGTCATCCACACACCCGCGCGTCTGAGGACCGGCTCAGGAGTGCGACCCGAGGTTTACAGCCCTGGCATGACCACACTGTCGCCGACAATGCTGCCGGACGCTTGGATGGCGCCCGCCCAAAAGGCATTCGAGCCTAACATGAACGCCAACGGAGAGGAAGACGCGGCAGGGCTCACGTCCACGGAGCTGAATAACGCGTATGAAGGTGCCCTGGAAGGTTTAGGCCTGGCCAACGGACTGGACCACGCCATGGGCGTCATGGACCTGAGCACGATGTGGGCGCCGACCTCAGAATGGATGGCTCCAGAATTTGGGAATGGCGCCGGCGTTTAAATCTTATCTTTCAACTTTCCCGCTTTATATATAATGACGACTGCAACGAGTTACGGCTACCGGATGCAAAATTACATAATGTGCTAGAACATATTTATATCGATACCACAGTGGACACGGTAGATAGAGGGCGTCTGCTTATCTAATTTTAATACGAAAAGCTCAAGTTCAATGGGGTGCAAGAAGCTAATTTTCCTAAAAACTACAATCGCTGCAGATCTGACCCTGACGAAGCACATGTAGCTGTAGATGAGGCTGATGGTTTTACATTTTGACGCGGAAGAGGTAGCGAAGCTGGACTTGGTCAACGTCGTAGCAGATGTACTCGTTGTAGTAGAGGGACGCGTTGGGAATCTTTGTGTCTTCGGCGGGTTTGCTGGGATCAGGCTGTTCAATTGTAAGCATTTTTCTCATTCTTCTTGATCTTCTAGGCACGACGTTTCTGATTCACGTGAAATCCTTCAACGCCCACAATTCGAGGGAAGCGAGGATAAAAAACAACGTACCATCTTGATGCCCTTGAGGCTCTTATGGACGGCGCTGGCATCCATCCACTGGGGAGGCGCCCAGGTGCCCTGGCCCTTTGTGCTCCAGCTGCCCGCCGCGCGGGCCTCGTCGTCGGCCGTGTACGAGGAATGAACGAGCTCGTGCATGGGGTCGCCGAGCTCGGCATCGCAGAGGAGCAGGAGGCCCTCGCCACGGGACATGGAAGGGCAGCAGTAGTTGGCCGACTTGGAAGACATGTCGGCGAGGTAGATGCCCTTGCCGAACATGTAGCCGGACACGGGCGCCTCGGGGGGGGCGATGCGCAGGCCCTGGCTGAGGATGCCGCCAAAGTTGGTCGAGCGCGAGCCGTGCCACAGCAGGCGCCGATCCGAGGGGACGCCGGCAAAGGCGGACGCGCCGAAGCGCTCGCGCTCGCCGCGGCGCTCGATGCGGAAGATGTCGACGACCTGGTAGCTGAGGGCGTGGGTGGTGCCGACGGTGCCGCAGAGGTACTGCTCCAGCGTCTTGAACTCCTTGGAGGTCCGCTTCAGCGGCGTCATCTCCTCCATATTGAGGCCCTGGAACTTTCGGTCGAGGTGGTGCACCGGATCGCTGCCGGTGTTCTTGCGGTCAGCCTTCATAAGGTCGGCCGCAATCTTCATGTCCGACAGCGACTCCAGCAGCTCAACCTCGCGCTTAAGGCGACGCTCATCAGAGATGATGGGCGGCCTCTGGCGGCCAAAGTCATGGGGAATGAGCGAGTAGTAGGTGTTGGAGAGGTGCTCGGTGGCAGCGGGTACCGTCATGTTCCAGCGCGAAGCGGCCAGGGCGTTGTCGTCAAAGAGGTCAGAGAGGGACTTAAGCTGTTCGAAGCCACGAAGGATGGTAGCTTTGCTGAGCTTGCCGAGCGGCAGCTTGTTGGCATCGTAGTTGAGCTCGGCCAGTGTGGCTTGCATAAAGCTGTTGTTGAAGATCATCTCCATCAGTGCCTTGGTTGAGTCGTCTAGGGTGCAGTCGGGCTCGGGCTCTTCTTCCTTGACGGCTTTGGCCTCTTCTCCATCGCCGGCCGCGTCGTCGTCCTCGTTATCCGAGTCGGGCTCGTAGCTACGCTCCACAAAGGCATACTTGCCAGGGCGCGGGGGGTTGGAGCGGTCGGTCCACCGCAGGCCCGACTTGTCCTTGAACTTCTTATCAAAGTGGGTGAGGGCGTTGTCAAAGGTGCCGTTTCCGAGGGAGGCGTTGGCGCCGGGCTCGCCCACACGGCCCCACCGAGTCCAGGTGGAAAACTTGTTCGCCTTGGGGTCATGCAGCAGCTGAAGACTGATGTCAGTGATGGCTTGTCACTTGGTGTTGGCGGGTGTTACTAGCTTACCTGGATGATGTAGAATTTGTTGTTGTTGTTGCTGGCATTGGTTTGGTTGAGCGATGCGTCGTAAATGACACCCGAGTCGGGGTCGATGTATACTTGAACACCAGGCAGAGGGCAGAAGTTGTCGACGGGGATAACGAGGCCCTGCTTCGCGATTTGAGCTTGTTCTGTTCCAGCACCCTTTGTATCTTCTTCCTGTAGCTGCTTGGCCGAGTCATCTTCGGCATCCTTCATTTCCTCATCTTCATCCTGGATGGCAGCTTGTTTTTTGCCTCTTGCGGCGCGTGGCTTTTTGGTCTTGGGCTCCGCTACTTGTTCCTCGTCTGGCTCATCGTCGCCGTTGGCAGCCGTGTCGTCGGGGTTGGCAACGGCAATGGGACGCTTCTTGACCGTGCCGTTGGTCTTGCCAGCCGCTTCCGCCGCGAGAAACTCTTGACGGGCGTCTTGGAGCTTCTTCTCCTGCTCGATGACATTGGGCCAGGTGTGCTTGTCGACGTCGACAAGCGTTTGCGTCCTGTCACACTCAACGACCCAGGCACCTCGCACAATGGGAAGGCCCTTGTCGGTGCCATTGCGGACCTTGGTGGCATTTTTGAGGTAGTCCTCCCTACTGGAAATGACGTGGGTGACTGCATTGAGCACGCGGTTCTCCTGGACGGCACCAAGATCGCCGAGGAGGTACTCGACGCTGTAGGGCACATGGTCGCTAACGTTGACGTGGCCGCTCACGACGACGCGGAGGCCCTCCAGGGGGCGATGGACAGCGCCGTAAGGCGTGGCATCGGGGATAACGGAAGTAGATATAAAGGTGGTTGTGGCGGCGGTGGTGCCGTTTGTCGCCGCGCCGTTGGTGGGCGTGGGAGCTTGGGCAGCTTTTCTCCTCGGTGCCATTGCTTGGTGGAAGGGTGGGAGTGGGAGGGAAGGAGAGGATTCGCAGCACAGCAGCGAAGAGAAAATGCCAACTGATGTTGAAGGAAAATCTAAGAGGAGAAAATGGAGTGTATGAAGGCAGGATAGAAGAGCTGATGGAAATTCGGCACAAGCAGAAGCTGTGCGAGACGTGGCAAGGCAAGGCTGAAGGTGTGTGGAGAGACACGGGCTTTTAATGTTGGCGTTGGTGCAACAGAGGCTGCATGTGCGCAGGCAGGCAGCTAACAAACGAGCGGCCAAAGCAGAAGAGCGACTGTTAAGAGTTTGCAGCTGGGTACCATTTGAGAAAATAAATTGCTAAACAATATATATCTGCATTCAGCCGGTCTGCGGCTTCCAAGACCCAAGTCGTCAAAATGGCCGTAAATAGCCTCGTCCAGGGGCCCTCTGCTGCCTAGTGCGACCCGCCAGGTCTCTCTCGGCCAGACGGCTCGACCTCTACCGACCCCAACACGGCGCGAGAAATTCATCACTAGCAATCCGTATCCGTACATTGCCCCAGAATATGCTCATTACCCCTGCCGGCTGCCTAGTTGACGGTGGAGATTGATGAGATTATTGTAGCAAAATTCGCATCACCATCATTCAAGGTGACACAAGCAGCCTCGTGCATCACTAGATTCTAGGCAGCAGACGCGCCAGGCCGAAGTGAATTATTCAGAGACTCAACACCAACCTAACGCCAGTTCACGTGAGTTGAACCCGTGTTTAACTTTCTTTCAAAAAAAAGAAAGGCAAACAATTGCCTTTTCAGGTAACTATATGACTCCGCACACACCACGCAGCGGTAGCGCCGCGCGATGATCCGCCTACCTTAAACGACTTCTGTTCTTTTTATTTTTTCATTTTTCATCCTCTTCTTTCATCCCCCATGCTATTCATGCGCATAAGTCGCTTGGTTATAGGTTGACTAGCTATGTGCTAGCCGAGCCCTTATCGCTCGCTCTCTGCCCTCGCCTGCCCTGTCTCTGCCGATTCTCAGCAAGCTACCCTGCATGAAGTAATCTTGAATGCATTTCGGTATAAGTAGAAGGTTTCGGGCTGTATATTTAAGGAGTCTTTCATATCTATACCGGTGACTCTTTGTACAAGCAGTCTTTTCAAATTTATTTACTGTTTTTGTAAGCACTTGTCACAGAGAAAGGAACCATCAATCGACAAAGGCCATTAGGGTGATGGAAGCTACTTAGTTCTTGTGCATTTTGCAACCCAAAGCGCCGATTTTCTGTATCCCGATTCTATTCCCAACTTCAAAAATACATCCTTCAGTCCTGCTTCTTCGACTTTGGTTCGAAGAGATCGTGGATCTTGGTGGCCCAGGGGCCACCAAGATGGCGGCGCTCGTGGTCCTCCGTTCCGGCATCCGTGGCGGAGGCAGTGATCTGCGCGGCACCGACGGCAGGGGGTTTGGAGGGGCACCAGCCCTCATGGTTACCAGTATGAATGAGGGGGACACCAAAGGCAAACCCCTCCGTCAGGATCTCCGTTCTGACGCTGGTGGCCAAGGTGGTCGGCTGCGCGGCACCGTCACTGGTGGTGGTGGCGGTGGTGGTTAAGCGGAAATTCTCAAAGTTGCCGGTGAGAATGACGGGGTTACTGGAGGATATCTGTCGCACCACGTCCTCGGGGAGGACGACGTTGCGTGCCGAGACGGCGGCGGTAGCCGCCGCGATGGCGACGACGATCTGAGTGGTCTGCATCGTGAGAGGAAGGACTGCGACGCGTTGGCTAGAGCGAGTATGAAATGTTAGCAGCAGTTGGTTGTGCAGCGCCACGAAGAGTGTACTGTTCTGAAGGTAAGGAAGAGGAAAATATACCGAGGTCCGCGTGTAAGTGTTGTTCGTCTGAAAAGTCGTAGGAGGAAGAAACCTGGAAGGGGGAAAACAAAAAAGAGAGGTAAGTGGGAGGACACGGGCTATATATATACGCTCGATTACGCTTTGATATTATTTAAATGTATTTTTTTTTTCGGATTGCGTGATGAAGCGGCTTGCAACCTGGTGGCGATGCGGCCGCTCTCGACCGACCAACACACTTTGGCTTGCCGGGACTTGAGAACCTAGTTTCTGCGCGGACCACGAGGCTTCTCATAGCAACACGCACCCACTCATACTTCTAATTACACCTGTCCTCTGGAAAAATTACCTTTGCCAGGAATTCTCTTGTTACTCTTGCTAAATGTCTTGCATATGAAGGCCACCTGCTCATCGTACTTTTTGGCTACGCAACCCGTGGCAAATAGCCTATCTTCAACCTTGCCACACAAGGAAATTATGTGTCTAAATCACCGACAGGTAATTAGTCCTCTTCATCGTCGTCAATTTCGTCGTCCTCGCCCTCGCCGTCGTCGTCCTCTCCATCGTCGTCGTCCTCGCTGTTGTCTGCGCCCTGCTGCTGTAAGCCTACCACAGGTGGCGGCTCTGCTTACTTAAATTAGCACACGTTTCTACCTCGCTAGAGTGGGTGGCAACATGTACTTGACTCCTCATGCCTTTTGCAAAATCCTCGACAAGAGGAGCATGCCTGGCGGGCTGTAATAGTTGTTGCCACCCCTGGAAAGTGCTTACCGTAGCGCTCAATCACCGCTGTCTCGAGCTGCTCGCGCGCAAACGAGCGCCAGTCTGGCCCCGTGTACTGCACCTCACCCCGGCCGTTCCTGAAACGAGCCGACGGGAGTACCTCCGTTGTGGTGCGATGCGAAAACTTTTGCCGGCCGACCTTGAGCCGGTGAAGGTCGAGTTTTGACTCGGGCGCGGCCAGCCTGGACCAGAGGCTCCGCCACACTTGCAATTCCTGCTTTTGCTCAGCGGCCAATGTCACCTCCCAGAGAGCTAGGTCCTCGAGGGTCGGGGCAAATTTGCGTAATAGCCGCTCAAGCATCCCCGGATCTATAAGAATCCTGCCGAGACTGAGCCGTGTCAGGAATGGGAACCCGACGGCAGGCGGACTGGCCTCCATGATTGCGCGTTCCTCGGCGTCTGTGTTGTTCGCGTCGGCCAAGGGCAGGGGTTCGCCCTCCTCCGTAGCAAGCCACTCCAGGAACATTGTAAAGACGGGCGGCTCGCTGCGGTACCCGTTAAAACGAAAATCGCGCAGGTTCGGGACGTACGACAGGAACCTGCGTAGGTCGAAACTCGTAGTGTATCCCTTGAAGGCGGTAGGGGCCCACGGGTCGTGGTAGTCATCGCCAATAACAAGATGCAGTTTGCGCAGACGCGCCAGCACTGGCAGCATCGTAGGTTTGAGGTAGTCCGGCACGTAAAATGTGCCGGTCCAGGGCACCCCGTGGCGCCGCAGTAGCAGCTCGATGCCCGAAACCCTGGAGTCAGCCGCCGCGAGCGCCTGCAACGTCTTGACAAAGACTTTCCAGCTGGCAAACTCGTCGTAGCTAGCGGCCGCCCCGTTCACCAGCGGCGACTCCGTCTGTTGCGTAAATGTGGTATCGCCGTAGCTTTTCCACGTGGCGCCTAGCCCGTCACGCGAGCGCCGAGACGAGTTGGCGTCTCGCACCACCACGTCCTCGAGGTTCGGCAGCCCGCGCAACGCCTCAGCGAGCAGGACGACATCCTGGCCGGTCGTTGATAGGATCCAGTGCTCCGTGTGCAGACGGTCGTGGCGGTAATTGGCTGCCTGTGAGCGGCTCCCGTGGAACCTGCGCGCGTGCGAGATGCTCTCAAGGCCAATGTGAAGATAGCGGAGGTGAGGCGCTAGCCGGCTGCGGGAGATGGCGACGAGCGCGGTCAGGCTGAACTCTGTCAGGTTGAACTGCTTGAGCCGGAAGAACTCCCGCGCGAAGCTAGGAAAGAGCGACTTCTCAATGTGCCCGCACGTCAGGCGCAGCTGGCCGAGCTCGACCGTCGTGAGGTGGTAGCTGATTCGCAGCAGGAGCTCGAGTGGCAGCTGTAGGAGAGGGCTGAGCCGGGATTGGTCGTAGGCCACGTCCACATCCATTTTTGAGTAGCAGGAGCGAGATTATTGTAGAAGCAGCGAGATGGGATGTTGGCGTGCCCGCCTGTGCTTGTCAGCGTGCTTTTTCGACGCCTCGTGCTCCTCGTTTGCAACCCGGACTTGGATCGCTGTGTGCCTGCTGTACGGGCCGATCGCTGAGCTGTCAGTAAAACGCCAGCGAAAGCTACTGTTTGCACCAAAGAAAAAAAAGAGTAAAATGCCGCTGGAACTCGTGAATCAAAGAGCTCTGCCCCCTTCTTAAATACCCTGTGCACACCGTCTTGGCCGAGGAAAGCTGATACCAGCCTGGAAGTTGGGTCAACAAGAAAAGGCGCTAGGCAGGCGCTGCCGGCGATAGAAGGTTGTCGGCCCGTCTTGGTTCCACCAGTACAGGCAGCAACAGACAGCCGGTATCTGCCTATCCGTACATCCTCTGCAGCGGAATAATGTAATAATACCAGTATATACGGGTTGTCACGAGCGGGTTTGGCTTCAACATAAACACATCGTGTACCGTTTCACGGGCCTTCACCTTCTCATATATTTAGGCAACACTTCATTTCGCCGTCTGAGCCCCCTCCACTGCACTCCAGCTAGTATCCACCACCTTTAATATGCAAACAGCACAACAAAACGCCAGCATTCAAGAGCAAAGTCTATATATCCATAAACCCCTCCAATCTATACCCAGATCGCCGTGTATGCAAAAAGCACCTTCATATATCGCGTGTCAACAAAAACCATGTATACCCGTACTTAACATGCCGAGAAGTCCTCAGCGTGTCCAGGGTCGTAGTGCGCCAAAAACTCCAGCCCAAACCAACAAGTACACGTAAATTATCCCCGTCCCATGAATTCGTTTTGTCGCAAAAAGCTCGTCGCCAGCTCGTCTCCCCCTCGCTCCGCCGCCTCCATCCAGTGCACCGCAACACACATCAGGCCCGGGTCGTTTCTCACATCGCTGTCTTTGCTCGTCGCCTGCGAGCCCGCCCCCAACCCTGCCCCAGCACCCTGCGCGCCAGCACCGCTACTGCGCTTCTCGTTCCGCTTGTACTTGTCTATCACTGCTTGCTTGAAGACCTCACGCGGTTTGGAAAGGGGAAGCGTAATGCGCTCCACGAACTCCGGGTTCGACAAGTAAAACAGGGCTAGCTCACGCTGCGCCGTGGGGTAGCCCTCTCGGGCGGTAATCGCCCACATCCTGCCCACGTCCTTCAGCTTGTACGTTGATGACGGTGGTGGCGGAGTGCCTGTGCATGATTGCACCGGCACGCCTCCTGAGGTCGTGTCAATGACAGATCCTCGCATCTGTGTGTGTGCCGCAAACACCTCGTCCGCCATCTCTACCATGGTCCGGCACACCTCTGACTTGAGCTTCAGCGCCGCCAGGCCTACATCCCAAAAGGCCTTGCTCCTCTCTGGTCGATCCAACACCGTAGGGGAGACGAAAGAAGAAATCAATTGCAGATCCCGGAACAGGTGTTTGGGTCGCATGGAAGGGTCTCTGAAAAGCTTCATGAGCTCAGAAATTGTAGTGTCGGTCCCAGACGTTCCACGAGACCCGCCACCTGCACCATAAAGACTCTGGTTACCCGTATGCTGCATCCTCTTTTCCTGGACGGAATTGATCGCCCCATCAAGCGTGGTACGTCGGTGAGCCTTTTCTCTCGTCTCCTGGCCAGTCGCCACCTCCAGTCGCCATCTTGACCTTTTGCGCTGCGAGGTTGGTATCGATGCCACTAGCAAATGCTCAAGTTCCTTTAATGCATGAAGCTTGGCGTAAGGATTTGGGTGTACCGAAAACATGGTCAAGAGTCGTCGGTAGGCATTCTTAAACGGAAACTCGGAGTCGTTGTCCCTGGGTCTCCCAGGCTGGGAATCTTCGGTCTGTGTCAAGAAACTCGACGTGCTTGGACTTGAGGAACTATCCACGCCATCCATCCGCTCTAGGGCGGACTCCCCAGCACCACGAAGATTCCCGAAGCTCTTCTTCTTCTCAATGACTCTTGGTTTTGTCGAACTCCGACTAGGTTTCTCCTTAAGTGCCTTCTTCCGTTGAGCGTGCTGCTCGAGCGCTTCCCTACGATCGATACATTCTTGTCCAAGCTGTGCCACCCACATGTCCGTTTCTGAACCTTTCGATAAGAGCTGGCTGCCCAGATCAGACAGTAGCAGACTTGTCAAAGACTGCCTCAACTCCGAAAGAAATGTGGCACGATCCCCGTCGGCAGCGTGCTGATACACAGTCTCGTTGGATGACGTTGCTGTAGCGGGCCGCCCCGTGGAAAGGCTGCTGTGAGATGCCATTGCCGCGGGGTTTGGTGAGCCCGTGAAAGTGGCTGAAAGGTTGGTGAGGCTCGTAGTGGGAGAATAGGCGCGATTAGACGCAGGTGATCTCGGTGGTTGGAATGGCGACCAAAATGTGTTGCCCGAGTCCGTGTTGTGTACAGGCGAGTATCGCTCAAAGCCATCATGGCCATCAAGTACCTCGGACAGCGAGGCGGCATGTCTGGCAAACCCATGCCTAACAGATTCCAGGGATGCGTTTTGGGAGCTTACGCTCCTTAAATCCCTTCCAAAAGCCAATGGCCGAAGCGTGGAGAATGTTTGTCGTCGCTCATTGTCGCTCATGATACTGCCCGTGTCGTCGCTCGTCCAGCCACTGTCTCTCTCCCGCAACTTCATTCGATCGTACATTGCCTTGTCCCGTTTGTATAGCTCGCTTGACCACAGAACAGGAGCCTCTCTAATGGTTTCGCCGACCAACTTTGAAACACACTTTTCCACCTCGCAACAGAAGCGATGTATTCTTTCCTCGCCCTGGCAAAAGTTTTCAATTCCGTATTTCTTAAGCCAAGCAGATGTCATATCCGCTTGCTCGTCGCTTAGTTTGTTTGGCCCACCCGTATCTGGCGAGGCTGCAATCATATCCAGCACTTGCGACTCAGCCTTATTTATGTATGAACTGGTCTTGCCTGAACGCGATGTCGACGAGCGCCAGCGGCTGGTAGCTCCCATGACTCGAAGCGCCTGGCATATATCGCGGCTGTGTTCGTATTCCTTGGAGTTGCGGACGTCAGCAATGTACCACATTTTATCGCGAATCGCCCTTGTCCGCCGCATCATGAGATCGATTTGGCCCTCCAGACGCTCCTGACTTTGTTTGAGCCAGACCAACCAGGCCTCGTACTCTTCAATTGCGAGGGCCGACTTGCTGATGTCGTCTCGCGGCTCACGAGCAAATATGTTAATGAGTGCCGCATATCCGTTGCGTCGCAGGGACTCCGAGTTTAAACCGCGAAGCTGGTTGAGCGTCTTCCAGTACATATGAGACGACACAAAATCGGCCTGCACTTTAGACTGGGACCACGCTGCCTTCAGCATGGTAATCAGTGGCGCCTCTTTCTCAGGCTCCGTTGTATTGGGGCTTGGGTGCGGTGCTGTATCTGGCGAATGGGATCGCCGTAAGGAAACACCACCGGTTGGCTCTGGGGCAAGCTTCTCTCTTCGGGTTGTGCGTCTTGGCGTTGGCCTTTTAATTCTAGATGGACGATTGGAAATCTCATTGCCACTGGCCTCGGCTTCCAGGCCTCGAGGAATCTCATATTCTTCCACCAACTTGAGAACGGCATCGCGCAGCTGGTAGTATCCCTTGTCTAGGTCTGATGTTGGGATAGACTCATTATCATAGTCACTGCTCGACGAATTTGGCTCGTCACGGTCATCGTCCGCATCGCAGCTGAGAGTTGTCGTCAGCTTCTTGCCATCGGGGGATACAAAAAGCACGGCCCAGCGTTCCGCGCAAGGGTGACTGGAGCCTCGAACGATATCTGGTCCCAGGTTTCGAGTGAGTTCGTGAAGCGCAAGTCGAAGCGGATAGCCGTCTTCCTCGTACTTGTTGAGCTTTCGCTGGAGATCTGGTTCCGTAATCGTGGGTGAGTCTCGAACTGAAGTCGTCTTGGCAGAGCCATCACCATGACCATCGCGAGGGCCAGCCTCGCTAAAGACTGAGGAAACACTAGTGCTAATTACCGATGCGGTTTCGAAGCTGTTTCTGGGGTTGGAGAAAGCCACAGGCTGTGACGCAGAGGAATGACCTGATATGGAGGTAATTCCAGATTTGAACGTGCTCGAGGCAGAAGAGAGGGGGCGCCGTTCTGGGTACAGGGCATTTATCAAACAATGCAGGTCAGCCGGACACAGTACCAGATAGGGGTGGACTTCCGCTGTTTCACGAAGCGACGTTATCGACTTGGCAGGTAAGAGACGAGAATTAGGCGGCTTGTAGTCCGAGTTTTGGAATCTGGCCAGAATGCTCTCAATGTGGACCCGGATATGCTGTGGAATGTCGGATGTGTTGGCAGCAGGCTTGCCTCCGCTCCAAATCCCGGACACGTATCCATTGGCCTTCATGGCAACCTTTTTTAGGATCTTTTCCCTGGCATAGGGGGTGATGTGGTGCTCGGTGAGCATACCGTGAGACTCTGGGTGGACAATAACACCGAGGAAGAAGACAAAGAAGAGACACCTCCAGACAAGCCATTTGGAAGTGTTGTCGAGGTACTTACTGTCCAACTTCTTAAGGACGGCATTGCCAAGTTCAAGCAGGCCATCCGGGATTCCAGTATTGTCCGGGTCATCCACAATTTCAAGGAGCTGGGTCACGGCATTGTCGTAAAACTCTCGGGCGGCGATTTCATCGGTTTGTGTCCAGTCGGAGAGGTTGAATCGGGTGCCATGCTGGTCCTCAGCCCTTTCAAGGAGAAAGGCGCCATCGGACAGGATCTTCATGAGGTACCATTCCATGTTGGATTTTCCAGACCATTCGCGCATCATGGTCCAGCAGTTGAGGACGCAAATTAGGAAGTGCTCACTTGAGGGCTTGGGCTCCAGGATGAGCTTGGCCAGTACGGAGGCCCATACGTCCACCCTTTTCCGGTCCTCACTGCTGTCTGGACCTGCCGAGTTAGCGAAGCAAGTGTGAATGAGAATAGAAAGCGGATCGTGGCGCTGGAAGGACATGAAACGTTCGACATCGCCCGCGACATGGCGATGATGGCTGGGGTGGTTCCGGCTATGGGAGCGGTTGCCGCTGGAAGACAGGATAGATTCCACTGGTTCAAGGCCGCGGTGCGGGTTGAGGAAGACGTTAAGCTCCGAGCTGGAGAGGGCAGACATCCTCATGGGCAGGTAGTCCGGGTTGTTCCGGATCTCGGAGATAAAGTCGAGGAAGGAGTCTCTGGAAGGAACAGATATGTCGTCGAAAAAGGTGGAGGCGGGGCGAAAGGGTGCTTCGCCGTTGGGGAGGGCAGAGATGGTATCGACACTTTCGGAGGAGCCGAGGATGGGCGATGACTGTGATTCCAGGTCCGGTTCGAGCAGGGCAAATCTCCTCAGTTCGTCGCAACTCTTCCGGACATCGTGAATGGCATTGTACAAGGAGGCAAAACTGTCCTTTTCGTCCTTGCGGAAGCTGTCAACCAAGTTGCGATGGGCAATGTCACCACAGCGCGTCAGGCGGGCGCCGACCGCAGTGCTGATGAGGGTCCTTTCCAGGCGAACACGGGTGATGTTCCTTTTGCGGGCTTGGTATTTGGACAGACGGGTCAAATGGGCCAGTTCCTGGAGAGTCGTGGTGTCGCGAGGCATCGGGACATGCTGGTTTGTGTAGAGGGCGACGTTTTCAATGAGCGGCCGTGGTATCCGGGCGGCTAACCTTTCTCCGTGGATAGTATGGGATCTCATGGGAAGCTCTTGGGGTAAACGTGTGGCTGCGGGAGGAAGGGCTGTGGCGGTGGTGTCGGTCAGCAACGGCTTTGCGGCCTGGGGACCGTCCTGGAGACGGGTGGGACGTAAAGCAGCATCATTCCTGCGGGAAGGTCTGGCTTCAAGGTTGCGGGAGCTGGGTTTAGGGCTAGGCGAGCGGTAGCGACCGGCTCGATGCTGCTTGGTTAGAGTATCTATCGAGGCCGTCGCGAGTGGTTGCACGTTGGCTTCAGTTGGTGAAGCAAGCGGGGGAGCTGTCGCAAGGTTAGCAGCTTGCACAAAGAAGGAATGTTGCGGACTGGGACAAGCTCAAGAGGATGGTCACCGGTATTCTATAAACGTACGAGGCGTAGACTGCGTGCGGACTGGAGAAGAGAGGGAGCGCTGCATGGACATCATAACGGTCCCATGGAAGGTGAAGCTATTCGGGCGCCGGGCAGCTCGAGCAGTAGCTCCACCAGGAAGCTACCAACGGGCTAGCAGGGCGAGCAAATGAGCAAGAAGAGGAGCGGAAGCAGAGTGAGGACACAAAGTGTGGAAAGGGGGTCGGGGGGAGAAGAAAGATGAAGATGGCGCAAAGGAGGATATCTGTTTGCGCGGGAGAGACGAGAAGTTGTTGTGCGACGATGCGATGGAGGGAAGCAAGTAGTGGCGGCGGGCGACGACAGGCGTTGCGGAGCCGAGCCCCAGTACGGATACTGGGTAGAAGATGGTAGCGTCGGGGCTGCAAGGGTGCACGTATTCCTTAGCGTGAGGTACCTGCTTGGAGGGGCCGTTGAGCAGTGGCGGGGAGGATGATCGATAGGGCCAGGCAAGGCAAGGTAGGGGCGATGGAGGATGAGAAGGGCGAGGAGGTGATGCTGCTGAGAAAAACAAAAGAAGGACTGTAGAGGCGAAGGATAAATCGTACGATACGAGGCCACGATTAAAATGAATCGCAGGAAAACGAGGCGATGCAATGACGGAACGTCTGACAAACTCTCTAACTAACTAGTACCTGGGTACCTACAGCCACCCACCACGGACGGCAACCACCACAGATGGTACTAGATGCGCTGTACAGCGTCAATTCCAGTGGGAGGGGTGGCGGGTCTACAGTGGATGAGCCTGTACGTACTGGTACTAATACATCAGGGCGGCCTGACGGCAGAGACGCTGCAGTGAGAGTCAGTGCGCGATGAGCAACGAGCATGCAGGCTTGGACGAGCCAACGCAGACAGAGGCGCGAGATTTTATTTTTATTTTTTTTTTGGAAGCGGCATGTGCATGGGTGTACTGTGAGGAATGAACCAGGGTCAAGTGCTGGAGTATCTCCCTACAAATATGCTATTACTGTACGACGGTACTGGGGGTTGTACATAGCTTATGCAATGAAGACTGCACATAAATGCTCGAGGGCCGAGGATAGGATGTCTGCATGAAGAGGAAGATAACCTATGTGTCTGGATTTATATTCTTTTGTATCCTCGAGTCAAACTATTCTCGTGTTCATGTCATACAATGATCCGGTTACAGATATCCGTATCGTGTTCACGTTACTAGTCAGCAACAGGCTTCGACTGCTACGCTACGTATCTGGGACCTCCTGAAGAACCTGCTTCCTGAATCCACAGCATGTACAACAACCGTGCCCCGTTCGCCTGCTGCATCTCGCTCTAGGTGGCGAGAAATCTATCCCGAACGACCACGAAACGCGAATCCAGCATTTTAGTCTAACAAGACGCAGAGACCAACCCACGGGTAGGCTTCGCCAGATGGCATGCCTGAGAATGGGCGGCTACGCCACGCTAGGCCGAGCGAGGAGGGGCGGGGCGCCTTTGCCAACGCACCACCATCAGCTCATCAGCTGCCAACAGACGACAACGGACAGGAGTGTCAGGGGACACGGAGGGCGCTAGCAATTGGAACGGAGGTGTGCAAGCGCATGGATGGCTGTTCTGTCTGTTTGCAAAAGCCACGTCGTTTCCTGGTGCTGTTGACCGTGGCACTGCGGGATGCGGGATGCGACTTGGGGTTCAGAAGGAGGGAGCCTCTGCTGCAGGACATGCTGACGGGGCAATCCACGACGATCAGCACGACGCCAGACACTATCAACAGGGGAGATCATAACGGAAAGCCAGAGCACAAACTACTCGGTTCGTTCCTCAGCGCGCCTAGAGGAGCTGCTCGGAGTTAATCATCCTGGCCAAAGTGGCTGTACGATGTAAACCCGTCCGTCTGCACAAGTGCATCGAGGCAGAGAAACCGTGGGACAACAAGACGACAACAAGGCAAAAAAAAAAACAGCAAGAAAACTTATATGAAATGCCCCAGATAACTAAAAAAAGAAAAAGAGGCCCGTTTGTGTACCGCGGCTCTCGTGACAACTCGTAAAAATAACAAGGGAGATGGGAACGGATCCCCCTCTCCCCATCACAAGGCAGCTCCTCTCTGTTGATGCAGGTAATGCACCGCCCAGGCACGACCACGCATCACCAGACCAGATCAGACTAGACATTCGCTGCAAGAGTGAGTGGATGTAAAGGGGATGATGAGTTTGATGAGGATAAAAACACCGCACGGTAAGTAGCTTCTATTGGATGGGCAGTCTGGTCACCTATGAGCTGTCTCTTCCTGCGGCCAGTTTGACGGGCTCTCGAAATACAATAGAGTCCCAACTCAGAAAATGATGAAAAAGTAAAAATAAAATAAAATAAGAGTCTTGAACCGCCAACGTGTTCAAGGGCCCACGGCCGCGGCGCCATGGCCAAAAGTAGTGCATGCTGTGAGCTGGCACTGCATCAACCATGCATATCGACACATGTACATGCGATTCCATGCAGACGTATTTATTTGCCTGCCACTTGCCACTTAGACCAAACTTGCGCTGCATATTTTCTTCTTTTTGGGCTTGGCCCTCCACTGATACGTTGTTTAGCCCCTCCCACCAATTCGCCTGACAGCTAGTTACATAGCTCTCTGTTTGGATAAGCTTTTATACTTGCAACACTTGACGTAGCGTTCAAGGCAACTGTCCACTGCAGGAGGGAAAGGGAAAGAAGTGAAAGTAACGACTTGGAGAAGGGTAGACACGACGGGAAACGAAAAAAGTACATCTCGCTTCCAACGCCATCCAATAGTTGGCCAATCTGCATCATCCACGGCCCCCCCCCCCTCTCACCCAACTCACTGACACACCACCAACATGCGCTTGCCAACGCACCACGAAACAGCGCCTTCATCCCACCCGTCCAGCGCTGGCCAACCAAATTGTCGTTTTTCTGTCTCTCCCTCCCAGATTGAGGTACTGAAATATATCTCGTTGATCCGTGGTGCACGGCATAACCAACCAGTCCTATTCGCCAATGGCCATGTCATACCAGCGACGACCACCCAGCGCCGTGTGGCCGCATAGCGAAGACGGAGCTGAGGCTGAGTGCAGGAAACGAAGCCAAAAGAGAAGAAGAAGAAAAAAAATAAGAAAAAGAAAATAGAATTAAAATAAAAACAAAAGATCAAAATAGCACCATAGTTCCCCTGCTACGCGCAACAAACCTGCGGTCAAAACCTGCAGGGCACATATTGTCGGTGTAGAAAGGCAGACCGCCCACTTCCATCACCAACCTCGCCTAACGTACCGCCATCTCCCGCTGCCGTCGCACACCGATGCAACTCAAGAAACACCCCTGTTCTTTTTGTCCTTTTTTTCTGATCAACTCTGCAAACCACATTCCCCCAAACCCTGTTTCTCCCCTGTCATGTTCCGACGCACCACCCTCGCACCGCTTCTTCGGTGTTGTCCTACCCCAGCTCGTTCCGACCGCCTGGGACTACGACACCGCCGGACCTTGGCCCGCCCCCGGCAGGTCGCCGACAACCACCACCACCGACATGGAGAACGCTTCGCCGAACCGCCACCGCCCCTCCCCTTCTCCTGGGGTCCACGGTTCACACCGATTGCACCCGCTGCAAAGCCCGTGCTCTCCAGCGACCCGGACGCTCCCGTGGCTGAAGGCATGGTTCGTTCGAGCCATGGTACGGATTACATCGTCCAAGGTAGGCATGTACATACACTACCTCGTCTTCACGCAGAAACATGGGCAATCCTGTCATTGATTGATGACCATTCTCATGAGTAAATTGATGAAGCCGCCCTAAAACGCCTCGAGTGATTCTTACCCTGCAAAAAACCACAAAACATTAAAAACACAGTAAACCCTTCCGTATATACCCATAAGTTTTCTCAGATCACGTTACTGTACACAACTCACGACGGTGAGAAGATGTAGAAAAAAAACAGCAAAGATATAAACAACACAACTTTTGCTTTAGCACTCCCGTCCAAAGCGGATATCAAACTCCTTCAACACGCTCATGATGCTGGCCGCCTCAACCTCGATGGCATTCCGCCCCCTCGAGCTCTGCCGCGACGACGACGACGTCGTCCGCGACGTCGCCTTGAGCTTGGGCAGCCACGAGTTGATGTCGTTGGCCGCCTCGGAGAAGTTGCGGTGGCTCGCCAGCGTCTGGTACGCCTCGGCGCAGCTCAGCCCCAGGCTCGGGAGGCTCGGCAGCGTGATTCGCTCCCCTTCCTTCTTGCCGCCGCCGTTGCTGGTCGCGGCGGCCGCGGCGGGCTTGGACTTGCAGCAGCCGCCGCCGGCACCCTTGCCACCGCAGCACCCGCCCTGCTCCTTGCCAAACTTGGCGTTCATGAGCCGGCAGAAGAGGCCCGACTTCGGGTCGGCCTGGCACTGCGCGCAGGTGCCGGGGGCCCCGGCCCCGCAGCCGCCGCCCGAGGGTTTGGTGGCCTGGTTCAGCTGACCGGTCTTGGGCTTTCTCGGCGGCAGCTTGACGGCGCCGTCGGCCGTCATCTCCATGATGAACGGCTGTGGAGGCGCCACGTCCCCTTCCGACGGAGGAGGCGTCTGCACCTGGCGGGGGACGTTCGGCTGTGACTCGGGTGGTGTCATGGCCGGCGTTGCCATGGCAGCGTCAGCACAGGCACAGTACGTGCCGTCCTTGCAGAAGCCGCAGCTTTCCTTAAAGGATATGCCCTCCACCGACGATGACTGCATCATCATCATCTCAGAAGGTGGGGGGTCCACGTCTATTGAGGCCGCTATTTGGGACTGCCGGTGGGCGAAGGCTGCGGTAAAATCCAGCTCCTGGTCCGCGTATCTAGAGGATGACTCTTGACGCGTTCTTTTGGCGGCGCCGCCATTGTTGGACGGCGATGATGGCCGCTTCCGATCGTTGGGCTGGGCGAGGTTGGACGGGCTCAATTCCTCGAGACACTGGCACGAGGTTCCGAACCCGCACTTGCCACAGCCGGATGTTGCTGCGGCGAGGACTTCTTCAGCGCAGGCACATCGGCCGTCTGTGGTGCAGTTTCCGCACGTCACATCAGTGTCTACGAGCGGCGCTCCGTTCTGCGAGTCCATTGAATCAGGTGGTGTGATGATTTGTGAAATGGAAAAATCCCGGCTGCTCTCTGGGCGGGGTAGTCTGTTGTTGCCTGACATGCTCTGGCGGTGCTGCTGCAGGCTGTGATGGCGGTGATGCTGTTCGCGGGGAGATGGGGCGCTGTTCACCCGTTCGCTGCGAAAGACGTGCTCGCTTTGGCGGCGACGGAGAGTCTCGGCCTCGGTCTCGACCCTGATTCTGTCCTGTCGCTCCCTGTCGAGCATGTTCTCAAGAAGCATGCATCGCGAGCGGAACGACTGCACGTCGAGCTCCAGGCTGTGTATCTTTTCCTTGAGGGCCTCCTCCTTCTTGTCGTAGTCCTGCTTGAACAGGTCGAGCTGCTCCTCGAGCTCGCCGACGCGCGCGGCACGACGCTCGCGGAAAGCCCGCTGGGCGGCACGGTTCTGCGCCTTGCGCTTTGTGGGCGGGGTGTCGGTGGCGGGCTTGCGGCCGGGCTTGGGACGCGGTGGGATGACCCATTCCTTGGAGGTCATGGAGATCTTGGGCCCGTCCAGGGGGGTGGCCGGGGCGATGACGGCGGCCATGTTCATCTTGTCCGGGGCCGGGGGCACTGAGACGGAAAGTCTGGGAAGCGGCACCGGCTCCGGCTTGGGCTGCTTGGCGGCGGCGGCAGCAGCAGCAGTGGCGATGGGCTTAGGCTGTGTGGGAAGCGGCGCGCGGTGGTGGGCGGGCGACGGTGCGCAGGCCAGCGGTGCAGGGCCGGCAGCGACGGATGATCTGGCCCGGGCGGTGGACGGGCGCGAGGTTGGCAACGGCACGGGCGAGGCGACTGCGGTCGGTGAAGATGTAGTGGTAGTGCTGGCCATGCTTTTGCGGCGGCCCTGCAGGCTCGGTTCGGATGTTTGCGGGCGGGCAGGTGACTTGTGGGGCGGCTGGCTCGGATGTCCGAGACGGCCAGTAGGCGTTCAGCGGGAGGGGGAGGGGGAGAAGTGCAACCGCTACTGCAGCCTTGCAGTGCGGATATGGCTAAGAGAAATGGCAGAGGAAAAAAAAAGGGTAGTAAGAGAGGTAGGAATAGGAAAGCCGATGCGGACAGATTTCCTGGATCTCGGATGCTTGGCCGTGTCGCGCGACGCGGGGGAGACGAAGAGTTGTGTGTGTCGGTCGGGTGGGCAAAACGGCCAATTGCAGCCTGCGGAATTCGGCTGTGACTTTAGAACTGCCTCTGGGCGCCGTGGTGTGTGTTTTGAACCTTTGTTTCGCTGGCGATGCTGAATCGATTGTTGACTCTGGGTGGTTTCTTTGGATTTCCGCCTGTTTTGTGTGTCGTCGCTATCAAATGGAAGCTGGCAAATTGCTGCCGTTTGAAGGTTCTGGGCATGGGACGGGAGAGTGCAGGCAAACGTGGACAAAGGCGGGATGGGGTACGTGATGTGCGTCGAGAAGAAAAAATTTCACCAAAGTGCGGGACAGCCCTTCTTTTGAGAAGAATGGCGTGTTTCGCTGGCTGGGGCAGGCAGACGGGCAGAGAGCTCCGATGGTAGGAGGCGGCGACGAGAGTGGGAGGGAAAAGGTGGTGGGCCAGATGCGATTGATAAGATGCTGATTGATAAAATTTCTCACCAGCAGCCAGCGAGAAAACACGGCCATCCGTCCACTCACATTCATCCACTCATCCAACAGACAATCCACTTATCCCCATCCATCTATTCATTTATTGGCAGAGCGCGCACTGCTGCCCGCTTTCCTCATAAAACATCTCCACAAATCTACCCAACATTAATTCAAAGACTGAGCCCTCTTGGTCCTGTATCCGCCTCGTTATTAAGCTAGCAACTGATGGCGCACACGCTTGCGACACGATGGTGACATTCGGTTATTCACAAGCCGGCAACCTTCGACCCTACGCATCAATACAATGAAACTTCCCAGCAGGGCCAACATGTGGCTTTGAGCTTTCCCTTCAGCAAGCAGCCCTTCTCTATGACGGCTTCATCCTTCCCAGCCAACTCAACCCCACGTCACAGATTAAAAACCGCACCACAGAACCGCGCCATACTGGTACGTGAATGGATCAACGAACAAGGGCCCCCAGAATCCTTCTTCCCTGTCCACCAATTCGCGCGCATTGTCGGCTCAGTATGGAGTCATGCCCTGGCACGAGACCCCCCTTCTTCATCCCGAACCCAGCCAGCCACGCTCTATCCAGCAAGTACTGCCGCCTGTGCTTCTCCACAGCCAGCATCCAGCCGAGGGGCCGACCTTGTGATACTCAGGCAAGACGTAAAACACTTGAATTGCTGTTCCCCAGACTGGCTATAGCTAGAACGTAACTAGTCTTAGTTAGAAGGTATCTCTAGTCTTCTTTGCAGAGCGAGGCACATGCGTAGCCTTACTCGCTCTGTATAATGTGTGAAGTAGCAACTTTAATTCTCGCCGCTGGCACGCTCACTCGGACACTTACTGGGACACTCACTGGGTTTACGGCTATTGCATACCCAAGGTACCTAGGTAGGTCCGTCTCTGGCTAGAGCCCCTATGGGCTGGCGCACAGGCCTGTGGCACCGTAATATTCTAAAAACTAGCTACTATTTCATTCGAACAGCTGCCTCGCAAAGATGATTACCTCAGTATACGAATAGGCGAAGTGCCCTGACCTCTGTCACCGAGTTGTAGTTCACCACGTCCACCTCGAGCAGCAGCCTCTCATGGTGCCGGCGATGGGGGCGGCGCTCGGTGTCAGCTACTACGCAATTAGGTGTACCTGGTCGTGTAGCAATAGCACCTGCGAGAGAATCAATGGGTGGGTATTGGTAGTAAAAGATGCGATGAGCAGGCTGTAACAATTGGCCGTCTTCTCAATTTGAAAATAGCGTTGAGAGCAAAAAAGCTCATAGAGTTGTGTTGATTGAAGCAAATCTTTGGATACCATAGCTGCCAAAGCTGTTCTAGTTACCTAACTACCGAAACATCCGAACACAAGCCCCAAGGTTTGAGTCTGGCAGAGGGCCCAATCTGACAGGTGAAGTGAGATAAAGCGGCCAACATTGACACGCCAGGGCGCACTTCTATCAGATCCGGTCTTGGTGTCGACTCTGGCAGTGAGTTCTTAAATTGTCTCGTCGACTAAAAAGCCGCCCGCAGTAACGGCAGGGTATAGACGGTTTATGCGCCGATTCATGCCTATCTCGGTCCTTCTTCAGTGCAAACATTGGCGACTTCCCGTTATCAAGGTAACAATTTGGGAATCTGCAACAGTATTTCTGGAAATGTAAACGGTAATGGTTGTTGAGATCGCATTGTCGTAGAAAAACTGCCTTTGAGACACACGATGGGTGCGGGCAACGTAGACCAAGGCGGGTTAAGTCGGTCACAACATTCGTTGTTGAACAAGCTGCTGGTAAGCTGCTCTCGGTCAGTGCAGATATCTGATCGCCGGGCATTGACGAGGTCCAAAACTGCTCGCCAGCCATCGGCAAGATCAAACACTGCTCGGAGGACAACTCGTAAGCACCATGGCTCTGACTCAGGTTGAAACAACTGTTCGCATTTATTTGCGGAGTGTTGGCGTTTAAGCTTGTTCCAAGGGCGGTGTCCGTGGGAGCAAGATCGAAGCTCGTGAAGATGGTGTCTGAACCTTGTCTCGACGGGCTCCATTCATCGCTGCTCGTCGATAGCAGGCCAGTCGAGAGGCTTTGACGTCCAATGGTTGCCTCCTCACGATATATACGGTGACCAAACTCATAAGTTGGATAGTCTAATAAACCATCATGCAAATGTTCGTGCCGATGATCCGCTTCGGCTCCATTGTCCAACTGAGCTTGCGTAAGGCTAGGTGCGGAAAGTTCATGCTGCAGGAAGAAAGCAGCGCTGCCTACCAGATCTGAAGCGAAAGTATTGGTTGATTCTATTGCGCCTTGGTGCAATTGGCATTGATCAGCTGGCAACTGCAAGCTGGGTAGAGAATTGTCGTGTCCCCAATCGCTTGAGTTTGCTGTTGGACAGAGCGTGTCAGTGCAGACAGAATGTGGTAGTAATACGCCAGGTCTGCTTTTTCGGCACTTTGAGAGGGAGGACATCTGTGCCTCGCGTGGACGACGTGAATCTCAATCTTTACACAGTCGATGTTAGGACAAGACCCAACAATCTTGATAGCAGCCAGCAGAGCGGGCCAACTGGGTCAACCGGTATATTGCCGACACCGGAATTTCACTGGAGGCTCCAGGGGCAGCTACAATCCAGGAGCTGGGCATCGTAAATCGCATGATTGTAGTGTAGCGGTTTTGTCGCATCGATTATTGACTTCTCAACCATAAAGCGAAGAGCCCATAGGCAGTACAATGCGCATCGTAAGCAGCCTGGGCAACCTGAGTTGCCTGGGCATCCTAGATCGCGGGAACATGGTGAACCGGCTGTGGTATGTGGTCGATCATGGATTTACATCGAAACACAAACCGGGTGGTAGTGTAAGGTTGTCTATTTCTCTGCCGGTCTCAAGACTGAGGCAACCAAACAATAAAACGTGAAGGGGGGCGATGAGCACTAGGTAAAGCAGTGGAAAAGGATGAAGAGAATAGGAGAAAAATAGGATGAAGTGGAATGTGCATGTGCATATAAGGAAGCAATGTCGTAGGGCCAACAGAGCATATTCAGGCCAGTGGAGCCGTTCCCCAATTGCTAGTGTTGACTGGAACCACATAACCTTTGATGGATTTATGTACCACACTATTTTACGCGCTTGAGTCCATACGAAGAGCAAAAAAGGTCCGAACGAATAACTTGTACGAATTGATAGAGCCGGAAACCCACAAGCTACTTTCTCTACCTTTTTTTTTTTTTTTTCAAGCATTGCTATTTGTACGGCCCTCTTCTGCTAACTATTCGTACGGACTGGCCTGCGCTACTAGCGTGGTACCTCGTCTGTAGTGTGTCACCTGATAGAACAGAAGTACCTACCTAGAATAGCTGCTTTGTTCATCTTCACAACTTACATGCCCTCGCCGCCGCCGATATTTAGTGAGAGTGTCATTTATTAGCAAAGATGCATTCTTGGAGCGAATTAGCGAGCGATAAGAAGCCTTGAGAGGCTCGCTGGCGGTGGCTAGAAGGCTGGTTTAAAGATGATCTAATTTGTATGTGAATCGCCCAGAACATGAGGCATCACAGTAGTTAGTGGTCTGTACGAATGGCAATCCTCTTTTGTTAAAAAAAAAGAAAATATTCAGTATATGCAGCATCGTCTCTCTAAAAAAAAATAAAAGGATAGTGTAGCGGTTTAATAGACAAATTCCACATTAAGTCACGTTTCTCAAAGGAAAAGCTCCTGATGGCTGATCTAACTAAAATATGAGCCCTCCTCAAGTAGTTCACCTACAAACTGAAAGGCCTCAGCCACTGCTGCAGCTGCACCAGAACCGCCTGCGAGCTTCGCAGCAATCAGAGCTAACACAAAACGATTAGATTCCTTTGCGCAATCTAGAGAATATGGAAGAGCGGTACGTACGCGGGATGGAGTAGCTCACACCAAAATATCCTTTTGGATTTTTGAAGCGGGACATTACCACCTGAGGCTCTGCACTTCCGCAGAGAACATAGTGAAGCGTTGTCATGCCATCATTTTCCCCCAATATTTCCCGCTTCATGACAACATAGTCAGGGCCGAGTTTTTGCACGGCCTGCCCCATGGTCTGGACGTCTTGTATGCTCTGCGGATAGTCGATGGGAATGCCAGCATTGTCGAGCAGTGCCTTGGCCTCGCGCACTGTCGCGCAAAGCACCGTGGTTGAGGGAAGTATGTCGTCTCTGAGGGCGGTAAGTACTCCCTCCTGGGGAGGGGGCCCTGTTTTGAAGAAGGGCTCCATATCCAGCACGAGTTTTGGTTTATCCTGCTGCACGAGGCTGGACACCAGCTTGACGGATTCCGGGGAGAACAAGGCGCCTGCGGGGTAACGTATAATGTTAGCTGCCAACACAACACTCTCTAGCAGAGATTGCCTCCTTATTTCAACAAGAAAGTGGGAAAGGGGGTATAAGGAAAGAGATGGTGGACAGGTAATGTGATAGCAAAGAGGTACAGACCAATTTTAACCACTGTATACTCCCTGGTCTCAGTCGCAGCACTGAGCTGGCTTTGCAATGCCTCAAGCGTGGTGTGAACAACGGTTTGTTCGCCGGCTTCACTCTTAGGAGTCGCTGAACCAGTTGAGAAAGCCGCTGCTGGTACATTCAGACAAGCTGTCGCCCTCTTATCTGCCTGCAAGCCACTGCTTGCCGAATTAGCTTTCACGATTGAAAACTGCAAGTAAAAATACCACCTACCTCGTTTGCGACTCTTCGGTGCACCCTACAGCGAGTACGCTTCCCAGCGTCGACTTTTCAGATGGCATGGCAATGTCAGAGGAATGGTATAAGCTCGGTCGTAAATTTGCTATGGGGTCAATCTTGATCTCGGTCGATGAGTGAAAGAGGCATATCGAGGCCGCCTGATCACTGGGGCCGGCTGGGTTCTAGTATGACAGGACATAAAGATTTCACGGGACGGTTGGGGCGGCAGCGCTGGCGAAATGCGGAGAACGTTTCAGGATTCAATATTGTAAAAGCCCCATCAACAGTTTTGCTAACCCGGCTGCTGTGCCGGCCACGGTCTGCATCTTTTTGGTCTGGCCGCCGCGTGGTTTGCATGGCGCCTTGGTTCCTCCCTTGTAAAGCTGCATAGTTCTGGCTCTGTTGAAAAGGTCTCTTAGCCATATGTACACATGGTCAATTACTTTCATTCGTGAAATTCACTCGTTTTGGGAGTTTATGCAAGCAAGCTCATTTGACTATTTAAACGTGTTAGATGATGAAGCTTTTGCTTGTTCAACTATGCTAATGAGAGTAGCTATACTGAAGGTCTGTGAGTTGACGCCTGAACCCTTCCTACGATAACTACAGAGCTTCTCGTCGACTCTTACTGCTAATTTCCAGTGTTAGTATAAGGACTCACATAGTGTTACCAGAACTTACATCATTGGGCGTGAAAGAACCAGGGTAGAAACAAGCCACGCCAGTCTCAACGGTGATGCAGCCCTCCTGGAGGTGGCCAGTTGAGCCGTAGGCTTCGATGTCTGCACTGGAGTAGTTGCAGTAGATTCCTTCATCGGCAATCTCGCACTGAGAGTCCAGGATAGAGCGTTTGGCTGAGACACCGGAGCGCAGCTTGATGGCGAAGGCCCAGTATTCGCGAGCAACGAGATTCGGGTGGTCGTTGCGTTTGGCTGCATGCATCTCATTCTCGCGCAGCTTAATCGCAAATGCCCAGTATTCACGAGGCGACATCTTGGTGTGATTGTTATCCTATGCCATGTTAGCAATTATTTTTCTTGTCTGATACTCAAGCGATGAGGGCTTACTTACTTCCACGGCAGCAGCCTGAAGAGGAGCAGCAAGGCCACCTGCAATGAGGAGCGCGCTGGCGATGACGTTCTTGAACAGCATGGTTAAAAAAAAGGGGAATATTTTGGATCTGTCAAGAAAGAAAATGTAGGCTAAATGAGACTGATTGTTGAGTCTATGCAGAGCGGTTGTACAAAGTGATGGCGGGAATGACGGCCTCCTTATGCTCAGCGTTGGCAACAGCGACGTTACGTCGAGTGCTTCGAGTGATGACTTGCAGCGGCCCAAGTCATCACTTCGGCCGCAAGTGATGTGCGGAATCAGGCTGTAGAGCGCCTTGCAGAAGCGCATAGAGTAGGTGCAGAAAGGTATTCCTGGAAATGACGATTAAAGCAAAAAGCAATAATGTAAATAATAGAATAGCTGGCTTAGGCTAGTGTTAGATATTACTCACAAGTGAAGTCGCAGTAGTCGTACTGCTAGTGGGCTTGCAGCAATAAATAGACTTGCTGTGGCGGAGGGCCTTGCAGGTGGCCTTGCGATAGGTATTAGTAGCGGGCTTACCTTGCCTACAGCAGTAGTCTGGCAGTACTACAGTAAGTGTGTGGCCTTGCAGAGGCCGAGAGCCTTACAGCAATATACATGTACCAGAGACCCCCGCTCCGCCTACCATGTACAGTACATAAGTTGCAGCGGCAGGCGGCCTTGCAGCCGAAGCCTGCCTGCAAGAGGCCTTGTAGCAGCATCTGTGGCCTGACAGCGGCAGCGGCCCTACAGCCGTATGGGGCGAGCCTTACTGCAATCGTTTTACAAGTAGACTGAAATTGTGAAGCATGTTAGTGTTACTTAACAAATTCAATAATCCAAGTAAATTTACTTAGCTGCTTTTACTAATAACTTCAAGTATGTCCTGAATGTTGTGTTGCTGTTTGTTACTTCGCTCATGAGACTACAGTACGTTAACTACTAAAACTAGTTCCGATCCCACTGGCTTCTTCTAATGTTGCCCTCAGCAATCATCTCATCTATCCCCCACATCGTTTGACAATGTCAGATTCAAAGCATGACAGCTACTCGGATATTATTGACGAAGAAGAGCATGACGCTTTCCTTCTAAATAGTTCCCGACGCCGTGCGAGGCCAGAAATTCGAGCCAAAGTGTCTTGGATGCTCCTTGCCCTTTCCTCCTTTGCATTACTCCTGTTTGGGGCTGCAATTGGCTATAATTTAAGACGAATTACAGCTGCCAGGGGCCTCGCGTTTGCGGACATGTCCCAGCTCAACATCTGTACGTTACTAAGCATCAGCGAGTCTTATAATTATGAAAACTCATTTATTAGACAATGGGATTGATTTTGCGCCTTATGAACAACGTTTCAATGGCTCGTTATTCAAGAGAAGCCCATACAGTGGTCCGCCAAGCCCCGAGATGGATAAGACTTGGGGCCGTTTCACGGAAATGGGAAGCAGTATGTTAGTCAAGATAGACGAAGGTTCGCAACTCCTTTTTCGCACCTTTCTAACCAGCTGTTGGCCGCAGAATCAATGCCGGACTATCCTCCCATACTGAACATTTCAACAGATGATGCGCGAGCATCAACAAGCTACTCGCTTGAGACGGCTGTTCATCTCGAGGAAACGCAGAATATTGGTTACATGGCGAGCCTTGGTTTCTTTCACCAAATTCACTGTCTGGTAAGCTAGTACCCAATCAATGCCTCGGGACGAATTACGTTTCTAACGAGTTGTTTGCCACAGAACATGCTGCGAAAGTTCATCTACCTTGACTATTACAAAGAAAAGACGCCTGATTGGTTCTCACAGCCATATCTGCGAGGACATGCAGGTAGCTCAAATTCCACACCCTGCCAGATCTTTTATCGCGGTCTAACATGAAGTCCTGTTCCAAGATCACTGCGTCGATATGCTTCGCGAAGCTATCATGTGTCATGGAGATACAACTCTGATTGTCTATCATTGGGTCGACGGCTACACTGATCCAGTTCCCGATTTCAGCACCATGGTACGTTCCCAAGAACTAAGAATCGTACATGTTGTATGGACGCGGCTAAATTTGCATCTGTCTCAGCACACCTGTCGGAACCCGGAAGCCATTTTGTCTTGGATGCAAACGAACCAAATAGTACTTAGCAAAGCAGTGTACAAACATGGAGAGAAAGACCTCCCAGAGACATTCTGAAGGGAAATCATTATCACAGCAGTTTTAAACTTACATAGTAGAAGTGTAGCAGTCGGTGTGGGTTGAACAATATTGACGGCTGTCTACTCCAGAAAGACATATTCCAAAGGCCGAGCCCCGAGCTTGCTATTCTTGTACGCTCACAAATAAGTGCAAAAGAACCCCGAAATGTCACAAATAAACCCGAGGCGTAAGGCCAAGGTCAACCGGATAAATCATGCCGATGTAAATGCATTAGCTGAATATTCCTCGTGTAGGGGTTTTTTTTTTTTTTTTTTTTTTTTACAAAAAACAATCAAAAATAATAGGTGGCGTTGATGTTGGTAGCATCAGCCAGCCGCCTTTACCGGATTGCATAACTAACAGGCAAGACCCAACCCTTGCTCGACGAAAGAACACGAAGCAATATACAGCTCTAATAAGTCGTACAGTAACTAGCGCAATTGGAGGGCTGAAGAAACATGAAGGCCAAAATAATAAGATATTTCGTTCACCTATAATTTAGGTTAGTTCAGTTACGAGCAACGATTCCCTACCTCAATCTCGCGACATCTCCTTTGGAGTGCTAAACGGCCCCCAGAGTATTAAAACAGCCACAATATGCGTACGTCGTGGTTTTTAGCTGCAAGCGGCAACGAAGGTCCTGAATACCAGAAACTTGGCGTCGATGAGGAATTCGCAGCAGGCAGTTCCGTGTACAAGTGGAAGCGCCGATTTCAGGCAATGACTGCAGTCTACGTTCTCTCTACGCTTTGCCTTGCCGCAGTCTACCTTTTTTACGCAAAGAATAGGATTGGAGTTGAACGGGCTTTGCCGACCGATGTCATCTTTGGTCACAGTAGGGAACGGCTTTGATGGTGTTCTGACGAGTGCTAATACGCAGCACAGTCCCGAGAGAAAGAGTCTTGTTCACACCAGACCAGTCCTACAGCGATATATTTCCAGGCTCTGTATCGTCAAATACTGAAAATTCAACGCTCTGGGACGCTTTACAGCCACGTATGTGATTTCCTGTTGTTTGGGAAACACAAACAATTCTACTCAGCTGGAATTCCTGGGCCTGGCAGCAGCTAACGTTGAACTGAGTGCAGGCGGTGGGGGGTTTATTGTGGTGTCTAATCCGAGAGAGCTAGGGCTTGTCGGCGGGTTCCCTCTGGGGACGGAGGCGAACGAGGAGAAGCCGCGTGAAGGATATGGCATTTCGATGTTCCATCAGATTCATTGCCTTGTAAGTTCACTCTACTATCTTTGCCTATGATCAACACCTGACGCTGTTCCCTTCAAGGTGGCAATCAGGACTGCTATTCGAACTCGTACCTTTGATGACCAGCATCTCAATCACTGCCTCGACTACCTTCGACAAGCCATCATGTGCACAGGAGATACAACGCTTGAAAAGGTTGTCATGGACGACAATGGAAAATTTAAGCCTGATATCGATGGATGGGGCACTGTACATGAGTGCAGGAGTTGGCACATGCTCTTTGAGTTTGCTGAGAGGCAGCGCGTGAAGGTTGTCGGTGACTAGCGAGACTGGGAGGCATGAGCTTGTGAGTACGAGCTCATACAGCTACTCTCAAATTTTCTATTCTATAGAGAATGAAACTAGATGCTACAAGTATTCCTTTACTATACTTTTTCAATAAAATAGAAGTTCCTACCAGTATAAAACGTACCAACTCTTAAGCCTTTGGCATAAGCTATACCAAGGAGATTGTTCGACGACTACAAGATGTATATAGGTGGTCTATCACTACGATCGTGCATCTCCAAGGCTGGTGGAACAAGTGCCCCCTCTTGCGAGTGGTAAAATTCCCTAAAATGGTCCGCATGTAATCTTGGCTGCGCTAGACATTCTTTTACTTCTTGTATCTGGGACTGCGGTCATTGATAATTTTCCGATAGGCAACCCCCCCCAGCCCACGTACGCTGTTGAACGCGCCGAGTCCCTTACGAAATAACTGCGCAGCTTCGGTAAACCTGAATTAGCGTCCCAAAGGCAGCTCCCTATTTTCATTTATTACTGGCTTACCTGTGTTCTCCCCAGTTTGCGAATGTGTAAATATTGTATCCAGTTCCGGCGACAAGCTTCCTGTTACCCGGTAGCATGGGCACACAACAGGTTGGGTGGTACAACGTTATTACTAGGTAGCTTGAATGCCCGGGCGCCCTTGGATAGAAATGACTCACATAAGAAGTGACAGTTACACAGCATAGTGGCGGCTGGCGGAACTGTCCTGGAAGACTAGTTATACGTAGGCAGGTCTTGTATAATGTCAAACTGTGGCTACGCGGCCGACTCCAGCTGATACTCCCAATACCTATTAATACCTCCTCATCCTATACATTTCCGATGACACAGGACGACAATTTGAGCCAAGTTGTTGAATCCCCTCCGTACGGCCTGTGTCTCTTGCACTCCCAGTATTCGCGCCCCTCCTGTTGACAGCATAAATCACACTGTCCACTCATGATATCCGCATCAAAAAAGACACAGAGTACAATACACATACCTAACTGCCCCTTTTCTTCATCTTTTTGAGTGATACCAACGTCATCAGTGGGGCGAGAACTGTCATAGGAGTTAGAGAAGTGGTTGCACAGAAAGACATGGGCCGCTGGGTAACGTCAAGGCAAGCCCCAGGCCGTGACTTCATTCATCCCCTTGGCTAGTTTGAGCGGCTAGAATCCAAGCTTAGAATCAGCAGCTAAATTCATCAACAGTGGAAATTATAATCTTCATCATCAGCAATGGACACCATCAGCGGTGAAGATTTCCCGCAAGACAGCGACAACCAACATCACAGCCAAGACAGCGGCAACCATCCACGGTCGCCAGCGGAAACGCGCTCGAATACTTGGACAGTTCGCTCCAGAGTTGGGTTTTGCGACGACTTATTCCTCGACTGTATTCACCACAGCCTAAACGCAGACACCAGACAGTATTATGAGTACTGGCGCGCGCGACTCAACCTTTGGGCGACCGATGTCAGGGTCTTCAACAAGACATTCCTTGAGCCCACCCTCGATAAGTGGTTGAAGCATAGCTCGAGGAAGCTGCAGCGAGACACGCTATATATCCTGTTGAGTGGACTAGAAGAGCATCTTACGCATGGTATGTTCTCTACTGGTTTGAGGCTTGATTGTTTCGTCTAACAATGCGCCAGTGGTCAAACCATTCTACACATCTAAAATGTTACACCAAACTCGGGCTTTAGACATTCTGAGAGCCCCCAAAAGTGGTCTCGAGAAGATCATGGGCGTTCTGCACTTCTTCGCACGCATGAACATCGCTCAGCGTGAGGACGAAGCCACATTCAACGACAGAGTGCTAGATTACCGGGGCGAGATGGCGGACCCCCAACTTGAGGCAAATATTTATCAAGATATTCTGGCTCGCTTCCCTCGAATTCTGCCGTCCGAGCCCTTGACTTCCGTCGTTGGTGCCATCTACGAAGCGGATCCTCAATACCTACGTCGCCTCCGCGATGAAGTTCCGCAGAGCACTGGCGAGTTGCATCGGCATCTTACCAATCTTACATCCTTCCGGCATTGGAGAATGTTGTACGAACGACAAATAAAGCTCAATCACCTCAGCTTGCTAGATCGACAGACACCCCAATTCAAGCTCCCTTGGGACAACAGCCGCGACAGACATGGTATCTCCGTATTGTCGTTTTCGTGTTGTGTGTCGGACATTGTACATAATGGAGACGGTCAATATCCCGAGCCGCCAACCCCTTTTGACGGGGAAAAGACCACCGTCTGCCCTATATGCCTTGAGATATTCCCTGTGGAAGAGTTCCAAGGAGAAAAATGGAAGTGAGTCGACTGCATTGAATGACTTTTTTTGACTTGCTAACCACTGCAGGGCGCATGTGGGCTGTGATATCAAACCATACGCGTGCTTGTTTTTTAGCTGTGTGGAAGACCACAATGCATCTTTTTCCGACATCGATGAATGGAAGAAACACATGCATCGTCTCCATCACCTCAACTGGATTGAAGATCTCCATAACAACTCTCTTTGGCAGTGTCCTATCTGCGACTTGGTCTCGCCGCTAGAATTTGGCTCAGACGAAATCGCCACGGAGGCACTCTTAATACATATGGAGGTGTCCCACTCGATCGGCAAAGATGATACAACACGAGATTTAGCGGAAATTAGCCATCTAATTACTTATCGACATCTCGATATCTGCCCGATCTGCAAAGCTTCCTATCCTGGCGTTTGCGACGGTCCTCCACTCCTCAAATCCTCCGAGCTTATGATAGAAAGAGAACCATGGTCCGACGACGAGGATTCAGAACCAAAATACATCTGGCGAGAAACTCTAGCCGCAGACAACCCAGCCACAAGGGCGGTGGAAGATTGTATAGCCGGTCATCTCAAGGACATGGCCTTGAGGAGCTTCAAGTACTTTGTACAAGCTGCGAACCGACAGAATGAAGAGCTGCCTGTGTATCACGCCGAATCCAGTGACGGGGAATCGTGTGACGGGGAATCGTGAAGAGGGAGTGCCTACTCGACTGCAAGGTGCGGGATGCCACATCTTCTCCTCGATGCTGAGTTTGTGAAGAAGCAGAGAAGTCTTTTGCTGCTGGAACCGACGATAGACTGAAAGGGCTGCGCATTACTCTCCATAGGAGATGGACTGAACGGGGCTACTGGCACTGAACTGCGAGAGGAATAGCGGAGGATCATCATTAGTTTACGTTTGAGATTTTGTGAGAAATACAGATATTATTGTCCACGGCAAGTATCTGCGCATTTTACTATGCCGCCGAGTAGAGGAGACCACATTCTGGGTGCGCCGCCCTGTGCCTTGGTCGGCCGAGCCCAAACTGGGCATCCAGGAAATAGGACTGGAAGAAAAAACGACTGAAAAATTGGACATCTTGACAAAACTCGAAGGTATATTTATTCCGTGCTAACAATATTGACCGAGAGTAGATGCTGGAAGCGCAGCTGACTGATGTCGACCACATCCCCAATACAGGAAAAAGGCATGCTGTCGTTGGTAGACCGCGACAGGTCTTCGATGTACAATGGTTGACCATCCACTGACTGTCATTGAGCTGGCTGGTACAACAGCACACTCAGTAGTAGCAGTATCCGTCAGCGCCGCAAAATGTCGCCTTGGAGTTGCAGCAGGAGTTGCGACAGCAGCGGTTCAGCTGGCAGCACCTGCCCATGCAGTAGAAAGGATACCCGCGCTGGCAAGTAACCTGAGAGTTTTGGGCGCTGTAGCCGTCGAGGGTGGCAGGCTTATGCTCGGCGTCGGCCTGGGTGTGGCCGGAAAGGTCCCCGTCGACGGTCGGGAGCGGCTCCGCGTCCTGTACTTTGGCTGCGCCGAAGACGGCGAGGAGGGAGAGGAGGGCGAAAGAAGACTTCATTTTGACAGGATGGGTGGTGAGGATTTGAAGGGAGAAGAAGTTTGTATAGTGGTGTTGCTGTTTCGTGTCTATAAAATGCTACGGAAACATTGGGCATGAGCAAAGGACAGAGGGAGAATATATATTCATTTTCCAGAATGTGTTCCTTGCCATCTACACCGATTAATTTGTAGCTGATGTACAGAGACACGAACAAGGCTGAATACGGGGCACCTGAAAAGAATGTCTCATCATAGTGCAGCGTAAAATGAGAGATCATCACGGCCCATCGGCGCAAGTCTGGGGGTTGATTGGCGACGTCAGGATCCAAGGATAAGACACTGCGACAAACAGCTCGCACTGCTTGCCACAGTTGATTCTAGCCATGATTGGGCATCTACGGATACTCGATCAAATGGCTGGATTCTGGGTCCGTATTCAGGATTCAGGCGGCGTTGGCCACATATGTATGATGATTGCTCGGCTCGAATAAGTCTGCTCTTCCCAAGTCACCAATGAACGTTGGTAGCACGATAACAGCTTTAGCTAGATAATCTCAAGTGCGCTTCAAAACCATTGTCACCCTCCTTTAAACATCCGAAACAGCCTTAATCTTCCGCAGCGACGCCTTGACAGGGTTGGGAGCGTCAAAAATCTCCGTCATCTCCTCCAGCGATCGTCCCTTGGTCTCCACCGAGAAGAGGTAGCTGATGGTCGCCTGGATCAGATCCCAGACGATGAAGACAGTGTACGTCTTCCAGCCGATATCCTGCAGCGAGATGGGGAAGCAGAACTGGTTGACAAAGGCCAGGCAGTGGACAAAGGCAAAGACAAAGGCCAGGCCCTTGCCGCGCTGCTCGTACGACAGGCACTCGACGGGGTAGAGCGCCTGCAGGGGCGTCATGCCAAAGTTGTAGCACCAGCCAAAGATGAAGATGAAGGCGATGCCGGCCGTCGCGGCCCCGTGGGCCTTGGTGGAGGCGTAGATGCCGGTCCCGGCGGTGATGCCGGCGAAGCACAGGGAGCAGGCGACTGAGGTCCAGATGCTGGTCGGGCGGCGGCCCATCTTCTCGATCAGGCTCGCGCCGACGTAAGAGGCCACGGCCGCGATGGCCGTGTAGCCCAGGTTGATGTTGAGGATCTGGTCGGACCGCGTCATGCCCGTGGTCATCAGCATCGCCGGCAAGTAGTAGCTGACCACCGCGTTCCCCGAGCACTGGCCCCAGACCGACGGGATCAGCGCGTTCAGCATCCTCCACCGCGAGGCCCGGTCCTTGTACAGGTCGCTGTAGTCCCACCAGCTCTTGTCCGAGCCGTCCCGCGAGATGACCTGCCGGTACTCCTCGATCTGCATCCGCACCAGCGCGTGCTCCCTGTTGCCCTCGCCGTGGTACTTTGTCAGGAACGCGAGGCTCTCCTCCTCGCGGCCGTGCGCGTACAGCCACCGCGGGGACTCCGGGAACAGCAAGACAAACGCGGCGACGATGGCCGGGCAGATGAGCTGGCACCACACGGGGACGCGCCACTGGAGGTCGCCGGCGTAGCGCACCGAGCCGCGGGTGACGCCGGCGGCCATCAGCGCGCCGATAGCGTAGGTGCAGTTGTAGAAGGCGGTCAGCACGCCGCGGTAGGCGGGCGGGCTGATCTCGGCACACCAGATGGAGCTCGCGCAGCGCACGATGCTGACGCCGAAGCCGAGGAAGAAGCGGCCGGCGACGAAGGCGGACGTGTTGGAGGCGAGCGCGGAGAGCACGGTGCTGAGCACGACGATGATGCTGCCGAGGAAGATGCCCATGCGACGGCCGCGCAGGTCGCAGGCGGGGCCGGTGAGGGGCAGCGAGGCGACGGTGCCGACGGTGTACATGGCGGAGATGTAGCCGAGCTTGGGGCCGGTCTTGCCAACGTGGAAGCGGTCGCGGAAGGACTCCATGGCCGGGAGGGATCCGAAGATGGATCCGTCGTAGCCTATGGTTGCAGATGATCTGTCAGTATCCGTACACGTGCATGTCTGTTTAGCAGAGAGGTGAGCAGGAAGGGGTATCGTACCGTTCATGGTGGAGCAGAGAAAGGCAATGAAGCAGAAGCAGTACAGCTTCAGCAAAGGACGACTGAGCGGCGACAGCTTCGCTGCTGCAATGGCTTCGGCCATCTCCTCCGCAGAGGGATGCGTACCGCAGCGGTCGATCTCTGCGACATTTTCCTGGCTCTTCTCAATTGAGGATCGTTCTTTTTCCGCAATGTCCGTCATCTTGCTTCCCGGTGTAACTCTGTGAGTCATGAGGAGAATCCGGGGAAGAATCTGGGGAAAAGACGGGGCATTTATCAAGGAGTTATTTCCATCATTGGGATTCGAGGACAAACAAATACGTGTGTATAGCTTCGGCATTGGTTGTTGTCAAGAGACTCGTCACTTTGTCCGTGCTTGGGTCCAGTGGCTTGGAGGCGCTGGCCGGAGCGGGGGCCGGCCTGCCTCCGAGGGCCGGCTTCGGGGCTCCAGGGCGGGTGCGGCATCCGTGGGGGCGCCAAAGCCACGTTCCGGTGAATGGATTTTTTGGTTCGAGACCGTGGCTCCAATCAATCAATGGGAATCGTGAGCTATTGGTAAAGAAATTGTATTGAAATCGTTAGGGTAAGTTGTCAAGTTGAACTGGGTACAGTGACACACTAGACACACCAAATGAAGGCTCTTGGCTGTGACAAAGGCAAAATCAAATCTTTAAATTTATAACGATTTTAAATCTAGCAAAGAAAGAGCAATCCGGCTACCCAAGGCTATCAAGCATAGCCAAACTGCAGTAGTCTATTTCCAAATTCCAGCAGATAATAATCCGCGTACACAAGGCCATGGTCCGCGTACCGATCCGTCCAGTTCCCATTGTAGTTTGCTGTCGAGTGCTTCAGAATACAATCAAACGGATCCTCGCAATCCGACGCCCGCCTCGCAACCATGCTGACCGATCCCGTATTCCCCTCCTCCCGCCTCACCAGCCGCATCTCATCCCGCGCATAGCACAGCTCGATAGTATCCCTCGCAATCGCCATCGCCGCCCTGTAGTACTTCTCAAACAGCTCCCCATCCCCGGCCGCCGCCAGCGCGTTGGCCATCAGCAGCATGCCGTTGGCCGCAATCATCCCCGCCGACGCGTCCCGCAGCGGCCTTTGCTCGTCCTCCACGGGTGCGTCAAAGTCCCAAAGCGGGACGTGCCGGGTAGGCTCAACGCAGTCGGGGGCGGACCGCAGCCGGAGGAGGAAGTAGTCGGCGAGCCCGCAGGCGGTCTGCAGAAAGATGGGGTTGCCCGTCCAGGCGTGCGTCTGCGCGAAGCCGAGGATGGCCCACGCCTGCCCGCGCGACCACGTGGAGGAGTCGGCGTAGCCTTGCGCGGTGAGCCGCCGCAGCACGCGGCCGTCCTTGGGGCTGAGGTTGGCGACGTGGCAGGTCGAGAACAGCGGGTGCCGGCACCCAGGGTCGCTCGGCTCCGGGCGCAGGTGCGTCTCACGAATGGTTAGGGCGTGTGTGGTGGCGATGTCGATCAGCCGCTGCGACGAGGCGTGGTGGCCGGCGTAGTAGAGCAGGTCCAAGTCTACCGAGGCGTCAGAAAAGGGCAAGACCGGTACAAGATGGCTGATACTTACTGCACATGCTGTCGATAATGACGATAAACTCCGAGTCCTTGTCGACAAGGTTGTTGCCGTTGTTGACGAACCGGTCCCAGCTGCGGATCGCCCTGGTGCGCTCACTATACCGGCTCGCCAGGCTCTCCGCCGCGTTGACAACGGAGGCGAGGCTGCGCGCGTCGCCGGTCAGCTCAAAGTCGCGCCGGAGGGCCGGCTCGACGATGAAGCCAATGTCGTGCGTGTCCTTGCGGTTCGACATGTCGTGCAGCGGCTCCGACCACCGCCGGCACACGCCCAGCAGCTCCGACCGGAGCCGCTCCCTGGCCTCGGCGCCGTCTGGCTTCTCCGTCAGGAACGCCTGCGGATACCGGGCGGACCGCTCGAGAAGGCAGTACAGGCTCCCAGGGAAGAAGCCGCAGGTCCAGAACTCGGCGTCGCGGTATTGGTACTGCCCCGTCTGGGGACCGGTCTGGGGACATGTCTCGGGGAACGACTGCGGAGGGTCCTGGGATTCGGTCAGCACAGTGACATGTTCCTTTTAGACAGGTATTCTGCTTCAAGGAGAATTACCTCTCGAGTAAGATGGTCGACGGCAGTTTTCCAAATTTTCAGGATGACAGTGTCGCTGAACAACTTCGAGACGCCGCTGTCAGCGCCCTGGGTCACGCCAGTACCGTTAGCTGCACCCTGCAATCCAGCCTGCACTTTCAGATGGCTTTTCGTGCCGTTCATCGCATGCTGGACGGAGACCATATTTTGATCACTGGTTGGCAGAGTTGAAGGAGACATGATGCGGTTGGTAAAGACTCGAGTTGAGATGCTTCGCGGCTCGCGTACGTGCATGTCTTGGCTGCCTGCATCCAGTCCAGGTTTAATAGAACCGGAACTTTTGGTCAGAATAACGGCAACTATTGTCGTACTGCATGCTCGGTGGCCACGCATCTGCAGCTTCCTTGACGATCACACTCAATACAGGTGGGCCGGGGCCGGAGGCGGCACCGTGCCGATCCCGGTCTCCCGTATGGTTACGTCCGCTGATGGCGGAGAAGGCTAAAAGTGGCTTGGGATCCTAACTACCTACCCCAACCATCTCCAAAGATCTCCCGTGTAACCTAGCTTGACTTTCCCCAATCCCGCCCATCACGTTTACCTGCCTGACCCCCTTCCACCCAGGATGCCGCCTCTGCCCGGCTTCTCCGACAATGGCTTCGCCCGCCGCACCGAGGTCGTCGCAGCGTCCAAGGCGCTTCTACAGCCTCTCGTTGCATACTCTTCCAAAGGCAACGCTCGTGTCAAGATACCCATCACATCCGGCGCTCACTTTGACGACGCCGCCGCTGAGCTGGAAGGATATGCACGCCCACTCTGGGTGGTAGCGACGCTGCTCGCTGCTCAGCCGCGCAGCACAGGCAAACAAGACTCTTCGGACGACTCTCTTCTGGGCCACTGGATGCGAGGTCTTGAGAATGGTGTCGATCCATCGCATCCAGAGTACTGGGGTGCCATCGGGGACTGGGACCAGCGCATGGTTGAGGCCGAGGTGATTTCCTTTGCCCTGCTCTCCGCGCCGGAGTCCTTCTACAGACCGCTGAGCGGTACGGCCAAGTCCAACGTCAAGGCCTGGCTGAAGGGCCTGAACGGCAAGGTCATGCCCGAGAATAATTGGCGCTGGTTCCGGGTCTTTTCGAACCTCGCGCTCGTCAAGGTGTGCGGCGAGGAATGGGCCGCCTACTGGCCGCTCATCAAGGCAGACCTCGAGACCCTTGACAAGTTCTACATTGGCGACGGTTGGTCCAGCGACGGCATCTGGCGCCCGGCGACGTCGGATCCGACCAAGGAGGGAGTCGGTGAGGATGCCGCGCGGGGGCGACACGCGGACTACTATTCCGGCAGCTTCGCCATCCAATTCAGCCAGATCTTGTATGCCAAGTTTGCCGCGGACCTTGATCCCGAACGATGCCAAGGCTTCAAGAAACGAGCCCATCAATTTATTCAGTCATTCTGGGCGTACTTTGATACTGACGGTATGTATGTTCCGGTGTGGACGGGCACACCCGTGTATCAAAAGACTGACAACTTGTCAAATAGGCGCCGCAGTCCCTTTCGGCCGCTCCTTGTGCTACAAATTCGCCATGGGCGCCTTCTACGCAGCCTTTGCTTACGGAGACCTCTGCGATGACTCCGATCCCCTCACCTCGCACGGGGCCGTCAAGGGCATGCTCCTCCGCCACCTGCGCTGGTGGGCTGCGCACTCCCACGACATCTTCTGGCCCGACGGCACGCTCAACATTGGCTACCTGTACCCCAACATGTACATGAGCGAAAACTACAACTCGCCACAGTCGCCCTACTGGGCCCTCAAGTCCCTCATCGTCATCGGCCTCGCCGACACGCACCCCTTCTGGGCGGCGCCGGAGCTCCCGCACCCCTTGCAGCACGGCGGCGCAGGTATAGTTGTCGTCAAGCCGGCGCGGCAGATTGTCTGCAATCACACGAGCGGCGGGCATCACTTCCTGCTCTCGTCCGGGCAGTTTTGCGTCTGGCCGATGAAGGCGACCAAGGCCAAGTACGCCAAGTTTGCGTACTCCTCGTCCTTTGGCTTCAGCGTCCCTACGGGCCCCCTGTTTGCCCAGATTGCGCCGGATAGCACGCTTGCGCTGTCTCGCGATGGCGGAGAGGCCTGGACGCAGAGGTGGAAGTCCGTCGGAGACACGGAGTTCCCAGTCGTGCCCGTGCAGGGGCAGGAGGCGGGCATCACGGCCATGGTGAGTCGCTGGAAGCCGTGGTCATCCGCCGGCGTCACCGTCGAGTCGACAGTCATCCCACCTTGCGATAAATGGCCCGACTGGCATCTAAGAATACACCGTATCCGAGCCGAGACTCCCCCGAACGCATCCCTGTTTGCCGTTGAGGGCGGGTTCGCCATCTTCGCGCCAAGAAAGAGAGGCAGCCGCCTCGTACAAGTAGCCAAGTCGCCAAACGTCGAGCTCTTGTCCTTTGACAACCTGGGTGAGGATGGCATGGCCGTCGAGACTGCGCGCTCCGCCCTGGTGATCTCTGAAGCCGGGGCCAGCGGCATCGTCGACCTGACGCCGCAGACAAACAGCGCCGAGGCCCGCGGCGACGTGTTGCGTCCGGATCCCAACACGAACATCATGACGACAAAGACGATGATACCGAACATCCGTCATGAGAGACTGTCGTGGGTGTCAGGGGAGGCAGTCATTGTCTCGGGCATCTTTGCAATCGCTGGCAAGCAAAGCAATGGGGATGAAATAAAATCTCGATGGCTGGGACGGCCAAGTCTTTCGTTCACAGGAGACGGAGAAATTGTACTATCATAGTCCAGAGATATTTAATAACAAATAAATCTAATAAAAACTCATTCCGGCACAGATTTTCATTTACAAGGTGGTGAAGCGTACGTCCCCCAAAATGATGAGATTCTCCTAAGCACCTTGGCCGTTCGTTACAAGATTGATCGTATAGACAGGCTGCAGCATCACATACATAGTTAGCCGAAGCGCTTCAATAGTGCCACTCGCCCACTGATACATCACTTCCAGTCGATAGTCACGGAGTAGTGTAGTATCTACCTCATCCGATATTTCGACCAAAACTCTAGTCATGAGTGGTTCTGGGTCGAGGATACGGGATACTTTTCCATTGCCGTTCGGGGTCCGGGGGCGGAGCCGGGGGTCCGCCGAGTCGCCGATCTAGAACGCGCAGGGGGCTGACGTATAATCTCCAAGATATAAATATTATGAGCTAGAAGTCAAATACCACAGCCATCTACGCCACACAAAAGGGTATGAGCTGATTCCGTTCCAGCTCCACCGCAACAATGCCTCTCTCAATCAGGCTTTGGAGCGCCCTTGGCGCTATTATCTCAGTCACCCAGGCGACTCAATACCATATCGACTGCTCCGCATCCTCCGGCGGCTCCGGCACGCTCACGCGCCCTTGGAACAGCCTCGCGCAAGCCAACGAGCCCACCTTCCAGCCCGGTGACATCATCGCCTTGAAGGCGGGCAGCACCTGCAACGGCGTCCTCTCGCCCAAGGGCGTCGGCACGGCCCAGGCGCCCATTCAAATCACCAAGTACGGAGGCAACGCCGGCGCCGTCATCAACGGCACCGGGGCCGCCGGCGCCGCCGTCACCCTGACCAACCAGGACCACTGGCGCATCGCCAACCTCACCGTGACCAACCCGGCGCGCCAGCTCGCCGCCCGCCAGGGCATCCACGTCACCGCGAGCGACGGCACGACGCACACGGGCATCACCATCGACGGCAACGTCGTCCACCACGTCGCCGGCGAGACCAACAAGGCCGGCAGCACCAGCGCCGCCTTCATCCTCTCCGCCGGCATCCTCGTCGACGTCGGCACCGCCACGGGCAGCCGCTACGACGACGTGCTCGTCCGCGGCAACGCCGTCTCCGACTGCGGCGGCGGCGGCATCAAGGTCCGCGTCGGCAACGCCTTCGACAACCGCGGCGCCCGCGCGCGCGTCACCGAGAACCGCATCCGCGCGTGCGGCGGCGACGGCGTCGTGCTCTCGTACGGCGAGGCGCCGCTCGTCGACTACAACGTCGCCGTGGACCTCGGCAAGGGCGCGTATCCCTGGACCGGCGGCAACTTTGCCGGCATGTGGGTGCTCGGCGGCCGCGACCCGACGCTCCGCCACAACGTGGTCGTCGGCAGCATCATGTCCGTCATCGACAGCGAGGCGTTTGACTGCGACTGGGGCAACGCGGGCACCTGCACCGTCGAGTACAACTTCAGCCGCGACAACGCCGGCGGCGCGTTCCTCAACTGTGACGGCTGCGGCCCATCGGGTGGTGATGTGCGGCAGGTCGTGCGGTACAACGTCTTCCAGAACGACTGCCGCTTTTACAGCAACGGCGACAAGCCGACGCTGGAGTTTTACCAGAACGTCTTGTACTGCGACAAGGCCAACTTCAACATGACTTTGCCGAAAAACACCAATTTCACCAACAATATCATTGTTGGAAATGGCAAGTCGTCGCTTCCGGCCAGGAGCGGTATCAGCTGGCACGAGAATGTTTTTCAGAATGTCAAGGCACCGACAGGCGGCGGCATCGCAGGAGATCCGCGCTTCGTGAAACCGGGCTCGGGAAGTGATACTTTGGGGTCGGCAGCTGGATACCGCCTCAAATCCGGCTCGCCCGCCCTGCTCAGTGGCAAGGTCATCCCGGATAATGGCGGCGTAGACTTTTTTGGAAACTCCGTGTCAAAGTCATCGAAGCCCAACATTGGAGCGTACAATGGTCCGGGTCTCTAAAGGGACGATGAATAGCTCTGTGGGTTTTGTACATAAAATGAGTCTCGAATACATTTACATACAAGTGAAGAGAATCACTTGTGCTGGTTGTGATCTGTCTGTCCTCGAAGCCGTCTGCCTTGCTCGCGCGCTCTAGACTCAAGCTTTCGAAGCTCCGCCATGAAATCAAATTCTATCTCGTCTCGCGTGTCGGTTTCTGCCGCACCAGTCTCAGGCTGCCTCTCTTCTGCGCTGGGATTTTGCAGCATCAGCTGGCTCCCGGTCAGCAGACTCCGATCAAACCCCAGCGGTGAATCCTGGTCGAAAAAGTTGATGCCAAAAACGCTGCCTCCACTGGAAGGTGACGTTGAAAACGGATGTAACGTAGCTGAAAAGTCGACCATGTTCATCAGCGGCTGCTCATTGGAGGCTGTCAGCCCTTGTCTCTGCGCAGTGTCTTGCGCCGCAGATTTAGCTCCGCTCTCCTCTGCAGACTCTCTCTCTGAAATCAGGGCCCTGCGAAGCCTCATCGCCGAATCTTCATCGCTCGAAGCATGCGTTTCTGTCTCTCGTTTATTTGAAATCCGGTTAGAGACCTCCAGAAGCAATGCAATCAGTGACGTCGTAGTATCGGACATCCTTGTTGTATTCCAGTCTTCGTGGCAATACATGTCAGCCAAATCAGAGCGCAGTACCGGTATGCAGGGACAACATACTCACTAATACCCTTCCAGCCATAAATATGCAAAGTGCAAATTGATGCGGTGGGATCTCCCGGCTCGCATCCAAGAAGCGCCGGGCAATGCGATCGATCTTCATAGCGGCCATCACACAAGCTTCTTTCGATGCGCCAGACACAAGCGAGGACAACCAAGCTCGAGCTTGTCGCGGTGGATTTGCGAGGCGATTGTGAAGTGTGATTATTGCTGCATTGTGTGTCATGTGCGCAATGGTCAAGTTCGGGTCGATGTAGCCGTTCACGACGCGAACCTCCCGCCAGCGATGTGTCAAGCACAGCTCCCACCTTTGCCAGGTCAATATCTAGCAGACGTTTCCGTCGTGGAGAGTATAAACTTACTGGAGAAGACGAGAGTCCAGCTGTCGAAATTTGTGAAGCCAACTCGAGAGCTGGGCTGGGCTGTTTGGCTCAAGAGGCTGGCGCTCGTGGAATTTGCTGACGAGAAATAGCGACTCGGTTGCTTCAATGGTGTAAGCCAAGCCACCGATCCCACTAGGCCCCTCGGAGTCGTTGTAAACAGGTGGAAAGGGCGCATCTTCAGTTTCAGCACTAGCTTCCATATCCTCTTGGGTTTGTTCGTGTATCTTGAAAAACGATGTCTCGATGCATTGATCAAACTCCCACAGACACCCATCGCATGGTAGCCGTCTCTGTATACTCTTACTGGAGATGTTTGGGGTTGATCTAATTGGCTTCGTCAGTAAATCGGGCATTGACTTCTCGCTCTTGAGCTCTTACCCTGTCACAATGCTGCAGAATCGATCCAGCAGAAAACCACCCCAAAATACGCGGCGTCGCTCCTCCATTTCTACCCACGTGGTTGGCGGATCCAGCGGCTCCGTGGGCTGTGAGAAAAATGTTGACAAGTGGCAGTCCTCTTTTCTCTCCTCAGTATTCAGCTGCAGGCTCTCAATCTTGCGACATATAATAGAAACAAGCGACCATGGAGAGCGACTCAAGCCTCGCCTGATGGTATCAAAGGCCACAAGAATCAGGGCTTGTATGGCCTCTTTCGAGCTACTTTCTATTGCAGAGATGACGACGCCTTGGCGTAGCTGAGAGAGGTGGTCGTCCAGCTCAGCCGACTTTGCAGCTTCCACTGAGTCGTTAGCATATGGCAAAGCTATAGCAGTAATGGCTTGCAGTATGAGTGTGATTCCTGAAGGTCTATCCGGCTCGCGCGCTCTTCTCAGAAATGATGCCGGGTGCACAACTGGTATCCAAGGATGAACGAGCTTGAAGTATACTTCCAGGATAGTCTCGACGGGCGCAAGTTGCAGGGAAGCGCACGGGCTGCTCGTAGAAGCGCACAATCTCTTCTGCGAACGAGTATTGGCATCTTCATCTTCTTTGTTCTCTCGCTTCCTTCTGCTCAAGAGAAAATCAACAGTCTCAGTCGCACTACTAGAATGTGTTTCTCCGGCCGAAGCTACCACGTCCGAGAGAGCTTGTTTCACTCGCTCAGTCGAGGACGCCAAATCGCTAGACGCAAAGCTTTGGAGACAAGAGCCAGGTTTGGCTGCAGTATGACCTTTCATGAACTGCTGCATCAGAATACTCTGTCCAAGAAACATGTTCTCAATCGTGTCTGTTGAGGCTCATTAGCGCGGGATTCGCGGTGGCCGACTTTTTAACACTGACCAATTCGTTGACTTAATCGTTCTATAACGCCAATCTTAACGCCTCCTTTGGATCTCTTGTCTTCATAGACGCAGTCCACCCCTAAAGGTCGCCGGATTGTGAGTATGACAGGTGAGACAGCGGCTATGGTGATGGCTCACCTGATTTCATACACTGCGTGCATGGCTGCTGTCTAGAGCACTTTGCCTTTTTCTTGCGGCAAAGTTGGCATCTAAAAACGGTCAATCGATTTATCTTGGGCCCCGTATAGCGTTGACTCGCACTGACGCTGGTGTCTCATCCGATACCGCACCGTGTAGACTCTGGTTTTGGGGAAGCTCCTCCCAGTCATTCTCGCCCATGTGAGACTCCGGATCCATAGATGTAGACCTGGAATCAACAGTGTGTGATGTACAGGGTGTGCTTTATTGACGGAAGACCTCTCGAGAGATGAAAGAGACCAAACTCGCGTGTCACCCTCCGCTCCGGGGGTACCCCAGGTTATTGAAAGGCTAGCTACCAGGCGGAGACTGGAAAGCAGCCATCAAGCATACCCCAGTTGGGGTCATTCCTCCATTCAGCAAGCCACTCAACAATGGTACTGGTAGATAGCTGAAGAACCCCCCACAGGCCTAGTGCGCGCCATACGGAGAAGATGAACTCCCCTTTTCCGCAGAAAGGGTGGCAGCAAAGGCAGCGGGGACCTGTAGCAAGGTAAGCGTACGTTCTTTTGAGTCATGGTCATCGGTGGCTGGCTTTGAATGGAGTTTGAATGGAGATGAAGTTGTGACAGAGCGTAGCGGACTGCTGTCAATGGCCCGACTGGCTTTGGATGGCGCTACCCTGTATGGCAAACGCTGTTTCTGTAGGGGAAAGGAATCAACTTCTGCCCAGTGTGAAAGTTTTGGTCTTGCTTTTTTACCAATAGCCATGGGAGAAATTTTTCCATTACTATAATGCAAAAAGTCGGTTGTGAGGGACTGGTGTAGGAAGATGCGAAGGTGCAAGCACGATTTGCGAGCATGGGTTCATAACCAGTATGTGGACACGCTTATTCCTGCCTGCACCAAAAGCTTCCTCCCATCAAGCAAACAACCACGAGCCACAGCGACAACAGACGACACCTTACAGAGCTTTTCTCTCTCCACTTCTAATTCCTGACTCCATCTCAACAATCAATACAAGAACCTCACAAAACACCATTCCTCCAGATCCTGGCATGGCCAGCACATTGGACGGGTCGCTCCCATCGCGGGGCAGACCAGCGGCCCCCCTCCTCCCCCTCCTCCTCCTCCCCCTCCTCCTCCGACATCGACATTGACGACGACGCCCCTTTACCCTTCCCCGAGGCCCTCCCGCGCTCCGACTTTCTCACACCCGCCTTCGAGCCCGCCGCGTACCTGTCCGCGTTGCCGCACCGCCACCAGACGCTCGAGGACCTGCGCGCTGACCTGCGCGACCGCAGCGCCGCCATCAGCGGCGAGCTGCTCGAGCTCGTCAACGCCCACTCCACCACCTTCCTCTCCCTCGGCACCGACCTCCGCGGCGGCGACGACAGAGTCGAGGATGTCCGTGTCTCGCTGCTGGGCTTCCGCCGCGCCGTCGAGGACGTCCGCGCCCGCGTGACCGCCAGACGCGCGGACGCGGACGCGCTCACGGCGGAGCTGCGCATCATCCGCGGGGACGTGGAGCTCGGCAGGTCCATGGTCGAGGTGGCGGAGCGTCTGACCTCGCTGGAGGAGAGGCTGGCGCTGAGCACTGCAACGAAGACGGCGACAGACGGGGAGGACGATGAGGACGACCAGGGCAGCGAAGAGGAGGATGAAGACGAGGACGAGCAAATACAGGGACTTGTGGGAAGCACGCCGAATGTGTTGATGGCACTGGCGCGGGACTGTAATGCTGCAGAGACGCTGCTAAGGTCACTTCCGGTGCTGCCATTCACCGCAAAGTTAGACACGCGCTTGATTAAGTGCAGGAGAACGTTGCTGTTGGATCTTGGCAATGCTTTAAAAGAGAGTCGCAAAGCCGGCGTCCGGGCTCAAGATCGTGTGTTGAGGTATCTCGCGATATACAGAATACTTGGCGCCCAGGATGAGGCAATCACGGCCCTCAAAACAAAATAGATGGTAATCACGAATTAGAAATGAAACTTGCATCCCCTTGCCAAATTTTACTTTGCATATCAAACGCTGATGCTGCTTAGTTGGTAGTTTAGATATAGTACAGTAATACACAGTCCTTCCCCTTATGTTATTTTACATGGCGCTCGATAATTGTTCAGCGGTGACCTTGTCATCCTCATTCGCCAGCCTGCCGCTTAAGCTGACGGCAGGCCCGTTTGTCGTGCTCAGGATGACATCGTGGATCTCCTTGTGCGACTCCTCCGAGATCTCCGCGCACTCGGCCTTGATCTTGGCCAGCACGGCCGAGATGTTGGCCTTGAGCTGCTCCGGCGTGTGGCCGAGCTGGCCGACCGCCAGGCGCACGACGCCCATGCGCTCGCGGTAGTCGGCCGAACCGGCGGTGTCGCGGATGGCCTTGGCCACGTCGCTGACGATGGTCTTCATGCGCGCCGAGGGCATCAGGCCCTTGGGGCCGAGTATGCGGCCCAGGCCGGCCTTTTGTAGCGCCTTCTCGCTGCCCTCGTGGCACAGTAGCCGGTCAAAGTTGATGTCCTCCTTGAGGATCTGCTCGAACAGGGACGCCTCGCCGACGGCCACGGCGCCCGCCGCGGAGGCCGCGGTGGCCACCTCGCTGCCCTCCTTGCAGATGACGGCGATGCGCCAGTCGGTGCCGACGGGGTGTGGCAGGCGCAGGTTGCTCTTGATGACGGGTCCGTTGCGCGCCGTCTTGAGGTTGATGGCGAGGTCGTATTTGATCGAGGCGGGAGGCTGGCCGACTTCGTATGCGCGGAGGATTCTGGAATTCAGGTTAGTCGTGCTTGCCCCCGGCGGGATCGGGGGTTGTCGCGTGACGGGGCGTCCGCGTAATGGGACTGTACCTCATAGCTTCAACAAGCGAGAATCTAGGAAAGTTGGTCTTGTCGAGGTTGTGGCGTTTGTATTCCTTCGGCACCGACTTCTTCTTGACAGGGCCTTTCTTGATACGGACAACAGAGGCTTGGCGGGTTTGCAGAAGAGCTGCTGGGGCCAGGCAACGCGACACCATTGACGCTGTCGGGCGGGAGGTTTGTGACAAGCTCAGCCTGGCCATAGAGGCCAGGCATTTATCGATGGCGGCCATTTCGTGTTGTATGTGATGTGCGTGGTTGAACCGCGAACTACTAGCAGCCCATGTCGCAAAAAGGATGCATCTCGAAAAATATACTTGCCTGGAAAGTGAGGCGGAAAGTTCCTTATCGATAGCTGCCAGGTCGATCTGTGCTGGCAATATGTAGCTAGTAGGCAATCGTACAAATTGGAAGAAAAAAGAAAGAAAAAAGATCCCGACTCCTTAGTTCGTCAAAATTTATCATCTTCTTTCCAAGTTTATTTTGTGCTTGGTAACCTAGGAATGGCCATAGAATCGGTCGTGTGCCTTGCCTTTGAAACAGCAGCAGAATTCTTAGAGTAACATCGATTTTAAACAAAAGGTACAACAGCACCGACACAAAGAACGAGAAAAATGTCAAAATAACCATAAAATTGATTTTTCTGCCCTACCTAGCAGTTGAAGTAAAGTCGACGAAATTCGGCGTTTGTCGCAATGGCAGTGTTCAGCAAACGCAGGGTTTGTAGCAGCAAGGATCCATTTTCTAGGTATTTCTAGTTGAAATGAGAGCCTGAATCGATATTGGATCTAACGAACAAGGTGTCGTGTGAGCTTTCATCAGCTTCAAACACTGCTAACAACCTATAGCCGTAACATTTAAAGTTGTAGCCGAAAGCTGAATAATACAATCAATAGGTGAGATTTGTGCAGAAATATTCTGCTGCATGTTCTTGAAGAAGTTCCCAAACATCATCTGTGTCTGTAGTTAGCTGTCCATTGGCCAGCCAAATGTCTGCTACCCCGCCAAAAACCCCTCCATCAAGACTCCACCATCAAGGAAAATCCAGTGACTCAAAAGCCAGACTTCATCCATTTCAAATTTTACTGATCAACTTCATTGCCCTGCGAATCCAACCATAATGAAGCACGACGAGCTCGAGACTGTGGCTGCCAGCCTCAGCGGCGATTTCCGCTCCATTGAGCCCCATCTGCGCAGCATCGACAAGCACCTAACGCTGCGAACCTACCTCGATGGCTTCGCCCTCGGTCCCATCGACACAAAGGCCTGGCAGAGTCTGCGCGGAAACAAGGCGGCTATGGGTTTCATCCGAAAGAACACGCTCGGGCACCTGTCCCGCTGGTTCAACTACATTGAACAGGCACACCCCGAGCTCGGAGAGGAGGCCAAGGCTGCCGACGCCGCCTCCAAAGCCAAGACGGCTGCTGCCAGCAAGGCTGGTGCCAACTACAACCTCGCTCTCCAGGATGCCGACAAGGGCGTCGTGACCCGTTTCCTCCCCGAACCTTCGTAAGCTCCAACCACGACTACTGTGCTCGGAAAACGCGTGCTAACATGGCTGCAGCGGCTACCTTCACATCGGACACGCCAAGGCAGCCCTCCTCTCCGACTACTTTGGCCATGTCGCCTACAAGGGCCAGATGCGCCTGCGTCTCGACGACACAAACCCCTCCAAGGAGAAGCAGGAGTTCCAGGATGCCATTGTTGAGGACCTCGCCCTCATGGGCATCAAGCCTGACACCCTGACCTACACCTCGGATTACTTCGACTACCTCTACGACATGTGCATCAAGCTGATCAAGATGGACAAGGCGTACGCCGACGATACTGACCAGGAGACGATGCGTGACGAGCGTATGCACGGCCGCCCCTCGAAGCGTCGCGACCGAACCGTCGAGGAGAATCTACGTATCTTTGAGGAGATGAAGAAGGGTACCGAGGAGGGTCTCGCCAACTGCATCCGCGCCAAGCTCTCCGTGGACAACCCCAACAAGGCCATGCGCGATCCCGTCATCTACCGCTGTAACATCGAGCAGCCACATCACCGTACCGGTCGCAAGTGGAACATGTACCCCATGTACGATTTTGCCTGCCCCGTCGTCGACAGTCACGAGGGCGTCACCCACGCCCTTCGCTCTACCGAGTACACCGACCGCAACCCTCAATACCAGTGGTTTATTGACACCCTGGGCCTCCGACAGGTACACATGTGGGACTTCTCTCGTCTCAACTTCATCAAGACCTTCCTCTCCAAGCGCAAGCTCGCAAAGCTCGTCGACAGCGGCAAGGTTTGGGGCTGGGACGACCCTCGCATGCCAACTATCCGTGGTGTCCGCCGTCGCGGTATGACGGTCGCTGCGCTCCGTGACTTCATCATCAAGCAGGGACCCAGCCGTAACATTGTCTCCATGGACTGGACCACGTTCTGGGCTGCCAACAAGAAGGAGATTGACCCTGTCGCTCCCCGCCACACTGCTCTGCTCAAGAAGGACCTGGTAAAGGTCGATCTTTCGGGCTCTGAGACCCCCTCTGGCGTTGTTGTAGAGGAGCGCCCAAAGCATCCCAAGAACCCCACTGTTGGCAACAAGCAGGTCTACTTCTCCCCTCAAGTCTACCTCGACCAGGCTGATGCCAAGACTTTCAAGCTGGGCGAAGAGATAACGCTTATGGGTTGGGGTAACGCGTTTGTCCGCGACATCCCCGCCGGCGAGCCTATTCCTGACCTGAAGCTCGAGCTCAACCTCAAGGGCGACTTCAAGACGACTGAGAAGAAGGTCACCTGGCTCTCGGCCCAAGGATTCGACCTCGTCCCCGCGGAGCTGTGGGAGTTCGACTATCTCATCACCAAGGACAAGCTTGAGGAGGAGGATAACCTGGAGGACTACCTGAACCCCAACACTGCTAGCATGGAGGAGGCTGTCTGTGACCCCGGCGTCGGCAAGCTCAAGAAGGACGACATTATCCAGCTTGAGCGCCGTGGATTCTTCCGCGTGGACAAGGGTCTCGGTGACTGGGCCGAGGGTGAGGCCGGCGAGAAGGGCCCTCGCGTTGTTCTGTTTGCGATTCCTACTGGCAAGGGCGGAAAATGAACAAAAGGAGTATGACATTAAATACATGAATAAAAAATGAATTGACGGAACACGCCTTCTTTTGCATTTTACGCAGTGATGCGCAGCTCCCTAGCACGGATCAACTGTGATCACTCGCCTCCGTGGGGTTCGGTAGGCAGGAAAGCAAATCACCCAGCTTCTCGAGCACCATTTTCTGTTTTCTAACATCGTTCATCGTTGTCTTGTCTTGGGCGTCGCCGACACTTACTGAGACGTAGCATAGCCCTTCCTTGCTCTTCTTGTACACCCTCATCTCCGTGGGCAGCCGCGTTCTCCCACATGTCTTGACGTCCCTGGGTGAGAACCAGCCGGGGGTGATGCGGGTCAGCACAAAGTTGAAGTCGTCCACGTTCAGGCAGTTCTCGTCCACGTCCGGAAAGTTGACGTTGAGCCAGACGCCCCTTGGCAGGTACGGCTTCCCCGAGTCGATAAGGGCGTTGGTCAGCTTGGCGGCGAGCCCGGCGTAGACCCGGCTGACGGTGGGCTCCGGGTACGTGTTCCAGGGGAGCTCGCGGTTCTTGACCAGCCCGGAGAAGGCGATGGCGGGGAGGCCTCGCCGGGCGGCATAGACGGCGGCGCCGACGGTGCCAGACCATTGAACCCCGAAGAAGAGGGCGGAGCCCACGTTGACGCCCGAGACGACGAACTCGGCATCGGAGCCGTTCCAGCGCTCCGGGCCGAAGGTGTCGATGCCGGTCTTGAGGGCGGTGACGGGGGATGCGTTGACCCAATTGAGCTCCGGACGGCTCGCGTTGCGCCCGGCAGCGCCGGACATGGGCAGGCAGGAATTGTACTGGCAGGGTCTCTTCCGGAACACAGGCCCCTTCTCCTTGGGGTCGTCGTCTAGCGCGCGGGCAATATGTCAAGTAGGGTCAGTACGATAAAGCAGAACTCTTTGCAGGAAGTTTGGGGGCATGGGTGGGAGGGCAGCTTTGGGGAAACGCACACGGAGGCTTTTCCGCAGGGGCTGAGAGAACCACATCGTGACCCGACTCACGCAGGTGGTCTCCAAAGGATCGCGCGTAGAGGTCGGCCCAGCCTTCACGGGTACCCTGAACGATGCGGATACCTTCGACAACGCGGGTGGCCTGGAAGGCGAGGGCGAGGGTGAGGGAGATCCTCATGACTACAGATAACACGAGAGGTGGCGTAGAGAGGAGAAGTCCGGCTCGTCGACGATGATTGCGCTGTTGGTCGGAAAGTCGACTGTTGGTCGGCAAGTTGCCGGCTGATCGGCAAGTAAGAGAGCGGGTGTTATCCCCTCAAACAGAAGTCGAACTTCTAAGAGGTAAACATTGAGATTTTGCGTGATGGGCAGTATGTTTATCTATTTTTAATCGATTGAGAGTTTTTGCCAAAGTTCTTGGAATCGTGCAAGATCTAGACCGCCTAGTAAGCTCGTGACCTGTCCGCCACTCTAGCCAGAAAACGCGCGATCTAAGCACAGAAAGACACGTAGAATCAGCCTATCTGTTCAAATTTTGCCACTTTACGTGCTGTGTACTATTAGTTCTGCGGATATGGCCAACCGGGAGCTGAATGCTATGAGTCAAGATTGCATGCTGCTAAAGCCTGACGAAAGGTTACTAGGCGTGAAGTCCGTTGACGCGCTGTTGGTCGCGTTCTGGATAACAGTCCTGATAACATTGATACTTGATGGCCTCCTGAAAAAGCCACCCCGCCAAACCAAGTTGGATTCTGCAAGATGCGGATTGCCTCTCAAACCCGAATTGTCACACCAGCAGAAAACAATCATTCATTGGCTGGTAGGGCACCTACAGGCAGCCTCAAGACTCTAGTTGTTTCCTTTTAAAATTAATCAGTTATGCAAGTCCAATTTCCTTGTATTGGAAGCTGCACAGAACTAAAATCACAACAGCCGAGTTTCTATGGACAAGGTCAATGGGTTCGCGCACGAGGGTCTGGCTGAATGAAGATCCAGACCAATAAACCGATCACAAATTGTCATTGTTCAATTTTTAAAGGGATGAACAACATGAAACTGGATGATGTGCGTTGCACCGGTCTCATACCGGTTGTCCGTCTTGCCATCAGTTTGGTACTCGGGTACCAACGTTGTGCAGCCTAGTGCAGCAGCTGCAGTGCCCCAACTACGCTATCAAAGAGCATCATTCGACTGTTTCATAGGCTTGAAGAGACCCAAGAATCTTTGACATGTACTTTTTAAGAGAACAATGGTTTGACAGTACTAGACTATCTTGGCACTGACACAGAGCCTGCGTGCGGTCTGAAGCTCGTGCAATACGATGACGTGCACAAGCAACAAGGAGCAGACAGTGTGACTGACGTGTAACGATGTTGATGGCACATCATAATGAGCTTTATAAAAGTAATGAAAGCCTGCAACTTTGAGGCGCAACGCATTGCAAAGTCGAACAATGTGGGTTGTTGGAAGTAGCATTCACGCTCTTCGTAGGACCGTCGGGAAGACCAAGGCATGAGGCGCCAAGTTGAATTGATTCGAGTCAAAGAAACTCTGTAGTATAAATATAAGATGGTAATCAGTCCGCATGCCTTGCTCAACTTCAAGATTCGGTCAGCTCAGATTTCCCAAGTGTACCGTCCCTCGCCGCCGTTTCTATTTAAGCTCATCGATTTCTACAACATTCCGAAATTGCACAAACTGCGGCGCATAAAGCAACCAAGCTCTACATTTCAACACTTACACGGATACTCGGGAACAAAATTTGCGCGATACTTACCTATTAATACAGGGGTTGCAGTCATTTCGGTGAAAGTTATGCTCAACCTGTGCGGTGCCCCGAAGCCATCAAAAGGGGGGTGAATTGCTTCCGAAGCACTTGGCAAAAAAGACGCACCGGGGTTAGAGAAGGATTGTGCCACAGGTGTCAATTGCGCACGCCCCCCGACTCCAGTTGAACTCAGTTCGCTTCGAAGCCCAGGTATGGAGCAACGTGCGGGATTCACAGCTATGTCAGAACTCGGCAGAGGACATTCCTCGGAGACAGCAGATTCTTCAAGCATTCTTTTTTTATTGGGCCTTTGATATTTACTGGGGATTTGACTGCGATTTCTTTCTTCATGTTCTTTTTGTTGGCCATCATTTCTGGACAGCGCAGGGTCCGGCTCCGGGATTTGCGGGCGTTTGTAGACCGTGGCCAAGACTGTAACGCAGGGATATCCATCGCCTCCATCTGATAGTGGGAGCTGGGAGTTTGTATAGAGAATCTTCGGGGCTCAGTTCATCAGTGGTTGCGAGCCTACAGCTGCATCTTTTGTAATTTGCGTCCGAATTGACAGTTTTATGGTCAAGTTTGTTCACTGCTGGGGATTTTATGCAGACGGAGAAAGTACGATAAGTCTTATCGAGCACGAGATAAGACTTTATCTCCTCATGATCGAGAGGAGGATTGCGGGTCCTAGGACGGCACGGAGATGTCAACCAATCAACGTCCATTAGGCAGTTACTAATCAGGTTAGCAGCCGTCCCTCGCCTCCACCCGTCCGTCGGCCGCCTCAACTGCTACAGCGCTGCTAGCTTGCCTGTCGTCGTCCTTCTCCTCCTCCAATATCATATCGTCTGAGTCGCCATATACTCAGTTCCGCGGGTGCAATATTGAGCCGGGGGCGACGACAAAGACGTGACGCTGTCACCATCAATTCGCCATGTCAACGGCGGCGGGATCAGAGCGGCGTGGTCCCGGCCAGGTTGACGCGGCTGGCAAGGACGATGCGGCAGATCCTCCACGAGTAAAGCGATGGGCACCCAGATCCAGGACAGGTTGCTTGGGCTGCCGGTAAGCTGCTCTCCTCTTTCACGAACGCTACATCTATGCATTGCATTTCTATGGTTTCCTTTTCCGGAATTCTATTTCCCTTCGTACCCCAAACTTTGCTGGGTTCAGTATCAGTATCCATGCCTATATCATGCTTACGCACACCTTGGCACAGTGCGAGGCGGGTCAAATGCGACGAAATCAGGCCCAAGTGTAAGAGCTGCCAGAAGCGCAACATGGAGTGTCGCTATGAGCTTAATCCTCCTGGCGCGAGCTCATCCTCGGACGCGCTGCCCAGGGCGAGTATCAGCATTCGCCCAAAGCCGGCCCCGACAGGGACTCAAGATAGCAGCGCTGGCAAAGTCAAGTGCGACGAGTCGTCACGAGCCTCTCGGTGCCCCTGCTCTGGCCTTTTATCACCGGAGCCAGAGGCCTTTTGTGGACCGGGAGAGTCATCCCATCATGCCATCGCGTCGACGGCAAGCAATTCTAGCGGTCCTCGACAATCCCATTTGTCACTGCCACCGTCCTCCGCCTCACGAACTCTGTCTAGAGGCCGCGAACGCAGGTCGGCAGACAGCCAAGGCCAAGAAGCCACCCTGCTCGTCGACATACACCCTCCGGACTGGTATTATTCAGAGGCTGTAACATACTGTACGTTTTACTCGCTTCTCAGCTTCTGCTGCTCTGATATAGTAAGACCGTGCATGTTAATTATGCTTCTAGTTAATAGATATATTCTCAGAAAGATAAAAAAGCTTGAGGTAATTCCTATTAATTATCATAGGCCTCAAGGGAAGAATGTCGCCAACTTCGATGCATTTATTGCTTTCATTCTCGCCCATCGTATCACAGAAATTTCTCGCGATCGTGGCAGTCCGGCCCAGCCAAGCGAGGCTTACCATACCAAGCATTTATGGGAACGCCTATACACCTGCATATCAAACCAGATCACCTGCATCAACACTGAAATCGCACGTCCAAACTCTAGCGATGCAGCTAAAGTAAGGGTGTTGACCAGGATTCAGGGCATAAAATGCGTCGAGTTGATGCTGCAAACACCAGTTTGGAGGAACCACACAGAAGGATTCTTATCCTTGCTCAGGTTCTGTGGGGGTGTCAAATTCGCACAGGGGCGAGAGGCGTTGATCAGGAGTATCAAAGGAATGGTCATGTAAGTGCACCTGTACTTGCCCACTGATCAGGGACCTGAGCATTGACTCATGAACCAGGGAGTCTGTCCTCGCCAATTCCGTTGCTCCTCCGGATAACCGAATTGTTGGTACATCGTACTTTACGACCGAGGAGCTCCTTTTCTTTCACAACCAGGTCCTGCACCCGAGTTTTCCTTGTCCCGGGGTGCTATTCGCGGGAATCCTGGAAACAAACAATCTGCGGGTGAAGATGTACTCCAGCCCGTCGCTCGGCTACTTGACAGAGGCGCTCAGCATTTTGCAACGCATCGATGCGTTCCAACCAACCGCCTGGGAGGAGTCCGCCTACACGTTGCCTCAGATTCCAGAAGTCCCGCTCATGGCAAGCATATACCAACTTGCCGTTGGCTTGTTCTGCTTGATGGCTCTCCAATATGCCGGGCTAGGGTCCATGGATAAAGCTGAGCGACGTAGCTCTCTCCTCCGATTACTCCAGGCGGCGTGGGAGCTTGAGCATTGCAGAGACGCTCTCAACTGGCCACTGGCAGTTGTTGGGTGTGCTCTTGCCGATGGCGGTACAGTTGTCGAGCAAGAATTTGTTTGCCAGTGCCTTGAAGATGCCGCACGACACGTCTTCGCTGTGCATCCGTTGGTCATAATTTCGAAACTCAGGCAATTTTGGATATCAGGGATGACGCACTGGGACAAGTGCTGGGGTGAACCCTGCCCAATTGTTGGGTAGTAGCCTTACATGGAAGCGCAAAACAACTGTCACGGACGAAAAGAAAGAACGCCGCAAGGCAGCTACCGTATGCTGGTATGCCAAGCCGGACGAGTCGCGGTACACCGAGTCAACCCGCTTTCAAAAGTCCACGGGCAAAAGTGGCGGGCGCAGCATGCGCAGCTCTTTTGCACCAAGTGCCACCTTCGCTTCATGGTCTATCCGTGCTACATTACCGTTCAATTTCATTAGCTACACGTCGATGCTAATGACGCGTGCATCGCGCGGAGGTGTGAGTATCCCAAAAGGCGAATGCGCCGAAAGCACGCTTTATCTGGCGTTTCATCTCGCCACTGGTGCTCGGTCATTCAGATACATCGGACAATTCGGACAATTCGGACGAACCGAATCCCTTGTACAATCGGCTGATTCGGGTGGAAGAAGCGCCAGATCTCGCGAGCCGAGATGCTGTTTGCCCAGTGTCATGGAGCTTGAAGGTATATGATGTATGCCAGGTATTCTCAGCCTCGTGAGCTGCCAGTTCTCGATTTTTTGAGATCGCTGTGGCCGAGTGGTTTACTTAGTGGCGCTCTGTGACAGAATGTCAGCCTACAAGGCTGGACATTCTAGTATCCGCTATATACCTTCAAGGACCGTGGTACCGGGCGATATCCCGCAAGGTCTTGTATGATTGGAAGCAAGGGCTCGATTTTACGTCTTTTGGAGCATCCTTACGAAGACCTTTACGAGCTCATGTTCACCTGTCGTGACAGGTTAGCATGCTGCTAATTGAGCACGGAGCTGGGGCTGGCATCTCCGCTTACTGAGCTCATGATGAGTGTCTGGGGTTTTCTGCATCTAATCACACCTATCGTGCCCTCCAGGCGACAAATCCCCCACGGGTCCGATGATTTGACGAAAGAATTGTTGGCTCCTGTTGCGAGTTGGGCTCAGATCAGAGTCGAAGAAGACTGCCTTCAAACTCGGGCCGTCACTTATGAAATATACATGTGGGAGCGGGGTTTTCTGATATTGATAAATCTCCGAGCTACCTATAAATGCGGCGTGATTCCCCCTCCCATCCACCAGCCAAAGTGCCTCCTTCAACTACCACCGTCTCTTGCAAGACGCTACCGGTCACCTCTAGTAGAAGCTGTAGTTTGCGTTCTTGCAAATGGAGCAAGTATACGGGAAGTTGCCTGTGTTTCTCGAATTGGATGATGGACGTCGTCGTTGCATATCAGCGTCGACAGAGAAATAGAACTTGCCTCCGCAGCAGTTCGAGTAGGTGCACTGGCCGAGTGGCGGGACCGTAATGTAAAAGGTGCCGTGCGGCATGCCGTAGGTGATGCCCATGCTGTTGGTGTCCCCGGCGGTGCCGATCTCGTAATGGGCGCTGTAGCCGTCCTGGCATTTGACGTCGCCGGGGCCACCCCGGTTGACGTGGCAGCCGTCGCAGACGGTCTCTCCATTGTCGGTGATGGTGACGGCGGTGACGACGTCCAGGCCGGTATGGATCTCGCCGTAGGTGTACACGCACGCGTACGCCTGCGCGGTGAGGGTGGCGAGGGGTGAGAAGTGCAGCGGCTCGCATCGTTGCCTTTTGTCGCGTCGGAGCGGTAAGGTGTAAGCAATGGAGAGGATAATATGAGGATTAGATGTCAGGTTTGGGATATAGTGATGAGCTCAAGATACATATAGTTCGAGCTTGTATGGACCTTCTGGATGCTGTACTGGCGCATGTCTTGCCTTGGAATAGCTCCAGGACCACTCGTCGTCAAGGGCGGATATAGTCGCATAGCTAGGCACCGATAAATCGAAGACTAATACACTACCCAACTGCCTCAATAGCCAAGGATTAAGAGAGATGTAAGATTGCATGAACCTAGCCTGATGAGAAGGATTCGCACACTAGTAGAGCGTCGGAAGCCACCTACTCGTGGCAAGGTCTGCATCGCATAGCAGGAAGCATCCCCTGCTGTCTCGTCCAAAGCATGGGGAGGCTGCAAAGAAGATGCTTTGCTTACTTTGTCCCCCTCCTATTTGGCAACAGTGTAGCTGGAGAAGAAGGATTGCGCGATGCTACGCCTGTCGGAACCCAATGGCGCGAGGCTGTCCGGCGCGTCAGCAATGCCCATCGGTTTCCGTAAACCAAGGATCCGAAGCTCGCCGCGAGATGCTCTGGCTCGGCAAAATCGCTACGAACTTTCTTAGCCGATTAACGGCATTCCATTCTAGACCTTTTTTAAAAGCCGCTTCGCCGCCGCCCACGCCGCCCGTCGAGAGAGCAGGACGCCCCCCCCCAGTCATCTGCTTCTCACAAAGAAGATTCCATTGCCTTCTATTCATTTAACACAGATGGAACAAGTCCGGTGTCAATTTTCAGTATCACGCACCTAATATTAAACTCTGAGATACTTGTATGGTATAGTTTAGACGTGCCATGTGTACTGAAGCTGTATGCGGGCAAAAGGTAGGCAAACGCGAAGTTATACTCCATATACGGGCTACCGTTAAAACGGCCTTCAAAAAAAAACTGCCTAAAAATAAAGACGTTTCTCTTTCGGGTTAACAATACTAACAAGTGCCCAACTGTCGGTGTTCCGTCCTCTGCATAGGTCGGTAATCGTCGCCGACTAGGATCTAACTGTCGCGTCACTCCAGGACTCTGATTGGTCAAGTCAAAATCTCTACCGCACCCGCCACTTTTCCCTGGTCACAGCCCAACCCCATGTCACTCACTCACCTATATAAGTCGGCCACAACGTGTCTTTCAGCCAGAGATGCGTTCACCCTGATTCCTACCATCTGCACAGTCTTCCTTTCCCCCCTCATTCTGCCCATTCACAATGAATGCGCAACACACCAAAGAAGCGCCGCCACCAAGTGAGCTTGCCCTCGAATGCGGCCCTGGCAGCGCGGAGCAGCCAGCAGAGCCCTCGTCGGAAGACAAGGTCTCGGCATTCAAGTCCCTCGGGTGGTTGGATCGTTACCTCGCCGTCTGGATCTTTCTCTCCATGGTCGTCGGCATCTTGCTGGGAAAATTTGTGCCCAACATCGGCCAGTCCCTCCAGCGCGGCAAGTTTGTCGACGTCTCCATCCCTATCGGTAAGGACAACACCTTGCCATCCCCAAAACCTCGCCTCCCTCCTTTGAAATGCTGACAAGGCCTGTGGGCGAAAAGCGGTTGGCCTCTTGGTCATGATGTATCCCATCCTGTGCAAGGTCCGCTACGAGTCTCTGCACCTCCTCCTGCGGCAGCGGACTCTGTGGAAGCAGATTACCTTTTCCGTCATTGTCAACTGGGTCGTTGCGCCCTTTTTCATGGTTCGTGTGCCCTCCTCTTCTCTGCAACCCTCGCCAAAGTCTCCTTTTAACTAACAAACGCTCCAGACGGCCCTCGCATGGGCGTTCCTCCCCGACGAGCCCAACCTCCGCAACGGCCTCATCCTCGTCGGCCTCGGCCGCTGCATCGCCATGGTCCTCATCTGGAACGGCCTCGCCGGCGGCGACCCCGAGTACTGCGCCGTCCTCGTCGCCGTCAACTCCGTCCTGCAGATGCTCCTCTTCGCGCCCCTGGCCGTCCTCTTCCTCCACGTCCTCAACCCTGATCCCAGCCCCGACACTTCCTTTTCCTACTCCGTCGTCGCCACCAGCGTGGGCGTCTTCCTCGGCATCCCCCTCGGCGCCGCCGTCCTCACCCGCCTCGCCCTCCGCCGCGCCGCCGGCGCCGGCTGGTACGACCGCGTCTTCATGCGCTGGCTCGCGCCCTGGTCCCTCCTCGGCCTGCTGTACACCATCGTGGTGCTCTTCGCCTCGCAGGGCGCGCGCGTCGTCCGCCAGGTCGTCTCGGTGGTGCGCGTCGCGGCGCCGATGCTGGTGTATTTCTTGTGCATCTTCTTCGTGGTGCTGTGGGCGACGAGGCGGCTGGGTTTCGGGTACAGACTCGGCTGCACGCAGAGCTTCACGGCGGCGAGCAACAACTTTGAGCTGGCCATTGCGGTCGCGGTCGCCACGTTTGGGCCGGACAGCGACGAGGCTCTGGCTGCCACTGTTGGTCCGCTGATCGAGGTGCCGGTGCTGATCGCGCTGGTGTACCTCGTCAAGTGGCTGGGGGCAAGATGGAACTGGAAGGAGTGAAGCATCGTAACCGCGTTGGGATCATTAATAGAAGCTGAGATTCTCATACAGATAGATTACTTGTACTTGATTAAATTGTTCGCGTAGCTATGCCTGCCTATGCAAGACCGGAACTCATATAGATTGTTCAGCCCAAGTCCCATTCGGCAATAAATCTCTGTGCCATATATGCCTCGTCAATGCAATGCATCATACACGTAATTCCGACATGATCGTGAATGGAAATGCCCTCCTGCCATTTCTCTGGGTATCCCCTGATTTTATCGTTTCCCTCCCCCGCCAATCCTTTCCCACTCAATCATCCATTTTTCCAATCCGCGACGAGGTCCTTTCCTGCGCCGTTTTGTTGTTGCTTTGCCCCATACCCAGACTCAAAATACATGTACAAAACCAAACTCCTTTTTTGTTTTTTGTTCTCTTTTTGTGTGTGCCAAGCAATCCCAGCAACATCTTTCGCTTCTTCATCTCTACGCTGCACTCTTTTCCATTATTTGGAAGAGCAGCGTATTCTTGACGAAGCACTCGCACTCGGCGTCCGGGCACCCCATACTGGCCTTGACAGCGTGACGGTTGACCGGCGTGCCACCTTGCATCTCGGCGATGATCTGCGCGGCCGTGTTGCAGGACATGACGAGCGGCGAGGCGGATTCAGCTTGCGCTTGCGCCGTACCATGGTGATGATGGCTGTGGTGGTGGTGGCTGTGGCTGTGGATGTGGCTGTGGTACTGGCCGTGCGGCCCCGAGACGGGCGTGCCGGGCATCGTGCTCGGCCCCGTGCTGGGCGGGCTCTGCGCCGCCACGGTGGACTCGGTCGGCGTCGTGGCGACCGTCGAGGCGCCGCTGCCGCAGCACCGATCGCTGATGCTAGCATCCGCCAGCACGGCTAGGCGGTCGATGCCGCCGTCGCTGTGGTACTGCTGGTATGGGCTCGTCGTCGTCGTCGTTGCTGGAGGTGGCTGCTGCGAGTAGGTGGTGGGGGCGGGGGCAGAGGGAGGGGGGATGACGGTCTGCAGGCTGCCGTTGCCGCCGGGGGGCTGCAGGATCTCGTCGTCGCGGGGGATTCCCGTCTCGAACATGGCGAGGAACTTGTCGACCTCGTGGTCGGTGACACCGCGGCGGGCGAGGAGCAGGCGCAGGCGCGAGTTCTCGATGGCGACGGTGCGCGCGGCCTGCTGCATCTGGAGGGTGGCCTCGACGCCCTGCTTCTCGTACTCGTCGAGGCGGCGCTGCATGGCCTCGACGAACTCCTTGCGGCGGGCGCGGGAGCGGCGTTGGTTCTCGCGGATGCGCTCGGCGGCGGGGTTTGTCGAGGGGGTTTGTGTGGTCTGAGGGGGGCGGGGAGTTAGTGATGGATTGCAATGGAATGGCTAGAGAGAAGCAAGGGCATGATGGCAGAAACTGGAAGCATGGGACAGAGAGCAAGGCACAGGAAAACAAACACAAAACGCAACGCAACGCAACGCAATGCAAGCAAAGATTGGTCTGGAGTGGAAGAATCGTACCTTGGGACCGGCCATTGTGAATGTGGAAAAAAGGGAAGGAGAAAAAAACTACATCAACACATGGAGAATATTATGAATTGTATATTGATGAGGTGAAGAGATACGCGTGGATCCTCCCGTGGGAAAAAGGGCGAGGGGGACAGGATCGAGAAGAAGAACAAGGAAGTTGTGTGACACAGTCGAGGTGCAATTGAAGTTTCTTCACTTACAAAAAGTCGACCACTCACTGACTGACCTGCTGCAGCTTCTTCCTTCTCCGCTGTCCGTGCTGTGTCAGCTGGTGGGGCGTCTCTTCAGGGCAGCATGTCACTGTCATGTCACCGTCGCCGAGGAAGCGATTGGGGGACGGGTAGCCGTTGATCAGCGTTTTGGATAGAATATTTATATTTCAGTGAGCTCTTCGAGACTGCCATTATTTTTTCCTGATTTCTCAATGCTTCCTGGGGCTCCTGGTCGCACGCACAAGAGACGTGAAAAAATCAGGGTCGTGTGGGCAGAAAAAATCTCTCCACCAAAACTCCCCATGCATGTCCCGCCCCAACCAAACAAGACACTACCATTACAATTTCACAACTTAGCAAAAATGATTCAATCTTTCTGATTATGCTAACTCCAGTAATGCCCATATGTTAACAATGGTAAAATGCAAAATTAAAAAGCAAAAAGGCCCTTTGGGTATCATTGACCGCGGCAAAAACTCCCAGCCCCCCCTCCACTCTTCCCCATCTCCCTACCACCACCACCACCAACTAGTCATCCAACCAACCAACCAACCACCGACGGCTATTTGAAGATTTGCTTCCTAGTCCGTGCCGAGAAGCGCTCCACTCCGCTTCCCTGCTGATTGTGCCACAACTGCTGCATTCCCACGCCGTGGCTCTGCTTCGACTCGCGGTACCGCAGCCACGCCGCGCGCAGGTGGTCCGGCCGCAACGGCCCGCGCCTCGGGTCCTTTTCGCGGTCCTCATCACCGCCGCCACCGGTCGCATCGTCGTCCCCGGCCGCGTCCCCTGTTGTGGGCGGCGGCGTGGGCAGCTCGCTCTGGTGCTCGCCGGCGCGGATCCATTCGGCCTGCACCTGTCGCGCCTCCTCGATGATCTCGCCCGCAAACAGCTTGGCCACAGCCTTGACGGCGGTGCTGACCATCTGCGGGACGGATTGTGACACGGTAGCGTTGACAACCTAGGCAGGGTCCTTGTTAGCTAGTTGTTGCTGCTCCCCCAAGAAAAGAAAACTTACCCTCTTGACAACGGCATCTGACAGCTTGGCGGCGCGCCACAGCTCGTACCGGTTGTACTGCTCGCTGTCAAACGCCTCAACCAGCATGGCGCGCAGCCGAATCTCCTCCTGCTTCTGCTCCTGCGTGTGCGCGACAACGGCCTCGAGCGCCATCTCAGCCTTATCTTCGTCCTCGTCGTCCTCGGCGTCCTTGTCACCCGTGCCCGAAGCGGCCGTGGCCGCCTTGCCACCACCGGCGACGCTCGATGCCTGGTCGTCGCCCTTGCCGCCGTCGTCGCCGCCGCCCTTGCCGCCAGCCTTCAACTTGCGGCCGCGCTTCTTCCGCGCCGCCGCCACCGCCGTGGATCCCACACCGCTGGCGACGCTGCCGCTGACATGCGATTGAGCGTCCATCGACGGCGACCTCGTGCGCGGCGACCGCGCCTCGGGCGGGAAGGACGTCTGTCGCAGAGGGTGCGCGGGCACCGACGACTGCGAGAGCGTCGACGCCTTGCGGCGCTTCAGGGCCGGTGGCTTGCCGCTCATGTCGAGGCTCGGCGAGCGCTTCTTGCTAGGAATGGACGCGGGCGACGGATACGGCGGCGACATGGCCGTCGGCGAGGCAACGTGTGGCGGCGAGGCCATCCTGGGCTGTGTGCGTAAACGGGCGGGGCGGGACGAGGCGTGGGATTCTCTTCGAAGCGGGATGTTGCGAGAGGTTCTTGCAGCGTACTATGCACGAACGGTCGATATGCGATGCCAGATTCACGCGTGCGGTGGGATCGATGGATGGATGATGATGCTTGGGCTCCGCGCGAAGATGGAGAGTGCAAGTTTCTTGGGCGCTCTCGCGCGCGACTGTGCAACGGCCAGCCAATCACATGACCGGACCTCCAAGATCGCCCCGATGGCGCGGTATCACGGATAAAAAGATGGAAGAAAGTAACTTTTTGATTAAAATTCCAAATTTCAGGCCCCCTTCTAGTAAACCATGTAATTTAGCGTGCAATACTACCAATTTTGGTGTGCTATCACCACTGGGAAGAACATCGCCTTTGCTAGTCGCTGTCCGCCTAGCTATGTAGTTAGTAGCCAAGCACCCATAGACGCAATCAAGCGAAGCATTGCAACTCATGCTACTACTGCTGACTTCATCTACAACTTCTGGTCTCATGTCTCAAAAGCTAAGATTCAAATGCGATGCACACCATGAAGAGACATTCTTTTTTTGGTCATGAATTGTTCGTGCTATGGCTGAGTTTCTCTGATCGATTGTATAAGATGGAGTTACCCTAGAGACGATGTTGATAAACTGTACGCAGATCATGCACAACATTAAGCAAAGTAAAAGTATTAAGCCAGTCTCCCGAGACATTTTAGATCTCGGCCGAGTGAAAGAATAGAACGCGACTCGAGTTACAAAGGCATTAGGCTCAAAGCATGGATAGGTTTAAAGCCGAAACATGCATGCGTGAGAGAGGAACACAGCTTTCAAACTTCTGCAGCACGGATACAACAAAGGCTGTGGCATGATTGTCATCGTTAAATTACCAAAATAAAAGCCGTGGCCAGGCGAGTGATGCTGTTGCATGAACCAACTTCAAGAACCAACCATGGGCGCCGCTGGGCGCCGCTATGTTGTTCCCTCAACTCGTCAAAAGCGCACGTCCTTGAGCTTATCCCGACTGGCCAGAAGCCCGTCGTTGTCTTGCTTGCTCGTATGAGAGAGTACAACTACACTGATCACTACAAAAATGCGTCAGAGAAATCCATGCAAAGAGAGAGAGTGGCATCGACAGGCCGTTCGTCACTTAGTTTCATGATGCCCTATTGCTCGCGTGGCACTTATCGTTGCCTTTGTGCTGGAGCTTTCGGGTGCGCCAGTGCAACGACAATTGCTAGGCGATCCGCAGCCGTCCTCTTCTTGAATCTTCCCATGGTTGGGCTTGGCCGACTACCTAACAAGGTTGCGACACCCAACGCAGCTTTACGCCGTGCCCGTCCGGGTCTGTGGGGCGATCTGATGGGAGGAACCGAGCGAGTCAAAATAAACTGAGACATTTTGATTTGAACGGAGCAATCAAGGTGATCAGGCATGCCGACAAGGGTGGTACAGGGCTGATATGCGACCGTTATCACCAGTCCCGGGGCAAGGACCAGATCGCACTCGCATCGGTGCCGGCCACTTGCCCTTGCTCGATTAATTTGGTAACGGCGTAGAACAAGGTCCAATGCAAGATGAGTTGCAGACGGATGGATCGCCGATGGGCCTCATATCGTGGCGCATACTCCCACCCGATGCGATACCACAACAGTTGACCGAGACAGCGACATCAAGTGAGAGGGCGGCGATGTTGGCATTGCTACTCTTTTTCCGCCTCATGAACAGCACCGACTTCTGGCTGGACGGCCCTCCCCGTGCTTTTGAATACAAAGCATCTCCCTGAGATAATTCCCGTGGTGGGCGGGGAAGGCGAGTATAAGTAGACGGCAGTTGTCCTATCTATCTCGACCCATCCAACAACATCTTGGAGACAGACAAGCCTCACTTTTCTCTCTTCAGAGCCGAGATAACCGCCAAGACAGAAAGACCAGCAAAGATGAAGTTTATCGCCGTCCTCGCAGTCGCGGTGGCGACTGCGTTCGCTAGCCCGACCTACCCGCCGCCGGCCAAGCAGCCACCGGCCCCTCCGCCTCTGCCCCCGGGCTACACCTCTTCGGTACCGCCGCCGCCTGCCACCCGCAAGACTTCGACCACCGCTCCGGCCCCGACCTATAAGTCTTCAGCCCCACCACCACCCCCGGCCTATAAATCTTCGACTCCCCGGCCGCCCCCGGCCTATAAGTCATCGGCCCCCCCGCCACCGCCGGTCTACAAGACTTCAGCGCCTCCACCACCTCCGGCCTACAGGTCTACGACCTCGAAACTTTCAACGACCCGGCCGGCCCCAACCTCCAAGTCTTCGGCAACCCGTCCGGCCCCGACTTACAAATCTTCGGCTCCTCCACCACCCCCAACCTACAAGTCTTCAGCTCCCCCGCCGCCTTCGGTTTATAAATCTTCGTCTACCACCTCGAAGTCTGCGACGACTCGTTCAGCCCCGACGTATAAGTCTTCGGCTCCCCCGCCGCCTCCGGTCTATAAATCTTCGGCTCTGCTTCCGCCTCCAGCCTATAAGACTTCGTCCACCACCTCAAAGTCCTCAACAGCCCCCCCGCCCCCGGCCTACACATCTTCGCTTCCCCCGCCCCCGGTTTACAAGTCCACTACCTCAACGTCTTCGACGACACCTTCGGCCTCAGCCTACACCTGGCCCCCGGAGGACAAGCCTTGGTCAACCACCTCCAAGTCATCGACGACCTCTCCGCCTCCGACCTACACGAAGCGGGCAGCCCCTATTGCCGGTCCTGGCGGCTGCTCGGGACCGACCACGCCTGGCAGTACCGCGTTCCTGGGCTGCCCGACGTTCTTTTTTTGAGCCTGGGTCGCCGTGCCGTGCGAAGAAGGGAGATATGAGCAAGAAGTACCCCGACTGCGTAAGTGTATTTTCCTGGTTGAGATTTTCTCGGTAGTGAGGTTGCGACTAACACGCGCTGGTTTGCTTGGATGCATAGTGTCCCAAGCCCGCATGCCCTGGCTACAAGTTCCAGCGGGCCTAATGGTATCCCTTTGCCGACAGGAAGTAGTACGCAGGTCTTCAAGTCGAGGTACCTGAGTGATCTACTTCCAAATATTCTTCCCTACTTGAAACCCGTAAAGTGGCCATTGAAAGGTGGAATTCACTGTCATGGATGGGGTGACGTGTGACCTATGAAGATGCCGAGTTTGATTGTTGTTTATAGTTGCCGTTTATTTGATCATGTACGCCGATTAGGTAACGGCAACGGATTTAGGCCAATTTAATAAACACCTTCAGCGAGGCCGCCTCTGTAAGACATAAAAATGTCACCACAGACCCCTGCAGCCCCTCTGCTCCAGTGACTTGCAGACACTGTACATCACTGGCTCTTGGCCCTTCTAATAATAAATACTACAGTACGCAATTGGAAGAGCAGCTAATAAAACACACCGAAAAAATACCCGCAAGCCTCATTCTCCGATTACCTCATTCAAACAGGCCATTGTGGGGACGGCCGGACCAGGCCCGCGCAAGCCGATGTCGCGAACCGAACAAAGCCGTCCCTCTTTTTTTTTTCTCTCTTTTCCACGCCCTCCATGTATTTCCCTTGCTGGTATTTAATCCACCCATCCACCGGGAATTGATCTATTTCCTCTTTTTCCGGACTCTCCAAGCTTTCCCCATCAATCGCTTCATCGCTGCTCTCTAGTCAGCGTGACTTTGTCCCCGTCGCAAACCTCCTTCCCCTCCTCCCCCGCCGCGACCAACAAAAGCATCATCAACCCCGCAATCATGCCCAAACACCCCATCGACACGGCCTCCGTCTCCGGCTCCTCCACTTCTAGCGACAACTCCTCGTCGCGCAAGCGCAAGCGCTCTTCCAAGAAGACCAACGGCGGCCGCCGCCACGACAACACCGACAACGCGCCCGCCGACGAGCACAAGACGACGACGACGACGACGACGACGACGAGCAAGAAGCCATTCGCCGACAAGCAGCACCTCCTCGCCAACGGCAACCGTCGCAACTCGATATCCAAAGCCGCCCGCGATCCCCGCGACGAGGCCCGCGCCGTCGCCCTCCGCCAGCCCGCCCCCGTCGTCGACCATGACGGTCTAAGCCGACCCGGTACGACCTCATTTTCCTCTTCTTTCGTTGATTCCCTGTAACACACCACCACGATGCTAACGTTGTGAAACTCGCAGCCAAGGGAACCCGCGACCGCGTCCAGGAGACACCCGAGCAGGCCGCCGAGCGCCTGCAAAAGATGCGAGCCGCCGTGCGCACCCTCCTCGAGTGCGTCGGCGAGGACCCCGACCGCGAGGGCCTCCTCGACACGCCCTCGCGCTACGCCAAGGCCATGCTCTTCTTCACCAAGGGCTACCAGGTCGACGTCGACGACCTCGTCAACAACGCCCTCTTCAACGAGGGACACAACGAGATGATCGTCGTCAAGGACATTGAGATTCACTCCCTCTGCGAGCACCACCTCGTCCCCTTCACCGGCAAGGTATTTTCTTTCCCTCGCTTCGCTCGAACGTCCCCTCCGGCCGATTCACTGCAGCGTAGCCTTTTTCCTTTTCGCACAACCCTAGACTAACAAATATGGAAACGAAATAGATGCACATTGGCTACATCCCCCGCAACACCGTCATCGGCCTCTCCAAGCTCCCCCGCATCGCCGAGATGTACGCCCGCCGCCTGCAGGTCCAGGAGCGCCTCACCAAGGAGGTCGCCAACGCCGTCATGGACATCCTCAAGCCCCAGGGCGTCGCCGTCGTCATGGAGTCATCCCACCTCTGCATGGTCATGCGCGGCGTCGAGCAGACCGCCACCTCGACCATCACCTCGTGCGTCCTCGGCTGCTTCGAGCGCAAGTCCAAGACCCGCAACGAGTTCCTCTCCCTCGTCGGCATCAACCGCTAGCTTGGCCCCGGCTGCAAAATGCACTGCACAACTACTTACTGCCCGGAAAGGTGGTGGTGGTGGCTCTATGCGGACATGACCAACGCCTTCATGGAATATCATTACTGTCATCAACTTCAACATTCATACGACGGCGTTTATTTGGCGTTTTGCTTTTTACCTTCTAATCCAATTATTCCAGCGAACGTGTTCTTCTAACTAACTACTTGGGCGGCTGGGCATTCAACAACGGCCTCCTTCTTCAACATATACACTCCCAAGAGCAATCATCTATCTATCTTCATATCTAGATCCTGAAAAAACTTCAGCGGGCTCAACGCCCCATTATATCATCCCCATTCTTGTTGCATTACGTACCACATGACTAGTGCACCATTCCCCATGTTCTATCACAGACGTTGCAAAAACAATAAAGAACACAAACGTGTAACGAGCAGCTTTATAATTATCAAACAAGTAGACATTTTGAATCCCATCTCTCTCGCCACAAGATCTAGCAAAGCAAGCACTCTTGTGAAAGAAGTGAAATGGAAAAATAGAAAAATAGAGAAAAGAAGCTACTACAACAGACAAGGAGTATCTCGAAATCATTCCCTTTCCCCCAAGCAATTATCCTTTGCACAATCCTACCTTTGCGCCAGAAATTCCCATGCCCATACAGTTGGACCTCGTAAAAACGCCTTCCACCACCCATTATAGTCATACACCCAAATCCAAGCGATATAACCCGCCACAAGAGACAACCGCTCTAAACGGTTTCTGCAGCGAATTGAAGAGAAAAAAAAGGAGAAAGAAACGGACAACTTCCAAACGCCTGTTCCGTTACAATGGGCCAATATCACCTAGGCCCCATCTATTATTGCGTCCAACCCGTTGCGCTCATCCTCCAGAGACTCTGTAGTCATTTTGACATCGTCCTGGGTCTTGTCATCTTTGGGCTTTTCTTCGGCCCGCTTTTCGTCGGTCAAGTCCATCAGCATCTTTTCCATCTTGCCCTCGTCTTTAGGCTCGTCATTCCTTTTGGAAGTGCCCATATCCACATCGCGCATCGGCTTCTTTGACCACACTTCCGTGCCCCAAATTTTCTCAGCCTGTCTTCTCCCCGCCTCAGTTCGACCAAAGATTTCAAGTGCCTTTGCTTTGCCCTCTTCCGTGTGGATATTGATGCCCTCAATGGCTTCGTCTATAGAGTTACCCGCACTGTCGGCCTTCTCCTGGCCCCTAGAGATGGATTTCTCCCGGGGCTGATCTGCCATAGAATTCCGACGGCTTTCATCGGTCGAATATTCACGTTTGTACAGGCCTCCTGGCCCATCTTGAGCATAGTAAGCCGGTCCGCCATACGAGGGATTCGAAGATGGCGGTTGTAGAGAGCCATATCCAGATTGAGCTGCTGCTGCTGCTGCCTCAGCATTGGCGGCCTTGCGTCGCAAACTATTGGCTTTCCCCTTGGCATGCTCTGGTAGGTCGTCAGGGTTCTCGACGCCATATTCCACGAGCATCTTTTGCAGCTTCGTTGGTCGCGGCTTCCGGGTGCTAAGTGATACCTCGAGAATAGGTGGTGCCTCGGGCGCAACTGGACACCACTTGTGCAGCTCCTGTCGAAAGAAATTGGTCTCGTAGGCGAGCAGGACTTCGGCACCTTCGAGTTTGCGCAAGTAGAATCGTTGTGTATCAGCCTCAGCTTCTGTTGAAAGAATAGGATTGCAGTATCGTGCGACGTATTCGCGGAAGTTTTGCGCGTTTGTAATAATTTCCTGCAAAACCTCTTCTTCCTCTGGCTGGAATGGGAGCAGTGGTACCTCCTCGATGAGTGCAATCAGATCCTCGAGCTTCGGCCGGGCGGCATCTCTGGGTATCATCATTCTCCAGTCGCAGATGGGGCACGTATACTTGTCATCCTCCTTGACTTTGCCGCGTGCAATCTTGAGGCATTTATAATGATACCACTCATGACAGAGCTCGCATTCAATCATCATGCCGGCCTCAATCCTACGGCAAAAGCAGAATACTTGGCGTTGGCGACTGGGATCAGGGTCTTTGCTATCGTCCGGGCTTTGCTCTCTGGACACAGGCTCTGCGGGTAAACGGGGAGTATCGTGCTCCGTATCGAAGCAGTCGGTGTTACGCTCTAGCACATGGTCAAGATGACTCTTGAGGATATGAAGCGGAGCATTAGACTTCCCGAATAGCCGCTTGCCTTTGCGAATCCAGTCCTCGTGACGTTTGCGCTCATTCTCGAGGTCCAAGGTGCCATTTGGCTTCGAGTTGAGCTCATCAAGTTTGAACATCAGGTTAACCGCCTCGGTGTACCTAGGGCGCTTGCGAAAGTCGGTCTCTTTGCAACGCTCGGTAATGCTGATGATCTGTCGGTGGGCCTCCCGCTGCTTATGCAGGATTTCATCCACTGCATCCCATGTCTCCTTGGAGACCGGCAACGCACCAGCTTGTACTTGCTTAGACAGTGCCTCGAGCTGTTGGTAATGAACAAATTCGGCGTGAATGAGTTCCCTTGCCTTGGTCTCCCAGGATTGTCCTGCAGCCATTTGGTCGCAGTAGAATGTGAAGTGATCGTTGTATGAAGGGATTTCTAGGCGCTTGCCTTCATCGATCAAATTCTTAACATCGGCCAGGGACAAGATTAGTCCGCGGCTTGCGCGAGCCTTCTCATTCCACCGCACCTGATCCAGCATCTTAGAAAGAGCATCAATCTCAGGTGTATCAACGTTGAAAGTTCGTCCCTCCTCGAGAAGCTCCTCGATAGCCTCCACGCTCAGGCTGGTGCCATTCTCCAGCGCTCGTGAGGCATTGGCTTGGAATTCCTTGATGGAAGCTGCGCGCTCTTGAAGCTGCAAAATCTCTGGGCACTCGAAACCAATGTGCTCAGCGGCATGAAGTAGCCGATAAATATTGTCCACGCTGCGGGACTCGGGCTCCTTCTGGTCTTGATAGGAGCTGCTGCCGATGGAGCTACGTGTGCCAGTCTGCCAAGCGCGCTCATTTTTCCGTCGATTTTGTTGCTTGCGTACGAGGTAGCTCGTTGCTTCATCGACCCACTCGTTGCATCGACCGACGAATTCTTTGAGAATGGGTAGGGACGGAAGATCGAAGGGAATGCGTTCGCCTTCGTGAAGTAGACCTCGAAGAGATTTCAGCGATGGAGTCACCTCTTCGTCAAGGAGTTTTGCGTACTTCTCTTCCCATTGTTTAGGGGTGTCAGCCTTCTCGATGACTTTGTTGTGGGCGTCCTTCATCATCTCCTCCGTTTTGCGATAATAAAGCGTATGACCGGTGCCGAGGTACCTGTTTTGTTCACTTTCATCGCAACAAGGGTGGTTGCCGGCATGTGTAATGCACAAAACCTTACCAGACTGGTGGCATTTATATCTGGACAGGTAAGCAAAGGCTTTGCAGTAACTGCAGCACTGTTCGTCCTCGTCCAGAACATCTTCATCTTCGACTTTAAATGCGAGGGGGCAGTTTCCATCTTCTTCCTTGAAGCACTGGCATTTGTGAGAAGTCGATTCGAGATGATTTTTGACAAACAGCTCACGCTCCGCCAATTCTCTCCTCTGGATGCGCTCAAGAGCGGGACCGAGCCATTTGGCCGTCGGGATGGTCAGGCCAGCCGAAGCTCCTTCAGCAGCAGTCCACAGCAACTCATCGTGAGAGAAGCATGGTTGTCTTCGAAATGCTTGCAGCCTCTCCACACCAGCCATACCATATGGCTCCCAGTCCGGCGGGGCAAAGTTGACGGCTTCATTGAAATTAAATCCGTGATTAAAGCCAGCGTGGTAAGCCTGGGGGAAAGTGATGACCATCTGGCCAGCACGTTGATCGACGGCGTACACGCGGACCCCGGCCTTGGTGAGCTGCTCGGGGGTGAGCAAGGTTACAAGCTGGAAGAGCAGGTCTGGTTGGGTTTCAAAGAGCTCTGGTACAGCTTCTCGCATCGCTGCTTCAAATTTTTCGGCATCGTCACCAGGGATGCCGTACCACGTTTTTGTAGCGCCGAAATGCTGATAGTTTGCGGAATAGGCATAATGGTCTTCATTGTGCCAGCAAAATGTAGAAAATATCATGCCAACGTACACCCAAGGAACAGTCATTCCCGAGATGTCAGACTTGATATGCCGGAATAAACTCTCCGAGGCAAACGGGAGCACATTGAGGTTCCAGCCATCCGCGGCGTAAGGGTTGCCGGGGTTCTTTTCGAGCGTAGGGAAGCCAGAACCGTGAGTAGTACAGTGAATATCGGCGCCGTATTCAACCTCGACAGTTTCCTCCAAATCAGCAACAAGACGCCAGAACTCATTCTCGACATCCTCTTCGGTAACCGGCCGATGGCATTTTAGGGCACTGTCGAATGGCATCTTTTTCTCGAAGTATCCTTGTTTGAAGTCGTTGGCCTTCTGCTGGAATTGCTTGAGCGAGTACAAGCCGCCTTCTTCGAAACCAAACTGTCCATCACCAACGAGGCAACGGGGGCAGTTCCATTCAGCCTCTGGCTTTCGCTTCAGAGGGGGGTCCAAACAAAGCCCATGGTACGAATTGTCGCAAGATTCGCAGATGAGTAATAGTCCAGCACTCTCACCTTGACCGCAGGTCTCACACGCTTCGCCTGGGGCAAGATCTTCTTCGCGTGGAATGCGAGGAACGGAAGGGCGGAACGGCGTCATATGGGAGCCGGCAACAGTAGGGACATTGTCTTTCCGAAGACGTTTGCTTCGACGATTTGTAGCATCTTCGTTATCACCATCAGCTTCTTTCTTTGAAGCATCAGACGCATCGTCAGCGCTGATTCCTCTTTTGACCTGGGCGGCACTGCCAAGACCAGTGTGATCATCCGGTGTCGCATTCCGGGTGCCGGGTACTTCTGGCGTGAAGCTTTTGCGCTCGCTTGTATTTTTGTTAATGCTGGTGAAGCCGGAATTGACGGCTGTGAATGAGGAGCCTCCAGATGTGGGAGCTAGGGGAGCATCAATCATAGGGGTGTCACGGTCAGCCTCCCGCTTGAGACCATTTTGCAAAGCCTCGGAAGCATTCCTAGCTGGAGATTCGGCGTTCGTACCGGATGGAGTATTGACTTGCGAGCGTTTGACGGGGGTTTGCGCAGGGCTGGGCGTCAGGGGTCCGCCGTATTCCTGCTCCAGCTGCTGATGGACGCCAGGTTTGGCGATGCGGAGATAGTCTTCGTACGGGCAGAGCCATCTTTGATACGAGTTCTTTAGGGATGTGGAAAGAGAGCTCATAATCTTCCCACTATATCCTAGGTCACGACCAATCTCTGCCCACTTTTTGTGTTTGCAGACCTTATCGAAGCCGCCTCGTGACTCAACAGCCTTTTTCAGGCGATAAAGGTCCAGGGGTTTCTTGTCGACATAAGGTAGGCGATGCAGGTTACTGCCCTGCTGCTTGTGGAACTTGGCAAGACCATCCAAATATGTTAGGTTTGCCCGAGTGCCTGCGAGATGGTGTGAGTGAGGTGTGGCAAGCGTTTGAGACGTATTGAAAACATACTGCCTTCCACGGAGTTGAGCTCTTGTTTTCTGGTTCGGAAATGAAATTTCTATTATCGAGTCAGTAATGTAACATCAAGGCAGACGCCAATAGAGGGTGCAGAATTGGGCCGAGAGAAGCCCTACCTCTGTGTTGATGGCAAATTCCGGATTCCAAGAATCGGGTGGGATAATCTTGCAGAGCCCGTACTGCGAGGCCTCGGGGCCAATTTTCTTGACGTATTCCAGGGGATCGTGCCATTCCTCTAACGTCGGATAGTAGGTCGGTGCATCGGAGATACCGTGCGGTCTGCTAGCCTTCTTGATGGGTTCGCGGGCAGCAGTAGGCTGACCACGGCGTTCGACAGAGGTGAGATCGAGGGCTGGGCTGTGCATGGCACTGAGAGGTATCGCGGTAGTCGGATGGTAGCCATTGGAGTTGACCTTTGGCTTGGGCTTGGTTGGGCCGACAGAGCTGCGTGCACTCGCCGGAACGGACGCACTAGCTGTCATTCCGGGAGCCATGGTCTCGGCGGATGGGGGTTCTGGGGTGTTTTTTCCGGAGATTAAGAGAAGATTCGGGGTGGCCGAAACGATAGAGATGGTAGATCCGTCGTAAGAATGACTGAATGGGAGCGATGCGCCGCGAAAGAATGGAGAGTACTGTCAAGATACCAGGGGCATCGTCGCGGAGCTGTAAGAGGCGATGTCGACGATGCGACCGATCGGATATCGTAAAAATGGAGAGCCGCAGCTCAGAGCTTTCGCAAATCTGTTTTCTGTGTTAGATATTGCAGACACATGCAAAATCCCGAGGCCGAGTCGAGGTCAGCGGGCACGTAGGGTCTTTGCGCAGCGAGAGAAATGGCATCAAACGGGGCGCTGAAAAAACAAGAGCATAAGATATAATGGGCATGTAGACTTACAGAAAAAGACTTTGCAAGTATTCAGAAGTGAAGAGACAAGCCGGACAGAAGTCGCGAGGCTCGCATAGTTTTTAACGAGCGGCGAGAGCAAGACGAAGGAGTCATGCAGCGTGAGAGCCGGTGTTGGTGCAAGGTGTAGATGTCGAAGCGATGGAGGGCGGGCGAGGAATGGGTCGAGGGAGCGTCCCCAGACGTGAGAGAGATGGAAAGAGGTTCCTGTGTGAGCCGTCGTCGGGGTACCTGTAGCGGCGCTGGGGAAGGCTGCGAACGAGCAGGTACCAGCGCGACAGCACTTGCAGCAGCCTGTGTAACAGCGCCTGGTGCTAGGGGCCACTTTTTACCTTTTTTACCGGAGCACGCAGGCTGCAGACGGGAGGGTACTTGATATTACATGGCTTTACAGTGAGAATGTGAAGTATCGCTTTATCGTGGGCGCCCATGTGGGTGCTGCAAATGGTGACTTTACTTCCGAGGCGGGCAAAGAGTGGCACAGCTTCCGCCGTGTCTTTAAGATGTACTAGTGATATCCACACTCACAGTATACCCCCTACGATTTGACTCTACTCATCAGCAATGTATGTACTGTCTACCAGATATATACATCCCATCGATACATGCAGACGAGCCGCAGGCCGAGCAGCCCATCGCCAACACGGCCAATGGCGCAAGACTCGCTCACCCACGCAGTCCCCATAGCAATCATATCGGTGACTCTAATAATAACTCGCCAGAACCATGTATAAAGCGCAGTTGTGAGCAGCTTTTGTCTACTACTGCATTGTTCGTCGCAGGCAGGCACTGTATCTCAGAGTTGCCAAGATCGACGCTGCACAACAGGGGCGCCGAGGGTTTCGTATCACCGAAAGGTCATGTCCTCAGCTTAATAACTGGTGTCAATATCCTATGTCTTGCACCCTTGATATTTCCCCCTCCGAATCAAAGTAGCATGAGATTTTAGGGTGAGAGCAGCAGATAATAAACCTCCAAACAATGCGGCAAGCGCCAACTAACATAAGCTCCGAGTAGTGAGGGCAAGTGTTTAGATGAGTGATTCAAGGTTCCGTAGCCTGTGCGCACAGTTGTTTTGTACATAGGTACAGTATCTCTTCCGGTTACCTGCGAGGGACGGTGTGGGAGCGTCTCGCTAGGTGCATTGATACCAGCCTCATCACCTCCGTCACACTGCGCTGAATTTGTGCGTTCAAAATTCGTTTGTGCTTCCATTTCCAGACAATAATACGTCAGGCAAATGGTAAAATGCTCTATGCTACAAGCCCCCTATTTATTTCGTCGCTCCTTATTAGCCAACTTCCGCTGGGATAACATGTCTGTTTCTCGCCAATACTCGCCTCAAGCAGGACAGTCCATCGTGACAAAGCTTCATTTATTATCGGGTAGCAATATCAAAAGCGGAGGGTTATTTTCATGGTTACGAGCTGATCTCGTTTCTTTAGGCCTAGAATTTATTTTGAGACGCGTAATGTTCAAGGCGCAGCCCATACAGCTTCAGGGTCTCCCCAGAGAGCATAAACACAAACACATGGCTAGAGCAACGGTTTTAAGGTCAGAAACACAAGAAAAATACAAATAAAACCAATCAACCAAAAACCTCGATTTTCAGGCCCTTTTCTCAGCTTGTACGTAGCGCAAAGTGGATATACGTCCCATATAAACCCTGCCCAACGCCGTCGAAGCTTCTGAAAATCAAGGTACCGGGTACCTACCGTGACGTCAATGAAGCGATGTCGATCATGAAAACGACGTAGCATGCAAACAGGCTATAAAGCAGGCCAATTGCACTTCTTCTCTGGAGATGGATTCCTAAATCCTTTTCCCTGAATTTGCTTTTCATTGTACATTGAATTAGAAATATGGGCAAAAACACCGCCCTCAGAGCCTTGTCTCTGGCTGCCTCTGTCTCAGCGTCAACCCTGTACTCGACATACAACTTTAATCCTCTACACCATCTCACCGGCATCGCGCCCTACTTCGAGCCACAGGACCCTGCCGCATCTCCAGATGCTCCTCAAGGGTGCACCGCCGAGCGGGCGGCCTACCTCGTCCGCCACGCCGCCATCTACGCCAACGACTTCGACTACGATGCGTACATCGAGGGCTTCGTCGCCAAGCTGGGCAACAGCACCGTCGACTGGACCAAGGTCCCCGAGCTGAGCTTCCTCGCCGGCTGGAGCGCGCCCATCAGCGACGCCGAGGTCTCCGTGCTGACCCGCGTCGGCCGCCTCGAGGCCACCCAGCTCGGCGTCGACCTCAGCTTCCGCTACCCCAACTTCAGCGCCCCGCGGCAGGTCTGGACGTCTTCGGCGTCGCGCACGGTACAGTCGGCCAAATCATTTGCGCGGGGTCTGGAAAAGGACGAGGGCAGCGGGGGAATTGAGGTTCGCAGCGTCTACGAGTCCAAGGAGGCCGGCGCGGACAGCCTGACGCCGTACAAGGCGTGCCCGGCGTACTCGTCGTCGGCGGGCAGCGACGAGTCGGACGAGTTCACCGGCAAGTTTACGAAGCCGATCGTGGCGCGCCTGAAGCAGGCGGCGCCTGGGTTCAACTTCACGGACAAGGACATCTTTGGCATGCAGCAGCTGTGCGGCTACGAGACGGTGATTCGCGGAAAGTCACCGTTTTGCGACCTGAAGCTGTTCACGCCGGACGACTGGCTGGCCTGGGAGTACTCGGAGGACATTAGATACCACTACAACGTCGGCTACGGGAGCAGCATCGCCGGATACAACGGCCTGCCCTGGCTGAAAGCGACCGGGGAGCTTCTCATGAGCAATCCCACCAACAGCAGCGCGAATAGCAGCAGTTCTGTGGACGATCTGCTGGTGAGCTTCACGCACAGAGAGATGCCTCCCATGGTCATCGTCGCCATGGGTCTCTTCAACAACTCCGATTTTGGAGGCGCGCCAAATGTCAACGACACCATGCCCACGGATCGCATCAACTATCGTCGCGCGTGGAAGAGCTCCAACATCCTACCCTTTCTGGGCAACATAGCCATTGAGCGTCTCCGGTGCAGCAGCAGCTACGGCTATGAGGACGGCGAGTTTTATAGAGTGTTGGTGAACAGCTCCCCGCAGCCGCTGCCTAGCTGCGCAGACGGGCCGGGCACAAGCTGCTCCCGCGACGCATTCGGCAAGTACCTGCAGCAGCGGGCGGACATGTTCACCGGATTTACGGGGAAATGCGATGCGACATACAAGAACAGCACAGATACAATGTCATTGTATAGCGCGAGGAATAGCAGCACAATGCCCTGAGAGAATTTGTCTTCACGGAACGGCATACATAGCAGTGTTGGTTGAAAGTAAAAATAAAGTAAAATTAATATCTAGAATAAATAGACATTATTCAACGAATAGTACTCTTATGTGCCCGTTGTATAGCTGTAGCATAGCGAATCCATCTTTTCACCGAAACCGCGATGCCTTCAGAGAAGGCAGGTCGTTCGCTTAAATAAGCTGGATAGGAGTGCAGGCAATGTTGAGGAAACCCTGTCAAGGCAGTGATTAGCACGCGGAACTGCCACTCATTATGGTTCATGCTTCTACTTACATTCTGCTGAACATTCTGGCAGCAGACGGTCTGATCCTTGCACTCCGAACCGATGGGGACGGCGAGGACATTGACCTTGGTGCACTTGCCGAGGAGCTCGTTGAGGCCAGTGATAGGGAGAAGGTTGCCCTGGGTGAGGATCTTGTCGGCCGTCGCGGAGTCGCAGCACTTGACTTCGCCGTGGCAGGCCTGGGCCTCCTGGGTGTTGTGGCCGCCGTTGGTGGGCACAGCCGAAACGACGGCGAGGAGGGAGACGAAGACGGTGGCGGCGTACATTTTGAAGATGTTGGAGAAGAGTTGGTTGGTTGTTTGAGAGAAGTTGTTGTGAGTGATGTGTTGTAATGTGAGTGTGTGATGAGTGAGTGCTTCTTCACTTCGATTGTGGGGGGAAGCTGGAGTATTTATAATTGTTCTTCCGTGCGGTTTCGAACAGTCTGGGCTCTCTTGACCGAAACTTTGCCTCGAGCTGAGATGGGTTATTGCACCGTCAAGCCGCTGTGCTTTCAGAATTGTGGTTTGTGTCTTGGTTCGGCGGCCAGGAAGACAAGGGTGTAAGTGAAGCTCAACAGGGCACGGATGGGATAGTCTTACCCGACCCGTTCAGGACTTCATTTCCTGCCCAATGCACATCTTGCTTTTTGGAGAGGCCAAAACTTGTCTCTAATCACTATTATGCCGTGTTGTACTAACCGGTCTCACTTCCGTTTAACAATACACGCGGCCTCTTGACTCTTCGCACCCTCATTTAGCCAAACAACACCTGACCTTTTCGTCTCTCTCTCTATCCCGTCAAAGAATATGTAAACAGCCGATCTCGATGCAGCCAAGCCCCTTGCCTTACAACCCTAGCTTGTTTGTGACGTCGAAATGAAGCAAGCCACTGACGCGTAGTTGTGATGCAGTCAGCGAGGCTGATGTCTCACCCGTCGCTTCTCCTCTCCCTGACTCTAAGAAGAAAAGACAAGATATCCCGTCCCCGCAGAGAAACAGCACGGAGGAAAGGAGATTGGGTGATAGATTTCACCGGGGGTTTACGGAAAACAAAGACAAGGCAGGAGGGCAGCCGGGTACCGAGCAAGCCGTGTACTCTGTACAGCCTCATCGACCATAACGCGCATCTTATGTCTATCTTTGACCTCACAACAAACGACTATCGTACTATGACAATGGAAACGTGCTGTTTGTCACGGGACCAGAACACAATTCGACTCTGTTTACGGGGAGAAGCGGTGAGCGGGCGACGGAGACAAACAAGAATCTGATATTTAGCTCCAGACAACTCGGAGACTCTGGTCAAAGGAACATCTTGTACGCAGGCTAAGACTTTCACGTAACCGGGGAAGACGCTAATGAGCTACCCACTGCCTTGCTGATAGACTGTAGGATGCCAACACTTGGAGCAGAGGCAGTCGAGTGTCTGATACATGTTGCCACCCGATCAACCACTTCCGATGCCTTATGTGTATATTTGAGACAGGAGGAACAAGGAGACGTGTAAAATTACGGGCCCAGAGGACGATCATGCTGTCCATTGATGCGACGGTTGGTCGGATGGCCGGGCGGCCGGGCTGTCATTTCCTTCTGGCCTTTGATATCTAGACCGATCGATTTTGACAAGGGCGCTTTGACATCGGGTGAGGAGGCGAGAGGCCCACCGATCCCGCGCGACCGACCGGCCATCGCAATACGAAGTGTTGCGACATATCGAGATGGAGGATGCTAGCAAGCCAACCCTTGCCTAGTGATAGCCACAAAGCGGAAGATTTGGGATTTTATCCACCAGTTTTTGCTTGTGACAGTAAAATTGGTTGTTTTACCTAATGCATATAAACAATGTATTATGAACAGGAAAAGAAACTCTCCGTGCCGCTGCGGGGAAAATCTCAGCGTTTAAACAGAGTGACTTGTCTCATCCGAGTCGCCAAGAGAGGCCAAATGTGCGCTATCCCGGCAGGGGGATGTCTCTGGCCCAGAAACGAAGCAAAGTGAAACAAAAAAGTAGGAAAAGCAAAAAACAGAAGAAAAAAACGGGCACATCCCAATCATTTTTGCCGCTCACATCCAGGCACGACCCCTCTGTGGCAATGGACCTCTTGCTAAGTCGTGGATAGTACAATGGCGAGCAGCTGTTCGGTTCGGCGCGACGCGGAGAGGGTGAGACTTGGCCCGGCGACCTCCAATACCCGTCACCGCTGAGCCGGCCGGAGCTCTCGGGTTGCCCGTGTTGGGATTTTCCCGCCTGATCTTGCATCCAGAAGGTGTCTGCGATGCTGCAGCCATTGTCCGTGTCGGCGCACACGCGGAGGACGACCTCCTGAGTTCTCGCGGTCGCTCATACGTGGTGGGTGAGCCTGGGCATGCCCGAGGCGGCATGCTGGGTCGGGGGCGGCGGTGGCGGTGGCGGTGGCGGCCTGCAGGGCGTCGAGAGATTCATCGCAGCGGAACTCGTCATGGTTGAGGGCGGAAATGAAGGGCATGGGCGAGGCTGATGCCTGCACCGCGACAGGGAGGGCCTGGTAAGAGGGGAAGACTATGTATACGTATGAGACAAGAGACGGACAGAGAGCGGATTGTTTGAGATGCCGCTCCAGATTAAAGGCGATTCATCTCGTATAACTACAGACCCGAGATAGCTGTGTGTATTTTTTACGTGTAATTACTCGAAGTGTGTACTTGAGTTGCTTGTAGTTGTCATATGCGTGTGGAATAGGGTGCCGCATGCGCCTCCCCACGACATGAACCACGACCACGTAGTCATCTGTCCAATAAGATCTTGCCGGGCTGTTCAAATGCAGTGGAAGCAATAGTTGTTATGCATGTCTTGAAGGTTGTCAAAGCTTGGAAGCGCTAATTGCCGGCCAACCATGGGTTCACTCCAGCTGGCCACCTCCCCCCGCCGGCTGCCGACTTGCTTCGAAAGCGATCTAATGTGTAATTAAATAGATAGGACCATGAGCCACTGGCTGCCGATGACCGTCATTACCGGATCATCGCGGCGCATCACGGCGGGTCACCGCTCCCCATGAAGCCAAGAAACCAAGACATGCATGTCAGCTCCATGCCCGCCCGGCACCGTCCAAGTTGGAGCCGGTCGATCTAGTGAGTAGAGCTAGCTCTGGAGTCTCGGGCCTTCGGCAGTTACTACTGGTGCTACTACAGCAACAGTGAGTCTATGAAGCCTGAGGTGTCTATAGTTGGGCCGCACCGAGGACACTCTCGTAATGCGTACTTTTCATTGGCTTTTTGGAGGGTTGCCCAAGGGTCACTTTGGTCATTGGAAGTGACAACTATCGGGCAGAAATGAAGTCTTCAAGTTGAACAGACTTTAATGTTACGTATGCCTTCCCACGTTTTAGCACGAGACTGTGCATGAGAGGTGTCCCTGGTGGGATGTGTATCCTTTAGGTATGCTGGTTCTTGAATTGAAATCTACTGCATGGATTAGAACACATAACGAAGTGGTGGAAATACTAGATGCTCGGGGTATAGGGTAAGCTCATGCAGACAGTTGCCATTTCTCCGTGGAGCTTGGGAAGCAGGTCCAAGGGCGGAGGATCCGAGACACCTGCGTACGAAGGAGTAATAAGGCTGTCGTTCATAAGGATCTACAGCGTACATGCATCTGCACAGCACGCATAAGCAGACTTGGCAGATTCATGTGCGTCTCACAAACCGCAGACGAAATATGCTGGTTTAGCTGGTTCATCATAAGCGGGTGACTGTCGGCATCATTGTATACATTTACACAGTACGTCGAGAATCTTGTTATCCAGGACAGGCGGCAGCAAAAATATTTTCTAACCAATTTTAAGCTTCCTCCTTTCGCAAGCCTCTTTTTGAATCGACCGATGCGTACTTATTATTAGCGCGTATCGCATTGTCACAAGCCGCCTTGTGGCGTTGAGGCGTAATCCGCGATTTCACATGGTCGCGCTTTCTCTCCCTCCCATATTCCAACGCAAAATGTTTCCCAAACCCAAATAATTATTTCTCGTCAGTCAAACACCATCCATCGATGGGAATGATGAAAGAATTTTCAAATTGACTCATCAACACGGACTCACGTCACCGTTTGCGCGCTCTCTGGTAGCAAAGGCCCCCTCTCTCTGACTCATCCGGTAGTTGATCTGAAGTTGCACAGCCTCGCAGAGAGTTCGAAACCAAGTGGCGATAAAATGGCTTGCTGCAGCGGCCAGGAAGAATCCATGATGAACGCCTCTATCACAGCGAATCGATGCTCAGAGAGGTTCTCCAGCTGATGCCGCATTTTTTACGCTGCTGTTAACGTCACCATTGGCCAAAGAGCATCTCTTCACACATTCAGATACATACTTCCCGCGTCTTCCGCGATGACACCGCTCGTCAACGTGACCGCGGGCATTCATGTCGCCTCGACAATCGTTGTTCTTCTGTACACCTTTTTCAGCTTCCTCGCCCACTATGCGCAGGCCAACTCTTCGTTCAACACGGTGTCGAGGAACTTTCTGCGCCTGACTGCCGTTGCCGTTTTGCTATCAACACTCGTTGCAGAGGCAGTGCTGTTGAACAGGAAGGCCCCGACGCCGGCCGCGCTGACGGAACACATGCTCAGCATTGTCTATACATCTGTGGCATGGGCTTTGGTGTGCCTGAGAAAGAGACTTTTGGTCGTCGACTTATTCTCCCTGTCACTTGTTATTATAGTGCTCGGCAGCCCATTAGCGGTGACGGAATACCTCGCAAAGACAGCGGATCACATTTTTATGCTCCACGCCGTACGTCTCGTCATCGCGCTCTCGCTGCTCGTGGATAGTGCAAGACGACTACGGAAACGGTCCAAGACAGATGCTACGCTGGATGATGAATCGCAACCGCTACTCCAGGATGATTCCTCTACTAGGTCGGCGAACAGCTCGTTTGGCTCCCACACCTTGGCTGCTGATTCTCCGCTCAACAACCAAAGCGACAAAGACAGCGATACATCCTCCGTCGCCAGCGACGAGTCCGAGGATGATTTTGACTCCGCCGCCGGCCGTCTTCGCAAAAGCGGAAGCTGGATCGAGTACCTCCGCAACTTCAAGGTCTTCCTGCCCAGCCTCATCCCGCGCGACGATGTCAAGGTGCAGGCGTGCCTGGCGCTGTGTATCCTGAATGTCCTCGCCGGCCGGGCGCTAATCATTGCCGTGCCGCAACAGCTGGGCAAGGTCACCGACGAGCTTGTCAGTGGCGGACTGCCCATCAAGGCTCTCTTGGTGTACTACCTGCTGACCCTCCTCGACGGCGAGTGCGGGCGCGGCCTGGTCGAGACGCTGACCAAGATGCCCGTGCAGCAATACTCGTACCGAAAGCTGTCCAACGCGGCCTTCGCGCACGTCATGCGCCTCGAGATGAGCTTTCACGACGACCAGGACTCCGCCGAGCTCATGAAGGCCGTCGAGCAAGGCGAGGCCCTCACCAATATCCTCGACACCGCCGTCCTCGAGATGCTGCCCACCGTGCTCGACACCGTCGCCGCCTTCGTCGTGCTGTACGCCAAGTTCAACGCCGGCGTCGCCGTCGCCCTCGTCACCGCCGGCGTCGGCTTCTTCGCCGCTGAGGTCGTCACCGCCGGCTACAACATCGACAACCGGCGGCGTGTCACCCGCGCCGAGCGCCGCCAGACGCGTGTCATGCACCAGGCCGTGCAGGGGTGGCGCACCGTCTCGGCTTTCAACATGCTCTCGTACGAGACGCGCCGTTACGGCGAGGCCGTCGGTGCCACCAACCGCGCCCGGCTCGTCTGGGCCGTCCGCGACGCCTACATCGAGGCCGTCCTCAGCGCCGTCATGCCCACCACCTTTTTCGGGCTCGCGCTCGTCCTCGCCCGCGAGATCCACGCCGGCCGCGCCTCGCCCGGTGACTTCGTCTTCCTCCTCCAGTACTGGGAGTTGCTCCTCTGGCCGCTCAAGTTCCTCTCCCGGGAGTACCGCTACCTCATGCGGGACCTCGTCGACGCCGAGCGCCTGCTCGCGCTGCTCAGCACCGAGCCCGCCATCACCGACGCGCCCGACGCGAAGCCGCTCGGCCCCGGTGTCCGCGGTGCCGTCGCGTTCGAGCACGTCGACTTTGCGTACGACCCCCGCAGGCCGGCCCTCCGCGACGCCAACATCTCCGCTGCGCCCGGCCAGACCGTCGCGCTCGTCGGCGCCACCGGCGCCGGCAAGTCGACTATCACGAAGCTGCTGATGCGGTACTACGACGTCACCGGCGGACGCGTCACCGTCGACGGCACCGACATTCGCTCCGTGACCCAGGGCTCGCTGCGCGACGTCATCGGCCTCGTGCCCCAGGACCCTCTGCTCTTTAACGCCACCATCATGGAGAACGTGCGGTACGCACGCCCCTCGGCTACTGACGCCGAGGTCCACGAGGCCTGCCGCGCCGCCGCCATCCACGACCACATTGTCTCCTCCTTTCCCGACGGCTACGCGACAAGGGTGGGCGAGTCGGGCACGCGCATGTCAGGCGGCGAGCTGCAGCGCATCGCCATCGCGCGCGTCTTCCTCAAGGACCCGCCGATCCTCGTTCTCGACGAGGCGACCAGCGCCGTCGACACCAACACCGAGGCGCTGATCCAGCTCGGGCTCGCGCGCGTGAGCGAGAGGCGCACGACGTTTGTGGTCGCGCATCGCCTGTCGACGGTCGTGCGCGCGGACAAGATCCTCGTGCTGCACGCAGGGGCCATCGTCGAGCGCGGCACGCACGCGGAGCTGCTGCGGCTAAAGGGTAGGTATTATTCGCTCTGGGAGAACCAGCGTGGTGGCCTGCTTGATCTTGAGGGGTCAGAGACGAGCGCAGAGGGGGAATCTTCGACGAAGCAAGGGGAGCAAAGTAAATGAAGAGGCAATGAGCCATCGTTTAATTAGAAAGTAGACTATTGATTCCTCCATCATTACACACAGTCCACCTAATTGCCGTAAGCTACATATAACATGTTGAGAACTGCTTGTGTGCGAGTCTCACTTGATCCTGCTTGCTGCCCTGACTCGGTTCTGCCTCGAGACACGAAACTAGCGGCGTCTTCTTGCAGACGACAAGACATAGAATCACCTTTGTATATAGGTAGTCATTCTACATCTGTTTCATAAGCAAGTTGCTTAAGCAGCGAAAAGCAGCAACAGCAGCAACAAGGCCGCGAACCAAGCGAAAAGAAAGAGGTCATTAGCCTCGACTACACCCGCGCCACACTCCGGGCAAGAGCAGCTCACTACAGACTTGTCCGCGAGGAAGGCCTTGGACCTTGCCGTTTCGACAATCTTCCGCGCCTCATCGCCTGATATCTCGGCGCGGCAGGGGTCTTCTGGCAGCGGCCCATCAACCCATAAGTAGTACAAATATCTCTCGTGGACCTCTCTTCCTGACTGTGCCGTGGTGGTGAAAAGGTACCTTTGGAGGGTCCTGCAATCCTTGGGGACGATATTGTACGCTGAGCAGCCGCAGCTCTGGTACGTGTAGTTGGAAAGAGGTACCCATTCCAGCCACCACCGGGTCGCGTTGGTCGTGGCCAGTAGACGCTGTCCCACAAGTACTGGGCGGCGTCCTGGTCGCCTGGGGGCGTTGTGAGTTGGCCCCTGCCGTACGCGTAGGAGGTTAGAACCGGTAGATGGTCGCTACCTTGATCTGTGTTGAAAGCGACGGGTATGGCTTCACACCGGTGTGGCGTCAAGCCGATGGTGAAGGTGTCCAGGTGAGCGCTGATGTTTCTGGCACCCCAGAGGCTGAAGACGAGGGAGAATATGGGCTTTCGCTGGCACATCTCAATCGTTGGGAAGATGGGGTTGGCTTCGACGGGGCCTGGTTTGGCCTGGGCGAGAGCGGCTGCCAAGACGGCGACAGACGCGAAAATCGTTATCAGGTTCATCCCGAGACACAATTAATGGATCTTGTGAAACGAATCAAAAACAAGTGATGAAGTTGTGTCGAGGAGAATCAGGAGCTTGCCATGACGGCGCGCTCGAGCCGATAACAAGCCTCATAGAACTCAGTCCCAGGAAGGAACGAAGGCACGAACGAAGAGCAGCAGGAACAGACGAAGAGCGGCAGGAACAGACGGAGAGCGGCAGGAACAAACGGAGAGTGGCAGGAACGAAGAGTGGAGATAGCGGCTTTGCAAAGACAAGCCCAGGGACTGTTTGCACGTCGCGAGGACCAGCGGCGCCTTAGAAGCTTGGTTCTTTCGGAAAAAAAAAAGATGAAGAATAGAATTGCTTGATATTGTCGAGTCGATTCAATCGTCATCTCGATTCAAAGGTCTCTGTTGTATCAAGTGCCGACTCGCTTCAATGGTCCTTGTCGTATCAAGTGCCAACTAGTTCATGTACCGGGTCGTGGTCTCATTCAGGGACGTGTTCGCATTGAACCGGCTTCCTGCCTCTCTTCTTGACTCTGAGAAGCTTGTCGACCTCTCCCTCGCCGCGCACCCGTAACGTCAGCTCCTTCATCATGTCGCCCCAGCGAACCTCACCACCACACGACGGACACTCGCACGTCTGCGGGAGGACGACGCCCTCCTCCGCCTCGCTCGCCAGCGCGTGCCTCCCCCAGCAGTCCAGGTGTCCCATCGCCACGCAGCCCCCGTTGGGACACATGGCCTGCAGCCCCTCCCCCGCCGCCATCTCCTCGCCGCAATGCACGCAGCCGCCCTGCCTCTCAAACGCCACCACCTCCCTCGCCTTGCCCGCGTACTCCCTCACCGGCGCGTAGTCCAGCGGCAGCGCATGTATGCCCACACCCCCCTCTTCCTCCTCCGCCAGTATCCCCGCCGTGTCGTCCGCAAAGTCCGTCTCCACGCGCAGGCCCGGCCGCACCGCCACCTGCTCGCGCCGCAGCCACGCCGCCCACGCCTTGTGCGCGTCCTCGGCGAAGAAGTGCAGCGTCAGCGGCCACCGCGCAAAGCTGGCCACGCCGGTCAGGAGGTGGATGTTGGACACGACGGAGCGCATGCTGAGCGGCGGCCGGCGCGGGCGCCCGTCGCGCCGCGTGCGCGTGGCCACGGCGAGCCGCGCGGCGTCGGGGATGTGCAGCGACAGGTGCGGGTTGGCGAGCGCCCACTCGAACTTGAGCGCGGCGACGGAGGAAGGAAAGCCGGAGACGAGGGCGACCATCTCCCAGGGGCGCAGCCGGTCGCGGGCGGTGCGCGCGGCGCCGCCCTTGGTTTCCCCGTTGTGCTGCTTCAGGCGGCGCGGCGGGTTCGGCGTCGAGCCGATGTAGAGCGAGGCGTGGCGGACGGTAGATCGGAGGACGTAGACGGTGTAGAGAGCCGGCAGCGGCTTGTGCAGGCTCGTCATGGTTTTTATTATCGGGGAATCATTGGGGAGGTGTTGATGGATTGATTGTTGTTGGTGTGGATGACTGAGGTGGAAGACGCGTGCTGTTCGCCAGCCAGTGGAGGTGCATGGTTCACGCGACTGCCTACCATAGCTTTCTATTCAGGATTCAACCCGAACAAATTTTTTTTTTTGCCTTCCACAGAGAAAATCACATACTAATGGGATATGCTTGAAGATTCTTAAATTAAAATACATAATCTCTGATGTTTTTCCCAGACGCCGTTGTGACTCCATACCCATCCACTATGTGCTTTCTGCCTACTAATACAACCCCATCACAGCAAACCCTGCTTCTGCAAATCGTAATACACCTTCTCAGGCATGACGTTGCCCTCTCCGTCCTCCATCTGCACGACGCTCCCCTCATCCACCTTGGCCTTCTTCTCCGACTTTTGGATCTTATCCCAGAGCTTCAGAGCCTCCTTGATGTCGGTGATGTCTCTGAACAGTGCCGTGCTGGAAATGCCGAGACACTTGAGGCCGTACGCGTGGCGTGCCTCGTTGAAGTGTTTGTCAAACGCCCGCCGTCCCATGTACACGTAGTTGCCGCAAATCTCGCACGGCAACTCGACGCCGAGGCCGTGCAGGCGGTACAGCCAGTACGGGATCGGCTTGCCGTCCCAGCCCGGCGGTAGCTTCAGCGGGTTGTAGATCTTGTCGTCATCTTCGTCTTCGTCATCCTCGCCGTCACCGACGGGCTGACGCGGCTCCTCGCTGACCTTGAAGAGGTTCTCTAATTCTTGCTGGCGCTCACGCTCCGTCATGCCTTGCTTGCGCTCCACATTAACTCTCGTGTCGCCGCGCTCGGTGCTCATGGCGCTGGTCAGACGCTTAACGCGGTTCTCACGCTGGGCGATGGCGCGCTCCTTGAGTCGCGTTGCTGAGACTGCTGTTGTGCCGGTAGCGTCGCCACCAGACTCGCTCTGCCTCGCCTTCCTCTGCTCGGCAGCCTTGATGTGCTTTCGGCCTGTCAGGTGGTTCTTGTATACGTTTTCGTTTTTGAACTCCTTTTCACAGTCTTCGCACCATACTGCGTCGGGAGAGCTGAGATTGTTGGAGCTTCCGTTTGCCGGGGTATCGTTTTGCCACCCTTCCACTTCGTCCTTTTGCCACTGCTCGTCGAATTCGTCGTCGAATGAGGATAGAGTCTTGTCCACGTCTTCGAGAGGCCGTGTCCGGCGCATGAAACCTTCCAAGTAGTCTGCCAGGCCGCCGACGTAGCTGAAGTATTGGTTCGTCATCTTGTCCGCTCTCTTCAGCCCTCCCTGCCCAGGCGTAAAATGGTCGAAAAATTCGAGGTACTGTAGATAGTTGGATCGCTTTACGTTGGGGAGATTGAGATAGGCGTCGTAGCACGAGTTCAGGTCAAAGAAGCGGCCAAAGGCTTCTTCGCCACTGAAAATGGTGTCGACAATGGAGGGCATGTCGACATCGTCCGGCCGTCGCGAACGGTATCGCTGCTCTGAGTTTTCTGCTTGCTCGTTCGGATACCGGGCGTGGTGGGTTCGAATGTCGTCGACCTGTTTATAGAATTCTGCAAACGGGTCACTGGTGCCGATTTGTTGGATTTCTTGCGCGCGGGTGCCATTCTCGTCTTTGTAAACGTCTAGCAAAAGTTTGGATTGCGACTGGATCTGGTCGAGCAGTTGCGCAACTTCATGGTCACGGTTCAATCGATCGCGAATCTTGTATTTCAATAAGCGGGTGTTACCAGGGAATGCTACACGCTCTGTACTCACGTGCTTTGGCTCGTCGCGAACGCGATCAGCGATAGCCTGCTCGAGGCGCTCGAGATCCTCCTGGATGTACCGCTGTTCCTCCAGGACAAGCATTTTGGCGACTTGTAAACTTTCGAGAGCCTCAAGTATCTGGCTTTAAGTTATTGCCGCGACAAATCGAAGCGTCTACTGTTCCTCGTGAATAGTGAGTGCTTGGAGGAGAAAAGATTAAGCCGTCGAAGGTTTGCGACAAAGTTGGCGACGAAGCTCAGCCGCCGAGGAATATCCGACCCATAAAAAAACCATCAACTGAAGTCCAAGCAGCAACTTAGAAATCTTTCCTCATTCGTTTCGATATTTGGGGGTTTTCTTCCTCTTTACGAACACTTACCGCCATTGCGCGCATTAGTTGTTGTTATTGTGCGATGCATGCTGTCATTTGACCGCCACAGGCTGCGATGCACTGCAAAGAGGCCAGGCTCCAGCCACGCACCGGCGGTGCAACAAACAGCAACAAGCCTTGAACCAGATCAATTCTCCAGACTTCATTTTCCACGTGCCTAGCCACTACATTAGATCGAAGTCACGACCATGATGGACGCGCTGCCGCTCCCGAGGAGCCAGTCCCATGGCAACTCCGCGTAGGCAAGGGTGTCTGCTCTTGTGTTGCTTCAACAAATGCCGGCTCGTGATGGCTGTGGGAATACTGACTACAAAAAGGCTTCATTCACTCCAGCTCATCTTTACTGACAAGGACAAGATACCAACGGCGGTCCAGGATATACCCAATCTGGTGTATTTGCCCCTCTTGCTATCTGATGCATCTATCCCGGACTTAGCTACCGCTCTCTAACTAGTCCGTCGTCTTCTCGTCCAACGCCCGGTCCGCCTTGAAGTCCTCCCAAATCTTTGCAGCCACGGCCTCGTCCGTCAGAACCGCCAAACCCGCGACCGCCATGCCCTTTGCGGCATCGATGGCCAGCTTATGCGCCTCGGCCGTTCCCGCGCACGCCGTGAACCCCTTGGTGTGGTTGTACGCGCCCGGTGGGCACGGGATGGCGAAGCCACCGTGGAAGCTCGGCACCACGTACGAGACGTTGCCCTGGTCCGTAGAGCCGGGCAGCATCGGGGCATGCTCGAAGTCGCAGGTGACGGGCGAGGCAATGGCCGGCAGGGCCATGGCATCCGCGTACAGCGAACAGATTGTGCGGTTGGGACGAAGGTCCGCGTACGGGTCATCCCTGGAATTGCCGTTAGTAACCACACAGCATCAATGCTCCAATCCCCCCTCTTTTCTACTTACATTTCGTAGTCGACTCCGCACTGCGTGGCAGTCGCTGCTCCGTCCATGCAGGCCTTGACCCTCGTCTCCAGCGCGGACGCCTCCTTGAGCGTGGCGCTGCGCACATAGTACTGCGTCTTGGTGAAGCTGGTGATGACGTTGGGCCGCGTGCCTCCGCTGAGGATCACGCCGTGTATCCGGTCGTACGGGCGCGTCTGCTGCCGCAGCATGCTGACGCCGTTGTACCCGAGCACGACCGCGTCGAGCGCGTTGCGACCCTGGAACGGCGCCATCGCCGCGTGCGCTTCCTGCCCCGTGAACGTGACGTTGAACTTTGTGTTCGCCAGTGACCGGCCGTACGCCGCGCCCGTCGGCACGCAGCAACCGCCGTGGCCGTGGCTACCCTGCGGCGGCGGCATCGGCGGCCCCGGGTGCACCATCAAGCACGCGTCGACGTCCTGGTACGCGCCCGCCTCGATGAGCCTCACCTTGCCGCCGCCGCCCTCCTCCGCGGGCGTGCCGTACAGCCGCACGCGGCCCGGCTTGCCCGAGGCCTTGAGCGCGGCGGCCACGCCGAGGAAGGAGGCGATCGAGGAGGTCGCGATGAGGTTGTGCCCGCAGGCGTGCCCGATGCCAGGCAGCGCGTCGTACTCGGCGTTGTACACAACGACGCGCCCGCCCTGCCCGACTTCGCACGAAAAGGACGTCTGCACGCCAAAGGCGTGTGGCGTCACCTCAAACTCGAGGGAACGGAGCAGAGCGACAATGTTGTCGTGAGCCTGGAACTCCTCGTATCCGAGCTCTGGATTGTCAAAGATCTGTTTCGAAGCTTTAGTTTCACGTAATTCCCTGGAACGCAGATGTGCAATTGCTACCTTTTTGTTGATGTCACGCAGCTCGGCATCGTAACCGTCAATGGCGCTGATGGCCACCTCTTGCCCTGCCACATTAGCCTTCCTCTGGGAAGCCTCCCTCACGGGGATCGCTTCATTGGAAGAACCTGTGTTGTCGACTAGTCTCATGTTGATAAAACGGTGGTTAAAGGCTTCTTCTGAAATGGGGGGGTGTTATCGCAGATCAGCTTGTTATCCCATGCGGGCGCTATGGCTACTGGTGAACCCTTATCAGGGAAATGAAGTTGTATAAATACTTCGCCATATCTATTTTGATGTGTAATGCTTTCAAAAACGATAGTCTCGTCGGCTCGGCCGTTGTGGCAACAGCCATTGACCTGCCATTCCGCGACGGGAGCCGATTGGCCGTTGAGCCGACGGTGGTATCTTGACTCCCGGGGCCTGTGTGGGCCACCAAGGCATTTTATCGTTCAAAACTAATCCGGTTGAATGCGGGGAAGATACTCCAGCTGATACGACTCCTTGGCTCAGCAATCCTTTCCGTTACTGATCTACTCTTTCAGCTTGAGCTTGAGCTCGTGCTGTGTTACCCCTTTTGAATTAACAAGAGACTACTTTAAATTCGATGTGTAATAGATATGCTGTTATTCTGTTTACATTGGGATTGCGCTATTCTTGGTGTCCATCAGTTGCCTAACCAGCGGCATCGGCGTCCGCCTCTGCGTCTCTTCTTCTAGGCAAACAATGGTCTGAAACGCAATGGACATGCTTGCAGTCCTCAGCTTGGAGTGAGCCCACTCTTTGTGAATCCTGTCTGTTGTCTCTATGCCGGCCATGAATAACGGCCATTGAAAACGAGCCTGCATCGGATCCAGCGGCCCTCGCGAGAGAGAGCGCTGCGCCAACTGCAGAATCGAGGAAACCGACGACTGAACGGCTGGAGGGCTTGGAGTCGCGAGGCTATCGTCGGAGAGGAAGCTTCGAAAACAGTATATCCTTAGCGCATAGAAAAGGGGGACCATGTAGTCGGCATTAATCATAACGCGGGATCGTGGCTGCACGTTCATGGTTGTAAGTCGTATCAGTGACCGCGAGCGCTACGGCTTCAGCGTCAGTAAAACAGTCATGTAAACATCCAATCTAGGGGACTCACAGCTTCGAGCTTGTCAATTTTCTCCTCCACTGCGGATTTAGCAGCCGGCAAGTCTAGTGGTGAGCTCACAGCTCTGTTGACTTCAGCGTAGAGCGTAATGACCTCGTAGAGAAAAGAAATTATCGGCGCATTCTCGACGTCGTCGAGAATCTCCCGTTCAGGATAATCTGCGCCCCAAACAGACTCCAGTTCTGCGCAGGAATACTGATAAATTTCTCGCGAGCGCTCCGGTTTCTCGACAAAGTGCCGCGCCAGAGCGCCTCCGTATCCTTTTATGCTGGCAAAGATGTCCTCATAAAACGTCCATAACATCAAGCGCGCCATATGAGTCTTTTTCTCGTGTGTCATGGCCGGCGAGGCCTCCTCGCGTCTGCTGAGGGCAAGGGTTGCTGTTGGGTTTCTGCCAGCGCAGAGATCATCTAGACGTTTTTCCTTGACGTAATTGGAGACTGCTTTACTCCATTCTGTTATCGCTTCTGGGTCGTGTCCCTGTGCGACTGCCATGTATCGATAAAGGAAGAAAGCCGCGATAATGACGCTGACAGGGTCATGATTTGCTTCAGGGGCCATGGCTGCTTTGAGCAAGACCATACCAGCTTTAGCGTGTGTATGCGCAGCGCTGCTGATATCCACAATGCCATCTTGTGATGTTGCTAAGTCTATGAGTGATGCCGCGATCAGTAGATGCATAGCCATGGGTTCTTGCGAGCTGTAACGAAGCACAATCATATAGCTTGACCAGCGCACAGTTTTCGAGATGGTCATGGTAGGGTAGAGGCTGGTGTAGTATTGGAGTGCATCTCCCTCTCTGCCGGTGTGTAGGAATTCTTGCGAGAGCACCATGTTTTGCCAGGAAACTCCAAGATTCGGGATGCTTAGCACAGTCTCTGGCTGCAATGGCCATTGTACTTGCGTCGCGGACTGTGAATCGCGACCGAGACTATGGGATTACTTAGTGATACGGTATGGGAACGGAGTCTACCATTTCTTACCCCAAGGATGAGCAACCAAGGACAGTAGATGAACTTTTCCCCGAGTCTTCGAGTCCAGCGGGCTGGCCTGTATGAAGAGTATTTCCAAACAACTCCAGCTCATGACCCCAGTCGCCCCAGGCTGGAGCAGAAGCCGGAGTATGGAAAGCCGAGACTGAGAAGTCATTGATAGTATCGCCTATGAGTATCTCATTAAAGCGAGTTGCCTGCTCCGGGTCCGGCGGAGAGATAACTATTGGCCAGTGCCATGGATTGGGCGTCTCATGTTGCTCGTGCCGCAGGTCGGCTGCCTTCGAAATGTTTCTGGGGAGGATTTTGGGATAATCAGGCCTGGCTCTCGATTTCGACTTGCCCGTCGGCCGCAATCTGCCATTGGGTTTTGCCCAGTCGCACTTCAACTCAAGACGATGGCAGCGACGGCATCTCGGGGTCTGCTCGTCACATTTCACCTTCTTGGACCGACAGGTGAGGCAACCTGGGGATGATCGGTTTAGCTTAGTGACCCAGTGTCGGCAAGTGCCCTGGGCGGGGAATTTGGACGAGTCATTGCATACCTTGTCTTGATCTTGCATGGTGCATGGTGTCGCTCCGCATGCAGTGTGACGGCAGTAAGCAAAGGACTGAATATCATTCGCGCGCTCGAGCCAAAGAATAAAGGTTTGAATCTGGAAAGTAAAACAAGGTTCCCCAGGAAATGAAAGTCAGTTGCCAGTTCCCAGTTGCCGGTCCAGTGATCGGCCTGCAACTCCAACTTGGGGTTTTGTGGAGAAGTTCAATGGTTACTGCTCGCTGCCATTTACGATTGGTTGAGGCAACCGACCGGGTACACGCGACCAATTATAACTTGCCGACTATCGCTGTGGCTTCAGTTGACAGTCAGTTGGCTCAGCCACTTCACTGATGAGCCGTCGCAAACATGGCTCAGAGGGTGGCAATTGTGCCATTCCAGCTACCGCCGCACCCCAGATAACACCCATCCGGCCACAACACGGAAGCGCCTCGTCGGCTCCAGTCTCGTTAAGGTTATCTCCAAGCTGTTTTTAGATAGCGCGCATGGGTGGCGCGGAATCCGGGGTACCTCGGAAGGCGCCTGATTGTGATTCAGCCTGTGTATATCTTCAAGTATAAAACCGCGTTGAAATGGCCATCTCTTTTCGTCTTCGGTAGCTGTGAAATTGACACGTTACATGAACGCGACAGACTGCTGCACTCGTATTTTCTCAACATGACTTCGCAGTCAGACACCATGACCAAACTGGAGACTGAGGAGATGACCGCGCAGACAGCGGCGCTCTCCATGAGCAAGGCGGAGACGAACGATGCACCGCCTATGACACCTGCCGAGGAGAAGGCCTTGGTTCGAAAAATTGACCGAAAGTAAGTTGGTTTCTTTGCAAACAGCCAAGGATGCAACGTTGTCTGACAATTGGTTAGTCTCATGCCTCTGCTTCTCATATCATACGCCCTGCAATTCTTCGACAAGACATCGCTAGGATACACTGCCATCCTCGGCATCCAGGAAGACACGGTAAGATTTGCGTTTGGTTCTCTTTCGCGCACTCGACATGCTGATCTGATTCTTGCACAGCACCTCAAAGGCACTGATTATGCCTGGGTCTCCTCCATATTCTACTTTGGATACTTGATCGCGTCGTACCCAGCATCACTTGCGTTCATCAAACTCCCTCTTGGAAAGTTCCTCGCCGCCTGCGTCGTCGTATGGGCTGTCGTACTCGGCTGCCACGGCGCCGCGACAGGATTCGGAAACTTGATGGCCTTGCGGTTCCTGCTCGGCGTATTCGAGTCGACCATCTCCCCTGGCTTCTCCTTGGTGACGAGCGTGTGGTACAAGCCTTCGGAGCACGCAGCTCGCCATGGTATTTGGTTTGCTGGCAACACGACCGCCGCAATCTTTGGCGGGCTGTTGGCCTACGCCATTAGCCACATCAAGACCGACATTGCGGCTTGGCGCTGGCTGTTCATCATTTTCGGACTCGTCACATTCGTCTGGGGCATCGTGCTCTTGGTGTTCCTTCCAGACTCGCCTCTTGATGCCCGGTTCCTCACGCAAGACGAACGCGCGTACGCCCTTCGCCGGCCGCAGCAGCAGACGCACAGCTTCAAGACTACCGAATGGAAGCGAGAGCAGTTTGTTGAGGCTCTTTGCGACCCCAAGACTTGGCTGCTTTGCATTTACACCATATGCACGTCCCTCCCTAACGGCGGGTACACGTCCTTCAGCGGCATCATCATCCAGGGATTTGGCTTCAGTACCTTCACCACACTTCTGCTTGGCATGCCGGGGTCCGCGTTTGGTTTGTTCTTTGTCCTCGCCGGAACCTACCTCGCCCACAAATTCAAGTATTCCAGGTGCATCATAGCTGGTTCCCTGCAGCTCATTGCTCTGGTTGGCTGCGTCATGGTGTATGCAAGCCCTACTTCGCAGAAATGGACGAGGCTAGGAGGGATGTGGTTGTTTCCTGCATATGCGGCTGGATTCCCGTTGTCCCTTTCAATCATCGGTTCCGACATAGCTGGTTACACCAAGAAGACGACAGTACTTGCTATCCTCTTCATTGGCTATTGTGCTGGCAACATTGCTGGTCCACAAATGTTCATCACCAAACAGGCGCCAAGATATCAGGGGGCATTTCAAGGCATCATGATCTCCATGATAATTGCCAGTATTTCCATGTTAGCGCTGAGACAGTATATGGTATGGGATAACAAGAGGAGGGATCGAGACCAGGGGGTATGCATTGACCCGGAGGCAGGTGTCGAGAGCACATCGGAGCATCTGGTTCGGACCGGTCTAGATGAGACTGATTGGCAAAACAAGCGCTTCAGATACTTTTTGTAGAGACCGATACTAGGTAATCGACGATTTTTGTCTATGTATGCTCTCCGACATTGAGTGTTGTTGTGTTTGTTTGTGTAACAAAGATTGGTGCCAGGAACTTGTTGAAGATGGTCGTAGCCTGTGGCTGACGCCCCATACAGCAGCAAAGCTGGGCGAATCAAAGTTGGGCGCTAGTCCAAGCCACACAGGAACAGCCACAGAGAGAATGTTACACTTCCTCCAAGTCTGCGACGGGCTGCGAGCTTTTTCTTCCTCTTTTCTTCGTACAATCCTTCGTCCACCACAATCGCAATCATGGCTGACGGTCCAAGTGGAATTGACCGCAATGCGGATGAGAAGATGGAGTTCTCGACCTCAAAAGAGGTCACCGTCCATCCCACCTTCGAGTCCATGTCGCTGAAAGGTGCGCATCGTAGCAGCACAGTGTCAGAAACGCGGCTACTAACAGGAAGTCTGTAGAGAATCTTCTTCGCGGCATCTACGCCTACGGTTACGAGTCGCCCTCCGCCGTCCAATCGCGAGCCATCGTTCAGGTCTGCAAGGGTCGCGACACCATCGCGCAGGCCCAGTCTGGCACCGGCAAGACGGCCACCTTCTCGATCAGCATGCTGCAGGTCATCGACACCGCCGTGCGCGAGTCGCAGGCCCTCGTCCTTTCACCCACGAGAGAGCTCGCGACGCAGATCCAGTCCGTCGTCATGGCGCTCGGGGACTACATGAACGTCCAGTGCCACGCCTGCATCGGCGGCACCAACGTCGGCGAGGACATCCGCAAGCTCGACTACGGCCAGCACATCGTGTCGGGCACCCCCGGCCGCGTAGCCGACATGATCCGCCGGCGCCACCTGCGCACCCGCCACATCAAGATGCTGGTGCTCGACGAGGCCGACGAGCTCCTGAACAAGGGGTTCAGGGAGCAGATCTACAACGTCTACCGCCACCTCCCGCCCGCCACCCAGGTCGTCGTCGTGAGCGCCACCCTGCCGTACGACGTGCTGGACATGACCACCAAGTTCATGACCGACCCCGTCCGGATCCTCGTCAAGCGTGACGAGCTGACCCTGGAGGGCCTGAAGCAGTACTTCATCGCCGTCGAGAAGGAGGACTGGAAGTTTGATACCCTGTGCGATCTTTACGATACCCTCACCATCACCCAGGCCGTCATTTTCTGCAACACCCGCCGCAAGGTTGACTGGCTGACGGACAAGATGCGCGAGGCCAACTTCACGGTTAGCAGCATGCACGGCGAGATGCCCCAGAAGGAGCGCGACAGCATTATGCAAGACTTTCGCCAAGGCAACAGCCGTGTTCTAATCTCGACCGATGTTTGGGCCCGAGGTATCGACGTGCAGCAGGTCAGCCTGGTCATCAACTACGATCTGCCAAGCAACCGTGAGAATTACATCCATCGCATCGGCCGTAGTGGTCGTTTCGGCCGCAAGGGTGTCGCCATCAACTTTGTCACCACCGATGACGTCCGCATTCTTCGTGACATTGAGTGTAAGTAGTGCTCCAGACAGCTGCGAGGAAAACAACAAGCTGACAGACACGACAGTGTACTACTCGACGCAGATCGACGAGATGCCAATGAACGTCGCCGATCTCATCGGCTCTTAAGGGGCAGTAGAACCTGCAGCAACCGACAAAACGAACAGCCATATACGGAGTTCCTCCCTAATACTGCGGCTTCGGCCTGGCGACAGGGCCAAAAATGGACATGCGTGTGGAGGAAATGGGCTAGCTATAATACCAGGTAAGCAGCCATTCCTCTGGTACTCAGCTACCTAGCGAAGAGGCTAATCACCGACGAGGGCAGAATCTATCTCTGAATAAATCTTTGTTTCACACACATTGATGCAACACTGAGCCCAAAGCCTACCGAAGAGAAAGTGCCGGAGAAACGGCAGCAACACCCCAACTCGACACCCAGCGCATCGACTCGAATCAAACCCCAACTACATCTCATCGCCCTATAGCAATAGATGGAAACAGGACCATACATCACGCATGGCAGTTCACGCCTTCTGCATGTATGGATTGACAACATAGCGGAGGGCATGTAACTGAATTCACTAACCTGTGTAGGTCATTATTTAATTAATACTGCAAAGGCGTGCTTGGTAGTGGGTTGAATCGTCATAATAATGCGAAGCTCATCATTCATTCCATAGGCCACAACGTCTGAGGTCTCGCTGCTCCTCACCTGGACTTGTTGGTGTCCGTACAACGACTGTCTGCCATTTATCATTACTCCGCCCAGCAACCGCCATTTCTCACCCGAGCACAGCAGGGAACTGGGTCTGTCGCTCCCGTCCCCGTTGCTCCCAACCCCGTCGCACACTCCAGCAGCAGCTCCACGTCCGCGCATCCGTCATACAACGGCTCCCCCCGGCGCGCCCTTCGGTAAAACAAGCCCACCGCGTCCTCGTTACCGTTGCCGTGGCGGGGGCAGGCGTAGAACCGCGAGTCGACCGAGTCACGCGTCGAGATGAGCAGCGGCGCCGAGCCGTGGGGGCGGAAAGCCATGCCGACCTCCGAGAAAGCCGTCACGTTGCACCCGAGCCACAGCGCCCTGTACGGGCGTCCCTGGCCCTCCATCCCCTGCTCTTTGAGCGTGAGCACCCCTCCTCTGTGACTTGAACTGATGGTGTTGGTGTTGGGTGCGACGAAGAGATGGAAAGCCAGGCTGGCTTGGTCATCGGGGACAAGAACGGTGGCTATGTTGCAGGTGTTGCCGTCCGGCCCGGACGCTGCGGCCAGGGTCCAGTTCTTAATCTGAGCGGCCAAGGTGCTATTTGGGTTGGTGGCGTGTACCCGCAGCCGGAAGTTGTCTGCTATGCTCGGGAGGCCGGGAGGGACGACTAGCTGGGCATGGACGAGCTGTCCAATTGCTGACACGAGCAATACTAACAGGTGATAAATGAGATTCATTGTATAGAAATGGGATGATTCGATGATGGTTATGATGTGCTTGTACAGGGGAAAAACGAGCAGCGTCATGCACCAGTGGTGCCACTCAAGAGACAGAAGGGGGCGCTGGAACACGGGAAGGAGCGACCAAGACATGCTGCTGTACGGAGTACTGCGTAACCTGTGCGAATAGGATACAGCTTTACACTTTCCCCAATAGCGAAGAGATACCGGGGCATGATTCTCCAAGAATCCGCCCTAATATCTCCGGCGGGAATGATCCTGATGAGGCCATACAGGAGTTCGAACAGCGGTTCGACCCAACTATGCGGCACAAGCAACAACGACGTAACTGAGGATACCTCCTCAACAACACGTACCAGTAGTAACGAGAGGACCCGCAGCACAAATACCTGCCCAGCTGTACGGGAGAACCGGTTATTGATATCACTCTAAAACAATTTGTCTTGTTTCTCGGTAAACTTGACTGGGGTGCGGGTACTTGCAAGGATATGCAACGGACGGTGCAAGTATAAGCCCTCTTGCACCGGCGAGCTTTCCGCTCCGATCCGGAATTAGCAGGCTAAAATAGCGGCTTCCCATTAAACTGGTGAACTTACCAGCATGAAGCAGCTCGTCGGCTGTCGCGTCCCATCGCGGCCCGAACTCCCCAAATGAAGATCGGCGTCTCCACCACTTGCTCGTCCGATGCTGCGATGTTTCAGCACAGACATGTTTTTTTCTCTTGCGAGATATTCCTAGCAAGAGATGGATATTATGGTGCTAGCAAGTTTTTTTCAGCTCATGCTGCAGCAGTGGGCGCGGGGCACGTGTGCCGTCGATTCGCAAACAGAGCATGGCTCGCTACTACCACTATATTCACATTACATCTGGGTACAGCGAAGAGATCATGCTCGTCCGTCCAACCATGCCTTGGGAAATTGCTCTTTCTATTATCTGGGGGTGTGTTGAGGTATCATGTAGTGCCCTTTGTACAATTATTTCCTTCGCGCTCTATCAGAGGCTATCATATACACTCTCTATTTCGTCGCAGCGTCATGTCCCAATCATGACACACTGCTTCTCAAGCTATCGGGCAGCTTAGCAGGAGGTAGTTGTTGTCCCGTAGCCGGCGCCTCGAGACTTTCGTTGTTGCTTTCTGATCTGCCCGACATCGACTCTTGTCTGGGATGGTATAAAACAGCCTCTGGATGCTTCAGTGTCGTTTCTGACGAAGCAGCTACTGAACTTAACAAGTGTCTCGTCTGTGATGCCTCTTTGTCTTCAAATCCCTCTGTGCCACTGGACGTGTATCGATTCAAGGATATTCTATGTCAATGCTGAGTCAGCCTGCGGTCTGTGAATTGAAACACATCTTGCGCCATCTATGAACGTACTGTTGATTGCTCGCGGCAGACCCAAAGACTCTTGGCGCAAAACGAACGAGCAGGAGTCGAACCGCTGGTAAGGTACTGCAGATGAAGCCAACCTCAATCTCAACCGTGGACCAGTACATGATGTCGAATTGATCCCATGTTGGGTTCGATGTCGAAGCGTAGTACTGGACAGAGGCTAGGCGGAGGCACGACACAACCGTGACACTAGAGGAGAAGAGGGTTAGCAAGGCCATCACATTGGCATAGTTGCAGAATGATCGAGCTTACGTAGCGCCCGTCATGAACATCAGAGCAGCGCCCGCCTTCTTCTTCCAGTGCAAGTTCAGCTTATGCAGCTGGGTCAGTGGAATGGCCAGCAGCCAGAGGTCCGACGCCACGCTGAAGGTGCTGTTCACCCACGCGACTGCGTTGATGTTGATGCAGATCCCCGTCACCGCGTCGTCGTTTATGTGGTAAAACTTGTCCCACTGGTAGTGTATCGGCACGCACTGGAAGATGATGACGATGACGCAGACGGTGGTGATTGCGACGTGGACTATGACGGTGCCCCAGATAACGGCGCGGATCCTGCGCCCAAAGAATATGTCGAGGAAGAAGAGGGCACACGTGGTTTTTAGGAGAAACATCAGGACCACGTAGCAGACTTGGACGACGACGAAGTAGCGCCGGAAGGCGACCAGGGTGGGCAGGTCGAGGCCCCAGACATCGGTGCCCATGCCGTTGGCGGTGATGCCGAAGAGGATGATGGCGAGGGCAGCCAGGCCGACGACTATGGTGGCGATGAAGGTCCATTCCTCGCTGTGGACGTGCCGCGAGGCGCTGGAGAGGTGCTTCCGCGTCACCCGGAGTGGTGAGGCGACAAAGTCCCTGTATGTCAACGGCAACGGGGCGCAGAAGAAGTGCTTGTAGCTTAGGCGCAGAATGACGAACAAGACCGTTATTGGTGTAAGGACATAGGTCAACGTTCGAAGCTCGGCGGTTCGACTCCGGACCGGTGTATGGCAGGCCGTTTCGGTCAAGTTTCTCGTGTCTATGGCGGAGAGTCAGTTGTGTACCCGGAGAGCTACAGTCGGGTTGCTCTCATACATATTGATTCGGGCATTCCGCATGCGCCCAAGACACAATGATCAATTGCAGCTTTCGTTTCGACGGCACAGAAGCATGTGCTATCAAGCGCCGCACAGTGTTGTTGTATACATGGTACCTTGTCCCGTCAGCTTCCTGGGCTTGATTCATCCCAAACGTGAATTTCCTTACTGCGCAATGCGGCCATGATGTCTCTATAATTTCTGAGCGGCTGTGCACAGTCAAAAATGGGAGCCCTGTAGCGGCGGGCAAGGCTGCGCCGAGGCTGGGGACGCCACCGCCCAATACAGCAGGCATTCTGTTATAAGGCTGAGGCGAGCAGGCGCATACTCATATTCAGCGTGAGAGGGATAATTTGATTTTCAAAATGCGCGCTTGAAAGAGAGAGGCTTCCCAGACGTTGAAGAAAACATGAGACGATGGAAGTGCCATGATTCAGAGGGGGAGGGTGCTCAAAAGGCAAAATACTCAAGCCGGAGCAGCTAACTGGATGGGTCGCTGGGTGAAGAAAGACATAATGTTTCAGTAGGTATGATTTACTCGGTAGCCGAACGGACACTGTCACATTCTATCAACTAGTTGGCCAACTAGTTTGCGTCTCCGCTGGACCTCTGAGTCCTTCCGGAAAGCATGAGAGGGACGAGACACCGAAGGGAATGACAACCAGGGTGCCCAGACCTCGGACATCGCGGGTCTAGATCGCGAGGAGAACGCCGGTTTGACAGCTCCAGCCGCAACGCCACTGAAAGTCAATGCATCTACAGAATTACTTGGTCGGGGAAATGGGGCTGCCGATTGCTGGCTAGCAGCGTAGCTAGAACAAGCATGGTTTAACACGAACGCCTGACCTGAAGCTTAGTTGACAGTTGGCAGTTCCGTGCACAACAGTTAGTTTTGTATAGTCATAACAAACTACCAAGTGGAGTGGTGTGTATCGTCGTTGGTAGGTAGGGCCAGGCGGGGCCAACGAGCACGCAAGAATAAGAGCGAACAAGTACCTGGGTCACTAGTTGATATCTAAGGTAAAGAGTTAAAAGAGAGAGGGACAAAGAGGGTTCCCTTCTCCTAATTATAAAGGTGAGCGGGTATTCGATATTGAAGCACGTTCCCCATCGCATCGTGATCGACGCCGCAGTGGGTTGTGCGGGAACCCAGGGAAATGCTCCAGCACAGTGCAGCGCCGGGAAGCACCGACCGCTTGCCGCGAGACGGCAGTAAAAAAAAAGGCCCCCCAGCGGCGGATCCACAGAGGTTGATTGATGGATCTGATGGGCTCGCAGTTCTACTACGGATAACGAATAGTTAAGATATAGCCCTGGCTCAACAAAAGACCGTGCGCGGGACATGGCGGTGGTGCTAGTTGGGCCGCCGCCATTGAGCCGATTTGGACACAAGGACTCTCCGAGTTGGGAGCTGGACATCCGGTGTCGTTGTTTTATTTTATTGCGCCGAGATTATTACGGTAAGCCCCATTTGTCACCATCTTTCGGAAGGGCTGATAGTAATGGAATGGCCGTTTGCCAGGACAAGGATGCCCCTGCAACGTATTCTCGAGTTATCTCCTTGTCGTCGGAACTTGCGTGCACAAAGAATATCGAGACTTGCGCTACCCAGCCCGCCCCTCTCGGGTCATGCCTTGAGGCCCCCGCGGTTGCGATCCAAAGCAAACAAGGCCCGTCCGTCCCTTGACTGCTTTGCTTGAGGTTGAGGGGCGGAACTATGTATCTCTCCGTGATTATGCTCACAGCCTATGCACTTATAGGGCATTGCTCGCAGCCTCGCTCACCGTGCAAGGCTGTGACTTGGCGAATGCTCAGCTACAGGCAAACACTAATTAGATAACTTTTGATAGATAAATGCAAAAGCACGTGTAACCAATCTTTCATGTACTCTGTACCTTTTTTTTTCTTTCTCGTCCCCGGCTCTTCTCCGTCCAGCGTCGCGGCCCTGTTCTTATTAACAACCGCCCAAAAAAAACTACAACCCCTCTCAAACGCCCCCGCAAACGGGAGCACCCTCGTCTATCCTGATCTCCAAATGGTCAAGTTGACTACCATCCGCGCCGCCGGCAACGCGCCGCCGCCGCCGCCGCCGCCCGGCCCCGTCGACGACGATGGCAGCAGCACCAAGCAGCGAGTCAAGCGGTGGGCGCCCCGGGGCAAGACCGGCTGCGTCACCTGTCGCCGTCGCAAGGTCCGGTGCGACGAGGCCAAGCCCATCTGCGGCAACTGCGTCGCCACGCGCCGGTACTGCGGCGGGCCCTACTACCAGGACTCGGCCCAGGCCTCCGACGTCGTCAGGAACGTGGCCGCCGTCGTCATCCCCCGCCTGCGGGACACGGCGCCCCGGAGCGTCCGCCCCACGAATCACCGCGGCTGGGAGATTGCCCCCGATGGGTGGGACGTGGTGGAGGCTTTTGAATACCGTACGTAGCTCTTTTCGCTTGCTCGACTTGGCCCCCTTGCATCCCGGGTTCACCTTCCACTAACCTCCCACGCTTGCATCCGCATCCCCTAGTCGGCCTCTACACCATCCCGCACAGCACCGAGATGGACGTCATGGCCACCCGGCCCGCGGTCCCCGTCGCGCTGGCCGCCTATCCCGGCTGCGTCAACTCGGAATCCTTCCTCGCGCGCGTCATAGCCGATAGAATAGTCTGGGTGTCGTGCTGTCAGCGGACCGCGCTGAGCCCGAGCACCGCCCACGGTACAAAGGACTTGTGGTTCAAGTTCTACGACCTCATCCAAAAACACCTAGGCCAGCTCAACTACGATCTCACACACGTAGAAGGCGACTACCTGGGATATCTGATGAAGCTGCGAATATTCGAGAGAATATGTGATTTGATGGAGGCAGAGGCACGTTGTCCCTCCTATCCTTATGTTCATCTCCCTGTCGCTGCTTGCTAACTAACAGCTTGCTTATAGCATATTTTATGCTTGGGCGGCTGGCGAGCCCATTTTGACGGATACTTCGCACTATTAAACATGTTTGGCATCCCGAAGCGCATACCGAAAGAGAATCCGGTCTTTCTCGACATGCTACGGTCCATGACGGTGTGAGTTGTACCCGTATATACCCATCTCCATGTAGTCAAACATCTACCGAGGAGCTGTCACTAACTCGACCGCCTCCTCCCAACAGCAACGCCGTTATTGGCAATAGCGTGACCAGGATCGACAGGCAAATGCACAGCATATACGACTTCGACGACGCCGAGCTCGTCAACATCTTCGGCCAGACCTGCTTCACCCCGTTCCCCTGCCCCAAGGCGCTCTTTGCCGAAATCGCCGCCATCAACCGCCTACGCCTCGCCGCCACCACCTCCAACCTCGCCGCCCTCCTCCCCTCTGTCAACGCCCTCTTCCGGCGCATCAACGCTTTCCAACCCGGGACCTGGAAGGACACAGCCGAGTTCGAGATCCCGCGCACGCCCGAGGTTGTGCTCGTCGCGCGCATCTTCCAGCTCGCCGTCAGCCTGTACGGCGTGCTGGCGCTCGGCCTCGAGCACGCCGACGCCGGCGCGCCGCCCAGCTGGCCCGACCAGACGGCCGCCGCGGCCGAGCTGATCACGCTGCTGCGCAAGACGCTGCGCTCGCCCAAGTGCGTGAGCGTCATGACGTGGCCGTGCGCCGTGGCGGGCGTGGCCGTGGCGGACGGGCCAGAGGCCGGGAGGAAGCTGGTTGGTGAGATACTGGCGCGCATCGACGCGGACGTCCTGGCGTACGGCATCGCGGCGCACACGACCGAGCGGTTGCGGGCCTTCTGGCTGGCCAAGAAGACAGGCTGGGAAGAGTGCTGGGGCGGCTTTTACCTCCTCTGGTAGTGACGGGCGGGGTTGGATAGCATCGGTCCAAGTTAGGGTTCAAAACTGTCCGGCGGCGGGGGGTATCACCCGCGCTCGTAGTTCGTCATGATGCCAGGAACCTGGGTCGCCTTGCCAGAACAGGAGCTCCGTCCGCGCACGCTGACTCGCGCGGTATGGGCTGAGCGTCGGAGAGATGAAGAGGCATCAAGCACTCGACGGGAGGCATGAGGATGCCATCTTCCCGAGCATACGAGGTACGGAGCGTACCGCAGCCCGCGCGGGGTCGCAGCTTCGTGGGCGGACAAGGCTAGCCAACTTGCTAGCAGTGCACTAGAACGGTACCAGGACGTCTGAGCACAAGTGCTAGTATGGTGAGGCGTCAGTGCGAAGTCTCACCAGTAGAGCGATTCAGAACAAGTCTCCGAGGTTGACGGGCAGACTATCATATCAGGTATGGCAGTATCGCCGGCTGCATCCCGAATGGATTCTGCGGCTGGTCGCGCAAGAGCCAAACTAGTTGGCGACCAGAATGCAATGGCGTCTCAGAAATAACCTGCGGCAGCCACGCAGCTAACGGCCTATGGTTCATTCAATTTGCAAAAGATGCCTACTACTTTCTACTTTGATATGCACTCCAAAGGGGCCATAGATCCTGAGAGGAAGGAGAGCCCCGCCCGCACAAGCAAGGGCAAGGTGACCGGTTCCCAGTGCTCGGGACGATTTCTGCATTCTCCCGCAGCAAGCATATCGGAGAATTTGCATCTGCGCAGGGCGCAGGATCTCGCATGATGTGGCCTGCGGTGTCTGCCATCAGGGTCTTTCTTGGAGGGGGGGGGGGGTGAACGCATGGGGTTCGCAAATCGCACAAGGCTGCCATCCATCTCCTGGCAAAGTATCAGGTGCGGGGATCGGAGGATCGTCGTCCCTCACCCCTCCGATGTAAATGCCGACGTTTCATCAGACTACTTATGTAAATAGTAATGGTTTATATTCGAGTAGTGTATGTACTGAGTCAAAGAGCTGTGCAGATGGCTCTCTACGCCCTCTTGTCGGGCTTTCGATGCGACAGGCATGGCGGGTTTCGCGTAGAGTTACCAAATGCTTGCTGCCCTTCTCAGCCGAACGAAGCCTGTGCAGCCCATCAGCAAGGTATGCAGCTATTGTCGATGCCGAGAACTGACACGTAAATCCCGTCCCGCCACTGACAAGAGAACGGGGCCGGGATGTCAGGCAGGGCAACATCCATCCATCCTCAGCGAACGGAGAGTGCGCACATGGGATCCCGTCGTAGCTTGTGGTGCTGTCTCCCGCGTCTACTTCTGGAACTGCATCGTGTTGCGCAGCGTGCCCAGCCCATCGAAGCTCACCTCCACCACGTCGCCATCCTCCAAAAACCTCTGCGGCTCCATGAACAGCCCCACGCCCGACGGCGTCCCCGTCAGTATCACCGTCCCCCTCCTCAACGTCGTCCCCTGCGACGCAAACGCCACCAGCTCCCTCACCCCCCAAATCATGTCCGCCGTCGAGCTCTCCTGCCTCGTCTCCCCGTTGACGCGCGTCACCAACCCCAGCGCCTGCGGGTCCGGCACCGCCGCCGGCGAGGCGACCACCGGCCCGAGCGGCGCGAAGCCGTCAAAGGACTTGGCGAAGCAGAACTGGCCGCCGGAGACGGCGGCGGGCATCTGCAGGTGCCGCGCGGACAGGTCGTTGGCGTTGACGTAGCCGAGGACGAAGGAGAGCGCGGAGGCGGCGGGAACGTCGCGCGCGTCGCGGCCGATGACGACGCCGAGCTCGCCTTCGTAGTCGAGGCGCGGCTGGGCGAGGAGGGGGATGGGGATGGAGGAGGAGGGCCCGGCGAGGGCGTCGGGCGGCTTGGCGAAGATGACGGGGTTCTCAGCGATGGCGAGCTACAAAGAAACTGGTCAAGTTTAAGAAGCGTTTGTCTGGTTTTGGGTGTGCGTACGTTGGCTTCCTCGGCATGCTTCTTGTAGTTGAGGCCGATGCAGACGAAGTAAGGCACCCTCTCCAGCGGACAGAGGACCTGCGTATGCGTAGTAAAGTGGTTAGCCGTGCCGCGCGAAGATTAGATTGGCGACCTCGACCTCTCACCTTGTTTATGATGGCCTTGCGCGTCGTCTTGACGAAGCCGGTGTCGAGATCACCATCCAGGACGGCGACGGTGGCCCCGACCAGATCGCTCAGGACGGACGGATCGGTGACGTCGCCGTAGAGCGTGGTGCCGTTGCCGTCTTCGAACCGGACCAGGCGGTGGAAGGTATGCTCCATTTTTGACGGCCCGGCGACTTATTTCGGTCTGCAAATTGCGAGAGATAGACAGAGAAGTAGACGATGGTGATGATGATGATGATGATGTTTGTTCCAGCGTTGTCGCGATATCGGATCGCGCCCTTTAGTTGACGCCGTTGCCCAAACTCCACTTGGTCGACACTTGGGAGGGGTTTGCCATTTGCTGCAGAGATGGACGCTACAAGTTGATTCTGCATTTATTATTATCTTTTTCTATGGGTGAATAGAATTGAATACCAAGACATGATTTTAGGAGATTTTGTACAGCGGTTGCTGGCGTGAGAGAAATGGCACATAAGCCCAACTGAGCCCCTTCACTCGGCCGGTACTTGATCAAGGAGCATTATCTTCAACGGCTATCCAAAAATACGATACAATTGGGAAACGTATTCATGAAATCGGTATTGGAATATTAAATGCCTATAGGCTGCAACGCTGGGAACTCAAATTCAGATTGGCCAAGGCCAAGCCGAATGAACAGCTTACCCTATACTCCATGGACGAAGCTCTACAGTAGCTTGAATGAAGTGCCGTGGCTGAATGACCCCGTAAGGTGGGAAAAGACTTTAACAGATAAGAAGCTGAGGTATCTGTTGCAGTACTGTTCTACACATGCGGTCAAGGTCATATTTCCTAGGCGTCTTTTGTACAGTTTTTGCGGCTTTCTGATTGGGGATTACCGTAAAGCTCGGTCAAGTTGTGCCGCTTACAAGTTTAAAATAGTTAGGCACAGCAAGGGAAAATTACGCAACGATGCGAAAAAGAAATTATGCACGGGCCATACAGAAAAAGGCATGCACAACTTTTCACTTCCCATATCTTTGCCTCCAGGGTAAGTGTAGCTGCGGCCTCGCAAACCGCTGGCTAGGAGACATAAGCGACTGGATCAAGCTTTGACATTTTCCCATGTGCAAGAATTATCCTTGACAATAAATACAAAACGAATAGCATTTCTCGCATTTTTCTTAACTTTCTCTGACAATTCCTCCGCTTCCTTGCTTCTTGCTGTGCGCTGTGTACAGTAAGTTAGACCTTGGAGATATCAGGGATGTGTTGCTCCGGCGTCCAACAGGAGAGACACGGTCTCAGTCCGGGCTGCTGTTTCTGCTTCCTCTTGTGCTCGAGAGGCCGCCAACCGCTCCTCACTCATTATTCATCCTACAAGTCGCTCATATAAAAGCCGCCTTCTAGACGGCCTTGGCTTAGCCTTTTGCAAAGTATTTGCCAAGACACCAGTGTAAAAAACTTCATCACTCAGCCAGCCTCCATGACAATCGGGCTCCGTCAATTTTACCTAGAAAAGAGCATGTGGCAACGGGTTGCCCCCCTGCCATTCGCGTGCTTCGCCACGATGGTGGCCCAGCGCTAAAATCAGTGAGGGGGGGATGCGGTTGGCTGGTGATTGGGGCGCGACTGCATGAGTCGCTCGATTGGCCCTGACAAAGCTAGATGAGGCTGTGGGGGGGACGGGGAGGTTTTCACTTTCTCCCAACGCCTCGCACAACCTTGTTCCGGATTCTGGAGCCAAGCGCCAGGAGACGGTTGGCTGCTGGATGGATATCCGGTCAAGCTGGACCGAGACTCGACTCGTCGTGGGTAGATGGTGCCGCGGTCAGCTTGGCTGGTTAGGGAAGCTGCCTAATCGCAGAGGTCGATCACGCCGGGTTCGTTGTTGATGACCTCGGGAGGTTGAATATTCATTCCCCGCCTTGCACTGCCTCGTTCCCCCTCCATGCATCCTCCATACATCCTCCATCCCATCCGGGTGGTGTTCCCGTCGGCTCATGTTTGAGAGATTGCGGTGCGTTGAAACATGATGCAGCTGCAAGCCCGCTGAAAAATGGCTGCGAGATGTGTTAACTATGGATAATGACTTATTATGAGTGCGGGCGGCTATTGGCGGATGCAGCATCTTGTTCCTCACAAGCAGAGTAAGACCTGCAGAATGATGCGAATGCACATTGCAAATACAAATTACCTGATATTTGAGTAAATACCCTGGTCGATTTTCTGTCGTAGATCTTCATGACACTCGTACAGCCACCAGCATTATTAGTCTATTCCAGCTAGGTATGAAGTAATGACACAATGCAACTCTACGAGAATCTGGACACGTTGAGAAATCTCCATCACTTGCCTCGCTTACAAGACAGATGACTTTTTCCAAATCATTCAAAGAATCCCGCCACCGGAGGCTGTGCAAATGCATGAGCAAAGATGTTGTGCGCTCTGTTGTACCGCCAAGTCTCGCAACACCAAAACTAGTAGGTCGTGATACACTACAGACACAAACACAGAGATCAACAGCAACACCATTTATTGCCAAGCAACTCCGTCTCCTTTGACGTAATTAAATGGCCGGATGATCGTGGCTATGCTCCGAGAGATATCCCTCTCAGGCCGCCACTCGACAGCGCCCAAAGTGGCAAGTCGCCGCTGATGAGGAGCCAGACTAACAACAACAAACCTGAACTATACAAGAAAAAACTGGAGAGAGAGAAGGAACTTGTTACCAGCGACAACTTTATCGTAGATGCAAATTAAGCTCTTCCTCCGCCCGCCGACAAAGCCAGACCTTCCGTTTCGGGCTCGGTCCGCCAAGGGTTTTGTCTCTGAGCAGCCAAGCCTTGTCCTTGTCGCCTACCGACCGACCGCTTCTAGACGAGGCGCCCGTGTGTCTCGCGAGCATCTCGTGCTCAGCCTCCTTTTTTTGCTCAACATTAATATCAACCGGGGGGGCCGTCATTTTGTTTCAACCGTGATGTGTAGCAGAAACAGAAACAGAAACACAAAGCCGCAGCAACCAACATCTGCTACATCAAAGTTCACCCACCACACCACATCATCTTGCTTGTTCCTTCTCTCTCTTTTTTTTTTAAACCAAAAAGAAATAGATCCCTGTTCATGCATAGGACGACATACACGGCCACCACATCCCCCCATCACCGCCGTTCGCCATGGCGAGCCACAACACGCTGTCCCCCGACACCCTCGAGGTGGCCGCCGCCGCCGGCTCCGGCTCCGGGCCGTCGTCCTCCCGCGGGCGGTCCCTGAGCAACGCCGACACCGTCACCATCGCCTCCACCCTCTCCAACCCGTTCCTGACGCCCAGCACGCTGAGCTGCGCGTCCAGCGTGCTCGAGGACCCGGAGCTCGCCCTGCGGCCGGACCCTGGCACCGAGGCCGACTTCGACGCGCCCCCCGGCGGCAACCCCTTCGCCTTCTCGCCCGGCCAGCTCAACAAGCTGCTCAACCCCAAGTCACTCTCCGCCTTTCAGGCGCTCGGAGGGCTGGACGGCATCGCGCGCGGCCTGCGGACGGACGTCAAGGCCGGCCTGAGCCTGGACGAGACGGGCATCGCGGCGCCCATCTCCTTTCACGAGGCGGTGGGCAAGCCGGCACTCAAGCCCGGACAGTCAGCGCCACCAACTTCTGCGTCGGAGGAGCCGTTTGGTGACCGCGTCCGCGTCTTCAAGCGCAACGTGCTGCCGGCGAAGAAGGCCACCCCCCTGTGGCGGCTCATGTGGAACGCGTACAACGACAAGGTGCTGATCCTGCTGACCGTCGCGGCGGTCATCTCGCTCGGCCTGGGCCTGTACGAGACGCTCGGCGTGGACCACCCGGACGGCGCGCCGCCGCCGGTGGACTGGGTGGAGGGCGTGGCCATCTGCGTGGCCATTGTCATCGTCACCGTCGTCGGCTCGCTCAACGACTGGCAGAAGGAGAAGGCGTTTGTGAAGCTCAACGCGCGCAAGGACGACCGCGAGATCAAGGTGGTGCGGTCGGGCCGGTCCTTTGTGATTAACGTCCGTGACATCCTGGTTGGTGACGTGCTGCACCTGGAGCCGGGCGATCTGGTGCCGGTGGATGGCATCTTTATCGAGGGCCACGATGTCAAGTGCGACGAGTCCTCGGCGACGGGCGAGTCGGACGCGCTGAGGAAGACGGCAGGTGCAGAGGTGTTTCGGGCCATCGAGGCGGGCCAGACCAAGAAGGACCTCGACCCGTTCATCATCTCTGGTGCCAAGGTTCTTGAAGGTGTGTTGTCCCTAGGGAGCAAGCAGTGCATGGAGCGTCGCGACTAACGAGCAACAGGCATGGGCACGTTTGTATGCACGTCCGTCGGAGTCAATAGCAGCTTCGGCAAGATCATGATGTCCGTCCGCACCGAGACCGAAGCTACACCACTGCAAAAGAAGCTCGAGAAGCTGGCCGTGGCCATTGCCAAGCTCGGCAGTGCCGCTGCCGGGTTACTCTTTGTCATTCTTCTGATCCGCTTCCTCGCCGGCCTCCCCAATGACTTTCGCGATCCTACGACAAAAGCGTCTGCCTTTATGGACATTCTCATTGTCGCCATCACCATCATTGTCGTCGCAGTGCCTGAAGGCTTGCCGCTGGCCGTCACGCTCGCTCTGGCATTTGCAACCACGAGGTTGCTACGGGAAAACAACCTGGTCAGAGTCCTGAGAGCATGCGAGACCATGGGCAATGCTACTACTATTTGCTCGGACAAGACTGGTACCTTGGTGAGTTGACTTGATCATTCCGAGCCTGGATGTGCATGAGACCAACTAACATGCCAACCCCCTTAGACGACAAACAAGATGACAGTAGTCGCCGGCACGTTTGGCTCAACCAGCTTTGCCAAGAGCACCGAGACCGAAAAGCCCAACGAGCAGACGGTCAGCCAATGGGCCGGCGCCCTCCCGCAGGCGACCAAGGACATGATCGTGCAGTCCGTCGCCATCAACTCCACCGCCTTCGAAGGCGAGGAGGACGGCCGCGCCGTCTTCATCGGCTCCAAGACGGAGACGGCCCTGCTGCAGCTCGCCCGCGACCATCTCGGCCTCGGGTCCCTCCGCGAGACCCGCGCCAACGCGCAGGTCGTGCAGATGATGCCCTTCGACTCGGCCAAGAAGTGCATGGCCGCCGTCATCCGCACCGACGCCGGCGCCTACCGCCTGCTCGTCAAGGGCGCCTCCGAGATCCTGCTCCGGTGCTGCTCCGAGACGCTCGACCCGCGCGGGCCGCTCACCAAGTTGCGTGCTCGGGAGCTGCGCGCCGTTATCGACAAGTACGCCGGCGCCTCGCTGCGCACCATCGGTCTGGTGTACCGGGATTTCCCCGCGTGGCCGCCCGCACACGCGGAGCTCAGTGATGAGGGCGAGGTGCGGCTGGCCTCGCTTCTGCGCGACCTCGTGCTCGTTGGCGTCATCGGCATCCAGGACCCCGTGCGGCCGGGCGTCCCGGAAGCGGTCCAAAAGGCGCGGCACGCGGGCGTCGTGGTGCGCATGGTCACCGGCGACAACGTCATCACCGCCCGAGCCATCGCCACCGAGTGCGGCATCATCACCTCCACGGACGGCAGCGGCGACGGGGTGGTCATGGAGGGGCCCCGGTTCCGCAAGCTCTCCGAGGACGAGATGGCCTCGGTGCTCCCGCGGCTGCGCGTGCTCGCGCGCTCCTCCCCGGAGGACAAGCGCGTGCTGGTGAGCCGTCTCAAGGCGCTCGGGGAGACGGTGGCGGTGACCGGCGACGGGACCAACGACGCGCCGGCGCTCAAGGCGGCGGACGTGGGCTTCTCGATGGGCGTGTCCGGCACGGAGGTGGCCAAGGAGGCGTCGGCGATTGTGCTGATGGACGACAACTTTGCGTCCATCATCACGGCGCTGAAATGGGGCCGCGCCGTCAACGACGCGGTGCAAAAGTTCTTGCAGTTCCAGATCACGGTCAACATCACGGCGGTGCTGCTGGCGTTCATCACGGCGCTGTACAGCAGCGAGATGAAGCCGGTGCTGCGCGCGGTGCAGCTTCTCTGGGTCAACCTCATCATGGACACATTTGCGGCACTGGCCCTGGCCACGGATCCGCCGGATGATAAGATTTTGAACCGGCAGCCGCAGGGGAAGAAGGCGCCTTTGATTACTGTCAATGTGAGTATCTTGCTCCTCCTCCTCCTCCTCCTCCTCCTACTCCCCGTACCGTCACTGACAATACCTAGATGTGGAAAATGATCATCGGCCAGGCCATCTTCCAGCTCGTGGTCACCCTCGTCCTCTACTTCGCCGGCCCCCGGATCCTCCGCTACGACGCCGCCCAGGCCGTCGAGCTCGACACCATCATCTTCAATACCTTTGTCTGGATGCAAATCTTCAACATGTTCAACAACCGCCGCCTCGACAACCGCTTCAACGTCCTCGAGGGACTGCACCGCAACTACTTCTTCATCTTCATCTGCCTCCTCATGGTCGGCCTGCAGGTCACCATCGTCTTCTTCGGCTCCCGCGCCTTCGGCATCGCCGGTGACGGCCTCGACGCCGTCCAGTGGGCCATCTGCGTCCTCGTCGCCGCCGCGAGCCTGCCCTGGGGCGTGGTCGTCCGCCTCGTCCCGGACGCCTGGTTCGCCGGGGTTGCCGGGGTCGCCGGCCGGCCGGTCGCGGCGCTGTACCGGGCGGTCGGTCGCGGCTTCGGTAGGCTGTTCGGGCTGTTCCGAAGAAAGGGGAAGAAGAGTGAAGAGGACGCGGCTCCGGCGCGAGATGTCGAGGAAGCGGCCGCTCCAGAGGTCACCGTGCAAGAGCCAGTGGTCACGCCCCCTGCGATTGTGATTTGCGAGACACCGCAAGTCCATATTACGGAGCCGGAAGCTGATGAGAAACGACAGAAATGATTGTACAAACTTTTGTGCTTGGCGTTGGATGGCTTCTTGTATTACACCCCTAATAGACTTCTTTTTCAGCAATGCAAAACTTGAAAATTCTTTACTTCATTACTACATATAGACGTCAAACAAATAAAAGTACTTTTGCCATGATTCCAAATTTATCCCTCCCTCCCTCCCCCAGCCCCTTGCTTGGTCTTGGGATATCAAACACCATGCATAACCATCATCAGATCAAGAAACCTCCTCAAGGGCTTGCTTAAACGACCTCACACCACCCTTGCCCAAGCCATGGCCGTGGCTGTGCCCCGCGTGGTCGTGCTCATCATCGTCATCCTCGCCCGGCTCCCCCGCCCAGTCCGGGAAGCCATCATCAAACAACTCCTGCAGCGCCTCCTTCAACTTATCCAAGTCATCCCCGTGCGCCGGATCCCGCATCACCCCCTCCCAGTCCGCAAACTCCTCGTCCGTCAGCAGGCACTCGTCCAGCAGCGCCTGCACGCCCGCGTGGTCGAGCCCCTCGCCGATGAAGACGAGCTCCTGGCGGCGGTCCCCCCACTCGCCGCCCTTGGCGATGTCGTGCTGCACCAGCGCGTCCACCTCGGGCTCGCCGGTCGTGTACTCGGAGGGCGGCAGCGTGCAGAACCAGGGGCGGCCGCCGGTCATGGTCAGCATGGCGCCGGCCTGCGACCACTCGCCGGCGCGGTGCGGCCGCGTGGCGAGCAGGAACTCGCCCTTGGAGCGGAAGAGCCGCGAGAAGGTCGGGTGCGCACGCTTGTTGGCGAGGATCTCCTCGTTGGGCGGCATGTCGAGCGGGTCGACGGCCATGGCGTCGTCCTCGTCGTCCTCGGAAGCGGCGGCGGCGGCGGCGGCGGCGGCGGCCTTTTGCTGGCTGGCAAGGAGGACGGGCTTTTGCTTCTCCGAGGGGCGCGGGGAGGGAACGGTGCGGGCGGTCGAGTGGGAGCTGCCTGAGGAGTAGGCTGAGCCTTCCTGGGCAGAGCCGTTGGAAGAGCCGATACTCTGTGCGTCGTCGTTTTGCTCAACGTCCTCCATCTCATCATCCTCGTCCTCATCCTCATCCTCGTCATCCTCGTCGTCCTCGTCTTCATCCTCATCATCCTCGGGCTGCTCTAGCTGCAGAATGAACTTGTCGTAGAGAAGAGCGAACAGACGACGCGGGTGAAAGGGTCGCTGACGTGAGTAGATGAAGCTCTGGACGTTGTACTCTTCCGTCTCGGGCTTGGGTGTGACGACGTTCTTGCCGTTGACCTCGCGGACGGTCATGGCGTGGAGGTCCTGCAGCCAGCCGTAGCCCGCCTGGGCGACGTCCATCTTGAACAGGCCTGTGTTGACGAGCTGCTTGACGTCGACCTTGCCGTAGCTGGATTCCAGAATCTTGGCACGGTGGTTGAGCTTCTTGACAAGGTCCACGATGCGGGCCCGTGTTTCCTTGGAGACCTGATGTTGCAGTTAGATACAATACACTGCGACTGCGGAAGAATACGCGTCTCAAGATCCCACATACCATGTCGATTTTATTAAGTATGATAATGTCAGCGAACTCGATCTGGTCGACCATGAGGTCCGAGACGGTTCGCTCATCTTCGGGGGTGACGTCGTCACGGCGAGCAGAGATGAGGTCGGCCGTGTCAAAGTCGTGCAGCATGGTAAACGTGTCAATGACCGTGACGGTGGTGTCCAGCTTGGCGAACTTTTCCAAGCCACCAGCTTCCTTACTGCAGAGAGGTATGGTTAGCATGCACGCATCAAATCGCTCGTTGCCGACGTCACTTACAGCTGCTCGAGCACCTTCATCATGTCCGCGTCGAGGCCCTCGCCGCCCTCGTCTACAAGCTGGCTCATCTGCTCGGCCAACCTGTTGTCAAAAGTCTCGGCAACCTGCTCCGGTTCGCTGATGCCGCTGCTCTCAATAATGATGTAGTCAAAGCTCTGTAGCTGAGCGAGGCGGACGAGCTCCTCGAGCAGGTCGCCGCGGAGAGTGCAGCAGATGCAGCCATTCTGCAGAGCAATGACCTTTTCGTTGGTTTTTGTGAGGCGGTGCGTTTGCTTTATTCCGGGGGGGGGGGGGTGGAATTGTCAGTTGTGGTCGCCCACTGTGGTTTTCAAACAACTCACGCGCCAATGTCGTTGACGACGACGGCGATGCGTAGACCGTGGTTGCTTCTAAGGATATGCTGTAAAAGTGTCGTTTTTCCCGATCCCTTGAAGTGTTTGTCAGACATGTCAAAAAACCACCAAAAGAACTGAGAAGCAACTGCTGACTTACAAGGAAGCCGGAGAGGAGAGTGACGGGAAGCGCCTTGGGCGGCACCTTGGTTTTCTGAGCCTTGGAGGCCTTTTTGCTTTTTCCAACCTTGAATCTGTTGACCATTTTGTATGTAGCTTAGATATGAGAGCGACAATGTGAAAAAGACAACTTTAATGTTGTTTCATTCAAGAAATATGTGCGAAAAAGAGAGGGCAGGGGCTGACAGACGGTATATATAGCAATGAATTTTACAAAACGCACAAAAAGTTCATTCGCGCACGCCATTGATTCGACGTAGACACAAACTCCAGCCAAATTCGCCGTCATTGCTCTGCGTACGCCACTGCAATCCTGAGACTTGCTCATCAAGGTCGACGACTTATTGGCCATCAGGGTTGTGAAGGTCGTGATAGTTTCGGGGCTGGCTGACATTCTTGCCCAGCTGATTGGCTCGTCAGTTCCAAATCGGGCATCCGTCCCAGAACAACCCGTCGGCCCCGGAGACAGGGGAGTTACAAAGCATTTTTGCTGTGTTTTCAATTGGATGCAGTAAAGAGTAGTACTTGGCAAACTCGTGGTCAGATAAGTAAGGGCTGGTGCTCATTGGCTACTTGGTGTGGCTCCCCGCCCCGTGGTTAGGAGGCATCATGGGAAACACCATAGCGGTTCTCAGGAGCTGTGAGCTAGCCATGACCGTGTACCATGCTGGATGTCGATGGTAAGGGCTCTCTGGCTCTCGACATTTCAGGTATATAAAGGTGTGTTCGCGGCAGCTCTCTGCAGGGCGGATTGATCTTGTGTGATGCTTCAACCGCGCGCTGAAACGCGAGGCAGCAAGCAATTTTACCTGGCAATATTTCCGACACATGCAGTTCACGATCGAGTACAACAAGGTTCACGTCTATCCACATCGCACAATACGGGACAGGACCACATATTAAAAGGAACTACGGCAGAGCGTCACAGCAGCAGTGCACTGACTGAGCCACGCTTGCAGCTGGGCGAGGGCAGGCAGCCAACCAAAAGAATGCCGAGCTCGGAACCAAGACGAGGTTTGATAAGTCTATCAAGGTTGTTCCCGTCATTGACTGTGGCGAGTTTGTTGGCGGCATGCTCGTCGTGTAGAATAGTGCCGAATGCAGCACTCTGGGACATAGAAACCAGGCCCAATAGATGAGCGAAGCCGGAACGCCAACCAGCAGCAAAGGACTCTGTTTGAGAACCTGAAAAGTAACAACAGCTACCTTTGTCGAGAAGGCGGGTTAAGTTTGAGGCACGAGGGAGCGAGAGTGGGTGTGGTTTGGTTGCGATCACGACTTTTTGAGATGCGGGTGTTTTCCACATGTGGGAAAGAAGGAAGAGACAAGTCGACCCAAACGGAGAGGTGGGAAGAAATTCTGGTCAGGGTTTTGCGGTACGTGAGTCAACGGGCTCATCATGTGTAGTGCAGCGCATTGCGCAAGCTGCTAGCTACACTGGACTTGATTGACGTGACAACGCAGAGCACCTGCAGCTGCGACAGCGGAGATGAACCTGATAAACGATTTTTTTGTGTCGGAGACTGTCGGCGATGGTTTCTCTTCTACAAAAGAACCTCGACAAAGGACCTTGTGAATGATGGCTGGTTGTTAGCCTCGGCGTGTGTCGTGGTGGGGACTTGCGGATACCACGAGAAGCAACTATCACAAAGTGATAAACCAAAGAATGCCATCGAGAAAAAAGTACCATAGACCGATTTGCCACTCTATATAGGGCCGTGGTCTGCGTATGATGTCAGCCCAACGTTGAAACATCACATTGAGCAAGCCAACGTGAATGGCGGCGCAACTGCGTTTGGAAAGATTATGACTGCGAAAACGTAAGGGAGACGGCCAACGGCCAACGGCCAGCAAACTGTCCGCACGCCTCTCGGAGAAGAGGCAGACTGGGGGTGCTATCCCTAGCTGCAATGCCCGCGGATGACGCAGCTTGATTGTCCGGAGGAGGCCCTCTCCTGGTTGGGCGGAGGCCCCATGGGGAATGGAGGGGAATGGAGGGGAATTGGAGGTGGCGACGGCGGGCTCGTTGTTGGGGTGTTGCATTTCGACGATGGATATCTTGGAGTAAGGAGAGGGGTGTTTGTGTTGATGAGATGCAAAAGTCCCTGCCGGTATTTGGCAGTGTGGAGGCAGAGTTACTGTACGGATTTGCCAATAGCGGCCAGGGTTGACGAATGTTGGTGGATTTGTGGGTGAGGGATGTCGGATTGCCATTAGGTAATGCACCCAGATGGTCGCGGAGAAAAGGACGACTAGAAAAGCTATTACCGCCAGCCTTGTTTTTGGCTGTCAGAAATAAGTCTGGAATAAGTCAGGAAATAGGCAAAGATTGCCAAGTAATTTCGGCCAATCTTGCAATCGGCTTGGTATTTCTGGGCATCGAGTACCAAGCATTGGGGTCTGCAAGTTAACAGTGTGGTGCACCTCCCAAAAGGGCGTTGGCGGTAGCACCCAGGCCGAGACGACAGCACGCAAAGGTTCTGGCAGGGATAGCCTTGCTCCTAATCGGGCAAGAAGATAAAATCGCGAGACACAACAAATAAGAACCGTGCTGTTATTATAAAGGAACCTGAGCACAAAAAGAACCTTGCCCTTTGCTGAATTAAGCTTGTTAACGGTAAACTTGTTGCAGGCCCTTGGTGTGGCTGATTTTAGTGGATAGTATACGTTAGTGGCGTGGCGGTATTAATTCCCGCGGAGTTGCGCCCAAACTTGTTCCGCTGGAGGGCACCGACGTCGCTTAACTGATTCTATGAACAATGATTGAATTGGAATGATGCTTCTGGGGTAGGCCAGCTCCCAGTGGGATGGCGGAGCGGTTACAGCGGATCATGCGCTGGGAGCTCTTGTCAGTGTCGCTGAACAGAGTGAATTGCAGAGACAGGTGCACCTGTGGTCTGGAGCCCCTGAAGAGCCAATGAGTTGCTGACAGGAAGCCTGCCAGAAAAGGGAACGAACACCGCCGACGACAGGTTGAAGGCAACTCGCATTACTCATCCTTGCATGCACAATCCACGACCGCTTTCTCTCTTTGCATTTTTTTCCATCTTCCCTTTTCCCACCCACCATACAATTTGCCAACACACAACCTGCCGTTCATAATAATCACTACATCCTTCTGGCACCACACTACACCCAGCTAGGTTGAGGCGCCGCCCCTGCCGACAGCCTCCTTCGGTGGCGTCGTCCATGCTGCAGCGAAAGCTGACTTGGCACATTTTTTCTCACCTACCGTACATACATATGTCTCTTCTTGGAACTAACCGACCCGCTAGTGCCCTGCCTTGCTGATAGTACTTTGTGCCGAGAACGCCACTGATTGGCGACTTCCGGCAAGAAAGACAACGCACCTCCCTCGGCCCGTCGCCCATCATCAGAGACATATCAACGTCCAAGTCTTTCCGCTCCCCTGCAAGCGAGACAGAAACAAAAATAAAAGGATGCACAAAACTAAAGATGGCGACATTGCCCAGCAACCCTGCTCCTCTTCCCGCGTCAGTCTAGACGATCTGTGGGCCGACCGACTCGACGAACCAACGTCCCTCATTCACTGCGCCATAATCCACCAATACAGAGAGCTTCTGTCACATCGCAAAACTAAATACGGAGTAGCAACTTGACAAAGGTTCCTTTCCTTCCAAATTATTACACCTGCTCTCCACCTTGGCCCCAGACCTCGTGGCGTGGATTGCTCAGCTGAGGAGCCTGTCTACCAGCCTTTCTCCTTTATTCTGTTGTGAGATGGCTTATTAGCGTGCGCTCCGGCCTCGCTTTGCGGTATCGTGCACTTATTATAAATCTTGTCAAGGTACTGTGCGCCTTACCACCCTAACTAGTATGTTTCCGTTGACAAGTCCGGGTTCGCCGCGCTGTTGCAAAAGTCCCAGGCCCATGTAACCCATGCAAGTCTCAGACTAAGATTGACAGCTTGACAATCCTCCTCGCGCCTTTTTGCCTCGTCGCCTCAGCTGGACGGACCGAAAAGACAGCTTCAATACCACCCTTCCTCAAGTTGATGTGCGCTCCGCTACCCCCGAGGAATACGCGTTACTCTTTCCCCGAGGAGCAGAATCGTACTCGCCGGCCCTCATGAGTCTCCTTCTCTCTCTTTCTGGACTACTCTCAACATCCTCGGCCTTCGCCGCACTAGCTTTCTACATCCAGACATGTTACTTATACCTGGTGTTCTCATTACTTCACTGGTTCCCGATTGCTCCTTCATGCTAGACCGGAGCTTCCCTTCACACACACAAAGTCCCTCGTGGTTAATGACTAACTACTTCGCACAACCGTAAACTTACACCCCCCTCTCCAAAGTCCCATGTCCGCATTTGCCAAGCAGTCCCTCCTTCTTGCCTGATGGCCCGTCCGCTCGGCTCCTCCTCCACATCTCTATCCTCCTACCCCATTGGGGTAGCTCGATTGTCTTGTCTTGTCTTTGTGTCTCCAATAGCATTAGTTCCGCTTCCCATGTTCCGCTGCCCATGACTTATTTTCTCCAGGGTTAAAAGGACCCTGCCGCCCGGTCCTCGCTGCGGACAGCCATTGGGTCTTTGTTGTTGTTGCGCCTACCTCGCCTTCGCCTTCTTCCCCCAATCTAGACAAGGTGAACGAGCCATTTCCTGCAAAGGGGCTCTAGTTCAACAACACAATGAACGGGCTCAAGAAGATCCTCTCCCGTCAAAAGACGAGTCAGTCTGGCGACCATGAGGGCGAGCTCCAGGCCTTTCGCAAGCAGCACCGATACGACCCTTTTCTCGAGGATGACAAGCTGCGCGCCGTCGACTCTGCCCTTGACTCGGGCAACGCCGAAAAGCTCCGCGATCTCGACAACGCCTTGATCCAGGATGACTCGCCCTATCCCGAGGTCCGCGCCGCCGTACGTGCTTCCTATACTCGCTCTCAGGCTTCGCAGGAAACTAACAGCTTCTTTTTTATCCAGGTCCCTAACACGGACGAGGACATGCCTGTCGATACTATCCGAGCCTGGGTAATTGGTGGTCTGCTCTGCACCATTGTTTCCGCTTGCAACGTGCTTCTCGCGCTGCGCCGCACGCCCATCTCCATCAGCTCTACCGTCGTCCAGTTGGTGGCGTACCCGTATGTCATTTACATCGACACTCTCATCTCCGTCAAACAGTCCTGACCTTGTTCAGCCTTGGCTGCTTCTGGGCCCGAGTTATGCCCGCGAAGACCTTCCACCTCTTTGGTCGCACCTTTGAGCTTAACCCCGGTCCCTTCAACGTAAAAGAGCACACAATCATTACCATGATGACAGCTGCCGGTTCCGCCATCAGCTACGCTTTCGACATTCTCCTTGCCCAGGAGGTATTCTACGACCAGCACTTTAAGTAAGCCCTGTCCCCAAACTTGATGCATCAAGTCGGTCTTCCTAACTCGCTCGCAGATGGGGTTTCCAGATTCTGCTCGTCCTTTCGACCCAGGCCATGGGATTCGGTATCGCTGGCATCTCCCGACGCTTCCTTATCTACCCGTCCTCCATGGTCTGGCCGGCGACCCTCGTGACATGCGCCGTCATGTACGCCCTGCACAACCACCAGCCCGCCGACCCTGCCACCACGAATGGCTGGAAAATTGGCCGCTACGCCTTCTTCCTCATCGTCTCCATGAGCACCTTTGTCTGGGAGTGGGTGCCCCAGGTCTTCGCCCAATTCCTGCAGTTCTTCAACTTTGCTTGCTGGATCGCCCCCAACAACGTCATCGTCAACCAGGTCCTCGGAGCCCAGTCTGGCCTCGGCCTAATCCCCATCTCCTTTGACTGGAGCATCGTCAGTGCCTTCCTCGGTAGTCCCCTACAGGCGCCCGCTTTTTCCCTCGTCAACGTCGCTCTTGGTCTGGCCCTCTTGACTATTGCTGCCTCGGGACTATCGTGGGGTGGTCCTGAGTTCTACCGATACCTGCCCATCAGTGCCAACACCAACTATGACCACTTTGCGAAAAAGTACAACACCTCGCGCATTCTCACTCCCCAATTCACCATGAACGAGACGGCCTACCGCGAGTACTCGCCTATTCTCATCTCCCCGACCTTTACGCTCTCCTACGGCATGTCCTTTGCCGCCCTCATATCGACCCTCGTCCACGTCGCCCTCTTCTACGGCCCCGACATCTGGCGCCGCAGCCGTGACATGCGTTCCGAGGAGCCCGACGTGCACCTGAAGCTGATGCGCAAGTACAAGGAGGCCCCTGAGTGGTGGTTCCTCGCCATCTTCGCCCTGAGCTTTGCCTTTGGCATGATTGCCTCCCAGGTCTGGCCCACCCATCTGCCCTGGTGGGCTTTCATCATCTGCATTGCTATTGGCCTCGTCTTCTTCATTCCCGTCGGCACTGTGCAGGCCATCACCAACCAGCAGACCGGCCTAAACGTCATCACCGAGCTGGTCATCGGCTTCATGCTGCCCGGACGTCCCATCGCCATGATGATGTTCAAGTGCTGGGGCTACATGATTGTCTTCTATGGCCTCAACTACATCTCCGACATGAAGATCGGTCACTACATGAAGATCCCCCCTCGCTCCATGTTCGCAGCCCAGGCCTTTGCCGTCATCTGGCTGTCCATTGTCCAGGTCGCCACCTACAACTTCCTGCTCGGCAACATCAAGGGCATTTGCACCGAGGATCAGGCCCAGGGCCTTACCTGCCCCGCTGCGCGCACCTTCTTCAACGCCAGTGTCATCTGGGGCGTCATTGGTCCGGCCAAGATGTTCGGCGCCGGCCAGCTCTTTTCCTGGCTCAACTGGTTCTGGCTCATCGGCGCCGCCCTGCCTGTGATCCAGTACTTCATCACCCGACGCAACCCCCGCAGCATCTTCCGCTACATGCTCACGCCCGTCATCTTTGGCGCCGCCGGCCAGATCCCGCCGGCCACGCTCTACTACCTGTGGCAGTTTGTCACGGTCGGTCTCGTCTTCAACTGGTTCCTGCGACGCCGCTACTTTGGCTGGTGGCAGCAGTACAACTACACCCTTTCGGGCGCCCTCGACATTGGCAACGCGCTCGCCAGCGTCGTCATCGGCCTCGCCCTCGGCCTGGGCAACGCCAACTTTCCCGATTGGTGGGGCAACACAGTGCCGTACACCAACCTCGACGGTTGGCACAATGCCACGACAAAGGTCTTCCACAAGGGCCAGACGCCTCTGGGCCCGGCAACCTGGTCGTAGCGAGGGAAAACAGTCAACGGCATGTCTTGCATGTCTCAACATGGGCACTAGACAAATGACAAGACGAAAAAGGTGACGAGTCAAGAGCAGGAATTGATCCACATTCTCTTGCTAGCCGTTTCCTGGATCTGTAGCAGCGTCAGCGGACGACGTGGAAAGGGGTATATAGCGCGCAAAGAGGCAATTGGGAGGATATACGTACATATTATACCACATTCATGATGCATTCACATGTTCATATTTTTCAGACCGTCGTGTCTAACTGCCTTATTTCTTCTACTTTCCAAACTGTTTGTGAAGCTGCTGAGATGGGTATGTGTGTGGACACAGGAACCCCCCCGCTGTGCCTTGCCGAGCTGGCTGCAAGGAGGCGAGGAGGGGAGATGACCAGATCCCGCAGCCAAGACGGCGTCCAACCTGAGGCGATTTCTTCATCTCTGCGTTTCAAGTGATGAAATTGGCCTGAGAGAAACACCCACGGCCCCTCCCCGAGGCTCGCTGCATGTCTCGGTAGAGCTCAGCTCCCTCCCACCCGTAGCCCTACGTAGTACAGCCGCATCCCTTATTTATGCACGTAGGGCTCTTTTCAACTTCTCCCCCCCACCCCTCTTTGCTCATTGTGATTTCTCCGCCTTTTTTCGTCACCTTCACCACGTTCTTTGGTGTTGTTTGCAGAGCTCATGAGAGGATTGGTTGCACAACCCCACCGCACGAGTTGATGAATCCTCTGTTCCGTTATTTTGTCTTTGCAACCCCCCAAGTCTTGTACCGGTAGGGGTGCCGGTCTTGGATTCTCATTTCGCATCTAGTGCTCCGACTCCCCACTGCTCTCTGTAACTTCGATCAGCTGGACGGTAGATCGCTGGCTCAGTATTACTCAATCGTTTGGGATATTTCAGCCAAGGTTGCTAGCCAACGGCAACGCCAAAGAACGAGGACCCGCCAGGGGCGGCCAGGGTTGACCAGCAATACTGTATCCGTATGGTGTTATCAGTTCTGTTGCTCAAGCGACTTGTCCGTCGCTACGGGCGGCAGTTTTGCCTGTCCGGTCCCGCCCTCGGTGAGGGGAGGCCGCATTATCAGGAGGCTCCGTGACCTCTCTTCCATGACACCACCAGCTCCCCTCCTTCGCGGTTCTTTACTCGCCCCAATAAAATGTCTTGCTGCACAACAGACCAAGATATTGGGCCACGGCGCCGCCACAGCAGCCTAGCGCATTAACCAACCGCTCGGGAGTTGTTGGGTCAGAGCTGATGGAGCGCCGATAGAAAGTTCGAGTTAGGAAAGGTTGGCTGGCTGGTTGACCTGCGCCGGCGCTCTGGAACCGTGAACCCGCCATTGTCCAGCTAGCGTTGGTGATTCTGCCCAGGCTTTTTCGTCCTGTCGTCTGCTCAGATTCTTGACCCACCAGACGCCAGAAATGCCCTGATGATGAGTGGTTTGGCTGGCTGTCAGCCTGTCAGGAATCGGGAAGGGAGGTCGATCAGGGGTTCGCATCCCTTGCTGCTTTCAGTGGTGCTTTCAGTGGTCACCGGTGGGTTCACGTTATTGACGGCCAAGACGAGGCCATGGTACCTGGATATTTCTTGCATGGGCTTTCTCTAGAAGTTGCCAGTATCCATATTGCAGGAGCGGCGGTAATCAAGTTCTGACATCCGTCAATCGAGTGCCTTTTTTGCCCCTGCCGAATGTACCCTTTGGCTGGCGACCCTGCAGGCGAAAGATTGGCGCTGTGGCTTTCAGGGTGCGGCAGATACATAGTTCCATGCAAGGCTTCTCTGCCGACGTCGTCGGTCCTCTGGAGCGGCTGTTTGGATTGCAAGGTCTGTTCCCAACTTTGACCCAAGACACGGACACTAGCTTTGACAAGCATTCATCACACAAGTCCGACACCCCAAAACTCAAACTCGGGAGAGAGGCCAAGAGCGGCGACGCAGCTAGCTCGCCTTTGGACTTGCCAACTTTTAGCCCATCTCATATTCTGGAGGAGACCGACCTGCGCTATAACGGGAACCCCTGTCGATTGGTCCTGTTGCAAAGGGAGGGGGTCACGGAAGGACAAGAAAAAACGGTAACTACTGGACCGAATCCAGGAAGATGGATGGTGTGGGCGACCCCTCGTCTGCAATAATAAGAGCAGCGGCGTTGGCGTTGCCTTGGACCCCCGGGAGAGTAGCTAGCCGAGTAGCAAGTCTTTTTCCATCTATTTTATTTGTCGCACGATTTAAGTTTTCTCTTTCTCCCTTCCTCAATCATCGTCGCCGTCGTTATTGTAGTGTGACGTTGTGTGTTTGTTTCTGGCAAGTTACGTTGGACAGCTGGCAAGCAAGCTCCAGTTCTACCGACATACATACATGCCTGCCTGCCTACAAGGTACAACATACCTGCCCAGCTTGGTAGGTACTTCACCACCTCAAATCTCCCCGTCGTCGACCCCCGCACCCAAAAATCGTCTACCTGCACCGTCACCGAAAGTTCCCTCGGGAGCTTCCTTTTCCCACTCTCCGCTGCTGCGAACCCGCCGACACACGCGACGAATGACCTCATATTATCCTGCATTGCATTGAGGGGTAACGACCAGGCGTGCTTCAAGCCCCAGACGGCCATCTCCGAGTCACAAGATCAGCGCTACAGCGAATCAGCACCTGCAGCACAACGGGCCTTGACGCAGCAGCCAATCGACCGCCGATACGAGCAGAAACCAGAGCCTGCGATCTGGGCTGCACCGCCGCACCGCCGCCGCCGAGCTTGACGCACAGCATTGCTCAGTACCTAGCACTAATCCAATCGAGCCAAGGCTACCGAGAGCCCGAGAGACCGCCGGCCCCCTCCTTCCCCAGCTGCGCCGACGCCGCGCCCTTTCGCCGTCATGGGCCTCTTCTCTCGCAAGGATAAGAGTCGTCGTGGGGACGCCTCTCTTCCCACCTCACATTCCACCAACAGTTTCGGCTCGTCCACATCCCGATCTGTCGTCAACAGAGTATCCGCGGGGAGCGTCACGTCAGGAAGTCCCCTCTCGCCTTTGTCGCCAACTAAGCTCCCCAAGATGGACCTTCCCCGGCCGCCGGACCCCCAGCTTGACCCCGCTGGCTACCTGCGCAGTCTCGGCGCTGTTCGCGAACGCACCAAGCTTGTCTTCGATAAGCTCATGGCCAACCGGCTACAGCATTTCGACGTTGACATGGCAAAGTTTCCCGACGTTGTTGCCTTTGTATCGGGCTTGATCAAGGTACGCTTTGCCTGCGTGACCTGACGCACGGTCTAGCTCTACCAGCTTCGCCTGGCATGAGCTTTGCCCTTGCCCTATGCTAACCAACATCGAATAGAGAGACTATGATGCACCATTCAACACAATTCCCGGCCACGGCCGCTACCAGCACTTTTGCGTCGGCGGTCGCGATCGCATCGCAGACCTGCTATCCACTTGGCCCTCCACTGTGGACAACACAGAACGCTGTCGCCGTCTCATTGACTTGTTCCTGATCAGCGTTTTGCTTGATGCTGGCGCTGGCACATCCTGGAGCTACAAAAGCAATGAAAATGGCAAAGTGTACAGGAGATCCGAAGGCCTGGCTATTGCCAGCTTGGAGATGTTCAAGACTGCAAGTGCCTATTGCCCCGCATGAGGCGCGCCACACTGACACAATCCCAGGGTCTTTTCTCGGGCAACCCTGACAATAAGCACCAGGTCGATTTCCAAGGTCTCGCAAAGTTGACCGTTGATCAGCTAGCTGCCGGTCTGCAGTCAAAGCCTGGAAACGAGCTTGCTGGCTTGGACGGCCGTACAGCCTTGCTGCTCAAGCTGTCTGACGCCCTCAAGAGCAAGGCCGAATTTTTCGGCGAAACGGGCCGCCCCGGAAACATGATTGATCACCTGCTCTCGCATCCTTCCACCCAAGCATCTTCGATGCTCATTGTACCGCTCCCCGTGCTGTGGAGCGTGCTCATGTCCGGCTTGGCACCCATCTGGCCGCAGTCACGCACGTCCATTGATGGCGTCTCATTGGGCGATGCATGGCCCTGCAGCTCGATGCCTCAGGGTGTCGGCGCCTGGGAGTCTATCGTGCCGTTCCACAAGCTCACCCAGTGGCTGACGTACTCGCTGATGCAACCAATGCAGTCACTTCTCAACATGCACTTTGCTGGCACCGAGCTCCTGACCGGCCTACCCGAATACCGCAACGGTGGCCTCTTCGTTGACATCGGAGTCTTGACCCTGAAAAAGGACGACGCGGACCGCGGCCTGGAGAACTACTCTGACTACTGCCGCCGCGCCGGTGTCAAGGGCGTCGAGGTGGCTCCGGCGGGCCGCCACTGTCGGCCTCCTCGATCACCTAGCCGTCGAAGTCAATAAATATCTGAAGAAGGAGTTGGCGGGCAACCCAATGACCCTGGCACAGCTCTTGGAAGCCGGGAGTTGGAAGGTATGTGCAACTAACCCCGCTGCCCCCGCCCTCCGAGTGTCATCACAACACAACACATATTAACGATAGATTAGGGTGGGCGTGAAATCGCCGAAATCCACCGGCCAAATACGAAGGAGCCTCCCATTCTCATTGATAGCGATGGCACCGTGTTTTAAGCGTGCGCTGCCTCTTATCACCGCTGGTCCAGAAAACACGACACTATGTATGAAGCCAGTCGAGTTTATCAATTATACGACGTTAATGTCAGGGTCTTCACTGTATCCCAAAACCCTTCCAAAGGACATGGAATACAATGCAACTCGAACCCACCATCGCTTAGCGTAATATCTTTATTCTTAACCGCTTTTGTTTCTTGTATTCTCTCTGGACCTTTACGGTTTTTTCTCTCTTTTTTCGGTCGGACATGTTTCTCTTCCCACTGGACAGTGGTCATTTTTATGGAAATTGGGGGCATTCGAGACACGAAATAGGGTTGTCTTATTAGGGCATTTATATACTTTTTCGTCTTCGTGGTTTTGCTCAAGTGAAGTGGCTGTATTTTGGAGTGTAAATTGTACAAGATAATTTTTGGTTCTCCTCGCTCCCTTAATAAGCGTCGTCTTGTCATCCTTCTATGCTAGTATACAAACAGGCACTGCCACCTTCCAGCACATCCACCGGAATAACTTCTCTTAGGTAGTATTTACACATGTCCCGGGACCACGCTTCGAGACAAGAACGACATGACCACAGCAAAGTGGCGGGACGATACCGTCGTCTCCCTTACTTTTTGCCCTTGTATTTCCGGCTGAACTCGTCGCGCTCCTGCTGCTGACGCTTGTCCTCGAGCTTCTTCATGAGCTCCTTGCGGTCGCGCTCCGCCTTCTCCGCGTCCGTGGCCGCGAAGCGGCCGCCGAAGCTGCCGAGCTGCTGCGACATGCCCTGCTTGGCGTCGTTGAGGCTGCTGTTGACGCGCTCGGTGAAGCTCAGCGGCTTGACGACCTCCTCGGCGGTCGTGCGCGTAGGGGGCGCCGCGCCGCGCGGCGCCTCGTAGCGGATGCCCTTGGGGATGTGGGCGGGAATAGACGAGGATGATGCGGCGGCGGCGGCGGAGGGGGTGGTCGCCGAGGCGGGGTTGGGGGGCGGGCCCATGAGGAGGCCGAACTTGCGGCGCAGGAAGGGAATCTCGAGGATGAGGGAGGTGAAGAGGGTGGCGCTGGCGAAGGCGATGCCCATGAGGTTGACGCCGGCGGCGAGGAAGGTGGTGGCGACGAAACCGATGCTTCCCATCACCCACATCATGGGCTTCATCATCTTCCGCTGCGCATCGGCCATGTATTTTTGGCCAAGCTATAACAAGTCAAAGAGAGGTCGCGTCAGTTATCAAAGAACAGTTCTGATATGAAGAGGAAGGGCCCGTTACCTGTAGCGAAAGAACCATGACGCCCGCCGCGAGCGCGGGCAGGATGAACAGGGGGTCGCGGGCGGTCAGGTCGGTGAACCACAGGAAGCCGGCCGACTCCATGCCGGGCACGGGCAGGTTGCCCATCTGGCGGACGAGCTTGAAGAGGCCGATGGTGAAGGGGAACTGTATGAGGAGCCCGAGCATGGTCATGTGGTTGACGCCGTACTCCTTCTTGAGCAGGTCGCCGATGAGCTTGGCCTGCTGGCGCTTCTCCATGCCGTCGACGCCCGCGGCAAGCGCTTCTTTGGTCAGGCGGCTCATCTCGCCCGCGCGCGGGTCCGCCTGCATGTACGCCATGCGGCCGCCGTTGCGCATCTGCAGGATGTGCGGCACCAACATCGCGGCGCGCAGCACAAAGGCCGACGCCACGATGCTTGCGCCCCAGCCCCAGCCCGTCTCCAGGTGGATGTTCTCGAGCACCCACTGCATCACGGACGTCGGGCCCCAGCCGTTGTCCAGGCCCAGCGCATTGAGGTAGCCCGGCTCGTCCGGCGACAGGTCGAGGATGTCCGTAGCACTCAGGCCGCCGTCGGCGGCAGCGCCGCCAAAGTCGCTCAGGTCGCTCCCGGCGAGCGGCGGCGGCGCGGCGGCGGATATGTTGTCGGTCGCGGCGTCCGTGGCGCTCGAGGCTGCGGCCTGCTGCTCCTGCGCGGCGGCCGCTGCCTGACGAGCCTCCTCGGCGGCCTGCTCGCTGGCCTTGCTGCTGCCCCAGCCCCAGAGGGAGAGGTTGCGGCTGGCGGCGACGCTGCCGAGGGCCATTGGGGCCACGCCGGCGGCACCGGCGGGGAACAGCCTGGCGCGCATGCCATGGCCGGTTATGATGGCGGCATTTCGACTGCTCGGGATCGATCGTGTCGCAAATGTGCGGCCCTGGAAAATAGGTCCTCGTGTTAGGGGATGCAGGCGTTGAAGATGGAAGGACGCGCCTCCATGGAAAGGGAGGGCAGATAATCATACAATTATTCGGCTGGATGATAGGCCACTGGAAATTCCGGAAGGAATGGACCGGGCAATTCCTCTACTGGGAATCATGGTGCCTGTGTGGTGTGATTGAGGTGTGACGTTCGTGGACAGACAGGGTCGTTGTAAACGGCAGGTTACTTTTTTTACAGCGACAACCGGCCGGATAAATCTCGGAACCACCTGTCGAGGGGTTGCATCGTCAACAGCAATAGAAACCAAAATTTAAAAAAGTCATCCAGTTAAAGGGTGCAATGGAAAATGCCAGTTCTTGTGGTAAGATTTCAGGTTTTATTTATATTTTTCAATGTATTGTGTGCGTGTTCAGAGGCACTTATAGACCTCACTCGCAAGGTGGAATCCCGTCTGGTAGCTGCCAATTCCGACGCTGCTTCAACCAGCGCTTCTTTTATAAAACAAACGGCAAATAAAATCGCAAAAAATCTATCCTGTATGGTATCCTGTAAATCACTCCAAGCTCGAAACATCAGACAGCGAGACACCGGGCACCCCTCGCTTCTCGCGGGCCTCGACGCCCGGTCCGATCGGGTGTGCTCTTCTCCGCGTGAGGGGAAAGACCTGTAGACTAGTATTAGCACCCTTCTAGCCATCGCGTCGTCTGCAACAGCGTCCGCTGAGCAGGTTGATCACGGCTCTCACCTTGGTGCCTCCCCATCCTAGGCGAAACGCCGCCTCGTGGGCGAACAACTCGCCGAAGCCGAGCATCATGCCGTTGATGAAGGGCAGCAGGATGTTGATGGCGGTGCCGCGCAGCAGCGACCATATCGTCGGGGGCTTGTAGAGGATAACGGGCGAGCTTGAGGTCGAGCCGGGTGAGGTGGACAGCTCGTCGCCGGGCGAGTACTGCTCGCTGTCGGACCGCATTGTCACGCCGGACTCGGCGAGGGGGTTGGGTTGGTCGTCGAGCGACATTGGTGGCGGCTATCGGCGGAAGAAGGGAGGCTGTGTTGTGTGGTGTTTTCCTATCGCGGCTTCGCTTGCAGCCCTGACACCCTACGAAGGATTGTTGAGCGCGGTCGAGGGCGGTCGATGGGAGATGGTCGGTCGGCCGTTGAGGCGTCTGGGGAAGCTCGGTGAGGTGGTTATGTAATAGTGGGCCGCGTGCACAAGACGTGCATAACTTCGGATGACGAGTTGTGAATGGTTGAGTTCATCACAGCCGTGTTTAACAGAAAGTAAAGGCCCTCAAGTTGAAGAATTGCACTGAAGTAAACCAAAGATCGTGCTTTCTAAAGGAATTCTCGGATAAGTCGTTGCGTAATGGCGTGTTGATGTGTGTACCCCAACGACCGCTCAACAGCTTCACTGACCAAGTTCGGCTTTGGTAGGAGAGCCTGATTTCCGAATTGAGGAGATCCAGAATTCCGTGCACCAAGCGATTTTTTGAATACTGTGTTGATACTATCCACTGCTTGTCGGTATGCAGATTTGGGCGCCGAGCAGCGCCGCATTGCCATTCTCTCACATCCGAATGGCCAGTTCTAGTCCACTCAACACGATGAAAGATCAAGTCGTGTTGAGAAGCAGCTCAATAGGGCACGTGGCATGTAACCGTTGAGATATATATATATATATTTTTTAAATCTGAGAGATGTATGCTTGGGAAGTTGATACTTGGAAATCTACATATCGAACCTCCGCTGGTTCTCATGCCGACCCTTCACAAGCTGCAACCCAGCATCAGCACAGTTCCAGGTCTATTTGTCCCTTCTTTATATCCGAGATACTATCCAAAGTAACTCAACATGCCCGATTCATTGAGCTTGCAGAACAAAGTTGCAATTGTGACTGGCTCCGGCCGTGAGAATGGCATCGGCGCCGGAATCGCTCTCGCTCTCGCTCGCAATGGCGCATCCGTTGTCGTTCATTATGTTTCAGACTCGGTAGAACATCGTGCAAGTCAAGTGTGTGAGACGCTACGTGAAGCCGGAGGTCAAGCTATTGCCGTGCAGGCGGCTCTCGATACGATCGAAGGTGCCCATCACCTCGTCAGCAAGACCCTCGAAGGCTTGGATACCAATCACATTGATATCTTAGGTAAGTAAGCATCATAAAAAACTCCCAGTTAATTTCATTTGCTAACTGCATTGTGTAAGTCAACAACGCCGGCATTGCTTACTTTTCCGCCATCACGGAGGACCTGGAGGTGAAACAGTTGGCTGATGTATTTCACGTCAATGTGCTTGGTCCGTTTTACATGGTACATGCGGTTCTTCCACATATGCCTCGCGGCGGCCGCATCATCAATATTAGCTCAACAAATTCCAAGAGAGGAAACGTCAATGTCTCTACATATGCGGCGTCCAAGGCAGCTCTGGACAGCCTGACCTGGACCTGGGCTGGTGAGGTATGCAGTTCTATTTTCTTACCGTTTGTTGATGGAAACACAGATCACAGATATGATTTGCACATTCAATCGTGATTTTCCTACTGACAATGCAGCAGCTTGGCCGGACCAGAGGCATCACCGTCAACTCCATCGCGCCCGGCCCCGTGCTGACCGACCTCTACCCTAAAGGCCACGAGCAAGCGCTTATGGAGACCGAGATTGCGCTGACAAGAGCCGAAGACCGAGCCGGGACGCCGGCTGATATCGGCGACGCTGTTTTACTGCTGGTGAATGAAAGGGCGAGATGGATTACCGGCCAGTATATTTCTGTCAGTGGCGGAGTGACCTATTGAAGAGAGAAGGGCGGCGCAGCTGAACGCCTTGCTGGGGTTACGCTGTTGATAGATCTCAGCCGCACCGTGGCGGTCGCGAAATAATTCAATGTTGAAGCATAATGGACCTATGAAAGCCTTGCCATCAGCCTTTCGGCTTCCTGGCGCTATCGACGCCATAGAGGACCCCTCGTGTCATGCCGCCATGCAGGTCGAGAGCTTGCGCAAGTGGTCGGCTATAGGAGAGCTGATAAGGTTGGCAAAGCTCCCGCATTTCGGGTTGAAGCTCATTTCCAGTAATCTTCTTTCACGGTAAACAAGCTGCGACTTTTGCAAGTAATGGCGTCGCCAGGTTCCGAGACGGAGCCGCTGGAAATCTTTGACGCGAGACAAGCGTTACGCATAGGTGCATACAAGCAAGCTCATGCGGCCCTCAATCGTCTGCCTCGGGCTGCAGCTACTACGGAAGATGCGATACTCCTTCGGTTAGAAGTATTCAATGCACAGGGCGATTACTTGAACCTAAAAAAATATGTCGAGCACCTACTGGAAGAACAGACTCGGCTCTTGCCTGCGATGCTCGATTTGGTGAGGCTCGTGAAGGCACGATGTAGGATGATGACGGACATGGCCATGTCCGATTACCTCGAAGCCGGAATCGCAACTTGGGCGCGATCTCTGAAGGAAGTCGAACTGACGTCTTGCGGCAAAACTACAGTACAGTACAGTTGTGCGCCGCTTCAATGCCGTACTCGCCGCTAATTCCCGGCAGCTATTTCTCGAAGCCGAGTTCCATCGCGGGATGCACGCATGTATACACTTCATCTACAACTCGAAAGACGCCTCGTGCCGGCCTCGAGATACCAACCTTGGCATTGAGGCCTCTCTCGACGACTACCCCCTCCCGTTGATGCGCAAGGATGCGGCCGAGCGACTGATCATTGTCGTCCGCCGGCTCCTGCAACAGGCGAACCCGCATGCCGCCCTGAGCATCTACACCGTGCTCATTGGGTGGTACACCCTCGACGAGGTGAACTCGGGAGAGCTGCTGGCCGAGATCCTCGACCACGGCAGCGTCCCCGACAGCCTGCTCGCCGCACGCGTGTACATTGAGAACGCCAAAGCCGTCGCCCGTCGCGAAACCTTCGAGGTGGCGCGGATCCTCATCTCCGAGGCGAAGAGCGCCGTCGCGCACCTCGGCGAGCGCAGCGCCCGCGCCGACGAGCTGCGGCTCCTCGACGCCCAGATGGCCTTCATCGCGCTCGGCGGCCTGGACGCGCTGTCCGGCCCGCTGGCCTCGGCCGTCATCGAGGGCGAGTACGCGGCCATGGTGCGTGACTTCACGCTCACCGCGCACTACAACCTCGCCGCCCGGGCCGTGACCGAGTACATGGCCTGCACCGACTACATCCGGCGGCCGACGCGCGTCGACGAGATCTTGGCGCTGTCGGACGCGCTGGGCGCGGCGAGCGGCAACGCGGCGTACATGTGGACGACGCGCCTGATCGCGCTCGGCAGCGCGCCGCTGCAGGGCCAGGTCGCGCTCGGCCGCCAGGGCGTCTGGTGCCAGGCGTACCTCGAGCGGTACGCGGAGGCGGGCGCGTGGGAGGTGGCTCGAAGGTACGCGCTGTACTACAGCATGTACTATCACAAGGTCGGCGACTGGACGCGGCAGCTGCAGTGGTCCGTGGCCGCGCAGGAGCTGGATGCCAAGATCACCAACGACCCGCGGACGAGGCTGTCTGGCATGTACCAGATCTTCACCGTCATGATCCAGCGGCTGCAGAACCTGCCGGCTCCGGACGATGACGAGGAGGAGGAGGAGGAGGATGACGAGCTCGAGATGGTGCAGCAGTATGGCATAGACGGCTTCGAGGCCTGCGAGGAGGCTGGCTTCAAAGAACTGGCTCACAGCTTCCTGGACAAGCTGTCCCACGTCGGCATCGTCCCGGAGGCGCTCCTCGTCACGTCGTCGCAGGAGAGCGCGGCGCTGGCCGTGGCGCCGCTGGGCGAGCCCAAGAACATGGATGCCGACGAGCTGCTCGCGCTGTACATGAAGCAGCGCGACCTGCTTGACCGACTGCTCGGGTACGACTGCGTTGATCAGGCGTTTGAGCTGCACGACCAGCTAACCGCCCACCTGGAGCCCATCTTCGAGGTGCTCCGGCACGGCACCGACCTGAAGCTGCGCGCGGGGGACTACGCGGCCGTGCAGAATGCCATGGACGTGCGGCTCTCCAAGGGCGTGCTGCGCGCCGACGCGGCGCGAGGTACCAACCACGACTATCGCGAGCGCGCCCTGGCCATCGTGCAGGCGGCGGCGGCCCGGAGCGGCGAGACGGGCCAGCTGGAGACACGGCGCGAGGCTCTGCTGGTGGCCGCGCAGTGGGCGTTCCGGATGAAGGAACCGGGATGGGGCCGGGTGGTGGTGGACCTGCTGCGACAAGCGGACGATTGCATGGATGCGTCCCGGCGACACGTCACGGCGGCGTCGAGGCTGGATGCGCTGGACCAGAAGCAGCACCTGGTGGCGAGCTACGGCCGCAGCGACGTCTACGTGTTCGGGTACATGGTGATGACGGCGCTCAAGGACACGGGCAGTGAGTCTCTGGCGTTGATGAGCCCGGAGGACAGCGTCTCGGCGGAGGACGTCTGGACGTGGATGCAGCGTGGCAAGGGCCGGAGCATCATGGACATGCTCGAGGCTGCGGAGGAGCCGGCGCCCCCGGCTGCCGATACCAGTAGCCCGGATGACAAGGCACCGCCGTCGGACAAGGCGCCGCTCGCTGCCGAGTTCGACATTGGCATTTCCCTGCACGACGTGCAGTCCATGGCCAGCGACTACGCCATGAGCAAGACACCAGACACCGGCTCCTCCATGATCATGGCCGACTGGTTCCTGACCAGCTCCCACATCGACATGGTCGTCGTCGACGCCGCCGGCCAGGTACACGTCGAGACGCTCGACTTCACCCTCGAAAACGCCATGAAGAGCCTGCTGCGCCAGCCGTTCCGGCTACGCGGCGCCGCCGACGTCAAGTCTTGGCGGGAGGCGTACCTAGGCCGGCCCGAGTTCCTCGGCGAGCTGCTGACCGCGGAGGCGCTCGCCGAGCTCGACTGGCTGGTCGAGCCGCTGGCGCATCACAGCAAGCCCGGTGACCTCCTGGTGCTCTGCCCGTCCGGCGCGCTGCACGGCTTGCCGCTGCACGCGCTGCCCGTAGACGGCCGGCCGCTGGTGGAGCGCAACCCGATCATATACACGACGTCGCTATCGCTGCTGTTCCGCTGCTACCAGAGCGCGAGCCGGCGCGAGGCGACGGCGCCACCCACGGCCGCAGTCTTTGGCGTCTACGGCAAGGCGGGCCGGGAGAATGACGCAGGTTCCGGCGGCAAGTCTGACGAGGAGCGGCGAGTGGAGGAGACGCTCGAGTCCGTCTCAGGGCTGCTGCGCACCGAAGTGGACTACGACGTCTCGCCGGACGCCTTCGTGGACCGGTGCCGGGACCGACACCTCATCCACTACCACGGGCACGCCGTCCTCGGCAAGGCGAGAAGCAAGCACGACGCGCGCTTCGGACAGTCGCTCCTCCTCGCCGGGCACCGCCGCCGCTCATCGTCACCTTCACCTCCCGAGTCAGACGCGCTGCTGCAGTGGGACGACTCCATCGACGACGCCCTGCTCCTCTCCGGCTCCGACACACCCGGGGGGCCGCCCCGCGCCGCCCGGCTCAGCGCCCGCGACATGATGACGCGCCTGACGCTTCCCGCCGCCCACGTCACGCTCATCGCGTGCAGCTCGGCCTCGCAGGACTTCTCCGCGGGCGACGAGCCGCAGGGCCTGATCCCCGTGCTGATGCTGTGCGGCGCCACGTCGGTCCTCGGCACGCTGTGGCCGATCCTCAGCGCCGACGGGCGCGCTTTCTCCGAGTGCTTCTACGCGGCGGCGTTCGGCAGCGAGAAGATGCGGCCCGGCGAGGTGGTCAACCTGGCGCGCGCGGTGCAGCGGAGCGTGCTGGCGATGAGGGCGAGGCGGCCGGAGCCGATTCATTGGGCGGGTTTCGTGCTGCACGGGGCGTGGTTTCATAAGTGCTGAAGAATGTTTTCGTCTCATGGATACTGAGGAGTATTTTTGTTGTAAACTTGAAGTCTCTATTTTCCTTTCTAGTTAGCCAGCTTCTATCGGATCATTTACATTGTTCAAAATCCTTCAGTCCCCTGTGATGATGGTTCTAGGTAAACCCGGTGAACCCTGCCAGGTCGACGCCTCGGAGGTCCGGGTTCCCGTCCAGCGCCGCGTCAGCCTCGCCGATCGGCAGCGTCGGGTCCACGATCCTCGCCCCCGAGCTGCCCTTGAGTGGGCGCAGTAGATACTTGCGCGGATCCGCGCTGAAGCCGACCTTTGTCTTGATGGCGACGTCGATGGTGAACTTGCCGTCGTGGCGCACCAGCAGCGCGAGCCGGAAGTGCTCCCAGATGCCGTCCTGCTCGAGCTCGTTCTCCTCGAGCGTCCACTGCACCTGGCTGAGCACCGGGCGGCCCGAGGCGACGCCGCGGACGCGCCGCTGGGCGTGCCGCGTGTACGAGACGGAGCGCTGCGCGGCCGACTGCACGGCCAGCGCCCCGATGCTGCCGGAGCTCAGACCGGCGCCAAGACGCCGCTCGACGGCCTTGGCGGAGGGCACGTCGCTCCACCGCTCCGGCCAATACTTGAGCACGCTGAGGGAGGAGGAGGAGGAGGAGGAGGCGGCGGCATCGAGGGTGGTGGTGAGGGGTCGCAGGCGCGCGAGGATGCTGGCCGACTTGAAACGGTGCCGGTTGCCGGGCGGACCGCCCAGCTCGAACCGGAGGACGAGCAGAGCCGCCGACGCCGTCGCGTAGTGGCCGAAGCGGGAGAGAGACAGCGAGCACGTCACGAAGCCTGCGGGGAAGAACAACAGCAAACTTAGTGTCAGCCGAGCGGAGACTAGCAACAGGCTTGTCCGGTCTCACTGACTTTGTCCAATCTCCTCGCTGGAGATCACCGCGGCATCGTATTGGAAGTCCTCGTCGCCCAAGAACTCGTCGTCATCTTGGAGGGAGATCTTTACAGCCTCACCGGCCGTCAACGTCATGGCATCCATGCTTGCTGGGCGCTGCCTTCGGCGAAGCGTAAAGTTGCGTCCGACATGATGAAGGGGTAAGCTTGGCGGCCACTTGAGGCTGAAGATGCGACACTAAAAGCAGGCCCCCTTTCCTACCCCGCAGAGGGATGCTGTAGATGCCAATATTACAGATGTCACTTTGAAACATCGCGTCTACTATAATTCTAGAAACAAAGATTTAATTATAAGATAAAAGTGATAAAGATAGAGAAGTGATTGTTATCCTAAAGCCTATCTATATTCTTGGCTTGGATATGGAACAATCTTGACCCGCCAGCACGGCAGGACCCCTGCCGTATAGTTACTATAGTTTACGGGTCTTTGTACGAACTATTCCAATCACGACAGGGTTTTGGGTTATTTCAGCATTGTCAAAAGCAGAAAATTGCTCGTGAATTCAGGCAGCCTCTAGCTACTGTATGTATGTAAAGTGTAAGATCAAGAAGGGGGTACAGGAGAAACAAAGCATTAGCCAGATGCGACATTCTTCATTCTCGTAACAGACAAAGAGCAGGATAGCTACAATGCGGGCACCCGAAGGCGAATATAAACAACATGAGTACTAGGTAGCCCATGACTCAACTCCATCTACCACCATTGGTTGGAGCGCCCAGAAGTGGTGGTCAGGGTGAGGCCGTAGGTCTGCAGGATCGGGTTGACCGGGTAGTAGTAGGTCACGCATCCCTGGTACGGGTTGCCGCCACCGCCGGAGAGGACACCCTGGGCCTGGCCGGCGTTCCAGACCGAGCCGCCGGAGTCGCCGTGGTCGGAGCAGGCATCGGTCGCGGTGAGGCCCGAGATGAAAGAGGGGGGGCCTCCGTTGGGGTCCGAGTACTGGGTGGAGATGCCCTTTTGCCGGATGGTGCCGCAAGTGACGGAGGATCGGAAGCCGGAGCGGCAGACGGCGGCGCCGACCTCCAGCTCACGGCTGCCGGTGATGGGGTAGTTTTGGCCGTACTGGTAGCCGCTGACCGTGGGCTCTACGGTGAGGCCGTCGGTGCGGATGAAGGCCATATCCGCGTGGCCGGGGTACACCGAGGCCGCGAAGGTGCCGATGCGCTGGCCCTGGGCCGTGGTGGCGACGGAGCCGGTCTGGCCGCAGTGACCGGCGGAGACGAAGCCGCCCTGGACGGCGAAGCCAACGGAGCACTGGAACCGGCCGTCGATGCCGTACTTGTCACCGCCCTGGTAGAAGGGAGAGGCCAGCGACTCGACCTTGCGCACCTCGTACTCGCCCTCGGCGAGGCCGGCTTCTTCGGCCATCTTCTTGGCGGCCGCCTCATCGTCCTTGATGACCTCTATGACGATCTTGTTGGAGGCCACGTCCACAAAGTACGAGGCAATATTGGCCTTGCCCTCGGTTGCGGACTGACGGGCCTTGATCTCGTTGGGGTCTGCAGGGGCGGTTGCGTTTCCCTCGCCGATCAGCATCTTGTCCATGCCATCCTTGATCTTCTCGAGCTTGGACAGGCTGTTGCGCATCATGATGGGCGTGGCGCCAGCAGCAGTAACGTGCGCAGCGGCAGCCTCGTCCGTGACGCCGACGCGGACCTCGTCGCCGTGGATCCAGCCGCCGGCGAAGGCGTCGCCGGTTGAGCGGCGGACGTTCTCGATGACGTCGGTGGACTGCAGGTTGCGCGCAACCATGTCAGCGGCCTCCTTGTGGCTGCTGAGGCCAAGATCACGCTTCATGGCGGCAAGGATGTCGGGGTGCATGTCGTTGGCCATCTTCTGGGGGGCACCGTAGACGGCGGGCAGGACGGTGGCGAGGAGAGTGAGGAGTTTGGTGAGTTCCATGTTGAAAAGAAAAGGAGTGAAAGCTGCTCTGCGGCTATATATAGATGAATCGAAGAAGAAGATAAAAAGAGGGTAAAGAAGGAAGTGATTGAAGCGAATGAAGCGAATGAAGCGAAGCGAACTGGGCTGCTGATTCTCTTGTCAATGACCGGGCGAATGATGGCATTATTATAGACATCTCGGCTCTCGCCATGTCGCATAGACTTCGGTCGTCATCGCGCTTGGCTATACAATGTAGAGGCTGTGCGATAGCAGACCACTTCATGCCAAAGTGAAGGGCTCGTATGTCCGCAACTTGAACATGCCCCTGTACGGATGGATGCCCTCCTTGACAACCACATCGGATTAGAGCAACACCACTCTCGCAGGGCTATTATCCATTTCAATCCTCCTTAATTTCTTTATAAACAACCCGCGTGATTTCTTCACTCTCAATGGGCAATTTGTTTTTAGTACCAATATCTACACCGGACGTCATATCACAAAGTCTCCGCAGTGGACGACGACAGCTTGTATGCTTAAAACCGGCGTTGATCCCTCGACGATGGCACATGCCTAATTGGGAAGGATAGGTTATGATCAGCCCCATCAATGCTCTCCAAGGATGAATTCTCGGCCCGCATGACAAAGTGTGACAGGTCAAGCTCCTTTTGAGTGTTTCATCGTCTAGCGAGTCAGTTTCTGCCTATTACCATGAGACAGACTGTATGGCCAGGCTCCGTGACTGGCCATACGGTCACTTTTGCCTTGGTCATTCTACTGGCTGATCCAATAGGGAAGGTACGCCGGTACTTGAAACTGCCAAGATATAAGCGGCTAACTCGGCGCATAGCAAAGACTCGCACCGCAGGAATACCTCTGCAAATTCGGATTTTGGGATTTGCGCATAGTGTCTAATTCTTTGGTTATTTCGGCATGGGAATATATTGATATTTGATGTAACCTCGTCCACTTCTTGTTGAGGACGTATTGTTGGTTATCATATCTGCTTCAGCTCCAGCCTCGTAGCATTTCCACATTGATGCAACCGGATAATGTTACCCGAGCGGCGAAGTTGTCGGTAACCTTTTCGTCCTATAATGCCTCCCTTTGACCTATAATTGACAAATGCGCGCTATGCATTCTCGAAGGAGCTTTTGGACGCGCTTTCGCCACAACCCTTGCTCGCGTGACCAGGGCCCTGAGTAGCTAACACGATATGTCACAATTTTATGTACACCGGCGCTACAATTCTCCCAAGTGGGCTAAATACCTTTATGCTGGCAACGATGCTTCGCCATACCCTCCGCGGTTGAGCTGGGGTGGCTGCTATTCTCGTGTCTGCATAGTATTATGATCGATGAAGACATGGTACATCGCATCGTGACGATCCACAGCCACAACTCAGGCAGACGCTCGCGGACCAGTCAGGCTATCATAGGGGTCTTGTATGCATTAATATGCGACGACGCGAGGTGATATCAAAAGCCCACAAGGAAAGCCAAGCTCCGGCGTGCTTCGGTTCTTGGCTTGGCTCTATGCTTGAAGCCACTCTCGACGGCACGTGCCTCTTGATATGACCAATCTTGCTTCTCCAAAACCAGCTTCAGGCGTACACTTACTTGACCCTCAAAAAGTCTAGTCAATTTTGTGCAGACCCTAAATCCGGTGGGCAGCATAGTCGCAACATGCATTGCATCGACCGTGCATCACCCATGCCATCACTGTTCACAGCCTTGGAATCTGACAGCGGCAAAGCGATTTAAAAGTGTGTTTTCCCTTGGAACGAATCATTTTAACCAAACTAGGCGTATCTGACGTGCGTGAAACATTCTAAAAGTGCTTACACTAGTCATCAGGTATGACGTGTTGCCACCGCCAAGGCCATGAAGCAGCAAGCGATGTACAAGTCTTGACGTAGCTCCGAACGGGCTGCGGTAAAGGCAAGACACCCAAAGACACGCGGCAAGTATGAAATTCTCTTCTCATAGAACTAGTGTCTACGAATGTCTCAGACGTGGTTGGTCTTCCGGTGGAAGTGACACAACTCATGACCGACATGCATTCCAGTCCTGAACCACCCACCAGCCACCAACACCAGCTCTTTGGCATGGAGCGGCTGGACTGGAAAGGAAAAGAAGAACAGAGACCAAAAGGGCCGTCTCCCCCTACCCCATGATTTCGCTTGGAAAAATGTTCCGACGTTGAGCTGTATGCTGGCAGCATCCCAACTCGGCTATCCGCATTGATGGTCTCTGAAACGGCACGCATCAGCGCCCCCAACCAACACCACAGGAGCGATGGGCCGATCATCTTCCACAGCATCGTCTCCCACCGTCTGTGGCACCAAATTGAATGCGTATCCCCCAGTGCGGGTGGCAACGCATCACTATGCCTCGAGCGAGACCACGCTGGCCGACAGTCTTCCGTCGAGCCCGCAATACCAACCTCCGCCGTACGCAGACGAGGCGCAGTCCTGGCCGCCGGAATACCACGACGAATTCCTTGAGCGCGAGAAGAGGCACTGGGAGCCGCTACCCAAAAAGACGCTCGTGGTGCGGCTCTGCACGTCGGTGTTCATCGCCTTCATCGTTTGCCTCATCGTCGCTGCTGTGGTAGGTCGAATACATGACACGCAGATGAAGAAAGGGCAAGACGCCCAGGACGCTGCCTCCCACAGGTGAGCCTCGAATATATCTGCACGTATAGGTTATTCTCTCCCCTTTGCTAACCCGACACCTGTCTGCCAGTGCTAATGGTACCCGGTACACCATGATGGCTGACGGGATGAGTCCACGGAGCACATCTACGCCCTCGACCCCAACCTTGACCGCGACGGCAGCGACGACAAGGTCGGTGACGGCAAAGGACACAACAACGGCCTACAGCAGCATCGCGAGGCCGACCGGTACGAGTGCTGCTACATACAGCTGCCCATACATTGGGGACTCTGCCAACAGCGCAAGGGCAAAGTCCAGCAGTAGAGCTGTCAACGAGATCACGTGTGGCTTGACGGTGCCATTCGACGACGCATCCAGTCAAACAAGCAATGGAAGCATCGTCGACATATCACTCTATTCCTTCAAGGATTGCATCATTGCGAGAACTGTTTATAACGCGTCGGACAGCACGTTGGACTATCGCTGTTCGCTGTCGTGCACAGCGGACGGCGGGCCAGGCATTGACGGGCTGGAAGATGGATGGAAATGGCGCTGTGGTTGAGCCCGACTGATTCTTCGTGTGTGATTGGCATAGAAAAAAGCACCATAATGACCTGTGAATGTTCGTGACTCATCCCGTAACTTTCCTAATTATCGTGATTAAGAGAAATTGATGAAGAGGAGAGCGTTTGGAAGCCTGATAGCCTGTGGAGTCAGTCCACAGGGAGCTTTGCCCCGCTGTGATCCGAACGCGGCGCGGCTGCTCGCGGGCGCTATGAAAAAAAGTCATCGCAGAGGCAATTTGATTTCCATTGCAATCAGAGTCATTGACAGGATAACAACGCTTGCATCGACCAAGTACTCTTTCTTCCTCACGTGAACGGTTACCAAGCACACGATTGCTCCCCCCTACTCTGTGTAAAGCCTACCAACCAACGGACAGCACGACGTCTTTCTCACCCTCCTCCCACAGCAAACGGAAAGCACGCAACAAACGCAAAGCAAACGACGCTCCTATCATCAACATGACGGCAGCCGGTATCACCACCGTCACGCTCCAGTCGCTGCCCCTCGTGGCTAGGTAAGTTGTCGGAGGACGGAATTCTTATCAGCAATGCCCCTACTGACCGGCTCGTACAGCGGAAAGGTTCGCGAGCTGTACAGGATCGATGATTCCTCGCTGCTCATGGTCGTGACCGACCGTATCTCGGCCTATGACGAGATCCTTTCCAATGGCGTCCCTGATAAGGGCCACATCCTTTGCCAAATGTCCTGTAAGCTTCGCCACGCAACATGGAGCTGAGAGCTTGGCTGAGATGCAAACAGCGCATTGGTTCGACGTGCTCCGCGAGCGAGTTCCCGAGCTCAAGCACCACGTAATCAGCATGAGCCCGCCCGCCGCCCCCGGAGTCATCACTGCCGAGGAGCACGCGCTCCTGCGCGGGCGCTGCATGCAAATCCGCTCCCTCAAGGTCTTTCCGATTGAAGCGATCGTCCGGGGTTACATTACGGGGTCGGCCTGGAGTGAGTAAGTGATGGGACTATCGTTTCCAGCGTAGCAAGAGACGCAACTTGGCGTTGCAGACATGTCCGTCCTGACGCCCTCTCGCAACCAGATACTCCAAGAGCGGAACGGTGCACGGAATGCCAGTTCCGCAGGGACTCCAGCTCTGCCAGGAGTTCCCCGGCGGTCCGATGTACACGGTAAGTCTGAGCAGACAAGACGACAAGCTTATCAGACCAAAAAAAAGTCATTGACAATTGTTCGCGTGCAGCCTTCAACCAAAGCCCCGGCAGGCGAAAAAGATGAAAATATTTCGCCAGATCAGGCTCGCAAAATCGTCGGCGACAAGTACGCCAGCCAGATCGAGGCTCTCGCGCTGAAGGTCTACAAGGCTGCCCACGCCTACGCGCTAGAACGCGGCGTGGTTATTGCTGACACTAAAATGGAATTTGGTAGGTTGAAGGAACGGAAAGAGCAGCCGCTCGAATCCTCCCAACTCCCGCACCCTGCATGATGATCCAAGGAAGCCAAGGAGGCTCGTTCCTCGGAGTCGTTGCTTAGATGGCTTAGCCTTCTCCACCCCCGCCACGCATGTCTGCTAACGCTCACGGGTGCGCCTCGATTTAGGTCTCGATGAGAAAACAGATGAAATCATCCTTGTAGACGAGGTCTTGACGCCTGACTGCTCTCGTTTCTGGCCCGCCCCGGTGCAGCTGGGCAAGGACCAGCCAAGCTACGACAAGCAGTACATCCGCGACTACCTGACAGCCAACGGCCTCAAGGGCAAACCCGGCGTACGTACACTACACAACACCTTCACTGTCACAAGAGGTTTTGAGAGTGGTTTCATTAACGATGCATAAACTTTAGGTTGTGCTTCCAGACAATGTTGTCGCCGAGACGACAAGCAAGTACAGAGAAGTTTTCCAAAAGTGAGTAGTATCCGAGCCTTGCTGTATTTATTACTTGAAGGAAATTGACAGGGTCGCATTAGGCTCGCTGGACGGACGATAGACGACGCTCTCAGTGGGCTTGACAACTAAAGAATTTAGCCTTTTGGCTGTGGCAATTTGGACTGGTCGTAATAGGACAAAGATCAACCGCTTCTGCGCGCCAGGCCCCGCCGCCCGACTCTGGAGCCTCGAGTGTCAGAAGGATAAGGGGTAGGTAAATAGTTTCTGTTCTGTGACTTGGAGATAACAAGCAGCCAAAGGAAAAACACCATAGTCTGTAACAGAAGGCCCAGCTTTGATTTGATACGCAGTCTAGACCAGGGGGGCCCTGAATTATCGCAGAGCAACAAGCAACGAGGGGAACACCTGCGGAATCGCCATGCCGCCCTTCCTACTTGTCTTTCTTTTGGTGGCGGACGCCAGACGCCACCTTGACGTCTCCGCATATGTAGGTGTGGACTTGCTGCACAGATATTGATAACCCGGGAGCTTTGGCTCGCTGGATTCTCTATCTTTTTCCGGGGCTAGATAGATTGGTGTGTGGCATATCGGTCGGGGTCCGTGAGCGGCATCCACCTCTCGTTCCGTTGTTGCATCCCAAGGCTTCCAAGACTTCTTCCTTTGACCTTTTTGCTGGGCCAGTTTCAGCGTCCAGATCCATCGGCCGAGTCGTATTTAATCAGACATGCCCACGTTGACTTTGACCCCGCGATTCCCCCGTTGTATATGACTCCCCACAGCAAGATTCGATCCGCAGGTTTCCGGCTCTTGAATCTTACAGTTACCGGGCGAGTCGGCCACATAGTTTTCCAACCACCATCCGCCAACCACCACAGCTGCCACCATCACCATGAGCAGCAAAGCAGAAATCTTTTATTCAGAGAGCAGCGGCGAAGCCGAAGCCGAGCCGTACAAAATCAGTACGGCTAACAGCGGCGATGGCGACCAGCTCGCCAAGCTTGGCAAGAAGCCAGTGCTCAAGGTAAGCTCTCGCGCTCTTCCCCTACGACAACATGTGACGATCGCGGAAATGACTAACGAGTCCAATCCTCTCCCGCGCAGCGCAACTTCAACTTCATATCCATCCTCAGTCTCAGCGTCACCGTGTTGATCACGTGGGAGGCTTCCCTCGTCCTATTCTCGCAGGGCCTCGAGAACGGCGGCCCCGGCGGGCTCGTCTACACCTACATCATCATCTGGGTCGGCAACCTGAGCACCTTTTCCGCGCTGTGCGAGCTGGTCTCCATGGCGCCGACCTCCGCCGGCCAGTACCACTGGGTGCACATGCTCGCGCCCAAGTCCAGCCGCAACCTGCTCAGCTTCATCACCGGCTGGATCACCGCCGCCGGGTGGCAGGGCAGCGTCGCCTCGGCCGCCTACCTCTGCGGAAACCTCTCCCAGGGCCTCGCCGTCCTCACCGTGCCCAGCTACGTGCCGACGGGCTGGCAGAACACGCTGCTGAGCATCGGCATCGCGATCTTCTGCCTGTTAGTCGCGCTGTACCTCAACTTCTTGCTGCCCAAGATTGAGGTGTGCATCCTGGTGATGCACATCACGGCCTTCGTCGGCATCCTGGTCACGATGGTGACCATGGGCGAGCATGGCGATGCGCACAGCGTGTTTGCGACGTTTAACAATGGTGGCAACTGGCCGACGCAGGGCCTTTCCGTCCTGGTCGGCATGATTGGCAACGCTTTTGCCTTTATCGGTAAGCTGGGCATCTCGATCGATTCGATTCCAAAGCAATTACTGACTGTTGTGCACAGGAGCCGATGCGGCCTTCCATGTAAGCCCTCACGCGCGCAACCCCGACCGACTACGAATAGGATACTGACTGTCTGCAGCTGGCCGAAGAAATCCACAAGCCGTCCATCTACATCCCGCGAGCGATGGTCTCGGGCATGTTGATTAACGGTGTCCTGGGCCTGGCGATGCTGATTGCCGTCTGCTTCAGTCTCGTCAACCTGCCCGATGGCCCGCCCCAGTTCATTTTCCCCATGCTGGACGTTTTCTTCGCGGTGACAAAGTCTGTTCCAGCAGCCGCCGCAATGGGATCCGTCATCGCGACCATGGGTATTTTTGCCCTGATTGGTCTCTTTGTTTCGGCGTCGCGTGTCTTGTGGTCCTTCGCCCGTGACCATGGCGTCCCCGGCTGGCGAAGCGTCTCAAAGGTAGGTCTGCCGTCGTATAAGCATAACAAGGCACTGGTTGAGGGAGGACAATCACTAACAATTTTTCAGGTCAGCACAAGAACCCAGGTTCCGATCTGGGCAGTCACCATTACTGCCATTATCACCAGCCTCCTCACACTCATCAATATCGGCTCCGAGGTGGCCCTAAACGACGTGTTGTCCTTATCGATTTCATGTCTATACGCGTCATACCTTATCACACTCGTTTTCTTTCTATACCGTCGCCTCACGGGTGCCATCGTCGAGCCATACAGTGACGAGCAAGTCGACCCGGATGCCCTGGTATGGGGTCCTTGGCGCATCGGTGGCCTGCTGGGCACGGTGAACAACATTTTTGCTTGTTGCTACTTGGCATTCGTCCTGTTCTTTAGTTTCTGGCCCCCTGCAACGCCGGTTAAAGCTGACACCATGAATTACTCCTTCATGGGCACCCTGGCCGTGATCGGCTTCAGCACCATCTATTACTTTGCGACGGCGAGGAAGCAGTTTAGCGGACCCATTGTCGAAGTACATACTGCCTCTGGTTAGGTATAAACTTGGGCAAATGACGAATTATAGGTATTAAAGCATAGCATATTCTCTTTTTAAATAGTATTCGGTAGTATCATACTGTTCTGGACTTTTGGCCGGGCAGTGACAACTCTGTCTGCATTATGTTATCGTGTAATGCTGCCGCGATATTGAGATAGCGCCCCACTGCCCCACAAAGCCACGACAGGCTCAGAAATTCTCTGCTCTACAGACAAAGCGTAATCTCCATGCTTTGAATTCCCCTACATCGATAAATTCGAGTCAATGCTACCATGGCGACAAACGGCGAGTCTTCTGCTGCGACCCCGTCCGCGGGCGGCAGTAACAACTCTGGCCAGGACCGTAAGAAGCGCTTCGGGGGTTCTCGATTCAGCAGCAACAACCAGCGCAACAAGGGCCGCGGCGGGAAGTCGTCGAAGTAAGTTACCTACCCTACCCATGGGACGCTTTGTGCGTCGCTCCCACGTTGTCTTCTGTTCAGGTTCACGGCCGCCAACCAAGGAGACTAACAGGTCGTAGTGGCAAACGAGGCGAGAAGCCTGAGGGCACCAGCGACTGGCGAGAGTACAAGCGACGCAAGGTAGACTCCGCGGGCGAGGTCATCGAGGCAAAGAACCCCTTCTCCAAGGACGAGATCGCGGCCGAGGAGCGGCGGCCGAAGCGCAAGGTGGCCGTCATGATCGGCTACAGCGGCACGGGGTACAAGGGCATGCAGGTCAACGGCGACGAGCCCACGATCGAGAGGGACCTCTTCCAGGCGTTCATCAAGGCCGGCGCCATCTCCAAGGCCAACGCCGACGACCCGCGCAAGTCGAGTCTGGCCCGGTGCGCGCGCACGGACAAGGGCGTCCACGCCGCCGGCAACGTCATCAGCCTGAAGCTCATCATCGAGGACGAGGACATCGTGGACAAGATCAACGAGGCGCTGCCGGCGCAGATCCGCATCTGGGGCATCCAGCGCACCAACAACAGCTTCAACTGCTACCAGTACTGCGACTCGCGATTCTACGAGTACCTGCTGCCCAGCTACTGCCTGCTGCCGCCGCACCCGCAGACCTTCCTGGGCCAGAAGCTCGTCGAGCTGAACAAGGAGTACGGCTACGAGGACGAGTGCAACGCCAGCATGGCCGACGTCAAGGACTTTTGGGCAGAGGTGGAGGAGAACGACATCAAGCCGATCCTCGCCAAGCTGGACCCCGAGGTCCGTGCGGCCGTGTTGGAGCGCATACACTCGATGGACGACCCCGAAGCCGAGAAGGAGGAGGCGGCCAAGCAGGCCAAGAGCGACGAACCCGCCGCTCAGGAGGCCGAAGCTGCGACCACCGCGGACGGCGAGGCGAAGCCAGCCGCCGCAGAGAACCCCGTCATCCTGACGAGCGCCAAGCCCAAGGGCCGCGAGCTCGGCCCCGTCGACTTTGCGCTGCGCGACATCAAGGCGGCGTACATCAACGCCAAGCGCAACTACCGCGTGACGCCCGCGCGGCGCGAGCGGCTGCAGGCGACGCTCGACAAGTACACGGGCACGCGCAACTTCCACAACTACACGGTGCAGAAGCCGTTTTCCGACCCGTCGGCGAAGCGGACCATCAAGTCGTTCCGGGTGAACCCGACGCCCGTCATCATCAACAACACCGAATGGCTGTCGCTCAAGGTGCACGGGCAGAGCTTCATGATGCACCAGATCCGCAAGATGGTCGGGCTGGCGAGCCTGGTGGTGCGCTGCGGTACGCCGGCGGGCCGCGTCGAGGAGAGCTACCGCGACAACCGCATGGCGATCCCCAAGGCGCCCGGGCTCGGCCTGCTGCTGGAGCACCCGGTGTTTGAGAACTACAACCGCCGCGCGACGGACAACCTGGGCCGCGCGGAGATTGACTTTGGCCGGTACGAGGCGGAGATGGGCGCGTTCAAGGACCGCGAGATTTACCAGCGCATCTTTGACGTCGAGGAGAAGGAAAATACGTGAGTTCCCCTTCATGTTCCCAAATGTGACATAGCAGTGTTGCTAACTTTTTTTTTTTCTTTGTTCTAGTTTCCACGCCTTCTTCAACCAGATTGACCAGTTCAAGGCGAACCACTTCCTGTGGCTGACGGCAGGCGGTCTCAAGGTGGCCGAGATTGCGAGGGAGGAGAGCGGCAAGGCGGAGGAGAGCCTGGACAAGCAGCTGGGCGACGAGGACGAGGAGGACCCCGACGGCGGCCAGGGCTAGAAATCTTAGACTGCTTAACATTTAAAGATAGAGCGTGCTTGACGAAACGCCGTGCATGGCATTGGTTAGATGATGGATCCAGAGTGAAGATTTGGTCCCCCCCCCCCCTACCCCCGCCAATAAGAAAACCAACGGAGAAAAAACAGAAACGCCCCTATAACACCGCAACGCCCCGAGCCTGGTTGACTGCCACTCTTCACTGCTGCTGCTTCCCCGCGAGCGCCTGCAGGGCCAGCACGTCCTCCCTGCGCAGCGGCTCCCACTTGCCTCCATGCCTCGCCGCCATCTCCCCCATCCTCCGCTCCTCCATCCCCGCCAGCGCCGCCGCGACCGCCTTCACGTCCGCCTCCACGCGCGCGCCCCTCTCCGCGCGCTTCGGGTCCTGCTGCCCGAGCGCCCCAAACACCCACAGCTCCTTGATCCGCCTCGACAGCGTGAGGAGTTCCTTGACCGATGAGTACTACAAGAGTCAGTTTTGCACACGATGAGATACACGAGAGGGGGAGGGGGGGCTTACGAGTCCGTCAAACTCCATCTTCATGGCGATGCCGGCGACGGCGATGGCTTCGGGGGTGGTGTTGGGCGCGCCGGGGTGGTCCGAGGAGGAGGGCGAGGAGGAGGAGGCTTCGGCTTGCACGGTGGCGAGCATCATGAGTGTGCGGTAGTGGGTGAGGATGGCGGCGACGAGGCGGTTGTGCGTCTCTGTGCGGCGCGGGGAGCAGGGGTCAGTGGGTGGTGAGATTCATCGCGCGTTGTGTGGGATTCAGGGAGTGGAAGGGGGGGGTAGGTCGTACCCATCAAGTTGGAGGACGCGGGCTGTGAGCGGTCCATCTTGTTGTTGTCTGGATGAGCCTCGCGACGGACGGCAACGCGGTGTTCATTGAGGTTGAAGGAAAGTCGAGCCTGGAAGGCCCGGGTTTGAGTTGGCGCCTTGGTGGGTCGGCGCAGACGTGGGTTGGGTGGGCTGGGTTGGGTGTAGAGCATCAACGACAAAAAGAACATGGCGTACAGAAATTAAATAGATAAAACAAAGAAAATCATCATCGGAATCTGGCAGTTTCTGTATCTTTTGTTTCTTTGTTCCGCCTGCACTGTTCACTTTCAGTGATGGGAGCGGTGATGCCGCAAGGACCATGATACTCATAAGCAGTGTATTAAAAGAATGTCCGTCTAGTTAATAGGTTCCGATATTCAGCGGAGCGAGAACAACAACAAATTTTGATAAGAGAACGCCCCTTGCGATGCAATCCAATGTTAACCCTGGCCCAAACCAATTCCAAAACAAAACTCTGGTCAAAATTATCGCTGCTGGCGCGTGACGTTTTTACAGCTCGCCGCTCCAGTGCCTGTCCTCGCCGTCCCAACCAAACATGGGCCAGCCCTGCGGCAGATTAGAGTACTTGGGAAGATTGTACTGGCCGGAGCAGCCCTCCTCGTCACAGTCGGGCCTGTCGCACATGCCGTACTGCTTGCAGTAACAGTCGGCGGCGTTGGGGCAGTGGACGGCTTCCTTGTTGAAGATGACTGCATCAAGAGAATGGATCAGCACACATTACACCAAACTAGTTACGCAATAACACATCAGCAATAGAGAAAAACGTACCATGCCATGCATATTCAAACACCCGCCCGCTGATGGCGTCGTCCAGGTCCGTGGCCACCAGCCACTCGCGGAAGCGTAAGTAGTCCTCGCGCGGCCTCGCGCGGATCGTCTCGCGCGTGACACCAAACTGCGAGCAGCAGGGCACGCCGACCTCCTCGGGAACTTTGACGCCGGGGAAGAGGTCGGCGAAGGCTCGGCTGTAGATATGCTTGGCGTGGGGTATGTCGTTCTCCGGGGGCGCGTCGGCGTCGACGAGCGGGCGGATCTCGACGGGGCAGCCGAGTATCCAGGCGCAGCGCAGGTTGATGTAGCCCTCGGAGCGGAGGTGGGAGACGCGGAAGCGCTTGAGCAGCTGCAGAGCGTCGTAGTCCGGGTCGTCGTTGTGCCACTGAAAGCGCTGGGCGTGGTGGAAGAGGACGGTGTCGGGGAGGGAGTCGTAGCGGTCGATGATGTATCTGTTGATGAGGAGAGAGAGGATGCGTTAGTGGGGGTGGGAAGGCGGAGCTGGGCTTTCGTCGAATGGGGATATATGATGACATGTTGGGACGAATTGTGAGTTGTCTTCGCGTGAGTTGATGCAAACGTACGTTAACACTACCATGGCCTCGCGGCCCTTATTCTGGGGAACAGTCAGCGCCGCATTGGCGTCGTCGACGACGTAAATGTTCTTGGGCCAGTCGAGGAGGTAGTCGCGGAGCCAGGTGACGTTTTCCTGTTTTGTCGAAGCGACGACAATTTCGAGTTCAGCATCGCCGGCGTGCTGTGGCTGCATCCGAGACAGCTGGGTAGCCGTCGTGTCTGTCTCTGACGTCCGCCATGGTGATGACGACGCTATCCGCCGGATCGACGTGCCGTTCTCGCCATAATACACGATGAGGAGGAATGTGGCGATGGAGGCGGCGCAGAGCACGAGCCAGCGGTGTTGGCCGCGCCTCATGAGCATGGCGACGGCATGCACGGGGGCGAGGCGATATTGATGGAGGTGGGTTGGATGGTGAGAGGGGCAGGGCGAGTGAGGGTGGAGGAGATGGGGAAGCAGTTGAGATGATAAGTTCAGACGGGAAAGAGGAGAAAAGGAGGAGATTGGGATAAAGAAATGGACCAAAATCGGCAGGAAGAGGAGGTGTTGGATCTGCAAGGCAAGTCGCTCAAAGAGGATGAGGTGACGTCGGGCGTTTTTACCCGCCGTGGCTTTCGAATTCAGAAATCTACAATTGCCCAGCCAGCCAGCCAAAAAAGCCCAGGTGCAGCAGCTGAAAGCTTGTGTGACGTCGCAGGCGGCATATTTTGGCTGGATTACGCGGCCCTCTCAGGGTATTGATATTGGAGTATTTTATTTCATCTGGTTTTATCCTAGTTCCTGTTATGAGATCTCTTTCCGTTTGCTATTGGGGGCTCTTTTGTATCAGCCACCGTCACCACGAGCGACAACCACCACCTCTTTCTTTTTTTCCCCTCCTTGAAGACCGAGTCTGCCTTGAACCATGGTTCCAACATCGATTCTTGGAACCATTGCTTCCAACTATTGAGTAGGACTCCCCGATCCAGACAACCCTGCTAGTGTGCGGCTCTTTACTATCTAGTCCCTGCTAGCGGCCGCCGATTTCATGGATTTCCAAGGCCGGCACGGCTTGGTCGGGAATTGGAAAGAACTAAAATCGATGATGAAGCTTATTTTATCTTTGCTTTTTTTGGTTTGTCGCTGGCTTTCTATTTATTCCTTTTCCCAGTGCGTCGTAGCACACGACTTGTTGTTTGCATTTTGCGCCGACACAGATCGGATTCAGGGGCAAGTGATGTGCAGTCGTTATGCCGTGCTCGCGTAGCTTTTCCCCCCTCTTCCCCTCCGCGAGGGAAAATAGAAAAATCCCGAGAGCGGCTTCCCGATGTTTCCAACCCAGTTGCCCACACAAATCTAGTAGAAAAAGGGGCTGTATCTGCGACAGCCAAGGAGGCTCTACCAGTAGGCTCTGTCGTCAACGTGCCTCCAGTGTCTGGGGCCGTGAAAGCGCTGCTAACACACAATACTGTTAGCGTGGTGTTTCAGCCACCTTAATTCGGTGGGCTCCTTGGTGGGTTGGGGTACGTACTCATCAACGAAGCAGCCAAACAATAAATCGTACCCTGTAGTCTACGCAAGAACGGTATTCTCTTTCTTGCTTTTGCTTCATCATGTAATCCTTCTTTCCAGTTCTCTATTCTCTATCTACGTAATTTTTTCTTTAGCAACCAGAATGCTCTTGGTGTTTCCCTCCACAACGCTTGGGAATTTGTCGTTTGCAAAGTCAGCATCCACATGTGCTTCATACTCCTCCATGTCCTCAATAGAGGCAAAGGGTCCTGTATCTATACGAAATAGCCAGTGGCTTGTAAAAATTGCGTACAGGATAGATCTAAGGCTAAATGTATTAACAGTAAAGGTTGGTTCCCACGGTAGCTTTAGGTTAGAAAAACCAGAATCTGGAAGCTTCTGTGCAGAGAGTTCAAGCTCTCTGCATGTTGAACCACCGAAGTCAAGTCATAAAGCCACAAGTCAAATGAAATAGGAGCAGTACTATGAAAAAGGAAGTCCTCAGGCCGTAGGTCACAATGTATGACACCTTGGCTATAGACAAAGGTGATGGATTCGATAGCCTGAACAAACCATTTCTGACGGAGAGAAAGAGGGATTAAGGCATTATTTTCATGGAGAAAAACCTGGAGATTCCCGTGACTTGCTTCAGCCATAAGGAGACCACTAGGATGAGGGCCTAGGAATCTTTAATTGTGTAAAAAAGGATGGAAAGTTTAGTGATAAGAGTATAATGCGCTCGCACAATACCTAACGATTCTTGGATGTGGGCCTAGTCTTTGAAGAACTTGCTCCTCAATGCTGAAGTAACTCTCGACATTCCGCCGTTTATTAATGACTTGATCTCCACCAATCTGAACAGCAACCTTTAGGATAATGCCTCGCTGAGGCCGGAAGAATACCGCTGTTGAGCCAGGGAAAGCTGCGGTTGGTAGTCTTTCCAGCTCCGCCAAGCTCACAAATCGGGTTTCCGCACCTCGATCGGTATTGCAAAAGATAATTTCACAGAGCTTCAGAGTAAATAGTTTTGCCACGATCGCAAGAGGCGCTAAAGATTAGATAATAAACGTATCATTGAGCATCTTTCGGCGTTTTTCGTGGTTGTAAACAGAAGCGCAGGAAAAACGGAGTCGTTCTGGGCTCCTTTTTTCATTCACAGTCCAGCTGATCTAATATAAACCGTAGCATCCTCTGCTTACTAATGACCCAATAGCCCACTCTCCGGGAAAGATGAAAGCTCCGTATCTCAGGCGGAAAAAGGACTTACCTTGTTACCTACTAGTTAACAAGGGTCATAACGCTGAACTTGGGCGGCGTCAGCTTTCCGCTGCTACCTGGGCACCTCGCGCAGCGGCTACGCCTCGCTTACCTAGGTGACGTGCGTGGTTCGGCTCTATACTCCCGCTGCTCCTCGGCGGCTGCCCGACCGTGCGGCGCCGGTCTGTGTTTGCGCCGGCTGGGCCGGCGGCGCGAGCGGCAGCAACTTCAGTCTGGTGCCCAGTACACGTGTGTGAGTACTGTACGACGGAGAATTGTGGCGGCTAGATGGTTAATACACAACTGTGTATACGGCGGTGAGCCTTGCTAAGTTTGCTGCTTCGCCACCCCCCTTTCTTTCGAGTAGTGATTTTGTCAATGAGCAAAGCCAAGCAAGAGAAACTGGATGGTCATCAGCGCACTTATAAGGGCAACATTCCCAGGCGGCATATGTACCCGGCGTGACCTGTCTCTCGGCGATCTGGATAATGAAGAGTAGAGAATGCAGGGCAGGCATAGACAAGTGCCGGATATGGTAGGGGAGCGCATAGAATTAAGGTGTAGAATGGACGGAATAGACTTGTAGACGCGAGTCAAACCGGTAGGACAGAACAAGGCAGCAAGCATTGTTATGAATAATGAGGCTATGCGTGCCCTCTGTCCTGTCAGCGTCGGGCAGCCGCTGCGCCATGCATGTAGACGGGCCGAGGCGGCTTAAGTGGCCTTGTGAGCGGCAATTGCAACCTGTACGGAGTACTGGTACAAATTAGTTAGGTTAGTAGTTAGTTACTGGTGGACACTAGAAACTGGAGAGAAACCCGCACAGACGAGAGGCTCAAAATAGTCGAGGGTATTGTGTGAAACACGACGTGAACTCGAACTCGATAAGCCAACTCACCATTGGCCGACTTATTAGCCTCCCAGCTTTAGCCCGACTCCACGAAACTCGGCGTCTTGCGATGGATCATGGATGGCATTGCATGGGCATGGGAGTGTTTCGTCCCTTTTCACCTCCTTTGTCCATCCACCGTGGCTGACTGACTAGGCTGGCGATCACATCACGGCGGTCAAGTGAAAAAGGGCGCGGTCCCGGAGCATTGATTCAAGTGATTCGTGATTCCCCTCGAATATTATGTCCTAATAGGCTGATAATGCTAATACAAAGCATGAGCCAAATACGCCAGTGGCCAGTCACAATGGAGTCTTCGCCACCTGGACTTCGCAGCACCCAGACCCCTGGCTGTCCCCGTCGTGAAGACGCTAGCCAGTAGCTCCCGTTGGCTCATCAAAAGCCAAGTTTCGAGGTAAAAGAGAAAGAAGGAAAAAAATTTCAAAAATCCAAAACAAGGCTCGGGGTGACTCTGGTGTAACCGGCGGTGTGATTCTTTCTTCTCGGCGCCCAAAAAAGCCGCCGATCCATCTCACCTGAGAGAGAGCCACCACAACCACAACACAGGGATTGTCACAGACAGACTTCTCCTGACTCTTCTTCTTTCTGACCTGTTTCATCGCTCACCAGGGGAGCGGGACCGCCTTTTCCTCATCCTGTCTGGCCTCGACGAACACGTACTCTGCCGGTCCGAGCCTGAACCTCGATCCGCCCGGCCGCTCCAGGCAGGGGACTGATTGGTCTCGGGACCCTGTTCTTTGGCTACACAGGGCACAGGGATTCAGGTTACCTTTTCATTGTGCATGGTTTGGCGAGGCTGTACTCGTATTTTCTATTTCTCTACCGATAGTTAACTAGAGTCTCTCCCCCGGATGCCCTGACAGGGCTAATAAGTGGGAATACATGGGCTTGGTTGCGCCTTCCTTGCTTTGACATCTCGTGCCCATTCTCTTTCTTCCTCGACTTCAAACTTTTGATTCATCATTCAACTACTTTCGTTAATAATTGCTTGATCTTGGGCCTTTTATCCACTCTCTTTCTTCCTCTTCGCCCATCTTCATTCACCAAACTACGAAACTTGACACTCCTTGGACTTGTTCTCCTTTTTCGTTTTTTTCTTCTTCGTCTCATCGTCGTCGTCGTCTTCCCCCTCCTCCTTCATGAACGACTACTCCAACTATCCAGACTTCAACCACCCAGACACAACCACAACAGACCAGCATCGCATTGGCAACATGTCGGACGGCGGCGCGGACCACGGCCCCCCTCCTCCTCCTCCTCCGCTTACAATGCCCAAGCCCGACGCCACGGCATCCCGGGCCATGACCGGCGACACCCTGACCCGTGATGACATCCTCTCACCGACCCTTCCCTTCTCCTCCTTCCCGCCCTCCTCCTTCCAGCGTCACGGCCCGCAGCACATCGATGACTACTTCACTGGCCCGCGCGACCTCTCCCGGCACTCCAAGTGGCCCGTCTTCCTGCAGATGCATGGCAGCATCCTGCCCAAGATGATTCTGCCGCTCTTCTTCGTCGGCGCCTGGGCCACCGCCGTCACCGTCGTCTCCGAGACGACGCACTCGCTCGGCGTCAACTCGGTCCTCCTTACCATCACCGGTTTCGTCGTCGGTATGGGACTATCCTTCCGCAGCTCGACCGCCTACGAGCGCTACCAGGAGGGCCGCAAGTACTGGACCGCCCTCATCACCTCTTCGCAGAACCTCGGCCGCATCTTCTGGATCCACGCCAAGGACCACCGCGCTGACCAGGACCCGCGCGAGACCATCCTGGCCAAGCTCAGTGCCATGAACCTGCTCGTCGCCTTCGCCGTCGCCCTCAAGCACACCCTCCGCTTCGAGCCCTACACCGACTACGACGACCTGCAGCACCTGATCGGCCACCTCGACACCTTTGCCCGCGCCGCCACCGAGGACGTCGGTGGCAGCTCCGTAGCTGCCGGCGCCAGCAAGCGCAAGAACCTCTTCAAGTCGGTCGGCGAGTACCTCGGCGTCTCCTTCGCCGCCAGCAACCCGCGCAAGACGCTCAAGCGCACCACGCGCCCGCTCGGCAACCTGCCCCTCGAGATCATGAATCACCTGGCCTCGGCTGTCGACGAGCTCGTCGCCAACCAGCAGCTCACCGTGCCCATGCAGCAGACGCTCGCCTACAACAACCTCAACGTCCTCGGCGACGTCCTCGCCGGCTGCGAGCGCATCCTCAACACGCCCCTGCCCATCGCCTACAGCATCGCCATCAGCCAGATCACCTGGGTCTACGTCATGCTGCTGCCCTTCCAGCTCGTCAACCTGCTGCACTACGTCGCCATCCCCGCCACCATCGCCGCCGCCTACATCATCCTCGGCCTGCTGCTCATCGGCCGCGAGATCGAGAACCCCTTTGGCCAGGACGTCAACGACCTGCCGCTCGAGTGCTTCTGCGAGCAGGTCACCACCGAGCTCGACATCATCGCCTCCTTCGAGAAGAAGCCCACGGCGGCAGTGTTCAACAAGGACACCAACTTCCCGCTCTACCCCGTCAGCACGGCGCCCGCGAGCATCTGGCTGCAGCGCAGCGAGCAGAAGCTGCGCCACACCATCAGGTCAAAGCCCAACGTGACGTTTGACTGGAAGAATGCACGGGGAGGGGAAAAGGTCGTCGGAGACAGGAATGTTTAGAACTGAAGATACTCCCATCCATCTACATTATACACGGAAAAGGCCATCCATACACATCATCAAAAATAGAAAATACTGGAAAACGGAGTTTTTAGCATAATAGACAATTTTTTGCTTTTTTACAATGTTTCAGTTTTATGTATGCAACATGTATGTACCAAGGTAAAACATCACGGGTTGGATTCCTCGTCGGAAGCCGCCGAAGCAACCGTCGTCGTCGCCGGCCTGTCGTCTGGCAGCTTCGGGATTGCCACCAGCATCAGCGCCGACACAGGGATGAGCACCGCCCAGGCCAGATGCCCGCGCAGCACCTGCTCCCTGACGCCCACCGCGTACAGCACCGTCGTCAGCGCCGGCACGAACGACCGCAGCGCGCTCGCCACCGTCAGCGCGATGCCGTTGAGCGTGCCCATCACGCGCGGGTCCGGCGACGCGTCGTTGAGCGCCAGCTGCACGCCCGTAAACGCCATCGAGACGCCCGGCCCGACCGCCGCCGCCAGCGGTCCCACCCCCCAGGCCCAGCCCGTCGCCCGCGCGCGCAGCAGCTCGTTGAGGATGATGTAGCTCAGGAAGAAGAAGGGGTAGGCGACGGCGCAGGCGAGGAGCAGGCGGCGGTTGCCGAGGCGGCGGTGCAGCGGGGGGAAGGCGAGGAGGAGCCAGGCGGCCTGGGAGAGGCCCTGCAGGGCCATGTACATGGAGATTTGAAAGGCGGACAGCCCGAGGCCGCCGATGGCGATGGGCGTGTACAGCACGACGGGGAGGAGCGCGGTGAAGGCGAACGCCATGATCATGACGGATCCGTTGACGAGCAGCACCGTCGGGACGCCCGACGTCTTGAGCAGCCGCCAGATCGTAATCCTCCCCGCCAACGACTTTTGCGGGCCGGTCGTCGCGTGCGCGGTCGTCTTGTCCAGCGTCTCCTCCAGGAAGAAGAAGCACGCCACCACGCCCGTCACCGCGATCGCCGACACGGCGAACCCCGGCGCCGCATACGGAAACCGCCTCAAAAACGTGCTCCCGCCGAACCACCCCGGATACTGCTCCGCCGGATCCGCCAGCAACCCGCCGATGATCGGCCCGATCAGGATCCCCACGTTGCCCGCGAACGCGAACCAGCTAAACGCCCTCGGCCCGTGCCCGCCGCCCGCGCAGTGGTCCGCGATCATCGTGCGGATGATCAGCGTCGAGCCGGAGAAGACGCCCGCAACGCACCTGAACAGGATCATCTGGGGGATGCTCGTCGCGAGGCCAAATAGCGCGGGACCGACGGCCATGCCGGCGAGGCTGGCGAGGAGCACGGGTCGCCGGCCGAGGCGGTCGGCGAGGCGGCCCCAGGCGATGAGGACGCAGACCTGCACGGCGGAGAAGAGGCTCTCGATGAGGCCGCTGTAGAAGCCGACGTCGGAGGCGGGCAGGCGGCCGGCGCGGGAGACCATGGCGGCGATGTAGGGGACGATGGCGAAGAAGGCGATGGGCTCCATGATGCGCGCGTAGCAGAGCAGCGCGATCTGCAGCGCGGGCAGCGGCTTCTCCTGGGGAGCGGGGCGGCGGTCGTCGTCGTCGCCGCCGCCGTGGCAGCCGGCTTCGGGGTCGTCCTCGATGGCGACGCCGGAGAGCAGGCTGGTGGTGGCGAGGAGAGGCGTCGTCTCGTCACCATCGTGGTGGTGGTGGTGGTGGTGGTGCGTGGCGACGTGCTCGGCGCTGGCGCTGCCGTTGGCACCTCGTAGCAGACTCATGGCTCCTCTTCTCCGTCGATAGTCTCTCTCGTTCCACGAGCGGGCTGGCGGGCGGGAGAGAGAGAGAGAGAGAGAGAGAGAGAGAGAGAGAGAGAGAGAGAAAAGGAGGGTTTGCTATTCTACTGGAACCGTCTCCCAATGTTCTGCACACGCCCCTTTTCGCGGGTTTTGTTTGTTCTGAAGCGAAGCATGAACCAACAGGAGACGACGGCGTAGAGTGCAACAAGCCGTGACAGGAGCGAGCAAAGGAAGCTCGAAAATGACCGTCATGGACCCTTCCCTTGATGAATGAGAGTTGGCGGGGTTGGCGGAGGGAGATGCGATGTGATGGATGATATGAGGCTGCATTACGATCTGCATGTCAGCACAGGCAAACGAAAAAAAAAAAGTTCCGTCGTCGGAGTTGCCTGCGTGGCGCTAGACCGGGTTGCAGTCCAGAAATAGTTAGCAGCCGCTCATTCATCAATCAGGCTGCTGGGGCTGTTCGTTTACCTTCATCTCTTCGTATCGAGGATCAGTCAGGTAGAGTTGGAGATATTACTGTGTCACCAGGGTCACAAGGCTGGCTGCTTTTGCTGCAAGTGTCCATCCCTAACTAGAAAGTAAGACAATGATAAGCAGTAGCAGGCGGTGGCTGCGGCACCAACGAGAACGAGCTGCCAATCTCGCTCGAAAACAAGTGGGAAAAATTGATTCGCTTTCTTTATCAAACACTCGCTATGACATGGTATATATACACGCCTACATGATCGGCCAGTTTCGATCCATGCGTTGGCGCCAGCCTCCCTCCGGCAGCCCCCTGGTAAACCTCTCCCGCCATTGCAGCAAGTTACACCCACACAGCGCGACGCCGTTATACTGCAGGCGGCCACCGGTGGCAATCCACGGTGCAAAGGCGGGCCCATCATCCGGAAGCCCAGGCATGCCGCCGAGCTCGAGCGTGGGGAGCGCCGCGCCGCAGATGCAGCCGTGGGCGACGCCCTCGGCCCACGCGCGGGCGACAACGGCAGCGGCGAGCAGGCTGATGTGGACAATGGGATCGAGGCAGCGGCTGTTGGCGTTGCCTGTGCGCGCGACATGCTCCTCGTAGAGGCGCAGGATGGTGAGGGCGCGGATCGCCGCGGCGCGCCCCTCACCGCTGACCACCCACTCGGAAATGAGCGCCTGCTTGCGCAGCACCGTCTCCGTGTACAGCTCGTTGCCCTCGTAGAGGCCCGACGTGACGTCTATGAGCTGTTGCACGTCAGCGCACATGTGCAGCTCCAGCAGGAGTTGAAGCATGGCCGCGCCAAAGGTGCCTTGGCAGAAGCGCCGCATCGCCTCTGTCATGAGCAGCACCGGGTCCGTCTCGTCATCCTCGTGCCCATAGTACGACGCCAGCAGCACTTCGAGCTCCGCAGCGTGATCCTTGGGGAACATCTGTATGCTGTACATGCGGTTCAGCTGGTGCCGGCACAGCTCCAGTTGCAACATGATGTGGATATGCTGGCCTGTCAGGTCCGCAGGAGTTGCACCGGCACCGAGCTGTCGCCGGTACGTCCACACATGATTGGCGGTGCCGAGCAGTACAAGCTCTATGTCTTCAGTGAGCAAGGGAAAAGGTAGATTGACATCGGTCATGTTCATGAGCTGCGAGGTTCGGTAGTCCTGGCGCTGCGACAGTTCATGCGGGATTCGACGATACAGCACATGAAGCCCATGTGCATTCCACATGCCATATGAAGAAGTCAACTGCATGTTGAGCTCTTCATTGTGGATGAACGCAGATTGATTGTAAAGTAACGCAATGCCGCGGTCAAGTTTGAGGGCACTCATGGCCAGCCTGGGGTGGTCAGCATAACGCACTATGGACCGTGTTGGTGGACTGCTCCCGCTGGTACGAACCTCTTCCATGACTCGTGCTTTCCATAAATCCAGGGCATAAAAGTGCTCGGGTAATGTCTCCGTTGATGATGTATGGCACTCTCGCTATTCAACATGTTTGTTTGTCGTAAAATTGTACAGACAGCAACATGCAACATCCTGCCTCTTGGTATGAAGGACCATTTCTTCGACATGTTAGTAACGGGATCCGAAATTGCGTCAACGGAACGTACCCCTATCTCGAATGCAAAGATGGCATTCAGCAGACTAGCCTGGTATAACACGATAGGCCAAGGCTGACCTGAATCGAATGTAAATCGTGTCTGTCGGCGGAAAGTCGGTTAGCAATGATGCGCAATTCTGCTGGCACTGGGCGACATACCAATTGCGCAAATAGATATTGCATCAATATTTGATGGATTGCAAAGATCATTTGCATGGCGGCCGGGTCAGTAATTTGGCGCCAGGCCCCGATGATGGCGATTGAGGCGGCGAGTGGCACATGCTCAAGAAGGTCCTCAGCCTCGGGGGCGTGGAGGATGGGCCAGGTCTCGTGGAACTGACCAAAATACGATTGGAAGCAGCCATCCAACCAAAGCTTCATTTTCGGGGAGGGGTTGGAAAGCGCGTCGCTCTCTCCGCCATCGCGGAGGACGCCCATGGCATGGGCAATGACACGGGTTCCGGCCTTGGTGCGCTCGTTCCAAGAGGCCTCGAGTGGTGTTGCACTGATGGGGATCATGAGAGCGGGTGGCGGCGAGGCATCGCTTGCGGAACTGTTGCTGGTCCGGCTGGTACCGCGCACGCTCCGGGCGGTGACCTTGGGGGCGCCGCGGTGGCTCGTGGTGGACGGTGCCCGGTTGGCGGAAAAGTTGCCGCCGCTAAGATCAAAGACAACATCGGGGTTGGCATCAATCACACGGCGGGCGAGATTGGCGCGCTGGTAGGTGCACTCGATGTCACGTTTGCGGCACAGGGAGCACCGGCTGCCGCCATCGCATTTGATCTTGCTGGCGTGGCAGGCATCGCAAGCGGGCTCCTTGCGGGAGTCGGGCACGACGGCGCCATGGATTTTCGAATGGCGGCGGAGTAGATCGCTAGGACAGTCAGTAAGCCATTCTTCCTTTTCTTCCTTTTATTTTATTTTCATTTTTTTCTTGTTGGCGGCCGTTGTGATGCATCGCCTTGTCGACGTGCATTGTTTGGTCTTGGGAAGGGAGCGCACTAGGCTTTTCGAGCAGGGGTCGGAGGGCGTCAAGGCAACTTACAGTCGAGTAAAGGACCTGTCGCAGGAAGGACAGGTAAAGGAGGGACGGCCGTGTGTAGCTTTGTGGCGTTGCAAGTGCTCTTTGCGAATATATTCTCGACCACACTCGCAGACAAACTGCTTCCTGACGAGACCCTCGGCCATGGCTGGTTGGCTGGCTGACTGAGACCTTTGGTTCGCGGCGGCGGGTGGGTGATTCCGCGCTTCCGATGAACGACACTACCAGCGCGATGGCTTACCACAGACCCAGCTTTGCGGGATGAACTGTGCGGGATGGCGACGATTGATTTGTTTAGCGGTGAGAAGTCGAGAGAAGGATGGATGGATGGAATCAAGGTGGCTTTTTGACGGTGAATAAGAAATATAGAAAAGAGATCGTAGAGAGTTCCATTATGACACGGCGCATTCGCGAAAAACGGTTTTAAGCATTGACATGACCTCGTTGTGTTTCTAAGCCGTCTTGGCTGGTGCGTTGAAGAAGTGAAGAGTATTTGGTGAGATGAGTGGGATGGCCGAGAGAAAGTCGGCCATCCCACTGAAGTTGCCGTTTTGAAGGGGACAATACGCCAAGCCTATTTGAGGTTAGGGCAAAGGCCCCAATCTCTCGCATTGGTTCTTTGTCACCTTCTCTTCATTTTAGTGGGGCTGGGCCGGGACAGGACAGGTTCTCTCTGGCATCCCTCCCTTGCCTCCCTCCCGCTCTGCCTCTCCCGCTGTCTCTCTTCTCAGCTCGCTTGTTCGGATCCATCCATGTCTCGACGAAAGGAGTTCGGCTTCACAATACTCAAGCGCCTCCAACCAAAGGACTTTTTTTTCTTTCTTTCTTTTTTCTTCGTACATCCTCAACCAAGGATAATCACTAGACCCCCGCTCATCCCAGAACCGTTGGTCCTAGCCGATGCAGACAGCGACCGCTCCTCAAGGCACCACCAATAGGACTCGACGACATATCCTCTACGACGCAGGGTGTTGAAAACCCCTGGACCCTGGGTTTTAGAGAAAAAATCCCTGAAAACAAAAGGCCCAGGCCAACCAGTGGAGTTCACCAAGTCCAACACTGCCGCTTGCTGCTCTGCCTCACCAGCAAACGTCTCCATCGCCCCTTGCAACTCTACTAATAGTCTGCAAAGTGAAGCTGATAGTTGAGGCGGATATCGTGACTGCCTCATACATGCGCATATGGATGAATGCAATGTAGTGCCGGACCTGGTGCGTAGACGGGTAACGCGCTAACTAACCAAACTGCTCACCAACTGTCCAATAAATTGTACTGGTTGACAAATGCCCTTCCTGCATCTCGCATTTTGGAGGCGTAACAAAGGCTGGTCAAGATGATGCCACCTAATAAGACGAGTCAAGGTCAGCCAGAACTCAGTCCAGCCGATTCAAGAACTCTATCACAGCAGACTGAAGACCAAGGCCAAACAAGACTGCGAATTGGGAATCAAACATCAGCTGTATCAGCAAGACGCCACGTGAAGCCAATGCCGATTCGGTGAGCGGCCACGCCGGATGATCTCTAATCAGTCGGCATCCCACCCCCAGGAACAGGGTAGGACGGCGCCGCCGCCCGTTGGAAATCTGGGTCTCTTGGCGGAGATGCGGCCAGACGAGATACACGGATGCAATGGCGATCTTGCGCAGATTATTAAGATATGTCGTACAATTTGTCTATCGATGGCGTAGATTTTGCTGGCAATTGTCTATAGAAAGAGATGCTAAATCCCTTCAACTCTGTCTGTTCTCATCATCACCATCATCAACACTCATCACTCATCAAGCAAAACAAGCACACTCAACCCACACCACGCAACATCTCCACTACAACTCGAAACGCATAAACACACACACACACCGCACACTCAAATACCCATAACCATGGCCTCTCCCGCCCAAAACGTCACCCTTGTCGGCGCCGCCGGCAGCGTCGGCACCGTCGCCCTTGAGAAGCTCGCCGCCTCTCGCCACAACCTCCAAGTTCTGCGCCGCGCCGGCTCCAAGTCCGCCGTTCCCGCCGGTGTCAAGGTCGTCGACGTCGACTTCTCCTCCCCCTCCGCCCTGACCAGCGCCCTCAAGGGCCAGGACGTCGTCATCTCCACGCTGCCCGCCGAGGTGGCCTCCCTGCAGACCACCCTCATCGACGCCGCCATCGCCGCCGGCGTGCGCCGCTTCCTCCCTAGCGAGTTCGGCTGCGACATCGAGAACCCGCTCGCCCGTCAGATCCCCGTCTTTGGCGAAAAGGTCAAGGTGGAGGAGCACCTGAAGGAGAAGGCGGCCGCGGGCCTCATCTCGTACACCTTCGTCTACAACGGGCCGTTCCTCGACTGGGGCATCCAGAAGCAGTTCGTGCTCAACGTCGCGGGCTACAAGCCGACGCTGCTGGACGACGGTAAGGCCGTGTTCAGCTCGACCAACCTGGAGACGGTGGGCCGCGCGCTGGCGGCCATCCCGGATCACCTGGAGGAGACCAAGAACCGCGCCGTGTTCCTCGAGGATATCAAGATCTCGCAGGCGCGCCTGCTGGAGCTGGCGAAGCAGGCCGCCCCGGAGAAGCCCTGGGAGGTCAGCTACGCCAAGATCGACGACCTCGTCAAGGTCGCCGGCGAGGGCCTGGCTAAGGGCGTCTTCACATTTGACAACATTGCCCCGTTCATCCACAAGTCGTTCATTGCTGAAGGCTACGGCGGCAACTTTGCCAAGTCGGACAATGAGCTCCTCGGCCTCGGCCACAGCTCGGAGGAGTTTGTTCTGGAGCAGTACAAGAAGCTTCTTCAGTGAGGGGACATTCAAGTAGAACATAGAATATAAATAATACAATTACGTTTCATCATCTGCTTCTCAGGACAGGCGAGGTTGTTCCGCTACAATTTATACTGCGAATGTGTGTTAACTGGTGTACATCGCTTGGCTAGGAGGCATATCCTGTCCCTCCACAAACTTCTCGACCAGCTCTTTAGGTACAGACTTTAGCGTGCGCAGGCGCTTTACTCTTCTTCTTCGTATGCCTCTTATTAATTACATTAACTCATTTCTCAATGCTTCAACATCGAGCATCTGACGAGTCTTCGAATCAACAGCAAGGTCAGGCTCCCTGCTCGTCCCCCGAGAACCGATTCTCCGATGAGGCGGAGACCGGAATAGCTGCACCGACAGGTTCTTGGTCGCCATTAGGTGTCCAAGTCGGCGCTCCTCCAGTTTCGATGGATCGATCGGCCATTGCCTCGGTATCCTCCTCAGCAATGTCCCAGACTAGAGGGTGTGAGCCACGTCGCGGGCAAGCTGGGTGCGAACCGTACCGTTAACATAGAGTGCTGCAAACTCTTTGCAAGTTTCACTTCCGCTCTTGAGTATTTTTAATTTCCGCTCGAGCTTTTCGCGAGTGCCTCGACTCTGCTCCGTCTCCACCGCGATGCCAGAAACTTCAGCATCGCTCATCCTGATGATGGAGGTTGGGTCGAGGATTTCGCCGAGTTTCTCCAAGAGACAAGTCTCAACAACTTCCACCGCGACGTCATCTATGAAACGCTTCACGGCAACCTAAGTGCCAGACAAGTTAATTGCAAGAGGACAGATAGGGCTGTAGGCGCTCGACGGAGACCTCACCTTATAATACGCTTTCAAGCAGTCCAGCGCCTCAGAGGCTGCAAAATGATCCATATCTGGCTCTCGGGGCGCAACAAGCCGGTCGATCAAACCATTACATTCAATTGCTTGAACTAAATGAGATTTCTTCGCCATTGACGACAGACCAAACTCCTCCTGCAATAAAGCTGTGATTCGTGACCTTTCGCGCTCCTGACGAATGTTTTGCAGAGTCTCTGTGAAGTAGTGGTTGTAGGTGATGGGATGTCCGCTGCGGTGTGGCTCTAGTATACCAGAAAGCTTCTCATATAAAAGTTTCCGGAAGGACTCCAACTTGGGCTCAAGAACGCGATTCAAAATCGCTTCGGCAGTCGTAGACTCGGCGATGTGTGCCACAAGATGGCTCAACGACAGCCGAACCGCCCTCCAAACTTCCTGTATGTGGCTTTCTGCAATTTTGCTCCACGGCGACGAGAGTTCCTTAAAGAGCTCTGTCACTATCATAGGATTAAACATGCCGGGTAGCTCTCTCCCCCGGCTGCTCTGAATGATCAAGACAATTCTTTCAATGTAATCAGCACGGGTCAAGAGCTCGCTGCACTCCGAGTCTGTACCATCGACATGGGCCACGACTTTGTACCGTCGACCATTTTGGGCCATATCTTCTGCAAAGTGTCGGTTGAGGTTCTGAACAACGGCTCGGGTGCGCTTTTGGTAGCCGGTCAATGACATGCAATCCCCGAAATACGGCTCGTTGTATGTTCCATGAGTTGCCGACTGAAGCAGGACTTGGAATGATTGGCTGATCTGGATGAGATACATTCTCTGTTCATAGATGGTGGTGCGGGGAGAACCAAGCTTTTCGAGGTGTTTCTGGCATTGGGAAGACAGTTCTGCAATTTCCTCAATGAGGTTTGGGAGTTCAGCGGCGATCTGCCGTACGAGGACTTTACTCAGGCGGCTCCTCAAGGACTTGATGCCCAAGTCTTTTGAAGAAAGATCTGCCCAGGCACCTGATGATAGAAACTCAAGCTCCGCGGCATCGCGTTGCTCAAACGTCCAGTTTTCTGCCTCGGTATCGCAGTTCCTCAACACGTGCCAGCCCAGGCGGAATTCGACATCTTGGTTTTTGGCCAGAGAGACAAACATGCCCTCGCTCCCAGATCCCGGGATAAGAGTGTCCGGCTTGGTGATAACCCCTAGCGTCCGTGTCCCTCTAGGATCGGCATCACGAGCGAGCTTCAGGACAATCTGGTTGGCGTAGTCGTTCTTGGCTGACACAACTGCCAGTATGATGCTCCGGGACTCTTTCATGTAGCCCTGCACGACGTTTTTGATGAGCTGAATGTCTGATTCAGATTGGTGCTTATTTTCTGAATGAATGAGACCGGGCAGATCTACAATGGTGAGCTCCGGGCGATCCGGGCCGTTTACTTCGACGCGCAGAATATCTTCGGAAAATGCCTTGCCCATCGTTGCCACGCCCATGGCAGTCTTTGCTGTTTCGATCAGTGCTGGCAGGTCCTTGAAGTTGAGCAATTTCTCGTTGAATTGTGAGAGGCGTTCCTTGTCGGCCTGGTTGCGAGAATGATGCGGCACAATGGAGACGTTGATGGAGCAAAAGGCCGTCTTTCGGAGAATAAGCTCGGTCGGGAATCGGGTGCACAAGCTGCTCTTCACCGGGAAAGAGACCCCGGATATGCTTTCCAACACGGAACTTTTCCCCGACGACTGGTCGCCGCACACGATGATTTGTGGCAGTGATATGTAGTGGCTTACGCCCTGGGAGCGGAGCGAGTCCACGGCGTTGAGCAGGTGCAGCTGCTGCCTGGAGCATAGCTGCTCCAGGCCCTGCGCCGTCAGCGATTTCATTGCCTCGCTCATCGGTGTAAGCGGGTGACGGAGTGAGTGAGTTGTGAAGGAGGCTGTGGTTTCTTCCACAGCAGCGCGGGGATTGCTCTGAGTTAAGTAGACGCAGGCCGGCCACCAGGTAGCAATCTGCAATCTGCAGTCTGCAGTTACTGCGCTGGCAATCATAAACAAAGGAGCGGGTGATTGTGAAAGAGTGAATAACTGAGACAGGAGTCTTTATGATTGTATGTTGATTGGCTGGCCGAATCCGATTAACAGCAACGCTGTAGCCGCTGAGCAGTGCTGGGCCTGCAGTGAATGCAGCCACAGTTTCTGAGCATTGCTGCCCGACTCCATTCACTGCAGTTCTGAGACTTTACAAGTTATGCTGGCATAAATTCGAGTGCAGATCTTCAAACGAATTAACGACAACGCTGTAACCGCTGAGTTCGGTTGCAGTGATTGCAGCCGCACTTTCTGGGCGTGATGCATTCCCGACCCTATTCACCGTAACTCTGGGACATCTACGGATAGACTACAATGAAATCGAGTGCCTGAATTCTAACGCCGGTGAAATCTTGGCGTGCTGTCTCCGCGCAACGACTTTACAGAATAGGGTACGGGTAAGAATAAACCCAGCACTGCATCGTGATCTAGAGACTGGGCGATAAATGAACGATCTTGATGGCCAAAGCAATGGCTAGGAAAACTATGCTGCCTCTACCTGATAGGACTCCCTCGTCGTAACGTCTTGCTGCTGCTCGCCAGTTGGTTCTTCTTATGCAAGATGAATGCTTGCTGCTTGTGCCACGCACTTACTAAGCTGGCCTGCAGCTTTCCGCTCCTTCTCAACAGCCCCCTCACAGGTTCACACGATAGCCTCTCCTAAAAATACTCCAGAAAAACAGTGACAAAGGGCAGATCTCATCTCAAAACTCCCCTCTCCGCTCTCGAATTTATCACATAGATCCCATATCATCCTCGCCACCGACAACCATCGCGCCATGTGCAGCATCATTAGGGTGCAGTACAGCTGCGGCTGCGTCAAGGACAGCAGGTTTCAGCAATGCGAGACGCGCAAAGACACGCCTATAAAATGCGACAGGGTCGCCCGTGACTCTCCGGAACGCGTCGACAGCTACTGCCAATCCCACTGCGTGCCGGACATGGGCCGCGGCCACACAAAGGCCGACTTCGAAACATTTAGCAACGGCGAGAACGGGCAGGTCGCGTTCAAGTTACTGAAGGACAGGTCCCAAAATTAGAGCCGCGCTGAACAAAGAAGCGTTGGGTGCAGGGGAAGATTTGAGATTTTGGGGGAAATCCTTCCGTTGGCGAGACAAGACAACGGTAGCATTTGAGAAGCGAAAACAAACACATGTCGCAAGGTCACGGGCTGGCATTTCCCAGCAATCACTCAACATCAGTTCGTGAGAGGAATGAATAGACGCAAAGGAAGTGTTCAATTTGCACAAGGCCCGCCTTGGGCAAGCGCAGTTGCAGTTGCGTCTGCAGAACGCAGCCACGGGCAATGACAAAAGACGAGAACCCAATTAAGCGCAGCAGCTGATCCAGCATCGCCAACCGGCTCATAAAAAGCAACGTCGGCATCTGTGTGTGGTGTACGGAGCGGGGCTACGGACGTACTAGGATTTAATGAGGCCGTCAAGCAACAAAAATAAGGTGATGGATAAAGCTTACGACCGTGCTGGCAGCTAAGTTGCAAGACATGGCATGGGTTTTTACATAGGTAGCTTCGGAGACGGAAATTTTGTACGGATATGAACAGCTCGATCAGCGCCTGCTCATCTGTGCGATGGAATTTAGCACCAGCAGCAGGTTAAAAAGTCAACAGAAGGCTGCAAACAGACCAACTGTGTACGTCCATTTCGATGCAAGTAGGCGTTATGGCTGCACAATGCTCACATGGCATGGTATTCAGCAAGACAGGGCCCCGTCTCAGGAGCTCATGGACCCTAGAAAACATTCCTGTTTCCAGCTGGGTTGCCTTGGCTATTAGTAACTGCTTAGGACTCGCGCAGACATATCGTGATGATCCATACTGTAAGTGGCCAGTGTTGAAGGTGGAGAGGAGAGGACGCCACTGAGTAGATTGAGCGGGCAGCCCAGGTCATGGCACGATGCGTAGGCTGAGCGGCTGCGGCCAGTGAAACATGAGCGATGGGAATGACTCGGACCGAACTGGTAGGTGGCTAATGGTGACTCGTGAGAGATGGTGAGCGGTACAAGGGGCCGGAGAGGGACACGAACGAACTCGTCTCCTGGTGACGAATTCAAATCGTGGAATGGTCAGGTAGTCGTGTGGTCGCCCTCCTTAGCAATGAGCATTACTGATAGTTTATTTTCTGGGCCGTGGCACTGCACCCGCGCGACAAGCGACATGGTGTCATGCATCGTGTACTAATAGGTGCCGAGACGCTTGGACAGGCTTCAGGCCGAGATTAGGGTGCACATGGTCCTTGAGCTTTTGAGATGCACGACGCAGGGCGGGATTGAGCAGGCTCGAATGGCCTGTTTGTGTGTCTCGCTTGCGGCTCAAGGTCCCTTCGGCGCCGACGTCATGTCGGTGTAGAAGCGAGGGGAGACTAGATGACTGGTCAGCGGACAGAGACCGAAATAAGATCCGTGCTGATAGGGGCGAATCATTACCTTTTGCGTCGGTGGCAATGTGTTTATCGAGCGATGAGGAGCAGGCAAGCTGGGGAGGAGCTTGAAGACTGGTTGAATTGACTAAAAATGTTAGTTGGTGGGGCTGGGGCAAGATTTTGTCTCGGTTGACAAGTGCACCCTGTTTGCTGGTCGCAGGTGTAGAGAAGCACGTGAAGGGCGGTCGATTCAGGGAAATTATTTGGAACGGTAAACTTGAAATCTCAGGCCTTCAAAGAAAGAGGAGTAAACTCGCGAGCTTCCATTCTCTTGTCTTCTATCTCCAACATTCTGCATCAGGAACCAGTTTGTCTATCCGTAGATTCCCCTGCTAGTTATTGCAGGGTGCCAGGTTCGAAGTCGTGCGCTAACCTGATTCGGAGGATGGGGCTGCCTGGGTCCACTGTTGAACATCGGCCTCGGGTGGCTTGCTGTGGGCAGCGGACAGAGGCGCAAGGGATTTGATGTTCGTTGCACGTCGTAAGCCTGTCAGCAGCACTGCAGTATGCCAGGTTGCTTGTGCTGGTGGCGGCCTGTTTGTGACGTGAGGTGCAGAGGAGAGACGCTGTCTAGTGGTACAGTGTTGCCTAATACGCTTATTAGGTTGGAATTAAGAGTAATTGACACTGCACGGGGTCCCATCTTATATCATGCAGCCCGGAGCCGGCCACATGCAAACCGGGGGAGGTACCTGTCAAACCCTTGCCTTGTGAAGTTGACTACGGACGGATGCAAAGTGAGGATAAGTCATGGTCTCTTCTTTCAATAGTGTACCTGCTGGCTCAAAGCTTATTGTGTTATTAGCTGCTACTACCTCGGCGGATTATGGGCTAAATTACCGGACGCCTCGTTCTCGTCGTTGCCAGGTACCTGTGCCCTGCCATGTCAGCGCAATTCGCACTGAAGCCCCTGCAAGCCTTCCCTGTAAGCTCGCTGTGCAACCCAACAAAGCGAAATCCTTCGCCTCAAGCCACCAGCCACAATGCATGTACCAAGCCTGTAAGAAATTTATCTGCGGCTTCTCGCCATCCATTCATCCAGCTGGCAACCCGCTGAAACTGTTTATTAGCTATTCAACTGTCGCCCGTCAATCCCTAGCCTCAATTGAGATGGGTCACTAAAAATGTTGCCAGGCCCCAGGTTAGTAATCTTCTCCTCCGCTGCGAGCCCTGCCTGGAGGTATTATTGACTCGTTCCTGTTCCCGCCAAAGCCTTGGCCGCCGGCGACGAACCTCAACACAGCACAGACGTGCTGGACAGCAATAGCTGTATTTCGACAAGACGCCCTCGGTTGTTCGCTGTTTCAAAGGATGCAGTCGCCGAGGAAAGAAGCAAAACGCGACGAGCCCTGATAAATGAACTGGCCACCTGCCTCATCAGACCAGCCAGCTCAGCTCCTCCACGCCCGCTCTCTCTCACACAAGTGCCACACCAAAACCGCATATGGCCATTCACCCACCAGCAACATCCACTCGATAATCCACCAAACAAACCATATCCAGCCCATCTAGCTAACTAGCACATCCACCTATCCATCATACCCAGGTCTTTTATCCATCGACTTGCCCTCGTCCGTATCCTCGCCTTTGATCTGCCGCTCTGCCTGACACAAACTAACGAGGAGGCCACCTTCCAATCGCCAACCTCTCCAAGGGATCGCCCGGCACTCGGATGTTCCTGCTCTCCGCCCAGCCTCTCCTCTCACTCCCTCTCGCCTGCTCGCTCACACCTACTAAGCCTTTTGTGCCCGTCACTGGAGAGGCTGACTCGCCCGCCGCATCAGAGCTGCCAGCTCCTCTTTTGCCGCTCATACACAGCAGCCTGCCTTTTGCTTTTTCCTTCTCTCTCCATCGGCGCCCGTTCTGCTCGATCATGCCTCTCTTTCCTCGGTCGCGCACACCATCATGAACCTCTAACTCATCGCCGTCGCATCTCCGAACCCGTCTCTGCCTTTGTCTGCCATTTCAGCGCGCAACTGCCGCCCGCTTGCTTGCTGCGCCCACCATTATGCCTGCGACCGCCGTTGATGAATCCGAGCAGGCTGCGACTGCCGCAGCCTCCAGTGACAGCCCCAAGTCTGATATCGGTCAGTGCCCCAGAAATCTCGCCAACGAGATCCGCTCCTACTTAATTCACTATCATTTCTTTTATCATTTGATTTTTATCCTCCTTTGTATTTTACTGACATGGTTCCTACCTTTTCCTCTGTAGCCTGCCTCATTTGTCGTTCCCGCAAGGTATGTCGTCACCTACCCGACCGTCCGGTCTCTATCCCCCCGGCAGCCTCGCTGCCCAGCCGATTCCATCAATACTCTCCATTGTCGACTGCAAAACGGCCTCAAGGATTAAGAGGAGAATGGAAAATGGATATGGGCCTTGAATAACACTTCCTTGATAGGTCCGATGCGATAGATCCCTCCCCGACTGCCGAAACTGCTTGCGCCTTGGCGTTCCTTGCCCCAGATACGACCGCGAAAATGAATTCATATCCCGCAAAGAGCTGCAGAAATCTGCCGACGATATATTTCGTGCCGCCGGTGTTGAAAAACGCAAAGTAGGCTCCTGTGAGGAATGCCGCGCATCAAAGCATCGCTGCACAAAGACCCGTCCTGCCTGTCGCCGCTGCATTTTGCGCAACCTCACATGCACCTACCCCGGCAAACAAGAACGTGAGCCCTCCATCAGCGGCAGCTTATCCCCTGGCAGACAAGGTCATGGCACCACTCCAACGAAACCAGAGCCGCGCGATACCTATACTCCTATGGAGATGCACCCTATACGACCCGAGCCCGACCACCGGCAGTTCCAGCCACTCAACCGACAAAATGCCCACACAGAGGAGCCACCGGTACCGATGAACTATCAGCAGGCGCAGTACCAATTACCACAGCTTCGTCATCATCAAGAACCTACAAACACACAAAGCCACATGTACAACCACAATGCCCTACCAAATGGGTTAAGCAATTACACCCATCAACCCATGGCCCACGACAGCTATCATCAGGTACCGCCGCATTCGCTATCGAGCATTCCACAATATCAGCAGCCGCCACGGCCATCCCAACAACACATCCAGCCACAGCAGAACCTGAAAACGAAAGGCCCCCTCCCTGACATCCTCGCGCAAGAACCTGAGGGCGTCTATTCGGAACGGTTACCTGAAAATCGCGGCTTCCGTGAAATCCTCATCAAGACGTACTTTAACCGGTCCGCTCCTCTACGAAATCTTTCCTTCATTCACAAGCCGTCGTTTATGAAATCGCTGGATCAGGACAGTGTTGTACAAGATTACGGAGAGCCTTTGCTTTACGTCATGTGCGCTCTCGGTGCCCGGTACGTTCGTCGGCAGCTTTTGCGTGGCCAGTCCAGTTAGACTAACCGTAACCACAGGCATCTCTATTTTGACCATGTCGCTGAATGTGGTGAGCCAATGGTTGTCGACGCGAACCAAGTCCCGGGCGAGAAATGGGCCGTCAAAGCTCGACAGGATGCTATGCGCGATCTTCATACGCCCGACGTACACAATCTTATGGTATGACCACGCAACGACTCTTACCCCTGTGTCAACTAGTCTAACAAATTCTGAGTAGACCATGGTGTTGCTATGCGACTACAGTCTCCGTGAGGATAAAAATGCCATGGTGTTTGTTCTCATCTCCGTCTTGTACCGCATGGTTCGTCTCCTGAGCCTAGACTCATATCGACCTCTGGACCCCGATGCTACCCCGACTGAAATCATGGAACGAGAGAGCGAGATTCGGCTTGTCTGGGCATGCTACTACCTTGATGTGCTCGTCGGAAATGGCGTAGAAAAGAATCTCTGCTGGAGAGACGACGTCCCTGCGATTCCTTTGCCCTGTCCCGAGCAGAGTTTTACATCCCAGACAGCATCGCAACCATACTTCCTCGAAGACATTGAGCGGAATGATTTGGCGGATGTGGTGCCGCACCTAGACTTCCAAGCGCTTTCGATCTTGATATTACGGCTTCGATCCAAAGTTATGCAGTGAGTAGAGTAACATCTTGTTGGTATTTAAGCAGTACTGACGGGAGCAGCCTCATCCGAACACCCGAAAAAGAGAGCAAGGCTTGGGACAATGATTCGAAATTCCTACAGATTATTAGCCGCCTCGAGACCATTCTGGCCAAACTTCCGGAGAAATACCTTATAACCGACATCAACATGTACATTCTCAGAGAAGACAACATCCTGGGGGCTGTATTTGTGCTGCATCTGCTCATGCACGCAGTCATCTTCGACCTGACACGGACGTCGCTAGCCGGCTTCAACTTTCCATTGTCGAATGACTTCAAGGTTGCGCCGGAAGCGTTTAAAACCAAGTGTCAGGATCTTTGCCGACAACACGCCATGGAGGTATCGCAGCTCTTCCGCAGAGCTCTGTACATGGGACGAAGTGCTTTCGATGACTTGTTCTGCGTCGATGCCGCGTTCGAGTCATCCAAAGTGCAGCTTGTATACGCCGCCACTGTTAACCATAGTCCGTTTATCGTTCAGCAGACCAAGTCCAATCTCGGCACCAACATTGAATGCCTTCAGACCTTTAGCCGAGACACGGCCACCCGAAACTCGGTTCTCCGGGCGCTGCTTCCAATCTGCACGCTATTTGGATTCCGAGAAATCGCAGAAAAATTTGCACCAAGCGGGGAAACGCCTGACGAGTCGGAAGTGACTGGTTCTGCTGACATGCATCACTTGTCCCGACTCGCTCCGTTCCGACGAGGCCGATCCGAGCTACAACGAGCTTCGCATGCATCACATAGCCCGAAAACACCATCGTCCTCGAACACTTACCCATCACCGATGACGCAGTCGAGCCGAAACGTTCCACCGAGGAGCGCACACAGCCAAAATGCTGCGCCGTTCAATGGAATGGTGCCCATGGTAATGGATGGAAACATGGGCCCCATAGCAGCACCTGGACCATCGCAGCGACCGCCTCTACAAATCATGCCTTCGGCGGGTGTCATGGCGCAAAACGGAGCTATGCTACAGCCCTCTATCGACGATTATATCAAAACGGCCGACGAAATGTCGAATCTGCTTACTTGGAACATGCCAGACCTATCTCCATGGTTTACGTTTGATAATATGCTCCTTCCAAGCTGATGCCAAGAAGCTTGCCGCAAGTGAGCTGTGTCGATTGATGAATGCTGGGGCCTAGCTGCTCATTCAGTTAGAGGCGTTTCCGAATCAGCCAAGTGTGGGAAGGCATTCAATCCAGCGCAGCTGACACGGAACTGTCTAAGCGTGAAGCCACGCTTAACAAAGGCATGTCAGCAGCGCCAAGAGGCTAACGAGGAAGGCGGAAGGGATTGATTGCTCCAACGCCACGTCGTGGCTATCGGCTGGACGAGACCGGGCTGGCCGGAGAGATTTATTATGAGGCTGACAGATGACGTTTTGACTGGTTTATTGATGCACCCATTTCTGTGTTTCGTGCTGAGCAGCGCCTCATGCTGGTGAGCTGAAGACAGGGATCAGCCAGAGGCGCTGCTCGAGACTAGAGAGAGCACTACTTGCACACAGTTCTTGTTATTTGCTACGACATGCATGGGGCGGCGTTTTATTGAGCCGACTGGGGCTCTGAGGAATATTTGACATTTGTATCGGGATTTTGGATACAGTTAGACTATTGAACCTGCATACTGGCGCAATCCATTTTGTTGCATCAATAGCGTTCGTGTGAGCATGTAGGTGCATTACGCGCAAACGCAGCTTCCTCGTGGTTATCGAAGAGCGCTGTTTCGGAATAGACGGGAAGAATTGTGTAGTGGAGAGAGCATGCATCCTCTTACTATTTATGTCGCTGCGTCGCGATCCATGATCTGGAGGGAGGTCCTGCGCCTGGCAGCAAGGTTCGTTGTAGAATAAGGATAAAGTCCAGGCCTTGCTCTGGACGGCTGTACTTGCCACGAAGGACGATAGGTGGCAGGGGTGATTATCAGAGGAGCCTCAACAAGCTGTAAGTAAGCACAAGGGAGGCACAGGGGAGGCAGGCAAGCAAGCTTTGAAGGCCGCCTCGACCAGTTGCAGCACATGCAGCAACGTCGCGCTGGAATATCGGTCATAAAAATGCGTCTACTTTTGAGCAATGCTCATGCGTTGAAGTTTGCAGAGAGAGGCTCGTGAGAGGATAGGGAGAAGGTCGGAGCCCGCTTACACCCACGGTGACTTGGCTGCACCGATATGGCAGAGATTGGCGAGAGAAGGAATGAATAAACGAATCTACATTGCCAAGACTTTTGTTCGTGCATTTGACTTTGAATTCTTTTTTTTTTGTGCATTTCTTTACCTTGATAGAGGGCCACGTATGAAGATTTAAGTGCTGACTGTTTCCGGAACCAGTGGCGGATAGACAATGCGACCGAGACTTTTTTTTCTCCTCGGAATTTTCCTGGTCATCCGTGTACATGAATGGTTGATACCCTGGAAGGGCAGGCACGGACGCACGTCATGTCACATCGTGTGGGTGTTGCGATGTGATGTATTGGCGGCAAGGGGGGTTTTGACAAACAAGGCTGAAGGAAGAAGATCTTGAGGGTTCGGGGAAAGACCGAGCCATTTTGGTCGTCTGCTCTGTTTCTCTTGAAGAGAGCAAACAAGTGATCGTGAACGCCAAAAAAGGCTGCAACCTCTCGCGGTAGACTGGCATTCTTTTCATTAGACGGCGATGTCTATGGCTGGCCTTCAGTTTCAGCTGAGGGCTATTGTTGCAGGGCAAGGTTAAAGAGGTGAGGCTGAGATACTATGTGCAAGGTTCTAGGTATCTGGCACTCGTCATTGTTGGGGCTTGTGCTCTTCACTAATCGTAGGTGGCAGCAAAGGCATGCTTGCACGGGAGAAGGTGAGTGAGGTGCGACGACGAGGACTAGTGATAAAATTTACCAGTAGTTGGTAATTTCGAGGAGGACAGCGACGTCGGGTATTCGGGTACTCAGTACGAATAGTGAATGAATTGACTCAAATTTTTCTCACGATCCAAGTCACTGCATGAATATATTTGTGCTGCGTGCATACGCGCATGAGTTCCTGCAAAGACATGTGCGGGAATGCTCTCGGAAGAAGGACCGATGACTTGCCGTGATGTGATGTGATGATGTGAAAACAGAGGCGCGCTTGGCTTTTGCGTCGCCCCAGGTATTGGGAAAGTCTCGGCGCTTTTCCGCTTCACCTCTGCTGGAGTGAGTACTGGTACCAGTACAATGCAAACGCCGAAAGTCTTGGCAGTCATTCAAGGAGGCCTGTCGAAGGCCCCCCCCCCCGTCCATCTCTGTCCCAAGATCTTGGCGGGCGGTGGTGCATTTTGTCGTGAGCCAGGGTGAAGCCAGCAGGTTGCTTGGCGTCGCTCTGGGATTTGGCGGGCGGATGGGTGGTGGGTGGCTGTTCTGGAGCTGGGGGCTATCGGGGGCCGCAGCGCGATGGAGCTGACGATTTGATGCTCCATTCAAGTGGGTGATGGCTGTCCATGTATGCTGTATCCACAGAGGGTTCAAGGTCAGGCCAGCGGAGGAGGAGGAGTAGGCGAGAAGTATTGCAGATTAGAGTGGGCATTTGCTTTGTTGACGGGAAGTGGGAGATGGAGATGGGCAAGGTTGGCCGGAGGGGAATGCTGGCTGGAGGGGAATGCTGTGTGCCGCCCGCATCCCAAGGAGGAGGAAAAGGGGAGAGAGAGAGAGATGAGATCTGTTCCGAGGCCGGGCCACGGCGCGCGCAAAGGGGGGGGGGGCTACATAGACGGGACGACGTTGAGCGTGCTGTCTAGATTAGCAGAGGTTTCAACGGTTTGTGAGGATATCCACTGATGGGCGGGGAAGTTCATGCATTCATTACTTGAAAATTCTACATAGATATTTTTCCGTAGTAAAATGAAAGTCTGCAGTACGTGCTCCATTGCCGACACGAGAAGTCGGTTCATTAAACAGATGGAATGTCGGTTTTTCTTCTTTTTTGCACCAAGGATTGCTGGTGAAACATGGACACGACAAATGTCTCTCGGTAGCTATTTACGGAGAGCCTGTGCAAAGGGACGGGGGAGAGCAGAAGGGGCTGCTAGGAGGTACCTGTTAGCCGGGCTTGTTTCTTGTTCTCTCTTCCCGACCTTTTTTCCGGTCCGACATCTAGAAGCCAGTGCTTTTCGGTCTCTTTCCTGCAGGACAATGCAATGAGGAGGAGCACGGCCTACTAGTGTGGGATGGATGGATGGATGGATGGATGGATGGATGGATGGGTGCGTGCGAGCTCGCCTCAGCTGATAGTCGCCAATTGGACATGGCGCAAAGTTTAAAATGTTTGGTCAAACAAGATAGCGGGCGCAACGGTCAACCAACCGAGGGGGGGAGGGGGGATAGGAAATAGATAGTTGGGATGCAACAGTGCAATAAAGCAGTAGGAAGATGGAACAGTGTACGCCCAAACGAGGTCCGGAGGCAGGCTGTCAAGATCCCATTGGCTCGGCACTTGGTTCTTCTGGGACACACGTGTGCGGATTCGCTGCGGAACGATGCACTGGGACGAGACAAGGGTGGTGTTGTGCTTTGTTTTGTTTGTGGCGGACCGTTGGAGAGCGCCGATTTATCCAGATGCATGGTGCCGGTTAAAAAGGGTATCGTTTTATTGATTTTTGTTTACCTTTTTCTCTGTTGCAGTTTTTTCCAAGTTTGCCGCTTTCCCCCAACGTCTGTCAATCCATGGCGATACTTATTATTAGCTAAGACACATCCTTACCAATAATGAAGTCGTCCTAGCAGGGTGACTAAAAAGTGGCGAACAAGCATCAGCAGCCAGCTTGTCTCTCTCAGTCCCAGCGACGACAACTACTTGCTCCAAAACTACCCACATCATCAGACCGAGTCCACTTTGGAATAAACCTTGTGAACTGCTTTGGAGGCGCAAGTCAATGCCAAGAGTTTTTTTCTTGCAAGTTCGTTCCAAGCCAAGACCAGCCTTTGCTTGTTTGCTACGTCTGCCCCGACCCGACAGAATGTATCGGAGAAGCCAGCCCCAATCTCACTCCAGTCTTGTCGGCGGCTTTTCTGCGTCCCGATTTCTTTTTTTTTTTTCAATTTAATTTCTTAATTTCTTTCTATTACTCCTTTTCACTCATCTCAATTTTACAAATATAACCTGCATTTATTTCCAGGCAGTCGACCATCTGTCCCACCACGGTCGCACCTTCCCGTTTGTTGCCAGACCAGGTCCCTCCTCAGCCTTCAGCCTCTTTTCTTCAGCCGAAAACTCGATTCATCCATCACCTGCTGCATCCATACCACTCTTCTGGCTCACTAGGGAATGATACAGTACCCAAAACTTGCATTTTCTTTTATCTTAGTTCTTGTTGACTTGGGAACTTGTTGGTACTGCTCGACCGACGTCGTCATATGTAACTCGACAGGCTTTACTTTTCATCCCCCGTCTTGATCATATTATCATCACTATCACCATCACCATCATTACCATCATCAACTCGGCTTCGTCTTCTCGTTTCCCTGCCTCATTCGATTGCTTCCCCCACCAGTCGACGCCGCGCCGCCGCCACAAAGCAAGCTGCCTATCGTCATCCCACTGCGACGCCGCCCACCCGCCGTCTCCGTGGCCGCCGTCGCCCGCCATAACGCCCTCCCTTCTCCGCAAACGCCGCCAAGCGACTGGGATCCAAACAGGGCCTCGATCATTTCCCTCCGCCCAACGTTAATTCAAGCCATCAAGCAGTCCTCAACCCAAACCAAAACAGGCAACGACCACAAAAAACTGCCTCGACTTCGTGGCCTTGATTGGCCCGCCGCCCCGGTACTTCCACCGTCGGTCGCCACGAGTCCACGACTCAAGTCACAATCAGAGTCCCTCATTCAGCCAAAGATTTGGGATGCGCCATCCGCGCTATTGACTTGGATCTTGTCTTGTCGCCGTTTTTTTTTTAATTATTCGCACATTTCTCCTTTTCTTATCAATCGCAGACCACCCCGCGCGCCCAGGCCTCGCTTCTTCTTCTTGGACTCCTCCCCGTCATCATCGCGACCTTGGCAGTCCTCGGCGCCCGCTGCATAATCCCGCGTCTCCCCGCCATCACGATACTGCGACTTTCTGTCTGTTTCATTGCGGTGTTACTATTCTTGCGACGACAGCATACAATCAGAGAATCTTGAACAACACCCTTACTCATCCGCAGCACGCCCGCTCTTCCGCACGCCACCAATCAAACCCATGCGCACATATCTCGAGTCCCTCTTATATCCTCCCGCTGTCATGCATCTCGCACGATCCAGTTCAACCGTCTTTTCGCATTGTTAGACCATTTACGACACTAGCTTCATTGCGCGTCAATTCTACTCGACGGCGCTTGGCTTTACACGCCTCCTGCGCCGCCATGATCTCCCCTTCACCCTCAGCCGCTACTCCTCCTACCACTTCTCCCCATCTTGGCCACACTCTTCCTCCTCATTCACCCGCCGCCTCCGACTCCGCCCAAACTCCAGTTGACGAAGTTCGTCCCTGTCCTGTCTCTAAGCTGACCGACGACGACGAAAACGCCAGCCATGGGTCCGCCAGCATGCATCTTCCGCCCCCATTGAAGATCAGAGACCGACTGAGGCACTTCAATGGCATGCTCGTATTTTTTATGCTATATATGGCACTGTGTGCCTTCAACTACGGCTTTGATGTTGGCACCTTTAGCGGTGTCCAAGGCATGGACAGCTTTACTCGACGTTTTGGCGAATACAATGAACTCAAGAACAGATTTTCCATCCCCCCATGGCTCCTTTCCATCATGACCGCCACTCCATTCCTTGGGAAAGCCGTCGGATGTATCATTTGTGGTCCCATTGCCGAGAAATGGGGTCGCAAGTTCGCCATCTTCGGCCTTTGCATCCTGTCATTTATGTACGTCTTACCCTCTTTTGCTGCAGCTCCTCCTCTCTAACTTGTCAGTGGCGTCACCCTTCAAACCTCGGCCGCCTCCGCTGCCCAGTTCACCGTCGGTCGCATTTTCACCTTTGCCATGACTGGCATGACCATTGTGGTGGTCCCCATCTTCCAAGCTGAAGCCTCGCCTCGTGTGCTTCGCGGCATGTTTGGGTCTACATTACAAGCCATGGTTATCTTTGGCCAAGTCGTTTCCACACTAGTCACATACGGTACCGAGACGATACAGACTGCTGCAGGCTGGCGTATACCCATCGGGCTTCAATTCATTGCCCCTTGTCTGCTCTGCGCAATGCTCTACTTCTTACCTGAATCTCCTCGCTGGCTGTTAAGTCACGGTCGGCGCGAAGAAGCCATACAGAGCCTAGCCAAGTTCCGAAAGAGGACGACGGTCGAGGAAGTTGGCGTCGAGCTTAACGGCATCGCCCTTTCTCATCACCGAGAAAACCAGGGAACTTGGGCCGAAGTTTTCAACCAGGAAAACCGTCTGCGTACTGGCGTCGCGACCCTCGCTATGTTTGGTCAGCAGATTACCGGCCAGGCCTTTGCCTCGCAATACGCCGTCGTCTTTTACCAGTCCCAAGGGTTTGGAGCTTCGGCCTTCCTTTTCAACGTCCTCAACAGCGTCATTAGCTTGGTTGCTGTTATGATCACCTGGCTATTTGTAGACTCGACTGGTCGCCGGCCTGTTCTTCTCGTCGGCGGTGCTTTTATGTCCTTTTTCTTCTTCCTTCTTGGAGGCATCGGCAGCATGGACCCAGGCAAAAGAAGTGACGACATGAAAAACCTCATGGTTGCCTGTCTCATGCTCTTCTACTTCTTCTACAACCTCTCATGGGCGCCTGTCTCGTACATTGTCGTGTCGGAAGTTGCGGCACAGCGTGTTCGAGAAAAGACGAACCTTTTCGCCTGCGTCATCTCCGTCCTGACCACGTTTGTCACTTCCTATACCATTCCATATCTCATCTCGGATAAGGGCGCCAATCTTGGCGCAAAGGTCGGTTACATTTACGGCTCCACGAGTCTCATCATGATCATTGTTACGTACTTTTTCATCCCTGAGCTCAAAGGACGCCAGCTGGAGGAAGTCGACCAGCTGTTTGCGAGTGGCTTGCCGCTTCGACGGTTTGGAAAAATCCCCACGCGAAGCCCGCAAGAAGTGTATCGCATCGAACTGGAGCGACAGGGACATCTGGAAGAAGAAGCCCGTCAGATGCAAGAGAGGGCAGCGGCACAGTCTGGTGGTGACAGGAATGAAAAAGAATCAGGAAGTCACACGCGCACCGAGGCTGTCTGACCGACTTGTACTTTTCTTTTTTCGGCAACGTAAATACTTGGCATAGTGCAGGAGCACAGCAATGGGGATCACGTACATAGCACTGCACGGTGTCATTTCCAATACATGAGCGTTTGATTACATTTTTCTTGTAGCTTTATTGAACATTTTAATCTCATTTGCTTGTGCATTGCGTGACGTCGGGATGCAGAGCCCCAGATCTGTGTAACGCGATCTACGATCTGCGATCTGGGGCAACCTGTTTCGGTCCGGGATAAGGCTGGATCGAGTGCGACAATACTACCAAGACGTTGATTGCTTTGTGTAAAAAGATTAGATTTGAAGTTTATATACGAAGAAGCCGGGGAATCGACCCGCCACAGTCTACTAAAATTAAGTTGTGTCTCGTGTCTCTATCTATTTTCGCCTCATGTACCACCCACCACGTCTCTCTCTGTCACCCTGGCCTCCTGTCGCCCTGTCAGACGCTCAACTTTACAGCTCCTGCTTGAGGAAGTCCAGGATGCGGTTGTACGTCTCGACGTGGGAGTAGCCAAAGTTGAGACCATGACCGGCCCCGGGGACAATACTCGTCTTGAACGCGGCCGCCTTGCTGAACATGGGCTTCGACATGGCCAGGATGTTCGGCGCGTCCCCCCCCACGACCTTGTTGCAGTTGCCGCCGCAAAACGGCACGTCCATCTCGCCCGTGATGATCAGCACCTTGCCCGCAAACTCGCTCGGCACGGCCGCGCCGTCGGCGACGGTCAGCAGCTCGCCCAGCGCCGCCGGCTGGCCCTTGTCCGTGGCCTCGCGCAGCATCTCCTCGGAGAAGTCGCCCGGCGCGAAGAAGTCAATCTGCACGCCGATGGAGTCCTTCGGCGCGACGTACCCGGTGGCGTACCGGCGCTTGAGGTCCTCGGACACGGCAGCGACGGGGGCGAAGTCGGCGCCGAGGGCGAAGAGGGCCATGTACCCGGGCGCCTGCGAGAAGCCCGTGAGGACGATCGCGTCCGCGTCGGCGGGGTGCCTGGACGACAGGGCGTAGGTCATGGCGGACCCGAACGAGTGGCCGACGTGCACCGTCCGGGAGAACCTGTGCCCCTCGAGGCCGCAGAGGCGGGCGTCGGCGGCGCGGAGGGTGAGCTGGTGCAGGGCCTCGACTTCGAGGGCGAGCTGGATCTCCTGGACGGGGTCGCCGTGGGAGGAGGCGGCGATGCCGAGGCGGTCCCAGGAGAGGGTGGAGTGGCCGGCGGCGAGGGCGCGGGCGACGTAGGAGTAGTTGAAGCCGGCGAGGGGGAAGTCCCAGTAGCTGCGGTCGAAGCCGACGCCGTGGGTGAGGATCTGCAGGGTGTCGGAGGGCCCGGAGGGGGGGTGGCAGACAGTGGCGGCGAGGGTGTAGTCTTTGTGAATCTTGGTGTTGTTCTGATGAATCTGTCAGTATGTTTCTTCTTCTTCTTCTTTTTCCTTCTCCCCTCTCTTCTTTCCTTCTCTTCTTGAAAGCCAGCTGGGTGGGAGCAGCAACATACACTAGTAACAATGCGCGTCATAAAGTCGTCGCCGTGGCGCGTAAAGTCGAGGAAAAAGTTGGTCGTGTCAATCTCCTTGTCGGTGGGCGTGTAGTCGAAATGCTTGAGGGTGGCGTCGACGGTGACGGGCACTTGAATGTCGTGGCAGTTCTTGCCGCCGTGGGCATCAAAAGCCACGACGGCGGCGGCTGAGGCGGCACCGATGAGGGCCGCCGAGGTGAGAGCGAGTTTATACATGGTTGTTACAAAGGGGAATGAATATACAAGAGCGAAAGAGAAGATGGCCGGGGGTATATGTGTGAGCTGGGATGGCACAAAGGAGAGAAAAAGAAAGGGGACGCAGTCTTATATGCGTCCATGAGAGAGGCGGCAGCTATCTAGCTCCACGGCTCGGGCTACATGCATTGGCTCATTTTTCCTTTTTCTCATCATCTGGGGAGATCCCGAATCCATGATCCAAGACATGCTCTTCCGTGCAACTGGCTAAAATAGCCTTGTTGACAAGCCCGCCTAACCGGTCATGGCTCGCCCATGCAGGAGGCACTGCACATCAAGGACGATGCCAGCGTTGCATTGCATGAGATGAAGGGTGTGTGTGTCTAAGTGGAATCCCCTTTTTCCTTGTTGCTTTTCAAGCCGAGCTACAATGTAGTTGTCAATTGTCAACTGTCGGTTGTTGTCATTGCGGAACCTCTCTTCCAAATCATTGAGCCTGGTTCGAGCGCGGGAGAGCAACAATTGGGGGGGCTATGATGTCCACCACCCGCCCCCAAGTGATGATCTATCTACCCGGAGAGGTAGTTTGTTTTCGATCCATTCTTGGTGATTTGACAAATTAGAAAAACAGGGTAAACAGGCTAGCGTGATATAATTGGGGGACCCCTCGAAGGACACGGATGTAAAGAGTAGGGGCAATTCGTCAGGAAACCAAGTCGACAGGCGGTAGGACGTTTCCCTCCAAGTTAGTTTATGATGCTGAGACATGCTCGAAGCTGGTCACTGGTAGCGTTGCTTTTTGGTTCCTTCTTGCGCGGAATTAGATTGATTATTATTCCAGTTCGGCATTCGCGCCGCCGCCGGCCTAGCCTTGCCTTGTTATTCCTTGTTCAATGTCCTTTAGGTTCTGCATTTGTCACGACAACATTCAGAGCCTCGCCGATCGATCCATGCCGTCATAGTACGGGCTATCTTACGCTAGAACCACCACCATGTTTACAGAGAGAGGACTGCTATACTTTCGATTTTCGCCTGCTCGTTCTCTTTCCATAGGGTTCAGCTGCACGTCATGAGATGGTGATGCACCCCCCCTGGCTTGACCCTTGCACGAGTCCGCTCCGACGCTGACGGGAGAATCTGGCTCCGGGAATTGGTGTCTCAGACAGACCGGCGGACGGAGGGAGACCCTACTGCAGACAGGCAGGCAGGGCAGACTTTGCGCTCGACATGGATCAAGCTGGAACAATGCAGGGCCGAGGATGCAGTTTGCATCAAGATTAGATGGGAGGGAGAGCTGCAAGGTGCCTTCATCTCAGGGATGCATCAGTCAAAGCCAACTGGTATTTCCGAGAGGATGGACGGGCAACAACATTTTTAACAGAGGTAAACAATGGCCATCCGGAGCTTCTATTCCTCAGTTCCAGTAGCCTAGTTACTTACTTACTGGCATCGTTCAGTTCGCTGGAGAATGAAATCGGGAATAAACTCTCCCGGTGCGGTTGGTGTCTATTAGCGGCTGCCTTGTCTCTCCATCAAGTGCCTAACTAACTACCTACTCGGTATAGGTAGCTTCCTAGAGGGCGAACATCGTCAAGCCATGACGTCGCTAGCGAGAATCTACGACGCTACCTAAATCGCGACATCACTGGGGAAATGACGGTTTTGTTTTGGTGTTTGTGCGTGGCCATTATGGAAGTATGTTGACAGCATCTTGTGTTGAGCCAGTTCAGCCCAAATGCAGTCCTACTGCAGTCTCAATATCTTGCTTCCTTTTTACCAGACCAGCCTTCGCTCCCTGCTGTGGCAATACACGGCCGGGAACGCCACTTGCTTCTTTGCTTTTGTTCCTCCATGTCAGTCAGCCTGGTGCTGGCGGCACAGCACACCGCCCCTACCATGTAGGGGAAGCACAGCACAGCTGGACTTTGGTGCGAGGGAGCAGGGATGAAATTATGCTCGATGCCGGGACGAAAACGATCGAGTAGTTAGTCGATGCGTTCCAAGTTGCTGTAAACACCCCGGCTGTGGCACAGCGCCACCACCAAATGCCATCCTGTAACACGCCGATCATCAACCCCGCAAACTGCCCAGCCATCTATGTCGTTGTCGCTTGTCTCGCTCGGGCCTTTCCTTCTCCCCGGCAACACCATGACAACCATCGACATCCGCGATACCGAGCACTGGGCGGCCCTGCTGCGCACCGAGCCGCGCCGCCCGGTGCTCGTCCATCTCAACGGCGACACCACCTGGCTGCTGCAGCTCCCCTGCCCTCCGAGCGGCGGCACGCGGCGGCGCAGAAGTCACTTCAACCTGCTCATCGACCCGTGGCTGCACGGCCCGCAGAGCGACGTCGCACCGTGGTTCAGCACCCAGCGCCACGTCGTCGCCCCCGCGGTGCCGTCCCTGGCGGCCCTGCAGGCACTCTTGCGAGAGCTCGACGACGATCCGGACGCCGCCGCCGGGAATCCGGAGCCGGACGGGGACCCCCGGGCGATGATCCACGCCGTCGCCGTCTCGCACGAGTTCACCGACCACTGCCACCGCGCCACCCTACAGGAGCTGCCCCGCGACACGCCCGTCTACGCCGCCGACGCCGCCGCCGAGCTCATCCGCAGCTGGCACTTCTTCGACGCCGTCACCACCGCCCCCGGGCTTCTCGCCGGCACTCCGTGGCGGTCCCTCCCCGGCACCCTGCTGCCCGCGTGGCTGCGCGTCGGCCGCCTCGTCACGCCCGGCAACTCGCTGTACTACCACTCCGCCCTCGTCGTCGCCTTCGACCTGGGCGCCGGCACCCACGCCGAGGCGGTCGTCTACTCGCCGCACGGCGTCGCCGCGCGCGACCTCTCCGCCGCCCTCGCCGGGAACAAGGAAGAAGAAGACCTCGCGGCGCTCGCGGTGCTGCATGGGCTGCACGACGTGCGTCTGGCGCCGTTCGTCAGGCAGCTGAACCTGGGCGCGCTCAACGGCGTCGAGGCGGTGCGCGCGGCCCGGGCAAGATACTGGGTCGGCACGCACGACGAGGAGAAGAAGGGGAGGGGGCTGATCGCGCCGCTGCTGCGCCGCACGCGGTACACCCTCCGGCACGCCGTGGCGCACGACGAGAAGAGGCGAAGCAGGGAAGCCGGTGGTGGTGGAAGAGAGGACGAGGAGCCCGGATACGTGTTCAAGGAGTTGGCGTCTGGAGAGGCTCTGCTGTTGAAATGAGTCCGTTTTCCTCTTCATTCTATAAGATGTTCTCAGATACCCTCTTCTTCTCGCCCCTCCCCCCCAAGCAAAATAGACGGCATTCTATACATCCAACACTCTCTCCTCCACCTACAGCTCCTCCTTGGCTGCCTGCTCCTGCATCAGCTGCATCACCAATCCCGCACCCGCCACCTGCCCCGTCTGCAGCGCCTGCACCACGCTCCTCATCGCCGCCACCGCGTCCCCCGCCGCGAAGCACCCGTCCACGCTCGTCTCCCCCGGGCCCCTGAGCACCACCAGCCGCCCGCCCGCCATCTCCTCCTCCCGCGTCTCCAGCCCCAGCCCCAGTTGCCCTGCGAGCAACGGCGCTGCCGCCTGCGCCGTCAGCGGGTGGCTCGCCACGAACGCCTCCTCGCGGCGCGTCCCGTCCGCCAGCGTCACCACCACCGCGCTCGACGCCGGCCAGTCCCGGAGCGCCAGCCGCGCAATCTTGCGCGTCTCCACCGTCGTTGCATCGGAGTTGCAGAACGCGGCAGCGAGGGTTGCGTCGCCGTCGGTGTAGATGGTGGTGTGCGCGGCGAGGCGCTTCGTCAGGAGGCTGACGTGCGTCAGGGCCGCGGGCGAGGAGAGCAGCCCAACGCCGAGGACCCCCACGGACTCGGCGCCACGCTCCTCGAAGCCGTCGCAGAACAAGCAGTGGAAGCTTCGTCCCCGTCTTATCAGCTCACTGCTCTCCATCTCTCAGGGTAGTTTACTCACATGCCACGCCCCCAGCAGTCCGCGTAGCCCTCCACCTGCTCCTCCACCTTATCCCGGACTCCCGTCGCCAGACCCAGCTTCCTGCCGTAGTACACGTTACCCTCCGCGTCCTCTGCCTCAAAACCAGCCGCCGCCGCCGCCGCCGCTGTCGCTCGACGCACCTCCACGATGGCCGTGCCGTCGCGGAACGCAATCGACGGGTACCGCGCCTCCAGGTCGGCGCGCACCTTGGCGCGGAAGGCGGCGGGCGGCGCGTGGTCGAAGCCCGGCACGTTGTGCATGTGCGCGGCGCGCGCGTTACGGTAGGCGCCCGAGTCGAGGACCAGCGCCGAGAAGGCCTGCCGCGCGAGCGTGGTGGCCATGGAGAGGCCGGCGGGACCGCCGCCGATGATGAGGACGTCGTATACGTGAGGCATTGTGTAGCCGTGCTTCTGGTTTTTGTATGAAGTTGAGGTGGATTTGTCTCGAGTGCTCATGTGTGTGTGTGTGTGTACATTCTTACCGCCCTCGAAGCGCTCAACCGGCTGGCTTTTATACTCCCGGCCCCTCGGCGACAATTGAAGGCCCCCCGAGCGAGCGCGAGGACAAAGTCTCCGGGAGTGGGGCCGGACCCGGAGACAGCGGCCGCGGAAGGTCGGAGCACAAAAAGTCTCCGAGAGGTACGCATTATGCTATCGCCCTGAAATACGCTGTAAAGATTTGTCTTTCTTCTGACCGGAGGCATCTTTATTCGCCAAAACTTGCTCACGGAACCTACAGTCACAAGAGCGCTCTGCAAGTGCATAGTGAACAGCCATCAAGGTGGCTCACAAGGGTGCATTCGTCGCCTTACAAACATACGGACTGCAGCGCCAACCGCACTTGCAGATCATTAATCAAGTTCAGTGCGGATGAGCTATTCTAAATGAATATAACAATTCTATATTCTTTGAACACTGTTACATTAATGACATGATGAATATATGTTGTAGAAATCTATGTGCTGTCAATCAACAACAGAATACGGCTACAAGAAAGGAAAACTCCAATCGCAATCCAAAACATCGCTAATCCATGCCATAAACTACCAAAGAATCATACTGGGCTTTAGAGACCAGTCCGGAGGTTATTACACCTCGTTTCCAATATTTTTGCCAGATCCCAACGGAACACGGGGGGATCCTCAGCGGACCTGCTACAAGTCGTTGCCCACCATGACCCAAGCAGATGAAGGATCGGCAGCAAAATCCTGTGTGCTGGTGGGAGTATCGTACATTTCGCTATCAGAGAGTAGGTCAAACTCCTCTGAGTCCAGAATCAAATCGGGAGGTTGTGACGCATCAACATCAACGGAGCCTTGCGAGCCAGCTAGCTCATATATGACCCGGAGAGGAGGAACTGAATCTTGGGAGGACGCATGTTGAATGATGTCCTCGGGGGACGCTTGTTGAGAAGCAAAGAAATACCGAGCGATGGCTTCGTCATCTCCAATGTCAGAAAACGACAGGTTGAGAGCCAGAGGAGGCTCCAGGGAATATGTTTGACCGTTGCGACGACCCTGTTTGCCATTCTTGCGCGCCCGCTTGGCAGGGCGGACAACGTAGGTCGGTTCGCTGTGGCGAATGCTGTTCAGCTCGAGGGAACCCCCAGCGGCCTCCCCATCGTTATAGAGAAGACCCTTTTGGTAGAGTCGGGCGACCTGAGCATCCTCGGAAAACGAAGGTCGTCGTACACGGGGATTACTCTTAGCCGTAGAGGCGTGGTAGAAGGCTTCCTGGCGCTCCAAGGAGGGACAGCGGCGGTAGTTGCCTTCACCCGGTAGAGGGATATCGCTGCGGGCAATCTCAACGTCGTTATCGAGCTCGCCGTGGTAGTATCTGTTGCGGGTGTGTTGGCGACCGTTGCTGACTCGGGCCGCGGCCCTCCGGGTTTCGAGGCGGCCAGGACGAGGCCGGTGAGCAACCGGGGGGATTTGGTTGGCGGTTGATTCGGTGTCCATGGTGAGCAAAATATATAGGAGATGACTGTAGTAGGAAGATGTCGGGAGAAGCAGATGGAACTGGACAACGTGTCGTTGTAGTTTGGCCGATGAGTAAACGGTCGAAGTGGAGAGACTCAGTAGGTGGGCGGCTAGGAGGTGGTTGTTGAAGATGACAAGTAAAGGGCGTCGAGATGTCGAGGAGAGAGACTCGAGGCGCCAACAGCTGTTCGAAGATGGTGGAAGATAGGTCAATCACAGGGCGCGGAAGCAGCGGTGCGGGTGTGAGAAGGTGAGGAAGGCTGGTTGCGACCAGCTATGTATAAGCAGCAGGCAGGTGATGTGGCAGGCAGATGGCAGGCTGGCCGGTAGTAGCCACGGAGGCGACCTTTGTAGGTATACCAGAACCGCACTGGCCCTGTGTCGCTCGCTATCCGGGGTCGAGAACCAAGGGGAAGCCGGTCCCGTTTGGGCCTTGAGGCGAAACAGGACAAAGCTGATTGGGTCATGTTGATGTCATAAGACTGACCTGGGTGCTTATCTTGGGCCAAGGGCGAATGAAAGCGGCGTCTTGGGCCCGTGACTCACAAGCCAGCCAACCAGCCAACCGTTTGGCGATGGCGCAAGCGTGTGACTCGGGTGGCGCAGTCACAGAGTGCCAGCGCCAGCGCAACAACGCAACTTTGTCTTCTTGGGAGCTGCTGGCAACACAAGGCTGGCTGGTTGACTTGCAAGTTCTGCCCCGATTCCATCATCTGCTGCTCATTTCTACCCATCTCTGACAGCTTTCCCATCATGTTGCCTTGGTCCCTCGGACCCCGGCTTCCAGGCCCAGGCTTCCTTTCTCAGCCTCATCTCTGTCACATGCGCCACACTACCCGACTCAAGCTGCTTATGTAATGATTCGCTCTCTAACAGCAGGCAGTTTCACTCACGGCCTGCGGCGTTGCAAATAAAAAGATGGCATAAAACTGATGAGTTATTGGTAGCTGTGTAGCGAGTCTAATAATTACACGTAATTCATGTATCCCAAGCGCACAAAGCCGCATGCACCAGCGTCATCATTGCAGCCCAACTACACTACTGGTACCTCCCAAAAGCACCGAGTACAGTTACAGTTAAAGTTGTACTCGGGGCTCTCTACCTGGCCCAGCTGACAGGCGGCAGCCTGGCAGGCACCAGCCCGCATGACAGCTCTACTATCATACCAAGACGGGGGGGAAATAATCCAGTAACTGCATAAGATGATTACCTTTTGCATGCTTTTCGGCCTGACCGTCTACGCCTTATAAAAACTTCGCCTTCACAGTCCGTACCCAAGGTGAGCCTCGGCCGTACCTCTCAGTGGGGCGCAGGCGGCTGTCTGCATGCAGGTGCCTCGGCTGCTGCCGGCGATCGATCCACGATTCTCCCTGAGACCTGCGGTATTGTCGCGCTTTGCGCTGAAATCACGGTGCGCATCAAGCCTTTGTGTGTGTAACTGACTTCATTTTCCAATGATTGTTTCTGCTTTGTGTGCTGATGCGTTAACGATGGCTCTTCTCCATCGTCGCTTCCGTGTCTCGAGTCGCCGGCTTGCCATCAGCGTGAAAAGTACCTCAGACAGTTGCATATTGTACAAGATAGTTTTACACAACAGTCAAATTATTGGGAAAAGCGAAACTCTGACTACTTGATGGGGCAAACTTAAGCTCCTATCCCGACTCTTTCACTTCCTAGGACCAGCACATGCGTACACATTTCAAATACTTGACTTTAGCTGGGGTCGGGCTATGAATACGATTCTACGGCGAGCAATCATCATATTGACCAGACTCAGCTGTCGCAGAGCTATAAATAGTCGTGATAATCGGCGGGTGGCAGAAAAGACGCCCACCAAGAAGCGTGTGATGCCAAAAGTGTCATCACTGTCGCCAAGCTGCCCAATATGCGTCTGCCTGCCCAACTAAATACAGCCTTCCTCTACAGAAAGTTAAGCTTAAGTGGCATGCATTTAAGCGCACGTATCTGCCATAAAATTTAGACAAGAATTGAAGCACGTTCTGAGACCACACTCGACCTGTCTCTGTTGGGCAGCCAAAGATGCAGTATCGCGGTGGTAATATACCATATTCACTCCGCCTATTCCGCAACCAAATCTAAATTTATGGCTGCCCATGTCAAATACTCCATAAAGTTGTGAAGAGGGGTGTCCGGGTGAACGGTTGCCTCTGCGTTGTGCTTCCCGGTGGTTGTTCATTTAAGCGTCGTCGCCTTGCCATGTTCGATCAAGATGCTTTATATTTGCCACCTTATGGATTACCCCCTGAGCTAATAAAGACGACTGGTCAGTGCCATCAGTCAATCTTAGTGTGCATTGTTTGGAGTTTCGCGAGCTTTGGAGAGGCAACCCAATTTGCCCATCTGTCTAGGGTAAGCCGAGTTCCAAGGTTCGCTGAGAAAGTGAATGATTCGCTGTGGCCTGCGTCGTTTTCATTGTGTAAAGTCGAGTTTTCTTTTTGTTTGATGCTGCGCATCAGTGTACACTTCCAAGAGGGGTCAACTAAGAACGATAAATGTATGTCAAGGACTGGAAAATGCGATTAGCAAAACCGTACAGTGTGTGCCCCTATTTAATTGAGAAGAGGCTTCGACCGCCATTGATGTGTGGAGGGAATGAGCACCGCAATTTCATCAAAACCGGAAATCATCAGAGTACCTGAATATTCAGACCAGCTACTCCGGGGGAGTTCAGCTACTCCGCCGGAGCGGCCCGACGAGCCCGACATCGGGCCACTCACCTCGCTTCGCGCAACTCGGGCTTCAACCAACATCAGCCTGCTTGGTCGACTAGGGCCGATCCTCGTCATCGTCGCCAACAGCTGCTCTTAGGGGGTTGAAGCTGGGTAACGAGTTGCTTTTAGGGGAAATCGAAACGCGGGGGAACATGTAGGGCGTGGAAAAGAGGAGATTAACATTGGGTGCGCGGGGATCAGTGCGCCCGGCCTGAAATTCTTCGTCTTTTTCCCCATGGGGAGGGACCTTGAGGGGCCCCCAGGTTTCACGGTCACTATTCTTATTATTAGCCGTTTCTATTTGGCTTTGAAGTTGCGCCATGTGTGTTGCGCCCGCGGATTGCCGAACCCAGCATATTCATAAGCGTAATGGATCGCCCGCCCGCAAATCAGAGTCTTTGACGCATCGCGGTCCGCGTCGACGCGTGTGGCTTTTTCGCCCCGGGGGGTTCCGCTGCCTGCGCCCGCCCTTTAGACCGTCTGGAAACGATCTAGAAGCCCGACATTCTATGGGGCTCGAGGTCGCTTCCGTCACTATTCTTCGAAATAGGCCCGTCATGATTTCCCAGCCGCCTCGGATCTCGACGTTGTTGTCTCTCGTATTGCAACCTAATCATGGGTTGGCCAAAAAGGCCCACCAACAGCAGTGTTGCATCGCAGCCTTCCCATGGTCCCTTCCCCCACTGGGGGTGGCACTTCTTTTTTTTTTTTTTTTATAAATGTTTTAATAGAGTTGTGCGCTCGAAGACCGCTAGATGTTGAAGCGTCAGCTCCATAAGTTTAACGAGCGGGCATGCAGTAGCTGGCGTTTGCAGGACTGCATGCTGCAAAGGAACGCCACCTGTCAGAGAGCAAGACAGCTGGCGTGAGAAGGTGTTGATGTGGCCTTGGAATGCTCGAGTGCAGGCACATACGGCTCGCACATTCCCACAATTCGCTGTGAAGGCGTCCAGTAGCCGTTGACCATTAACCCGAGTTGCCGACCGTGGTGCGTATCGCCGAGATGTCCAGAGGTCATTGTGCGGGCCGCTGGGTCTCCTCATATGTTACCAGCACATAACATATGCTGGTTGCATTGCGGTTGATGTGGGTGGCTGGTAGTCGTTGCGTAGCCGTGCTGTCATGTTGCAGCGCGACATGGCTGTTAGTTAGCTCGGGGCTTTGTCTTTATTTTCTTTCTTGCCCAGGATTGATTGCCGATCTGGGCGCATGCAGATACCATTCCTTATGAACAAAGAAAATTTTTTCCCTTCTTGGGCGGACGCTACTGCGCCGATTGGTCACTATGCAAGCCATCTTTTTGTGCGACTGTCGAGTCCCAAGCCGGCTGGCTTCTGGCGGCGGCGCATGGCGTGCGCCACCGCGCGGATTTCGCAGGAAATAAGTTTTTGACGGCGGCGAGACCGAAGTCGAAGGAAGGAAAAAAGCACGCTTGCTGTCTGGCCATGGTGCCATCGAAGCAGCTGCAGGATGAGATTCAGCGATGCAAGACGCAGCGTCATGCTAGGCAAGATGCAGAGCAGCAACCACCATCTGGTGTCGACTCGCAGCTTGCAATAAAACATGGCTTCTGGGAGTTGTGAGTTGTCGCTTCGAGGGCGCGCGCGGTCGTTTCCGCTATCAACGTAACAGCAGGAAGCAACAACGCCTCTACATATGGAGAAGGCCAAGGGTCCATGACTCTGCACCATCAGCTGGCGGAATCGGCAGGCGACTTCGGTCAGACGGTGGAGATAATGACGAGGGGACGCAAGGTTTTTCTTCCCATTGCAGTCATCACCCAAACCCCCACAAAGTTTTGCTGCGGGTTAGCCTGGCCTCCTAGGTACGGCGCGAACCCCCCTCATTCGAGCTCTCTATTGCCGTGTTTCCTTGGGGTATTGCACTTTCTTCGTGAGAAGTTGTCGACAGGGGTAGTTCGCTGGGTTGCTGATATTCTCTTGGTATTGGTGCTGCGGCGACGCCCAGCCTCGGACGTGGCGCACTCTGTTGTCGGACCTGGTCTTACCAGTGCCTAGTCTGGGGCTGCTGGGCTGGCCGCGTGCGTCCGGCCACAATGGCCGCCACCCGAAGAATCAATGGGCGGCGCCGCCGCTGGTCCGACTCGGCGACAAAAGCGTGTCTCACACTTCGGCGTGGCTGCAAACGTAGCTGCAACCAAAGCACAGTAGACTTTGGACCGAGCCGCCGTGGCGATGGCGCTATCAAAACTCTTTCACCAGCTGCGGGCTTCTTCTCCCTCCTCTTATCGTAGAGTGGAGGACCCCTTGTAAAAATAATCCTTCTTCGCCATCCTCGTACTGCAAAAAACACCAAACCACCCCCTGGTCCCCTCCCCTCCCCTCCGTTCTGTTGCTCTTAGTCGTGACGGTATCCGCTTTGCTTCTAGGTCTCTCCACTCGGACCATCGCGGAGCAATACTGCACTGCACTGCAGTCCAAGGTGCGTGCCAGGTTCCTGCACTGCGACCACGGGGATTTTCTCGGCCCTAGTTAGTGCTGAAGTCTGATGAATAGATAGATACCGGCAGTCCCTCCACCCTCACGCACCTCTTTTCCCCCATTGTCCTTCTTCATTCTCTCACTGCCCATTCGCTGTTGTTCAGTATTGGTTGCTGGCCTCTGAGCCCCTCGCTACTGCCGTCTGCGTCTCTCGGATCAGCCAAGCACAGCACAAACTGGCACACCGAATTTTTTTCCTCACCTACCCACCGTCAAATTCGACTCCTCCACCTCGCGTGACTCAACGAGAGTTCACGACACCCTACAACCCGAATATTAATACCACACATCGATCGCATCGCATCTGACTGGTCGATTGCCATGGCTCTAGGTCTTTCGGGCAACTCTGCCTCCTCTTCGGAGCCCTCCCCGCGTGGGAGCAACGAGAAGAAGCAACCTCAGGGCAACGAAAAGTCCGTCTTCGTCGATGGCGCTGCCGATATCGAGACCGGGTCAACCGGTGAAGCCCTGAGCCGCGACCTTCATGGGCGCCATCTTCAGTTCATCGCTATCGGTGCTGCTCTGGGAACTGGCCTATTCATTGGTATTGGCTCGGCCTTGGCCATTGCTGGCCCTGGCTCGCTGCTCATCGCGTTCCTTTTCGTCGGCCTCATTGTCTACTCTGTCATGGTAGCTCTCGGTGAAATCGCCTCGTACCTGCCTGTCGCTGGTAGCTTTACCGTGTATGCCGGACGTTTTGTTGATCCCACCCTCGGCTTCTCCATGGGCTGGATTTACTGGTTCAGCTGGGTCATCACTTTCGGTTTAGAGTTGACTGCTGCTGGTCTCATTATCCAGTACTGGAATTCAACCCTCAGCATCGGCATTTGGATTGCTGTCTTTGGCGTAATCTTCACGCTCGCCAACTTCTTGCCCATCCGTTGGTTTGGAGAGGTTGAAATGTATCTCTCAAGTATCAAAGTTGTCACCGTGGTGGGCTTTGTCATTTTTGCAATTTGCGTCAATGCTGGAACTGGACGCGAAGGCTATATCGGCTTCAAATACTGGCGCGAACCCGGCGCCTTCAATGAAGCCTTTGCTAGCGGCGACACCGGCCGGTTTGTCGCTTTCTGGGCGACACTTATTACCGCAGGCTTCAGCTTCCAGGGAACAGAGCTGGTTGCTGTCGGCGCGGGTGAGACAGCGAACCCACGCAAGACGATCCCTTCGGCAATTCGTTGGACGTACTGGGGTATCTTCAGTCTTTTCATCGCCACCGTGTTCTTTGTCGGTATCAACGTCCCATACACTGATGATAGGCTCAACAGTGACGCACATGACGCCAGTGCGTCGCCGCTGGTCCTAGTTGCGATTCGAGCTGGTGTGTCGGTCGTGCCCGACATCATCAACGCTGTCCTGCTCACCGCCGTACTATCTGCCGCCAACTCAGACCTGTACTCGAGCAGTCGTATTCTCATCGGTCTTGCCGAAGATGGCCATGCGCCTCGAATCTTCAAGCGAACCAACAGATTCGGAACCCCGTATTACTCAGTCGGATTCTGCTGCATGTTCGGCTGCCTTGGATTCCTCAATCTTAGCTCAAGTGGCAAGGAAGTCTTCGACTGGCTGCTCAGCATCACCTCGGTTGCGGGCTTCATTACCTGGTCGCTGATCAACTACTGCCACATCCGATTTATGAAGGCGCTCAAGGCGCAGAACGTCGACCGCAGCACGCTGCCATATGTCGCGCCATTCCAGCCCTACCTCTCGTGGTTCGGCCTTTTCTTCAATATTCTGATCATTCTGACTAGTGGTTTCACCGTGTTCATTAAGTGGAATACGAGCAACTTCTTTGCTGCATACGTCAGTGTGCTCATCTTTGTGGTGTTTTATGTTGTTCACAAGGCGGTTTATCGCACCAAGGTTGTACCGTTGACAGAGGTTGATTTGGTCAAGGGCCGATCCCAGTAAACTGGAGGCCTCTTTGCGACAAAGGAGGAAGATGATGTTTCATGGTACCTCATAAGTGCCGCGGATTTGTATATTTATTGATTTCTCGCAAAGTCTTATCCTTGTTAGCATTTTTTTAGGCAGCAGTTGTTAGCATGGCTATTGATGTGGTCGTTGGATATTTTGTAGTAATGATACCTGATGTTAATTGTAGCTTCCTTTGCGGCTTTGCTGTGCTGCGGCTGTTTTGGCAAACAAAAAGTTGTATGCGTGGTTTATGTTCTACAAACACGGTCGAGTTCACCTTGTCCATCAGCTGAGCCACTTCGGCGAGGCTGTGGTGGCGTGGGCATGCCGTTTGTCCGGATGTCGGTCCGCCAACGCCGTCTGCCAGCTGGCAGAAACGAAATGGAACGGTAGCGAGCGGCGGGACTCGCTTGGATTTGTTTCGACCGAAAATACTATGGATTCTACGTTTCACATGCAAAAAACAGCCTGGAATACTCCCATTTCAATAACTACGGATTTTTGTTGAGGCGGAATAGTGGTTCCTGAATAAGATTGTTCCAGGGCGAAACCAAACGCTAGGCCCAAGATGGCATGGTGTACGAGAGAACGGATGCAGCGACGAAGGATGCTGCGTGACGAGGAGCGACGAATTCAAGACGAATGCAAGGCTACCCGGTTGCGCAACTTGGTTATTTTCGGTGAGGGGAACACAAGATGAAATGTGTCTCACTGAAAGCCTCGTTTCAGCGGACTATCGCGTGCGCCACGAGCTGGCGATAGAATACTGCAACTGCCAACTGATAGCGCCAACTCTGAGATCAGCTAGTGCATGGAGAGCGCCACCCTGCAGCTTGCAGTGTCAAGGTTGTAACAACAGAACCAGATGGCTGTGCCTGTGCTGAAGCATATAGACTCATGCCTCGCTTGAGGCGGACGGCCTGTCGCGGCTGGGTTGGGGGATCAAGCCGGCGTCCCCCCTCTAGGCGACGACCCGAGATGGAAAGGGTGCGCGGGGAGCAACACGCCAATCGAGACTCAGCTGGACGCGGGGTACAACGGTGAGACAAGTGACCGGTTGCGCATCTTAGGTTGCCTGGTTGGGTATTGATGCAGTGATAGGGAGTACGGCGCAGAATTCTAATAATGATGTTGTGGTGCTTATCCTTGTTATCAACCCAGACATCACCACCAGGATAGGTAGAATATTGACCGACCTGGTTTTTGTTGAACAAATCACGGCCAATCTATTGCATGTGATTTTCAGCTAACACTCCACAGACCCATCCATCCATCCTCCGACGAACCCAATTCTCCGTACAGGTCAAGCCCTCCTCTGGCACGATTACAGAGCCGATCCTTTTAAATCCCAGGAAGCCGCAAACAACTTTCGGAATCTAACTATCCCTTGTGTGTTTTTTGACTTCAGTCTCTGCCATAGTATCTTGTATGTACGTCACCGCCACTACCCCTCGTCTATTTTCGCCCTTGCCCCTTGTCTAGACCAACTGCTACCCCTTGTCCTGTCGCGTGACGACTTGCCAGAAATTGCACACTAGGCCTCCTTGCCACACCGACACCTCGAGGCTAACTCATCTTTTCTTGTTCTTTCTTTTTTGCAGATTCTCGGTCTGTATTACTGGCCCCGAGCATAGCCAGAATATCTCCCCGGACTTGCCCGCTTGTTTTTTGGTTCTTCTGTGGTGCCACTGGCTGGGGGACGCGGCGACTTACTATAAGAGGACTATCCCCTCCACAAGCACGCCTTCGCTCAACAACTTTTTCTCCTGATAGCAATTGTCCGCAACCATGCCCTACATCGACACGAACAAGGACTTGGCTGCTCAGTTTGAGCTCCAGGCTCAGTCGACGCCTGAAGCAATCGCCCTCGAAGACGGGAACCGCACTCTTACATACGCCCAGCTCGACAGCGAGACATGGGCACTGGCAGACCGCCTGCGCAATTACGGCATTGGCCGTGATAGCCTTGTCGGCGTGCTCATGGGGCGCTGCGCCGACAATGTCATTGCCTCGCTCGCCGCACTTCGAGCGGGTGGTGCGTTTTTGGTTTTGGAGCTCGCCTACCCCTCTGCTCTGCTCCGCGACGTGGTCGAGGATGCGCAACCCACCGTCATTATTACGCAGAAAGCCCATGCCGGCCAGATCAAGTCGGATATCCCCGTCATTATCATCGACCAACCCGAGGGGGTCGCAAATGGCCATCCCGAGATACCAATTGTCGACAAGCGCCCGCTCCCCGATGACGACGACCTCGATCGCTTGGCGTTTGTCTCGTATTCCTCTGGAACTACAGGCAAACCCAAAGGTATCGCCAACCCTCACAGAGCCGCAATTACCTCCTACAACGCGAGGTTCGGTGTTTCCGACCTGCAGCCTGGCGATCGGGTTGCCTGCAACGTCTTCTTCGTCTGGGAGATGCTCCGACCGCTGCTCCGTGGCGCAACGACCGTCGCAATCCCCGATAGCGCTAGCTACGACCCAATTGCTCTCGTTGAGCTTCTCTCCTCCCGCAAAATAACTGATACCCTCATGACCCCCACCCTACTCGCCACAGTCCTCTCGCGGCACCCGAACCTGGGCGAAAAAGTACCCCACCTCAAGTCTCTTTGGCTCAACGGTGAGGTCGTCACGACCGACCTTTGCCGGCGTGCATTTGCTGCCATTCCGAATATTCGTCTTCTCAATGTCTACAGTGCGAGCGAAACCCACGAAGCTGCCGTCGGCGACATTAAAACATTTATCGACTATGAGGCGCGCGTTTGCCCCGTCGGCCCTCCCACCGATCCCGAGCACACGTACATTCTCGATGAGGCTGGCAACCGAGTTGCGCCGGGCGTCAGCGGCGAATTGTACGTTGGTGGTGAGATGCTCGCCCGCGGATACCTCAACCTACCCGAGACTACTCAGAAGGCTTTCCAGCAAAATCCTTTCGAGCACAATCCCAATGCACGCATGTACCGCACCGGTGATATCGCCCGTATTTTGCAATCTGGGCTGCTGGAAATTACCGGTCGCGTCGGTGGTATGATCAAGACACGAGGATACACTGTGCAGCCGGCTGCTGTTGAAGCTAGCATCGTTAAGCACTTGGCGGTTCGCGATTGCGCCGTCGTTGCGACCGGAGAGGGCCTGCAGCGCCAGCTTGTGGCCTACTTTGTCCCGGAAACCAAGGATATTTCCGGACGCACCATTGTGGTCATTGACGACTCAGGATATAGCCCTGTGGCACGACGTGCGCTCACGGACCATTTGGCGCACTACATGATCCCGCCTCTGTGGGTTGAGCTGGTCGAATTACCGACCCACGGGGTCTCGGGCAAAACCGATCTGAAAGCGCTGCCACCGCCGCCCTCGCCAAAGACGCCGCCGCGCCAGAAGAAGCCGGAAACCAACGTGCGAGTCAAGATGGAAACAATTGTGCAAATTTGGGCGGCTGCGCTCGGCATGCCAGAAACCGCTATTGATCCCAAGCTCGACTTTTTCGACCTCGGTGGACATTCCCTCATCCTTGCGGACCTGGCCAATCGCCTATCCAAGGCTTTTGGCTTCCCGGTGCCTCTAGCTCCGCTCGCTGGTAACCCGACGCTGGAGGGCCACCTCGCAGCGGTCAAGGCCGCTCGCGATGGTCACACCGCGGCTGTGCAGGCCGACTTACCGGCTGTTCTTGCTGCCGATTGCGCCCTGCCAGATGACATCCAAGCTCCTGCCGGTTCCAAGATGTGCCGACTGCGCGATGCAGAGACTGTGTTGTTGACGGGCTCCACTGGCTATCTTGGTGCATTTTTGCTCAAGTCTCTGCTCGAGAATACCACGGCCAACATCATTTGTCTTGTGCGATTCACCGAGCCTACAGATGATTGCAGACCGGCTGGTATTGCCCGTGTACGCAAGAACTTGATTGATCTCGGCATCTGGGAAGACTCCATGTTGGATCGCATCGACATCTTCCCCGGCAACCTGGCACGAAAGCGTCTTGGTCTGTCGCCAGAGATGTTTGACGACCTCGCGTCTCGCGCGCAAGTAATCATTCACGCGGCTGCTACTGTCAACCTCGTGTATCCGTATGCTGCCCTCCGCAATGCCAACGTTGGCGGTACTCGAGAGATGCTGCGTCTTGCCTCTCGACACGGAGCAACTCTCCATCACATTTCCACCAACGGCGTGCTCCCGCCCTCGGTTGAGGGATGGTCGGAGGACACCATGATCGACATTGGTCTTGTTCCTACAGACCTTCTCGACGGCTACGGTCAAACCAAGTGGGTTGCAGAAAAGCTCGTGTATGAGGCAGGACGTCGTGGCGTGCCCGTCAAAGTCTATCGTCCCGGCACGATCAGTGGACACTCAACCACTGGCGCCACAAACACCTACGATCTGCTCAACGCTCTCATTGTCGAGTCGCTGCATCTCGGCCACGTTCCCGACGTCGATGGTTGGTTTGCGGAGATGACGCCTGTCGACTTTGTCAGTGATGCTATTACGACTCTGGCGAACCATGATGATGCCAATCAGGGCGTGTATCATGTGGGCGATTCCAAACCTCCGACTGCGGCAAAGATCTTTGAGTGCCTGAATGAGCTTGGGTACGACACCAAGAAGCTCCCGTGGGATGAGTGGGTGGCGATGTGGCAGGAAAAGCGTGGCTCCAATAAGGGCGACGAGCCATTCACTGTCGACATCCTTCGAGGTGGTATGCCCACGGTCGAAGCACTCCAGTGCGTAATGGTCCTCAAGGACGATCAGACCCAAGAAGCACTTGACTTGTACGGAATGAAGCGGCCAAGCATTGATGCGGCTCTCTGGAACACTTATGCCAAGCACTTTTACGCCCGTGGCTGGCTGCCTCACCCGCCCCGCCCCAAGACTAATGGTGCCAACGGCATCAACGGCATGAGTGGCCTGAGCCTGAGAACCAAGGGTCGCCTTGCTGGCAAGGTGGCTGTCGTTACGGGTGCTTCCTCGGGCATCGGTGCGGCCGTAGCAGCGGGTCTTGCCAAGGAGGGTGCTCACGTGGCCCTTGCCGCCCGTCGTCTGGATGCGCTCGAGACAATCAAGAAGAAGGTCCTCGTGCATGGCGGGAAGGTCCTCACTCACAAGACGGATGTCACCAAGAAGGAAGATGTCGAGTCGCTGATGAAGACTGTGCAAGAGAAGCTCGGTCCGATTGACATCCTCGTCAGCTGCGCCGGCGTCATGTACTTTACCATGATGGCCAACGTGCAGACGGACGAGTGGGAGCGCACCGTCGACGTGAACTGCAAAGGTCTCCTGCACTGCTTGTCAAGCACGGTGCCGGGCATGCTGCAGCGCGGCGGTGGCCAGATCGTGGCGATCTCGTCGGACGCCGGGCGCAAGGTGTTCCCCGGGCTAGGCGTCTACTCGGCGAGCAAATTCTTCGTGGAGGCGACGCTGCAGAGTCTGCGACTGGAGACGGCCGGGACGGGCCTGCGGGTGACGTCCGTCCAGCCGGGCAACACGGAGACGGACCTCCTGGGCATGTCGACGGATAAGGAGGCCATCAAGAAGTATGGCGAGCCGACGGGAGCCAAGGTGCTGGACCCCACCGACGTCGCGTCGTCGATCGTGTACGCCGTCTGCCAGCCGCCTCACGTGGCCGTCAATGAGGTTCTGATTGAGCCTCGCGACGAGCCTATTTAATGAATTGGATGAGGAGGAATAGAAGTGTAAACTGAAGTAATTTAATTTGATTTTAAATACTATGACAAATGCATGTACGGCGTATCGTCACTATGTCACTACGTACAACTATCTCACCGCCTGTCTGAACTACGTCTTGACGTGTGCCAAAAGAATGGATAATAGCATGACAATGTGACTCTCGCTTTCAACAACCCCCCTGCATCGAGTTTCATTCAGTCCGCCTATTCTGGTGGTGGACCCTGAAATAAGACTGCTTGGTGGAGAGAGGACAAGGGGTATGTGTGTCTTGTGTCGGCCGGACCTTTTTTCATTATCATTTGCAGTTCACACAAAACTGGGTAGTGTTTTGATAGACGGAAATGCCAACTATTCAACTATCCGGTTGCTATTGTCAGATAACAATGTATGCCAAGGGACTGGTTTGACGCCGGATGGAAGCTCGGAAGCATCGGGGCGTGACATGGCTCATTTACAGTCCCCATGCTCATTTGCATGATCTTGGACCCTCCCTGTCTAAAGAAATGTTGTCATGAAAATAAATTCTGGGCCCATCGGATTGAAAGCGACAGTTGAAGACAATGGAAATAGTGACAGCATGCCATGTTCCGTCGGACAACCGAGAGGTACAAAGTATGAATAATGATGAATCCGAGGGACAGAACAGAGTGACGGCAGCTTATTATTATTCCTATTACAAAGTATCTATTTGTCCAGTCTTCCCCTTTTGTCCTGAGGACCCCTGGCTTGTCTGCCCGGGGTGCTGCGGGCCTACGTCACGCTAGACCTGGTTCATGAACCATGGTCATTTTGATAGTGTACGAATTAGCATCTACGGGATAAAACAATATTTCGAGTACCTCTACGTAATTTCCCTGGCCATGAGCTATTATGAGGTATAGCTGCATGCGGGGGGTCAGTATTCGCATGTCGCTTGCTTGTCGACGTTGTGTTTTAGTTAGCTTCTGCATAAACCTGCTGTAACTGGCGATCCCAGCATATCCGATTCCCTGGTGCAAACGGCAAGCTTGCTTTCTTGACATTACGGCCTTCCAAGGTGACGGGTGTTGTTCTCTCCTTACGAAGCGTGGCCAGACCAGGGTCGAACCGATTTTCCGAGCCAGAGCAGAGCATCATTGCAAGCAGACGCAGACATTGCCCTAGCTTTCCCGAAAACGACGAGCTACAGGATGCCATCGAAACACACAGCTGCTGCGGCCGCAGCGGTGCTGCTCTCCATTGGGGGAGCAGCCGCGAACCGACCCGACAGTACCAGGAACGCGGCCTTTGGCAACGGAACGAACGGCCTGGCCCAGCAGAGATTCCGATCGAGCGACGTTGTCGCCCCCGTGCTGCAAGTGACCTCGTGGGACAAGAGCCAGACGGACGACTCCTCTTACATCTTCATCGGCGCCTCCTCGCACGACAAGACCAAGGCCGCGCCGATGATCCTCAGCGGCAAGGACCTGAGCCTCGTGTACGCCGACCAGCAATACGGCGAGGTGTACGCTTCCTCGGTGCAGACATTCAACGGCAGCAAATACCTGACCTTTTGGGAGGCCTCGGGTGGTGCGGGTGGCAACCGCAGCGGCGACGGCCACTGGCTCATGTACGACAGCAAGTACGAGCTCAAGTACAACTTCACCGCCAAGGGCTCGCGGGACCTCCGGGACGATGTGCCGGACATGCGGGTGACGCGGGACGACACGGTCCTGCTGGCCACCTACGAGACGGTGAGCTGGGACTGCTCGGCGGTCGGCGGCCCGGCGGATGCACCGCTCCAGGACAGCGGCTTCCAGGAGATTGATCCCGCCACGAACGAGGTGCTCTTCGCGTGGAGCGCTCGCGAGCACTTTAACCTCGGCGACTCCTTCGCCACGTACGACACGGACTTTGGCGTGGGCTCCCCTGCAGGGTTTGACTTTTTCCACCTGACCTCTGTCGAAAAGGTACGTAACGCGGCTGATTCAACGAACCTCGTGGAACGATTGCTGATACAGGATCAGTCGGAGGACGGAAACTACCTGGTTTCCAGCAGCCACCTGTCCGCCCTCGCCATGATTGACGGCCGGGATGGGCACGTCGTCTGGACCCTGGGCGGCAAGAACAGTGACTTCAAGGACATGCACGGCGGCAACGCGACGGCTTTTGCCTGGCAGCACGACGCCCAGCTGGTCGGCGGCGACGAGGTCGTGCTGTTTGACAACCACGGGCGGTCGTCGACGGGGCGCCCCGCCGCCTCAAGAGGTCTGCGGCTGCGGCTCGATCTGGAGCAGAAGACGGTCGAGCTCGTCAAGGAGTTCCACCGCCCCGAGGGCGGCGTCAGGTCAGGTAGCGGCGGTGGCGTGCAGCTGCTCAAGGAGGGCCACGCCATGGTCGCGTGGGGGGGGTCCGACGGCAGCCCAGCAGCCGCCTTTGTCGAGTATAACAAGGCCGGGCAGCCCGTCATGGACGTCCGACTCGGCTCCGACGACGACGCCAGCATCACGACGCACGACGCGACGTACCGCGTCAGCCGCCACCGATGGCAGGGCGAGCCGACCTGGCCGCCCAGCGTCGCCGTCGACGCGCCCTCCGGAAGCACCGCCGGCGCCACCGTGTACGTCTCCTGGAACGGCGCCACCGACGTCTCCCACTGGGCCATTGTGAGTCTTTTCTTTTCCTCCCCCCGGGTCGCTTTTCTTCTGACACTCTTAGCTCGCCTCGGACACCCCCGACACGGTCAGCCACTACAAGAACGTCATCGCGCGGGCGAACCGCACCGGCTTCGAGACGCAAATCACCCTCGACAACGGCGAAGGCGGGGTCTCGCGGCGTTACATTGGCGCGGCGGCGCTGTCGGCGGCGGGCGATGTCATGGGCGCGTCGTTTGTGTACGACATGCGCACGGGCAGGGCGGTGATGCAGGCGAGCGGCATCACGACGGTCAACCCGCCGGTCAAGGCGACGGCGGCGGCTGGCGCGATGGGCGGCTCCATATTTGGCGTCTCGATGCTGTTTTACATTGTCAACTACTTTTGGCGGCGAAAGGGCGGCGGCTCCTCGGCGGCGCAGGCGGCAGCGGATCACGGCGCCTACGAAAAGGTCGGCAGCGCGGTTTGAAAAAAGTCTAATCTGCACGGCATTTGCATTTGCATTCGTTTTTCTACTCATCTGGCTTTCCGGCGTTGGATACCAATTGCATTCTTTTCATTTCTCTTTTTTACCTGTTTCTTGTGGCGTTGGATCAAGGTCACGGCATCATCTAGACCAAGACAGAGACGTTGGCAATCAAAGCCAATGTCTGACGTCTTTATCATTCATTCCTTCTTACCGAAAGATTTATGCTACCATATCATGTTAATATCTACCACCTTGGTTTCTTTTCCGTTCGTCTTCTTCCTCAACTACTATGAGTCTTAATAACCGCCGCCAAGCCCACGTGCTGGCAGCTCAGTCTAGCGGCAAGCCACCGAATTGCGCAATAGAGTCAACCCCGTGCTGGAAACCTCAACTTTTTCAAGCAGCCAAAACCTGGCAAGCAATAGCATTAGAACTTCTTGCGCCCGCTAGACGCGAACAATGCCGACTCCTCGCGCAGGCCGCACCCTCCAGCAGCGGTTATGGAGCTCTGTGAAGCATAATTGGAGCCTCGGATTCACTGCCTTTGGCGGTCCGCCAGTGCATTTCAAGATTGTACGTCGTCCGAGCTTCTTCGTCCTGACAAAGGAGAAAGTGACTGGATTGAAATGCTGGCTGACCCTTCTAGTTTCATACCCTCTACGTGGAGAAGCTGCAATGGGTTGACGAGCAAATCGTAAGTCAGAATACCTCTTGCCCATGCCTCAGCCATTCCTCTGACAATGCCCTCCCCCCCCTCCAGTATCAAGAGCTGTTTAGCGTCTCCCAGGCCCTCTCCGGACCGGCCAGCACCAAGATGCACTACTGCATCAACCTCCTCCACGACGGCTTCCTGCCCGCCGTGCTGTCCTTCTTCCTCTGGAGCCTTCCCGGCGCGCTCGGCATGCTCGGCCTCGGCCTCGGCGTCGCCAGCGTCGGCGACGCCCTCCCGCGGCCCGTCTACGCGCTCCTCTCTGGCCTCAACGCCGCCACCGTCGGCATCATCGTCCTCGCCGCCGTGCAGCTCTCCGAGCGCGCCATCACCAACAAGACGACGCGGCTGCTGGTCTTTGGTGGCGGCGCGGCCGGGCTGCTGTACAACGCGCTGTGGTACTTTCCGCTGCTGATGCTGGTCGGCGGCGTCGTCGCGGTCGCGCACGACCTTCGCTGGCTGCACGGCTCGTTTGCGGCGGCGGTGAGGGTCATCAAGCGGATCAGCGGTCGTGGATCGGGGGAGCCAAGGCCCGTGGAGATGCGTGACGGGGTGGACGCGCAGGGCGTGCGCCGGGACGACTACACTGCAAACCACGACGTGGTCAGCGACGAGACCACCGCCGCGAGGGAGCTGCCGACCCAGGAAGACGACGGCAGCGCCGCCCGCGTCGTCCCTGCGAGCCACCAGCTCAGCATGTCCTGGCGCGTCGGCCTCGGCATCATCCTCGCCTTCCTCGCCTCGTTCGTCGTCGTCATTGTCCTCCGCGGCACCTCCGCCGCCGCGCAATCGTCCCTCGCCTTCCGCTTCTTCGCCAACATGTACCTCGCCGGCACCATCATCTTCGGCGGCGGGCCCGTGGTCATCCCACTACTACGCGAGTACGTCGTCGCCGAGGGCTGGGTGCGCCCGCGCGACTTCCTCATCGGCCTCGCCGTCCAGCAGAGCTTCCCGGGGCCCAACTTCAACTTCGCCGTGTACCTGGGCGCGCTGGTCCTCCGCGAGCGGCCGGCGCTGGGCGCGGCGCTCGGGTTCGCGGGCATCTTCGCGCCGGGGCTGGTCATGGTGCACGGGACGATGGGCGTCTGGGGCGCGGTGCGCGGGTCGCCGGGCGTCAAGTCGTTCCTCAAGGGGCTGAACGCGGTCGCTGTGGGCTTGATATACACGGCGGTGTACAGGATTTGGCAGATTGGCTACATTGACGAGGGGTTTCAGCAGGGGACGAGCCTGGCGGTCGAGCCGTGGTGGGTGGTGGTGACGGCGACTTCGTACGTGGGAGGCTACTGGTTTGGCATGAACCCGCCTACTGCGATCCTTCTCGGCTGTGTCATGGGATTGATCTGGTATGCAATTGTCTCAAGCTAGAAGGTTCAGCATGCTGCAGCACCGCTATTTAGCAATCCTCGAGAATGATCTGAGCTGCTCTCTGCGCAACTGCATACATCGTAGACATGGTGTGCGAGGTCAGCTGTAACGGCAAGATTCCCGCGTCGACAACATGGAGATTTTTTGTTCCATAGACCCTTGTACAGTTAGTAAATCTCTTTTACCATTATATACTCACAGCAAATATTCTCACCGTAGGCGCGAATCTACCACACCGCCCAGTGCCCTCGGCAACATGGCCGTCGTACCAATCCAGTGACTTGCACCATCGGCTGTGTCGCGTAACCACTCGAGATAATCTGAGTCTGTCGCATTCCGACCGAGTGGAGGGTAGTGGTAGGCATCTTCGACAATTCCATCAAATACCTTGTCAGAAAAGAGGTTGCGAATTCTTCGGACAGTAGCGATCGCAACTTGCTGGTCGAAAACATCGGTCAAGAATCGAGGTGTAATGACTGCCTCTTTGAATGGGTCAGATGAAACAATATGAATATGACCTCTTGAAAGTGGCATGAGGGGCCAGAAGGGACAATAGAGAGACGTCGGGTAGCTTGCGGCAACAACCTCTGCAATGGGCACTGCAGTGGATTAGCAAGGAACAAGTCTTGTGTAGAATGGCATGTAACTTGCATCTACTCTTCAAAATGAGCTCAATGGTGGTATTCAGAATCATCCTAGCGCCTTCGAGGTTCACTGCAGCGCCGGAATTCACCAGAGACTGAGCCCTGGATTCCAGAGTTGATGGCTGTGCAAGCGAGGCAGCGATCGAAGAGGCACCTTTGCAGTAGTCAGCATGCAGATACAACTGGAAGACGGAGTATTACTTACTGCTTGGCCACAGCTGATCAATGTTGACGAGGGAAATCTCCGGGCCAAAGATGTTGCGACCATCAATTACGGACGTGTCATTTTGGTAGCGCTGTACGACCAATGCCGACGCCATTACTCCAGGTTGGTCCTGTAAAGGTCAATGACGGATTAATGCCGCAGATGGAATCAAAGGCACTTGCATTGAGATTCGCGCCAACTCCTGGAAGATCAACCAGCTGGTGCACCTTGGCAGCTGTCAAGATTCTCGGGTTGCCGATTCCTGATCGCTCCAAAATCGGGGCAGTACCCAAGGTGCCGGCAGCCAGTATGACGCCCTTCTGGGCTTGCACTCTATACATATTTCTGTGTGCGTCTTTTGAAGCGGCGTCAGTAAAGATCACCCCGCGAGCGGTTGTCGTGCCATGGTCGAAGAGGATGCTGGCGACTGTATGGTTTGCCAGCACCGTAAGTGTCTTGCGCTGCTGCGAAGGCGCCCAGAGCAGAGCGTCGGCAGCAGAGCTCCGACGCATTCTTCCCGTCGATGTTTCCAGCCATATCGTCCAGGAAGTGGAGGCAGATACAACAGACGTGCGGCTAGACAGATCGTTTCCAATTCTCAAACCCGAGAAGGCTGCCGGAAGAGCTTCCTTGTACCATCGGATAGCTTTCGGTATCCGCATGGGAGTCTATGATTTCGCGTTAGCGAGCCCGATACGTCGGAGTCCGTGTCTTACAAAAAACGAAGTATTGACTAGACCGTGGTAGCCATGGACATCCGGGTCGTATGATGCTCCCTGTAGAACTTGCTCTTCGGTAGGGGGGGTATTACGTTCCATTGCTTCCATAAGCTTGTGATGCGTTAGTAGAGCTCAACGTGATACGCCCTCATCGACAGTTACTGGTTCAAGTGTATCCCAATTCCAGCCTGGGTTGCCCAAGGTCTCCAACCTATCGATTTCGGCTCGGGTTGGCCTATACCAAACCATGCCATTTACTTGAGCTGTTAGCAACGTGTGACGTTGGACTTGGGTACCATACTCGACGTTGAGCCGCCAATGCAGCCACCTGCGGCAATGGGCCTTGGCATCTTGTTGCCATTCTCGTCGTATTGGGAGTAGTTTCGATTACAGAACGCGGGAGGCCAAGACAGCGCACCAGCATATCTGATCGCATCGTTCCAGGATCCGTCTGGGCCAGCCTCAATGATGAGTATGGAGTGGTTCTTCGCACTCAGCTAGTGGGCGGGTTAGAATACACCAAAAAAGCGTTCAAGAAGGCGTTCCCTTCACCGCACGATACCTTATTGGCAACTGTAAGACCGGCAAGGCCAGCGCCAACTATCACGAAGTCGAATTCTTTGCCAATGGCAACCGCAGCCTGATCTGTGACCAGAGTCGCTTCGGCGGCGTTGGGAGACAGCAGAATGCTGCAAAAAGCGGCGAAGGTTGAGGCGCGCATCACGAAGCGGGGGAGCTGTAGCTACCAATGTCAGTGTGAGGAGAGCACACAAGCAACGGTCTCGCTACGAGGGACAAGCTGCTCTTTATCATCGGCGCTGCGAGTGAAACTCTCCATAGCTACTGTGGAATCCCTGCAGGCTCATGGAGGCTGAGAATGCAGGTGCTGGAATGGCGGGCGCTCGTGCAGCTGATTGAGCTGAGTACAATATTATGAGCTTTCCATTCATAACAAGGGTCGATTATAGCTGTTTTGGGCTCGACGGAGCGAGAGTGCAGCTGTAGCATCAGCCGTATTGCAGCATAGGTGCAGTATATGGGCCGAAATCGGTGGTAGGATTTTCAGAGATATATTTGAGACTATCTTAGACGATAAGAGATTCAGTTTAATGATAACAGAGGATAAAGAATCGTGGAAGAAGGCATTTGCTCATAATCTGGTCGAAGCTTGGATTCAGGCTCTGTAGTAACGGAGTAGGGGCCGGGTGGGACAGTGCGTAGCTTACAGTGTTTAGTGAGGATGCCAGGCTGCGCACTGTACGGCGCGTTTCCCCCACTCTTGATCCATCACGGCCGTTTCGCTCTTTCTCGGCTTTCGGCATCTGTCACTGGGTCACCTCCGCATCGTCCTAGCCAACTTCGCGATCTCGGAAATAGCCTGTGTCTAGCAATTCATCGATAAACAGCATATAATAGGCAGGCCGTGTGACTTTCGATGCATCATGGCTGAGCGTGCCGCCGAGGAAGGCGGCGTGAATGACCTGACGCCAGAGGAGGTCAGCCGCATCATTCATTCCCACCGCAAGGTGCGCTACGGTAGGCTCTCACGCCGGGTTTGCTTTTCGACCGGGCCGTTGCTTTAGCAAATGGCTCGAGAGGAGACAAAAAAAGAAGCCTCGTGTTTCTCTAACTGGTCCGCGCAGGAACTGCCTGTTGGCCCTGCCGCCAGCGCAAAGTCAAGTGCGACAACAAACATCCGTGCGAAAACTGTGTAAGGCGTGAACACCCCCAGCTCTGTTCATATAAGCCGAATCGCACATCAGCAACAGGAAAGGCTGGCAGCACACCGTCAACGACAACAACCAACCGGAAAAGACAGCATTCGGAGGAGCCAGAACCAGAGCCAGAGTCCTCCCGCAAGTCGGATCGTCAAGATAGCTGGCCGCGAGCCATTGGTACGCCTCGTCTCGATTTCATTTGGTTGCAGCCCCCGGTGCCTGTTATCTAACTCGGGCAATTAGGAGCTCTTGATGAGGCAGAGCCCGTCAGTGATCGCTACGTCGGCCAGAACAGCATCCCTGCGCTACTGCGTGAGCAGTCTACGACCAGCGATAAAAACGATAGCGTAGACTTTCGCAGAGACATGAAGTCCATACTCGGTCTAGACAACTCCGCCCCCTTTCCGCTCATGTCGCAGCAACACATGCATCGCATAGCGCAAGACATTTCGACTGAGCTGCCCTCGGATCGGGAGGTTATGAAGTTGGTCTCCCTGGCATTGCGCTGTGCTACCCCATCCCATCATGCTAACATCAAGTTAGACTATTTCGATGTTACAAAGAGATTCCGCAACCATTCTGGGGGTTTGTGGTCGACATTGACGATTTTGAATCGAAGCTCATGGTTTACTTGGAGGAGCGCTCTCGCAATGCGTCAAAGCCGAACAAGTCCTCGCGTCCCGTGTCTGCTTCCTGGCTGGCCATTCTTTTTGCGGTCCTGGCTGTAGGCTCTCAGTACCACGAGTCGCCATACCACATCCGCACTCGTGATTCCCAAAAATACCTCCAGATATCCTTCCACTTTCTCCGCCTTGCAAACTTTCTACTACGGTAGGTTGGTTCCAGTCGCCTGTGCAAAGCAGCCCTAACACCCGAGATGTAGGCCGTCTTTTGATTCCATCCAAGCGCTGCTCCTGCTGAGCTTTACTCTCCTCAACGACATGAAGGCCGAAGCTTCTTGGGCACTCACTGGCCTCACGTGTCGATTAGCACAGTCACTAGGGCTCCATCGACCCAACGCCCCCGATGCAAACGAAAACGGCGAGCAAAACACTAAAGAGATGACACGAAGAAAGCTGTGGTGGAAGTGTGTGTGGCATGATACACTCACATCATTATCTTTTGATAGGTAGGCGAGGCATTCTGTTGGTAGGTTCATAGTGCGTGGCTGACGGGTTGCTAGGTCACCCATGACAAACTTCCCCAGCTGTTCAATCCCCGTCAAAGTACAATCCTCAGAGGGCGAGTATGCGTATCTCGAAATGATGTACCATCTCATCGAGATAATATCGCGACGCCTGAATCCAGACGCCATGGCGACACCTTCGTACACAGAAATAGTGGAAAACTGTGACGCGGTAGAGGCCCTGCGCACTCGAGCATCGGCACACATGAAGGACAAGGACAAGTGCAAGACGGCATTGGACCGTCTTCAGTACTTTGCCATTCGACTGCACACGTCCTTTGTCATTTCCGTTGCCTGCAGACCAGCACTCCGACGAAATTGCAACCTCGGCCTAGAACAAAAGAAGGCGTTGGCGGCAAGATGCGTGGTCAACCTCACCGAGACCGTCAAAATGTTTCTAGCGATGCATCAACTGTCCGTCATTCCGACACGGAGCTGGGCCTTTACGTACCATGGGCTTTCATCTGCGCTCCTGCTTGGCATATTGTGCGACACACGAGCGGACCCTGAAGTGCGACAGTTACAGGGCGATCTCATTGCGGCTCTCTCTGCCACCGCTGCCAAAGACGTCAGCTCTCCCGAACCGCACGTCATCCGCACGGACAAGGACATCGAGCTGTCTGGTCCGCTGTGGCGCGCGCTCACGGCGCTGAAGAGCATCTACGATCACGGTAGCATCAGCACTTTTAAGCGCGACGGCGACTCATCTGCGGGCGGAAGCGGCACCCGCACGCCGCTGATGCAGCTGCCTCCGGGTGTTCAGGGCGTGCCTCTGTACCAGCAGTACCGTGCCCTGCCGCCCGGTTCAGATCCGCGCGAGGATGCGGCGCTCGCCATGGCGGAGATGCAAAACGGCGCATCGCTTCAGGATTTCCAAAAGTATGTCATCTTCCTCGTGTCTTGTTTGTTTCCGCGACTAACATGCGCTTCAGCGCTCTGACTGCACAGCAGCAGGTACCGATGCCGGCTGGCTTCGACTCGCTCAATTCGGAAGGGCCGCAGCTCATGGCGCCCATGGATCTGTACGAATCCATATGGGGAGGTATGTCGTATATCCGGACGAACCTGTCTTCGAGCGAGAAACTGACGCGCTTTATTTTGTAGAATCGGCTGATCCTTGGAACACTGGAGTTGAGCCCATGAATTTTGACTTTTTGGCGCAGCCTCCGCCAGGGCAACCGCATCATCAGCTGTACTTCTAACCCGACAAGGGACTGTGTGATATAATTAGTATATATGTGTGCGTACGGACTGCCCTTGCTTTATGACCGCAAACATGATGGGACTGGGTGGGTTGAGGAGAAACCAACTTCCGTTTCTATTTTTCAACTAGCTGGCACTGGAAAAACAGAATTGTCCATGTATAGATACCTTGTTCTACTCTTTTCTATTTCCTCTTCATCAAAATCGTCAGCGCTCTCTTTGATCGTCATCAGCCACACTCACAGCCGGTCAAGACTGCTCGCGTATGCCATGATCGGATCGCCGGGCTGGAGGGAATCGATGCGTCCAGCAGAAAGACCAAAGCGGTTATGAGCATGCGCAGCAGGGCACATGACAGGTAAACCAGCCAAAGACTCCCGGGGCACATCGAGACGAACCAGAGTCCTCGACGACTGTGTGTGCTCATCATTCGATTTTTGATATCGTGTCCATTGGCGACGCCAAAAACCGGAGGTCTCCTCACCCTGAATGCATCGGAATCCCAAATAACGCCTTGTTCCATGCAAAGTTCTCGTTGTCTTTTTTTCTATCCAGTGGTGTATTGTCATCAAACGTATCAAGAGTTGTTCATTCCCATCCATGACCTAGGTTCCATTCTATAAAGAGGCAGGCCGTGTTTTCTTGTTTTGTTGTCTTTTTTTATTTATCTTTTTTTTTTTCGTTTATTTCTTTCTCCGGGAGGAACTGGCCACGAGCGCCTTCTTCTGGTACTTGGGCATTTTCTCAGAACGCTTCTCGCGCCTAGCCTCCTTGACGGCCTGCTTGCGGAGGCGCTTCTCGTCCTTGTCCTCGAAGCGGTGTCCGCGGGGTGTCCCCTTCTCGAAGCGGCTCTCATCGTCCCCCTCATCAGCGCCGCTGCCGAGAGAGGCGCCTTCGTCGTCGTCGTCAGAGGCGGCGCTGCTCCCGGCCTCGCCCGCCTCGCCCTCGACCACCTGGTCCGCGAGGAGGTTGCTGTAGACCAGGTCCTTGCCCTGGCCGCGGTGGACCGCGGCGGCGTCCTTTTCAATGTCGTAGACCTGCTCGAGGGTCTGGGGGATGTACTGGTTGCGGAAGACCTCGTTGTCGACCTCGTCGCGGGCCGCGGCGTCCTCATCGGCGGCCTCGTCAACCGCGTCGTACAGCTTCTCTACGGCCGCCGCGGCCGCCTCTGCGTCCTCTCCAGTTGGCCCCTCGACGGCGGTGACGAAGTTAAAGACGGCGCGGTCGGGCAGGACGCGGACGCCCCGGCGGCGGAAGAAGTCGCCGACGTTCTTGATGTCCATGCGGAGGAACTCTAGGGCGCGCGGGTGGTCCGGCTCCACGCTCTGCGATACGTCAATCACAAAGATGCGGCCGTCGTGGTATAGCAGGTTGTACTCGCTCAGGTCGGCGTGGACGAGGCGGCAGACGCGCCACATGCGGCGGACCAGGCCGAGCAGCTGGACGTAGAGGCGGTGCCACTGCTCGTCAACGTCGTCGCCGGAGAGCGCGGCGTCGTGCAGGCGCGGGTAGGCCCAGCCGCGGCGGTCGCCGAGGAAGCCCATGACGAGCACGTTTTGCTTGAGGGCGACGGGCTCCGGGCAGGGGACGCCGGCGGCGTGCAGGCGGCGCAGGTTGCGGAATTCCTTGAGCGCCCAGAGCTTGATCATCTTGCGGGTGTTGCCCTTGTCGAAGCCGCCCTTGAAGCGGTGCTCGCCGGCGATATAGCGCTCGCGGTCGCGGAAGACGAGGATGGCCGTCTTGTACACCTTGACGGCGCGGTGGGTGACGGCCGGGGCTGCGTCGGGGTCGGCGTCGTGGTCGACGAGGATGGCGCCGTAGACGTTGGCTTCCTTGCCGGTGCTGACGGCGCCGTGAATCTCGGAGACGAAGCCGCCGTTGATCATCTGCAGCAGAGTCATCTTGGTCGGGGCGTCGAGCACCTGGTCGGTGGTAGCGCGGTCGGCCTTGTCCTTGACGCGCTCCTCGCCGTCCTTGACGTTGTCGAGGCGGATCTTGGAGGCGTGCTTGGAGAGCTCGGCGACCTGGTCGTCGACGCTGGCAAAGGTGTTGGCCGTGGGCTTTTGCGGGTTGGAGCCTCCGGCGCCGCCATTTGTGTCTTGCTGGTGCTTTTGGCGGTTGTAGGTCTTGGTTAGGTTGCCCGAGGCGCCGTCGAGGATGGCGTCGTCCGGCTCGTCGTAGTCTTCAAGGTCGGAGCCGCCTTCGCCGTAGAGATAGTAGTTTTGGATTCGTTCGTGTTCTGTCAGCTGGGCATCGTGTGCTTGGCGCAGCCCCGCGGGGATCTCGTCATTGCCGTTGTTGTCGTAGCCGTTGTTGGCGGTGTAGGTGCATGGGGGCTCATGAGGTGCCGCGGGTGATTGGGCAGCATCGGTAGAAGCTGCCATGATGTGTTGGTTTGTGAAGAAGAGTCGTGGGATAAGTTTGAATGGCTGTGGCTGTGGCTGTGGATTGTGTATAGGCGGTCCCAGTCAGTCAGTGGTTTTATCTTATCGTGATAATTTTTCTTTGGAGGGGTTGAAGGTCTGGTCTGGATAGCGGCCCAAAGTGGGTTAGTGGGGTAGATAGAAGTAGAAGAGTGTTGGCCTGGGGGCTATCGAGGTGCTTGCTTGTCTGCTGGATAGAGAAGTTGGAGTGGTTTTGAATTGAAATGGAATAAAGGGAGGTATTAGAGGGAGTTTGAGCGGCTGGTGTAGGTGTCGTTTTACTTTGTTTCAAGATTCGACTTGAGGGTTGACAGGATGTGATGAACTCTTTGTATACTGGATAGTACACTCACTCAGTACCGCCTGAGTACACTCAGGTTAGTACCTAACTAGGTAGGCGGTGGTTATAGATCAGTGACTCTACCATAGTAACTACAAGTAGAGAAGGGTAAGAATAAGTTATAACTTTGAAACTAGCACACTACTCTTAATATCTTCTGTATAGTCGGATAGCAGCCGCGTATAGGTGCCGATAAGGAAAGCGATGGATTTGTACCATGCCGCAGCTGACATGGCTCTTGTCGCGTGACTTGAAACAAGCAAGCCCAAAGTTCACGAAGAGGAGGGAGGCCCCTTACAGTTGCTGCTTCTTCTGCCCTCCCTCCTCAAAGTTTCGCCAAGATTACTGATAGCTTTGGACTTGACCCCATGTTTTCGGCGCCGCACCCATCTATCCTCATTCTCATTGGTGGGCACGTTGATCGCCAACGGTGCCCGCAAAGAGCCAGCCTGTCCAATCCTCAAACCTCTAAAACTTTCAATCGAGCCATTTCCTCTATTGCCCAGCGGCCGGTAATGCGGGCGGATTCGACAGCTGGAGCTAGGAGGTTGGCGGCCAATGCCATCTGTCAAGCTGGCCACCACCTCGATTGCCAAGTCTGGAGTCCCTCTCGCGTCACTAATAGGCCGCCCCGTTTCTCGTTTCCTCTTTGCGCATCTCCCATGCTTCAAGGAGATGCCACGAGGACTTGGTGCATCCGATAGAGCACAACATCAGCTCGCTAGTATGTCGTCGCGCGAGGAATCCGCAACGCATGGCGCCTGTGAACTCTGTCCCCATGGGCCCCCCGCCCCCGCACGGCAAGAGTGAGCCTTGGACACTGCCCATGCCTCCCTGTACCCTATATGCCTGCTTCTTTCTTTGCGTATTCGCCTGGCTGACCCCCTTTCCTATGCGGATCTGTATAGTGCGATGGCGACGGCTCGAATCCGTGCAAAGCCTGCCGTGAAAGGGCCCTCGACTGCGTCTATGTCTTTTCGCCGCGCGTCTCCAAGGCCGACCTGCGGGAGGAGCTGGCGCGACTGCAGTCGGCGACGCTTGACGATAACGCCCTCCTCGATAGCATTTCGTCAAAAGAAACAAGTGCGGCCCAGCTGGACAGTATATTGCATCGACTCTCGGACGGCCAGTCGCGGGCTGATGTCGCGTCGTTCGTATCGCTTATGCCCGCCGCCGCGAGTCGTCTCAGACCAGGTAAAGATGCTGCGCTTCTCGTCACTCTAGCGATCCTTTTGTCAGTTGGTTCTATTGCGTCGTGATATTTGGGTGCTAGTCCTGACCATGCTTTGTTTGTCCATCTCTGCAGACGCCTCCTGGGTTACGCCTTCAACCGTTACCACGGCCACGGCGACGCCGCCCTCGATGCTCATGGAAGGGCTAAGCTCGCAGCCCTCAGCTGGTCCTTCAACCAACAGCCCCCCGACCAGTCTCGAAGCATTCGACGATTCTGCCAACGCGGCCGAGTTCCGCGCCAACCTCGGCTACTACCGCTCCCAGCTACTGCAGCTGCTCAGCACCATCCTCGCGCGCGAGTGCCTCTCCTTCTGCCCCGTCAGCGAGCGTGAGCTGGAGCGCGAACTTGCCACGCACGCCTCCACGGCGCTTGCCGACGCGCTCCTCGCCATAGGCGCGGTGCTGACCAAGGACCATCCACGCCTCGCGACCGCGCTCCTCGCGCCGGGCAGTCTTGACCCGGACAGCCTGGGGCAGGCCTTTGCCTACGAGGCCATCATCGCGCTGCACAACGGCACCGGCCGCCCACGACGTGTCGCCGACATACAGGCGCTGGGCGTCTTATCGCTCTACGCACTCACCTGCGATAAGTTGCAGCAAGGGAGAGAGTTTGCTGCCGATTTCTGCGCTGCAATAGCGGAGCTGTGGCGTGCGGAGCCGTCGAGCGAGATACATAAAGGTAGCCTCGCGGACAAAGAGGCGCTCGCAAGCATCTACTGCGCTGCCGTCTCGTTAAATCGGTATGTCCCTGCTTCGGCTTTTGCCGTCTAAGAATCAGGATTTACTCACCATCCTGTCCCTTGTTCCTAGAGTCCTCTTTCTTATTTCCGACTATAATATGACGCTAGACGCGTATACGCGAAGCGTTTGTATGGACGATTTTCAGGCTGTCGGAGACACTGAGACGGCCGCTCTCCCGTCTCAGTTGAATTTATCCAATAGCATTATAGGTAAGAAGCGGCGTTTTTCGATGTCGACATGTCAGAATTTCAGTCCACCCGACTCACCATGTAACTCCTTTAGATGATGCCTTCTTCCACAAAGATCTCAGCTCGATACCCGACAATCCTCGCGTGATTGTCGCCAAGCTCTTCGAGCTGGCTGAATGGACGTATCTCGCGCGATCGGGTCCGCAACAGGCAACGTTTGAGGGCGCCGTCCAAGTATACAGTCAGGGCCTGCGCTGGTATGAAACCTTCTTTCAATACACCAGCGGCTGCGGAAAAACCAACACGTCATTGATCCTTTTTGTTCAGTAAGCACCCCGTTTTGCGTGAAGTCGTGGTTGGATGCTGTTCCCCCATTGCTCATGGAGCTGACATTCGACACTTGCTATAGCACATTTTATCATTTTTGCGTCCTATGCCTCTTGACGCCGCATATCCTCGAGAGCGTCCCGATTGCCAGGGACGGCACACGCGCCGACACGGTATGCAAGCAGGCCGCGGATAGCATATGCGAGCTCATCACGCACTACCGCCAATTGCACGGGGGCGAGCGATTACTGGGTTTCGTGCCCATGTTCGAGTCAGCAGCCCGTGCAAGCTTAGGTGAAGCCAGGACTTCCAGGTAGATGGTAATTGCACACAGCTTTGTATGGTGATGATACTCTCTTCTTTGACTGGACATGTTATTTTTAGTCTTTAGAATAGGACCGCATGTGACGCTGTAAACCAGAGGGCTTTAGCCACCCTCCTCCCCTAAGAACTTAGAGAGCGAACAGGACATGAGATACTGGGCACCTTTTGCACAGCAGCTGAGCTCATGACGTAAGCCTGTGCCCGTGTATTACATCACCTCTTTCATATAGCAACCTTTACGAGTTCATCGGTCAAGGCCGTGTATGGTCTTTACTTTAAAGAAAATATACTACCCAGAGTAGTCTATTTAACCCGTTAGAAAGCTATAAAAGTGAATAAGCATATAGTGATCGTTAACTAAGTAGCTCCAACTTCCTGCTAAAAACAAGCGCTTAGTTGCTTCGCTAATATTTGCCTAGCGACGTCTCTGATCTAAGGTCAATTTACGAACAACTTAGTCGCCATGTAATGCTAGTCGGGAATTGTCTATAGAGGTTCAATTATAGTTGTTAGAGTTCACCATTGGCGGATCGATACAGCGCTGATCCGTCCATCGCCACAGCTCAACACGCCCCTTCACCAATTGCAACCACATAGCCAAGTTACCATCTAATTGCGTGACGCCACCTAGCTAATTAATCTCTTTCGGCTGATTCCGAGCCCTTCCTTTATCTCCATATTTAGTGAAATATACGTAGCTTTCAGATTAAGGAGACTGACTTCGGGGCTTCATTATTTGACACGCCGATCGGTCGGTTGATTCCTTCTACCCCGTGTTAGCATTGCCTACTCTTCATATTGTTCCGCTATTGTTGCCCCACCTCTTTGACTTTGACCTTTTCTGAGTTGTTGATTGTGTCTTGGAGGCCCGTACCAGAGCCAACTGACTTGGGAAGCTGCTTGCTGCTTTGGCGCTCAGGAGAGGGTGATTCTGCCATCTTTTCAGCGCGGAATGAAGACTAGTGTATTGTCATTCACGCATGTACCAAAGCTCTGCAATTGCTGTAATACATATCTGGAAATACATTTCCAGATCATCACCATGACGTGATGGGACACTTTGATGACGCTGCTGCCTTTGTTTCTGGCTGTCGTATTTGGCTCAGGCTCGCGCTTGAATACCTGGACTACACATGTCCCGCTGGCGGCAGAAAAACTCCGAAACATCGTATGGAACAAGCAGTAATACTGTCAACTACGACAATTTTAGACGCTGCTTTCCAGGCCATTGACCTTCGATCTCTGTCATGTTGCAAACGCGAGGCCACGCAGACATGACGTACCAAAGATATATGGCTGCAGGGATAGGCATGGCCATGTCGTAAACATGACTCACAGTCGTTCTGGTCTCAGTAATCAAATGAGAAGACGTACTGATTGCGCAGGAGCTGCTCTTCCTATAAAATAAATTCGGGATACGTGTTTACTTGGAAGAAACTCGTGCGTAGAAATTTGATCAATCCTACATTGAATACTATCATACGATTCCTATCATCGTCTCTACATCGAATACTACCATACGATTCCTATCGTGTCTCATCATGCTCAAGGGACCAGTACGAGTTCTCGCCTTCGGCAACCACCTGATGGTGTGGCTATCTTCCTTGGTGGTAATGGGAATATTGTCCTACTTTCTCAGTAGGTACAGTGCTGCCCATAACACTCATGTCATATATCAAGAAGTCATTGTAAGTATTCACCCTTGATGAATCTTGTTGAGCTTGATGCTAATCTTGCGGATAATAGGCCGTACTTACATTTGTTGCTTGGACATTTGGAATGATACTCCCATGCATCGACAGATATGGAGGGCATCTGTGGCCTCTCGACGTCGCTCTATCCTATCTTTGGCTCACGTCCTTTATCTTGTCGGTGCAGGATTGGAGCGGCAAACGGTGCTATGTGAATTCTCCTGGTTTCGGCCACTGTGGACTTAAGAAAGCTGTTTCTGCTTTTAATTTCTTGGCCTTGTACGTCCACATCCCACATCCCACATCCCACATTGACGAACCAGGGCTAACTAAAAAATGACAGCTTTTTCCTTGTAGCAAACTTTGTCGTCGAGGGTTATTTATTCCGAGTGCACAGAAATGAGCGAGTAAATACTGCGAGGGCAGATGGCAGGGCAGGTCATGAGGCAGTGGATCATGGGCGAGTCAGACCTGCGGTGTGAGACAATTTGAAGTTATTTGGTGAGCAGGAAATGCCAACAGGACGGGATTGATACATCTTGACAAGGCTTCTATGTATGCTCCCTGCGCAATTCCAGGCAAATATAGCGGCTATGGTGTTTTTACCTCCATTACCTCCATTACCTCCGTGGCTCTGCCAAATCAAGCTTTGCCAAAATCAATTAATTGCTTCCCTCTATCACAGGCGCCTTTGTACTCGGGGGTTTTTCAACACCAAATTCTGGATTAGATAGTATCAAGCTCAGTAGCTAGATAGGACGGTTGTGTGAAAGGTTGCTGCCAACACACTACGCGGAATATCATTGATGTGTTTCACATAATTTGGCAGCGCAAAAAGCGGCAATACACTTCTCATCATATAATATCTCCCTCCCCTTTTCCAATTAATAGGCCCAATCAGATACGATTATATTGCTAGTCAAGTCAATAATAAGAAGAATCATCTTTAGTCAAAGCCATCTTTCCCTTGAGACGTTATTGCGTTGGCTCGCGCTTTGAGCGTAGACGCTGTCTGAATCTCCCTCAAACTCTGAATAATAAGCCAGCCGGGTATGAAGAGCCAAAATGCGTTGCATGCAACATAGTATGCCCAGTAATAGATTCTTGCGGGGTGGCTCAGGACCACGCCATGAACCAACTCTTCAAAGGCACACGTCCCGTAGTAGAGAGCCAGTCCGTAAAGCTGGCCAAAGCTAATGGTAAACTGGACTGAATGTCGTGAGATGTGGTCTGTGACAATCATGTAGGCGCACATGAACGAGAGCGGGCCCCAAAGGCAAGCAGTGACGGTCTCCATGCAGACAACAAAGGAATCTTGGGTCATGTAGCGGGAGTCGGAAAGCGAGTATTCTTTCCAAAGCTGCCCAAACAGGTCGGTGCGGCCCCCCATGTGAAGAGAGTGATACGAAAAGTAACCTGGAACAGCTTGTCAGATCAGATGTCTGATTGAGGTGCGTCATAATGTCAGAAGAGTAGAGGAGGTTGGGTGTGCAGACCTTCAAAGAAGGTATGGATGAAGCCACAGAGGATGAACCACGAGGCCGTCCAGACATCGCTGTTGGAAAGCTTGGGCTTCAAGATTCGCAGACAATATTTGGTCGTCGTCAAGATGATGAGAAGCCCGCCGAAGAATGCCGTGAGCAAAATGGCTGTCGGAGTGGAAATTCCAACGTATCCGGGCACTCTCGAATCTACTGGATAGAATGGGTGTTGACGATGGGTAGGCACAACCAAGGCCGGCGACGCTCTGCTTAGTTGCTCCATGAATGGTATTCTATGGCTTGGCTTGACTTGGGGGCAGGGCAACGGATGAATAATAGCAGAGATGTCGATTTATTAAGAGGATAAGAGGGGTTGATATGTAAGTAGATAGTATCGATAATGGCTTGAATGTCGTTGGGCTGCTGTGCGGTTATGACGGGTGAGTTTTTACAGGTGAGTTTTTACAGGTGAGTTTTTACGTGTGAGTTTTTACGGGTGACGTGTTGAATGCGTAAGGCCGAAAATTGTAGAATACAATCGCCCTTTGCGAGGTAGAGGAAGCCCATTTTTTATTATGATTATTATTATTTTATTTCTTTTTATTCTTGTCGTATGACGCTGCTATTCCGAGGAGATTAACTCCCTGCAAGCTGCATCATTAACAAGGTCTCACTGTCAATCAACAAGACAGTGCACCAGCCAGAAAGTGTACTTGCGCCGTCAACACATGTTGGTTATCGGGAGAAAAGGTCCGTCAATGCCTAGCAATACGAAAGCCACATCACAAATCCCATATATTGACAAGGCAAGCTAATAAATAGACTTGAGGTAACTAACCCCCTGTGTGGCAAGCTGCAGCAGAAGCGGCAACGACGTTTGCTTCCACCAACTAACTAGATTGCCACCATCGATCGGACTCGCCACAAGAAGAGAGACGTTTTCCAGAGTGGTTTTGTGATGCAGTAATTGGGCGACAAAACCAAGACTGAATAGTGGTGGCGTAGCCCAAAGCAGCTGGTGCAACGATAATCTTGCCAGCCGAATCAAGGCTTTCTCGTCTCTGCTCTGGGATATGATCAGGTGCGTAGTTACGACACGATAAAATCAATGACGTCTGTCTGCCTGCCAGCCAGCCAAGCTGCTTCTTTGTCCGGTTCCCTACCACAAAAGCGCAGGCGTTTTTTTTTCCTTTATCAATTTCACCCATGAATATATATACTTGTCAAATATTTGTAATATATACTTGACAATCTAATTCTCAAAGGCGCTCAATTCACCAGTACAACACAGCTCGCATCCTGCCAACATGGCCATCACCAGCGCCATTTCCGACCTGCTTCACTTCGTCTACGAGTCCATTGCGTCAGTCTTCAACGGCATCTACAGCATCATCCACGGCCTACTCAGCACCGTCACTGGCTTGCTCAGCACCCTCCTGCACCTCGTCGGCAACACGGTCAGTGGCGTGGGATCCGTGATTGAATCCATCACTGCATTTATTGCCGGTATGTTGCATAATACTGTAAAAAGGAACACGGCAAACACTAACACGAATACCAAGGAAACATTATCATTCTTGCTGTTGTCGCAGTGCTGGCATTCTTCTTCCTCCGCTCTACTACGACAGGCCAGCGGGTAGTGCAGCAAGCCAAGGCTAAATCTAGTTGATAGTTGAGTAGGTAGGTAATGAATGTAATGTCTTGCGTCTAGAGGATAGTATCGTGTAAATAGCCTGATCAAATACAAAGTACTTAAAGGTACTTCCAAACTACCAAGTTACAGTAGGAACATTACTCGCCCTATTAGCTAGCCTATTAGTCTCCGTTGCTTGGCGCTTCCAAATTCACATTGTTTGCATAAAAATAATTCTTCAACTGTAAATATTCCAACTTTTTCCAAGAGTCTAGGAAAATCTTCCAAACGAGAGTATGTAATTAAATCAGGTCAATAATACACATCACGGCTTCTTCTCGCCGTAGAAAGTAACCGAGCCGTCAAGCACGACTCCTCCAACTCAACTCGAGCCCCCCCCCCCCCCCTTTACTTGGAGTACGGAGCGTAGCATCCCGAGACGGGCTTGTCCACCACGACGTGGGACTTGGCCTTGACGACCTCCGGCATCTCATACTGAGACTTGGCAGGGAGGACATCCGCCTCCTCAACCTCGACCCGGAGGCCGTTGAGCTGGGTGACGTCAATGGTCGAGCCGTCGGGCTATCCAATGCCATGTCAGTTCTTGTCTCTCGTCTTTCGGAAACGGAGCAACATACCTTGCGAAGAGTCACCTGCATGCGCGAGAGCACCTGGCGGACCAGGTCGCTGCCGTCGGCCGTCGTGTTGCTCAGCTTGGCCGCGTGGATGGCCGTGGTGAGCGAGACGGAGTCGTAGACGAGGCCCTTCTCCGGCATGTTCATGATGGCCATGCCGCCGGCGCGCGTGTCGCCGATGGAGATGTCGATGGCGCACGGGCGGTGCGGGAGGTAGGCGACGTCGACGCTGATGCCGGCGTAGTACTTCTTGTAGTCGGTCTCGGTCTTGTTGGCGAAGACGGGGAGCGTCGGCTTGACGCCGGGGGCGGTCGTGGTGGTGGGCGCGGGGACGGAGTTGTTTCCGGAGGGCAGCACCGAGGTGGCCAGGGTGGTGCGGAGCGACGAGGCCGAGGACGGGCCGGCCGAGGACGGGCCGCTGCTGGTCCCGGGCGTCGTCGACTGCTGCTGGCTGCTGCTGCCGCTGGTGGTCGGGCGGACGGAGGTGACCATTCCGCTGGAGCTCACTCCGCCAGAGGTCGAGGGCGGCTTCACCTGGGTGCTGCTGCCGCTGCCGCTGGTGACGGGCGCGTTGTTGCTGGTCGTGGTCCGGGCCGGGCTGGCAGACGGGGCGGGCGAGACCGGCGGCAGCGGCTTGTTCTGCTCCGGGGGTCCGTAGAGCGAGTTGATGATCTCGACGGCGCTCTGCTGCATCTGCGTCTCGGACTTGCTCCAGTGCTCGAGGCCCTGGTAGGTGTAGCCAAAGTTCTTGCACGAGTTGACGGAGCGCGACGTGTGCCACTCGCCGTTGGTCTGGCGGAAGGGCTGCAGGGGCGAGTCGAGGTCGATCATCGATCCGGAGGGCGTGTTGTAGCGAGACTGACCCTGGTAGGCGCCGTTGAAGGTGGTAGCCTCGGGGTGCATGCCCTGCCAGTAGGCCCAGAGACGGTCAACGTTGGCGTGGTGAAGCATGCTGGGGGGGTGGGAGGTTAGTATGGATAGATGGATGGTGGATGGATGGTGAATGGATGGTGAATGGATGGATGGATGGTGAATGGATGGATGGATGGATGGGCATGTCATCTATAAAGGACGAGTCAACTTACAACAGCGGCTCAAAGGCAGAGTACTGAGAGTCCATGAATTGGCCGCCGCAGCCAGCGTCCCAATGAAGAGCATTGTGAGCAGCCTCCAGACTACGACCTTTGCTGGCCGTCGTGGCGAACTCGGAGAAGGACTTGGCCATGGTGAATGTATCATACTGCAGAAGAGAAAAGCAGCATCAGCAAAAGTGGCCATCTCGGACAGGCTTCTTCTTCCACTCACCACCAATCCCTTGTAGTTGCGCTTGACCAGGTTCTCGTTGGCCTGCTCCGAGCTGTCGCATCGGTACATGCGGTCCCTCGTCTCAAACTGGCCGTACTTGCCCTGCTTCACGTCCTGCGAGAACTTGTACGTGTACAGCGGGTTGTCGATGGTCTTGGTCTCGACGCCCGTCTTGGCCGCGACCTTGACCTGGACGCTCTCGGGAAGCGCGCAGGCCGGGAGGGACGGCTCGGCCGCCCAGTCCCAGTACGGGGCGCGGAGGTCCTCGGCGGCCTTTTGGTATTCGGAGCGCACGCTCTCGGGGTAGGCGGCGGCCAGCGTCCTGGCCTCCTTGACGAGGTTTTGCTGTGTGGTGAGGGCGGGTTGTGTAAGCCGTCAATGATCTCGGGCTGCGATGGATGATTGGGGGGACTAGACTACATACCTCGTAGAAGGCGACATAGGGTCGGTGCCAGATCATGAACAAGTTTTCCTGCATTCCTTGTTAGAGTGACAGAACAACACAGGGTCTCCTGGCAGGTTCAACTTACTCCGTGGGTGCTGTAACCAGACCAGCCATCGGTGCTCTTGGCTCCTGCATTATTGTACTCCCTGAAGGGTCGGCCGTGGATACCTAGAGAGTCAGTCTGTCAGCCAGATGATACTCGCCTGATTCAGATCTTCCCTTATGCCTTACCGGCGATCTGGAAGTAAGACTCTGTCTCGCTTGCATCGCGATCATACATGGTGCGCATAGCCTGAACATAAAGATCCCTGCAACATCATCTCGGATTAGCGCCTTGCCTTGCTTCCCATTCCCGGGCCGAGCCAGCTTCTCGGGACCGACTTACCACTGAGGGCCAGCCTCAGTCGCCAGCTCCGTGATACTCCGTCTCATGGGGACCGCGCCGCCATTGCCCGTCGCGTTCGCTGCCAGATAGCCGGTGACGGCTCCGGTGTAGCCACCATTGGCGGCGGTGCTTTCGCCCGAGGCGGAGACCGCGCGGGTCAGGAACAAGCCGGAGAGGATCAGTTGGAGATGCATGGTGAAAGAAGAAGAAGGAAGGAAAAACGAATGTGGTAGAGCACCTTGATGTTGGTGATGCTGAGGACGGGTTTTTCGGTTCGATGCGGGCAGTAGCCCATCTAGATATAATACGCATCTCTGGGAGCTTGGAGCATCTCGCCCGCGCCACCCGAACAAGGCGAGATGTCGGTCTGGTCTGCCGAACTACTGAATGCTACTCGGCAAATTGAACTTGACTGGTCTATCCGTAAGGCCTACTAACTACTTGGTAGCATGACGGCTGCAGTTGAGCGATACGCAGTGGAGTTGTGGTGGCTGAAACTGCTAGGTGACCAGGATGCTGGACGATTCCGAAATTACCACCGTTTTTCACGGACAAGGAGTTCAGCAGCTCGGAGGTCGCTGCTGGTGGTGTACGGAGCACATACAAGTGAGCATACTGATGAGTCGACTATCGCCCAGCTCGATTTGCCCAAGATGAGATCTAGGATACGAGCCCTTGATCATCAACCTTGGTGATCTCTCGTCTCACCATCCAATAGTTGTTACCTTCTTTAGCCCAGAAGCTTAATCCTAAACGTGGCACTGCCCTCGCCGCTTTCGGTTCCCTTGCCTTGCCCTGCCCTGGGAAGATCGTCCCGCAGCTCCGACCACGATGATGTTTCCTCGCCTGTCCATAGACCCAACGAGTGGTTCCTGCAGGACAAAAACAAAACTCAAAACTCACCATCTTCTCGCTCCTCCGCAGCCACCGCACCGACACCTCCGTCGTCATTTCGGGAGATTGGATGGTCGGATGGGGTCAGGAGACTATTGCCTGCACGGCCCGCATGGGGCGGGGAAAACGGCCAGCAGAAAAGACTATCCCAAAACGCGGTCCAGGGGTTCGCGATGAGGCTAAGCCTTGACCGGGCCCCCGGGTTCAGACGAAGCTGGAGACGGACTGGAGCTCCGGCGAAGGACACCCAGTCGGGTCACGCCATAACCGCATGATTGGGGGGCGTAAGCCGCACGGGTTGTTGCTGTTGTTGACTGAGTCTTTGTTAATAAACCATGACTATTAAGGAGGAGAACGCAACTGATTGCATTGCATAGGGGTGAATGCAGTTGTGGAGAGTCCCTAAAAATAACCGAGAAAAACTGGTAAGTTGAAATGCTGAAGCTTGGAAAACTGTGTTTCGTCAAGGTTGTCGGCAATCCTATATCCAGGGGTATACTTCGTATAAGCAACCCCTGGAGCTGGCTTCAAGGTCGTGGCGGAGCAGCGTTGTTGGAGCTACTAATAATAGGAGTTAATAAATCGGCCGGATGCCACAACTGGAAACACTTTTATTTTTTCCCTGTAACTTTTCAATTTCTGAACGAGTACACAGTAGGAACACAGGAGGACATTCATGGTGTTGTTGAGATGTGATTGGGCTGTGTGTGCTTGTATAAATAACTTGCAACTCATCGAACGCAAAACTAGTTAGTTCCCTAGTTATTCGGTACTTGGAAACGACAGGAATTAAACGCCTTTAGCAGCGATAAACTCGGTGCATTTACTTGAGCGACTTGGGCCTTATAGAGGTGACACATTGACTGAGAAGACATTTGAAACTGTCCAATGGAAAAAAACACTATTTTGAATCATACTGTACAAGTAGAATGTTGAATATGCTACCCTACATTTTGACGCCACTGTAGTTCGTTGGTATACTGTACGTTGAATCAATTGCAATGTCTACATACAAACACAACTACTAAACTATAAGTTGATTGAAAATAGCCAACTTGAAATATCCATTTATTTATTTTGCAATTTTTTACGTATTCGTATCGAGTGATGGAGTTACTCCGAAGCTCGTGATAGTACAACTTGCCACTACAACCTACCCTGGAGAGTCTGCCCAAGAACTGCGCTCGCTTTCGAACTGGTTTTGAACGGGTCAGGGGGAAATTTGCCCTCGATGCCTTGTACGAGTAGTCTCATTATCTAGAGCACTGGTAATAAATGCACTGGGAAAGTTGCCACGAAAACGCAAGTCAACCGAGCGTCAAGAATGCGCAACACCAGCCACCTATGTATGAACTTGCCTGCAGCTGGCCCCTTAAACCCGGTCGCTCAAGCAACTCAAGTATTCTACTGGACCAGTCTACCTAGAATGCCACAGGCAAAAAAATCTGGACTGGTCTTGCCAAGCTTTTGACATGAATTGGTATGCCAGCGCTGTCTCGTGCTCATCATCGGCCTCAGTCCGCGCCCGCCTTCCTGAACAATATGCTTTTTTGCATCAAGGGCTGCCCATGTCTCAGATTGCGAATTCTTGAACGTTTGAAAAAAGCATCATACACTGGAGCGCCCGCCCTCGTCGTGGCGGGCGATCTCCTCGAGCGCCCATTGGTATTGGTCCGTTCTGTTAACAAGCAGCTCCGTGTCTCACTTTAAGCATTCCTTTGTCCAGCAAATTCCTTTTCTGAACCGCTGTCTGTGCTGCCATCACATTTCATGAACTGGTCATACAAGACACAAATACTGGACATGCAGGTTTATAAAAACGGCAGCCAGCCCCCGCACGGTTGTCTGTACTGCCAACCCCGAGAGTTGCGTGCACTGTTGGTTCAGGGTTACTCGGAGCTCGAAGTTGCAAGTAGCACCAGATCGATCGTATCACACCCGACAAGACGCGCCTTTCGAAATGAAGACGACGACGACAATCATAGCCGCGTTGGCCCTGGCAGCGACGGGCCATTCTGCCGCGCAATGGCGTGCAAGCTTCGACTCTTCCTCCGCCGGCGGTCACGAGGAATTCTCACTCGAGCAGATCCGAAATGAAAAGTTCAAGGGAGTTGACCCGGTCGATGCTATCTTACAAGCTTACGCGCGATACGCGACTTTTATCCCCGCCCGCATCCAGGCTGTCATTGATCGGACGCCTGAAGTTAAGCTCAAGTTCCCGGTCCTGGATTCTGGTAAGATGGTTGTCTTCCTCCGAACGGCCACCTAAGTTGGTTGTACGTTGATCGCCTTCTAACAAGTTATCGTGTAGCGGATCCATCCGTTGTACGTGCTGAAGCGTCACCGCCGGCAGATTTCGACTCGGAATATGCGCTTCCCGTGAGCTTGGGCACGCCGCCACAGGTTCTTCCCTTGAACCTGGACACCGGCTCTTCAGACCTGTAAGAGCCACCTAAACCTTGCCGCGGGTCCCCGACGACATGGGGCTAACCTCTCCGTCGATAGATGGGTGTTTTCCACAGATACCCCCCCACAGTCGCTCAATGGCCAGAAGCTGTACTACCCCAGGAACTCCAGCACCAGCGAGCCGCTCCAGGGAGCGACCTGGAAGATCAAGTATGGCGACAACTCGACCGCCAGCGGCATCGTGTACCTGGACCGCGCAGCCATCGGCCCCGTCGGCTACGACAAGCAGGCCATCGAGGTCGCCCAGGCCGTCTCCAGCGCCATCGCCCAGGACAACTTCATCTCTGGCATCTTGGGCATGGCCTCCAGCGCCGCCAACACCGTCACCCCGAACAAGCAGCTGACCTTCCTGGACAACATCCTCAGCAAGCTCAAAAGGCCGCTCTTCACGGCCAACCTGCAAAAGGCCCGCCCCGGCAACTACAACTTTGGCTACATCAACGAGTCCGAGTACACGGGCAACGTCGCCTACACCCCCATCGACCCAAACACCCCGTACTGGATGGTCAACCTGAGCGGCTACCAGCTCGGCGGGAGTAACGGCTCCGCCTTTTCCAACATGACCATCCGCGGCATCGTGGACACGGGCACGTCGCTGCTGCTGCTGCCCCAGGACGTGGTCGACGCGTACTACGCAAAGGTGCCCGGGTCGCGGCTGGACGCGAGGCTGGCCAACGTGGTCTTCCCCTGCAACGCGACACTCCCGAACTTTGTGTTCGGCGTTGGTGACGGGTACCGCGGCATCGTACCGGGGAGCTACATCAACTACGGAAGAGTCTCGAACAGGGAGTGCTTCGGCGGGCTGCAGTCGTCCACGGGTATTCCATTTTCCGTGTTTGGGGATGTTCTCCTCAAGGCGCAGTTTGTCGTTTTTGACCGAGGCACTCTGAGGGTCGGGTTCGCCAACAAGCCGACTGTTTAGGCATCGAAAATGGCTGACGTATTGATCATGATGATGGGAGATAGCGTATGGCGGCGCAAGCTGAGTCGGGTTGGTAAAAGGTGGCGGTGTGCTTTTTATACGACCACGAGACTCAAATGTCTGGCATGATGAATCTTGTTTATTTATTTTCAATGATTTTTCAGACTTCTTGAAAGCTCAACTCCGAGGAGATGGTGTGATGCGTCTTGGTGCTCGCCACTAGGGAGGGCTAATTAGTAATCTATGGTACCGTAATCTACGACTCTCCCAAGTGCCATACGCTCCTCTCTTATTCAATACCTGCATCTACAAGCACAATGACAGACTCTCGCGGCCGGAGACACGCTGTCGTACGGGCAGGTCGGCGAGCTGGTGGACGCGTATTATGAAGAGGCATTTCGGAGGGAGCTCTGGGATCGGGAGGAGCTGGCGAGGCAGCTGGGGGAGAGGCCGGGCGACGTCATGGTCAAGTACAGGGAGACGTTTGCGCACGGGGTCGGCGTGGCGTGGGACATGGAAGAGATGATCAACTATGAGAGGCACATGGATATGACGGATGTAAAGACGTACTTGCGAGACGTGTTGGTAATAAGGAAGGCTAGGGGCTCATAGTTTCTGTCCAGGTTGGTCATGGACTGGATGCCGGCTGATGTTGTGGACTGACGTGACTGACTCCTTGTCGAATGGCCGACCAAGACGTGTATGTATTCCGCTGAGAACCAATAACTTCTCTATTTGCACTTTTTATTCTTGCAATATTAGATAGTTACTTGCGGATTTTCAATTCTTTTGTTCTGCGCAGGTTCAGCCACCTATTCGTTGGACTGAGGCGCACCAGCTGTGGCTGTGGCTGCGGGCATCATCATCACTTTCCACTCCCTCTTCCTCTTTCTCTTCCTCCTCCTCCGTCACACAAACGAATTCAGCCCGACTCTCCGCACTACCATCGGAATTCTGCCATCTCAAGACTCAAAAGAAAGCCACTGACCCTGGACCTCTCGGGATAAAAGCTCTCGCGCATCTCTCTCCCAACTGGCCATCGCCTGGCTATAAAACATAGCGGCTGCGTGATTGTTAGCTGCAAGTTCATACAACAGGCTCGAATACTTACAATTTCAAGTTTTGTCTATCAGTCAAGTCAAGCTGATTCCTGTCCACAACTCGGCTCTCGGTGGTGCCGTCCGCATTGACCGTCTCAACAACGCCGCTGTCGTCGACCAGATTCTCCCGCTCGATCCTGTCGCGGCGCTTATTCTCCCGGTCGAGGTAGATGCGAAGGACCAGGACGATGATGGCGGGGACAATGGCGGCGACGACCAGGAGGATGATCCAGGTCGGGCGGTAGCGCGGCTTCCACTGCGGGCGGAAGAGCTGCGGCGAGATGATGTTGCCGAGGCCGTACGCGGCGTGGTACAGGGCGATGACGGTCGTCTTCTTGGTGTGGCCGGCCGAGGCGTTGGCCGCCCAGATCATGACCACGGCGTACGGCACGCCGGTGGCGGAGCGGATCCAGATGCCGGTAATGAGCCCCCAGCGGTTGCGCGACGGCAGGCTCAGCAGGAGGACGCTGGAGAGAGCGGTGGGAATATAGGCGAAGAGGGAGATCCAGGCGCGGCTGTTGGTGGTGTAGCGGAGCGCGACGGCGGCGAGGGCGAGGCAGGTAAAGTTGAACGCTCCGAGGACGGCACCGAGGAGGGTCGTCTGCAGGACCGTGAAGCCGAAGGAGTTGATGAGGAGAGAATACTGGTTCGTGGTGCCGTTGGCCATTTCCTGCGTGAGGGCGTGCGCTGTGAAGAGCCATGTCTTGGGGTCCTTGATGGCCTCGATGAATTGCTCCCTCTTGAAGCGCTTCTGCTCAATGCCGGAATGGTTCTCCTTGATTCGAAGGATGGCCTTGGCGCGCTCCTCAGGTGTCAGGAAGTGAGCATACAGAGGGCTGTCGGGGAGCAACAGGTATACAAACACGCCAAATAAGATGGTCACCGCGCCACATAAAACTATGTTGCCGACCTGGTTCGTGAGCAAAGACCGACTTACACGTGGTAGGTAGGAGGATGGGTGACTTACACATGAGCCACTGCCACGGCGCAAACTGGTTGGTGTGGATATGCAAAACGCCGTATGAAAGCAGACCAGAAGCGATTGGGCTCCCGTTACCGACCGACCACATGATGGGCATCAAAACGGCCTGCTCTTGATACGTGAAGAACATGGACATGATGAGAAGAAACGCCGGCACGATGCAGGCCTCGGACAGTCCCAGGAGGAAGCGCACGACAAAGAGCGAGGCAAAGTTTCGACAAGGAATATGAAGGAGTGTTATGCCGCCCCTTGGATGTTGTGTGTGAGAAGTTGGGTCCAAACAAGATGCACAGTTGGTGCAACCAGCGTGAAGAGAAAGGGACATACCAGATGACGAGGTTTGCTGCGAGCCACTTCGCGACCGGAAACCTTTGCAGGGCCCAGTTTTGAGGAAACTCGGCGATCATGTATCCGAAATAAAAGATGGATGATAGCCAGTTGTACTGGTTGGCGCTGAGGTGAGCATCTTTGAGTATCCCCAGGATTGCCGAGCTGCCGAGCTGTTTCTTGATTAGTCTTGTCTTGCACCCCAAGCCCGCTTTCGATCCGGGTCCCGACATACCGTTTGCTTGTCCAAGAACATGAGATGGTATCCGATGCATAGAAAGGGAAGGATACGCCATATCAGCTTGTTGCGAATGCTGACGGCTTCTTCCGGCGTGGGATCCGTAACCTTGACCTCGCTGAAGAGCCTGAAGCTCTCGTCGGCGTATCGATCTGGAAGCTTGGGGGCGCTGGCAGGGACGGCATGGACGCTATCGCTGTCACCGTTGGCTCGTGCTTGGCTTGCAGCCACTGAAGGGGCGTCTTTATCGGAGATTTCAGTCATGGCGGGCTTGCTTCTGTGTAATTGTACTTTGGAAGTAAGTCGTGAGCCAGCCAGGCAAGACAAGCAAGCTATTCAACGGCCAACGCTCAGTCCAACGACTTTTGGTCCACTACTTTTGGTCGGCAGGATGAACTAATGATGTAAATATTCATATCAGCTCCGTTCGTCATGAGAATAGGTCGGTTCCGAATTTCGGTTCCGAATTTCGGTGTCGAGGTGCGATAAGGCCAGGCAGATAGACCCTCTCACGCCATAGTTGGAGTCTTGACGTGATGGATCGAGTACGTACAGAATCAATAATGCGGGATTTGTAAGAAACGCCTCAGAGGGGCTTCTAATCAATTAAATGGATTCTTGTAAAAAGGAACTCGGTGAAAAGAAGTCGGTATCCTTGAGTGTCGTGTATTTTCCTCGTAGCCTCGTCCGATGAGGAGGGGTGGTGGCTGGATGAGCTAACAGCGTAGCATTCCGGCTTATTCGCGAGCCTTGCTTGTACCATGTTTCAAGAACCCTCTTTTAGACTTTCCCAGCCGTCTCTTCACTTGCTTCCTTTCATCAAAGTACAATTAACGTGCAATGGCCACGAATAACGAGCCGTTCCGAGTTCTCATTGCCGGCGCGGGAATAGGCGGCTTGGCGACTGCCATTTCCTTGGCGCGAGTGTCGGGCATACCAAACCTGGACATTCAAATCTACGAGCAAGCTCCGGAACTGCTTGAAATCGGGGCAAGCATCGCGCTGAGTCCGAATGCATGTCCAATTGTTCCTGTTGAGTACGGGATAAGAAGAAGACGAAGCTAACTCTCGATACAGGGTTTGCGGACACTGGAGCGGCTTGGAGTTCATGAAGCTCTGAGCGACGAGCTTGGCTTTCGAGGTCCCAGCGGAATTCCGCAGATATTTCGGTATACCTCACGTACCAATCATGTACAGATCTAGCAGCAGAAATTGTACTGACAACCACAGGCACTGGAAGACGGATCAGGTTCTTTCCGTGGACACTTACACCAACGTACGGGATCGCCGCCACCAGACGACGCGGTTCCATCGGGGCCACTTGCACGGTGCTCTGCTCTCCCACGTTCCCAGATCCTCTATTCACCTCAACAAGCGAGTCATCCGAGCCGAGGCAGGGGAAGAGGGGGCTGTTCTCTACTTTGAGGACGGCAGCGAGGCTCATGGTGGCTTGATAATTGCCGCTGATGGCCTCCGATCAGTTCGTTGCCGGCCCGCACCTGTCAAATACGAACACCAACTCACCATTGTGTAGAAAGTCAGACAGTCTTTGATCCCGGATTATCAGCTCAAGTTTACCGGAAAGGTCTTTGTACGGTCAACGTTCGACGCGTCCTTGGTGGAGGGCAAGGTACCCGACCTGCCACACGATGCCATTCACTGGGTACATCCACCAAAATCATGACCTGCCTTTTCCTCTTGGGTAACGTAAAGCTGATTGTTTCCCAGTGGGGCCCCAAAGATTCGTTCTTCGCTTCTAGGCTCGGAAAGGGCCAGTACACCACCGTCGGCGCCTACGACGACCCGCGCAGCGGTCCGGAGCTGGACGTCGCCTGGAACCAGCCCGGCAGCGTCGACCTCTTCCGGGCCCGGTTCGGCGGCGACTCCTCCTGGAACCCCGTCGTCCGGCGGCTCGCCGAACTCACGCCCAGCGTGCGGCTGTTCCCGAACTACGCCGGCGCGCTGGCGCTCGGCCTCGCGCTCCGTCACGTGGCTGTCGAGTTGGGAGCAAGCCTGGTATTGCCGGAGATTCAGCGTGCGTTGACGCTGTATGACAGGACGAGGCGGCCGCACGCCACGAGGTTGCTGGGCATCATACACGGCGCGCTCAAGCCTACGCAGAAGTCGTATGGCTCGGCGGAGGAGGAGGACGATGCGCTGATGAAGAGGTTCAAGAATAGGCCGGACCTGACGTGGTTGTCGGAGCACGACGTGGAGGCTGCGTTCAAGCAAACGGAGGAGGAGCTTGAAGGTACAAAGGGGACGCAGCAGTTGGTGGTGGCTGAAACAAACAGCAAGCCCAAGAGTAAATTTTAGAAAGAATATGATGACATCTTGTCGGCAAGGAGTTCGTCCTGTTCCGGATAAGACCAGGCACAGAAACGTGAACGGCACGGTTGTTGATCTCCTATGCAGTGGTTCGGTGGGAGCATTCATCCGTTCCGGTTATACCCTGAAGCTTCCAGTCAACAATTCCTCCTGTCCTGCTGCAAATCACAATCTCTGCGGTTGAGAAAACTTCCTCTGACAAGCACCTTTCCTATGCAGCTTGCCACTTTGACTCATCTATGACTCAACTCAGCCTTGGAGGAAAGCTGTCGCCCCACATGATCACAGAATTGCCGTTGTGTGAGTGAGGCTGTACTGACTTGGCCACTGCAGCGTCACATCGCAGCCTTGTTTTGCAGTGCTGCGATTGAACATGCGCCGATGGCTGGCTATATATAATGGCTACCATGCATCACTCAAGGTGGTCACTATACAGCTATGAACCGTCACTGGAGTAGCCAAGAGACGTCCCTCGTCTTTCCGCTCTCACAGAAACTCATCACACCATGGACTCGGCCAGATATAGGAGCCCTCCGCAGCCTCCTCCCCTGTTCAACGGCACGGCCGAGTCGATACTCGCCACCATAAATGCCGCGCTTGATCGGCATCGGGCCGTCCTTGATAGGGTAGTGGCCCAAGTCACCCCCGCGACCGCTACGTTCGACACGGTCATGAAGCCCATCCTCGAGAGCGAGAACGAGGCCGACAAGGTAAAGTGGGTGAACGGCTTCTACCAGCTCGCATCTCCCGACCCAGCACTGCGCGATGCTTCCCGCCAGGTCGAAGAGCTCATCGACGCGTTCGACATTGAATGCAACACCCGGGAAGACCTGTTTGCCCTCATCGACGCGGCGCACGCCACCCGACACAGCCAGGGACTGGACGGGGAGAGTCTCCACCTGCTGGAGAGGGAGTGGCAGCGAAACGTCCAGAACGGGCTGTTGCTGCCTGCGGGACCTGACCGTGAGCGCTTCAGGGAGGCGCTTCAGGAGATCAGTAGCCTCTGCCTGGCCGCGCAAAAGGTCCTGGACGAGGACACCGGCGGCGTGTGGTTTCGGCCGGAGGAGCTCGAGGGAATCCCCGCAGATGCCGTTAATATTGGTGACCTGGAGAAGGGCACGGGAGAAAACGAGGGCAAGGTCAAGGTCACGTTCAAGTACGATCACCTGATCCCGCTGTACACCTACGCGATACACGAAGCCACAAGGCGGACATATATGCTTGCGGTGGTCAGCAGGGTGAGCGAGCACCAGCCCATACTAGATGGATCTTCCATGAGCCCCTTCAATGCTGACCGCGCCAGGCAAACGTGAACGCCCCCTTGTTCCAGCGCATCATTGAACTGCGCGACGAGGCCGCGCGGCTCGTCGGCTTCGACAACCACGCCGAGTTTCGCATCAGCGCGCGCATGGCCAAGACGCCCGCCCGCGTCCACGCCATGCTCCAGACTATCCTCGACCTCACCGAGGATGGCGTCCGCGCCGACGTCGCCGCCCTTCTCCGCCACAAGCAGGCCGACTGCGTGGCACGTGGCGCCCCCTTTGACGGGACCCTGCACTTCTGGGACCGGCTCTTCTACAGCCGCGTGCGGCGCGAGGTGGAGTTTGGCGTCGACGAGGCCGCCGTGGCGCAGTACTTTCCCGTGGGACCGACCGTCGCCGCCATGCTCGCCATGCTCGGGGAGCTGTTCGGCCTCGTCTTCGTGCGGATGGACGAGGAGGCGGACCGCGCGCGGATCAGCCCAACGGGACGCGCCGGGGACGTGGCGTGGCACCCGGACGCGAGCCTCTACAGCGTCTGGGACGACGATGACGACGAGCAAGGCGGCGGCGCGTTCTGCGGCTACCTCTACCTCGACCTGCACCCGCGCGACGGCAAGTACGGCCACGACGCGTGCTTCACCCTGCAATCCGGCTTCACGCGGCCCGACGGCCGCCCGTTCCACCCCTCCGCCGCGCTCCTCTGCAACCTGCCCGGACCCGCCGCCGAGGGGTCCAAGCCGGCGCTGCTCCACCACGCCGACGTCGTCACCGTGCTGCACGAGCTCGGGCACGCGGTGCACTGCCTCGCGGCGCGCTCGACGCACGCGCGCGCGCGCGACGTCGCCGCCGACTTCCTGGAGGCGCCGTCGCAGATGCTCGAGAACTGGTGCTGGACGCCGAGTGCGCTGCGGCGGCTGTCCGGCGTGCCGATCCCGGAGGAGCTGGTGGCCCGGCTGGTGGCGGCGCGCGGGGTCAACGCGGCGCTGGACGCGCGGGACGCGGCGCACACGGCGCTGTTCGATATGCGCGTGCACTCGGGCGAGTCGCCGGCGCACGTTCGGGGGATGGACTGTGGTAGGCTGTGGAACGAGCTGCGGACGGATCTCACCGGGCTTCATGGGCCGGGGGACATGGGAATGTAAGTGGGGAGTTGCCATTCCGCCCGGGGGGGGCAGCGGGTTTTGACTGACATGCGGCGATAGGGACTGGGGCAACGGACACCTGATCGTCGACCACTTCATCACGGGCTACGACGCCGGGTATTACGGCTATCTCTTCTCCGAGGTCTTCTCGGCGGACATGTTCCACGCGGCGTTTAAGCAGGATCCCATGGATGGGGCGCAGGGCCGGCGGTATCGCCACCTTGTCCTGGAACGGGCCGGCACGATGGATGAGATGCAGTGCCTGATCGAGTTCCTAGGTCGCGAGCCGGACCCGAGGGCCTTTTTCGAAGACAGGGGGCTAACAAAGTCTTGATGGGACAGTGGAAGAAGGATAGAGGATAGAGAAGATGGAGAAAATAAAGACTATAAGAATTGTGATCCATCAAGAAAGATAAGCCTGATTATTATCAATGTAAAATTACAGCACTAGACATAACTTGTGAGAGGGACCTCTGTATCCTCCCCCCCAAACAACGACAGTTTTCTCTCGCACCAACTCCCTACCTGTCAGCCCGTAGGCCGAGCCCACAGAACTTCCACAACGCATCATCTTCCACGCATCATCTTCCACTCATCATCTTCCACGCATCACACTACCGGTCGTAAATGACCTCTTGAACACGAGGGTATAGACGCACCATCTCCTGGTACAGTTCGGGGTGGTCGTTGACCATGACGCGCGGATCCCAGCCGGCCGCAACAAAGATGGTCTCAATACCGCTAGAGATGGGGGTCGTGAAGATGTTCGCAATCTGGAAGCCAATTAAGAAAGCAAAGGCCATAATGACGGGGGTGAAGCCGCCTCCCCTGTTGTAAGCGGGGTTGGTGATCAGGAGGTAGAGGTATGCAAGCAGAGCGCAAGCGTAGCCGACGAACAGGGCACCAAAGGATAGAACAGGGCCGATGAGACATTCCTGGGTGGTAGGTTAGCAAATTCAAGGTAGAGGCAGGAACGGACAACAAGCTTACGTTGACGAGGGCGTCGATACCGCGGTCCTTGATCATCTTCCATGTATCCTTGGCTGCCTCGATATACTTCTTTCCGTATAGGGCGATGTGAGCATAAGCGTATCGGTTGATGAATTCCACGGCCCACTCAATGATGCCAAGAAGGCACTGTAGAACGCAGAAAAAGGCCATGCCAATGAAGCCGCCGATGCCGCCATCGTCGGCTGACGATTGCTTCGCGACCGAACAGAGCTGGCGGAGGAACTGAATAATTGCAACGATCAGACTGCCAAAGGCAATGGAACCGAAGCTGTAGGTCAGAGCGCGCTTCGCAGAGCTACGGGTCGCGTCCTTGGGGAAGTTGTGGACAGCAAAGTACCAGGCACCGTAGACGCCGCAAATGATTGTGTGAATGGTGTTCTTCAGCCACTCAGTAATCCAATACATGGCGAACGTGATAAAGACCATCAAACCAATGACGGTCCCCTGGCTGCAGCCGGAGCCGTTTGGTCCACAGTTAGGGTTGTTCGAGGACGGCTGCCATCGAACGTAGATGCCGACCATGGTGGCGGAGAACCAGGCACCGAGGGCAGTGGCTAGGATACCGCCGATAAGACTAACGATGTAGACATGGCCATACTTCTTGCTGACGTCGATGCTGGTGCGAAGCATGAGAGCGGAAAAGGGAATGCGAGGAATCCAGGTCCAGAACGCAAAGGCAGTGAAGACGGCAAAGATAAGGAAGACGATGCCAGCAGACCAATACTTCTTATACAGATAGTATATGGCGGTTCCAAACGCGAAGACCAGGTTGAGAATACCGGTGACCCAGATAAAGGCCTTGGGGAAGGTTCGGGCGAGGCCGACGTATGCGATCGAGAGAACAAAGGCGGCGCCGAGTGCGCAGGCGAAGAGAATCAGGGTGTTGGAGTTGATGGAGAAGGTGTTGGAGCTCTTAATTCCAGAGCCGTGTATACCAGATACGTAGCCGCGAAGCGCAATGACGGAGACGGCAACGTAACCAGCAAAGACGAGGAGGAACTATAATCGAGGTGGCGCGCGTTAGCGAATAGATCGACGTGTAGGTGCAGCAGGGCTAGCTCAGGCAGGTATTTAGTAGACGCACGAGAATAGCAGCCCACAAGTCGTTGTATTTGGGCTTCTCGATCTTGAAGGCTTGATCGAAGCCATACTTTTCATCGTTGGAATTGGGAGGATTGTAGCTGTAGGGCGGCGGAGCGCCGTAGTTGTAGCCGCCCTGGTCGTAGCCTCCATTATTCTGCGGCGGCGGCGGAGGCGGCTGCTGTTGCTGCTGCCATCCCTGGTTGTACTGCTGCTGATTGTACTGTTGCTGGCCATACTGCTGCTGACCATACTGCTGCTGACCGTATTGCTGCTGCTGGCCGTATTGCTGCTGCTGGCCGTACTGGCCATGGTACTGGTCACCCATGGCGGGCGTTTGTCGTGTTTACGCGCGCGGTGGCGGTGCCTGGAAGTAGATCGATCGGGGGCGGGCGCCGGACGGGATCGAGACGCGTAGCCACTGCCGGTTGTATGGCTAGAAAGGCAACGAACGGCGGGATGAAGGAAGGAATGACACCTTTGTAAGGAAAGGATGTAGAAGGGAAAAAAACAGCAGAATTGAGGGGGGGATGAAGCGCAGGGCGAAACAGGTACATAGTTAGCTGTTGCATTGGTACCTGCAGTGGGGAGTCAAAAAGCTTGTGGGGAGGTGAGTACTGTACATGTAAGGAGGCCCTTTCAAAAGTCATGTGTATCTTGATCATAGATTTTATCGTTCTCTCTTTTCAGAAATGTCGTCTTTCTTATTTTCTTAATTTTAATTTATTCTTTATTTTTACTATCTACTCTATCTCTGTCTTTTCCCCTTTCAGAATCGCAGTACCTCGACTTCTGAAAGCTACATCTGTACTCCGTAGCTAGAGGCAGTGCTGGAATGCCAAGTCCAAGCACAGGTGTTGCTGGGCGGCAGCGGGACAATCAGACAAGACAATCACTCATTCGGTGACGACTTGCCAGGATTATTAGCGTCACAAGAAACCTCGTCAGGCCTCTATTAGCTTGGCATGCAGGCAGGCAGGCAGACAGCCAGTCCTTTCGCGTCTTCTTTCCCCCCCGCGAAAGCTAAAGGTGCCGGAACCGAATCGACAGAGGCGAGAGATCAACAATGCGAAGGCTGGCTTTCCATAGCTCTGGTTTAGCTCCGAAACTAAGTTCAACAGGTGGGCGCGTCATGGGCCGAGCAGCAAGTAGATAGGTGTGCTGGGCAAGGCAGTCTTTGGTAGGGCCAGCATTGTTGTGGGCCGCTGCGATTGATTGCCGGGCACCGGAAATTGGCTTGACTATGAACGGGTGGTGAGGTCATACAGGGGCCAATTTTCAGCTGATGTGGTTGGTGATGGCTTGATTGCCTCGGTCGACGGCGCGTGAACGTGGACGGATAGTTTCGTCCAATTCAGCATGGCTTTGCGGCGATCGATTCAGTGCGACTGCCTAAAACAAAACAAATAATTGAATCGGATGCTTGGCCCTGGGAGAATTCGCACACGTTTTGACGTATCTGTATCCGTACCTTTTTCGTATGATGCACTTGTTGTCCTGTTTCGCCGATGCTGGCCTTCAGTACGCCGATGCTCCACCGCCAAGTCCATCGCCCACGCAGCTGCTGCTCCCATCGCATTTATAGGGATGCGTTTTGTTATGAGTGATGCCCCAGGTCCCGAATTTTATTCAAAACTTGATGAAAGAGGAAGAGAAAAGCCCAAAATGGGAAGAGTACATGGATCCATTACGGCGATGCTTTTTCTCCCAATCGCCCGCGAAAGCAAACGCCAACCCATGGAGCCACCATTGACGTAAGCCGACATGTTGCTGGCCAACACATGCTGGAAGGGTTTCCACCAGCCTTGAGTCACCAAGCCTGGTTCAAGGCTTGGAAATCCTGCCACTAACAACTTCACCACGAGCTTCATGGACCAAAAGTTTCTGCTGTCAGAATTCGACCGCCTCATCAGCGACGGTCTGGTCTTGTACGATGACAAACAGACCATCCGGCGCCAATTGGATGGCGGCCTCAAAGTACGTTATGAGCATTTGCACACCCTCCCCCTTTATGTTCACGCTTAACATTGACTCGATGCAGTTCCAGTTCGTTCTCACATCTGCTCTGAACAAGAAACCCACGGCTGCTACCGCGGGCACTCAATCCAAGGAGCTCGTCGAGAAACGGGTGCGCCCTGGCAGCGACATTGACGCCAACGGATATGAAGTCGGTGAGGTCGGTGGCTCCCACGTCCTTGTTGCCAACAAATTCTGCTACGCGCGGCCGCACTACCTGCTGCTGACCAAGGACGGCCATCGGCGGCAGTACGAGCGGCTCGACAGGGCGGACCTCGCCGCCGCCTGGACGCTCCTCTCCGGCAGCGACCTGGACAACTTTGCCGTCTTCTTCAACTGCGGCAAGGGGGCGGGATATAGCCGGCTGCACAAGCATATGCAGCTGATGCCGATGCCTCCCCATACGTTTGCGTCCTTCCTGGACTCGGCGGATGGCACGGAGCCGGAGGTACCTTTTCGGTGGTTCTACGAGCGATGGTCGGACGCTGGCTCATCTTCCGTGGATCGAGTTGTCGACTCATACCGGAAATTGCTGAAGCAGGCCACCTCGTCGGTAGAATCGCAGCAGGAGTACAAAGCAGACGACTCCCCGGGAGCCGCCTGCTCTCACAACGTCATCATGACTTCAAGGTGGATTGTCGTGATTCCGCGCCGCAGGCCCTCTGTGCGCGATGAGTCAGGCGCAAATGCCATGGGGATGCTAGGCTACATAGCCGTGCCGTCGCAAGAGGGCATTGATACCTGGGCGGACCAAGGGCTCTGTAACGTACTTCGTCAGCTGGGCGTCCCCATCTAAGCAGCACGCGGACTTTGGAGAGCGGCTGCGATGCACGCGAGGAGCATTTTCATGGCTGATAGAATTTCTCGTAGACTTTTGCATGGCTCTAGACATTGTCTGAATGAAGGTAGACTTGTTGGGGAATAAATTCATCTATGATTGATCAAACTATGGCCAGCCATAGTTGCATATGTACATGGGGATATGGACATGCATTCATAAAACTCTATGCAGGACCGTCAAGGCGTGCCGAATCGGGGGTTGATCTTGTCGTGAAACACGATTGTCCCGTTGAGGAAGACGGTGCCGCTCTTCAGGATCGGCACGCGCCCGGGATGAGTGCCGTTGGCAGGATTGTTCACAATCGTGCCGTTCTCGTAGATGATGCCATTCCACATGGGGATGAGCTGCTTCGGGCCCGGCGCGCTCAGCGTAAACGCCTGCGCCCTGGGCGGCGGCGGCAGCAGCGGCGAGCGGCCCTTGCTGATGTCGCAGTTCTCGCTGATCATGTACAGGTTCATCCCGACCGCCAGGGTGTACAGCTCCGCGCTCAGCTGGTCCCACGCGTGGCGGCCGTCGACCACCACGCCCACGTAGTCGACCAGCGCGACCGTCGGGAACACCTCCGGGCTCATCGCGTTGAGGCCCATCCAGTACAGCGCCGGGTTGGTCGGCTGGACGGCCATCTGCTCGATCGTCAGCGCCGTCGTAGTCAGCGGGTCGGCGCTGATGATCCACTGGCCGATCAGGAACTGGTCGTTGGCGAAGGCGCCGGCGCGCGACACCGTCTTCCACTTGGCCGTCTGGTCCTCGGCCACCTTTTGCGTGTCCGGCAGGTTCGACCAGTTGTCCCAGACAGGCAGCGCCTCGGTGCGGTAGATGCCGTCGGCGACGGCGTCGTGCGGCACGCCGTCCTGCAGGTTGCTCGTGTCGAGCAGGAACAGCACGCACCCGCGCCCCCCGTTGCGGTCCATAAAGTACGACGCGGGCTGCTTGTCAAACGTGGTACCCCCGGCATCGAGGCCGCCGCACCGGTCGTTGACGCCGCGCAGCTTGCCGAAGAACTCGTTGACCATGTCGGCGGTCCAGTAGATGGGGCCGAAGCTGGGGATGTTGCGGATGCCGATCAGGTACCGCACGCGAAACAGGATGATCTCGCCGGGGTTCTCCGCGGTGAACCGGTTGACCTCCTGGATGACCTCGTCGAGCGCCTCGCCCGTGTTGCCAATGGCCACGTCCGCCCTCTCGTCGTTGACGTGCAGGATCCAGTAGCCGTACTGGGCCGTGTTGGTCGCGTTGTGGACGGTGCCGACGCGCAGGTCGAAGAGGCGCGAGCCGGCGCGCAGCTGGTCGTAGATGGTGATGCCCTGCGTCTGCGTGTTGGGCGCGGAGCCGAGCGAGACCAGGTTGCCGCTGATGCGGCTCATGCCGGCGTCGTGCGACCCGGGCAGGAACAGGTGCCGCAGCGGCCGGTCCTTGATCACGTCGTACAGGCCGCGCATCCAGTTGCCGGGTCCGTGGCGCAGGGATGCCGCGAAGCCGTAGGTCGCGCTGCCGGTGATGACCAGCGTCACGGGTGCCTCCTTGCCCGGGTCCGAGTACTCGCGCTGGCCGAGGCCCATGCCGCTCAGGTCGAACACGGTCCGGCGCGGGTAGTCGTCGGGGATGTGCGTCGTCGCGCGCACCATGAACTTCTTGTTGGTGCCCTGGATGGAGTAGTAGGCCTCGCCGTTGTCGTCGACGGGGTTCTTGCCGGCCTTGGACGTGTACTTGGCGACGTTTTGGCGCGACCGGCCCTGAGGGATGTCGTCCCAGTCAAAGATGTCCATCTGGTACGAGTGGGTGGCTCCCTTGTCCAGGACGAAGCGGTGAGGGGTGAGGTTGACGATGGTGATGTACTGCTTGGCCGGGAAGCCGACCTTGCCAAAGGGGATGAGGGCCCATGGTTGGTAGCTGCCGGCGCGAGGTACCTCGTTGCTGTAGGTTCTGTCTTGACTGCTGCAGCTGCTGTCTCTGGGGGAGAGGTGCTGCTGGCCGCTGACGAGCGTGAAGCTCCAGAGGCTGGCGACAAGCGCGTATAGCGCGAGCTGTTGGTGTCTCATGGTGGTGATGTGCAACTGCCTCGGATCGAAACTGCAATGATGAACCAGAGACTGACAGCAAGGCCGCGAGACGAGAACCGAGTGCTCGTGAGTTCTATATATACAACTACACAGCTGGGATCTCAAGGCAGAATCACATGGACGGCGAGGGAGAGTTCCTGACTTCTTCTTGTGCGAAAGTGCGCCGGCTCTATAATAAGACAAGCCAAGCAATAGCCACCCCCCGACCGGGGGCTGACTGACATTGTCGCATGAACGGGCGGGCAGGTTGAAGACACCATGCGCCGACCGGCATGGAGGCGGCCCCAAAGGGACGCCAGTGTGCGCATTGCAACGATGGAATTCCGACCATGATCAACCCTGCAGGTTCGCTCGCGGGAGAGATGTGGTTAGTTCCAGGGGCGTGGTCAGCGCCGAGCTGTCGGACGCTTCACGGAGCGTGACTGGCTGGGATGGAGATGGTTGCAACGCTAAGATGTGCAAGGGCGCCACCTGAAGGTCTCATCAGGGGCGGGCCTTGGGAGGTCGAGCATCAAGTGACGCCGAGCAGGGTCCGTCAGACGACGAAATCATTGTCTCTGGGTTTTGGGAGGAGTAGGGGGCAGTTGGTGGTTGTCACGATATTGTCGTGGGGGCTTGTTGGAGCTGAGTTGTAGAGCTGAGGTTGAGAGTTGAGGAAAGTAAATCTCGGTAACTAGAGAGTTGGAAAGAGCCGGCTGATTCCTAGTTACACTAGGAGTTGAGCCAAGAGAGACAACTCGCGTCCGTCTTGAATCAAAGGTCTCGCTCTCGGCTACATCCATGCCGAGCAAGGTTGATCAGCCCAGAGTGATTTTCATCAACGACTGTAAGGGTTGATCATTTTCTGCAAGAATCCGATCAAAATTGTCCATGCACTTTCCGCTCCTCCACATTATTAGTTATTACTTTCTTCTTTCTGACTTGCAGCATTCCAAGGGTACATGCGAATAGTCTCCTCCCCGCACGGTAGCGCTTGATGCTACCAGCCAATCTCCGACCAGAACTACCTGAACAGGCCATGTTCCCGTCCGCTGTGGGCTGAACATGCAGTTCTCCAGGGCCATGCTCAACGTTTTTATTGGCCATCGGGGTTCGCGTATCGGGGACCAAGCTGGAACGCCCTTGGCGGTGCTGAAGAGAGGAGCTGGACGGTGTGGCGGCGGAACAAAGAAACGCCTTCGCAATGTGGAGGAAGGAAATCAACCAAAACCCCACAAATGCATTGGAGGCATCGCTGAGGCATCAAGTGCAATAACCACAGAGTACTCGTTCCACCAAGCCCCTGTCACGCAGCTGAAATCGTTGGCCTGCTGCAGCTTGCAGGCCGCTGGGCGCTAGCATGTGATGGGTTCGGTGACAGCTGAGTCTGCCAGATGTATGCATGTGTTTTGTAGATGCCAAAAACCTTTGTCACCCAAGACAAATTAAATTGTGACATTTTGCAGGTTTTGTCTAAAATTTCAGACTTTGAATCGCAAGCATACGCAAGCACACGGATGGGGCTACAACTGGCGCTCCGATATTGGCAACGGCTCTTCAGCCAGGTAGGCTTCTGAAATTGTCTCTGCTCTAAGTTTACAGATTAGTCCACATACATACCTACAGTACATCGGAAAGGAAACACTGGGCGAAGAACATTCGACATCGCATAGTGTAGATCAAGAGCCATCCTGCTCAGTGACGTAGCAGTTCATCAACGTCATCAAAGGCACCGATATCTTTTAAATTCGTTCTTATCACAGGTCAAGCTTCGCATTGACAAGTGAGCTCTCTATCATTAGGCTTCTCTCCAGGCTATAAACTTCCCCGACAGGTTCGGAAGGTTCGCCAGATTTGCCCGTGAATGGCGTGAAACCCGCAGGGCCATTTCTTATATGGCGGCTCCTGAACAGACTGCTAGTGTACTGCTTCTCGTTTCGAATGGTCCGCGATAGGTTTGTACACATCCCAACATCTAAAACTCGTTTTTATTCGTTGTCAGGTCGGCAGAATACTGCCTGTGCTGCCGTGTGCTGCTGGGCAATGCGGCGCGTTTTTGGGTGTGCGGGATCGCGGCACGGCAGCATGAGTGCACTCAAGCCTGGAATCACAATCACATCAATCCACGGATAAACTGATCCAGGCCAAGCTCAAACAACTCATTCCGTACACCGTCGCCGCCCTTGTGCTCTACCGGCGCCAGGGGGTTCTTGGCCACTGCGTGACAACACTCATTAGCGCATTGTTTCCCCAGTTTCCCTCCTCGAGAGAAAAGGGTATAGAAAGAGAACTAACCGTATTCGACCCAGAGGTTTATGTATATTTGGTGCAGCACGTTGCGCATGCTCGGCGAGGCCGTGTCGGTCAGGAGGACGAATCGCAGGTTGGCCGGCGTCTCGTAGTAGTGCAGCTTGTACTGGCCCGTGCGGAAGCTGATAAAGGCGTCGTCGTCGCCGCCGAGCTTGCGTGCCATGTTGCGGAGAGAGAAGACGGTGCCGAAGATGAGCTTGGCGTTGTCGTCCGAGGAGGCGTGAGTCGCGGCCGTCGGCGGCGGCGCAGGAGCGGCTCCGGTGCTAGAGGTAGGGCGGCTGACGGACGGAGGGAGCCATGACTTGGAGTATATGCATTCGGCTGCGAAGAGAGGGGGGTTGCGAATGTAAGGTCAGTCGCACGCGATTCTTCGTTGTAGAGAGGGCGATGGACGGGGGAGGTTGGAAGCTGGCATACTGTGACGGTCGAAGATGTAGAAGGAGTAGACGGCCATGATGGCGGGGAGAGAGAGGTAGGGGGAGGGCGCCGGGCGGGCGCAGTGATGTATCGGGTTCGCTCGAGGGGAAATGTGTACAAGCGTCGTTTCCAATGGGTTTCGCTGAGCTGGATGACTCAATTTGGATGCAATCAGCGGCCGTTGATTTGTGGTGGAAGATGAAGGTGTCGCATGTCGGAGCCCTGGCGGGCCGTTGAGTTGGACAGGAGCTGCTAGAGGCTTGAATTGTGGCGCGTTCCTGGTGGCGCAGACTGTGGAGGAGGGGTTCTATTCATCGTATTAATTAAAAGGGCAGCCCAAAAATGAAAGGACGACTGGCATTATTGTAGGTGATTATACCAATTAGAAAAGTTTTAGTTCAAATCTAATATTCGAGTCTTTTTGTGCAGCTGGTCCAGCTCAGAGGAGCCTGTCAACCGAGGGGATGCCACAGTAGGTACCTGCAGAGAAGCTCAGTACTTATCGATCGAGGTGGTGTCGCCGTTTTCCTAATGTCGCTTCGCTTTTCCCTTTTCTATATGCTTAATCGTCGACATACCTATCGCATAGAATCTGTACGTGTATAGCATTGTACGAAATAAAGATACATACGACTTACCAACATAAGCGATGCAGGGGATCCTTGTTTGCACATCACCACTTGCAGCTTCGTGGCGATTGCCGAACGCTGCCAACACAGTACAATCTGCCTACACCAGACCTGGTCCCCGAAGATCCCCTTTGCCGAGAATTTCTTCGCCACCGATCTAGCAGCCATGTAGTAGCAATCTAGAAGCAATCTCGATGCATTGAAGAGTGCTTGCGCCGGGACACTTGGCCGAGGTAGCAAAGGGGACTTCTCTCCACTCACACAAACCATAACAAAGGCCAGCAGCCCACAGGGCAACAGGCCAGCCAGCCAGCCAGCCTTGCCTGCTTACTGGTAGTTGGCCGACTACCTAGACTTCCAGCTCTTCACGCAAACGAATGCACCCTTATTATGCCAGTCAAAGCAACCCTTTCCCACAGCATGGTCTAACAGTCCCAACGGCTTTCTATCGTCTTCCACAAGAAACCCTCTCCTTCCCGGCTTCAACTTGCTCTGGTGAGACGCCGTTGTGCAGCCTCACCCCGCTTCCGCGCGCCGGCTGGCGATAGCTCCTCTTCTCGCTGCCTACATACCTCCAACTGACAAACCCCTCTCTGCTGACTGGGTACAAAACTCGCGGCTGAGAGGAGCACCTTACCTTGGGCGCACCACGTTTCTGCGGCGCGGGGCTTTTTCGACGATAGCTCTCTTTTCTTATCCCTTTTTCACCCGCGCTGCTCCAGTCTCGCCGTAGGAAAACGGCCTCCATCTGCTGCGAGCCCATCCATAGTTACTAGAAGCATGGACAGCCCATCTGTCGCGCGTCCGGCTCTGGCGCCTACCATCATTAGCACCCCTCAGAGTGAGCCGTCTCTGCCGTTACATTACGACTCAGCCCAAGATTTGCCATCCTCACTGGTGCCTGAGCGGCCACCATTGGCGACTAACGCGTGAGTCAACCGGATCGACGCACAATCAAGTTTGATTAACCATGTCTTCTGCAGCTCAGATCCCCCCGGCCTACAAAGCTTCCAGAGCCCTCTACGGCAGCATAAAAGACAGCCGAGTGCTCATCGCGAGGTCAAGGTGTGTACTTGTAGCCGACTACCCCAGCCATTCATTCGCAGCTAACCAGAAAGGAAACCTTGGATGCCCGCGTCGAGTACGCAAGCGACGAAGATGACGGGAGAACCTACCACAAGATCAATCAGTACACCATTATTGAGGAAGTCGGTCGCGGCTCCTACGGCGCTGTCCACCTTGCGACTGATCAATTTGGCACAGATTATGTACGCATGCATGCTCAGTGCAATCATCAAGATGTATGCAAAACTAACCCTAACCAGGCAGTCAAGGAGTTTTCCAAATCCCGCCTGCGCAAGCGTGCGCAGTCCCAAATCCTACGCCGTGGGCCCCAAGGTCGTCCTAGACGACAGCCCTTGCGCGTCCGCAACAACGGCGAGGTCTTGACACCGCTGCTTGGAGGAGAGCAGCCCGGCGAAAAGGAGGATGCCCTACACCTTATTAGAGAAGAGGTGGCCATCATGAAGAAGCTCAACCATCCCAACCTCGTGCAGCTCATCGAGGTCCTCGATGACCCGGGCGAGGACTCACTCTACATGGTCCTCGAAATGTGCAAAAAGGGCGTCGTCATGAGGGTTGGGCTGGACGACCACGCCGACCCGTACAGCGATGATTCGTGCCGGTATTACTTTCGCGACCTAATTCTCGGCATTGAATACTGTATGTCTCTCTTGCCTTTCCGTAACCAGAGCCTCGTCACTAACATCTTAGTGCACTCTCAATCCATCATTCATCGCGACATCAAGCCAGACAATCTTCTGGTAGCAGCGGACGATACTCTCAAAGTCAGCGACTTTGGTGTCTCGGAATTGTTCGAGAAACCTGACGGTATGAAGATTAAGAAGTCGGCCGGGTCTCCTGCATTCCTGGCGCCGGAGCTGTGCAGCCCTCACGGCGAGGTGTCTGGTACCGCCGCCGATATCTGGTCCATGGGCGTATGCCTCTACTGCTTCCGCTACGGCAAGATTCCCTTTAATCGAGCGAGCGTGCTGGACATGTACGAAGCGATTCAAACGGAGGAGCCCAAATTCCCGGAGGATGAGGATCCAGCGTTCAGAGACATAATGAAGAGGCTCCTCGAGAAGGACCCCGAGCAGCGCATCACAATGGCGGAGCTTCGTGTAAGCGCTTCCCCTCTTCTCGTCACGGACCACTACTAATTGTACATAGGAGCATCCATGGATCACCAAGGCCGGCACAGACACCCTACTCTCTAAGGAAGAGAACTGCGCACACAAGGTGGAGCCGCCCAACGAGCTCGAGATCAGCCGTGCTTTCACGAGAAAGATGGACAATGTATTGTGCGTTCTCAAGGCCATTTCCAAATTCAAGTCGCTGCTGTCCGATCGACGGGCCCGGAGCCCTGCCGTGACGGAGGAGATCCAGGAGGGCACGTTTGACCCCGTGGAAGAGAAGACGCGTGCCGAGGAGATTGAGACGCTCCTCGCCCAGCGCCGCGAGGCTCTCAACAGACGCACGCGCGGCAGCGACGACAGCACAGGCAGTGTCGGCGGCAAGGGCCATGCCAAGGACATTAGCGATCAGGAGCCGCTATACCTAGGCATCGGCACGAGCTCGCGGCACGCCTTCTACCTGGACGACGAGTCGGGCACAGACGACGTGGTGGCCGACTCGCCGAGCGCCGTCGACTACAACATCTACGACCGCGCCTACGAGCAAGCCATCAAGGACCGGCTCGACGCCGGTCCGTCCGCCGTGCGGCCCGTCATGTACCTGACCAAGTTCGTCAAGGAGACAGAGCGCTTCCAGTCGTTTGAGAACATTGTCGAGGGCACCATCTTCTCACCGGCGTCGGCGGTGCGCGAGCAGATGCGTGAGCAGATGCGCGAGACGCGAGCCAGCCTCCAGGAGCGCTTCACCTCGCCCTCAACGTCCAAACTGGCCAAGCTGGTCGCCAAGATTGGTCTTGCGGACCCGCCGCAGGCCGCTGCTGACGCCCCCGCGCCGTCAGTACTGGACGACGCGGGCGTAAGCGCCCTCGTCGGGGACGAGGCGCCCGTCGACGGCGACCATTCTAACAGTGCCACCAACGGCGGCGCAGGCGGGGACGCGGAGGCAGGAGGCAATGTGCAACCTGAGCCAGAAGCAGCAAAGGCGGATGAAGTCGAGGCCTCGACGGCGAGCAAGACAACCCCCGCCGCCGCCGCCGCCGCCGCTTCGGCTTGGCAAGACAGGGGACCCCGAGGGTGACGCGCCGCGACCGGTATGGGCCACGCAGAGTGATGGTAGACGCTGACAAGCTTGGTCGCACAGCAGTCGACACGCGCACGACGACAGCGCCACTGAGGGACCCTTGTGACCGGCAACTCAGCCATAACGTTTTCGTGCGACCTTTGGGCTTCCTTTCCCATCTTCTTCTCTTGCCGTTCATAGCTTTGCCACTCTCTGCGGCCTCGGGAAAAAACGGGTAGCCTCCCTCAACAAAAACCGGACGAAACCCTCCAGACGAAGCTCTCTCCTTTCTTTTTTTTCTCCCCCTTGGCGGCGTCAGCCATTCCGCGCCTCTCGCACCAATCAACCACAATCGCAAAGGTCCCTGCGTCGCACCGCATTCTGGAAGAAACGGAAAAGGGGGGGGGGGTTGATAAGTCGGTCGAGATCTCTCTCGACTGAGACACGGCACAGCCAACGGCATGGCAAACGGGGACGAATTAGAGGCGTTGCTCCTGAAACCTCTCTCGATGTGAGCCAGCACAGTCGAGTTGCCAAGGCGCGTCGCACGGCATATCAGTGAGAAGACGAATTGTCGGTGAGGACTCGACAGGCGAGCTGTTTGTCGTCCACCTACTTTTCCTCACTTGAGCTCTTTTGTGTTCGTCCGTGTTGCATGGTAGCATCTCCTCTTTTTCTCTCTTTCATGCCAGGATATTTTAGTGTCCATTGAGAAAGACGAGGAAGGCCACGCGCAACAAACAGGGCTGGGCGATGCCAAGGGTCTGTCTTTGTCCTGCGGGAGCTAGCCAGGGATGTTTATTTTTGGTGTATGTTGTTTTGTTCATATGTACTTTGCGCGTTGATACCCTGCCTCTGCATGCATGCATGCTAGTTATACTATGCGCTTTTTTTCTCTTTTGACCAGAAACCTCGCCTTTTGGACACGTCCTGCGTGAATCCTTGTCGTTTTTGCGACGTGAGCAGAAGATGCGCCTCGTTGACTCCATCTAACTCCTTCACTTCGCCACTGTCTCTCTCTTACTTGTTGTTGTCCGATTTGCTGAATCTAGATCCAGTGTTGTCGGTTGTTTTCCGCTCCCTCCGCGTGACAAAGACTTGCAACCCATGCACCCACCCCCCGGTCCCGGAACGGGGCCCCGGGGAAGCCGGGGCAAAACGTTTCAAGGACTGAAAAGCCTTCACTGGGCTAATTATGAAAATTGACTTACAATTGGACGTCCAAAAAGCACCTTCGTTGTTGGACCGTCTGTCATGTGCTCAAGCCCCCAAGCTGCGCGCCGTAAGTCTGCTCTCTCCGGCCTGCCCGGTAGTGCATACGTGCATGCCCCAACAGCATCATCGCCCACACGGCAAGCATTGATGCAGGCGGAGCTGCGCCATGGCAAACGCAGCGCGCTGTGCACTACCCTCGGTGGTGGAACCTCTTGCGGTCATCTCTACGTCGTCAAGAGGAGCTGTTGGTTTCTTTGGGCAAAAAGGATGGCCTGTTGCTGTGGCAGTGTTCTCGGAATTCAGACTTTCTGGACAGCAATGCATGAACAGAAAAGTACAGGCTGGTAATGGCGTTTTCTTAGCCCCCAATGTAGATCTACGATGGCTCAACGGAAGGGGGCGAAGATGGGATCAGACATCCCTACCGAATACTCCGTAAATCCAGTCTGCCTTTCCATGGTTATTAGCAACAACAGTTCAAGGGGACTATTTGGCGGCAAACCCGGAAATAATTTCCCCACAGCTTGGTCTTGGCATTTCTGTCCTGTACAATCTGACCGGGAACTCCCAGTGCTCGGTGATGGGACATCTTTCCGGGCCCTGCTTTGCACACTTGCCGGCATGCGATGTAAGTCAGGAATCGCAGGGATCTCTTTTCCATGGATAGCATCCGGCTTCGCCGTGATATAGAGATGGACACCTAGAGTCCATGGTAACAAGGCTGTGGAGGACCTGCTGCCGGTGTTGGGCATCAATCATAGAGCGGGTGCGTGAGACGGTTGAAGAGCGTTCCCACTTGCCGGCCTAAACAGTGAGAGTCGTTATCTTGGTGTCTTGATGTGTAAGCAGGCCTCACTTTCTGCAGCATCTCAGTTGCTGAACCATTGAAAGTCCGCCTCTCGCTGATCAGCCCTCGGGGCCCGCGCGCCGTACGCTGTAGCGGGGGCGGGGGGGCTCATTCTGTCAGCGAGGAGGGAAAAAGAGGCTCGGTTTCCCAGGATTGCCCATCCCGTGCGCGGAGTGACGTAGTGTTCTTGGCTGACCTTTGTCATGGCGCGCGCGATGATGTGTCGTGTGTACTTCATTATGTACTTATCCCATTGCGGGGAAGACGGAGACAGACAGGCTCAGTCAGTGTCTGCTTTCCGTCCAACATCGTTCAACTACTAGCTCGTTCCGTTTGTTGGCCGAGAGGAGAAATTTCGTCTCGGTGGCGCTGGGGATTTGCATTTCTGCGCCATTTTAGACGTTCCTGTAAATAAATACCCTATGTATTCCTGCAGCGCAAGAGAGAGCCTGCCACTCTGCATACCCACCCACCAGGTCAAGCGACTCTGGTTTGCGAAAAGCGAAGTCTGCGTGTAGATCGGCCCATTTGACGCTGGACGTTGTCGGGAAGTGGTGTGCAGCCATGTCTCTCCTTGATGCTCCCGTCTGATGAGCGAGCCTCTTGCCACACGAGCGTTTCTCGGTTGTTGCGATATGCTGCCACGCCTGCAATGTGCGTCACTTCAGTGCGCCAATACATTACTTGGCCTTCACACTTACAACGGCGTAATGTGTAATATGTAATGCAGTGTCGCGCATTCTGACGCACGCCGCGCGCTCAGTGTCTCATATGCAGAAGCAGCCCTGCTTTGTGCTACAAAAGACCGGTTGACATTGCATCAAATTGTAACACAGAGTCGCAATCAAAGGGGCACCTCTAACCGTTACGGTAATCTCCCGCACGGGCATTCTAATGCCCGAATTCGATCAAGCAAGCTTAAACAGAACCGTAGTCAGCGTCAAGCTTGAGTTCTTCGTGCCTGATCCAGTAGTCTGCAAAGGCTTTGGCCGAGTCGCGATGCGCTTGAGTCGGTAGCATTTCTTCACGTCCATGCATACCTCCATGCTAGCAACGCTGCGAGATGTGGACAGCCATGCATAGGATGAGGCTACTGACGCCACGCGGTATTCCAAGTCGGAACACCAAATCAGCCTCGCAAATCTTGGTCGCCATTTTTACAGGCGCAGCCAGTCTTCGCGGCCTTTGAAAATGAGTGACCATTTGCATGGTAGTGGGGGAGCCAGACCAAATTACAGCCGCAAAACGCTGCAATGGCAGAGATGCCGAGGGACAAGCCAGCAAGGCGGTGGCGTTTTGAAATACAGTGCCCTAACGCAAAGCCTTGCAATAAGCCAAGACGGCAAAAGAAGCCGATGCGGACACGGGATAGGGCGGCGGGGTAGGGCAGGAGGGTCGGGTCAGCTAGAGAAGCTAAAAGCTGTCGGAGGCTTGTGAGAGGCGACGAGGCTTTGCAACGAGGGGATGGCTTGTCCATGTGGTTTCCAAAGTTCTTCGCGGCCGAATATGGATCCGAGTTGTGAACAAACAAGCTTTGATTGGAGGGCCAAGCGCAAACACCCTGAACGCGTCGAAGCGGGACATTTCCTTGACAGCTTTTTGCAAATGAGGATGAGCAAGAGGCGATGTTGGATCGACGAAGAGGCTTCCAAGTCACCTGTTCCAATTACTGGTAGCGAGGAGTCCTAGTTCCCGGGATTAGTTAGACAGAGACGGGAGGCGGAATATGATGCAGGCGGTCAGCGGCTTTAGAGTCGACAGGCTGTTGGAACCTGCCTCTCACGGTTTAAGTTGTGCGCCTTTCTTGAGCCGATCGCCTCACCTTTCACCTCTTCCAGACTGACAAAGGCTTCCAACGCAGCCATGCCAGTCAGTCGAAAGGGACTACGGAGGACTTAGCCAGGTTACCAAGCCTAATAAAAGCAAGCAGGGTCTAGTCTTGGCTCCATCTGGGATCCAACTCGTCATATCCACCTGTCTTTACCCTCGCAGAGAGCTAGGGTAAAGGGAGTGGACAAGGGTTCGGTTCGGCTGTCAGCTTAATATTTGCTCTCGTATGGCTTTTTAGTGCATGGATTGCTGCTTCTACTGCATCTCGACTCGGAACAACAATCGGTGTACAGCATGGAGTACATACCAGGAGCGGTCCCTCAAATGCGTAGCCGTCGAGGTAGGAGCATGCCAAGCGCAATACGAACCAGCCGCTGCATTTGAAGTTTGTGTGGGTGGTGGAGGATGGGCTGTTGTCGTGCGTCGCCTCACATGAATATGCCGCAATGCCCCGCGTAGTGACGTCGCTGAGTCCGTAGCACCATTTCGCAAGCGGCGCCAACCTTCTCATTCTACTTGTTGGTGCTAGTTATTGGTTGCAATTTCATGTTTTTTGTTAGTTTGGTGATGTGCACTTTGCTGATCCGGCAGAATGGGATGTATGTATTTCGGAGCAAGTAGCCGGCAAGGTGTCTGCGACAGTGTGTCTGGGGAGTTTCTGTTGAGGAATTGAGCAGAGTTCTAGGCCTAGTCTCGCGTCGTGGCCAACGGTGAATCAAGGATCCCAGCAGCGTCTAAAAGGTTTAGCAGAGCAATCGCAGGAGCCTAGACTCGCAGACGCAGGGGCTTCTAGCCTGCCGTGACCGGGAAAGGAAAGACAGTCAGGGTAACCGCACCGGTGGACAGGACCCGGCCAGCCGGGTCCGAAACATCTCAACTTTGATTTTTTGGTTTTCGCACCGACGTATAAGACGGCCGAGGGTGCGAGATCGGGCTTATGCAGGTCGCACTGCATGTCTAGTACTTTCAGCAGGTGTCGACCTTGTACTGGGTAAGAGACGGGTTCTGCGACAGAGAACAGGCCACGGTGAGACAATCGAGGCTAATAATAATCGTGGTCTTGTAAGCTGTCGCACAGGGACCGGGCATCGGGAAAGATGGCGTGGTCAGGTCTTGAACAGATATTGCCTGTTATCGAGGCCTTCGTAAAATTGCCCTGGATTTGGTGCCAAGAACAATGAGTTGGCACAATGACGTGGGTATGATTAGAGCCAAGATTATGAATCGTGCAATTGGGTTTGTTCGCAGCGAGCATGTCTGGTGGGATACACAGAATGGTGGCATCGCCATGTGTAAGCCGAGGGCACTGAGTGATGAGGTGCGAGATGCGATGCGGAAGCAGCACTCCGCAGGCGATGTTGCCTTCAAATATGTTTCCTGGCTATAATTCAAGGATGAATTGGTTAGTAGAGCTTGTCAATCGACTAGTTGGATCATGTCTTGGATGAAATAGTATCGTTTTGCTGTTGAGTCCAGTGCGGCGTTTCCGAGGGCATAGTTAGGCAAGGGGTGAAATCGGATATGCTGGAAGCAAGCTCGCGGCTCGGTGTTGAGGCGTGAGTCCTTGCGTGCAAGGCTTTGGGTGAAAGTTTTCCCAGTGGTTGAGGAAAGAAAATTTGGCTACACGAGACATGCATATCACCGTCTGGGGGACAGTGGATGAAAGAGGAAAAGGGCAGTGCGTTCCCTGTGCGCGTTTGCTGTGTGTTAGACGACGATGCGGGTGGAATGGAGGTCTTGGCGGCGAGAGGAGGCAGATGCAGACAAACGGAGAGTATCATTAGAAGAGTGAGGCGCAGCGCTGGCGGCCTCGATGGCCAAGTTGCAGGTACTTGGTACCGTGGAACAGGTACCTGGCGGTGGCGCGTGCCCTATCGGGGCCGTGGACAGCGGTAGCCGCAGGGCTTTGGTGGATGGTGTAATTTGCACTGCAGTGGACATTTGGCATGGCCCAGCAGAGGTTATCACAGCAGTTATTGCAGCAGTTATTTGTTCACTGCAGAGGCTGTGGTGTGGCTGTTTGGAGCACAGCAGGCAGATCATTGGATGCAACACGACCGAGGCCGGCCAGGGACCAGCAGGTCGGTTTGAGGGTGGCTAGAACAATCTTAATCACCTTTGCCCATGACGGAGTAATAATAAGCCTTGCCAAATTAGGGCACTGCAGTGCAGACCAGAGTAGGCGCAGCGAGCAGCTGGCGACGGCAGAATTTCAATCTTACCTCCATTATCCGTACGCGGAGTACAATAACTTTTACAGCGTCCTGCGCCGTGGCGGTCCGCAATGCTCCGGCGCTGCTCCACTAGACAGTCTGGCAGTTTTACTCACTGACTGACTAGCAGCTGTTAGCTGAGATACCCGGCGTGGCGCGGGATAATGCATATGGCGCTTGGTAGTTTACGATAGGGGCATTCTAAAAATGCCCTTTTCGTCTCTTCCTCCCTAGCCCTGCCCAGTAATGCCTCACCGTGAGCCTCCAGAGGGGATGTGGTTTTGTTAGTAGGGCGCGCTAGAGGCTTTCTGTCACCAAAAACCTTCAGAGATTTGCACCTCAAAAGTGCCTGTTCGTACGCCAGGTACCTCGCAGGTACTACCGTCGGCAACCTGCCTCTACATCGTGAAGGCGAATCACCCTTGGCAAATCCCAGTACCTACCATAAACCACCACCCATTTTTTCACAGTTAGCCACAGCCAAAGTCCCTAAACCACCTCAGGCGGCAGGCCGACCAGCAGAGGTTGTCTTATAAACCCTCACCATCCATTCTATTTTTATTTTCTCAATTTTGCATTTATTCCCAGAGACAGTCCAGCTAGTTAGTGTGTGATTTTTTTTTCAATCTTTTTTCCCACTCCTCTACGCCCACACACCCCTCTAGTTGTCTCTTTGCCATCTCTCTCTGTGGCCCCCGCCATACCACCAGCGGCGAACCTGTCGTCCTCTCCTTGCATGTACCCTCTTGTACCCTTGTCTTGTCGTCGCCGCCGCCAGCCCGCAGCCCGCCAGCCCGCCAGCCCGCCTGGCCTCGACCCATCTGCCACCACCTGCCACCTGCTCCTCTCTTAATAATTCCCTGTCGCCGCTCCTCCCCCGTCCTCAACCAGCCCGCCTCCAACTAACTACCTGCCTCTAAACACTCAACCCTCAACGACGAGGAAATTTCAATCTTCTTTCAACGGTCGTGTGCATCGTGCTCTTAAGATATCAGTACCCCCCTCTTTCAAATACATATCTACATACTCCTCTCTGCCGTGCTTCTCACCACTGCCCCCACAGCCTTGTTATACAAGTTGAACTACAGCTATATCTGGCGCCTACGCTTTCCACTTTCGACCTGCGCTCTCGCTCGACAATCCGCCCTCATCTTCGCTCCACCACCAGCTAGCTCTGTGGCGACAGTCAAACGCCCTCTTGTTTTGTCCGCTCAAGACTATTAACACGCCGACACGGCGTCCTCTGCGCACTGCGCTTCTTTGCGCTTCTCGCCCTCTCACCTCCCTACGTTTGCGCCGCGTTCCATCTGGTCCGTCTGGCTCTGCCGCGCTTCAACAGGCCATCATCGCTTTCGAACTCGAGATTTTCGCCTCGTCCTCGTCCGTCACCAGCTGTGCGTCGCCAAGGCCCGAATCCTGTCGACTCAATCAGCCTTCCATTACCACTTCCCACGCGTCACCTCACGTCGTACACGCGCCCTCGAACCAACATTCTTCTCTAAACTGAAAATGCCCGAGTCGAAACCGAGCTCCGCTCCGAGCTCAAAGCCTTCCTCCATCAAATCTTCTGATGGCGTAAAACGGTCTCCCGGCCTTCGGCCTCAGGACGCCGAAAGCCCTTCACCCGCCGGCAGCGACTATGGCAAGCCTGTGGAGAAGTCTTCTGTCAAAGATCGCTTCACTCGCATGTTCTCCTCCAAAGAACCGTCCCGGGCTGCTACCCCTAACCCCTCCACCAACGGCGCTGCCAACGGCATCAGTGACGCTTCTGGCCGTCCCCGCGGCTCCTCCGTCAATAGCACCTCGGCTTCCAAAGCCGTCAAGGACGCCGCCGCAGCTGATAAGCCTGCCGATAAAGACAAATCCGCCCAGGCCCAGGGGAAACCAGCCGCTCCTAAAGAAGGCAGTTCCCGTTTCATATCCAATTCTGACGTCCAAGGCGCTCACGAGCATTATCTCAAGTCTAGTCGCCGTCAAGAGAAGCTCTCTGACATGTGGCGCAGTCTCATTGGCAAAAAGGCCGAGCCTACGCCGGACAGCGATCTCTCTCTCGTCTCCAATTGGGTCGACTCTCTCCGCCAGGAAAAGGAAGATGCTGCCAACGGTGCCAAGATTAGTCCCCACACCACGTCTACAACTCTCGTCGAGAAGTACGGCAAGTGCCAGGAGATTGTTGGCCGCGGCGCCTTTGGTATTGTCCGCATATCTCACAAAAAGCTCGGTGCCGGTGAGAAGCTCTTTGCTGTCAAGGAGTTCCGCCGCCGGCCCGAGGAAACTGAGAAAAAGTACAGCAAACGTCTCACGGCCGAATTCTGCATTTCTTCTTCGCTCCGTCACCCCAATGTCATCCACACCCTGGACCTCCTCAAGGATGCCAAGGGTGACTATTGTGAAGTAATGGAATTTTGCGCTGGAGGCGATCTCTACACACTTATCCTCTCTAGTGGCAAGCTCGAGGTCCAGGAAGCCGACTGCTTTTTCAAGCAGATGATGAGGGGAGTCGAATACCTTCACGAGATGGGTGTAGCCCACCGTGATCTCAAACCCGAGAACCTGCTCCTCACTACCCGCGGCGCGCTCAAAATTACCGACTTTGGCAATGGCGAGTGCTTCCGCATGGCCTGGGAGACCGACGCCCATATGGTTTCGGGCCTCTGCGGCTCCGCGCCTTACATTGCCCCCGAAGAATACACCGACAAGGAATTCGACGCCCGCGCTGTCGATGTCTGGGGCTGTGGTGTCATCTACATGGCCATGCGTACTGGCCGCCATCTCTGGCGCGTTGCCAAAAAGGACGACGACGAATTTTACGCCCGCTATCTCGAGGGTCGTCGCGACGAAGATGGCTACGGACCTATTGAGTCTCTTCATCGGGTATGCTGCTCTCGTGGGCTTTCTCATAGAAACACCGCTAACTCATTTCCGTAGGCTCGCTGTCGAAACGTCATCTACTCTGTCCTCGACCCTCATCCCACAAGGCGCCTGACAGCCGCGCAGGTGCTCAAGTCTGAGTGGGTGCGCGAGGTAAAACTTTGCAAGGCTGGCGAAGAGGGTCTCTAACACACTGTCCGTCATGCTCCTCTGCATGGCGGACTGCTCTGATGGTGGTCGGCGCTACACTTTTTTCTTTGTAACCGCCGCACATCTTGCAGCTTCTTGCTTGTACAAAACCTCAGACTGTGCAACTCTAAGAAGACTTGAGACATCAGGTCAACGATGATGAGACATGAAATTGCACGCATTCACGGCACATCTCGGTCTAACGCTATTTAGAGATCACTTGTTTATAAATTCTTCCTTTCTTTTTTTTCTTCTTCTTGTTGGGGTGTTGGAAGCCAGATGGGGAACATATTTGACGGTGTGGGCGTCGGGTTTTCCTCTTTGTATAGCTTTACACGTCTTTTGACGCCTCACACTTTTTGGCCCTTCCTTCTAGGAGTTTTTTTTTTTGTTGGGAAACCATGTTTATGGGGTTATACACCGATAAGCACTGGCGTTTTGGAGCATATTCATTCAATTCACCTTCTTTTGCTCTCATCATTATTACCACTTTTTATTTGTCCTTGGTTGTTTTCTTGTAATGGAAGTCAGCGCGGGTGTCGTCTGCAGCCGGGGGATGGATGATCCACGTCGGGACTTGCCGTCGGGCGGTTCCTCGTTTTTAGTTTGTTTTCCTTCATCGGTCTTTTTTATTTCTACGGTTTTTGCCGAGCGTGCTCAATATTACCAAGGGTATGGCGAGTTAGCGAGAGAAAGCTTGACCTTTGTTCCAAGTGCTGAGTGAGTTGGTTGATACTTGTCAATCACGGAGGGAACGGTGGGGGAGCATGATATGTAGAAAAGAGAAGCTTTTTGCACATGAGGCCGCTTTCTTCGCTTATAATATTTGCATTCATCTACTCATAGATGACCAGGACCATTAACAAACAACCAACAACAAACTACCCATCCACTCTTTGCGCCAGATTCTTCAACCCATTGCACACTCCCAGTCGTGTCTGCAATCCCAAACAACAAGGAAAACCGTAACAGAATCACATTCAAAAGTTCCCATGGCGCCATGTCCAACGACGCAAAAATGGGAAACGAAAAAAAGTGATGCAGGCAGGAAAAGAAAACACCAGCGTCTTCCCCCGTACCTGCCACCTCATGTACACAGACATTGTCTGGAAAAGTCACATCAGGACTCGGTCCTCGGCAACCATACCCCCCGTCTCAAAGAAGCGAAATAATATGATGTAAATATAAAAGGTAAAATATAAAATGCGTTCGATTCGTATGTGTAAGAGACACATGGTAGTGATACGTGTGTTTCTCAGCTCATCAAGCTCGCGGTGATCATGACATGCAAAGTCCTCACAGCGTTTACGAGTGGAAAAGGTCCCAAGCCCGCTCGCAAAGTCGCAAAAACTCTTCTCGCTTTGCGCGCTGTGATTCTGGGCTGTCCCGGCCCGCGCCGAAGGGGCCTCGTCTACTAGACGCAGGACCATGGCCAAGGGGCGGGCTGGCGCCATCTTCGTATTCCGCGCGGTTTCTTCTTCGGTTGTTGCTGCTGATGCGACCGCCGACGGGCGACGGGGGCGTGGGAGGTTGGTGTCCACCATAGTGCACAATCTTAGGCAGAAGCTCGGGACGGCCACCGGCAAGTTCTTGTTGGGCTTCTTCAGCTGACTTGTACTCTCTCGGACGCGCAGACAGAGGAGCCGGGTACGCCGAGTGGGGGTGGCCAGGCGAAGCTAATGGAGCACGGGAAGCAGAGCCATAAGTGGAGGAATGGTTGTCAGCGTGCTGGCCGTGGGGGAAAACATCGTGAATAGGAGGTAGGCGGTTGGTCGTTTGCGTCGCAGGTACGGGATGAATGTGCGATTGGCTGCCGTGGCCTGGCTGGGTTGGAATGTGGCGTGAGAGAGGCGCAGGGTGATGGCGGCCGGTAAAACTGTGGCCGAGAGGCGCAGACTGAATGACGCGCTCGTTGGCGAATTGCTCGTGGGAAGGCGCAACAATGGAGAGACCAGGAGGCGCCCGTCTGCGATGAGATGATAGGCCGGGCGTCTTGGCGGAAAACTGAGGTGCGCCATCACGATCCGGGTGAGTGCCGTCGCCCTTTGCCGACTGCTGCTGAAGACGGGCTTCGATAATGTGGCGCTGTTGCTCGCGAACACTCAGACTCCGCTGAAGCTGCTCCTTCATGACGGGGTTTTGGGTGACAAAGCCGGGGGACAGACAAGCCAGACCAACCTCTTGGATTCCGAGACCATCTCTAGCAGTCATGGGAAGAGCTGAGGCGGGCGCATTGCTGTTGAGAGTGTTCTTGGAGAGATCGAGTTTCCGCGGTCTGGGTCGAGCGTTGCCGATAGTGGGAGAGCCAGGCTCCTTCTTAATGACAACTTTAGGAATATTGACTTCGGGCTTGGATCTACTTAGCTATGTTAGCATCGGCGAACCCGGTGTACCATTGTGCTAACCGATGAGACTTACGCGCCGGAGGGGGAAGCTTTGCCTGAGGTAGGCACGGCTCTGGGGCTGATACTCCCAGATCTTTGAGCGGATGCCTGGGCGGGAGCAGGTTTTGAAGCTGATGACGATCTGCGCGCAGCAGGTGATGTGGCGCTGTTGGCCGTCGGGGCGACGGAAGCAGGAGCAGCAGACTGGATGGCCGAGGGCCGTTCGTGGGGCGCAGGAGAAGGAGCCATGGCGATTACAGCACTCATAGTTGGCAGTTGGCCGAAAAGGCAGATGTCGGGTTGCAGATGGAAAAGATGGCAGGCGATTTAGAGCTCAAGAGAGATGGCGAGGGTATGCAAAACCGAGTCTCAAGGGTGGCGCAGGCTGAGAGAGTACAGAAACGACTTTGACGAGGGGACGTCAAGTATATCAAGGCGGTAGTTGTACTAGACGCGTTTGCCGAAGCTCGACTGCAATGAAAGGCGATCGTCGGGATTCCTTGATATGCAAATATGCTGCTTGGTAGATTGGCGAGTCGAAGAAGCGAGTTGCTGACGCGTAGGTGGCGCGTATTAAAGAGAGCGGACGGGCGGATGGATTGGAGGACAGAGGTCTATCGCGGACGAGCAGACAGCCTGACGGAGCAAAGGAAGGGAGAGAGGGCGGTCCGATTAAAAGGATGGGCTTGGAAGAAAACAACAAACGTCGCATGAAAGAAGAGAACCAGACGCTTGGTTGCAGGAGGAGAGGAGGGGAAGGGAAGGAGAGGGTAAAAAAAAAAAAAAAAAAGTGTTGCAGAAATGAAGACAGACATGAAGGTGAAGGGCTTGGAGAGGAGGAGGGGAAGAGAAGAGCTGGACGAGGCAAAGTTGACAGGGCAAGGACGGTACCTACGGGCGTAGGGAAATTGAGGCGGTTTCCAGGTACCAGCTTGCCTGTACGATTCAATATCTGCTGCCGAGGTGGATGGCTAGGGCGGGCAAGTTGGAGCCGGATCAGGGGGACGATGCGGACGGTTAGTGCCTGTACTGGGCATGGCGCACTGTTCCACTAAATTGCCCAACGACGGGAGGTGGGATGCGACATGCAGCCCGTTGCAGGTTTACTGTGTCTTTTTTTGGGAAGTTTCTATTTGCATCTGGCTGTAGTATTTCCTGTTTTTCATCGACTTTGGTATTCGTTTTTCTCGTTGTTTTCTTACCAGCTGACCACGACAAGTCTCCCTCAACACCAATGCCATGTTCCTACCACCAACCTCCAAACCGCCAACCAGCAACTCCAGTTAACCAGCGCACAGGGGGAAACGGATGGGCCCAGGGGGTCCTTGGGGGTGTGCCGATGCACCAAATCTGGAGCAACCAGGGGCGAAGGTTTTGGGTTTAGTTTAGCTGGGCTTGGTTTGGGACTAGTTCAGTTGAGAGCGCACAGTTGTCAGTTGAGGCCGGGCGCTGGTGATGGCATTGGTCCGCCAGGCTTGCTGTCGTGGTTTGGGTGGCTTGAAGAGGGCGTGTGAGGGCGGCCTTGGAGGGAGGTGTGTGATACCGACACCTCTGTGAGGGGGGTCTCTGGACACCTGTCCTACAGATGTTTCTTGATTCTTGAACATTTTTTTTTAGATGCTCTGACACACTGTCATTCAATCAGTCTGATGTAGAAGAGGAAACAATCTGCCGGCAATATCATGCGAGCAAGAAACATGGAACTCGCAGGGAGTGAGTTCTGCTAGTACGAATATGCCCGAGCCGGGACTCAAGACGCGCCTGAGGCTGCGCCAAGCGTGCTCCAACTCAACAGAGCGCTGAATTTGGGGGGGTGTTTGCCCAGTGGATTTGTCCTCCTTGCAGCCTTTCAGGGGTCTGTCCGCCACTGAGGGCGCCAAAAGCTGATGGCTGGTTGGTCGATAGCTTGCTGCTCGAACCGCCCAGCCCAAACCGCTAGCAGGGGTCCGGTCGCGTCGTCGTTGTGGTGCGGATGAAGAAATTGAAAATAAATTGTGAAAAATAGATTGGCATTGAATAGAGCAATTAAATAGAAGAATATGTCAAGATTCGGACAGGCAGGCTGTCGATTCGTTCGCATGATGTGTGTGTCTGTGTGTGCCTCGGCATGCCGATGAACAATACTTGGTACATCAGCCGTGTTACTGGTACCATGGTTCTATCCGTGATCTGGACGGAGTTTCTGGCTGGTACTGTATCCCTACACAGCCAAACTCTTGGGTTGCCGGGAAAGTTGCCGAACTATTCCCTTCGGCTAGAGCTTGCTTCACCGATGGCTGGTTTACATACTCAAGCAGAAATTCACCATGAGTTTGGCAGCTGCCCTTGTCCGTCTCGGTCTCACCGTCGCCACCGTCCCGTCAACTTGGTTACGAATACTTTGCTGCCCAACAAGTCAATCAATGAGAAAATACAGAAAGTATTACTAGTAATCGACGATACGACGTCACACCGTGCTGAAAATCTATCTGCACGCATCAGGGGTCGTGGTGGCTGACCATGGGTGCAGCCAGCATGGGGTTTACACCGCAGTCTTGCTCGTTAATCCACGTCATTACCCGTGTCAGGCAGAATATGGTGATACTCGTCCTTGTCGTCCAACTATAACGTCTCCTGTGCTATGCAAACCTCTGCTTACATCCTTAGCAGGAGGGGGAAATTATCCTAAATACTGCCGGTGCCTCATTTTTTCCTTCTCCTTCACCTTTAATTACCGGCAGGGCTTTGCATTCGCTTCACCGTTTCAGCGATTCGCAGGATTAGTGCCGACGCGGCAATGCGCCTCAAGATTGATTGGGCATCGCCGCCTATAGCCTTTAAAACCGCCGAGCAAAACTCTACTAGCAATGCAGTCCGGCATGTAATGCTGCGTTGTCTCTCTGGTTTGCACGCAAACATGACTTGGCACCAGCCTCCTCCCTGTCCGTTTCTTTGCCTGCCGCGCTTGCGTATGCGACATACAAAAAGGAACAGCAGCTTGATACACCGACTGTCAAAGACATGCAAGGAAACATGGATGAAAGAGATGCCAAGCTTGAGCTCGCATGCCCGCATTAACACATTTGAACCCTGCAATATATCCGTACCGTAGAGCCGTTTCACCAGGTTCAAGTTGACTAACTAGCACAAAATGGTTGTTTGCACTTGCTGACTACGAATGCGATGGACAATCCCAACTTCATTTCAGCGCCAGTCCCTCTGCAAATCCTTTTTTTTTCTCGTCACCAGGAGAGGAAAGCGAGCGAGCCAATCCGCCGCGGCAGATTGCCGTGACCGCAAACTAGTTGTTCGCTCCCTCCCAATTGCCGTCCTTGATTACAGTCTCTGACCGACGACTGCACGGCCCTCCTGATAACTAGTTGGCTACTAAAATCAGAAAAAGAGGTCTCCTGTATCCGTAAAAAACACTGGTAAAGAATAATGCGAAATATCACGCAGCAAAACGATCAATGAAGTTGTCGGTCATAACTTCCAAAACGTCAAAAGAAAGAGAAGGCGGAGAGAAACAAGAAAAAAAAATGTAAAAAATACTCGTCATGGAATTCATTGTACGTCATCGGCTCATGCGCGTACAAGGCTGCCAAAGACAAAGAAAGCCCTTCATGGTAGTTACCAATAACTACAATAACTACCCAGCACACACACACACACACACACACACACACACACACACACTGCAGCCACCGGGCGGCTGAGTGCAGTTCTCATCACATTAGCCGCTCGCGTGCACGCTCAATTCGTCCATCTCACGAGCCTCTTTGCATCTGCATCGGCGCGCCCGTCGTTTGAGTGCAATATTTAACTAGTCGTAATTAGTAGTAGTTAGCACACGGGACAAGAGGGATGCCGCTTCTTTGTTCTCGCCTCCCCGCCTTTTCTTCGCATCCTTCTCCCCAAGCCCTGCCGTCTGCACTGGACCTTTGATTCCCTGGGGATATTTACCTATGTGGACAGTATTAAATATGACATGACGACGAGCGCGACTAAATCATCAAAAAGAAGAGCAAAAAAAGAAAAGAAAAAGAAAAAGAAAAAAAGGCATCATCTATCCCCCACCATCGAGCCCCGCCAGCACCTGAGACGCCAACGTCTCAGGTGTTAGAGGAGGGGCCATGGCATGGGTTTGTTTTCTTTTGCCCTGTTCCCTCATAAACTACTCCGTAGTAAGGCACTGACTGGTATTGACTGGTAAATCGTGTCGCTGATAACCCCATTCGCCTCACACATGTGATGCGGCTTACTGGGGGGCAAGTACCCTATTCACGGTCCGAATTGTCGCATCAAGATGAAGGGCAAAAAAAAGAAACAAAAAGCCCAGCTGCGCCTGTCATAATAATCTTGAAGCAATTTACTGCCAGGCTTGGCCAATATCCCCGAGACGAGAAGACGGCGCCCCGGCCTTTGCTTCTTTGGTAATTTAGATATTTTGATACGCGAGGTTGTCCAGCAAAATGCCAAGTGGCAATCTTTTACTTCAGCCTGTCAACTCCCAGTAACATCCATCTCCCGGCATCGTTTATTTGTGCATGGACGACGCAGACATGAAGAATCCCTGCACGTCAGATCCATACAAAATGGGACTTTCACCCAGGCCGGTTGCGGCCGGCGCGTGCTAAAGAAACAAGAGCAGACAAGGGGTCGTCATCTCGACCTGGCTCCTGGGCTATTGACTGGTTAATCGGTATTTCTTGATCGTCACATCCTAGCAAATGTGATTCAGATGATGGAGTTGTTTGGTTCAACAACCCGCAGTCACGTAATACCGCTCCGTCCTTTCCGCCCCTCTCCCCGTCTTCAAAATTCTGAGCACCTGCCCATCAGGTAGTCAAAGCCCAATGGAGCGTTTCAGCAACTCGTTCGACGGAACAAGTGGCGTCGAGCTAGGGGCTTCGCTCAAACACCTCGACACACACCCTCTGCCAATCCGGGCAACCAGAGGTCTTGGGACGGAGGCGATGAATCCAGCTACGAGATAAAAAGAACGCGCCATCCCCGTCTTACTGAAACCACTTTACATGCTACCCGGCTCTTCTCGGGAAACGTGACATTACAGTAACCGGTGACAAAGGCGTTGACTACAACATGACTAACCATTGGTGGCTACCCTATACCAGTCTTTGCAATTCGGACCCGAGACGGGAGTGGTGCCAATGTCATCCAAATAGCGTGATTTGATTGTCTGAATGCATGATTTCGGTGCGATTTCCTTTTTCCTCTTTGTACCGAGACCAATCGTTGCCGTGGTCGCCGCTGCTGTTGACGTCGAATCACAAATTGTATCAACTCTCTCGCTGCACCTTGACGGGCTAGCTTCCGTACATGCCTTGACAGCCCTATACGATAAAGGCAAAGTCACGTCGTCCTAGATCATCCTACGAAGAAGGAGGGGCAAGGTCTCCCACTAGAATCCTGTATTCACACACATACATGGAAAGTAACAGCACCAAGAGAAAGACTGAAAAAAAAAACAAGGAAAGCCGCACAGGTATATTTCATCGGCTGACATGTCCTGAGCGAGGAGTCGAAGTGCAGCCCTGCAGCCCCAATTATATGCAAAGAAGAAATAGCAAAAAAACCGGTCCGCCGGAATCATTCGAATTCAGCGCAACTATTAGATTGATTGGCTTATTTTCGGTCATGTAGGTACTCCATACTCGGGCAGGTCGCAGCATCTCATCCACCCTCGCAAGAATCAGACCCACTTAATTTTCAACCTCAAAATTTGTAGTTGCAAGCCAAGTTCTTTATCGATATCAAAATCCTGCTCGACCGCCAACGCTTTCGCGACGTCAATTCCTAACCGAGAAGCTTCCAATCACAACCCCGTCAACCTCCCCGCACGAAGTACAAGCAAACAAAAAACAGCAGAACAGTCATCATGCCCTCCAGGACCAAGAAGGAGGTTGTCGCGTCCGAGGACGCCACCATGGAGGACGCCCCTCCCTCCGCGCAGGTCGAGGATGCGCCCGAGCAGGAGGATGAGCAGCCCGAGAACGACATCGCCGCCGCCGAGGAGGGACAGGAAGGGGGGGAAGATGAAGAGGAAGAGGAAGAAGAGGTTGAGGCGCAGCGCGTAAAGATTGTGAGTTTCGCCCACGCCCTGTCACCACCGGGAGTAGTCAACTAACTGACCGGAAATCGAAAAGCTGCCTGGCTCTACCGACACGGCCGCGTCCTTTGAGTTCATCGACGAAGGCCACACCATGGGCAATGCCCTGCGATACATCATCATGAAGAAGTATGTTGCCCTCGCAGTCGCGCGTCCCTCGCGAACTCGATGACTGACCTTTCGTCCCGCAGCCCAGACGTCGAGTTTTGCGCCTACACGATCCCCCACCCCTCAGAGGCCAAGATGAACATTAGAATACAAACATACGGTACGTCCATTCGGCATCCTATATTGTGAATTTTCTGGGAGGTGAAAGCTGACGGCTGCCGCAGAGGGCACCGCCCTTGACGCTCTCCAGAAAGGCCTTGGCGATCTGCAGCAGGTCTGCGACGTCGTCGCCGAGGAGTTCATCACTCAACGTCAACAATTCAACGACGAGAATGGTATTGAAAGGTAGTTGAGGCTGGACAAAAAGGTAGCTCCAGCGCACAGGTCGTAGGGATTGTTCATGGATATTGGTCATTTTGGAGCGTTGTGAATTTCTTGTATTTCATGCCATCTTATTTTCCGTCGCATAGAAAAAAACGAGGATATTACAAAAGGGAAGCACGGTATGCCGCAAGGCTTGCCGAATGGTGATGCGCGAGGGCTGGTGATGCATTCGCTCGAGTCTAGGGGATTAAAATATGTACATAGCAGTTTTCGAACGCCAAAGGGACAAGCACGTTCCTCTAGTTGCGGCCCTGCGACAATGTTAGCCGTCATTGAACAAAACCAACGAACATACAAGCGCGCTCGTACCTGCAAGAACCCAGACATGAAGCTGTTGGGCAGTCTCTCGTCTCCTCTAAAGTTCTCACCCTTAAAGTACGACATGACGTGTGTGGTCTGCTTCCAAAAGTTCATCATCTCCTGTGCCAGAAACCCAAAGTTAGAACACTATTCCAGTGGCGTCTTGTGCGTGACCGTGCTTGAGAGAGCATTCGTACCTGGTACTCGGCGTGTGACTTGAACAGTAGGACGTCGACGGCCGACAGCTTGCTGACGAAGCGGTTGCGCTCAAACTCTTGCCTCATGCGGTTGCGGATAACGGAGATGGGCATGGGCATGTTGTACATGGTCTGCACGTCAGGGGCCTATTTGGGGTTTCCAATGGTCAGCACTCGTATTTTCGGTTTCGCGCGCCGTCGTCTCCCAAGTTTCCTGGGCTCTGATCGTGTATGTCGGGACTCTCTCGATCGCGAAATTCGGCTCAATTCGGCTCAGAATGTGACCAGGGATATTTGGTGCTTTGCGAGGGGGGGTATCAAACAACATACACCTCTTAACCACTCGCGGTAGGAAGAAAGGACTCGGCGCTTGGCCTCTGCCCAGTTGGCGGCTGTGATTCCCGTAAACGTTAGTAACCGTCGAGTTCAAGTCGTGGAGCGAGCGGCCTCGATCGAAAGGGGCGGATACGCACACTGCGCCGTCTTCTTCGCGAATTGAGTCGGGGTAATGGCCATTGTGGGCGACGAATCGGGTTCAATTGTGCTGGACGAGACCGGCTTCCGGAGCGTGGTTTGATGAGGTTGCTTAGCTTCGGCCGCAACCTGTATCGTCAGAACCGCCTACGGGTCACGTGCAGCCCCCGCGCCACAGCAAGAACTGCCCGCGCCACACTTTTTGCCCCTCCACCGACTTGGTGGACCGATCGAGTTCGACTGATTACTAGGCTACCGAAATCTAACCTGCGCAATTCTGCCCATCTATAACCACCAACTCGCCACCTACCGAATCAACCACTTCCTCTCCTCACCCTCAAAAGCACGGCGGAACCGCGACCGAGGAGGTAAGCGGGGTGCGCGCGCGTCGTCTGACAATCCCCATCCCAAAAACAAGATGCCAGCCATACGCCACGCATCGAAGCGCAAGCCGCCGCCAGAGGGCTTCAGCGACATCGAGGACGACTTGCTCATCTTCGCCAACAAGATGAAGGACGCGCAGAGCCGGCCACCGCCGCCGGGCCCCAAGTACAAGGCGCAGTGGGAGGTCTTCCAGATCGCGCACCAGCGCAGCCGCTACGTCTACGAGCTCTACTACGACAAGGAGGCCATCAGCAAGGCGCTCTACGACTGGCTGCTCAAGAACGGCTACGCGGACGCGATGCTGATCGCCAAGTGGAAGAAGCAAGGTTACGAAAAGGTAATGTTTTAGTGCGGATGCTGTCGCCGAGGAAACGAGCCGTGTGCTAACGAGCCATTATAGTTGTGCTGCCTGCGCTGCGTCCAGACGAAAGAGACAAATTTTAACAGCACGTGCATCTGCCGCGTGCCGCGCGCGCAGCTGAAAGAGGACCAGAAGGAGATAGAATGCAACAGCTGCGGATGTCGCGGGTGCTCGTCTGGGGACTGAGGCCGTGTTCCTCTGCATCTGCTGTTTTCATCACACACATCGTGGACATTTCACGCATCACGGATCTGCATCTTGACGGCGTTCTTAGCGGTTTTGATTTAGGGGAACGGATAAAGGACAAAAAGAGGAAACCGTGATTTTAATTATAATACGAAATGTATGACTCCAACTCCAAGGCTGGCGTCCGCCAAACTGCAATGTGACGCTCGCAAATGCTGTTCAAGATTACATGCTGTGACGCAGTAGAGACGCCCATGAACTAGCCAACCCCTCACTGTTTGGCGAACCCACGCCGATTTCTGGTGCCAAACTTGACGGCGGCCGGAACGAAGCGCAATGATGCCATGCTACCGGTGATGGCGTCGACATCGGGATCGACGGCGGCTGTCGGGGCCGCTTGCTTCCCTTGCGCTTGGGACCCCGAGGGCTGCTCCGCCGTGTCTGCTGCTTGGGTAACCCCGCGTCGTTGCGTCGCCCCTTTGGCTTGCGAAGCCGCCGAGGAGCTGCGTCGCCGGTGACCGCCGCGCCCGCCACCGCCGCCATCAACGAGAAGAGATCGGCGCCCGTCGATGCCGTCCCGGGTCACGGCGAAGAAGAAGTTCTTTGGGTACATGTGCTTGTCAATCAAGTGCAGGCGACGCTTCTGAGGGGTCAGGCACTGCCTAGGGCAATCCTCGACAAAGCAAGAAAACTATCCAAATCATGTCATGGATTAGCGTTTGTTGCATACAAAAGACGGTGTGTGAGTTGATGGAGGGGCTTTGGGTCGTGGACGCGTACGGTATGGGCGCCTTGATCTCGGCGGACTCTGACGATGGGATCGTGCATCTCTTCAATATGTATACCGAGAAGATGCTGGCTGGGGAAGTTCTTGCGGCATTGCAGGCAGCGATTCGTGTGGAGGCTGTTGTAGTGCACCTCGTATGCGGTGTAGGAGTCAAAGGCCATTTCGGCGTGAGGCGGTAAGGAGCAGGTTATGCGCGTGGCGGGAAACGGGGAGCTGTTTTCGACGTCTTGTTGGGAAAAGTCAAGTTCTGTGTATTTGGAAGTGTGTTGAGGACTGGAGGGGGATGAGTCTGTGTCTGGGCTGCTAGGAGATGCAGGGTATATATCCTCTTGGGGCTCTCGCGAGCGCTTCATGGTGCAGCCGACGTCGGTAGTGTGTTGTATTAGTGGGGGATCTGCAGCCAGTTGAGCCTGGCAGGACTGCTTTGAGTGGTTGAGTTTTGTATCGATTTGCTTGAAATCGAGGCGAAATTGAATCTTTATATATCTGATAGTTTTTAACAAGGAGACGACTGGTAGGTCGCTGGCGTTGTCGTTGCTTGTGGAGCTGTATGGCTCTTGTATGGTGAGCTCTGTTGTTTGTCCGGTAGTCGCGATGTCATTGGGTGGATTTATTAACCCGTGTGAAACCAAGCACTGCAGCTACTGTAGCCTAGCTGGATAAGTTGTTGTATAGGTATTGCGAACCGGATGAGTCAAGGTCGTACAGGCAATTATTCCGATAAGGCGTATATACCAGCAGCCGTGCCAAAGGTTGCGCTTGCGCAGAGCTGTCACTAATACCTGCTGTGTGGGCGCGTGCTTGGCCACGATGGAAGATGCCGACCAAGCTGAAAACGAAAAGGAACCCGAGCTTTCATCAGGCGCAAACCAGATGGGCGACCAATCAACGGGGTCCTCTGATCAATGCATGTTGTTGGTAGACAATAAACAGTGGCGAAATGAGTTTGGGGGGCCAGTCTGCGACGAGAAGAGCCGTTTGTATTTGCCTTGATAATTAGTAAGGCGAGGTACGGATACTGCGACCATCGGGCCAAAAAAATCCAAGTCTGCTAAAAAAAAAGGCGACAAGCAGCGAAAATTATTTTAAGCCGGCCCAACCTGGAGGGGTCCGTCCATCTCATTGGTGCCGGCCGAGAGCCCCCCCCGATTTGCTCTTCACATTCGCTTCACCAGCCAAAGTCACCATTGCTCGCTCGTCTTCTCTTCTTCCTCTCCTGTTCAGTCTTTCTCTTGCCGCCTTGCCATCCGTTCAGGGCGCCTCTGTTACGTATCCTTCTTCCTTTTTCCCCTTGCATGTTTGCCGCTTTGTTTCTTCCCCGCTCGACGCCCTCCTGTGCCAGATGCTGCTGCCGCCTTGCATCACCACAGCTGTCGTCCAGTCTTCTCGATCCCGGACAGCACTCCGCCCCGACCACGTCGTCCCCAGCGCCAATATAAGACTATGGGCAGCCCGGCTCTCCAGATTCTAACGTCCAGATAGCATGATTCGACACTCCAGCTGACCATCTCACCCCGTTCGCTTTCCCCGGTTCGCTACCGCGCGAGCCCTCCCCCTTTGGCCGACCTTGCCTGTCGCTTCGTGACGCAGAGCCCACGTCCCACCGTCGGGCCACCACGACTCGGTGCCCCGAACTGCTGCGCCGCCGACGACAGCATCATGGCCTCAAGCGCACCTCAGGCGAGCCCAATATGGCAGTGAGTAACGACACCAGCTCCTAATACACACGCGGCACTGTTGCGCCTGTCTTGCGACGCCGCCGCGCCCCAGCATGATGATGCCATGCCGTACCCCTCCGGGTGCTAACTTTTGCGCGATCCACCGCCACAGCAACGCCTTGAAGCTTCGGAAACATCTTCTGAAGCAGCTGGAAAGGATTAAAAACAACGCATCGTCGAGTGTTGATATTCCTCAGCTTGAAGCCGCCGACGGCACCCTCGAAAAGTGTGTAGCTCTGCCCTTGCGCCCTCGCCACATAGTGCGCCGCTACTTGCCCGTTTGCCATTACTAACCCTACACCAGATTTCGTCTTGCTTGCGTCCAGACCGTTTTCCTCGATTTTGAATACGCCGTACGCGAGAATACCGAAGATATACTATGGAACTTGCACACGTCCATCAACTCCGAATATCGCCGCATTCTCGGTAGGCTGAAGTCTTCGTCCCAGGCCGTCGAGCGCCGCAAGACCGAAAAGCTCTACACCAACTTTTTGCGCATCGCGCAAAAGTTCTACCAGGGCTATATCCAGCGACTCTCCGCACGATATGATATCCCCGAGCTCAAGCGTGTCGCCAAAGGCATCGACGTCGAGCCAATGACGGCCAGCGATCTCATCAGTCCTGTTCCCTCTGAGCTCAGCAAAAAAGTGCAAAGGTCTTGTTATTCGACGCTGATCCGACTTGGCGATTTGGCCCGCTATAGAGTGCAAGCCAAGCACAAGAATTCAGGATATGACATTGCCTTGACCTATTACACACTTGCTCAGCATCTCTCGCCCAAGTCCGGCTTTGCGTTTCATCAGATGGGCATCGTCAGCCTCGACCAAGGCAGCCACCTGGATGGCGTCTACCACTTCTATCGAGCCTGGGCAATTAAGGATTCCCATCCCAATTCCAAGTCTAATTTGGAATTGGAATTCAAGTCTCTTCAGCAGCCGAGTTCCAACAAATCCAAGCACGCATCGTCTGGCCCTCAAGATGCCTTCGTCATGTGGTTTGTGCGCTTGCATGCCTTATTCTACAAGGGTGAGACTGCACCACAGTATAAAGAGCTTGAGCGTGAAGTCATTCATCGCCTTGAGATGGCTGCTGCAAATGGATCTTGTCGTGACATCATCTTGAAAATGACCTTCATCAACATCGCCGCTCAGTACATCGCTACTCTTAAGTGCTCTGGTAAGTATTGCTGTACCTCGTCCGCCAACACCACAAGAAGACAAGCTAACGTCAAACAAACAGAAAATAAAAATGCCACTTCCCTCCAGTTCTACCAGTATATCTCCGGCTTTAATGTCAAGTTTCTTGCGGCTTTCACTGCAGTCCTGGAGGAAGCCCTCAAAGAAAGCATGTCCAAATCAGAAGATCTCTCCGACGAAGAAAATGACAAGGGTGCAGAAATCGCACAATCATTGCTTCCTGCTTTACGAATTTACTCCATGTGGATCGCCGTGTCGCACCAAGAACTTTTTGCGCAACCTGCTGCGACTGCTGAAGGGTCACTGACTGGCACCATGATGGACACACTCGCGCGAGTTTTTACTCGCATGTGCGTGGAAACTTACAGCCAGCCGAACCTGGTCTCATGTCCTTACTTGCTACCCGAAGACCTTGATAATCTGGGCTTTCAGCCCCTTGACGAAAATGTTGTTCCAGAGCCGTGCCGCTCATTCTGTGAGCAGAATGGCACAGTGAAGCCTCACCTCTACTCGCCCGAGCACCGATTGAACCCGCAGGCGGAAAAAATGGCGCGGATTCTTGACATTCTACGATGTGCTTATTTTCTCGCTGAAGATCCTGCTGTGCCTCTGTCGTGCCGTGTCGTTGAAGACTTGCTTCTGTTCGAGTATCAACCGTCTCAGCACCGGCCGGAACAACCTATCGAAGCAGCGGCGACGCCAGCACCACGAATCGAATCTGCTCCAACCCCGACCGCCATTCACGTACAAAAACGTCGCTCAGTACAGATGAATATCCAGGAACGCCAGGATAGCCCCAAAACTTCAAATGGTAAACAACTTGAAGTTGCCACAGCACTGCCGAAGCCTCCTATCGCGTCACCAGCACCAGCCAACAAGGAGGATGAAACAGGTGATGCAGAAAACACTGTCATCAATATGCTGGCACCTTTTCTGAAGCCCCCTACACCGCAGCCACCATTGGGTGTACACGATACTGCGGTCTCTTCGTCATACCTAGCCCGGTCCAACTCAGACATGCTCAACACTTACCCAGGCCGGTTTGACCCAAGTCCGACGCGTTCCATCCCTTCGGGCAAGTTTGAGCCTCTGCCATGGGATTGGTTCAATACACCCAAGCCCGCCCGTGAAGACAACTCGCCCCTCTCTGCCGCAGGCATGTCACCCCTTACGCCCGGCCTGGCCTCTTGCATGTTCGACGACCCCTTCTCCGTCCCATCAACGCCCAACGAGCTCGCTACAGGCAGCCACTTCCCTTCTGTCCACAGCCACGGCAACATTCGGGCCGCCGATATGGGAATCAATCTGAGCGGCGGCTCCACGGCTGAGCATGCGCACCGGGCCGCGCTCCTCCAGACGTTTGGAACGGCACCAGGCGCCCGACCGCCGTCCACAAGCGCCACCCCAGCAGCTCGCAGCTCGCCGTTCAGCTATTGGGGCGAGAGCACGGCGTTAGGCAGCGGCGGAGGCGGAAGCCGACCCAGTGGACAGGGTGCACCGCCTGGCTTTCGTGCCCCCGACATGATGCCCCATTCGTCATCGGCTGGCAGCCTGTCTCAATTTTCACACCCAAGCAGCTTGTACCATGGCACGCCGGCTAATTATGGTGCCGGAGGGCAGTATTCACAGCAGCCGCCCTTGCAGAGGCACTTCCAAGCCGCAGAAAACACGACGTCTTCCTACGACGAAGCCATTCTTCGTGCAGCGTATGAGGGCAGAAGGTGAAGCAACCTGTTTTTGTGCAACAAGAATGCCGCTGTTGTCATCACGAGATCGTCCTGCACCTTTTCGCAACCACAAGATGCGTTATAGTTGTTCATCTCAGAAGCAAATGCTTTTTGCTCTACATGAAAAGTGAAAGGAGGATTCTAAAAAAAGAAGATGCTGCACGTAATTTTATCGGATCGTGGAGGATGCCGAACAATATTTTCCCCATGCGAACGTGTGTTGTAATGGGAGTACGCTCCATGGATGCAAAACGCCGTTGTTGAAACCCGTTTCCCGCAAATCAAAAGACACTCAACCTCAACGCCAAGCGAATGGTTTCCGCCCCCCTTCTCGAGATCATGTTCACGTTCACCGCGTCCATATCCAAAAGCGAAGGAATGCCGAGGCGCCAATTATGTACGCTTACGACGACTTGTAGGTCTGCTTGGGGAAGGGATACCTGCCAGGGAGAAAGGGACCGAGTTAGGACTTTGCATGGAAGGAGTGGTGGGAGAGAGGACTCAAGCCAGGAAGAGGGGACAAGACAGTATAGATGACACTTTTTATGACTTGAAATGAAGAGACAGCCAAATTGTATCAAGCGATGCGCTTCTTTTGAAATGCGATGTGAGAGAGGGGGAGGGTAGAACTTACGAAGGTCCAAGCTCCTGGATGCTCAGACGAGCGAGCCACTGACCGATGTCAATCGACTCCTCGAGAGACTTGCCCTCGACGATGCCGGCGAGGAGACCACCAGCAAAGGCATCGCCGGCGCCGTTGGTGTCGGTGATCTTGGCGGGTTCGATGGCGTGGACGGGGAACTCCTTGATGCCCTGCTCGCCCTGGATGGCGACGAGGGTGGGCTCGGTGCCCTGGGTGATGATGGCGACGCGCTTGCGCTTGGCGTTCTCCTTGGGGAGGTCGGCCAGGTGGCGGACGACGTCCTTGGGCTCCTTGGAGGCGAGGCCGTGGGACTCGGCGTAGGCGGCGGCCTCAGTCTCGTTGCCGATGACGTAGTCCCAGTAGGGCGCGCTGGCGTCGACGGGGTCCTTGAAGAACTGAGGGATGAAGGGGGCGGAGAGGGAGAGGACGAAGATCTTGTTCTTCTCGGCCGCGTTCTTGGCGAGCTCCATGATGGCAGGAGGGCAGACTGTAAAGAAAGTCAGTCGCTGATGCAAAACCGCGGGGAGGGGGAGATCGCTTACCGGTGAAGTGGAAGCCGCCAATGTAAAACACGTCGGCATTCTCGGCGAGGGCCCAGATCTCGGGCTTCTTGAGGTGGTCGAGGTCGTAGTGGTTAGCGGCGCCGAGGTCGGTGCAGAGGGAGCGGTTGTGGCCGGTGATGATGGCGCCGCAGCGGCCGGTGGGCTCCTTGGGGTCGACGCGGTACTCGACGCGCAGGCCGGCGGCCTTGACGGCGTCGTGCAGGGTGGCGGCGTACTTGTCGTCGCCGACGCCGCCCAGGTAGACGACGCTGTTGGGCGGCAGCACGTACTGCGCGCCGCGGGCGCTGTTCTGCGCGGCGCCGCCGGCGATGAGCTTGGCCTCGTAGTTGTTGAGGAGGTCCTCGTACAGCGGGACGTGCTTCTCCTCGGCGAGGATGGCGTCGTTGGCCTTGAGCCCGTACTTGTCGAGGAGCTCCTGGTTACCGACAGCCTGGATATCTGCGAGTTTGAAAAGGTCAGCAAAGACAGAAGATATGTTTGTAAAGAAGAAGAAAACGGCAAGGCTTCGTTTCGCTCAAGGGGGGGCTGGATACCCCGCGGGCTTTTTTTGTATGAGGCTACGCAACGGGCGACTTGAGGTGTAACAAGAAGCAGATAGGAAGTAGTAAATGAATTAACGTACCGAGGAGAGGGTTCTCCAGGCAGAGAAGAGAGTACTCCTTAACGGGGGCCATTTTGTAGGATTGATTTGTGAAATTGAGGTTTGAAATGTCTTGGGCAAGATTCAAGGAGGGGCAGAGGGGATATTTTCTGTAAGCTATGGCGGGGTTGTAAGGCCAGTGAGTGGGTGAGGACCTGGCTGGTGCTGTTTGTGTAGCCCGCAAGGTTTTCAACCTACCTACCTAGGTACGTACCCTTCACTTATTGGCTCATCGATCATTTTCTGACAATCCGATATTGGGGTATAAATTAATAAATCATGTTTACACTGGCGCTGCCAGACCTGTTTTATTAGAGTGAGGGCGAGAACCTTTGCTGGAGGTGCTCGTACTTTTGTCGCACTAATTAATGGGCATTTTCAGTTCGCCAAAACCTGCAAAGCCAAGCTCTACTATAAGGATCTACAATCTGAACTCAATCACGTATATCACTCAGCTTAAATTTCAATTCCGCCGGGTGCTGTGCGCCTGGATGTTTGCGCAGCATCGGTAACGCAGACGCTGTGCGTTAATATTCACATCCCCCATCACAGCACCATCCATGAGGATAGTGGAACAAAGAAACGAGTTTTTTTTTGGAAGTGCGCTAAAATGTCATCCATTGTACTTGCTTTTGGTTCTATCATACTACTTCCTTCAGCAGTACCATCCATAGATGTAAGCACGCCACTATAACACCATCCCAATGAGACCATGAAATCCAGACATCGCCCTGCCTTACTCCTTCGTCTTCTGGGTACCGCGCAGCAGACCTGTTCTGCGGGCGGCAATGAGACCGGCCTTTTGACCCTGGGCGGCGTATCGGGAGATGGTAGAGGCCTTACCAATATGTTGGTGGTTACCCTGTTGCGAATGTCAGCGTCGCAGCTCACGCGTCTGCAAGTGGCGGGTATACGTACACCACCGTGGGGATGGTCGACGGGGTTCATGGCAACACCACGAGTCTTGGGCCAGCTGTTGCGCTTGACGGCGAACTTGTGCTTGGCGCGCGAGGCCTTGAGGAGGGGCTTGTCGGTACGGCCACCGCCAGCGACGATGCCGATCATGCCACGGGAGCTGGAGTGGACGACCTTCTTGGCGCCGGAGGGAAGCTTGATGCGGGTCTTGCCCTCGTCGGGGTTGTGGCCAATGACGGTGATATAGCCGCCAGAGGTGCGGCCGAGCGTGCCACGGTCACCAATCTTCTCCTCGACGTTGGAGACGACGGTACCCTCGGGCATCTCACCGAGAGGGAGGACGTTGCCGACGGTGAGGGCGGCCTTCTTGCCGGCGTAGATGAACTGGCCGGTGTACATGCCCTCGTTGGCGATGAAGGTCTCGGAGACCTGCTTGTACTTGTAGGGGTGGCGGAAGACGACCTTGGCGAGGGGAGCACCGCGACCTGCGAATCAAACCTGCGTCAGCTTCATCATTCGTTGCTTCTAATTCGTTTCGTTCCCAATCGCGCGAGCCGAGGCGTGTTGTTGCTGTCGACGCCCTTTGTCCGTCATCGTCGATTGTTCCCAGGTTGTACTAACCAGCATCGTGGATGATGTCGCGGACTACACCGCGGACGTAGCCATGGCGCTCAGCGTAGTCGAGAGTGCGGAACTTGGCCGGGTTCTTGTTCAGGCGCGTGTTGGCCGCTATTCCCAATGGTCAGCACACATCCGCATGGTCAAATTTCCGCCGATCGTCGACTCGTTCGAAGCAATCGTCGAAAGTTCGGTTGTCGGGAGGACTGACTGAAGATGGAGCCGCGGCCCTTGCGCTGGTTGCGAATAACTCTACCCATGGCGACTCGTTTTTACTCGAAGAGTATCTGCCCGAGTAATTGATGTTAGTGGCGAGTCGTCGTCGAGGTGCGTAGGTTGGGGATGCCAATTACCTATCTCCTGCCGCTTGGTTGTTTAACGGGAAGCCCTGGCGTTCGCTTGGGCGACATAATTTTTGTGTGTGGGTCTTGCCCACCGCAAAAGGAGCAGCCCTCACCACGTGATCTCCATGGATTGGGAACCTTGTTTTGTATCCTGTGGGTCCTTTTGGTGTGGCTTGCCAATCGTGGCTGGTGCTTTCCAGACGGTCACGTGGAGACATGGGCCTGGACAGCTCTGGGATCGCGTAAAGTGCTTCGGGGCGGGAAACAACGTTTCGTCTCAACATCACGTTCAGATGCCAGTTTGCTTTGCCAAGTTGACAACTTCTTTTATTGGCAATTGTTCTCGCCCCGATCTTGTAGCAATATATTGGACGACCTTATCTCCTTTAAGCGCCCTGGATTATCTGTCTCACGCTGAGCCGTCATCGGACCAACCCCTTCTTTCACAGATGGCCTTTGTCCAATACAGCTCTTTCAGGCTCAGGAAATCGTAGCAGCACCTACTGGCAGCGTGCATGGTGCTCTGACCAGTAATAGAATGAACTGCGACGCGTCTACCTCATGACCCTCGCGAAATCTGCTCTTTGCGACAAGTTGCTGGCTCTGAGAGCTTCGCAAAGTGACCAAGAGGAACGCTGACTTATATTTCAATCTTGGGATGAGACTGCTCTTCAAATTTGGCAGATTTCCCTGTTAAAAAAGAGGTAGTACCTACCTAGTTACATGTGTATCACTGCAGCAGTCATGGCCAAGGCGACTGGGCGAAGTGGCCTATGAGCGCTGGCGCGTTAGATTTCGCGGGTCCGTCGACGCGGTTACTTTTAGTAGTCGCATGCCACGCCTCACATCCGGAACTCTGCACTCCTTTCCTCCTGCAACCTCAAACACTCAGAAGGAGGAAGTTCAAGCCTGCACAATGGCCTCCGACAATGATTCATCGGATCTCTCGTCGCTTTCATCGCTTTCACCGGTTCCATCCGATGACGAGCTCGATGCTGGCAACGGAGCGCCCAAGAATGATGGCATTCTGAAGTTCTTCTCCAAGGTATCGGAGCAATCGCCTAGATCGCCATCGCCTCCCCCGAGAAAAAGATCGCCGTCGCCGACTCACGAATACGTCCTCGCCGATAACCCCGATATTGCTGTATGTATTGCTGGTATTTGAGCTGTGGCGGCCTATTTCCGCGCGAGAGCATGGTGGGCTGTGACCTACTGAACGCGAACTTGCGCACTACGACCATCAGGCACTTGTGCTAACGAAACCAGTTCATTGTCATGTTTAGAAGCCGATTTATCGATGCGCTACCGAAATCGCTTGCGAATTTCGGTCCTCAGGAACTGGAGCGAGATGTTGTCGAGCCCATCCCAGGAGACCGCGCAGAGCACTTTCTGTGCGCGCTTCTAGGACTACTGTTGAATCGAAAACAAGACGTCAAGTACGACCGAATGCGATACCATATTGCGCGATAACAATGCTAACAGTCCACTGCAGACCTGGACACTACAACAGGGCGTTAGAGGACGCGATTGCGTCGCACAAGGGCCAGTGGCCAGCCTCGTGGGAGGACAAAAGCCCCTTGACTGGTGGCGGTGGATTTAACACCATGAACCCTACACAAAGAGTACGCATGAAATTGAAAATGAAAACGAAAATTCATCATCGCTGACAAAAGTGTCTCTAATAGCTTACCCTTCTCCGAACATTAATCTTGTGGACAATGTCTTCTTCGGAGAGTGTCAAGGCCATAATCAACCAAGCCTACAAACAAAACCGACACGAAGACGACTTGAACCAACCTCGCGCAGTTCAGCCATGGGGCTCTGACGGCGACAAGAGAAGATACTTCTTGGTGGAGGGCCAAGATGATACTGCGTTCCGCGTATACAGGGAGAGCAACCCTGCCGGAACGAACCGCACATGGTGGAGTGTCGCTGGTTCGATTGAGGAATTAAGGGCACTGGCAGAGAAGCTCAATACGAAAGACGGCGGCCCCAAGGCGAAGAAGCTTAGCAATAAGATGATACAGGCAATTCCTCGCTTCGAGGCGGGTGAAGAGGTGCGTATTCTGGGTCGCAGGTGGAAGGCCGCTCGCGCTGACATGATGTGAATAGAAACGAAAGCGCCGCGAGTACCGCCTAATGCGCAAGGAACAGTTCAAGCGACCAGAGCCAGGCTTTTCCATGTACGAAGGCAGAACTCGTGGTAAGCGTGTCAAGTATACCTACTCCGATGATGAAGACATGTTCTATTCCGATTCGACCAATCGTCGATCGGCGCGTAACACAGGCGCAAACACGCCGGCAGAGCCGCCGACGACAGCCAGCGGACGTACCGTCCGTGTACCTTCACGAATGGGGGCAGGCGATGACAGCGCCGCGGCAAGCATCCAAGGGGATTACTCGGAAGCTGACCGGGAGGGCTCCGTTGGGGTCACCGGTAGACCGCGGCGAGCCGCAGCGACCGGCTCAGCAAATGGTTGGGGTGAGGCAAATGGCCGTGGCCACAGCAATAGGCCTTCGTTAGACTCAGACGATGCTGCTAGTGAGGCTGAATTTGGGGATGATGAAGAGGACGCGGAGGCGCACGTACCGGAAGAATCCGAGGAAGAGGATGATGAGTTTGACGAGGATGAGGCCATGGTTGATGATGATATTGATGACAGTCCAAAGAGCCTTGTGGTCAAGTTGGCCATCAAGACACCAAACTTGAGAACTGCTCTGAGCCCTATTGAGTCAGTGCCGAATGCACTACCAACTCCAAATGTTGAGGATCAGAAGCCAGCGCTGGGTGAGACTCCATCCAAGGCCGTCGTCGATGTTATCATGGAGGACTCGCCCGCACAGGAGGCTGGGCGAGAAGAGCAGTCGGCGCTGCTCACTGAAACTAAGCACGAAGACCAGTCCGCTGACAAGCCCGATGCTCAGACTGAGCAAGCTGGACCTGACATTGTGGCTGCCAGCTCTACTGCCGTTTCCTCGGCACCGTTGGCATTCCGCGGCAGCCCCGAGAAGAAGCATGTACAACCGGCTGCAGTGCCAGGCATTATCAACGCGCCCCAATAGGGCCCAGGTACGAATGTTTGTTTCTTTTACTTGTTTAATCTGTGGTTGGTTCGGAGTTTGGGATACATGTAGAAACTTACTTGTGAATGAAAAGGGAGAGGGACGCATGGGGTTTATCTGGTGGACATTGTCGCGCATTAATTTAAAATCATTTTGATAGAAATTGGGCCAGTCTTTGATGCAAGGCGGATTCCATGTGCTTTTGCGGATGAAGATGGCATTTCCGTGTCAGAGGCAGTTTTAGTACCGGTGTCAGAGAGGCTATGCGTCATGAATATATGCATCGGCACAGTGAAACGAAGATGACGATTGGAATTTTCTGGTATTATCGTGTGATTATATGGCAACATCTAGTGGAAAGGAAACGCCGAGACTTTGAAACGCGGGAACATGTATGCTACATCATCTGCGCAGGTGGCGATGCTGACCGTTGCTGGGAAGCGACCAGTTGTTGACGCCATACCACCACCTGCGGACACGGGCGCCGACGGTGTTGCCATGGAGTTTAGCATTGCGATTCCACTCCTGCCAGCCACAGAGTAATAGGTTGTAGATGAGACCCTGTGCCAGAGGCATGATGACCTGGAGAGTCGGGGGTTAGTTGGGAGGACAGGCCGAGGCCGCAGCGGGAAGGGAACGTGCCTGATCTCGTGTTGTGATGAGGGCAATCTTCCACCATGTGTCGGCGGTGGCGATGCTCTTGAGATAGCTCTGCTCGAAACGCAGGTCGGGTAGCGGTGGAAGCGCTTGTCGCTGGCGACGCGGTCGCTTTAGGACACTATATGGGATATCATCCTCCTCCTCGTCATCGTCGTCAATGCCGTCGAGCTGACTAGGGGCGTCGTTGTTCCGCAGGGCGTCGTAGTCGTACTTTTCGTCCACAATCTCCTTTTCATCGGCGGCGGTGCTGGGGGCCATATCGAGGTCGGGATCGGGGTCGCTTCTGATATGAGCTGCTTGTATAGTGCTGGCAATCTCAGTCGGCAGCTCCGCTGAGAAGGTATCGGAAGCCATGATGGCGGTCTATTGATGGAAGAGGGAGGAGGGATCGGAGACGTCGAGTCGGGGGCCGGGATTGTTAAGTTGCGGCAGGGGTCATCCGAGAGCACCTTCTGTTCCGAGGCGATTCCCCTAGCCAGAAAATAATTCGTTCTGGCAAAGCTGGATGGGCAATGACCGGGATGGAATTGTCGAGGCTATTGAAGACAGCGGCATCGGCTCGGAGGCTTGGAGCTCAAGTGACGGAGATCCACCCTAACAGTTACTGGAGTTCAGTGGGCCTCATCAGCCACAACAGCCACACAAGTACTGATGAATGCTGTAATGGCAGAGAACAAAAGGTGGAGCTAGTCTTGGAAGAATCACAATGGTAACCCGTCAAAGGCAATCAAGGCAAGGCACAATGAGGTGATAAAAAAGTCGGACTGAGCCCGCCATTAAAATATATGGGGACGGTAGCAGTGCATGTGTTTGTTTATTGCGCGCATGATGGACGGTTCCGAGAGTCAGGCCAGGAAAGTTCGTACGTTCCTTACCGGGCTGCACATGGAGGTACCCAGTGACGTGCAGGCCAGGCAAGGCATCCACAACAGGCACCAAGGTCCAAGGCAGCCCAAAACTGAGGCCAACTGGCCGCCGCTAGGTACTTACAGCGGAGGGAGCCGCTGAAAAACTCTGGTCCTGCCCCTTGAATGGAACCTGGGACGAAAATCGAGAAGCCCTCCTGACTTTGAACAAAACACATCCTCCTGCAGCAGCATAGGCGTTCACTTTACTCTGCCGTGCACGCCAACTGCTCAATCCCCTTTGTCCTTGTTTGATCGGAGAAGCGGCTGCGCATTTGTTCCTCCAAAACACCGCCAAGATGAACAGCGAGCAAAACGGCGAGGCCGAGAGAAACGTACGTCGAAAATTGCCCCTCGTCCCGTCAACCCCTCTGTGTGCTGTGTGCGCTGCCTCCTGCCTGTGTGTGGGCGGGAAATTTTACGCGCGCCAGAACTTTTTTTTTTCGACGATGCCCCTCATTGCCGTCGGACTTGGACTGCCCCGCGCAGTGACGACGAGACACACGACAGTTTTATGCGAAATTCCGAACAAAACAAAAAATGGCTGACTGGTGGTTTTCCCGCTTTATAGATTGAGATCTGGAAGATCAAGAAGCTCATCAAGCGTCTTGAAGCGGCCCGTGGCAATGGCACATCCATGATTTCCCTCATCATCCGTACGTCCAGACACATTCCTGTTGTTGCCCGGCTCGCGCCACAAACCTTCCCAAAACGAACTCTGACTCACCTCGCGCTCAGCTCCCAAGGATCAGGTTTCTCGAATCGCCAAGATGTTGGCTGAAGAATACGTACGGCTCGGCTTCCCCATTCCGCGCAGCCCCTGCGCTCCACCATGGCCAGTGACAGATCGCTAACTTGCCCTTGCAGGGTACTGCCTCGAACATCAAGTCCCGAGTCAACAGACAATCCGTCCTCTCCGCCATTACCTCCACCCAGAGCAGACTCAAGCTCTACAACAAGGTCCCCCCGAATGGCCTCGTCGTCTACTGTGGTGAAATCCTGACGCAGGAAGGCAAAGAAAAGAAGGTCAATATTGATTTTGAGCCCTTCAAGCCTATCAACACCTCCCTCTACCTCTGCGACAACAAGTTCCATACCGAGGCTCTCGCCGAGCTGCTCGACTCGGACCAAAAGTTCGGCTTCATCATCATGGACGGTCACAGCACCCTCTTTGGTACCCTTAGCGGCAACACCCGTGAGGTCGTTCACAAGTTCTCTGTCGATCTGCCCAAGAAGCACGGCCGTGGTGGTCAGTCCGCGCTGCGTTTCTCTCGTCTGCGTGACGAGAAACGTCACAACTACGTCCGAAAGGTTGCCGAGCTTGCTGTCCAAAACTTCATCACCAACGACAAGGTCAACGTTGCTGGTCTTGTCCTCGCTGGTTCCGCCGATTTCAAGAATGACCTCAACGCCTCCGACATGTTCGACCCTCGCCTGCAAACCAAGGTCATCAAGGTCGTTGATGTTTCCTATGGTGGTGACAACGGTTTCAACCAAGCCATCGAGCTGTCCTCGGAGACCCTGGGCAACGTCAAGTTCGTTCAGGAAAAGAAACTGATTGGAAAGTACTTTGACGAGATTAGCCAAGACACCGGAAAGGTCTGTTATGGTATCGAGGACACCCTTAAGGCTCTCGAGCTCGGTGCCGTCGAAACCCTCATTGTCTTTGAGAACCTTGAGATCAACCGATGGGTCCTGAAAGATAGCGAAGGCAAGGAGCACGTTCTCAACTATACAAAGCAGCAGGAGACCCTCAACAAGGACAAGTTCCTTGACACGGCCAGCGGCCAGGAGATGGATGTCGTCAGCCAAGGCTCCTTCCTCGAATGGATCGCGGAGCATTACAAGGATTTTGGTGCCACTCTTGAGTTCGTTTCCGACCGTTCCACCGAAGGCAACCAATTCGTCAAGGGCTTCGGTGGTATTGGCGGTATTCTCCGCTACAAGGTCAACTTCGAACAGTTGGCTGACGATTCTGACGATGATGACTACTATGACGGTTAGTTGAAGCCCGGACCGTTATCTTTGCTATGTGTCATGTACCGCGTTACTGACAAGAATCAAGATTGACCTGTGGACACCCTCGTGGAAAACGAGGGCGGTTCTCAAGTTCAAACGTCCACAGACGACAACACCAACGACTGGCGTCATGAGGCTCACCGGTCCAGCGCGGCTCCGCCGTCTGTTGCCCACAGGCGACTGACGGCGTTCAACGGCAGCGCCCGGCCGGCACACCAAAGCCACCAGGCGTCTCGACCAAGCCCGCTGCGAGCAATGATGTCGACGAATTGAATTTGATCCAAACCAGATTAAAGGTAGGGCTGCATTCTCCGGACTGCCCTGAGGTGTTTCGATTGTCTTGCTCACGCTGTCGCTCAGATGACCCAGCCTCTTTGCCACACGATCGCATGAAATGAATTCAATGGCATTGGGACTTTTTAAAAAGTTGCAACTGCAAGTAAAGATCTTGCACTATCAAGATAGAGAGCACAATACATGATTCCTTTAGGGGTGGCATACAGAGAATAGAGATTTTATTGTTCAAGCTATGCGCTTGTCGTAACGTGGTGAACCCCGCAATATATCCGTACCGTAGAGCCGTTTCACCCCGTTCTAGTTGGAATAATGCAAGCTAATTATATTCACTCATTAATCACTCTGCTATTTGACTAGTAGTTTTAAAATCTACAGCTTGAAATCTACTAATAAATTTGATGATGCCCTTGCCGTGGCGCAACCGACGTTCCAAAGGGCGGTGCTGGCGTAACCTAGTTGTGAACTGAGGGGAGGGACCTTGTTGAAGGTCGATGAAAAAGAGTACCCTACACGACAGTATATTACAGATCAACATATGTCAGAACTCACAGCGGTGCCCCATATCAAGGCTAGCTATTAGTTCTGATAGGTTTTTAAAATACCAACATATTATCCTATCTATCAGGTATTTTCTTAGCTATTTGTTATCATTCTTTTTCAATACAGGCACAGGTGAAAGTAGACCGGCTAGTACTATCTGCCAGCCAGCCAGTCGGCCAGCCACCTACTGTATGTATGTGTGTACATAGCTACAGTAGCTGCTTCTCTCGCTGCCTGTCTCGCTAGCTACTCAAGCACGCGAGCGAGTCTTTACCAGACTGCCAGCTGGGTCTTAATTGCAAAGGAGACCGACTGCGCAGCTATCAGACGCAAAACACTCCTTATAGCTAATACAATTATCACGATCATCGCTATCATCGCTATCGTCACTGGCAGTCACTGGCAATGTAAAGCAACATCGTTCGTGTAGGTATATTGACTGGCCGGCTAAAGACTTGATTATCCTCTAACATTCTACTTCTCTGTCAATTCAGTCCCCACGCCGTCTGCATTCCGGGATGCATCAGTGCTCAGCTGCTGCTCTGGCAAGGCAGCCTTGAGGCTGGGGCTGTCCCAGACAGACGATGCCGGCGGGCTGCTGTTCCTACTGCTGCGGCTGGACTGTTGGCTACTGGAGTCATCGCTGTCCGGTTGCGCTCCGGTTGCAGCCCCACTGGGTTCCGATGTCGTCTTTTCCAAGCTCGTGGCAGACATGCTTGCTTGTACCGAGCCTTCTTCCGTTTTGTTGGTGAGGAATAGAGGAAAATACAGATCCTCCACCGTCGGAACGGTCGCTGGCGCGGGGTCGTTAACAACGGCCTCCACCATAGGGAGCAGTTCAGGGTAGTCAAACGTGGATTGCGTGCACATTATCGGTTTCGTCGGCGGTATGCGACGCTCCCAGGGGTCTCTGTAGATGTTGTGATATGCTATTGCGTCCCAGTCGTCGTACCGCTCAAGGTTGTCGATCTCGCAGAAGAAGGGAAACGTCATCTTCCATTTCTTTCCCATATCGCGTAGTAGTTTTGGTGAAAGCTTCTTTTCCCGCTCGTCAGCCTCGCTGGAGATGGCCTCTAGACTGCTGCCAGCAAAGAACTTGTGTATGGATCGCAGTTGCCAGTCAAGAGGCTTCCATATTCGTTTGGTCCAGAACATTCGACCGGAATGGAGCCAAACACTGTTTGCCTGTTTGTGATGTCAGCACTGAAGATCGTTTGTTTTCGAAGAAGAAGAAAGGGACCAGGGCAGGCGCACCTCTGTTCCGGATGCGCCTCTGTCGAAGAGGACAACACCACCAAATATTCTATCCTCAGCCCAGAACCCGGCCATGTCCGCTTTGCCATAAGGGTACTGCTCGTGGGCTCTGTATCCCCGGTGGAAGAAGAGATTCCCATGCGGCGGCGGTGACGGGTACGCCCGGATATTTCTCCCTACTGGGATCATTGCCGGTGGCTCATGATAGTTTGTAGCCGCTTCAATATCACCGACGTGGCACTTTGGCGCGGTGGCCTGGATGCTGACTGCGATGCAGTGTACAGCGCGAGCGAGAAGCTCAAGCAACCGGAACAAAAACTGGTCTGAGCCGAGCTCGGAATTCTGAAAAGCTTGCAGGAGCTGCCTGGTGTCAGTAAAACCAGACCGATGGTGAAGAATGTAAATGACTGACAGTTGCATCGAATAAGAGCAAGTTGGCGTTGAACGTGGCGATGAATTCATCCGCAAGTTCCACAGCACCTGGGCACAGCTGCGTATGTTCGAGTATGGGTGCATCTTCGAGGTTGTTAACGCCAGCCGTGTCAACAAGCACGTCGAAAAGAGGCAAGCCATCCATCAACTGGGACAGCGTCTCCTTTGCGATGTCTGTCGATAAAAGCCTGGACAGTGCCGTGTGGAAGTGTTCATAGTGCAGCGGGTCCAGAAGCTGTACAGAGACGGTGCCTTTCGGGATAGGCAGCAGGCGAACGCTCGCCATGATATCTGGGGTTAAGGTGAATCGTAGAGTTGCGATGTTTGGATATTATGAGTAAGGAGCAGCGCAGACGGTAATTTCAGACTTGGGGCGATGGAGCTGTTGAGTTGCGAGAGTTAAAAGCCGAAGCCGAATGCCAGTGTTGTTCTTTCTTGGTAAAACACCTCCACTAGGCCGCCGGGCACGATGCAGGCCGCTGACTAAATCGGTGCTGTAAGCCTACAGTGAGGTCACTTGCCAGATTAATTAGTAGCCAACTAAAAGCCACAGAAAAAGAGGTACTCCATTTTACTCAAGAAGCGCCATACAATAGAAGTACCTCCTGGCATTCATCTGAGTTGCCTACATACAAAGACGGCCTATGTACTTATGTACATATGTACATACTTATTTATAAAGCATTCACTTGTCCAACTCTAGAGGCGGCTAGTTGAGCTCAATTGATGCCAGCGCAGGGGTTTTTTTTTCTTTTTTTTTTTGGCGTATTTAGGAGCTTTGTGACCTGAATTTTCTAGTTATTCACTATTTATTTATTCTCCTTGATTTTGTATAGTGACCATATTGAAGCGCGCTTCGTTGTGGCAGGCTACTAGTTATGTACATAGCTCGTAAGTACCTTCGGAAAGCTGGGGCGAGTGATCCAACTGTACCTATGTATGTAACTATTCCTACAACCAGAGGGATACTAATAATAGGTTGGTGACGATCAGTAGCACCAAGGACGCCTTGTCATTCTGCCCGGTCACTAGCAAGGCGGCCAAGTGGCGCGGCACGCACTCTATACAATACAGACAAGGAGGTAGCTGCATTCCTGCCTGATTCTCCATAAGCTTGGACATTCACATCCCTTTGACTGTGTAGGAGAAGCAAGCAGGTTACGAGATCCATAGGGAAAAGAGACAGGAAGCTACTAAGAAACACATATTAATTTGCCTCGGAACGAAGCCAACCCTAGTACCCGCCTACGGCACAGTCCCTCCGATCCAGGCTGATTTCTGTGCCGCCTTCAGTACCTAGTTTTTCAAGATATCTGGTTGGACGGAACCCCTTACCTGTTTGCTCCTCCTCCACAGTCAAATGCATAGAATGTTCTGGCTGGTTGCCATTTTTAAGCGCCGACAACTCGTCCAACTCGTCCAACTCATTGGACTGCCCAACTTATCCAAAATATGCCGGGCGCTTACCTGTAACAAGCCCACGTCAACGTGCGTCTGCGGATCCGTGTCCCCGCCCGGCCCGGTCCGGGCGCGAGGCCATCGGCGACTGGCCGACTGGCATCCAATCCTTGAGAATGTACCTTGGCCGTGTCAAAACAAGTCATCCGCTTTTGCTCCATGTTGGCCAGAAGCGCGGCCATCTACGCCGGCCTGTAATTTCCTATCCGCAAGCTTGACTTGATTGTGCGCAGATGCTGGGGAAACAGCCTAATCATTTCAAGATTGCCATCAATCACGCATGTCAAAGTTGTCTACATAAAGAGGTAGACATCTGTATCTACCAAGTGTCTTGGGTTTCACACACACGCACACACACACACACACACACACACACACACACACACACATACACATACCATTCCAAAATTTCCCTTTCTTACAATTTGACTTAAGACTGAACTCTGCCATTCTTCTTCAACATGCCTGCCGCCAATGTCAACAAGCTGCGTGTTTATGTCTACGAGAACGATGTGACCACTCCTAGACAGCTTCGTGGTGGTTCCCGCTTCCAGCTCGTTGCAGCGGCGGCCAGCTTGTCATTGGATCTCCTGACTTGTCAACAAGGCAACAGCAGTCTTTACCACACTGCCATTCGGATCCTAACTACACGCCCAGTCATCGGACGCAACTCCAACGAGTATGGCAAGTACACGGAAATCTTCATCAAAAAGCTTGAAAAGGAGCTCCCCTGCATTGTCATTCATGATGTTGAAGCTGTGAATGCGCTCACAACCAAGGTTGGACAGCACGACATCTTTCCAGAGGATAACCAGTTTGAACCTCGCCGCGCTGCAGTGGTCCGGCTCAACAGCAGAGTAAGTTGCTTCGCCTTTCGAACTTCCGAAAGGCAATATCCTCGCTATGCTCGCTATCCTCTCTACCCTCTCTATCCTCTCTATCCTCACTATCCTCGCAATCCTCGCAATCCTCGCTATCCTCGCTATCCTTGCCATACTCGCTATCATCACCATCATTTGTCATTGGTCGTTAACTGGTCGCCTTGCGCAGCTTCTGCGCCATGCAGAGGAAGCTAGGGCCAGGCAGGTAGCCGAACGTACTGACGAGTCTCGCACGGCTGTGTACAGCATCGTTTTTCGTATGGCTGTGACACTGGCCCATGAGATGTGCCACGTCTTTTCTGCCTTTTTACTTCGAAGCCCGGTCGCCGCTACCCCGCCTAGTGTCGTCTTTGGACCATTTGGAAATGAGGCGCAGGGCGAGGCAGGTCGATTCTGGGAGTCTGTCATTTTCGGTGGCTATGTGGACATGCAGCTGAAGACGGACGGCTTTTCTGTTGTGATTCGGAGCTTGGACGGAGGCATTGTTTACATCATCCAAGACAAGGCTATCAATTGCTTTCTGCGACGAGGTCAGTTGCTCGACCGATCTACCAGCATCTTGGCTATCAATGCCTAACTTTTGCTGACTTTGGATAGACTTCGGCAGCCTTCCTCTCTTCGATGGAGGCGCGATCGAGCCTGATATGGTGCAGCGCAAGGATGCCGTTAGTTGGCTTAAAGAAGACATGAATACTTACCGTGGCGCCACCGCTGGACTCATTGTTGCTTTTCCGCAACACTTGCGAGACGCGTTTACACTCCCACAGATGACGAGCGATTATGGGGAGAGCGTGTATGTCTCCGGTCAGGAGGTCATGGAGTGGCTTGCCATGGCGGGAGGTGCAGCTCCAGCGGCTGCCTGATGTGCAGTCTTTGAGCTGAATCTTTTAGGCGCTATTCTTGATAGGCTGCGTTGCTGATATGATATGACGACGCAAGTGGGTGGAATTGGGTAACTTAAAAGCGACGGGAGCGAAGGACCATCTTATTATGTTAGTAGATAGCGTAGATAGCGTAGATAGAGTGGGTGGCAACATGTACATGTCCCCTGTTAGGTAGCTGACCTCTCTTAGGCGTCTTAGGTATTTTACATATCTTGGGCGTTTTCTATATCTTAGGAACTTTATATATCTTGAGTATTTTATATATCTTAACTATTTAACTATCTTACCTATTATAGGGATAGGTCAGATACCTGGCAGCGGATAAATACATGTTGCCACCCACTGTAGTACAGAACTTCTACATTGCAAGCAATGTATTACAGCTGCTGCCAGCAAAGCCGGCGCCGAAGAGGCTACATAGCAAAACATGAGCCCAAAAACCCATAAATTCCAAGTAGTGTACTTTTACGCTTATAGTTCTTTATTGATCGCGATCTAACTACCTAATATATGTGTATATCTCTTGTCAAATTGTTTTGTCATACTTCATCGTCATCATATCCCTAGCCGGACGCTGGTGCGGAAACAAAAAAGCCGTCTCTCCAAAACAGCCCAAGATGAAGGCAGTCAACGCCAACAGAATCCATCTCCCTACACGAAACTGAAAGAAAAGAGAAAGAAAAAGTCGAAGTGTAATATACCACCATTAGGTATTACATTGCCCTGATACCAGAACAGGTAGAAGAGAAATAAAGACAGAAAAAATGAAGAGAAAAATCCGAGTTGTAGGCCGTGGTTGAATGGATCTATATGTAAATTGCAGTTGTGGTTGTTGTTGTTGCCATGTACAGCGTATGTATAGTATATAACCAAAGTGAGTGTGTCGTGGGTCGAATTGCTTGTATGCCCTACTCGAGCATGCGTCGTTGTAATTTCATACACTGTTCTCCTTGTCGCGGACCTCGGGTGCGGTCAGCGACCTTTCCCACTCGTCCATGAGGTGGTTGGCGGTGCGCTTGAGGTTGCTCGGCGACAGGCGATTCACCATGCTCGGCAGTAGCTCGTCAAGCTTGGTGTTGCGCAGCACGGTATCCTGCGACGCGCGCTTCGTCTTCAGCGGCGTCGTGGCCGGCCCCTCCGCCTTTTCCGGGATCGACTCAATCTCGTCCAAGCCGCCGTTGTGAACCGTGGAGCCGCTCCACCGGCTCGACTTGACTGACGAAGGCGAGTCCCAGTTGGCCCAGTCATTGTCCTCGAGCGTGTCAAACCCTAGTGGTGTCCAAGAAAATTGCTTGCCCTTGCCGTTCGTCTTGGTTCTTTCCGGTATTGCGATGGCACCGTCGGCTTTGGGCCCTTGCTTGGCGGCGTCCAATGACGAACTGACCCTGGATTTTGTGGAGGGTTTGCGGCCGAGTCCAGTGGGTGTGGCGTCGTGGTCGCGTGCCGCGTGGCTGGACGTTGTCGCGCGCGGCGGAACAGAGCGACGACGCGCAGCTGGTGGTGGTCCGTTGATGGGTTCGTCCCCAACCGTGATTTGTCGGATGTCCTCCACAAAGGCACGCAGGCCGAGCTTAAAGTCCTCGACCAGTGGGAAGACACCTGATGGCTGCGTTTGGCTGCGTGGTTGCCATGTCGCCCGCTTGGACAGTGTGGGGTGTTGCCCTGGTGGTGCTACCATCCTCTCATGCAGAGGCTGAGCCATGGCGCTATCAATGCCGGCCTTGTCTTCATGAAGATTGAATTCCGCGTCAGACCTAGCCGGCGATAACAGCGACAGTGTGCGTGCGTGACCTCCTCGCATGACCTTTCTGCGGCTCTGTGTCGGGGTCGCGGGAGAGTTTTGCTGGGATTGCAGCCAGAGTTTCCTGCGATCCAGATCCATGCTCTGCCTGGTAGGCGACGTCATAACATCCGGGATTTGGCAACGCTGGGGCGAAGCCAGCGCTTGTGATTGAATCTCGGCAGACCTCTTCTGCATGGACTCCTTGGAGGTCCATTGGGCCTTGAGGGAGGTGAGGTTGGCCTCGGCACGTGCGAGCTCTTCGCGGAGCTCCAGTACCCTTCTCTCTTGGGCGGCGATTGCTATTATAAAATCGTTGGCATCTTCGAGAGCGGGCAGCTCAGGGGTCTGCGCTGGCGTAGGCGGCTTTGACGAGAGCGTTACGGGCGGTCCTGCGGATGTGAGCGGACGAACAGACTCGCCCCTGGACGCGGGTGCGATTGGAAGTGTTAGTGAGAGCCTGTTGGCTTGTCGAGGCGTGGGCGAGGCCACCGAGTGCGCGCGGGCGTGTGTATATCGTCGGCTGGGAGGTAATTCGCGAAAAGGCCGTGGAGGCGGCGGCATGGACTCTGCATCAGCTATTTCCACGCCAATTGTCCCGTTTTTTTGTTGCTGTCGTGAAATTTCGTCGTCCTTGGCCTGCGCCAGCGCAGTCTCAGGGGTAGGGGAAAAGGTTGTGGATATGGCCATGGCGGCGGGGGGCGAGAGAGGATTGGGATTGTCGTAAGGCGTGCGGTCAGCAGCCGAGGAACGACGCCGAATTTCTTGACTGGAAGCCATGCTGAGGCTTTGCGGTAGGAGAAGCAGCTTGGAGGATGAAGAACGTCGACGATGGTGGTGGTTGTGCTGATTGTGGTGGCGGTACTGGTAATTAGCAGCGTATGAGAGGGTGGCGGGCCCAGCGGCACCAGTCCTGCGGAACCCTAGGCGGGCAGGGGCGGCACGGCTGGATCTGGCGATGCGCGGTCTTGGACGACGGGTTTGTATCAAATGTCGATGATCATAAAGTATATGAAGAGAGCAATTGGCGACTGCGATGCGCAGGTGAAAGCCCGTCATGAGGCTTCTGGCGAACGGCAGGAGGAGCAGGGCGGTTTGGGCATAGTTTGCGGGCAGCTCGGTAGGATGGAGGATGCGAAGTAGCAGTAGTCAAAGAGATTGGAGTTGGTGGCTGTGTCTGGGGTAACTATCACTCTGGTCACTGGTGGGTGCCGTTGACCAGGTTGATATGATTTTTTGTTTTCGTCCCCCTATACAGCTGGGGATGATCTTGAGCCCTGGCCAACGCAGGGTATATCGCTGTGTTTCGACTAGACCGGGGGTATGAGCTTGTTTGCTTTGGTCCAGGAGCTATGGTAGTAGGGCTGCCTCGAGGTTCGGATAACGTTGTCGGTCGCTTGATGAGAACGGATGAACGTCATAACAAGAATACACGGCAAGAGTATTTGGTTGCAATACTGGCAGTAAAAGGTCCCGTTCAAGAGCGGGTGAGCTGGCCGTTTAGGAGGAGGGAGGGAGCCGAAGCAAGGTGGCAGCAAAAGCAAGTTGATGACAATGCGCGCATGTACGAATAGCGTAAGGCGAATCTTGGATCGATGCAGAAGCGAGGTTTCGGCGGAGCGGGTGCGTCGGTATTATGCGATGGTGTTTCTCGCGTCTTGGTTTGTTGTCTTTGGCATGTCTCAGGCCAGCGTGGGGTGAGGTGGTCTTGAGAGTCACGGGGCGGTGAGGCAATGAATGGAATGCGGAAGCGAGGCGGGGAGACGTTTTTTTTTTGTGCACCTGAGAGTGAGGGGTCCTGTGACGCAGACTGACTGCTATGATATCGGGAGAAGTGATGGCAGCAGTTGGTATTTACAAGCATTAAAGATGGAGTGTTATGCGTATGTATGTCAACGAAATTGCGGTATGCATGCCGAAATGTTTCGAGGCTGAGTTGAGATGCAGTGTTGTTGTAGTGGAGATGGCGAACCGTTTCAGCGGCTGCATCCGCTGTAAACCGTCCCAACAGCACCAATCCAGCACCAAAGATAACCGTAAAAGCATCCCATTGTGACTCCCCACAGTCTCTGTTTGCCGGGTCAACCAGCGGATCGACAGTGGATCGGGCTTCTATTTTCAGGCCCGCCAGGTCCGCGAATGGATCCTTGAGTGGAGGCCGTTCCTGGGCTAGCAATGGCAATGGCAGGCAGTGCCCCAAAGCTTGGCCGCAGTCCCCTGGAGCTAAACCTGTAGTGCACTGTAAATCTCCCTTGGAGGCATCAGGCGCACGAGAACGCCCTCGCCTGGTTGCCCACTTTGCGTGGCCATGATCCCTGATTTCTCGCCTGATGATGCCACTGTCGCCAGCATCACCAGACTGTTGGCAGCCTCATTTGCCACCACCGCTTTGTATCCCAATACGTCGAACGACGATCAAGGGAGGAGAGAAGAGCAGTAAAACGAAGCCAAGAAAGAACTAATTGCCCTCGCCAATGTACCAACGACCCCCATCTGATAGGCACACCATTGCGTTTGAATCTACGATGCTCACGGTGCGCAGGTGATTTGTACACCGTCGAAAACTCTCCGGCATCGTCGGTACCCCGCACGGCCTGATCCTGCCCACGGTCCGGATCCCGCGGCCTGAGCAGCTTGCTGTAGTCAGATGACGCTGTGTCACGGCGCGCGAAATACACAGCAGCTGCATCTTTCCGCCCGAGTAGCCGCAGTCTGTCTATATTCTTGGGCTTTTCCCAAGTTCTTGGGCAACATCAACATAACCAGTATCTCCAGCAGCCTTGTTCTTCCTCTCAGCCTCCTCCTTGTCCTACCCGTCCAACTTCACCGTCGCACCACAGAATCGATGGTTGCAAATAAAACACGACTGGGGAGCTGCGGCCAGTCAAGGCTTGTAGTGGGTTTGTTTAACGGGAAAAATGTCCTCTGTTGGCTATAAAAGCTATCACAGAATATCAAGATAGAGACGCGACCATTGCCACCACAGCTATTTGGATGATCGTTTTTCAAAAGCAGGGCAGACTTAAACGGGGAGCGCATGGTTTTTTTTTAGGAAGCTATTAGGCTACTACTTTTTAATCTTTAATTTTTGTATATATTTACTGTTCATAACTGCTGTTCTTTTGGTGCCTACTACGTAGGTAGAGGTAGCGAGCATCGCCACTTTTTTCTCTCCTTCTTTAAGCAATCTCTCTCTCTCTCTCTCTCTCTATTCTTAGTCCTTAAAATAGACCTTAATCGAGAGTAGATTAATTCATCTTTCTCTTTGGAACAGGTTACTCAACGCACTGCCTGTCCTGGGAGAAGAGCAAACGGATTGAGAAGAAACAAGTACAAACAAGTCCCGCCGGCCTGACACGATGCGGGCCGTTGCACTCTTCACTTCTGTTCTTTGTACCCGACGTGCACCTCTCCGAGTCGGCATGCTCAATGTTCACCCTCGAGTCAAGTTTGAAGATGGCGGATCGACTGTAATCCGATTTCCAAAGGTGGGCACCACCATATTCCCCGACCCGACGAAAAAGGAGCGGTACGAAGTGGCCGTGATGCGATGCGCGATGTATACAGGAACACTCGACCATCCCTGTACCGTTTGTGCTGCATTCTAGCACCAGAGAAGAGAGCCAAATGAGCTAAATCTTTGATCACGATGGAATATTCATATGTCGACGACGACACGGACATGATGGGCGTGGCCGAGTCTCGACGACCGCTAGTGCCTGAATCCCATCCAACGTTGACCTCGCCGAAACCTGAGATTGCCAGTCTCAAGTTGACCAAGATTCTGCTGCAGCTACCCCGTTTAGACGTGCTGATAATTGGATCTCTGGCACTGATTTCTTCCTCCGACGAGCTGTTGTGCCATATGCGGCAGCGTCGGCCTGCATGACCTTGTACGGCTGGGTACCCGCGCGAAACTCATCCACTGTACGCTTTCTTCCAGCCACCATTACCTTGAAAAGATCGAGCGGTTCCATCTTAGACCATCTCGTCAACCAGCGAGATGGTAACGAGTTGCTGGAGGACTGTCAGCGCAATTTAGTGACACGGTGACTTTTTCGGCGGCTCCCACGTGATGGAAGAAGGATGACGACGGCAGCGGCGAGAGGAGTTGCATTGGGAATCTGATGAAGTGATCGTCTCGAAAGGTGGTTGCGTCTCCATGAAATACTACTATGCGATGATTTCTAGCCGCGGCTGGATACTATTGGTGTGCTCTTCGACTATACACCGTATCACAAGAGCCAACATGGACTGATGGTGGGTATGATTTATCTGAGAACGGCTCGCAGGTGTACCGGCCGTCCAAGAAGAGGCGCGCATTTGAGCCTTTTGGGCACTGAGAGGATGAAACACAAGACATGGACGACTCGGTGTAAGCCAACAGGCTCAGAGGTATGACTTCATGTTGGCGTGCCCGAGCGAGCCGACCACGAACCCGCAGTGGGATGGAATCCGGAGACACTCGAAAAAAATGTGATATACGACGACCATTTTGGATTATTTGGATTCACAATCCCATTTCTTTGAGTTTATTTTCTCGAATGCGCCACATCTCGTGGACCTTCTTTTTTCTTCCGCAGACCCGCGGCTGGGACGGCCCCGAGGCCCAGCCTTGTGTCAAGTACGTTTCGCATCTTCCCCTCTGCGATCCGGAGTCCAGCCTGCCCGTATTCCCCGTTTCCCACACCAAATCCCGGCCCCATCCTTTTATCGAGCGATTAAGAAAAAGGCCTGGCTAATAACCAGTGACCACTCACCACCTGCGCTCAACGGTCTGGTCGGCTTCCGTGCCTCAGACTGCCCTTGCTTTGGTGACGACCCGGAACGTGGGTGAGCCGTCCTACCAAGTGAGGGCCAAGCTGTTTCACCAAACCAGCTCAACAGCCAGAGGTCCTTGATTTAAAATTACGACATGTTCTTAATTTTTGCCCTTTTTTAAACTCTGCCATTCCCCAAAAGCTTTGTTTCTTCCTCTCCCTCTTGGTCCTGTCCTTTGGTCAACTTACACGCTGCGCTGTCTTCAAGTTCCATGCCATCGGGCAACCAAAACCAAGCACTCTCTACCGCGTTGACGTGGACTGCCGTCTTTACCTAATATACTTTAACTATTACTTTCATTTACATACTTTCTATTATCTTTTATTTCTCCGAAGCACTGGATTGCTTGTCAACATATCTTCACCCGCGTTGCTGGATCGACTTGGAACAATCTTATTCACTCATTACGACTCACACGACGCCTATCACACTCACTCGAAATCACACCACATCGCCGCTTCACAATGCCTTCATTAAAGACGACAATTATCGCGCTCTTTGCCGCCACGGCCACGGCCATGCCTGCCAGCGTCCGCCTTACACCGCGCCAGATGCAGTACCACGCGCTGGCCAAGCGACAGCAGGAGAACGCCGCCGAGGCTGGTCTGAGCGACTTTGACATTTTGCAATTGTAAGTTTTCTTCTAGTCTGCTCGATCTCTCCCACCCAATTCACTCACTGACACCTTCCCACCCAGCGCTCTTACCCTCGAGAACCTCGAGGAGACCTTCTACCGTCAAGGCTTCGCCAAGTTCCCCGCGGCGGACTTCAAGCAGCTCGGCCTCGACGACCAGCAGATCAGCGACCTGCAGCAGATTGGAAAGACCGAGGCCGAGCACGTCGGCCTGCTTCAGTCGTCGCTCGCCCAGGGCGGCGTCAAGCCCGTGCAGCCGTGCGAGTATGACTTCAAGTTCACCGACGCCGCCGCCATGGTCCAGACCGCCGCCGTCCTCGAGAACATTGGCGTCTCGGCCTACCTCGGCGCCGCGCCCCTGCTCTCCGACAAGGCCATCCTCGGCACCGCTGGCTCCATCCTCACTATCGAGGCCCGCCACCAGTCGTCCATCCGCGCCTTCTCCAAGCAGGTCGCCGTGCCACAAGCCTTTGACGCGCCCCTCGGCCCTCGCGCCGTCTTCTCCCTCGCCGCGCCCTTCATCAAGTCGTGCCCCGAGGGCTCCAACCTGAAGATTGAAGCCTTCCCCAAGCTCGCCATGGACGTTGGCGGCGGCGCTGCGCCTGCCGAGGCTCCCGCTGGAGAGGCCCCTAATGCTGGCGCTGAAGGTGCCGCGGGCGAGGCCCCTAAGGCTGGTGCTGAGGGTGAAAAGGCCGAGGGGGCCGGCGAGGGCGAAGAAGACGAAGAAGGCGAAGAAGACGAGGAAGACGAGGAAGACGAAGAGGTGGGTGAAGCCAGCGAGGGTGCTGTTGAGGCTCGCGCGGAAGCTGCTGCCCCGGCGGCTGCCGGCCCCGGCGCACTCTCGGTCGGCTCCAACTTCAGGGTCAAGGCCGACGGTACCAGCGGCTCCGAGGCCACCAACTGCGCCTTCACCTCGGGCGGCGTCTTCCCCGGCGGCACCGCCTTCTCCAACTTCACCCAGGCCGAGGGATGCCAGGTGCCCCAGGGCGTCGCCGGCATCACCTACGTCACCCTTACCAAGGCCGCTCCGCTCTCCGGCGTCCTGACGGACGACATGATCGTCGCCGGGCCCATGGCAGTGACAATTTCTTGATACCAGCGTTTTTGTTTCCTAATCTAGTCCCTTTTTTATTGTTTGCGCAGGCGTGGCTACAACTTGAAGCATATTCCTTTTTTTTTTTGTAACACTGTGGAAACCTTGAACCAGGTAGACAGCTTATTTTTATTCTTATACATTTTGGGTGGTTCAACACCGAACAAGCCAACTTTCCCAGTCAAAAACAGGATTGTGAGAATTGGGGGCGAGCCTTTTTGTCTCATGACAAGAAGCAAATAAAAACACGAATATAGGGTTCAAAAATAATGCATATACAATACACTGGCGTTGAGCCGCGCAATCTCGATGCCTTGGCACACACACGCACAAGATTTCACAGATGGAGGGATCGGGGAGTATCGCCTCACCAACTAGACATCGTACTTCTTCCGCCTCAGGCCGTTCCACACGTGGCCCCGGTACTTGGAGCTGCTGAAACGGAATTCGAGGCACCAACTCGTCCTTGTAAACAATTCCAAACGACGCCAAAAGACTTCTCTGACACGGGAGCACCGCCCCCCCTCTTTGGATCCCCTCACATCTCCACCAATCTGCTTCACATTGACATTCGTCCCTTGTCAGCTGCGGTGGCCCTCGTTGCCAAGTCCGGCAATCGGCATTTCACAGCATCGGGTTTGAATGACAATTTATTCTTTCGCAAAACGTCATGACAAATTTCGACTCATCCGTGTATTCACTATCCTTGTACATGGATGCTACTGGAACCACCTGCGGCATAAGTCTTTGGTCCTCCTCCCTTGCGCGCCTGGCAATTATTTTGGCTATGCCCCATGCGCAAGTCTTGACACTCTCCCTCAGGAAGACTTTGAAACCTTCAGCGTACAAATGCAGCTATAAATGCCCTTTTACCAACGCCATGTATGCCTGTCCTGCTACCATCTCATGCGTGTTCAAACGTCATCTTCAACTCGCTGGGGTATTCGCCAGAAACAGCTTCTCTCGTAACAAATGTCGTCATGTCGTGCTGGCCCACAACTCGGGTTTCTTTCATCTCAGTCACGAATATCCTCAAAATGGTCTGGCATCAAGATACGCCCGAGCCTTGGCCCAGGCAGCCTTGTCGGCGGCGGGTAGCTCCTTGTTGTCCAGAGTTTGTAGTCCTTGGTTGATGCTATTGAAAAAGTCGACGGCAAGGCGGAAGTCTTCGGTCAGACCCTCGGCATATGGGACAAAGGTCTTGGGGAACTCTTCTAGACGCTTCGCACGTGCCTCCTTGCCGTCGCTAACTTCATCATCATCGAAAAAGGTGCGCACAGCAATGCCCAGGCCGATATCCGGCTCTTGCAGGAATGGAAGCCTGTTCTGGTTAGTGCTCTGCTTGAAGGTAGCCGTCAACTGTCAACTCAAATAGCGCCAACTTACGTGTGACTAATTTCGAGATAGTCGTCTCTTTCACGCTGGCATTGGCCATACATGAACATGGAGGCGACAATACCTTCGATCAGACCGCGATCGGCTTCACGAATAGCCGATGATAGCGATCGGAACATGAGCAGACTCTTGTTCAAGGGACCAGTGTAGCCGAATACTTGGTGGCGTAACTTGAGGAGTGTGGCGGCTTGGCTGATGAGAACCAGAGCTGCCTTGTCTGCGTCACTACCCTTGCGGGGAAGACCTGGAGTGGCCTCTTGGTGCTGTCCATTCAGGCAGCCAAACTTGACAAGCTCGAAAGCTAGGAGGGCAGCCTCATCAAGCGCAGGATCAATCGGGTTCTTTTCGGAAGAGTCTCTTAGCTCTCTCAGATGTAGCATAGTGGTAGCCAGAGCGCGACCCCATTTCGTCAGCTGATGTGAATCATCGACGTAACCACGGAGGTGAAGGAAGCGCCATATAGCAACGGAGACAATCATGCCGGTACTATCGACACCACGGATTATCTTTTCACGGCTGATGGTCTTGGCGACAAATTCGGTGTTTGCGAGAGCGAGGACCTCAAGATAGACTGTTCCTTTAAAGTCAGTAGGGAAAAATTGACGCAGGCTCTCCTCCTTGACATCCCAGGTACCGACAACCGCGGAAGGGGCAGGCTGCAGGGCGCGGTGGTTGATCTTGAGAGAAAACGTGGGATCAAACCACACGCGCATGGTAATATCCTTGTGTCCAATGCCGCGATGGACTCTGGGAATGATAAGCCCAAGAGCCTGCTCCTTGATGGGCACAATTTTAGAAGTCATTAGCTTCTTGTATTGGTCCGAGGCAGTTCCATCCAAAGTTGGCTGCACCAGAATTTGACTGTGCGTTATACAGTTCAGCATTGAGGAGCTAATTAAACCAACATTAAGGTAGTGGAACAGCTCGGCAGGGAGCTGCAAGCCCAAGTATTCGTGGTTGTCCTGAGTGAGGGTGTCGAAGTTGTGGACCTTGACTTCGCCTTCTTCGGTGATGTGGATGAAGTGATTGACAGCCATTCTGGCCTTGCGGTACTTGTCGAGCCAGTTGGGTTCCTGGGCAACGAGGATATCATTAAAGGATGCGCATGCTGACGCCACGGACTTTTCCGAAGTCCGCAGGATGTTGATTGCATCCATAATGGTGGAACTGGGCTGGTACATGGGGTCCAGCAGAGGAGGGAAGGCGGGGAGAAACGAGGTCCCAACCATGAGCAGGGCATCGATGAACATGGACTCTGAGACCCCGAGAGTACGCAAAACACGCTTCTTGGAGACGGCAGAGACGGTGTGGTGCTCAAAGTCAATACCCCGGATTACGCAGTCTCTAACCTCGTAAAGCAGGAGCTCCTGAGAGCCCATGACGGCGGCGCATTGATCGGAATCCACCATCTCAAGGTGTGCGAGTTGTGCGCTCGCATTGTAGGGAGCGACAAGAAAGTGAAGCTTGCGCTCTCTGAGTATCTTTTGCAGGAGAGGGTAGAGATTCTGCAGACGGAAAGCGGCTGAACTTGGTTAGCTAGGGTCGATGGGTAGCATGACAAGCGTTCATACTGGGATTACCGCCAAACGTGTTGACGGCCTGCTCTGCTGATGACTGCGAGTAGAGATTCCATGCCTCGTCCGTTTTGGCGTTGGCTGCGCGGGCGCGCTTGAGTGACACTTCATCCTGGCCGGTGATGGACAGGCCGTCGAAAACCAAAAAAGGAGTTATGTTGCTCTTCCCCCAGAGGTCTAGGTTTTGGTTGATGTGCGTAGTGATGCCAGTCAAGCCGCCGAGGGCCGGGAGCAGCGGTTCGTGAGCGGAGGAGTTGTCGAGAAGGTAGCCGAGGTAGTAGGTCGCATCGATGGCTACGGAGCAGCCGTCGAGCTCGGCCAAGTCAAAAGAGCTGTATTATGTCAGTCGGAGTCGGTGCGAGGGTTAGGCAAAACCATACGTAGCCAGGCCATTAATACAGGTATCCTCAACTAGGACTGCAACTGGTCAGTAATTTTGTGACGGGGTCCCAGCAAGTAAAGAGTCGATATGTGGCCGAGGGAAGCTCTGCAAGACGGAACAAAACGCTCAATCTGTGCTGCATTGTCCATATCGGGATAATGTCCTGGCATTCCACAGTGTCGAAATGGGGGAGCAGTATAGGGCAAGGGGTCGTATGCGACACCGGTTCTGCTGCGTGGAGTCGGATGATGCAGTTGACGATTTGCGAATTGACATGAACTGATTGCGAGAGAGAGAGAGAGAGAGAGAGAGAGAGAGAGAGGCGGACACGCGGGAATCGGAAACAGAGGAACGGAAAGGTCCAACACTCACAAGGCATGTTGTGCGATGCGTTGCGTTCAACCAAGAGTTATATTGTGGTAGGAAACGAGCTGGGCGTGGATGGCGCGTGATGGGCAAAACGACGGAGCCAAGCAGCAGAAAGCGACGAATTGCGAGATTCGATCGAGAACGATGCAATGAGCGTTGTGCGCGAAGCGAAGACGGCGGCTTTCGGGGCGTTGATGGAGGGAGGCGGACGCTGGCGGGGTGCTGAGTTGAAGCTGGCGAGATGGAGAGAGAGCTTCTGTGGAGGCCGGGGTCAGTCGTCGGTTGCTGCAAACGCGAGCAAGGAGCAGGCCAATGCTGGGCGAGGGATGACAAACAGGGCAGAAAACAACGACAGAGAGAGGCGAACCAGTAGGGTTGGCTGCTGCGAGAGGAGGGGGGGGGGGAGGACGGTGCGACTTGGGCTGGGTTATTCGGTAAGAGGAAATTAATCAGGGACCCAAGGAGAGATTTGTTAAGGTGCAGGCGCGGCTGTTCAGGGCGGCAAAACTTTGGGGCACACAGTGCTTAAGTATTATGACACGGTGCGGCCAAAGGGCAAATCTGGGGCCGATACAGCTACAGTGCACCATATAATTCGCACCGTATTTGACGCTTGTTTGCTTGTGTGACTTTGGTGATACGACCGGTCTGCTTTGCTGCTAAACACCGAAAAAGACAAGAAAGAAGAGGTGGAGTACAAGAAGAAGAAGAAAGGTCGGAAACAATGAAGGAAAATAATCCAATAGAGTTAATAGAGCTCACCAGAGGTATGTACTTATAGCCAAGCCTAGGGTGGCACTTGTCTGTACTAAGCGTATAGTATAGATGTACGACGACGCAAACGCTTGAGAAAGTAAACAGAGAAATGGAATCTATGCTGGCTACTATCTAAGAATTAGCACCTCAAGTATCCACAAGTACTCAAGCAGTCGTCGCCAAACTCTTTCTCGCCCGAAAATACGCTCCATTGTTCTTGTGCTCCCGGAACGGATTCCTCGGCACGCGCGCGTCACAAGCCAGGTATCGCTCCGCCATCAACAGCACGATTGGCTCCGTCCCGCCATAGCCCATTCTCACGTACTCGTCCTCCTTTTCCCGCGCGACCGGCTCATGCAGCAAGATGCGTCCCATCTCGCCGCCCCTGACGCACCGCATCCGTACCGCTCGCCCCCGTCGCGGCGCCGCTACGACCTCGTCCAGCACGTCCGCCCAGAGCCCGTCCTCCAGGTAGACGCCGTCGAGGTGCACCTCACCGCTGCACCCGGCCAGCATCGGCACCAAGCTCGCCGCTCGCACCGCCACGCCCGTGAGGCGCAGGCCGCGGAGTCCTACCAGCGTGCGCTCCGCCAGCAAGCGGCCGACGCGATGCGCGATCGGCGTCCTCGGGCTCTCAGGAACACCGCCGCCGGTCGCCTGTGGCACGAGCAGTTCAAGTGTGCGCAGTGCCGGACTGCTCAGTACCACGCGCGCGCAGTCTTCTACCCAGTTATCCCACCACCTGCCCGGCTCGTGGTACGCGGTGAAGGTGACGTGCTCGAGCGTGCGGGCCACAGCCGCCAGCGCCAGCGCCGCGTCGTCCGGGAGGTGGCCTTGGGTAGCGGATTTCTCGTCGTTCAAATCCCGCGGAACCCGGGTTGCAAAGGGAACCGCGCCTAGCCGCAGCGTCCGGAGGCGTATTCCCGCGTCGTGGATCTTCCCGGGAAGCCGCTTCATGATGCGGGCAAGGTAGTAGTCGCGGCTACCGTTGGGACCCTTCCACGGACCATGGTGCCCGAACTCGACGAAACGGCGCAGCCCGTCAAGGTCATTTGTCTCGAGGATCGCACGCGCGTCCATCAGCGCACCACGCTGCGCACCGATCTCCAACGCCTCCAGATTCGGCAGCCTCGTTAAGCACGCCGCGAGGGCGTCCTCGAAGTCTTCCGTCGCCATGCAGGACCAATACTCTATCGAACTCTGTTTTCTGTATGCCTTGTAGCCATCTATCAAGATTTTGAAGAGGCACCGTTGATTAGCATCCACAAACTCATACTTCTGTGTTAAAAGGTCGCATAGGATGTCTTGATCTTGGCCTTGGTCTTGGTCTTGCTCGAGGTTTAAATCCCATGCCACGGCAATATTGTAGTGGTTCCTAGCCATGGCATCGACGTCGACGCGATAGCTTTCATTCCCGAAAGCTCCCGCGTATTGCGCCTGATCAGCGACCAGCGACAGGGCGTCACACAGCTCTAGCAATATGCGGTCCCGGAACACGCGCAGGTCTCGGGTCATTTCGAGTTCAGTAAAACCAGTGTGAAAAACCACGCCTTGGATACATGCTGCGAGATGAGGCTGCCTCGAAACCTTGTCTGCCAACGCAAACATGCCTTCATGGGCGGAAACTGACAGGTAGGTAAACAATAATGGCGTCGCCAGGTCATGGAAACGGCGACAGACGAGGCGAAGAGTTTGCAGCACAGCTCTATGTGCTTTCCAAGGAGACCTATACTCTCGTTTCCAGTTGTCAAGGGCCTGTAGATTCTCGAGCTGCGGTTCAGCGAAATGACCAAGTATCGGGCGCAGCAGCTCTGCAGGTAGGTTGTCCAATTGACCCATTGTGTAGTGGCGATGTAGAGTTGAAGGGGAAGTAGCTATTACTTCCCTTGTCCGGTGATGAAGTTCCAATTGAATCCAAAGTGAACTTGAAGGTCAGAAATATCCAAAGCGTTGTCGAATCCGAGCTTTCTTTCTGTTTTGTAGGCGCGAACATGAACGAGCAATGCAGGAAGGTACCTTTCTTATCCGTTACGTTTGAATGTCGGGGCTACCCCTCACCTCCAGGCAGCCTCGTTCGGAACTTGGTAGCACAGCCTCGTTGTGAAAAGTTCGAGCACTGTTCATTTTTAATTTTCGTCTATTTTGCAAATCTCCCATTGCTGTTGTTGTTGTTCATTTATTGCTCGACCTTTGGTATATGTAAGAGCTATTTATTAGGAACCAGTTTTACCCGTAGTCTTATCTCAAACACCACCCCGCCATCCAACACCACCACCCGACTTAGGCAAGTCACTTGCTTCTCCTACATCAACTCGGCGCTCGGTTTCTACCTCTACCAACTTCTGTAATAACTAGCTGGCAGTATCGCATCGTTCAAACATTGTCGTTGAGCAGACTGCTCGGACCATGGCGCAGTCTGGCATCCCTATCATCGACATCAACTCGGCCGACGAGGCCACCATTGGCAAGCAGCTCGTCGACGCCGCCGAGGAGCATGGCTTCATCTACATACGAAATCTCGGGCAAGACATTTCCGTTGAACAAGTCGACGAAGCGTTTGAATTGGTGTGTACATTACTTGATCTCCTTTACAGAGGAATACTCGCTGACCTCTGCATGCCACAAGTCGAGGAGGCTGTTTGACGCCCCAATAGAGGAAAAGGTCGCTTGCGCCATACAGACGAACAACCGTGGATGGGGCGGACTTCACTCTGAAACACTGGATCCTAGGACACAGAAAGTGTGTTGAACCTGCCATGGCTGCTCTACATGATGCTAACGATCGATCACTTCAGATTGGAGACTTCAAAGAGTACGTCTCTTCATCAGCCAAACCTTGCACCAATTGTTCCATCAAGCTTTCCACCGACCTTTCAATCAACCAGTTATTCCGCATCATAAACACTGACATCTCCTAGAGTATTCAACATTGGGCTCTTCAAAAAGGGCCAGCCCCAGCAGCCGCTCCCTCCCGCCATCGTCCCTGACCAGGCCCGTCTCGAAGCCTTCCGCGACGTCTGCACCGCGATGTGCACCAAGCTCCTTCGCCTCATCGGCAACGGTCTCGGCGTCCGTCCTCCCCGCCCCCGCCCCATTCTTCCCTCAATCACTCACACACCCTCCGTAGGTCGGCGACTTCTTCGCCCAAGCACACGAGATCAAACCCGGCGATGAATGCGACACCATCTTGCGGCTGCTTCGCTACCCTCCTCCATCCTCTCCCTCCTCCTCCCCCTCCCCAGCCGACGCCGTCCGCGCCGGCGCGCACTCCGACTACGGCTCCATCACGCTGCTTTTCCGTCTCCGCGGGCAAGCCGGCCTCGAAGTGCAAACCACCGCCGAAAACACCTGGGCGCCGGTCCCCGTGCAGCCGCCCGGCACGGAGCGCGACCCCGCGCCGCCCATCCTCGTCAACGTCGGCGATCTGCTGTCTTATTGGACCAACGGCCTGCTGCGGAGCACGGTGCACCGCGTCGTGTTCGGCGGCAGCGGGGTCGTGGAAGGCGAGAGCGCGACGGACCCGCGGTACTCCATCGCCTTCTTCTCCAGCCCATCGCCAAGCACGGAGCTGGGCGTCGTGCCGAGCGAGCGCGTCAGGAACTTTGTGCCGCGAGGCGGCGACGGCGGAAACCCGTACGCGCAGCGCAAGGTGATGCGCGCGGACGAACATCTACGGATGAGACTGGCGGAGACGTACGGAGACTTGTACAAGAAGAACGAATCATAAAACGCAATCACTTCAGAGCGTGTGCGTGCTTTATTCAACAGATAACCACCATTTTAACGCAATGCAATGCAAAATGACACCTACGTCTACACGTGCGCGCAGAACCACCGCCCCATTGGACCGGGAAACCCGTCGTAGTACTTCTTGACGATCCGCGCGTCCTCCGCAATCGACAGGTGCCGCAGCACCCGCCAGTCGTACACCTTGATCAAGTCACGCTCCCGCCGGCGCGCCGCTTTCAGCCGCGCCCCGAGCGCCCTCGTCTCGGCGGCCTGCTGCACGCTGTCGACGAGCAGCCAGCTCTGCTGCTGTTTATGAGCCCCCCCCGAGCCGTGGTTGCGCCACCATGTCTCTACACAAGGAATCACGCGCGGCACCTCCACGCCGTGCTCGCGAAACAGGCTCATCAGTTCTGCGACGTGCAGCAGCGCGGGGCTAGCCAGGATCATCGTCTTGCCGACCAGCTCGCACTTGCCGCCCACATGCTTGCATCGCAGTGGACCTTGACTTTTCCGACCATGCAGTGAGGCCGGAATGGATACCCGGTCGCCCGTCTGTTGCGTCCAGCCGTCGTCCTCGGCATCGGAGCTCGGAATCTCAATGACTTCCCTGTTCGCCACCTTGGATCCGGGTAGGTCAATCAGCTTCACCGTGGCTTGACTATCCTGGCTGTTTATCGACTGGGACGAGGCATCACTGCAGGAGATGTTAACGTTCATATCCTGCAGAGGTGTTCGCGGCGGCGGCGCGGCCGGCACGGCTTGCTTCCTTCGAGAGCTTGCCATGCGTGGACGCTTGAAGGTCTTGTCCGGCGACGCCCTCTCCGGCGTGCGCTTCGCTGGCGCATTCATGGAAGTCTTTTGCGGGGATGTCTCGTCAGCAACGGAGGACAGTGCTATCAACACGACTGGCGTCGAAGCTTGCATGTGCTGGCTATGACGGCTGGTCTCAGTCGCGGCCCTTGACGACGACTGGCTCTCCGTCCCGGTCGCCGTGCTCTGCGTCATCTTAACCGGCGACGGCGTCGGCATCGTCGATCGTGTCGCCTGGCTGCTCATCGCGTCTACCGCGACACCCCGCGGGTCCGCGCCCTCCAGCTTCGCGATCCAATGCAAGTTCTCCTGGCTGTCCTCGAGCTCAGGTCGCATCACCGCCTCCTCGGCCAGGCTCTGCAGCTCGTCAAACGATAGCACATCGGTGGCGTAGTCGCGGTCGGCGTGGATCTTGGTGACGGCAGGGAAGCGCGGCGTCCAAAAGCCCGTGTTGCCGGGCCTGTCGAAGCTGAAGCAGCGCAGATCGGCCACGATCGGATTGGTGAAGGCGACGGTCAGGTCCGCGGGGCACTGGATGCCCGGTGGCACGACGAGGGTGGTGCAAGTGTTTTCTGCGCGCGGTACGGCGGCTGCTAGCTCGCCGAGCGCCAGGAATGACTCCAAGAGTGGCTCGGAGAGCTCGACGGCGCACACGACGGTAAACTCGGGCTTTTGGTTCCACCTCTGGACTTCTTCCTTGTTATTCAGGCAGCCGACGTAGAAGTGCGTCCACTTGAGGTTCGGTATCCGATACGTCTTGGCTTTTGCCGCGTGGAAGCCGGCGCCGACCAGGGCAAAGTCGCCGATGTCACCAAACGCCCCAATGTATTCTTTTTTGAGCTTGATACAGCGACACGGCGCAGCCCGTCCGTTTTCGTCGACAACGATGTAGGGCTCATCAGGCTTCAGAACAAGCCCCTCGCCTCGCTCGACGACTACTTTGGCGAACGCCTTCCGCAGGGCAGAAGCAGCCAAGGAATGTCGAAAGTCAATAGTTTCGCGCTGGACCAGCGCGGCGACACCGCGCTCACAGTAGATGACTTTTTCGAGAAGTTTGAGCCGTTCCGAGTGCCGAATATCCATTAGGGACTGGTCATCGAGGAGGAGAATGTCGTAGTAGACGATCATGAGGTGCTCATATGGTTTCGGCCTGGTATGCGTCAGCAAACACCCATTCGTAGGTAGTCGCAGTACTGACTGTGAGTCTTGTTCCGTGTTCAAGTATCGCCCGCGACGCGTGACATGCCCCCGGATCTTGTGAAAGGGCATTATCGTGTTTTCCTAGGCATTGTTAGTCGATGCGAGATACAGTTCACAGATTCATACCAAATCATTATACACAACCAACTCTCCTTCCAATATGCAAGCCTTTTGAAACCCACGTTCGTTCCTGTTTAGCCTGAGTGCCCTCTCGATCGCCCTGCGCACGTTAGCATCCGCAACCAACAGCAGACCGATAGTCCAGCACTCACGGGATGACCTTGAACCGATCCTCTGTGCTATCTTTGCTACTCTTTGAGAAGATCTGCACCCTCTTCGTCGCTTTGCCCATGTCCACGTGAATCTGGCAGTACTCGCCATCCATCTTGGTCTCCACGCTCATCCGCGTGCCGCCCATGTCGATGCAATGCTTGATGCTCCGACCCTTGTGCCACTGCTGCCTGCCGACCTTGACCCCCAGCTTGGGCTTGACCGTCGCCAGCACCCGACGCGCACTCATCGGCCCCCTTACCGTCGCCGCCATCGGAAGCAGCGAGCCCCGCGCGGACGACAGCGCACCGAGCGCCTCGGAAAAGTCGTCCCTGATCTGCAGGACGCACGGCAGCGCGGGGTCACACGAGCGGTACAGCAGCGGCGCGTCGAACAGCAGCGGCTGGTAGTCCTTGAGCAGCAGCCGCGTGAACCACTTGGCCTCGCGCGCCGGCAGCCGCCGATACATGGCCTCGAGGTCGCCGCGGCTCCGGTGCGACATGCCCGCGTCAGGCTGTCTGATCGCCGGCGCGCTCCACCGGACGCGCGCCGCGAGGCCGTGCAGCAGCGCGTCGACCTCCTCTACCGTGACCTCTGCCCGGACCGGGTTCGGCTTTTTTTTTGTTGTCTGTCAGCTTTTGAAGGGCGGATACTGGGATACATATACAACTCACAGTCACGGAAAGGATCCTCTCGACGCAGTCTGCCAGATCCGCGCCCGCGCCGGGCCGCTTGTACGCGGCCAGCTCCAGCATGCGCGAGGTGCCGAGCATCAGCGCCCGGCCGATGATGCGCTCCAGCGTCGGCGCCTGGATGCAGTACACGCGGTCGGTGCGCTTCTCCGGCAGCAGTGTCGAGAGCAGCGCCGCGCGATCGGCGTCGTGTGCGTCCACGGTCGTCCGGTGCCGGCGGAACCACGCGTGCACCGCGGCGGTGTTGCTCTTGCGTGACTGGCACAGACGGTACGACTCCTCGAGGAGGTCACAGACGGCCGAGAATGGAAGCGGCATGCTGGGTCTTGGGAAGATGAAGAGGTTGGAGGGGGGGAGGGGTGGGCGTCGGACAGGTCGGGTCAACCACGATGGGGTGATGCGGACGCGGAAGGGTCGTTTGATCAGAGAGCGAGCATGGCAACCAACGAGCGATGCAGCGGATACCAGCCCGCAAAACAGCACCGTAGGAGTTGTTCAAACCAAAGATGATCAATGGTAAGGTAATCAAAGAAATTCAAAATTAAGTCATGACGCTGCCAGGCAGCTCTGTGGCGCTGGTGCAGGCAGAGTACATAGGTAAAGTTATGCCTGGTCGTGAAGTCGAAGTCGTCAGGCCTCTATAATCTAGGTTGTGCAACCGTCAGTCACATGGCGTCTCCACGTACATAGTCTAGACCAACACAAAAGTCTCTCTCTGACACGACATACTTTTTGACATGGCCAAGCCTATGTATGTATGACATGCTTCCAAATTGACATGTGTTAGATGACTCAAATTATTGTAACAGTATCAAGAGGCCTGGCTACCATCCCAACAGCCGGGCAGCTTATTAGTCAAAGCAAACCCTTCTTTCTTCAAGCTCGAATCAACAATCAATAATGCACAACATCATTTGGTTGGCAATTAAATTTTCATTTTTGGTAGACCTTGGAATCGCTGCGGCCATTGCTTCATGTGCACTAGTACTCCCCCTACATAATCATCAACAACGTGCCATATTATCAAACATGAGTGCAACATGATCAGCCTCACGGCGCGCTAATTCAAACTACAATGGTTTTTGATCCGCTACCAAGCTCTTCCAGCACTTTTCCAGCACTTTTCCGCTTTACTTCTGCATCTTCTCAAAGGGCGTATGGGTTGAGCGATCGGATGGTCAGGCAACTATCTCATGTTAGTTCACTTCTTCAATAGAAATGGTCATGTCAACTTACGGTGGGCTCTTGGTGAGATCCGTCTTCAGAATAATCGGCACCCTCGTCATCTCCGTCACGTCTTGGATGTATTCGCCATCTTCCTCGCGAAGCTTGAACAGCTTCAGGTACTTCTCCTTGTTGGTAAGACGCGACTCGACGGCCTCGCCCGCCGGCATTCTCGAGTCCGAACGAGCACGCTGAAGAGCGGTAGCGTTCGAGCCAGTGCGGTCAGGCGAGCTGGGAACGCTCTGCGTAGGGCGATCACCCAGTGAAGCACCAGCCATGGCCTCAGTAACATCGGAGGCGTTATCCTCCTCATCATCATCAAATAGAGCATCGACATCATCGGTAGACATAGTACCAGTCTCAGTCTGTTTCCGAGCCGCCTCTTCTCTATCCTTTCTAGCCTTGGCGGCCGCTTCAGCCTGTTTGGCAGCCGCCATGGCGTTGGTCATTCTCTGAGAGGCGGCGGCCTTGGGACGCTCATCCTCAGGCACATAAGCAGAGCTAGGAACTCCCTTTTCCCAGTACAGCTCAAGAATGCGCTTCTCCTTCCGGAACTCGGCCTTCTTCAGCGGCAGCTGATCACAGTGCACACGCTTCTCGAAGCCCCATTCGGGAATAAGAACATCGAAAGCAGACTCGTACACGCACACGACAATACCCTCGGTTATGAGATCGCCGTTAGTGTCCTGTCGCTGCTTATCCATCTTGCGGCAAGCCTCAATATGCACACTCTGCTCCTGAGCATTTTGCGCCGACTCCTTCTTCGTGTTCGCAGACTCAACGGTCTTAACTAGGCTTTCCATCTCCTCCGTGTACTCAATCTTACCCTCAGAGAGCACAGCTTCAAGCTGGCGGTGGACAACAATATCAGCGTAGCGGCGAGTCGGGCTTGTAAAGTGGGTGTAGAGCGGGAGGTTCAGGCAGTAGTGCTGCCACAGCTGCTTGGGAGTCTTGCCAGCAATAAAATACTTAGCGCGTTGCATAGACTTGACGACCAGAGTCTCCATGCCCTGGCGAAGTTCCGCGTCTTCCACCTTGAAGAGGCTGTTCTGGAGAGCACCGCTTCCGGACGCATCGACATCATAGCCCAGGGCGTTCATGCGCTCGACAAAAGTCTGCAGGCGACGGGGGTTGGGCGGAGACTGGCGGCGGAGGAGAGCCTTTTCTGGCAGACCTTCGGCCAGGCGCTGAGCAATGTAGGCATTGGCCTTGTGCATAAGCTCCTCAACCAGTTCCAGAGACTCGGTGGAATCGAAAATGTTGAACTGAACCGGCTGGTTCTCGTCGTCGAGCTGTTGGAACAAGCGGAGGGGCGCAATAGGCTCACCGCCGGCACCAAGTCTGGACTCGCGGAATTTTTGAGCAACAGCCTGAAGGATCTTGACAGTCTTCAGAGGAACAGCCTGGTTGTTGTAGGCAGATTCATCGGCTGCGGCAATATCAATGTCGGCTAGAGACAGCTTGCCGACACTCTTAACAATACTTCTTCCAACCCAGGCATCACCTTCAGCGACAGACCCGTTGTGCGGGTTGACGCTAAAGACAACACTGACAGTGAGGCGCTCCTCCGCAGGGGTGATGGAGCAGACTTCACCGGCCAGCTTGGGAGGAAGAAGAGCGCAGAAGCGGTCCACGAGCTGCACCGAGGTTCCGCGCTTCTTGGCCTCGCGGTCAACGAGAGAGTTAGGCTTGACAAAGTGGGCAACGTCGGGAACGTGAATACCAATCTCGATCTTGCCGTTGGGACGAGTCTTGACGTGAACAGCATTGCCCAACTCGGCACCGGCGTTAAAGTCAACAGTAAAAGTCTGCTCCTCACGGAAGTCGCGGCGAGCAGAAATGGAGGACTCATCTTCCTTGGAAATACCCCAATCCTGGAGGCCTACGCTGCGTAAGACAGCATCGGAAAATTCGTCGGAAGAAAAGTTGTTATCACGGAGGAGGGCATCCGTCTCAACTTTGAGGTCTCCCATAGGTCCCAGCTGTTCCACGAGGGTGCCGAAGGGGTGGAGCGAGGTGATGGGCCAGCGCTTGATGCAGGCCACAAAGATGCGGTCGGCGTAATCCTGGTGCTTCTCGACAAAGTCGCGTGGGGCCTGCTCAGTAGGAATTGCGATAAGAGGAACACGCTTGTCAGTGGGTTTGAACCAAACAATCTTGGGCTTCTCCTGATGGCGAGTATCGTTGCGGCCGCTGTTGCCGTCGCGCGCGGCACGCTCGGCTTCCTGCTTCTCCTTGGTAGCTTGGCTACTCGGACGAAGCAGACCGAGAGTGCCCGAGAACATTTGGCCAGCGACACGCTCAATGACAGCTACAACGTGGCCGGCATACAGGGGCTTCTGCTCATCGTTGATCTCTTCTTCCTCAACAAGCAGCAGGCTCTGACCCTCAACTTCAACATCATCGTTCTTCTTCTGCGTAGGGCGTTGGCGGAGACTACCACGCCGACGGAGGCCACCCTCAGCATTGCCAGAATCGTCGTTGCGGTTGGAGCCCTGGTTGCCCTGGTTTGTCGAATTGGAGCGGGTATCAGTGATATCCTTGCGCTTCTTCTTCTCTTCCTTTTCGCGCTTCTGAGACCAGACTTCGTCGACATCGAGGAGCTCAATGGCGACCAGATCGCCCTCGAGAGCACGGTTTCTGTCCTTGGAGCCGCAAATGAAGATGTCAGCGTCGAGTAGTCCGTCCTGCGTGGTAACATATGCATCACTACGGTTCTTTTTATTGACACGCAGGATACCAGAGACGAGCTGGCCGTCTCCAAGCAGAGCGGGGAGCGAAGCCTGGGGGAGATAGGGGGTGAATAGAGTCTTGCGCTGTTGCTGCTGCTGCTGTTGTTGTTGTTGCTGGCCACCTTGCTGGCCCTGGAGGCCCTGGAACTGTTGGCCATTCATCTGCGCAGCCTGTAGAGCCTGAAGCTGGCTAATCTGAATAGGGTTCAGATTCTGGCTATACATCTGGGGCATCATCATCTGACCAGGAAGCTGTAGGTTGCCAGGATTGTACTGGAAGGCGCCAATCGAAGACACAGACTGGTTCATGGAAGCGCGAGGCCTGTGACCGGGCTGGAAGCCTTGAGCTTGGGAAGCGCCGCCCTGCTCCTGGTTCTGGCCCTGGGTGCGCCAGTTGCCCTCAAAGTTGCGCGAACCAGTTCGGTTGTGACCGCTGCCGCGGCGCTGGAAGTCAGCATCACCACCGAGGTTGAAGTTGCCTCTGGCAGCAGCGCCGCGTCCGTTGACAGCCATGCTCTGGCTACGACCATGTCCGCCACGGCCGCCACGAAGGGCAGATGATGGGGCAAGGCTCTCGACACTGGGTTGAGGTGCAGCCTTGCTCTCTTCCTCGGCCTTCTCGCCAGCAGCATTAGGGCCCGGGAACTGGAAGCCGGTGGTTGTGCGTTTCTGCTGAGCAATCTCGGCGGCCTTTTTGGCGTCAGCAAGAGCCAGAGAGTGGCGTCTCTGATGACCACCGCCACCGCCTCTTCCGCCTCGAGCGCTGCTATTTTCTCGGTTGTGGCCGGCCGGAGCTTCGAAGTTGCCGAAGGCACCGGAGGCACCGGCGGACGGGGCGGGAGGGGGGCCCATGCCCATGTTAGGGAGGGCGGATTGGTTGCGACGGTGGGAGAGTGGCTGAGCGGGAGGAGCCATCGAAACGTTTTGTGGTATTTGATTGGGGAATTGGAAGGCATTTTGCGACAGGTTGCCCATGGGCTGCAAAGGATTGAACGCTCCATTATGAGCCATGGGCTGGCCGGGTGGAATCATTCCCATATTGACATATTGCTGGTGAGTGGCCTGAATCTGCTGCTGTTGCTGTTGCAGAAGCTCGATCTGCTGTTGGATAGCCAATTGCTCCACTGAGAGGAAGAGTTTACGTGTTAGCAGATGCGTGGAGCGGTCGGGGGCGTCAAGCGTCGGATGAGGCCGGGATTCAAAAATATTGGAACAGGGCAGTTGGCGGGCAGGCGACTTACTTCCAGGATTAGCAAACATGCTCATCAGAGGCGTCAACTCAGATGGGCTGCGCCGATGAGCAATGTGCAGGCGACGTCCAGCGGGACCGTGAACACCGCCAGCAGGCTGGGGAGCAGAGGGCTGGCCCTGCTGCTGGCCCTGCTGCGGCTGGGATTGCTGCTCCATGTTGAACAGACAGTTGGGCACAAGCACGAGTATGCACGTCGGGTGCGATCAATGAAGGTGTCGGATGTGTCAGGACAGATGTCGTGGAATAGCGAGAAGCCGTAAGTTGGGCTGAGGAGCGGGTAGTACCGAGAGGCGGGCAAAGGTGATGGCTGCGCTGGAGTATAAAAAGGAGGGAAGATATATGGGATTGATTCAGTCGAGCTCAAGGAGAGCCAAGGAGTGTGAAAAAGGAAAGCGTTGATGAAGATGGGATAAAATGGCGAGGAGGGGGGGATGTGAGGATGGACGGAAGTGGGAGGAGGAGGAGGAGGATAAGGGAGGGATGGATGATGCAAGTCCAAGCTGGTCAGGAAATAAAACAGTAAGGTTTATTATTTTAGGTACATACATACATAGGTGGAGGAGGTTGATGTGATTTTGGGGGGAGACGACAGCGCTTTGGCGAGCGGCTGGAGAGGCGCTGGGGCCTAAACTCAGGGCTTCTACCTAGTAAATAAACTGGGGTGGGGAGAAGTGCCCGTGAAGACAGGTGGCTTTCGTGGTTTTAGGGGGTGTTTAGGGCCGAGTTTTGCAGCCGATAGCCCCGTCAATGGGTCATGCGCTGTTACTAAATGCGCTGTGATGCGCTGTGATGCGCTGTGATGCGCTGTGATACACTGTGAACTGCTTTGTTCACAAGTTGGAACATTGAGAAACGTTCCGAATCATGGAGTGCTGATTTACAAGGCACAACTAACTTATAGCTCAATAGGCAAGGTACGATATTTATATTTTTCACTTTCTTCAGGTTACAGGGTCTCCCGTCACTCATATTGACATCGCCCACAGCACTCGATCACCTCCGGTATCCCAATGCTTCACCCGTTGAGCAGCTGACTGCTGATTTCCGTCGTTTCCCATCGTTTCCCATCGTTTCCTTTGTTCGTTTCCTTTCGTTTACCACCGTTTACCACAAACCGCCATCTCGAAGCCGTCTTTAGCTTTCTGCAGTCCTACAAGCTATTCGTGCCGCCTCCGGCATGATGATCACCCGCGTCGTGCATATCTCGGCTTCTCCACGCCACCTGTCATTGGCGCCCGCAGAAACTTGCAGCATAAAGTCAACCTGAATCCAGTGGCGACTATTTTGCTGATGTTGGCGCGGCGCTCTCTGTGCCGCTTGGATGCGGGGGAGCTTTTATCGAGAGCTTGGCCAACAGCTGAATATTCCATGAACACACAGCTGCAAGTATTCAAGTATTAAATTACCCAGACCAGGATGACCTCGACGCAAAAACAGACGATGCCCCAGACAGCCTGCTTTGGCGCCCGCTGTGGTCCTATCGACGTCCACACCCAAATGATAATGAGTGGAGTCGACGTCTCTTCTTGTCAACCCATCGTCATCCGTTGCCACCTCACCTGAAAGCAAGCCTGAGCTGAGATGCAACTAGTTCGTTGTCAAGTGAGGTCGCCTTCAACTTGTGGGCGGCTTGTTGTCCGAGCTATTGATCAGTCAGCCTGATATACCTGCACCCCAACCCCGACAAAGCGCTCTCGGTCCGGATAGTTTCCATCCCGGTCCAACAATCCAATCATGCCATTCGTTTAACTTCCAATCTCTAACAGCTATCAGTATTTTACCTACCGAGTACACTTATCCGAAGGTCAACACCTGCTTTGTGCACGGCTATTCGTAGCCTGAGGAACCAGAGCCCCTTGGCAGTAAGTCGTCAGGGGCTGCACGAACTAGCAACCTGCAACAGGGTCTTGATACGACACAACACAGACGGTAGCCTCCACTCCGTGCGGCTTGTCGTGTGCGAAGGCTCTTTGTCCAATTTCCCGTTGCTGTGAAGCTCTTGCTTGGTCAGACGAATGCCGTCATAAGCTGAGAGACTGTGTTATTATCATCTGCTGGTAGAGGGGCAGGGCCAAGCCCAATCCAATACTGCAAGCCATAGTTAGAGGCCAGTTTGCAACATTGCCCCCGTTGAAGCTCTCTCTTACACAATCTCATTGCATACACGGTATCCGTATCCGTACATGTTACCAGTCGGTAGCTCTCAGTGTAGGCCAACCACAGGCTCTAGGCCTAGCAAGGGTTCGATACAATCCCAGACAAGCCCTGGTGATGTGCACCGCAGCCACTAACTAGCTGTTTATGATTCACGGACAATCTCGGTTTGCAACACTTGGTGTTTTGGTTCTGTTCCACAAGGAATAATGGAGAGAACAGACCGTCGGACATGACATCAACGTCAAGCCTCTCCCGCCATTCCCCGGGCAAGCATCTGAGCCGGATGCGCATGGCAGGGATCGCCAAGAGTAATGCACCACCGGCGAGACTTCTTCCGACGGCTGGCTCGACGAAGTTTTCAGGCGTGTAGTTGGAGTAGACGAGCTCGGAGGATTGATTGCAACCCTCAGCAACCCTCAGCAAGCGAGGTCGGGGCTCTGGATGGCGGCTGCGAACTTGGAACTGGGAACTGGGCAAGACATGGTATTTGGCATGGATACAGGCTGTGGTTTGCCCAGTTAACGCACTATCTTTAGTGGTACTACAGAATTTACAGTGCCAACGCTAGCTGAGGCAGCCGCCCGGGACTTTGTTTTAGCGGGGCCGGCAATCGCTCCAGTTAAACCACACATTTTACACCTGCAGCAGCTTCACCGTAGACGCCAACACCACAGCATTTTGAACAAGATAAAAAAGCGATTCATTGATTTGGCCTAGTTGTCTATTCCCTTCCCAGCGCCTCTTTCTATTTCAATCGTTCTATTGGTCTGTTTTTCCCGCTGCCAATCTTCCTCGGCATGGTCTGCGAGCCAATCTAGCACGGGCGTCGAATCTCGCTTCAGATTTCTCTTGCCCGCCCGCAGCCGTCGCCATGTCGCGTTCCTCCCCCGCACGCGGGAGTCAACACCCGCTATCAAGTCCAGAGCGAAGCTTCCGATCGAGTTTTCTTTTCGACACTCGCAACGATGAATTGAGCCACCTCGACGCGCTCGCCGCCGCGCAGGCTGAGCATGACCGCGTCCGAGCCGCCGCCATGCGCGTCTACGAGATGCACGAGCTCAAGGAGGAGAGCGAGCGCATCCACAAGCAGCAGGAGCGCGAGAAGGAGAGGCTCAAGGCCGAGGCAGATCTCGCCGATAAGGAACGCAAGTTGCAGGAGCTGCAGGCCAAAACGATCCCAAAGCCCGCCCCGCCACCCGAGCCGAAGCACGAGGCTGTCAAACCTGTACCCAGTCTTCCTGCCAATCCGGCGGAAAGGTCGTCAGTGTCGGAGCCTCGATCGCAGCCAGGAACGGTAGCCGAGCATCCGGTCGTCAAGCAAGAGTCTCAACCTCCAGCCCCGAAGCCCCAGACAAACGGCTTCGGTTTCAATACCATCCAGCCTGGACAGCCAGCCGGCCAACTACAACAAGGGAAACCAGCGAGCAACTTGGCTATCCCTATTCAAAATATTGCGCAACCAAAACCTCAACCTCCAGCCGTACAACCAACCCAAAGGACACCCGGACCCCCCAAGCCAGCGGCGTCCACCGAGCGATACGTGCAGATCCACCAAGAGCTCAAAAAACTCCGAGTATCTCTGCAGGCAGCGGCCAAGGTGGCGGGGTCACCTCTAAAAGGGACCATGGGCGAGTACAGACGCGAAATTCGCGTCTCCATTGGCCAGCTGACGTCGGGGCGCGGCGCCAACAAGCAACCTGTAGGTATCTCGTCGTTTCCGGTGCCGCCCACAACCATTTAACATGTTGGTAGATCGACAAAATCATCGCGGCCCTACGCGATGCCCTCCAGCAAAAGGTTCCCAGCCCGCCTATTGAGGTGGGCAAGTTTGTGGTACATGCCAGACAGCCAGTCGAGGGCGCGGCTCACAACGACGACACGCTGCCTGCCCTGTTCATCTACCTCGTAAACATCTGCGCCAAGGCCATCATAAACCAGTTCATCAACGAGTGCGGCGCCAACCCCAAGGCCGCGGACCCGATCGGCATCTTCACCGCTCACGTCTTCTCCATGCCCGAGTTCCTCTGGCGCGGGGCCTCGCTGATCGACATCCTCATGGCCAAGTTTCGCATCACCTGCCCCGTGCTGTTTGGCCTGTCGGGCAGCGACAAGACGGAGCGGGGCCGCCTGGCCCTCGGTTGGCGCAAGGACGGCCCGGCGTGGATCACGGAGCAGAGCCACAACGACCGCATGGCGGGCCTAGCGGCCGGGTACGCGGCCGTGTCTCTGCGTGACTTTAGCCGGTCGTCCAAGAAGAACCCGTACCCGCCGTCGCACTACTGGACAACGCTGGCCGGCATCGTCAACTGCCCCGCGGGCCAGACGTCCAACACGCAGTACATTGTCGTGCGGTACCTGATCGACGGCCACGAGCAGCGGTTCTTCAACTTCTTCGGCAACGCAGCCCTAGCGGCGCTCCGGCTCGCGCTGGTCGAGTTTCCCAAGAGGGCGCCAGGCAACTCCCCGGCCGCCGGGTCGCTGCAAGCCCTCGCCGAGGTGCTCAAGTCAACGAGCGGCCTGATACTAGCATGAGGCCGGAGAAAAGGGAGTGGGTGGCTGGCTGTGATGAGATGGAGATTTGGAGCAAACATGTACAAATTCAGACGACTGTGGACTGTTCAAGCATATATATCATCGGCGTTGGTTATACTTGTTTTTGTTTGTTTGTTTTGTTTATTCTGGAAGGTTTCCAACATTTGGTTGCGAGACAACATTTTATACCATTAGACATGCCATACTTTTACATAGCTCGGTTAGATGACCACGAGAAAAATAAAGCATCAAGGCACGTTGTACAATGCTTCTTTCCGGCTGCCACACCAGCAAAAGTCCATGTCTGGGCTGTGAGGCGGTGACTTGAACGAAAGTAGACGAGCGTCAGGATTGAAACTGGGTGATGCTGCACCTTCACAGACGGAGTGCAGCGCCGTATAGTTGGGATGTGCAGGGCCGGGCATATTTGCACGAGTTCACGCTTGTACCAAGAGGTCTTTTCTGCAGATTTTACATATCCGTTCAACAATAGTTGTTGGATTCAAAGACTACTAGGTAAAGCACTCATGCTCTATAATCTACCTCTGTCGCGTCTTGTGTAATGACGAAAGAAAACAGGCTATACATTTCAAAATCCCAAGAAAACGGCAAACCCAAGCGCAAAACATAAATGTTCCAAAAGTCCAGCCCGGCGCATAGTTATAGAATCAGCAGCAGCACCAGCAGCAGGATCAAGACGAAGATCAGCACCGCAATGCAGCAGCTGCTGTAGCGGTCCTCGTTGCGTCGAATGACCGTCTGCAGCTTCGCCATGCCGTTCTGCAGCGTCCCTCCCACCCTGTCCGCCACGCTATCAACCACCTCGAGCATCTCGCGCTGCTCCTCCAGCTCGCGCCCCATGTCGTCCGCCTGCCGCCTCAAGTTGCCCACCGTCTGGAAGACGCCGTCCAGGTGCTGATCCTGGTCGCGCATCATCTCCACCTGCTGCTGCTGCTCAAACGCGGCGTAGTTATCCTCCGCCCCGTCCTCCTCCTCCTCAATCGCAAACGCGCTCGGGTCCGGCAGCCCGGCGCCGCTGGTCAGCTTCTTCTGCAGCTCCTCCCGCATGTCCTCGCCTGCCCCAGCCGCTGGCGGCGGGCGACCTCGTCGGCGGACAGGCCGTAGGCGGCGGGTCGAGACTCGACGGCGCGCACGGAGGCGACGAGGTCGGCTAGGTCCTCGCCGAGGGCGGACAGCGCGGCCTCGAGGTCGGCGCGCGCGGAGGCGAGCTCGGGCGAGGAGGCGGCGCTGGCGAGCGAGCGGATGCGCAGGTACGAGGCAAATAGCGGCCGGGCCGAGGAGAGCTGCGTAAGGACATCTCTGCGGGTGACCAATGGTAGTTAGCTTGACAGTTGGGTGGTTTAAAGGAAGGGACAAGGGGACGGCGACGAACTGTTGGACCTGGAGGAACGGGTCCTCCTCGTTAGTGGAGGACATCATCCTGTCGGTTGCTATGTCGGGTGACGCATGGGATGAGATGGGGAGTCGTGGCTTCGGCGGGTTGGTCTTTGTGAGCTCGGAGATGGAAGATGGAAATGTTGGCGCCTGGAGGTTGAGCTTGTCGCAAGCTGGCCTGGAACTGCGAATGACGTTGCCTCAAAGACGCCAATCAGAGCCGCGCTAGTGGAAAGGGTGCCTTCGTCCCGACAGCCGGGTCCTCGCAGAGCGATCGGGATAACACGCAACAAACATCTGCATGATAGAATTTTGCATTCAATCCTTTCCCATTCTTTTTTAGCATTGATACGGGCTATTTTTTTGCCCTCGACTTCTCCCTCTCTCGCAGCCCCTTACATGGCGAGGTCGTTGCGGCTACCCCACACGAGTGGCTAAAAAATCTTAATGACTTGAACTTCACATCAACCACCTCAGTATAAAAAGATAAAAAACGACTACGATAGAACGGACTGCGCATCATCATACCATACCAGCTGGACCATACAGACACCGGAAAACATACAGGAGCCATCACTTATATCGGTACAAATCACGAAAACGGCCAGCAGCTGAGCTCTAGGGTAGGATGCCACCCTCGAAGCCGCTGCCTTGCAGCGATGAGTTTGCGACGCCAGAGGAATACGTGGAAGAACTGCTGGAATTCACCTCTACGTCTGAAACGTGGCAAATACTGTGCGGCGGCATCCACGTCGTCGACTTCTTCATCACAGAGCCGGGTCTCTTCTACGCAGCCTTGCCCGCGGAGTGGCACGAATTCCTGCTGTCGCAAGATGTGATGCGGCTGCTCGACTTCTTCGTGCGCGACGACCCCGAAACCGCCATATTCGAGGACGGGCAGACGCCACCCGCGAGCCTGGTCGCCTACATCAAGGCGATCCGGCGACTGGCGCTGCGGCGGGACCTCGCCGCGCCGGGTGCGGACTCCACGCTGCCGCCGCTGACGCGCACCGTCTCCGTCGGCATGAACCCGAAGAAGACGCACGAGGTGCGGCGCTTCGCCGACTACGTGTCGCGGCTATCCACGGAGATGGCCGCCGAGGCGACGGAGGACGAGGTGACGCACTTTGTCGACTTTGGCAGCGGCCAGAACTACCTGGGGCGGGCGCTGGCCAGCGCGCCGTACAACCGGCGCGTCGTCGCCGTCGAGGGCCGCCAGCGCAACGTCGACGCGGCCAAGAGCTTTGACACGCAGTCCGGGCTGGCGGTGAAGCCCAAGATTCTGCGCAACAAGAAGGTCTGGAACCGGATCCTGGAGGCGGCCGGGCCGAACAAGGGCGACCCGGATGCGCTGGCGGCGGCCATCAAGCAGGTGGTCGGCGACGGCGACGAGGGCGACAACTTTCGCAAGATTGCCAGCGACGAGCTGTCGTACGCGGCGGCGGAGGAGGGCAAGGGTCTCCTGCAGTACGTCTCGGGGCGGCTGGACGACGGGGACTTGTCCGAGGTGATCTCGCGGATCGACCGAGGGCTGACGACGACGGAAGCGGAGGAGAAGGAACAGCAGCGCCTGAAACTCATGGCCGTATCCATCCACTCGTGCGGCAACCTCACGCACCACGCGATCCGCTCGCTGGTGCTGAACCCGGACGTCCACGGCGTCGCCATCGTCGGGTGCTGCTACAACCTGGTGACCGAGAAGCTCGGCCCGCCACCGGCGGCCGCCAGCGCCCTCTCGCGGCCGACCCTGCAGGCCCTCAACGGGCGCGCCCTGCGGGAGTCGGAGCGGCGCGACCCGCACGGCTTCCCCATGAGCGCGCGCCTCTCCACCCACCGCGGCCACGGCGTGCGCGCCAACGCCACCGCGCGCATGATGGCCTGCCAGGCCCCCCAGAACTGGACGCGCGCCGACAGCGCGCTCTTCTTCACGCGGCACTTTTACCGCGCCGTCCTGCAGAAGCTGCTCCTCGACCGCGGCGCCGTCCACGAAGTCATCCACGACCCGGCGCGCGCCGACGCGGACCCCGCCACGCTCGGCCCGTTCGACAAGAGCACCTCGCCGCTCGCCATCGGCACGCTGCCCAAGCGCTGCTACGCCGGGGGCTTCGCGGAGTACGTGCGCGGCGCGGTGACCAAGCTGACGACGAGCACCGAGTACAAAAAGTTTGCCGAGGTGATGCGGGAGACGATGGGGGGGCTGACGGACGAGGAGGTGGAGGCGTACGAGGGGCGGTTCGCGCCGAGAAAGAGGGAGCTGTGCGTGGCGTGGAGCTTGATGGCGTACAGCGCGACGCTGGTCGAGGCGCTGATGGTGACGGATCGGTGGGCGTGGTTGGAGGAGCAGGAGGAGGTCGACGAGGCGTGGGTGGAGGCCGTATTCGACTTTGCGCAGAGTCCACGCAACTTGGTGGTGGTGGGGTTGAAGAAGAGAAAGGAGGAGAGCGGTGGTGGTGGTGACGGGGAGCATGGCAAGCGGGAAGAATCGTGAGGGGAGGAGATGTGAGATGGCATGATGGAGGATAACTACGTGGCGGTTGACGATAGCTAGTCATGTCGACAAGACTCTCGACTTGACTTTTACGATTACTTGTCTGTTGGATTGGATTGGGAAAACTGCATATTTCATCTACAACTCAGCTGCTTAGTTTATTGACACAATCTGACGAGGAGCGGTCGATGCCGCTACACCAGTGCATGTCCATGGCTTGGACTCTCAAGTAGTTGGCCACCCTTGACGAGTTCAGCCATCTTTCTTTTACCGTCTTACATTCGCAGGCTAGTGACGTCGTCGCTCGACGTCGTCACTTACCTATAAACGCTGTTCCCCCTTGCACCTGACCACATGTTCGCTCTTGGCAGGCGTTTCACCCTCGGCCGAGGAAAAGTGAGGCGCGCGCCGGCGTGTTACCAGGGCTCAAGGCAGGGGGATGCAGCAAGGGTTCCGGTGGGTGGTACATGACGAAACGCAGGGTGAAGGGATCCCATGATGCGGCATAAGCGACGAGTGGTGGCGTTTGCGGTGCTTCAAAAAGAGGTAACCCGGGCTTGTTAGTGTTGGTGACTTGTCAGAAGGAGGGCAGACAGACCACCCAGTCGGCAGTCGGGACGGGCAGGGAGAGGGCCGAGAGGGCTGCATGAGGTGTTGGGAGAGACAAGGAGGAACAGCCAAGAAGACCGGTGTGATTTCGAGCGACGCCTCTTTTTTGTGATAAATTAAGCATGAGACATTCATCAAGCCAACTCTGCTTTTTCTTTTCGTGTGCCGTCGACTTTAGATGAGACTTTTCGGGATGAGAATGCCCATCACTACCGGGGTATGGTATTGATCAGGGTCCAGGACCGGGGGAGGGATAGGGAAAAGAGTTCAACGGAGTATTCAACGGGCAAGTCTCCGTATTTACTCGGGGAGTGAGCTGGCTTTTCGTCAAGGTTCATGCATCTCGTTTCGGCAGTCGTGGCCTGGACAGGCTGTCAACTTACCCCACACTCTTCTTCGGGCAAGGGTCCGATAAGGAGTTCGCTGGCAATGGCAAGGGTATCAACAGAAGCTGCAGCGCTGCCCGAGCAAGTTTTTGTGGTTTTTCTACGTGACGGATCCGGGGGTACGCAAGTGTTGCTGCCCATCCTGTTGGTAGAGGCGGACGGGGAGGGGGACAATGCCGCGGGGTCCCTTTTGGGAACGTGTGGGCGTACAAGTCGATCCAGTGGCCAGGCAGAACAGAGGAAGGATTCGATTGTGCAACTCTGAAATGTGTTGCCCGCAACGTGAGATTTTGTGCCGTGCCACACAGACGGCAACGGGGGAACGCCTCGATGACGGTGACGATGATGGGTGGGTGGACAAAGCGTTTCGTTGGAAGTAGTCAGGCGGCCCTTGCTAAAGGTTAATATTGCTTCCCTTCACTTGTCTTACTTTCCAAAACGTTACCATTGAGGATGCCGTAATGGGCAAGACGTCATTCACAAACGCCACATCACAGCAGGGGACGGGAGGAGGGGGGAAGGACGATGCGACAATGCAGGATGCAGGATGCAGGACGCAGGATGCAGGATGCAGATTGGGGGACGGGGGACGAGAAGCATGAGAGGACAAGAGAGAGACGACTTACCGGCCCTGGCATGCGTCTAATTATTGGACAGGGTAAAAACAAATAGACGGAAAAAAACACGATAAAAACAGACCGATTCCCATTTTGTTGTTCCTTCTGCTTCTTCTTTACACTTGCTCTCGAGTCGAGATTCCTTATCGCTTCCCGTCCATCTTTCTATCAACTAACTAGCCGTTCATTATCTATCTCCTGCTAGCATCATCCCCCGCTCCCATCACCCAACTACCTAAAGTTAGTACATACCTACGGATGCAGTACTGATAGTACTAAGCTTCCCGTCCCCAACCCTCTTCCAGCTTGAATCGTGACTCGGACGCCTCTGTCTTATGTTTTTTTATCTACCACTTTCTGCCTCTTGTTTTTCTCTCTTCTTCCCACATTGACACTATATTGTTACACAAGAAATCACATCATCACCACCCACCGTCCACGCCATCGAAACTCTCCTTGTTCAACTTCGCCCTCGTGCTACCACAAGCTTGCATCTTCATCACCCGTCTCATCGGTACCGGTCCCGATCGATCCTCACTAGTTTTATTTATTTCTTTTTTCCAGCCTTTAATTTTCTCCCCCCTATCTTTCTGTCTCTCCGTCCACTTTGTCTACCGTGACACAAGCGAATCTGGCAGAACCACATTTCGGTCGCGATAAGGCTTTGGTAGCCCCAACACCACTATATTCAGCCTCCTTCAGCAAGCCAGAAAAAAAAAAAAAACACAGGCATTGGGAAAAGAATAAACCTTTCTTTTCATAACTGGCAATTGCCGCAGCCGCCGCAATGAACGCCCAAGTTTCTCTCCTGGTAAGTTCCCTTTCGTCTTGCCTGCAAACGGCTCCCCGCTGCATCTCGGAAACCTTCTCGGCTTGCTCCGACAACGGCGGCGATGGCTCCGACCACGCACGCGACCAGGTCAATACAACAACACGCTTTTCAGTTTTGCTGAATTCTGAATATTGTCCTGTGAATTTGATGTTGTTTCTCTCCCCTAATGTCGCTACTGTCACCATTGTCATTGACCTCATCGTCATCCTGCATCATATCACCCTCACCAATACATCCTGCATCATGTCACCACCACCACTAACACCTCCCAGAAAGGTTCCTACAACCTCATCTACTTCCCCCACGAGCTCTACCCCTACCTCGTCCAGCCCATCATCCGCACCCTCATCCCACAGACGCAGGACCTGCACATCGCCTCCCACGCGCCCGAGCACGAGCTCGACGGCCTCACCCCCGACCAGCAGCACCGCTTCCTCAACATCTCCATCACGCCCATCGAGTGCTCCCTCGTCGTGCACGCCTCCTGGGCGCGCGCCGTCTTCCTCCCCGCCATCGCCCGCCTTCCCGCCCCGCTCGCCGCCCAGGTCCGCGTCTCCGCCGACACCTACATGATCCTGTGCGTCATCGCCGCCGGCCTCGACCCGGCCGGCCGCGTCATGCAGCTCTCCTCGCCGCTCGCCCTCGCCGGCATCCCCATCTTCTTCCTCACCACCTACTACGCCGACTTCATCCTGGCACCCACCCGCGAGCGCGCCCGCGTCGTCGACGCCCTCGGCGCCTCGGGCTTCGACTGCCTCGAGGACGGCCGCTTCTTCAACCACGCCGCGTACAAGCGCGGCCACGTGCGCTTCGCCGCGCCGGGCGCGCCGCCGGAGGTGGTGGCGGAGCTGCGACGACGCACGTTTGAGCTGCTCAAGAAGCGCCAGGTCGCGCCGTTCGTGGATCCTAGCCTGGAGCTGCTCCTCGCCGGCGGGCGCGACGTCGCGCAGCTGCCCGGCGCCTTTGCCAACTACTACGGCCTCCCGCCCTCCCGACGCGGCAGCGGCAGCGGCAGCGGCGGAGGTGGCGGGTCGCCCACAACTACCGATGGACGGCGGCGCGGCGCGGTGTGGGCGGACGGCGTGGACCCCCGGCTGTTCAACTGCATCGTGTCGGCGCTCGTCTCGCAGCCGCGGTTCCTGTCTGTGACGCTGGCCGAGGACGACCCGCCGTCGGTGCTGATGGACCGCCACCTGCTGCCGCTCTTTGGCGACTCGGTCGTCGGCGACTTCAACACGACGCTGGTGCCCATCTTCCTCAACCTCGAGAACCTGCCCTCCGAGGTGACGGGCGTCGTCTCGGGCGTCGCCGGCACGCTCGTCCAGGAGATGAAGGTCTGCAACATGCTCGAGATGTCGTACCTGTCGACGGCCCGCGCCAGCGCCGTCGTCCTGCCGCAGGAGCAGGCGGAGCGTGCGCTGGCGATCCTGGATAAGTGCATGGAGATGGCCGAGCTGGTGCCGTGATGTCGTCATGTTCGGTCTTTTGTCGTTTACACCACTCTTGTAATTTAGCATAGAAAAGGTGGGAATTCAGCGGGCGTTGTATCAATACCAAGTGTTTTTCTCTGGATCTAGTGGTTTTTATATTCAATTCGATAAATTCATTTATGTACAAGTCTTTCTGTCTCCATGTCATGAACAAGCTCTGAGTTCATCTCTCATCCATATGCCCTTGGAGTCATCCTCACGACTTCTTCTTCCCCTTCCCAACGCCGCCGCTCTCCGGCACCATGCCCGCCTTCACAAATGCATCCCTCGCCACGCCGTTGATGATCGCGAACCTTCGCGGCCCCAGCTTCACCCCGCCATACCACCTCGTCACCACCACCATCGCATCCCACAGCCCCATCAGCTGCATCAGCCGCAGCAGCCTCCCGCCCGCCGCGTCCTCGCCGTCGTCGTCGCAGTCCTGATATCCCGTCGCCGCGCCCTCGGCGCCGCGGATCCGCCACGCGGAGATGTTGTGCGTGGCGTCGCGGATCCGGCGGTCGCCCGCGAGCAGCTGCGCGACGTACAGGCGCGCCTGCGCGGGGGAGGCGACGGCGGCGACGTGCGCGACAAAGGTCGACTTGGCGTCGACGACGGGCTCGGAGACGGTCCACGGCGGCGGCGGGAGGCTGGCGAGGTCGACGCCATCAAAGGCGTCGTCGTCGGCTCGCGAGGAGTTGGCCATGCCCTCTCTGTCGTCTGCGTCGTCTTCCTCCTCAGCAGCAGCAGCAGCCTCTTCTTCTTCCTCTGCTAAGAGCCGCGAATACTCCTCCACCGCGTCAAACAGGCACACGGCGCCCGGCTGGTAGGCCTCGGCCAAGGCGGCGCGGAACAGCCGCAGGTCGCGCGCGCCGTTGCCGTCGCGGACGCCCCCGGCGCTGCGCTGCACGCCGATGACGAAAGGAACGTCGCTGGATTCGGGGTATCCGGCGGGGAAGCGCAGCTGCAGGGACGAGGCTCCCTCGCCGGGTAGCTGGAGGACGTAGTCGGCGGCCTCACCGGCGACGGCGGGCACGAGGCTGCCGTCGCCGTAGATGGAATTGATGGCCTCGACCTCGTCACGGAGCTCGTCCGACATTTGGTGGGGGCTGCTGATGCATGTATGTGCCCTTTTCTCTGATATCCAAAGGTTGGGAAAGGTTTTGACGAGGTTGAAGGTGGTGAGTTTTATTGTGGATCGGCGGTGATGCGATGGAGGAGACCATCTATCTGCATACTTGCCATCAAGGCAGCAGATAGTCGGCGAATTTTCATGACTATTTTCCCGGAATTGAATTCTATTAGATGGAAATCGATTGCTTCAGCAAGTGGCCTCCTTCTATTTGTCCAGCTGTGATGACTCTGGCAATGAATGGGTCGCCGTATTGCGACTGCGGGCTCAAATCTGCGCGGAGCAGCGCACCGGTCACCGGTTGAAGCCGCGCAGCAGCGCCTTGAGCAGGGCCAGGAGAAGGCCGTGCTTGTTGGACGCTTGCTCGAGCTCCGCGGCCCATGCCAGGCAGCGGGTCTGATTTTCCCGGAACACTCTCCTAGGGCTGCGCTCCAGTGGCGGGTTGTGTGAGGATAACGAGGAGGAGGAAGCGGGAGGCGCCTCGCCGCTCAGTTGACGCCTTCAAAGTTTACATTGTCTAGACTTGGAACAAGGGTCATCTGTTTTGTGAACAGGCAAGTAGATCTCGTGCACAATACTCAGCCTGGACATAAGTTTGCTGTGTTAGGAAAACAACTTGCACGGCCCAAGACAAGTTGTCAAGCTGAAACTTCGGCGCGAGTCTGAAGCCATCAAGACCAAGATCTAGGCTGGCTCGGGTCATCTCATCGACCAGGTTACCATGTAGCTTAAAAATAGACATGAAAACTACCAAGTTGGGTACATCTTCAACTCGTGTATATAGGCCTAGCGTCCGTCCCTTCCCGTCCATCACTCGTTCTTTCCATCATCTCATAAGACAAGCGTTCTTCACCATCTATACATATACACTTCGCTTCCCTTTACTCCTTACTCCCCTCTATATACTATCTATCTACTTTCCTCTACACTCTCCCCCTTCTGCCCACCATGAAGGCCGCCGTCGCCCTCACGGTCGCCCTCCTCTCCGCCGCCGCGCAGGCCGCCTTCACCGAGACCGTTAACGGCGTCACCTACACCGTCAAACACTTCGACGCTGACGGCTCCGAGCTGCCCGTCGAGTTCGGTGCGGCCATTGACGCCGCCGCGCGCGCCGCCCGGCGTCGCAAAGCCTTCCAGGCCGGCCGCGGCTCCTCCTCCCTCAAGCAGCGCTCCCAGACCTTCGACAACTGGTGTGGCGCCGCCAACCTCCAACCCCCCGGCGGCGGCGACTGGAACAGCGTCTCCGGCAAATGGACCGTGCCCAACATCTCCCTGCGCCCCGGCCAGAGCGTCTCCGACCCGCCGTCGCTCATCCAGAGCATCGGCATCGGCGGCGACGGCTGCCTTCCCGACGGTTCCACCCAGGGCGGCGGCTCCAACGGCTGCCAGTCGGGCGGCATCATCGGGGGCGGTACCGGTTCCCAGGTTCGTACTACCGTGTATATTTATACATAGAAACATATATATATATATATATATATATGTTTCAAGACAATTGCGACTAATACGGGGGCGTGATTCCAGATCGGCCGCGACGGAAAACAGGAAAACTTCGCCTATGTCGAGTTTTGGCCCGAGGCAATGCGCGCCGTCAAGATGCACGTCAACGCCGGCGACGAAATGTTCGGCCGCGTCACCACTGACTCGGCCATCGCCGGCAACGTCACCATCATAAACATCACCACCGGCCAGTGCATGTACGCCGTATTCACCGACGCCCAGGCCGCCCTATCCGGCTCCTCCGTCCAGTGGACCGTCTCGGCCATCGGCTCCATATCCTCGAACAAGCGCGAGCCCTTCGCCGACTTCGCCGACAACAACTTCAGCGAATGCCAGGCCACCACCGACGGCGGCCAGTCCGCCGGCCCCGGCACCAATAACATTAACTTGATGCAGAACGGCCGCACCCTCTGCACCGGCAGGATCGAGGGCTCCAACGTCTACCTCCATAGCAGCAACTAGAGGTCCCAGCGGCAAGATGGACTTCTCAAGCAGGAGACGGGTAGCTGCTTGATCTGGCAATCTCTTGCCACATACACTTTTCATGTAGATAGCTATTCTCCAATTTAGCAGAAGAGCACATTGATATACACATGTATACACTACATACATACAAAAATATGACAAATTAGCGATTGGTTAATCGACTTTCGCCCTTGTATGTCCTTTGCTGCTTCAGTTGTCAGCAACCGGCCAAAACTTTTTCGACTTGACATCCACGGATAACGGCGCATCTTCCATACACATACATACCTGCTGATAGCTCGCCGCTGCACTGGCCTGGACCATTCATCGTCGCACCAATAACTAACTCCTGTTAATCACATACGCCGAACCGCCAGCATGTGATTGTAATTTATTGACTACATGCGCAGAGCACGCCAAAGATACTAGTCGGCCGCAGATGCCGACATGACAAATTCTAAAGGACTATAGGTCTACAACTCTTACTCATCCATAACTGACGCAAACTTGTCCGTCATCGACTGGTGAATGGCCTCGTACTAATGGATCGTTAGCGTCGTATAACCAAACTCCATATAAATGCAGCTGCTCACCTTCTTGCTAATAGCTTCTTGGCCGTCGCTAGGCAACTCGAACTTGATTTGACGGAGCTGTGTCTGGAGATCGCTCGTGGCCTCGCGCACCTTGGCCCAGCTCTGGCCCTGGGCAATAACCTTTTGGGCCTCGTCGTGGAAACCAACCATCAGCTTCATCATCCACTCCGTCTTCCAGATGGGGCAGAACTGGTCGTAATCCGAGTAACCATTTTGCTGCAAAAAGTCTTCCTTGACGAGACTGGCAATGTCCAGAGTAATCTTGTCAGGGTCGGACAAGGCGCTCTTTCCGACCAGCTGCACGACTTGCTCCAGCTCGTCCGAGTCGGTCAGGAGCTGCTTGATGCGGTCACGTAGTCTGGGGAACTCGGGGTAATCCTTCTCGTAATACTTGTCGAGGATACCGGTGTACTTGCTGTATGAAAGGCTGGTGTTGATGGAGGGGAAGTGCTTACGCTGGGCAAGCTTCTTGTCCAGACCCCAGAAGACCTGAACAATGCCCAGCGTAGAAGTGCAGACAGGGTCGGAGAAATCACCACCAGCGGGCGACACGGCGCCGACGATGCTGACACTGCCCTTTCGGTCGGGAGAACCGAGAGCCTGGACGCGGCCGGCACGCTCGTAGAAAGAGGCAAGCTTGGCACCGAGGTAAGCAGGGAAACCTTGGTCAGCAGGCATTTCTCCGAGACGACCAGACAATTCACGTAGAGCCTCAGCCCATCGCGATGAAGAGTCGGCCATCATGGCAACGTCGAGGCCTTGGTCACGGAAATATTCGGCGACAGTAATTCCAGTATAGATAGAAGCCTCACGAGCAGCGACGGGCATGTTGGATGTATTGGCAATGAGGGTCGTGCGCTTCATGATGGGCTCTTTGCGGCCGTCGACGTCGATTGTAAGCTCGGGGAAGTCCTTCAAAACTTCGGCCATTTCGTTGCCTCGTTCGCCACTGCATTCATTAGCAAATTGAATCGTAAAATGTGGTAGAGAACGCACCATCCAACGTAGACGATGACATCGGAGTTGGAAAACTTGGAGACAGATTGGGAAATGACAGTCTTGCCGCAACCGAAAGCGCCAGGAATAGCAATGGTACCGCCCTGAACACCAGGGAAAAGAGCATCTAGAACACGCTGGCCGACGATGAAAGGCTCCTCGGCAACAAGCTTCTCAGTAGAGGGCCTGGGGACACGGACAGGCCAGGTTTGCATCATGGGGTATTCGGTCTTCTTGCCGTCGAATTCGACCTCGAGGATGTTCTCGGCGACAGTGTATTCGCCCTTGGAGGCGATCTTGGTGATGGTACCGCGCGCGCGAGGAGGAAGAAGGACCTTGTGGACGGAAATGAAGGAGTTCTCAAAGACAGTACCCCAAACGTCACCGCCGGTGATATGGTCGCCAACCTTTTTGGTGGGCGTGAACTCCCACTTCTTCTTGCGATTGAGAGCAGGAACGGATATACCGCGAGGAATGTATATGCCCTGAGAGACCTCGGCGATGCCAGCCAGAGGGCGCTGGATACCATCGTAGATGCCGTTTAGCAGACCGGGACCGAGCTCGACGGAAAGAGGCTTGCCAGTGCGGAAGACGGGGTCGCCAACAGTGACACCAGCTACCTTTGTTAGATGACGGTGATTGTTACTCGGGACCAAGACTCATACCGGTTTCCTCGTATACCTGGATGGTTGCCTGGTCGCCGTTGATTCGAATGACTTCGCCCGCAAGGTTATCGTGGCCAACATTAACCTGCGGCCGTTAGTGGGGTAGCTCTCGAAAGGGTTGGAGCTATCTAGGCTTACCAATTCGTACATGGCAACACCGAGCATGTCTTCAGCGACAATGACGGGTCTGCGAGGGCACGTTAGCGGCCGGTCAACCGGCGCAGCGCATTGATCGAGGCAGGATGACGAACCCAGAGATGGAGTAAATCTTGCCTGGCAGAGGGTTAGCATTGACGACGTTCAGCGAGCGGTATTGCAGAGAGAGACGCACCTTGGCGGTCAGCATCCTTGCCGGCATTTTTCGCTTTCTAGAATTGGAGAATGGTTAGTTGGTTTCGGAGTCGCAGTGGGGCGGACAGCTTCGTGTTGTGACGCCATCTTGGACAAGTCGCTCGTCCGAGGCTGGGGGAGGAGGCCGTACCGGAGCCATCTTGGATGATGCCGGGACGGGAACGGCGTCGGGCTCTTTTGCGGAAGAGGTGGGAGAGACGGCGGACGAGGGCGGAGGAGCGACCCGAGATGATGGCGCGGGCGGCGTTGGAGGAGAAGGATGTGGTGATGATGGTGGAGAGTTTGGCAGAGGAAGGTTGAGAGCTGCGATGGAGGCCAGCCTGGGGTGTCGAGGTGGGGCCGATGATGTAGCGGTTGCAGCGGGTGAAGTTGCGGTAGGAGGCGTTAGTTTGGGGCTCTCAGCGCTCGTAGCGGGACTGATTTGGGCGGCCTCAGGGGAGTCGACGCTTGGAGTCAGTGGTGGGCCGCCTGGAAAGAGCCCTGGAGACGACGGGGCACCAGATGACAGTGATGCCGATGGCGATGGCGGCAAGGCCACTGATTGCGGCCGCGTAGGACTCGACAACGGCGACGGCAAGGATTCCTTGGACTTGCTCTCGGCCTCGCTTCGAGCTCGTACTAGATCCAAGAGCGACGAGCGAGCCCTGAGCCGTGGCCGGAGTCCAACTTGCATATAAGGTGAGCGGACGGAGCCAAGGTATCGTCCAAGCGTGATGGAGGTGGTTGGGAGCAGAGTATCGGGCGGCCGCGAAGAAGAACAGGGCACCTTGGAACTCGTCTGAATCAATTATCCAGCTTCTCTTGCTCTTGTATTCGTACCGCAACGTTTAAAGCAGCCTTAGATTATGACAATGTAATGGGAGAAGTGACGCCACTTGGTAGCTGCAGTGTCAGAGGGAGGACAGCTACCTGAGCTAGGGCCAATGTGCGAGGTGGGCCAAGACACTGCTACGGTATGCGGAATATGCATGGTTTAATCCGTACTGGCAGTTGATTTACTGTTGTTTTAACTTGGGATGGAGAGAATAATGGACTCGGGGTTGCGGCATTGATACATGCAATACGCAGAGCTGCTCGTTTGGCGGCCAAGTGTGGTGAAGAGACCACACCACGCCGTTTACTCATCATGAACGGCAAGGGCCTTTCAACTGAAGCCGCAGCAATGGCAAGCTCCGAAATAATACATGGAGAGAGGAGAAAAACTCCTCTCCGCTGCCTGATTAATTACGGAAAATATAGCTCGGATAGCTTCTGATAGTGTTACGTGGGACGTCAATGCAGTGTTCCACCTCTGGCTGCATCCATCACGAGATTTGCGCGCGAGAGCAACAGACTTGACTAGGCTGCTTCGAGTCAATAGCAGCGGCCCGAGACAGGAGGCACGAGACAAAATCGACAAGGAGCCGTGTTGGTACACGTCCTCATTCAGCAAGCATGAGATCCGACGAAGAAGCAGGGGCACGTTGACTATGGCAGCAATGTGCGGCACGCGTTTGAAATATCTTCACCGAAGCTCAAGCACGCGACGACACTTCGCCCAGGGTGCACTCTTTACCATGATTCCTCTCGCGATTCGCCCATCCGTACGAACGCGTCAACAGCATCTGCATTTTGCTTCCATTACTCCTTCTTCACGTCGTTCCGCCAGGGATCGGCCGCAATGAAAGAAATAGAAAAAAACTTCTCTGCAAGACAAAGAGTAGGGTTCCAAAAATTCCTTTCCCGGATAAATCCAGAAAAGAGTGGTCTGTTATAGTTTTCAACTAGCAAAATTCCTCTCTCAGCTTATCGCTTCACGGAGAAGGAAAACGCCCGTGCACTGGGATAGAGAAGAAAAGAAGAAAAGAAGACTGAAAGGGGAGTGGGCGAGAGGAGAATTTATAGGCAGCCACCAGGGACCTGGTGCCTGAGGCTTGAAGCATGGGCCATGCAGGTATCTCAAAGGTGAGTCATCCAAAAAGGTAAAGCGCCGCCAAGGAGCAGCCTCTCGTCGCTGCAGGTGCCTGGATGGCTTGCACATGAACTCTGCCGCCTGGTGGTTCATGCGACTTTTTTCGGCTGTTTTCTTCTGAAAGGGATGTGAGGCAAATATTTTCTTCTATATTCCAGCTCAGTAGCGGAGACATATCAATTGTTCAACGGCGTATTAAACCGCACATGAAGCCTGTGCAGTAGCTTATATAGATAGCTGGCTGGATGGTGGCTTGTACCAGTCGGCCTGCAGGTGCCGTGTGCACTGATTTTATCTTTATAAGAAGAAAGGAAGAAAAGGAAAATAATTCTGAACATTCCCTTCCATCAACCAAACCAATCAAAGACAATTGTTGCTGTCTTCAGCTGTCACCGCCGAGGCTGGGCCCAGCCAGATCTGGTTCCTGCTGCCGAGCCGCAAATCCACTCACATCGAACCTCCACTGTCTGGCTCACCACTTATTATTAACTCTCACTCACGCGTCCTTTCACCACCCCAATCCCATCACCGCTCACCTCAACCATGCGGTTCACGCGCGCCTACTCGAGCCTGAGCGGCGCCATTCCCCCGGCCAAGGCCAAGTACGTGCCGTCAACCGGAACGTACCCCAGGGGTTTCCAGGCCTCGGGCGTCTTTGTCGGCGTCAAGCCTGGCAACACGAGCAAGCCCGATCTCGCCCTCGTCACCTCTGACCGGCCCTGCGCCGCCGCCGCAGTCTTCACCAAGAACAAGTTCCAGGCCGCCCCCGTCAGCTTCAGCCGCGACCTGCTGCGCACCCGTGCCAATGCCGGCCTACGCAGCGTCATCGTCAACTCGGGCAACGCAAACGCCGTCACCGGCATCGGAGGGCTCGAGGACGCTGCGGCTATGGCCCAGACGACTGACCAACGCGTGGGTGCGGAGGACTCGACCATTGTGATGAGTACCGGTGTCATTGGACAGAGGTGAGCGTGTGCGAATTGATGATCGAAAAAAAAAACAGACGACTAACTCGTTCACAGACTGCCCATTCAGAAGATTGTCGACCACATCCCCGTCGCCTGCCACCAGGCCGGGGACTCCCATAAGCACTGGCTCAACTGCGCCAAGGCCATCTGCACGACCGATACCTTTCCCAAGCTCATGTCGCGTACATTTGCGCTGCCCTCGTCCCCCGGCGTCGAGTACCGCATTGCTGGCATGACCAAGGGTGCCGGCATGCTCGCGCCCAACATGGCCACGCTCCTCACCATCCTCGCCACCGATGTGCCTGTCGCGCCCGCCGCCATGACCCCCTTGCTTCGCCACGCCGTCGACCGCTCCTTCAATTCCATCACCGTCGACGGCGATACCTCCACCAACGACACCGTCGCCCTCCTCGCCAACGGCGCCGCCGGCGGGCCCGAGGTCACCTCCTCCGAGGGGTCGCCCGACTACGCCGCCCTGCGTGAGGTGGTGACCGACTTCGCCGCTGACCTCGCCAAGCTCATCGTCCGCGACGGCGAGGGTGCCACCAAGTTCGTGACGGTCCGCGTCGTCGACGCCGCCACCGAGGACGGCGCGCGGGCCGTCGCGCGGGCCATTGCCCTCTCGCCGCTGGTCAAGACGGCCCTCTACGGCAAGGACGCCAACTGGGGCCGCATCCTCTGCGCCGCCGGCTACGCGCTCGTCACGCCCCCGACACACGCGCCCCGCGACGCCGAGGACATCACCCCGGAGCGCACGAGCGTCTCCTTCGTGCCCACCGACGGCTCGCCCGAGCTCAGGCTGCTGGTGAACGGCGAGCCGGAGCAGGTGGACGAGGCGCGCGCCAGCGAGATCCTCGAGATGGAGGACCTGGAGATCCTGGTGCGTCTGGGCACGGGCGACAAGAGCACGACGCATTGGACGTGCGACTTCAGCCACGACTACGTCACGATCAATGGCGACTACCGCACGTAGCACCTCGGAAAATGCCGGCGTTTATACTTTTTGAATCTAGGGAACGTTTTGATCAAAGGAAATAGAAGAATTTTCTCGAATAATTACAAAAGAGCATCAGAATATTTTGCTCCCCCATCACCTCACTTCGGGTATGGAGTGGCTAGAGTCAGTGTGCACGTTGCCGCTCGTAACCTCCCGCCTCAGAAGCCACACCAAGCGAGTCCTCTAAACGCACACAGAACACACACATGAACAAGGGTAATTTCTAAATAACCTCACATTATCCTTGTAGTCTTACCCATCCTTGCAATCTTACTCATCCTTGCAATCTTACTCATCTTCAGAACCAGCCTCTCTCGGCGCTGAACGTGGTTGCATTTATCGAGGCGCCGAGCTTATTCGAGAGCCCCTTGAGCTTCCGCAGCGTCGCCTTGTCGGTCGCGAGGCCGCGAAGCACCGTCGCCGCGAAGGAAAGGCCATCGCGCTCCTCCGCGGCCCCGCCGCCGTCCCTCTTCAGCTGCTGCTTCGGGGGCACGTGGCCGACGTCGTAGCAGTTGTTGCTGGCGCGGCCCGCGCGCAGCCTACAGATCTCGTCATCGCGGCACTTGCCCCTGCACTCCTTGACGTTCCAGCCCTGCGTCTTGCGGGCGATGTACTCGTCAAACGCCGTCTCGTTGCGCTGCAGGACCTCGGTGACGTTGTGCCAAAACGCCGGGGAGAGCTCGTGGGGGAAGGGCCCGTCGGTCTTAAAGCCCGGGACGAGCGGGCCGTAGATCTCCTGGGCGGAGTAGTACTTCTTCCACTTGGGCCCCTCGGTGGCCCAGCCCGGGTCCTCCATGTCGGCGACGTACTGGACGACGTCGATGATGCCCCAGGTGTCCATGTCAACGTGGTAGACGCGGAAGGAGGGCATGCCGGAGAGGGGCGTCAGCGAGGGCGCCATGTAGGAGACGGCGCGGGCGTTGGTGTGGTTGCGGTTGTCGTAGTCGCGGTAGTGCAGCTCGAAGTGGTCCTGGAGGGTGTGGCCGAAGAACATGCCGCCGATGAGGTGGCTGTAGCGGTTGACGATCTTGTTGAAGGTCCAGGAGGAGTCGTGCAGCGTGTCGACGTGGCCGAACGACGAGTGGCCGGTGATCCAGACGCGCTCGCCGTCCGCCTCGGCCGTGTCGAGGTGGTACGCGAGCCAGTCCCACTGCTTGCTCGGGTCCTTCTCCATGGGCTCGCGGAGGCTGTCAAAGTTGTAGCGGTAGTAGTGGTTGGTGTTGAGCGCGATGACCTTGAGCCGGCTGGACTTGAGCTTGAATTGGCGGCCGTGGCCGGCCATGAACCGGGCCCAGTAGGCGCCGCGGGTCCGGGTGTCCATGATGGCCAGGTTGCCGGCCCATTTCGTCCACCAGGGCTCGAACAGCTCGTACACCCACTTGGACGACCTCGCCTTGGGCTTGATGCCCTTGGAGTAACGGGAGGACGGGTAGAGGTTGGCGGGGCTGGAGTCAAGGTTGCCGACGGTCCCGTACACGACGTCGAGGTTGTCGTCCATCCTGCCCATGGCGGCGCGAACTAGAGCTCTGTCAGTGTCTGGGCTTGTTGGCAATATCCCGAGACTTCGCACAGGCACAGCTTCCCGAAGCTTTGGTGTGTGCTGGTTCCACCTGAGGAGGGGGTAAGGGAGGGAGGGCTCACGGTGTACAGCGTTGGCCTTCTTGGTTGTGTTCCAGGCCGCGTGATGCATAATGTTTCCGGTAAAGAGTGTAAAGGCGACATCGGGAACGAGCCGGTGAATGGCGTCGTACATGCTCTTCTCGAGACTAACGGGGGTATCACAGTTGTGGTGACCAAAGATGCCGGCGGGATTCATGGTTACACCTGGAGCGTCATCCTCGTCGTATGACCTGGCACGGCGATTAGTTCAGAGAGATGTGATTGATAGATAGTACGTCCGTTCAAAGAAAATCTTACCGACAGCAGATTGGCCTGTTGCAATCCGTGCTGGCGCCTACCGTGTAATGGGGGTCGATGTTCATGTCCGAAAAGTGCACAACTTTGAGCAGCGTCTTCCCGCTCGTCTCTGGACGCGAGTACTCTCTTGGCTTTTGAACGGAGGGGACGAATTGCTTCGCCCTGGGGATAGGACAGAGACCGAAGACGGCATTGCAGAAAATTTTGGAGGTAGGTTCATATAGTCTCGCCTGCCGGACCACTCTAATTATGGCCTTGTATTGGGACTTCATGTAGCCGTCACAGACTTCGGGGTGTTCGTGTTCGCTCTGAGATGGCGTGTCAGTCGCGGGGGAAGAGTTAGAAGAGTTAGATCAACGGGTTGCCTCACCCTCCCGGCCTTGCAAATCGACTGCAAAGCTCCTAGGAATTCCTGTTCGCCAATTGCAGCTACGGACTTGAGTAGCAGAAGGATGCCCTGCGGCCAGTTGTTAGTCATGGCCCGCCGAATATGAGAGTGACCAAAGTTGCTTTACCTGACAGCCAGTGCAAGAACTTGCGCCTTGTATTTTGTGCCATAGATCGTCAGTGTCGTCGAGTACCTTGAGAGAGTGTAGAGAGCCGGCGGCAGCAAGCTGAGTATTTTCCGACGGGCCGGCGAGATGAGAATCATTCGACTCTTGGTTGAAATTTTCGTCTCCTTCATCCGACGACTGGCTAACATTTCCGTCATCTGACGGCTGGCTGACACTTCCCTCTCCGTCATCCGATGACTGGCTGACGTTTCGGGCTCCCTCGACGAATACCGCCGCCGCAACGAGCAGTCGGAGAAGACTGCCGACACGCATTTTGGCCGACAGATGAAATCCCTCGGATCGTATTTCTGAAGGGCAAGAGGGAAGGAAGAAACTGGAGGAGCCCTGAATGGCCTGGCGCGCAATTCGGAAAACAAGACTGTGTGAGACGGACCCCAACGTCTTATAAGACCAAGCCCTCATCAGCCGACTAACATGTCACTATGAGAGAAACCACTACTAGCTTAGCCCTTCACATAAAGGCACATCAATATTCTCTTGTAGCATGGAAAGTTCACCAACTCGCTTCATGCACTTAATCCTCCTCCGCGTGAAAGCCATGTGCCCACATCGCAACCGGCGGCGTATGGAGCTTGGGCTCTCGGCTCTAGGTCTTTGCGGAAAGGCGTCGATATCGCCTCCGCACTGTTTCTGTTTCTTTAAATAAGTTCAAGTTGTCCTCAAAAGGCTGCATGTGCCCCTCTTGCCATCGTTGCTGGCCCGTCTTGCTCGGTGGCCTGTGCCAAATGATCTGATCTTCTCTCAGGCCAAGGTGCTGCTCTGAATGCAAATAGAATAAATAATATGAAGAGCATGGGAGGGATTCCAGGGCACAAAAGAAGAAGAAAGAAAGATAGACTGCGGCGTTCTTCTTTGTTCGTCTGTGGCGAATACTCACCACAAGGTTCGCGCCGGCGCGGCGCGGCCGCGGAACTTTCGACTGTAATGACAAGGATCAGTCAGTATAGAGTTTCAAAGTACAAAACTGTACAGTGATGCAATTGAATTGAGTAGTCTACATAGTCGCTTTCATACTTGTTGGCCTGCATGTCGCCGTGTGTATCCAATAATGCAGTGCCCATATATGGTGTGAAGAAATACAGAGTAGTGTACATGCCTGCATCGCGATGCTAAACCGCCTGGGGCCAGCCCGAGGGCCGTCTTCAGCAAGCGTGTCCTGGCTTCATCAGGCACCTCCCTACGAGGGCGTGCCAGGTTCTCGCTCCCAGGCCACCCGGATGCCCGAGGCCTCCTCCTGCCGCGTCCGCTCCGCGCGGTACGACGCGCCTTGCTTGCTGAGCGTGGACAGGCGGCCCGCGAACATGCGGTGCCAGGACGCCGCGCGCATCTCGGCGTTGATGTCCAGGATCTTGCGTCGCCGTGCCTTGATCTGCCGGTACAGCCGCTGCGCCCGCTCGTCGCTGATCTCCTTGACCGCGTACTGCACCTCCCACTTGCCGCCCGACCCTAGATGCTCCGGCCGCGGCACGAACTTGCCGTCGACCTTGTTGCGGATAGTGATGTACATGCCGAGAAGCTCGCCCGGTGGAGGCTGGTCCTGGGACGCTTCTTGGTCGGTTTCTGTTTCTGTGGCGGCTGTCTCTGCGTCGGCGTCGGCGTCGGCGTCGACCTCGATATTTTCTTGAGCGGCTGGCTTCTCGGAAAGACCAGCAAACATGCGCTGAAACTCGTTCAAGTTGGTGGTATTCTCGTCGATGCCCTCGGTTACGCGCAAAATCAAGTCCTTCAGGGGCGTCTCGTCGCCATTCTGAGTATCGACAGGCTCTTCTTCCGAAGCACTTTGCAAGTCTCTGCTCTCCCGGGAGTGTGCTGTCAGGGCAGCTACCAGACCATCAATGTGTTTTGTGCTTTCGGCCTCCGTTTTGCCCTCCAAGAGACCACTATGGATCAAGGCGTCCTGGACCGCATCCCGCACGGATCGTATCCCGAGAGATTCGCTGTCCACTGCCTCGCCGACTCTGTCCATGACTTCTTGCCATACTATTTCATTCTGGATCTCCTGTTCCAGGTCATCCTCCTCGACAGATTCTGTTTCCTCTGTGCTTTCGTTCTGGTCAGCGGCGGCGGCTTCCGCGGCGGCAGCTTCAGCGGCCTTTTCCTGGCTGCTGAGGTCGTCAATCTCCTCCTTCAGTTTGTCCACAGATGCCTTTTTGGATTCTTGGATGGCTTGCATTTCCTCATCCGTAACAGGCTGCACAAAAAAGTAAGTAACGGGATCATTTGTTGGTCGAGTCTCTACGTGAAGCCTCAACGACCTGCCGGGAAACTTTTGCGTAGCCCTGTCCATCAAGTCGTTTAAGATCGATAGACTGGCTTTAAACTCCTGGTCACCCAACGTTGTATCGGTCTGCCCATGAATAGCATGGTCCATATCCGATAGAGGAATGTATTGGAAGCCAAATATTCTCTGCGTGTTGTGGTACGCCACGAATATACCATCCATGCGTCCCATGCGCACTTGGAGCGAATACTTTAAGAACGCAGATCGAATAAGATCGTAGTATTCTCTTTCAAAAGACTCCCACTGACCAAATTGTTTGCGAATTTCGTAGCCGACGCCCTTTTCATGCCCTTGAACATCCATTCGGATAGTCACCACGGCTCTTGTTTTCAGGTCGAAAACACCAGTGCCAGGCAGTCTCGGATCGTGAGCATCTAGTTGTGATCGCATCATGAAGTCTCCGAATGTGGTATAATGGTACGCCTCCTCGGCCTTCTTTTCCTCCTCTGTCAACTCGTGAGACTTTGTTTTTTTGTATTTTTCAAACTCCTCTTTTGGCAGAGTAAGCAGCTTCTCCATCGATTTGCCGAGCATGCTCAATATGTTTTCGTTGTCGTATTCTTTGTCGGAATCAATGGAATAGACTCCATCCTTGTATTTGATAAACGTAGCAACCGGACCTCGAGTTAAAATAGTGAAATTATTCGACTCCGGGGTCCATCCTCGTGACAAATCGTCCAAGTTTGGAGGTCTCCAGCCCGATATGAGGAAATGAAGGTGCGAGAGGATAGCCGTCATACTTGACGTCGAACCGCTATACTTTTTGCCATATTGTTTGGCAAGATCCCACAGCTTGGTGTCCTTGGATGACGTGACATATTCCTTGAGAGCGTCATAATCGAACTCCTCCACAGGCATGATCGAGGCGAGATATGGATCGAAGTTGTACACATTTGTCCGGGTATCCTGCATTCGATATACACCACCGCTGAAAAGTACGCGGTCGAGGCCGTAGCTCAGCTTCGGGATTTCGGGTGTCTCTTGATCAATAGGTTCCAGTTTTAGCGTCTTGGGCGTTATGATTTCGAAATCGACCGCTTCTTTCGATTGGTTTTTTTTCTTCTTGGTCGATTTGGCAGGCTTGGCGGGTTTGACGGGTTTAGCGAGTTTGGCGGGTTTGGGCTGGGACTTCTGCGACTGCGTCTTTGGGGTATCCGCCGGTGATGCCTTAGATTGCTTCGTCGATGGGGCAAGGGATTGCCGCAGCTTTTCTTGGAGCGTAGTCCAAGACGAAAGACTCTTCTCATCGCCGGTGCTTACTGGGGCTTCAGCGTCCTGCTCAGCAGCTTTCTTTCCTGCCTTCGAAGCATTGCATGGTCGCGACGTGGTGAACAGCGCGACGCGTCCTGAAGAAATCAATACCCTGGGACATACTGGCACGTTTACGAGGCGCACTCGGGCGACGGCCTGGCACCTCGCACGATGCATTGCAACGCTAATTCAGTGGTGCGTAGGGTTGAGCTTGTGGAAGGCTACAAACGCGGTGCTCCAAACAGGCGCAAATTTCCAAAGCTTCACAAAGCTTATCGATATCGACTTCCCTTGTAGCTTTTGGATGATTTTGGTCGGCTGGTATTGGGCGACATTGGAGTGGGGCTGTTTGGAAGCTCGTGATTGGCCCTGCCGCTTAGCTCCGCCGCATCCACGTAGTCCATCTATCCCATCTAACCTGCAACTGCATCGACCAGCTGCTCTCGACAATAACTCTCCCATAACCTGAGTCCGCCCCTACTCTCTACAACCATGGGCGCTAGTGACTCTAAAATTGTTTTTAAACGAGGGATATTCAGGCTGTCTGAGGAGCGGCATATCCCTGCCAACGATGAGTACTGGACATCGGTATGTTGACTCTTCAGCTCGGTGGCTGCGCATTCCACTAACCAGCGTACTAGTTTTGGGAGCTTCCGGAGTCTTCAGAGGATGTATTTAGCCTCTTCTCGCCAGCCGATATTCGAAGAAGCCGTGATCAAGCCCTCGAAAACATCGAAACTCTTATCCTCGTCCTAACTTCTCGGCTCTTCGTTCTACGACATCATCCTTCGTTCCCAGATGCCGAGCTAGCCCCCGAGCGGGAAGCTCTCAACTGCGTTCGGGTTCTAACCCGTATACTTCCCTACCTCTATGAAAAGGAATCGCTGCAACAATGGGAAGAGCAGTTCTTCTGGGGAATCAGAAAGAAGAGAACGCGCCAGGGCGCCATCGCAAGCGAAGTACTCTTTGATGAATCGAGGGGCGATAAGCAAGACCCGGAGGGCGAGGAGGAACTTTTCGAGGATGCGAAGCCACTAGCCGAGGAGCTTCTCGACACCCTGATCGATATGCTCTTCTTTTCCGAATTCACCATTCCCAAGCAGCAACCCGGTCGGCCGAAGGTGACATATGCGATTTGGCAGAGCGGCGTGGGCTGCAATACTGCGGTACAAACCACAAAAGAGTTTGAGAGCAATAGATGCGAACTATTACGCTTGATACTGGCGCTTGCAGGCCGCAGCCTGTATATGAGTAGCCCAACGTTGACGCAAAGTGGAGTTCGAACTCTGACACATCTATGCGCAAACCCGGACAAGCAGGTTGTCCTCTCGGTGCTCTGCTCTTTACTCAATACAGTATGTGAATTACGTGTGCCATTGGAGACACTTAACTGACGTTTGAAAGACCCTTAAATATCATCCGGCAAGTTGGCGTGTACCGTACAACTCATTAGTTATTCGTGACACCAAGCAACTACTCGTGACGCAGTCTCTGCATCTGCTTCTTGCAGTGCTCGTCTATACTGTACCCGAACATGCTGAAGCGTCGTCAAGAAAGAACTATTACCGCCACTTTCTGGGTAGACTGCATCGACCGCAAGATTTCCAATTTATAGTGGATGGTGTTTCGCGAATCCTCACACAACCTCTCCAGGATAAAACTTCATATCTCCCCGGACCTCACACATCAATAAATCTGTCAGCCGAGATGCTGATGTTATTCTGGGAAATGATTCAATGCAACAAACGATTCCGCGCGTTTGTTATCGACACGGACAGAGCGCACGACTTCATCGTCCTCACCCTCTTCTATGCCATCGAGTACAAGAACGATCCGGCGAAACAAGGCATTGTTCGCATGTGTGCATTCTTGCTTCAGACTATGAGCGTGGAAAAGAACTTTGGCCTTCGCTTGAACAAAAAGTTTGTTGGTCAAGAAAGCCTCCCACCTAGCATCAGGATCAACACATTCGACGGTTCCTATGCCGACTTTCTCATACACTCAATCTATACCCTCATTACCACCAGCCAAGGTGGTCTCACCGCGATATATCCGGCGCTACTAGCAATCATCAATAATATTGCGCCGTATATCGAGAACCTGGGTACGACAGGTAGCTCACAACTGATGCATCTTTTTGTTCTCATGTCCTCGCCCTCGTTCTTGCTGGCCAACGAAACGAACCACACTCTTCTGCGATCTCTACTTGAATCCATTAACACAATTCTCGAGCACAAGTACAAGCAAAATGCTCAGCTGGTGGTGGCTATTCTGAAAAACAAGAAGCCAATTGAGAGTCTGAGGACATTCACGCTGGAGAGCGGTCTCCAAGAAATAGAGCGACGAAACCGACGACGCAAGGACGCAAGCGGAAACGCTGATGCCACCGACCTCACGCCTCGTCGAGCATCGGTGGAGAGCTTGGAGCCTGTGCAGAGCCCTGTCGCGGGCCAAACGCACGGTGTAGAGGACAATGCATTTGCCATTGGCGATGACGACGATAGCGACGATGAACCCCAAGCGACACCCGCTGCATCCACAACAAGCGAGAATCAATCTCAAAGGTCATCGACTCCAAACGCTGACGACTCTGTACCGGTGCAGCTGCGTGGCATGTCGGAGAAGGCCAGGGGCAAGATGCCGGCTGGTGTCAGGTCCTTCTCTCGACAAAACAGTACGACAAGCCTGGGCACATACTCTGCGGCCGGCCAGAGTACTAGTGGCAACTTTGAGCCGTCGGCGTACTGGATCGAAAGCTGGCTTCCCGAACTGCCTCTGCACACGTTCCTCGCCGTTATCCAGCAAGTATCAAGTCTTGTGCCACGAAAGGCAGGCCAGGACATGTTCTCGGCGGAGAACATGCAGCGGATGCGAGAGATCGATCTCGTCGGAGTGGAAGCATCGCCGGTCAAAGTTCAATCCTTTGAATGGTCACCGCTGTCACTTGGCTGGTACGAGGCGATGCTCTGGGGTGTTGTCTACGCAAGCGAGATGCAGATTGCAAAGGGTACGTCTGGTATTTGGACGGGGACGGGTGTCAAGTTGTTCCGGATTCAAGAAACTGCGCCAACTGGACCAACGTTGTCGTCGCCCCGCGGTGCAGTTGATGCCGTTGGGAGCAATATTGTGTCTCGCATCGGGCAGATTAATTTGCGAGGCGGTGCGGGCGGTGTGGGTGGTGCAGCGAGTGGACATGCCCCTCAGCCGGGGAATAACTGAGCGATTGAGATTTCGCGTGCATTGCGTTGGTTTACTTGTATGATGGGCGTTGTATGAAACTGATTTCTTGTCACAAATTGAGGATAGCATAGAGCATATCAACACTTTTTCTTTTAGTCCTGGCGCCATCAAATGAAGTAATCCCGAAACCCTAAAAATGAAGGAAGTAAGGCGATTTATGTCCGAATATCCTTGAAATTCTAATTGTTCTTTCGCGAGCATTTCTGTTGGTTGAGCTTCAATGCGGGGTGCTTATTGCTGGGCTGGACAGTGGCGGCAGTGGAACTTGCCGCGCTACTAACAGCTAAGGAATCCTCAGAACGCCATTCCAACCCCCCAGCCTCCACGCTTGCTGGGCCACGTTTGAGCTATCGACAAAGCCGCCTTTAGCTTTTCTGTTTCGACCTTGACTCACCAAACAATAGACGCAACGACGACGACCCCAACGAACCGTATTCATCCATACTCGAGCGGATTCGGGAGGACCATGCGAGCGCCGTTGTGAAGGCCTCCGTGACCTGCGACACGACCCCCCCTGACAACACCCATCCCACGCTCATCATGTCGAATCGTTACGCAGCGCCGCCGAGCCGCGGCGCCAACGGGTACGGCAACTTTGGCAGGTCCGAAGAGGAATACGATTCGTACGGCGGTGATCCGAGAAACAATGGCCGAGGCGAACGGTACGGCTCGCCGTCACACGGCCCGCCGCCTCCACGAGGTGACCGGGCACCCAGCATCGGCACCGGTGGTGGCGGCGGCGGCCCCCCGCCAGTGGTGCGCAACATGCCCTCGCGATCACGGATGACGCAGTCGACGTCGGACCGGCAGATCACGCAGGTGCTGGAGCACATCCGGGCCGAGTGGCCGTCGCTGTGCAGCGACGACTGCATCCCCGTCCAGTTGGCGCTGCAGCTGCTCGACACGAGCTCCGTGGGCCGCGCGCACGACTACCGCAAGTTCCAGGACACGCACGCGTACCTGCAGGACTCGCTCAAGAACACGGTGCACGAGCACCACCAGGGCTTCAACTCGTCCATCGGCACCTTCCACAAGATCCAGAGCAGCATCCAGGGCTCGCAGCGCCGCGTCCGCACGCTCAAGGAGTCGCTCGCCAGCGCCACCTCCAGCCTCTGCTCCACCGACCCCGAGCTCCGCAAGCTGTCCGAGTCGTCCGAGGCCTACGACGACCTACTGCAGACGCTCAACGAACTCGACGAGCTGCGCGCCGTGCCCGACCAGCTCGAGGCGCGCATCTCGGAGAAGCGCTTCCTGACGGCCGTTGACGTGCTGCAGGGCGCGCTGCGGAAGCTGCGCCGCCCGGAGCTGGACGACATTGGCGCGCTCAACGACCTGCGCAGCTACCTGGTCAACCAGGAGACGGCGCTCATGGACATTTTGGTGGAGGAGCTGCACGAGCACCTCTACCTCAAGTCGCCGTATTGCCAGGAGCGCTGGCAGAGCCTGTACAGGACGCAGGGTGCCTTCTCGGACGAATTCACGGATACCAGCTCCATTGTTCCATTCCACGCCATCTTGGAGAGTATGGACATGGAGAAAGCAGTCACAGAAGACCCGATGAAGAACCCAGAGGCCGATACATTCTACTACATTGCCTTGCTGGTTGAGGCTCTGAACAAACTTGGTCGACTGCAAAGCGCCGTTGAAACTTTGAAGCAGCGAATGCCAGTCGAGCTCTTCGCCATTGCTACCGAGACGAACAATGAAGTTGACCAGCGCCACCCGAGCTCTCTACGTGGAGGAACTACAAAATCCGAGAGCATCAACATTTACAACTCGAGAGAGACCCAAATGCGTGCCGAAGTCATCAACGACTTGCTATGGAGCCTGTATGGCAAATTTGAGGCCATCGGTGAGGGCCATCGCGTATTCCACGAATCCATCAAGGCCTTGATTCGAAGAGAGGGTGCAGGTAACAACAGCGCACTGCTGGGTAGCTTCAAGGAGCTCTGGAACCTGTACCAAAACGAGATCCGATCGCTGTTGCGCAATTACGTCACGACCGACGCAGACGTGTTCCAGTTTGACTCGCCGAACCCTGGAGGCTCGTTACAGAGCAAAAAAGACGCCGCGCGCGAGCATCTATTCAAATTCGCCGAGATTGATCCCAAGTCCATCGACATTAGCACAGAGTACGAGGCGCTGGAGGGCATCGTGCAAGCCGCCGTGCCCGGCCTGACCGGCAATGACCGCAAGCAAGGCGCAGATAAACGGCGGGATCGGTTGACCATGGATGACGCGGGCTCACGCCGACACACATTCGGCTACTCAAGCGAAAGCAAGCTTCAGGGCTCTCACAAACCACTGGTTGAGCCCAGCGTGTTCAACATGAGCCTGCTTCTACCCCCGACGCTCCTTTTCTTGCAGCGTCTCCGTACGATTGTACCGCCGGGCTCCGACCTTGCGACGAGTACACTGACGACATTCCTGGATAACTTCTTGGTAAATGTCTTTCAACCGCAGCTGGACGAGACGCTCGCCAAGCTGTGCGACAGCATCCTTGCAGAGATGGATTCGTTTGCGCAGGATGCAAGCTGGGCTCAATACTCGAAGCTGCCTATACTGAAGGGTACCACAGCATTCTTCCAAGTCGTGACCGCGTTTTGCAAGATGCTGAGCACGATCCCACCCGACCAGGCTCTCAGCTCGCTGCTGGTGACACAGATGATGCGATACTATGACCGGTGCTTCGACTGGTACAAGCTGCTCGTGACCAAGACGCAGGAGCAAACAAGTGACGCCAAGAATCTACGTGCTTCAGCACGGTTCGCGGTGCAGCCCGGCGAGATTCACGAGGTGATGAAGCAGATGTGGCTGGAGGAGGAGGGGGACAAGGAGCGGAGCGAAAAGGAGATCCACCTGCTGATCGAGCATACCAATGAGTCGCGGTTGGAGCCAAACGACATCATCCAGGATAGGGAGACGATTACGTCGCTATGTCTGCTGTATACGAGCATGAAGTGGCTAGCGACGAGGATATTGGGACTACGACACATTACGACGCACGAGACGGACTCGTCACGGCAAAACGTGGCGCGACAGGCCAATAGACGCTGGACCTTGATGAACGAATCCAACAAGGCGACGGCGACTGAGACTGCGCCGGTTGTGCTACCACTGACTGCGGACACTGTACAGTACGTCACTTGCCACCAATGAAACACACATGGAGGAATAATCAGAGGCTAACGATGCGCGCAGGACATTTGACAATATCGTGTCGTCGTACGAGGAGCTCGCGGGGACGGCGCTGCTGACACTGCACATGGAGGTGCGGTGCCGAATCGTGCACTCGCTGCGCAGCACGCTGTCGACCGAGGTTGCGCCGTACCTGCTGGAGCAGGACGTGCGGGAGCCGGACCCGCAGATCCTGAGCCTGAACCTGGAGCTGGTGCTGTTCGACGAGACGGTCTCGCGGTACCTGCGCGCGCGGGAGGCGGCCTTTGTGCGGACCGGGCTGGGCCTGCTGATCGGCGCGTACCTGGTGGGCAACGCGGCGATGGCCTCGCCGATCAACGCGCGGGGCGGGGCGCGGATGCGGCTCAACATCCTGGTGCTGCAGCAGAACCTGAAGAACATTGACCGCGACGCCGAGGACATGGAGGACCTGGCGCGGGCGGCCAACTACTACGCGCTGCTGGACAGGGGGCCGGACGCGGTGCTGGCCAAGGCGGCGGAGGACCGCGACAAGAAGATGGGCGAGGAGGCCGGGGCGACGCGCGCGAGCAACACGTTCACGTACGAGGAGCTGAGGACGCTGCTGGAGCTGTGCATGAGCGAGCAGGTGGCGAGTCCGGATCGAGGCCTGGCGGCGGCGGCGAAGAGGCAGCTGGCGGACAAGTTGCAAGAGTTTAGCGAGAAGGCATGATGTGGGATGAACAATGACAATGTGGGTTTTGGTATGGTGGTGGTCTTGGTTGTGGTTTCTATAAGTGTATACTCGGAGGCTAAAATAGACGATGAGATGAGGCATGGTTCCATGTCGACTTCTACCTTGTATTCTGTTCACTAATCTGCATCGTCGTGGAGATGAGCATATATAGGCTTATATGGCAACTCCTGCTTTCCGCATTCTGTTCCGCATAGTACAGAGAACATCTTAAGTTGCCATGTTCGAGTCAGGCGTCGAGATTAGGGATAGCCTTATTATTATACTCGCATTGTGGTTCATCTACGAAGAGCCGAGGCGTGTGCGGCGGTGTCTTGTCTTCAGACTCTGCCTCCCCCTGTCCCGTCTCATCTAAGATGAAACGCGACGTGCGGGCGCATGAAGCATCAAGGAGAACTCCACCGAAGAGCTAGCGACATTGGTGGTGTTCACTGTTTGCCGAGATCCCCCTTTTCGTCCCTCGTCTTGAAATTAATCCATTAAAAACTGACATGCTCCTGTCTCAAGAGTCAGGACGGGGAGGCCTGTTCGCAATTTATGGCGGTTAAGAGAATCAGATAGTACAAGAGGCGAAGAGACGAATACAGCTGAAAGGACTCGACTAGACCGAAAGCAGCATCGCTGAATTTTGTCGCAATTTTTTTTTAAGCTTTGGGGGTTTCGCAGATCGTGTTTGGTCCGGTTGGTTGAGGCTCAGTGGGCTCTGTGGGCATTGTAGGCATTCCGGCGCGCGTCGATGCGGGTTGCGTACCGATGTTTATGCGCAGCAAAGATTGGTGATCCCTTTTTAATGCGTTGAATGAGATGGGAGATGGTGTCGCGTGAGAGAGCAGAAGACCATCATTTACTACTTGTCGTTCGGATGGCAGCCAAATGTGTAATCCCCTCACCAGAGGAAGATGCTGTTTCGGAATTTTGGTGTTTGGAGGATGACTAAAGAATTTGGTCTCCTTGGAGTTACGTGTATTCATGACGCCACAGTAACGTTTTGGGTCTGGCTCGCTGCGCCTCGTGGTCTTGAAGGAACCGGCCGACTTGTGGCTGCGGCGGGCACTGCAGGACTGATGAAATAATTGGAGAGAATTGGCGTCGAGGCTTGCAGGCGGCCCCTGGGGGGAGGGGGGCGGATGAGTGTGGCTTGGGAGCTGTTCCAAGGAACCTAGCTGGACGGCGACAAGACAAACAAGGCAGACGAGCATGTCGAATTGAATGAGCTCAATCATGGAGAACAGACGGAAACAGGTTTGCAGGCAAGGAGAGTGGCACTGGCAGTGCTGTATAACGGCACGATATAATTCATACCTGATATTCAAGGTTGAAAGTGGTAGGGCGGACGCAGAGTCAGGCAAGGCGGAATGTAGGTATTGCATCATGGACTTCTGCCGCTGCCTGTGTTGCAGTAATAGATTGTTTACGACGATATCTCTTGGCAGGGCTGTCCAGAAAACTGGATTCGCCTTTGGTTTTATGTACCCTTGTGTTTTTGGGTTGAATACGATAGAATATACGATATATTCCCCATGCCCCTGGCTTCTTGTCTTGGCTCACGGCATATGATAACCACAACAGAACAGAAGAAACACACAACCCATGCTAGTTGGAAATTGTAGGAAAAATCTCAGAAACAGGAAGAAAAAAAGGTTAATAAAAAACCACTCGTGCTGCTTGTAATATCCGCAGTGGAGGTTCTTCCAAACGACATCCACCGAAGCCCAGAGACTCGCCCAGTAAACGGCCACTGAGAAAAGCCGCTAAGAGGGTCCCTCAACGAAGTTCAGCGGGTGTAAAGGCCTAAGGCTACTCCGTACAGTGGGTGTGTCCACTGAGGCGACTGTGGTGCGAGTGGAAGTTTGGGAAAAGGTACCTCGGTCATAGCCGTCATTAGCGGAGAAGTCAAAGTACCCGAACCTGGAGAAGAGGGAAAATTGGATTCAAGGGACGGGAGGAATCAGGAGGGAAAAGATTCAATGGACCTTGCCAAAAAAAGAAAAAAGCTACATCCACCGTCACCAAACCTTACCCGGTCGCACAAGTACCCCCCTTATCGACCATGATCCCCCCGTCCTCCACCCTGGCTGCTTCCCCCTGGAGCCACCCAAACTGCTGTCGCCTTCTGCATCCTCCATCTGGGCTTCTGCCGGATAAGTTACCATCTGCATCTGCATCTTTCTGTCATTCTTTCATTTTTCTTCTTCTTGGGCAAATCCCATCTCCCTCGCTTTCTGACACCAACACACCAACAGCTGTGTCCAACACACAGCTCCCGCGCCCGCGCGTTCGACTCTATCTCACCTCACTCTCCTCTTTGTGCCCCTCAGCCGGAGAACGTCGAGCCACGGGCCCTGATTTTGTCTTACCTGCTTTCTTGACAAAGACCACCGCCAACTTGGCCCCCTTTCACTGTCGGCTTGTCGGACCTTTTTTTTTCCCTCTACCCACGTTATTTCATACCGGTGCCGTTCTCCCCCCACACCGCACACCGCAGAGCTCTCTGGTGCAATTGTGACGCGACCGCGATCAAGGCGTCCCGGCAGCACACACTCAACTTACCCAACCGCCCCTTGTCAGCCACCGGCGAATCGACGGATCTTCTCCTTTTGCGCGGACCCTTTTGGGTTTTTTTATCGCAACATACACCAAACGACGCACAATCCTCCTCGTCGCCGCCTCCGGCGAGTTCCAGCCGCCCACCATGGCAAACTCGTAAGCTTGCCCCTGTCACCTGCCTTGGCTATCTGCGCAAAGCGCCCATCGCTCGCCGCGTGGACTGCTAACCTTGCTGTCGATAGATTTAGTACTGCCTTGAAGTCGTTCTGGCACACAATGACGACGTACGACCGACGTAAGCTGCTCTCCCTCAGCCAACACAAACGCGCCGCCGTTGCTGACCACAAACCCGCTGCCTAACAGACTCGTCATTTGACTCGCCCCAACGAACCGGTCGCCACGTTCCTCTCCGCGATAACAGATCTGGAATGCTCACCGGTGTCGCCACTGCTTCTGACTCTCGCGCCGACGTTTCCAACCCCTACTTCGACGAAAACGCCTCCTCCACCCGATACGAAGGCCATGGCGGCTCGTCCACCCCCAACGGCTCCTACTCCCCTGGCCTGCGCTCCTCGGTCGCCAAGCAGGCCAATGCCGACGGCTTCGAGGTTCAAGGCCAGGGCGATGTCCAGATGCAGGCATTTTCCGACGGCTTGCCTCCGCCTCCTCCCGTACAACACTCATGGCACCGCATAGACTCCTGGGCTGAGGAGAACTACTTCGAGCTCTTTGACCAGCTTGGCGAGGGCTGCACCATCAACGACCTCAACGACCTTGAACACCAGCTCGACTGCTCCCTCCCTCAGGATGTCCGCGACTCCCTCATGGTCCACGATGGTCAAGAACGCGGTGGCACACCCACCGGTATCATTTTCAGTGGTATGCTCATGGATGCCGAGGAGATTGTTCAAGAGTGGGAGACTTGGAGACGCGTCAACGAGCAGTACTTGTTAGACGCTGCCAACAACCGCCCTGTTCCTCGTCCCTCCAGCCAGGACAACGGTGAGAGCTCATCGCGTCAGCGACCTCCTTCTTCCTCGTCCAATCCCGACGCCTGGCAAGAAAACCTGCTTCAGAAGCAGGATTGCGTGCCCCCCAACAGCATTCGAAAGGCTTACGCGCATGCCGGCTGGATTCCCCTTGTTCGCGACTGGGGTGGCAACAATTTGGCTGTTGACCTGGCGCCTGGTCCTGCTGGCCGTTGGGGTCAGATTATCCTCTTTGGCCGCGACTATGACACCAAGTACGTAGTCGCCCGTTCATGGGGCGCCTTCCTTGCCCTTATCGCCGACGACCTCAACTCGGGCAAGTGGTATGTCGACGAGGATACCAACGAGCTCAAGCTTCGAGAATTCAAGGAGACCCGCATCGAGCCGTCGTACTTTAACATCTTGCGATGGCGCATGGATCAAAAGCACGGCCGCCGTGCCGCTGCTGCTGCCGCTGGCAAGAGGAGGTCTATGGCATCCCCCAAGGCTGGATCGCCCCTCGGCAGCCGGTCTGCCTCGCCGTACATGAGCCCCGTGGACGGACCCAACGGCGACGCGCGCGGTCGGTCTATGCAGCGGCCGAAAGCTTCGTCGCCGCTGACAAGTCCTGGGCGTCGCGGATTTGGAAAGCCCCCGCCTCTGAGTAGGGTGACAGAGGAGATGGTGATGCCCATCCTGCGCGACGCCGAGATTGAGCCCTCGACGCTTGTCGAGGTGGACGAGGAGCCCGACTCACCTGGAAGCAGCAATGGCCTCAAGAGCCCCGTCAGCGCGACGACGAGTACACCGCTGACGAGCCGGCGGCGCGACTCAAATCTGACGCGAGACAAGGAAAACGAGCCTCCGAAGGCCAACGGCAAGCAGCCCGAGACTGTCGACGGCGCGATGAAGACGATTGAGATTTGAAGTGTACAGATAGAAGCAGCATATTGGGAGGGGGCATTGAACAGTACGATTGCATGACTTGATGTGCCCCGCGGCACAGGCATACTACATACGCCTCCAGCCCGGGGGTTCAGTACCGACTGCTCTTTTTTCTTTCTTTTTCTTTCTTAGTTGGCGTTTACGGTGTCGCTTTCTTACCCTGGGAGGTGATCCATTCGTACCTCGTTTATTTTTCATTATTTTTATATTTAGTACAGTGGCCTGGCAAGACTGGGAAGGACATGGACAAGGCGATTTTACACGCAAGGGGGTATACACGAGCGGCGAATATATCTATCACGTGTGATACACTGGGTTGAGCTCTGCCGCGGACTTGCATTGATTTGTATGATATGGACAGTGGCCGAGGGTTACACAGCCTGTACAGTACAATACGTCTGTTTCGCTTTGGTGGTTTGCACTGGTGCATGTTAGACAGGTGCCTACGTACCTATGCTGCGCATAAGCAGGGGCCAGCTGGCGGCCGTGGCCAGCCTGCAGCTGTAGCCGAGACAGTTTATCAACTTGCATGTCCTCGTAGCCCGATGCATGGGGGGGGGTCGAGTGCTGGTGTGGAACCGTCGGCGGCTATTCGACGCAGCGGATTCGCGATGCGATGCTGGTGCGAGTTTGACGACGCGCCCACGCTAATGCGGCTTGTTGTTATTGGTCACTAATTCTCTCTCTTTTCATGCTGACGAGGTAGGGTCAATGATTGGGCTTGAGCGGTCACGGATAGGATGCGAAAGAAACGCCCCCGTTGGCGTCAGATGAGTCCAGACGGGACGGCGGCGGACGGCTGGGACAAGACGCTGCCCGTTGAATGTTCGGAACTGGTCGGGCGGGCGACACCAGATCATCGAGGAGGCGGTTATTCGGCACGAATAAGACGAAGCTGACCGAGCATGTTTGGATTGAAACCGCACAAAACATCTTCCAAGTCACAAAGATACTGCATCCATAGATGAATGAAGAAGTCACTGATATTTTGTCTCTGATAATTTAGTATACCCAGTCATCTCGTCCATCAAACGATGATACCCATGATACCTTCAGGTATATGCAAACGAAAGATATATACATGAAATCGGCTGCTTCGCGAAACTAGCGCTAATGATTGTCTTCGGCCACTCATACAAACACCGTATGCAGATTGCACCTAGTTGGCCTCCATGCGGAGAGCGTGGCGCATAGCGCGCTTGCCCATGGCGGCAGCCATCTTGAGGTCGGCAGACTCGCCCGGCGTGCAGGAAATGCCGATAGGCAGGCCCTGGGAGGCAGACCAGGTGCCGCTGGCGCAGCGCTGGAAAGACTGGCCGCCAATGCAGTTCCAGTAGCCTTCGGTGGAGCAGGCAGAACCGGGAGCGTGGCCGTCGCCGCCGGCTCCGCCGGTAGGAACAGGAGCGGGAGCGTTGCTGCTGACAGTGGGGATGGGGTTCGGGGAAGCAGAGGTAGGGACAGAAGTGGGAGCCTGGACCGGAGCAGAAGTGGGAGCCGGCGCGCTGGGGCTGAGAACCGGCGCGGAAGGAGAGTTACCACCGCTGGGCTTCTGGGAAGGCACGGGCTCGGGCGACACCGAGGTGGGGATGAAGATGCCACCGGGACGGCTAGAACCAGGAGCGCCGCCGCCGTTAGTAGGCACAGCCGGGCTCGGCTTGACAGAGGTAGGCTGAGCAGGGGGGGCGGAGGCGCTGGTAGGCTTGGGGGCATTGCCACCACCCGGAGCAGACGTAGGGCTGTTACCACCACCAACAGCAGTCTTGCCACAGGAGCCCTTGGGAGGAGCGAAAACACTGGTTGCGCCGTTGAACTGGTCAACGTCCTTGCCAGCGTCGGGGAACTTGACATCGGTGCCCTCAGAAACCGAGCATCCGTTGCCAACATTGGCGACCAGCATGTCAGGAAGACCGTTCATGAAGCTCTGGGAGCCGGCGTTTCCGGTAACAGCCAGGGGAGCACAGTTCATGTACATCTCGCGGTTGCCGACCTTGTTGAACCAGGTCCAGGCAAGCGTGTAGTTGCCGGCAGCCAGCTCGTTGGGAATGGTGAAGTCGTACTTGTAAGGGACGGGGGCATTGGCGTCGCTGCCCATGTTGCCAGTCTGTCCCTTGGCGGGGCATCCACCTTCGATGGACTTGATGACCTTCCAGACGGAGTTCTTGGTGGGCTTCAGGTCGGTAGTGACGGAGACCTGGCAGGAGCCACCACCGTGGACAGCAGTTCCCTTGAACTCGAGAGTCTGCTTGCTGCCCTGGGCGTAAACGTTGCTGGCACCCTCCTCGTTGTAAACACCAGAGCGCTGCTTGCAAGGGAAATCGGCACCGTTGGCCGCCATGGGACCGTTGCTGAGACTGGATCTGCCGAAGGGCACAGGGTTGGTCATGATGATGTGGGCGCTAGCGACGGTGGCCAGGCCGGAAAGGGCGATAGACTTGACAAGCATGGTTGCTGTTTTCGCGTGGAAAGATGTGCAAAAAGGGTGGTCGTACAAAAAGTGCGTCGAATGATTGTGTAGAAAGTTGGTAGCTTAGGGAATGTAAGAATCCAGCGTGCCAGACGAAGATTCGGTGATAGTTGCGGTCTCTTGAGTCTGGGATCAGAGCGTTTGGCAGCTTTATACATAGCAGTCATGTTAGTAAGGTGATGACGCATTTCAAACAATTACGCAATGGGAGGAAAGGGTATTTATTGTGCGTATGCCTGTGTTTGCAGTGTCTGCATTCACCAGAGCTCAAAGGCGGGAGTCGTGCAAAGCTGTGCCTGCAGTGTTTGGCAAACGACACCATCCCTCTGCACTGATGGAAGAAGAAAAACTTACAAAGACTAGCGACTGTAACTGAAGATACAGACTGCACTTTTGAAGAAAAGATCACGTTCTTTCGGGGGTATTGGAAGAGGTAACTGGCGCCAGGCGTGTTACTGTAAAATGAGGGTGGTGTAGTGAAAGGCGAAGCAAAGGTCTAGCCTGTAAAGAAGAATAGAAAAAAGGGCCAAGGAGCTCCTTCGGGTGAAAGAAAGGACTGTGATGAGCGAGTCTGATGAAGAGAAAAGACAGGATGAGATGGAGCGGCAGCAGGAAGCTCTTATACGAGAATGGTGCTAAGCACATACCACCATGTCGAGGCAGCGGAGCCGATGCACGACAGACAGACTGACGGATGGGATGGACAGACTACAGACAGGGGTCCAAAAGAAACAACAGACAGACAGGGAGCGACCGAATTACCAGGCTAGAACGTCAAGCGGCGAGGTACGGAGCAGAATCCACTGGCTGATGGACAGCCAAGAGGAAACAGGCCATGGTTCATGGGTGGTGGCAAGGTAAGGGACGAGAGGGACGAGAGGGACGAGAGGGACGAGAGGGACGAGGGGACAAGAGACGGCAGTGGTTGGACGGTCGTCTGGCAGATCGTCTCCTGGCGATCCAACGCTGGGCGAGGACGCAGGTACAAGTGCAATGGTGTGGCGAAGAGTTGAAGCTGGCTGTGCGTGCGTAGTATGGTGTGAGTTGAGTGGCGTGTGAGTGAGTGACTGTGTAAGTGGATTGGGTGGCGTGGAGACAGAATAGGAAAGAAGAAGAGTGACATGGAGGCAGGGGTCTGTCTGTCTGCCCATGACTCCAGTCCATGGACCGACGACAGGCAGACTCCAGTGCGTCCCTGCGAGTTTCGAATCAACGGGCCGGTAGGTGTGTGGACACGCCTTGGCTCGTTGCCCCTGTTCAGTCCAAGAAGAAAAAGGCTCCGTGAGGATGTGAGGATGGATGGCCATAGGCTGGCGGTGCGGTTTCAGAGCCTCAAGCCAATGTGCACCAAGTGGGCTCGGAGGAGACGTCGAGTCTTGTCAGGGGACCATATTCCATCTCAAGGGCAAGACTGACAGCCTTTTGCATGGGCTGTCAGGGTGCGTTTTGTGATGCAGCACGGGAAAATGTGAGTCGGTAGTATTCAATACAATGCAATTTGGTCTGCATTGTTTTTCTGAGAATTCTGAGACCAATTCCACGACTTTTGCCCGCTCGTAACCTTTTTCTGGTGCTGATACATCTATAACTCGCAAAATCGATATGTCGGACACTTGGTAGGGATCGGCGGAGGCAAGGGGGTGAGCGCATGACGTGGGGAACAAGACAACCCCAGCCCAGCACAACAATGCGGTTAACTTCAATCTGTAGCCGAGCTGGGGCGTGTCGACTGGCTAGCGGCCGCCGGTGAATAGACGATGAGCGATGGCTGTCAAGTCATGGTGATGATGATACCGATACTGATGTTCGTGCAAACGGAGGCTCGGATGCCCTAAGTGACTGGACACCAATGGCTTCCTTAAGGACCAGAGAATCGCTTACAGTATGGGTGTTACAGAACGATTGCTATGAAGCAGATCAAGGCGCCGCGTCATTCATTGTTGCTGATGGCTGGATGACACAAGAGGTTGTGGCAGTGGTTGGTGGCCAATGAGCTGGATGGTGTTGATGGGACTGGTGGAAGCGAGCAAAGGAGGGAATAATAAAGTTGGAGCCCCTCCTCAGCCCAGGCAGCCCAGAGCCAGCCAGCACGAGGAATGGAGACCGCTATTGTGATGCCCCGTTTTTGTATGTTGACAGCCTACCAGTATCCTGGTTCACCACCAGCATCTTCAGCATCCCAGGTTCTATGCAACCGTTTTGATGTTGATAACGCTGCTCAACGGTTCGAGATGCGACATGCATGCATCCTCGTCCCAACGAACGAACGTCTCATCCCGGAAAAGCCACAGCGACTACATGGTCAATCAGTCGAGTCCTGCGTGACTGCTCTGTCACGTCGAGACGGCCGTCTGTTAGCGGTAATTAACAGAAGGGTTTATTATTATTACTCTTTTTTCCAAAGGGAAAGAAGTACAGAAAAAAAATATTCATGCAACAGATTAATAGTAAAAAAAGAAAACAAAAATTTCAATCACATCCTTGCTTTTAATTCGAGGATACCACAACTGCGGGCTCTAATCCTCCTTCATCACAGCCTTACCACTTATACTACTGATGGCGCATACTTTCAAGAAATTGGATACAGACTTTTCACTGATTCCCTTCAGTTGCCCTCCAGTCTCTTCTCTTATAAGCACGATACTTGTGGCCATCTTATGCGTCTCCTGCGAGTAATGCCCAGCCACATGTGGCCCCTGTGCAATACCCGACTATGCCGCTGCTTGCATCACGGTTCGCTTTCAAAGCAAAGCAAATCTCCCACAAAAAAAAAAATAAAGCTGCCTTTACCACCTTTTATTACTTCATTCATCGTCAGTTTATGCGTTGATTATGTAACTCCCGACGACTCGAAACATGTTTTGATAACTTAACCACACCGCACATTCACTGGGCTCGCAAACAGCTACCGTTGAAACCAACCACGCATTACCAAGCCGAGGTGATTCACAACCCGAACTGCAAACACCTCGCTTCTACAGCTTTCCAGCACAAGGGCTATTGTTTCTCGGCTCTTCAATCCGGACTTGCTTTTTTTTCTCCTCCTCGTCGCAAGGCATGCAGGGGTCGCCTCAGTGGCGTCTCTAGTGTAGTTTGGGGTTGGAAGCATGCGCACGTTGAATATAGGCCCTGCCCCTGTCCTTTCGACGTTGCAACCTGTCAAGCCACCACAGGAATTTTATCCTTATAGTTTTATTATTCATTTATTACTTTTTATCGTTTTTGACTTTTACTATTACTCTTCGACGCGTAGTTGCTGTCTGGCTGGCCACATCAGCTCCGGGCTGACTTGCTCTGCTGAAACCCGTCCGAGTTTCAGATCACATCCATCATTTACTCTTTTGAGCAGGTACTTACAGAGGGGTTACGTCAAGTTAATTTTGTTGATTAATATCGGCATCCTCAGGTCGCACAATCTCTTTCTAGAAATAATGTCAGTTCAAATGTATAATGAAGAACTCTCCTACACTGTGGCCTTCCGGTGGCTTCACCGTGGCGGTCTGTTAGCCTCCATCCACGGCGGCTACACAGCCTGCCATGCCTCTCCTCGGACAACTTCTTTTGCACGGTTCGTTCTAGATTAAACACACGCAAATTCCGTCCCGTATCTTTCCTTACTGCGGGCGGCCACGCCGCAACATCATCAACCCAGTTGCCGACTCTCTGTACTGCGTACCGCCGGCCATCTCGCCCGGCCCATCCATGTCCAATCCCTCGAACCTACACCCTTGTTCATTCTGTTGAGGCGAGAACTTATTTCCGGAAGCGCTTAGTCCGTAATTGGTCGCTCCCATACAAGACCAAGGCCGGGCTCGCATAACAGGCCGCGGGCCAACGACATCTCACGCGCACCAGCCCAACGTAAGCATGATATCGTAATAGCCATGATTCCAACATCTCACCCCGTGTTTTTCAGCATGTCCATACGTGGTCTCGCCCAGCAATGAATCTCGGCGCAAACAGACGTCTGCCGTCGTACAATGGGCCGTGGCGATGGAGCTGCTCGGGCGATCATACACCCCGTGGCCCACGAATCCTCGGTCCCGACTCCCGCGTGGTCGCATCAGTTCATGCTATAGCCTGACGAACCTATACTGTTACAGTCCTGTTTAATTAAACAAATGCTTCTCTGCGCTTGCCCCTCCTTTGCTGTTTCCCGAGCCCTTCCCTGGCCCGTCCGTCGTTCGCACCGAGGGCAAACGTGGTGCCCAACACCACCAAGTAGAATCATAATTTGTTCATTCTCGGGCTTTGTGTAATAATCCTGAAAGATTCGTCAAATAAAGTACATCAACTTTGTCTCAGGTGATGATACAACGTTGCGTTAAGAGTAGGCGTTCCGCTGTAGATTGGGGTTAATTTATTTGGAGTCATCTATGACAGACGCCACCAATCTATTCTGTCAAGTACAGCCCTGTAATTCTAATTCTAATCAAAAATTTCAATCAAGACGCCTGCATCCACCAGGTCCCCCTGCTCATCACCCAACCCATCCATCACTCCTTGATGTCTCCCTCACAGTATCCGTTGCGCGTCCACAGCTTCATCCTGTCCCTCTTAAACTCCTCAAAATCCCACTCCCTCATCTCCAGCTCCTTTGGGCGCAGGTAGACGTACGTCTTGGTATCGACCTCCTCCTCTCCGTCCTGCGCCTCCGCACCGCCGCCGCCTTCGCCGCCGCGGTCCAGCCGCACACGGACCGTGTCCAGCCGGTACTCGCTCCCCTCGTAGTCGTCTAGCCGCTTCATGTTGGCTGACGTCAGCCCCGTCACGTAGACGCCGCGGACCGAGTGGCCGCTCTCCGGGATGATGCCCGGGTAGTCGGCGTACTGCACCCGGTGCCGGCAAAAGTCGTGGAGCACCGCGGGCGTGAAGCTGTGCAGCGCCTGGATGGCCGCCGGCGGGGCCTTGGTGCCGTAGCACACGCTGAAGAAGACTTCGGGCGCCATCTGTGGTCCTGGAAGTTAGCATTGTATTGCTGCGGTATCAATTTCGCAAACGCACCAGCGTGCCTGGGAGTATGTTAGCTGTTGAAACGGCGCGTTTGACGGGCATGCTTGCGTACCGTAGAAGAAGCCGGTAAGATCGCCACTCATGTTGGGCACTGAGTCCTGATGATGGATGAATACAGAAGTACCGTGGATGAAAATGCCCAGGTGCTGTTTGCTACGAGATTTGTCTTGCCGAGAGGTGGTGATGCTGTGAGTTGGCTGATGCCTAACCACTCCATTTATGGGCCGGGACGCCTTCCGATAATCGCACGCGGGGTAGCGGCGATGGAAAGCCGCTTTGTGGCCACAACAAAGCAACTTGGAGACTCTTTGTATCTCTTTAGTGTGACGCCATGTATGATAGACTCGGTGGCATTGATTGGCTGATAAAGGTTTCTCGCAAGACACTGGCGGATGTTGTGCCTGTCCTGTCATTTGATGCGGCCTTGCGGACAGAATAAACCTACCCTAGAGGGACTTTCCATTTCTGACCGCTTCACTCAGTATCATTTTATCTAATTTGATTCTTCCAAATTTGAAGCCTTTTTAAATAAAAGAGACAATCATTTAAAACCCCAATGAAACCCCGAATTAGTTAGGCAAAGGGTGTAGATGCCCCTCCTAAAGACTATGTGAAGCCGTTCAACAACATTCCGTGAACGAACAGACAAGAGTTTTGCAACTCTTAACATAGAAATACAGTTTTAATCTTCAATGTCCTGTTCCATGTCCTCACCTCCCTCACCTCCCTCCTTTCCCTTCTGTTCGCTACCCTTCTTCCTCGGCCGCAGCCACTCCTCCATGCCCGGCGGCCAGTACACGCGATTCTCCGGCCCTCCCATGCCCAAGTCCTCCGCGGCCACGACATCCACCTCCTCTCCATCAACCGCTCCCATTCCATTCACCCCCCTCTTTGCCGCCGCCGCCGCCGCCGCCTTTTTCGCCGCCGGCCTGGGCTCGTCGTCGTCGCGCTCGTACGGGACGACGTCGTTGGCCCGCTGCCAGCCCGGCAACCTGTACGTGCGCATCAGCTCAAACACCGCCTGCTCCTTGTCCTTGGCCTCGATCATCAAGTCCACCCCCGGCGGGCACGGCGGCAGCGCCCTCACCCTCGCCGCATGCTTCCTGCGCTCCCGCGGCGTCACCGCCGCCGCCGTCTGCTCGCTGTAGTGCATCTTCTGCGTGATCCCCTTGCGCTTCCACGTCGCCTCTATCCGCGGGTACAGCCCCGCCAGGTCCGCCGTGCCCTCGCGCACGCTCCCCGCGTCGAACACGATGTTGTGGTGGTGGTAGTCCAGCACCAGCGGTATGTCCAGCTCCTCGCACACCGGCAGCAAGTCGTGCACGCTCCACGCCACGTCGTCGTTCTCCAGCACCAGCCGGCGCTTCACCCCCTGCGGCAGCTTGCTGTAGTTGTCCCGGAAGCGGTCCAGCGTCGCGTCCTTGTCGCCAAAGGTGCCGCCCAAGTGCAGGATCATGACGGCGTCGCGGTCGAGCTGCGGCGGCAGCCGCAGCAGCGACAGCATCTCGTCGTGGTACGCCAGGTCCCGCAGGGACGCCTCGATGACCTCGCGCCGCGGGCTGCCGAGCTGCGTGAACTGGCCCGGGTGCGTGGTCAGGCGGTGGCCGAGCGCGGCGGCCACGCGGCCGGCCTCGCGCAGCGCGTCGGCGGCGAACGGCGCCAGCGCGTACCCGTACTCGGCGTGGCTGGCAAAGGGGAACATTTCGCTGCTGAGGCGCAGGAAGCGGATGCCGTACTTGTCGTTCCAGCGCAGCATCTTGACGATGTCGCGGGCGTTGGCGAGGCCGAGGTTCTGGACGAAGCGGAGGCCGAGCGCGGCGTCGGCAGGCTTGGACTTGTCGGGCCGGTTCTTGGTGGGGTGCTCGGGCTGCGAGGGGTCGGTGAGGGGGTGCCGGTGCTCGAGGATGGACGCGATGCGACAGGTCCGGGAGGAAAAGACGGGCGGGTTTGCGGTGCGGAGATAGGTATTCAAACAGGCCTGCTTGCAGGTCAGTGATGGGGCGCGCGTGGTCGATAACTGCGATCATCTTACATAGCCTAATCTTCCAGTCCATGGTAAAGGTAATACATCACTGTTGACTGGCGGAGGGCGTCTGGCACCTCGCTCGAGAGACGGCGCTTCGTCATTAGCAGCCTCGTTGTCCAGACCCGAGTCCTCCTGTGGCTTGAGAGTAGCGCGTGCTTTTGTGCGCTTCTTGACAACTTTGACCTCTGATTTAATTTCTGGAAGAGCCTCGATATTTTCTTCTTTCACTTTCTGGGTAGATCGACGTGGGAGTTTGCGACGCGTCAATTCACGACTAGATACAGCCGTTTCAACGACAGCCGCCTTTCGCTTCAGTGCCATAATCGAGAAATATGCGCTGAATAGCCGCGAGGCTGCTGGGTTTCCAGATGCAATGATGTTGCGACAACGATGTATGATGCGATGCAAGGGTTGCATGTGATGTTGTAGACGGGTGCGCCGCTGTTTGCTGAGGATGTCACAACGAGGCTGACAAGCTGTTCGTTGATTAAATAATGGCAGCTTTGTCTCGCGGGAAGGGAGTGTAGATACAGAGACGGAAACTTGCATGAAAAAATCCAGCCCCCTACAAGGATGAAGGATATCGAAATGTGAAATCCACTGCGCAATCTCGGCCGTCATTGTCGATGTTGACTTATGGGTCAGATCTGGCACCCCACCAAATGGCGATGCAATCGGAGGCTATTTTGTCATGGCCCAGCGTTTAAAACCAATACAACCCTGCCCGTATTTTTCCTGCTCGGAGTGATGAATGTATCTTATCATCAGTTTTTTCAAACAACAAAAAAACAAAAAAATAAAAAAGAGAAGCGCCAAAATATCAAGTAGCTAGCTGCCTGCCTTTGCCGCCGTGCGCGAGATCGATGACGATCATTATGTGGAGCCTGGACATCTCGCGCCCTGGCGACAAACGGGAAACAAAATAAACACCCTTGTAAGAAGCATCAGCGAGCATTGTCATTTTTAATAAAGTAAGCATTCTTCCGGTCACAATCGTTCTACATAAATCAGCGCACTCAATATCAACTATCCCCATCACAAACTTGCGTCAGATCCGTGTCTCCCAGCTCAGTGCTCGCAGAAGCTGAAATCGATCGCCTTGAGCTCGCGCACAAAATTCTTCTGCTCCGTACTCCGCTCTGCCATCAGCTCCTCCCTGATCCTCCTGGCCTCCTCCAACCCGTACGGAAAGTCCACGTTGTCCAGCACCATCTCGCCCACCTCCGCCGGAACCCTCATCCCGCGCCTCACCAACTCCTCGCCCGGCCACCAATCGCGCTGCTGCGGCGGCACGTTGGCCGTCGAGATCACCTGCACTTTCGGATCGACCAGGAATAGCGCCAGTATCTTGCGGTGCCCGGGGCGCATCGGGTCCGCCAGCGCGAACGGCTTGACGCGGTGCAGGTACAGGTTCGGGAAGAAGAGCGCGCGACCCGCGCGCGTCGTCACGGCGCCGACGTCCTGCAGCGTGCTCGCCTCGTGCGACTGCTCAACGGCAAAGGTGCGCGCAATGGAGCGGATGTCGTTTTGCTCGTACTGCAGTTCGCTGCAGAGCTCCTCGGCGTCCGCCGCCGTTCGCAGCGACAACTGCGACTCGGTGATGTTGTCCGTGTCATAGTAGTATAGTGCGGTCGCGACGATGTGCTCGTTGTGCTGGCCCTCGATGTGCCAGCTGCCGCCGTTGTAGCGCGGCTTCTCGGGCGTGAGGTGGATGTTGGCCAGCTTGACGATGACCTGTAGGCGGCTGGCCGACTCGAAGAAGCCGCTCGTCTTGACCTCGTCCTTGTAGGCCTCGGTGTTCGGCGGGCCCGGCGAGGCGTCTGGAAGCTTCGGTGGATGTGTCTCAGTAAACCACTTGTCATCGAGCTGCGCACGATCGGAATCTTCATAGTCCCCGTCGTCCTCTTCATCCTCTTCCCTTGCGGCCTCGCCCTCCTCCACGGGCCGGCGGGTCGGGTGGCAATACGACCCGCAGAGTTCTGGAACAGTGCAGTCAGGTCCAACCTCCATCGTCTGCAGACGCTGATACCGAAACTCCTCTGGCCAGCGATAGACGTAATCCCAGGCAGGCAAGGACTTGGTGATGAACTCCTCAATCACGGGGTACAAGTCTTTATGCTTGACTGGGTGTAGGTTGTTGATGTAGCTGGTGATGCGTGCCTTGCCGTCCTGGTTGACCTCGACATTGCACGGTAGCCACTGGAAGTTGATGGATGTCGCGGCCACGTCGCGGTCGTTCCAAAAGAGGGCCCTCTTCTTCTCGCTCGCGTGTGGCTTCGGGATCACCTCGCCAGCTCCGACGAAGCTAATGCAGTTCTCCAAGTTGATTTCAAAATCGGGCATGATCCTTGTCTTGCCAAACACCAATGGCCAGAGAGATGGGTGAACGAGGTCCAGGACCTTCTCGTCGCTTCCCGGGTGCCAGTCCTTGGCGGACTCTGGGACATTTTCCAGAGGCTTTACGTGCTCGATAAGCTTCCTAGTCAGATCGGCGTCCATCAGACTGTCCGACTTGAGGACGCAAGCCGAGTAGTCAAAGACGGGAACCAAGCCAGTTTCCTCATACATTTTTGCTTTCATGAGTAGCTCCTCGATGCACTATGCACCGCGTCAGCAAAGCAGTCATACTAAAGGCCGCAAAATTCTAGAGACTAACCGCGTCTGCCATGTTTGCTGTAAAGTCTGCGTGCTCATGAAACTGATTCCAGGGCATCACCAGCATCTCCGCCTTCCACTTTGCCGCAATCTCCGGATCGCGGACCTTGCTCCACCACTCCGGCTTGTTGGTGAGGCTCTCGACGGCCTGGAGCATGCAGTACTCGCGGATGAGAAGGGTGTCCGCCTTCCAACCCTCTTCCTTTTCTGCAACGAGAACGGGAAACTGAGGGTCGTCTTCACCCGGTGCTTGAAGCGAGATGCCCATGCCGTAACCGGGAAGCCTGATCTTGCCGGTGTGCGGCGGGGTGGCGGGCTCGTCGGGCGGCGGCGACGGAGTCCAACGGCCGCCCATTTCAGGCTTCTTGGTAGCGTACACCTCGTCGATCATGCCATTGACAAAGTTGGTGGTCCAAGATTCTGAGAATTTGATATTTAGAAAGTCGTTGGCTTGATGAAAGGTTGGCCGAGTATGCCAGGAAAAACGATCAATCCATTCCGTGAAAACCTTCTCCTGGTCTGGTGTCATTGAGTTGTTGGACCACATGTTTTCTTCTGCGGTGTGCCTTTTTTCGTATTGATTGGTAGTGTTTGATTGGCTGAGTAGCGAGTGTCCTGTCGAGTTTCTTCAAGTCATTCAGAGACAAGACATTAGGGCCTATTTATGCCTCTGATGAGTGCGGGAGAATGTTTAGCGGCCCCTATCATTCAGCCCCCCCGCCCAGTTCTGCCTAGCAGGCTGCTCTTGGCGGAGAGGTAGAAGTGCAGTTAACGTTATAGACCAGCATCAGGGGTAGTACTTGTTAGCTCATTACTTCATACCAAATCGATATAGCGTTGTGGCTCTAAACTGCCTAATCGAGGGGGCTTGGCTTCCGGTTGCCGAGCTTCTGGTAACAGCACCAGTACATGTGCATAGAACGGTGGTCAAGCGTGAACTTGTTCACAAATTTAGTGCTGTAACTGCCGAGCTATCAATTACTGGAGTCTGTCACGGACCTATACAGTAAACTTCAGATAGAGGATACGAGGGATGTTCGGCCTCATATTTTGGCATTTCTACTCGATCTATTGAGGTAGGCTGGCTGTGGCCGAGCGTTAGCCACTGGACCCTTCTAACAACTGTGAATCAAATGGAACAGCTAGGCAACAGACCTTGAGTTTATGCGTCCAGTATACGGAACGGCGTTTGTGCGTTACGCCAGCAGTCATCCGCGAAAAGTCCCCTTCCTCACTCATCTGGCGGGAAAGAATAGATTTTTTCGACGAGATGTTGAACTTTGAAATATTCCGCCCTCATCTGATGTGGGGATGAGGCTAGGCACCAGGACGCAGGGGTAAAATGAATGTGAGTCGGACCCCTGTCGCGACGCCAATCGCGAGTCGCGACATGCCATCGATTTCGCGACTTCGCAATGTAACATGAGATATGGCAATGAAGATGGAAATAGTTGAAATATCATCCGACGAGGAGGATGTTCAAATCCCACCACCACCATCTCAATCCCACTTTGCCAAATTCGAAGACTTCACGCCCGATGATGCCGCGCCGTTCGAGGACGAGTTTGCTCGCCTCGCCGCCTCTCAGGAGTGGGTGCCCGGCTCGCAGGAGTACAAAAAGGAGCGTACCATTGCCATGCGCGCTGAAATCAAGTCGCACTTCTTCTCGCAGGAACCCCTCGCGCCCATCACCGAGGAGGACGAGCTCCGGGGCTACCAGTCGCTCTGCGAGGAGGTCGACCTGCCGCCCTACGACACCACCGAGGAGTGCAAGCGGGAGCTGAAGAAGACCCTGGTCAACATCGTGGATCTGATTGACACGCGGCGGACCAACAGGAAGGTCAAGGTCTGGCAGGATTTCCAGGCGTTTCGGGAGTACACGCTGCAGGACGGGCACACAATCAGTAGGGAAGAGGCCAGTAAGGACGGCGGCTACCTGGAGTCTCTGCTGCAGCATCTCGGTGGAGGACGTCGAAGACGAAGACGCAGCGGTAGGGGGGTGGGAAATCTCGAAAGAGGCAATGTATCGGCAGGTATCGTGAAGAGGGAGCAGCTTCCTGAAGGAGGCAACGCGTCAGCAATTGTCGGGAAGAGTCAGCAGAGCCCTCAAGGAGGCAGGGTATCAGGTCGTGTCGTGAAGAGGAAACGAGATCGCAAACGAGGCAAAGCATCGGGACCTATGGTGAAGAGAGAGCAACGTTTGGACGGAGGCGAGACATCGGAACATATGGTGAAGAGAGAGCGCCCTTCCGAAGCAGGCGGGAGATTGCAAACTCTCGTGAAGATAGAGCAAGAGTGATGGCAAACTCAGCATTGCGGTTAGCTGAAGGGCATTTCGCCGTTCGTACGCCAATAGGCCTGCATGAACCAGAGCAGAATCTCCACGCCTCCGTTTGCTTCTCACAGTTTTAGCGGCGGAAAAATCAAAATTGAGATGGAAAGTTCAAGGAAATATGTATGGCTTACCTAAGGATGTTTTCCCTAGGTACAACTCGTCTGCGAAAGTTGTGGAAGGAGAGATGACTGGTCTTTCCCCCAATTCAACTGCACAACAAAACTTGAGAGTTGATTTTCACGAGAATTTTCGTTACTTGGTCACCGTCTTGACTCTTTGAACCACGCCAAATACACGGCGTATTTGACGTTACTACCTTACAAACACCAACGCCAATGGAAAGAATCCCGGATACCCTCGTCCATGTTTTCTAAGATAGCCACCGACGGGCTACCAACCTCGCTTTCACTTTACCGCACCGGATGGCCGCCCTCGCCTGCATGTACCGCGCAACTTCATCCGCTTGTGTTAACCGAATCGAAGAGGAAATCTCTCCGTACTATGACCCAAGCCTATTCTATCCCGCTCGCCTCGGGCAAGCCCTGCAACCGGGATCGGTGGAACTCGAGATGCGACCGCAGATGCAAGCGTGGATCGCCTGTATATACTCCAACATCTATAAAGGTATGTACACAAAACAAAAAATATATACATTGTGAAGCGGAACACCTAGTCCTAATTCCTCGAGCCGCAGTTTCTTCTACTTTGGTCCATCGCCGTTGCCATACGGGCTGAAGGCGTACTGAACACCCAGGCCGGACAGCTTCGGCCCTCCATTATCAAGGAGCACCTTGGAGTTGTCGGCGGTTCCGAAATATGAGTAGCGATAAACACAATGATTATTATCCAGGAAAGGAATCGCTTTCCGGATGAAGGCACTCTGCTCATCAATAGTGCCGATGCCTTGAAACTGCAGCGGGGTTAGTGTTGTGCACCAGAAGACAACCCTATATCCTCTACTTACTTCGGTTACCCAGACCGGGCGTCCGCCACTAATCGAGCAGACATTGTTGATGTAGTTCTCAAAGTCGTGCTCGTACGCCGCGCCTCCGTACCAGTGCACCGGCACGAAGTCGATGTGGCAGCCGCCGCACTTGTTCAAAAAGTCCCGCAGCCACCCGACGCCGGCCGCCGACACTGCCGGCGCGCCGAGCTGCGCGTGGCCTGAAAACGGCTCCATGTACTTCCTCCACGCGGCGACCGCGTCGCCCACGGACAGCCGCGCCTGGTCGTCGCGGTCCGGCTCGTTGAAGGCGAGCAGGTGGCCGCTGCCGCCCTTGTTCAGCCAGTACCACGCATTGTCGAACCACTGCCGCGTGTGGTAGTCTTGTGTGCCCCAGAGCATGGGCACGTACTCTGCAAAGGTCTGCTTCTGGTTGGTGGTGCTGTCCCAGTTGTACTGCCAGTTGACCTGGGAGGGGTGGCCGAGCCAGCTGCCGCCAAACTGCCAGATGGGAACATCGTCGTTGGCCGCGAGGCCGCGCTTTGGCCACGAGTCGCAGACAGCGGGTCGGCCCGCGAGCAGCAGTGACGCGGCGAGGACGGCTCGGTGAAGGGAAAGCATGTTGTCAAGCGCTGAAGAGACTGAAAATGGCCTGTGGTAGATGCGGCTGATGGGCGAGCTGGGACAAGACACAACGCCGAGAGACACGACACTTATATACCACGGCCGAAGCTGGGTTCCATCTATCCCAAAAGTCAGGACCCCATCATACGCTCCATTTGCTTTGCGTCTTTTTGCTGCTCGGTCCGAATGAGCCTTCTCAGCAAGTAAAGCCTTCTTCCGGGCATTCTTCTCACGTTCCGAGCTATGGCTGGGCTCCCGTTATCCACGATATCCACGATACCCACGAATGGTGTCTACTATATCGCCTAGTCGCTCTAACATGGAGACAACAAGTTCTGTTAAATAACAGTAGCTGCAGACTCATCAGACTATTGCCTTGAAGAAGAGTATGTAGCGTGTTCTTGGCAAGTCTGGAACGCTCTTGGCAGTCAGGCAGGGTAAGCCTTGTCAGATTTCCGCTCAGGTACCCGGCGGGGGATCATCCTGCAGGAACGTGGGAATGTCCAGAGTAGGCAAGTTTTCTGAGTTTAGAGCCCGCTAGCACCGGATGCTTTGGAAGCAGGTGGACCGCCGGTTGCTCGCGGCTGCCCTTTGGTGGGAAGTGTGCCGAGTTATAGGGCTGGTATTGTTTGCATTGTTGCTTTATCACTCATTCTTACAGGATGGAGCTGCTTCGTAGATTATTGCCTGGCGTTGATGCTTGCCGTGACTGACGAGATCAAATCGGGTTGGGGGTTCGGCGGGTTGGTTCTGCTGTGGACTCATGCACTGAACTTGTCTGCAACTTCAGGTTTGACATGTAATTGTTCGCCGATTTTGTTGAGACATTACTAATTAGAAATCAAAGCTTTTTTTTTCCCTTGTTACACCACTTCTTCATGTGATAAGGCCGACCTGGTGCATAGGTCGCGACCACCAGGGCCCTATGGAAGTGAGTGCAGTGTCGAGCTCTAGGAACGTCTTGTCCCGATTCATAATTATGCTTGCTTTTTTTTTGCATTACATAACACGAGGCAATTTAATTACGTTCGCTATTGTCGAGTTCGTTCAACCTCAGCTGCAATGCCTCGATTTGGCAGCGCCCGAACAGTTAGTTGGCGCTGCTAATGCTGACGGCTCGCAGCTACTGGGCAGGTAGGCCGTTATCCATTCGACAGGTCAGCGCTTGAAAGCCAATCGAATCCAACCTACGCTGGCCACGGATAGAACGGCACCGGGATGCAATGTATATGCTCTCCCGACGAGGCAGGTGATGTTCTCAACCGTGTCCGCCTTCTCGCCGTGACCGGGTATAAAGAGTTGCGACTTTCCCCGTGTCAACTCTGCTACATAGTTGAGAAACTGAATTTTTTTTTGTGAATGAACAAGCTTCCCATCATAGAAAAAAAAATTGCCCGCCATGTCCGTTATCAACCTCAGCCGAGCCCTCGTTGCCGTTGTTCTCGGTATGGCCATCGGTGCCTCTGCCTCTCCTACTCTGGAGGCTCGCATCTGCTGCGGCAACCCTGCCAACTGCCCTAGCCACTGTGTTCGTGTAAGTGTTCACGGCTACTTTGTATTGTGATGCTCTCTGATGTTGACTTGGAAGTAGTGTCTGGAGTGTTAGACAGTGATCGGCTAGGCCATGGTTATCTGTAGATAAAAGATGAATACATTGTCAGCACATCAGACTGTTACCATGCATCATCGTCCCGCTTATCAAATTTCCACATTCGTATAGAGATTATAGAACTCGCGATCTTGTTACCTGTAACTGTCGAGGGGTATGTCTGCCCGTCGAAGCTGAGAGCTGGAAAGGGAAACGCAATGATGCACAACACCAAGAAATCAAACGGAATCCCGTCCCTTCACTCAAGCCCATGGTCAGCCGCCTCTTCAGACCCGTTCGCTCTAATCTCCGCCGCCGGCACAACCTCCTCCGCCGCCGCCGGCATAACCTCCTCCGCCGCCGCCGGCAGCATCTCCGCCTCCACCGACGCAGCCTCCTCCGCCTAATCCGCAAGCCCCGGCCGCGACGCCGGAACCGCACGTGTTGGTCACACAGTTCGCGCCGGCAGCGACGCTGCATGGATCGCCACTACAGTACATGCCATCCGTGTACCGATTAGGAGGCATCCACGGCCCATGCACTGCCAGACGGCGTTAGACAGTGACGATTAGCACAATCCCTTCTATGGCCCGGCGCACAGTTGGAAGAAAGCATTACCATGGTACTGGTAACCCCAGCTGGAACAGTACTCGTCTTTGGACGGCAGCTGGTGGCCCTCCTTGGCCCCGCGCTTCCGCGCCTTTTGGAACTCCTCTTCGCGCTTCTGCAGGTGTCGGATGCGCCGCGCCGCGTTCGTGGTCTTGAAGATGATGTTGGTGAGGCGCACGGCGCTGTGCGCCGAAATGTGCGCCGAGCTGTCCCCAGGGCATAGCTTCGCGGCACCGGACCCGCGGAACGACCCGAGGAAGTCTGTGCATTTGGGCCTTAACGACCGACCTGGAAGGAAACGCCACTTTCGAGTTTATGGCTGATGGAAAACACCCGTGTTGGCTTCTTCGATCGGCTTGGCACCGGCGGCAAGGGGGCTTACCCTCACAGTACCCAGCAGGTGCACTGGCTATAGTTCTCGTCGTAAAGCTCTTTCTACTTTTTCGCTGTAAATACAAACGAGTTGTTAAGCTTCACCTCGTCAATCTTGTCGTCATGGTCGACGAAATTTTCCATCCGTCGCACCGTGTGCTGATAGTACGACTGCGGCCGCAGCTGGTGTGTGTGTGCCAGGCGAGGTCGACGTCGAGCGTCGGCACCACCATTATGCCTGGGTTTCTTTCCATGATGGCCAGGAAGCGCCTGTACTTTTCAATTAGCGCCTTCGTTATTGACTGCATCTCGGGACTGTGAAGCCAGTCCAGGTGCACCAGCTTGTCCACAAAAACGCCCTGCCGCATCACCGCGCCACAGAGGTTGAGCGCAAAGGGTGAACAGTTCTCCCAGTAACGGCTCATCGTCTTCCACGTCGACACATGCGCATCATCGTGGATCTTGTGGTCGTTTTCGCTCACCGGGTCGTCGATACGGCGCACCGCGAGGCTGTCATTGACGACGTCCTTGATGAGCTGCTTGATCCTTTCCATTGTTGGGGTCGAAATAACCGTCGTCGCTGCCGCCGCCCCTGCGCTTGCGTTCCATGAGCTCCTTGATTTTGTTGCTTAGTTCCTTACGAATCATGCGGTTCGGAAAGCTGCGTGGCACATTGTCTCTCCCACGTCGTTCTCACGCCGGGGCTGCCCTGTCTGCGGCTCGAGAATGGTCCGCGGCATGGGAACCGATTTTTCCAGCAAAAGGCTCGTGTCGTTCACGAACTTGAAGACAGAAAGTGGCTCCTTATTGTTCCCCGAGCTGGCAGAACGTGAATGTAAAGCGAAACTTGCCATCGCCGTACCCTTCGCCGATCAAGTCGTTGGAACTGTCCGAGCCGCTGCTGTTGAGCTCGCCGCAGGCGGTCCACAGCACCTGATTCTCCTGAGAGTAGTAGGGGTATTCAATAGTTTCGCCGGGGCATCGTCTTTGTTATGCCAAGGGCGCCCAGTTTGGGCCATTCAGGCCAACTCGCTATTTTTAGGGACTTTATACGTGAACTCTTCTGATCTTGCCTTGTCAATCAGCTCCCAAGGCATACCAGTACCCCAAAAGCTGTGCAGGCCGTATCTCATGGTATCCTCGAGAAAAGCGCGAGGATTAAGCATGTGTGTATGCATAACCATAAGAACGTCTCCATGGTGATAGGTTAACCTAAGATTGACGCGATTCTCTTTCAGAAGCTTACCAAGAGGCGGCAACGTTTTCCAGTCAACGGCGTCGTAGTTTTGGGGCGGCTCGTTACTTTGGCTGCTACCCAGACCGGTGTCGACGGGCTTGTTATCTGCCGAGCCCATGATGCAAGATATTCACCCAACCTGTCTTGGCTGAGTTGTTGGCCGTGAGAACGACAGGGCGACGCCGAGTGTTCTTATAGCCCTCTAGAATCGAGGCGCCCAAGCCATGCCGGGGGAGCCCGGCGCTTCGCCATCAATCACATTTCCAGCGATACATAGTACAGGCGCCTGTAAAGCTGGTGACTGTTCTGGTTATTGGCCCATGCCAGAGAGGGGTTTTGCAGGAAGTGCGAGATTAGCTAGAAATCATAAATTAGAGCTTTGGCTCTTATGAGTGTTTTGTATGTCATGCGATTTGCTCCAATTGTTAATCAGGCTGCCTTTGTTACCAAGTCCATTAGATATTGCTGTAATACAATAGAATGCTAGAGTGGGATGGAGCGTTGTACGAAGTTGCAGCACTACATCGCATTGGCGCCACAGAAAACTGAAAAGCAGCCGAGCAACCTGACCGGGTAAACCTTGGACAGCAGGACCAAAGTAGCGATATCGTCGTTGTAGCAGGCGGAAGGACGGCGAGAAGCGCGCTACCAATGATTCATTCCAGCTGCAACCAACCGGTGATCTAGGCGCTTGTACTATTTGTTGACATTTCCGCATTTCTTGAGCTGAAAACTGAGTGATCATCTTGTGGCGCTCACTTCCCTCTGTGGCTCGTGGCTCGGGAGAGGCTGGTGTTGTGCAAGCGTGCACAAAGTGGATCTTTGTGCAAACCCAAGGCAGTAGGCGTAAGATTTTGTGCAACCACTACCGCCGTCCTCAGTAACTATGTACTAGGTAACTTCCAACCTCTACTGGTGACTAGCCTGTGGGTGGGTGGGCAGTGGCAGTGGCAGTGGTAGTGGCAGTGGCTGGGTGGCAGTGGCTACCAGGTCATTCCCGCGCTCGCCGCCTCACTCGCTCGTCCGGCATCTGCGAATGCTGGCTGCCTCCATTCGCGCTCCCATCTCCCGCCCGGCAGCTCACCTTCGCCTTTTATCCTCTCCCCGATACCCAATTTCCGATTCCCCAGCGACTAAAACATACTTTCCTCCAGCTGCTCGGCCATGGGCTCCCAGTCTGCGACACTCAATTTTGTCTGTTAGCAGCTTACCCCCCATCCAGCTGCTGCTGTTGCGGGTGGCACCGCCATCACCGAAGCCGCAGGCGCGAGAGCGCACTCTCTCTTCATCAACCCACCGCCCGACCTCACATCATCTTTAGACGCACAGAAGCCGCCGTCCCACGTCGCGCTCGTCTTTACGAGAAAGCATGGCACTGCGAGACGGAACCAACGGCTTGGCCCCCAACGGCCACAGCCACGGTAGCAATCCCGCTAGCATCAACGGCGAGCCGTCGAGGTTCAAGTCGCAAGACCACTCCCGCAACCACAGCCCCGATGACGACAATCATCGTCCCTCTAGTGCACCTGGCCGTAAAAATGGCCTCTCCTCCAGCGTTGAGCCCAGAGACGATCTGGGTGGGCAACGTCCGCAACGCCCAAACAAACCCATGCTCGTTCGCTCCAAGAGCGACTACGCCAGGCCTCAGGAGCAAGACGACTCCGACCCTGGTGATGAAGAAATAGCCACATGGGGGGCTAGACATGGCTTCGAAGATCATTATCAATCAGAGCATATCATAACGCAGCTTGCAACTGTATGTCTGCGCCGGCGAACCATCGCAACGCCTGTGTTAAGCTGACCGCATTAGAATTGGTGCATGTATTTTACCGATAAGCGGCACGAAACGACCGGCAAGCCCAAGGCCCTCCAATCCGAGCTCCACGATTGGCGCCAAAGAGATCGCCTAAAAACAGTTTCCGCAGCTCTTGCTGTCTGCCTAAACATTGGCGTTGAGCCACCCGACCAGCTCAAGACGAATCCCGGCGCCAAGCTCGAGGCATGGACCGACCCGACTGTGCCGCCGGCTCAAAAGGCATTGGAGAACATCGGCAAGGGCCTTCAGTCCCAGTACGAGACGCTGGCTATTAGAGCTCGCTACAAGCAGTACCTGGACCCGTCCGTTGAAGAGACTAAGAAGTTCTGTGTCTCCCTGCGACGGAACGCCAAGGACGAGCGCGTCTTGCTTCATTACAACGGCCACGGCGTGCCCAAGCCCACAGCGTCCGGCGAGATTTGGGTTTTTAACAAGACCTATACGCAGTATATCCCGGTATCGCTATACGACCTTCAACAGTGGCTGCAAGCCCCTACCATTTTCGTGTGGGACTGCTCCGAAGCTGGCAACATTCTCAATAACTACCATAGATTTGTAGAGAAGCATGAGGATGAAGAAAAGGAGTCAGCTCAACGCGACCCTCACTACGAAAAGACGGCTTTCCGTCCCTACATCCACCTTGCTGCTTGCGCCGCCAAGGAGAACCTCCCGACCAACCCTCTCCTCCCCGCCGATCTGTTTACCGCTTGTCTCACCACTCCCATAGAGATGGCGCTGTGGTTCTTCGTTTTACAGAATCCTCTCCAGACAAAATTGACTCCCGAACGCGCCAAAAAGCTCCCGGGCCGTCTACAAGAACGTAGAACCCCCCTTGGCGAGCTCAACTGGATTTTTACTGCGATTACGGATAGCATTGCCTGGACTACGCTTCCGCGTGATCTATTTCGAAAGTTTTTTCGTCAGGACCTTATGGTGGCTGCCCTGTTTCGCAACTTTCTACTCGCTCAGCGAATCATGATGGTCTATGGCTGTCACCCCCAGTCGTACCCTCAGCTTCCCGACACGCACCAGCATCCTCTCTGGGCAACCTGGGATCTGGCCGTGGACATGGCGCTCGCGCAGCTGCCTATGCTCGAGAGGAAGGAATCCGATGGCGTCGAGTATGAGTACCAAAACTCCACCTTTTTCACAGAGCAATTGACCGCATTCGAGGTCTACCTGACCCGCGGAGACGCAGTCGCTCAAAAACCACCAGATCAATTACCCGTGGTTTTGCAGGTGCTGTTGAGCCAGCAGCACAGAGTGCGTGCCCTGATCCTGCTTGGAAGGTTTCTTGACTTGGGCCCGTGGTCGGTGCAACTTGCCCTCAGCATCGGCATCTTTCCATATGTGTTGAAGCTTCTTCAATCAGCAGCAGTGGAACTGAAGCCTGTCATGGTGTTTATTTGGGCTCGACTCATCGCTGTCGATATCAGCTGCCAACAGGATTTGGCAAAAGACAATGGCTATGTCTATTTTGCGCAAATTCTCAAGCCTACCGAGGCACTGCCCGTTGTTGATGGGGATGAGCACAAAGCCATGTGCGCCTTTATACTTGCTATGCTGTGCAAGGATTACCAGAATGGTCAGATGATCTGCAACCAGACTGACATTATGACTTACTGCTTGACGCATATCCAGAATCAGGAGAATCACCTCTTGAGGCAGTGGGCGTGCTTGTGCATCAGTCAGCTCTGGCAAGACCTTCCAGAGGCCAAGTGGCGCGGCATCAGGGAAAATGCCTACGTGACATTAGCATGCCTCACCAAGGATCCTTGCTGTGAAGTGCGCGCATCCGTCGTTCACGCCATGACGACCTTCCTCGGTATCCCAGATCTGACCGACGAGGTGGCAAAGATTGAGGAGTCGATTGCTTGGACTATTCTCGACATGGGAACGGATGGCAGCCCAATGGTCCGCAAAGAGTTTCTAGTTTTCTTATCACACTTTATCGTTCGTTACGAGAACAAGTTCCTGGTTACGGCGTATGAGCAGCTCCAGGAAGAAAAGGACTACCTGGTCTCGCCTCCCCAGGATGATGGACACGAACACAAGATGGGACTGCACTATGCACGCCCTGAGAATCGCAACAAAGATGGAACAATCAAGCCTACGGCCCACGGTCTTGCCCATAATAGTGTCTACATGGCTTGCTGGAAGCACGCTTTGATCTTGAGCGTCGACCCCCACCCAGAGGTCCAGCGCTCGGCTACCATAATCATCGACTACATGCACAAAGCCCTCCTCAGCTCAACCCTTGGTGAGAAGGCCCATTCCGCGATGCGAGATATTCAGAGGAGAGCGAACCGTGCCACCTTTAAGAGTGCGGCCACTGCTCATCAGCGAAGAAGTCTCATGAGTGGGAATGGTGCACCAGTCACGGCTCCTCTACCGTCACCCGGCCTCCTTCGACGTACCGCAAGCCTCCTTTTCCAATCGCTTGTTGGTACTGAGGATAAGTCTCGACCTACCACGCCTTCTGGTTCTGTTACTTCGGTGGCTCCACCGCGATCCCCTGGTGCCGCCCCCCCCCCTGATCAAGCTTCTGCACCGCCTGAGCAAAATGACACTTCCGGGGTTCCGGCTACTTACCACACAGCGCGTGAACCTGTTTCCGGTGAATTTAAGGAAAGAGATCTGACGGAGAACACGACTCTGCCTCTAGTCAGCAAATTTCTGGACTGGTCAACTGAATACTTCCGAGAACCTCAGATGAAGAACAGCGAAGCGGATGAGCCTGGTAGCACAGACTACAACGAAAGGCTGTGGAGAAGACAGCGGAATGAGACGACCCTGCGTGAAACACAACCGCTCAAGCAGTTTGCGGGAAGCCATCGCTGGAACAACCAGCTCGGCATGGTGAACAATGGGGCGCAACCCGCTAAGATGACATTCCACCAATATGAGGACCATCTGGCCGTCTCCGATGATGGCAACACCGTCATGGTGTGGGATTGGAAACGACAGGGCAGACTGAGCAAGTTCTCAAACGGTAATCCAGAGGGATCGAGGGTCAGCGACATGAGGTTTATCAATGAAGACGACCAGGCAATGCTGCTGACGGGATCCTCGGATGGCGTCATTCGAATTTATCGCAACTACGACTCCGACAAAGAAATTGAACTGGCCACATCATGGCGTGCATTGACGCACATGGTACCGAGCAACGTCAACTCGGGCATGGTGTTTGACTGGCAACAGGTCAAGGGCCGAGTACTCGTAGCGGGAGATGTGCGTGTCATTCGTGTGTGGTATGCCGCAAGCGAAACATGTGTCATGGATATTCCCGCGCGTTCTGGGTCGTGCGTTACCTCATTGACGTCGGATCAAATGACTGGTGATATATTTGTCGCGGGCTTCGGGGACGGAGCGGTTCGTGTGTTTGACACGCGCCTGAGACCGCAAGAATCGATGGTCCGCAAGTGGAAGGACGAGACGGACCGCCAATGGATCAAGGCTGTCCACATGCAGCGAGGGGGCCAACGCGAGCTGATGAGTGCCAGCCGCAATGGCAAAGTCAAGATTTGGGATATCCGAATGGACAAGGCTCTACGGTCGTTCCAGACGACACGGGACACGCTTCGCACAGCCAGCACACATGAGCACTTGCCTGTCTTTGCAGTGTGAGTATACCATTGCTTGCCCATTACTATTGAAGCTACTAATGCTAACCTGTACAGCGGCACCTCGACACATTCCGTCAAAGTCTTCAGCCTCGACGGAGCAGAGCTCTCGCGGATGGAGCCGTACTCGAGCTTTCTGCAGCAGAACCGCAGTTCGCCCATTTCTGCGACGGCATTCCATCCGCACCGTCCAATTCTGGGATGCGCAGCACGAGGTGACCACCACATCAACTTGTTTACCTGTGAAAAGGGTGACGCGTTGTCGTGAGGGATGAGGTTTGGCAAAATCATCATGTGAGGTGTTTCAGCGAAGGCGGCGTACTTTGGCTTCCTTTTTTCACTACTACATATGTGAAGTTTCTCAGCGTGTTGTTTTCTTGGTTTTTATATGATTCAACTTGCGCCTTTACCAATTTTGAGTAACGAGATGGATGGCGTTTGGCAGGACATATATAGGTGTATCATGAGCTGGCCATGGCATAGCTTGCGTAATTGGTTACTGAAGAGGAATAATGCCGCAATGGAAGCGGTGCTAATTACAGCGTCGAATATACTATAAACGTATTGTGTATTTCCCATTGATTTGTTTTGTGATGAGCCCGAAACCGGCTTGCTATAGAGTCAGGCCGAAGAGCCAAAACATATCCAAGTCACCAAGGCCCCACTCACCTTGAAGATGACGCTGGTGGTGGGTTGGCGGGGTAAAAAATGCCACCAGATTTTATGACTCCTTTTTTGCACCTCCTCACACCATCGCGTCTGTCGTTTACCTTAAATACCGTTCTTGTCAGCATCCAGGCTTTTGCCTTGACTGACGGTAGAAAAAATCATTGGCCTTGTCTGATACCTTGTGATTGGCCGGACTTCGTTCGTCGGCGAATCGACACCAACCCGAGCCGAGCATACGACCTACCCCGCCTCCAGGCAGCCCACGTCAAACGAATTTCTCGATACTGTCGATACCATACACAACACCTAAGCATGGCTGACGCTCCTGCCCCTGAGGCTACCAAGCCTGTCGAGCAGCCTGCCGCCGCTACTCCGGCCGCCCCCGGTGGCGAGGACGTCGGCGAGGCCGGCCCCTCGAAGAAGGCGCTGAAGAAGGCCGAGGCCAAGGCCAAGAAGGAGGCCGAAAAGGCGCGCCGCGCCGCCGAGCACCAGGCCAGCCAGGCCGCCGCCAAGGCCGCCGCCGGCAGCGCCGAGGACCTGGCCAAGGACAGCTACGGCCCCGTGACGCCGACGACCAAGGTCGACAGCGCGCGCGCGCACCTCAAGGACGTCGACGCCTCGCTCCTCGGCAAGACGATCAAGCTGCGTGCGTGGGTGCAGAACTCGCGCATGCAGGGCGCCAAGATGGCCTTTGTGGAGCTGCGCGAGGAGCGCGACTGGGCGATCCAGGGCGTCGTGGCCGCGTCCGCGGAGGGCACGCCGGTCAGCAAGCAGATGGTCAAGTGGATCGGCGCGGTCAGCCTGGAGAGCTTCGTGCTGGTCGAGGGCCGCGTGGAGCGGCCGCTGGAGCCGGTCAAGAGCGTGCGCGTGTCCGAGTTTGAGCTGCACATCACCAAGTGCTACGTGGTGTCGCGCGGGCCCGAGGTGCTGGGCATGGGCCTGGCCGTCTCGGGCCGGCCCGTGGCCAACTTTGACGACGAGGAGCCTTCTACTGATGCCGGCGTCGAGGCGGCCACCAAGGCCGTCGAGGCGGCGTCGTTGGAGCCGGGCGCGGCGCTGCCGGGCGCGTCCATGGCGACGCACCTGAGCAACCCGGCGATGCACAAGCGGTCGCCGGTGCAGCAGGCCATCGCGGACGTGCGCGTCGCGACGCGCAAGCTGTTCGCCGAGTACCTGGACGCGCAGGGGTTCAACCAGTTCGAGCCGCCGTGCCTGATCGGCGCGGCGTCCGAGGGCGGCTCCAACGTGTTCGGCTTGCCGTACTTTGACCGCCAGGCATTCCTGGCGCAGTCACCGCAGTTCTACAAGCAGATTGAAATTGCCGGCGGCCGCAAGCGCGTGTACTGCATCGGCCCCGTGTTCCGCGCCGAAAACTCCAACACCCCGCGCCACATGACCGAGGTATGTTGCTTCCCCAATTCCCCGCAGCTCTTCACTCTTGAAAGTCCCTTAATTTTTCTGACAACTTGCAGTTTACCGGTCTTGATTTGGAAATGGAAATCGAAGAAGACTACACCGAGGTCCGCGACATGCTCGAGCGCACGCTGCTGCACATCTTCCGCGGCCTCCGCGAGCGCTGCGCCGAGCAGATCGCGCTCATCCGCACCGTCTACCCGTCCGAGGAGTTCCTCCTGCCGGCTCCTGGCCAGGAGGTACGCCTCACCTTCGCCGAGGGCCAGGCGCTGCTGCGCGCCGAGGGCCCCGCCGAGTACCGCGACGCGTCCGACTCGGAGGACATGTCGACGCCGCAGGAGAAGGCGCTGGGCGCGCTGATCCGCGCCAAGTACAAGACGGACTTTTACGTGCTGGACAAGTTCCCCGAGGGCGCGCGCCCCTTCTACGCGCTGGAGGACCCGGCGGACCCGCGGGTGACCAACGCGTACGACTTCTTCATGCGCGGGCAGGAGATCCTGTCGGGCGGGCAGCGCATCCACGACCCGGAGGTGCTGGCGGCGCGCATCCGCAAGAAGGGCGTCGACCCGGACAGCCCGGGCATCAAGGAGTACGTGGACGTGTTCAGGAGCGCGGGCGTGCCGCCGCATGGTGGTGGCGGCATCGGCCTGGACAGGGTGGTGGCGTGGTACCTGAACCTGCCGAGCGTGCACCTGTGCAGCTACTACCCGCGCACGCCGAAGCGCCTGACGCCGTAAAACGGGTTCGATACTTGTCAAGGGAGAGGGGGTAGCATAGCCTAGATTATAGTAAAGGAATGCAGACAAGATTCAGGCCACGATGTGTTACCAACTGATGCCTCTAGAGCCGCGGCCAGGCTCGGCTCATCCGTCATTCTTTACCAGCCGGGAATCTCGGAGTCAGCAGTGCTAATCGGGTGGACTGACTGGCTGCACGGTACGGATAGCGCAAACTACCTAGTAGACTAAATAACTACTCCATAGTCTGACCCGTGTCTCTCGATCATCTTGAAAGGCTGAACCCTGGTTCCGTGTAGCTATGTATATGCTTCGGGTGCCGGGTGTCGGGTGGCGCAGGGCTTTGTCATCCCACGAGTCTTGATCAACGTCCAAGATATCTATCTATCCGTCCGTCCCTTCCCTTCCCTCCCCTCGTCATCTTTTTCATCGCGAGGCATTTTATCCAATCGACCCATGTCTATTCATCTCTTGGCGCGCATGGGGTATGTATCTAATTTTACCTTCCTTGCTGACCCATCCGGCAAGTCCATCTCGATTTCCAAACCCTTATAATCTCTTACCAATATTTGCCGAGTTTTTTTAGTACACGTACATAGTAAGACAACAACGCCAATCCTACCTAGAATGTTAAGTCAAAGGGCTGTGCCTTGAGCCTTGCTTATTATTTCTTAGTTTTTACTTTAGTACTGGTAGTTAGTTATTTAGGCAGTTAGTCTCAACGGCTCGGCGACCCCGCTGCCGGGTTTCTTTCGCCCATCGAAAAGAGAAAGAGTGCCCCTCTTTCAGCTTCCAATCACCAAGCGATCCGTCATTCCCCTTCTTTTTGCCCGAACATCATTTATCATCACACCGTCTAACTAACTTCAGCCCATCCTCATCGTCCCCAAAGGAATCATGGGCCGTCTCTAGCTTTCCATCGATTTCGCGAGCTAGCTTCTTGCTGCCTATTGATTCTATCCTCATCGTACGACGGGATAACTTGTATAAGAGCCCCCGTCCGAACCTTGCTCCTGGACAGACTCAACAACCGCAAACAACCACACCAACACACATCACGCGAACCGCCCCCTCACTCAAAACCGATGGACTTCTCCTCCCAGTATCAGTATGGCGCATCTGCCGGCGCCGCCGCTACCGCCAACGGACAGCAGGTATACGGTTTCCTGGGCCCGATGCAACCCCTAACGCCCTCGCACTCCGCATCTGCCGGCTCCGAGGACTTTGGGGGACACACATCACCGCCCGTACGATCCCTTGGCCCGTTTTGTGCGCCGCCTTTCCCGTCTTTTGACCCGACGACTAACCTAAGAGGACTCTAGGAAGGGTTTGACGCCACCGCCCTCGCCGGCGACGACTTTTCCGGCTACGACTACGGCTCGACGGGCTTGACGCCGGGGAACCTGCACGGCGCCTTTCCCGGGCCGCCCACCCCTCCGAACCCGGCCGCCGGCGCGTTCGCCTCAGTAGCCCAGCAGCAGCCGCACGGCATACACGTGCTGCCCGACCATCAACAACACCAGCAGAAGCAGCACAGCCCAGACGACGGGCAGGGCGCAAGGGCAAACTCGGATGATGAGGAGCTGACGCCCGCGCAGTCGCGGCGCAAGGCCCAAAACCGAGCTGCGTAAGTTCAATATTCTGTCAAGGGCGAGTGCGACGGTGCTCGCCCTCGGCAGCGCGGTTCGGCGCTAACCAAGACGAAATTCTAATCATACGCACCAGGCAACGAGCGTTCCGCGAGCGCAAAGAGCGACACGTCAAGGACCTCGAGACCAAGCTTGCCGGGCTCGAGGCCGCCCAGCAGCAAGCATCCGTCGAAAACGAGCAGCTGCGACGGGACCTCGCCAAGATGTCCACCGAAAACGAGATCCTCCGCGCCACCTCCAGCCTCCCCAACCAACACCAACAATCACATCACCACCAGTCCTCCGCCTCACCGCCGATCGCGACGACCACCGGCCCGGCCGAGTACCACCCGACCGACTTTTACTCCAACGTCCTCCGTGGGCACGGCTCTGCCGACCAGCCGCCCTCGCACCGCGTCGTCGTCGGCGACGACGGCGCCCGCCTGTTCGCCGCCGGCGCCACGTGGGACTACATCGTCTCGCACGAGCTCTTCCGCCGCGGGCTGGTCGACGTCGGCGGCGTCGCCGAGCGGCTTCGTAGCGCGGCCCGGTGCGACGGCCAGGGGCCCGTGTTCCCCGAGGCGGCCATCCTGGCGGCCATTGAGCAGAGCGTGGCCGGCGGGTCGGACGACTTGCTGTAGAGCGCGGATTGATTGAGAAGAGGGGGAGCTTGAATTTTCGCTTGTTTAGCTTTCTGGGATTTCGAAAGGATATTTGAGCAGGAATATATTGCTTTTTTGGATTGGATCTGGCGAACCAATGGCGTATCACGTATATAAAAACGGTCGTTTGAAAAAGGTATTGGCGGAAATTACATTGATAGGCTAGGCTTGGGTTGCGATGTATTTGATATTTTAAGCAGACTGATGATGACGAATAAACCATTTACATCACACCTGCACGAGCACGCACACATTTGCACACATCAACACTCACATAAGGTCTAGAATAACAAGTATTATACAAATGACCGATCCTCAGGAGGCTGGATAAAACAGAGCAGTCATTTTTTACAATAAATTATATCAAAACGTCAACGCCCGGCATATCCTGATAAAACGCCCATTTACTCGTCCTTCCCTCCTCCTGTCTTTCTGTAGTCTCCTTTTCCCTGTATCGCTTCCATGCAAACCAATTCCCAAAGCAACCAAATCCATGCTAATTTCAGCCAGAAAAAAAAAGGCATTACAAAGGCTCCCGATATATGGGGAACTATGCGATAAGAAGAATGTATAATGCGATAGTCAAGGCACAGCCATGCCATGCCAGCCTCCTCCCCTTACCCAAATTATCGACAGCAACCACCCCTCGCGCGATGCACTCATAATACAAAGACACATCCTGTCTTGCTCCTACTTCCACCCCCTCCCTGCGGCTCTCGCCGTGTACGTTAGTGCGTCTTCTGCGTCTTGGACCAGGCGGGCTCGGGCGCCTTGGTGGCCTCGTTGTCGACGTGGTGATACTTGATGGTCAGGCACCAAATGTCGAGGTAGTCGCAGATGGTGACGATGACGTCGACGACAAAGCTGCCGTAGACGCCAAAGGCGGTGCCAAGCATGAAGAAGACGTAGGCAATCTGGTACGGGCCATCGCCGAGGGCGCTGGGCCAGCCGAATCCGACGCGCTCAGCGAGGATGGGACCCATCGAGTCGGCGACGCCAATCATGAGCAGGGCGCCGAGGACGTTGTAGTAAGGGAAGTCCTGCTTGAGGAGATGGGCGGTGATCATGCGGCCGACGGAATAGGCGTTGATTAGGCCGACAAAGATGGCAAACGGCACCAGGTGGTTGCGGAGGATGACTGGCTGCAGCTTGAGATACGAGACGACCAGGAACCAGACAGAGAAGATAGGGCCTAGACCCAGGAGCGCACCACGCGACTTCTCGCCACGAGCGCGACGAGCACGGATGACGTTGAGCGACGACTCAACCGTGTTGAAGACAAGCACGACAGCACCCTGGACCAGGTACCACTCGGTAAAGGAAAGGTTGTAGATGGACATGGGGATGCCCATGTTATCGGGCAATCCAAAGGCGCGCAGCATACTCTGCTGCCAGACGTGGGCGCCGCCGAGGAAGCCGGTGAGGGCGTAAACGAGGACGAGGATGAGGACGCCCTCGACGGGGCCGTTGACGATGCCCAGCGTTAGGGTCTTGGTGTGGTACTCGTCCCAGGTCTGAACGTAAAAGGTGAGGAGGGCTGGAGGCGGGTTAGTATCAATGATGCGCGGGAGAGCGACGGGGAGGCATGCGCACAGGCAAAGAGGGTGGCGACCGTCTTCCAACCCTGACCCATGTTCTGGGAGGCGGCAAAGATGAGGACTTCGAGAGAGGTGTTGAGAGCATCGACGCCGTGGTCGAAGAGTTCACCGAGGGGACCGGATTGCTTGGTGCGACGACTATACACCTGTTAGTCTTTCCTTCCTTCTTTTTCCCTTCTTCATCGCTTCGCTCGAGATGGGTTGAGGGAGCCCGCGCATCTTTGCAAACAAAGGCCACTGTTACAAACAAGCGCACCTATTGCAAGATGCGCTGAGCAAAGCGGGATGACTCAAAAAACTTACGCTTGGGCGCCGTCGACAGCGTCAAAAGTCTGGTAGAGGAACAGGCCAATGGCCCAGCTAAAGTAGACCCAGGGCGGGCAATCCTGGTCGAGGGTCGGGTTGTACCAGAGCAGGGTGAGGAAGTTGACGACGACGAAGACGAATCCGGTGAGGGTGATCATGTTGGGGGCCATTGTCATGGGGAAGAGGTGGATGACAAAGTTTGTGTAAAAGGGCTTGAGGATGTACTTGGAGACGAGCGAACGGTCGACCGAAGAGTACTTGTACTCGCGGAGCGCCGGGAGCTCGCTGTGACGGATGTAGACCATGACGGGCGGTTGTCGACGTTTCTGGTCTTGATATTATATTGTGTATGATGGTGGGAGGACGAGGCTCTGGGTCGTGATGCTGTCGAGTTCTTCTCTTTTTTCTTGTTGGGGCCGGAACGGGGCGAACGACTGGTGAGGCTTTGCTCTGCGCGCGCGTCGCGGAGGGGAGTGAATTAGAGCCGGCGAGGCTTTTGCATTAAAAAGAACAAGTAGAGAAATGGAACTGGAAGGGGGGAAAAAAAAGTTCGAGACTCGACAGAGACGGCAGTCGAGTGAAACAGAAGCGACCGTTGGCGGGGATAACCGAGGATGGCGATGACGAACGATGCCAGGGGAAGAAGAGAGTGTGAAAAATGCGCCCTGGTATTTTTGGTCAGTTGTCGGAGGAAGGGTGAAAACGGAGAGAGCAAGGAGACCCACGTTGAACGACCCAGATGGTTACCTCCTAGCAGCTACTGGTAAGACGAAACGTCACACGAGTTGCATCAAAAAAAGTCAGGACCAAAGATGATGGAGAGATAGGGAGAGGGAGAGGGAGAGGGAGAGGGAAAAGGAACACGAGACACAAAAAAAGAGAGAAAATCTTCAAATCCAACAAACCCCCTTTCAGCCAGCCCAGTCAGCCCACCTACTGCCTTTGGGAATTGCGCACGAGACCCCCCATCCATCATCCATCAAGCCCAGTAACTTGTTAAGCGGGCCTTTTTTTTTTCCTTCGCTCGGTTGGCGCCCCCTTTCGGCTCACATCAGGGGTTGAGGGACCCCGGGCACTTCAAGGGGGGTAAACACGATTCAATAACTAATTCATTCCACAATTAATTCAGTAAACTGCACATCACTGCTCATCAAACAGGGCCGCTGCAGTTGCTCCGTCCATCCGCGTTACTCTCAACAAACCTGCTTCACATGCTGCTCTGCTGGAATATGAACCTGCATCGTAACTTAAATACAGTACATCAATCTTACACCAAAAGCCCCAAAAGTCCCCCCTGCACGCTCTCACCAGGTCTCTTCTATTATAACATCATAACCCAGGACCGTGGGTGGCTTGCTTGCCAACGCATCCCCCAAATCGCGTGCCCTCGTCTCACGCGCCTTCCACACCATCCCCCAAACGCGGCATTATCACCATCACATCACCGTGGCCACATGTCTTGATAATATCCCTTCCCTTCCTCCCTTTGGCCTAGCCTGCCCTCCTTCAAATCGCGCTACAGACTTCGGCTCATCAATGTTACCAGTGCCCATCCTCCTCCCCTGACCCGGACCACCGAACAAGCCTCTGCTTGGCCACCACCTTATCCTAGCCCTACGCCTTTCCCAGAACCTTCGTCTCCCCATAACCTACTGTACTAGCCTTGTCCTGGATAATTTTAGGCTTGTATTCTTTTCGCGTGGCTTCCTATTGTTGGCCCCCGGCCTGTTGTTGTTGTCATGCAGCACCAACCAAACAAACTTAAACGGCTTCACTTCCTCGGCATCGAGTATTGCAAAATAATGATAATAGACTCGTATCAGCTTATTTCAGCTCTTGCACTCTCATCCCATTACACTACTACACTTCTTCCCACCATTCCACTAACTACCCATGCCCACTGTCAACCCACTGTCTACCGACTGTCTAACCCCCACGGCTCTTCATCATCCCTTCAAAATTCCGCTCCAGGTTCGCCACAGCCATTTCGAGAAGCGGCTTGGCGTGCTCTGCCGCATCCATCTTGTTCGCTTCTTCAGTCCCAAGCCGCGCGTGCCTGTTCCGTCCGGTCTGTCCCTGTCGCCCATCACCAATTACACCCACGCACCATGCCTGAGCCCTTCCCGCCTCCAACGCCTCTTCGTCACAAAGCCTCTCGCAGCCCGAATACCACCATCTATTCACCCTTTCCATGTAAGCCGCGAGACCTGCCTGGTACTCGGGGTTCGTACGAGATCGAATACTAACGCACCGCGACGGTACCCGCCACTCAGGGCCTTCCGCCTCGGGATCCAACCCTGCAAACTCATCCGCGTCACATCGTCGCTTGCCTTTGTCAGGGGATCCCACAGTCCCGTAGCAGCTCCCATTTGGCGACCCTGCCGGCAGAATCTGGCTGCCTTGGAATAGCTGCGTGTAGAAGCTTGCCTCAGACTCTTGTCTAGACAGCGAGTCTGCGAGCTTGCCCTGGGCATCGTCAATCCCAGCATGCTGCAGCACTCGTGCCGTTACGGCGTACCCGACATCCTCTTCCAACGGCTTTGCGGCCTTAGAATCAGTGCTCAAGGCTTTAAAGGTAGACTTGAACGTCGACGCTCGGTATTGACGCTGTCCAGGCGGTCCAGCCGTCAAGGGTCTCGGGGCACCGAGGGCTAGGTGCGTAAGCCAGGCACTGCTCTGCTCAGAGCTCTCGCTTTTGGGTGGCGGGCTTTGTCCCTCCCTCTGACCCCTTTCGGTGATGCCCTGCAGTTCAGCTCTGGCCATCAGCTGTGATGCCACGGAGTCTGAGTTAGACAGACGCGGCTTGGCCCAATATCGATCATACACCGGATCAAGGCTTGGTCTTGCGTCCCAATGCTGGCTCGGCATCTCGTTTGCACTATAAGTATGCTGCAAGTTGAGTCTCGGCTTCAACGGACGGAAGAGGACCTTCCGAGCCTTCCTCTGGTTGGGGTTTGGATATGAGGCGAGATTGTGAAGCGACTTGACAGGCATGTTCATCATGATGCTGTCCATGCCGTCGTCTTCGTCCTCGTCCTCGTCATCTCCGTCGTGGTCCCGGTCGCTAGCACTGTACCCCATAATCTCGTCTACCTCTCTGCTTGGCGTACCGGTCCAGGTGGAACGCATGTCATCCAAGTAGCCGTTCCTGCCGATGGGATTGGCCGCTCGGTCGTAGTTTTGCTGCAGCGGCGTATACTGTGCTGCAGAATACGGGGAGTTGCGGTCGTTGTTTTTGGTCTGAAGATACGCAACGACGGAGCGTGGTAGTAGACAAAGGTCGGAGTATGCACCGCCAGACGTCCACTTGAGCGATCGTCCTCGTCTCGTTGGAGGCTGCAAGGGCTGGGACGAGCTTGGATTGTAAATGGTACCGGCCGTCGTGTAGGTAGGCTGGACCGGCGGGTTCGACGAGCCGCATGTCATGGAAGGAGAGATGCTGTCTGTTAGTGATGGCTTCTCCATCCTGAAACTTTTCTCTTTTTTTTTTCTGCTCCGGTATATTGTTTGTTTTTGTTCAAGCGTGTGTATATTTCTTGCTCCTCAAATAAATGACTTGTCGAAGATGTCGAACAGATGGAAGAAACAAAGGAAAAGGAAAAGAACGAGATCTGGGAAGGTCTGAATTAGTAGAGGAGACAAGTATGAGGTCGCCAAAAGAGCATCATGTCCAACACAAGCTCCAAGGCCAAGAAAAGTGTATCGAGAAATTGCACCCAAGAATGGCCAAAGAATCAGTGCAGCGTAGAATGAGGATTCATGACTTCAATAACAGATCAAAGATGATGGTTGTCATAACAAAGGAATTATGCGTACAGTTGACGCGTCGGCCGGATCCTAGGGCTAGAAGGCAAGAAGCAAACGCACCTTCCTCGAGACTTTGCAGCCCCTCCCCCAGCCTCAAAGAGGAAACCAGCGCGAGCTATCAGGGCAGAAGAAAAACAGAGAAATTCATACCTCATGAATCCAAAAATTTAAAAAAAAAAATTGCGCAACCAAATCTCAAGTGTACCGCAAGGCGAGGATGAAGATGAGCGAGTGACGACGGCCGGTGTCCAAAAAAAAAAAAAGTAAGAGAATCAACTTCGAGGGGAGAGAAGGGAATGAAAGGTGGCGAAAGACTCCGGTCGCTAGATGGCATGAAAGAGATAAGGAGAGAAATGAATGAGGAAATGGGAAATGGCTTCGTCGTCGTCGGGCATCTATTGCATCGTCAGCATCAGGCGAGCTTTCCGGCCACGGGGAGGCAATAACGTAGGTTGATGATGCCGGAGCGAGTCTCGTCGAGTATGTTTCTTGCTGTGACAAAAAAAGAGCTAGACAAGGAAAACTCTTCATGCCGCCGGACTATCCAAGTCTATGCCATGACTTGCAAACGAGCGCCGCCAGCTGCGAACATCAGCGTGCGTCAAGCTTCCTTCCACCGTCATTAGTGCAAACGGGCGTTCAAACAGACTTGATCAAGACAGCCCAGTACTTCAAAGATGCGATTTGTGTTGAATTATATATATACGTTGGTATATATAACACCACATGATATCCCATCTTGACAACAACGCTTCCCCCAATTTTCACCCCCGACGCTTTTGCCATAATCCATGCCTTTTCCTCGCTGCACGCTCTTGGCGGCTTTGTTTATTTCTTCCTGCTCGTCAACAATCCTTCTCCTCTCCTAGAAAATTCCGTAATCAAAACAACCTTAGCTCGAATGGTTGAACCTTAACCAAATAGCAGCCAAAAGGGCGCAGCTGAAAGAGCCCTAAGAAAGTAGTATAACAAAGAAACAATAATACACCTGAAATGAGCTTGTAAAGAAAAGAAAAACCTATATATAAAGAGTGCTCATTCTTCGAGTGCCACTTGACAAGAAGCACAAGCAATTCCATGGTCACAAAAGAGTATGTTCGAACCAGAAGCCCTGAACAAAAGAGGTACAAGTCGAAAGTGGGAGATCAGTCGGACGCCATTACATTGGCGCGTTCGGATATGCGCTGCCAGGGACTAGGCCGGACGGGTTGCCATGCTTGGGCTTGCCGGAGCGGCCCCCTGCGAGCTGAAAGTCGGGGTTGTCCAGGAGCATATCTTGACGTTGCTGCACGGCCCGCCGCGCGCCGTTGCCTGGCATGGGATGATGGTGCGGGTTCCAGCGTGGGTTGATGCCTCGCTGTGAGACGGACGTAAAGTTGGATCGCACCGAACCTGCCGGGCTGCGTGATCCATCCATGGCGTGCGCATCCTCGTATATGGGTCCTGGAGACGCAGTTACAAGACCGGCGTGGGGGGCCGGCGATTCGTAGCGCGGCTCTACGTCCTCGTAATAGGCGCTGGGGCCAGCAGCTAGAGGACTGGTTGGCCCGCGGTATTCGGGCACTGAGGGGCGACGGTCGACGCCATAGACAGGAGACTGGCCTCCAGGGGATCGTCTGCCGGAGGCTTGGTTCCATGCGGCGCGTGGTGGGACGTACTCATCGGTGCTGTACTTGCTTCCGTCGCTCACGTAGCCAGGGCGAGGCTGCCCAACTGGATGACCCTGCTGCATGTGAACCATGCCAGTGGCACCGGCGTCATGCTCCGAGGTCGTGGTGGCGGCTGCTGCGCCGTATCCGTGATGCCCCGACGCGCCAGAAGCCATCTCGGGAGGCTGGCCAAAACCGGCGGATGCTGGGGTCTCAGCGGGTAGAGGTGGTGGCGATTCGGCGCGTGGTAGGTCTGCTTCGGTGTTTGCGTGGCTTGGGGTGCTTTGTGACCCCCAGTTGGTGTAGTCTCCTTGGCCGTTGGCTGGCTGGTTGCCGTAGCTATCGTAAGTTCCAGGCGCTGATCGTTGATCATAACCCTGGCGGCCACCACGGGCCATTGCGGCTCCTGCCATGACACCTCCTGCAGCGGCAGCACCAGTCATAGCTGGTCCACCATATCCATCCCGAGGTTGGCCATACGGGCCGCCTCTACCGCGAGGCCCCATGCCGCCGCGGCCGTAACTATCTCTTCTGCGAGCTTGAGAGCCATAACCATTGTAGCCCCCGCGACCACCGCGCGGCGCGCCGCCTCCACGATAGCCAGGCATGTTTCCTCTACTAGGACGGCTATTTGGGCCATATCCCTGAGTCTGAGGGCCATAGGGATCACCCTGGCCAAGCTGGCCTCCATATCTGTCACGCGAGGTGGGGTTTGAGGAACCAGCGTTTGCGAGGTCGGTGGCGTTTGTTCCGGGCGAGCGGTCCGCAGTGCGAACCTGTGTTAGTGGGATGCGCTCGTCACTAACTTGGTCATCCTTTTGCTGAGTTCTCTCGTACGAGGCAAACACGGGTAGGCCATCCGCGCCCGCAGCTGCGCCAGACATGGTGGTAGCCATGGGCTTCAAAGGATCCTCGCGGTTGTAGTAATTCTCGCCACTCATCTCGGCATTCTCAGCAATCTTTCTCCTGCGGGCCTTTCTACCAACCATAGCTCGGCGCATAGAAAATGTCACAATCGTGCTGATGAGGAGAATGACGGCGGCAGCGAGGACGAGGTAGGTACCAAAGGCCGTGTGCGGGACAAAGAGGATGAAGTCGATGATGGTGGCGGCAAGGGCAACGAGAAAGGCGAGAAGCGTAAAGATAAAGAGGGCGAGAAGGTACCGGGCGGAGTGGGCGGCGGAGTGTATGTGAGAAACTCCGGCCATGACCAACATGACGAGTGTGAGGGCGGCGGCGATTGGGTGCAGAATGAGAGTTTTCGAGAGCGTCTGGCGAACAGAGTCTGGCATGGTAAATTTACCTGGGCCATCGGCCGTGACTGCAGATGCTTGTCAGTAGGGAAATGGCAACGAAGCTTGTTGCGCAAAGCGGCTCACCATCGTAGCCAATGCCAGCGCTGCTGCACTTGTCACCGGTGCATCTGCCAAGAACGCCGAATATGGTGTCGCCATTCTTTCCAAGATAGATAGATTTTGAGACAGGCGCCGATATGACAGATATAATGAGCAGGGCCAGGGCCGCCGTCAAGAGTATCGTCAACGGCGTCGCGGGTCTCAGCATGATACCGACCGTTGGCTGAGTGGGCCGAGAAATTAGAAGCAGCTAGCGAGGAGGAGGAGGGAAGGTCGGACAATGCTGTTATCGGCGCATCGGTTGAAGCAAGTCGTAGTCGCGAACGGCAAAAGAAGGGGCTCGGAGGGAGGTAGAAATCGTTGTTGGCGACGCCAAGCGAAGAGAGCGTTTGCTTGCCAAATTGAATAAACCTGGCTGCCGTATTGTCGCAGTAGACAACGTTGGTGGTCTAACGGCCCAGCAAATCGAAAACGGCGTGGATCGGGAGAAAGGAAAGCGACGGCGAGAAATTTAAGAGCAAGTCCCCAAAAAATGACCTCGATCGCAGCGTAGATCCAACACTCGCTGGCGGTGCGAATGATGAAGGATGCAAGAGAGGGCGACGACAGCTCTCGAGAAGTAAAGGGCGCTTTGCCTATCCGCGCTTCTGCATGTAACTTAGAGGAGGGATGGGCCAAATGGAGGTACGTACGAGTAAAGGCAAAGGTACCCATGAGGTACCGTTTGGACAAGGGAAGTCAGTGCTTGGAGATGGCTCTTGAGTGGTTCCTGCACCCAAAAAGGTGTGCCAGCAGAGTGGACTCAGCGCTGTTTTTAGTGATTTTGGTGGATTCTTGCATGGGAGGCGGAGGCTGGTGGACCATTCCGTGCAGTGGTGGAGAGCGGCGGCGCAATCAATCAATTCAGGCACACAGCGGAGAATGTGGGTAGAAAAGGCTGGGATTGTTCTAAATGTGCTAGGATACCCAGCACATTTGCAGCAAAGATTACTCGCTTTTCAGAGGGTTCAGAGGGCTGCAGAGGGGGGGCTGTCGCGCATGCCCAGCGGCAAGGGGGGTCCATGGACGGAATGCAACAGGCTGTCGTCATGGTACTTGTCGAGTACATGGGAATGGGATGATTTCAACGCGCAGCTCGGCTGCCTGTATGACAGAGTGAGAAAACAGGTTCATTAATAAAAATCAATGTACACAAACCAAGATTTACATTAGACCGAATCCTTCGATTGGGGAGAACTAGAGGTCTTAACTCTCTATTCTAGCTGTCCGCCGAGCCTCACAGGCGGCAGCCAGGCTACATTGCATGTTGCGTTTGCCAAGGTACCTCATACTAATCTTGGATATTTACGTAGTACCTTCCTTCCTTACCTTCCTCTTGATGATGATTCTACATGTCCTCGCCATCAGTCTAGGCCTCCTCGCCATACATCTCTAGCTATGTACTTAAATATCTCCATGTCGCCATCATCAGGCTCCTCGTCGCTAGCTTCACTGCATCAGCGATTTCGTCGACTCCACGCCGTTGTCCTTCCCCATTCTCAGCCCAGACTAGCCCTAGCCGCTCCTCCATACGGTTGGTCCAACTGTGGGAATACGACGCAGTCTGCTCCGAGTTACTCGGGTTCTGTTTGCTCAATCTGATCATTCTCAGCATTTTCTTATTGTCCTCGAGCCTCCTCTTCGCTCAGCTCGCTCGCTGGCCACGGCGCTGGGCTTCATTCGGGCGGGACCGCTACTGATAGCTACTGGCAGAGACAGAAGACGGCTTGACGCCGCCGCTGGCGCCCGCCTCCTATTGCATTTATTTCTCTCACCTACATACAGTAGTTCCGCTTGCAGAGCCCATCTGAATGAGGAAGGTTAACAATGCAACAGGCTGTGTGGCGCCCAAGCTTTGCTGCTACTCGTCCCTAAAATCCACCACTTCTCTTTGGGCGACCGCCGAAGACGCCACCAGCAGGCGGGCAAGAAAAGAACCTATTGGTAGCTCCTGTCATACCCTTCTTGTAGGTCTCCTAGTGCATATCACTGATTCATCGACTAGTCGCATGAAGCACAAGAGAAACTCAAAGTTCTTCCTCGGTCGATCCCGCGAGAGTCAACCCCCCAATGCAAACTCGCAGGTCGAAACAAAAAAAAAAGGCAAAAATAACGTGCATAACAATTCTTCAGCGGAGCAGATGGTCCACGAAAGTCTTTCAAGCGCGGGCTATCCCAATCCCATCATTCATGTTGATCTTCCCCAACCCCTGCTTATATAACCAATACCAATGTTACAGTCCACGTTTTGCCCACCTTGGCACGGCACACGATACACGCTGCGCCTTCAATTTTAAAGAAAAAAGATGAAGAAACCCCCAAAGAGATTGCGATTTCCCTTGTCATCGCATCCACCGCCACGAAGCGGAAGCCCGCATGCATATGCGGATCTCGCTCTAAGCATCAATGCGAAGCGCTCGACTCTTGTAATCACTCACCCTTTGGCATGATGAACCCGACGGTTATGCGCTTGTTTGGCAGCAATGCGAGGGCTCTTACGTATCCAATAGACTGGGAAGACTGGCCAATATCTGGTCGATCTGCTGTAGGTGGCGTTCATCGCCCCCCTCTGAAACAACTTGCGTTGAAATTCTCGCCGGTCACCCATAGCACAGCCGGAAATGGATGCGCAAATTGTCCCATCGCCGGATTCGAGATTGGATGGAGCAGCGTGAAAGAAAAAGAAGAGGGGGATAAAAACAAGGGCAGGCTTTTGCTGACGAGAGCACGCAACACAATGTCAGCCACTTGCTTCGTGTCTCATGTTGGCCACGCAAGCCGGGCTGTGTCGCCGCGACATGCGCTGGCTCTATTTTAGGGGCAACGCCGTCATTCTCTATGCAACCCTATACCTGCGTTGCCAATTACGTTCGGGTCAATGTCGCCCTTCGAAAGCCCATGAAGGTCTGTCTATTATGCGTTTTTCAGTATTGATGACATGCCACAAATCTGCAGGCTCTATAAATGAATCGGTCTCGCCTGCCAGTGTTGTGGAACAAAACAGCACATAAGCCGCCCAGCATAGTAGCCAACTACTCTATGAGGTAGCTAATTACTCGTTGCTACCCACGATCGCCTCGCGTAGCGCAAGGCCTTCATGAAACCGTCATTGACTAGTTACAACTTATGGCTAAATACGAACTAAGTAAGGTTGGTACGATGCTACAACATCAGCAATCGCCAGATGTACAACACATGTCAATAAAGAACACAACACCGTTCTTCCATTCTATATATATGACGGGTTGAAGTCTACTTATCTAAGTCAACTTTTTTAAACCGAGTATATCCCGCCAAGAATAAAAAAAAAAACGCCACAATGATTCCTTCACACTTGTGCAACTTTTCCACCCTCTATTAAACGCGAGCCTAGTTGCCCGAACTTTCATACTGAGCCCGGAAGAGCGAGCCCTCCCTCGCGAGGAGTTCCCGCGGCGCGCCAATCTCGGCGATGCGGCCCTTGTCCAGGAACACGACCCGGTCAAAGTCGAGGATGGCGTCGAGCTTGTGCGCGATCGCAATCACGGTCCGCCCCTGGAACTCGTCGTGGATGATGCGGTGCATCATGTCGTCCGTGTCCGCGTCGACGCTAGAACCGCAAAGTCAGCGCAAAGCCCGGGGGGGGGGGGGGGAGGGTGACATACCTGCTTGAAAACTCGTCCAGGACGAGGATGCGGCCGCTGCGGACCATGGCGCGGCCGAGGCAGAACAGCTGCCGCTGGCCGTGGGAGAGCAGGTCTGCGTCCATGTCCTCGTCGAGGCCGCCGTGCTCCTCGAAGACGTCCCACAGCTGCACGGCCGTCAGCACCTCAACGAGGCGCTCGTCGGTCGCGGCGCCGAGCGGGTCGATGTTCTCGCGGACGCTGCCGTAGAGGAAGAAGGGCTGCTGCGGGACCGTGTTGAGTCGCCTGCGCAGCTCCTCCCTGGGTGCCTTGGCAATGTTGACCCCGTCGATGACGATCGATCCGGTGTCGAGATCGAGCATGCGGAACAGGGAAGAGACGCAAGAAGATTTGCCACTGTGGCGAGCGTTAGAAGAGGAACCATGCATGCTAATAAACCGAAGTTGGGTGAAGCTTACCTGCCAGTGCGCCCGCAGATGGCGACTCTCTCGCCGCTCTTGATTTCGAGGTTAATATCTTGAAGAACAGGTCCCAAGCTGGCCTCGTATGAAGCAGAAACGTTTGTGAACGTGATTGATCCGGTCTTGGGCCACTCGCTGGGCAGGTCCTCCGACTCGCCGACTGCATCTTCCCGCTCGGTGCCGAGCACAAACGAGCGAACACGGCTGACAGCTCCAATGGCCGTCTCCAAATGTGTCCACTCCGTGACGACCAGCTGGAGGGTCTGGCTGAACGAGACAATGTTGAACAACGCGACGCCCAGGAAGCCGGTGGAGCCACTGCGGATGTTGGTTGCGAGACCAACTAGTAGGATGGCGACCGCGGCGACGACCAGGTTCAAGACCAGCGTCAGCCACCGCTGGATGCACCACATGAGGTAGTACGGCTTTTGCGAGGCGTTGAGGATGTCGATGCTGCGCTGCATGTAGTGGCGGGACCAGCTGTAGGCACGAATACTCGCAAGACCCTCGATGCTCTCCACAAACAGTGAGAACAGCGGTGCCTTGGATTCAATGTCCAGTAGTCGAAGCTGACGCGACGTGCGGAGGTAGTAGAGCTGAATGATGTACAGAGCGCCGATGCAGAGCGGGATGGCCGCACCTACGTAGCTGGAACCAATAAAGACCAGGACAGCAGAGAAGAGGGCTGACAGGACGGCAATGATGGTCTTATCCAGCGCACTCGGCAGCTCGCTGTCAATCAGATTAAGATCCTGGCTGAACCGGTTGAGAATCGTTCCCGTGTCCTTTGAAGTGATGAACCTCGTCGTGGCGTGCATGGTCGTGGACAGCAGACGGTTGTGGAATTCCACCATCATCTTCGGCACAATCCTCAGTTGGAAGACCGAGTCGGACGCAACACTCCCCAAAAAGGCCGTAGCTGCAATGGCAGCATATACACCGAGCCAGTATCCAATGTTTTCATTGGGATGCTTCTCGTTGGCGTTTGCCCACCATTGTAGCCAGATAGCTGCACGATTGTTAGTCTCGGGCGGGCGAAGGATAAGTTGCGGGTAGCGTGGGCGACTCACCTGGAAATCTGAGGCCAAAGACAAAGGCAGAATAGAGAACGACATAGAGAACCATGTACCACCAACCGGCAACGCTGATGAAATAGGCATAGATCTTGATGTCACCAACACGGCGAGCACCGTCGACATCCTCTACCTCAGCGGCGGCCAGGTGCTCCAGAATTTCATCCGGAAGCTCGAGATCGAGTTCCGGTTCGCCGTCACCCGATTCATCATCTTCCGAGCGCTCCAGGTCAAGTTTGACGTCCGACAACTCTTCCGGGGTGCATTGCTGAGTAATGTTGCCTTGTCTATCGAGAACAATGACCGAGTCCGAGTAGCGAAGGTGGCGAACTACGTTCATTAGCAGGGTATAGTCATGGTGTGGTCGCAGCGCTTACCAGAGCTTGTGGCCAGGATGGTCGTAGAGTTCCACTGTCGGAGCAGTCCTTCACGGCCAAAGACGGATTCAAGGATGTTTGACTCGGTAATGCGGTCGACTCCTGCCAATACGTCATCCAGGATGATGACATCCTCTCCTGAGAAGAGGGCACGCGCAAGGGACTTGTATAGTTAGTTATGCCACTCGCCAGCATGCCAAGTTCTTGTACTTACCACGCGCATTTGCTGGCCACCGCTGATGTGAGAGCCACGGGTACCAACTTCAGTGCGGTCACCATTTGGCAGAATGTCAAAATCGGCCGAGAGACAGCACGCTTGCACAACGCTCTTGTATCGAGGTTCATCCCACGTTGACAAGCCGACAATGTTATCACGAATCGTGCCTCGGAAAATCCAGGAGGACTGGGGGCAGTATGCGGAACTGAGAAAGTTTCTGTCCAGGGAGCCTCCAACTTCGGGTACTTCGCCTAGCAGAAGTCTGAGAAGCGTAGACTTGCCGCAACCGACAGGTCCAATAATCATAGTCGTCTTGGACTTGGCCAGATCAAAGTTGAGGGCCTTCAGGATGGGTCCCTTTTCGGAGGAGTACGCGGCAGTGGCGTTGCGTGCAGTGAACATGGCGTCCGCGTTGGCTAGGTCTGCCTTTAGCGAAGCGGCAGGCTGCACCTTTTCCTTGACACTTGCATGCTTCTCTTGAGAAGAAGCAGTGCTCGAACCGTCCTGTTCATGGCTGCTCGAGACCCTGCCGTCTTCTTCCGAATCATTGCCAGAGTCGCCTTGCTCATCTGCAACAAGGTACTCCTGGATACGCTCAAAACAGTTCAAGATGGTCTGCGCATGTTCAAGAGCATCGGGGATGTTGACAGTGGGCTGATCTGACAGCTCGTACAACGTCAGGGCTGGGAAGATAATTTGCTCCGTAAGTGTTTGCGTATGTCTTGATCTGGCAAGCAGAATAAAAACACCAAAACCCCAAACAGGAGCAAAAGTGGATGACACGTAGACTAGAATTGTTAGACTGGAGTCTACAGGCTGCTTCCTTCGAATACTCACATCCAGCATTCAGGAAAATGTTCCAAAGACGGTAGCGGAGAGAAGAGCGAATCTCATCCTGACGAAGGCGAGTAATCATGGCCGAAATAGCGCCATTAACTCCGGTCATTCTGATACCTTTCAAGGCACCTAGAGCTCCAGATGTTGCTTCAAGCCGAGTTTCGATAGCCTCGAGCCATGGAACTTGGGCGTCACCGGCAATGGTCGCAACTCGCAAGCTTCCGACGAGGCACACTATTTGGGGTCAGTGCCGTACTGATTGGTATCGTGGGTGAGAGAGTATCATACCGATGACGAAAGCGGTGGAGGCGGACATTGCCACACCAAGAAATCTGTACAGAAGCCACAGAGTAAGGCCAAGCTCCAACGGACCGGCATACAGCTCGTGCACGTCCTCCATGCTCTCTCCGATGCGGTCAATGTCGGCGCTCATCAGGGTCATGGCTTCGGCGTCGGAAGCAGCGTGGGAGCTGACTCGGAGTGTCTTGTCAAAAATGGCCGAGATGAGGCTTCCACGGAAGAGGGTGATGGCACGATACACCTTGAGCTCATACACTGCATAGGATATCTGCAGGGGATTTTTAGTTACGATTGCGCGAGTGGATGCCACAGTACATACAGCGATGCCGATATAGACGAGAGCGTAGGCAGCGATCAACCCATAGCCTGTGTTTTTGTCGGACTCGGTTGGGGGAGCGGCGACGTAGTCGAGGACTCTCTGGACGAGGAAGGGCTGGGCAAGGGTGAATGCTAAGTAGGCAAGTCGCGCTGGCATGGCAGCCAGGATATGCCATTTGTAGTGCTTGATGAAGGTCCGTAGCAAGGCGTGCTTCTTGGTTTGATCAGCTTCGCAAGCTGTTAGCACCCCGGAGAACTTGGACAGACGCAGAGCGACCTACATTTGTTCCAGCGAGCCAGAAGCGACGACGGTTCCGAGGCCTGGAGGAGGTCGGCATCTATGGGCGTCAGCGTGTCGACAGTCAGGGATGAGCGGAAGCCCTTGAGCATCAATTCATTCAACCAGATGAAGAGCGCCCTGCTGTACGTGCTGCTGGTGGCCTCGGGCGCCGAGTCCCGCCACTTGGGGCGGAGCAGGCGCCGCTTCTCGTAGAGCTCCAGCAGGAAGATGACGACCTTTACGCAGAACCCGGCGAGGAAGACGGCGGCCAGGTGGTCGGCGGACTGCAGGTAGAGCAGGGTACGGACGCGCGCGAGGTCGAAGAGGGTGGACAGGCCGAGGTAGAGGGTGAGCAGGGTCGACGGCCGCACCGACCGCGTGTGCTCCAGGTAGGAGAGGTACAGGAAGAAGAGCGAGGTGACCAGCGTGACGGAGAGCGCGGCGAGGGTGGACGTGGTCTTGGGCGCGTTCGGTTGCGCCCAGAGCGCGAGGAGGACAATCTGGAGAATGACGTACGCGCCGTACGAGAGCTGGGATCCTGGTTAGCTCGGCGCCGTTCAGCGTGTCTTCAGCAGAGCGCAACGGTACCATCTTCACAGGCAGAAGCCATGACTTGTCGACCTTGGCGAGCGCATCGCGCAGCTGCAGAGCGCGTCCCACAGAGAGAAGGACTGCAAACGAGGGTTAGTGAGCGATCGTACACACACGGCCGGGGAGTTGCGGTCGGGAACTTGCAGGTCAGGCTGAGCGGCAGGATGGTGAGGATGGTCTCCTCAAAGAGCAAGGTGAAATCGAAGCCGCCGAGACAGGCCGAGGAGACGGACGGGCCAAAGGCCCTCTCGACGTCGATTGTGCAGCTGTTGTTTGACTGCATCGCGGCTACGTTTGCAAGGTGGCGATGTCAGTGCAAAACTGAGGATATTGGAACCTCTCCTGGTGTCGAATGCCGACCAGTCTTTGATCAAGGGAAACAGATCAAAGAAAGGATGGACGAAATAGGCATCCGACATGCAAAAAAAGACATGTGTGTTTGTTTGCTTGACGGTGTAGGCAGGCTGACCCAACGAAGGGGGACGGATGAGATGGGATAGGTTGGATGTGGCGGCGCGCACCGCCTCATCACGGCCTATGCTGGAATAGGGCAAGGCGATTGACAGCGGGCTTACAGTGGGCAAGCCTGGATGGATTAGTATCTATGTACATATGTAGGGACACACCCCGACACCCTGATATTCGTTTAAAAATAAAAAATAAAAATCTTGATCTATATCCATATCCATATTTCTTACTCTATAACATGTATTCTCCTGCTTATTTGCGAATACTGACTGGTAGAGATGCGTCCCCGCAGATCTACATAAATACATACATACATAGGCCTACGCTTCAACGCCACCGCTGGAAACGCGTAGCAGGAAAACGCCACTCAACTGTTAGGGCTGATCGAGGACAACGAGAGCATCAAGAAACAAGTTAAATACCTACCTACCTTGGCTGGTTTAGCTAAAAAATGACAAAATCCTTCGAAAATGATTCAAGTACAGATGACACAAGTTTGCTCTCTGAGGCTCTCTCCGCCTTGCTTCCCCATCCCCATGTACCCCGTCGATGCAGCCCACCCTTGCCCACTATTACCCATAACTCCGGCGACTTCTTAACGTGGTCCTGTGGATAGACCGGAGGCTTTATTTTTTTTTCTTTGCCCGTCGTCTGATGCAGGCCGTCATCTTATTCCGTCTGGAAGTGGGAGGGGCCGAAGAAATAACTAGGGGACCGGACGTCGCTGCTGCTAACTTCTAAGCCATCAAGCAACTAAACTAGGTTACGCCCCCAACAGCCCAAGTTGTTACCACCAGTACGTTGTCAAAACCAAAGCCAAGACTTTTTGAAGCCTTTTTCGGATCTATCCTAATTTGTCCCGGCTTGGCCGTGCTATCCGCCGCCCCCACCCCGGCTCTGTCTCGACTGCCGTTCGTCCACGACCAAGCAAACTCGCATTTCGTAGTTCCATCTCCTCTGTTTCTTTCCTCGACCAGCTACTGCATGCTGATGGGGTCTGGATGGTTTTTCCTGTAAGAGCCGCAGGGCCTGCCACCCTGGCATCTGTCACGACAAATCCTCGACACGGATGCGCTACAGCGAGCACGCGGTGGAAATGTCTCACATAACGGTCGTGAAACAAAAAAAAGAAATACGCTCGGGGATACGACATCCACTACGTCCGAGAATCTCAATCCCGTCACCCTATCCCATTCGTCTGGATCGTTCCCCACGGCCGCTCAATGCCGGGCCATCACCGATTCTAGCCTCATTCCGCGAGAAACCCCCCCTCCCCCATCGAAACTTACGCGCGTTCGCTTATTAAGATGTAATCCTTTCTCAACTGTGGCGTGATGATGGTATCGTCATGACGAAAAAAAGAAGACTTTTGGGGGCCCGTCAACTACCGAGATGGCTCCAGTTCTCCGCGGAGTCGACCCGGGATGAACGAACTCTCCTAAAAGCTCACGTACACATCAACTGACCTACAGTTGTGACTCGTAAACAAACCAATTGATGCCCAGGTGTCATCACGCACTCCATTTGCATGGGGCTTGGAAGAGAACCTGTTTGGTTGCCCTTCCGAGACATGCAGTGGGCAGGTCGCACTATCAACGTCGCCTAGCCTTGTAGAAAGTAATCCTTACAGATTTATAGAAATAATCAATCAGGTGTCAGATATTCTTGTTGTTGCTGATACTATACTATTTTCAATAATTTCTCTTGTTTTTATTTTCACAAGATAATCTCATTACGAACTTTTTCTGCGAATACTGCAGCGTTTTCTAGAAGCAAAGTAAACGGCAAGAAAGTGAAACAATCTATGCTCTAGTATCCATCCAACATGACCCTGCAATTGTTTTTTTTTCTTTTCCTTGTTCACCGTAGCGTACTATTCCCATAATCATGCTTTTTGTAATCTCCGGAAGAGAACATCACATCGAAGTCCCCGCGGCAGCGCATTCTCCGTCCCCAGCTGGCTCATCGTCGCAGCGTTGGTGCCCGACTGCTCATTCTCGTGAATGTCAAAGTTGAGCAGCAGGCTCACCAACAGCAGCTTAATCTCCGCTATCGCGAACGCCTTGCCCAGGCACACGCGCGCCCCGTAGCCAAACGGGATGTAGCAGCCCTCCATCGCGCGCAGCTCCTCCTCGTCCGCGCGCAGCCAGCGACCCGGGTCGTAAATGTGCGGGTTCTGGAAGACGGCGGGGTTGTGCTGGATGGCTATTGTCGATGTTGAGATGATGGTCTGAGAGTGTGTTAGCCAATCAAAAAGGAAGAAGGAAGGGGGGGGGGATCGAGAACTCACTCCTGCAGGAATCATAACATCATCGTAGAGGTGGGTTTCTGGGACGATCCTCTCGGCGCGGCCGCTGGAGAGGGGCTTGGTGCGGAGCGACTCGCGGAGGCAGGCCTCGAGCACGGGCGCGTTCTTGATGGCGTCAAAGGAGGGCAGGCCGTCGTCCTCGAGCGCCAGGGCCTGCAACTCGGCGCGGACCTCGCGCTGCCAGCTGCGGTGCACGGCCAGCAGCCAGACGGCGTATGTGAGCGCCAGGGAGACGGTCGTCTGCGCCGCGTGGATGTTGTCGAGGCACTCGGCGGCCAAAAAGCTCCTCCGGGGCACCCCGGCGCCCGTCTTGTCCCGGAGCAGCCGGCCGACCAGCGAGTGACCCGTGGCAGCGTCGTCGGCGTGGACGCCCTTGACGGCCGCGTCCAGGCGCTCCAGGTTCCACTCGAACAGGCGCTCCTCGGCGTGCAGGAAGCGCGGGTTCGCCAGCCGCGTCACGGCACACTTGACGAGCCGGTGGGCGAGCGGGAACGTGTACAGCAGGTTGTTCCAGACCTCGCACTCGGCCCAGTCCTCCAGGATGGTCTGCTCCTCGCGGACCGACGCGAGAGACTGCGAGGCATGGCCCGGCCCGTACACCAGCGCGGTGATGTTGTCAAACGCGTACGAGTTGGTCAGCTTGAAGATGTCCGCGCCGACGGTGGACTCGGCGTGCGCGCTGCCGCTCAGCTCGTCCACGAAGAGCCGCACCCGCCTCCGCAGCGGGCTCATGACGGGCTCGCCGTAGACGGTGGAGGGCTGGTAAAAGGCGAACGTGGACTTGCGCATGGCGCGGTGCTCCATGCAGCCGAGGGCGGTGAAGATGGTGCGCTCGCCGTACATGGTGAAGTTGTTGAAGAAGCCGCTCTTGGGGTGGCGCGTGCCGGCGCGGTAGATGAGCTTTGTGGAGGCGGAGCTGGACACGGAGACCTCGCTGGGGGCGACGAGCACGACGGGGCCGTAGATTTGGTGCCATTTGTAGATTTGCTGGTTGCGGTGGAGGAAGATGTCGTGGAGGTCGACCCAGAGACGGGTGACCTTGCAGATGCGAGGGCCGGGGACATGGCTGTAGGGCGAGAGGAACAGGGCGTACACGACCCGGGCGAGCAGGAGAGATGCGGCAAAGACAATGGCAATGCTCAGAGAGAGGTAGTTGTACCGATAGCTGGTTTCCATGGCTGATAGATGACTGGTGTCAATGATTGATAGGTAGGAGATGGATGTAGAAGCCACACGCAGCAGGGGCAAGTACACAGACAGGTAGCTGATATGATAAGAAGTGAACGATATATATGTAGGACTATGACTATGCTATATTGGTGCGTTGGATTCTATACTAGTAAGTAATAAACAGGCCCGGCCAGGTCCTCTTGGTTGAAACTGGGCGAGCTACGGATGATGACCCCCCCTGCGCAAGCACCAACTTGCTTCCCGATCGAGCAGTTTTACTAGGTAAGAGCCCAAGTAAGTCTCTTTGCTTTCTGAACCACATATAGGACCATCAGAAGCAAAGTTGGCCCCGCCGTGGCCATGGACGTCGAGCTGGGCCGCGAGACATGGCATGTTTGCCTGCAGGATTGCCGGCCGCAGATTCTGTATCGAGCAGATGCTACATGTTTTCATCATTCTACAGATCAACATGCTGTATACGATTTGCCAGATGTATAAAAGCACTTTTACATCACATACTGCCGGTCCAGGTGGCAGAGGCGGATCCAGAACATAAGCACGAACTGATCACCAGTCGTGGATGCCTTGTTGGTGAGAGGTTGAACGAACTGCTCGGTAACATAAGCGCATCTCCGGTGAAGGTGGAACAACATGTCCACCGGCATGTTTGATTCTTCTCCCTGCTTCCTTCCTTCCTGACTGTATCCTTCGGCGACTTCCCAAAGCACTCGATGGCGGGATTTGACGACGGATTTCGGCCACCTTGATGTTGGAACTCGCAGGAATGAATGGGAATAGAATAGACGCGGGCCCCACCGTGAAGTAGTCATGCGAATCACGACATTTCTCGGGTCTCTTTAAAAATGCACCTAAAAAATTGCACCTTGCATAAGGATGGGCGGGAGGTGGTGGCTAGAGAACGTACATGAGTACATCCGGTAGTGGCGCCGCCGCTGCATCAAGCTGAATCGACCCTAAAAACAAGTTCCCAAACGAGTTCCTAAGCAAGTTTACCAGTTAGACTTGCTCATAGGAACTCGTTCTACGAGTTAGTGGAGAGGAAACGGCGATGCAACCCACACACCATCATCTCTTAGCCGTCTTGGGCTGGATAGGGCCAACTCGCCGGGATGCCAGGGTGAGGACGAGATGACAGCTGCTGCAGTGTAACCGAAGAATTACTCTATTCTGTTTCTTGGTCCTTTCACTTTAGATTTTCTCTTGTCAATTTGCACTGGCTATTCGATAGTTGCTGCTTTCATAGCCAGGACTACGTACCTCGGCGTCCTGCCTCAGCGCTAATAAAGGCTTGTCTCGCCAGCGTCAGCAGGTTAATTTATGTACTAGTAAATAGTAAATACAATCCAGTGTCTGGCCTTTTTCTAGGCGGTGAGGCAGTTTCTTCCTCGTTGAACTGGCCAGACTGGGCTCAACTGTCACGACATCCGACGACTACGGCACATCAGACCGTGGCCAGTGACATCGTGCATCTCGAGACACGGCAAACCGGCACGCCGGCAGAGGCGAATGTGAATTGGAGTAGATGGATGGAGTTGACCGAATTCTCCAGTAAAAATAAAGTAGAAATAAAATACACTAAACTAAATAAAAAGAAAACCTTTCTTTTGCACACCCCGTAAGCGCTACGTAGATCCGTCAGCCCTGGGAGTACGTGGGCCGGGCCAGCCAGCACACGACGACCGGGCAGGCAAAGAGGCAGACAGAGAGACAGAAAAACTGACCAAAGAGTTGCGATGACCGGGACTAGCGCGCGCGATCATGTTGGGAGCGGCGTCGGGGCGGTGACATCTCATTGGTCTCGGTCTCGCCATGGCCTGCTCATGTATCGCACTTGGGCATGTACCGGGTCTTTCCAGAGCATGTGTCTCCTCACCTTGCAAGGGCGGTACCGGCCAAGGCTGATGATGAGCGAGGAGCGATGAGCGATGAGTTTCTGTAAAGCAGAGGGGCGCTGACTGTTCCATCCCCCCCAGTAGCCAGCCCACCCCAGGAAGTTGCCCAAGACGGTGTAAACTACGAGCCCGGATATGTGCCGGTGTAGAGGTATACAGGGTGGTCAAGAGTGTGGCATGTGGAATGGTCTGCGTCTTATAAGCAAAGCTGCCAGCTGCGGTTGCAATAGTCAGATGGACATAAGAGCCTTGATAGTCTGATATTCTCCTCCAAGAGGCTTTACAACTTATACGCTTTATACAAGTCACTGTATATCACAGTTACTTTGTACCACAATCACCGTATACAACAGTCACTTTACACAGTCACTTTACACAGTCACTTACACAGTCACGTACACAGTCACAAAAGACACCAGTGACACACACATCACAATGAACTCACCACAACCCAGCCATGACATTCCCGTCCCAGATCTGGAACGAATCTGGGGCTGGAACGCCACCGTGCCCGAGTCCGTCGACCGCTGCGTCCACGACCTCATCGCCGAGGTCACCTCCCGGCAGCCCTCCGCCGAGGCCATCTGCGCCTGGGATGGCACCATGACCTACCAGCAGCTCGACTCCCACTCGACGCGGCTCGCCCACCACCTCGTCCGCCTCGGCGTCCAACCCGGCGCCATCGTACTCCTCTGCTTCGAGAAGTCGCTGTGGACGCCCGTCGCCATGCTCGCCGTCATGAAGGCCGGCGCCGCCTCCGTCGCCGTCGACCTCGTCCAGCCCGAGGACCGCCTGCGCGCCATCGTCCAGCAAGTCGCCCCCGTGCTGGTCATCTCCTCGGTCAAGCAGGAGCCCGTCGCCGCCAAGCTGCTAACCTCGATGCCGGCCTCCGCCTCCGTCGTCGTCATTGATGACGGCCGGCTGGACCAGCTCCCCCCCCTCCAGGGCGACGACGTGCTGCCCACGGTCGACCCCAGCAGCCTCCTGTACGTCGTCTTCACCTCCGGCAGCACCGGCCGCCCCAAGGGCGTCTCCATCCGCCACGCCAACCTCGCCTCCGCCGTGCGCCACCAGCAGTCCGCCCACGGCTTCCGCCCGGACTCGCGCGTCTACGACTTTGCCTCGTACGCCTTCGACGTCGCCTGGATGAACGTGCTGCACACCTTCACCGCCGGCGCCGTCCTCTGCATCCCCTCCGAGGAGGACCGCCGCGACGACTTCTCCGGGTCCATCCTCCGCCTGCGCGTCACCTACGCGGAGATGACGCCGACCATGGCGCACGTGCTGGCGCCCGAGACGGCCCGCACGCTGCGCACCATCGTGCTCGGCGGCGAGAAGGCCAGCGCCGAGGCGCTGGAGCGGTTTCCGGCCGGCGTGGAGATGAAGAACACGTACGGCCCGTCCGAGTGCACGCCCACGTCGACCATCACCGACATTGACCGCGGGGTGCCGTTCTCGGGGAGCATCGGCACGGGGTACGGCGTCAACACGTGGATCGTGGCGCCGGAGGACCATGAGAGGTTGGTGCCGATCGGGACGGTCGGCGAGCTGGTGATTGAGGGCCCGCTGGTCGGCGCGGGGTACATTGGCGACCCGGAGAAGACGGCGGCCGTTTTCATCAAGGACCCGCCGTGGCTGGTCCGCGGGGCGCCGGGCCACGCAGGCCGCGCGGGCAGGGTCTACAGGACCGGCGATCTGGTGCGGTACAACCAGGACGGCGAGATCATCTTCGTCGGGCGGCAGGACTCCCAGATCAAGGTCAACGGCCAGCGCACCGAGCTCGGCGAGATTGAGCACATCGTCAAGGAGTGCCTCGCCCTCACCACCGACGGCGATTCCCGCGCCGTCGTTGAGCACATCATCCCCAGCGGCTCTAAGCGGCCGGTCCTGGTCGCCTTTCTCGATGTCGACGAGGGAGGCTCCGAGTACTTCACCCAGCTGAAAGCCCGCGGCGTCGTCCTCGAGCAGCACCTGACCCGGCGCCTGCCCGCCTACATGACCATCTTTGCCCTTCTCCCCGTCGCCGGCGGCTTCCCGCTCACCGTGTCGGGCAAGCTGGACCGGCGCGCCCTGCGCGCCCGCGCCGAGGCGCTCGGCCTCGAGGAACTGTCCGCGATGAACCCGTGCCGCACGGCGAAGCGCCCGCCGGCGACGCCCACGGAGCGGGCGATCCAGGCGCTGTGGGCGCGCATCCTGGACATCAGCCCTTCCAGTATCGGCGTCGACGACAGCTTCCTGCGCGTCGGCGGCGACTCCATCACCGTCATGAAGTTCGTGGCCCTGGCGCGCGATCAGGGCCTGCGCCTAACCGTCGCCGAGATCCTCAAAAAGCCACGTCTCGGGGACCTTGCCGCCGGCGCTGCCGCGGAGGAGACAACGGCAGAGGTGGCGCGCCCGTTTGAGCTGCTGCGGCCGGGGTTGAGCGCGGCGGACGTGCGCTTCTACGCGGCCGGGCTGTGCGGCGTGCAGACGGAGAGGGTGGAGGACGTCTTCCCGTGCACGCCGCTGCAGGAGGGCTTGCTGGCGCTGACGGCGCGGCGCGCGGGGGAGTACGTCGCGACGGAGGTGCTGCCTCTGCGGGAGGGCGTGGATGCCGGACGGTTCCGGGCGGCGTGGGCGGCGTTCGTCGCGCAGACGCCGATTCTCCGGACGCGCATGATCGACGTCCCCGGGCAGGGCATCGTGCAAGTCGTCATCGCCCAGGATGGCAGTGATGATGCGCTGGCCAGCGGGGACGACACGCAGAGTCTTGGCGACTACGTCCGGCAGCATGAGCAGACGCGCATGGAGCTGGGAACTCCCCTGCTGCATGCGCGGCTGGTCCGGCAGCCGCGGGGAAACACCCTCATCTGGACCATCCACCACGCCCTGTTTGACGGCTGGTCGGTGCCGCTGATGCTCACACGGCTCGAGGCCATCTACGACAACGTGGACGCGCCCCCGCCGCCGGCGCCGCCGTTCCAGGACTTTGTCAGACACATCGTCAAGGCCGACCCGGCGCGGACCAAGGCCTTCTGGGAGGCGCAGGTGCGCGGCCTGGAGGCCCGGCCGTTCCCGGCCCTGCCGGCCGCCGACTACGAGCCGCGGCCGACGGCAGTGCTGAGCCGCCGGATCACGGACGTGCAGTGGCCGCGGGCCGGCGTGACGCCCACCATGGCACTGCGTGCCGCCTGGGCCGTCGTCATCTCACAGTACACGAGTAATAAGGATGTCCTCTACGGTGTGACGGTGGCCGGTCGGCACGCTCCGGTAAACGGCGTGGAGGCCATGGTCGGGCCGACCATCGCCACGGTGCCGCTCCGCGTACAGCTCGATTACGGCAAGACGGTCGGCCAGCTGCTGACCGACATGCAGCAGCAAGCCGTGGACATGATCGATTACGAACAGGCCGGCCTGCTCAGCATCAGCCGCGTGAACGCCGAGGCGCGTACCGCCTGCCAGTTCCAAACGCTCCTCGTCGTCCAGCCCAGCAAGGCCGATACTACCATTGAGTATAGCGTGTTCGCCGACGATGAGGAGGAGGAGGGGGAGAGCGGCCCGGACTCGGGGTTCCTCGGCGCCTTTGACAGCTACGCCATCAACATCATCTGCCACCTCGAGCCCAGCGGCGTCTGGCTGCAAGTCAACCACGACAGCGCCGTCTTTTCTTCAGACGCGACCGCGCGCATGGTGGCGCAGATGGAGCACGTGCTCCGACAGCTGTGCGTCCCGCGGAACCTGGACGGTCCGCTCGCCGAGGCCGTGACTATCAGCGAGGCGGACGCGGCGGGAATTCAGCGCTGGAACGCGCAGCTGCCCGAGGCGGAGGACCGCTGCGTCCACGAGCTGATCCAGGAGACGGCGAGCAGGCAGCCGGACGCCGGCGCCATCGACGCGTGGGACGGAAAGCTGACCTACGCGCAGCTCGATGCCCATGCCACCAAGCTGGCCGGTTTCCTGGCCGGCCGGGGCGTCGGCATGGGCTCCTTCGTCCCGCTCTGCTTCGAGAAATCTGTGTGGACGCCCGTCGCCATGCTGGCCGTCATGAAGACCGGCGCCGCCTCCGTCGCCATGGACCCGGAGCAGCCCGAGCAGCGTCTCCAAACCATCGTGCAGCAAATCCAGCCCCGACTCCTCCTATCCTCCACCAAGCACCAAGCCCTGGCCAACAAACTCGCCGCCTCGAGCTCCATCCAGGTCGTCGCCATCGACGAGGCTTGGATGACCGCCACTCCCCTCACCTCCCCTCCTCCTCTTCCTCCTCTTCCTCCTCTTCCTCCTCCTCCTTCTCCGGCCGTCACGCCTCACACGCCGCTCTTCGTGCTCTTCACCTCCGGCACGACCGGCACCCCCAAGGGTGTCCTCGTCACCCACGCCAACATGAGCGCCGCCCTCCGCCACCAGCGCGACTTCTTCCACTACAACACTCCACAAGCACGCGTGTACGACTTTTCCTCGTACGCGTTCGACGCCGCCTGGCTGAACCTGCTGTTCGCGCTGACCGGCGGCCCCTGCCTGCTCGTGCCGTCGCAGGACGAGCGCCGCGACGACCTCGCCGGGTCCATGGCGCGCCGGGCGGCCACCCACGTGGACATGACGCCGACCGCCGCGGCGCTGCTGCCGGACGAGGCGCTCCGGCGGTTGCGAGGGCTGACGCTCGGCGGCGAGCGGCTGCCAGAGAATGAGGCGCGGCGCTGGGCGAGCTTGGTCGGGGGGCACGTGAACAACATGTACGGCCCGAGCGAGTGTGCCGCCACGGCCACGATCCTGCGCGTAACTCCGGACATGGTCCCCGACAGCATCGGCGCCGGCGTCGGCGTGTGCACGTGGATCGTCGATCCGGAAGATGCCGACGCGCTCGTGCCGGTGGGCTGCGCGGGCGAGCTCCTCCTGGAGGGCCCGCTGGTCGGCCCGGGGTACCTCGGGCAGCCGGACAAGACGGCCGCCGCGTTCATCGAGGACCCTCCGTGGCTGCAGCGGCTCGTCGGGCGCCGCGGCCGGCTGTACAAGACGGGCGACCTGGTCCGCTACCACGCCGCGGACGGCAGCCTCGTCTTCGTCGGCCGCAAGGACACGCAGGTCAAGTTCAACGGCCAGCGCCTCGAGCTCGAGGGCCTCGAGCACGTCATCCAGAAGTGCCTGGGCCAGGGTCGGGCGGTCGTCGAAGTCGTCACGCCCAAGCAGGCCGGCAAGTCCGTGCTGGTCGCCTTTGTGGATATCGGCGCCGCGGACGAGGACGTCTTCTTCCGGTCCATGCACGCGCGCCAGGCGGAGATGGAGGACCGCCTCGCGCAGTCGCTGCCGACCAACATCATCATCAGCGCCTTCATCCCGCGCCGCGGCGGCTTCCCGCTGACCACGGCCGGCAAGATCGACCGCCGGGTGCTGCGCGCCGAGGCGGAGGGCCTCACGCTGGAGCAGCTGGCGGCGCTGAACCCGTACCGGGCCAAGGCGGAGAAGCGGCCGCCGACGACCGAGGCTGAAAGGATCGTCCAGGCGCTCTGGGCGTCCACCCTGGGAATCAGCCCTGAGGCTATCGGCGCCGATGATAGCTTCTTGCGTATCGGCGGTGACTCGGTCAGCGCGATGCGCGTGGTCGGCCTCGCACGCCAGCAGGGCGTCCACCTGACCGTGGCCGAGATGCTGAAGCGGCCCCGGCTGAGCGACCTGGCCAAGGTCGTCGGTACGCTGGTCGAGCCGGGCCAGCAGGCCATCGCGCCCTTGTCCCTAGTCCCGGCCGATGCGTCAAAGACACGACTGGACGCCGCTCGGCTCTGCGGCGTGCGCCCGGAGCAGATCCAGGACGTGTTCCCCTGCACGCCTTTGCAGGAGGGCCTGCTCGCGCTGACCGCCCGCCGCGGCGGCGACTACGTGGCGCAAGAAGTCTTCGAGATCCGTCCGGAGATTGACATCCCGCGCCTCCAGGACGCCTGGCAGCGGTGGGTTGCCGGCACGCCGATCCTACGGACGCGCATCGTCGACCTACCCGGCCAAGGCCTCATGCAGGTCGTCGTCGACGAGGCCTACGCCTGGCCCGAGATGGCCGTCGCCTCCGAGGAGCAAGACGTCGAGCACTATACGCGCATGGACATCCAGCACCCGATGGGCCTCGGCGTGCCGCTGATGCGCTTCCGGCTCGTCCGGAGTGACGACCGGCACCACCTCGTCTGGACTATCCACCATGCTCTCTACGACGGCTGGTCCATGTCCCTCATGCTGAGCTCGCTCGAAAGCACCTACAACAACAACAACAACCTCATCCCCGCGCCGCCGCCATACCAGGCCTTCGTGCAGCACGTCAACAGCATCAGCCAGGACGACGTCGCCGGCTTCTGGCAGGAGCAGCTTCACGGCCTCGAAGCGCAGACCTTCCCCGCCCTTCCCTCGCCCACCTACCGCCCCGACGCCGGCCGCTCCCTCGTCCGCGCCGTCTCCGACCTCTCCTGGCCGCGCGCCGACGCCACCCCCACCGTCGTCCTTCGCGCCTCCCTCGCCGTCGTCCTCGCGCAGTACACCGGCCTGCGCGACGTCGTCCTCGGCACCACCGTCGCCGGGCGCCACGTGCCCGTCCCCGGCGTCGAGCGCATCCTCGGCCCGACCATCGCCACCGTGCCCCTGCGCGTGCCGCTCGACTTTTCCCGCAGCGCCGCGCACCTGCTCGCCAACCTGCAGGCGCAGATGGCGCGCATGATCGACTACGAGCAGGCGGGCCTGCCGCGGATCGCCCGGGTCGGCGGCCCGGAGGCCGCCGCGGCGTGCCAGTTCCAGACGCTGCTGGTGGTGCAGCCGGACGAGGAGACGCAGACGGCGCCGGGGCTGTTTGTCGCGGAGGCGGGGGAGCAGGAGGAGGCGAGCACGGAGCAGGGGCTGGTGGGCGCGTTCGACACGTATGCGATCAACATCGTCTGCCAGCTGAAGCCAGGTGGCGTGCGGCTGCAGGTCAACTACGACGAGGCGGTCGTGTCGGAGGAGCAGATGAAGGGGATTGCTGCGCAGGTCGAGTTTATGCTGCGGCAGTTTTGCAGCGCGGACCTGGACGGCAAGCTGGCGGACCTCGTCTCCCTTAATGAGACGGACCTGGCCAGCGTCTGGGCGTGGAACTCGACGGTGCCGGAGACGGCGACCCGCGGCGTGCAGGAGCTCATTACCGACTCCGTGGCCCGACACCCGGAGGACGTCGCCGTGTGTGCCTGGGACGGGCAGCTTACTTACCGCGAGCTCGACGCGCGGTCCACCCGGATGGCCCATCACCTCGTGCGTCTCGGCGTCCGGGGCTTTGTCCCCCTGTGCTTTGAAAAGTCTGTGTGGACGCCCGTCGCGATGCTGGCCGTCATGAAAGCCGGTGCCGCCTCCGTTGCCATGGACCCAGCACAGCCGGAGGAACGGCTCAAAACCATCGTCCAGCAGGTCAAGGCCACGCTGATCCTCTCCTCCGCGAGCCAGCGAGAGCTCGTTGATAGACTGGTCGCGTCTTCAGCAGCGAGCGCCGTGGTCGTGGACGAGGCGGCGCTGGCTCACCTCCTGGAGCCGGAGCCGGAGCCGGAGCCTTCCGCCACGCTGCCGGCCGCGAAGCCGGAGGATCCGCTGTACGTCGTCTTCACCTCCGGCAGCACCGGCAACCCCAAGGGCGTCATCGTCACGCACGCCAACATCAGCAGCGCCATCCAGCACCAGAACCAGGCCCTCGGCTTCACCCGGGCCTCGCGGGTGTACGACTTTGCCTCGTACACCTTTGATCTCGTCTGGTGCAACCTCCTGCAGGGCCTCGCCGCTGGCGGCACCCTGTGCATCCCCAGCGACCAGACCCGACGAGCGAACCCGCTGCAGGGCATCGACCAGCTCTCCGCCAACGCCTCGCTGCTGACGCCCTCCACGGTGCGCGCCCTGGACGCCGCCGGGCTGGCCGGCCTGGACACGCTGCACCTGATCGGCGAGTCGTTCCGGCCGGACGACGTCGCGCGCGTACCAGCCTCAACGGCGATCCACAACATGTACGGGCCGAGCGAGTGCACCACCTTTGCTACGCTGCATCGCGTGCCCGGCAGCAGCGCGGGAGGAGAGGAGAGGGTCATCGGCAGGGGCGTCGGCCTCGTCACCTGGGTGGCCGAGGCCGCCGACCACGACGTCCTGACGCCGGTTGGTGGCGTGGGCGAGCTACTGCTCGAGGGCCCGCTGGTGACGGCCGGATACCTGGATGAGCCGGGGAAGACGGCCGAGGTGTTTGTCGAGGACCCGGCGTGGCTGCTGCGCGGCGGGCCGGGACCGGACCAGCCCGGTCGCCACGGCCGGCTGTACAAGACGGGAGATCTGGTGCGTTATCGGCAAGATGGCAGCCTGGTCTTCGTGGGCCGCAAGGACAACCAGGTCAAGGTCAACGGCCAGCGTCTTGAGCTCGGAGAGGTCGAGCATGCCGTCCAGCGCTGCCTCCCCGAAAGCAAGCCCGTCGGCGTCGTGGTCGAGCTCGTCACCCCCGCCAAGGGCGTCAAGCCGATCCTGGTCGCCTTCCTGAGCCTCGGCGCCTCTTTCTCTATCCCGACATCATCAGACCCCGACGACGCGACCGCCACAGATGCCCTCGACGCCGCCGTGAAGCCCATCCTCGCCGGCCTCGACGACCGTCTCGCCGAGCGGCTACCCGCCTACATGACGCCCTCCGCCTTCCTCCCCGTCCTCTCCTTCCCCCTCACCGCCAGCGGCAAGCTCGACCGCCGCAGCCTGCGCGCCCGCGCCTCCGCGCTGACCCTTGAGCAGCTCACCGCCAGCGCCGCGCCGCACTCCAAGCAGGCGGCCCGCACCGACGCCGAGCGCCGCATGCAGGCCCTCTGGTCCGCCGTCCTCAACATCGGCGCGGACGGCATCGGCCGCGAGGACAGCTTCCTGCGCGTCGGCGGAGACTCCATCAGCGTCATGAAGCTCGTCGAGGCCGCGCGCCGGCGGGACCTCTTCCTGACCGTCGCGGACGTCTTCAAGAGCCCGCGGCTGCGCGACCTGGCCGCCATCGCCGGCGCGCGCGGGCAGGTCCAGGTGCGGGAGGTCGCCCCGTTCTCGCTGCTCCAGGGTGGCATCACGTCGGAGGAGGCGCGCGCCCAGGCCGCCGAGCTCTGCTCCGTGGCGGCCGGCCGGGTGGAGGATGTCTTCCCGTGCACGCCGTTGCAGCAGGGTTTGTTGGCTCTCACGGCGAAGCGCGCGGGTGACTACGTCGGGCAGGAAATCTTCACGCTTCACGAGACGATTGACGTTGCCCGCTTCAAGGAGGCGTGGGACAGCATGGTGGCCGCAACGCCGGTGCTGCGAACACGCATCGTCGACCTGCCGGGACAAGGCATCGTGCAGGTCGTTATTCAAGAGCAGCTAGGATGGCCCGAGGAGAGCGAAGACTCCGACACTCTCCCATTGTCCGCAAAGATTGATCGACTTCAGCCCATGGGTCTCGGCACGCCGCTGACCCGGTTCCGGCTGGTTCGCGAAGCCGGCCACCATCACCTCGTCTGGACCATCCACCACGCCCTGTACGACGGCTGGTCGCTTCTCTCCATGCTCAACTCCCTAGAGAAGGCGTACAACGACGAACCCATCTCCCCGGCCGTGCCCTTCCAGGGCTTCGTCGCCCACATGATCGACACCGACCCCGCGCAGGCCACCGCCTTCTGGCGCCGCGAGATGGACGCCCTCGAAGCCCCGTGCTTCCCTCCCCTGCCATCCCTCAACCACCAACCCGTCGCCGGGCGATCCGTCTCGCGACGCATCCGCGGCCTCCACTGGCCGCAGGAGGTCGACGTGACCCCCTCCATCGCTATCCGCGCCGCCTGGTCCGTCGTCGCCGCGCAGTACACCGGCGCGGACGACGTCGTCTTCGGCGCCACCGTCGCCGGCCGCAGCGCCGCCATCCCCGGCGTCGAGGCCATGGTCGGCCCGGCCATCGCCACCGTGCCGCTCCGCGTGCGCCTCCACGACCGGCGCTCCGTGACGGTCGCGCAGTTCCTGGGTGGTATGCAGGAGCAGGCCGTCCGGATGATCGAGTTTGAGCAGACCGGGCTGTCGCAGATTAGCCGCGTCAGCGCGGAGGCAAAGGCGGCGTGTCAGTTCCAGACACTGCTCGTCGTGCAGCCGGTTGAGGAAACGCAGATTGGGAGTGACTTGTTCCTCCCGGATAGCGACGACGACGAGGCGCAGGGTTTCATCGGGTCGTTTGACACGTACGCCGTCAACGTCATCTGCGACTTGGAGCAGGACGGCCTGCACCTGCAGATCACGTACGATGAGGAGGTCATCGCGGCCGAGACGATGACGAGGATGACGGCCCAGCTGGAGAATGTCCTTCGACAGCTCTGCCACGCGGATAACCTGCATGCGAAGCTGGCCGACGTCGTGTCGATTAATTCGCTGGATCTAGACGATATCTGGAAGTGGAACGGGGTCGTCCCAGAGACTCTCGACCGCTGCGTACACGATTTGATCAAGGAGACGGTGGACAAGCAGCCGCAAGCCATCGCCATCGACGCCTGGGACGGCAGTCTCACGTATCAAGAACTCGACCAGCAGTCAACACGACTCGCTCACCGTCTAGTCGAGTTGGGGCTCCAAGTAGGCTCCATCGTGCCTATTTGCTTCGAAAAGTCCATGTGGACGTCAGTGGCCATGCTGGCGGTTATGAAGGCCGGTGGTGCATCAGCGGCTTTGGATCCAGCTCAGTCCGAAGATCGGCTGGTCACGATTGTCCGACAACTCCAGCCGCAGATGATACTCGCCTCACCAGGCTGCCAGAAGCTCGCCGTCAGGCTAGCAAAGACCCCCGGAACCGCCGTCGTTGCCGTTGGCGAGGTCCAGCTCAACCAGGTCGCAGTCAACGACAACACCACACTGCCGATAGTCGCACCCGAAGGCCCTCTCTTCGTGCTCTTCACCTCTGGCACCACTGGAACGCCCAAAGGCGTCATCGTCACGCATTCCAACTTTAGCAGCACCATCCTCCATCAGCACCACTACTTCGGCTACAACCCGTCCGCCCGCGTGTACGACTTCTCCTCCTACGCCTTCGACGCCGCCTGGCTCAACCTCCTCCTCTCCCTCTCCCCCCCCGGGCGCCCCCTGCCTGTGTGTGCCCTCCGACGCCGACCGCCGCGACGACCTCGCCGGCTCCATGGAGCGGCTCCGCGTCACGCACGTCGACATGACCCCCACGGCTGCCGGGTTGCTGCCGGAGCGCGCCCTGCGCCGACTGCGCGCCATGACGCTCGGCGGCGAGCAGCTCCGCCCCGCCGACGCCCGCCGCTGGGCGCGCCTCGTTGGCTCCTTGCGCAACATGTACGGCCCCAGCGAGTGCACCGCCACGGCCACCATCCTGAGCGTCGACCCGGAGGCCATGGTCAAGGACAGCATCGGGCGGGGCGTCGGCCTCTGCACGTGGATCGTGGACCCGGAGACGGCGACGGCGCTGGTGCCGGTCGGTTGTGTCGGGGAGCTGCTGCTGGAGGGTCCGCTGGTCGGCCCGGGCTATCTTAACGAGCCGGAAAAGACGGCGGCGGCTTTCATCGAGGATCCTGCCTGGCTGCTGCGAGGCGGACCGAACCACGGTGGCCGTCGTGGTCGGTTGTACAGGACAGGTGATCTGGTCCGCTACCATCACGATGGCAGCATCGTGTACGTCGGCCGCAAGGACACGCAAGTCAAGGTCAACGGTCAGCGCCTCGAGCTAGGCGGCGTCGAGCACGTCATCCAGGAATACCTCTCCAGCACTGGCAGCCAAACCTCTGTCGTCGTCGAGCTCGTCAAGCCCTCCCAAGCCCAGAGGCCCGTCCTCGTCGCCTTCCTCGACACCTCGCAGACCTCCAACCTCCAGGACCTGCAACAGCAGCTCCAAGGCGGCCTGGAGGAGGTCCTCACGCAGCACCTGCCCACCAACGTGACCGTCACCGCCTTCCTGCCCGCGGCCGGCCTCCCGCAAACAGCCACCGGCAAGCTGGACCGCAAGGCGCTGCGCGTTCGCGCCGAGGCCGCCACGCTGCAGGAGCTCGCGGCCGCCAACCTGCACCAAGTCAAGAAGCGCGCGCCGGGCACGCCCGCCGAGATCCTGCTGCGGGAGCTGTGGGCGACGGTGCTGGGCGTGGACGCGGAGGGCATCGGCGCCGACGACAGCTTCATGCGCGTCGGCGGCGACTCCATCGGCGCGATGCGGCTGGTCGGCGCGGCGCGCCGGCGCGGTCAACTGCTCACCGTCGCCGACGTCCTCCTGCACCCGAAGCTGTGCGACGCCGCGCAGCGACTGCAGCGCATCAACGACGAACCCGCTCAGGCCGTGGAAGCAGCAGGGCCGTCGCCTCTACCGACGGCGGTGTCGTCCGGCATCTCCGAGGAGCGTCTCGGGGCAGTACTACAGAGATTGGGTCGCTCCCACGACGAGCAGCCGCAGGACGTGCTGCCCGTCACCGACGAGCAGGCGCGCAGTCTAGCCATGACCTACTCTACCTCCCGGAGCATGCTCTTCTACCACGCTCTCGACCGCCCCGCCGCCTCCTCCGGCGCCGACCTACTACACATCGTCCGGGCGTGCTCCGTCCTGGTCTCGCGCTTCGACATCCTGCGTACCGCCTTCGTCGTCGACGGCGACTCCTTCCTGCAAGTCGTCCTCCGCTCCGCGAAGCCCGAGGTGGCCACCATCCTAGACGACGACCTCGAGGTGTGCACGGCCGCCCTGCTACGTCGCGAATCCTCCAAGCCGCTCGACCTCGGCGCGCCGCTGACCAAGTTCTTCGTCATCTACTCCGAGACGCATCAGACGTACCGTGTGGTGATGAGGCTGTCGCACGCGCAGTTTGACGCTATCAGTCTGGGGCAGATGTGGTCCGCCTTCGAGGACGCCTGCAAGGACTCCGTCGTCACGCTTGGTGCGGACCCGGTCGCCAGCTTCGCCGCCCACATGCGGTCCCTCTCCGGGCTTGACCGGCCGGAGGCGGTTGCCTACTGGCGCGAGCTTCTGCGCGGCTCCTCCGTCACGCGGCTGAACGAGCGCGCCCCCCACGCCCTCTCACGCCGCGGCGCCGACGTCTCCATCACCAAGTCGATCCCGCAAAGCCAGCTCCGCTCGATCGACCACACGCTCCCCACCGTTCTCGGCGCAGCCTGGGCGTACGTGCTGGCCAAGCGCTCAGAGATGACCGACATCGTCCTCGGCGTCCTCACGCACGGCCGCGACCACCCGGCCAGCGAGGCCGTCATCGGGCCCTGCGTCAACGTCGTGCCTCTGCGCGTCACTCTCCAAGATGGTTGGCGCGTCGCGGACCTGCTCGCCGCCGCACATGCCCAGCGCGTGGCCGGCATCCCGCACGCGCAGCTCGGCTCCCGCGCCATCGTCCGCGACTGCACCTCGTGGCCTCGAGACGCCTACTTCGGCACCGTGATCCGCCACAACAGCTACAGCGACGACGAGACGCAGGCGAGCCGCATGCGCATCTTCGAGTCCCCGGGCTCCGGTGCGGTCGACGTCGACAGCGTCGAGGTCCACATCATCGCCGCGTCGAGCGACGACACAGTCGACGTCGAGGTCAGCTTCGCGGCGGGCGTGGTTCCCGCGAACGTGGCCCGTCAGCTGGCCGCGGACTTGCACGAGACCGTCCTGCGGTTCTGCAGCGGCACCGAGGCATCGCTAGGGGGGCTGCCGGAGCTGCCGCCCATGAGGTGCGCGCTGCCCGTGCGGGCTCAGCCCGTCCACGTCAACGGCTTCGAGGCCAAGACGCTGCTCGCCGAGCGCTGCCCGCCTGCCAAGATCGAGGCCCTGCGCATGGCCTGGAGGAGCGTGCTCGGGGGCGATGTCGAGCTGGACGCGGAGTCTCCGAGGACCTTTTTCGATCTGGGAGGAGACTTGATCGGAGCTGGTGTGCTGGCCTCCCACGTCGCCAGCCAGGGATATCTCATGACCACCGAGGATGTGTTTGAGCATCCGACTTGGCTGTCGCAGCTGGCGTTGCTCGGCGGCCGGGCTCATTAGGAGGTCATTAGCCGAAGAATGCGGATGGTGGTCGAGGCAATAGATCTCGACCCGGTCCGCCAAAGTTTGTGTGCATATAAATGAGATTATTTTCCTTTGTCATTTAGCCTAGATGTATCTTCTAATTATTACTTGCTGTTCACTAGATGTTACAAGGTTGTAGTACATCGGTTGATTAGCCGAGCCGCTTCCAAGGCAACGTCTGTTAGCACTAGGGCTCGCAGAATTTGACGCGTAGGCAAAACTCATCGCCTGATCATCATCCCAACTTACAAGGGCCAAATACTGTTCCCAGTGAATGAGATTCTAATTTTGGTTCGAATCACTCTCATTCACCGACATATCCCCACAATGGTCGCCGTATTGCGATGAGAGATTCCACTCCATGGTCTTCGCCTCTATCGAGCCGATAGCTCCGATGCCTGTCGGTCGGAACGCCTCGTCAATAAGCTCGCCGACTTGAGTGGAATTCTTTTAAGCCACTCGATTTTTATTAATCATGACGCCTCTGGTAATGAGGCCATGTAGAGGCATATGGCGTAATTGCTGGCTTGCCAGCATACAAACAAGCCACAACGAATCAAGAGTCAAGTCGTATCCTCTCATTTGTTGTTGTACGGAGAATGTAGTCGGCTGACCTTCTATAGGGGGTATTGCATCTAATTTCACATTTCGTCATGACCAACCAGGCCAATGAGCCGTCGCGAAAGAATTACCGCCGTCCATGGTCGATCCGTGCATCGTCCGCTCGAGGTAGCCGTCCATCATGAGAGGTGCCGTCATGTACACCTGCAAGTCATCAAACCCCATCGGCAACTGATTGAACTCGATTGGAGAGGCCATGCACTCGGACTGAGCATCAGCCGTATGGGACGTGGTAAGCGGCCGCTGCGACGTCAGCTGCATCCAGGTAAATGGTGGTTGCTGAGCTGCCGTCGCCGCTGCCACTTCGGTCTCGTTGGGACTTTTGTCTAATCGCGCGGGGTTGGACATGTCTTCAGGGCGTCCGTGGACGCGGTTTTCGGCAATGTCTTTGCGCGCCATGCGGAAGATGGCGAGGGGGGCCAGGACGTTCTCGGGGCCTTGCTGGGAGAGCGTGCCCGCCCCCCAGTTACTTTGAGAGCTGCTGCTGGGTAGCTGCACGGCGGATCCTCTTCTTCTCACATCCGCGCGGTGGAATTTTTGCGCAAGATCCGGGGGTACCTCTAAGCCGTTCATTTCAAGATCCGCAATGACGGCTTCCAGCTAGTAATGTAAGCATACTACCGCGTCGATGGACGATGCAAGAGGAGGAAAGCACTAACCAGAGGCCGTGCGAGTGCCATGATGTGTATCATTCGGTCCAACGCACTAGCATTCGCCCTGACGGCGGCTTCCACCTCCCTAGCCATAGAAGCCTCGTCTCGCAGAAAACCGGATCCGAATTTATTCACCAAGAAGTGAATAAGCATCCTCGACACATCATGCGCCACCACGCACAGCCACGTGTCCGCAAACGCCTCCATCCCATGCCTCAGTGCCTCATCAAAGATGCTCGACACAGCCAGCCCGTGCTCAAAGCACTGATCCTGCAGGCCCCGAACAAAGTCGCCCTGCTCCGGTGGGAACACGACGGGCGTCTTGATCCGCATGAGCCCGGGCATGCCGATGCGGGTGAGGTCGTAAAAGGTCTGGTGGTATGTGAGGTGGAGGTGAAGCAGGGCGCCGTGCTGGCCGGAGATTTTGCGCTTCTGGATAGAAGAGCGGGTGAGGCCCAGGTTGACGGGCAGGCCGTGGTTCCAGCGGAGGAGCTCCTCACGGATGACGGACCACTCTGACTGCGCGAGCCAGGGCTCCTGCGTCGAGTCGAGGTTCTTGATGATCCTTTCCCACATGCGCATGGTTAGCAAAACTGATAGTCGTGATAGTCGAGGAAAGAAAGGAGACTACTGTACCATAGAACTCGCTGGCGAAGGCCCACCAACGTGGCAAAGTGAGCTTCCAAGTCCAAGTTTCTAGTTTCTTCTTCGGATGTGGGATTCCCAGTCGGCATCTTTGTATTCTCTAGTACAAAATCCATCTCGGAAACGGGAAGCTCAATCTTGATGTTCTTGTCGCTCAGCAACGTCAGCTCGTCGACGCCGCTGCCGACCCATGCGTCCATGATGTAGACACTCCACATAAGGCGTCTGCAAGATTCGTACGCGCAAGGTGGCGCATCGGAATTCCCTCTGGTGTTTTGCTGCTCCAGATTAAGGCGAAGTGCTTGAGCGAGGCGGACGGCCAAGCCGGTGATGACAAAGGCGGCGGCGTAGTTGCCGATCCGAAGCGCGTGTTCATGCAATAGAACGGCAGTCTGTTCGTCAGTTCTAGGATATCCCGTCGCTTGATACGGCATAATTTTACTCACCATAATCATGTCAGTAGAGGGGGCTTGTACAGCTTCATACAAATGACGGTGGGCCATCTGCGCCCATTCATTGCCGGCCCCGAGGACATGCCCGTCGCCCAACTCGTCCAGTCTCTCAGCAGCATAGAATCTGAAGTGTCAGTAGACTCCTTCAGTCAATTTGCATGTTGCGACTTACTTGGCAGCTATCGCACAGACTGCGAGAAGGACCATGTTGGAATTGCGCTCATTTTCGCTCTGGTCTTCAATGAACTGCATAAACGATGGGCGGTGGATAAAGCTGAAGCAGCGTAGTGGATGGACAAGTTTAAAGTAGAGCTCAACGAGTTGCAATACCTTGGATTTACTCGGTAGTTGCTTGGCGAACAGCCTGTATTTCTGGTGAGACTCGTGTAAACATTTATTTCCCGTGCGTGCGTGATCAGAGCACAGAGCACACCAGGAGGGAGAGGGAGTCTCTACCAGTGTGATTTCATCACCGATGAATTAGCATTCTTGCTGCCCGCGCGAGAGCTTGTCTCGGTTGAGTCGCCCGTATCACATGACGGCGAGCAACTCTGGCTTCGGCCCCCCGGCGGCGGCATCGTTTGCGGCCGCGCACCTTTTGTCCTACTCACCCACCCCGGTTCCGGCCCGGGCTCATACTGGCAGCTCAGGCCGCGTCGTTGACAATTCTCACACTGGGGCGTGCCGGAGCACCGCAGCTTGGAGACGCGACAGGCTTTGCATGAGCGGATCATGCGTCTGCGCCGCAGGCTGTTGGGGGCAGCGGGGGTGGCGGTGAATACCAGATTGCCGTCCGAGACATGCTGGTTTGGAGCTGAGGCGGATCGCCTCAAACATTCAAGTTGGAGACGCTGACAGTTGAGACAGCCGTTTGGACGCTCGTCGCACTTGACCTGTTTGTATTCCCATGATATTAGACCTGTATCCTTCTGATGAGGTGGTGAGGAGGAAGATACTTGCTTTGCGGGCGCGGCAAGTCTCGCATCCTCCATACCCATATCAAGTCAGCCAAGCAGCAGGCGGCAGGCGGCAGGCAGCAGGCGCACACCAGACCAGGTAGAGATGATGCAAACTCACCTGTTTGCGATCGTTTTCGCCCGGGTCCCATGATTCCACGCTTTCGGAAATGCCTCGTCTGTCGCCTCGACAAAGCCGTGATGGACAATATCAACGCATTCCACCTTGTACTCGCCGTTTGTCACAGTCAACAAATGGACAAGGGTCCGGGGCTGTCGGATATTTAATAGCCGGCGTGGCTTGTATTGTGGCTTTTCATTGCGCAATTGCCCAATGCTCGTTCGTAATGCCCCAGCCAGACCCCAGACCCCAGACTGCTGGTGTGGCGCAGGCTAACATTTGCCGAGAACCATCCACTCGATCAGCCTCCAAACCCAGGCACCCCATACACCCTTACCAAACAAGCCTGCTTGCCATCCTTTGTTCTTTACAGCATCCCGATGAGCCATGTAGCTCGGAGCTGTCGGAAAATATGCAAGCGCCAAGCTCCAAGTGCCAAGCGGGCTCTTGGTAATTGGTCTGCTGTGCGACCAACAGAACTACGACCTGATACAAAAGGGCACTGACAACGCCAACACCAAGATGTGTCGCAAGGGCCGATTTACACCGCGCTATACTAGAACTTGACAAAATCGACGCACAAGAAGGAGAAGAGGAAGAAGAATCATGGTGGCAACGATTCAGAACGTCTACATCGCCGCTGCGCTGGCCACCATCGGTGGTCTCCTGCAGGGCTTTGATGTGAGCAGCCTGTCCGCCATCCTCGCCACGCCTCAGGTACGTAACAAGCCCGTGTACATTCCAATTCAAATATCTGTCATCTGTTGCTAATGAGAGGTCCTCGCATCGTCGCTCTTGGACAGTACAAGGAGTACTTTTCACATCCAGACTCCTCCACCCAGGGTGGCATCACCGCGTCCATGGCGGGCGGCTCTCTGCTCGGCGCACTGCTCGCCTCCTGGATGGGCGACCGCATTGGCCGGCGCGACTCCATGGCCGTGGCCTGCATCGTCTTCATCACGGGGTCGACGCTCATGTGCGCGGTGCAAAACACGGCGATGCTGGTAGTGGCTCGGGTTGTCAATGGAAGCGCCGTCGGCATCCTCACAAGCCAAGGGTGAGTTGAGTGCTTCGGGCCCCTTGCTCCTCCAACATGTCTGATAAAATTCCTGCTAAAAATCTGTACATAGGCCGATTTACATTGCAGAGATTAGCCCGGCTACGACAAGAGGTCGGCTCATCTCGCTGCAGCAATGGATGGTTACGTGGGGTGTAAGTCCCTCCCCTCCCTCCATCCGGACCGATGTTACCTAACCTCCGGTACTGAACGGCGAATGCAGATCCTCATCATGTATTACATCTCTTATGGTGCGTCTTTCATCAAGTCCAATGCTTCTTTTCGTCTACCCTGGGGAATCCAGATGGTTCCCGCCATCCTCCTCCTCTGCGCCGTCCCCTTCCTGCCTCGGTCCCCCCGCTGGCTCGCCAGCAAAGAGCGGTGGGAAGAAGCAAGCAAGACCCTGGCCCTTCTGCGCTCCGACGGCGACGAGTCGGACGAAGCCGTCATCAGCGAACTCGAGGCCATCCGCTCACGCATCCGGTACGTCCGCCGACCTCTTCCACTGGCCCACCATCCAAAGATGCTAATCTCAACTCAAGTCTCGAATCCATGTACGGCTCCTCCTCCTGGGCCCAAGTCTTTTCCGGCCGCAACCTGATCCGCGTCCACGTCTGCATCTTCGCCCACCTCTGGGCCCAGTTCAGCGGCACCAACGCCCTGATGTACTACATCGTCTACGTCTTCCAGATGGCCGGCCTCTCCGGCACAAAGGTCCTCGCCATCTCCAGCATCCAATACGTCATCAACGTCGCCATGACCCTCCCCGCGCTACTCCTGGTGGACAAGATGCCGAGGAGACGCGTCATGATGACGGGCAGCTTCCTGATGGCCACGTGGATGTTCGCGACGGCCGCGGTGGAGGCGACGCACGGGTACGGGGTGCCCGGGGGACTCAACGGAAATGCGACAATTACGTGGGTTGTCAACAGCAGCGCAGCGGGTAAAGCGGTGATTGCACTGAGTTATCTCTTCGTTGCCACCTTTGCTTGTACTTGGGGGTGAGTTGTTGCGTGTACCGTCGGAACGCAATACCAGAGACTAACGACGACAGACCAATGGGGTGGATCTATCCGTCCGAGATTATTCCGCTTTACATTCGTTCGAAGGCAGTATCTCTCTCCGTACTTGTCAACTGGTAGGTCCTCTTCTTCCCGCTTCCTCGACGAGATGGCTGACTTGCAGAAAGGCTCGGCAATTTCTCGCTCACGTTCATGACGCCGCCAGCTTTTCAAGAGATTCAATGGCGAACATATCTCATCTTTGGCTCCATCAGCGCCGCGGCACTCGTCCACGTCTTCCTCTTCTTCCAGGAGACCCAGGGCAAGACTCTCGAGCAGATGAATGATGTGTTTGACTACAACACGTTTGCGTTTGGGAGGATCAGACAGCCCCCCGAGATGGTGGACGCGTCTGGAGTTGATGAGAAGCTCTCCCATGAGATTTAGTTCATGCGTCAGATTCAGCCGTGGGGAACAGCCGAGTTTGGGATAAATTAGAGGGCTCCTCGTTGTCGTCATTGTTCGAAATACCACGTCCACGCAGACCTGAGCAGTACTATTCGTGCACATGCCACCATACAGCATCCAGCTAGTTCATCTCACACAGTCCGTAAATTGCAATCAACGACAATTCCGGCAGCTTTTCTCCGACATGGGCATCGCCTTGACGCGTGACTCCAAGCACCTGCGTATCATAAGCGTGATTCCTACAAGTCTATAGCGAATGCCGGCCTGGTCCGACCCGGCTACTCTCCGGGGTTGACCTAAAGCCAGCAAGCCACGCTCGGTCATTTGTCTCTGGGGAAAGTAGCCCATGACTTAAAACTGCGGGATGTAACCAAGACTGGGGGAGGGCCGCGCCCGCGCACAGGTGAGTGCTGCGACGGCCTCATGGGCCGTTGGGTAGGGTCACCGCCAGCCTTACGCCACCGGCCCTATCGGCTCGACTGGCCCGTCCGCAACAGCGGCAGGCAGTGTATGGCAACAGGCAATTTTGCCTTGTGACTTTTGGCTCGGGGCGATTTCCATTTTTGCAGATGAGAGCTCGCAATTGCCGACACTACAGACAAGTTGACGATTTCAAATGCCGCAGCCGACGCCCTGATAAACATGCAGGGAAGCGACGGCTCCGGACGACATCGACTGCATATATGCGCGTATGCGAATGCCGCAGTGCCAATATGGGGACAACGCCATTATGCGAGTTCCGACAGCTTGTGTATAAGACGACTGCGGCAACAAGATGAATTGACAAATCGGCCACTGTGAATGTCGTGATTTCTCTCTCTCTCTATTCCCGCGCACCCAAAGCTAGCACGGACCCATCCACCAACACATCATGCCTTTCAAGAACATTCTCCTCCTCGTGGCCGACGATCTTGGCCGTGAGCAGTTGGGCTGCTACGGGTGCACCGCCATATCCACGCCCAACCTCGACCGCCTGGCAGCCTCCCGCGGCGCCCGTTTCGACATGGCCTTTGCCAGCACCGCCTCGTGCAGCGGCAGCCGGACCACCATCTACACAGGCCTGCACACCCACGAGAATGGCAGCTACGGCCTCGTGGGGGAGCGCAACGGCTTCCAGACCTGGGCGCACGTGGAGACGGCCCCCAAGCTGTTCAACGCGCTGGGCTACAAGACGGGCATCCTGGGAAAGGTGCACGTGGCCCCCGAGAGCGCGTATCCGTGGGAGACGAGGAGGGAGAGCGAGACGAGGAACACGGCATTGATCGCGGATCAGGCCGAGGAGTTCTTTCAAGAGGCAAGGGCAGAGGAAAGGGGCTTCTTCTTGACGATTGGCTATGTCGATCCGCATAGGGTGCTGGCGAGTCGAGGCAAGTTTGGCAACGAGGAGGGAAACTATGATCAGAGGTTGAATGACAGGGTGTACAAGCCAGAAGAGGTGCAGGTGCCGTCATTTCTGCAGGACGTTCCGGCTGTGCGAGAGGAGCTGGCCGAGTACTACCGCGCCATCAATCGTCTGGACCAAGGCGTCGGGCTCGTGCTGGACGCGCTCGAGAGGCACGGCCTCTCCGACGACACGCTGGTGCTCTTTCTCAGCGACAACGGCCCGCCATTCGTCAACTCCAAGACGACGCTCTACGACGCGGGCATCCACCTTCCCTTCATCCTCCGCGTCCCCGGCCTCACCCACGGCCAAGTCAACCCCAACATGGTCTCCTGGACCGACGTCCTGCCCACGTTCCTCGACTGGGCCGGCCACGCGCAGCTCTCCCTTCCTATCAGCAGCAGCGCCGTCCCCTCGCCGCCCCGCCACGGCCGCTCCCTGCTGCCCATCGCGCACGCGTCGACGGTGCTCCCCGGCTGGGGGCAGCGCGTCTTCGGCTCACATACCTTCCACGAGATCACCAACTACTGGCCCACGCGCACGATGCGGACGCGCCGGTACAAGTACCACCGCAACGTCTGCTGGAAGCTCGACTTCCCCTTCGCCATGGACCTGTACGCGAGCCTGTCGTTTGAGGCGATGCGCAACGCGGATCCGCCCATGGCGGGGAGGCGGCCGTTGAAGAGTTACATCTGTCGGCCGCCCGAGGAGCTGTATGACTTGGACGAGGATCCGGAGGAGCTGCGCAACTTGGCGGGGAGCGGAGGGAAAGAGGAGGTGCTCAAGGAGATGAGGAGGGAGGTGGAGGCGTGGCAGATGGAGACCAAGGACCTGTGGCTGTGGAAAGATGGCGTGGCGGTGCAGAGATTCAAGGAGTTTAACTATGAGAGGGAGGGACTGTTGATTCCGGATCGGTTTGATATGGACCTTGATAACTTGGCGGCAAAGGGGGTGCCCTGCATCAAGCTGCACTCGTAGTTGATGCAGTGTTGCGAAGCCAAGTCCTGGTATCGTCGGTCCTGTTTTGCCTGTGCAAACAACGGCATTTACCTTTGTCTCTACATGTGAAGTCTTTTCAAGAATTCCCGGGAATTTGAGTTGAAAATCCTGCCATAAGGCACGCCGCATATAAAATGTCCGTTTGATGGAAGTATGCTGATAAGTCGGGCTAATTATCCCGACTTTGATGAAAACACGAACGGCTCCTCGTCCAGGACGGAGGTAACATCAACACGCCCCACCAAAAAAAATATCCCCACCAAACAACAATCGAAACGTCATCTACCCGAGAGCAAAATATACAAATTGAATCTCTTTACAGGACGCACAAACGAGTCATATATACTTTCTAAAGCTTCGGTAAAAACGAGTCTTCATCTCAATTGACCAAATTGACTGTTTTTCTGAAAATTACTCATCATTTGCATTAACCCGTGCAGCTCGGACTCGGTCTTATGGTAGCCCCGGTATCTGCAAAAGTCGCCGGCGTCAACCTCCTCTTAACAAAGGCGGCTCTATCCGAAACAAAGTCCGGGCTGACAAAAGCCCTACCTCAGCCCACCACTTCTATGACGAGCCCTCCATTCCTCATGTCCACGCCGTAACCAAACACCAACACTCACACACACCCAATCACCGCCACAGGATGCTGCGAAGCCGGATATTGGGGCGCGCAGGCTACGGCCTCTGCAGTCGCGTGCCTCGCCTCCCGCCGTTGAGCATCACCAGCGCCGCCCGCCACGGACAATGGCGCTCACTCCGCGGCGTCCATACCGGCGGTCCCTTCCAGCCGATGCGCCCCCCGTCGCCGCAGGAGCTCGGCCAGCCGCGAGCCGCCAAGCAGTACCCGCGCGGCCGCAAATGGACGCGACGGCTGCTGCTGACGACGGCCGTGCTGGGCGGCATCTACCTCGTCGACACGCAGGTGGGCGGGGCCGGCCTGACGCGGACGGCGCGTACCTTCGGAACCACGCTGCTCGTCGCGCTCGACTACAACATCAACTTCCGCCCCGAGCCCTGGTTCGGCGGCTCCGTCGCGGACCTGCACCACCGCAGCGCCGAGCGCATGGCCACGCTGCTGCGCGAGAACGGCGGGCTCTACCTCAAGATGGGCCAGGCCATCGCCATGCAGAGCGCCATGCTGCCGCCGGCGTTCCAGAAGATGTTTGCCCGCATGTTTGACGACGCCCCGCAGGACGACTGGCGCGACGTCGAGGCCGTCATCCGCGCCGACTTTGGCAAGAGCGTCGAGGAGGTCTTTGGCGTCAGCTTCACGGGCAAGCCCGGCTTCGGCGTCATGGAGAAGACGGCCCGGGCCAGCGCGAGCGTCGCCCAGGTGCACTGGGCCAGACTGCCGGACGGCCGAGAGGTGGCGATCAAAGTGCAGAAGCGGGACATCGCCAAGCAGATCTCGTGGGATCTGTGGGCATTCAAGTGCGTATTACCTGGAACAATGACGTGAATGACAATGCATGCTTACGGACGGCAAATAGGACCGTTACTTGGATCTACTCGAACTGGTTCGACATTCCCTTCTACAGCCTCGTCCCGTACGTGGCCGAACGACTCGAGCTCGAGACCGACTTCATCAACGAGGCGAAGAACTCGGAAACGATGCGCGAGCTGATCAATAACGAAAAGAGCATGCGCGGCCGCGTCTACGTGCCCATCACCTACCCAGAGCTCACCTCGCGGCGCGTCATGACGGCCGAGTGGATCGAGGGCGTGCAGCTGTGGGACAAGAAGGCAATTACGGGCCGGTGGCTCGGCGGGCGCGGCAAGGGCACGCCTGGCGCGCGTGTGCCGCTGCCCGAAGTCGACATGGACGCGGCACGCCTCGCGATGCGCACGCAGCCGCACGCCGACCGACTCAAGCCGGAGCGGCAAGAGTGGCGGGGCCGGCGGGGCAGCGGTGGCCTCGGTCTGTCGACCAAGGAGGTCATGAGCACGGTGACGGACCTGTTCGCGGCGCAAATCTTCCAATGGGGCGTGGTGCACTGCGACCCGCACCCGGGCAACGTCTTCGTGCGGCGGCTGCCGAGCGGGCGCGCCGAGGTCGTCCTCATCGACCACGGGCTGTACGTGTACATGACGCCCACCTTCCGGCGGCAGTACGCCGAGTTCTGGAAGGCGCTGATGACGTTCGACAACGAGACGATCGCGCGGGTGACGTCGGCGTGGGGCATCCGGGGCGCCGACTTCTTCGCGAGCGCGACGCTGATGCGGCCGTACGAGGGCGGCAGCGGGTCGACGCGCGACGCCATCGACGGCGCGTCGCGCATGTCGCCGGCGGAGCGGCACCACGCGATGGAGCAGCGGATGAAGCAAGGGCTGCGCGACATGCTGGCCGACGAGGACCGCTGGCCCAAGGAGCTGCTCTTCATCTCGCGCAACATGCGCATCGTCCAGTCCAACAACCAGTACATGGGGTCGCCGGTGAACCGCATCAAGGTCATGGGCACGTGGGCGAGCGGCAGCCTGTTCCGCGACCCGGCGCTGGGGTGGCGCGCGCGGGCCCGGTACGCCTGGCGGCACGCGCTCTTCACGGCCGTCATGGCGGCCTCGGACGTGGCGTTTTACGTGCTCAAGGTGCGCCAGTGGCTGGGTCTCGGCGGCGGCATGGAGGACGTCATGGAGCAGCGGATGAAGGACATGGCGCAGGACATGGGCATCGAGCTGCAGCACGAGGTGTTTAGCGGATGAGGGGTTGGTCTAGGCCGTTGCTTGGCAGCAGTCTTGCCAATTGCACAATGAGGAAGAAGAATAATGTGCTTTTCTCGCCTTTATATACATACGGAGTTTTGGGCGGCATCATACATGTACTAGACTAGAACATCTCGGCTTCGCTTTCTTGTTTGCATAGATGGGGCTAGCACGGACACACTCTCCTACATTATATCATTTCTGTACATTAAACGGACAAGCTGATCAGTTATGACAGTATACGAATAGGCTGATGCCTTGTTAGGCTCCTGACAGGTGGCAGGCGCTGTAGCACCGGAGCGGCTGTCCCGCCCCTCTGGGTGAAACGTGATGAGGTGTAACCAGATGAACGAATGAGAGCTTTCCAGTAGCCAGGACGAGTCTCAAGCACGTAGCCGCCGGCGCTAAATACTGGTAGTAACCTCAATAGTGGCCGGTGAGCGTCACGGTCACTTTGCAGTTGGAGGGTGGTGGTGGTGGTGGTCCCGGCTATGCAGGCACGCGCTGATATGGGACGATGCGATGGTGGGTTTGGGTTTTTTTTTTTTTTTTTTTTTTTGCGAAGAGCACTTGTTGGCAGGCTACTCCCCCCCTATTTCTTTTCCCTTCTCTTTCCAACCCACGCATGAAGAAGTGCGTCGCGGTTCTTCTGGGCTGTACCCGTCGCGGCCCAGCCCCATTGGTTCCTGCAGTAGCGGGGGGGGGGGGGTTGACAAGAACAGAATTGTCTTGCCCCTGGCGAGGCATCCTTTTTTCCTTGTTCTTCTACTTTATTAGTAGAGCATTGCGGACCCCTCTCGCTAGGAAATTGCCAGGTCGTGACAAGAAAGCCGTGTTCGGAGGTTTTACAGGGAACGGGGGGGCCATGTCCTCTGCGTTTTCATCTCGGCCCAGCTTTCTTTCCTCTCTCTGCTCTCCCGGAAGGCAAGGCCCCCCTGCCTCCCGTTGTTTTGGAGTGAACAATGGTGCGCAGGACAGAGGGGACCAAGTCATGCAAGCTGGCTGCAGCCTGACTTGGCCCTGCGGGATGGATGATTTGAGAAGAGATTTTCGATTCGCAAGGGCGACTGGAAGAGATGATGTTTGAAGTAGATGAAGCTTCCGAGCTACACTTTTTATTTTTATTAAAACCTGACGTGCCAGGGGAGACACGTCAAGGCATTGAATCTCTGCAGCGTACAGATGACTGATGTTCCGCCACTCTGTCAGCTCAGTCAGTCATGAGCGGATATCAATGCGAAAGCTTTGAAGTGCAGCTTCTTTGCTTTTTGCCATGTCTTGCTCGATGACCTGCCGAACATTGTTCAGCGCCAAAAATAGACGAGTCAAGCAAGCCGGCTGTGCAGTGTCTCGGGCTGGTTGATTTCGGGCCTATCCCACTGTCGAAGCCGGCAGTTTGGTCCTCACTAATTCGTACCCGTCAGCAATCACCAATAGCCAATCCAATGGCCTTTCCATTTGTCACTACCAGTCCATATGAGTACGAGCGCCCGACTGGCCCGAGGCAAAAAGAGAGACGAAACCTAAATTACATGATCATTCTTCTTCCTTGTCTGATTTGATGTCGGCCCCTTGTTCATCTCTTCCCCTCCACTCCGTGAATTATGCGCAGCCAAGCTAGTGGAGCAAGACGCGCCACGGGTTTTCATGCGAATATTTATTCTGTATCAATCAATGGCGGCAGCTTGCGGCCGCTTGCCTGTCGCTGGAGCCGTATCAAGCGCTTTTATCCGTATCCTTTCTTTTCCTCGCCTTTGTCCTTGGCCAAGACTCCTCGCCGTGGGGGCGCTGGCTCTTGAGGGAGGGGCAGCAGTGGACTGGACGGTGTAGAAGCGAAACCTGGGGGCCTGGGGCCAGCAAGGTGAAGAAGAAGAAGCGTCCTTGTTCGTTGGAAAAGAGGCTTGGAAGGAAAAAGGAGAAGAGGGTCATGTCATGTTCTGTTGCTGATTGAGTCAAGAATGGACTGAGCAGGAATAAAGTAGCTCAGTCATCGGCCAGCAGCCGGGGAAGCCTCTGCAGGCTGGCATGCAGTTCCACCTCGAATTCGATTTGAAAGGTTGCCGAGTGTCGAATATAGATTGAAGACATCCATTCTTTTCAATTTAACAAGCTGAACTGACCATGAAGATCTGCCAGGCACAGACTACCCTGCCCAGGTACCCCTACTAACCCCCAAGCGCCCACTGCGGGTTCAGTGGCTGCGGAGTGGATTTTAGTGGCTGCCGTCCCTGTAAACTGCGCTGCAAGCCCCGGCCAAAGAGAACCCAAAGGGCAACGTGGGTTGCAGAAAGCCCACTCGAGGCCCCGTGAAAATCTCTCGGCGGCGCGCTGGAGCATGGGATGGATGGAGGCTTGCTGGATGGCTGATTGGGTGGTCAGAGTGCGAGTTGAAACGGCGTCCTGGGCTGTCAACCCGTCAGCGAGAATTGGTTGGTGGGTTGCGGGTATTAAATACGTGGTACGAATTACACGGGACGCTGTATGTACACGTAGACAGGAGCTCACTGCCATTGTTGAGAGAAGATGGTATTAGGGTTGAGACCTGGTAAAGAGACAAAGTTCAACTTGATATACATACATACATTGCGCACGTCCGCGCTTGAGCTCACTAATAAATAAATTGGAGCTTGACATGGACACGAGACCGTTGCTCATAGCGTTGCAACTCTGAGCTTATCCTCTCCAACTACCATCCATGTGGCAGGTACATACCTACCAATAACCGCATATTAGCCACTCGTGCATTAGCAGCATCACTCTATAACAAGTTAGCATGCCTAGTGGTTTTTAGTTGCTTGCCCACTGCCGAAGCTAGATAAGTTCTCAACTTGGTAAAGGTCTCAGCGACACCACCCAAAACCACCCGCAGCCCAGGGACCCCCTCCCCTCCCGTCGCACTCGGTGAGGTGCTTGGCCAGGCACAGGCAGGCACAAGTACCATTTAGCACTCCCCTCCCCCCCTAGGTGATAGGTAACCACCCAAAGTTACCAGTGCTCGCACGGAGAGGTGCATCCAACTTGCTCGCCTCCTTTTCTGGTCTGATATTCTTCCCATTTTACTATTTCTTTCCTTCCCCCATCCTCCTCTCTCTCTTTCTGCTGTCGCCGCTGCTCCTCACCCCATATCGACGTCACCCACTCGGACCCCGACACTACCGAGTTAGTACCAGCACTAGCCACCCGTTTGTGGCTAATAGCTTCGTACCTGCTCCCTCCCCCTGCGCCACGACAGACACCGTTGACCTGCGTTTGCTGCTGCTGCTGCTGCTGCTGCTGCCGCCGCTGCTGCTACAGATATTGCCAAAAAAAGAAAATATATACGGCGACAGCTGGGCGCCTCTTTTACACTCGTTTTCCCTCTTCCATCCCCCTATGCGCCGGCATTTTTGAAACCTCTTTTGGCCAGTCTTCTTTCTTTCTTTATCCCTATTCGCATCGCATTCAATAGCTTGCCCACTGCTCGCGCGACAACCTCCTCCTACCTACCCACCTATATACATCATCCCGCTCCGCTTCGACAAACGGCCGCACAACACATTGGCAATAGCTTCACGTCTCTCGCTTAACCACCCTTCCTCCTCTCGCCATGGAGCCTTCCGCGGAAACGCCCTCCCACCGTCGTCCCAGCTTCGGCAGTCTCCTCCGGCGCACCAAGAGCGGCGACATGGGCAAGAAGGCTCAGGCTGCCCGCGAAGCCGAAGCCGAGCGCCAGCGCCAGCGTCGCCCACCTCGCCTTCCCGATTTTGCCAACACCGGCGGCCAACAACTATCCAAGGCCCTTAGCACCCAGCTGCGTCTCGATCCCGATCACTTCTCATCCAACGGCTCCCAAGTGCCCTACAACGGGCCAAACCACTTCAACGCTGGCCGCCACGACGCCTCATTCGGCACCATCGCCAGCTCCCGCAGCTACACCACTGCTGCCTCCCCGCCACCCATCCCCGGCGTTCACCACCCCGTCCAGCAGCCGCCATTTGATCCCTACGCTGCCACCGAGAGCATGACGCATCGCGGCAGGTACAGCTACGCCAGCAGTGCCATCAGCACGGTCAACAGCCCTAGAAGGGTGCGTCGTCGCAAGGACCCTACTCCTTTCAAGTAAGTCACTTACTCGCCCATTGTCTTACTCGTTTGCCCGGTTTGGTGAAGCGCCGGCATTGTACCACTGCCACTACCCGCATTATCTCTTAGCTCGTATTCCGTTGTTTCACGTATCGCTGACTTACCTTACCCGACAGTGTTCTTGTCATTGGAGCCAAAGACTCGGGAAAAACTTCGTTTCTCGAGTTCCTCAAAATCGCGCTCGCCTTGCCTCCCAGGCGCCGCCCCAGGAAGCAGGAACAGCCCGAGTATCAGGCCCCGCTGCCTGCTGAGGGCAACTTTGTTCCCCACTATCTCGAGACCGAAATCGATGGCGAGAGCGTTGGCCTGACCATTTGGGATTCCGAAGGCCTCGAGAAAAATGTCGTCGATCTTCAACTCCGAGAAATGACGGCCTTCATCGAAAGCAAATTTGATCAGACCTTTGCAGAAGAAATGAAGGTGGTGCGCTCCCCTGGCGTGCAGGACACCCACATTCACGCCGTCTTTCTCATGCTCGATCCCGCCCACATCGATCGCAATATCGCCAGCGCTCGTAAGACCCAGTTGCACGCCGATGGCCACCAAAATGGGTTCCGCTCCGACATTGCCAAAATTACCGGTGCTCTCGACCACGACATGGATCTCCAGGTCTTGCGTTCGCTTCATAGGAAGACGACCGTGATTCCCGTCGTTGGAAAAGCCGACACCATCACGACCAAGCATATGAACGTCCTCAAGCGCGCCGTTTGGGACAGCATCCGCAAAAACGGCCTCGACCCACTCGAAACTCTCGGTCTCGAAGACGATTCCAACAGCATTATTAACGAAGAAGACGAAGATCTCGATGTTGATTCCGATACATTGCCTCAGGAGAATGGCGGCGATTCCGACACGACGCCTGAATTCAGCCCCGTCAAGCGCTCCCCTGGCAAACGAGTCTCGTCACAGAGCATGATTCGTCACAAGGCCTCGCAGGAAAACAAGGAGGAGGAGCTGCCATTTTTGCCCCTCTCGACCATCAGCCCCGACTTGTACGAGCCCAGCGTTGTCGGTCGCCAATTCCCCTGGGGCTTTGCTGACCCCTACAACGAGACGCACTGCGACTTCCAGCGCCTCAAGGAGGCCGTCTTTAGTGAATGGCGCACCGATCTGCGCGAGGCCAGCAAGGAGCAGTGGTATGAAGGCTGGCGAACAAACAAGCTCAAACACCGCGAAAACTCGTACCGTCGTCGTTAGGGGACCTTCATCTACGACGCTGATTTGCCTTTGCTCATCAAGTTTATACCATGACCACCAGCACAGCCTTTCTGCCAAAGTACAAAATACCAATGCGGCGGATCCGCATCTCTCTGTCTTTATATCCGATTTCCTTGCTTCTTTTCTTCCGAATTTTGGGCCATGCACCGCGATGAACCCGAGTATACTATTTTGCATTTATCCGCTGCAGCGATTTTGATACGCTGCGTCATGCGACACGCTTTTTCCCTTTTCTTTCTTCATTTACAAATCCTCTATACCCATTGTATCAGGATTTATTTTACGAAGTTGTCCACTAATGGCTTTTAACGTCTCTCATTAAGCACCTTTTTACACCTGACTTTGGCCGTCAATTTTTTTCCTTGTTAGCGCTGAGATATTCTGCGACCACGGTTGTCTTTTTGCAACACACACCTGTTTTTGTTATACATCTTGTCTTGTCCTATTCTTGGAAGGGAGAAAATAGCTCGGGGCCGTTGATTGGACGCGGCAGATTGAAGTAGTGCAAGATACAAGCAACATGTTTTGTCATGAATTCGCAGAGCTGCATTTGTCTTTCGTGATACCCGCACGTTGAACTAAATTCCGTCAAGAAGCTTGCTCAAGGACAGTATTCAACCGAAATTTCCAATCTAAGAGAGAATTGTCCAAAAATAGGAAGACAAATAAATTCAGCCAAGAGTCGAAAAGAAATACCCGATCGCTGCATGGAAAACAACATCCGCCCCAGACACAAATTCAAGTAACCGCATTCTTAACCAGCAGAGATCATCACTACCTTGCTTACCCAAACACCTTGACCGAAGACGCCGATCGAATGACCATGCCCATCCAACAACTACACCCAAGGAATTCCGTATCCATCAGAAAAAAGATACCCTTCAAACCAAGAATGCCGCTCCTACGCCGCCCCTGCCTTTCGCGAAGAAGAGGTCCGTGACGAACCCCTTATTCTCTTCTTCGTGACCTCCTTTCGTGGGTCTGAATCACCTGTCCGTCCACAAACTCGGTGTTTGTGGGACGACCCGTTGCCTCGTCCCAGTCCTCCTCCCTGCGCATCGGGTTCTTGTTCGCGTTGACGACGCGCTGGACCTCCTTGCCGCTGAGGGAGACGCCGTCGAAGCCCCTGGGGAGGCGATGATCGCGGAGGAGGTAGTCGACCTTCATGTTGCGCGCGCGGTCGCGGTAGGCCTGCTGGTTGCGGGGGTGCTCAAAGATGTGATTCTTTTCGTCGTCGGCCTCGATGCAGCCCCATTTGCCGTAGTGCTCGGCAACCTTGGCCACGAGCACGGCCGAGTCGTGGTCGCTCCATGGGTGTCGCTGGCGCCCGATGATGATCACGGGTCCTCTCGGTCGTGGGGTTGACGATGGCGAGGCCCCCGCCGGACCGGTGGCGGGGGTGGTGTTGGTGCCGTTCGGCGGTGCGGTGGGCTGCGTCAAACCGCCGACAGCTGTGGTGGAGCTACTCGGGAAGGCGTGTGCGTTCGGAAAAGGCATTTGCCTTTGCTCCTGCTGGCGAAGACTTGCATCCACGCGCGCGGCGTGCGCCACCTCGTCCATACGGCGGCGCTTCTCTTGTGGGCTAATGCGACGCCTGTCCGTTTCAAAGTGCTCATCGTTGTCTTCTTCGTCGCCATTATCGCCTGCGAGGTCAAGCACGCGCTTGCCACCTTGCTGGCGAGGTGGCGGCGGGTTTCGGTCGACGGGGTGTAAGTAGCGAGATGGATGTGCAGAGAGCAGTGCTGCGTTGGGATTCAGCGGGTTGGCAAGATGGACCCGCTGGTCTGAAGATGAGGATGCGTCCGGGGCTCTGCGAAGAATACCTTCGAGGGCTCGGATTTCAATATCAGACGCATCTTTGAACCAACTGGTACCAGCCTGCGATCTCGGCATACGCACAATGGGTTGCGACGTGCCGGAGTCTGACTCGTCGTCGCTGTTGTGGATCTCACTGACAGCGTCCTGAAATTCATCGAAACCTTCCATCGTGCTGGCCTGGGTCTCGCGTGAAGGGCGAACGGGTAGCGCTGGGTAGACCTCTGTTATGGTGGCCAGTAGACCTCCAGGGGGAAATACGTCCTTGCGAAGCTTGGCCAGGTTAGAAAATTTAGCGTTGCCTGCGCCAGTACGCTTGAGAAACTTGGCAACTTGGGTGTAGCACCGGTTGTTCCCCTTCTCGCCCTCGTGACCGACAACGCGCATGTAGGGCCCGTTCTGAAGAAGTTTGGTTATCTCCTCAGGGAGTGGGTTGTGCATCTCGCCGCAAAAGACTCGAAATGCTATCATGTGGGCATCGTGATTCGTCTTGGCGCTGGCGAGCGCGGCTAGAAGGTGTGCAGCCCGAGTTTCGAGAGCCAATTTGGCAATGGGATCTGTGATTGGCACCTGTTCGTCGCCGAGGAGGAGATCTTGAAAGTCCAGGTCGATGATTCTGAGCTTTTTAGCATCGGCCTCTCGAGACTCTTTCCTGTTGTCCTTGGTGCCATTATAGATGATCTCGAGTAGAGTTGCAAGATTGACTAGAAGTAGGATCCTTTTGAAGTTGGCATATTCCTCATCGGAGACGGTGACCCGGTTTTGAAGCCACTTCCAGTGGAGAAAGGGCTCGTAGGATTTGTGCACCACGAAATGCTTGCGCACAGCGCCGAGGGCATCTATATCAAGCTCGAAGTTTCGGCGTGAGAGCCCGTCTCTGCTACCGAAATCTCTGTACTGTGACAGGATTCGTTCAGCATGACTGGATAGCTTGTCAAGGTTGTGCCGCATGAACAGAAAGTCCTCCTCCTTGACTCCTTTTTCTTCGGCGACTGATTGTGTATCCACGTCGGACCCGAAGCCCTCCCTTGTCTCTTCGTCCTCCTCAATCTCTTCGTCCTCCACCTCCACCTCCTTGTCATCGTCATCCTCGTCGTCGTCATCATAATTACCCTCTCCATCCTCATTTTCGGTTGGGGGAGCTCCATCGTCTCTCCCGCCCAGACCAGCTCTAGCCACGTCCTCGCTTCGGACAACTTCAGCTTCTTCGTCCGAGTCGTCCTCATTTCTCGGACGCGACGAGGGGATATCGACCTCACTGTGGGCGACGCTGGGTGGGGGCCCTTTGCGGGCACGGGGATCTTGGGTAAGAGACGATTTCTTGAGTGGTGGAGCTGACGCAGAAAAGTTCAGCGCGGCAGCCCGAGTTCTGGTCGCCATACCTCGGTCACGCTTGCCCGGGGTGGCGGTAGTTCCCCTCTGCTGAGGCTGGCCTCTGGTGCGTCTTGTTGCCACGGGTTCACGCGAGGTAGGCGCGGGCGCGGGCGCGGGCGCGCCCTTGGTTCCGCGTTTGGGCGGGATCATGCTTGGAAATCAGGGGGAGTTCCTTGGCTCATAGAGATAGAAATGGGAATTGGAATGGTGACTTTGATGGTGATGGCGGTGTTGATAACGAAAGTGGCAAATGGATGGAACGCTTGGTGGGTGAAGGTGTTGGAAGAGGTACTGCGAGTGAATTGTTGAGAGGCTGTACCAAGCATGGAAGTCGCAGCGGAAGAAGGGGTAAAAGTGGGCTCTCAGTAGTAAAAAGTTTTCTTGCAAGAAAACAACTACTAGAAATACGGCAAGGAGATTTTATTATTTCATTTGCGCAGCCAAATTCGACGACACTCGCGTGTGTGTGTTGTTGGCAAGTTTTGTTTTGAATTTTCAAGAAGTAGGGTCACTGTACCCCTCACGGTAGTAATTACATGCATAGGCCTACACCTGCTACACCTGCCCCTACACCTACCCCTACCCCTAACTCTAACCCTAACCCGAACCCGATACTGCTTGCTGAAGGCTAGTGTTTTTTTTTTTTGCCCAATAAGAAGCCAAGGTGCGCTCCTCTAAGTCGAACCACCAAACGACCCTGAGCAAAGTCACGATGCCCCTATGTCATCCCCTAAATGCCTTCGCAACAGCTCTCACAACATCTCGAAACCCCTCGCGACAGCCGCCTCACAACGTCGCTGGAAGCACTCAAGACAGGCTGATGTGTTTTTCAGTAGAACTCTCTGCAGAATGAGTGGTAGCCCACTACATACACTTTGACGAGTATGGTAGAAGCTTCTTTTCTTTTTTTCAAGACCGTCCCTACCTATTCCGGGGCACGCCTCTGACAAGTTCACCAAACGGCCAAAAAAACACACGTGCAAACCGACATGGTATTTTTGCCACGTCCAGAAACACACATTGGTATCCTCAGCACGACTTCACCTGTCAATCGCCATCCCCTGTGATACCAAACAACAGCCGTCAGCAGCCATCCACCATCTATCTGCTGCAACGCTAAGTTAGCTCACACGCCAAAAGCGGCGCACTATGGTGGTGTTATTATCAGGACGCCATCAGGCAATTCGCAATACGCAAGTGTGATTCCAAAATGGACTGCTAACTATATCACGAAACGAGCTATTCCCCCTCCCAAGCCACCAGAATCAATGGCGCCGAAGCGGAGTAAATCATCAGACGATCCCAATCCACCACGCTTTGGAGTTGAAAGTTGAACCGTGAAGCCGACGCCAAGGCCTCGACTTGGCTTGGCTACTGCTTGTTAACCACAACGTTGTCTAACTAGTTACGCCCTGTCGATCCATCACGCCGAAGGAATCCGGACAAGTTGCCGATTCGACATTCATTATTATTATTCCCTCTTTTTGCTCTTGGACACTGCGTCTTGCTGTCTTCCAAAAAGGCCTGTGAGATAGGCGGAGCGCATCGCGAAAACAAATGTCTACAGAAGGTGGAGAGCCCCTCGGCCCCAAGTCAGTTAGCGGAACTGGTTCCTGCAAGGCAACGCACGGAGAGTATCCGTCTTGATTGTCCGTATCAATTATAATAATGGACGTGCTTACCGTAAACCCAATATTGCCCCAGGTCATCGCGTTCCACGCCTGTGGCTGCATCACCCTTTCCTTGCCCAGCGCCAAACATGTGAAAGCAAGATGGCCAATGTCACCGAGCCACAGCGCGACGAGATAGCTTCTGACCACCTTAATCTCGGAAGTTGTCGCAAGCACGGCCAGTCCGACAAAGCACATGAGGAGGTACATGTTACCTAGCTGCTGCGCCATGACGGTGCTGTGCTCCGACGCGGGAAGCACTGGCTTGTCGGGAAGCTGCTCAGCGATGAACCATGCCGGGTCCCAGATGGCCCCGACGAAGCCGGCGACTCTGCCCATGGTCGACCCCAGATTAGTTTTCCGATGGCCAAGGCTGGCTGTCATTTGCGGGCGCACTCACAATGAAATGGGCTCGATAATGGTAAAGGTCACCCGTGGAATCGTAGGCAGTTGAGAGGCCATGGTGTCTCGTATCACGACTTCAACCTCAACCGACACACACTCTGTCTCAAGACTATAATAAGATAAGATGACGCCACCGGCGAGCAACTGCCAGATGGCTGCAGGCAACAGCTCGCAAACTGGGTACCTTATCGACCAACCAGCGGTGACAAACGGCCAGTCGACGTCTGAAGCTTGTGACTCCGAGCCGCGATCCACAATTCGCTGGGTTCGGGGCGCTGAGCGACCAAGGTGTGCTAATTGATATACCCGGAATGAACCGTACAACGCAGACAGATGCAAAGTCGGCTTGTCAGGCGACGAGTGGGCGTGTGTCAGAAGCTTTTCTTTTGTTGCCTGGTCTGTTCTGGCGTGGCAGAAGCACAAGTGAAAGAGTGGCTGGCACGGTGCATGTGGTCCCCGCGCCGGACGGACGGGACTGGGATAACAGCCGCTTCGCAACCTGTTATTAATTGCAGGGCCTTGCCTTTGGGGTAATAATAAGAAGGGGAAAAGGGGTCCTTGATCAATGATGAGCTTGGTCGTGCGCTGACGCCGGAGACACGGAGAGTAGGGATGGTGCCGGCCCCAGCAGGTCACGAACCAAGGTCGGTCTAGCGGGCGGGGATTTGCCGCTTTTCGTAGCAGGGGACTGGGAGAGATAGAGCAGCGGCAAAAAGTGTAAATAAATGGAAATGGACCAAACGAGGTGGCTACTCGGCTGGTAGGGTGGGTTTGCGAGGTGGAAGACGGCTGTTTGGTCGGTCGCTTGTTGCTGACCAAGTTAGTGACTACCTACATACATACAATGTACGTACATACATACCTACTGACTGAATTAGTTGCTGGGGCTCCTCCGAACTCCTCCTTGGGAGGCCCAACGTTAGTTAGTAGGCGGCCCGGCTAACTGCCATGTGACAGTTTCACGTGTCACTGGCTCTGCAACAAAGACAAACCGCCGCACCACGCACAGCAAAGCCTCGATTCGGTCTTGCGCTTGCTTGTGCTGGTGCATCGGTCGCAGATGGATCCATCCTTACTCCGAGGATGGGACGACACCACTTGTCTTTGATTCCTCAACGCCTTTTTAATTCTCTTCTCGCCCGCCTCCATCACAACCCGTCCTTCTCCCAGCTCTTGATTCCGAGGATACCAATGCCCACCGCGACATCACCCTGACCCTTAGCCCACGATGGCCACCATCGAACCTCGCCTCATTCATCTCTTGAACGAGTCGACATCGACTCCTCAGCACTCCCATACCGACCTCCCCCCTCTGCATGCCTTGCCTCTCCACGGCCATGGCGACAGACCCTTGCCGAGGCTCGATCGTGATGTAAGCCGTCATGGCGCTTCGCACCCGTATCCCATCCGCCTGCTTCTCGACGATTCCGACTCGGGCGAGTCTCGACAAGGTCATGGAGCCTACCGTGATGACAGTCCCGAGGGACCCGACGATGCCTACCACAAGAAGCGCAGTCGTGCCACAATGCACCTCAAGGACGACTTTGTGCAGCTGCCGCAGCCACTCAAGAAGCAGAAGGCTACACAGCAGGCCCTCGTCATGCCGCCCATCATCAACGGTCTCCACGAGCCCCCGCCTCACGCTGCGCTCTTCCCGCCCATTTCGTCAACCTCCTACGAGAATGATGCAAACCAGATGAAGATGCTGCACGACTTCAACAACCACAGCAGCCCCGACGAACGATCCCACCGCCGAGGCTCCTCCGAGACCGACAAGAGCTCCTCAAAGGGCCGCAAGCGCGCCACGAAACCCCGGCGCAAGTGGACCGACGAGGAGACGAATCACCTTCTCCTCGGCGTTAACCGCCATGGTGTCGGTAGATGGACCAACATCCTGGAGGACCCCGATTTTACATTCAACGATCGCACTGCTGGCGACTTGAAGGATCGCTTCCGCACTTGCTGCCCGGAAGAACTCCGAGGCTCCGGCAAAGGCTCTCGATCCGATCGTCGCTCAGAGGGCAGTAAGAGCAGTCCTCGCAAGGGACTACATTCGGAAAATATTTTGATTACCGAGGAACAGACTCGCGCCAAGAGCTCCAAGAGTTCCACTGACTCTGAATCGCCCAAGCAAAAGAAAAGTCGTGCCCATCGCAAGAACCTGGAAGACTTGGCCGAGCTTGGCATTCACGGGCCTTTCAAAAAGTCCCATCGCCGTGAGCGTCGCCCTTTTACGGAGCAGGATGATCGTGAGATTCTAGAGGGTCTAGATCACTACGGGCCGGCGTGGACCAAGATTCAGCGCGACCCTCGCTATCATCTCTCCACGCGACAGCCCACCGACTTGCGCGACAGAGTCCGCAACAAATACCCTGCCATCTACCAGCGTATCGAAAAGGGCACTTTCCAAACCAAGGATTCGTCCAGGGGCAACGACATCATGGAGCCGTCCGTCAACATGTCTATCGACAACTCGCTGAAGCGGTCCAAGGTGACCACCATGGATAGCCGCCGCGATTCTCGCGAGGATGCCCCTAGGTGGCCTGCTCACGCCGCGGAATCCGAGTATGCCCATCCCACTAGCTTTGAGTTTGGGGATGCCGGTGCAACTCAGTTTATGGGTGGCGAAATGGACATCTCCAGACTCCTTCTGGATGACCCCAGGATGGCTCAAGGCCACGGCCGACAGGGCGAACATTCGGGTCCGTCGTCACCCACTGCTACAAACTTGGACCCTCGTCGCGACCGCTACGAATACGCACTTCGGTGCTAGCATGTCATTGTGCATGCAGCACAAATGAACACACCACTTATTTTTTATGGCACACGTTACGGATAATGGCTTGTCCTGGGAGTTTGGATTTTAATAGGATATCAAATGGGATTATGGCGCACGGTAGATTGATTTGACTGATACCAACAATATAGAGGGCTACGGGACACAGACAGTCTTGACGGGCACAAACGGACCCAGCTAGTCGGCCACTCTTGAAGCAGATGGAAGATGAGACTCATGCCAGAAGTTGGCAGCTGATAGCATCGACAGAAACCTGCCACAGACCAAAAGCAGTTTAGCAAGCGATTCATGGCCTAGTTTGAATAATTTAACATGCCTGCAGGCATTATGTCTACAATCTTTTCAACTCTTGCATGTGAAGGCGGCAAGGCATGGATTCAGACCCGTTTTCCAAAAAGAGAATGAACCTCGGCGCGGGGCCCTGGCCCAAAAAATAAAGTGAGGCTCCACCGACATAACCCGATATCGATATCACGATAAGGGCACGTGAGCGAGCGCGTGACTTTTTGAAGGACTCCACAACTTGACCCTGGTAGGGCACAAAACCCCCAGCAAACGTGGCTAGGCCAAGCGAGGATGAAAAAATTGTGCGTGCTCCAGCGGAGCACATCTTGGTTATGGTGGACGGAGCCCGCCTCAGTTTCTGATTTCCTGCATCCCGACTAACTTCACAGCCAAACCGACAAAATGGCCCGCGGAATGTAAGTCGACTCTCCGAATCGAATTGCAACAATGGCTTCTGGCACTTCTGTTCAATGTCACGAAGACCAATGCTGCAGCTCGCCCGACAACGCTGCACCTGAGCGGCCTTATGCCTCCTCGTCTTCCAAAGAAAACATTTTGTGCTGACCCTCGCGCCCAACAGCAAGAAGCACCAAAAGCGCCTCTCAGCGCCCTCGCACTGGCTGCTGGACAAGCTCTCGGGCGTCTACGCCCCCAAGCCGTCCGCCGGTCCTCACAAGCTGCGCGACTGCATGCCCCTCATCGTCTTCATCCGCAACCGCCTCAAGTACGCGCTCAACTACCGCGAGACGCGCTCGATCCTGATGCAGCGCCTGATCAAGGTCGACGGCAAGGTCCGCACCGACATGACCTACCCGGCCGGCTTCATGGACGTCATCTCCATCGAGAAGACGGGCGAGAACTTCCGCCTCATCTACGACACCAAGGGCCGCTTCACGGTCCACCGCATCCAGGCCGAGGAGGCCGAGTACAAGCTCGGCAAGGTCAAGCGCGTCCAGCTCGGCAAGGGCGGAATCCCATTCTTGGTCACGCACGATGCCAGAACGTGAGTTTCTGTCAGACATCATTCAGCCGTTGGATCAAGCTTTGGTTGATTTCGGGGACTTTTTGGGCGCGTAATTTACGCAAATCATATTCTCGCCGTGACTGGGCATCCTATGATGGGACACCCCATGATTTGGCAATGGAGAATTCAGAGGTGGCTACTTGAACTGCTGCCTCGTCTGCCTGCTGCCGCAGGGTCAGACGGGTGACGGGGAAGTGCCGACACCTCGTCGTAGAACCGCCATCAAGACTCCGAAACCTCCCAGCGTCTTCCTCCAACGAACTGTAATGGTGAACTCCTCACCCGCCGCGTTTATGCTAACAGTAGAGTTTCCAGCATCCGCTACCCTGACCCCTCCATCAAGGTCAACGACACCGTCAAGATCGACCTGGCCACCGGCAAGATCACCGACTTTGTCAAGTTCGACACCGGTGCCATCGCCATGGTCACTGGTGGCCGTAACATGGGCCGTATCGGTGTCATCACCCACCGCGAGCGCCACGACGGCGGCTTCGCCATCGTCCACATCAAGGACGCTATCGACAACACCTTCGCCACCCGTGAGAGCAACGTCTTCGTCATCGGCCAGGACAAGCCCTGGATCTCGGTGCCCAAGGGCAAGGGTGTCAAGCTCACCATCGCTGAGGAGCGTGACCGCCGCCGCGCTCTCGCCCACTAAACGTGTCACGATGGTGATGTGTGTGCGTTGGGTGTAGCTGGGTGGAATGACGAAAAAAAGATGGCATGTACAGGAGTCACGGATTTGACGTTTCTGTTTGTCGGGGGACGATATACCACGTCCTTTATAAGCTAGCCATAGGCAAATATGAGAAAACATGAATCTTCTAATAATGGTTGCAGTTGCTGCCTTTGTGTGATGTGACCCAGGCCGAGCTTTCATCCCATTCCATGGCATGTTGGAATGGGTTCGCACCAGTTGAACAGAAACTGCTGAGCGAAATTGCCTCTCGACTCACAATGGCTTACACTCGCGTTTCAAACTCGCATTTAAAATGGCATTTTCAAGGTTCGTTCCTCTCTTCCTAGCCATCCATCTGCCGGTGAAGCATCCGGCACCCCCGCATATATCGCGAGCGCGGGAGAAACGTGGGGGCTAGCGTTCCGCTTACACAAGACTATCGGAGGAATGCAAACCGACATCGGAATGAGCTTTCCGTGGCCTTGCATGTATAAAGAACGCAGCGATTGATTTACTCGATACAATCTGCACAGTGCACAGCAGATCAACCATGTTGCGTTGTGCATGTAGATTTGGCCTTCGTGGTCGGCGCTTCGCCGTACCCAGCCGCAGATTCCAGTCCACCACCACTGGGGCCAGGTCCGCCGCTGCTTGGTCTGGCGGTGCCGTGTTAGGCATGGCAACAGCAGCTGGAGCTATCGGATGGACCGTTGCACAGTGGCAGACCGACAAAAGTAGCAGTCAGGTTCATCTTGGCAATTCCGGCTCTGTTGGGGGCGAGGAGCGGTTTGCGACGGTGCCGGAAATGCGGAAGGCTAGTCTACAAGCGACCTATACAGGCAATATTGCTAACAGAACGAATAGGCGATCGACGAGATCGTATCGGAGCTTGGAAAACAAGACGTTATCTCTACGGACGATGAAGACCTCAAGACTCATGGGTACTCTGAATGGTCAACGGTCAACCCCGACACGCTGCCTGTGGCCGTCGCCTACCCACGAAGCACGGAGGACGTCGCAGCCATCGCCAGGATCTGCCACAAGCACCGCGTGCCGCTGATCCCCTTCTCCGGGGGCACGAGCCTTGAGGGCAACTTTTCCGCGCCCTACGGCGGCGTCAGCGTCGACTTTGCGTTCATGGACCGCATCCTCCAGTTCAACAAGGACGACATGGACGTCGTCGTGCAGCCGAGCATCGGCTGGCAGGACCTGAACCAGAAGCTGGCCGACATGGACGCAGGGCTCTTCTTCCCGGTGGACCCCGGCCCGACGGCCAAGATTGGCGGCATGATCGGGACCAACTGCTCGGGGACGAACGCGGTCCGGTACGGCACGATGAAGGACTGGGTCATCAATCTGACGGTGGTGTTGGCGGACGGACGGGTCATCAAGACACGCAGGAGACCGCGCAAATCTTCTGCTGGGTATAACCTGAACGGCCTCTTTGTTGGCTCTGAAGGAACTCTAGGAATCGTGACTGAAGGTATGTTGAGTGTCTTGGCTGCTTGTCCAGACCGCGGACTGACAACTGCAAGCCACGCTGAAACTAGCCGTGATCCCCGAGATGTACTCTGTGGGCGTCGTCTCGTTTCCGACAATCCGCGCGGCCGCAACCGCAGCTGCCGGGGTCATGCGGGCCGGCGTCCCGGTCGCGTGCCTCGAGATCATGGACGACGTGCAGATGCGCGTCGTCAACTTGAGCGGCAGCACAGCTCCACGAACGTGGAAAGAGCTGCCCACGCTCTTCTTCAAGTTCTCCGGGTCCAAGGCGAGCGTCGCCGAGAACACCGCCACGGTGCAGGCCATCACGTCGCGAAACGGCGGCCAAGACTTTGAGTTTGCCAAGGACGAGCGGGAGCAGAAGCTGCTGTGGTCGGCCAGAAAAGAGTCGCTGTGGTCGATGCTTGCCTTACGAAAGACGGGTCAGGATGTTTGTAAGCAGCTCCAACTACTCTGCTTGTGATGACGTGACTCTAACGATTGACAGGGAGCACCGACGTTGCCGTGCCACTCAGCCGCCTCGCCGACCTGATCGAGGTGAGCAAGCAGGAGATGGACAGCCTGGGCATGTTTGCGAGCATCCTGGGCCACGTTGGCGACGGCAACTTTCACGAGAGCATCATGTACGACCGGGGCAACCCGGAGGAGCGCGAGCGGGTGGCGCGGTGCGTGCACAACATGGTGAACCGGGCGCTCAACATGGAGGGCACGTGTACAGGCGAGCACTCGGTCGGCTGGGGCAAGAAGGAGAGCCTCGTCAAGGAGGTCGGACAGGAGACGGTGGACGTGATGGCGGCGATCAAGAAGTCGTTGGATCCGCGATGGATATTGAACCCGGGCAAGATCATGGACGTGCCGTGGCTGCCCAAAGAGACGCACGCGACGAAGGCGGATGTGGCGGTTACGCCTATTCGGAGGTTGGCGAAGCAGGAGGTTTCGGAGTAGAATAGCGTGCATCTCTGCCCTCTGCTAAATTTGTCAGGCGATTCTGAAATTCGCCGTTTGCATGATCCACCGAAGTTGGTTGGTAGCTGTTACAAACAGCCAACACTCAATTATTATGTACGTTTGCACAGTCCATCGAAGTTGGCGACTATTGCGCAATAGCCAACCCTCAGTGATCGCTTTCCTCTTGCACCTTTCTCACCATCACTTTCTCCCCCACCTTCCTCACAAAACACCTTCACCTCTACTATTCTTGGAGATCTCTCGGTTGCGCATCATAATTATCGTTTTCTTGGTTCCATCTTTATTCTCTGCATCGTCTTTCTCTCCGTTGACCTCAACCGAACAAGTCCCAATGACGACTTATTACACCGAACTTCCCGAGCAACTGGCTGCAAAATGGACGAAGCCAGAACTCTCCGAGGATGCCTCACGAAGTCCCTCGCGCAACCCGGCCGACAGCCATATTGCGGTACCGAAGCCCGGCCTCGAAAAGAGATCCATCTCGTTGGACCTGGTCAAAATGCCCCAGGACATCACGATTCAACAACTCTACAAAGCTTTCTCGCCCAAGGGCAATATTGAACTTATTGACATCTTCGAGCCTCACCCTGGGGCGAGACACGCCGCTGGAAGGATTGTTTTTACCCCGCCTCCAAAAGTCGAGTTCTGGCAAAGCGGTCGATTTGATCTTGATCTGAAGGACGACGAAGAGCCAGTGACCATATACTTGAAGGTGTTCAAGGTGACACATGAGAATACAAGGAGCAGTGACGAGCAACGCTTCCCGTCCATCATCTCTATGCGACTCAAGTCGCTGGATTTTGGTAGTTTGCTCAATAATGATACCATGGTCATTAGCGAGACAATCGACTCGACAGAGACTGGCGATCTCTCATTGGAAGTCAACGCACGCACAGGAGCGATCACCCTTTACTTCCAGTTTCCCGAAAAGAAAAGATATTTCTCGGGCAAGAGACAATACAGACTCATCACGAATGTTTCCGCCATCAGCAAGGTCTAGGATACCTGCTCGGAAGGAAACAAGCGGGGATGCACAATTTCCATTTCTTTTGATGGGCTGATTGAATACTCTTGGCAAATCACAGACATTCTAGACATTGTACCGTCTGACTCCAAGAGGTGGCACTGCAACGACGCCTGGATGCGCGCAACCGACATTTGTGAGGCCACCATTGAACCGCAAAAGCTTCCGGTATCGACCTACAGCAGAGGTCAAGAGGGACGATGCATCGATATTGGTCGTCACAAAACGTTTCGGTGCATCATTGACGAAGCGTATGCGCATTCGCTTACTGCTGTGGAGAACTTGATGCTGGTACTGGATCAGTATAACATAGATGCTGCTCGGACAACTCTCCAGCTGGAAAGAGACCGAAAATGTATGTGGGATGTGTTGGATCACCAACAAACTGGCAGCGCTTCCAATGCTCTGGAGTATCTCGGTCTCACTGCCAACTACATTTACCTGGATTTCGCAGTCCGCTACAGACTAGAGGTCTGTGTGACCAGAGGATACCTCAGGGAACATGCCATTGGTGCCGCATTCTTGGGGAAGTTGGCAGCTTTGGACACTGCAAAAGCAAGCCAGATGCTGGAATACCTGGCTGATAAAGAGCTTAAAATCGAGGATCCCCTGCAGATCTTTGAGGATGCACAATTTCGATACACACCTGCTAAGAAGCGCATTCCGCACTATTGCTCACTTGTGCTCAAGGCCAACATCACGCCAACTTCACTGAAACTAAACATGCCGAATGTTGAGAGCTCAAATCGCGTCATGCGAAGATACAACGACGTGCAGGACCGATTCCTCCGCGTGCAGTTTCTTTCAGAAACGGAGTCTGACCGCATTGCAAAGGATCGCTACAACAACGACGATGTCTGGAAGCGCCTTTTGCGAGTGCTATACAAGGGCATCCGGATCGGCGATCGCACCTATGAATTTCTAGCGTTTGGAAATTCGCAGCTACGAGAGGGGAGCGTTATGCTTTTCTGTCCGACTGCACATCTATCCTGCGATGACATTCGCAAGTGGCTGGGCAACTTTAACCACATTCGCAACATCGCCAAATTTGGAGCTCGCATTGGGCAGTGCTTTTCGACCACACGGGAGGTGCGCGGTGTTCGCGTGCCCACCATCCGCCATATTGACGACATAGAAGGCGACGGCGAGTGCTTTACCGACGGCGTGGGTATCATCTCCGAGCTCCTAGCTAAGCTGGTCGTCGATGAGATGAAACTTGACGTCGTGGGAAACCCATCTGCTTTCCAGTTTCGCATGGGTGGCGCCAAGGGAGTTCTCGCAGTATGGCCGCGTGAATATGCAAAGAACATGGAAGTTTGTCTACGAAAATCGCAGATCAAATTCAGCACCGAGACCAACACGCTTGAGATCGTCAAGGTTGCCAGGGCCACGACAGCGACGCTCAATCGCCAGATCATTGTCATTTTGGAGTACCTCGGAGTCAGCCACAGCACGTTTCTGGCGCTGCTGAACAAACACATCAATCAGTACGAAGAAGCCATGAAGAATCGCGCTGCTGCGATTGATCTCCTGACAAAATTTGTTGACGAGAACCAGACAACTGTCATTCTAGCCGAGCTTCTCAAGACCGACTTTCAAGATCCTTTTATCAAGAATCTTCTAAAGCTCTGGCGGTCTTGGTCATTGAAACTCATGAAAGAGAAGTGCCGTATCCATGTCGAGAAGAGTGCATTCGTCATGGGGTGCGTCGACGAGACTGGCACTTTGCGAGGGCACTCTATTCTGGCAGAAGGAAAGCAAGCCAAGAAGAATGTTTCAAGTCTGCCGCAGATATTTCTTCAAATCAGTGACCGGAAGTATCGAAGCAAGACCACAATAATTCAAGGAATTTGCCTCATTGGCCGCAATCCGTCATTACACGCCGGCGACATCCGCGTTGTCCAAGCGGTCGATAATCCACGTCTACGCCACCTCAAGGATGTGGTTGTTTTCCCCTCCAAGGGCGATCGGTCGCTTCCAAGCCTGCTTTCAGGAGGCGATCTAGACGGCGATGACTACTTTGTCCTCTGGGATTCTAGCCTCATCCCTCAGATTTGGAATACTCCGCCGATGCGCTCCATGCCGATCACACCTCAAGATTTGGACAGGGATGTCGAGGTGAACGACTTGCGCAACTTTGTCGTCAAGTATATGAAGAACGACTTTTTGGCGTACATTGCCATTGCGCATCAGGCGCACGCAGATCAATCGGGAGTAGCATCTCGCATATGTAAGTGCTAGGATTCATTTGGGAATTTGCTTCGAAGCTTCTGCTAATCATGTCGTTTCCAGGTTTGCAGCTTGCTGAGCTTCATTCACAGGCGGTCGACTACCCAAAAACCGGTGTGCCAGCGGAATGGAGTCGAGCCAAATACTGGCCAAAAAAGTGGCCGCATTTTATGGAACGGAAGGGCTACACGTACACGTCTCGCACTGCGCTCGGGAAACTGTATGACCGTTTGGCTGACGAAAATTATGACTACGTTCCCAGCTGCGAGGATGAGTTTGATTCGAGAATCGTGGACAGCTTTGACTTTACCAACGATGTTCTGAAAACAGCCCGTAATATGAAGGCAGAGTATGACATGACTATTAGGCGACTGTTGAAGCAGTCCCGGATTGCCACCGAGTTTGAGCTCTACTCTGGTTGGGCCATGTCCAAGGGCCCGGCGGGCACGCATTACAAGCGCCAGGAGGACCTCGGGCAGCAGTTCGACACGGTCAAGCAGCGTTTTCGCGAAATGTGCATCCAGGCGGCCGGAGACGCGGGCGGCAAGCTGGAGTGGCTTGTCGCCGCCATCTACAAGGTGACCCAAGACGAAGTCAAGAGTTTCTTGAGCGAGACCGAGGCCGAGGACTTGAACTTTTCACCTCGAACCATGCCGCTCATCAGCTTCCCGTGGATCTTTCACTGGGTTCTGGTCAAGATTGCATCGGGACACGGCTACAAGCCGCTCGAGACGAATTTGGTGCCGGTCGTTCGTTTTGCGCCAACGGCAGTGCCTGCGCCAGCCCGAGAAGCCGACGGTGACGTCCCTCAGAACATGGATGCAACCAGGGGTGGAGGGTCGCCAAAGCCCACGCCAGAGGCGAAAGACGTCGTCAGGCTTGACGAACAAATTGAACTCCTCATAGATTTTGACGCTGTCGAGGAAAGCAAGTCAGAGAAGACTAGAGATGGCACCCCAGAAGAAGAAGCCGATAGCCCCGAGCCGTCACAGAGCGCACGCAGCTTTGAGACGCTGCCGTGCGAATACGACTCAAGCGCACAATCCCGTCCTCCTAGTGAGAGGTGCAAGGAAAAGGCAATCGGGGCAACGGAGGCGATGCAAAGCGCAGCGCTGGTTTCGCGTCACATGGACTATCGAGAGTCAAAGGTGGATCAATTGCTGCGGATGTGCGAGGACTCTGACGAGGATTGAAGCGAGTGGTGATTTTATAGATAATTTCAGGGGTATTTTGGGGGATGTGTGTATCTTGGCTTCCATATTGCTTCGCTTCTATTTTGCTTCATCATTAGCTAGCGCTTAATACACAAATCTGTTCTCAGCACCCATTTCTCTCCTGCGCGGACCTCTTTTCCCTCGTGCTGTCTCTTGTTAGTTTCTTTGCCATTTCAGTTGTAGGCTTTCAGGATTGCTCACCAGGAGACAGTCGTCGCCGTGCTTGTGCAGCAGCAGCGTACCCGTCCGCGGCGCCACGGGAATGGCGTCGGCGTCGGACTGGCGGTCGTGCGGGTAGAAGACGGTCTCGCCGCCGACGCAGCCCTCGGCGGCGGAGGTGAGGTATAGAAGGAGCGTCCATGTGGTGCGTGCCTGGACCTGCTTGCCGTCGACGTCGACGGTGACCACGTTGGACTCGTCATCTGCCCCCCCCCCCCCCCACAAGACCTAGTCGACGCGTTGGACCTACAGTGACAGTCGAAGAACTGGCCTTTGGTGTACCGGTACACCCTGATGTTCGGGTGCGCTCCCACAGCGCTGCCGCCAAGGCCGCGTCGTGCACCTGCAGGCGGTCGTTGACGCGGACGGCGTCGCCGCGGCGGGGCGTGCCGGGGGTGGTCTGCAGCGCGAGGGTGGAGAGCAGCGCGACGTAGGCGCGGCACAGCGACCGCGGGAAGAAGCCGTCGACGGTGACGACGCGGGCGGTCCGCGGGTGCGGCGTGGGTGCGAGGTCGACGACGGGCAGCCGGGGCGTGAACCTTGGCCACGCGGGGGGTGGTGGTGGTGTGGCGGTGGTGGTGGTGGTGGGCTGGGATTTGGCTGCTTTGGAAGTCTTTTGTTTCCCCATGGCCGGCTTTGTTCTAGATGATGGTTTGAATGGTTGTATTCGCAGTCGCGTGTTTGTTCGAGAAGTGGTTGCTGTCTGCCCAGTCTTTTTCATCACGGGTGGAGCTAGTGCACAAGATGCTGATGCGCACCTCCATGGCCACCACGCTGAGATGCTCATCACTTTATGCAGATTGTTCCTTACCGCATTATACAAAGATAAATTAGTAATATTTAAACCTTTTCCAACACCTCAAGCCTACCAAGCTGATATCTAGTGTGATGATGCAAACGAGGGCCTGATGCAAACGAGGGCCAAGCTGATTACTCGCAGGCAACCTTGGCGGTATTGGAGCATAGGTAGGTCAGCATGCTAATTTGTAGTTCTGGGTGGTTGGAAAAATGATGCCCGAAAATAAACAACTTTTTACAACCTCCCGATTTTCTTTTTCTCCCTCCTCTTTACATGATACATGCAGGACCCGTTGTCGTGGCAGGAGACTGTCTCGCCTACCAAAGGTCGCGGTTGAAACTAGCCAAGATCAAATCTATCTGATACCGATTTGGAATGAATTGCACAGCGCTTCTGGCACTTATTCCTGGGGACACAGCTACATGATGGGGCGTTTGGTAATAGACTTGCGCGGCCGCAGACGGTCATAGATTACGGGAATGCTATCCCTAGGACCGGAGGTCGGCGGCGTTCCGTGTCAGTCAGTGCCCGTCTGCGACACGGGTTTCTCTCCAGGATCCCCCCACACATCACTTGTCCTTCAGGACAAACATGGCCCCCGACCAGCCGTAGGCCCTCGTCAGCCGCCTGCCGTGTCGCCGGGCCACCTCAAACGGGATCTTACTCACGGGGTGCGGCTCGTGGAAGTGGATGCTCCGCTCTACGTCCGGCCGCGTCGGCGAAAACTGCCAGACGGAGCCGTACAGCTTCTCCGCCCGGAAGCCCGTCGCCACCATGGCGTGGAGGAAGTCGCTCCAGAGGACCGAGCTGGGGGTCGACGTCACCTCCGGGTTGAAGAAGATGGTTCGGAACACCTTGAGGGTGCGCGCGTCAACGCGAAACGTGGGCCGAGGATCGACAATGGCAGGTTCGGGGGCGTCAGCGACCGCCGGCGGTTGTGTAGACGCGGCGCCCTTGGTCTTGGGCTTGACCTTGGGCTGCGTCCTCCACTCTCGCGAGCTAGCCTCGGAGTGATCTACAAACACGGTCGACAGCGGCCGGTTCAGGACGTCCGGATTGGGGTCCGCAATCTTCTTGTCCGTCGACGGCGCCGTGGCCGGCTCCACCCACTCCGCCGTCCGCCGCAGCAGGCGCGGCTTCGACAGAAAGCGGTACACGGCTGTTCCTGTCAGTGCCGGCGTCTTGGACCGCAGCTGCCCGTCAACCTTGGCCCAGACGGCGTCCAGGTTGTGCTCCGCCGCGCGCAGCGCCTCCACTGTCTCCCGCGTCCGACGTTTGTGCGAGGGGTACGCGAATCGGCCGCCCGAGGGCTCGGCGAGCTTGCCGGCAGCGGTCAGGCTGGGCTCCTTGACGGCGGCCATGAGCTGAGCCCAGGGCTCCCCCCACTTTAGGTACTCACTTTTGAAGGTCTCGGAGTGGTCCACCGAAGCCGAGTCAAACATCTGAGCCCACGGCTGGTAGAGCTCGAGCTGTCGCGAGCACTGGGCAATGATGGACAGGTCGCCGAGAATACGGCCGACGTGCGCCGAGACGAGTGCGTCCGCTTCGGGGCTCGCCTGCATGAGGCGCTCCAGCTCGTCGACGAGGCGCGGTAGACCTACCAGGAAGAGGGTCTGGTCGTCCTCGCACAGCGTCTGCAGGAGCCAAATCAGGTTCGTCTCGTCCTTGCTCCTTTTGACCCCGACCTTGCTCATGACCTTCATCTTGGTCGAGTCCGGGTCCGCCGGGGGCTCGCGGGCAAAGAACTTGTGCATGGGCGGCGATGCGACGACTGCCGTCTTGAGCATGTGCATGGGACCCTTGGCGGTCTTCTCGAGGAAGTGCCGGAAACGCAGTAGCGCGATCCTGTAGTCCTCTGGCAGATCCTTTTCTGGTGATATTTTTGTCTTATATTTGCTCTGCAGCACTCGCAGCTGCTGAAGCTGTCGGTGGAGCTCGGTGAAGGCCTCGAGGCTGATGTATGAGTCAATAAGCATGTTCGCCGTGACCCGAGCCCAAAGGAGATGCTCCCGCGGCTTTTGAGTCACAGGATGTAAATTTCCTGCGGTGTCCTTGAGCATTTCCTGTCGGTGGTCCTTGATCTCCCGGAACTGGTCCGCAAAGTAAGTGGGATCCTCACGAAGTGCCCAAACGTGATCCTCTACTGCGGACATTTTGGCTTCGAGCAGAGACTCTAGCCTTGCCAAATTAAGCCGCTCTGGCAGTCTGTAGGGTGCTTCTGCAGCCATGACGGCCAGGGATGCAAACCCAGATGCATCATTGTCTGTCATGGGAGGGGGTTCCGGATGAACGGGATAGGCATCACTGATCAGATCGGCCGCTGGAATCTCGTGGAGGATTTCGTGACAGCAGTCAACTAGGAATTTCATGAGACGAGCTTGCACCTCCAGAATAATCAGGCCTTCTCCGGGGAGGAACTGCCTGCGTGTGTGCATCCATTCAAACGCGTCGGGATGCTCGTCCCATGCGACGAGCTTACCGTATTCCTCTGCCTTGGTAGCCCCGTGGAGAATCATGACATGCTCGTTGAGAAAGATTGGATCCAAGGCTTTGGATACAAGACCAAGATGGACAGATTCCACGTCGGCGGCGGCGAATGCGGGAGGGGGGTGGCGGCCTCGGGAATTGAGCAGCAGCGGCATCAATCTGGGCTGGGAGAGGTCCTGCTGGTTGATGCAGGGCCACAGGTACTGACGCTTGTATTTGGTTCCTCTCTCTCTCTGGTCCGCGGACTCGTTGCGAAAGGCTTCAAAATCTGGTCGGTGGGATGCTGGCATTCCTGGCCAGGCCTTGAGGAGAATCTGCAGCCTCTGCTGCTTTGTCTTCTTGGTCCATCTCTTTTGTATCGTGGCCTCGTGCCGCTGGAGTATCTCGCCAAGGGTTTTGTAAGCAGCGAAAGCTTCGCGAGACTTTGCACTAGCCTCGCGTCGGACCTCTGCAGGCGAGGGTGTCTTGGGGATGCGGCCCCCTATGGCCCTGAAGAGGCTCTGGGGGTTGCTCCAGTCAATGACGTCAGGGAGGTCGGGGAGATCTGCAACTGGGCTGGGGTCGGAAGGATCGAATTGAAGATCGCGTCTAGATTGCATGGCGAAGATTTGGATAGCTCAACGAAAAGAAGAGACTGTTCTGTTGTAGCTCAAAGTTGTCGACGCTGCACAGAAGCTCGAGCTTCGACATCCCCGCTCCTCTCCTTCTGCATGGCGGTGGAGCTGCACCTTGCTTGAGTTATTATTAGAGGTGCCCAAATGATGGCTGACATGAAGCCCGGGCGAATTGTGATATCACGAGGCTTTCTTTTCAGCAACTACCCCTCTTGCATTTTCGGAATCGACTTTCTGTACAAACGTGTCATAGTTGCCCACATAGGCTGTCATGATATGCCCAAGCTAAGAATCGAATCTAATAAGATTCGCCAGCAGACAAAGCGTCGATCTGCACGGTACAGTGGGTCCTGCTCGGGGAAGCGACATGAGGAGAGAAGCAGCCAATGGCCAAGATTCCAGTACTAGTCATCGTATACAGTCTTTTGCTTGGTGCTAGGTAGGTACATAGACTTGAGGGTACGCCTGGGGCTCGTGTGACGGCTGACGTCGGCGTTGCATGGACAAGGTGACCCGTGCATGTTGCCTTGATATCCTCATTTGTTTCGAAGTGTAGGAAACGAAGCAAGGTACTCGCACCATTAATTAAATCAATTAGCTGAAGCTCTACGCACCATTTATCCACAGTCACTAGTTAGTTGAAGATGGCTGGCTTGGCTAGTTGGTTGCAATGCAGGTACTTTGCCTACTTGGTCTTCCCAACGTCAACATGTGCAGCTACTCTTTTGAGCAACGAGACAACCGACAACACGTGCTGGATTGACTCCATCATAGGTGGAGAGGCACCGCATCCCTACTTCCACGCATGACTGGGCCGGGCCATCAGTGTGACATCATCTCGTCGAGCTTGATTAGTGCGGAGGTTGTAACTACTTAGTTAGCATGCTCACATCCACCAGACAAGCTCGCCGTCAGCCTGCCAAGGGTATGCAAGAGCAAATCATCCCGTATCCAGCACGCTTGTCCCTGGTAAACAAGGTTCTGTGACAGAGTTGCCCCTTGCTCTAGCACAAGGCTCGGACGGGCATGGCGCCGGGTGCATCAGAAACCAGCGTGGGGGCCGAGTGTAGCAATTTGGTCTCTGACGCCGGCGAGCAAACTTGACACAGGCGATACATGATACATCGGGACTGTCCAAATCGCTCGTTCAGAGTCAATGTTGGCCAGCGAGCTGGTCTTGTTGCATGTACCAGGTAGCTATTGACGCGGCTGCGCCTCGGAGCTGGCTGCTGCAAGGGGGGGCGGTTCTGTCACGTCGCAAGCGTCGGGTCAAGCAGGGGAAGTCGAAAAAGAAAGTCGTGTGAGATGTTTGCGGATTGATGAATGGATACTTGATGGCTGATGAAAGAGGCATTTTCATAGGAAAAGTCGTGGCATCTGGGTAGCTATAGTAGTACTGTAGGTTCTTAGCAGGTAACCAAATACTCCGAATGGCTATACTGTAGGTAGCTCTTGTTGACTAGGTAGTGCAACAAAGTAACTTGTCACAACCCCACCAATGATACAGCGCCAGATCTCTCTACTCAGACGGCGTCACAATCACCCAGTTGCGTCATGATAATAGTCTTCTGGGCATAAAAACAAATATATCGAAAAATGGTATAACCCTTACTGGTCACAATCGCCAACCACAACCACACACGGATAAACGAGTGTCCCCTCCTCAACCACGGAACAACGCCCTGTCACGGCTGACTAAGAGTCTCCCACCACATAACAGATGCCCACCTCATCCAGAATTATCCTTCCCGCACCCTCATAATAGACCAGACCTTGACTCTTCTCCCAGATTCGAGCCCGGCTCCGTGATATTGCCACTCGCCCCGGGCCCTTGCAATTCGGAGCTGTCCTCTTGAGCAGTCTTATACCCTCCACGTCGTTTTGTTATGCTATGGTGGCGCGCGCAAACGCCCGTTTATGAAAGCTAAGCTCCCCAGTCAGGCACAGCAGCAATGGATATGAACGGCCAGAATGGCAGACGCAGCCTCGAAAATCACGGATACCCAGGCAGTTATGGGCCACCGCCTGATAACCGGGCCAGACAGCCCCCTCCTCGAGGGCAGTCACGAGGCTACCAACCCCCCGGGCAGCAAGGCTACGGTACGCCGATGAATGCTAGACAACCCCCACCGAGAGAGCAATTTCGACAATATCACGATAACAGGCCGCAAGATCCTGGCTACGGAGACCATCGCGGTACGCCAAACCCTCCGGCGCCGGGTCGCGGCTACGGAAGCTTCAACGACGTGCCAAATCCCCAACAGCGAGACCCTCGCTATGGAGACTATGACGAGGCTACCAATCCTAGACAAGGCCCTCCAGCCGCCGGCTTTGGCCCGCCAGGGCGCAGCATGACGCTTCCATTCCGAGATGCGAGCCGGCAAAATCAGGCGCCACACCAGCGAGCCGAAACGATGCCGTACAATGGACCTGCAGGCCGGGTCGTACCGCAGCGACCGGCAACGACGACCGGAACCAGGCCACCGCCGCAGCGAATCTATCCACAACAGCAGAACCCAGCATCCAACGCACCATACGGGATTGGCTATGAGGCAGGCCCCTCTAATAGCTCTGCCGTCTCTGTGACGGACGTGTATGACGACTACTACGACCCGCAACATGGTGAACAAGGTCAGGTCGCAGGCGATGTGCATAGGGCTGCGCCTAGCTATCAACCTGCTAGGAGCTCATACGATCAGCCCAGGGCACCACAGCCGGAGCAGCCACAGCGAGGAGCGCATCATGTGCCGCAATTGACCCATGCCAAGTCCATGGCCGAAATGCGCGAGCCACAGTCGGCCGTTTTTGAAATGGCCGGCGACATCCCGTCCATGCCCCCTATGCCTACTCATGGTGGCTTTGAGCAAGCGAGTAAGCAAAGCCACAGCGAGGGCAACAACCACGGTTATGAGGATAGGAACGACCAAGGCTACGACCAAAGAGACGACCAGAGCTATCAACAGAGAAATGGCCAGGGCTACGAAGAAAGAAACAGCCGGGGCTATGATCAAAATGACCAGGCCTATAACAGAAACAACAAGGGATACGGTCAGGGATATGACCCAGGTTACGACCAGGGCTACGACCAGGGCCACAATCAGAGTTATGATCAAGCCTACAATCACGGCTATGGTCAGGCGATTCCCTACGAGAATGGACCTCTGAGAGGTCCCAGTGCGCCACCAGCGTCAAACCGCGGCCCATATCCGCCAGAATCGGGATTCCAGGCTGGCGCACAAACCATGTCCTCAATGTCATCCCACCCAACCCCTGTTCGGCCCGGCCAGATGCCCAATTCTATTGTCAATCGTAGCATCAAGCCGCCGCCTGTGCGACACTATGACGGAATACCTCGGCAAACCCAGCAGCAGTTAATGCAGCAGGATATGCGTCAACAAGACCGGCACCATGGGCTGCCTATCCCAAGCTCCGCATCGTTAGACATGGCACAGGGTGAGGGCTCCAAAGCGCCTGTTACGATGCAGGAGCTAGAACAGCTCAGACTCATCATCAGAACGAACCCCGCAGATCAAGAATCGGCATTGAGACTAGCAAGGAGACTAATTGAAGCCTCTGACGCTCTTGTCCTGCACATTCAAGATCCTCGCGCGCGCGCCAAAGCCAAAGATAGATACTTAATGGATGCGCACAAAATTCTGAAGAAGCTGGCCAGCCATCAAAATTCAGAGGCAATGTTCACGCTGGCCGACGGCCTTGGCAAAGGCCTAATTACTGGTGAACCAGACACAAAGGAAGCCTTCACAATGTACCAGTCAGCAGCGAAGCTGGGACACGCTTCCGCAGCGTACCGTACGGCGGTTTGCTGTGAGATTGGTCATGAAGAGGGTGGTGGCACACGTCGGGATCCGCTAAAGGCCATGCAGTGGTACAAGCGGGCGGCAACGCTGGGCGATCCGCCAGCCATGTACAAGCTAGGCATGGTGATGCTAAAGGGGCTCCTCGGCCAAAGCAAGAACCCCCGAGAAGCTGTCGGGTGGCTGAAGCGAGCCGCCGAGAGGGCGGATAAGGACAACCCGCATGCGCTTCATGAGCTCGGTCTGCTGTATGAATCAGCACAACCCAACGACCTGCTAATTCGTGATGAACGGTACGCAATGACGCTATTCCAGAAGGCCGCCGAGCTTGGATACAAGTTTTCCCAGTTTCGTCTGGGATGCACGTACGAATACGGACTGCTGGGGTGCCCCGTTGACCCCCGGCAGTCGATTGTGTGGTACTCGAAAGCTGCAATGCAAGAAGAGCACCAGTCTGAGCTTGCGCTAAGCGGGTGGTATCTGACAGGCAGTGAAGGGGTCATAGTCCAGAGCGATACGGAGGCCTATCTGTGGGCGCGCAAGGCGGCCACGGCCGGCATGGCCAAGGCGGAATTCGCCATGGGATACTTTACGGAGGTAGGCATTGGCATCCCGCCAAACTTGGAGGATGCCAAGAGATGGTATTGGCGAGCTGCGGGTATGTACAGGTGAATTTGTTCGCAACTAGGGAACTTACTAACAGACCGTAGCTCAGGACTTCCCCAAGGCACGAGAGAGACTCGAGGAATTGAAGAGGGTTGGCAAAACAGGGGCCCCCCGGGCTAGAGAACGCATTTCCCGAAGTCGCATCGAGAAGCAGGAAGGGGATTGCACGATAATGTAATATATGATTTATGCGAGGGTACACGTCGTGGGAAGCTGGGACGGTCACGGTGACGGAGTATAAGCGGCCGCAGGGACCGGATTGCTTTCACGATATCATGTACAATTATTTCTATTCAGCGGCAGGGGTTGTTTTGATTAGCTTGACAGCTAAAGTGTTTTGATTTAGTTTGGAGAGCCAGTAGGCTTGTATATTCACGTTCAGGTTGAAGAGTACGTGCTCGAGTTGCGACAGACCGCCTTCCAAACTAGGCGCGGCAGTAATCGGCAGGGTTAGAATGTCCAAACCATCACGTCACAAGCTCGCAAGCAAAAACGAGCGACAACTACGACTTCTACAAGCAACGATACATAGAAACAACGCCTTTCATCAATTCTCCGAACCATCCAACGGATGCGATCAACCGATACTCCACCACCGGCGATTCCACCACAAACCTAACCATCGACACAACCACAACCATGCCGAGCCCAAGAAATTGGGGTCTTTGGACCAAGGTTATCGTAGCGTGAGTCGCCAACGACAAGAGAGCGGATCGACCGGGAGAGAGGCTGACCTGCGCCGGCATACAGGGGCATCGCGGTGAGCGTGGGCGGCCCGGCGCTGACCTACTGGGTCGTGCCGACCGAGGAGGAGCTGCGCTCGCGGTACAACCCGGACCTGCTGCGCAAGAGCATCGAGGGCCGCGCGGAGCGCGAGGCCGAGTTCAACGAGTTCGTGACCAAGCTGAAGCAGTACTCCAAGTCCCCCGGGAAGGACGAAGAGTGTTTTTTTTTTTTTTGCCGCTGCTAACAGGATGGCGGTGGGGGGAGCAGTCTGGACGGTCATCAAGGAGGAGGAGGAGAACCAGAAGAGGCAGGAGGCCAAGTCGACGAGGGACCTGGCGAGGGAGGCCGAGGCGCGGCGCGAGGAGATGCGCAAGGAGGCGGGCCTGAAGTGAGGCGCGGTGGGTGGTAGGGCTTGACGACTTCTGACGAAGGGGGGGCGCCGCAGGTTGAAAAACGTGGTGATGGATGATACCAAGGGATCAAAGGCGGGCAAAAATCTGTGCGTGATTTTTGGCGCCGTGTATAGTAACAACAAATATTGGCATGTACGTTTGCGATGCAGTTCTGCAATTACAATTTTCAAGATCAAGATTTCAGCAGTTGGGCGGGTCAACGCCAACATCACCATATTGGGGCGAATGCTGCGCCGAACAAAGTTCAAGCCGAATAGCATATTTACCATCACGTACTCGTATCAAGCAATGGCTTCTATGCGATCCAACTCCAATTGGTATCAAAAACAGCGCTAAATATGTAACCGACCCGAACTACCCAGTTCAAATGCTAGAAAGAAACCATCAAAACTCCTCATCATCGCGCGGCGCGCGACGTGTAATGACCCTATTTAGATTTCCATTCTCCAATTCTACAATAACATCGGCGTGATGCACCGCACTCATCCTGTGCGTCACCGTCAGCACCGTACAGTCCTCAAATGCCGCCGCAATCTCTGCCTGAATCTCCTCATCCGTCTCCTCGTCCACGTTGCTTGTCGCCTCGTCCACCAGGACCAGACTCGCCGACGTGTGCTGACGGCGGAGCATCGCGCGTGCAATGCACAGCAGCTGCTTCTGACCTTTGGAGAACTCCAGATCGCGCAGCTGCGCGTCGAGTCCGCCGTGCGCCTGGATCAGTGGCCACAGCTTGACACGCGTCAGGTAGTCAATCATCATACCGTCGCTGATACGGCTGCTGTCGTCGCCTGTCTCGTAAGGGTTCATGTTGACCCGGATCGATGATGCAAGCTCCACGTCGTCCTGCGACACGGTAACGATGCGGGCGCGTAACAGGTCCGGCGGAATGGTCCGCACGTCGCGTCCGTCGATCCGGATAGTGCCACTGTAGTCCAGGAAGCTGAGAAGTGCAAGAAGTAAGGACGACTTGCCACTACCAGTACGTCCAATAATAGCAACCTTTTCCCGGGGCTGGACAATAAGCGACATGTTCTTCAGCACCGGCCGAGCCGCCATGTCGAGCGGGTCGTATTTGGCCGTGACGCTGGTGAGATCAACGCGGCCCAGCGACGGCCAGTTATCTGGAAGCTGCTCCCCGGGCTTGAGAACAGGCTCGGGTTCAAGCGGCGTCGTCTTGTTGAACTCTCGCACACGCGCCATGGCACCCAGGGAGGTTTCCAGGTTAGACCAATCGGTGACGAGATACGACATGCTCTCGCTCAAGTTGATCAGGGTTACCAGGGACAGACCAATGGCACCGCCGCTGGTCTTGTCCGGCAAGTTAACGGCGAGGCCAATCAGGAGCATGGCGATGCCAGCCACTGTCAAATCCATGACGAGCGCGAGCCAGCGCTGGATGGCGTACATGTGGTAGTACGGACGCTGCGAATAGTCCAGCAGGCCGTACCCCTGCCACTTGATATCTGTCTCCCACTGGAACGCCCTGATATGCATGATGCCGTCGCCTACATCCTGGAAGAGGGTGTATAGTGGTGACTTGGCCTCGAGGTCCATGTGGCGAATTTGTCGAGATGTGCGTAGGTAGAATCTTTGCATTTGCCAGAGGAAAATGAGCAACGCAGGTACCGCCAGAGCCGAGTAGGTAGCTCCAGAAACAATGACTCCAATGCTGACCAGACAGGCAACCGCGGTGTAGGTAAACTCGAGAAAATGCTGGGGAAGTTGTTGTGACAAGAAGCCAACATCTTGAGAGAATTTGCTGACGAGAACACCGCTTTCCGTCTTGGTGATGAACGGAAGCTGGGCCTTCATCGTTGTCTGCAACAGCCCCTTGTGCAGAACACGCGACGACTTAGGCACGACTTTGAAATAGTAAAAGAACAAGCTGATAGCAAGAGTAATGGCAGTTCCAATGGCCAAGGCTGCATAGCCGTAGAACCACTTGGTATTTTGGGGATCTTCGTCCATCCACAAGCTGGCATAAATCTGAGGCAAGGCTTTGATAACGGCAGCAAATGAGATGGAAAAAACCCAAACAATAATCAACCCAACACCGCTAGACCGGAAATAGTACATGTACAGTGAAAAGTCACCGCGCTGGCGTTGGTATGCCTGATCCTTTGTAGGCTCTGGTTCCGGCTTGGGAACAAAGGGCTCAGCTTCCTTGGAAGCTTGAGCCTGGGAACTGCTTATTAAGTAGTCCTTTCGGATAAGGTCGGGTGCGTTGTTGACCGTCTCCGTTACATTGCCCTTGCCATCCAGAGCGTAGACCGCGTGCGCGAGGGGGAGATGCTCACGAATGTTGGTCGTCATGATGACAGTCGTACCGGTTTGTGTCAGCAGGCCATCGTCGCCAAGCAGGCGAGAGAGAATAGTCTGAGCCGTGTCAGAGTCCAAAGCGCTGAGCACATCATCGAGGATAATGATTGGTGCGCGGGAGTAGATTGCTCTTGCCAGGGCAACGCGCTGTTTCTGGCCACCACTGATGAGGCCACCACCGCTACCGACCATGGTCTTGTCACCGTCCGGCAGGTAGTCCAGATCCTCCTCCAAGGCACAAGCCCAAATAACGGATCTATACCAGGGCAGGATATACTCGCTGTGGGCAATGACGCTGTCGCGAATGCACATGTTCTGGAGCCAGGGTGACTGGTCGCAGTAAGCAACACGAGTGCCTCCCATGAGAACGAATCCGCGATCAAGCTTCTGCTCGCCCAGGATGGCCTTGCACAGGGTGGACTTGCCGGCACCGACAGGTCCAACAATCATGGAAATATGTCCTGTCCGGAATTGGATGCTGACGTTGTCTAAAAGGGGGACCATGACATTCTCAAGTCGATTAATGGTGACATGGACGAGCTCAAGAGCAAATGGACTTGGCCCTTTCTCGGCTGTCTCGCGGGCCCTTCTAAGATTCTCGGCCTGGACCATCATCATATCGATGGGAGAGCCTTCCGCTGGCCCATTGCCGCTTTGTCGAGTATCTAGGCGTTCTTCCAGGCGCAGGAATGCTTGGATACGGGTCAGTCCAGCGTAGCCACCAACAGCGAAAGGCAGGTATGTAAGAAGATGCGTCATTGGACCAACGACGACGGCGACGAGGGACAAGACTGTAAAGAACTGCGCAGCGGTGAGCTTCTCGGTTTGTCTGGTCCAGAAAAGAGCTCCCGCGACAACAAGAACAGGGGTAACGGATTCGGACAAGGCGCCGGCAGAGAGCAAACCAACACGGACACTGCGCTCGGGGAGCGACGTCTTGATTTCGTCTTCGCGAAGGGTCGTAATGTGATCAGAAAAGAAGGGGCCAAGACCGCTCATCTTGATGGCTTTGAGTTGGGTAATGACATCCTTGGTCTCACCAACTCGTTTTTCAATCTTCTCGTTCCAGGTTCTCCGAGCGACGCCTAGCTTCTTGGTGTAGTAGGAAGAGACAAGGGCGGAGAGAACCGCAGGAATGAGAACAAAGAAGCACGCGCCGCCGATGATCTCTGCCAACATGAAGATGGCAAGACCCAGCTCGAAAACACTAGCCCATAGGTCATGGAAGGTTGTGACAGTAAAAGTCAAGGTTTCGATATCGGCGGTCATGAGAGTCAGTGCAGCCGACTTTTTGAGTTGGGTGTGAGTAAGCTTGAGTGCCTTGTGCAGAATGGCAGTGACAAGTATACCGCGAGTCAACGTGGCTGATCGATATGCATGATGCTTGTAGTATCCTCTGCTTATAGCAATGCCAATGTATACCAAAGCCGTGGCACCGACGAGACCACCAGTGACTTCGGAGCTGGGCCTAGCACGGACGACGGTATCGATTATGCTCATGATGAGCCATGGTTGAGAGAATGTGAAGCCGAGGAAGCAAATACGGGGGACGACCACTCGTAGAAACTCGCCGTAGAGTGTGCGAAGAAGGGCGATGGCCAGAGAGTGATTCGAGGTCGGGCTCGCGGCTTGCCAGTGGGGCTCGAAATCGGCATGAAGGCGTTCGGAGCTAAATTCAGGCCCAAGGTCCTTGAGGTCTTCAACACGTAAAATAGAACGAAACCCCAGTTTGAGGGTCGTGTTGACCCAGAGGAAGAGAGCTCGGCCCCAGAAGCCGCTGAGGGCTTCACCGCTAAGCCGGGGTTGAGAATCTCGAGTTGTGACGAGACGGCGTTTCGAAACTTCTTGGAGTAGGAGCAGGACGAATTCCGTGACGACGACGGCGACAGAGAGGCCAGCAAGGGCATTGAGGTCAGCACGAAGAAAATAGGATCTTGTCTTGCAAATGTCAAACAGGACCATGAGGGTTAGATAGATGCTGATTAGTGTCGACGGTCGGTAGGAGTAGATATGCTCGGCGTATAGGAGAAAGAAGACGCATATAGAGCCAACACAGGCGATGGCGGCGGAGGCGACAGCCAAATCATGTCGGGGAACGGAAGAGACGGCCCAGAGCGCAAGGCTGGCAACCTGGCAGGAGAGCAGCAACAGGGTGCTGAGCATCTTCAGCCACAGCAGGATGCCTGGCTTGACGCACGGCTGGCGGCGCCATAGGTGATTTACGTGAATTGGCGTGACGGCGATGAAAACGGATGTTGGCAGGATTGAGAGAATAGAGTGCTCAAAGGACAAGGTAAAGTCGAAGAAGCCTTTGAGCACGGGGCCAAAGGCGCCATCCCCATCACCGGCCACCGCCCTGGCAAAGACGTCCATGCTCTGCATCAGTTGACCATGGGAGAAGCGAGTGTCGTCGAGAAGCGAGGCATCTGTTTGCCAGAGAGTGAGCGGATGGTGGGATGTGGTGGGAGACGCGAGAGTATGTACAAGAGGGGAAGACGGGAAGACGGACGAGGTCAATGGGGAAAAGAAAAAAGCCAAGGAGAGGACTTTTGGCGTAGATTCGAAAGTGTGGAGGAGATGTGAAGAATAAAGAGATCGGGGGGCGTTTTTGTTTGGGGTCCCGTCCCCATGAAGGCGAGGAAAGATTCGGGGTGTGGGCGGAAGAGGGAGCCGCTCCAGGAGGTTGTTAGGCGGAGGTTATCAGTAGGGAGGGTCAGTCATTAGGTAAGGAAAGTTGGCCTGAGATGGGGAGAGTTTATTTCTGGAGACGCTTCTCGTAGACAGCAACACCTTGCAAACAAGGCTGCGACGGAGGACGACAGCGGACAGACACTGAAAGAGCCGCTGTAGTTACAGGCGCAATCATCAAAAGACGGCACTATTGAGCCTATCAAGCGCAAAATTACCTTCGTACCAGTACGGGGACTCGCGCTCACCCGGTTGGGAAGGCGATTGACGGCTGAACACGCACTAATGCAGGCTGGGTACGCGATGCTACGCTGCGTCTAGGTCAAGGGGCACAGGCCCTGCCAACAGGTTGATTGTACAGTACGGTATGTATGGTATGGGCGGATGCTGCTGCAAAAGTCCGTCACCCCTGTCGCTCGGCGCACAGCGAATGCGCAACTCAATACTTGGCTGCTGCCAACGAGGTTGACAGAGGCTACAGTATGTAGCATCGGAACCGCATAGTCATGCTGCGACAGCTGGCAAGACTCGAGACAGTGGCCTTGCCCACCGAGTCCGACTTGTCGTGTGACGAAAATGACGGATAAATAGGGATGGATGCACCATTTCCTACAAATAGACGGCCCTTTGCAGCGCTAGTTCCAGCTGTTCCAGCTCTCTCGCGTCCAGGCCACGCAGTCGCTCACCACTTCCGCCAGCCGTTCGCTCCGCAACTGCCGACCTAAGACAAGACTTGACGATACCTAAAGACACGGCTGACCAGGGACGCCTGTCGTCATCAGGGGCGACCACTCTGGTCAGCCTGGGGAAGCCGATGAGCAGGAACTTAATCACCGACAATCACATTTAACAAAAACCCCTAGTCCGGCTCATCAAACAGACACCAAACTCGGGAGATGGGCGGATGGGAAACTATATCCCCCTCTGTACGCATGCTTGAGCAAAAGGAGAATTTTCTCTCGCCATCGGACAGCGCCCGTGGAAGGGATGGAGCGCGCCTTGCCCAAATAGGCATGTCCTTGTTGGCGGGCTTGCGACACCCAATAGTTTCTGGGCAGGAAATGACACTGAACCGCAGCGAGAGGTCAATGCAGAGATTAGGTATGAAACACGGACGGCTGGAATGTCTTGGACGACCGCTCAAGCCGGTTGTGGACGACGCTAATCTTCCGTGCGCAAGTCCGAAGACCTCTGGGACGATGGCGAAAGTGGAATAAGCGTGGGCCGCTGCACTGCTAACCATGGACGGGATGCGCGGGCAACACTAGCACAGAAAGGGAGAGATGCCAGAAGCTGACCACCTTGCCACCCAGTTGCGAGCTAATACTTGACTCGAAGGAACTAGGTTGTTGCAGCAATCTGCGTGACCCCACGCCTCCTAGTAAGCCAAAGGCAAATGGGGGAATCAGAGACGAAGGAAGCAGTCCACCAACAAGGGAAGGAAGTCAGTCAGCCTGACCACCCCACGCGCCATCGTACGCCACCCACGAGCCTGCAAAGCAGCAGCGTGGATTCGGAGCGGGATCTTTTCCATTTACTCGGCATTGCTCTGAATCCTGATCGCCAGTCCCTACAGAACAGAGGCAGAGCAGCAACAAGCAAGGTTCCGGCTGGCTGGATCGGTGGTGGAGTTGCAGCCGCTGTTGGCTCCAACGGTATCACAGGTGGCAGAGAGACCGAAGCAGCAGGGCCTCAGCAGACTTCCAATCCTCAAGTGTCTCTATTATGCCATGCTTCTGCGGCGATGGAGGACGAATAAAAAAAAAAAAAAAAAAAAGAGAGAGAGAGAGGGCAAGGCAAAGCGACAGCGGTCTAGGAGACAGCCAGCGTTGAGACATGCTGTCGGTCCGTTTCGCTGCAGCATCACCCCCTTGGCTCCCCGATGCCGTCAACGCCGCAAATCGATAAAATTCAGGACCGAGTGTCCGATACACGACAGTCATCACAGTTCCCCTCCCAAGCAAAATTCCTTCTAGTCCGACATGACAAAAAGCGCGGGAAATGTGGTGTACAACAGGTAGGAAAAGTCGTCGTGTGGTAAAAGTAGTGGTGGTGGTTGTCGTCACCGAGACATGCGCCAGCCGCAGCACTTGCTCTTCTGCAATGGAAAGCCGACGGATCTTTTGGCGAAATACTTTGTGGTTCGTATAATCGTCATGGTTCTTGTTCTTGTACAACAACAAGACACCTGGCGTGATTACTTAGACGCCAAGGACCTCTTTGGCATCGGCAGCCGACACCTCGGCCTGGTACGCGCGGGCAGCAGCGGCGCCAGGAAGATGAATGCTGTCCGTGGTGGCGAGCTGGTCGCGTTGAGAGAGGACTACAACGAAATTCATGTTAGTCGAATTATTCTTCTTCTTGTCGAAGAATTTCTGACAGATCTGACAGAATCAGGAAGAGGGAACGTACGCGGAAGGCCTTCAACGTGCAGCGCAGCCAGCGCGAGGCACAGCAGCATGCGGACCTGCATATTTGTGACGAGAAAGGTGATGAGACGAAGTGAAGAGAGTTTGAGAGCCTTGTTGATCGACAAGACAAAAAAATCGGAATGGAAGCCAAAGGTCAGAAATCAAGGTTGATTAAAGGAATGACTGCGAATCTTATCTGCCAACCCAAAAAGAGTAAAAAGATGCAACGGCGAAACGGGAATTCATGGCTTTAAAGGAAAGAGGCAGCAGGTAGGTAAGAATAGGTAAGAATAGCAGCCAAGGACCAAGAGCTGGTTCAGCGGGGCAAGCAGAAGCCCCCCAGTAAACTCAACTGTCCCTTGGTAAGTACCTGTAAGCTCTGAACAAGCTGGAAAGTTACTTGAACTTGCTACACGTTCACTGACTAGTTACTGCTATCCCGTAACTAGTTGCTTTTCCATGGGTCCAATAGTGTGGTTTTAGCCAAGGCCACCAGCTTCGCCTTGTCCTGCTGGATGCGCTGAGCCCGCCACTCAACACGTGGACCGTACAGGTTGCGACGGATAACTCACCTATCATTTTGCAACTTGTCGAGAGATTGCTCATTTTTCTTGCCGTTTTCATTTCAGGCCCACTGCCTGACAAGCGTTGCGCGGCCTGAAAGCCTCATTTTGAGGTAGCTTCCCGTCTCTTCCCCATGTCAGGTCGTCAGCGATCCCTCCCCTGCCTACGCTATTCTTCAGCTCATTCACTCACCAAGCAAACCGAGCAGGAGGCCCCTTGATCTTCTTAGTACATACATATTCTTAAGGCTCCAGCTCTTCCCATTGTTCTCAAAGCTTCTCAAAACGTGACCGATGTGTCCTGCGAGATCTTGGCGCATGAATTTGCCGCCCCCTTGTCCCACGACGACCTGAGTTGGTACCTGACGTTGATGAACTTGCTTGCGTGCTCTCAGTCACTCTCTATTTATGCGCAGTTTCATCCAGAGCAGCTACAAAGGAGACAAAGTCGTTATTTCCACTCGTGAGCATCCCGTCTGAGCGCGAAACGGCATGCCAGGCCCATAGTTAGCGACCAATACCTGTGCACTGGGCTGGGCGTGGCCTTGCGCCACAAAACCGCCTCCATACGTAGCATCCCACATGGTTGCGTCGACTGCTGGCGCATCCCAGACAACATACCCAAAGGCCTGGACGCTGGCAATCTGGGGGCGGCCGCTGAGCTGGGAGACCCAACTCCACTAACGGTGATCCGTTGTCGTCTCAGACACTAAGCAGAAAAAAAGGTCAAGACACAACGTATTCTTGAAGCAGAGAAACGTTCCATACCAGTAACCGGTGGTCGATTGCGTTCAGTGGCAAGCTTCTTTGCCTGTCGTCATATGTCGGCAACTTCGATGGCCCGACGTGAGCGCAATTACAACGATACCTGGCGGAGTCCACCCACCACCCACCACCGTTGGCATTTTCCAGCACGACAGTGCAGTGGCTCCAGGGGGTGGCTTGCCACCTGCTGACCGTCCACCCTTCCTCGTTCACTCAATAAAAGGAGGCTTGCATACCACAACCGTAATTATATTAGGCCCCGAGACTTGGCGTGCTTGGAAGTTTGGGGGTCGGACTATGTGGCAGCTCCGCAGCACCATTATGGGCCCGGCGAACTTGCCAACTGCGGACATCGCTTGCCTGATGGATGCATGCATGTCGATTTGCTAATGAGAAAAGAAAAAATAGCAAGGGCAAGATGTCCGGATTACCATGCTCCTTTCTCTTCCGACGTCAACTGTCAGTCTGTCAACCGAATCATGCAACCAGAGCATCCATTCAACCAATCAAAAGACGGCTCTGGCCCTCCAAATTACCTGTCGGGGAACTTCGCCTGCCGACTTGCAGAAGCTACCCTTGAGTTAACCTGCTAGGATCAGAAAATCGGACAAGCAGGCAAACAGACGAGCAGTCAAGCAGAACATTACCCAATTCAGTGCTTGACAACCTCCCGGCCGAAATCACCACCACTACGGCCAACCGCTTGCACCGGAAGTTCTACCGGTACGAATAGAGTGACGCTGCTGTGAAACCCGAAAGACATGCATGACCGCTGTCCCGATAAAGAGACGCGCAGCAACCACACCAAAGACACCGTCAATCCGCCACTGTTTACTGCTCACGCCACCTGACAACTTCTCCGAAAACAACCCAGCAACTCATCCCCGCCGTCTTGCTTCATCAAACTACTGGTAGCTAGCCACGTCGGCGACTTGTTCTCTCCTTGGGCAGCACCGCCGAACCACCCACCGTGGCGGGGGTTGCTGCTCTCGTGCCTCCCCCGGCCCTGCCCCAGGAATATTTGTACGACGGGTGCTTTGTACGGGGTACGCTGCGACGTTATAGTAACTCTGACGACGCGGGACAGCTTCCGGATCCGCCAGTGGTGCACGGATAACGCTCTCGATTCCACCCGATGCCGCGACTGCATCGCATGCGCCTGTACGCATTACGGTGGACAACTAACGGTAGTGGACATCCTCGATGGCGGCATGGTTGACTACGCAGAGACCCAGATGGCGAGATGCTGTGATATGCACATCCTACCTGGAGCGAAAGTTCGCCAGCAGCACAGCGGCCACGGCTCTGGTGAATCGTGCCGCAGCTCTCAGTGCCGCGGATCAGTGATGAAGCAGCGAAATGCAGCAGGCACGACCGACTGGCTGGCTTTCTTTGTGACTTGGGCCCGACAAGGACAACACATCCAGCGCCATGACGTGCCGTTTTCGATCATCTTTTGTGAAATTTTATGCCAACCGCATACTCGCCGCAGATGTGAGCATGTTATCTCACCTAGATTAATATTATAGCCTGTATAACTCCTCAACGGTCCTGCCCCGACACCCGAGCATGTGAGGTATCACAACAGGCGCCAAGCATTGCATTCCTCTGCATGCAGCAGCCTCCGATTACAAATGGACCCTGGCAAGCAATTATGATCCGACCTTACCCGCCCCCTAAAAATCGGTCAAAGGCTCGACCTCTTGTCTGTGGGCGACCCGACCACCCCGTCTGCCTGCTTCCGAGACCGAAAGGGCGCCCCTGACTTGAACTCGAATCACCTGAGCCGGGAATGTAGCTGGACAACAGACATCGATTGTTACAGTTCCTGTGAGGTCAACTGCGCAGGGACCAAAAAGTGCCACCACGTCCGGCTGACCGGGCCGACGGGCGACACCGACGTCTCTATCAGCACTGACAGCTTGTCAACGTCTTGCACTCGACGGTGTGACATGCCATGAGCGCCGAATTCGAACCGCTTGGCATGTAATTAATAACAGACTATATGCGAGAGATACTGGGAGCCAAGGGATGAAACCAAGAACGGCCCGGCCCGTCGGAGCCCTCCCACCTATGACCCAACAAAAGGCCCGAACGCCGCGGATAACGCGGAATCTGCTGCTTCTCCGCACAATTCTCTTTTAAATCGAAGAGGAGAGAAACGGTCAAGACGCTGAGTTGTTCTCTCTGCGGCTGTCGCAAATTGCATATCGTCGCAAAAGTGCCCTTTTTCGTCGCCGTCGGGCAAGATGCTTTTCTTTGTGTAACATACCTTCTTACATGCAGGGTGATGTAATGTGGAATCTGACAGCATTGTTCGATGCAGCTCACATTTCGCGACCGGTGTGGATGGTAGGCGACGCCTCGTTGTCGTCTTGGGCGCGCTGCGGCTGAAGAAGTTCCTTCTCCCCTATCCGCGAATAACCGTCATTAGGTCGAGAGAAGCCGCCCAAGAAAGGAGAACAAAGAAAAAGCAATTTCGGTGGCAGTCCTTCTTTTTGGATGGGCTCGTTGTCCCATCCCTAGGGCGCGACACGTCGCCGTCTTCCTGACGCCCAGGGCATCGAGATATGCAAACAGCCAGCCCAACGGCGATGCCGACGCCGCGCTGAACTTCACGACCCATGCTAGCCGGAGTGGCATCCAGTCAGCCGGACGATGCAGAGGCCTTCTAGAAGCACCCATTCGCCGACGATGTGCAGCGACGTGAATGTTGACGCCTGTTTGGGCTATGCTGGCAGATGGTGGCGCCCCCCCCCCCGAATGAGAAGCAGGTCGATGCGAACAGAGTCGAACTGCGTGAAAATGGCCAAACTTCCCTTGACTGTTTCGATGGAAATTTTCCAGTTTGTGTCCCGGGTAGCTGTGATGCGTTTGCCTGTGTCTCTACCCTCGACTTGCCTGTAAGCTTTCAGTATCAAGGTTAAAAAACAGACACGTGTATGCCTGCCAGCCAGTGCCAACCACACCGACAGCAGTAGTGACGACGAAGACGACGAGGATCATGACGATAATGGTGATCGTAATGATCAATATTATGAACACCATTATCGATGGGCATATAACCAGGATTGAACTCGACTGTGTAGATGGCGCCTTCTCTTTCCATCACGACGTCGCCCCGTTCACTTCGCTCCTTCCCTTCGTTTCCCAAAAGGCATCGTATCAAACGACCTACCTTGCCTCTGTGTATATAGCCCTATTTTTAGACCGCCATAATACATGCACTCGATAGTACCATCTTAGATAGACAGCCAAACGAAACGATGGTCAGTCGACGCCAGCAGTGCTTCGTTTGACCGAATTGATAAAGACCGTCATGCTATGAACGGGTAGATATATAAGGGTCTGCCAGCAAACATTCTCATACAATATACTTCAATCATCCACCTCTTTATGCTATGCCGCTCCCTCGGTATCCTATGATGACATGCACTTGACGCCCCTCTGCATGGCCTTGAGGTGTCTCCAGTCAAGGCTGTCCAGGCCTAGACTCCATGCCATGACGCCGCCCAGCCCCTTGGCCTTGACAATATCGGTGAACTTCTTGGCGATGAACTCGGGCGTGTCAAAGGTCCAGTAGACGTGGGCCGCCGAGTCCCAGTACCACTGGCCGCCCTCCTCCTCGTCGGCCTTGCCTTTCTCGACGGCCTGGGCGAAGGCGCCGGAGTAGCTGGAGCCCTCAAAGGTGGCGGCGCCGGAGAGGCCCGCGTCGGTGCCGTTGGCGTACTCGAGCAGGGCCGTCTTGCAGCCGGTGGGCTTGTCGCAGGTGACGTCGCTGGCGGTGGTGAAGTACTTGGCGTAGAAGGCGAAGCCGAGGTTCATCTTGTCGGCGGGCATGCCGCGGGCGAGGTACATGTCGATGACGGCGAGGGAGCCCTTGATCGAGGTGTGGTGGTTGGTGACGTTGTCGCGGCGGTTCATCAAATCGTAGGTCATGACGTTGACAAAGTCGACGGTGGCATTGATCTTGGGCATCTGCTCGGCGGTGTAGGCCATCATGTCGACCTCCTTGCCGGGGACCGCGATGGAGAGCTCCATGGGGCTGATGGCGGCCTTGATCTCCTTGAGGAGCAGCGGGTAGGTCTCGATCGCGCCGACCTTGCCCGAGTTGGGGTTCTTCTTGTAGTCCTCGCCGTTTCCGCCGGGGTACTCCCAGTCGACTTCTACAGAGGGGACGCGTTAGCCTTCTTCACTCACGGCGTAGGAAGGGGAGGAGCGTTTGACGTACCGACGCAGTCGTAGCCGAGGGTGGTGGCGACGCTGGCGACGTTCTTGGCGAATTGCTTGCGCGACGCGTCGGAGACGGTGGCGATGTCGAAGCCTTCGTTCATGCCCCAGCCGCCAACGGCCATGCACACCTTGGTGCCGGCGTCGAAGAGGGCGCGGATCTTGTCGAGCGACATGAAGGGCTTATACGCGGGGGGCTGCGCGTCGGTGAAGTTCGCGGGGTTGGCGAAGGCGGTGATGACATAGTTGATGCCTGCGGTGACCTCCTTGGGTGGGAGAGGATCGAAGTGCCACCTGCGCGCTATGTCAGAAAGCCTGTCATCGGAAATAGGGTTGAGGAAGGGTTGTAGATAGACAACTTACTCGTCAAAGTACATGACGTAACGAGGGCCGGCGGCAGAGGCCATAGAAGCGGCGGCCAAGAGCGTGAGAAGCGAGGTCTTCATGGTGACTTTTTTTAACAAATATAAACTGTAAATAAAAGGGAATAGAAACTTGAATGATGGGGAGTAAGAACAGGCAAGATACAGCGGACACTCGACGCCTTTTAAACATGATGGCCCAGCTTCACGATACTCTGTGCCCCATGCTGGTCGTGGCGGAGAAGCAAGATATTCCGGGAGCTGGATAAAGATCTACTCGCGCGTTTCTTACAAGACAACGAAGTACAGTCGCAGCTAGCGCTGAGTTTGAGGTCTGAGCCATTGCCAAGGTCTATAAGGTTACATGGTTGAAACCCTAGGCCTTCATGCACTCGGAGTGTGATCTCTTCGTGGGGGCACATATTTCTCAAGGTGGTTTGCGTGGTGAATGCCTCAAGCGTACCAACCATTCACGGGCGGTTGATTTCGTTTTCATTGCCGCCAAAGACTCCGCCAAAGGCCAACACGTACATGACAGAAGGCATACCGGCACGGAGCGTGACGCCTTTCTGTCGTCGACGTGTGGTACACTGAGCACTGGGCACGTTGGCGGAACTGGAATATTGATCGTTATCAAGCATTACCGTTCACGAATTGGGTACAAGTATCTCGAGGTCATCTTTACAATCAGAGTTGCAGTTTCGTATTAGGTGCCAGGGAGCGCATAAAGAGCAGCATGCAGCGTATCGCTCCGTGCCCATTGCTGCGTGCGCACGGTCGCGGACGACCCCATCCATTCCACGGCAGCTTGACTTCCGGCGGCTCTCGGGACAATGATATGAATCAAATCAATGCTGCGAGCATTTCCAAGAAAAATTCAAGAAGCGAATTCCGTCGTCAATTCATCAAGCAAGAAACGAACCGGTGATGTGTGCGGGAGGGAGGTGAGGCTTGATGGAGGCCTGGCAGTTTAGCCTCGATCATTGGGGGCCGGTTTGGTGGTGCGGTCAGGGACCCTCTCGGCGAAACACTTTTTCCCCACGCGAAAACTCTTGGCGCGCACAAAACCGACTCTACTCACAACCCATCACGAATAGTGACGAAGGTGAGCAAGAAGGCCATTTGGACGCTATCCCCCATCTCTTTGGTACGTTTGCGCCAACCCCAGACAACTGATTCCCCCTCCGAGATAGTTTGCGACATTTTTACAGCCATCGCCATCGCTTTCCCGAATTTTGCCACTTACGCCTCGAAACTCTAGTTCCCGAAAGACCCCCTCATCTCTTCACAACTTGTCAATATGGCGGATATCCAGGAGCGTCTCAAGAAGCTCGGTGCTCAGAGCGCACGCAGCGGTATGTTCAAATTCTAGCCGAATTGCTGCCAAAATTTCGGGTTCCGACAGCATTGCTAACTTCAATGGCCAGGGTAAGCATTGCCTTCCCCAACACGACGGACCGATCAATCAGCACCCAAATAGCCCACACGAGAACGAGCGCTTCATCCCGAATCAACCGAACAAGCTTGCTAACTCGTGTATTTTTCTTGCGCAGTGGCAAGGGTACTCCCCGTCGTGCTGCCAAGCGCGCTCCCGCCCGCTCCGGCGCCGACGACAAGAAGCTCCTCCAGACCCTGAAGAAGCTCAACACCCAGCCCATCCAGGGTATCGAGGAGGTGAACATGTTCAAGGAGGACGGTAACGTGATCCACTTTAAGAATCCTAAGGGTATGTATATTGGCATGAGCGATGGACAGCCGAAAACCGCAAGCCGCTAACGCCATCCCGCCTTCAGTCAACGCCTCCGTCCCCTCCAACACCTTTGCCATCTACGGCAACGGCGAAGAGAAGGACCTGACCGAGCTCGTCCCCGGCATCCTCAACCAGCTTGGCCCCGACTCCCTGGCCTCTCTCCGCAAGCTCGCCGAGAGCTACCAGGCCATGTCCAAGGGCGAGGGCGCCGAGGGCGAGGACGACGACGAGATCCCCGACCTCGTCGAGGGCGAGAACTTTGAGAGCAAGGTCGAGTAAACAAAGAAAATAAAACGAAGCGTCTGAATTTATTGAATCGCATAAGCGCGGTCGAAGGAAGGAGCCTCGGGATTTGTCATTCTTTGCGGAGGGTGTTATTTTCGCGTTTGGCGGAGAATTGAGACAGACAATCTACCTCCCTACGTCGAATTTCTCAACCACTGGATAGAATGAGGATTGGAGGGAGCAACAAACGGCTTGTACTTTTTTCTCTGTCGCACATGGGACTCTGGGGGCTTGAAAAAAATAACGAATACCTTTTTTTCCAATTGTCTTTCTCACGGGTTCAACGGAATTGACGTGGGCAACAATCAAGTGGATGAGAGAAACACATTATTACCGGTGTGGGCTAGTTTCGTTGTTTATACCAAACACGAGCTATCCTATGAGAATATACCAATCTCTAACTATTGACTCATGTTTCTTTGTTCAACTGCCGCCCTCACTACTCCAATTTGAAAGAATCGTCGTCCGTGCCTCGTATCCAACCGGGCAGCGCAACCTCCCTGGCGCGAGCCTTGGCCCTGTTCCGCGCGGCAAGCAGCGCGCCCTGCTTGACCTCGCCGTAGGTGTTCGCGGCGAGCTGCTCCGCCACGCCCGGCCAGTCCGCTAGCCTGTCCGCGAGCTCCCGGCAGGACCGCCACATGCTGCGTCGCGACATGCGGCTGGCGCCAATGAGCAGGAACGGCTTGCGGCCTTGGATGACGCCGCCAAGGATGGACTCCTCCACCGCGGACGGGCACCACGCGGCCGCGAGGTTGCTCGCCACCAGCCGGTCGGAGCGCGAGCCCACGACACGTCGAGAGTACGCAAACTGCACGGCGGTCGTGGTGACGGTGAACGCGCGGAATCGGTGCTCGCCCTCCCCCGCCACGACGCCTCGCATGCGTCCGGTGGCGGAGAACGCGCGCTGGCAGGCGACGGCGGAGTGTTGGTCCTCGGGCAGGACCAGGGTGGTGATGTAGGCGTTGCCGGCGTCGACAAGTAGCGACGTCAGCGACGAGAGCAGCGAGGTGCACTGCTTGAGGGCCAGTTTGTCCGAGCACGACTTAGAGAGCGTAGGCGGCGCGTCGCTGCGCGCCGGCTTGCGCCGCACGACGCCGAGCTGCGAAAAGTAGGCGCGGCCGGGTAGCTGTTGCGACGTACCGCAATCCGCGTCGGCTGGCGATGGCACGTCCCATGGCGACGCGTCTTCCTGCGCCGCCATCAAGTTTTCCATGCTGGCATCTCCGCCTTGGGGTTTGTTAGTTCCATCCAATCCTGAGGGAAGGCGTAATACTTACACGGCGCTTCAGAGGCGTACATATGGAGCTGGACGTCGCCTCTTAGACGAAACGGTCGAGCATTGGCCGAGGACGAAATTGTTCGCTCAATCAGATCGGAGGAGTCCCCGTCCACTAGCCGTGCGCATTCGTCCAAGATGTATCGGTTGAATGTGCGGATGGCAAGTATCTCGGCGTGCCAGTCGTGTAAGCCGACGCCATTGCACTCTGGGATCTTGTTGGTCGGCAGACATTTCATGCCCGTACTACTCGATTTTGAGCATGCGAGTTTCATGGGAAATATAGGACGCTTACGCTAAAGATACACAAGTGAAATTGCCATCCTTTTCGACCACGATGCCACTTATTGGTACCCATTCGTGTAAGCCATTCTCGCGAACCTTGGGCTTTCGCTTGGCAGGGAGTTTGTCGAATTGCGCAAGCACCGCTTCTGCAACAACGTCGGCAGTAGACGCCGCCATATGTAATCAGTTATATCATATCATAATTTTGTGTTTAAAGCACTGCTCGTGCAAGGCGAATTGTTCCGTTCAAATGCTGAAGTCACTCAGCATCAGAGTTCTTGTCCATCCTCCAACATCGAAATGGTCCCAAACTGGACAAGCGGATCCACTTGCAGCCATCAGCCCGTCTCATTGGCCAACCATGTCTAGGGTCGAATCGCCAAAGCGAGTGGGCTCACGTGACTCCACGCTACTGAAAGCTCGTCCAGAACGCTTAAAGTGCCCTATAGCCTGCTTAGGTAATTTTGGCCACACACGCTTCCAATTCTGAGAAATTGCAGCGGACAACGGGCCTTGAACTTTTGCCATCGCCAAATCCACGGTCCACCACAACACCACACTTGTCGCCCAAACACACCAACCGCGACAAGATGCGTACCTACGACGATACCTTCTCGGGACAGAGAATCTACCCTGGCAAGGTACGACCAATTCCTTTCCCGTCCCGTCACAATGCGATCCCCGGCGCCGCGATCGAGAGGAGCGATGAGGAACCGAATGTTGTATCCCTCGGGGATGGTCGATCACCGAAATTGTTGGAGGGTCCCTCATAGCTCTCTCTTCGAAGCGAACGCGTCGTTTGGAAAATCTTGGTGAATTCTTGCGGAATTCTTGTCGAATATATGACGATTGTGACGGGACATATGGAGCTCAAAAGCGAACGAATACACCACGATGGATGTTTGATGGCTAACCACTGTTTCCTCTAACAGGGTAAGATCTTTGTCCGCGGTGACAGCAAGGTCTTCCGCTTCCAGAACGGCAAGTCCGAGTCGCTCTTCCTGCAACGAAAGAACCCCCGCCGCATCTCCTGGACCGTGCTCTTCCGCCGCCAGCACCGCAAGGGCATCTCCGAGGAGGTCGCCAAGAAGCGCACCCGCCGCGCCGTCAAGGCTCAGCGTGGCATCGTCGGCGCCTCGCTCGAGGTGATCAAGGAGCGCCGCAGCATGCGCCCCGAGGCCCGCTCCGCCGCCCGCGCCGCCGCCATCAAGGAGTCCAAGGACAAGAAGCAGGCCGCCGCCGCCGCCAAGAAGGCCGACAAGGCCAAGAACGCCGGTGCCGCCAAGGGCCAGACCGTCCGCCAGGTCTCCAAGATGGGCGCCAAGGGAGGTGCCGCCAGCAAGCCCGCCGCCCGTACCCGATAAATTTCATGGACAGCTGGAAAATGTTATAAAAAAATCGAAATACGGGAGAGAAAATATCAAAAATCTTTTGGTGCGGGAGGCCGAGGAATTGGGGGATGGAGGGAGTCTCATTTGTGGTTCTTGTGTCTTTCCGGCCGGTTCTTCTATCTCAGGTGCATGGAATGGCATAGGGTACATTGGTAGTTTTTTTGAGCAATGACGAGCCAATGCAAATTCATACATGACGGCCCGGGAACATGTGATGCGGTTGGGTGAGGTCTGATGTTCTGATGGTCGTGTCATGCCAGCGTCGTCGAGCTGTCGTCGTCGAGATTGAGGTTGGTTGCCTTGCCTCACTAAATGCAGCAATCCCGGGAATCACACCACGAGAGCAGTGTCCGGCGTTGAGCTGAATGAAAGAGACTACAACAACGTTTCTCCCGCTCGGGTTATCATGACTACACCCGTAAAAGGATCAAGACTACGTGCTGAATTGACGGTCTATTAAGTCTATTGTGTAACTCTTCTAAATTTTGAGACATTTAGAGCTTGGGGAGAATCTCGTCCGCGCCAGAGACGGTGACGCCGCCCGCGGGCTCCAGCTCAGCGTAGGTGACCTTGCCATGGTCAACGACGATGGCGTAACGGCCAGTGCGGCCGGGCCCGGCCATCCAGCCGATGCTCTTGCTGAACTTGCAGTCCTCATCGGAGGCGAAGATCTAGACGTCGTAGTTAGTCACTGCTGTTTCCATCATCGGCTGCAGGGCAGGTAGCTCACGATGAACTCGTCGTGGATCTTGTTGGCCTTGCCCCAGGCGGACATGACCCAGGCGTCGTTGCAGGCAATGACGACGACCTGGTCGACGCCCTTGGCCTTGAGCTCGGCCGTCTTCTTGATAAAGCCGGGGATGTGGTTGGCCGAGCAGGTCGGCGTGAAGGCCCCGGGGACGGAGACGATGACGACCTTCTTGTTCCTGAATTCTGGTATGGTGATGCTCAGGTCAGTGCTCTGGCATTTTCGAGGAGCACAATGGCTTCCAATGGCCATCAGTTGGGGGGTTCGTTTGCTTACGGGAGCTGGCGGGGAACTTGGTAGGGACGCCGCAGGCTTCGAAGTCGGCGGTCTCGGGCGAGGGACGGACCCAGCCGAAGATGACGTCCTCGGGGAAGCTGTCACCGACCTTGAGAGCAGACATTTTTGCTGTGATTTGGGGTTTTGTGTTGCTGATAGAGCTGGTGATGTAGTTGCGAAGTTAGCTGTGCGTGAAGACGGAGTGAGGAGGAACCAGCAACTTGGCGGGGGAACACGGACTATTTCAATTGAGTGCGCAGTGCAGAGATGTGGGTTTCGCAGACGTTGCTGTAACGGTTCTCGTATCTGGCAGTGCTAAATTGGAAATTTGGCTGTGCTTGATTGTTGGGATGAGAGACACGCAGCTTTTGGTATTTGGAATTGAGAATAGAGGGGCAGAGCTCTCCTGGGAGGTGTCCAGCAAAAATTACACCATAGGGCGGGGTTTGGTTGAGCAGACAAGGTACCAAGACCGGCGCACGGCGGGGTTGTTTCGCGCAGCTCGGCCTATGCCGTAATTCCTGGTACCTCGACGGGTGGCACGGGAGAGCTCCGTCCCGTTACAAGGGTACCTTGTTTACAGTAGCCTGCTACAGCATGGTGGAGGTACACTATTAACGCTGCCGATTACATCATCAAGCCTTGGCTGGTCTATCTATCTGGACCCTGATGGCAACGGACAACGCAGTCGCCACGACCATTCGGAGATGTCTTCGGCCGGCGCGAAAGCTTGACTCGAATGTTCAATGGAGACATCTTGGTGGCCTGATTCTGCCCGCTTCGGATGCGCGGCTCCGTGTCGGCTTGCTTCGATGATCGAGATGCCGGTGTAGGGTAGCCTTAGCCACTGGCGACGAGGAGGCTGCACATCAATTCGGTCTATGAGTGGCCCGTTCCGGCAGAAAATGAGGCGTTGCAAGATCCGCTGAGTTGGTTGGTCGTGTTCGTGTTTTTAATGCAGTGGTGTTTCGGTAAACGGTGAGACTTGAAAGTAAACCTGTGCGGAGAGCCATGCCGACTTAAAGTGCCATTAGCTACAAAACCAACATATACGCGGTGAAAAAGGCGCGAATTTTTGAAGAAGAAACTATTCAACAACTCCAAGTAGTTGAATGTGCCAGGCAGTTATGATTAATCTAGCATGTCAGGGCATCACGGAGTAACTAAACAAGCTTGACAAATCTATGGCACGATCGGCGCGAAGGCCTGCCATCAGCCACCACGGCAGTTGCTCCTGTTCGCGCATAAAACGCTGCACCAGGAGCCCTTCACAACAGAAGTCGCATCCTTCATAAAAACTGACTAGTCAAAAACGCCTTGGTGGGTACCGTGTGCTCTCTGGCGCCACGAGGGAGAGCCCCTTACCAGGCGTTCCTCAAAGCAAAAGGACTGGGGAAATGAAGATGCATGTCTCTTGTGATAACAAAGGGTTGCAGGTTTTGCGAAGTTGCAGAAGGGATAGATGGAGGGCCATATCCAGAAATACCCAAGACATATACCGTTGAAAATAGAAGCAGTTGATTCAGATGTCGAGCTTGCAAGTCTGCACATCAGACCAAATTAGGCACATAACAATAAATTAGATAAAATTAGCGCAAATTTTGTTACTTTTCCAGTTCGATAGCCTGTTGCAAGGTCTCCTGCAAAAGGAAATCGTGGACATGCAAAAAAGAAACGAGCTTCTAGGCGCTGTTCTGCAAGCCACGGCAAGACGAGTTCTGATGGAAACGAATTTCCACTAACGGCTAGAAACGCTGGATTTGTTTCACCTTGAAAGTTTAGAAACAACCCGGCTGCTGATTAGTAGAATAGTTTATGCAAACCTGATACTAACGTTACCTTATGCGAGGTAGTTACTGCGCGCGATAGCCAGTACCTGTCTTGTGCGGGAGTGTTGGTGGAAATACAGCGTGTCGTCCCCTGTAACTGGCTCCCGCAAGCCAGAACAAATGGGGCCTTTTTGTGTTCAAGTGCAGCACGTTTTCTGCTCCCCTGCTGATCTTCACGCTTCACAACCATGGATTTGGTACTCAAACGCTAACAATGGATGGCGGTGGGCAACTGCACCCAAACTTCATGCAGCCAACTTGAAATGGTATTGCCAAGGGATCCGTATGGCGAAGTCCCGACAACTCCTACGCCCGCAAGAGCTGACCCCTTGCCAGACTCCCTCGCCACGGTCCTGGAGCACCCCCAAAATCGACAGCGATATCGTTCTCATCGGATTTTCTTTTCAACCTCCAGGCAGTCAACTTGTGCCGTTCTCAGCAAGCCATGCTCGATAGGTGCATAGCTGCGACGCCGCGTGGCTAAAACGCCCGCTTCCAGGCCCGCGTTTTGCTTTTGTCCCAGGCTGCCTGTTTTGCTTTTCTGGAAGGCGGCATCGCTGCAAAAAAGAATTCAAGCCTGCAAAGCAAAAACTGTGCCCAATCAATATTGACTGCCGCTGCTGTGGCTGCCCGTCGTCACAAGGCGTCAAATTGATCCAATACGACGGGCTGATAATTCGTCACGAAGCCTTCAACTGGCCGAGACGGCTGGATGCCGCGGGTGTGCCTCATCTCGTTGTTTTCTGCATTTGGTTGGCTTGTTAGCTGGGCTTTGTTAGCGGGCCAAGACGCTGGTCCCAGCCTCACATCACCAAGCTTCAAACAATAGTCGCTGTCGAACCTGCCGCTCGGACTCCATCAACCATCGCACTCCCGCCTGTTAGTCGGATGGTCTTCGTCTCGTCTTATGTTACTTCCGATGCTGCTCGTGCCCGCCAGGGTGCCCTACGCACCAATTTCCCGCGCTTTGTTTGTGAAATGAAAAGGCGGGCACGCTCGACACAGATCATACTGGCACGGAGTACTACAAGGCTCACAGCCTGGTCCGCAAACCATCAACCCGATTGACGGGGCCGCAACAACCATTGCACAGGGTTCGGGCGATTAACCGGCCCCGTTTCTCTTGACAGGGGGTGAGGGCTTGGCTTGGCTGGACTCGGGTCCGACAAGGGAGTCAACTTTGTTAAATGCAGGAGGCGGCGTGCTCGATCATGTACAACACAGCTTTGCCTTTGCTTTTGAACCGGCTAGCAGTTGAAGGATGCAGGTGTAACCTACAGCCACGATTTCTCCACCATTTCCAGCCGCCAACTGGGACAGGTTGTTTCTTCTTTGGCCATGTGTGCGAGGTCTCGCCCGAACGCCTGTACTAGGTGCTCGCGTTCACCGTCAGGTTTCTGGGCACGAAGAACTTGAAAGCGACTATATATCCCCGCCGCTCCCCTCAACCTGTAGCACCCAGTGCTCACAAGTCTGACGCTCGCATCTCATTTCATTGTTCGGACTGCACTTCTATCCACATCAAAATGGGCGTTCCTCTTACATACACCCGACCCAAGCATGTCGATGCTCAGAGTCTTGCCAGTCACGCGTCTGCCGCCGACTCAAAGACGGGCGACTCGGTGCACTCTGGCGGCTCGGTCAATGGAATTCCCGAGTCTCTTGGATTCGATAACATCATCAACGGCGGAACCTGCCCGGTAAGTCACGCCCCTGCGCATACCAACCTACACTCACTAACATGTGTTTCTCTAGCCCGTGACTGTTCGCGACTTTATGAACTATCTCATCTACATTGAGCACTCGGCCGAAAACCTGCAGTTTTTCCTCTGGTATAAAGACTACATCAAGCGTTTCGGCGGCGCCGACACCACCGACTTGTGCCTGTCCCCAGAGTGGACGCAGTCCATGGAGGACGAGGTCGTCGCGCGCCTCCGCCGGGATAACGCCGACAAGATGCGTCCAGACAATACTGTAGCCGCCGAGCTGTTCAAGGGCACGGACTTTGAGAAGCACAGGCGTGAGGCTGGCGGCCACAATCCATTCACGACGCCCCCACGCGGCTCCCACGACACCCCCGACCAGGCGTCCCTCTACGCGGCCTCGCACGCGCCATCCTCCACCACCGTGACATACCGCTCGCAGGCTTCGGAGGCGTTCAACGCAGCCGGTGCCAAGCAGCCATTTTCCATCCAGCCCTTCCGCGAGGAGATTAACCGGGTCATCGCCACGTACATCATGGATGGCTCACCGCGCCAGCTCAACCTCGCCTCCTGGGAGCAAAAGGCTGCTGTGCAGGCCCTTGCGCACACCACACACCCATCGGCGCTGCGTCTCATCGCCGCCTCGGTCGAGACGACGCTCCGCCGCCAGGCGCACCCCAACTTTGTACGCTGGTCCATCTGCAACGGCAACCCGGCGCGTGTGCTCTTTGCGCGCTGCCTCGGCGTCGGGACTGCCCTTCTCGGCGTCGTCGCTGGCGTGGTACTTTGCCTGAGTGGTGCCGGGCGGGCCTGGCGCGCTCTGACCGCAGTCGCCTTTGTCGTTGGCATTAGTACCCTCGTTGCCGCCTCCAAGGGTATGTGCGTTGTGCTGCACGGCATGCACCACCGCCACGTGCGGCCGTGGGAGCTCTTCACCCAGGACACAGAAAAGGACGGTGCTGCAAGCGTGGGCATCTCCAAAGGGAGCCTTGAGTCGTTTGACTCGTGTAATAGCTACGAGGACGAGCCCTGGGTCGTCAAGTATGAGAAGCGCAACGTCGTTCGCAAGATCTTTGACCGTGAAGTCTGGATCCAAGAGCCGGCGCTTCGCCAGATCCAAGATATCATATTTATCCAGTCCGTCCTCGCGTCGCTGCTGTTTGGCGGCGTCTTGACGGGGATCTTTGTCGCTGTTCCCGCCGGCCATCTCTTCTAAAACACTTGTATTTTTGGTATTGTATACGACACGGCACAGGATTTGATTTGTATTTCCTTAGCTCACTGCTGCGGTAGCCGCATCGTCGGCCTTGGTAGCCTAGTTAATAATGATGACGACGCCCCAAAATATCTAATATTAGCGAATAATATGCACCAGACCTCGCTTGATGCTTAAATTTTCGTGCACCGACGGCTGCGGTGTCTTAAGGACGGCCGCGACGACAGTAGCAACTGTACCAGAGTGGCCGCTGGCAGTATGAGGGCAGCCGATGACGCTGATTACCAACTTTTATGCAGAGAGCTGTACTGATGGTGAGGACGAAAGTTGCCGCTCAAATGCGTTTAACACCTTCGATAGTGCAACCGTTTCGACGGAAGTAAAGAGAGAAGATTATTGTAAGGAATTTCAAGAATGAAGAAGAGATGCATAAAATTAGCTTTGGATATTATATGAATGATATGAAAGATGACTCTTGAGAAAGATAACTGTGACAACGCCGAGAGAGGTACCTTATCCAGAGACCAGCAGCTGGCCTGCCAGCGTTCTCCATCTTACATCGTGGTGCCATGCTACAGACTGCCGGCAGGTGAGGTCGTTCCTGAATTGAGATTTGCTTTGGCAGTCTTGGTCAGTCAACAGCAATACTCTTGCGTGGAGTGAAGCCTGCTTACTCGGCATAAACTTGTACCGCACGCCTTTATAGTCATCCGGATACCCTGTCCCGTACGTGGCGAGCCTGGCAAGGAAGCGTTTGATGCCAGGCATCAGCATGTTCACCAGGACACTCTCAGTTTCGAGGCTCTGGGCCCAGAGTCCCACCCTCTGGTCGCCCAGGATCAACTCCGCCGTGGCGTGGATGAAGATGTTGTCCACGCTGGACGTGTACTCGGACATGAGGCGGGATTGGATCAAAAGCTCGCAGTCTTGGACGGACATTGCGGGGGTAGTTGAAGTAGAAGCGGACAAGGTACAGCTAAAGCGACGATCAAGGGGACCGAAGCTCAAAAGACGGTGCCTCCCCGCCCAAGATAAAAAGAGAAGGCGACGCCTCTCTGCGGCCCAACCGCTTTGAGGGAAGGGGGCTCATGGAACGGACGTGAGATGTGACTGGTTTGATGCCAAAAAAAAAAAAAAAAAAAAAAAAAAACCAATGTATTCCTTCGGAAAAGAGATTTGATATCCGTCACAGGGATGCTGCATGCTGGCCCCCTCCCCCAATCAGGAGGCATGGCGAAATGCCTATAAACGCGCGCGGACTCAGGCTCAGACATTTACTGTATGCATGTCTCCTTTCTGTTATTGATTTCTGTTTGGTGTTAATACTGACCTTCCTTGCTATTACTTGCATTATTTGAGAGGTACTCGGGGGTATTACTCCTGCAGACTTCTATTTACCCGCAGTAGATTTGCGGATACGCGCGCCAGGCTGCCACGGAAAGATGTCCCCGAGACATGCACCAGCGCGAGTTGCTAGAGACCAGGCATTCCGATTGGTTCGTCGCCCGTCAACCCCATGGACTCGAGCAGCGCCGCCCTCTTGTCGAGGAACGCCCGGTACGCATCCTTGGGCACGGCCCCTTGCTCATCCTGCCAGATCTGGTACCCGACCGCCTCCCAGACGCGCAGCTGGTCCATGAAGTTGGCGTTGGGCCTCACCCTCCTCCTCTCCCTGACGGCCTCGATGGCGTCGTCCAGGGCCATCCCGTCCCTGCGCATGAGGTACGCGACCACCACGGCCGCCGACCGCGACACGCCCGCCTGGCAGTGCACGAGCACGTTGGAGTCGGCGCCGGCCGTCGCGTGCTTGTCGATGAAGTCGCAGACGCGTGCCATGAAGGGGAGCAGGTTCATGGTGGAGTTGTCCAGGCACGGGACGTAGAGGTGGTTCTCTTCCGGGACGAGTCGCCGGACCCGCTGGGAGCTCCAGAGGGCGTGGCGCGCGTCGAGGATGGACAGGATGGCGGTGATGTGGTTGGGCTCAAGCGCCTCCCGCCGATAGCTGCTGTAGATGTTGCCGATGAAGAGATGCGGCCGGATCTCTGATATGGATGCCTCGGGAGCTGCGTATGCGCGTGCCCGGGCCTGAGCCTGAGGCTCTGGAGCCAATCGGGCGGAAAGATCCGGGCGATCTGGGGTCGACATGGGGTAGTGACTGACTAGTTCGTGATAGGAATAGTTTAAAAAGTCGTGTTGGTTAATTCGAACAACTCATCACATTAATTTCTAAACTCGGCTTCAGGAGCGGAATTTATTTCACCCGGATGAAACAGTGGTTGCTGATGGAACAGCCCGTACGGAGTAGATTTCTGGATCTCGCTGTGTCGTGCTCGATTGTGGTAGCCACAGTGAGCAAGGGAGCCAGCCACAAGAGTACAAGGAACTACGTTATACTATGTATGTACGTACGTGGTAACCTGCAAGTGACCCTTGCTTCCTCAGGCACCACCACGTCAAGCTTCAAACGAGCAGACTTTAGCAATGCCATCGATCGCGAGAGATGGCCTCAATCACCCCCCCGTCTCTCTGTGAGCTGTCCGAGAGACCTTGGTCATTGTACTGTACGCTTGCAAGGATAGCAAGTACTCAACGGACGCGGACGCGGACGCACAACGATAACCCCCGACGAGCCCGTCCCAGACAAACAGCTACCGGCGCATCTCCGTGACTTACCTTCGCCAGACAGAGCGGCCAAGACAGGCGACGCAGCCAAGCCAGCACAAGCATCCCATTCTCGGACATGGTTTCTGGCATTTGAACGACCCCTCCCACCAGCATCATCTACATCGTACGCGCTATTCATTCTCGACAAAAGTGCGGCGGGCGAACGACCGAGGCAGCATGCCCTTCTCGCAAGATGCTATTTGGCATCTGATGATGGATCCTTCAAATGGTCGTCGTTCTTCTTAGTCGTGAAACGCGCCGGTCGATTCGTCGTCTACACACTAATGCCCCTCGGTCCGATCTCTCCCCCAATCCAGCTTACATCGCCCAACCCCGCGTTTTAGCTCCAGGCTCCTCCATTGCCGTCCGCCGTTCCTTTTTTTAGGCCCTCCACACCGACAATCAATTGTCCAAAAGGGGGTCGGCAGATACACACCATTTGGGTAGGTGGTAGTCGATGCAACGGGGAGTGGCATCATGTGCCGCAAACAAGGGACGCCTCTCGCTCGTTGCACCCGTACGTCAGAGAAGCCCCGCCGTTTGTTCGTGATGGCCGGAGAAATTCTTTCGAAATGTATTCAAAAAAAAAAGGAAAACTGACATTGGTGCTTATGTTCTCCACGATGCAATGACATTTTGCGGAGCATCGGCGCCGAGACTTGGAAGCGAATCAACAGCTGCACGGGACGACCAGGGACACCAAGACAAGCAGGGCCGGGGAAACTCGTCCATGGCCCGTTGTGGTACATTTTGAGCTCGTCGTACGGTCAACCCCCAAAGATGTCGATCATCTGCATATCGTGCTATGTTTTAGCCCGCCTTTTTGCAGGGTTCTTGACAGCTTCCCCTCTGGGAACCGACAGCCCCCATGTGCGCAGATGTGAGAGCTTACAGGTTCAGGACATGACAAGCGCGGGGTCGATTTGTTGGCAGTGCTCGATGAATGGGAGATTGGATGCGTCGCTTGAAGTAGGAAACGAGGAAACAAAGCCTACTCCGTGTATAAACGCCAAAGTACAATGGCTGATGGTCCGATTGGTGATCTTTTCCACTTAGACGGAGCTTCGCTCTTCTACGTCGTAACTCTAGCTGGGCCGGACTATCGGCACTTGTTTCCCAGTTCAGACGATGCTATGCGACGAACCCCGAGGAGTCGGCGGCGGGCAAGAACCCCCTCACCATCTCCGGGACTTAGCGTTGCATCGTGCTATTTCGCCCGCCGGGGTGCTATCGACCGTGGGTCCGGGCAGACACTAGGGATGCGTATAGTAACTTGGCAGTTCTACGGCCGAACAATCTGTTAGGACTGATCATCTTTTGCCGAGTATGGTTCAAGAGCCGATTGCAAACAACTCCTGCCTGCCTGTCTGGATAGCACATGGTCGGCAGCAGAGGATGAGGACGATGCCGACGTAGCTTTGCCAAGGTTGCACATGCAGTGGAGATGGGGGACGGTGAGACTGTCTCTTGGAGAGGGAGAGGCATTCCAGAGGTTCGCCGACGCGCGAAGCAGGTGAAAGGACTCGAGGGAGCGGCGGTCGACTACAGAACCGTCGACTATAAAAACCGTCATGTCCCGTCTGGAGGTCGGGCTGGCTCATCAAGATATCCTATCATCGCATCAGCAATTATCTCAGCAATCATCTCATCAGCAAGTTCCTCTTCTTAATACTTCACCCTCCAACCAACTCCCCGTAGCCGCCAACATGCGTGCTGCCACCATCCTCGCCATAATCTCTGGCGCCGCCGCCCTCTCCATCCGCGCCGAGTGCCCGACCTCGTCCGGCTCCCCGTGCGGTACCGTCCAGGTCCTCGGCCAGACCGTCACCTACCCCAAGTGCACCTGCAATACCTACTGCTCCGGCCCCGTGTCCGTCGGGGGCATCTCCGCCACTGTCGTAAGTTGTTACCGAGTTCCAACCGTGCAAGCACACGAATACTGACGGGAGTCTCTCCAACAGAGCATCGGTGTAAGTGCAATAATACTAGACGACAAATGGTAAATATGTGCACGAACTGGGATCATTTTGCTAACGACTCACCTCACTTTCTTTCCCCTTTTTGACAGAAATGCGTAAGTATTGCTCACCGACTTGGCGAGGGAGCGCAGCTGACCGCATCACCAGGCTTAAATGTACTCCATGCTGAGCATGAAAGGAGCCACACACCCATCAGCCGAGGCAGTATCGGAGCGGGAAGCGTCATCGATGTTGTGGCAGCGCGTGGGATGTGCGGCTCCCGGGACACGTTGACCTCGTCATGTACATGGGATATGTCAAATGTGTAAATAAGCAAGTAAAATATGAACAAGAACGTTTACGACCAGAAATCATCAGGTGCGGAGCAGCATGTGCCTATCACTGACGAAGGCAGCCGTTGATCGTTTAGAGTGAGGGTGTCGGCAGCGGTCAGCTCTTTCAGCCCGCTCCTCGGCGCCAATCACGAGAAGGGGATCAGCCTCAGTGATGAATGATGTCGTTGGCTGCATGGGGGAGAGGGGTGGGGTTGGACAACAATAAGCCACATATGCAAGCGTATCGCCTGGAGCTGCTGATACCCGCACCTGGGCAAAGCAAATGCTTGGTTGTCATGGCGTCCGCATGTATGCAGGCGGGAGGACACAGTTGTGTGCCACGTCGAGGGTCGGCGGTCTGGGCCGGTCCAGAGAGGGCTCCTCTGCCTGATGCGAGAGCTTCATTGGGGAGTAAGGAACGTGACTCAGGTAAAGGCTATTCCAGCCGAAAGGGCTTGTGGCTTCCTTATTGGGGCCAAGTGCTTAGAAGGACTCAGCGATGTCGAGGAAGAGAAAGAGCCTCGCAAGAGCCTCTTTGCAGAGCTAGAGCCTCTTTGCAGAGCTAGAGCCTCTTTTCAGAGCCCCCACCACAGATAGAGCAGAAGCCTTGTCGTGTGTTGGGCAAGAGGCGTCAATGGTCAGGCCGATGGGGGACCAAGGGAGCGTGATGATGATGCCATCCGTCAAACAGAGCCTCCCACTTTCACCGCAACAAGTATAGTCACCGACTAGGGACGGAGGACGGAGGCCAGAAAACTAGCGTATCGGTGGACGTGCAGACGAACTGCTGCAGTGTACAAGGTTCGGAACGGATATACGGTATCGAGTGTGGTGGGAGGGGGAGCTCCAGTTTGAGGATTGTTGTGTGGGACGGCGACATTCGATGACCCTTGCAGGAGCCAGAAATGGCCTTCTAGGACCCCAAGATGACACCCCTTCTTTCCCAAGGCAGACTTGGATAGAGCGATAGAGCGATAGAGCGATCCGAGAACGAGTTCGCCTCGCGGGGTGTGCTGCGGTTGGGCCATACGAGTCCCATCGGATTCGGCGGCGGCGTCTCGTCGTCTTCGTCGTTGCCCCTTGCAGGCCCTGCAGGCCGCCGGTAGATTCTGCCGGCCTCATTCCCCCCCCCTTTTTTTTTTGGATGGTTGCCGTGACAGGACGAGATCTAGACCAACAAATGGCGTTTGCACGATTCCCGCCTGGAGGTTGAGGAGTGGGGTAGAGGTTGTGTGGAGTCTTTGTCACAATTGTGTGAGTTTATAAGTTGGCCACCTCGCCCTTTGTAGAGAGGCCTGATAATGGCTGGTAAACAGCAGAGAATGGCCCTTGGAACTTGCCTCGCTTGAATCACTCACAAAAGTGCAACTCGCCCCTCTCCCTCCCTACCTGCCCATGTCCCATCCCGAGCTTGTCCCGTGCAGGGGTTTCGGCCAACTCCGACACAGCTGTGCGGTAACTGCGCGCGGATTACCTCTTTCTGCCGTCACCATTCAAGCGACGGGAAAAAAAAGGAATCATGGAGTATGTCAACTTGCAGAAACCGAACCACCGGAATCTCGCAGCCTCCTCCCTCGACAGCAGTCCAGCAAGCAAACCAAGGAGGCGCAGTCAGAAGCAACAGGGTCCTTCCCAATGAGTTGGAAAAAGGCGGGAAAGTGCACAACGCACCCAAATGCATGCCGTAGTGGTGATACATACATATCATCCTCATGCTTTGCGATCCCCGCTTATTTGGGCAGTGCATTTCAGCAAAGCGAGCGGCCGGCCGACTGGGACCAAGCAAGACGAGACTTGGGCGCGTGCTGTGTGTCATGAGTAGTAGGGAGGGTGTGGGTGTGCAAAGAGTCCATGACGGGCAAGGGAAGTTTGATTCACGTTCCGAGCTTTGTTTTCGTTGCGGTGGGAAGATTTGGGAACTGCCATCGTTGGAAATAAATATTTTGGAAATACCCAAAATTCGCACCGATCGAATCTGCATATAAGAACTCGACTCTGATTGGATCCATGGGTTCGTTCACTCACAAGATTGGTTGGATCGGCATGTTGTGGGGTTTAGACGAGCCCTGAATGGCCTCTTCTTGTCTGCCATGCGAGGCTGCATCCTTGTCCCCTCTTCAGCCTTGCTACGGCTTGCACGTAGGGTGGGGCTGTGTGTCCTGCCATGAGCTGCTGCTGCTGCTGCTGCTGTCTTTCCTCAATTGCTTTTCTAAGCGCCATCCATTCTTTCCATCTTTCCAAAGTCCTAGCTTGTGAGGCTCTTGCTAAGGTAGGTTGGTGTACCTTCCAATTCCCAACTTCTCCCCCTGCCTTAATTGTCCCGTATCACAGGCACACACCCCTTGGACACATTTGTGTTTTTCTATTTCTTTATATAAGTCTTTCCTTCCGTCTCTCAAACTGTACTCCCCCCCCTCCTTCTCCTGGCGAATCTTTGCACACCTTAGTTTTTGGTTTATTGTTTCGAATTGCAATGGTTTAAACCCATTGCCATGCCATGTATTATAACACTTTAATCCTCCCTTCTCCTGCCTTGCTTGCAAGCATCTCCTCCTCATACCCCGCCTCATACTCCTCTCCTCTTCCCCTTTCCGCCAACCCGAGTTATCATGAAGCTGGTATCTGCACACACAGGAACCCTCGTCGAACTTCCCGATGTAGACCTCCCACCCTACGCGATCCTATCCCACACCCGAGACGACCAAAACCTGTCTTTACAAGCCAACACCGCCAACACCGCCAACACCGTCGTCGATGTTGTTGGTCTTCCTGCTCACCCTGACACCCCTCCACACCCTGCAGACCCTGTCTCCTCCCCACCACCCTACACCACCACCACCACCACCACCACCACCGACCTTCCGCTCCACATCAAGGACCGTCCGCGTGCATCGAACTCCAAGGCGACACCCCCGACCTTTCATAGCGACAGACTCGAGCAGGCCTGCGAGCTTGCGCGTCGAAGCGGCGTCGACTACATCTGGATCGCCGAGCTCTGCATCGACAAGACGTCCACCACCGACCTCGACTACGCCATCAATGGATCTGGGCGACGCCTACAAAACGCCACCGTCTGCTTCGTCTACCTCCACGACCTCCCGGCCGAACCGGCGTCGACGATGCCGATGACACATACCCCACCCGGAGCCGTGGACCCCGCCGTGTGGGGCCGATGCCGATACTGGAACTGCTCATGGACATTGCAAGAGCTGATCATGCCACGACGTGTGCTCTTTTACGACGCCCAGTGGAACTACCGAGGCTCCAAGGACTCGCCAGAGCTCACGCCGTTGCTCGCTCGCATCACCCGCATCCCGCGTGCCGTGCTCCTCGGCAGCCATCCGCTCCCCGACGTCGCCCTGGCCGCGCGCATCGCCTGGTCCGCCGGTCGTGAAGCGACGCGCGAGGAAGACAAGGTATACGCTCTAATCGCCCTTACCGGAGCCACCTTGCGTGTTCGTTATGGTGAGGGTGTGACCCGCGCCTTCCTCCGTCTCCAGGAAGAGCTGCTACGCGACACCCGCGACAGCTCCCTGCTGGCTTGGCGCAGCGGCCGCGGTGGCGAGGCTAGGGGTCTGCTCGCGCGCTCTCCGGAAGAGTTTGGCCACTTTGCTCCAGCTGGCAGTGAGGCACCGGTTGAGAGACCTTGGCTGTTTGAAGGCAAGCTCTGCTTCAGCAGCAGGGGTATCGAGCTCGAGTCGCGCGTGCGTCGTGGACCTGGTGGTGTGTTGCTGGTCTCCATCGGACAGAAACGGCATGAAGTAGGCAATATTGCCAACAAAAGACTCGCATTGTGCCTGCGCGAGTGCAACGGTGGTGTCTTTGTACGTGTTACGCCGCGGGTGTTCCGTGTGCCCGCATCGTCATTTTCTGCCTGGCGCTCCGTGGCCGTTGTACGTGACGTCGATGACGGCCGCGCCGTGTCTCTCTGCAGCACCTCCAACAGAATTCAGTGTCGCGTCGAACCGGCCACGCACGACGATGCCTCGCGACAAGGGCTACCTCGCGTGGGACAGGACAGCCCGATGACGCAGCAGCAGGAAGAAGAGGAAGAAGTGGACGTCAAGATGGAGAATGACGAAGCCGTGCTCTATCTTTCCCCTCAGCCGAGCCACACACCACCGTCCAATCACTCTGATGGCAGCTACGTGCACGTAGGACCGTCGAAGGCACTGCAAGACGACGCGCACTTCTCTGCAGATAGTGACCCAGGAAGTATGACGTCGAACAGCGCAAGCACCAGTGCCTGTGCTAGTGCCAGCGCGACCGAGTCGGATTGGGGAGACGATTACTTTCACAGCCGCCGCCGCCTCCTCCTCGTCGACCACCATCACCACCACCACCACCACCATCACCACAACTACCTCTACCGTGCGACGACCCCTTCTGAGCACGTCGACGCCATGGCCACTGAGATGCGCAGCACCTCTGCCGAGGATGCGGACAACAACAAAAGCGCCAAGGACATCGTCATGAAGCCTGAAGTGCGTGAGAAGGTTCTCGAAAAGACCATCGAGGTGGTGCGTGACCTGCTCGAGACAACCAATTTGGACTATGTCGCGCCCAGACACGACCAATTGCCGCCCCTGAGCAAGAACACCGGCTACGAGACTGATGAATTGATCGGGGACTGGAGTCTTAAGAAACTCGTCTCCACACTTTATCATGAATACGAGGCGGAGGAACAAAGTGATGAACACCATATGGAGGAATACTATGAGGCTTAAAACCTTAGTTTCTGTCTTGTTTCCTTTCCTTTCCTCTTCTTTTCCTCTTCTTTTCTTCTCTTGATCGACTTTGTTATTCCCCTCTTATTTTGTCTCATCTCATGTTACTCATGGCTCCTTCAAAAGGCTCATGAAATATTTGTTGCACAACTTTATGCCAGATTACTGCACTTTTGGTCACGGGTGTTCATGCGGTCACTCTGAAATACGCAAGGAAAAAGACTGCCGCACTGATTTTATTTAGTATTTAGATAGAACGTTAACATGACAAATTAATAGCCAAGGCTATTAAAGAAAAAGATCAAGTGAATAACTATGCGTAGTTTGACAGTGACGGCCTGGAAGCCTGAACTATGGGCCTCTAAGTCCACATGAATTGGTCAAGGAAACGTCATAATGGGAGGCGCGAAACGGACGTAGCGTACTATGATAGTCTCATGACGATGGTACGCGACCATGGTGAGCAAAGGAAAATGATGAACAAAGGAAAATGGGGAACAAAGGAAAATGGTGTTGTAGTGTTAGTGCCATAGGATCACATCATGCTTCGCCAAGAGCGCATTGAATTCGAAAAGGCAGAAACAAGAAACTAGTTCGAACCCAAAGGAGGCGCCCTTTTCTCTAAACCGAAACAATGCTATCCATACCACGTGATCTCATGGAAAAAGAAAAGAAACAGTGAAGAGGAAAAGAATAGCAACCCACAATAACAGGAGACAAGATACCAGAGACAGGAGACCGGGGACAGGAGACCAGAGACAGAAGACAGGGGAGACAAAGGAGACAAAGGAGACGGAGGAGACGGGGGAGATGAACGTAGGAGATAGATGGAGGAGATTGATGGAGGAGATAGACGAGATGGATGACATGGAGGAGATGGATGACATGGAGGAGATGGATGACATGGAGGAGATGGATGACATGGAGGAGATGGATGACATGGAGGAGATGGATGACATGGAGGAGATGGATGACATGGAGGAGATGGATGACATGGAGGAGATGGATGACATGGAGGAGATGGATGACATGGAGGAGATGGATGACATGGAGGAGATGGATGACATGGAGGAGATGGATGACATGGAGGAGATGGATGACATGGAGGAGATGGATGACATGGAGGAGATGGATGACATGGAGGAGATGGATGACATGGAGGAGATGGATGACATGGAGGAGATGGATGACATGGAGGAGATGGATGACATGGAGGAGATGGATGACATGGAGGAGATGGATGACATGGAGGAGATGGATGACATGGAGGAGATGGATGACATGGAGGAGATGGATGACATGGAGGAGATGGATGACATGGAGGAGATGGATGACATGGAGGAGATGGATGACATGGAGGAGATGGATGACATGGAGGAGATGGATGACATGGAGGAGATGGATGACATGGAGGAGATGGATGAGATGGATGAGATGGATGAGATGGATGAGATGGACGAGATGGAGGAGGCAGAGGAGTCAGAAGACAGGACTCGTGGCAAGCTGATGAGCGGGCAAGAAAGAGCTCTGTCGCCGCTTTGCCGTGAGGCTCATGGCCCTCTATATCCTCGGTTGAGGTGGCTGGGGTGGCTGCGGCGGCTGAGGCGGTTGAGGTGGCGGCGGCGGTGGTCCAGGCATAAAGTTGACAGGCGCTTCTACAGTAGCATCAAACTCTTCAAAAGCACCTGGGTTGAGGAATTGACGAAAGTCGTCATCCTCCATGCCATCAAAGTCAGGGATGTCATCAAGCCCTGAGGGAGGCGGCTGAAACATCTCGAAGCCTGGCTGGTAATCCTGCTGAGCCCCCTCGTAATAAAGCTGGGCGTGCTGAGCGTGCTGCGATTGTTGGGTCTGTTGGCTTTGAAGCTGCTGCCGATCTATCTCGGCCTGGCGTCTGTACGGGCGCGGTTGATCCGGCCTAAACGGAGAGATGTATATGTTATGGATTTGGCCGCCAATCTGTTCGATCAGGGTAGACAATGCTTCCGGACTGTTAACAACGGCGTGGATGGGAATAAGGAGGGAGGGAAGCTGCCGCATCAACTCCGTGCCGCGGGGAGCCAACATACAGCGGATTTCTCCAATGCCACGATCCATGTAAGGCGAGTCAGGACGGGTATGACCTTCAAAGAGAAGATCCCACATAGTGTACCACTTCTCAGCGTCGCCAATGTGACCGAATTCAAGTTCATTAAGCGCCCTGATCTCATCAGGAATTAAATTCTCCGGCTTGGGTACGGGCTGACAACTCCGCCCTGCTTGGTGTTCCATCCACTCGTTTGACCGCCTGAAAGTTATCCAACAGGTTGAGCAGTACATAGTGCCAAGGGTATGGCACCGCAAGATATGCTGCTTAACATCAGAGTATCTCTTCAGCTCGTACTTCCGATAGCAGCGAAAATATGTCGAGGGGTCAAGCTTGTAGAAGGGGCAAGCATACACAGGTTCGCCGGAAGCATCTTCGCCGCTGTCACCGCTGTCGCCGGTGCCGCCGTCACCGCCGTCACCGCCGTCACCGCCGGGGACAAAGTTTTTATTTGCGCGGCCACCACGACCACCACCGCGGCCGCCGCGACCTCCGCCACGACGGCCGCCACCCCCACGGCCCTTGACGCCAGCACCAGTTCGTCGCCCGGCACTGCTGACCTTTCCACGGCCAGCACGCGAATTGCCAATGGGGCCTGCTGTAGTGGCATAAACGTAAAAGCAGAGGACGGATGGGACGGCCTTGGAGAAGCCGACAAGAACGAGCCCTTCCTTGAAGGGAAGGAGGTACTTGAAGGTGACTGGTGCGTCCGGCAGACCCTTGCGCGGCGACAAGGAGCTAATCCTATCGTGCACCTCCTTGAGTGTTGTGTTCGTCTTGTCTTTGGGTACGGGCTTGGGAAGACCATGATTAAGGCAGCTGGCAGGGAATGACTGATTTTGTGCCAGGTTGATAGCATATACCAGTGATAAAGTCGGAGCGGTGGTCGAGTTCTGCTTTATAGCGGCAAGTGCGTGGGGGTCGGCCAGCAGTCGATCGAGTGCGCTGTCGTGTACATGCTGATTGAAGTGAGGCTGGAGGCTCTTGCTGACAGGTGCAAAGGAGTTTTTCTCGCGGAAAGCGGCAGCGAGGAGAGAGGTATCAAAACAAGACTCGCTGTAGAGCCCTTTGTTGCCCAAGGGAGGGCGATAGATGTGATACCACAAGTTTCGGGTCATGTCGTGGAACAGTTTCACAAGAAAGTTGATGAGCATGAGGGTCGCCGTATAGGCAACTGAGAGAGTGCCACTCCATACGTCAACAATCATGGTTACCTCAGCATTCCTGGGTTATCAGTGTATGAATGGTTGACAATTCTTGAAGTTGATGATTGTAAAACGAAGCAGTGAGCTGGTGCGCGCGTATCAGTATAGTACAGTTGGCTATACTTGGAGGAAGTTCGAAGGAAGAGGCTTGGCCAGGCGCTCGGCTGGTTTTGAGAAAGAGGGTAGCAACATGCGATGACAGGACATGGGCCACTTGCAAAGCTGGATCGGGTTTGCAATGAAAGGCCCCGCACCCCGAGGAGAGGGTTGCACAAATGTGTGCTGCAGCAGAATATATCCATTTCTGATGTTGGAAGAATGATGCTCGAAGATGAAAGGGTGGGGTGGGTTGCCAATTGCCTTGATAGGCCAGCCAAAAGGTGGCATCCAGCGGATCCGCACCTGTCGTCGCTGCGTATGTATAAGCCACGTAGAATACAACAATTGCTGTTTATTAATTAGGGTAATTGTCATCGTCGGCTGAAGTACGGCCGATACGGGTTTGATGAGTGACGATATTTGTCAATTTTGCATCGAGTTCCGGCTCATTGCCCTGCGTGCTTCGGCAGCTGTCGTGGTGCGCAATGACAACGCCGCAAAGTGAAGCGCCTGCCAGTATCTTGATGATGGGTTGGGGAGAGCTACAGTAGGCTGTACTGTATGTAACTAGCGTGGCCAGCCAGATTCAGCCTAACAGCGGCAGAGCCCGGAAAGTTTGCGAGGTTGCCGCAACTAGCCCCCGAATTGGATTTTTGCTCGAAAATGAATTTCCTCGTTCTGAAATTGTGGTGAAAACGTCCCGAATCAAGATCATCAAAGCCGTTGTTGCCCTCTCCGTGGGCTTCCGATAGAATCTAGACTCGCATGGCCTGACTTGAAGGAAGATCCAGGCCGTCGAGACCAGGCTAGGTGCTCTTCTGTCTGTCATCTGTGCCGCTGAATGAATGCCAGGGTCACTTTTTTGCCACCGGCGAGGACGCCTAGTAAGGCAAATATCAAGGCGGCGAGGCGGCGAGGCGGCATGGGCCACGTAACAAAGGCACTATTGGCTGGTTCGCGGACGCCTCAAGGCGGGTCGGTAGGCGGAAGGACCGAGGGATGTGACAGGCAGGTGGTCGAAAGGCTGGAAGATGCTTGTTTCAAGGCCACTGGCCGTTCGTAGCCGTGCGGCCATGTCATGAGGGCGATTGATGAGTGAGCAAGTGGACCGCGAGACTGTCGAATTCGACCCAATACGTGTCGTGGCCCCTGCATATTGCTGCATTTGAACATCCAAATCTTGTGCAGCGAATGACCAGGCGTTTGTGGATGGACTCCGCTGAGGCGCCTCTGTGTCGATCACCCCATGCTGGAGGGGGAACTCGACGGTGGCAATGCCAAGATTTCCGAGAGACAGGGAGATGGGATTGTGCGAGTCGCATTCGAGGCCCGCCATCGATGGTGGTGATTTGATGATGAAGGCAGGAAGTCTGCCTTGCGTGGTTTTTTTGGGCGTTTGACTTGGATTAGACGAGCCTAAAGGGCGAGGAGGGATGCACAGGTTGTTTCAGGACAGTCGCTACTGGGAGAGGAGAGAAAAGAGGGGCCAGAACGGATAGATGGCAGCTGGTTGGCACCAAGGCAGCCGTTTGTCGGGATTTTTGGCCGTTACGTTGTGCCAAGGATACCCTGACTGACGTGATGAAGGGATACAGTGTTTCGCGGCATGACATCATACTGTGGCACATTCTGTGGCAGGACCTCGATCCAAGAGAGTGTGGAGGCAACCATCGCGTGTACGGAGGACCTTGTGCCCAACTAGGGAGGTGGTTAGCGGCTGATTATGGGCCCGAGGGGCCTCCCGAGCAGCCAAATCTTCAGGGCCCAGTGTCCCATCAGATAGCGTACCATCCCCGTGGTTTTCGTGTGCTCTTGGCCAGAATGTTACAGTGCACAATTCAGCATTGCACTGTACGACCCGCCATTACGGTCCTTGCCTCCCTCACCAGTAAGATGGCTATAGGTCGCTTGCAGGTATGTGCTCGATAAATTAATGCCGAATAGAAAAGTCGTGATCAACAAGTGATAGAATATGCACTAGTCAATCTATTAATGTTATATCGCGCGGATACTTCCGACAAGGATTCAGGCATCTTTACGCGTGATTTGTCCTGAGCTACGCAGCCGTTTCCCTCCAGCCAAGGCCATCCCTTCTCTGCGAGAACACTAGTTACCGGTTCCTTCATAACAACAACGACCTCGCAACTCAAACCGACAGACCTCATCATCACCATCTCCGCAAACAATCAGCTCTGCATTCCCCTCAAAATTTCTCTCAGCAGTCTCTTCCGCAATCTCGGCCTCGGAGTCTCTACACCCGAGCTTGCCAATAGCCTCGACCCCAGAACCCATCCCATGGATCTCGTTAGGCCACAGTTGCCTTCTCCTTTATCCATGACCAGGTCACGATGCGCTAATAAAATGGCCGAACCAGTAAGAATCATTTCTTTCGTCGCCCCTCCTCAAGGTCAGACATGGCCCTGCCTTTTATGCACACCAAGTTCTGTCACAATTGTGGTATTTTCATGGATTTGTGGGCCTTCGGACCAGCTGCGAAGCCCGCCTTATTATGTGCAAAACACTGGCAAGAAATCATGTCGGCCTCTCTCCTCAACACTTTCCCTCGTCTTCGGCTAACAAGCTGACGAAAGACTTGCTCGTTCGCGGTACGAGAGATAGAAAAAAACCTGCTTGAAAATCAACAACAACAACAACAACAACAACAATAACAACGACACCATTGCTCGCCTTCGGCCCCTCTCCCGGCTTGACCCGCAACATCCATGTCGTCTACTATTTCCTCTACACCAAGTGATGGAGCTCAAGAGTCCGCGGACTGGGTAGACTCTCGCAATCCTTCTCGCCAAACCTCATACCACGAGGGTGATGTGCCCGCCTTCTCGCCTCCGTCAATTTGGTCACAAGTGCTAGCACCACCCGTCAACGGCTTTGGCCCAGTTCAGTCTTTGGAAAGCATACAACCCGCTCTGAGTGCGCCGACTGTCCTATCGAATCCGTCTCCCCTTCCTTTCTATCAGGGTTATAACCCTCTTCTCTCTCCAGACCACGGAGACACCTTTGCCGTGTGCCAACAGGCTGCGTGGTGCAGCTACACCTCGGACGCGGCCAGCGTGGACCTGTACCACGACCCCATCACAGCGCTACACAGGACCGACTCGACATTGAGTGCTGAGGCAGTTGGAAGGAATGCCCGAGCGTCGTTTCCTGTTGATTTGCGCTCCAAAAGCCCTTGGAAAGCGGACCCGGATCGTGCCTCCCGCAGTCGCTCCATCGTTGGCGTCGTGACGCCTCCCACGGATGCGGGCGTGAAGAAATTACGCAAATCCATGCGTGGAAGCTCGTGCAGAAGAAACTCCAACCCTCTGGCCTCATCGACGGCGAATATAAAGGCCGCCGCAGATGCCCACACTCGCAGGTATTCCCCTGCCAAGGAGGAAGTAATGTCCAACGATGATGTGTTGAGCTCTGAAGATGAAGACAGTCGCCACAGACCAAAGGGTGCGGGAAAGGAGCCTACTTTTGCCTGTCCTTTCTACCGGAGATGGCCGACGCGTCATTTTGAATGTATGAATCGCAAGCTTACGCGCATTCAAGATGTCAAGCAGCACATCTACAGACGGCATTCAAAGCCGCCGCATTACTGTCCGACTTGTGACAAAGTCTTCGTCTCGCCTGACCCTAGGGATGACCACATACGCCAGGCTTCCTGCATCAAACCAGAGACGACATCTTCCAATCGCAGCAGCGACGGAATCTCTGCGCAAGTTCAGGACTCTCTCAAGAATCGCTTTAGCCGCAGGCTCAGCCCCGTTGAGCAGTGGTATGGCATATGGAATCTCGTGTTCCCGGGAGAAACACCGCCGCCGAATGCCCACGTTGGAAAACCTGTCACAGAGATGCTCAGCATGCTCGAGGACTTTTGGAAAAACGAAGGCCAGCGCATCCTTCCGAGTCTTTCGAAGCCGAGATCTGGCCGGAACCTGGCGGATGCAGACCTGCAGATGCTTATGTCACAGATGCTGGACAAGGTCAAGGATCACTTTGAAAATAAACCCGGCCAAACAGGAGAGAGCGCCGCGGATGGGACGGAGAGCCAAGCAGACCAGATGATTGACAGCTTGCCGGTGGATGGTGAGTCAGGTACTTTTGCGGAATATGAACAAGCCAGTTATGAGCCGAGTCCCTCCGATGGCTGGGATGCCATCACCTACTCCCCGAATGGCTCGCCATGCATCACCATGGGTGGGCTCATCGTCGAGCAGTGCGTGGACCTTGGTAGTTCAGGAATGCTAGTTGAACAACATCAACCTTATGAGCAGTCGTGGGCTATTCCCTCAATGGAGAATCCTCTTGTGAACCGGTTGCAATGACTTCTTGGTGTGCTCGGGCGGAGGGGGGCGGTTTTGCTCTTCCCGATTTTAAACATCGGCGTGTATCAATACAAGACAGCCTGGGGAGGAAAAGACTAGACACGTTGGCACTGCTTCCGCTTCTCTGAATGCAGCTAAGCAACACCCGTAAGGAGCGTCGTGGGGCGAGCAACCGCTTAAGGGTGCTCGTCAGTTAGGCAGGGAATAAACACCACACGCTTCTGGAACACATGTCGGAGCCTGGTGTGATGTAGCAGGATGTCCGGCAGGAACAGTCGCTGTGCCATACGCTGGCTGCAGAAGCAAAGTCGCCGTATTACATTGGGCTACCGGCTAAAAGTAAGGTTGCTCCAACCGTTACCCAGCAGCTGCCTCCCAACCAGGTGCTCGCTGTCCCCGAGACAAGACTGTGGTTGCTTGTGATGTATGGTGAGCGGGTGCTTGCCAGCACTGTCATAGTGCAGGATGTTTGAAGAGGGCGGAATAATACTCATTTACGACATGAAAATAATGTAGAGTGAATAAAGAATTTCAATTGAACCAGACCGTATTCGGTGCCAGATTGTTGCCAAAGCCTGGAAATCGCGACTGATGTATGCGGTGCGCACTGAAGTTTCTTTGTGAGAAAACGATACTGAAATGCAGCACTGAGAGCCACGTTGATACGTTTCTGTGTCTAGCATTCCCTTCAGTTGTAGAATTGGAGCAACGTAAGCCAAATTTAGAGTAGCCACCACAATGCAAGGGAACCTGCAGGTGAACAATGCCAAGCTTTTGCGTTTCGGTAGTTGCCGCTGGAGCTCGAAACCCAGCCATAAGAAAGCAGCATAAGATCTGGGATCAGATGGGTAGTTTGGATAATTAGGTGGTCTATGGGCGTGGGTGCTAAGGGTTGCCATTATAGACCGGAGTTTACGTTGGCCATCTCCTTGATCCCCGAGGCTAGTCACCGCGGGCGGAGGAGCCAGTAAGCTTGTAACAAGGCAGGTATCGCGGTGCTGGGGTTGAGCGGATCTGCCGAGGAGCCGATAAGACAATGAGAGACGAATGATGAGGCCATGTCCATAGCGACCAGTTATTAAATGGCTCTTTGGGGGGAGAGACGGGTTAAAGTTGCGGGTTACGGGGAAGGGAAGAGAAACTCGGGGTTGACCTCGGTTCAAGGTGGATCTTTGTGTTCGTTTTACTGTCGATGGCGGGTGATGATGGACAACTGCACCCATATCCGCGGAGGACCTGGGGTGAAGTCTATTCTAATTTAGGCCTTGTTGTCGGCAATAAAAAAGTCTGGTAAAGCAAGTCTGGGTTTGCATTAAAAATGAATATTTTCTTTGCGGCTTATTTGCCCGAGTATGACTGCCGCCTGTACCTACCAGATAGGGTGACTCAATGACGCAGCGGGTTACAGCAGTCTCACCCGCGGCAGGTTACAGTGGTTTCATCCCGGGTTGCAGCAGATACAGTGGCGACCTGCAACAGATTACAAGGCTTATTCAGCAGTGCCAGGGACCAATTTAGCGTCCACAGTCAGCACTCCTCCTGCCGAGGGCCCTGGACAAATGGCAGTAATAAGCCGGCGACCCGCCAAAAATGCCCCTCGTCCATCACCACTATTTACCATTTCCATTTCTCTCTTTGTCGGCCCGCCGCCGCCCGTGTGTCCTTCAAACAGTCACACACGACACACAACCTCTTCTCGTCACCCCTTCCATCACAGATGCTCCGCTAATACCTCTCTTTCCTTTGCGACTGCGGTCGACCACTCTTCTTTTTCATCCTCCTCCTCCTCCTCCTCTCCTTCGTCATCATGTCGCCCTTTCCTCCCCTCCAGATCCCCCCCGCCGACCACCCTTCCGGACGAGAGGAACAAGGTGAGACGACGACAGCAACCACCACCGCCCGGGATCCCTCGTCCCTCGATGCCGCCGCTCCCACGTCCCTCCGCCCGACAATCTCCCGCTCCCGCACAATGACCACCACCGCCGAGATTGACAGCACAATCGCCAAGCCCGGCAGCGTCAAGATCAACGTCACCGGCGCCTTCATCGTCGACCCGGACACGGCAACCCCCAAGAACGGCCGCGTCTCCCCGACCACACACCACGAGACGAGCGACATTCGCCTGCCCAACCATACTGCGGTTGTCAGTCATATCGCTGTCGATGTACGTTCTTGCCTTGTTACTCAATTGTTTGCCCTCGCCAGTGCTCGACTCTTTGTTTGCTAACCGAGATCCACCAGATCGGCGGTTCCCTTATCAAGCTTGTTTACTTCTCCCGCGAGGTTGACCAGACCGACCCCGGCGGCCGCCTCACCTTTCAGACATTCGAGACGGACCGCATAGATGACTGCGTCGAGTTTATGCGCGAGTTGCGCGACCGCCAGGCCAAGCTTACCGGCTCCCGCCCTGGCGACCTCGCCGTCATGGCCACTGGCGGCGGCGCCTACAAGTTCTACGACAAGATTCGCGATGCCCTAGGTGTCGACGTCTCCCGCGAGGACGAGATGGAGTGTCTCATCATTGGTGAGTCTCTAGTATGAAACCTACCATCACCGTACTGACACTCCAGGCCTCGACTTCTTCATCACCGAAATCCCCCGTGAAGTCTTCACCTACTCCGAGACCGACCCCATGCACTTTGTCGGCCCCCGCGACGCCATATACCCCTACCTCCTCGTCAACATTGGCTCTGGCGTCTCCATGCTCAAGGTCACCGGCCCACGCGCCTTTGAGCGTGTCGGCGGCACCTCGCTCGGCGGCGGCACCCTCTGGGGCCTGCTGTCCCTGCTGACTGGCGCGCGCACCTTTGACGAGATGCTCGAGCAGGCCGGTAACGGTGACAACACCCACGTCGACATGCTCGTCGGCGACATTTACGGCCAGGACTACGGCAAGATTGGTCTCAAGAGCACCACCATTGCGTCGTCCTTTGGCCGCGTCTTCAAGATGAAGAAGGATGCTGAGGCTGCTGCGGCTGCCGATGGGCACGACCCCAACGGTACCACCCCCCGCGCCCTCCCCCGCGGCCCCGGCTTCACCGACGGCGACATTGCCCGCTCCCTGCTCTACGCCGTCTCCAACAACATTGGCCAAATTGCGCTCCTGCAGTCCCAGATCCACAACCTCTCCGACATTTACTTTGGCGGGTCCTTCATCCGCGGCCACCGCCAGACCATCAACACCCTCAGCTACGCCATCAAGTTCTGGAGTAAGGGCGCAAAGCAGGCCTACTTTTTGCGTCACGAGGGCTACCTGGGTGCCGTGGGCGCGTTCTTGAAGAGGCAGCCCAAGAACTGGGGCCGCCGCGGTAGTCTCGAAAACATTGCAGCCCTCGACGAGCTGCAAGAATGGCGCAAGCAGCGTGCCAAGGACGAGGCAGCGGCGGCATCATGAGCGATGAAAACGAAAAAAAGAAAGAACGAAAAAAAAATCCATAAAAAAAGATGGCATATACACATAGAGGTGGACGGGTGGGGTTGAGGAAGCATTGAATACCCTCGATACGAGGTTGGATTTCAGACAAACATGAGGAAGCAAGAATCTTTTGAATTTTCTTTTGGATAGCATGGGACTTGTTGCCAGATATGCTCTTGGTATCATTCATCTCCTCGAACAACAGGAGAGCAACCTTTGTACATTTACACTAATATACATAATCTGCGTGGCCATCGACGCAACCTCTAGATTCGCATGCTGGTAGTGGTAGCATCCTTCATAACATGGTTCCGTGGAATCCCCTCTTGCCATATCGCACCTTACATCACGTCTTTCATATTATTCTCTCACGCCTTCGGCGCCCTCTCCGCCTCCACCGCGCGCCGATCCTTCTCCTTCAACTCCTCCACGTCCATGCCCAGCCTCTCCATTAGCCCCATCACCATGTTGTCCACCTCCCTCTCCTCCTCCTCGTCCCTCACGCCCGCCTGGCTCCTCGTCACCGCCTGGCTCCGCGCGCGCAGCTCCGCCATCGAGCACAGGTCAAACGCCCACCCCGTGCCGCCGACCAGCAGGACCCCGAACCCGGCCACGTTGAGCGTGGCCAGCCCGAGCGCCTGCGCGGCCAGCGCGGACCGCTCCCCGCTGTCCAGGCTGCCGGCGGGCAGGTACGAGGAGTGGAAGAAACGCGGGACGGCCTCGAGTTGGCGCCGGAGGACGGCGCGCCGCGTGACGAACGCGGAGGCGCCGACGAAGCCGGCGCCGAGGAGCAGGAGGCTGAGCTGCTTGACCTGGCGCTGCAGCGGGGTGAGGTGCGCGGTGCTGCTGGTGTCGATGCTCGGGGGCGTGTAGTGTGTGGGCGGCAAGGTCGCGGTGCTGGTGGGTGTTGGTGAGGAGGAGGAGGAGGAGGGTGGTGGTGGCGATGGTGAAGGGGAGGCGGCTGCTTGCTCGGGCGTGCCGACGACGTGCGGCGCCAGCAGCTTCGCCAGGAACCCCATCGGCGGGGCGGTTATGTGTTGTACGTGTGTGTAGGGTGTGTGTTATGAGATGGATGGCGGTATCATGAGGAAAGATGGCGCTGTGGCTTGGTGGTCGGATGAGATGCGAGATGAGAGATGTTTCGAGGTCGCGGGAACGTCGAAAAAAAAGTTGGGTCCCCGGGTGGAGCGATATCGCGCGGGAAAAAAAAAAAAAAAAAAAGGTTGCGACGGTTGCGAGAAGAAGAAAGATGCGATAATGCAAATGCAAAAGAGAAAAATAAGTGAATTGTTTTGTAAAGCTAGGTTTTGCCCTCGGGGGTGTCAATCCCCTGCGCGATGAAGGTAGCAATCACCCGCGAATAGAAAATCGCAGCGGGCCCTTCAGGCGTCAGCCAGCTATTCCCATCGCCAAGGGAACACGAAATACACATGCACCTTGCAACATCAGGGCATTAAACGAATTTGCCTGCATTAAGAAATATTGTAGAGCATTTTTTTTTTTTTTTCAATAGAGCGGTTCGTACATAAAATTTTGGAATTAAGTTTACCTGTGGCGATCAAACTCTGAATCTATCCGCGTCCCTGTATTCGATAGAAGGAGCAAATACACATTGCATTATCAGGGCACCAACGAATTCGCCTGCACTGAAAATAACTCTATAACATGCATTTTAACTCAGCACTCGTACATGAAATTTGAAAAATCAAATATACCTGTTTGTCGCGATTAAAGTTCGGACCTATCCGCGTCCCTATATTAGAGAGAATTCGCAAATACACCTCCTAACAACAACCCATAAAGCGGTAAATCAAAGTTAAAAAATTATACTGCTGTGTTTTGTAATGTACAGAATTTAATGTGTAGAGCTTTCGGCTTGTAAATAGTCTTGTATTTACCTGAACATCCGTATGTAAAGCACGAGGCAGAGTTCAAATACACCTTGTGCGGCGTTTATTTTTCTCAGCCTGCTAGCGCCCGCCTATTGACGCCACGTAACTTCTCAGGCCTCCCTGCTGCTGAATAGCGGGTAGGAAAGAGCGCGCCTGACATACAGAAGATAGACTTCCTCATCGCATTGGCTGAGAAAAAAAAATGAATCATGTGGCGTATTACACACTCCATCCTCACGCAATAGTGCAAGCTACCTCCTCCGTAGCTGTACGTAAATAAGTATCGCACCGCGGCAGTGGATAAGGTTTACATCATCCAAGACATTGTTTTTCGACAGGATTATGGCACGGCCCTCCATTCAAGCTCAGCCCGGACCAGACCGCTGTCATGATCAAGATTGCAGTCACAAGGTCAAAGGGGAGACAGGTGGTGGCCAGGAAGGGCGGCACATGTCAATTAAAGATCTCACGGTACATTCAATTCCATTCGACTAATATGGCAGGGGACAAGAGATACTTCGATTAAGAGAGCTCGGCTACCCAACAGGGGACAAATACATATTGCCACCCGCTGTAGCTAGAAAAGTCTGGGCTCACATGCAGTGTCGATCACGGCTGCGTTGTGGTCGCCGCAACGTTCACAAAGCTGCACTGGCGAAGCTCTTGCCATTGACTGATCTCGCGCAACGGAATAGAAACTGCGTCTTGGAGCACCAAATCGCAGAAACGATTGCGTTCTACGCGACGGGGTATAATGAAGGCGAATCGGCCACCTTCTCCGGCGTCCAACGGCTGAGTCGGCGGCCCGTGGCTCAGAGAGGTCTCGTTGAGATTGACAATTCGCGTCGTGATATCTACATGAATGATATCCTCTGGGTCGTTCGGATGGCTGTATAACACAAAGCCTTCATGCATCCAAGCCTGGATCATGATGCTATGGACATGAGCGACATCGTCTTCGGACATGTGCAAGACCGTGTGGTCCACGATGGTCTCCAGCGGCGTGTCGCGTACCAGGCCAACCAAGGTACTGCGAACCAGCTTGCACAAATCTGTCTTGAGAACGAATGCTCCGTTTCCCAGAAGATCAGAATTACCACAGCCTTCTCCGCTATAGAGATCCTGGGAAGCGCAGACTTTCTGCCACACTGCCAGAGAGACCCAAACAATGCCCTTCATGTACAGGTGGTCAGGCATGCTGAAGGTGCCACGAAGAAATTAGCCAAGATCTGCATGACCTGCTAAGCATTTCTGTCCAAACTACTGACACGCGTCTTGTCTAGCATCGAAAAGCCATGGTACGACAATGCTGCAATGTGCGCGATGGCTCTCCTCGCGGGCATGGACGCACTCTCTGACGCCATACCCAACGCAAGAAACCAGGCAATGCGTATGTCATGCTGCACGTGTGGCAAGAAGCGTGTCAAATAGGATACCGCCTGTGAGTCGACTGGAAGCAGCCGGTCTGGTGCCGCGGGACAGCGCAGCAAGCACTTCATCTTGGTCAGTTGATCTACTACACCACGGAGTGTGATGGAATCGTCTACAAAGGCCGCGATGATGGGCATAACATCATGCCCTGGAAATTCAACAGCAACAGAGGCGACAAAGCCCCAGCTCTGCTCATGGGAAAGCCGGCGAGGGGGATTTCGTCTTCGCACAAGATTGTGTACAGATCCGTACAGGAGAGTGTTTCGCTACCCACCAGCTCAGCAGCCAGAAGTTAGGCGAAGCCGTGTCGTGCAAGTTGCCTACACAGTACGTGTGTGGGCATTATTCGGCTGGGGCTTGCACGGCTAGCAAGATACACTTTGCAAACTGCCGATTAGCGTAGATAAGTAAATATTCTAAATGTAATGGACTTGTTATGTAACAAGAAGGTGTATTTGCAAGCCATAGAGTAGGAGCTCGCTCGCGCCTGAAGAGCCAGTCGTGACTTTTTTAGCAGGTGATTGCTACACCTTCATCATAACACCCCGAGAGTCCCGAGAGTACAGCCTGGCTTTAGAACATAATTCATTCCTTTTCAAATTGCCGCCTGAGCATCATCGCAGATTCGCTCAAAACGGATATGCAACTTCTCCCGACAGTCGCCCCCGACAAAGCCATCGTCGCCTGGGTACTCTCTTTCGTCCGCTACTGACGTCCTGTAATTGGTGTAAATTGCCGCTACCGCGTAGCGCATAACTACATACAACGTAATTATCGTCAGTTATGCCACGAGGCAAAGCCGCAACAACTTCAACTTACGTTCCATGGCTAGCTGCTGTCCGACGCAGCTTCTGCTCCCGTGCCCAAATGCATACAAATACCTGTTTGGGTTCGAGTTCTTGCCGTCGACGCCCATCCAACGGCGAGGATCCCAGGCGCTCGCGTCGGGAAACACGGCCTCGTCGCGATGCAGGCTCCAGCCGTACGCGCCCACGCGGATGCCCGCCGGAAGCGCATACAGACTGCCGATGCGGGAGCCACCCTCGCGGCGCGGGGTGAGCCGTGGCTCCGCGTCGGGCGTGTTGTTTCGCAGTCGTAAACCTTCGTGGATGACGGCGTTCAAGAGCGGCAGGTTGGCGAGCTCGGGGGCTTCTGGTAGGACGCGGTCGCTGCTAGCAGTATCAAGGACGGGTGAGTTGATGGAGAGGAGCTCTTTGTGAAGCTCTTCTTGCGTACTGGGATGATGTGATATTTTGTAGAGAATGTACGTAAACGAGATGCCTGGTCAAGGTGAGGTGAGTCTTTGAGTCTTTGCCCAGCCTGGTCCATGACGGCTTGCTTACCAAACGTGTCCCTAGCGGCCACTGTGGTCGAGTCAGTACTTAATTGTTTTCGCAATAGATGCAAACAAACTGACTGACCGATATGATCAAAGCATTCGCTAGCAAGTTGGAGCTCTTCCTGCGCATCTGGCGTAAAGCAGGGGTCGCGGTCGGCAGACTTGGCGAGCCCTGCTTTCACCACGTCGTATAGGATGGGGAAATCGCCACTCTCAAACTTGCTCTCAACACCCTCGTTAAGAGAGAGTGCATAATCTGCCTGCCTCATTTTCCCTAGCGCCCACTCGTCCAGAAATATGCGCGCCGCTTCGTGGCCCTCGGGCAGCAGCCATCCGCCCAGGCCCAGGCGCTGCGCAAACTTGGTCACGGCGGCGCATTCCTGAAGCCAAAACATGCTATCGGCGGGATAAGACTGAGTGTATGCCTCGAGCCACTCGTCCCGTGCATCAGCGTTCAGCATGAAGTTGGTGCCGCGCGAGAGGCCAAAGACAAACGCCACCGTAAAGTCAATCGTGTACGACTGTAGGACGGGGAGAATGTCGATGGCCTGCGTGGCGCATTGCGAGGTCATCTGAAAAAGGGGAAGCATCCTATGATGAATCATCTCGCGCATGATGGCACGCACATGGGCATTGGTTTGGACGAATTTGCGCGCGTAGATGGGTGCGACCCGACGTCGAGGCATGGCATGGTCAAGGGATAGCGCAGTGAAGATATTACGCTGGCTGTTGAAAATCCAAATTACTGAGTACTCGACCAAGTTGTAGACAAGATCAACAAGAAAAAATACATACCCGTGCGTAATGAATACATCATAGCTCGGATGCTTGTCAAAGTTGTGTTTGCCAACCCCATACACGTCGTTCATATCCGCCTTGGAGTTCATGGCAAGCTCCTTCGGGCCGAGTCTGACAAAAGGGCCAAGCGTTTCCAGTGCGGCAGTGACGACCTCGAATTCGCGCCTCCGGAAACGCTGCCATTGGATCCAGAGGGATGTTACATGAGCCAGGGGATGCGCCGCAGGAACTGACCTCAACGGAGATAGGCAGACGGGACGAATCAGGATATTCCAGATCAGCAGTGCAGTAATTCCCATAAAAGATAGGGAATAGACTGCGTTTGTGAGAAGATGGTGCATTAACTCCATCTTGGCGGTGTTGGATGATGTGGCTGCAGAAAAGCACGGCGACGTTTAAGCTTAATCGAGCCCGGCTAGAAGGCAGAGCGATGAGTCTCGTTATCTTGGCAGGAGATTTCGAAGTCCGGATTTTGATCTCCTTATCTTCTCTTATCATCGTTCATTTTGTTTTGTTTTGTAACTTGTTTTGTTTTGTTTCTCATTGTTTGTTTTTGCGGAGAGAATAGACATAGCCGGCCGGTATCGCTGCCACGTCAAGTTGCAGCATTAAAAACTGCAGTATAGGGGCCTAGAAGACGGAGAAGCATAATGTGAAGGGCGTCAATGGACGCATTCATGCGAACTATCCAACTTTGCAGAGCGGGTATATCCACACGAGTACGGCTGCACTCTGGATAAGGCGCCAATTGCGCGCATTGTTGGCGGACGGTTTGGCAAACCAGCGCGGATGATGCCGGGCAGGTTTAGTCAAATGCCATACCGGGGCTTCGGATTCCTCAGATTTCACGGAAGTTGGCAGCCGTGGTCTGAGCCGGGTCTGGGCGAGCATCTGCCCTGGTATGCCGAGTCTGTGGTCCCCTGCGAGACCATGGAGCCCTGCTGTCCGTTTGTTAGGTAACTGCATATCTATGACGCTCATTATGCAGACAGGGTATGACGCAGGCCAGCAGAAATGACAGAAAAAGACAAAAGCCTCTATACCCGCTAAGAAACGAGCGAGCTGGACTTGCAGCCCTGATAGCGGATGAAACGGGTTCGAAGATTACAATGCTGCAAGAGCAGGTACATGAATGCAATGCAATATGAGTCTATAATATACACTGCCTCTAATTCTCCTCCGCGCGTTGGGCAGCAGCCGCCGATTTCGGGCTCACAACCTTGGTGAGCCCAGCGTTCTCGACGTCGTCGTCGTCGTCGTATGTCCTGGCTCTCGGCCTCGGAGTTGGACTCGCGGATCTTCATGAGGACCACCCCACAAAGAGGCAGCGCGATGACAATGAGGAGCCAGGAAATAAGAATTTCGCCGAGGTAGGGTGTCTACGTCGCACATGTTTTAGCAACTTCTTCCACCTGCAAAGTGGGAGCGGGCAGGCGGGCTTACGTCGACTGCGTCCATGCCGAACGACACGGCCGCACCGGCAGACCGGATGGCCTTGTAGTATGCGGCCGTACGGGCAAGTCGAAAGGGCTCATTGGTGATTGCCGACATGGTGTAGTGGGCTAGACCGTTGAAAGCAGCGTCCACGACATAGTCTATTCCGTGGTTAGTTTATTACAGCGTTCCAGGATTGCACGAGTATTTCCCCCTCTACTCACACGCGAACATCGGGTCCTCCAGAAGGACTGTCCATCCAGTCCCATGGAAGAGGCTTCCCCCGTAGCACAGTATCGCCACGCTGAAAGTCGAGCGGAACGCGACGCCGCCACCCCATACTGCGCACACCATGAGGAAAACGGCCGCGCTTGCCACGAGCGAAGAATTTCGTCGCGGAAACGGCAGTGTGTCTTTCAACAGGCCAATGATGACTGAGCCAATGATGGACCCCAGGCCCGTGAGCAGCGCGACAAGGGCGCGCGTGCGGTCGTTGAAGAGAAATGACGTGATGGCGCCCTGGTATGAGTAAAAGGTAGTTGGATCTGAAGAACATGGGAAACAGTGCCAGCATGCGCCAGTCTTTAAACATGCGCACAAACTCGACAGCGCCCCTGCCGCGGTCCCAGAGATGCCTGGACCTCGACCTTTGCGCCGTCGCCGCGGATGACGCGGTGCGGCAGCACAGCTGGATGCGACAGACGTCAGCTGAATGATGATGATGGCGGTGTAGACGCCGGTGCCGAACGAGAGTGCCGAGCTGGAAGAGCGACCAGAAGAGGTTGTAGCTACGGCCCTTGTCGCGCTTAGTTGGGTAGGACATCATGACGGCGCCTTGGGCTGCCCAAAAGAGGGAGGCGCTCAGACCGAGGATGGCGCCGGCAAGAATGAGACTTGGTAGTTCTAGAGGGCGCCGAGTTAGAGGGCGTATCCGGTGGTCCCTATCGAGAGGGTCAGGCGCGGTCCAAGGATGTTCTACACGACACGGGAAGCGGTTAGTCTGAGCAAGGGAAGTTCCGATCTCCAACGAAAATTTGATAGGGGAGACAAGTACTAACATTAACGCTACCGGCAAAGAAGCCGCCTGGGAAGAAGCACCCGTAGAGGACACTGTTGGCGATGTCGCTCAGCTGCACGTCGTGCATGCCACCGGCGCCGAGGTTGCTGATGGCGCTGTGCATGCCGACGGAGCAAAAGGCGACGAACCCGACGATGGTGACATGTGCCCATGGCGAGTTGTCCGTGGAGGTGAAGCTCGGTAGTTAGCTTCTTCTTTTTTCGTGATGAGGTCAGGGGAGGACGCGGACGCGAGTCGCGCGCGCGCGCTCGGGAAAGAGCGAACTGCCACGGACATTGGAGGCGTCCAATTTTGACCTGCGATAGGTCCATCATGGCGGATGATGCGCTGCGAGAGCGTGGATGGAAGGGAGGATGAAGGAAGATGGATGAAGATTCAAGATTTGCTGGGTATAGATAGACTCTTTTGCCAACGGCGGTTTAAAACCCGGGGTCTCCGCAACACGCCAGCGGCTCTCGTCGGTCGAGAGACGGCGCGCGTCCGTCCAGTTTTTCTTTCCTAGATGCAATTGCGAAGTTACGTTTCTTCGTTTTTCTCTGCACCTATTGGCTAGTCAGTGGGTGAGGTGAGCTATAGAAGCTTGGTTCTCGTTCATGCCCCAACATACTAACTTACATAGTGAGTGTCTGGGCCCAGGCTTGGGCTCGTACCAAAACCATTGTTGGCTCGCCCTTCTCCTGCAGATCCACTGAGAATGATTGATGATGAGACGATAAAGTAGATTCGACGGTCACTCGCAAGGAGAGTAGCCAATGATAGTAAAAGATGTTGGGAATACTTGGTTACCGAGTGGATCATTTCTTTTTGTGACTACAATGCCTTTCATGAACGACTGCCACTTCTTGGCTTTTTCTCTCCTGTCCTTGAACCTCCAACAGCAACTATGTGGATGGACGCCACGCGACTTTTAGCCCTTGTTCTTCCCAACTTCAGCCCTCAGACCTGGTAGAAATGCTATCTGCGGCTCCCGAATAGAAATCAATAGCCCCCGCCCCCCGCAATGCCTTTAGACGCTGATATGTCCAATAAATAGCGTTCGCCCTGTCACCTCACCAATGGAGGTGGAGATGGGCTCGTCATGTTGGTGTGAAGACTGGCTGAGGATGGGGTCCCGATGGTAGTTGCCGAAGTGGGCAGAGGAATTTTGTGCAGCTTGGACCTGAAACCAACTCTGTGCCAACGGATGCACGGCTGTGCCAATGAAAAGAAGCAGAAGCGCGTAGTCGAGCCGAATTCTAGCAAAAGATTTCAATTCTGAGGCGCTGCCATGTAATAAAGCAGGTGTATTGCTCTCGAGGGCGGGCGTGCTTGTGTCAACATGGTGCGGAGAACCCCACACGATTGGGCTGAAGTTTTTAGTATACAGTAAAGCTAATAAAGCATAATTATAAGTGCCAAGAAGTTGGGCTGCTCATCGCATATACTGGTTGGTTGTTGTCGACGGTGCCACTGCGGTACCCTGAAGTATACGGATCCAAGGGACCAATACTTGTGTTGGGGCTGCACTCAGCAAACATTCGACGAAACAAATTGTTGGTGGGCATTCGAACCGCATCCAGAGGACACTTCCCCCTGGGAAATCAACATGGCTGATCCCATGGCCAATGCCGACAACAACCCCTAATAGTCCATGCCACGGGAATACAATTGGTTTCGAAGCAGCATGTCTAAATGGGATGAACGGTGTCAGTGGTAGATGACTCGCGGGTGGCGGAAACCAAGCGTTATCCTTTCATGGTTGGGTATTTGATTATGTTATATAGCTCCGTGGGAGTGCGATTTAGTTTTTCTATAAAATCGAAGTGAACTGTAGTCGAAAGGCGAGGTTTAGATCAAAAGGAGAAGGCATCCCCCCACGTGGGGGCCATGTAACGTTTTAACCAACTTTGGCCAATGGCTGCGCCCGCATTTATCATCCTTCCGCTATTTCATCGCCGTCTGCTTTACATTGCATCGCCTTTTGCGACCCAGAATCAATTCTAGAACTCATCAGGAGCATCACGAAGATATTGCCAAGTACCAAACATGACTCCCGCACCGGGACCCAACGGCTGCATAGCCAAACCCGTCACCATCGCCGTCGTTGGCGCTGGGAGTCGTGGCACTGTCAGCCTTCCCCGCATTCTTGTGTTGATTGGCATCGCCGCTCACCATCGTATGAAATAAGACGTATGCCGCATACACTCTTGAGAACCCACAGCTCGCCAAGGTCGTCACCGTGGCCGAGCCTAGCCGACACAGGCGCAGCGTCTTTTCCCGCAAACACAGGCAAGTAGGTGCGCCTGTATCGACAGCCCGTGGCCATTAACACGCCTACCATTCATGTAGCATCCCGGAAGACCTACAGTTCACGAGCTGGAAAGACCTAAAGGCCAAAGGCAAAATTTCTGACGCCGTCGTCATCGCCGTCCAGGTAGGATACCAGTTGTTGCCACTTTCCGAGCGCAACCACTTACACGACCAAGGACCACCAACATGTCGAAGCCGTCGAAGATTTCGCAGAGCTGGGATATCACATACTATGCGAAAAGCCTATGGCCACTTCGGTTGCCGACTGCGTCAAGATCCGTAACTTGGCGCAGGCGACGGCACCAAAAGTCTTTGGCATGGGCCATGGTATGTGGCATCCCAGCCCAACATCCTCGCCTATCGCTTACTTTTTTTTCTAGTCCTCCGCTACTCACCATACAATCGCGCCGTCAAGGACGTGATCGACTCTGGTGCTCTCGGCGAAATTATCAACATCCAGCACATTGAACCCGTCGGCAACCAGCACTTTGCACACTCATACGTGCGTGGAAACTGGCACAAGGAGGCAGATTCCTCATTTTCGCTCATGACGAAATCTTGCCAGTATGAAAACTAAACTACGGGCAAGTTTACACGACTGACCGTTACAGCGACATTGACATTGTCAACTTTTACCTCTCCGGGCTCAAGCCCACCAAAGTGCACTCGTTTGGCTCCCTCCGCCACTTCAAAAAATCGCAGAAGCCGGCCGCCGCTGGCTTGGCCAAGCGCTGTCTCGAGTGCCCACACGAGCAAGACTGCGTATGGAGCGCCAAGAAGATTTACATTGATACCTTGAAGGGGGATGTTGAGAAGGTGCGTTTCCTGGATGGCGACCTTCTTCTCAAAGCTAACTTTACCTGCAGTGGGCTAGACACTTTGTTGATTCCGAAGTTCTCGACATCGAAAACGTTACCAAGGCGTTGAACAGGACGAACTACGGCACCTGCGTGTACGAGGGCGAAAACGATGTCGTGGACCACCAAATTGTAAACATCGAATACGAGGGCGGCACCACAGCCAGCGTCACCATGTCTGCATGTAAGTGTGTGGCAGACTGGACCCCAATAGACCTTGCTGACGACTGCTCCAGTCACCGAGTCCGTTTGCCAGCGCGGCACGCGCATCCAAGGCACCAAGGGCGAGTTGATTGGCGACATGACTACTTTCGTGAGCTTTTCATTCCCAACCTTACTTATGCATAAACTGACAACTTCTCAGGACGTATTCGACTTTCTCTCCCGGACCAGCAAGCACTACGCACCCAAGCTCGATGGCGGCTACCACGGCGGCGGCGACACGGGTCTCGCTCGTGCGTTTGTCAGCGCGGTCGCCGAGGAACGGCAGAGCGTGCTGCAAGTTACAATCGATGACATATTGGATTCCCATCTGCTTGTCTTCGCGGCCGAAAAGGCACGCAAGGAGAGCTGTGTCGTGGATTTTGCACAATTTAAACAGCTTAGCTTGGATCGCAAATAGATACATTACTGATTATGACCTCCCTGTTCCTGTTCAGCTAGATTTTCTCACTATCTGCGCAATCTCACTGCTGTCCATGGGGCATACGGAGAAGTGCCGTACGGCAAACGGACTGCAAACAGAGACCCAGACTGACGGGGGCTGGGGAGGGGGGTTGTGAAAGTGGACAGCAGATGAGCCTGGTGGCCGGGCAACATGTTTGTGTTTCAACCATCGCCATAGTCCGAGAAAAATCTACAATCTACACAGACACATACAGACACACACACACGCACACATACAACAACGCTTTTCTTTTCTTTTTTTTTAAAAAACAATATTTTCAACATGAGCAGCAACAGCAGCAGCAACAACAACAACGGAGGCGCCGGCGCCGGCGCCAGCGGCAGCGGCAACGGCAGCGGCAGCGGCAGCGGCAACGGCAGCAACGGCAGCAACAAGAGCAGCAGCAGGCGAGGGAAATTGCGGGCGCACTGGCGTCAAGAAACGGCTCGCGCGGACGTGACCACCGCCGAGGCCAGGGGTCCACGCGGGCCTCTGGCAGCGGCGTCGGTACCACTGCGCCGACCTGCAACATTCCCACAGGCCCACGACAAGGGTCGAATCAATATGCCGGCGTGAGCAAGAAGGAGGCTCCGGCCCCGGCTCCGGCCCCCGCTCCAGCGGGAAGGCCTCAGTCAGGACAACGCAAATGTGGCAACTGCGGTCGCCCTGGACACACCGTCGTCCATCTGTGTTCATCCCTGGGCGGACGGCTTTGTCCACGGCTGCCCAGTCTGCAACTCCCCGGACCATTGGAACGCTGTCGACTGCAGCTTGATTTGGTCCTCCAAGCTGGGGAAGAACTTTTCGATGGCCATCACGAAGCGCGCTAACCGGCCTCCTCCTCTGGCCTTCAAAGAACTGGGCCATCATCCTGCATTCGAGCAAGGAATACAGCCCGCGGTCTCGCTGCCTTGGACTCCATACATGGCGCAGAGGCTTGCCGCTGAGGGAAGGAACATGCCATGGATCGACTTCAACTACCAAATGAACAATTACCGAGTCTTGTCCACCGACCCCATCTCGACGGCACATGGCGGGACAGCCGATGGTCGCGCGACACTGGGCCGGGTCTTGGAAGATGCCCAGGTGATGACGACTGGCGGTCCTTGGGACGGCACCACGGCTCTACCGCCGGTGCCCCCATTGCCCATCAAGCAGGAGTAAATGGCTTTGTTTCTTTACTTTTGCTTGATAATGAAGTGTCATAAATTGCCGTCGGTTTTTTACTTTGTTTTTCCCTTTTTCTTTTTATCAGGTGTACCTAATATAATGGGTGTTTCTGTTATGACCTGTGCCATCTGTGATGCTCGTAATCCATATCCCATCTCTCGTCTGTGATGCTCGTAATCCATCCCCGTGTTACTCCCACGAGAGTCTCTATGTTTAATTTCACGCTCGGTCCGCTTGATAATAAAAAGTCTCTGTGTGCTATACTGAATATCCAACGACGAACAAAATGAATAATACCAAGTAATACTGCCTACATGGCTGCCTGTGACATTCACATTCACACAGTCTTGAAGGCTGACGCAAACGCGCAATCAACACCAACCGTTTATCCAAGCAGCAAACGGCTCCCCAATCCAACACCGACTTTTTTCTCCTTCCACCATATCAAAAATCCTTCGCTGAGAGTGCGTTATCTACCCAACTGACGCGGCCTTATACTAACAGTGTCGTATATTTAGTCCGTCAATATGTCCTTTCGAGAAGAATTCGCCGACTGGTTTCAGCTGACCGCCCAAGCCTCATTTGGCCACGCCCGACTGCGAGAAGAAGAGTCCCCGATCGATCGAGTCGAGCACCTTGCTGAGGATGTCTTCAGCCTCGTGCGTCACGACAGCGTGGTTGTATACCTTGTTGCCAGCGCGTTGGAGATGGAGCTTCTAACGAAGGAACTCAACAAAAAGAAGCCAGAGTTTATGGCAGCGGCGAAGAATACCTTGGAGATATTCGACTATGCGATCTTTTATGCCCTTGTACGTCGCCGGTCTGCATGGCAAGGCTGGAAACGATCGCACATTACTGTCATATATAATGTTGATTTGCATTTCTCAGCCGCTTTTGCCCTCTGCATGAGATGAATCATGCTCTGGGCTCAGCAGCCGACAACCACTGCACGCCTGCGAGTGTTGACATTGTCAGACTCGGACGAGGTCGAGCCGTCTCTATGGCAGTGCTTGGCCCGTGTGCGTCGATCGACATCAAACTTCGACCATGTCAAGCTTCTCCCACGCACCAAGCTTTCTTCCGCCGAGGACACAAACAGTCCTACCATCACATTTGAGCCCTGGCGCGAAGATGAAGACTTCGTCGAGATTGTTGCGCACTCTGTCGTGGACAATGCCATCCGCCACAAGTCGTCAGTCATTGTGTGTAATGTACTGCAGTACGCGCAACTTCGTGGCAAGATCGATGCCATTAGGGAGGATAACGCCCCCCCATGTACTTCAAACTTGGAGGGTACAACTCAAAACATTATTCAGTGTTTCCAGCAAGTTCCTCGATCTCACGAAATGGTTGATCAAATGTATATCTTTTGCATCGTTACTACAAATCAAGTACCGGTGCAGTTGAATCGTCTTGCCGGCGTCTTTATTGGAATCGAGGTCTATCGTGCGAATTGGGAGACAGGTCGTATTGTATACGACCGTGCGCCGCGATCACAGCGCGAGGTTTTTCAGGCCATGTCCTGCGTTTTCCACAGCTCGTTTCCCGAGGTGACAATCAGGCACCCAGTCATCGAGCACCTGCCTCTCAACCCGGCTCGCAAATTAGGGAGCAGTGAACTCTGGGCCTTCATCGCCAATCTCGCACTGGCTTTACAGGGCGACCAAGTCAGGCTGGAGCGAATCGCTGGCTGTTTTGTGGACGAGTCCCGATTCTACATCACATTGCAGCAACTCGATTCCATGGGGTTTTTAAAATATCGGCAGGTTCGCAGCCACGACTTCCAAATCTACTTTCCACGAGAGAGGGTAGTTTGGTGCGTTGAACGACTGCTTCCATTGTTGGACTACGACTTCGAGGCCGCCTGGCTGCTCGCCCTCGGCCTAGGCGACGAACAAACAAGCCAGTCAGCTCAGCGCGCCATAGCTTACATTACGGCTATTGCTACGACTGAGCGTGCTGGACATGGTATCGATGCAGTATTCAACAAGCCAGATCTGCGCAAGGCTTTGGATCATGCTCTCACAATGATGCTGTCGGGCCAGAGCGACCCCCTCACGCCTGAATTGCAGACCCTGTTCGGGACTACGGGTTCTTTCCCTGTGTAACTGTGGTTACAAGGCGGAATCTGGACTCAGGTGGAAGTTCTGCACACGCTTTACTCTCTGGATCCGGAGATAACCCTGGAGCAGCCTGAGCTGCAGAAGATTGATCTGCTCTCCACCAGTGTTCTCGTAGCAGGCAACTCTACGAGGGCAGTGGTGGCGCGTCTGAAGCGCATCGAAGAGTTCAAGTCTGGCCTCTTGCAGAACAGTGCATTGGAGTTGACGGTCCAGAGAATGAGTTGATTGATGTTATCTGTGACTGCTACATAGTGTGCCTACATACGTTGCTCCAGTAGAATCTTCATCCGGTCCGATGTGCCCAACATTCTGGTCAACAGCAAGCACACCGGCGGCCTGGCAGTCCGTTTGTGTTTTCAACCAGTGCTGCCAGCGTGGAAAAAATTCACATCCTACACATGCGCACGTTGAGACTTCTCACATCGAAGGACCGATCAAAACAACCCCGAAAACGAGGTGCAAAGAGCCCATTGCATGCACATTGCACGTTGATTCGAAACTTCTCACGGAAAACCAGTCAAAACAACCCCGAACACGACGTGGAAAAGAATGTCTCAGCCAGCGAATCTGAGTTCCTCGACAGCCAGTCGACGTCGTCTCAGAATTCCCGTCCGATCCAGCCCAATTGATTCCCACCCAAGTACTTCCAGCACCGTCGTGAACAATCAGGAGACAGGGCAGACGGGGGAGACAATGGAGACAGGGCAACTGGGCAGTCTCGACGACGAGCTTGATAAGTTCCGAAGAGACTACGCAGATGCTATCCTCTATTTAATAGTATATAATAAATTTATAAATATTATCTATAATAATACTTGGTTTTATATAGGACTTATAGTAGTAAGTAACTTCCTATTAGTAGTATCTAATAGAACCCTTAGCTTAGCTAAAAATAATCAGCTAGCAAGTAATAGCACATTTACACTTGTCTCCTCTGTATTTAACAGCACACGCGGATTCCAGCGACAGTACAACACACGATACAGCACTTCTAAAATGGTAAAACAGAATGTACAGAAGTAAACGGAATGCTCAGAAGCACTCAGACGCCAAGAGGAAACCAGGTACCAGGCACTAGCCACATGGATGGATGGATCGGTGCAACATGCAGGAAGCTTAAATGGCGGGCGGAAAGCTTGGCAAGAGTTTAAGTCTGGAGAAGAGACGAGAAAAGGACAACTCCTCGGAGGAGGTGACGGGGGAGTCGAGGGAAGCAACATGGCAAGGCTGTCAGTCGATGGATAGTGGCAGTAGTCTGCTGTATGGGGGATCCCGTGGCCCTGAAATTTTTAAAAGAGGGACGAGGACGAATGGGAAGTGAGCAGTAATCAAAGAGAGGATCCCAAAAATGAGAGAGGCATTTAAATTTGGGCAAGTGTATTGCGACGCCGCTAGCATCGATCCAGCTACGCGCCGCACAGCCTCGATGGGTACTGAGACAGTGGTTGTTTACTTGATTGAATTATTAGGGACTGGGAACAAGAAGAAAGTGAAAGTGAGAGAGAGAGAGAGAGAAGAGGGAAGGAGAGGGAAGAAGAGAAGAGATGAGAGTCGACAGGCCAGGGAGACCAGCTGTCAACCGTCAATCCTGCAAGCGACGCCGAATGGTATCGGACAAGAAACCATTTCGCTGTACAGACCATCTCCATCCGTATGAATGCGGCTGGTGTCGGTACCCTTGCTCTCAACTGTTCGCCGCCGTCCCCTCCCGCGATATCGACCACAGGGCTTGAGTTTGTGGAAACGGGTAACGCTGCCGAAAAGGGTCTCATGCGCCCCCTTGCCACGTTATGACATCAGACCGCCTGAAGTGAACCGTGGCAGATAAGCTGTCGCATCCCATCCCATCCATCTCTGGCGATGCGACGACGAGTTGCGCTGAGGCTCAGCACGAGGCCGTGGTGACACAGCAGACACCAGCTGAGAGGCAGGGCGAGAGACTCAGGACTGTGGGAAGTGGGAGAGCAGGCTGCTGTGGATGAGACAGAGTATCTGCAGCAGGAGCGCCACTGCAAACAATATATTCCATCGACGACTTGTCACCGTGGCGCCCAGAAATTCCCTCATCAGCCATACCAGTTGATGATGGCAGCCAGACCAGATCAAGAAGGCAAGGCGAGCACTGCCCACCTGTCGTGGCCGCGGCTACTCGGCATGCCGCTCACAGACTCCATCGAGCAGATCAGCCTTTTGTCTTTTGGGAAAAGAGAACTAGTGAAAACAGACAACCACACCAAAGACACCAGACACCAGACACACCAGACACACCAGACACCGGAGGCAGCCCGCCGCCTTCCAAGACTAGCTCCTGATGGCCCGCCTCGCCGATCCAACGCCAAAACGGCATCAGCCAGCCGACAGTAAGCCAGGCTGATGCCAGTTGTAGTTCCTGTACAAGTCAAACTGGTGGTCAGTCACAGCATGTTCCAGGCCTACCAGTCTTCGGCAAACAGCCGTTGCCCACCCACGAGCCAGAGCCACCCACGACTCGACGCCAGCACAACCACCACCAAAGTCGGCCATCCACCCACCTCCAGACCGCGGCGAGCTCGTTTGGATGGCCTGAGCCTCGTTGTTTTTCTTTTTTTTTTTTTTTCCGCTCCTCCTCAGCTCCTCCTTTCCTAAACGGGCAACGCCAACGTAATATGAGCCCTGTGGTTGGTTGTTCCTCCATAACCGCGCCAAGCTCCCAGATATATGGCCGTCTGTTAACGAGGTTCATAACCATCCGCAACGGGACATTTCAAAGGCTTCAATATTTGGCCCGCCTCCTTTCCCATTTCCCTTGCCTGCACGCTCTCAGCTAACTTTAGGGCAAGAGGTGAGAAAAAAACAATGGGATTCCGCAGTCCGCGGCGGCCTAGAGTCGTTTCGTCTCCCCCCTCTCACCCGGATCCAGCCCATCAGCTGCGTGAATAATTATAGGTAGAGAAATTTTTCGGGATCCTGACCTTGCCGTAATATAAATACACAAACACATGCAGGATACTTGGTCACCAGGCTGCGTACTGTTGCATTCCCTGCCACATCATCACCGCCTCGCTGCACCCTGCTCCTGCTCCCTCCTGCTCCTGCATCCTACCTCGCTGGCCAATACCGCCCTTTCGAGACCATACTCGACTTTGCTCTGCATTAGTCTCGTCTCTTAATTCCCTCTTACCCTTTGCCCTTTGTACCTGTTCCATTCGTCTGTCTCGTCAAGAGTGCAGCTGTACGTACCGAGTACATTCTACATTCCCGGACAACCCAGACAACGCTAGCCACCTGCGAGTCACATACACCCGCGATGCCTGAAGAAGCCGTCCCCGAAGCCGCCGAGAAGGAGGCCGCCGCCGAGCGAGACACTCGCATCACCTTCCACGATGCCGACCACCCCCGCCTCGCGCGCGGCCGGTCCGACACGCGCGGCCGCGACGAGGGCTCCCGCTCGCGCTCGCGGCGCCGCTCCGTGAGCCGCGGCTCCAACATGTCGCGCTCCGAGCTGCCGTCGTCGCCGTACACGGGCATCCAGATCGAGTACCGCACGCTGTCCATCAACGTGGCCGAGTCGCGCGCCGTCGAGACGGAGCAGTCCTCCGCCGACGACGCCAAGACCGCGGCCGGGGCCAAGGGCGACAAGGCGGACGAGGACTACTTTGCCAACCTGTCCTACCACCAGCTGTCGACGGACCAGATCACGCAGCAGCTCAACGTGTCGCGCACCGAGGGCCTGTCGGCGAGCGCGGCGGGGCACCGGCAGCAGCGCGAGGGCCGCAACACGCTGCCCAAGGCCAAGACCAACTACTGGAAGAAGGTGCTCGGCTACGTCTTTGGCGGCTTCTGCTCGGTGCTGTGGGTCGGCGTGGTCATCTTCTTCATCTGCTGGAAGCCGCTGAGCAACCCGCCGTCGCCGGTCAACCTGGCGCTGGCCATCCTGGTCATCATCGTCATCGCGCTGCAGGCGGGCTTCTCGGCCTTCCAGGACTGGTCCACGCAGCGGACGATGAAGTCCATCACGGACCTGCTGCCGTCCGAGGCGCTGGTGGTGCGCGACGGGCAGACGGTCAAGATCTCGGCGGTCGAGCTGGTGGCGGGCGACATCGTGCACCTGAGCATCGGCAACAAGGTGCCGGCGGACCTGCGCATCCTGAGCCACTCGGGCGACATCCGCTTCGACCGGTCGGTGCTGACGGGCGAGTCAGACGAGATCGAGGGCGCGGTCGACGTGACGGACGCGTCGTTCCTGGAGAGCCGCAACATTGCGCTGATGGGCACGCTGGTGGTCAACGGCAGCGGCGTGGGCGTCGTGGTGCTGACGGGCGCGCGGTCGGTCATGGGCCGCATCGCGAAAGCCACGGCGTCGACGGAGGAGCGGCCGACGCTGATCCAGCGGGAGATTTGGCGCTTCGTGCGCATCATCGTCGCGCTGACGGTCGTCCTCGCCCTGCTGATCCTCTTCACCTGGCTCGGGTGGCTGCGGCGCGACCACCCGACGTACATGAACGTCGTCGCCATGCTCAACAACGTCATGGGCTGCGTCGTCGCCTTCATCCCCGAGGGCATGCCCGTCGGCGTCGCGCTGACGCTCATGATGGTCGCCCGCCGCATGAAGGCCGTCCACGTCCTGCCCAAGGGCCTGTCCACCGTCGAGACCCTCGGCTGCGTCAGCGTCATCTGCTCCGACAAGACGGGCACGCTGACGCAGAACGAGATGCACGTGAGCTCCTCGGCGTTTGTCGATCGGCCCGTCCCGGTCTCCGAGATCGTCGCCGACGTGGACGGGGACGAGCCGGACGCCTGCAACCGCAAGCTGATGCAGGCCGCGCTGCTCTGCAACGATGCCGTCTTCGATCCCGCGACCGTCGCCCTGCCCGTTGCGGCCCGTCAGGTGCAGGGCAACGCGACCGATGCGGCAGTGCTCAAGTTTGCCGCCTCGACGCCCCGCAGCGAGGCCAACGCCGCGAGGCTGCCGCGCGTCTTCCAGATCCCCTTCAACTCCAAGAACAAGTACATGGTGACGGTGCACAGCGATGTCGATGCCCCCGCCTCCACTGAGCTGCGCGTCTTCGTCAAGGGCGCGCCGGACGTGCTCCTCCCTGCGTGTACCGCGTACTGGTCGCGCGAGGCCAACGCCGTCCGTCCGCTCGACGCCGCGGCCAAGACGGCCTTCAAGGAGTACCAGGACAAGCTGTCTCGAAATGCGGAGCGCGTCATTGTCCTGTGCGAGAAGACCATCACCCCCGCCAACGCGGTAAGCACCAACGCTTTCAGCGACGAGGTGGCTGCGGGCGTGATGAGCGAGCTCACGGTGATTGGCATCCTCGGCATCATCGACCCGCCGCGTCCCGAGACGGCCGCTACCGTACGCGAGTGTCGCCGGGCGGGCGCCCGCTTCTTCATGGTCACGGGCGACTACGGCCTGACCGCGGCGGCCATTGCGCGCAACACGGGCATCTTCACCGGCGAGCGCGACCCGGACACTATCGACACCATCCGCGCCGTCACCAACAACGACGGCAAGGAGGCGGCGGCGGCGGCGGGCAGCGCGGGCGCCGTGTCGTCGCAGCTGCGCGCCGAGCGGGCGGCCGGCGAGATCACCAGCCTCCTCCTCGAGGGCCACTCCCTCAACGGCCTGTCCAACGACGACTGGGACGTCATCTGCGAGTACGCCGAGATCGTCTTCGCGCGCACCACGCCCGAGCAGAAGCTGCGCATCGTCGAAGAGTTCCGCAAGCGCGACAACGTGGTGGCGGTGACGGGCGACGGCGTCAACGACGCGCCCGCCCTGCGCGCGGCCGACGTGGGCGTCGCCGTGGTCACCGGCAGCGACGTGGCCATCGAGGCCGCCGACCTGGTCCTCCTCGACACGTTCGACTCCATCATCGAGGCCATCCGCCTCGGCCGCCTCGTCTTCCAGAACCTGCAAAAGGTCATCGCCTACCTGCTGCCCGCCGGCAGCTGGTCCGAGATCTGGCCCGTGCTGCTCAACGTCTTCTTCGGCGTGCCCCTGCCGCTCTCCTCCTTCCTCATGATCATCATCTGCGTCTTCACCGACCTCTTCCTCTCCCTCTCCCTCATCATGGAGAAGGAGGAGTTTGACCTGCTCTCCCTCCCGCCGCGCGACCACAGGCGCGACCACCTCATCAACCTCAAGATCTACATCCAGGCTTACCTCTTTACCGGCACCATGGAGACGCTCTGCGCGCACAGCATGTTCTTCCTGTACTACTGGCGGGCGGCGCGCATCCCGGTCAGCGAAATGTTCTTCCTGTTCGAGGGGTACGGCGCCGGCTTCCACGGGTACTCGGAGGAGGAGCTGGCGCGCTTCAACGCGGTCGGCCAGAGCGTCTACTTCGTCACGCTGGTCATCCTGCAGTGGGGGAACATCCTGTCGGTGCGCAACCGGAGGCTGAGCATCTTCCAGGCGGATCCCTTCACGGCGAAGCGCCGCAACCCGTGGCTGGTGGTGAGCATCCTCATCTCGCTGGCCATCGCCGTCTTCGTGACGGAGGTGCCGGGCATCCAGAGCCTGTTCGGCACCGCGTCGGTGCCGATCGAGTTTTGGCTGATCCCGCTGCCGCTGGCGCTGGGCATCCTGGCCATGGATGAGATTCGCAAGCTGGTTGTCCGCGTCTTCCCCGACGGGCCCATTGCAAAGATTGCCTGGTAAACACGGGATCTCAGGTACATTTTACATTTATCTTTTACATCTTTTTTCTTTCATTTTTCTTTGTTGTTATGTTGGGATTAAGGCATACACGCGCACAAGCGATTTGAACAGGTTACCCTGGAGCTAGCTACCCTGGAGTTACAGCAATGGATAGATTGGATACACTACAGCTGATTCCCATAGACAGTACATACAAATACTGACACGGATATTTGGATACACATGATAATGAAGTTCCATGTCCTACGTCTACTGTCTCCTTCGGACCGTGATAGTTGCAATAGACTTCGTCAGCCTGAGACGCCACAGACCAAGGCTGACTCCCATCACGCCAGTTCCACGATCGACCGCCACCCGTCCATCTTCCCTGAGGCGGCCAAGTTCCGGGGTATGGCGGTGGTGGTGCAAGCCGCATCGGTGCCGAGAGAGTTGCATCAGCCAAAGCAACATAAACTCTCCCAAGAAAAGACTGACGTATGCCTCTTCCAACGGCCAGCGGCCGGCAAGGGCAAAAACGACGGACAAGGCGAAAGAGGGTCCCGGCCCCGTCAATTTAGGCCTTTGAAACTTGTTCTGCAAATCATTGCTCTTTGGCGCCATTCAGCGTAGCATTTTCACCGTCAGATTAGTCTCATTTCTTACTGGGTAGCTTCAGAGGGGCGTGTCTTGAATTTTTTCCTCTCCCCATCCAAGACAAGATAAAGGAAAAATAGAAATGTGCTATCCACCGGCCGCAGTGTCGATCGACAGGGCCTGCGGCATTGTCGCACGCACGCACCGGTGGAACAGCGCGCGCGGGAGAATGGGTGAGTAGGGGGTGCAGGCCCCGGAGCTGGCTGCTGCGGGTGAATTCAGTATTTTTGCACAGACATTCGAATGGGCCAATCGGTCGGGTTTGCTCGTCTTGGCGTCGTGAAGAGGGCCTGGGGATTGAGTACATCTGGTGCTTGGCGGGGAGTAATTCAATGGCTTTTACGGCATCGCCTGTTTTGGCCAAGATGAGTTAGACGTGATAGATGTGCCAGTAACGCTTCATCGGTGTGATGTCGAGCGCTCGTGGCATGCCATGGCCTGCGCGTTGATGCTTGCATGTCCCAGTGCCGACGATTTGTGAGGTCAAGCTTTGCGACGAACGCCGAGGAGAAGCATGTTCGAGGGGTGTGTTACAAACCTAGTGTCAGTGATATTGCCTTGTTCTGCCGCGTCATGGGCATCGACACGTCCTGAACTAGATGAGTCTGGTCCCGGATACAGGCCATGATCGTCCTTGTTTGCCTCCTATTCCTCGTCCCCTCACTCTCCAACCATCTTGCCTCAAGGTGCCGCGACTGCCGGGTTGTGGCAGGACTATGTGCCGCTACCCACGATGAGCGTGCTCTGTGACGACTGACTCTTTCGCCTGAGGGGTGTCTGGTGGTGTGCGTGGCTTTTGCACCATCCTTTTTCTGGGCGCAACGCTGCCACAGCGTACGTAGGCACGGAAGGTTCCGTATTCATCGGCCACGCCATTTCTTTCATGTCCTTTTTGGCTAATTCAGCTCTCGCATTGGAATGCCAGCGCCTCTGCCGCCTCTGCCGCAATAGCTTCTTTGGTGGAGGGGGGCGAGAGCTGATTCCATTTTTGGATAACCTCAAATGACCCTGTCTGAGGCTGACGAGCGCGCACCAAGTGCATGGAACCTAAACACCAAAAAGGAGACAGCGTCCCCGTCAGCGCGCAGTCGGCCATCGTCCGGCCAGCGATGCCTCAGCAATAAGATTGGCATGGATGCTTTCAGCCTTCAGCTTTGCCCGAATAATAATAGCAACAACGATAATCTGGACGGAGTAATAATAGTAATAATATCATGACAACAGAAGAAAAGGGGACGGCCAGAGAAGTGTTGGCTGTGAATCAAGCCTTGACTTACCGACACCTACCGTCATGGCAACCCTAAACATACTGTGCCTTGGCTGTGATGGTACGACAATTTGGCCTCGCATAAATGTCCTCTCAGTCTCAGGTCTGGTGCTAACTAGTCTGTGCTGCAGACCGTACGAAGTGCAGCTTAGTCAAAACCTATTCGATCTGGCAGCGTGCTGCTCACACAAACCAGCACCAAGTACAGCCCGTTCCCTGATCTTCTGGCAAGATCAAGGGTCAGCGCAAGGTAGAGGTTTCGTCGCACAATGAATCGCAATACCTGGTACCGGCCCTACCCTTACTTTGTACTCCCTACAAGCTGTCAGTGCACGACAATATTGAGGCCCGTGTCAGTGTGCCTGTGCCTGCTGTCCTGCGTCTCGACAGGGCTTGCTCCCGCCTAGCTGACCGAATCTGGGGGAGTGTTTTTCTGGAGCTGGGTGGCGCTCTCAATTTCCCTTCCGCTGTCAAAAGATAGGGCGACCCCAGGTGCTACAATGTGGCGCCTGTATCGAGCAAGCCTCGTCGCGTGGCAATGGAGAGCAAAGGGGAGCCAAAACATCGGGCGGTGGCGACCTCTCGGTACTCTTGGCGACGAGGTCATCGCTTCACCATCACCAAGTGGCTCTGTTTTTCATCAAACCTGGCGGTTCTTGTTGGCGACCGAGAGGCGACCGAGGGAACGGGTTCAGCAGCACGGCTGCACCAGCGTCCGACACCGGCGGCTCTCTCGAGCGCAAATCTCTTCTCAAATGGCCTTGGTCATGCGAGGGTATGATGCTCGACTAGGATCAGAGGCCGGCTGCAGAGTTGGCCCCGGCCCCGTGCGTATTGCAGGGGCAGGGGCGATGGACAAGTCAAGTCGCAAGGAGGGGGTCGCGACGACGAACAGGGTGCCGACAGAGCTGGCTAGCAGTACGTAATTGCGATGGCCGGCAGCAGCATCCAGAGCGAAGTACTGCAAAGATGAAACCTTGTTCGATCGGATCATGGCCATACTTCAGTTAAAGTTCCCCCGCCGTTGTGATGGATGCTATGTACTCCGTATTATCGGTGGCTTGGAAAAGGTTGGGCGTCAATAAATGTCCGTTGGAACCAAAAAGAGGGGGATCCTCATGTGCGTAAAAGGCGTCTGCACCCGTACGGGGAGCGACGCCCAACTGCAGCCTTGTCCGCCAATGGGTGGCCTCCCGTCTGTCTCCCGCGACCGAGGCAGCATTGAGCTGGCATGGAGGCGTATGATGGAGGCATCCTTTCATCCGTTCCCACGCATTTGCTGCAATTTCGGCTTCAAGTGAGACTCTGCGCTTTTGGGGTCTTTGGTCTCTCTTCCGTTCTCCGCGTCTTGGATCACTGGACACACCCACAGGACACCCACAAAGGCCACAACCATGTCCTTAACAGCAACGAGCCCATTTCCAAGACCCAGCCAAGTCAGTATTCCACGTGTTGGGTGGTCCACTGGAGCGCCACCCCAATAGCCTGTAACATCCGCACCAACAAGCGGTCCTCTCGTTGCTGTTAGGCAATGGAAACGGGCGGCGGTTGATGTCTGGACAAAATCACTTGCGTTAGCGCAGCTCTATTAAGCATGCGACTAAGGCCAGTCTGGTGAGAATCTCCGCAGCCAATGTGATGCTCCACCAGTTGCAATGCAGCAAACCACACAGAGGACGGCTGAATGTCATCGCACATGTAGCAGCAACGTGGTTTCGGAGTCTGTCGCTGCTTATTGAGTTGTCCTAGCAATTACAATCCTTGCTGGCTTGTTTGTCGCAGTCAAGCATATCGTGTATATTATGACCATTTGTATGCTTTTTCGGAGCAGTGCCCTTGTAGGATGACTGGATCCCTGCACATCCCGGTCGTTGCTTATCTTGTCAACTGCGCTGGCAAGTCGGGATAGTCGGGATAGCTCAAGACGATTTCTGCGTCTACCAGCCCTTCGTTGCCTGCAGTCAAGGTTCCGTATCCGTAGCCTTGCTATTGATCAAGTTTACCAACGTGACCCTGGCAACCTAGCAGTTTGCCTTGCCGTGGTGCAACTCTGGAATATCCCGCAGCTTCGCTTTGGTTCCACACGCACTGCATGCTCGGTGGGCTTGAGGGGGCTTGGGGGATCGATATGGCGCAATGCCTTCCTGGCTCCTCAGCCGCACCCTTCATTATCAGTTTTTGCACGTCGAGCGCAATATTGACGCTAGCACGCTAAAATTGATTGCTGCCCCCATCAAGTCCGGTCTCGTCACGGCCATTACGAATTGCTCGTTTCGTCGCCGATTCGCCGCCGATTCGCTGCCGAGGCTCGTTAGGCGCACGACTTGGCAGGGTGGCTCTAATTTGGTGACCGTCGGCCAAGAGAAAACGCAATAAATCCAATACTATGGATAACCAAAGTTTACCGACATCGCAGGATGTGGTATTGGACGAATCTATCCGCCAGGAGTGGCAAGCTAGCACGGCGGCGCGGCGGCGCAAGAATGACTTTGGCCAGGACTCAAACGCCGGGAACGGACTGAGGCGTTCCAGGACTATCCTGTCTCGGGAGTTGGTTGTTGAGGTGTGTGGGCGAGGCTGGCTTAGATTTCCCAAAATATGCTCGATAACTACCATGTTTTGGCGGCTACTGTGCTAAATGGGTTAAATGGTTAGTCTCGGAGAGATGCCGACCGCAACCTGGAACAGGCGTCGTAATGAAGCTTTGTCGAGGCCGTGCCAAAGGTGTCTCAACGACAGCCGGCTGTGGCACCCTAGCTGGCTATCGGGTCCTCTAGCTGAGAGGCGGCGCTGACGGCGCAGAGACAAGTACGCGGATCGGCGTGGTGGCGCATGGCGCTCGACGGGTGCTCCAGAACAGTGCACACCCTGTGCTTTGTCTCCTGAGTTGTGAGAGACGGCAAGTTTCCGATGTCTGGGGTTTGCCCATGGCGACCCTAGGCCACGCCAAAATCTAGCGAGGACCCTGTGCCGGTGGTCCAACTCTGTGGCTAACTGCAAGTAGCTTGGTGAGCTGTGAGGACGCGAGTCTGCTTTGGGCAGCTGGTGATGTCGGTCGCCGGGGGCGGTGTCGGGGTAGTCATGCCGTGGCACCATGCGCAGCCACGAGTGCGCCTCTCGAGATCGAGACATGATGCCAGTCTGGTGGCACGGGGCTCTCGATATCGTGGCAACGTGGGTAGGTAGCCCATACCAATTCCAGTATGGAAGCATTGGCCGAAAACGGCTGAGATAGTCGAGCGACCAAGTCTGGCGCGTGGCAGCTATCTGTGGGACGAGAAAGCCTCCCTCAAGCCACTAGCCTACCTCCTATTTGGCCTCGCCTCAGCTGAGGGTCCTGCGTGCACGGCGAGGGTCCGAAGTTGAGGAGGCGTCAAGCTTTGAGGCTGGTAGAGATTCTGAATGTAGTTGGGATAAAGTATTGTTTTGGATTGTTCAAGTTGATGACTGATTCTACGGTGCTTAGTGCTCGCTGCAAAGTGAGATGGCGATGGGCGTCGACGTCGGCGGTGCCGTTTCGGCTGCTGAGGGGGTGAAACATGGATGCTCGCCGCGCTTCGTCGCTAATTCTAGAAAATGCAATGGAAGAACCGCCATGTCAGAGCATCACGGAGCCATGCAGTGGGAGCGTTTGCTGATGCTGGGTACGCTACCCAGGCTGGAGGTTGGGGAGATGAGGCAAATCGGGGCGTCGTTGGTTGCCACCCGGGTGCCACTCAGCTGAGGCCGCGTTACCGGCTGGCTGGGAGGGAGGGCGTGTGAGGTTGTTCGGTCAGACTGATGAGAGCACCAAGCAGTTGGCGGAGTTTTGCAAGGTTGGTCGGTATGCATCCGTCGAAAGCTTCAGCATGCTTTGGGCCCCCGATGACCAATAGCCAATGACCAATGACCAAAGTCACCCGTTCTAGAGTTTGCAGTTGACAAGAATCCCCTAAAATCCGTTCACTCGTCTAACACTTCCTTAAGTGGACTAGCTCCCTTGGGCCCCCGTTCTCGCTGCTGAGTGTGGCTCAACGGGAATGGCGGAATGCGCCGCACCTGCCACTCGCCTCGTCTCGCCTCAACCAGAGGCGCCCCAACCAGAGGAAAGAGCCTTTCCCCAGGATGCAGAGGTACTTACTCTTCTGAGCAGTTTCGCCGGTCACCAAGGTACCTTCCTCCCCTGTGGCCAGCTCGCCTTCCCCTGTAAACAGCTGGCCGTCCCTGTGGCCCAGCAGAGAGCGACCTTCCGCAGTTGACTGGGTTGAAATGCCCGCTGCGCCACCTCCCTCTTCGTCTTCCCAGCCGCCGTCGCTCTCGATATTGGCTCACCACATCAGCCCAGGGCCTTGCAAACACCTCCCTTTTTTGAGTCCCAAGTCCTTTTGTACACCCAGATCGAGAGTCAACGCCATCTAGACGCCATTGATAACGCCATACCCTCCTCTGTTCTCGCGCATGAGCCACCATCTGCGCCTTGTCATCTGGTTTTGGCCTCTTCCGCCGCTCAGCTTCCTCCACAATCCGAACACGCCCTCCACCTTCTCAACTTTGGAATACATGCAGGCTCGCAGGTCGAGGCCGTTGAATACTGGTAGCCGGGCTTGCAATCACCCCGCAACACGCGCATCAGTGTCTCCCGGCTAGACGCTGTTTCCACCCACCCAGCAGCCATTTATCATTGGTCAGAGCCCGAGATGCAAAGGCTCGCGATTCAGGCCTTCGTCTATTGGAGCTTTGAATTACACGTTTAGGGATACATCTTGTCCGATGTCCGACCTCTAACTTTGACTTGTGTCTGCACTCGTTCCCTACCCCGTACGGATAAAGATTACTGTTCAGGTATGTCTTAGCCACGCAAGAGACATTCCTCAGCCTAGTCCGGCTCGCTCGGCCCTCTGCTCTAATTTTATCCTCTAGTTGTATGATACCACATTACTGCCTTCCAACCAGTCCGGTGCTATTGTCAGTACTAATTACGGCTAATTTGTACATGCATCGGATTCGCACCTTCGTCTTTTGTGGGCACTATACCTCCGTACCCCGAGCGACTGTCGGCCTGAGAATGACAGGTCACACGCTGCTCATATTGTCCAACAATGCTGCCAAGCCTTGGGATTCTCTCATCAAGCTGCTGAATGGGTGTGTCGGTCTCGCTCTGCGCTCCCACGAGCCTCGTATGGCCAGTCCCTGTACCCCCGGCACAACCACCATCAGACGTTGACAAAGAGCTGCGATGCACCGTGTAAGCAACTATCAGGAACTCACCAGAACTGGTTCTAATGCACAGCGCACACCCACCTATGCCAACATGAAATAGCGTGTATTTGATGCGCTGCCCAAATGTCTATCGGTGGACCGTCCTTCGCTAGCTTGGAGTAGCCTTGTCGCTCCTGTACCTTGTCGCTCTTGCCCATTTTTATTAACAGTGTTTCACTAACCAGTGGAACTAACTCGGATCAGCGCTTGCAATCATTCATCACTTGTCAAGAGTAGCAGTGACGACTGCAGGGCGAGAATCCAGACCGCACCGAGCAATCTAGCGCAGCATCTTCACTGCAACCGTCTACCCGATAGAGTTGATGTACCAATGACCCCGCCATCACCGCGTTGATTCGCTCACTGGCTCGCCTCCACATGGCCGACATGCTCCTACCAGTACTCCGTGCTCCGTTGAGTTACACACTTGACAACCTTCGGTCCATGCTAGCCCAAAGGAGCACTAACACGACTTGACCGCAGTAAAGCTGCTCGGACGAGCGGCCGTGGACACGGGCTGAAATGCCAATGCTGGCGTGAGTGAGCTAGTGCCTTGTCGGCAGTTGACTTGCAGTGTCGTTTAACAAGACGTCGCTTTTGGACTTTTCTTCGACAATTGATGCGATTACATGTGCCCTTGGAAATTATTCATACGGCCAAGGCGCCAAACTCGAGCCGCCATGGATGGCTTGTTCCTCGCCGTTGGAAAAGTGCAAGCCATGGCTGAGCTTATCCGCTGGATGGCGCTCGTGGCTTGCTCAGAACAGATGGGCTAGCTAGTTGTCAGTGTTGTCTTGCAACGCTGGTGCTGTGGGTGGCTCGGAACCCCACGGGGGTGGCAGCAACGGCGTGATTGCAGGGGGCCCGGGCCTTCATTGCTGGCGTGACCCAAGAATTATTATCGAAAACTGATCCTCGGACGGTGGATGGGTGTGCCACAGACTTTTAATGGTTGTCCGTGTATAATCGGACTGGCAAGGTATACGAGCAGGTGCAACTTATCGGCCGGTATTATACATACTTGCAATGGCCACAATTACATGGCAGACTTGCGCAAGTTCAGCTGTGACACATTCAACGACTACTCATGTTGTTCCAGGAGCAGCAGCTAATAACGAATGGGGACTGTCCAGATCAAGTAGCTCACAGGATGGCGTCGACAGTGACAGAGCACTGACAGCCAGCCTCGGGTTCTGGCCAAGCAAGAACGCCACAGGGCGTTTCCAGGTGAGGCGAGCGTGCTATCCAACTGTCGCATAGCACCCGCGAGATTTGGGAATGAGACCAGGCTGTCGATACGATGTCGTAAAGGATTGAGAAACAGCAACACACCGGCTCGGCAACGAAGTCGTGCTCTGTACACCTTCCTGAAGTGGCAGGCACTGAATGGTAACATATTGCTAAGAAAAATGCCAGGCTCTACCAACGAGGCAGGCTACGACGAAGAGAGCAAGTGAGCGAAGAATGGGCAGACATCGCAAGTTGGCTGGGCCAAGTTAGCGCACAGGCAGGGGCAAACTAGGGGTCGCCTTGTCTGCACGCCCGTCTGGCATCGCCCCTCATCAAGCCACCAGCTGCGCGACTTAACCCTGTGGTGGCATTGAGGCTGGAGACAATTCCCAGGAACTTGGATTGGGGAATCTGGCGTAACGGCGGTGGTTGCATGAATGGCTGCCATGTTGCCGACCGGCGAGCAGCGCCTTCGCCAAAACGCGGAGAGCGACGCGGCCCGGCTTTGCAGAAAAGCGCTCTGCTCCAGAACGCATGACTCGAAAGGCTGCAAAGTGACACTTACCAATGCGGCACTTCGTCTACGAGGCCACGGCGGCCCATGGCACAACAGGAGCAGTCGCTGATATCATTATGAACGGTCATTACGGCGCTTTCCCAGACGGTCTTGGTTAGCATGTCACCGCTCGGCGACCAAGCTTATCAGGGAGGTGGGAGGAAGCTCGAGCAGGGGGTGACCCGCCCGTCGCAACGAGAATTTCTCGACTACTACCTGAACCGCGGCAGAGCGGCACACCATCGGGGGGAGGATGCAGACGCGCGCGGGTCGGGCAGAGCGACCGTGTCAGCACCCTCCTCTGCTAGTCTCCGCAAAGTCCGACAGAAAGGAGAGATTGGACGGTCCGTGTGGCTTGGCCGAGGAGGGAATTTCGAAGGAGAGCAGTGGTAAGAGCAGCAAGAGTACAATGTCTGCACCAACAGCGCTCGTTCACAAATCAGGAGCTGGAAGAGCATGTATGAGAAACCTAATACGAAGGGTGCCGCGTTTGGTTACTATTGCGAGGACCCGAAGATGAAGCTGGGCGTGCGAGGCTCCAGCGGGTATGACACGGAAGGACGAGTTACTAGTATCTCAAATTGAGGCTCTCACTTTGCACTGGCGAAAGCTCTCGGTTATTGGAGCAGTAGCATTGATATTGGACGAACGGCGCACGAACGGTTGAGGAAGGGGGCGCCATGCAGTGAGCACGGTTCTTGTCAGAAGCTTGTTGGGTGGCGGGAGGCGTTGAAGCAACGGGCGGCGCTGGGGAAACCCACAAAAAGATGCGGACATTCGGTATGTGGGCAAATCGGACCACAGTCATGACGGACTTGTCCGGAGCGGTATCCCTGGAGCAATGGCATCAGATGATGGCCCCGAGCTGTGAGATACCTTCATCGACGTACTCTTTTGCAGGTTTTGCAGAGTTGGAACGCAACTATTGGAAACACTGCAACGAGCCACGGAAGAACACCGAGCTTCTCATGTGGGAGACCAGCGACGAGCTAGGGTGCTTGCATGCAAGACGAGTGGGAAGGAGGACGCTAAGGCGAAGTAGGGCACGTAAAGCGAGTGAGGGCTAGTGTGCTCTTGGTAAGGAGGATGGGTGATGAATGGCTGCGATTGCGATGAAGAGAGTCAGGCTGGCAGCTATTTCTGGGTGGTCTTACTGGTTAGAGAATGCGGAGCGACAGTCTGTCCCACTTCGCAGCGGCCCTTGTCAGCTGGGATCAGGACCTCCACCAAGGTCTAGGTTTTTATGTCGCATTTGTTGACTGGCAAGAGATGCATGGTGGCGGAGGAAGAACGCAGGGGTCTAGGAGGACGAGGAAGGAGAAGAAGGGGAAAGAAAGGGGAAAGAAGGGGAAAAAAAGAAGGATGTGATGGTGACAAACAAGGAGACATTGGGGTGCGTCGCTTGGTATCACGTCGTCTGTTTCGAACGAGGCACGCCTTCCAAAGCTGCTGCGGGGAGCAGGACCAGGCGGACGACCAGCATGGGTGAGTTGGCCAAGAAAGATAAGTGAGCATTGGACTGGGGAATCTCATCGACGAGCAGCTCATTGCTGGAATGAAGGACTGGTGCGGTGTGCAAGTACAGAACCGGTTAGCGGGAAGCGCTAACGAAAGCTGGGCAATTCAGTGGCCGACCATCAGTCCCACAGATGGACTTGTCCACACGGGCTGGGCGGGCGAGGGTGTTGGTGATGCTTTGCGAGCAACAGCTGCGGTGGCACCGGGGTGGTCGCATCCCCCTGGGCGCTGGCAGCCTCCCCCAGGCGTGGCAGAGCAAGGCTGCCCGTCGTCCACAGTGAGCAAGGCTGCTGGCTGGCTGGATGGCTGGCTGGCTAAGATGATTACCTGCAGCTACGGAGTTTTTTAGTGCGGTGCTGCGGCATGGCTGGAAAAGGAGAGATGCGGGCGTCGTGCAGAATGGCGCCAAGGGGTCATGCTGTCAGTGGTGGTTGATGAAGATGATTCGGTATCGGCAATTTGAGTGTAGATGAGCGTACACAGATTTGGTACGTAATGGTACACGGTATACGGTACGGAGTACACACAGACTGACGAACGGCTCGGTTGTTGGGATCTGTCAGACTCGTTTTTGATGAGCGGGCGCACAGGACGATCCCGTCATGTTGGACGAAAAGTTTATCAAGGGCGGATCCGTGGCAGCAGCTACAAATACTGGTACATGCAAAAAAGGGGCTATTTTTGCTGGGCATGAATGAGCCTACGCCAGTCCATGTGGCATACGAGTCAAGCATTCCCAACAGAGGAGGGACGATGGACGTCATTGATTAGAGAACAAGTGAGGTGACTTTTGGCCTTTTGAGACATTTGTTGGACCGCGAAGATGATAGAGATGGTGTTGGGCGGTGGATGGATGGATGGATGGAGATGGACTGATGGCTGATTGATGGTGTTAGTCGGCTGCAAGCCATATCTGTGTCGCTCCACACGACAATGGAGGGGAAGGTGGGCACGGAGTGGGTAGAGGATGGAGATTTCTTTGTTCATTGCCTGCCATGGTGTTATTGGCAACAAGGTCATGATAACTTGGACGTGCTTGGCTTCAGAGTGTCGGCGGGGGAAGGGAAATCGGGAAATGCGCCGACGACGGGTATGGATGGATGGGATGGGATACAACTGATTGCCTGCCCGAAGCCCTGTTTCTTTCCTGTCATCTTTCAGCTTTTGGTTACATTTCTCTTGCATCTTGCAATAACGCTGGGACAAGGACCCTCCTCCTCCTGCTCATACCAGGGCCGGTGGTGCCGGGCAGGGCATCCATGTGCTTTGCGGCGCGACGAGTGGGCTGGAGGATCCGCGCGAACCTGGAGATTTTAATCTTTTATGGCTCCGTTTTTGAATTATTCCGGTTTCGCTTTGTCTCTTTTTTTTTTCTCGTCAATTTCAGTTGGTCACGGCCGAACGAGCGAATTACAGCTCATGAATGGAATTTTCTGGTGATACAAGGAGAGAGGTGGGTTCTTGTCGTTCTTGAAAGATGACCTTTTAGCGGTGACGATTCTTTTTTGGATGGTTTTTTATTCCTAGTCTTTGTTGGCGGAAAGGAAGAGAGACAGGATATAAGAATAATTATCAACATATGCAGCAGGTGATGTAAATTGCAGGACAACTCACACACCACCCCTTCGTCACTGGATAGGCCTGGGTACGGAGAATTCAAGTCTGGTACCTCCCTACGGATCTATACGGATGCTGGTACATACGTACGTATACATGTAAGCACAGGGAGCACCGCTCAGGGATCCTCTCAGCTACAGGTTCCAGACGCGGGCTTTTATATCTACACTTAATCTAATTTGCCTTCTTTTTTATTCGTAATTGCAGTGTGTTGGCCTGCAGCAAGTAACAGACAGCAGTTACCAAGCAGATACCACGAACAGCAGCCGAGTCAAGCGCACGCGGATGCCATGCTTGTACCCTGTTCATCTGAACCCACGCTATTCCGTTGACTCTCTCTTTTCTTTTGGCCCTTTCCCTGATGAATCTCCTTTTAGCCACGTTTGTTCTATTTTTTCAACTACATTCATTTGTAAGCCCCAGCTGGACAGACAGACACAACCCATCCATCCCCCTCTCCTCCCGCCTGACATGCCTCCTTCACCCACCCCTTTCATCTCGTTGCAGCCACGCCTTTCCACTAGCCACACCACATAACAGCCACACGCCCCATCCACACCCTCACCCACACCTTATCCCATCTCCACCACCCACATCCCTCCGCCCAACAGCACGATGCCCGACTCGAGGCTGCCTCTTTTTGGCACACCCCCCCTCCCCTCCTTCATCCTTTCTCCTCCCCCAGAGACAAAAAGGAAAAAAAGTAATAATAAAAAAGTACAATTGTTGACAAGTGGATTTTCTTTCTTGGACTCGCTTCAGCTGCATATCACACGCCCGGGGTACAGTCTTTGGGGCGAGGCTTCTTTCTCCCCCCCGTTTGACCCGTTGGACTACTACTTATTCGTAGTCTCCCCACTTCGCACTTCTCTTCTCTACCTTCCAGGCCATCATCGAGCACGAGACTGCTGCTCTTCCTACTCCTCGTTGCCAATTCTCGAGATCTATATATTCTCTTGGCCATCCCACCCATCTTGTGCTCCCGACTTCTTCATCACCAACCGACCTCGACCAACCTCAGCCTCGAGCAACATCAACAGCATACCACCACTACAAACGCCACCAACTCCCATTATCACGACCACCTGCCAACACATCTCGGCCAACACCCATCTATACACATCGTCGTCACTCCCAGCACCTGGAAAAGACACACCCGCCCTGCTTGGTTCTGACCCTCGCCTTCTCCGAGCAGCCGCATTTACTCAATTCACCCGGCCTCTCGCCAACCACCCTGCTGCCTTCGCCCGCATATGCGCCCTGGCCAAGACATGGAAACTATCACCAGCTTCGCCCAAAGACGCCCGGCCGCCGGCTCTCTCCCAGCTTTCTCCCTCCCCCCCCCCAACTCCGAGATCCCTAGTAAGCTATTGTCCCTTGATCGGTGCATCGAGCGCACCTCTCCACATTCTTTCTGCCTTGGTCCAGGGAGTCCTGTAAAAGGCACTTTCTGCGTTTTGGCTCTTGCGAAGCGCGCCTCGTTGCATCAGAGCACCGGCTGTCCAAGAGAAGCCGCTTTTTCAGCCACATTTACTAACGAATACTACCAAGGAACTGCAGACGGCCTCAGCCCAAGCCTCTCCTCTGTACACACAGCCGGATCACAGGCCTCCCAACACCACCAAAACATGAATAGCTACACCTTCTCCGGCGCCTCAATGCCCAGCAACGCGTCCAACACAGGCTCCATGCCCAACAGCGGTGCCAGCGGCGCCTCCTGGAGCGGTTCATGGAGCAGCAATAGCAATTACCCCCAGGGCCAACAAGGCCTACCCACCTCGCCTTACAGCCGCCACAGCATCAGCAGCGCCGGAAACCCTGCCAATGACAACGCCATGTCCTTCAGCAACCCGCGAACCACGCAATCCCCCGTCACCGGTCCTGATGGGCTCTCGGCCTCTCCTTATGACCAGAGCCAGCAGCACTACGCTCATTCCATGGCCACCGCCGCTCCTCAGCACCCTGGCCTCATGGCCACGTCCTCACAGCCACCTGCGCAGTCCCCCCTTTCAGCGCACTCAGACGCCTACACCCATGCCTACGCCCCAACACACACGCGGCCCGGCAGCAACCCTAGCTATTACGCGTCGTCTGGCCATTCGCAGTTCTCCTCGTACGCTCCGCCTCAGCACTCGCCGACCCAGCCGTCTCCCACCACTGGCAGCCCTGGCGGCCGTGGTATCGGCTCGCTTCCCAGCAACCTCAACTACCGTTATGGCACCTACGGCCAGTCTCTTCCCGTCATGTCCAACATGCACCACCCCGGTGGCCAGATGTCCATGATTCCCGGCATGAGCCAGCACCAGGGCTACGGGAGCCAGATGGTCTACCCTCACGCTGCCGCTCCTCAGCCTCGCTCTGAGCGACCCTTCCGCTGCGACCAATGCGTCCAGTCCTTCAGCCGCAACCACGACCTGAAGCGCCACAAGCGAATCCACCTGCCCATCAAGCCATTCCCTTGCAACTACTGCAGCAAGAGCTTTTCTCGCAAGGATGCTCTCAAGGTACGTCACAATTCGAGCGGTGGGCTTGTTGCAGGCCTCGAAACAAGTCGAGAGCCGACAGCAACCACCTTGACACCCAACCATAACATCGGCCCACGCTAACTTTATTTGCAGAGACATCGCCTCGTCAAGGGCTGTGAGACCCGTTCGCAACAGAACGGGGAGCAGAACGACGATAGCCGACGCGCGGGAGACCGCCCTCGTGATTAGGTTGCACGCTGGCAATGGCGAGGAGTGCGACTTAGCCCACAGTTGAAGTGTCGGTCTATCTGGGAGTGCATACGATACTCCTTGGACCACTTGGACTCTGCAGCAAAGACAGGTTACTCAGATGACTTAACCATCATATCCCTGGCAGTGCCTTCTTGCATATCTCAGCTGCGCACAGGATTGGGTACTGGCGTCACGGTGTCACTTAAAGGGGTTGTCCAGCGTTCTGTTTCATTTCTTATACGGCTTGAGCCGATAATTTCCTTGTATTTGCGCCATGTTATGATTGTTTTGGGACTTTTTATTGGGTTGATGGTCCCTGGTACTGAATCGAGCCGCACGACGGCGACAGACTTGTTTAACTGGAGTTGGGGATGAAGAGACTCGTGGTTTTGATGGATGTCTCTTGTCCTGATTTTATTGTTTTGGGGTATGACTTGGTCACCAGCGGTGGTTTCAATGTGATAAATTGTCGTATCATGCACCTGCTGGCTGTCGGTGATTCTGTTTCTCTACATGTATGCACCACATGGAATATGTAATAATGTGTACCCTATTATTGCTGCCAGTGCCCTCTTCCCGTGTACAACATGACATGTGGCCTGTGTGATTTGTGTTGCTCGTGCACTTGGCGATACAACAACTTGTCGAATATTTTTGATGGGTTCGGGACAATTGGGGTCGGACCATGGAGTCGGTACGGTGTGACTCGGTATGACGACGTATATGAGGGTCCCGAAACAAGAACAGGATACGTACATGATGTAGCGTATGTGGCACGTCACACGGAAACCCAGAGTATTGGGGAGCTGCTGGAGCTGCTGGACCTGATGGAGCTGATGGTTGTTGTTGCCTAGTTCCTGATTTGCGGCTCATGGCAATGTCTCGGAGCACCAAATGGGGGAAAAGATGGGACAAATTCTACCACTGCTGCGGGTACTGAAAATTGCTGGTTTCATTCTCAGGGTTCGGCCATGTGCATCTACAGTTTTCCAAGCCAGGAACGTGGATTGGCCGTTCGTGACCAAGGAATACACACACTCCCTTGCTTGTACTGTAAGAGAAGGGCAACGGAAGGCAGACGAGGGAAAAGCACGGTCCAGGGTGGGGACGATGCCCATTTGAAGTCGTCTTTGCTTTCTGCAAGGTTGCATTGGACGGTGAGGGCAGGCAGGGGTATTTCACGCGGTGGTGAATATGCATGTCTTTGCACACAGCCCCTCTTCAACCAAGGGTTGTGATGGATGCACTGTCAACTATCCGTATTTACGATTGAAAAAAATGGGAAGTGACAGGATGCTGTGAAAAGATGATGTTGAGATCAAACGGATCGCCACACGTCATCACCACGTGAGGCTGTGTTGCTCGCCGAGCCACCCCCGAGTCCTCGGACTACAACTGCCTTAACTTTGACATGATGTGCAGGGGCAAAGGAAAAAGAAGAGGAAGAGGAAGAAACAAAGGGGGCCGCCGTTCAAACGTCACACGGGTCAAATAACTCACAGATAAATTGGCCGCTGCATTGGTGCAAAATCCTTCAGGAGGGAGGGGGCGTCTTGGGCAGCAAAAGAGGTCTGCTGAAAAAAGAAAAGAGTAAAATGGTGGTGTGTTAATGTATATTATGGATTAATATGGACGACAAAGACTTTTTGATTCCATGTACATATTACGGAGTATTTTCCTTTTCTATAGTCTGGCTCAGCTGGGGAGGCAAACAAGGAAAGAGCCGCGCCCCGTTGCTAGGATTTTTCGCCGAAAAAGAGGACAAGCTGAAAGAAGACAACGGAAGAGATGGAAAGGGAAAGTCCGAGCCGGAGGAAGCAGAAGAGGAAGAAGAAGAAGAAGAAGAAGAAGAAGAAGAAGAAGAAGAAGAAGAAGAAGAAGAAGAAGAAGAAGAAGAAGAAGAAGAAGAAGAAGAAGAAGAAGAAGAAGAAGAAGAAGAAGAAGAAGAAGAAGAAGAAGAAGAAGAAGAAGAAGAAGAAGAAGAAGAAGAAGAAGAAGAAGAAGAAGAAGAAGAAGAAGAAGAAGAAGAAGAAGAAGAAGAAGAAGAAGAAGAAGAAGAAGCAAAGGACGCCACACAAACGTGCGGGCATAATAGAGGGACATGAGGGCAGATGATGCGCGAGGTGCATATACATACATGTGCAATATCAAAATGGGAAAATAAAGGATGCGACGCTGCAGCTGCAGCGCAAGGAACTTAACAGGACAGTGCAACTCTGGGATTAAACGAACAGCAGCAGGGGCAGAAAGGGGGGTCGCAGGAATTGACAAAAGGAGAAAAAAAAGGCTTGTATTTCTGACGAGAACAACCGAGGAAGCTGGGGAGAGAGGCGCGTAAGTTGAACGCCCCGAGTGAACGGCGACGTTTCAAGGAGCAGAGCGCTCGCTGGAAGACGAGCACCGGTGGCAGTATTTTTTTTTTTCAGACTGAAGAACTGAAGAAGCTCCATATATGATCGGTTTTATTTCCAATTGTAGCAAGTTCATGCACGCCGTTAATCCCGAGTATGAAGCGCCCCTGCTCGGCCGTGATCCGGCGTTTGCACGCAGTTGACGGGGTTCGCAAGTTGGCTCGGGCGCCTACGACCGAGGACCACGTTGGCGGAGAGCTCTTCACACCAATAGCATCATATTCTCTTCCTTGTCCTTTGATATGAGAGATGGCCCCCCCCCGGACGTTTGCTGTCCCCGCTCGATAATGCATTACACGAAAGCAGGCCAGCACCAACCATCGACGCTGAACTGTTCCTGTTTTTTTTTCTTTTTAAAAAAAAAAGTCAATGATGCTCGCTTCCTGTGCGTCGCATCGGTTATGAGACTTGGCAGCGGGCAGCCTCGACAAGCCCTGGGTCGAGAGCTGGCGGACGTGCGGCCAAACGACGTCGACGACGAGGGCGTTTGCGCAACTCGACCGCTGCAGGGTAGATGGCTGCTTTCTCGCTTCCTCGTGCATCAGGTTCACATCCTATGTCGAGGTTGAAATGCCGGACATGTGCTCTGAGGCATAGTCGCGTCGGCGATAGCACGGCATGCTGCGGCGCAAAAGGCAACCGGTGCCCAGCCCCTTGATCACCATTCTCATCAGTAGTTTGAAACGAATCAATTGCAGCAAGCATAAATCAAGTCCCTAAAGTCAACGCTGCGCCATGCCAATGTACAAAATGCAGCACGCAAAGCTGTCTTGCCAATCCTCAACCATCCACGCCTAGTATCCAGCACGTCCCCGACTCGCTCAGTGGTCCATATGACCTCCGAAGCGACCGACCGCCAAGCTGCCCAGGAAGACACCGCCGAGGACCGACATGAAGTATCCGACATTCATCGTCATGACCGCCAACATCCTATGCCACATGTTAGCCCATGCTTTCCTTTCACGACCTCTGTCCGTCTTTACACTTACAAAAGGTAACCCACGCCGACAATGGTCGTGTCGAGCAGCGCGCGGACCGGATCGACCGAGAAGCGCCAGGGCCGCGCCATCGCCGCCGCCTCCTTGCGCGCAGCCACCACCACCACCGACTCCTCGACGCCGTTGGCCGAGAGCACCATGGTCTTGGCGTCCGGGTCGTGCGCGACGGCCTCGGCGAGCGGCACGCGCCCGCGCGCGGCGACGTACCGCCGGTTGGTATCGCGGTCCAGCCAACGCGCCTCCTGCGTCGCCCGCAGCGCCACGAGCAGCCGCGCGATCACGCTCAGCACGATGAGGAAGATGCAGGTGCCGGCATACGCCCCGGCGCCGCGCGGTGTCCAGGCGTCCGAGTAGAGCGGCGTTGCCGTCTGCGTCTGGAAGACCATGGCCATCATCGAGGAGTGGCCGGAAGAATCGGCGGACGAACCCATGTCCATGTCCATTCCTGCGTGGCGGGGGTTGAAGTTCATGGCGGCGTATGTGGTTGTTTGTGTGTGTGAGTGAGTGCAGAGAGGGGAAGTCTTTGGTCGTACGAATTGCTGCTTGCGAGGGGAAGGGGGGGATGGAAATATCAAGGTCGAAAAGGTAGACGATTTGGAATATATTATGCCTCGCGCCCAGGTACGTCGTCGCCAAGATGTGCGCAGGTTTCTGAAGCACGCCCGTGTACTGCCGTCCTTTGCTCGAACAGAGGTGGCGTCTTTTCCAACACTCGGGGGTCGTCCGTTATTTTGCTGCTCGTGTCTGGCAGAGGTATGAAGGAGTCAGAACGAGCCACACAGAACAACAAGGGAAAAGCATCGCTTCCCGAACCTGCACGGGTCGCCGTCGCTCAGATGTCCCAAGGAAGCCGCAAGCGATGCGGCTGTCTTGGATACTAACACACCGAGTGGTAATTTTGGTGGGCGATTGTTAAGGAGGCTGAGCGGCGGCCGGATGTTAGTGGATTTGGAGGTGGGGAGGACAGGTACCGGTACTTCTTTCGACTGAACCTTGGATTTGGTTACAGGATTGAAGATGCACGTTGGAAATGAGTAACTGTCTCAGGCCCGTTTTAGACGCAAATCAAAAAGTACGAAAAGAACGCTGACAGATTTTCTAGGCATTGAGATCATGACAATCATCCGCCATCTTGAGGAGCTGTCTGCTGTTATGTCTTGCATCCACCTCGTTTAAGTATAAGTGTTGCCGCCAGACAGATTTACAACACCACACTTGGCGCACCTCCTTTGTCATTAGATCTTGCCTGTTAATTGCCCTGACCTTCTGCTGAAGAATACCTGAATACTGGTGGTTCTCACATTCTTTCTATGTATAAGCTTCGTTCTCTTGTCTTCACCTTCCGTCCATGAGAAGAAATCACGGTTCGTGCTCAAAAGTACCAGTACATGCAGCGCACAGAAACCTTCTCAAACATGCTCGCGCTAACCCGCACCCAGAAGGCACCGGAGCACCAGCCACATCTTCAGCCACATCACCAGCCACACGTGCCTGGTAATGCCTCACGATTCACCAGGAGGAATATATGAATAAACATGCAGTATTCCAGCGTCGGCTATACAAATGCTTCTTTGGACCGTTTGATCTGTTGTAAGTTTGACATGATGTAATACTAGTGCCGCTTAATCAGCCCATACCAGACGTTGCCTCCAGATGCCGATAGGATGCCTGGTCCGGCATATCGCTCAGCACCAGCCGCCATTTACCACGTTTGCCAGAAAACCATCGCTACTGTGGTCTCTCAATGGTTTGTTACTTCCAAATGAATGTCACCCTCTACCCTAGCTCTGTCCCAAGTGGAAGCCCCATTTCAACTGGCATCATCAGCCCGCGCGCGGTCGCCCTACACCGTTGATCGTTGGCGACGCCAAGGTTCCGCTTCCGCGAGCATCGCCAAACCCTCCCCTCGGCAAAAACAACACAGCCGCCGCTCCTCCCCAGCTCGCTTCTGGTGATACGATCGTTCCCCCCTCGGCTCTCCCTCCATGCCATCCTGGCCCGGCTGCCTCGCATCTTTCCGGGCATGAAGATTGCGGTAACACGCTTCCCCAATCAGGTTTAAGACGAAAAGGCGGAAACGTTTGCCTGATTTGGGCGATGATGCCCCCTCCGTCTGCAAGCAAGATTCCCGTCCCGTTCTAAACTAAGCTTGGCACCGCACGCACAACGCACAGGGTCGCCTTGCCCATTCATCGTCTGAGACGTCGACAAATCGAGTAAGATGCATCGGCGTTGAACCAACCTTGCCCCTTCTGGTTGCCCGTGCAGGTCGCATCAAGGCATTTTGTCATGTCGCGTATCGATGATAGATTGATGCCAAGATTTTAACCTTAATTTCGTGACCAAGCCAAATCCAGCGCCGTGGTCGAGCAGTTTACGACTTGTCTACACTTGAGACTACACACTTTGGACTCAACTTGATCGTGATGCATTTCATTCAGTTTACACAGCTGATCCATCCCGGGCCACGGTGCCAGTTCGTCTCTCCACCCTCACCCGGGTCTCAAGTAATTGCCCCAGCACAGCTCGCCTCTGGCTGTCACCCGTGACGTCGAGGCATGGCGTAGATCCATGTCGCCGTCCTTTTTTTTTGTTTTGTTTTCGCAGCCCGCATGGCTTTTCTTTTCTTGCGCACTCAACGCACGATCCGTAGCCAGACAAAAGAAAGTGAGCGTGGCCGCAACAGCAGCCAGCGAGTCAATCACCAGAAAACAGCACGTCAAGACTGCATCAACGCCAAAGAAAATAAAAAAGTTCTCCCAAGCCCCGCGCAATAAAACCCATATCCGCCATTAAAATTTCAGCCCATAGCATCCCAAGCGAGTCCCTTCAAGCTAAAAATTGACCACAACGCGTCTGCTTAAGGCTGGTGGTGGCCGCTGGGAGCCATACCAGGCTGTTGGGGCATGCCTGAGCCATAGGCTTGGTTGCGCTGCACATAATTTTGGTAGGCCATGGCTTGTTGGGGATCGAGCGGCATGTTGGGCATATAGTTACCAGGCATGTGTGGGTTCGGGGGCATGCCCGGCCGGCTCGCGGGAGGGGGAATGTGGGAGCCGGACTCTTCAGGCGAATCGCCGCCTTCGCCGCCGTCGACGCCGTTTTCGCCGCCAGCTGCCGGTTCAGGCGCGTTCAGACAAGCCTGAAAAACATATTAGCAGCCTATTCGAGACGTTTTCAAGGGCCAGTGTCGCGCGAGGACGCGCGCGGCGACGCGTCCTGGCAAGTCGTAGGCATCTAGCCCGGGAGGGGCGAAGCGAGTAGCAGATACGTACCTGAATAAGGTTCTTTCCCTCTGCCTTAGTCACAAGGGGCTGAAGCTTCGGCGTTGTGAAGGTATAGACGAGACCAGTTTCGGAGACGACGAGGAGGAGCACTTGAGTGCCGGTCAAGACGGACAATTCGTAAGCCTGAGGGGGTCACAGTCAGCAGGAGGTTCCTGGGAGATGGAGAGGCAGCGGCGACCAGGCAATGGGCTCGAGGCGGACTCGATAGCAGGTGGCGCAAAAAGCAAAAACGTGCAACGGCTTCGTTGCGGTTTGGAAGCCAGTGGCGTTGGCGATGAGTAGATTGTGGTGGTGACGAACCTTCTTCATAATACCGGCCTTGCGCTTGGAAAAGGTAATGTGGCGGCGAGACTTGTCCGAGATGAATTTGATCTCAATCTTGCGGCGCTCACGGCCGCCCTTTTCGTCATCATCGTCGTCATCGTCGCCGGGCGTCGGACGCTGGCGCTTTACGCCTCTCGACTCGGCGGCAGCACCGTTGCCGACCGAGTTTGCATCATCAATGTCGTGAGGGGAGGTCTGGTCGTGCTGGTCTGTGATGTCGGCCATGGCTGCGGGGGGGATATGAATACGGCAGGGTCGGTATTTGGAGGTAGAATACGGCAAGCGATATTGGGAATTGGACAAGACGAGGAAGCCGTTGTATCACGTTGAAGTGAATTTCTGGAAAAGGCAACAAGTGGTGGAGATGCTGCTTTGAGCGTGGTGCCGATGGATCTATACTGGATCTGGGTTGTCGAGCGGAGGAGGGAGCAGCAGCCCGTGTGTCGCAGAGAAACAAACCAGGTCTGGTTTGGGAAGGGAGAGAAAAATTTGGGGGTTATTTTTGATTGATTGCGGATGCCTGGCAAGCAGGGAAGGAGCAGGCGGATGGGCAGCTCTTTCTGTATTGAGCGTGGCGTGGGCTATGTACGCTGAGGGCTGAAAGCACTCGCTACTAACAAGCACAAGCACCTTGGTAACCACGCACCATCAAGAGGGTCGGCCGGGTACTCAGTCTAGACCAACTTTGTTCCAAGGTACTAGAAAGCACTGGACTCGACCGTTGGACAGCAGGTACCGGTACCGGGATTGGCATAAGCAGGTACATACCTCGCCCATGTTATGGCTACTGCCCATGATTAGCTGGTAGCGTTTTGCGCTGTGGCATGCAGATGCAACTGTCGGGGCGCTTGTCGGAGGCTCCGCCGCGTACAGTGCGAGGAGGACCAAGATGTCAGATTCGCGGTGAAGGTGGTCAGCGCATCGTTGCGCTGGCTGTGCCAATTCAGCCCTCTCCCAGCATTGCAAATTCAATCACCTCCGCTGACCCCTCCACTGTAAGTGATGTGCGCGGAGAGAAATCAAAACCTTGCAAAGTTGCCACTGTCCAGCGCGCCGCACCGGAGTGCGCTGTGCACACTGGCAGGTTAAACTTACCATGCACCATGGTGTGCGCCATGCCCACAGTGGAGGCCGCTACTGCAGTACGCCAGCCGCCACCGCAAGCCAGGTTACCAGCAGGCCGCCTCAAGTTCGAACCTGCAAGGCAACAAGGGCAAGCATTGACAGCATCATTCACAGCCATCCAACCAACCACCACCAGCAGGACAACCTTGCGCCCCCAACTCTCAATCCCTCCCCTCCAGAAGGAAACCGGGCATTCGGATGTCATCCGAGTGCCGACCACCGATACTTGTTCGTACTGGGAACCCCTCATCGCCAACAAACTGCACCGCCTTGTGAGGCTTTGCTTTTCTATACTTCTCGAGCACCTGTGCTTGCACCATCTGCCTGCTTCGGCAGGCCGTGATGTGGCCTCGCACATGTTTGCCGCCTCCGAGCATCCCTTGACTCTCCCGCTAACTATCTGCCTAGTCGGCCCAGTCCCCTACGAGTCTGCGCCTCGACCACCAACATCCCAAACTCAGCCTTGTTGTTGCCATGGCCAACTACTCCGAACGCTACCAGCTCTACGCCGAACCAGCAGATTCACCTGCTCGTAATCATCATGGTCCGGTCATATGGACGCTAAACACGAGTCCGCCACCACGACTTCAAGTGGGCTGGTCCCTGGCTTATCATAAACCCTATGAGCTCCAGCCCTCAGTGCAGTGATGCAAGCCATTTTAGTTTTGACTTTCACTCATCTTCCCTCTGGCTGCTCATCGGCTTAAAAACCTTGGCTTGCCTGTGAAGAGGAAGCTTCACTTCGCGCACCGCGGACAAGACTAGAAAAGCTAGTAGCTACCCCACGACGACATGACATTCGACTCGACGCTGATTGAAATTCAATTACCACATCGGCAGTCCTTGCTCATCTGCTAGTCGCTGCACTAGTTACTGCTGCAGGTCCACAACTGAGACTGCACCAACTGACAGGGACTAGCCAGCACAATTAGACGAAATGGCGCGCACGTTGCGTGGCTGCCAATGTCTGGGTTCTAATTTTGAAGATGGTCTTCAGCAATGGCCATTGCTAGCCTCTCAACAACTGGGATTCTCTGGCAATTGAAGGGTCTGTCTCACTCTCGCGTCTAGCGGTGATCACGGTGATCATCAGGCCATTCATTTTCGTGTCCAGCCTAGACCACCACCAAGTCTCCAACCACCTGCAGCTGTTCGCGCTATCATCAGCCAGCAAGCTTCAAACTCCACCGTCAACCAGCGGAGGCAGCCTGCCCGATGCGGGACGCCGAGCCCCAGGCTATCCACGGACTTGATTGTATTTGCAGGAAGATCACGCCTCTCCCTGGCGAGTTGGTGGAAACCAGTCGCGTCGCCTGACCTGGCCTTGGCCTGCCTATTCCTTCATTCGGACCGCAGGTGCAACATTATTGGCGGACGCGATAGCCACCAACTAGTTCCAGTGCCACCAAGCAGAGTCAGACGTACAATCGATTCAGAAAGTTGGTGCCAACTACGGAGTACCAAACATGAGTCCATAACAGCGCATCTTTCACCATGAGTCGAACCGTCATTGACACCGCCCTTCATCGCCATAGCACTGTCCGGCCGAAGGGAAAACGAGCCCAACCTTGCCAGACAAAAGCCATGGCATGTGAGGCGTGTACAAATATCAATGCGAGAAGCCACCTAAGTCCCTGTACAGAGGCAAGTACTATGCACAATCCCAATGTATATGGTGACCAGGACAGCGGCGTACAGGTTGTGGTGACACGAGCATGGCGAATCGCGTCTGGCTTAACGCAGGTGCAACTTTACAAGGTGTGCATAGTAAGCTACTAGGTAATTGGCGGCAAGGAGAGCTCGGGAGAGGCGGATGGCAGTTGGGGATCAGGCTCAATGAATAGGGAATAGTCTGAAGGGCAGCGCTAAGCAACCAAGGTCAATGTGAAGGTATTTGAATCTCGATTGTCGGTGATTAAAAAGCAAGCCAGCACGTCGCACATTGATTTCGACACCCCTACAGTTGGAAATGAGGAGCAAGATGAGGTTCTGCAACAGGATACAGGGGCTCTCGATGATGGCGACGACGACACGGCACATGGAGAAGGCCAACTGGCTCGCGCAGAGAAGGGCCAGCAAGGGTGCATCAAGGTGCAGTTCAGCGCGGTGGATACAACAGGGATTGGTGTTTTTGGAGGGGTTCGTCGGCAGCCAAGTGAATGACGAGCTAATGAGAGCAGAGGGTTAAGATGACAGCGGAGCGCATTCGCAGGGCTCACGAATAGCAGCTCAGCAGGTATCTGGGCTTGGGAGGTTCCAGACCGCAGACAAAGGGCGACACAGGAACGCTGCTAGGTTGCCAGGTGAGAAAAAGCAGGCTGTCGCTTGTGTCTGGCGGTCCTTCGTACTGGTACCCATACGAGTGTCTTGTATGCACATGGTCCAATGGATACAGAGTGGAGGATGGAGGAGGACAGGCTTGCTATCCGGAACATTGTCAGACGGAACAAACTGCGTGGCTCGTGTCACGACGCGGTGACGAGTGTCGATACTGGGACATAGCTTATTAGTTGAGGGGGCAGCTAGGAACGAGGCGAGGAGTATGATTGGTTGGAAATTCCAGATACGACGACAGGGCTGGAGGATTTAGGCTCCGCGGCGGGTGATGATCCAAGGCAAGACGCCGCAACGAGCAGGCTCAGAGCAATTGTCAAAAGTGGCCGCGCGAAGTAGTGAGCTGCTGACCAGCACGGAGCAGGGAATAGGGCGAGTGGATACGTGCTCACTCTATCGGTTTCAGTCTATCCGTACTTTTGCCAGTGGTTGTCGGCTTCTAGTTGACTGCCAAGTCGAGCAAGGTGCAGCGCCACCAACGGCTCTAACGACTTTGACGCGATGGTGTGGGAAGTTGTGAGCTTTCGGCCGAGCGGTCTGTCCATCGACCCGAAGAATGCCCCTCTAAGGAAGAAAGAGGCCGCAGGAGGAGAGCATTTCAATCTGGCCACGATGATGTGACCGGAGAAGCTGCAAGCACAGGTCTCAGGCGTGCAGCGGCGGCGAGAAGGCAGACGAGCATGGGGCTTCAGCCGCCGCCGGGGTGAGCGAGCACTGAGCACTGGAATCTGATGAGCGTGGACAGAGCTGCAGGGGCCTCACGCGGCGTGAGAATGGGGAACAAGTTATACGAGGGGTCATTACGGGCGGATGACGGGGATTTTGCAAGATGGGCCATGGTCTGTGGGAAGGATTCATGGGTCGTGTGAGGCATGTCTGTTGATAGTTACTTTGATGGTGCAGCTGGCTGTAGGATCTGGCGCGCTGACTTTGCGCAGGTTGGCAGGCAAGGTGAAACGGGTTCCAGCAGGCGGCAGCACGACGAGGTTCTGGGGCCAGAACAGCTACGTACCAGCATTCGTGTCAAGATGCTGAGCGTATCGAGATGGTCAGCGTGTGTCGTGTCTTTTCGGCATCCCTCTTTGTGGTGTCAGGCCGACCCACACACACCGCAGGACAGACTCACTCAGCAGTTGGCAGTGAGGGGATCAGTGCTGTGGTCTCGAGGCCTGCATAGTCCTATATTAAATCTTCAAAACCAGAAAAGAATAAGGCGACATATGACAATATCATCAGAAATAATTTTGAGAAAAAAAAAAAAAAGAAACAAGTTATCGTGACAAAAGGCCACCGACAACGAAATAGCAGGTAACATTGTAAAACAGTACAGACAGTACTGGCCGCACTGTCCACAATTGTGGAAAAAGGATCTGCGGCGAAGCAAACACCCAACGGCTGGGCTGGAATGGACGAGGCGGGGCGGCGCGGTCCCCGGTATGTGCATAACTCGTGGGCCTGTGTCTCCGGAGGGGGCATCACAGTGCGACCAAGCTTGGGCGCTGCGTTACGAATACTGGGCTGTCAGCAATAGACTGAGCCAGGCTGGGGCCTTCATCTCTCTGCGAAGCCTGTCGCCCTCGCTTGTCAACTCAGCAGCAGCCTACCAAAGTGCAGGAAACCCTTGCCTAGCTTCCGCCGTTCTTTTCAGTCCGATGGGACATTGGCGGACATTGGCGAACCTCCACGCTGGAACCGACGAGGGGGGGTAAGCCGTCCCAAGTCTCGCGCCAAGGTCCGGAGATGGCTGCAAGCAGCCGACTATATTGCGAGGCAGGTTTGCAAAAGGTGAAGGGATTCGAATAGCTGGTTGAAAGCGGCTCATTGTGACAGACATAACGCACATGCCAGTCAGCATAGTAGGCCAAGGCTGCGAGGCGGCAGGCGGGCAAGACAGGAGGACCCTTTGCTGTCCTGTATCGCGCCATACCGAATAGCTCTGTCTGGACACTCTGGCAGCTTCATGTCTGCCAGCGACACCACGGAATACTCGACATGCCACTCAGCCGAACCGTAGATCGACACCATTGTCGGCTCCATATTCTTCCATCTAATCATGATTGAAGGAAACGGGCAGCTTATTATCGTTTTAATCCCCAGGTCCTGATTCGTCAAGCATCTCTGGTCATTCGGTGCCGCGCTCCATCTCTGACGAGTTCAGTATGTGTAGCCGGAGCACCTGAAGCTGGTGAGGGGCTTCTGGTGCTTGATATCGCCGTTATCAGATGCAAGTCGAGTTTTGGAAGCCCCCCGGCAAGAAAGAGAGAGGGAGAGAAAACAAATTACGCGCGACAAGCTGTGTTAATTTATTTTGTTCCTGTTATTCGCCCAGGATTTCTTTCTGATGGCGCAGTTGCACCACTTTGCCCCATTCACGTTCCTGATGTAATTTCCATCTCCCATGACAGGTCAATTCGACAGAACGCTTTTTGCGTAAGAAAAACGAAATCCGAGGATTTTTGTAATGCATGCAATACCGAGTAAAATAATAATCGCTTGAAGCGCAACCGGCAAAGAAAAAGATGTGCTTCCCCTTTGGTGAAGTATTGCACCACTTCGACGCCCGCGATTGGTCGGTTCAAACTGCCTCCGACAACCAGGCCCTCACCACCGCGGTCCTGAAACGCAACCTCATACGGCTCCTGCGCCGAGAGGCAAAGAGGAAAGCCTGCACATTATAGGGATCCCGCTTCCGATATAGCCTTCCTGTCCCTTGATACTTGGCGAGAAACGTGTAGCGAAAAAGTAGACGGAATCTGAAATTGACGGGCCCGCTGGGCGATGCGGTCTCTCTGTCCCCTGGCTGCGCCGGCTTGCCCGTTTGCACTCCTCCTCTCCTTCGTGATCTTGAATCTTTCCTGTTGTAGATCCCTTCAACTGTGTGTGTGTGTTTCTGGCGGCACGGGTTGATCTCGTCGATACATTTCTTCTATTCTTACTCTCGTGAACTATTTCCATTCCGCTTCGCTTTGGACGCCGGTCGTCAAACGACAAACTTTTCCTATATCCGCCTTCAATTCAACGCCGCCGATCTTTCCGATATCTCATAACCCCCACGTTAACCTCGTATATACATACCTGCGAATCCGAACCGCCGCCCACCATGCCTGACAAGGTGCACCTCGCCACGCTGGCCATCAACTTCCTCTTCCTCGGCACCGGCGCGCTCGAGCTCGGCTTCTGCCTCGTCGCGCGCGGCATGTTGGCGTCCGACCAGGGACCCGACGACGGGCGCGAGGTCGTCCGGCACCTGCTGTACCGCCAGTTCCCGCTGAGCGCCGGCATCGCCAACGCGAGCATCGTGCTCGCCACGTTCGCACTGGCGCTCGTCGGGCTCGCCTCCAAGGGCCGCTCCGTGCTCAAGCTCACGGGCTACCTGACGGCGTTCTGTGCGATCTTTACGCTCTGCCTCGGCGTGGTCCTCTGGGTCATGACGCTGCGCGTCAAGGAGCAGTTCTTCCCGACGTACCTCGACCAGGAGACGTCCGTTCAGTCGGCGATTCAGACTGCGGTAAGTTTTCGGTGGGCGTCTTGTTCGACGGCAAAAGAGGGTTGCAAGCAAGAAAAAAAACAGAAAGGAAGAGGATCATGAGAAGGAGCGGAAAACTGACGCCATGTCTAGTTCGGATGCTGTGGCTACTTCAACGCCTCCACGCCGGCCTTCATCACCGATCCTACCTGTCCGAGCCCTGCCGCCGCCGCCCTGCTACGCGGCTGCGCGACCTCCATCTCGAGCTTCGCCAACATTGCCCTCGACGTCATCTTTACCGCCCTCTTCGGCATGGTTGGTGAGTTTCTTCCCAACGCCGTTGTATCCCCAGACCTCACTGACACCAGTAGGCGTCGACGCCATCTTCATCCTCTCCATCGCTGCGCTCCTCAAGGTCCGCAAGGAGCGCGAGCGCTACCGCCACATTGACGAAAAGGGCGGCTTCCAGCAATTCTAGACGCCGTGCACGGTCACGGCAGCTCCCGAGCCTCACGCTCCCTTCGTTTTGTGCATAACGCACCTCGTTTAATCCACCTCTTTTCCATCATTTAGCGCAGAATAGAACACTCATTTCGTCCTTTCTACTAATTGAAAACTAAAAATGTCGTCTTTATAATTCAGATTATCTAATGTTACGTAAAAAAATAAAGGTGATCCCAAGGTAGAAAAATAGTTGGTTCGAGGTACAATGGACCAGGTTGGCTTCGAGTTTCTGATTCTATCCAAAGACCTGCAAGGAGCCCCCTAGCCAGATGGCCAGTCACCACGATATCTATGACGATCGTATGCGCCTATACAACGCCGGATGCTTCTAAGAGATGAGCGACGAAAGAAAGTACATGATGATGCTGTTTACACCGGCGAGTCGTTTCGTCCCGTCGGCGTGTTGATGGTCGGCCGCTGCGTAGATGATCCACCAAGAGGCGAGCTGTGCGTCGAGTCCCGCCTGTCGCTGTTTTTCCACCATGAAAAGGAAAGCAAGTTGCTGACCGAGTCGCCCATGAATGAGTCCCGCTTCTTGAGATGACGACGCGCGACGAGCCCGGGGAAGCCCGTGCTCTTGCGTCGCCGCCGTGGTACCCGTCGTGCGAAGGTATCTGAGTGCGTGCTGCCCTCTTCCGGGATGGTCGATGAGCCGCTCACGGCTCTGCGGACGCCAGGCAGGAGACTTGTGGACTCGCTGAGGCCCGGCATCGTGTTCGCCCGCAAACGATTCGCCGGCGAGTTGGGATGCTCTTGGTCTTCCAGTTCGCCCCAGATTTCAGCGTCCTCTGCCCACCGAAACGTCTTTTTGGTCGGCGTCATGGCCGTCGATTCGCCGGGTCCAAACGTGTGATAGGATGGGAACGATTCGTCGGATTCGACAGCCGCCTCCCCGCTGAGGAGAGACTCCTCTTCGCCTTCCGTGTCCTCCACCATGCCGAGGCCGGGTGCCAGCGTGGACTGGCCAACGCCAGGCGCATGCTGCTCATCGCTGAGACGCCACGAAAGGGCAAGAACACCGCTTAGCAAAATCACCGTGCCCAGGCTAATGATGCAGGCCCGCAGCGGTGAAATAAAGCTTGTTTGGTCAAAGTATATTAGGCCATCCAGGATGGCAATAATGTTGTAAACGCAAAATACCAGGGGATATAGGACCGATGTCGAAACGAGCTTGAGACCCCTATGCAGATAATAGAGCTGACAAAGAGCTAGCGATACGAGAGCCATGACAATGGCCCAGGCCTGCCAGTAAATAAACTGGTTCTTGCCGGCGACCGTCTTGATGACTAGTTCGACGGCCGACTTGGCGAAAAGCAGCGCGTGCGCCGACAGATCGCCGCTGATAACACCATACGAGATGCCTTGGATGAGTCGAAATCGAGAGCTGTGCGAGATGCTGGATATCCTACTCGTCACATCGGTGGCGACGGCGAGGGCCACCACCAACAGCCCCTGGAGGGCCATCCACACGATGAAGGGCTTGCGCGCCATGAGGACCAGCAGCTCGTCCAGGTTATGGGCGGGCGATGGGATGGCGCCAAATACGGCGATGAGGACGGCGCCGGTGGTGACGAGCGAGGTGCCGGCGAGCGACCAGCGCGTAAAGGGTTCGCTGAGGATGAGGGTGGCGCATATGGAGTTGAAGACGAGGCCCGCGGCCTGCAGCGTCGAGAGAACCGGCAGCGGGAGGGTCGAGATCTGCACCGAGCTGCCAAGGATGTTGGCGGCGACGAACATGCCCATGCCGACCTGCCAGCGGCGGCGGCGGTATGGCGGGCGGCGGACGTCGTGGGGGCCCTTTTCGTCCTCGAGGATGTGCGACTTGCGCTGCAGCGTCAGCCCCAGGCTCTGCACACTAGTCGACATGAGGCCGACGATGATTCCTAGCTGTGGTCCTCGCGTTAGCACACCCATGCAGAGACGCAGTCAACCGGTAGTTGGCTCAGACGTACAGCAATGCTCCCGCCAGGGGAGATGCCGCCAAACGGCTCCATTGCGCTATTGGGGGATAGCGAACATCTGGGGTCGGGTGTATATAGAGGCGTGATCAGTTTCGCCGCATGAGAGGCGCTGGTGGTGTTCTCAAAGGAGTCTGGCTGTTCTGTTGGGAGACGGGTCTGGGATGGGACCACCGCCGTTTCGGCTGTGCGTGGCGGAGAAGGCGTTCGTTCGGGTATCGGGAGAGTAGTGGGAAATATGCTGTCGTGAGGGAAAAGCCGTCGAGGTGTCGAAAGGCCGGCGAGATATCCAAGGGTTAAAGGAGCAAAAGAGACGTGTATTGTACACCTGACGTGGGAGACAAGGGTAGGCGCATGTGGAATGCAAGCGGCATTGCGTCGCACTTCCACTTCAATTACAGCATGACCCCCCCGATGGGGCCCGTCAAAGCGCGCCACAGAATCTTGCCTGGACAGAGGTGTGGCTGGTGTCGTCACCTGACATCACCAGTGGATGTCATTGCACCGCCAGCGTTTTAGCGTTTTAGGCTTGCCATCGGCGGGTAACGGCGCTGCAGGCTGCCTGCCACCAAACAGCTGTGGCTGGTGAGCAGCAACCGCCGCCTTGGGGCCGCAGGCGGGATGAGCTTCCTTGCCGCTCCAACACTCCACCCTCTACCACCTACTGACGACAGCAGCAGGCCACTTGCTTGCACAGACCGCGGCGATTCATCGACAATCGGGGCTTCGTTCTTTAATCTCGTACCATTCATCTCGCCTCCTTTTCCCTCCACAACCCACGGCACATACACAATCGCCAGCATGTCGCAACACGCATTGTCCGACCAGCAGGTGCGCCTTGAATCCCCCAGCCGTGGAAAGCCGAGCATTGTCAATCCCACAGTCAATGCCCGCACCCGGCCTCGATCACCTCTGACTATGGTAGAAAACAGTTTCTAGCTAACACCGCTCTTCCCCTCCGTGATAGGTCGACAATGAGCTCCGCAAGATGACGGCCTTCATCAAGCAGGAGGCCATGGAAAAGGCGCGCGAGATCGAGATCAAGGCCAACGAGGAGTTTGAGATTGAAAAGTCCAAGCTGGTCCGCCAGGAGACGGACGCCATCGACGCCACGTACGAGAAGAAGTTCAAGCAAGCCACCATGTCCCAGCAGATCACGCGCTCGACCGTCGCCAACAAGACCCGTCTCCGGGTGCTCGGCGCTCGCCAGGAGCTGCTGGACAGCATATACGAGACCACGCGCCAGCAGCTGGCCGCCGGCACCAAGGACAAGGCCAAGTATCAAAAGGTGCTCGCCGCCCTCGTCCTCGAGGGCCTTTACACGATGAACGAGGCCGAGGTCCAGGTCCGCGCCCGCGGCAAGGACGCCGACGTCGTCAAGAAGGCCCTCGACGACGCCGCTAAGACGTATAAGAAGCAGCTGGGCAAGGATGTCACGGTGACCATCGACGAAGAGAATCCCGTACCGGACGCCAGGTAGGTCTCAGCCCGCGCAATATGCTTTTGTCTCGCCGTTGCTAACAAGGTTGGTGCAAAGTTCTGGTGGTGTCATCATCGTCGGCTCTAAGGGCAAGATTGAAATCGACAACACCTTTGAGACGCGCCTCAAGCTGCTCGAGGACTCGGCCGCCCCCGCCGTCCGCGAATCCCTCTTTGGAAAGAACGAGAACCGCAAGTTCTTCGACTAAACAACCCCCGCGCTCCGCACCCTCGTGTTGGAAAATAGAACGGTGCGTCCCTAGAGAATGCCTGGTTGTTGGCCCCCAGAAAGCAAATAACGGGCTTCAACTGGGCCGGGGGGGGAGCAACTGACACACGCACGCATGCTTGATGTCGCCCCTGTTCCTCATCGTCTGCATTGTTTTTGGCCTGGTTTTTGAAACTCTTTTTATTATATGTAGCTTAGAGGTTGTATCATAAACATTCCTACAGGTCTGGTCCCGCTACACTCGTAATGCGTTGAAGCTAAAAAAACTTGGGGTATCTTGCAATCGTACACGTGGCTTTCGTCACTTTCGGCTGTTACGGGAGCTGTGGCTGGCGACCCTACTCCAGCTTGACTTCAATACAATCCAGAACTTCCTCCGGCTCTGACTCTGACCCTGGCTTCGGTGCTGGTTTCGGCGAGGGCATCTTCTTCCGGAAGAAGCTCTTCATAAACTCCTGCTGCCGAGGCAGATCCCTCCGCTGCCGCTGCTGCTGCTCCTGGTGGCCGGGCAGGTCAAAGATGCTGGTGGGTGGCCGGCGGCGGGTGCGGACCGTGTGCGTGACGCGCTTCTGCACCCACTCGACGACCGACTTAGCCTCGGTGCGGGCGAGCTTCATGCCGGCGTCGTTGATACGGCGCCAGATGTCGCCGAGGCGGGCTGCGAGCTCGTCGACGCGCTCGTTGAAGCGGTCCTCCTCGGCGTGGTCGGCCGGCCCCGCCAGGACGGAGCCGTCGTCGACGGCCATGTCGAGGATGAGCACGGCGGCGCGCAGCTCGGCGAACTCGGTGCCCGGGCTGACGTCGAAGTCGCGCTCTCCGAGGCGGTCGATGATAGCTTGTAGCGTGATGGCGGCCTCGGGCGCGCGGCGTGCGAGCGAGGCGTCGCGGAAGAGAAAGGTGGCGGCGAGGCGCCGGCGGAGGTCGTGCGCGCGGGACGAGCTTGTCGGCAGGCAGAGGAGGGCGCTGACGCGGATGCACGGCGAGGAGAAATTGCTCAGGAGCAGGGCACAGGTATCATGACACTGCTGCTGTTAGTGGGTGCTTGGCGTGTTGTGCATCGATTCGGAACTTACAAAGCCGTCCCAGTCCCTAGGCGGGATGGTTTCGATGAGGTTTTTGAAAGTGTGTTCGAATTGATCGTCAATGTCAATATTGGTGAGAACAACCATGTCCATGGCCATTCGAAGTAGCAATTGTAACATGTATGTTCTAGTTTCTAACGGCAGCGCCGACGCCGTGTCGCTCAAGAGCGACAGGATGGCGAGAAGCGGCGCCCAGTCCCTGCCCTTGTAGACCTCGTCGCTCACCTTGGCAACGTTGATTCGACCGCGCTGTAGGGACGCGTCCGCGGCACCGATGCGCTCCCATATCGACTTGAGGAGCTTTGGGGTGAGAAGCGCGGCCACCTGCTCAGGACAGGCGGCGATGAGGTGGCAGAGCTCCGCGCGCGTCACGGGCGAGGCCCCCGGCGCGCAAATCTCTTCCAGCAACCAAAGGAAGACGGAAGGCGGCATGGCGCCCCGTCTCTCCACCACGCTAAACGGGACGCCTGAAACGAGGTTCTGCTCGCACACGCGCGGGTTGCCTTCGGTGAGCAGGGTCCACGGGATTCTTCTGGCCTCTGGCGGCGGCGGCGGCCGTCGCGGCGGTGGGCAGTCCGGCTCGTCAAGGGACGGGCGGAAGAAGCAGTACCGCAGCTCCTGATGGCCCGGGTCTGCCCTCTGCACGGCGCGAAGGACCTTGTGCGCATCGCCGGGTTTGCTTGCGCTACTAACGAGACCAGTGAGATCGCTACCGTTGCCGCTGCCGCCGGGCATTGATGGCGTCGCTGTCCTGACGGGGACCCGGGCGAGCTGCGAGCTCGCCTGCAGGGCCGTGTCGCGGCGCGCGTCCTTGGCGAGCGCTGCGAGGTCGAAGCGGTGCCGTGGGATATTTACCAGCGGCGATCTATGCCCTGGGCGGGATGATCCAGCAGCAGGGCGTTTGGAGCGCCTCTGTGGCGTGGTGGGCTGCAACTGGTGGTTGGCGGCAGTGGGTGGTGCTGGTGATGGTCCATGGCCACCTAGAAGCGCGGTAAGATCCTGGAGGGAGTCGTCAGAGGACGAGCCGTCACTACCCTCGTCGTCGGAGGCGGCAATCTCCCGGACGAGGCTTGGCGGCGTCCGCGGCCGGCCGAGTTGTGATGAGGCCATGCAGCTGTGGCGGTTGAGATCTGTTGGTCTATCTCGGGTGCTGAGTTGGCGTGGCTATGTGATGTCGTATTTACGTCTTGGGGTTTCTGGTTTTGGTAGTTAAAGACTGATATGGGCTTGTTGCACAGATGCCAGACAAGATTGATGCAGAAGCGCCTTGTCTTGTGACTTCCGATGTTGATGTCGATGGGATGAAGTGGATGCAGATCTAGCCCCACTAACTTTGAGGCTGAATTACCGCCGTTTACAAGAAACCTACCCTATATCGGGATGACAGGATGCCAACATGCAGCGTGGCAAGCTCTCCTTTCTTTTGTAAAGTCCGACTACTGCTAAATAACGGGATCGGGGCCTTTGAGGCTACACAATGATGCTGGTAATATTTTTCAGTACTTTTATAGCTTATTTAGGCAAGCAAACAAGACAAGTAAAGTAAACCGTACCCACGTGGTTCCAATTTCTAACCAAGGCATTGCCCATCCACTTACTACCTAGTCATGCACTAAGTTACCAGTTCAACGACTAAACAATGAGAATCTCCTCGAGCAGCACCACCCCAGTGATGGCGGATTCACCAGCCTCAGCAAGCGCGAGATCTGCTGCCGCTTCCTCGGCAGCTACTTCGACAGCCGTGGCGTCGGCTCCAGCAATCACAGCTTCTTCCTCGGCGGCAGTCGCGGCCGCCCCGGCACCTTCGAGAGCAGCCGCATAGAACCTGTACTCGCCAACCTCGCCTGCCTTGAGCGCGGCCTGGAGGTCGGCGTCGCCAATCGCATTTCCGGCGACACCTTCTTCAACAGCAGCTCCTTCTTCGACAGCTCCTTCGGCAGCACCTTCCTCAGCAGCACCCTCTTCAACAGCCCCTTCTTCAGCAGCCTTGACAGGCTTCTGCACCTCGCCCTTGGCGTTCTTCCATTCTCGGCTCTCATAGTCGACTCGCGCCCTGGGTAGCTCCTCCAGCTTCTCCTTGCACAGCACCGAGATGCCCAGGCCACCGCCTTCACTGTTGAGCAGCGCTTTGGGGATCAACATCTGCTGAAGGTGCTCTTCATTGTAAACTAATGCCATGCGCATTGTCTTTGCGGGGTTCAAGCCTTGGCCTGAGATGAAGCCGTCAATGGCTGAACTCTTCCACCAAGTCTCCCTCGGCACCCACACCTTGGCTGTGCTAGCGAGAGCCTCCGCATCGGCGAAGATGGCGCAGTACCTGCCAGCCGTTAGTCCTGCAATGAATGGTGCTTGGAATCTTGTTCAATCCACTTTTTGTTTCGGCATGACTACGTACCAAGGGTTAGAGCCGTGAATAGGCCACTCGCCAGGCTCGGGAGACGTGTAAACGCCGTCGCCGATTTGTTGGCCATTAGCAGGTCTCGTCAATGTGAGCGTCTTCTTGGCCATGTAATCTTGTGCTTGTTCCTGAGGAGCACCGTCAGTAACGTCTTGAAAAAAATGCAACGCATCCCAAGGTCCAAAGGCAACATCATCCATTTCGTGACGCACCTTTGCAACAGTTCTGTACCCGATGATGACATTCTGGCCTCGTTTGTCAACAGACTTTGTATGGTAGGGCGAGGCCGCGATGCCGGAAACGAGCACAGTGGCTACGAGTGCGAGCTTTGGGAAAATCATCTTGATAAACTTGGCGAGTGACTGTTAAAGAGGGAAAGAGAAAGGAGTGTTTCTCGCCGGGATGACTGTACTGTACTCTATTGGCGTGGGAGAAATGTAGAGCACACATCTGTCTACTTATATGAAAACTACATCCATCATTGGAACTGCCAATATCCAAGACACTTCGCATTACAACACCTTGGCAGCATTGTGAATGTTTGCATGAGCGACGATGCCTGCGTTGCGACCCATGACAATACAACCGCCCTTGCACGCCGGCAATAGACGAAGGATTTTCAGACATGAACACATCACTTCATGCTTCCACCTTGACATTTGGCACTTGCCGTTGACCGAGTAAAGTAGCCCATTGTTCCTATCAGTTTTATGCTAATAAGTAATGCTATACGTTCTTTTTTATGCGCTTTCCACCGTTAAGCCCAGCGCCTGTCGTTTGCCGGAGAAAGTGGCCTTATGATCTTGATAATTCAATGCCACTAAGCAATGCTATTCGCACGGCATGTTCTCTCCCATGCGCTCTTTTGGCGCTTTCCGGCAGCCGCGTAAACTAGTAGCCTTATATGCCACTGATAATATTATGCTACCGAGTAATGCTGTTCCTGTTCGCACTGCCATCCGATTTTTTATGCGCCTCTACCCTTGACTTCGGCGCTTCTATGGAGCCTCAACCGGAACATGCTGACCTATGTAGCTGGCCTTTCCTATCCATTTCTCCTTGGTGATCCGCCCGATAGTTTTATGTTATTGAGTAGTTCTATCTGCACTGCATATTCTTTCTATGCGCACTATATACGTGACAAAGATAAACTTTGCATTTTTCGATGGACAGGATGTGTGACAGGATCGACGAGGCCGAGTAGCTGTGCAGCATTGTACGTCCACCTGCCTTGTGAAGCTTGCATGGTTTTGGCAACAATCTGAAACGAGCAGTTGAGCTTTAGTATAGTTTTTCTAATAAAAGAATTACAACTTCTCGCGATCACAACGGTGGTTATGAATTGCGACAGTTAGAACGCTATTATTAGCCAAGGAGCGCTGTTCCTTTTCTTGACAAGTACGGCGTTAATTCGCTCATAAAAATGCCATAACAAGTCATGAAGCTTAATAGCCAAGTTAAACAATATAGGCTATGCTGGAGAAGGAATTTTCTCGTCATCTGAGCCGCTCATAATGGCTGGAAGTTGGTGGCATTTCGAGATTGTGGTGTTAAAAGGTTAAAAGTGGTGACAATTTGCACCCCCAAGGTACACAAACTTTGGTGGGAAATACATGAAAAACTAAGTACTAACACCATGTCGGCTTGACTCTACGGGAGGTCGCTTCAACATCGGGCGACGATGCTATCATCTCTATTATGATTATGGCCCTGCTATAAAATTATTTTGAGCTCGCATTAGGCTTATCGGCCAAGGCTTAGAACTCCAACTACATGGCATAATCCTCGGCAGCCAAATCCTTGCAGTTATGCAGTTCATGCTTTTCATGCTTTTCATGCGTAATGGCTTGTTCTTCTGCGACTTTCTCACTTTTCTGGACGAGCAACTTGTATTGATCAAAACTCGAGTCTCTTTAAAAGTCATACTCAGCGTTTGTGATTTAAGAGTGCAGTCCGTCTCAACTATACAGCCTTCTTCCTCCAGCCATCACACTCTCTTTTCTTCCAAGCCTCTACTTGTGCAAGATCCTTCAGAAAACCTAGCAAACCGACACATCTCTACAGAGCAACCATGCATGTCCCATCATTTCTGGTCTCCGGCTTGCTACTCCTCGGCGCCGGCCTTACCAACGCAGCAAACACCATCGACAATGAAGTTCTCTGCGATGGCCACCCCCCCGCACCTGTGCGTTGACTCGACTGCAAAAACTATCACAAAGTACATGGTCGAGAGTTTCTAACTTGCTTGCAATAGGGAACCAAGGACTATGAGATGTACATGAGGAACTGCCAAGGAATCCAAGAGGAGGACGTCAAGAAACCAGTCGCACCGACCAAGCCGGTCAAGAAGATCAATTGCGCCGAGGTGCTCAAGAATGGCAACAAGATCGACTGCCAGGGTCTGAGTCACAAGGGCTGCACGCTCCGCAACTGGGAGTGGGCTGTAAGTACTCACGAACCCTCCTCCCCTCCCAAAAAAAGAACACAAAACTAAGATGAGACTATCTATCTAGGGATGCAAGAAGGCACCCGAGTGTAAAGGCAAGAGTGGCGAAGAGGCCAAGAAGTGCGCTGATGACAGAGACGTTCTTCCCTTTGGTGTAAGTCCTCCCTCTTGAAAGAGCGCCAATAAAATCATGAAAGTTGCTGATTTGAGAAAACAATGCAGGCCGGTGTTTACTATACGGGTTACATGAGGGCCGCCGTGCCGCAGTACACGCTGAAGAAGACTGATGAGCCTACCTTCAAGGACCTCCCGTGCGAGAAGCTCAACCCCTTCGACTGCACTGGCTTGAACAAGTACTTTTGCCAGTTCCGCTCATGGCAAGCAGCTGTAAGTTTTCAACCTTTACTTGGACTCATTCTGCGGTTTTACTAATTTCTTCATCTCTCTAGGGTTGCATTCAAAACGTATGTATTTGGGACTGTGACATTCACAAAATCGCAAAGGCAACAACTAATCTTTTACGCGTTACAGGCCAAGTGCAAGAGTGCCACGGACAAGAAGGCATGCTGTGACAATCGCGATAGGGATCCCTCTGTAAGTGTTCCTCGATGCAAAGAGTTCCCTTTCCTCCCCTCCCCTCCAAGGTTAGGACGGCATCGCGCTAACATGGAATGTCAGGGCCCCTTTAACCAAACCTTCCTGTTGGAGTTCAACAACAAGTGCATGGCGTAGAAGTTGTTGATGGTACGTCCGGGCTGCCAAGTTTTCAAGATTGGCGCGCGAGAGAGGCCATGGTGATGGAGCGATGGCAAAAACGTTCGGAGCGCGTTGGAGAACCCATAGAAAAGGCCTTCATGCGTCGAGTTAGCCAGGAATATTAACGTATTTCTTCATTTTCACGGATGCAGGCTGCTTGCCAATATTCCAGAATGGACCAAACCAAATTTCGCTGCAACGGTACCCAAAATAAACCGAGAACATCAACTTATTTCTTCATTGTCACGGATACATATAAGAGACTATGGCTTCCTGGTAATATTCTAAAATCAGCCAGTTTTTTTGGTGGAAGACGCGAGCAAGGTCGAGCGCAACTTGGATGGAGTGAAGTGGTTGTTCACAAAACGAAAAGGAAGAGTCTCAAAAGGCAAAATTTCGTTGGAAGCTATTTGCGATTATTCATTGATCCCCTAACCTTCGCCCACAAAACTGCTTCCACTCCCAAAACTTGATCGAGTCCGGCCCCTCCTCCGGCTTCTTCCACTCATCCCGCGGCGGGTACGGCGACGTGTCAAATGTCAGACGAAGCTGGAACCTCGGCGTGAATTCCGTCAAGCCCTCCGGAGACTGAGCGTCGTAGGGTGTAAAAAAGTTTCCCTTTTCAAGAGTAAACGTGTACGTTTTTGGCTGAAAGGCGGCTTCCACCAGTAACGACTCGTTTATTTTATACTTGCTCATGTCCACATTCCCGAGCTTCGGGATGCGGCGCTGCGTGAGCGTCATGTCGACTTTTGTTGTCTGAAGGCTGGCTGGCGAGCTGTCATACTTGGCAATGTCGACCGTTTGGCTGAATGCTTGTTGGTCGTGTGGCTGCCAGTCAAATTCGGCGGCGATCCAGACATTGAGCTCCGTGCGACATATTAACTGCACACAAACGATTAACAAGGACTATATGATGGATATGCGTGCGTGCTGGGCTTACCTTGCCTGTGCCGTTCTCATGAAAGATGATGTGGTTCGCGTAGTCAGAGTCATAGTGCCATGTCTCGCTGCAAAGAAGGGACGAGAGTGATTCTTGCATGTTTTTCCCCTCCAAATTTTAATGTTGCTGGGAATATAATGTTGACGGCAGTGGCGGTGGGAGGAGGCCCAACTAAATGGATAGATGGACGGCTTTGGAAGGCGAGTCAAGCAAGCAAAAGGTGAAACGTGCCAGCTGGCGTTTATCTGTCTATTAGTAAGTACATGCGATTGAATTAATGTGAGCAACTAGGTCAGCGAAGGCCGTTTGGACACTTGATTGAAGAATTCGCATGTACAGAGAGGTACGCTAGAGGGTGGCAGGCTAAAGCTTAATTGGTAAATCGGCGCCAAGTGCGTTACAAAAGAGCTGTGGCGACAGACGCGCAAAATGCCCAGCTCGATGTTTATAAGACAATCGTTAATTGGGAACAGGCCAGGAAGAACTCGCAGTTGTCGTTGTGGACTTTCGAACTTTCGAGACTTGGAGGGGAAATCACGGATTGGTTCATGTGGTGCACGTATTTTACTTGGTATTGCTCGCATTGCCAGAAGCAAGACGGGCAGACTATAAGGACGTCTGGGCTTGTCTCAGGGTCCGGTACAGTGGGCTCGAGCTGGTGAGCGAGGCGCAAGGCATTGGCAAGACGGGGTCTGCTGAATTGTATTGGGCATCTCGCTCTTGTCGGGCAGGGAAGCCCCGCCGAAGCAAGATGGCCACAATCACAATGGAGAAGCTTGACAAAGGCATTCATGCAGGTCGGTCGGCAACTCCTCCTCCCTGCCTGGACGCGCTGGGCCTGGAAACAGGACAGGGTGGCTTGCAGGAGGGCACGCGCAGCGGCGCAGCGCAGCAGGCGTGAATCTGATGCGTGTCGTTGGCGACTCGCCAATGCTTGAAATTACGTTGGGCACCGTGTCTGTCAGCCAAGGAGAAAAGCACCCGACAACAATCACGGGATGGATGGTCACGGATGGTCATCATCATCGACAGGGGGACGCAACGATCAGCACCCATGGCCTGCGAGGTGAGCCAAGCGAAGTCGCCATGGCGCAAGCAAAGAACACATGTTGGTAACGACTTGAAGGGAGGGCGCGGCAGAGCGACCGCAGGCGGGCGTTGGGCCTCGAGTCCGAGGGGAGATGAAATCCGAGCAGCCGTATGCGGGTGACGAGGCTTAGTGTCCATAGCCTTCTCAAATATAGAGGACTGTGAGGGGGAACGATGTGACATCTTGGGTGTGCCAAGATTAAGCAGCGCTGGGCCCAATAGTCTCAGCGGTAACTGGGCAAGTAACGAAATAGACACTTGTCGATTAACTAATACCTCTATGCGCGCGACAAATGAGATGTCGAGTGAGTGAGACTATGCCTGCGCTCGCTGTCTCAGCCCAGCGGTGCGCAACGAGGATGACCTTGAGACAACAACAAGGCGCGATGGTTTCTAGGCCATTCCGACCATCTTTCAACTAGTCAGTATTCGTAAATCGTAATGGAGGAACCTGGTAATTTATTACTGGTAGTCTGGTAGACCCTGACGCGAGTAGGGGCCCGCTATAAGGGTCGTGTCCGACTGGTATTGCAAGCTGGCTAGGTAGTGAGGCACCACAGACGAGTCGCGGCTTAAGTGCACCAGCAAGTCGAGTAACTACTACTCGAATGAAGCAGTACTATATCTCATCCGTGGCGGTTTGAAGAGCGTTTCTTTCAGAACCCATCCCCTTGTGTTATCCATAGATGAGTTGCGGGTAAAACATTCGCCTATGGAATCATGGATACAGGCGGAGGGGTAGGCTGGTCCTGTGCGTTCCTCCTACTTGCCAGGGACCCCAAACGAATGTATAAAAAGGACTTGGAAAACACAGCGCCCCGAACAATTGCGTCTGCCCCTGGATCCGGAGATGAGATCGGCTGCGGCAAGATGAGTGAGGAGACACGGGTGCCTGATGTCGTCACTGCCTACGAAATCCTGGTCATTGGTAGAGTCGAGAAGCATCCAAGCATCTTCCCTGGTGATACCAGTACCAGTTCGGAGTGTCCGTACTCTGCGAAAAGTGTTCAAAATGAGGCTGCTCTGGGGAACGCCAAACGGGTTCCCAGGTTGGTTAGCAGCCACGAAAATCTTTTCAGTCGTGGTGATTTCTCAGCAGCCGCTTCGGATACTTGTAGCTGTCCGTCGCGCCCGAGGCTGCCGGCGATAATTTGGCGGCCACGGACGAAAGAGAGGTACACGCGCTGGTTAGACCAGTGGCGAGGTACTTGCTGAACATTGACCCCGCTGGGCAACTCCGCAGTGGGCGGGCGCGGCGCGGCGCGGCGCTGCAGAGGCTCAGGGGGCTTTGTTTTGTGAATTCATTTTCTTTTTGCCCGCCAAGAAGCTGTGCTTGATATTGTAATGCTTGGGAGTGTTGGGCCTCGGGTGATGCGGGAAGGGAGACATCAATACAGTTGGCATGTGCTGATGATAGTGTCTCTGGACAGGAGCGGGATGAAAGACCTGGCATGCTTGTAAAGCAGGGCGGAGGATGTGATGTAATCGTCAACAGCGGGAGAGATTCATTTCTGCAGCAGCAGCAAGTGTGATATGCATGATGATTATAAAGCTAGGTATCTGGGAACGAAACAGAGTTTATTGGGGGCATGGAGGAAGGCATGGGGGGATATGTTATGCGGGATCCGACGACGGTGAGGGGAGAGCAGAACACCGTGACTAAGTGGCCATGTGCATTTGGCATTTTCACCGCGTGCTTCAGTGGAGATTAAATGCTTGTTTTTGTCTTCTTATTGTATTTTGGACTTTTTATGGGATTCTTTGCGAGGTTCACAGGGACAACGGTAACTAATTGTACTGACGAGTTATGGACACTCGGATGGCTCGGAGACAGGGGTCAAGCCAGCGCCGTTGTAGCGAGGTTATCGTGGGTTCCAGTGAGGCTCTTACCCATTTAGGCCCTCGCCGCAGATAATTACAGTGGATGCGGGATAAGTCCGACACTGGAGAGTGTGCTGGGAGGCCGGGTCGCCTACTGAAACTGGCCAATTAGGAGGGCAGCATGCACTGAATCAAGGCCAGCGACCAGCACCCCGTCGGTCCCGTAGGTACCCCGTCAGCCTGGTTGCTCAGCTCGCGCCCAGCCCAGTTAGCTAGCCAGCAGTCGCCTGCCTGTTCGTGCTAACAATTCTCGTTGCGCTGGCCTCTCGCTCGCTCTCTCGCTCGCCAAATGTCCGCTACCCGACCCTTCCTTTTTCCTCTCCCTCTTGTCCTACCTGCCTCCAGTCGTTTATCCATCCATTCCCTCCGTCATCCTTCTCCGATCGACTAGTCCCCTCGACCTCGATTCTTTTATCCTCTCGCTGCCGAAACAGCTCCCTAGTCGTTCTTTTCGTGTCAATTGTATTCTACACCGGTCGCGCCAAGTCTAGCCGCTTCTCTCCCTTTACTCGGCGCGTCTCGTTGACCACCCCCCCCCATCCGACCGAAATCGTGTTCCAGGAGCCTTGCCCAGAACTCACGGACGGACAAAAATTCAATACAAGCGCGAAAAATTCAAGTCTCAAAAAAGGCGTCATTCGAGTCCTCCAGTCAACCGCCTCCCGCTTCAACGGCTCAGACAGCCACGGTCCCTCAAACCGCACCCCAGGCTGGCCAAACCAAACGGCTTAAACGGCGAATGTTCGCCTTTGCCTACCCATCATGCCCGATAACTTGACCCCCGAGGGTGCCGCCGGCAACGGCGCTGACCTCGACAAGGTCCAAACACAACGAGCGAGATGGGCCACGCGAAGAATGACGGTCAAGAGTGGCAGCACCAAACGCCACTCCCTCTTGAATCGACACAACCGCAAAAAGTCGTCATCTAGCGAAAAGAGCGTCGGCGCGCCTGGCGGCGGTGACAACGGCCATGGTCCCCTCTCCAATGGCGACGACAACGGCGACGCCGACGATCCCGAAGCCTCCGAAACTGAAGACGACGAGCCTGAGAACCGCCACCTCTACTTCAACCTGCCCTTGCCCGACGACATGCTTGACGAGGAGGGGCATCCTGCCAACAGCTATGCCAGAAACAAGATTCGAACTGCCAAATATACGCCCTTATCCTTTATACCCAAAAACATTTGGTTCCAGTTCCACAATGTCGCCAACATCTTCTTCCTCTTTGTTATCATCCTGGTTGTAAGTAAAGCTACGCCTGGCTTGCCTTGACCTTTGCTCACGCGCAAATGTACAGATCTTCCCCATATTTGGCAGTGTAAATCCCGGACTCAGCGCCGTCCCTCTCATTGTCATTATCTGTCTCACCGCCATCAAAGATGCCATCGAGGATTACCGACGAACTATCACCGATATCGAACTCAACAACGCGCCCGTCCATCGTCTGATGAACTGGGACAACGTAAACGTCGAGGTTGGCGACGTCTCTACGTGGCGAAAAGTGAAAAAGTCCACTTCTCGCTTCTTTGGTGGCATTTGGTACGCCGTTCAAAGTATCTGGTCCAAGCAGGCCAGACAAAAGAGAATCGAGCGCAAAGCCAAGGCCAACGGCGAAGAGGAGGAGGAGCCTAGACCTTCTGTCGAGACCCAGCGAACCCGCATGTCTATGCGCCGATCCATCACCTCACCATTTGGCAACAGACGGTCCACCCACGAGGACATTCAGATGACCCCGGTGCCTTCCCCTTCGCCCCCTGGTCACATCAAGATCCAGGAGCCCGACAAGCAGGACCAGGCACGCCTTGCTGCTATGCAGGACATGAAGACCGACATCATCAACTATAGACGCGCGCCCACTAATGCTCGTTTCAAAAAGGACGCCTGGAAAAACATTGTCGTCGGTGACTTTGTCCGTATTTACAACGATGATGAACTGCCCGCCGATGTTATTATCCTCTCCACGTCTGATCCCGACGGTGCTTGCTATGTCGAAACCAAGAACCTGGACGGCGAGACCAACCTGAAAGTCCGACAGGCCCTTCGATGCAGCCGCGCCCTCAAGCATGCCCGCGACTGCGAACGATCCGAGTTCCTCGTCGAAAGCGAAGCCCCACAATCCAACCTGTACAAGTTTAACGGCGCCATCAAGTGGAAGCAGACCGTGCCTGGCTACGAGGACGACGAGCCAGAGGATATGACCGAGGCCATCACCATCGACAACCTGCTTCTCCGAGGCTGCAACCTTCGCAACACCGAGTGGATTCTCGGCGTCGTCGTCTACACCGGTCACGACACTAAGATTATGATGAATACTGGTATGACTCCCTCCAAGCGTGCCAGAATTGCCCGAGAAATGAACTTCAACGTCATCTGCAACTTTGGTATCCTTTTCGTCATGTGCTTGGTGTCGGCCATCATCAACGGAGCCGCCTGGGCCAGAACCGACACGTCCAAGAACTTTTTCGATTTCGGATCCATCGGCGGCAGCCCTCCCGTCACTGGATTCATCACTTTCTGGGCCGCCATCATCAACTTCCAAAACTTGGTTCCCATCTCGCTTTACATCACTCTGGAAATTGTCCGTACTCTGCAGGCCATCTTCATCTTCAGCGATGTTGAAATGTACTACGAGCCAATCGACCAGCCCTGTGTACCCAAAACTTGGAACATTTCGGACGACGTTGGCCAAATTGAATACATCTTCTCCGACAAGACTGGTACCCTCACGCAAAATGTGATGGAGTTCAAAAAGGCAACGATCAACGGACATCCATACGGCGAGGCTTACACCGAAGCACAGGCTGGCATGCAAAAACGTGCCGGCATCGACGTCTCTTCCGAATCTGAACGCATCCACGCCGAGATCGCCAAAGCCAAGGCCGACTCGATTGCCGGCCTACGCAAGATGTACGACAATCCCTACTTCTACGACGATGCTCTTACCTTTGTCGCCCCCGATTTTGTCGCCGACCTCGGCGGTGAGTCCAGCAAGGCACAAAAAGAAGCCAATGAAACCTTTATGCTCGCGCTGGCTCTCTGCCACAGTGTCATCGCAGAAAAGGCACCCGGTGACACGCCGCGCATGTTGTTCAAAGCTCAGTCTCCTGACGAGGAAGCTCTCGTCGCTACCGCACGCGACATGGGCTTCACGGTTCTCGGAAGCTCCGGCGACGGTATCGACGTTAACATCATGGGCGAGGACCGCCACTACCCGATTCTTAACACGATCGAATTCAACTCTACTCGCAAGCGAATGAGCTCCATCGTCAAGATGCCCGACGGCCGCATCGTCATTTTCTGCAAGGGTGCCGACTCGGTCATCTACTCTCGCCTCAAGAAAGGAGAGCAGCGTGAGCTCCGCCAAGAAACTGCTGAACACTTGGAAATGTTTGCTCGTGAGGGTCTTCGCACGCTTTGCATTGCTATGAAGGAGATCACTGAAGAGGAATACCGATCCTGGAAGAAGGAACACGACGTCGCTGCTTCTGCTCTCGAAGATCGCGAAGAGAAGTTGGAAGCTGCCGCCGAGCTCATTGAACAAGACTTTCTGCTTCTCGGCGGAACCGCTATCGAGGATCGCCTCCAGATTGGTGTCCCCGATACCATTGAGCTTCTCGGACAGGCCGGCATTAAACTCTGGGTCTTGACTGGCGACAAGGTCGAGACCGCCATCAACATTGGTTTCTCCTGCAATCTGCTCAACAATGACATGGAGCTAATTCACCTCAAGGTGGACGAGGAAGCTGGCGACGACGTCTCCGATGACATGCTGCTCGACGAGTTGGAAAAGGGCTTGGACCAGCACCTTAGCCACTTTGGCATCACAGGCAGTGACGAGGACCTGAAGGCCGCCAAGAAGAACCACGAACCGCCTGGCCCCACGCACGGCCTCGTTATTGACGGTTTCGCCCTTCGCTGGGCTCTCCACGACCGACTCAAGCAAAAGTTCCTCCTCCTCTGCAAACAGTGCCGGTCTGTTCTCTGCTGCCGTGTCAGCCCCGCCCAAAAGGCCTCCGTTGTTGCCATGGTCAAGAATGGTCTCGATGTCATGACTCTATCCATTGGTGATGGTGCCAACGACGTCGCCATGATCCAAGAGGCCGACGTCGGTGTCGGCATCGCTGGTCTTGAGGGCCGACAAGCCGCCATGTCTTCCGATTATGCCATTGGTCAATTCCGCTTTCTGCAGCGCCTGGTCCTGGTCCATGGGCGATGGTCTTACCGCCGTCTGGCAGAGAGTATAAGCAACTTCTTCTACAAGAACATGGTTTGGGTGTTTGGCCTGCTTTGGTTCCAGATCTACTGCGACTTTGACATAACGTATCTGTTCGAATACAGCTACATCATCATGTTCAACCTGTTCTTCACCTCGGTACCTGTCGGTGTCCTTGGTGTTCTCGACCAGGACGTCTCGGACAAGGTATCTCTGGCCGTTCCTGAACTCTACCGCACCGGTATTGAACGGTTGGAATGGACGCAGAGAAAGTTTTGGCTCTACATGTTTGACGGTGTCTACCAGTCAGTCATGGCTTTTTACGTGCCTTACCTGATCTTTAGCAATTCTCGCCCCGTCACTTTCAACGGTCTCAACGTCGACGACAGATATCGACTCGGAGCCTACGTTGCGCACCCTGCTGTGTTGACCATCAACGCCTACATTATGATAAACTCATATAGGTGGGACTGGCTAATGCTGCTGATTATCGCCATCAGTGACTTGTTCGTCTTTTTCTGGACCGGTGTCTACACATCATTCACCTCTTCGTCTACATTCTACAAGGCAGGCGCTGAGATCTACGGCGAAGCATCGTTTTGGGCCTGTTTCTTCATCGTCCCTGTCCTCTGCCTGTTCCCCAGATTTTCCATCAAGGCTATGCAGAAAGTCTTTTACCCTTACGACGTCGATATTATTCGCGAGCAGGTCTTCATGGGCAAATTTGACTACCTCAAGGAGCCCAAAGCAAAGGACGACAACAAGACAGACTCCAGGAGTCAAGGATCTCACGGCAGCTCCAACAGAAGCTCGAGAAGATCGAGGCATGTCCCATATGCCAGCGTTGACGAAGACTTGCGACCAATTTACCCGCCTTCAACGGTGACGCAAAACACATACAACGGGGCACACAGCCAGCAAGGAAGTGCCGACACGACAAATATGCCCCGGTACTCGGTTGAGAACCCCATGCACAGAATCTCGACGGACCGCCCGCGACCGTCGTACGACCGCATGCGTGCTTCGATGGACCGCACGCGCGCCAGTTTCGAAGCCAGCAACGACTTCACTTCGGCTGCCCGATTGTCGCGGATAGAGTCTTCACATTCGCGCGGAAACTCACACTCGCACACGGGCATAATTCGCAGCCGTCTCCGCGCGCTGTCCTCTCTGTCCAAGAAGTCGGACGCCTAGTGGCCGTCTGAACGCCTTTCATCAGGGGGCGATTCGTAGCACGAGTCTACGCATCCGCTTGTACATAATCGACGATCCATAATGCCACCATGTCTTTACCACTTTCGCCTGCGGAGCCGTGTCACCCTCATCACTGCGACACGAGCACTGCTTGTTGACGACTTCGCATGAGCCATTTACAGTACTACACAGTACCACATTTCTTACAACTGGTTGGAATACAAACAGATGGGAGCGAGCCTGTGGACTTGCGGGCACAAGTCCTCACGGAAAGAGGATTGCTGCGAGCCGCTCGTCATTTGCTGCTTGGCGTTGTTTTTTTTCTGCGGATGATTTCGTCGTCCTGTCCTTTCACGCGCACACTATATATATATTTTGATACACCCCGTCACCTCATCCTTTCCTTTAATTGCGATTTGCATCCTAGATTCCTTTCCCCATTTTTCAACATGCGGAGCCGACACACACCGGTACACACTACTGCCTTTTTTTATTTACTAGTTTTTTTTCTATACACTTTTCTTGTTTCTCGTTGCCTGGGGTTTACCGAAGTGGTGGACACCGGATGCGCGCAGTCTCGGGCGTTTTTTGTATCAATTGCTGGCGGCCTGTTTGTCTTTGTTGTACGAGAGAGGGAGGAGGAAGCAAAAGCTGGGCTTGTTTTGCATGCTTTTTGGTCCCGATTCAGTAGAAAAACCGAGAGGAAGCGAGCGAAACAGCGAGAGATGGATATGAAGTGTACATAGCATCGTCCAGCTCAAGCGTTCAGAGGAGGTTTTTTTTGGAGACGATTGAGAATAGAAAGCTATCTTGAACTCGGTGCATTCTCGACTTTTTGGGCATGACGTATTCAATGTGTTGCTTGCAAGTCGAAAACATTTCTGTGATACGTTGCCTCAACTGCTGAAACGTCTCAACCGATCCGCCAGTTATGATGATTTCGGTCACACTAGCGATTGATGCCGCTGAGGACTGAAGCCCTCGCCATCTACGAGAAACCTGCTCTCCGGGGCTTTACCCGGCGACTTCTCCGTGAATTTTTCCTTCATGAGATCCTTCGGAACCTGTTGGCAGTTCATCTCAAACGCCACAGAGCATCATAGGCTATCGGAGAATTCCCTGCACAGAAGCCTCGGGGTTATTTATGCATATATCGGCATGCCGCTGACGTTGGTACATTCCACTTGCAGCGACCAATTTTTTGCTGTACCGCCACGGAGAGCGGAACTGTACGAGCTGAGATGCATGCCGCATCAACGGCTCGTAAAAAAAGACCCCCGCATTCTGCATCTGCAGCGGGGAATTTAGCACTCTGATCATTGCCTTATCTCCTTGACTTGGGTGTTGATACGCAAAATTGGGCTGCCTAGCTTGACGGTAGAGGGGCTGCCTCGGCGGGCGTTTGCTTCGTCAACGTGTCGCGGAGGGATCACTCGAGTTGTATTGGCGGCGGTGTATTGGTGCTTCTAATAGTAGTCATAATGGTAAAGTGGTGCCTGTGATGGATGATGAAGACATTAATGATGAAGATAGTATTGATGATGATGACAATGACGATGTCGATATCTGCTTGATTGAGCCCCAGAAGTAGCAACTGCCTCACCTCGTACTCGGAAACATGATGCCCCACACCAAGCTTCCAAAAAGTTGCCCAAATGAACTGACCCCCTCCTCGACTCGCCCATTCAACACCATCATCTCAAGACCAAGCTCCCAAAGAGTGCCAATTGCGTGCACATTGGTCGTCTTTCCGCCATGGAAGCGCCCAAAGCCTGTGTGCTGTCGCTCCTCCGTCGCGGCAGCGACTATGCCCAGCCGTACCTCCAACAGGTCCCGTACGACACCCCTTCCCCTTGTCTGAGAGCACTGCCTAACACTCTACAGGAAGCCCGTTCTGCAGGCCAGCGTCGCCGTAATTGCCATCCTTCTCACCACCATCCTCTTCCGCACCGCTCAAGCCTCCCTCGCCGCTCGTCCCCGCCTCTACGTCGTCTCGCCGCCCACCCCCGACGCCGACCCTTCCACGCAGCCCGCCGCGTCGCTCTCCTCCCACATCCCCTGCTACGCACCCGCGACGGGCCAGTTCCTCGGGAATGTGCCCGCCGCCTCCGCCGCCTCCATTGACACCGCCATTGCCGCCGCCGCCGCCGCCCAGCGCGCCTGGCGCCGCACCACCTTGCCCCAGCGCGAGGCAGTGCTGCGCTCCATGCTGCGGCACGTGCTCGACCACGCGGAGCAAATCTGCCGGGTTGCGTGCCTCGACAGCGGCAAGACTCTCGTCGACGCCCAGCTCGGTGAGATCATGGTGACCGCGGAGCGCCTGCAGTGGACGCTGCGGCACGGCGCCCGCGCGCTGGCGACGGAGCGCCGCCCGACCAACCTGCTGATGATGCATAAGCGGAACACGGTCAGCTACGAGCCCATGGGCGTCGTCGCCGCGCTCGTCAGCTGGAACTACCCCTTCCACAACCTGCTCGGCCCCGTCATCAGCTCGATATTCGCTGGAAACGGCATCGTCGTCAAGGTCTCGGAGCAGACAGCCTGGTCAAGCGCGTACTTTGCCGACATCGCCAAGGGTGCCCTCGCCGCGCACGGTTTCGATCCGGACCTCGTGCAGACGCTCGCCTGCTGGCCGGCGCAGGCCGAGCATCTTACCGCGCACCCGGGCATCGCCCACATCACCTTCATCGGCAGCCAGCCCGTTGCGCACGCCGTCGCCGCGTCCGCCGCCAAGGCGCTCACGCCTGTCGTCGCTGAGCTTGGCGGCAAGGACCCCTTCATCGTCCTCGACTCGGCCGAGCACGACCTCGCCCGCATTGTCGAGGTCATCCTGCGCGGCACCTTCCAGGCCGCCGGCCAGAACTGCATCGGCATCGAGCGCGTCATCGCCGCCCGCGGTCCCGTCTACGACAAGCTCGTCGCCGCCCTCGCCCCGCGCGTCCGCGCCCTGCGCCTCGGTCCCGACGCTGACGTCGGCGCCATCATCTCCCCGGCCTCCTTCGACCGCCTCGAGGCCCTCGTCGACGACGCCGTCGCTCGCGGTGCACGCCTCCTCGCCGGCGGTCGCCGCCACCAGCACCCTGACTACCCCGGCGGCTCCTACTTCGCGCCGACTATGCTCGCAGACGTCACGCCCGACATGGCCATCGCCCGCAGCGAGTGCTTCGCCCCCATCCTCACGCTCATGCGCGCCGACGCGTCCACCGCCGACGCTGTGCTCGCCGTCGCCAACGCGCCCGACTTTGGCCTCGGCGCCTCCGTCCACGGCGCGGAGAGCGACCCGCAGCTCGATCCCATCGTCCGCGGCCTCAAGGCCGGGATGGTCGCCGTCAACGACTTTGCCGTCTACTATGCCGTCCAGCTGCCCTTTGGCGGCGTCCGCGGGTCCGGCTACGGTCGCTTCGCGGGCGAGGAGGGCCTCCGCGGTCTCTGCAATATCAAGAGCGTCTGCGAGGACAGGCTCGGTTGGCTCGGGGTCAGGACGGGCATACCACCGCCCATGCAGTACCCGGTGCCCGACCAGAAGCGCAGCTGGCAGTTTGCGCAGGGCGTGGTCGAGCTTGGCTACGGCGACGGGGCGAGAAAGGCCAAGGGTCTGATGGGCATACTCAAAAACATGTAAAATACAAGGGTGTTTAAACAGTAATGATGAGGTACTCTGATACAATAGATAATAATTAAAGCTTGACAAGCTTGGCAGTCACACGACGGGCCACGGGACTGGACGGCTTTTGATACGCGGCCTTGAATTCACTAAACTACCTTTTCTCGAAATTGCCACTACTTTCTCATTAACTTGTAGCACGAATTATGCTCTCCCCGAAAATTTCTGCCTTCTACCAAGCTGCGAATAGTTTCTGATCATGTCAGCCTTACCAAGAGGCCAGAGGGGTACCAGTTCCCCAGGCCTGAGGTGCACGGGCGGCGGGGGCCGGCGGGCCAGCTGCTGGCGGGGGAGGGCCTCCCCAGCCGCCGGAGCTTGGAGCAGGGGGGATCTGCGCCGGAGCAATTGGGGGAGGTCCCCAGCCATTGTTAGCCTGGACTGCCTGGACGGGGACGGGAGGAGGAGCACTTGGCGGAGCTCCCCAGCCATTGGCGACGGCGCCTGGCTGGGCGGCAACGGGCTGCACACTGGGTTGTGAAACGGGCTGTCCACCCCGGCCGCTCTGAGGAACAGCATTAGTCGAGGGAGGGTACGCCGGAGGAGGAGTACCTGGTGGAGGTGCCCAGCCGTTGGCAGCAGGATTGAGCTGGGCGGGAACGGGCTGCACAGCGGGCTGCGAAATGGGCTGTTCGCCCCAGCCGCCCTGAGGAATAGCACCGTTGGTGCCGGTGACAGCTTGAGGCTGCTGACCCCAACCGGAAGGCTCGATCGTCTCGTTGGAAGCTGGGACATCGCCGACATCTCGACCAGCTACTTCGTTTGGATCAAAGTCGGACTCCGTCTCAAACTGGATCTTGCCAGTCTCGGCGGGTTTGTAAATCTCCAAGAACTCCGGGATGTCCTGCTTGGTCTCCAGAAGAGTGCGAGTCAGGACGCTGGCAATCGCCTCATCTCTATCCGTGAAGAGAGATGTGGCAACACCACGGTGACCAATACGACCCGTTCGTCCTGGGAGCGTTAGCTAATGCCGCAGCGAGGAAAGGCGAAATACATACCAATTCGGTGCGTGTATTCTTCGATACCGCCATGATCCATGGAAGGCAGATCATAGTTGATGACGTGCATCACGTTGCGCACATCAATGCCTCGAGCTGTGACTCCAGTTGCAATCAAGATGGGAGCAGTTCCGGCGCGGAACGAACGCATGGCGGCCTCGCGCTCCAGCTGAGTTCGATCGCTGTGCATGGAAGTCACGGGGAGCTTCATGTTGAACAGGAAGTCGTCAAGACAGTCAACTTCTTGGCGGCTGTTTGCAAAGATGATTGTTCTCACGCCGTGCATCTCGTTGAGAAGTGCAATAAGGGTATTGCGCTTCTCATGAGGCTCGACCTTGAGAACAATTTGCTTAATGTTCTCAGTTGTGCTCCCAGCACGGCCGACACGGAATCGAACGTGGGCAGCGGCAAGGTGCTCCTTGGCCAAGTCACGAGCCAGCTTGGGAAAGGTGGCAGAAAAGAGACCGTACTTGACATTGCCCTCGTCTTGGTCTAGAAAATATTAGATAGTGAGGATAAAAGTGAAACAGATGCGCTTACCTCCGCCGAGTATGATTTTCTGGAGATCTTCCTGCCAGCCAATGTCAAGCATCTCGTCCGCCTCGTCAATGATCAAATACTTTAGACGCCGCAAGGTCAAGTCACGAGGCTTGTTGATAAAGCCGACAAGTCGTCCAGGAGTTCCAATGAGCACGTCACAGCCGCGATTGAGCAGGTGAACTTGCTCAGCCACGGGAACGCCGCCATAAACGACACCAGGGCGCAGCATGGTGCGGTAGCAGAACTTGCGGGCCTCATTGAAGATCTGAACGGCCAATTCGCGCGTTGGAGATACAATGAGAACCAAAGGTTCCGCAGTAACCTCGTCTCTGCCCTTGCAAAAGGTTGCGGGGTTTGGGCGAGGTGCGGCAAGCTTCTTTGCCTTACCCATGAGACGGCTCAGGATGGGAATCAAATAGGCAGCCGTTTTACCCGATCCTATTAGAGATGTGTTAGATAACATCAAAGCGAAAAAGGGAAAACACGTACCAGTCTGGGCAATGCCGATTACATCCCGACCTTGGACGATGGCTGGGATGGTAAACTTCTGAATCGGAGTGGGATAATCATAACCTGCCAACTTGACGTTCTCCAACATGACGGGGTGCAGGCCTGCGTCTCTGAAGGTCTTGATGGGCTCGATCTTGACTGGGCCTTCCTGCTTAACCTCAATGCTTTCGATGCTTGAACATGTTAGCAGGGGAAGTAGATGGGAGCCAGTCAAACGAACCGTCGGAAGTCAAGGCCCATTCGCTCGTGGCGAGTAGCCGGATCACCAAAGAGCTCGAGCTCCAGGCCTTCTATTTTTGGGCCAACGTCTCCGTACTCGTCATTCCATTGGTAGATCGGGGCACTTCCGTCAAAGGCGTCGGAAGAGATGATGCCAGCGTCGGTTGCGCCGGCTGGTGGTGGCTCATCGCCAGCGGTTTGATTCAAGGCAGCCTGAGCGTACCCAGAATCCATTTTGAATCAGAAACGATATCGTAATGATGAGTACTGCCAGATGTCAGATGGGGGAAGGGGCGCGGGATTGCGAATGGAGGCAGGAAGCAGGACAGACCTTGAAGCGGGTAGATGAGAGGGAAGAGCTTGAGGGAAGAGGGCCAAAGTTCGAGCATCACAGTTATGAAGAGAGTGATATGAGGGAGGAAGAAGAAGAGGGAAAGAAAATCAATGCGCGCGCGTTGAAATAGGTAAACAACAGGTGCTGTTGCCAGCTGGCGGCTGCTAGCTGCCAGCTGCCAGCTGCAGCTTCATCCGTTTGCACGCGATTCCAACTTGGGATTTTGATACTATTTTTTAATTTTTGAGAGGCTTATAATTTCTGTTTGTAATAAACTTAAATGAAATAGATTGAATGTATTCTTTACATGCATATTGTTGTTATTTAAGCCTTTATTACCATGTGTGTTATTAGCCAACCTCGAAGTTTTGCGAGAGTGCTGGCACAGTGAGTGGTATGTGAATCCTTGCGCGCCCAGAGAAGGATAACATCATCTCCCGATGCTCTAACGTATTGGATGTTTGTACTCGGGCTCTTAGCTTCTTCATCGTGTATCCCATCACCATAAATCCAACAAGTCCTGCGTATCCAGTGCTGTCGATACCTCGAAATCCTTCATACCCTTTGCGAGCACTTGCTCTAACCCAACCGCTGCTCGCCCCGTGACGCCTCCCTCTTTCTTGGCCTGGTCTATCCCTTTCAAAATCGCGTCCAAAAAGCGCTTGTGAAAGATCTGCTGTCTAGCCTCTTTATTGGGGTACATCTCCGCATCCTCGTCTCGCTGTGCCACGAACAGGTTCAGATACTCGAACGCGTTTCCCGAGCGTGGCATCCTATATAAATTATCCCAGAACTGTGCGCTCGTCGGCTCGGCGGCTACCTCGTCCCTGAAGCCGGCCTGCAGGAACCTGGCCAGCGTCGCTATCTGCTTGGCGCGGTTCTGCGCGTCCTTGGGCTTGAGCGTCGTCCGGGCGTTGGCCGCCGCCGTCCATCCTTTAGTTGATGAGGCCACGGCCCAGCCCATGACGGCGCAAAACGTCGTCAGCGTGCGCACCCAGCCGCCGGGGCACGTCACGAGCTCGTCGGCGGCGACGTCAAGCAGCCAGTCCATGGCTGCGAGGGCGTCGCCGCTGATGTCGCTCGAGAGGTGCGTCATGCCCGCGCGGATAAACATGATGGTGTGCTCGATGACGGGCGGGACGTCGCGGCCGGGCAGCACGCGCAGCAGCTTGAGCAGCTGCTGGCGGACGGGCGTCGCGCTGTCGGAGAGGAGGGGGACGAGCTTTGTGAGGACGGCAGCGGTGCCGACAGGATTGACGGGCGGGTCGAGGGCGAGTTGACTGGTGAGGTAGGCGAGAGCATCTTTGCGCTGCTTGTCGGAGCGGGAGGAGGCGAGGGAGAGGTTGTGCTTGAACTGCTGGATGACGTCTGGTGCTTCTGTCGACAAGGACTGGTGTCCCATAACAATTGCTGGAAATCGTCAGCGACGCATAAAGAGGAATATAGAGGGAATAGTACCTTTCGACTTGAAGCTAGTATCTGTAAAATTGGAGGCCTTGGCCTTGGTCTTTCCGACTTTCAATTTTGTTTTCTGCCCTGGTTAGCAGCGGTATCGCCAAAGTCTAGCATAGCGCATACTTGGAAGTCCTTTTGCTTCTCCTTCTTTTTCTTCATACTGGAGCCCATTGTGACGGATGTAGAAATTTGAAGGCAATAATACTCGTATCAGTCGTCGTATTCACAAAGATTGTAATTATTCAAGACCTTGGGTTTGACATCTTGTAACGTAGAGGGGCAGGAAATTTTGGCGGTGTCGCTAGGCAGAATTGGAGCTGGCGCTGGCGCATCGTCACTGCACCCACTCTCCCCACCAAAGGAACATCCTGGATGGGGGCCCGACGATAGCTTGTCATGACCAAGCCTCGCATTTTCTAAACATATTCGCAGGAGCTACTACCGCATCATGATGGCCGATGTGACCAACGTACGTCAGACGAAGGGCGCAGATGCGTATACATTCAACGCCGGCCGGTTCCTACTGACTTTGGGCTATTTTTAGGGAAACAGTGCCATCTTGGACGAGAAGCTGTCGCGCCTGTCTAAGAAGCCCGGCGTCAAGGCCAGCATCGTCATTGACAGGGGGAGCGGCTCGATCCTCAAGACGAGCGGTGACATCTCGGTGCTGGGGACGACACAGTCGCGGACGGCCTCGACGGCAGCGTCCTTCTCAAACGAGCCGGCAGCGGCCGAGGAGAGTACCTCTAAGGGCATCGACGACTTTGCGGCCATGATCTGGAAGTTTGTCAACAGCTCGGGTGAGATGGTGGAGGAAATGGACAAAGATGTACGTTGATGCCGAGAGCAGACCTGCGCAGAGCGTGCCAGCGAGGGGGGGTGCTGACCAACTACTAGGACGAGCTGCGACTGCTGCGACTACGAACGAAGAAGCACGAGATCGTCATTGTGCTGGACCCAAAATACCTCTTGACAGTCATCCACGATACCCCTACTTCTTGAGACCGGCTAAGCCCCCGACACGGGGAAGAGATGAATGCAGGAGGCGGTGCCCACGCGATGGCATCCATAACATTACATACGCGATTTAAGATACCCTTTCCGAATTAGTTGTACAAAACGCTACCATGACGGAAGTCTGAGAAAGGAGAACTGGGGCATATACATTCGCGTCATGTCCTTGCCGAGAATGGCTTCAAGCAGCATAGCCAGCCACATCTAAGGCTCTGAAGGGCATGGAATAGAGCAAATACAAATCAAATATGTCCATATCGCTATCTTGGCCCCGTTTGTTCATTTATTCTACCGCGATGTTAGAGGTAGCTTGCTGTCTCGCAAAACCGCGCCAAGAAAGCCCAAGCTTTCACTCCCTTCGACAGCCACTCCGTCAAGTCCGAAACAATTGGATAGGAAGAGGCCTATGAGGGTGGAAGCCTCAATTGTTCGCTTACCATCGGCGGATACGGGACCCAGGTAGTGATAGAATCTCGCCCAAAAATGCTCCCGAAGCTCGCCATGGTTCGAGTGGTAGCGCCAAAATTCTCCCCTGCTGATGAGAGTCCCGAGCAAAATCTCAAGGTAGCCAAGCGACAGGCCAAAGGGACTGACCTCGGCGCCTCCCCAATCGCAAATGCCTGTGATCCTTCCGGTACTGGCATCAACATGGATGTTGTTCTCATAAAGGTCAGTGTGATTGGGCACAAATGGCCAGCCGTCGGTGAATAGACTCGGGAGCTCGGGGATAATCGCATCTAGGTGGGAGTGAAAAGACACCGGGAGCTCCTGACGTAGTTGTCGAAGCTGTGAGGCGTATTTCTGCAACAGCTGCTCGGGGTCTGGGCGTACCATCTGAGTAGGCGGGTTGTGGTAAGCGGATGCAAAGAACCTACGGTGCAAGGTTAATTCTGAGCTTGGAGCTTGATCTTGGGCTACATGATGGCGGCAAACCGCGCATAGTCATCTAGAGTCACCCATAGAAGACGATAATTGTTGCTCTGCAGCTCTTTTAGCGCTATGTATGCGCAGACTCCGCCCATGTTATTCATGGTATAGACCTTGGTGCCGCCAAAGTCGCCGTGGTACTTGTGATGTGGTACAAACCCGCGATAAGCCGCCCCAATAGATGCGAGTGATCTCATGTCTAGGACAGCGCCCGCAGAGTCCGGAACTGAACAACAAGACGATCGTCGGCCACAGTATATCTGCTTCCTCCCTGGCTTGCGGTTGGAGTGACGGAGCGGCCGAGTATCTCTTCAGCCTTTGCGTCACAAGACTCTTGTGTGACAGAGGAGTGTTCGCGAAAAAAGTTGTCTATTTGGTACTTGGATAAAGCGGAAAGAATGTTGGGCGCCATGTTGAAAGAGCCTGCGAGAGTCAATTAGGCGCTGCAAGTTATCCAAGCAGGCACAATGCTGGTATCTCTGGGCGTCTAGTGATTTACCCCCAGAGTGTTTGGTAGTGGACCGACGCGTCAGAGCTGGCAGTCCAGAGGATACGGTACAAAGATGACAGAGCGAGGCTGGCATGGATGGGATAGACGCGGAACATCCAGCCACCACTTCCTCAGCAAAGAGCGCCCGCAATGCCCATCGATCGATCGACAAGGCAACAGCCGCCTTCAAGGTTCAAAAATGACCGAAACCGCCTTGGGGGCCGACCAACAAAGGAGTCCTCGCATTTCTCTTTTACATGCTATTTCTACATTGCAGCTCATCGATTCGACGATCCGGGGGTCTTGGGTAATGCGTTACCTCGCAGGATCCATGACGACAGCGAGCAACACCACAGACGCCTCCTGCATCCAGCTGCCCATCCCCACAGCTGGTACGAATTATTTTGTGCACACTTCTGATAGAAGCATCGCTGCTTTCACTCGTTCAATTTTCCTTCTGTGTGCCGAGATGAAATTCCCGGAATTCGTTTCGTGTGACTATTTCGTCGTCTTCTCATGTACAAGGCGAGTGTGCAGCCACATATCCAAACTATCCCTGGCTAAAGTAAATAAGGTTTTGCCTCCTCCAACATCGCCACAGATAACCGAGAATATCTATTTAGGCAGTTGACGCACGCCGGTAGCCCGAATCGACAAGCGGCATCCCGCTGGGAGGTGAGGGTGTGGTCCTCTCCCCGCGGAGGCCTCCGAGCGTACGTGTGCGTGCGGCTCTGGCCCTAAACACGCCATCCCGGTATTTCAATTGGGCCATAGTATCAACGGTTTGGCGTCGCTCCTTTACCTGTCGCCAATCAGACTACCAAGGCTCAACAATGCGACGACAAATCCAAGTTCTTCCTCACCCAGCCTCCGCCGCCGACCACCGGCAATGAATCTAGGCGCCGCCATCGGCACGGCGTGCATCGCCTTCGCGGCGACCAACGTCGACGGCATCTTCGTCCTCGTCACCTTCCTCGCCGAGTCGGCGACCAACACGCACCTGACGCCGGCGACCATCCTCATCGGCCAGTACGCCGGGTTCACCGGCATCATGGCCGTCAGCCTGGTCGGCTTCGCCGTCTCGCTGGCGCTGGCGCCGCAGCCGATCGGGTTCCTGGGCTTCCTGCCGCTCCTCCTCGGGCTGTGGAATCTTCTCGACGTGGTCCTCGGCCGGGACGCCACTGGCTGCGTCGAGGCAGACCAGCCGGAGCTGCCGATGACGGCGTCCACCTGGTTCAGGAGCATAGTCAAGGTTGGCGCCATCACGCTGATCAACGGCGGGGACAACGTCAGCAGCTACATACCGCTCTTTGCTCAGGCGAAGCGCGTCGAGATCGTCGTCTATGTCGCGGTGTTCTACGTCATGCTGGGCGTGTGGTTCCTCGTCGGGCTGCTCATCATGAAGGAGGAGCACGTGCTGCTCATGGCGCAAAAGCACACTAGGAGGCTCATACCGTTCCTCTACATGGGCCTTGGCGTCTTTGTCATTGTCAAGTCCCACTGCTATCCGTGGTCGATTGAGCGCATCGACAAGAAGGGTGCGGCGCATCCGGGCCGTCTCGTCATGGCCGTGTCGACGACGACGCTCCTCCTGCTGTGCATGGGGCTCATGTTTTGCATCAAGTGGAGAAGGTGGCACGCAGTGGCTACTGAGGAGGAGGAGGAGGTGATGGCGAGAGATGGCGGTGCAGAACCGAATGCTGCCGAGGAAGAAGCTGACTGCGCTTCGCAGCCGCGCGGGGTGCCGAGCAAGCGGACTCTTCACTCTTCTACGGAACCACTGTTGAAGGGTGAGAGAGCCAAGGGCAGTACCATGAGATTCAAATACGTTTAGCTCCACACGCTCGACACTATTGCTTTTGGGATCAGTTTTATATGTACTTTTAATGTATTGATGTAGGTGGCGACGGAAACACACGCCACAGTCGTCTCCCAACCTTAGCATCGGCATAGCAAACGCATTCTATGCCCGGAAGGAATTTCATTTTTCCAATGACCAATCTAATGATGGCTCTTCAAGGCGCTCGCCATGTTGCGCCTTTAGTTTTGTATTGTACATATCGCCCACCCCACTCACCCGTCGTCTGCCGCCATACTGTGCGACTCGCATCTCCGTGAATCCCTCATTGTCATTTCGTTCGAATCGACGACTTCGACCTTGTTACGCGGGAGCCGGCGCAGGCGCACCCGTGGCGGTGCCGGAGCGATCGGGCGGGGGCATGAACAGAGGCATGTACGTGACGCCCAGCGCCATGACTGCGCAGCGCGTTAGAGAAGGGCGCGCAGGAAGGGGTTTGAAGCATCTATCCGAGGGTGGGCAAAGTTGACGTACCGGAAAGACCGACGTTGAAGTAGCCGGGCGTGCCGTTCTTCTTGGCCTCGGCGCTCTCGCCGAGCCAGTTCTGGATGGAAAAGACGACGCCGGCCCTGTGAAACAAGTCAAAAACATGAGCGCTGCTTTCATTTTGTGCGTGCGTGCGTGCATGCGTGCATGCGTGCGTGTGCGGGGGGGGGGGGGGGGGGGGTGGCAAAACGTACCAGCCGACAAACTTGTTGCGCGTAAACATGGCGGCCATCGGCATCGTCGACGACAACGTCGAGCTGAACTCGGGGTTGTCGCCCTTGGAAACAGGCTCCTGGTACGGAACGACTGCCGGCTATGTTAGCATCTTGGTACAAACGACACCTGCGTGCGGCTGCGCTGTTCTCCTGATTCATCTCTGCCGGGCGCATCGCAATTGGCGCAGCTGGGTAGGTTCAAACGTACTGAGTTCCGCACGACGGAGGTCCTTGGTCGGCGCCATTGTGACTGTTCGCGTGGAGGTTGATGAACCGGCTTGATGGGAGGAAGGTTGTGCGAGGGAAGTCGGCCTGGGTTCTGGGGTTGCACAGCGGTAGCTTCAAGATGCGGACCCCAACGGCCTCACTAGTGCAGACCAACCCACATCAACTTATTAGCAGGTGAAGAGAAAGAGTAGAATTGGAGGTAATATTTTAACTAAATTAACATAGATAAAATACATGCTATTTTCGCTTCGTAACATGGTATAAAAATCATAAAGAGTTATTGATACATCGGGCTTTTTTTTGCACGCCCCGCGGGCTCAGTCCACGCGCACAATGACCTTGTAGCCCAGCGCCCCAGCCTCGCGGATCGCGCACGCGAGGCAGCCTCGCTTGCGGCGGCTAATGATTGCGTTCCAGCCTTGCTCGGAGCACAGGGCGCGCACCAAGATCTCCAGGTCGGAGCCTGACTGCCGCTTGTGTGACTCGTAGTGCATCCGGGCGGCAAAGGAGAAGCTGTGCTTGCGGTCTGCGTGTGGCGACGACGGCGAGGCGAGCCGCTCGAGCACCGGCGACTGTGGCAGCTCAACAAGCTGCGTCATGCAGTCGATGACGAGCACCGCGTTGCCGGGCGCCTTGTTGTCCGGGTGGCCCGCGCCAAGGAGCTCGGACAGCGGCAGCTGCTTCTTCTGAAGTACCTCGGAGATGTGCATAACCTTGTAGTTGAAGAATTTATGTAGTGGATGACCTAAGGCTACGTCAGCAAAAAGGACCTTGGAAGCTGATAGGAGTAAACGTACCCATGCGATGCAGAGCCCGCGCTGAATTGCCCAGGGATGCCTCTCCGGACACGTCAATTTCGCGAATCGTTGGGCTGGACGGCGACTTGACGAAGCGCACCCCGCGCGGGGGCGAGCAAGGATGGGCATTGACAAAGTTTACGTCGTACAGCAGCGAGAAGATGTGCTGCCGCTCGGGCACTCCGTCGATGCCGACGCGGAAAGTCAGGGAGGCGGGCTGAGAAAAGAGATCCGGCGCCGGTGCCGATTCGTGGCGTGGCGTGGCCATAATCTCGGGCAGAGGCGTGGGATGTAACGACAGGGCCGACGGGGACAGCTGTAGAGACGCAAAGTCGACGTGTACGTTGGGTGGCGGGTTCTTGTATCGGTTCTCCCAGGGCATCGTAAAGTCAGCCGGGGATGCCGAGTCCTCCTGTCCGTCGCCGACAATGGACGCGTCCCGTTCGAGTCGCCGTTTCGCCCAGATTCTAGATTTTTTACCCAGATGTGCAACATCCTCTATTGTGTGTCAGCTGGCAATTAATTTAACAAGGAAGAAGGACATCTCTTACCAGCCACGTCTTTGACGTCAATGTTGAGCCAGCCTTCCTGCACGCCCATGGGCACAATGTCCGTCGATACCCACCCCATGCATTCGGCAGAGCCCTTGCCGGCGGCGAGCACGCGCCCGAGGATACACGATGTGCTCCAAAAACTCATTCCAGAGTAGACAAACCCACCACAGAGATTCGCAAAGGACCCGAGCTTGCTCATAGCGACGTCGTCATTTTCCAGCAACGTCGCCATGAGAAAGTGAGACAGCCCATCGCCCGGCAGCATGAGTCCAAAGATGTAAGACTTGGACATCCATCCAGACGGGTGCAGTGCTGCCGCTAGTCGCCTGCGCCGGGCCCTCGCTCGTTCTTTATGGTTGCCGCGCTGGCAGGTGACGTCCCAAGTTCCAAAGTAGTCGTCTTTCGAGTCTCCTTCAGACTTGGCGTCATAGCCGCAGTCGCACATGGAGGTGTCTGGTTTCCTCTTGATGGCTTCTCGCATGTGGGTAGTGATGCGCGCTTCATAGTCGTCGATGCCCGGCCATCTCAGCTTCTTGGCAAAATGAATGAGCCCATCCACTTGGCGCCGTCCGTTTCTCCCTTTGATGACGTAGTGGCGCGCGGGAAACGCCGGTGTCATGTGGTTTTGGTTGCGGTGGTGGCTGAAGGGGATATGGCTCACAATGGCGGCAAGCCAACTGGCGCTTTTTGTCTTGATGCTCTGCATGATGGTGGCGTCATGGTCGCCGGTGGCGGCTTCTTCCTTGGCCGTTTCGCTCTGGGTCGACTCGCCATCTGCGACAATCTCAATGTTGTCGAGCCAGCTGCGAGCAAGCAGCAGAGACCACTTAACAGTCGAGTTGGCGGCGCGCTCGAACTGGACGACGTCCATCGGCCGAAACGACCCCGCGCCGTACTCCTCACCCTGGGTGACGGCGTCAAGGCGAATGAGAAGCTCGGTGGCCATGAGAATCTGGAGCAGAAGCCAGTACTTTTCCTCGGCCATCTCGTCGGAGCACTCGGTGTTGTGTATGCTGGAATCGCCGTCGAGGCGGTCGCCGTGCGGCTCGCCCCAGAGGATCTGGCCGAGACGGATGCGCCATTCGACGTGGGACAAGTCGATCCAGACGTTGGCGGCTCCGAGGCACTTGAGGAGGGCGACGATCTGGTTGGTCAGGCTCTGGCTGTCCTTCTTGTCGAGGGAGATGTAGCGGGGTCGCATGAAGTGGCCAAACAGGTCGTTGTAGGACTCGGAGGACTTGCGGTTCTTGAGGTCGTTTTCACGGTAGAGGTGACCGTTGCGGCGCAAGCGACCGAGAACCTCGGCCTCGGGGATGCGGTGCAGCCAGCCGTCGTTGCTGAGCATGTGCTCGCGCGCGTCGACGATGGCGCGGGCCTTCTTGCCGATGCTGTCGAAGCCAAACTGCTCCTCCTCGAGGGCATCGCTGACGGCGAGCTCGAGGGCAGCCTGGTAGCCCATGGTGCCCTTCTCGAGCCCCTGGAGGCTGAGCATGTTGGGGCGCTCGCGGCAGCGGACGAAGAAGTGGGCGTGGCCGCGACGCTCGGCGCGGCGGCGCTCGGCGGCGGCCTCGGCATCGTGGTTGAGGTCGCGGGTGAGGTGGGGGTGGGCGGTGACGCCGCTCCAGGCGCGGGCCTCGATCTGGCAGTGGTCCGTCAGGTCACGGATCTGCAGGTCCTCATCAAAGGGGAAGGCGACCGAGGGGTTGGGGACGGCGATGAAGGGTCCGTCGTTGCGGGCGAAGAACTGGGGGGCGCCGGAGAAGAGCTTCTCGACGTCGTCCTGGCTCAGCGTGGCCATGGTGTCTTGTCTTGTCAGGTGCAGGGGGCGCAATGGCGAGGGGGCGGGGGCAATGGCATCGAGTTTCGAGGCGGGACGGGATCGGCGCGGCTTTGGCGGCAAAGGGAGGACGCAGGAGCGGTTGGGAGAGGGCTGCGGCGGGGTTGCTCTTTGTTTGCAAAGGGATGAGGTTGCTGGAGGGAAGCTTGGAGCTTCAGAAGGTCGGCCGATGATGTCGTGGAAGCAAGAGCCGGTGAGATGGTAGATGGCGAGGATGAAGGCAACCAATGAGGCATGGGAAAAGGATGAGATCGGGGGAGGACAAGGGTCACGAACCGGTCATCAAGATGCAGGTTGATGATGGGCTGAGGTTGGTTGCAGCATGGGCAAGGACTCAACGAATGACAAGCCGGCTGGTCCGTGGTGGCGCGAGGTCGAGGGACTTTGTGGCAGCTGAGGTAGGTACTTGGTAGCTCTGAGGTACCTGGGCACGCGCACTGATCCAGCCCTGGGGCGGGAGATCAGCGCGCCATTGAACGATGCAGGACATTGTACGAGGAGTGAAAATTACAGTGTGTATAGGAATGGGTAGTATGAGTGATTTGGTGAGTTGAATTTACATTTTTGGCCCTGTTGATGGAAGCAATCCGGGAGCTGCTGCGCCTGGCGGGCACTGGATGAGTGCCCCGCGAGGTACCTGGGTACTTACAGGCACAGAGCTGACCTCCGGCGGTTACAGCGGACAAAGCAGCCATCTATAGCGGCCGTGACGCCATTTTCCGGGGTCGACTCCACTGGAACGGGGCCGCTTAGTGCCAAAAGGAGTGCTAATGTGCCAACCAGCGCTAAAGTTGGACCTAAAGATGCTGCCATGTGAGCTCCAGAATCATCCCTGCTCTTTCGCTCTCACCGAGGAAACCAGCTCGGCGCAGGACCATTGTGCTGGGGAAATGACACCAGTCTGTTTTACACATATTAATATTAGATAATATTGGTTTACAAGGGGCCCCGGGAGACTCAGTCATCCCGCCAGTTTGTGTGTGTTGTCAAGGTTTCACGAGCTTCTCTCGTACAACAGGGCCAACACCATTGTCGGCCATCAAAGAAAAAAAGAGAGAAAAGAGAAACTAGAGTAAAACTGGCGATAAGCCGCAGACTATTACGTATATATACACATTCCAGTACCAGACGATCCCTCTGGGCCCCCTTTTCATAACAACTAGTGGCCTACCGAGCTTGGCGATGGAGTCGCCCACGTCTTGAAACGCTGGCGGAGACAGTCTGTGTGTCGTCCAGTGTCGCAGAGCCCGCCTGTCAAAATCATCGACAGCCCCCATTATCTGTCATAATCTCGGCCCCGCGGCTCTCTTCATTTCTCTAGATTTTTCTTCCATTTTCTTCCTTCAAGAATCGCTGCAGATATACGACAAAGCAACCACATCAATAACCGACAACACAATACAATATGCAACTTTCGTCAACAGCTCTACTGCTGTGGGCGGCTTCGCTCGTCAGTGCGGGAATCGTCATTACGCCCATCCGCGACGATCAAATAGTCGCAAAGACGTCCGGCGACTGCTTCTTCGGTGTCGTGACGCCCCAGGGATGCGGGTAAGCCATTCTCCCAGTATAAGCACGGGACCAAGGGAAATGCTAACTGGTCAAAAGACCGAAGAGAGGCTGAAAAGCACCAGTTGTCGAAAGGATAAAGAATCGAGATACAATGAAAGGCAAGCAATGCAAAGGAACATGCCAGGAGCATGAAGCGCGTCACTCTTTACATGGATACCATAATACCACATACCATAGACATACCATACCCACAAAGTAATTCAACTCTCATTTATCAGATCGCCTCTCAGCTCCAATATTTTCCGCAATTTCTACTCTTTGTAATTTAAAAGACCTTGTGCTTACAGGCCTTTCCGCTGCCGTCTGAAACGTCCCCTGCCAACCTGCAGCCCGCGAATAATGCCTCTGGTGATGAATCATGAAACTTGGTGATGAGCGAAACCAACACCGAGTTTCAGACCACCACTAACCCGCGTTTTATCCCTACCAGCAGCAAATCGATACCAATTTGTAATGCATGCCGCGGAAATGCCGTTTCTTTTGCTGTTTATTCGGAAAAATACTACCAAGACTACCTTTGGCCTGACGGAGTTGGCCGCCATCGGGCGAACCCGCTTACATCGATTGTGGTCCTGCAAAGTCACACACAGACACACAGACACGGCATGCACGTAAAGATGAACCATTCCATTCATGATGAAAAACCTGCAATACACGTGTGGGGGGAGGGAGTGATCCCTAGGCCAAGAGCATCTAGGCCAACAGAGCAGGAAAACCATGAACCGACCCTTGGAGATACATAGGAAAGAGAAGGGGGAAAATAAGAGTAAATAAGTAAAGAGTATTTGAAGCAATTTTCACATGCCAACGGATCCCAACACACACAAAAATCATGAAATAAAAAACACATCTCTGCTCAGGATTGAAGCTTGTCGCACGTTGCGAGCTAGAGAAAAGAGCAAATCTAAAAGCTTCCACTGTTCGTCTGCTCCCGTGTCATTACGACAGCTCCTGGACGCACTGCTGGAGCTGGCTATCGCACTGCTGGGGCTGCACGTTGCGGACGGCACCCTGCTGGATGCCCGTCTGGCAGGCGGCGCGCTGCGTGTCGCAGGCGCGCTGGACGGCGTCGCCCTTGGTCGTGAAGCTGTTGCCGTCGACGGAGAAGGGCCGGTTGCGGTCGTTGCTCTGAGTGATGGCCGGAGCGGCCACGCCGCCGAGGGCGTTGGCCTGGCTGGCGCCGCCGCGACCGCCGCCGCCGCCCTGCTGTTGGTTGCCGCCGCCCTGCTGCTGGTTGCCGCCACCTTGCTGCTGGTTGCCGCCACCTTGCTGCTGGTTGCCGCCACCTTGCTGCTGATTACCGCCGGCGACTTGGCCGTTGTTCTGCAAGCCGCCTGCGCCCTGCTGCTGGCCGCCTGCGCCCTGCTGCTGGCCACCACCGCCCTGCTGCTGGCGACCGCCACCCTGCTGCTGGTTACCACCACCCTGCTGCTGGTTACCACCACCCTGCTGCTGGTTACCGCCACCCTGCTGCTGGTTACCGCCGCCCTGCTGCTGGTTGTTGCGGCCACCGCCGCCACCGACAGCTTGAAAGCGGACGCAGTCATCCTGGGCACCACGCTGGGCAATGGGCATGAGCACGGGCTGGTGGTTCGAGGCCGACGTCATGCTGCATACGCGGTAGTTGCCAGGAGGCAGGCCACCGGTGACGGTGGCCGACAGGAGACCCTGGCCGTTGCCGGCGTCGTTGATGCCCTTGAAGAAGGCGAACTTCTGGGGGTCCAGCGGCTGCTTGGGGTTGAGCGAGCGGCCGGTGTCCTGCACGGTGACGTGGGTGTGGCCGATGACGTTGCCCTGGCGGTTGAGGGCCTGGGGCGCCGAGTAGTAGGTGGTGGTGGCGTTGGTGAAGGAGCCAGCGGCCAGGTTCGACAGCTGCACCTGAATCTGGAATGTCTGTCCGGCCGGGATCTGGTCATTATTCTGGGGGTTGATCATGACGGCCGAGATCATGTTCTGTCGGGCGGGGATTTGGCCCATGGCTGGGAGCGAGGTATTGTTAGCTCCGAGTGCAAATCATTTAACATTAGGCGCGGCACTTACGAATACCGTTGCAAGATCCAGTATCGATCTGCTTGCCATTTGTCAGAGTCTGACCAGAACAGAAGTTGATAAAGTTGTTCCTCGACCTGCAGCCACGTTAGTCAGCCGCATTCTAAAATCAAGTTGAAGCTTCTTGACATACGTCTGAGAAGCAGCCTGCTCGTTGGAGCCAGGGTTGTTGCCATCGTCAGCGGAACCGGCCTGAATAGCATCTTGGTCCAGCTGTATATTGCCGCCACCACCCTGCTGCTGGCCACCACCACCCTGCTGCTGGCCACCACCGCCCTGCTGCTGGCCACCACCGCCTTGCTGCTGACGACCACCTCCCTGCTGCTGGCCACCGCGCTGACGACGCTCGAGGGTAGCGTGAATAGGCGAGCGGCGCATATCAGCGGCATCTACAACCATGGCTGCGCCCACCAGGGCCGTTAGGATGGCCTTGAGTTGCATGTTGATCAAAGTGTCGTCTAGACAAAGTTGATGTGGGCTGGTGTATGTATCGTTGTCAAGAAGAATTAAGGGTAAAGCCACAAGTCACAATCTATGGTGCCAGACCGAAGATTATTGTAAGCGAGAGTCGTCGTGGTCGTTGTCGTCGAAGGCGGATGAAAGGAGCGAACGAAACGCGAAAGACAAAAAGCAGCCCAGCACGCTCAAGAATGAAGGATAGGTGTACGGCCAGCGATTTGAGAAGGGGAAAGAAGAAAAAGGAGAGGAAGAAAAGGGACGAGCGCAGAGGGCCAAAGGAGAGGGATGTTTTTAAAACGTCAAGAGAGTTGGAAAGGACGAGAGGGGCGGGCCAGAGGAGAATGCCAAGGCCGTGCCTTTAAGAACCCTGGCAGGAAGAGGCAACCCCTCCGGGGGGGCGTCATTAAGGTAAAAAGAGAGGCTAACAAGGGACGAGACGGAATCTCGGCTCACTAGGGCGGTGACGGGATGGCCTCAGGTGCCCGGAGGGTGGCAGGCTGCATGAGTGTAACGACCCGCGTGGGAGGAGGGAGGACCAACCACATCGGCACAGACGGCTTGCCAGGTGCGTTGCCACGATGATGGATGGACAGGGAAGTCATTGCTCGCATCTCCACGGGGTCAAAACCGGCAGGCTAGTGTACCGTGCATCGATGAGAAGACTGCAATACGGGCTGTTCGCACGGAGAGTGTGGGTGCAAGTAAGCTTTGGTGATGCTGGGGTGTAAGGGAGGACGGACGGACGATGAGATTGGGCTCACGTTTGGGGAAAGCCCGGCAAGCAAGGCACCAGACGCAAGAGAAAGGATGGGAAATTGAGTAGGATCGACGGCGCTGGCTCCAAACCAGAGGAGTCGCAGCTTGGTCGGTGCTGGCGCGCGCCGATGCTGTGCATCTCATTGAATCCCGGACGAAGGATGGGGCGGGGCGGGGCTGGTTCGCCCCAGACCGGACCTGTCAACCTGTCATACTGTCAGGAAGAGAAGAGAGAGGAAAAGGTGGTCCGCGCCCTGCGCCCTCTCTCCGCCGATGAAAACCCGGCCGAGAAGGAAGGGTGGTGACGAGAAAAGGTGAGGTGCGCAACGTCGCAGACGTGCGGCAGCCCCTGGTCAGCGGTCGGCCCGGGGACCAATGAGGGGGGAGCCCGGCCGCCGGAGGGGCTCCACCCCGCCGCCGGGCTCTTACACAGGTGAGGCAGGCGCCGCAAAAGACGAGGGGCCCCTAACGATGGCTAGACGTCTGGGACAGGGAGAAAAAATTGGATCGTTAGGCGAATAGGAGAATTTGTGTTGGTCTGGTTGTTACTGGAATTTGAATTGAGAATTAAAAAAAAAATCCTGCTCAGAAGCTTCTTTTGTCATCTGGTCCTGTACACCTGTAATAACACCACCACTCAGCCCAACTCATAAACCCACGCCCCTCCCTCCTCCGGCATGCCTCTTCGGGCACCCCACCCGGCCCCGCGCACACCGACCCCGGCCGAGAAGTAACCATGCAACTATTAGTATGTAACTCCCATCAAAGTCAATGGCAGCCAGACAGTAGTTATGTGTTAATGGGTAAACCAAAGACGTCATTCCGCTAGCCTCTCATTCCGCGCTCCCTCGTAACTGGCTCGAGCTCCAGCCCAACAATGTGGTGCAACTATCGCCGTTCAGCCGTCTCCCCCGTGCATGCATCCATCTCGTCTCAGGTCTTTGTGGCCACGGCTTTATCTGGGGAACAATTACACACCAAAAGCTCTTTTATTAGCAATTTAAAATCAGACTCTACATTAGACAAGCAAAAAAAAGCCACATGTCTTGGAGATGCAGCCCTCTGACATCCGACCCGATGCAGCCCTGTGCCGCCGTGCCGAGTAGAGTGTAAGAGCGGGTTCGCCCCCGAGGTCACAAACCACGCCTCGTCCTCTTCCAAGTTTCGGTGGCTGCAAGCTTCTGTGGCTATAGAATGGATTTGCAGATTTTCAGTTACATTCGAGGTTCAAGTTGATTTCTGTCCGCTGCACGGCATCGTCCTTCCGGAGGCCATCATCAGCATTGCCAAGTTGCCAAGATGCCGGGCATCATGAAACATTTTTTTCCCTCTCAGAACGTGGGCCATCACTTTTCCTCGCTCTGGAATTCGCAACTCAATCTAGTCGAGCATGGAGAGAGACACTTTCGCTCCCCGTACCTGAGCGGCTCCGCATGGTTTTGAACTCGATGGCAAGGTTGGCCCAAGTTCGGCCCCCCATCGTCCTCCTCCCTTTCCCTGGGCCGATTTGGAATGGGTTTCGTCTGATACCAAGAACCAATTCCGATGACACATTTATCGGACGGGCCTGAGTACTGTTGTGTAGCATGTTGATGACAGTTGTTTCTGGGGCCCTTCTTCCCCTTCCCTTTGCCCACCGTTCGGTAGATGGCTGCATTACGGTCCAGCTGGTTTGTCGCATATGCGAGATTTGGCGATGGGCGGGTTTGCGGATACATTTATCAGCCCATTCTTACATTTCGTTGTTCTAGATTTCCTATTCAAGATTTGATGAATTCAAAATTCGTCTCTCTGCATCCTTGGAAAATCCTCATATCTGTTACAGCTCAAGTTCGGCGGCACTTGTGGCATCCTCCCGCTGCGCGTTGTACTCGTCGGCAATCTTGTCGAGCAGGGCCGCCATTCTATAGCCAGCCAGCGCAACCTGCTTCTCCAGGATCGGTGCGGCGTCCTCGTAGTACTGCCCGCTCAGCTCCTGGTCATGAATTGCCTGCGGTCCCTGCGGAAGAACTAATCAACGCTCCTTTGTCAGCACGAGCCCACTTTGTGCAAACAACAACAGCCATGGTAACCGTGACTCACCGTGCGAGCAGACAATGGCGTTGGCCTCGCGCGACCACGCCAGCGCCGTGCCATTCGTGTCCGCCATGTCGATGCCCTTGACCCAGCTATCCCTCTCCTCCGCCCAGCGGCCCGTCTCAATCTCCGCCGTCAGCTGCTCCGCCCACCGGCGCCCCAGCACGTACGCCCTCTTGCCGCGGCCCGACCCCCCGAGCCAGCGCTCCAGGATGGCCGTGTCCCAGACAAAGTGCAGGTTGCGTTCCGCGCCGGCCCAGCGGACGTAGATGCCGTTGCCGCCGCGGGCCACGTCCTCGTTGTGCAGCGGCTGGTGCAGGTCGCCGACGAAGTGGACGACGAACTTGGCGGCCTGGGCGCGGCGCCAGGCGGGCAGCGCGCGGTCGTAGGCCTGGGTCGTGTAATTGGTCAGCGAGGACACTACGCAGCCGGTCTGCTTGCAGTCGCGCTCGAGGTCGACGTTGCACGCGTGCGGCGGCTGGTCGTGCGCGTCGATGAAGTGGAAGGTGCTGGTGAAGCGGCCCCATTTGGTGTACCGGATGGAGTCTGCCCAGCTGGCGATCGAGGCCAGGTAGTCGTCGTCGGTGCGCTGCAGGAGCTCCTTAAGGTAGACCTCGGTGGAATTCGCGATGAAGTTGCTGGCAATGTACGCGGTGGTGATGTGTCCCAGGCCTATGCGGGAGGGAGAGGGGTTAGCGAGGGAGGACCGGGGGAGTACCGAGGGGGGTCTTCTCAATGATTCAACGTTGTGCTGGCTTTCTAATTAGACTCGGGATTGAAGATGACATACTTCCCCATGCAGTTACTGCAGGCAGCGAGAGGAGGCCGCACGTCACAGCGGCGTTGAGTCTCATGTTGTCGCGATGACTGTGACACGGGTATGACTGAGGATTGAGTAGGGAAGGGGTGATAAGCTGAGGATGGATTCAGGAGGAGGTCTTCCGGGCGTGTCTATGTATCTATATCTTGAAAATATCCAAAAATGATTGATGAAAACAATAAAGCTGGCCGCCTGAAAGGGCCGCAGACGTGTTTTGAGGATAACGGCGGCAAGCGTGCAGAGGCAAGTCGAGGGCTGAAGCCTGGACAAACCATGGCCTAAAACAGTGGTCCACGTGAAACTACAGTGTGCTCACCCGAGATCAGGTGGCAGTTGCTTGCACCCAACATGGCAAAAATAATCAAGAAAGAAGCAGAAGTCTAAATTAATTAATTGAAAATGACCTGATTCAATTGCAGTAGGCTTGCTTTTTTAATGATAATGAATTTTTGTTGGGCATGCATAGATGGGCAAGATAACATTGGGCGAGTGATTGCCTCCAGGCACCAAGTCGGGTTGCAAACGGGCGGGCTAATTAGGCGCGCCTACAGTGATGGCTACGGGAAGCTCAGCATAGGCTTCGCTCTTTGCAGAAGCACGTCGCATTTGTGGGATTCTTCCCAGTAGTTTCTATCATCCTTTATAGGAACGGGCATGATCCCGAGCGTACCTAGCCAACATCTCTCGTTGCGGCTTATGTAGTACTTGCTTTAAGGTGCATCGCTTACAGCCTTCGCTCCCTATGGCGACAGCAATCAGGCTGCCTTTTCCTAATAATAAAAAAGGGAGCTTGAATACCTGATAAATGATTTCAAGATGGACTGCAGCTAGGAGCCGCCAGCCTGATTCGACGCACCCCACTCTACAGTACATGCAGTGGCCTCGCTTAGCCATGGACAACCGCCCAACACCTTAACATTCTCATGCACAGGCAATCGAGCTGTACACCTCACATGCTCAAGTCTATGCAGTCACTGTAACGCGACAATACTGGGGCTTATAGCCTCACCCAGGACCTCCCGACCTGCGAGATTCCGCCGTACGCGATCCTGTCCCATACCTGGGGCTCTAACGAGGTCATCTTCCCGGATCTCTAAGGCGCCCCCCGGCGAATACTAGTGGCAGCAGAAGGATGGCTACCGCAAAATAGAATTCTGCGACGAGCAGGCGCAGCGTCATGGGTTGCGACGCGTCTGGGTGGACACTTACTGCATCGACAAGTCTAACAGCATCGAGCTGCAGACGGCCATTAACAGCATGTTTCGGTGGTACCGCGATGCGGCGCGCTGCTACGTCTACATGACAGATGTCTCCAAGGTCGAGGACGATGGAAAAGAAGAGGAACAAGGAAAAGAGTCTTGGAGGGCGTCGTTTCGAAACAGCAGATGGTTCACCCGCGGCTGGACGCTGCAGGAACTCATCGCGCCCAAAGTCGTTGAATTTTACTTCAAGGAGGGGGTATTCCTAGGCGACAAGCAGCCTTTGGAGTCCATGATTCGCGACATTACGAGAATCCCGGTGAATGCGCTGCGCGGCACCGTGCTGTCTGAATTCACCATGGCGGAACGCGAGTCGTGGATTCGCTCGAGGAGGACATGGTCTACTCGATGCTCGGCATATTCCACGTCTTCTTGCCTCTCATCTACGGCGAGGGACGGGACGAGGCACAGAGGCGACTGCGAGAACAAGTTCACAAAGCAACCAAGGGTACGTACATTCTGCAGCCCGGGTGACCTGTCCCGTTTCAAGAGCTATCTGACCGTTTCAGGCGCACCAAATGAGGACTTGTCCATCACTTTCAGCCTGTCCGAAGCCCCAGAAGTTCAGCATTTCGTCTCAAGAGAGGCCGAGCTGGCAGAGATACGAGAGCGGCTCCTCTCAGATGGAAGCCGTCGTGTTGTCGTGCTTCACGGTCTCGGCGGGATCGGCAAAACGCAGCTCGCCGTAGCGTACATGAGAAGGTATCGAGATGAGTACTCGGCCGTCTTCTGGCTGAACATCAAAGACGAGCACACCATCCGACAGAGTTTCGTCAAGGCGGCGAAGCAGATACGGCGGCAATATCCTCATTCGCGGCTCTTTACAGAGTTGGGCAAGGGCGACGACACCGGCAAGGCCGTGGAGGCTGTCAAGTCGTGGCTGAGTCTTCCGGGCAACACCAGATGGCTCGCCGTATAAGACAATTACGACGAGACAAAGTCGACGGACGACAAAAGCGGTGCCGGAGTCGACATTGGCGAGTTCCTTCCAACGGCTTATCAGGGTGCTATAATCATCACGACGCGGCTATCGCTCATTGACATCGGGCACGTCATTCGCGTCAAGAAGCTCGAATCCATGGCGGATGGTCTAGAGATTCTCACATCCACATCAGGATGCTCCAATTTGGACCAAGGTGTGTTCTACTTGGAACGACTGTAAGACTCCGCTAACAGTGGCAGTAGATCCGGACGCGACGAAACTGGTTGAGAAGCTGGATGGACTACCACTGGCCCTTGCCACGGCCGGTGCGTATCTGAGACGCGTATGAGCGAGGCTGAGGAGATGTTCCTGCGGGTGATTCGTGGGCAGGAGAAGGTGCTCGGTGCCGAGCATCCGTTGCTGGTCTCCACACTAAACGGCCTGGCGTCCACGTACGCGGCGCAGCGCCGGTTCGCCGAGGCTGAGGCCTTGTACAAGCGGACATTGGACATACAGAAACAACATTGGGGGGCGAACGACACAAGGAGGCTCAGCACGCTCGGTCAGATGGCGAACCTGTGCACGGAACAAGGCAAGGTGGAAGATGCCGAGCAACTGCTCCTACATATCCTAGGGCGGTTCGAGGCGATCAACGGCAAGGGTTCCGAGTCTGCCTTGTGGACACGGTAAGACCTGGGAGCCGTGTATCTGCTCCAAAGGAAGCTGCCGGAGGCGGAAGACATGATTGTGCAGGCGCTCGACGGGCTAAAGACGCTACACGGGCTGCAGCACCTGCATACACTGGGCACGATGGTGAGCCTGGTGTCCGTTCGCGAGTCGCGGGGAAAGCTAGACGAAGCGGAGGCGTTGTGCGAGGAGGTGGTCCGGTTATATGAAGCAATACTGGGCCGCGAGAACAGGACGACGACCGCCATGCGCCTCCAACTGGCCAAACTCGACTACGCACGGGGCTGGCTAGCAGATGCAGAGGCCATCTGCCACACGTTCCTGGCGGAGATGGAGAAGGCATGGGTCAGATGCACTTCAACACCGCATGTATAGCGAGGAAACTGGGCCGCTGCACCACGAACAGTCCCAGCTACGCGAGGCTGGGGCCGCGTACCGGCGGTCGCTCGCCGGTTGGGACAAGGCGTACGGGCCGGGCCACAAGGACCGGCTGCCGCTGGTTTTGAGCCTCGGCCAAGTGTGCATGGAACAGGGACGGCTGGACGAAGCCGAGGCGCTGCTGATGGGTGCGCTGCGCGGGTATGAGGAAGCGCTCACGCCGACGCACTTTGCGCAGTACCGACTGGTGCTCAACGCCGCAGTCGATATAGGTCGCCTGCGCCGCCGACAAGGCAGGTACAGCGAGTCTCGCACACACTACCGCCGTGCGTACGATGGTTATTGCGCGTCCTTGGGGCCGGATGACGTTACGGCGCGCGGGCTCCGGGAGGATCTACGGATGCTGGGGAGGTTGACGCGCGAGACAGGCAGCGACAGGCAGCGACAGTGGCGGCAGTGGCGACAGTGATGGCGACGATGAGGAGATTTCGGCAGGCGAAGAGGAGGGAGGGCATAGAGGAGAGCGCACTCAGGGAGGCGTTCAGCTGGTGACGGATGACTTGGAGGAACGTGTAGAGGCACTGTTTGAAGATGAGATTGTCGCAGAGCCGTGAAATATTGCTGAGGCTGTGCTTGGGGGTGTGCTGCCAGCCACATAAAATGGTGTCAGGTGTCGCGCACCGTCAGGTTCCTCACGCTCTTGCATACACGTTGCTCTCCTCGAAGCACCGTTGGCACCTATGGACGAGTGCGCAACTCGAAACCTCAAGCCAGGGGCCATCTTCGCGGCTTTGAGGACACGGTCCCGATTGTGCAGGCCGTCAAACTACCCTATTTCTTGTGGATGAGCGAGTCTGTGGCCTGCGTCACCAGCGAGGTGATGGTCGAGGAAGTGGCGAGTGTGTGTAGAGTCGCTGTTGAGCAAAAGGGTACTCGTATCGATGGTGAGCGTGGGGTAGAAGATTTCGTACTATAACCTCATCGAGACAGTGAAGTAGCAAAGTCTGTCTAAAAGGAGGCAGTATATAATGCTGTTTGCTATTGATGAATTGATCACATCCGAGCGTCAAACAGCATGAACGTAGGTCAGACTACCTAGCGGGCCGAAGCGGTATCGGCAGCAGGATCAACAGCAGGCCACAAAAACGCCAAGACATGACGCAGCCATCATCGTCAAAGTTGGTGGTTCAAATATCATGCTGCGCTATAAGCAAATCAATCGCAGATATGTAGCTGCAAGATGCGAGATGACTGATCATGTGTTTCGGTGCTTCCGTACTGTAACCGTACTGGGCGGTCAGTGGACAGAAAATTTAACTGTGGCGCGACCCTCGAACGCCAAGCCAACTGTAGCGATGCAGCCACTTCAGCCACCGTACGCCCAAGACAGCTCGAACCCCCCGAGGCCGGCTGCACCAAGTGACAAGCCAACAAGCTGAATCATACCCTACCAGCCAATGGGAGCGTCGCCTTTTACGAATCTGCCCCACGCCAGCGATAAGAAACCTTGTATCCGTGACATTTTCTGCGTATGACTGCAGCGCCTGCCCGCCGCCAATCCTGATCTCGTGAACCCCGACTGACCTGACCGCCGACAATCCAATCTTGATTCTTTAAAATTCGACATTCGACACTTTGCTGCATTTGTCCGCTGCGGTGGGATCTCGCCGATTGAAGTCATTCTATTTATTTTATTGTCTTTTCCGTGCTTAACCCGAAACCGGCTACTAGCTCTCTACCTGGTCGCCAAATCGTCGCTTCGTCGGCGGCAGATAACAGCTTTCTCACGGCAATGGGCTTCCCTCTAACGGCCCTGGCCGGCGTCTTCGCCGCGCCGCACGACGACGGCATGCCGCTGCTCGAGGCCATCTCGGGCATCTTTGGCAGCATCAGCATGGCTTCGTGGATATGTCTGATGGTACGCATTTTGCTCAGCGTCCTTTCCTTTTCTCCGGCAAACCCCGAACACTAACTAACCCGCCCGCCTAGCTGCCTCAAATGGTTGCCAACTACAAGGCCAAGAGCGCCGACGGCATCAGCATGACCTTTTTGGTCGTCTGGATGCTCGGCGACATTACCAATCTTTTGGGTGAGTCCGATCCTTACTGACATGCCCAGCGATAAGCCCAGCTGACCCGGCCGCATAGGCGCCTTCTTCACCCACCTCGCACCGACGGCCATTGCGCTCGCCTGCTACTTTTGCGTCGCCGACTGTGTCCTCATCACGCAGTGCCTGTACTACAACAACCTCAACCGCCGCAGGGCCGCCGCCCGCGCCGCCCACCACCACGCCCACGCCCATGCGAACGAGGACTCGCCGCTGCTCGGCCGCCGTCACAGCGCTTCGTCGCGCCGCGCGAGCCACTCCTCCCAGACCAAGATGCCCATCGGCGACGACGCCCTGGACACGAAGCCCTGGGTGCAGAACCTCGTCAGCCTGGTGGCCGTCTACATCATTGGCTTTCTGGGGTGGTACATCTCATACAAGGCCGGGGCGTGGAAGTCGGATCCCACGCCGCCGTCCGACCCGTCCGAGCAGAGGACGACGCTCGAGGTTGTCGGCCTGATGCTAGGCTACGCCAGTGCCTTTTTCTATCTTGCGTGAGTAACGTGCATGTAACGATAAAAACTGTAGTGTCGCTAACGGTTGGAAGCGCTCGTGTGCCTCAAATCATCAAAAACTACCGCGAAAAGTCATGCGAGGGTATGCTGCCCCCCTCCTAGCAACCTACATAGTACCAGCTAACACCTCTCAGGTCTCGCTCTGCTTTTCTTCCTCCTTTCGCTCACTGGAAATGCCACTTACGGCATCAGCCTGGTCACCTACTCGCAGGACAAAAAGTACCTACTCAATGCCGTGCCATGGCTACTTGGTTCCGTCGGCACGATTTTCGAGGATTCCATCATCTTCGTCCAATTTCACATATACGCCAACAGCGCGCGTGTATCCAACTCGTCGGTATAAAGAGGTTGCCGGGATGTATGCCTCGCTTAGACATTTTTTGGCCGGGGTGGAATTATTTGCATTGACATTGCTTTGTTGGAATCTGCATGCATAAAGGCGTTTTCTCTGCACTGCTGCGGGGCAGGTCTTGGACCGGGTTTCTGAGTCTTTGTTGTTGTTGTTGTTGTTTTTGCAGTTTGTGTTTGTTTACATGATGTGTTAGGCTTTATTATGTCGCGATAGAATCGCTTGAGAGTAGCTATGAATGAATCGTCATTTATCTAACCCCTTCATCGTAGGTTCGTGATGGATGGATGTCTGGCTGATAAGGCAGAGCGGACCCCGAGATTCGTTGCGGCGATGCTCCGATGGCGGGGCAGCAAAGCGCCATTTTGGCGGGGCAGCAGAGCGCCATTTTGGCGGGGCAATCTGCATTGCTCATGAGTCTTGCCGAAATATTTTACGAGGGACATATATATCCTTGCGCTGTTTCACTTTTACATTCTGCCTATTCCTCCACTATCGAATCGATACACGACACTCCGCCAGTCTCTTCTCGTCCCAATGGCCACATCACTACCCCCCAAGAAGTGCGGTACGTCCCATTCCCTCGACCGAGCTCCGATACCCCTCCGGACAAAACCCATGTCGCCTCGTGCCATGCTGGCCAGGCACCTCACCCCCGGCCTCAATGGCAAAAGGATAACTGCAAAAGTCCGAGATTGCTAACACCCGTCCGGTTTCATCGAACAGGCGTCCTCGGCGCCACCGGCTCCGTCGGCCAGCGCTTCATCCTGCTCCTCGCGCGCCACCCCTCACTGGTGCTGCACGCCGTGGGCGCGTCCTCGCGCTCCGCCGGCAAGCCCTACCGGGACGCAGTCCGCTGGAAGCAAGCCTCGCCGATGAGCGCGGCCACCGGTGACATGGTGGTTCGCGAGTGCCGGGCCTCCGAGTTTGCCGACTGCGACGTCGTCTTTTCCGGCCTCGACTCTGACGTGGCCGGCGACATTGGTCCGTCCCCCTTCGCCCCCGCCCCGTCTTTAATATATATGCAGTTTGTCTGACTGATGCTACCCCAGAGATGCAATTCCTCAAGGCCGAGATCCCCGTCTTCTCCAACGCCAAAAACTACCGCCGCGACCCGCTCGTGCCGCTCGTCGTGCCGACCGTCAACCTGCCGCACCTCGACCTGATCCCGCACCAGCGCGCCACGCACAACCTCCAGCGCGGCTTCCTCGTGTGCAACTCCAACTGCGCCGTCATCGGGCTCGTCATCCCCTTCGCCGCGCTGCAGGCCGCGTTCGGCCCCATCGCCACCGTCAGCATCGTCACCATGCAGGCCGTCTCCGGCGCCGGCTACCCGGGCGTCTCCTCCATGGACGTGCTCGACAACGTCGTGCCCTACATCGCCGGCGAGGAGGACAAGCTTGAGTCCGAGGCCCGCAAGATCCTCGGCGGCCTAGACGATGCCAAGACGGCGTTCGTCGAGCAGCAGGGGCTGCGCGTGTCGGCCGCGTGCAACCGCGTGCCCGTGCTCGACGGCCACACGGCGTGCGTCAGCTTGGCGTTTGAGAGGCGCCCGGCACCGTCGGCGGAGCAGGTGAAGGAGGCGCTGCGCGGGTACAGGTGCGAGGCGCAGGCGCTCGGGTGCCCATCGGCACCGGAGCCGCCGATCGTCGTGTTCGACGAGGCGGACCGCCCGCAGCCCCGGCTGGACAGGGACCTCGGCAACGGGTACTCGGTCAGCGTCGGCCGCGTGCGCGAGGACGAGAGCGGCCTCTTTGACATCAAGTTCGTCGCGCTGAGCCACAACAGTAAGTTGTCAAATTGGACGCCGGACGTGGAAACTACGCATACTAACCTTTCGGAACAAAAATAGCCGTCATTGGAGCTGCTGGCTCGTCCATCCTGAATGCCGAGGCCGCCATCCTCAAGGGCTATATTTAAACGCGGCGAGTCCGCTACTCACTAAGGATGTAAACACATATAGACGGCGACTTGGTCAAACAGTCTCACTTCAAAAGAGAAATATCAATTCATTATACGCTGGCTTTTATGCACTTTCGCTATCGACATGACATGTCTCGTAGAGGGACAGCTGACGGCGAGATTCGCAAATCACTCCACGGCTTCGGCCCCGGACGGATTCGGCTTCGGACCGAAGACCTGATGTATTGTCCGCAAGTCCTCCCACCTCGCAATCGCTTCTTCGTCCCACGGGTTGAGCTCCGCCAAATTCTCAAGCAAGGCCACCTCATGCGCCAGCGACCGCCACCAGGCCGCCTCCAGTTTGCGCCAGCGCAACTCCATGAACTCCCTGAGCTGATATGCGAGGTCCCCCAAGGTGCGCATCTTGAGTTCCTTCGTATGCGCTAGAAAAACGTCTTGCAAGTCTTGTCGGACGCCCCATGGGGCCGTGTACTCCTGCGACCAGTGGTCGAGGGCGGCCTCCTGGTCGGCCTGCGTCCCTGCGTTAACCCTCCTTTCGATCTCCCCCTTGACATACACCGCAAAATCGGTGATAAGCTACATCATAGTCCGCGCGGACCTGCCGGGATGATGGGGATTCCAGACGTCCGAGGCGTAGATTGCACCACGCCAACGCCGCCACATGTCCAGAGTCAGGTGTCGAGAAAAACCTATGAAAATAAGGGTGTTCCGTGACAGCAGGCAGTCAGGATGCCAACGAAGATGGTCCTGGACTGTGGCACCATGTTCCCTGGAATCCCAGACGGGTGAGTCGCTGAAATGTTTCCGATCGCCATCCGAATCGGGGAGACTAACCCCGCCGTTGGCTATCAGTCTCTGCAGGTGGAGAGGAAGTATGAGGCTGCCGATGGGACGACCTGGCATTTTCTTTTTGCCGTACGCTGCCAGAGATATCGACGATTAGTGTATGGCGTGGTTGAGAAAATGTAGCAAGTTGAATGTGCTTCCGGATGGATATTGATCTTTAATGTATGACACGTTAGAAAAATGTAGCAAGTTGAACATGCTTCCGGATGGATGGATTGGTTTCCCAGACCTCCCATTTGCAGTGCTCTTGCCTTGCTTACTCTCCAAGTTGGCTCTACCTTCCTCCTATCACCAAGTATTCGGAAGCAAGACTGCAGTCAACTATGCACGTGAAGAAAACAGAGGAAGTAAGGGCAATAGATCATCAACGTTGATTTGTCGATAATCTGCCATCTAGTCCTGCAGAGTTGTCGCCCTCCATTACCATCCTTGAATGCCGCCGTCGCCAATACCCAGTTCCTAGAAATATCCCAACTAATTCTTCCTTTGAAAAGAAAACCTTAAAGAGGGGAAAATTAAAGAGTCTTGTTCTCCGTGCGTGATTTCCCGTGTGACGTTGGCCCTATACGTCCTCATTCGTCTTGTGATCTCCATCGGGGACTCGACCGTTGCGCAATGTAATTACGACTTCCTTCTCGCTGGTTGCTTCTTTCCCGTAGACGTAGCTGTAAAATATACGGTCAGCATAAAATGATACGCGAGAAGCACCGCTATCAGGCGGGCCAACTTACAATAGGGCCAAGTCGATGACCAGATATGCGCACAGCCAGGCGATCGCAAAGACCAACGCCGTCTGCAGCAGCGAATCGGTGGGCCCTCCCGCAGTCTCGAGGAGGTCAGATAATGTAGTGTCTAGTCTGGTCTCATGGCACTTGAGACTTCCGCCGGGCGCCAGCTCTGTGCAGTTGTAGACGAGGATGTGCTCGTCGACAGGGTGCACCTTGGCATACATGGATGAGTAGCCGTGGGGACGAACCAGCTTCCGGCTGCTGGCTGGAATTCCGGGGTTCAAGAAAATTTGTGCGGGAAGTCCCATCGCCCCGGCGGCGAAGGCGGCAAAGAGGGCAAAGGGTCTCATGTGGTGGGAGAGACGGGGGTGAAGGTGTCCGTGTTGGGTTGTCGATGTTGGTTCTTCCTGGCTCAGATGAAGTTGAGGACGCTCACTTTTCAATCCCAAACTTGGAAGCAGGAGCCAGGGAAATGTCTGTTTCTTACACTCGCTTGGAAACAAAGTTTTTTGGCATTTAGATCAAAATTCTGCCACTTGACAGGACTTCTGGGATTGGGTTTTGGCGGCCAACTTTCTCCAGTAGTGCTGTTCCCAGTAGCGTTTTGATGTATAGACGATCTTTGAAAAAGCCTAATAGGGCCAGACCCTGGGCTTGGAGTTTGCGATGATAAAAAGTACACACAGTATGTATATCCGGGCGTGTTGTGTCTTGGGAGGCTTTTCGATGGTTTGTACTTGAGGAGGCAGGCAAGGCAGCCAAGTTGTGCGACGAATGTATTAAATCTGGACTGAGAAAGAGGCGATGCATAAATAAGAGAAACAAGGGATATTTACATTTCTTAGCTAGGTAGATTCAACAGGAGAGACAGGAGACTCTTGTTTCAAGGTGGCTAGAGTTGATTTCGTATAAGCCATCCACGGCCCTATACAGACCGGACTGCCGCCTATCACGCCAAGTGGCGCGGGAGTCTTGTGATTATTTTGCAATACGTAACTAGTACCAGCTACTATCTAAGTTTATGCTTGCTCTTCTCCATGACTCAGGCAAACAATTTCCGTAAATATTAATAGAACCGTCTTATGCAACTCTTCGCCGCAGCAGATCGCCAAGGCTTGCACCAACAGCGCAGTTCCAGTAGTGCGACCCGTGAAGCTCTCCACTATTTTATTTTGGTTGCGCCATCACCTCGCCAGTGCCGAATCTAGAACCACGGTGACGACTTGTCTGGGGCTGAATTCCATACCATCTTGGCATCAACTTTTCTAGTCGGCTCGAGTAACCGACAGTGATACTTTGAAACCGCACTTTCTGTCCCGATCGTCCACGGACCGCGCGCCGAGCCACGCCGTTCCCACCTCTCCTCCCCCCTCCTCGCGCAACCCCCTGGACGACAACGCAACCGTGCTCGGTGCCGCATACTCGAACGACCCCGTTTATCAAATACACGGTTGCGAAGACAGAAACGTACATCGCTCGGGACCTGGCCAAAGGGAACTGCCCGAGGGGCAGCCCGCGATCATGCCGTCGCCTACAGACGACGAGATCCCCTTCCCGCCGCTAAGCAGCCATCATCATCATCGCTCCCACCTCTCCCCCAACGACGCGTGCGTCTCGCCCCCGCGGCGGTATGAGGGCGGCGGCGGAACCAGCGGCGGCGGTGTCGACGGCGCGGCCGACTCTGCCATGCGCATGCGACGACTCAACGGCGAGCGCAGCGGCAGCCGTCGACGCAAGCGAACGTGGAAGAAGCTCATGTGGGTGAAGCAATCATGTACGTTTGTCCACATACATGCACACACGCGCGCCTCTAGTCAGGCAAAGGAGGAACTCAAGTCAAATATGCTAATGCGACGATGATAAAAAAGACCCCGATAACTACACCGATCAGGCCACCTTTCTCGAGAACCTCCAGCGCAACCCCCGCCTCAAGCCGTACGACTTTTGGCCGCTCGTCGCCGACTCGACCGTCATCCTGCAGCACGTCTGCTCCGTCATCATCTTCGTCGTCAGCTTCGTCGCCATCTTCCACTCGCGCGTCTCGCCCGTCGCCGTCGTCAGCTGGAGCTCCGTCGGCACCTTTCTCGGCTGGATCCTCTGGGAGCGCTGGGTCGCCGAGGAGGAGGACCTTGAGGTCGAGCAGCTGCTGTTGCTAAATGGGTCGACAGCCGCCGCGGCAGCAGCAGCCTCACCGTCTGGTGCTGGCTCCGGTTCTACCACCACTGCGGCTGCTGCTGCTGCTGCTGCTACACTTCCCGCAGGCCCGATTGCCCGCCGTAGGACGCGCGCTGGTAGCTTGCGGCGGCCCGTACTACCCATACCGCCTCCGTCCACGGCTGGGTCGTCCGCTGCTAGCTCCGCAACGAACCTGACCCTCGGTGCCGTGTCGCCGCCGCCGGCCAGCATCAGCCGCGCCACATCCGCCGCAGACGTCACCAGTACGACTACTGGTGGCGACCAGGCCGTCGAGTCAAAGCAGCAGCGCCCGTCGCTCCCTCCACGCAGCTCCGCCGGCTCCGAGGTCCGCCGTGTCGAGTTCGCCTACCCAACCGTGCTCCCCGGCGAGGAGAGCCGGCTCATGCAGCGCCTCGGCACCATCAAGTCGGCCGTGCTCATCTACTCGACGCTCCTCGGCCTCAGCCCGATCCTCAAGTCGCTCACGCGCTCCACCTCGAGCGACAGCATCTGGGCCATGTCCTTTTGGCTGCTCGCCATCAACATCTTCTTCTTCGACTACTCGGGCGGCGTCCCCGTCGCCGGCGCGGGCGTCGCCGCCGGCGGCGGCTCCCAGTTCCCGGCCTCCCTCTCCACCAACGCCGCCCTCATGGCCTCCACCGTGCTCGCCAGCCGCCTGCCCGACACCACCCAGGTCTTCTCGCTCACCCTCTTCAGCATCCAGGTGTTTGGCCTGTTCCCCGTCTTCCGGCGGCACGTGCGACACCGCGCGTGGCGGTACCACGTGCTGCTGACGGTGCTGCTGGTGCTCGGCGCGGGGCTCGGCGTCGGCATGGTGCTGGGCGACGGGGGCGACGACGGGGCGCCGTGGCCGTGGAGGAGGGGCCTGGTCGGCATGGTGGTTAGCTTGCTGATCGCGGCGCTGGCGGCGGGAGGGTGCAGCTGGTGGCTGATTGGTCTGCAAAAGTACAAGAATGAGATTCGCGGCCCGTGGGACCCGGCCAGGCCCATCATCATGAGCAGGCCTCGATGGGACTGAGGGCGATGCTGCGCCTGTCTCGGACGAAACTCTGTACACTGGCTGTAATCACGATGCACCACGACTACTGCAGATACGATAATAGATAGTAATTCATCCATCAGTTCGTCTACGCTAGCCGTCTTCTCTTACTGAATCACGGTCACAACTAATCCATGTCCTCAATGTCCAGCACCCACATCTTCTCCCTCAGCACCACTTCGTGGGTGATGCGTACGCGCCACGGAAAGTCCTCCAGGCGGAGCCCGCCGGCGCGGCGGTCCCCGCGGAAGAGGTAGTCGCTCCGCGGCACCGTCATCCACGACGGGTGCAGGATGGCCTCGGGCGAGTTGGGCGCGATCGGGGGCCGCACGCCGGGGCTCGACAGCATGCCACCGTACTGCGCGACCGGGTTGAAGTCGGCGTCGAAGCCGACCTTGAGCGCGTAGCTGCGCGTCTTGGTGCGCACCCACAGCGCGGCGACGGTGCCGCCGCCGCCGGGCGGGAGCGTCACCACGCGCGCCGAGTCGTCCCACGCGCGGCCGCCGGGCGCCAGGTACACCTCGGACAGCGGGTAGTCCGGGTCGGCGGGGTCGGGCACGGTGACGACGCGCACGGGCAGCTTGCGGATGTAGAAGCCGTATACCTCCTTGGGAGCCAGGGGGGCCTTGGGGGCAGGGACAGCGCTGCTGGTGGTCTTGGCGTGGACGGCGACGGTCGTCGTGTTGCTGCTGCTACTGGCTGCGGTCGGGGAAGACGTGCCTGGTGCTGTCCGCCTCGTCCTCGGCCGCGCCGGCTCGGGGTCCGTCTGGCGGACGTATATCTTGCGGTACTTGACAGTCTGCGTCAGGCCCCGCGGGAACCCCTGCAGCGCGCGACTTTCCCGGCCAGCGTCGTCGTCGTTCTCGTTGTCGAGACGCACGCGCGCGTACTGTCCCTCCTCCGGCAGCATGCGCAGGTAGATACCGACACGGGGATCCTGAGCGCTGCCGTAGTTCTCACAGTCCAGCGCGGCCAGGAACGTCTCCGGGCCCCACGGCACGACGGGCATCTCGAGCGCGAGGCCACGGTTCGTCACGCTGTACGGCTGGTGGTTCCAGCGCTGGCGGGCGACGACGACGTCGGCGCACCCCGCAAAGTCGGCGGGCGAGTGCGCGAGCAGGCCGGTCCTGCGCTCGTCCGGAGCCCCGCCATCACCGGCGTCCCACGCAAACAGCGACTGGTCGTCGGAATCCTTCATGATCTCCTCCTGTAGGCGGCGGAACGCGCGCGCGCCGCCCTCGCCGTAGAGCGTGGGCATGCTGACCCCAAAGAGACCGAGCAGGCTGTAGGCGCGGTCCTCGGGGCGCGTGGTGACGCGGCTGGCAGCCCAGGCCATGCGCTGCGCGACACTGCGGTCGGTGACAGCTGCCTCGCCGCGGAGCACGTCGGCATCGATGCGGGTGGCGAGTGCGATGCGCTCGGTGAGGGGCTCGGCGTCGCGGGTGCCTAGCTCCTCCCACGCGGCATCGTAGAAGACGACGTGCGCGGGGGCGAGGAGCTCCTGGAGCGTCCAGCCGCGCGTGAACCAGGCGCTGGCCTCGAACGCGGCGGGTACGGCGGCGGCGTCGGGTACGTCGGACAGGAAGGCGTAGCAGAGGGCGGCGTCGCGGTACCAGGCGTACATGGAGTTGAGGGCCTCGGAGAGCTCGGCTGATGACGTCTTGTCGATGCAGCACGTGTCAACCCAGGCGTAGGCAAGGCCATCGCGCAGGGTTTGCGCACAGCACTTCTGGATCTTGGCGTAGCCGGCCTTGGAGGCGGCCCGGCCGGCTTGCAGGTCCTGGAGGGAGACTTCACCGTCGAGCCAGCGGTGCGAGAGGATAGCGTACTCGGGGACGGCGCTGCCGAAGAACTCCTCGAGGGCGAGGGTAGACGCGTTGAGGAGCCTCATATCGGTAGGTTATCTAGCACGAGCTTCTCGCGAGGTTTCTATAAAGATAGTCAGCGGGCACGGAAATGGATAGACAGCCCGGATATAAACAACTTTAAGCATACTTGCCATTTTGTCCTCGGCTGTGCCTACTTGCCTATTTGGTGACCCATGGCTTCAGCTGTAGCTCGCAAATCCATATTAATATGGGATTTATTTCAGCTACGGTGCCAGGGCTTCAGCCGCAGATGATGGAAGCAAGGTTGGCTCGACAAACGACAAACGACAAACGGAGAAAGGGAAGCATCGCGAGAGCTCCGAGACAAAGAGCTTCGGGGTTCACTGTGCAGACAGATGCCATCGAGTTGACAGTTCGCATACGCGGGGTGAAGAGGCGCATAATCCTACAGCGATATTGACTGATGCCAGGAAGCAAATTGGCAATCTCCAGCTTCTGACCCCGGTTTGTGAGGGGTTCGGCAAGCGGAGCCACTCAGCGTCTCACCTCAAACCAAGATCAGCGCATTTTTGCGCTTTCTATGTATTTGTAACAAAAGACCTTGGGACGAAATTAAATCTCAGTTAAATTGAATTAAATCGCAACCCTTATTCATTCAAGTCCTTGGCCAGAAGTCAAAGTACGCGGCCAGGGCGGACGGGACTGTCCTGTCAAAGACTGGAGCCAAGTTTCAAGCTTGTCGATCATCACGGACTGCACACTCAAGGGTGTGTCGCGTTTGACTAACGTGACTATTGTGAAATGGAGGACGAGATGGCCATCAGCTGTCGAGGACCAGTGATGTGTGCATATCACAGATCCGAGATTTCGTGTGCTTCGTACGCTGGCTTGCAGATGTGCTGGCGAGTTGATTGACTAGGATTTACTGCAAAGGGACGACGCGAACCCTTGCGTCTATTTTGGAAAGCGACCTCGTATTCAAAAGTTATGCGATGGAGCATGTGCTTCGGCAAGAAGCTCGCACAGCCAGCAATAGCACTGAGCGGCATGTAGACTCCTAAGTTGGTACGTCGTGGTACAATAGCAGCGAGAAGCAACGTTGGGTACAGGCGGGAAAGAAGGAGAAAGGAAAGCACTGATTGAACCTGACGTACACGTAATCCAGGGGTCGATTGGTAGAAAATAGTTTTCTGCCTCGGCTTGTGAGGTTAATGGCTGGCTGGGCCAAGAAGGCTGGTCTGATGTGGTTGTTGAGCTACAGCGCCGGGCTGTCAAGCTGGTGTGACGGCCGCATTGTGACAGTCTGGCCGGTCGCATTGATCTACAGTGCGCTAGCGCTGAAGCGTCGGGCGCTACGCAGTCGTGGTGGTGGTTTGTCTTGCGTGGTGTAGTGGTAGTTAGGGACGGTTCGCTGGTGTGGTTGCCGGGTGCAGCGACATTTCCGTTGTCTGAAACAAAAGATGCTGGGATGGTGGGATGAATACGGGCGATGCACGCGCTTGCAGCCAAAATCGACAATGGGATGGAACGTTGTTGGGATGTCATGGGAATCCTGTCCAGTCAGCCTGCAAGGAAGGTCAGTGGGCGCCTTTACGAGCGACCATGTACACGCAAACATCTTTGTAACAAGGACAAGGGAAGCAGGCGCTCGCTGGGGGGCTGAGCAGGACCCGTGGACGTGGTGGAGGGCGACGCAACCAGAGGTCCAAGATATTAATAGAAAAAAAGACTGGATGCTGAAGCATGATGGGCAAGGCACACAGAGCGGGCCGACGGTTTGTCCGGCCGGGCAGCTGCAGAACACAGTACTGATGTACTACCTGTACCAAGCCGTTGCACAGCCCCTGAAGGCTGGCAAGCCATGAGTTATTTCCAGCGCCAAGAAGGAAATGATGGGATTTGGATCAATTCAAATTGAAGATGACTGGGAGGAAATCAACAACTTCAACCAGCTTCCCCACGCTTGTTGAAGAGCGCTCTGGTTCTAATCTGTACATTTCAACGTAATGCAACCCTGCGTGACGCTGTCACCACTTTCACTTGTCGTACCTGGGAATTGTTGACTGGTCTAGAATCGGGGTCTAACCCCACTGTCGCAGAACGCATGGCAGGGCAACGAGGGTCGTTACGGGGGGCGACATGATTATTGATTCCGGCCAACGACAGAAATCCGAGTCAATTCATTTCATTGTCTTTTTTCTGTCTCTTGCCAGCAACAGCTTATTTCCTTTTTCTGCCGTTCCCTAGACAGAGCTAAAAGTATTGCTCCTTGCCTCCTCCCTTCCCCATGTAACCCCGTAGCAGAATCGAAACTTGGCAGATGGAAAAGAAAACAAGCTCCTGCTAAAGGAGCTGCCAAGTGGGGGCCAAGCTCTTGCTCCCCCATATTGAGGCGAGAAGACTCCACTGGCTTCTCGCCACTGCTGCAAAAACAAGGTGGTCAACAATGCCACTGCCTGAAACTCTGCCGAGAAAAGTTTTCGATTTGCGAGAGGGTGCAAAATTGAATCGACAATGCAAGCGGACAAGGAGGGAGCGGCCACTACCAGGCCATTGGGCGTTTTTGAGCGTTGGCTGGGCCGTTAGCAGCCGTGCGGCTCTGTGCAGTTCTCGCCGCTGTCTCTCACCCCCCACCGGTGACACGCCCCCAGTCTTTGCAGCAGCTGTTTCCAGCTGGGGTGTCGGGTCATCGCCAACCCCAACCCCATCGCCAGACCAAGGCCGCAGAAAGGCCAAGCGCTTGGCCTGGTTTGCTTAGGATACTTTGTTAGGTAAAGCAGCGGCTGTGTGGCTGGCTTTGCTGGCGTCACTATGGGGAAGAGAGAGAAGATCCAAGAAAAAGTCAATCCTGGCTGGCTTCCAGAGTTTCGAGGGGAAGCCGATAAGTCGAGACCAAGCCTCGGCGCGCCAATGGGAATGGCGCCTCGGTCGTTTGAGCTGCCCTTGGGTATAACCTGTAGGTTAAAACTAGGCCAACAAAAGTTGGCTTTGTTACTGTTGCGTCGGCCGAAGGGACGTGGTACATCCAGTTGATCAGGTACCTTTTGCGCTTGAGAGTTCGTTCCCTTTGGACCATTGCATGTACCGCTGGACCCAAGTGATGGCCTGGAGACGAGGCTCTTTCAGCACCAAACGCGGCAACGCCACGCGTACCTGGGCGGCGACAGCGCACTTGGTGCCAGCCGCCAAAAGATTATGCGAGCTGCACCACCGCCACAATATTTTCCATCTCGGCGGCAAGTGAATTTTTCAAGCTTTTTTTTCCTCCTCCTTCAGTTCCCAATTGCCTTCTGTCCTCGAAGGCCAACCACACACCACAACATTGATCCGCGAGCCTGTTGCTGCATTCTCCCCCCAGCTGTTTAGAAAAGTACCTTGTACCTAGGTACCCACTGCCTGCTCCCTCTCCACCGAGATCTCCACACCATCTCCACACCCACCTGGCAGGAAAGCTCCACGTCTCTTGTCTGTTCTGGTAATCCTCCCGTCGCTTTACTGGTACGTAGTCAACGGTACTCGTCGTTCCCAGCAACAAGCTGCCCAGCAGAAAACAAAAATATCTTCTCCCCCTGGTCAACCTCCTGCACCTCTCCCAGACTTTAAAAGGCCCAGCTTCCCTCCTATCCCTTCACCCCCGCCTCTGTCCTCCCTCATCCACACACCTATCTCCAGATCTCAGTCTTGCTTCGATCCAAGTCAACTTTTCTTTCTCCTCTACCTACACCATCAATCCATCAAGATGAAGTTTTCCATTGTCCTTGCTGCCGCCGGTCTTGCTGCCGCTCAGCTTGACATCTCCCAGATCCCTTCGTGTGCTGTATGTGCAACTCGCGTACCAACCAAACTTGCGAGCCCCGACTAACAACAGTGCTTCCACAGCTTGGCTGCCTCACTACGGCCGTGGCCTCGACCGGCTGCTCCCTCACCGACTTGTCGTGTCTCTGTGGCAAGAAGGACCAGCTCGAATCGGCGTCCAAGCCCTGCATTGATTCGAAGTGCGACGCCGCCGATATTGCCAAGGCCCAAGGCCTCGCCAATCAGCTCTGCGGCAGCTCCTCTGCTTCTGGCTCGGCCTCCTCTACCGGCTCCGGCTCGACCTCGGGTACCGCCGCTCCCACCACCACCAGCGCTACCATCACCGGCACTGGCGTCGTCCCTCCCGCGACCACCGCCTCCACTGGCCGCAGCACCGCTCTGCCCGGCAACGGCACCTCCACCAGCCACGCCACCAGCAGCACCCGCTCCGGCTCTGGCACCGCCACCACCTCGGGCGCCCAGACCACCACCTCCGCCCCCGGCTCCAGCGGTGCCGCCGGCCCCGTTGCTGGTGCCCTCGCTGCCCTTGCTGCTGCCGTCTTTGCTCTGTAAGCGTCTCGCGCAGTTCCTTGTATAGACTGGTCAGGCCTGCATGGCGGGTGTGTAGACGGAAAGGTGTGTGTGGAACTCCCTTTAATACGTGGATCAAATCTGGGAGTTCACAAATGTACGTGGGAATCGACGGATGGTGGATACGAGAATGGCCTATGGCCTACCATGTGTAAAAGTTGGCCCTAAGCCGGCCGCTACGTTAATTAATGCAATCATATCAATGTATGACTATGCTCCCAACACTATTACCTTCGGCCATGTCAGTGTACTTACTTGTAAAGAGTCTTGAGCATGTCTGCAGCATCGTCTTGGCGTGCATCCTGAGCCCCGATCTGTCACAGCTAGCATCTGGTGGCTGGCGAGATAAGATGAAGCCAACGCTAGTAGTCACAACTTTAACGAGAGAAGCACTACATATGTACACTTTGAATAAGACTAATCTCATCCCATCTTGCAGCACTAGTTGCATCAAGTATTTGAAGGCGCCTCGTCCAACTCCATGTCGACAATAAACGGCAACTGCGACGGTTCCTGCCTGTACCCTTGAATCGCCGCGTTCACAAACAGCGTGTGCTCTCCGTCTCGTTCCCCGTCCACGTCCAGGGGTTTAACCTCCTCCTCCCAGTCGACGCGCACGCCCATCTGCGCGCTCCAGTCCAACAGCTGCGCTATCTGCGCCTCCGTGGCCGGGGGATCCAACCACGTCATGGGCTTGACCTCGCTCAGCTTGACGATGCTTCGCTCCGCCGCAAACCCCCCCTCCTCCTCCGTCTCCTGCCCCTGCCGTCCATTGATGTCATCCGGTTTTGTCGTCGACTTCTTCTTCTTCCACCGGACGAGGTGCGCACCCCACGCTTCGTGAATGTGTCCGAAGCAGTGCACGCGCGGGCGGACGCGCGCCACCGCGGCGCGCAGTTCCGGGCAGCCGGCGTGCTCCGGGGCGTAGCCGTACTGCGGGAGCGAGAAGCCGGCGAGGTCGAGCACGCCGCGCGGCGGGCCGTGTGTCATGACGACGTCGACGACGCCGCCGCGGGGCAGCGGGCCGGAGAAGAAGGCGTGGCCGTCGGCGGGCTCGTACTGGAAGCCCCAGACGCCAAAGGCGGGCGTCCACGGGCTGGCGAGAAGGCGGAGCAGCGCGCCGTTGGGGAGCAGCAGCTCGTGCGCGCTCTCCCCGCCCAGGTACACGACGCCGTCCTCCTTGGCCTCCTCAATCATCTCCAGCGCTTCCGTGCGGTATTCGGGGTCCTTGTATCCCGCGCCGGTGTCGTGGCTCCAGAAGGCCGCGTCGAGGAGCCGGTCGTGGTTGCCGGGGATGACGACCTTGAGCGGCGCGCGCAGGCGGCGTAGCATGTCCAGGGTGCGGCGCAGCTCGCTCGGCGTGCTGTGTGTGGTGAGGTCGCCGCAGTGCAGGGCGACGTCGGCTGCGGGCAGCGGCGCGCGGTAGCCGGTCGTGGCGACGACGAAGTCGCTCTCAGCAGTGAGGGCGTCGCGGGCCGCGGTGGTCTCGGGGCTGTGCCCGTGAGTGTCGGACAGGATGAGGATGCGTGTCTTGATTCGTGCCATGATAACCAGCGGCAAGACGGGTGTGTGAGATGGTGGATAAGGATAAAGGTGGGAGGAAGGAGACAATGTTGCGCTGGTGCCTGGACGGTTATAAGACAGCGTTGGGCATGTCTAACACGGCGTGACCGTGGGGGCTGGAGTACGTGAATTGAACGACGGATGGTTGAAGTCATATGCCTTGCGATTTTCTTTCTTTTCTTCTTTAATTGTCCTCTCTCATATTGCTGCGGTATTCTACTTGGTTGTATTTGTTGTATTCTTCTGTCTGTCCTTCCCGCACTTTTCTTCATATGTTGTTCTGTTAGTTATTCACACCCAGGTAGCGTTACCCTTTTTTAAGGACAGGCTGGCGGGCGTGGCTTCTTCATGTATGAATTGGAGGCAATTCGCATGCGGATTTTGCAACAATACAGAAAGCCCCATCGTCTTCCAGGGCAGACGAACTTTCTTCGCCTTCGTGGCGTTGCCAATGCCTTCCACATGCTGTTGCTTGGAGGGTACAGGGTACGAGGCTGAGACGGCTGCGGCGCACATTGCAAAAAATCCACGAACAAGAGGCAGATCCAAGATGAATTGGTTACAGCTTCGATCCCCTTGCTTATAGAATTTGAATCTTTGCCAAAATTATTAACTTTTCTCTCCCACGATCGTGCGTGATTCTACCCAACGAGTCGAGAGCGCGCAAACATAGCCAGACAGTGACGTGACACCCACTGTTGTAGGGCGGGGCCAACAAACGGTGCTGCCTCGTCAAACCAAGACCTAGCACCAACAAACCGCGATCGAGCATTTGAGGCCGCACCGCACCTCGCGCCGGCCACATCTGTCGAAAGAACTAGACGCCATGGCGGCAGAGTCGAGCGACGTGCACATGACTTCGTCCCCGCCGCCCGCGCCGCCCGAGTCCAGCGAGCCGCGCTACGGCGGCTACTCGCGATTCGAAATCGAGCTCGAGGTAAGCCAACCCTGTCCCATCTCACCAACCCCTCCCGAGGCCCAATCCCGACAACAAGCTGACAGCAAACTTCCATGTAGTTTGTCCAGTCTCTCGCGAACCCCCTCTATCTCAACCACCTCGCGGCGCAGAAGCTGCTGACGCAGCCGGCGTTCGTCGCCTACCTCGCCTACCTGCAGTACTGGAGCCGCCCGCCGTACCTCAAGTACTTGACGTACCCGGGGCCAACGCTTCGCCATCTCGAGCTGCTCCAACAGGAGCGCTTCCGACAGGATATCATGAGCCCAGACCTGGTGCAGCGGCTGGTGGAGGAGGGCATGCGGAGCGCGGTGCAGTGGCACCGGGAGGGGGCCTGAGCAAGCGGGAAGGGTGAATGACGAAGCTACGATTATCTGTATATTAGGATTTGGAAATATTTGTATAAAATCCAACGGGACAGGGACCAAGAAAGAAGCATATTTGAAACCTTGGCAGAGAACGTCAAATCCTATGCGAGTGCTATTTGTAACGCCAACCCATGCAATGCCGACCTAGACACCGATACTATATCAAAGACAACGAAAACACAAGAGAGAAACGCGGACGGGCAGCCCCGGATTCCCTAATTCTCCCGCCACCGATGCCCACACACCATGCACTTGTAGAAGCTCGTCATCGGCTCGTCGGCGCTGCGGATCTGGACCTGGTAGAAGGCGGCCTCGAGGCCGTCGCAGGTCTCGGCAGGGCACTGGACGCGAGCCTTTTGGGCATTGTCCCAGGCGCCCGGCCCGCCAAAGACGTCCTCCTTCTCCTTGCGTTCGTAGATGCGCCGCGAGAAGACGGGCTCGGTGATGGTGTGCTCGAACGGACAGGTGCGGCACTCGAGGCGGTTGGTGCCCTGGTTGGTGCGCGACACGGTGAGGATGTTGGCGCAGTGCGGGCAGACTATGGGAAGGGGATGTTAGAGGAGGAGAAGCTGACGCAGAGAGAGAGAGAGAGGGCTTGGCCTTGGGGGATGGTACAGAGAAGCATGATGGCGGCGTCGCCGACGGCGTGACTGTGGGTGGATGAGTCACGGCTTGGGAGGAGAGCGGCGATCGCTTGGTGTGAGACCGATGTCGAATGCAGCAGCGGCTGTGTTATCGCAGGATATCTAGTCGTGGAGAGCGTTTGCGCAAGCTGGCGGCCAAAAAAGTTGCGTCTTGAATTAATTTTTGAGATAATGGTGGGGTTGGTGACGATTTGGCCCGCGCCCCACCATTCGTTGACAGCAAGCCAACATGCGATTACTTTGCTACATGGAGTCATCTACATGATGCATAATAAATATATTATTCATTATTTATTATAGCAAAATTGTCTCTGTGAGAAAGAAAGAAGCATTTCTGTTCATGTGTTGTCTATCATGCTATACTGTGTTGCAGTCCTTTGATTGGAGGTAAGTTGCAGCTCTTTGCATGAAAAGAACTAGGGTTATTGAAATGAATAATCTGTCCCAAAAATTGTCTTCAATCAAAATATTGGATAAATATCAAGATAAAAATAACCTCTCTCCTCGCGTGCGCCGTGAGCAAACCATTCATGCCGCGACGTCCTGGTGTAAGCCCGGTTTCAGGTCGCAGTCCTGCCCCGTGGCCACTCATCAGCCACACTCTATTCAATCTAGACACCGATCTTTGCCAATTGAAGCAAGAAAGATTCTTCTGCCCTGCCCCTTACGACATTTTCGATAATAACTACGGAAAAATCAGCGCCAGACGCAAGCTTCAGGCGGCCAACTTGACCACACCACCAACCACAACCTGCGCCCCGCTGCTTGCCGTCCTGCGCCACAAAACGAGGGGCCGAGCTGGCGTAGCGTCAAAACGTCGCCGCATCAACCAGCACGTTAACCGCCCGCGTTCGCATCTGCCTGGCCGGAGAGGTTGATACTCGTTTGACTGTATACACCAAAGCAAAATAGAGGCGATAGACGCATCATATAGACACAGAACCCCTCACAAGCGCCGACGTTCCCCAAGTGCCCCGCGCGACCATGGCAAACGAAGAGCACGAGGTGAGACGAAGCTTCTCTCAACACGCTATCCGAATCCTATACTGACGAACCTCTTTTTTCCCCCCTACCACCAGGGCGCCTCACCACAGGAGCTCCTCATCGAGGCCTGCCGACGCAACAACACCGACCTCCTCACCGAAGTCCTCGCTGGCCGACCCGACGCCGAGATCACCGCGCTCCTCAACCGCACCACCACCGTCCTCGGCAACCACCCTGCAAGCCCGCCCCCCCCCCCCCTCTTCTTCTTCACCGCGCCTTCCCACTGACAGGGTAGAAAAAACAGACGAGATCATCGACCTCCTCCTCGACCAGCCCGACTTCGAGTGCGACCCCGTCCGCCCCCGCGACGGCGACACCCCGCTGCACGCCGCCGTCCGCTGGCTCAACGGCGAACCGCCCGCCCAGCGCGAGTTCGGCGCCGCGCTCGTCGGCATGATGCTCGAGGCCGGCTCGGACCCGCGAAGGCGCAACAGGGCCGGGCTGACGCCCGCGCAGCTCGTGGACCCGGCCAACGCGGAGCTGCGCGCGCTGATCGACGGGCACCAGTACGCGGCGCAGAACGCGGGCGATTTTGTCGAAGTGGCCGGCGTGTCGGCGGCAGCGCCGGCTGCGGTGCCCCCGCCGCCCCCGCCGCCGGGACAGGCACCGCCGCCGCCGGGACAGGCGGCGCCGGGACTGCCGGTGGATGAGGACGCCGAGTTTAGTGGTAGTGATGATGAGGACCGCGCGGAGTGGGAGAGGAGGAAACGAGAGACGGCTCAGAGGTAGCGGGGCGAGGAGAAGAGAAAATAGATGGGATTGTGGGAGCGTCTCTGGTAAAATACAAGCAGGCCATGGGTAGCAAGGACCATGGATACGAATCATGAGTCAAGTCTTTACATTTAGTACCATGTAGATCAAGCCATACACAACTTTGCACATTTCAATTCAACGACACAATTTGTTATTTGTGGTAACTAGGACATAGCCAAGACAACCCCCAAGGCAGCAGTTAGAATAAACAGCGAGCTGCGCGCTCTCTCTCTAGAAGACGTCTCGTCAACGGACTGCTTGTTTTCGTTTACAAAGGAAGCATTACCAAGCCTCCTAATTGACAGCTCTGACAGCTTGCCCCCACTCGCCAGCTCGTACATCTGTGCCGCCAGCTGGTTTAGGATATCTGTTGAGCGTCCAGCCGGACACCAGATAATCTTCCAGCCACCACCTTTGGGCACAATGAATGTCGAGCTGCGATCGTCAAAGGCAAAGCTGTACGCGTCGGGGCACATAGCCTTGACGTTTTCGCTGTATATGGACGGCTTGCAAATGTTCGGATCGTGGTACTTGCCAATGCAACAGTCCTTGTCACTCCCCGTTGTGGCACAAGCACTCTTGCATGGCGAAAACGAAGGTCTTTGAATGTTGTCGTCTGGATAGGGGTAGATGCCGTCGCTGGGCCTCTGAGGCGGGAATGCCAGGTTGCGCCACGGACACCACTTTGACAGCATATCATTCGTCTCGTTCCTCTCTAGGGGTATAGGATACGTTTCGTTAGAGTAATAGGTACCTGAGCGTGAAGCATCGTACAGCCAGCCCGCTGTTGCGACACAGGCCGAGTTGGTGAGGTTTGGAGGAACGAAAGATGTGTTTTCAGACGGAAGGTGCTCGATGCCGACTGGCAGGTTGTAACCGTCAACCAGTGAAATGTCGTAAAATGTTTGCATTCCATTCACACCACCTGCGAGGTTAAACTCTACAAGAGTTGCCGGTACGGCGCCCTATGCTGGTCAGCAGAGCGCAATGTACTGAGCTCTGGTGAGATCAACCTACACTGAACTGGCAGTCTAGCTTGGCAAAGCAGTCCCCCGTTTGACAAGCGCAAGAATCACCATTGACAGTGCAATTTGTCCGTCCCCAGACTCTTCCCTGCCAGTTGGAACCCACTGTCAAGTTCTTGCTTTCGCCTGGCTGCAGCTCGAACCCGCCAGTTCCCGGCCCTAGCCCAGCCTGTGTTGCTGTACCCGGCCATATGGTCGTATCGCATCTGTTGGTGATGACTAGCGGGACTCTGTCATCGCTAGTCTTAGGCGGGCCTCGTCGGGTAGTATCACGTCGTGGAGTTTGCTCAATGAATCTCGCTTGCCAGTTTTCAAGGTAGGAGTGGTTTGTTCTTGCGCCTATACACTGGAGAATGTATAGGAGGATGCCGAGTCGAAGAAGAAAGCGACTGGGCGTGTATGCAGACCAGTCGCACCGGTGAGATGGTTGAGGCATGTCTACCAGCTGGTGAGGCAAAAGCGCTCCAAGCTTTGAATCAACCGCGGCGACTCTGTCTCCATTACTTGCACATATCAAGAGTCTATCGCAGTAAACTGTTTCGAAGCCGTCGGAGATTTTCGGGATCTGCTACTGGTATATGTATGCCTTGTGCTCGGGGAAGGCCGAAGGAGGGAGGGACAGTCGAGGATGGTCAAGGTAGAAGAGCCCGGCGGTGGCAGTCTAATCTCCAAGCCCAGAGTAGAGTGTACTTTGTGCGGCGAACAGATTTGTAGAGGTATCTGCAAAGTATATTGAAAGAATGAGGTAGTGTGGCGGATTGGTGATAGAGGATGATCGTCACCGTGCGTAGATGAGCAGATTGAGGTTGGATGATTCGAATGCACCGAGGTTGAATAGGAATAGATTGATGACATCAGACATGAAAGTCAGAACCAAGCAACAAACAGACTGTAGTGTAGGTACAAAGTCGCTGGCAAGGCAGGATCGGTAGGCTGTATACAATCTCGGCTGCCTGCCTGGGGGAAGGAGGTCAGGTTGCTGTTACGACTGCCCCCAAATACAACAAACACACAACTCAAATTCGGCGTCCAAGCGTTAGCCAAAATATGTCCATTTTCTATGGAAAATAAAGATGAAGGAAATATCATCACCATTCATAAATAATAATAAGAACCACTCCATGGTTGCAGCTTCTGTCAAATCCACCAAGGCGTGCAACATGCAAAAATCTTTCGGCCTAATAGAGCAGCAAGCCGCTGCAACGTGCTTACATGCAGCCCCGACACGTGCTTCCAAAAACATCCAATACTTCCTCTGCTATATAATTCAGGCGCTGTTAGGTATCAATGCTCTCCGTACTTTTTCGTGCCTCTCACAGCTCAAGAGGTGCCCCCATCCGTGTGTCATTAGCCCTCTACCTGAAGCGGGCACGGCAGCGACCCATGACCTCGCCCTGGCAAACGAGTTCGGTGCTGAACTCGGAACCATCCAGAGTAAGGTAGATATCAAAGTAGACTCGGTAAAAGGTGCCTTGTGGTGTGTCCATGCGCTCAAAGTCCTTTTCAAGGTTCTTGCGCGACAAGTCGGATGTGAGCGTGACGACTTCCTTGATACCTGGTAGCTGTTAGTAATTATTCGGAGCATGTCTGCATCTGACTTACGAGGATCCTTGGTGTATTCCGGGCACTGGTCCTCGTCGCAAGCGTAGAGCACATCCTCATACAGGAGGGTGGCGCCCGGTGCGACCTGTCTGAAGAAGGAGACCTTGACAGTCTCGCCATTCTTGACCTTTTGGCCTCTTTGGACGAAGATTTGGCGAGTAAACTTGCAGCGGTCCTTGCCGTCGAGAGAGGGCACGCGGTACGCCTCTGGGTGGTAACCCTCCTTGAAGGGCTGGAGAGTACCCATAAGGTAGTGGCGACGGGCGATACGGTGTGTGATGATGCGCTCACTGATGCCGGCAGTGACCGCACCCTTGACAATGGCGGCGACCGAGTCCATGGGACGAACAACCTTGGACTGGAACTGAGGGGGAACGTGGAGCTTGATCTGCTGGAAGAGGTACTCAGAGGCACCGAAACCACCAACGACCAAGATGTTTTGGAGGGTTCTGTTTTGAGCCTGAATGGCAATGATCTGGTTGCGAACCAGCTCGAGAATACGGTTGACAACAGGCTCAAAGCACTGCAGAATCTCCTCGTTGGTAAAGGTCATGTAGCCTTCCTCAATGCCGGCCTCGGGGAACTCAGCCTCGATACCGACATCAACGGCCCACTTCTGACCGTTGTTTCGGAAGTCGGCCTTGATTCTGTTTTCAAAGTCCATGATGCACTTGGCGTAGACACGGCCAGCGGTCTTGGAGCCCTCAGGAAGCTTCATCTTGCGAATCTTGGTACGCAAAATGTTGCTGAAGTTGCGGTTTAGGGCAGTGGATCCGCAAGAGTCACCAGAACCGGCGGTACACTCGGCGACGGTGAAGGGGTTCTCCTCTTCGACTTCGTAGGCGATCAAATCGACGGTACCACCACCGCAATCGACGATCAGGACGGCGTCGTGAACCTTGAGGTTCAAAAGGCCAGTCTTGGAGCAGAAGAGAGCAGCGGCTTCAGGCTCAGAAACAAGCGTGAGACGGTTGTCATTCTCGTCGCGCAAGAAACCAGCCTGGATGGCGGCAGCACGCGTAGCAGCCTTGCCAGCATCGTTCCAAATGGCAGGGACAGTGAGGTAGTATCGGATATTGCGCTCTTCGCGATTGAAGACTTCGCCAAGGGCTTTTTGCAGAGCTGCGCGCATGGCCTGGCGCAGCTTGAAGAGGTAATCGGCGGCGACATCGATCTCGGACTTGCCCGGGGGCAGAGGAGGGAGGTTGATGGGGTCGATGTAGGTGTTGCCGCTCAGCATAAGTTGGAGCTTGAACCACTCAACCTTTTGCACTCCAGGCTTGGGGTAGCCAGTCGGGGCGAGGGCATCAGCAATATCGGGACCCCAGCCAACAACCTTTTGGTACTGGTCGTAGTAGAGCACGGTAGGGATCTGGTGAATGAGGGTGTTAGGAAGAGGGCGAGCGTAGGGGACTAAGACCACAAACCTTTTGCTTAGTGTACGAACCGGCACCCGGCCATTCGGTAATGATGTCTTCCTTGGCTTCGTTGTTGGTAGCAAAGGCGAATGCGACACCAGAAAAGGTAGTGCCCTGTTGGAGCGGTCAGTTGGCGCGCTGGCGTTGGGCATATTCAGGGCGGACTTTGGCGGAATCGTGGCGGCGGGGTAGAGAAGGAACTTACGAAATCGATACCGACGATGAGCTGTGCCTTGCTCTGGCTAGAGCCCTCGACCTCGGCGCGGTTCTGGCCAAACTGCTGTTGGGCCATGGGACCGGAAGGCTGAGGAGGAGGGCCAGGAGGATATCCAGCTGGAGGAGGGTAGCCCTGAGGAGGGCCGCCAGGGCCGCCAGGATGGCCCATTTGAGGGCCGCCGCCCATGCCAGCCATATTGGGGGGATATCCGACGGGAGCGCCGGTGTTGATGGGAGGAGGGCCGTTGACCATTTGCGAGGGCGGGGTGCGGTTGGGACCTTGGTTGGTGAGGGGACTGGTGCGACCAAGAGGCTGACCAGCAGGGTTTTGCGGGTAGTTGGCGGTATAGCTTGGCGGGCGGTTGCCGGCCCCTGGATGGTTCATTGGAAGCGAGGTTGTCGAGGTGGACGAGGTGAGGGGAGCGAGGCCGGCGACGTTGGCTTGAGGTATTTGGCCGGGAGGAGGGGTATTGGTGGGCGGAACGCCGTCGACGGTCTGGATGCTGGCGGTGGATTTGCGCTTTCCGAACCCGAAGTTTTTCAGGCGAGAGTTGATCGAGCTCATAAGGAAGAAGAGAAGACCAAGAGGAGGGGAAGAGGGAAGAAAAGAAGAAGCGGAAAGCGGGTGTGGGAGGGGAGGGAGAGCAAAAAAACAGCTATGAACCAGACGGGGGTGTGTGGGAGAGGAAAAGCCGTGAGCTCGTAAGCAGGCAGGCCGCAGGATGCGGGCGAGGGGCTGGCAGGCTGGTTGGTTGGCTGGCTTTCTTGGGCGGAGGTTGCGGCGTGCGTGAGCGGGCGTTTGAGAGGTACCTGAAGGAGGGGAACTTTGGTTTTTTTGCCCGAGCAACAAAGCACAGAAGCACCAGTATTTTTTTTTTTTTTGGTTAGAAGCAGCAGCAGCAGCAGCAGCAGCAGCAGCAGCGAGAGACGGCTCGCTGCGTCAGGCTCGGTCGGCCTGGGCGTGCGAACCAGAGTGGGCTGGCAAGGCGCAGCTCGTGAAGCTAGTAACGAAGATGGATGACGAAACGGGGTCAAGAATAGAGAAGATTTTATGGCAGGGGATTTCAAGTAAGGCCTGGGAAATGAGATGGAAAAAGAAGAAATACAAGTTAAGATTGACAGTCACCGTGGTCCAAACCATGCCATCTAGTGTAACCTATATGGAATCCAAGCCAAGCTGAACCCAAGATGCATGTCGACGTGGTACAGTGACTGAGTGTATCTTTGACTGATGAGGCAAGTACCTGTGTAAAGGTGCTAATGGCAAGCTGCCTTTCCTTCCCAGGTATACGAGGGGGCTGAGCCGATGCCACACTGGCTCCCTCTTCCAGCAGGCCACATCACAAATGCCCACAGGGCAGTATTAACGACCATGGCCTTTTAGTACAGGCCGCTTCTTCCAAGTGCTATTTCAAGTGCCTGGTTACTGGCTCCCGGGCCTCCATCATGTCAGATTTTGTTTTATTTTTAATCACCTCTTTGAGTTGGTACCCGCAACAGTTAGCAATCTCGAGGATGGTAGTCTAATTTGCCTGACTTCAGCCCGTCGACGCCACGCTCATCAGCCACTGTGCCGCCCGACCTGCCTCCAACCGCACGTCGAATAGACGAGGCGCAGTCAAACCTCGCATCGTACGGATTAGACATGTGCATCAATGCATTACTGTTTCGACATCCCTGAGCCGTTTACTTCTACCTCAAGCTACCAGTACGAAGCGCTCTTCAACCTGACACCTCTTACTCGCCAAGGCCGTCTCATTGCCGTTGGCTGCTGCGTCTCGCCGTTCTCGCAATCTCTCATACTCCGTAGTACGTCACCCAAGAGTAGTTACGCAAACCATCGTCGCGTGTTATATACTGGATACAACCCAGCCCTACGCCCAGTGACTTGGAAGGGCACCTTTCCCAAACACACAGCCAAAGTATGAAACGGTGGTTGCCCGTGGCTGGCAAGCCACTTTGTGGTTAACAAAGTTGCCGCTAGCAAGAGCTGTTGACGATTCTAAGGCCTGCGGCGGCTGCCTCTTGAAAACAAGGTTCATCAAGGAAAGCCATGTGCGCTCTCTACCGTTGTCGATATGGCGCGTTGTGCCGCACTTGGGCCCGTTCATAAATAGCAACGCCCTCGATCCCGGGGCTGTGCCCAGCCACCATGCCTTGGCCGATGGGGGACGAGATTCTGCCCTGTTGGTGTCGTGTTGCAGCTCAGCCTCGTTTCTAAAATGGCAGGCCAGGCGCTTTCCGTCAGCGACGCACGTGACACTCAAGCGTATTGCTTGCAATTAACTTGGTTCAACATGAACAATTTGCTTGGCCGCATGCTCCACGCGATACGGCTTCCTAACCAGTGATAGAAACGGGTTGCGGTTATCAAAATGAATAAGGAAGCTTAGTGTGAGCTTGCCGGTAAGCTTCCCTTTGCTATGGAGACCAGTTAGCGCGTATCCGAGGTCAGCGCTGTAGTTATCCGGCAGCGAGTACGAGCCGTCACGACTTCGACCACTAATGACGTGAAGTGTAGAGTGATACCCTGGCCTACTCATGGTAAGGGGAAGCTAATTGGAAAGTTGGTCATGAACCTTCTTCAATTCTGAGAACTAGTTACAATCTCTTCGTCCGTTATCATGAGAAGCTGTGCCGCGTGGAGCATGCCGCCATACCAGTAGTTACTTATTTAGAGCTTCATTGTGTAAATGAAGATAGATCTGTATTTGTATCTGCTTCTTGTATTTGGTAATCGGCGCAGCTTGTCGATACGAGTGGCTTTTCGTAAATCCATATGTGGCGTCCTTTTTCGTACTTCGCCTCGGGATCCGATACTGTCGTCATCACCTTCCGATTGATCGTGGAGCCTGAAATCGTAGGGATATCATATTCGGCTCAGCTGATGATGGCTGGCGGCGGGTGCATAGACGCGCAACGAGGGAAGTGTTTCTGTACCCCCTAAATTGTGTTTGATTTTCTTCAGAGAAACCTCTAGCATCGGAACAAGGGCCGATCGCGGCTCTCCCTTGACACGGTGAGTGTCGTGTTACAGCGCACTGCATTTTGCGGGGGACCAGCTCTTCCCCCACACAGCGCAGGCATTGATAGAGCAAGGAAAACGATGCGATGCCCGTGTACCATACAACTTGTCAGACGGTGCCATGATGTTTCCATGCAAAGCATTTGCATCCATAGCTCCAGTAGCATTATAACAACCATTACCTGCGACGTATCGGCCAATAAGTCATTACGTACTATACAAATTGATACCACGTTGACACTTTTGCAAGTGGAGGTGAGACGCCCCTGCCAGCCGGCAAAGTCAGCCAGGGAAAGGAATTAATTAGTGCCAAAGAGCCAGCACTGCTCAAAAATGACAAACACCAGCTGCTCTCGGTCAACCTCCAACGCTGCCGCCTCGAATTTCCGTCAAGACACGGGCCCTTTGGCGGTTGCAGGAATCGAAGCTTCGGAGGGACCGTTGTGCACGATACAAACGGAGGTTCGATCATGGCTCACTGAGCTCAAGACGACAACAGCCGCCTACCGCCTGAGACCAGCCAAGCCCACCGAGATCACGCCCGCGAGCGATTCATCAACGACGTTGAACCCGAATCTCACCAAGCCGAGCTGCAACGACGACGGTCCAACACTGACTGTCTTGTACTTCTTTCGGCCCGTTCCCCATATCAGGACCCAAATATTACCCGCCAAACAATCCCGGACCGGCAGAGTTATACCAATCGGTGATTGCCTTGCGTCAATTATCACCAATTCCCGTCTGCGCCATTTGATAGCAACCTCTTGTTTTTCCTGGTTCTAGTGACGCTTCGACCCGAGTTGTTGGGGCAGTCTCTCCGCAATTTGCAGGCCCCTGGTCCGGCCGGTTCGGTGAAATTCACAGCCTGGGGCTTTTCTGCGACGTTGCCATCGAACGACCTGACATCAGTCAATACTGCCTACAACACTCTGGACGAAGGGAATCTAGTGCACAGTCAGTCTAGCGCCGTTGAAGTCGTTGAAACTGGTACTGGAGGACGGGTGCTGGTTACTGCGCACCCCCGCCAATTCATCACCACGGCGGCGTCTACATCAGAAGCTAGCGCCTTGTGGCGCGCTGGCTGGAGGCAGGATGTCGCAGCCAAGGAACGACTGAGGAGGACGGCGGTGGGAAATGTCATATCTGTGGTTGGGCTTTTGGTCATGTTTGCAGTGAGTTTTCTTTTCTTGCTTTTTTGTTGTCCCTGATTTATCGTCTTGTTTCAAATCAATTGCCTGTCGCTGTCTGTTTGCCTAGCTGGGGCTCTCTATCCCACCGCTGCCAAGCTCCCGCGGGTGAGTCTGACCAGGCGTCGGATTTTCAGTGCGCTGGGGCACCCGCTAATAAGCCGGCAAACCACCGGGGCTGCAGGCAACATGGGACACACAGTGCCAGACAGCGCTGGAAAACAGCAGGACACCAGCAAAAACAAGCCTCCCGCCACAACCTGGAGCTCCCCGCATCCCCCCAAAAACCACCCCCAGACCAGACACCAAAAAGCTCAGGCCAGACAAGCCTGTAAACCTGACCACACTGGGTGCTGGCACTCTTGCCACTGACCCAAAATGCGCCCCCAACCCACACACACCTCCCCTGCCATGCTCGCTCCATCCCATCCAGTCCATCCGCCAGCCAGCTTTCTGCCGCTAACGACTCAACAAGCTCGCCCAGCTGCTTCTTAACGACGCCAAGTTTCTCCTCTCCTACCTCCAGCTCGCTCATCCTTCCTCCACCTCTTCCCCTCACGGCTTCTTCATATCACGACTTTTATTCTCTCCCACAGCCCCGACAATCGAGCCAGTCTGCCAGAACCCAGCTCCTTTTCCCACAATACAGCCTGCCTCGTGGCCCCTCAACATGGGCCTGCAAGAAGAAACCAAGAAGGTCGTGTCGCAGTTTGAATTCTCCGACGCCGACGTCAATTCCCATGTCGCCGAATTCATTCAACAGATGAGTATGACTCCCAGGATTTTACCACCTTCCTATCTGCCCTGCCTTGCGCAATGGCTAACGACTCCCTGTCCAGACACTGGCCTCGAGCAGGATGGCACCAGCGTCAGCCAGATTCCGACCTACGTCACCGCCGTTCCCAATGGCACTGAAAAGGTTCCTCAACCGCTCTGCAAGCCTACACTGCCTCAAACTTACATTTCGTAGGGACTATACCTCGCTGTCGATCTCGGCGGCACCAACTTCCGCGTCTGCTCCATCATGCTCAATGGCGACACCACCTTCAACCTGACCTACAACAAGGTCGCCATCCCCAAGGAGCTCATGGTTGCCAAGACGGCCAAGGAGCTCTTCGCCTTCCTGGCCAAGCAGATAGAGCTCTTCCTGCGCGAGCACCACGCCGACCATTTCGAAAGCCACGTCCGCCGACGCCATACTGCTAGCACCCCTTTGGGCTACCGCGACGAACATATTTTCCGACTCGGCTTTACCTTTAGCTTCCCTGTCCAGCAGCTTGGAATCAACAAGGGCAAGCTTATTCGATGGACCAAGGGCTTCGATATCCCCGATGCGATTGGTAAGGATGTTTGCGCTCTACTCCAGGACGAAATTGACAGGCTGCGTCTCCCTGTCAAGGTCGCAGCCCTTGTCAACGACACTGTCGGGACCCTCATGGCCCGCTCCTACACATCGGTCGGCAAGCATCAATCTATTCTCGGTGCCATCTTCGGTACCGGAACCAATGGTGCGTACATGGAAAAGACGGCCAAAATAAAAAAGCCCATCACCGGTGAATATGACACCTCCACCGGCGAAATGGTTGTCAACACCGAATGGGGCTCGTTCGACAACCAGCTCAACGTCCTCCCCAACACACCTTGGGACAAGAAGCTCGACCAGGACAGCGTTAACAAGGGCTTCCAAATGTTCGAGAAGCGTGTCTCGGGCATGTTCCTCGGTGAAATTGTGCGATTGGCCATCGTAGACATGCTCGAGAAGAAGTCTATCGGTCTCTTCCAGGATACTAACTCGAGCTTCAACGATCGTGTCACTACAACCAGCATTGATCCCAAGTCCTCTCTCTTCACGCAATGGGGTCTCGACAGTGCGGTGATGTCGGTCGCCGCCAGCGATAACACCCCCGAGCTCTCCACCCTGCGACAGGAGCTGGAGAACGCTCTGGGCATCTACTCGTCCTCTCTGGAGGATGCGCAGGCATTCAAGGCCATTGCCAATGCTGTTGCGCGGCGCGCGGCCCGACTTTCTGCTGTTGCAATTGGTGCCATCGCCATCCAATCAGGAAAGCTTGACGACCCCGAGTGCGAGCTTGTCGACATCGGAGTTGACGGCAGTCTTGTTGAGCACTACCCCTTCTTCCGTGACATGATTTACGAAGCTCTGAGAGTGATGGACGGCATTGGTCCCAAGGGCGCGGAAAAGATTCGCATCGGTATTGCGAAGGATGGCAGTGGTGTCGGCGCTGCTCTGATTGCACTGGTCGCTGCGAGCCGCGAACAGCCTGGCGACTTCCTGGCCGACTTGCGCACTGATATCAAGCGCGGCCTTGACCGTCTTCCTCAACAAAGTATGTCATTCCGCGTCATTCATTTTGTTTCATGCCTAACGCAGTCTAGTCGAAGAGTCGCCCTTGTCGAACAATGCCTTGCTTGCGATCGGTGCCGCTGCAGCTATTGGTGTCGCGGCGTTGTGGTACTTGAGGCGTCAATAAGCATTTTTCTCGCTGGAGTCTGGTTATGGCGTCTATTATCTTTTCAAAACGGGTTACCTTTGTATATCTACACAATGGCAGTCATCTTATTTCTTCTTTCTTCACCAGCTTGCGCTTTCTTGCCTCTTGCGAATGTATGATTAAAGTATCTAGGTTTGCCGATGTAGCGGGGTGAAATGCAAGCTGTCTATATGAGTCTATCCGTCGTTACTGTATTGTCATGCCCCTGTAAGATTCGAACGCTGCTGTTCAAACACTCTCCTATGCCCTGCCCATACATTTCCCATACATTTAGTACATTTTTCTCGGCCTCCTCCAGCCGTCCCAACCACTCCGCCTCTCCATCTAGCCACGGGTTTGATCAGCCGCCAAACGCTGCCGCAGGATAGGACCGATCCCGCTTCTTCCTCTGTGCTGCGCTTGAGCTGCTCCGGGAGCTGGCGCCCGAGGCCGCGCCGGAGACGGGCTCGCTCCCACCTACGAAATTCCGCCGCGGCGGTGGTGGCAGCGACGTCATATCCGAGGGCAGGTCGTTCCACTCCATCTCGGGGCGCTGGTTCTGGTAGGAGCCGCCGCGCGGCGGTGGCGGGCGGGCGTCGCTGTTGAGGTTGGCGGACGTCGTGGGCGGGCGGCTCGGTGGTGGTGTGGCGGCCGCTACCTCCTGCTTCAGTGCTGGTGGTGGTTGTGTTGCGGACGGTTGACTTCCCATGTTGGCGTCCGCAGGGGAGGTCCCGTTCTGGACGTTGACGGCGCGGAGGACGGCACCGGCGCGGACGGGTCGAGAGACGAGAATGGCGGAGTCGGGCCGCAGCCGACGGTAGTAGCCCTGGATCGGGGCGCCGCAGCTCTCGAAGCCGCGCCGGTGGTACCAGGCGAGGCCCTGCTCGTTCTCCGTCCAGGCGTGCGCGGTGACGCTGCGCAGGGGCAGCGCGGACGCGGCGGCCTGCGCGACGATGTCGTCGAGTGCGGCGCCGGCGAGGCCGAGGGCGCGGTAGGGCGCGAGGACGCCGAGGCTGCGGATGTAGAGGTTCGTCTCGGCGGGGTTGGCGGCGGACGGCTCGGGGATGCAGACGACGGCGCCGACGACCTTGGGCTCCTCGGGGCGGCCGTCGCCGTCGCCGGCCCAGGTGATGACGCGCGAGTAGCGGTGGGACAGCGCCGGGTCGAGGACGGCGGCGTAGAAGCTGTCGGGGAAGGCGACGGGCAGCAGGAGAGAGTTGAGGCGGCGCAGGGAGGGGACGTCGGCGGGCTCGACGGCGCGGATGGTGGCGTTGCGCGGGAGAGAGGGGTTCGTGGCCGAGGTCAGGGGGGGAGGTATCGGTAGCAGCGGTGGTGAAGATGGTCGTGGAGGGGTGGCTGTGGTTGATGAGGGAGGAGGGGCGTAAGTGGGTGGCTTGGGAGGTTGAAAGAAGGATCGTATCGACTTTTGCTGCGGTACGCTGCCTTGACTTGGGAGCGGCATGGCTGGGGGAATGTGGATATGTGTGGTTTAGAGAATGAGAGTGAGAGAGAGGAACGTTGGGCTGGGCAGTTTGCGGGAAAGGAAGGAAGCGTGTTGACGAGGGTGGGCTATCGGGGTGGATGCTAGTTGGGTTTTGCAGGCGCATTGTTGCGAGGCCGGCCTGGATGGACCGGGGTAGTGACGATAGAGTTTGCTCAAGGCGGCGAATAAGCTGGCTGCATTACGGAGCAATTTATCTTTCAATTTACAGTGGTTTTTATTATTTGTTGCTCTGTATTGAGGTTCTTGCGGTTGGTACCTGAATGTGAGGAGGTGGCGGTCATGGCATCGTTTGCTTGATTGCGTAGGGTGCAAGTACAACAAAGGCCACTACTATTGAACTTTGTAATGCAGCGACGGAACGAACCTTGTTTGCTTGAAGATGCATAGACTGCTGTAGGTAGTCCTGAGTTGACAGGGTCGACAAGGCTTGGCTGTGGGAGGAGGCGTCACGGGCACATCTATTAACCACCCGTGTTTTTGATCCAGCGGCAAAGCGGCCATGAAAGGGGAGTATCCGTACGTACCCGGGCAAGGATTGCCGAATGGTAGGAACTTTGATGGCTATCAACGCAGGAAATCACACGCAATGCACGGGACGGCGACTGCAACGGCTAGGCCCTGCGGCTCGGCTGGGGCAGGTGAGCACGTGCTAAGCGGGCAGTGAGGCCGTTGTCCGGGGCAGAAAGGAATCAAACGGGTGCAGAGGCGGGATCGTGTGGCTTTCGATCTGCAGTGATGGAGGAGCAGATGGTGAATCTTCCCCGTGTCTTTGCGTGCAGTAGTGCGAGGGGGGGGGTGTTCGGTGGGTGGGTGGTGCTTCGAGTTGCATGATGTTGAGTAAAGGGTGGTAGCAAAGCAACTGTTTTATATTATTGTGTGTTGCGGTAGGAAATTGGTGGCGAATTATTTTTGTGATGAATCGTCCGCACGAGCAAATGGGACTGAATCGCGTGGTGCATTTTTAATTGGTTTACAGCTGTACCCTTGAGATGAGGCTGATGCGAGTGCCACAGCGTGGTGTCAGCACAGAGGGCGAATGAGCCGGTGTCGTCGGTGATGATGAGGTCAGGGTCGGGAATTGAGAGATGAGGCAGTACCTAATGGACGAATATACGGCCATGAAGAGCATTCATTCTATAGTCTTTCTTCAACTCTTCGTCGTTCTCAATGCATCAGTAAATATTTCCTGTCTCGCGCTTAGGGACCGCCGCTGTATTCTTTCTTACCTAGCTTACTTACACCTGGCACCTCCTCTCACTAGCCCATCCCCGAAAAGGCTGCATCGATCCCAAAACCACCTAAATCCACCTCTTGCACCCGACATCTGGCAACCCAAAATCCACCCCTGGTCGATTCGCCTTGGGTCGCCGCATCGTCAATTTTTTTTTTTCCAATCTCGAATCTTGTCGGGGAAGTCGCTTTTGTTCATTGTTCCTCTTTCTCCTCGACCGATACGCGGCTTGTGCTGCTGCTCATCCCGACAACGAGCCCTTGTTTCCCGCATCTGAACAGTAGCGACACAGAGAGAGGCTATTCATTGTCCCATCCTCCCGCCGCTGCGCCGTTGCTCGCCGACACCCCCCAGCCAGCCTGGGCCTGCCGCCACTCGAAACCCAGCCCGTATTTATTTATTTTGGCCTGGGTTTTGATTTCCGTATCGCATCATCGCTCGCCTGCCCATCATGAATAGCCCTTCCGGCCGGGCTGGACTCATCAAGGCTCGCGACGACGCCGGCAGCATGGAGAAACTGGTATGATCTCGGCCCGCGAACCAACGCCCATCCCGATCCTCCCACCCCCTTCCACATGCTCTTGTCCTCCTCGATACAGCAAGGTTATCCATTTCACGCCGCTGGGCGACTGTTGCCCGCGGTGCCATGCCGAATTGCGCTTTGCCCTTGCCCCCGTGTCGCCTGTGTGATCCTCTGCTGACAATGCTCTGCCCTCTCCCTGCCTTCTAGGCACACTCCGTCCTCGACGACATATTACACAATGTCATCTCCGACCTCCTTGTCAAGGTCCATCGCGATGAGAAGCAGGCCAAGGCTACCTCGGCCGTCATCCGCGTCGAAAAGCTAGCCTCGGACGCCTCCGAAAGCTCGACCCCCGACTCAAAACCCGACGGCCGGATCGAGACCGACGCAGCCGTGTACGAGGATGGCAAGGTCACCCTCAAGGGCAACCCGCTGAAGACGACGGCCGAGATTCTCTGCCCCAAGTGCCATCTGCCCCGGCTGCTTGCGCCCACCGATGGCAAGGGCGCCGTCAAGCCCGATCCCACCATCATCTACTGCAAGCGACACCCATACATCGACAAGCCCGGCTGCGATATCTACGGCCAGTCCTGGGTTGCTCCTGGTCCTGGCCGCGGTAAGAAGAAGAAGGACATGGAGAAGCCCGATCCGGCCGAGAAACCTGCCAACGTGCTATCGTTCCCCTCAGCCACCTGCAGCAAATGCAAGCGCTGCATCCTCGTCACCCGACTCAACAACCACATGGGATCCTGCATTGGCAACAGCGGTCGTAACGCTAGTCGCGCCGCCGCCCAAAAGATAAACGGCGGTTCCCAGAACGACAGCACCCCGCCCTCGTCGCAAAAGGCCACACCCGCCCCCGGGTCCCGCGCCTCGAGCCCCCGGAAACGAGACGCTGCCCCGAGTGATGATGGGGAAGAAGACGATGACGAAGACTCCGAGGCGAGCCCTAAGAAGAAGAAGTTTAAACCGACGAGCGCTGCAAATGCCATTACGAAAAAGGTCATTCTTAAGACGAAACCTAACATGAAGCCGGATAAGGCCCGCGTTTCTTCCCACCTCAAGCAAGAGCACAAGTTCAACGACAGTGACTCGGCGACTGACAAGACTCCAACAAAGCTCATCAACAAACACATGAGCCCTCTGAAAAAAGTCAAGGTACAAAAGCCTACGAGCTCGCCGCTGTCCCGCAACGGCAGGGACATTGACATGAGGTCAGAGTCCTCAGATCCAATGTCTTCACCCCCAGGTCGATGATGGCCAAGGACGAAGGACCTTTTCATACTGACTGATAGCCGTCCTCTAAGTCATGGGTCTCTGCCCTTGCGTTGAAAACTTGTATTAACACGTAACCCTTTGGATAACTATCGGAGCTCGAGGATGCACGCCAATCTTACGACAATCCGCCGGTGCATCCCTGAGCCTATTTTGTCTCTATAGCGGACTTTTTTTGTTTCCCTCCCCATCATATACGTTTTTTGCATCAGGGACAGGCTTGTTCCCTCCACTGTTTTTCACTACCCCATTACCTTTATTGTCTTGGCTATGTGGCTTTTCTTGACTCTTGGTGTTTTTTTTCGTGCGCTTCGACGCTGATTGTTTTGCTAGCTGTTTTATCGGAATAAGATAAAGCGAAGAAGCACATGATACACACTCGGCTTTGCGGGAATGAACTTATAAAAGAAAAGAGAGAGAGAGAAGAGAGAGAGAGGCAGACAGCCAACACACACACACACACACACACACACATCTTTAGCATTCCGCGCATGCGGGCCTGGCGGCGTTTTATTGGAGAATATGGCGTTCATGTCCTTCCATTGCTTTTCTTTTACGATTTGCTCTGCTGGCTACAGTGAGCTGCCCCTTGGAAAAGAGACGTTTTTTTGTTCTTTTTCTGTTTGGTTGTTGGTGCATGGATGGATGGACATTTCCTGGCGGATCCAGAAGTGTATGCAGTCAATTGGAGTAGAATGGGTATTCTTTTCTTCACATCGTTTGGTGATGCATAATTTGTGACTGCGCAGCTCAATGAGATGCACGTATGAGTGCGAACGTAAAGTTCGTCTCAGTTGACTATCGAGGCATGTGCTAGCCGTGTGAACATTTCTGTCTGTTTTGTATTCATTATATGCGTATCATTACTGACGAGCTTTAAACCTTTTTCCACAATACCCTCAATTCACTTCCCAAGTTTCAGACCCGCTCCTCCTCTGACCCTTCCACCACTCTCGCCGACACAATCTTGACATCCTCGACCGGACGGTCCTCGGCGCCGGTCGGCACCATGCCCAGGCGCTTCACCGTGGCCAGGCCCCGCGCCACGCGGCCAAAGATGGTGTGCTTACCGTCCAGCCACGGCGTGGGCGCGAGTGTGACGAAGAACTGGGAGCCGTTGGTGTTGGGCCCCGAGTTGGCCATGCTGAGGATACCGGCGCCGGCATGCCGCAGCGCGGGGCTGATCTCGTCGGCGAAGGCGTCGCCGTAGATGGACGAGCCGCCGCGGCCGGTGCCGGTCGGGTCGCCGCCCTGGATCATGAAGTTGGGGATGACGCGGTGGAAGATGGTGCCGGAGTAGTAGCCGCGGCGCGCGAGGGCGGTAAAGTTGGCGCACGTCTTGGGCGCGTGCTCGGTGTACAGCTCCAGTGTGATGGAGCCCTGTGGAAGGAAGGGTCAGGGAGGAACAGGAGGGGTGCGGGGGTGGGGACTTACCATAGTGGTCTCAAGTATTACATTCGTCGTCATTGTGAGAATTGGGTTTGGGGATGTGATACTGCGAGAGAAGAGAGCGCTGGTTGTCGCAAGGCAGATGTCGAGATGCAAACGTTGTCACTGTGGGGCGCCGCCTAAAGGGTAGCCTCATCGTTTACATCACAATAGACGTGCTCAGTGGGCACCGCAAAAATGACGCATAGCGGCTAAATACATCTTGAGTGTTCTCGTTCTATTACAAGCAAAGGTATCATAAAATGTTCAAGTGGCCATCATGTATCAACTCATGGCGGTCTCTTCCCGCTATCATGTGAGCTTGGGGTCAAACAACTCAGCGAACCCAACACAACCCAGATTAGTTGGTAAGGAGATTGACCTTGGACTTCAATCTATGCAGTAATGAGAAAAAATATTTTTAAATAATACAACTGTGTTTTAAATTGTATAATAATGATATTAACTAAGCTTGCTGTGCACTTCAATTCTAAGATCGAGTTATCCCCGGTTTGGTTCTGTAGGGATCACAGCTAATGCGCCTCCACGAACCATTACTTCTTCACCAGCGTCATTTTGTGGAGAAAAAGAAAAAAAAAAGACGGAAACCCGGATTTGCTTCAACTTCCGAATTCAAACATCAAATTGACATCTTAGTATCTATAATCCTTGTCCCAACTGATCTGGCAAACGTGACTTCGTCACACTGCGGGTAGCCCAATCCTTAGTCATCAGGCCTCGAAGGACCACGTATCTTATCACGTTTCACGCAACAGTCAATGCAGCAAACATCATTCTTTGCCCTCAAGTCTTGCGCGTCGAAGCTTTTCGAACCTAAGAGCCTCTCGACATCGCTTTCGAGATCTAGCCAGGGCCATGGCGACCAACTCGTCCCTGATGGATCCCAGTGGGGGGATCATGGACGGCCTCAACTCGACCTCTCACAGCGGCGCCCGTGCCCAGCCGGAGACATGGCTTGCCACCCTCCAGGACTTTGACTTTTTGCTGCTCGAAACCAAGCTCGTCCTCAGCGCCGCAGGCATTATCTACGTCGGCGCGCACGCGGCGCTACGCCGCCCGCCATCGGCAGCGCCACCCCGGGACGAGAAGGCCCGGCGCAAGACGGAAGAGGAAGACAAGCTGGCGCAGGGTCTGGAGATGTCGGACGCCATCCTCTTCCCCGTCATGGCAAGCGTCGTCCTTGTGGGCCTGTACTACTTGATCCAGTGGCTTAACGACCCGGCCATCATTAGCAAGGTCCTGCGCTGGTACATGTCTATCGTGTCAGTGGCCAGCCTGGTCACGCTTTATGCGCACAGCGCAGACCTTCTCGCGGCGTTTGCGTTCCCGCGGTACTGGCGCGGGCACGACGGCGTGCTGCTCACGGCGGACCAGAGGACGCGCGTCATCGTCCGGTGCGACGACGCCGGCAACGTGACCGCCGCGGCGCCGACGGCGGGGAGTAGCAATCCATTGCCGGGTGTGCTCGGTTGGCTTGCGCCGACGGAGAGGCTGCACCGAACGGCATGGAACGTTAGGGCCACGTTCAAACGCGAGTGGCTGCTGCGGTTGTTCCTGCACGGCGTTGGGGAGGAGAAGGCGCACGTCAAGTTTGCGACGATGATGGCGCTACCGCTGGCAGCCGCGACCGCGGCCCTGTACTTCACCACGACATCGCCACTGCTGTCTAACATGCTGGGCTACGGCATGTGCTACTGCTCGTTCCTCGTGCTGTCGCCGACCGACCTGCTCACAGGCTCGCTGATGCTCGGGGGACTCTTCTTCTACGATATCTTCATGGTTTTTTACACGCCGTACATGGTTACGGTGGCGACGACCCTCGACGTCCCGATCAAGCTGCAATTCAAGGCCGCGCAGCGCCAGAGCATCCTCGGGCTCGGTGACATCGTCATCCCCGGCATGTTCGTCGCCTGGGCGCTCCGCGCAGACCTTTACTTCCACTACAAGCGCCTGGTCAAGTACGAGTCAACGGACCTGCGCATTGTGGAGAAGGACGCGGCATCCGGGGAGCTGGTGACGCGCAGCGAGACGAAGCATCGCGAGGTCAAAGCGCCGTATGTCGAGGTCAAGGGTACTTGGGGCGACTGGTTCTGGACGCGCCGGCTCATGCACCTTCGCGCCGCGACGGTGGTGCCGCCGTCGGTCGCGGCGGGCACCTTTGGCAAGACGTACTTTTACGCGTCCATGGTAGGCTACCTGCTCGGCATGCTCGCCACGCTGGCGATGCTGCTGGTGTTCAAACGCGGCCAGCCGGCGCTGCTGTACCTGGTCCCGAGCGTGCTGGGCGCGACGTATGTCACGGCCGTGGCCCGCGGGGAGCTCAGGGATCTGTTGCGGTACACGGAGGACGGCAGCCTCGACACGGTGGACGTGGTCGTGGAGCTGGACGCAGATGGGAACCCAGTCAAGGCGCTTGGCAAGCTGGAGAATGGGGTGGTGGACATGACGAAGAAGGAGGGCAAGGACTCTGGTTCGAAGCAGGACTCTGCCTCGAAGGAAATCAACGGTAGCGCCGAAGAAAAGGGGGATGAGAAGAAGGCTGGTGGTGAAGGCAAGAAGGGAAAAAATCACCACGTCTTTCTGTTTTCACTGGAAGCGCCCCCCGACGATGGGGAGGCTTAGAGAACCGCAGCTGCTGCACTTTCCAGGGACTTGTATGACCATCTAATATAGACTCGGGGGAGTGTATGTGAAATCGCAAAACTTGACACAAATACATGAATAGAAACTACAGGAGGTAATCTTTCTCCAATAATTCGCATAGATTCCTCTGATCCATAATCATCGCACACTTCTTGCACGCAAGGTGGGGTTGGGAGCATGGCACAAGGAGGCCCCGCCGACAGACACCACCAACCAGCAGATCTCACCACAAGCCCAATCTTACATCTGCATCCAGCGCCTAGATTATTCTTCTCTCCTTCATATCTCTGCGGTTCTCAGATACATATACGTCCTTGTTGAAGTGCTGCTCTCTAGTCTTAACTAGCGACCTCCAGTGGCTGGCCCGGCCAAGGATCACCAACTGTCCCGCTCGAGTCAGCTTCCTCAAACATTGCTCCGAGCCTCCTCCACACTATCACGTTTTCGATAACTGCAGCTGAACAATGGCCACAGCCATTCAATGGGTGCTTGACACCCGAAAACTATGGCCAGAAGCCTCCAAGACCGCGGAGCTTGAGCATGTGGTAAGACCCCCCCCCTTTGGCAACTCGTCTTCCCTTCAAATGAAGATGTCCTCTGACAATGTTTTTTGACAAAGGCCGCGCGTGCCATGGACTTGCTCCTCCCCGGCGAGCGCGAGGCCGTCCTGCGCTACTTCCACGTCCGCGACGCCAAGCTCGCCCTCGGCTCCGCGCTGCTCAAGCGGCTCGTCATCGCCCAGCACGTCCCCGGCCTGCCCTGGGCCGCGGCCACCGCCGTGCGCGACGAGCACACCAAGCCCGTCTTCCGCGGCCCGGATGGCGCCCAGCCGGTGCTCTTCAACGTCTCCCACCAGGCCGGGCTCGTGGTGCTGCTGGCCGCCCGGGCCGGCGCCGCCGGCACGCAGCTCGGCGTCGACGTCGTGTGTCCCGGCGAGCGTCGCGCGCGCGACCTCGAGACCGTCCTTGACGGCCGCGATGGGTGGGCCAAGTACGTGGACATGCACGACTCGGTGCTCTCGCCCGTGGAGGCGCGCCGGCTGCGGGAGATGGAGCCGCGGGACGTGGGTGGTACGGAGGAGGCGGAGGCGGACCGCAGGCTGGCGTACTTTTACGCGCTGTGGTGCCTGCGCGAGGCGTACGTCAAGATGACGGGCGAGGCGCTGCTGGCGAGCTGGCTGGGCGAGCTGGAGATGCGCGGCTTCGCGCCGCCGGGGGACGGGGAGACGGAGCTGGAGGTGTTGTTCGGGCCGGCGGGGGGGAAGCGCGTGGCGGACGTGGACCTGCGCATCGAGTGGTTCCTCGGGAGGCAGTACATGATCTCGACGGCGGTGCGGAACCCGGATCCGGCCGCGCCGCTGCGGTTGGGGCGCTTTGAGCTTCTGGACCTAGAAAAGGTGCTGCGGCAGGCGGAGGAGCTCAAGGCGCTGAGATAGGACGATGCGTAGGAGAGCGTGGATGCGGTAGGATACAATGGAACTTTCACATGTTCATGGAGGGAGCTGAGATATTTGAGGGAACGAGCCATTTCCTATTTTTACTATTTTGGGTTTTTATTTGCGCATCTTTAGCATTCTTTGGTCATATTGAAGCGCAAAGTCGTATATTGTTCGTCACGAATTCCATCATCGCGTACCGTTTACAGGTGCTTGCCGAAGAAAGTGAGCAGGGCCTTGTAGCCGCGCTCGTACTCGGCCTTGACACGATCGTCGCTCAGGTTGGAGCGGGCTGCCATCCAGCCGTGGATCTGATCGGCAAACGTCTCGACATGCTTGGGCACGGTGAGCGCATCCTCGAACTTCTTGACGTCCTCGGCGGGCTCGTCACCCGAGGCGAGCAGGATGAAGGGCACCTTGATGGCGGGCGCATCGGCAGCGTCGACCATGGCAGGGTGCACCGAGGCGGCGGCGACGAACGGGTTGGACGACTCCTTGGCGCTCAGGGCGACGGCCTTGCCGCCCCAGCAGAACTACAGGGTTTCAGTCAGTACGATCGTTATCCTGTTGCGGTTTGGCGGGGAGGATTGCTCACGCCGAGGACACCGGCGGCGGTGATGGAGGGGCTCTGCGTCTTGATGGCCTGGACAAATCCGGGGAGCGGGGTCGCAGCGCTGGTCGGAGGGTTCTTTTCGAAGAAGGCACCAAGGTCCTTCTTCTTCTGCTCCGTGTTGGGAGGGTACCTAGGACCGGTCAGTTTCGGGTGGTGGCGGGCTTTGTTGCACACGGGCGGGATATCGTACCATTCAATGGGGCAGGGCTCGCCCTTGAAGAAGTCGGGCATGTAGACCTTATACTTTTGCTCGCCGCTGTGGGCGAGGATGTCGGCGCCCTGCAGAGTCTGCTCAAAGTAGCCAAAGATGTCGTAGATGATGACAATGGCCTTGGTGGCGTCGGCGGGACCGGTGACATCTTGGCGGCAAGTTGTTAGCATCGCAATTGAGTCAGGGATTGACGGGATCCAACTTCGGATGGATGACGATCGAGTTGGAATTGTACGTACAGGTCTTGTAGTCGCCAACTTTTTCGTACTTGCCCTTGGCCTTGTAGCCCTTGGTCACGATCGGGGGCAGGTTGCAGCAGGCCGCAGAGTGGCCGGAGGTGGCGGGCATGGCAGACATGGTGACAGATGCGAATCGGCTGTGCTTTATATTTCTAGAGTTGATCAATCTTCCCTTTCGAATCAGCGGCAAGGTTCGGGATTCAGCGCGGGGTGGTGGTCGGGGTGAAGCCAAAGCAAAGGTGAGAGGTTACTGGATGACTAGCCGGGACGAAGGCTGTGCCTAGAGTACATACCCTGAGAGTTTTATCGTGGTGAAGATTGTAGATTGAAGTTTCGCGCAACGGATTGGAAAAACAGCTTGGAAAGGAAGCAAAAAAAGTCGCAGCTATCTGTAATCTATCTATGTTGATCGTGGGAGCTATGGTGGGGTGCTGAGGGGTTGCCAAGGTGGCGGGGGCCTCGGGAGATGTTTTCGGATGATGTCACAGATAGATTCCGATGGCGGGAATTGAACTCGATCATCACGACGTCGCACTGCAGGGTCGTAGTTAATATTGGTTGCCGTTTGAAGCTGGTATATTCAAAGGCTGTACTGATTCTCATTGAATAATCGTCCGGCAAGATTTGGACAAACTCGCTGTTTGTGTAAGCGACTTAATGGTCACTTGCGGGGCCGAGGGTAAATTATTATGGTGCTTCTACCTGGAGATTCTGCGGCAACTATAACATTTTAATAGTTGTTGGTTGACAGTACCAGAATTAACTCAAAAATCTTTCCTCGGGGCCCACGGTACCACCGTATTACCAATCTAGGTTAATCGCGGGTATTTTACTTGCTGAAACCAGGCATGCGCAAGTTCAACGAGCGGCATCAAGCTTGCTAACTCGAACCGTAAAAATTCTTCCCAGCGTGCAACCTGAATCTTTATTTTGAATGATACCATTGTATTTTCTTTTTCTTTTCTTGACGGGTACTTCTGCGCAACGCCACATGATATCGCTGAGCACTACGGGAACCAAAACGCGCGGCCCGCTGTATACTTCAGCATGCCGCATGTTCCCGCAAACTCCAGTATTGACCCTAAACTAACGATTTGTGTAGCGCTGAAATAATGTTGTCTGAAATAAGTCAGCTTCGGTCTGGCGCTCGCATCGTACCTGATGTGACGCCGCCGTAAAAGCTGAGAACACTTGGAGAGCCTTGCAAACCAACCGCTTCCAATGGCACCCTGTAAACAAAGAAGTGGAATATATGCATGAGTCTTCAAGTTCTGATACCCTGATCTTTCATTTGTCTTTAACCGGAATGTTTCCGCTGCAATCTATCGCCACGCTTAGGACTGGCTCTCAGCAGCAATGACTTGGTACATCCCTGATCTTCGCACAGACATTGCTCTCAGTCTTCTGAACAAAAGCGAATAGAACAAACAACAACAACTTTGAGTTGAGAATGGGTCAAAATGGACAGGACTGCTCTTTGAAAGCCTCTAGGCGGTCTTGAGCAGTTGGCAGGGTAGGAAATGCGTCGTTGATAATTTTACCGTCAGAACCGACGTCGAACCGTCCAGCTTCAGCCACGACAGCTGGCGGCGTCGCCGAATGATCCGCGAAATTGAAGCGTCGGATGCCCTGCACTCGTGATTGATTTCATTAGAGGCCCGTGAGAAAGTGCCGTGCCCAATGCTCATGGTTGGAGGCATACCGTCGGAACAGCAGAGCAGCGAGGCGTGCATCAAGAGTTGCGGGGGGTGCAGATCAAGAGTCAGGCACCTCGGGTATCTAGTCATGGTTCTGTCCCATCGCTGCGCAAATCTTCGCTCTGTCTAACTACCATAAAGGGCGAGGGACGGAAGCGAGGGGAGATGACGCTCATGTGGCCGAGCAGGCGTATGCTGTCATGCCTTGGCAACGCGAGGACCGAGCTACTAATTCAAGGCGGGCATAAAAAGAACAGTGGTAGCTGTACGAGGAAGGAGCATGATTAGTAAAAAATGCCATGGCAAAAATGCCATTGTCAGCTTGGCACGTTTTCCCTGTTTCCCATCCGCTGCACGGACGAGATAAGGCCGAGTGCTCTTTGTCGTGACCAAGGTAGCGAAGCAAGGCGACTCAGCTGGGAAACATTAACCGCCAAGACGCTAGAGCGGCGCACAAAGCCGCACCGTCTTGGATCAATTCGCGACTCAATACTTCAGCCACTCGGCCCCGGTTTGCCTTGCTTGTTCGGGCAAGTAGATGTGAGAGAATACCCATCATCCCGACAGTCGGGACACGGCGGCGGCGGGAGGGGGGGGAGAGAAGTGGCGTCGGACCGGTTGGGCACCGGAGCCTGAGATGGGCGCGAAGAGCAGAGGGCGCAAGATGCCAAGGCGTAGATCCAAGCGTTGGACTAAACTGCTGCTAGACGGACAATAGACGGGCGTGACATGACGATGCGTGCGCGGAACAGCGACCGTTGAGTGCCAAGGAACGAATGCATCTCGCCTAAGTATTGCAAGGCGGGCGACGCGCGGTGGGCAGTTGAGGCTTGCCGCGTCGGTCCGAGTAATCGCGAAAAGACGACGACCGAGACATGCTTGGTTCCGGCTAATGCTTTCCGCATGTACCTGTTTCAATTTCAGGAAATACTGGTAGTTAGCAAGTAGGTTGTCCGTTGCGTGCGTGGCCTGGAGCTAGGAACAGGGCTTTGACTTTGACAACGGGCCCTAGCAAGGAAACTCGTCATTTTTCTTCCCTCGTGCCGGGCACGAAGTAACTAGTTAGCCAGTGGAGTAAGCCGTCGGGAGGCCAGTTCAACAGATGAAAAAGGATACCCGGATTGCCAGCGAGTTGGTTCCAAGAAGAGGAAAAAGATGGCGCTGTCTGTGTGGTTACATGGCGTGGAATTGACAAGCCGGCGCATCATGGGGGTGAGACCCTGGAAAGAGAGGCTGGAAACCATCATACCTGCTCGTTTCCCAAGAATAGAAACAGGCGCCGGTACAGTGTCAACCCGCATGAGCCTCTCCTACCGGTCGGTGTTTCATTTATCGGTATCGACGGGGGGATTTCCGTGCGCAGAGGGAGGAGGGCTTTCCCCGCGGAGGCGAAGGCGGGTAGCGACAGGGCTGACCTTGACAATATAACGGCCCCAGGGCGATCAAGATTTGGGGAAAACAGCGGCGGCGAGAACCGTAGCCAGTTTGGACAAAGTACATACGTCCAACCGTCCATCCGTCGTAACCCCCCCGCCTTCCATCGGAAACCGGAGGCCTAGTCGGCCGTGAACGAGCGCGGTCACGTTTCAAGATTCCTTTGCTTCGTAGGTATCCAAGCGAAGCGAACCAGTCAGTCACCTCGCCAAGTTCGCTCTGGTCAAATGCCGAAAAAGAAGCAGGCAAAACCTTAGCGGTCCCATGGCAAAGGAGCAAAAGTGCCTCAACCAGGTTTTTTTCTCTCTCGATGCTCATGCGCACCGCAGCAAACGGTGCCGCGTGGCACCCAACCCCCTGGTACGTCGTTTCATTGGCTGGCAGGTAGCCGTTTGCGAGATGCTCCCTTTTTGCGATCTTGAACTGTTTCGTGGGAAAGGGCAGCTGAAACCTGGCCTTCTTTCAATAGGCAATTGAGAGTTGCGAGATATGATCCGTACCTCTAACGGGAACAGCAGAACCACACAACCCCTGCAAAAGGCTTGTGGGATGATCATGTGGTCTGGACATCCTGTGGGTGTGGCCCAATCAGTAAATAAACCGAGACGCCCACCTTGCTCGTCAGATTTTTAATTAATATAAACTAATATGGAGTTTTTTTTTTCTGTGTGTGGAGGAGGCCATGTTGGCTTACCAGATTATCAGTTAAGCCGTATTTCCTTTTTTCAAAGAAATAAAAGTCTCTTCTTCTTCAGGAAAGGCAGGCTTCAGAGTGGAATACAGGGCATTGGATTGCGCTTTAGGAGGTCCTATAACCCAGTACGGGACTTTACACAGGCCCATAGGTAAGGGCCATCGCCGCATTTCTTTTTCTGGAAAATGAATAAAATAAATGGGCATCCGAAAGGTTTCGGGGGCGAATCTGGATTGTGGCTTCTTGAAATAGAACGCCGTACCGAGTATACGCACACCTATGTCAGTATGTAGGTGAGGGACGGTGATGGCTCCGTCATACGCAAGTAAGTCGAAGTCAACGAGCGCCAAGAAAACCCTGCAAGTGGGTTGACGAGCGGCAATTCGCATGTTCTTTGACCTTTCTCTGCCTCCCATAAAAAAAAAAGAAAGGAAAAGAAAAGAAAGGTTCAAGACGTGCTGCATCTCCCAAACTTTGGTGCGCGGCAGGGGGGTGGCCACAAGTCATCCCAACCCCCATCCATGCATGCTAAGCAAGTTAGTTATCTGCTGAAGCCCTCCCGCAAGACCCTACCCAGCTAGTATGTACGTAGTTAGTGACCTGTGAGTCGTCCGTCCATCCACATGCCAGCCCATCCAATAAGAACACATATGCATGTACTCTGTACTGTCGAGTACGTGCTTGGTACACCTGTGTCTCAGTCTGTGAACCTGTAGAGAGAGGTAGATCGGGGGGTGTATGTTGTGCTTGTCGTGCTTGCTGATTGAGGCTACTCCGCAAGGATGGCATTGCAGTTGCCAGTCGCACATTCATTGCCCCTGCACTAGTTATTTTAGGATGGATAATTTGAAAATGCAGATACTCAGTATATTGATTGGTAGTTCATTCATATCTAACTAACGGAGCAGCCCACCTCACTTGTGACCTGTCAAACCTGGCCCGCGGAAGTGCTCCGTGGCAAGTCTCCAGCACAAGATCCTTTTTGCTTGAAAAAAACGTATTGATAGACCCATCTTGCCCGAGTGTATCGTAAGACAGGCTGCACAATTCGTAGTTCCTTCCTTTGAGGATTTTCCCATAATCCCGAATTCCCGACGGGTACCCAGAGACGAGGCGTGTCCGTGCCTCACTGCGCTCGAGGCGTCGCCATCGGCAAATCCATATCCATATCCGCCTGCATCGGCCACAGCCCTGCTTGCTCGCTGCGCGCATCTCAATACGCAGAGGCCATCACGGTGGGGGTATAAACCTGGGCGTTTCCGATATGCCCCCGCTTGCCTGCAGCTCGCCAAC